GTGGAGGTCAACATGCCAAGAGAATGTGATGAAGGTGACAAGGTTCTCAAGAGTATGTATCTCAACAGCAAAGCTCAAGATTGTGCTGAGACTTTTCAAGGGAGCAAGTACGATGTCATAATTGGTAGTTTCGATATCTTCCAGATTGCGGCTCCCTGTTATGGCTTCAGAAAGAACTAATACTAGAGGCTATACACGGGTCCACGTTTGAGTGTATTGTATGAATATCAATGGACACATTGTATGCTACATAACAATAACTTTCTAGAGTTTGTATGAACTTTGTGGAGTTTGTATGAGGTTGCGATCCTGTGAGACTCCATTACAAACTTTTCTATTCGATAATCTTCTGCGAGTTCGAAAGTTGATGCCGTGTGATATTGATCCAATAGGGATAATGGGCAAGCAATACTCAACGGGAAATGATCGATGTCGAGCAAACCCCACGGACGCGGATGCATGGAAGCTCCATGCTCCCAGGTCGAGCATGACAAGTGCTTGATACGTGCGTGCTTTCCCAGCCAGCTTACAGAAGGTTGTCTTTGGACACTTTATCACGTGCTGTCAGGGAACATTCGTGGGAATAGCTGAAACATGACTTGTTGGTGTTCTGTTGAGCGGTGATGCTTAGGAGCGAACCATAGATTGCGGAAGGCTGCTTGCTAGCACGAAGAGCTGCGCAGTCAACCTCTGCATCGCCTATCACACTTCCACCGTCCTTTCCTCACCTATGTCCACATATGCGCTATTTAGACCTTACCGATCATGGTTGTGCAGCTTGTGCCGCTGATCTGCAAGAGGTCTGAATCTTCCACAGTCATTGCTTCCAAAGGGCATCATGTCCGTACGTGCATGTTCTTTCTCTCTACATCAAGTTTTTCCTTCGAGCTCCTGTACGCTGCAACGGAACAAAATTGTGGTGTTGTCATCTACGCCTTGTTTGTGGTCTAAAACCAGTATGTGAGGGGCAGGTAATATGACCAACGTTGTATGATTGGCTCGCCAGGGAGTGAAGAACCACGAAGGTAGGCTAAGCATGAGTTCTACCATCTTGGCAATAAACATGGAGGACAGACTTTGGAAGCGACCACCAATCCGGTGTCTTGCCCCCCTCGGCTCCCATCGTTGGGTAGCAGTTCGGAGGAGGTAGAAAGCGAGTGTACCTGGGGGCCACATCACCAAATCTGGTAACTGGTCAAAGCTTACACGTGTGGCATCCTTTCCGACAGGCGTTAGCCATTTGTGAGTTCACCGGTGTCTTTTGATTTTACTGCACGTCTTATCGGAGCCCCAGAAGTATCCCCATGGCAGTTGCCTAACCACGCGCTAAAGTTACCTCAAGCCCGTCAGCCGAACGACTCCGGATTTAGGAAATTTTGCAGCGTGGCCGGCCAGGATTGCGGGCATCAAAGATGGCCAGAGAGTGGTCATTTCTGTATCCTGCATGAGCGTGTAGCCAAATGGATTGCGTGACGGGGCGAAGCACGGCTACACTCTAGAATCGCTGAGATGATGCCCTAGGTATGGCATGATATAAGGAGAAGATCGTCTTCATTACTCCTAGGCTTCCGGTAAAAGAGACTTTGCGCTATTACACATACAGCAGTAACCAGCTTTACACTCTCTTTGGTAATAATATTCGCTTCTCACGGTCTCAAATCATACCAAGCATGATTATTCACGCCCCTTCAGTCCCGACCATCATTGGTGTACTCAGCTTTCTGCTATTCCTCGATGTGCTCGCCGTATGTTTACGGATCTACGCGAGACGAGGTCTAGGTCAGAAGCTCCAAGTTGATGATTGGCTCATGGTGCCAGTCATCATTGGCGTCTTTGGCTGTGCCGCCTGTCTATTTCACGGTACGCAGACAGCTCCAGAAACTCTCTCAATACTCACAAAGAAAGGCATCCGAAGAGGGTCGATGGGATATCGCTTTTCGCCCATTATAGACCCTTCAGCAGACTCTGCAGAGCTGCAGTCTCGATCAGATCCCTATGCTCAGGAATGGGTGATCGTGGAGACTCGCTTAGTAGGATCATCACGCACACACAACCTCTAGTATATGACTGACGTGATCAGCTCGAGTCGTCATTTTTTAATATCCTCCAACCAACCCTGGGACTCATCAAACTGGCTGTTGTACTATTCTATCGTCGTCTCTTCGTAATCCAGAAGCATTTTAGCGACGCTCGAAACTTGATGATTTCCGGTATGGCGACCATCGTCGTTCTGTGGACTCTTGGATACACATTTGCCAAACTGTTCCAATGCGGCAGTCACTCGTTTGAGCGAAGGCCCTTTTACGACTTCGACTATTCTACAGCAGTCTGCGTGGATACATTGAAGCTAGGATATTCTTTTGCGATCACAGACTTCATCACCGATGGCCTGATTGCCCTGATCCCAATTCCCTTGGTACGCTTCTCGAAGGTTCACTTCTGCAAACTCAAAGGCTGACTCATGATTAGATATGGAAGCTTCAATTACCAATTCGCCAACGTCTGGCCGTCATGGCAATATTTGCGGTTGGCTTCATGTCAGTACTTCGTTTATACAACTAGTCACCCAGGCTCATCTTCATAGATCAATAGCTGCCTCTGGTGTACGCTTGGCCGTATCGGTCTGGATACAACATGTGAACGTAGACCCCGAGTTTGACGAAGAACTCAACCTTACAGCCGAGCTCTTCTGGGGTCTCATCGAAGCTACCACTGCTCTCCTCGCTTGCTGCCTTCCGACTCTTCGTGCACTTATTAAGGTGCCTTTCGTCAGCAGTACTATTCGAAGTTTGCAGAGCTTCCTCTCTATTGGCAGCAAGTCCCAAACCTCTTCGATGGATGCGCCGAAGTCGCCACCACTGCTCCAAACTTATTCGGCCGGGTCGGAGAAAGGCAGTGGCTATATCGTCAAGCATTCAGGCATCACAGTGCAGTCTTCTAGGGTCAATGCATTATAGATTGCGCTCCGAGTTAGTCAACATAGACGGAGTTGGGTAGGCGGTGGTACAACGGCAGTGTCTTTACAGCTAGCACAGAACCTCATAGATCTCAATTTTTCTGAAACGTTAGAGCAATATATAGCCTAATAAAGATAATGGTTTCATATGAAGGCGTTCTCCGACGTGACCTCGGACCACTGAGTGCTGTGAGCATTCCCATCACGTACCAACCTCCAAGGTCACTATCATCGCTGCTCAGAAAGCTTACCTCTATGCATCACCCTGATAATCGATTCTGCTAGCAATATAGTGCCTGTGACTAGAGCTCTTAAAGCGCGTATCAGCCTCCATGGGCTCATTTGTGCTGAGCCAGGTCGTAGCGATGTCTAGGTCATCCCAGGATTCAGTTTCGCGACGGCTACCTATGATCAGTGGTCAGTGGTCCGTCTCCTCAGTATGAGTATTTCTTATTATGACACGTAATTGCGGACTGAGCGTGGGAAAAGTTAGTTCGGTTCAGCGTTCGATCTGCTGCGCTGAGTAGAGTTCCCATGGTGACTGGGGTTGGAGCAGGGTTTATCTTGTGGGGAAGTAGCATGGTTAGAGAGTTGATCGCCTTGAAACCGGTCTTATAGATGATCGTTTGATGGAACCAACTGTGTTCGACACCCTTCGTGGTACGTATCTGCTAGATGTAGGGCTGCGTGTACAACGCACTTATGGAACTGCTCCAGGGCTTCATTGCGTGTTCGATCACTCAAGCTAACAGAGAGTTCCTCTACGAGATCCTTGAGATGCTGTGTAAGTCCATGATGAGCAATGCAATCCTTGAGTATCTAGATCTTGACTTCGTGCCCAGGTGATATCGGAACCACGTGCGGACCGAAAACAGCGAACAAGGGTGGTCGCTTTCAAGTCTATAAGGACTAGGATACAAACCCGTTTGCCGGCCTCCGAACATAGAGGCATAATCCACACAGTAAATCATCAACCATGGACAAATGCGAAGCTTTGGAGGCTGCCCAGGTGCCCAAGTGCAGGTGGGCATGACAGCACGTGGCAGAGACCTTTTGGTTGAGACTAGCCACATAAAGCTAGCGTCTTGGCGAGCCATGTTGCTGCCTCCAGCTGGACCTTTCATTCTTGCCCCAGTGTCTCTTACATGGAACTGAGCGCATGACCAACCCGCCAACGCTGAGACCGGTCTCAGTGATTACGCGGACCTAAAACATGGACACGGAGGTTGCAGTCGCGGCTTCATGTGAAACCAGCAACTACTTACAAGATGGGATATTTCCTTTCTTAACTTTACCGAGAGGTCAGTCTGTCAGGGCTAGAAAATCACACGTCTGATTTTGATTTCCAGAACTTCGTGACTACATTTACGAATGTGCTGGACCATGCGCTAAGCCAATCTCAAATGAGAGATCGACGTTCATCAATGCCCGACATCACCCTTGGCCGGACGCCGATAAATTCACTGGCCTTGTCTTGACCTGTCGTCAAGTTCATAGAGAATGGATTTCTCGCAATCCGTGTTCCAGGAACATATCCCTGCGTATAACGGATGTCAACGAATATATCCAAACCTTCTTGGTACCAACTGAAGAGCCTAGGGGACCGATGGCCTTGCGTATATTGGAGAACTACAAATCTGGATCCCACTCAGGATCCCACTCACCCGTTATCGATATAACTCCATTGATCGAACTGTCCCTACGCGATCCAAACTTAAGGGTGTCGTTCGCCTCGAAGAAAGCGTATTGCAGGTCTGGCGATGATCTAAACTCCCTGACTGATGTCTTGATCGCACGAAAAGCGCTGACCAGTTCGAACCCAGTGGGCCCGGTTGTAGAGTCGCTGGACCCTACTTTAGTCTTATCTGGATCCGAACTGACGCTTTTATCTCCGATTACTGCACCCGTCAGTAAGGTGAAGGTGTCATGGAAAGCTGATGGAGGTGGTGCTAATACAGATGACGCGCTTATTCTATTATTCGATCCGAGAAATGCTGCTCCGTGGATGCACAATGATTGGACATACAGCTCCAACATAAACACGATGGTTTGGGACCTCGAGTCTGGCGACATACCTCAAGAGTACTTTGACGAGGACGAACGCCTGCGCTGTGAGTTCTGGAAGAGTCTGAACCTACATCGATTATCGTCAAGCTGGAAAGTCTGGATAGGCGTGGAGGGCCGGGAAGTTGTTCAGCTGTCAGGGCCCAGCAGACTCGGCTTGGGATGGGTGTGGGATCACGAAGAGAAATTGCCGCAGGATCATGCAGAAGAACAACAGGAATTCACATGCCGCAGCGAAGAGGACGACGAAGAGGACGACGAAGAGGAGAAGGGAGAAGGGAAAACACAGCCAGGGGAAGAAGGATCTGACAGCGAAGAAGACGATATGGAATATGATGAAGGAGAAAATGTTGGTGAAGAGGTGAGGGAGGAGCTTGCATGGCTGGAGGCGCACATCAGAAGACCTGAATAGATCGCCCAATGAAATCACATCTTCACGGTCAAGGCCATTTGTGGGGCACCTTCACATACTAATCTAGTGATGAGGGGGCGATGGGGTTGAGGTGAACTATCCCGCTTTATCTCGGTGCTCGTCAAATGCTGACCATATCGGGGGTTTCCCGAACTGGAACCCAATCTAGCCTGTGACGCAGACCAATCATCTCTCACTAGCACAGCAGTCACCTAACGCTGCCTCTAAGGCTGTCCATGCCATGCTTCTTTGCCGATTCGAGTGAGCACCAAATTCCCTATTTTGCTGCCTTGACCCGCGCTTTGTCCTCGTCACTGTCATACCCAGGCGGTACTTCGCCCCTTTCCGCCATATTAGAAATTGGCCTCCCACCCAACTCGCCCTTATTGTCCATTGCCACGGTCGGCTCTGTACCCTCGCCGCGCCGTTGAACAGGAATCAGTGCATCATAATATCTTGGGATGGCGTAGCCAAGGATTACGGTCAACATAGTGAGATGGGCAATGATGAAACCAGTAATCATCATAGGGTCGTAGCGGAGGGTGTGGAATTCGGGGTAAGCAAACGAGAAGATGATTGCAAGGACCGGGCCGCTGATGTAGCGGAGGAGGATGGGAAGGAACGAAGGAATCGTCCAGTTTTTCCCGACGCCTACGATGACGTTCAGATCGCGGCGTATTTGGTTGCCCTGTGTCATGTAAATCGTGTGATACTTGCACGATACTAGGCAAGCGTGCACTTACGGAGTAGAAAGCAAGGAACCAAAATTTACGAACGAAAGTGCTCGAGTTCCAAATATCCTTCTTGGTAAACTTAGGGGCCGCAGTGTCTGGAGAACGCGCGATAACAGTCGCAATGATCGCACAAACAACATATAGCCCAATGCCTGCACCCACCCCGGCTCCGGGGTTGCTGATGCCGTGCGCCAGAACAATGCCGAAGAGCTGGCCTCCGAAAAAGCCAAAATTGTAAACAGCAAATGCTGGCAGACCAGTTTGCTGAACGATGTCGGACCATCGGTATACTGTCGTCGAGCTAGTCACCTCGGTCCAGACCACGAAAATGAGTGCAATATTGTTGACCCATCGATCGACACCATCCAGAAGGTAGTAGCCGAATTCAGTGCAATACTGCGATGTCTATGAGATTATGCCGAAATCATTCAAAGTGGTAAACTCACCGGGATACACATGAGAAAAGATATGACAGTGAGTATCGTGACGACCCAGGGCCGCGACAGCTTCGTCAGACCAGAGTCACAGATGAGTGTGACAACTACGTCTAGCATAACGAATGCGGAGCTAAAACCTAGGACTATCAGAGTGAAGAACAATAGGATGGCCCAGAAGTTGGCTCCAGGCATCTGTAGCACAGCTTCAGGCAGTGTCAAAAAGCCCACGACGAAGGCACCAAGTCTGAACAAATGGTTTAGTACGGTCGACCTCAGCATCATCTTTCTCATAGAGAATCCACTTACCTCACACCATCTTCGGGCCACCTTCGCAGATAACCGACAACACCGAAAACGGCGAATGCCGCAAAGTTCTCGAATAGCACGTTGCTACCACAGATGAGAATCGCATCCATCACAGCGTTAGCGTGCTTTTGGTTATCTAAAGGTGGAGGTACAAAGTCAGTGTAATGTTCGGCAACCAGGGGGTGGGTGAAGTAGGTGTTCTGGCCAGCTGCTAATGTCTGACAGTTTCAGACTTAGAAGTGTAACGCTTAGGGTCTTAGACGATCGCCCAGCACGAACACCCACTTTGTACCCCGGTATTGCGTACAGCTAGCGTAACTCGTGAAGTAGCCAAAGCCAATTCCAGTAGAAAAGAAAACCTGTCATAGTTAGTTGTGATACCTATACGAGTGACGCGCATATGCGGCTCATTAGGACACTTACTTGTCCAACAGCAGTCTGCCAAACAGTTCCAGAGGCCAGCTGATCGCTTCGCCAATTCGTCCAGACGAGTGCGACTCCTTCTCTGGCATTCTCGAGCGATAGTGCTCTACCTACGAAGATGATCGTGGTGACAATTGGCAGGCCCATTGTAAAGTATACAACTCGACCAGTCATGCCAACTCCGCGGAAGATTGAGATCCAGATGAGGAACCAAACAAAGATGGACCATCCCACAGTCTCTCCGACGATTTTAACGTGAGGAAAACCCGTGTAAGCCTGTACCGAGTTGCCATCGGGACTCAGGCTGCCTTCTGTAATATTGCCAACAGATAGAACGTCATTCCAGTAGAAGCTGGTACAGAGTCAGTGCACGTCAGGAAGGTGAGGGTAGTTAAGTGGTGCCTATGTCTAGGATACGTCAGTTTCGTATCCAGGCGTGACGTACTCTTCAAGTCGACCTTCCCATGGCAGTGGGCTCGTGAAGCTCCATCGAAAATAGCTCATGATCCAGGCAAGATTGACTGTGAAATACTGCACAACTAGAAAGCTGACTATCACGGGTCCAAGGCCTACTCCCTTCAAGCGGCGGTTGATGTTGTTGAACGCGATGACGGTACCGCCGCGATAGGCTTGACCAATGGACACCTCCAGAATTAGGGATGGTATGGCGATCTGCCAAACCCGAAGGTACAAAGTCAGTGTGTATGATTGGAAGAAGTGGGGTTGGTATATTTGCTTGTTTCCCAGCTAAGCGAAGGACATATTCTTTTCTCAAATCGTAATTAGATGAACAAAGATTGTGCTTCGCTTGGCAGGAAGGACGCATCCACGTTGTACCCGGGAGACTTGCCAGAAATACGGCTAGCAAATATGGCACGAACCATTGGAGCCCATAGTTGTTGTACAATACAGACGGATACCGCAACAGGTTGCCCTGACCCGCGCAACCGCCCATTGCGGCAAGCAGCTAAGGGTGGGTACCAAGTCAGTGCAATGTTCAGAAAACAAAGGAGTGGGTGGAAGTAGGTGTCTCGGCTAGCTGTGAATGTCTGAATATGTCGACATATGTGGAAAGTCTGATAGTCCGAGACAATCGCCCAGCAGGAGCACCCACTCTGCACCTACAAAAGCGGCACGCGATGGCCATTGGTCCCGCCCATCGTCTGACGTTGGGGGAGGTGGAGCTAGTAAAACGCCCACTTTCTTGAAGTATCGTAAAACCATCTCGCCAATTGGGTCGTAGGGCGTGAAAAAGTAGATTGAACAGACAGACCCTTATGCGGGTGTTGGATCTACCCTAACCTTCCGGCTGGTTCATTATGTATCTCGATGAAGATCAGCCACTGGGATCTTGCCGGCCTTGCCAAGCCCTGGAGCTCCTACGGGCACAAACGATCACATTGCTATCGTTCGGCTTTGGGCTTGGCCGCTGGGTGCCCTACATTTGAAGAGGACAGACTTGTGGCTTTGACGGTTGTTGAGATACTGCTGTACCATTGGGACAATATGCCTAGCTCCTCCGTGACACCGTATCGTTCCTGGGCATATGCACTTTACATCTCTTGGGTGAGAGGCTTGACTATGTCTCAAATGTGGTGATGGTATGGCAAAGGTCGGAACTTGGAGCGTTCATGCCAAGATCCCGCCCCGTGAAACGTGATTCTTGCGCCTGGCGTACGTCAAAAAGTGGAACAAATCCGCTGCCTGCAAATCATCAGCAGTCTTGGCTTCCGCTTTTCCGACTTGGATAGATCTCGGTATATCTTGGCTTTCCGCTGTAAATTTGTCTCGCGCTTCTGGCGTGCTTCCGCCGCACCGTTACGTGCTGCCAAATCTCCACCACGGACGCTTGGGATTTTCGATGACATCTGCAGACAGGTGCGGCGAAGAGAAGCGTGACCGCCGGGTGTAGGTCCCAAGGTGAACTAGCCGTCTTTGGATTAGCGTAAGAACACCCCAACTTCCATCACTTGATCGTCGCGACCAACATCGAGCAATCTCCTAGGGCTTTCGAGGTGCTCAATCTAGTTATTGAGTTCGAATAAGTCAGTGAACCCTCATATACCCATATGTCACGGGGATTGTTAAAGGGTCGAGCGCGAAAGCCCACCTAATGATTCAATGTTGACATCATGACGGGTGCTAGCTCTGAAGGGTGTAACTGCGTAAACTTTCTCAACCACAAATCGCACACACACATTCGAGGAATACCTTCTTTGAACTTTATTCCCACCATTCGAATCACATTGTGACTGTTTCTATCAACGAATACACAAATACCAACATGCCTCGTCAAGTAGCACCACCGCCATCTGGAGAGTTTCAGGTCGTCCTCTCCAAGCCTTTCTCCGGTAAGATGAACATCATATAACCGATGACAGACACAAACTGATCCAATTACACCAGGCGCCCCAACACATCAGATCGAAGTCATCGGCGAGCCCAACCGTTCCGCAAGCATCCGACGCACAGAATACAACGGCGGTGGAAAGTCGTCAGAGAAGAAGGGCGATGTTCCTACGTAAGCTTTTATACCCCCACTACACTATCCAGACACGACCCTACTCGCCTAAATCACTCTCTTGCTTTCATTCTAACATGCGTTATACAGTGACGATGTCAAAGAGCTCCTTTCTCTCGTGAGCCGGCTACGAGGCTTCCCATCGCACGCTTCGAAAGACGTCTACGGCTTGGATACCAAGGTGGATTTCAACACATTCGAGATTCAGTGGGGTAATGCGGATGATGACTCGGCGGCAGACGTTGTCAATGAGATTGCGGGCGAGCAGAAGGACGACTTCAAGCGGATTGTAGACAGCATTGAGGCTTTGGCAAGGACATTCGCTAAGCAGGACTCAGCGGTGTAAGCTGTTTGATGTATCGCTTCGAGAAGTGAGAACCCATCATTCGTCCAAAGACGACAAAAGTAGGGAACATTTTCCTAAAAAGAGCGATATAGTAGTTCGGCAACAATAAAAGTTTTTCCAAGTAAACCATTTCGTTTCACACTGCCTGTTGGGATTTATGTCATATAATCCTTTCCAGAAGCTAGGATTAAGCATCACGAAAGGAACATGTTTGTTGCGGTTGCATTCTAGTCTCTTTATTTCCCCTTCTCCATGAACTGCAATCATGCACGAGCTCAAGCATCAACACTCTCGAGCTTCCACACATCAGCTGTACGGATTGATGTTACATGTTCGACAACTTCCTTATTCTACGAGCTTTTGAAACCAAGGAATGTGGTCAAGACTTTCAGTGAAGGTGTTGGCCTTGAGAGATGCTGCTTCGGACTGAGATGCAATCTAAAAGTTCTTCCCGAGCAGGAATATCTGGACTCCATTTGTGAGTCTATTCGTCGAGCCAAGTGGTTGTAGCGGTAGCGCCTGTCCATGTAGTTGAAGTTGCTGTCTTCCACGGCTCGGCCCGAACGGTTCGGAAGCAAAGTAGAGGACCGCGTTTAATTCCAGACCAAATAAAGAATCGTCACTCCGCGAGACATTCGGTGGTGATGTTGTTATGTGTAGAGGATAGTGTGTTCCGAGATAGCCTCTCACGTTACGGCCTTCAAGTCGTAGCAATATCTATGTTGATCGTATGAAATATGTATTATGTTTCAGTGTTGTCTTATCTTTGGCTACACGTGTGGACATAGAAAGTCTACTCGTGTGCCTAGTTTTCTCCTGAGTGTCGGCAATTCTTCGGCTGAACGCTTGCGTTATGGGTCACATAAGAGCTCTTGTAATCGAGTCAAAAGAGAAAGGGGGAAGCGCTTCATAAGTTACTGGTTTCCCGAGATTTTTGTTGCTCGAATAACTTAGACTCACTTCATCATTTTGGAACTGAAGCCTGATATGCAGATATATCCAATTATTAGGCCGTGTATAATACATTTCCTTCATACATACGAAAGCGCTGTGTTGTAATGAATGCTTTTTGGCGTCGGGCCGGGTATGTCTTTCCAAGGACTGAGGCCGCCATGTCCCTGCACGCAGGCAAACCGCACCCAAACGCCTGTTTCACATCCTCGAAGTAACCGAGGTTTCAAAATAAATGCTCCGACCGCTTAGAACTGACGGTCCTAAAGCTCCTGCCCCTAGTAATACCCCCTGCTTTTTCTTCATCGTCCAGCTCGCGGATTGTTTCCAGCTCAAGCCCGTTGTTGCTGGAGATCTTGGTCTCGTTGAAGCCAAAGTTCAATCCGTTCATCCCGCTGGTGCCTTCCAGGGCTTTCAGGTCCATGATTGGGGTGCCGGGAGTGGTGCTGTCGCGCTTCTTGCTCACAGTCCAGGCCCAGCTGCGACGGCTGGTGGTACCCTCAGAAGGAAGGCGCTTAGAGGTGAGAGAGGCGTGCACTTCTCGGAGGAAGGGGCGTAGGACGGGTATGCACTGCACGAGGATGGTTCCGGCGACTTCAGAGGAGTACCAGACGTTTGAAATGCCGTTACGTTCTAAGAATTGTAAGACGAGTGTTGGACAACGGCGAAGGTAGTTGGAGACTCACGATAATAGTACGGATCACGCTTGTTGCCTTCATCTTTCCAGGCCACGCGAATAGCTGCGACTACCGCGACACTAGAAGAAGTTAATTGATGCCTGTAGTGCTGAGAATCAAGTTCCACTTACACCACTCCCAGGCTCATCGTGATACAAAGACCGATTTTCTCGTTCTTTCTCATGTCCAACTTCCAAGTTATCCACCAGGGAAAGAATGCAAAAACGAAGTCCATTACGATGTTGTAAATGTTGCCAGCTTCTTTGAAGTCATCGCGGAAGGTCTTGTCGAGGCAGAAGTCCAGTCTGTACCAGACGTCGTAGCTCTTCTCGTCGCACAGCTTCGCCCATTGGAAGATTACTTTTACCGCCATCCATACATTCATCGTAACGATGCAGAACCAGATGATCCATTGCTGATATTTGTTGGTGAGTTTGAGAAGGGTGACACCGAACGCGGTCTTGCTCCAAGCTTGGCCGAGGACGTTGGTACACGAAGATATGTTGATGAGAATGTGCATGCGATCGTCCCACTTTGATCCATTTACTGGTACGTAGCCGGTCGCGTATTGGTGAGAGATCATCGCATCGGTAAGCAATAGCATACTCTGTGGTGCCCTTAGCATTAACTCGACTTGCATATAAGCGCCTGAGGTACTTACCCATGCGAGTATAAGAATATAGTCGTCGTACCATAGGCCATGGCGACGAGTGATCTTGCAATAAAGCCTCAGGCCTAGAAATAAAGTCGCGCCCGCCCACAGAGACCACAGTCCCGCGTTCAACTCTTTCTCTGGATTCACATAGTTGGTGATAGAATCAGCGCCGTCACTCTCACGAGGTCGCAGCCACATAGTGATGTGGCCACCGGTTCATTCGTGCGAAATCCTAGAATTGACACAGTCAAACAGCAGTCATCGAGAGGTTTGCGAAAGGAGACGATGACAGCGTAGGATTCTGGATTCGCGAAGGCAAGCTCGTAGGATCAGAGGTGGGGCGTCCAAGGAACATACGCGTGCGCTGCATTTGTTCCGAAACGGCCGTTGGTGGATGCTATCGTTCCTCAGTCCACGATCCTGGGACACCAACTGCATAGGACCCACGCGGCGCGGTGCATTGACAGCGGGCAGCACCGATAGTCGACTTATTGAACGGCGCAGTATTGCGTTTTCGTCGATTGCTCCGCGTGCATGTGAGCGCTACCAGCCGAGTATAGTCGACAATTTCACCCACAGCTGTTGTCCTACCAGCCACCATCGCTCAAATTACCACCTACGTGTGCACGATACAAGAATAGACACGCGGATAGACACGCGGATAGAGGATGCCCTGTTTCGCCAGCTCGTGCTGGTACCTCAGGCGTGTCAAGCTGTGCTCCTAAACGTCTGCACATGTTGTCGCACTTCCCTCATCCATCGGGCCTCAAGTACCAAAGCGGCAGCCGAGTCACTCCTCGCTACGTCTCCCGATACAAGGTCTGCATGCGCTTACGCACCCACGCCGCAATCCCTGTACGCCGCCAATTTCGGCACGCGGTTTCATCTTGAACGGCACGACCGGGGGAGACCCGCCGTGTTCTGGACATGGCCCGCATCAGAGACCTCGCGAAAAACGTCAGGCTTCGAGTCAGGAGACGAAATCGCTAATCTTGTACCGTTTCGAGACACGTCAAACGCGCCAGACACGTTTCTGACGGGTACCAAGATGTGCAAAGGGGGACCGGGTGCGCGTTTCCTGGGATCTGGACTCGGTAGAGCACGCGGCGCGGGCGGAAGGTAATCCTCCGTCGCCGCACCGCCACGCCGGGGCTGGTGCGTGGCGGATACGCTAGCTGCGTTGAGGAGAGGATGGAGGGGATACCGCAGGAAGTCACTTTGTTCAAGACGAAGAAATTTCGACAATGTTACTAACTAGTGCATGGAAAAGCCTGAATGCCCACAACGCTGGGGACGCCAATCCACAATACCGAACGCCTGAAGATGCCGCTATACCAATCGAGAAGGGTGATACCTATCCGGTCTATACCTCATTTCCATCAAATTAAACAACTCTTCTCGAGAAACGCCATGACATCACCTGGGATTCCAGACCACCCGCTATCATGCCATATTGAGCTCCATTACCGCAAACGCCCCCAAGATCAAAGGAACCGGAGCCCCCCGCCATATCCACGTGCAGTAGACACCGAGGGCAAGGCTCAGGTTCTTCAAGCGCCCATGCCATGACGGCCCAGCGTGCGCGCTTCCGCGGGCGTTAGCAGAGTGACACCACCACGGTCCAGCTTTGCCTCAGCTGCGGCTCGCATCTCACGGTCACGGGCAAGCTGCTTCTTGCGCAGCTGATGTGCATGTTCCTTGTTCTTCTTCCACTCGTCCTGCTTGCGCAAGGCTGTGGTGCGCTGCTGCTCAATCTGATTGACTTTGGTGAAGAAGCGGCCCCGCATCTTCGGAAGCTGCGAGAGCCAATGGAGGAACTGAGTGCGCGCAGGCTCCTTGATCTGGCCGTCGACGAAAGGAAAAACTCGGTCATCGATGACCATTAGAGCGATGGTTGAGACGAAATTGTCGGAGATGCGGTCCTCCAGAACCTGGAGACGATCCAGGCCGATCTCCTCCACGTTGGTGAACTTCAGCCATTGCCACCAACAGCCGCGCAACTTACGGACAATGTCGTGCATCCCAAGAGCTTCACCGGCGAGAACGACATCGTTGTCCGTCGCGAGAGATTGGGCGTCGCTGCCAACGGATTGCAGGCCATATGGACAGTATTTAGCCAACGAAGTCCTCAGCCAGTCTAGAAGACGCGTGACCCCAGCGATGAGAAGTGGGTCGACTTCTAGGGTTGTGAGCTTCCGCTTGTTGCACTTGTCACAAGCTGTGGTTGACACCGCCATCAGCAAAGAAATTGGCACCTCGAAACGCGCCGCGCCACAATTCACATCGATGGTAGGACCTCGAAGTAGAGCGAGACGCTCCTGGAGAGGCCTGTTGGCAAGCTCGCGGAACTTGTCCGTAGGTTGGTTGAGGTAATGAGTGTCGTCCTGCTGCTGAACTGCAGCGGAGATGCCCTTGTTGACTGCCTCGCCGTTGGCCTGCTGAAGCTGGGCTACGTCGGTCTCGTCTGCTTCGCTACTATCGCCGATAGGGGACGACACAAGAGCTGGGCCAGGGACGGTGGTCGGCTGCTCAGCTGCCTTGACGTTTGGCTGCGGGGCCAACTTTGGGGTCGCCTGGAGATGCTACGCGTCAGTCATCTTGAACCTCTTGGAGCGGTAGATAACACTTACCTTGCCCTTCTTCTGGCCGTACATGGTGGGAAAATCCAAGATGGGAGCGGGGGGAGCCGCGGTAGGCTTGTCGCTGGTTGCGGTGTTGTGGGTTGGAGCAAACATGATGTATCTGCTCCTCGAGATCGAGTTTGGGAACGAAATGTAGAAAGGGAGAAGATAAGAGAATGAGTACCGGTGAGTCGAAGGTCGAACTTCCTTGTTAAACTGCTCAGAGGCTCTGTCGTGGGTGTGAGGGGCTGCAGGGGCAAGAGCGGATTTGCTTATATAGAGGGAGAGTGTGGTACCAAGACGCTAATGGTTCGCAGAGACGTGCTGTAGGTGAATGTCTGCACGTGCCAGGCACGCAGGTTCCAATATCCCAGCCGCTAGGCTTCCATTTCATAGGCGTTTGACAACGGGAGGCGAGCCACGGGATGCTTTGCTGTGTTGTCCTCATCGAAGCTAAAGCTCGCTGTACGAGGATCGAATTACACGGTTCTCGTGAGGATGGTACGTTGTGCCTGTCGACCACGCGCCACACCCCTCGCCGCAGTTCAAGGTATTGCTCTAATGGAGTCTGTTATCCTGATGCTCAGCATCAGAGCAGCTTCAATTGGAGAAGTCCTGACGAGAACCTCGGCGCGTGACGAGCGCATCTGCTTCTTTGGCATCCCACAACCAGAGGAAAGTACCTGCAGAATCTACTTTTTCGCGGTAGATCGCCTGCTACAATCGAATGATAATATAGTAAGGGTTGTACAGCTCCATTCTCTAGGAGCTAAACTTTATAAGTGCTGATCATCCGAAAACCTTGCTACGATCGCAGTGACGCCGGTTATAGCAGTGCCGGCCTACCTTCTGTCACGAACGAAAATCGCGTCTCCAAACCGCGTGTAACGAGGGAATCTTGTTGAATAGTACGGATGAATTGCATTGATTCCATATACATCGGATGAGAGGCCTACATATACCTAAAAAGCTGTTTGTGCTTGTTTCATATTCTTTGAGATGAAAACAACCAGCAAACCTCTGTGTCAAACATCATTTACTTGTTTGGGGCTCATATTAAGGATGTGTGCCCTGGGTGACTGTCTATATGCTCGCTTTCTCGGCTTCACGCCAACACAGCTACATCCGCTGCTGCCTTGCTATTGTTTTACTGCATCTATTGAGCATCAAATGTCGACGAGGTATTGTTGCCTTACATTGTCTTTCACTGCACAATGTCTATCGGGTCAATGTCCAAGCACAATACCATACCTCCCGACTCTATATAAATCTCGCACATAACATCCCCGAATAACCATACAAAAACCACCACCACTTAGAAAGCACCTCTGAAGTTCAACTACGATCTTCAGTCCTTTATCGTGTCAGACTTACACTCACACGACCCCTCACCAACCGTCATTCTTGAAATCAGCAATGGCTTCCCAGAATACCCCAATTCATTCTGCCCCCGTCTTGAATTTCCCCACCATGTACGGCCAGAAGTCGAAGACTCAAATTGAGGCACAAATCGCTTCGAATACGAACAAGGTCGATGCCAAGTCCAACCCTGGGCAGCTTCGCAAGACGTCGGAAGAGAAGCTTCTCGAGATCTACAACTGGGCCCGCACGATGGAAAGCAAGGAAGATGTGCGCGATATGCCGCGGGCCTATCGTCTGACCCTTCTCGAGGGTCCCAAGGTCGATCTGACCTGTGGCGGTGAGGTCGTTGGCGCAGTTCCGCTTCGGATGCTTCTTGCTACCTCGCCAACTTTCCACAAACAGTTTCTCATTGACCAGGAGATCCCGACTGTCCGTGCCGTCCATCCCGCACTTCGGGGCGCTTTGGTGTCTCTTGTCGAATATCTCAAGAACACTCTCACCAAGGCCAAATGCTATTACCTGAAGAAGACTACCTTCGAGGATGACATCGACCTCATCCTGGCTGCAGAATCCCTAGGTCTCGGCCGCTACGCAGCAAACATTCGCAGCATCTGGTGGATCTATCTCCGCACTCAGCCGGTTGAGAAGATTGGCTTTGACAAGCTCCAAGCCCTTGAGACCCGCATGGTGCCGCAGACCAAGGACTTCAAGATGACGAAGATGCTCATCGAGCGCTTGACTCGCCAGTGGTATCACTACCAGATTGCGAACCTTACCGAGTTCGATGCTTGGATGGAGAAGCTTCCCAAGATGCTCCACGCCATGAACGAGCACGTCGACAATTGGGACGCTATTCGCGCTCAGAAGCAAGCCGCGTCCAAGCAGCGAAAGCATGAGGTTGAGAAGAAGGCCTACGATGAACAGCTCCGTGCCGCCCGGGGCGGACGCGCTGGCGGCTTTGGCATGTAAATCTCATGCTAGCTCTCACATGTGGACTCATTCATAGACTCTTCATAAAATGGCTGAAGGTTCTCATAGATACGTCTCATGGTTTCAGCAGTCTTCAATTACCAGGGATATGGGCCGCAGGCATGACTGGATGCCAGCAACTGAGTAGCACGTGGAGTATAAAGGCATCGAATGAGTATTGTTAACAGTAATTGCACTGTTAGTTGCTAGTCATGTGGCGTCCAGCCATATAACAGCGTTTGGGATATTGTTATATGAGTTACAAATAAGATCGTTCACGATTTAGACGAAGTTTTACAGTATGTGATGATTTAGGGAGATGATACGTGTGGTTCGGGTGTAATGTAAAAAGCCATTGTGATAAAATCCTTATTCACTTAGACTTACACTTCCTTGTCTGAGTATCCCACCTTGCCCAAAGCATGCTCGGTGGGACTTCCAGAAGGTTGGTCGCGAGCAGTTCGTAGTCTCCATATCTGACCCCAGGAATTCTGAATGTTATGTCAAACACATCAGCACTCCTACAGCTACAGTGCGTTGCCAAAGTCGATATGCTATGTGTTGCCTCGGGATGAACACTACAGTTCCCAACTCTTTGACTAAGTACTATGACGCCCTATTCAACAAGGAGTAGCCTCGATCTTCGAACCCAATAACTACTTCAACTGCACCATCTTTTCCTGACCGCGCGAGGCCTTCCACTTCCCCTCCCGTAACCTCCGCATAGCAGTCCTCAACGCCTTGTTATCCTCCCCCTCCAACCACTTGTGCACCTGTTCCCTCTCTTGTGCCCACAAGAGATTCATTGTCTCGTTCAATTTCTGCGCAAGATATCCTAGTAGCGGATCGTCCTCCATAACAATCGGATATGGAGCATTGACTTCGATGGAGCTAGCGTAGAGCAGCTCGGTAATCTGCCATGGCTGGAGTATATGTGTTTGCGCGTCGTGGATGAAAGTATCGGGACGGTCCGTGAGGTAAGAGCTCATACCCAGTTGGCGAGCGATGTGACGAAGGGAGACTTCAGAGTAGAACGTTGGCGCTTGCAGGTCGGTAATGTTCGGCGTGGAGAGATTGATCAGCCACGTGTTCAACGTATTCAGTGCCTTCTCGTGTTCGTGCCGCAAGAAGTTGTTCATGCGACCGACATCGAAAGTGAAGGTATCTATGTTTGGATTCTGGAGGAGATGCTCGGCGAAGGTTTGCGATACAGCCGCGAGAGTGTACTTAGACACAACGCAGATCTCGCCAAATACAGTGCCAGAGGACGTGTTTGCCGCTATGAATATTGTGATCAGGTCGTAACTGAAGAAAAGATCATGGCGGTCTTTCAAGGGCCAGTTACGAACGTCCGGGTCGGTGAGATAGGGCTTGCCGAAGCCGGTAAGAGCGTGCTTTTGAGCATCGGAGAATTCGAGAGTCATTGCGGCGCGTGCGTGCTTCCGTCTCGGTGCAGGATCTCTCTGCAAGAGCTTTTTCGCACACTAGACATGTGTTTCGTTCAGAAGTGTGGTATTCGGACGCGCATGAGCCCGTGGGTTGCTGGGGAGATATTTCTGGTGAACCGGCTGTGTGGCGCGTCAAAAAAACAATTGCGCGCCGCAGTTGACCAAACACAAACGCATTGTCGGCTCAACAAAAAAGCTAGACAAACATGATCATGAGAGCTTAAATACCCCTACAATTGGCGGAGCGATCTAAATTGGTTACATGCCATACATAGCAAAAAATACTGTTTCCGTCTACACCAAAGCCATGTAGGTCGATGCTCATACCTGCAATTAGATTTGCAACCCAAGTCAACTGGACAACCCGGACGCCAGGATTAGTGCAGTCACGGATGTCATGGACCTTCTAAATCTGCCATTGAGGTCGAGAACTCGATACGTGCGTCAAGTTCAATTTTGGAGAGGCGCATCAGTGCCCAGGTGGCCTCCGCCTCATGCCCAATATCAGAATTTCGCGGTGCTGCGAGACAGGAATATATAGCATTGAAACTCGAAGAAGATCAATAGAGTCCCAGACTTGTACAGCCATCTAGATCGGATGGTGATAGGTCAGTTACCAGATGCTTCACTTTTACAAAACGACAACGGTGCGTGCGCATACATTCAACCAGAATAACTGGATACGTCACCTCGAGGTCGGGTCCGGTGAATGGAATATTCCGAACCGTGATCATGGCGCATTGGTGGTTGACTTTCTTTGCAGTCCGCTATATAAAACGCCCTCGTTCACCTGATTCCTGACGCTCAACTCGACCGCTGTCTCTGCACTATCGAATTAGCACCCACACGAAAGCAAAACAAACATGAGCAAGTTTCTCACCACTGTAAGCATCTCTCTGTATCCTCGATTGAGAGTCATGGCTTACCTTGAAAACTCAAGAGCGGTACGCGCAAGCATATCAAGTTGGAAAACAACTATTACTCCAAGGATACTCCTGACGTCCAAATCTCGAAAGTGTTGGAGGACCAAAAGAAAATGAACGGTGGCGGCAACCTGAAGAACTGGTCGCTGAGCGCTCGTAAGGAATTGGCAGGAGGGAAAAGCGCCGCCTTTCTCGTGCCCATATGTGAGTCGCACACCTGAAGGACTGAATTCATGGTTGCTGATTGCTGTACAGTCTCAAAGAACCATGAAGCTAAAACTTGGAGCTACGAGGCCCCGAAACTCGCCATGGTGGTTGCTTCGCCTGTTCTTCGAGACCATTTCGTGCAGAATCCCGAGTCAACCGAGTTTCATGCACTTAATTCCCATTTCAAGGCCAAGGCTATTGAAGCGATAGCGCACTGGCTACGAATTGCTATGACTGTGCCGGAGCTACGCAACATCCAGTTGTCGAAGATCTCCCCGACTATGAGCAACGCGGATCTCAAAGATTCTCTGGACTTGCGAGGTAAATGCATTCCCTTTCCCCTCTCCTCCACTCCGAAAGCGCTGACCGGCCTCAGTTGCTATGCAGCTACTTGGCATGAGCCAGTACATCGATCACTTTGCGTCGAAGTATCAGTCCACGCTGGTATATCCTGGACCATCCGCTGCGAATTCGAATGCCACCACTCTTCGAGTCCCACATACGGATGAGGCGCGCACTATACTTGACCACGCAGTCATGCCTGCCCAGAACGGTCGCGACGAGGTGGTAGATGCACTTGCGTATCACTTGGTTGTATTGAAGAAGAAGAAGATGTTGGGTGCTGAGTGGACCGCTTTCCTGGCAGACTTCACGAATCTTATGCTTAGCCATGCAATGAAGCTTGCAGAGGCCCGATTCACAGAGAAGGTCAAGAAGGAACGCAAGGAGCGGGAGAAGACCAAGAAGGACGGACGTCGGAGGGAGGCCGAAGGAGGCACCAAGAAGGACAAGATCACAGCTAGTGATGCCCTGAAGAACAGCAAGGGTGCCCACGAGGCGAAGCCGACTCTGTCGAAGAGCAGGACGACTAACCTCTTCGACCTCTTGTCAGAAGAGGACGAGTAGGTGGCAGAGGTTCTGGGCTGAACGAGATGGTGTACGTACTGGTAGGCCTGCAGAAGTTTTTGATCTGTTAAATTGCGTGAAATGCGTAAATTGCGCTGTGATAAAGTTTTTTATTTTCTTGTCATGGATGGGAGACACATTTGTGCGCTTAGTCTCGACCACGGGACTTCCGAATAGTTATAGCTTCAAGTTATAATCATTATCAGGTTCAATACTACGGGTGAGCGACGATGCGCCTTTATTTCAGGCGGCGATCCAGGCGTGCATGACGACTCTCTGACAGAAGGTTTATTGACAAGGCGCTCTTTTCAGTACTGGGCAAGAAATCCGTGTTGAGTATGAATGGAGTATCGAGACCCCCTAAAGTTCCTGGGATGAAGGGAATAGTAATTGCGCAACATGAGGGAGCTGAGTATATATTGAGCCTCTGGGGTGAGCTGAAGCAGAGTTACTGAGGGTTGCAGCGAAATGAGATACTCAATGATCGTCAGCTTCAGGTCTTTTGAAAGCCCCGCCAGCGAAGCCATTCGACCCTCACTCAATCGACGAGTCCGCACTCGCGTCGCGCCAGATAGATGGAAGGTGCGATCAAGCATGCGATGATTGGCGGATCATGAGCCAATCAAGCGTCTCATTCCGAAGAGGGCTTAGCGCATGGGGCGGAGCAGGGGCTTGTAAGGCAGCAACTACGCCTCGTTCCACTTTTCCTAAGCCAACATCCTAAAATCAACACGTCTGGACGAGCGTTGTGCTACTTCAGAAGTCAATTAGCAGTCGTAGGGCAATAGGATAGTACCACGTTGGTGTACACTTCAACAACAACACTTACACTACGCTTGCGTACTATCTCCCAGTAGGCCGCTCATCACTCTCAAATAATCACATCTCTTACGGCCGCACTCATGATGGCCAAACCCACACCCTGTACACACACCACCCTTCTCTTCGAGCCCTCCCCTTTCTCAGAACTAGCCGGCTTCGAGCGTCTCGATCCACGAGTCCGCATAGCAGCAACTACGAAATCCGGCCGCGCGCCTCCAGCAGCCAGAGACAAGTCTTCCACCAGCGCCTCCCTGGACAAACAAGCCCAAAAGGAAAGCCAAACATATCCCGGCCCCCTAGTCCTCCCTCACGATGCATTAAACTACGACCCTGACGGTGACGAGCCGGCGCAGTCGTTCCGGAGTTGGTTGCACGAGAAATGTAGGAATAAAGTGACGCCCGAGAGGCGGACACTGTATGTAGGTGCGCCGCCGAAGATCGACGAGAAAATGGCCTTTATGAAGGGTTGGACGACGCCAAACCTCGATTCTTCCGAGCCACCCAGCAAGAAACTGCGCACAGAGAAGGGGGCGAAGGCTCCAGCGCCCAATTCCTTGCAGAGCCCCAACGTCGATGAGACAGTCGCTTACCTTCGCGCTTTCTACCACGGTATGCACGTGGTGCCCCTTCCCATAGATCTGTGTTGGGTACCCTGGGAGCAAAGTGCGACCAAGAGTCGACCAGTACAAACCGTGAACGGCGTGCCGAAGTACGTCGCGCTTTCCTACGGCGAACTCGCAACGCGCGTGCGCGCCAGACCTGCACCAGACGACGCCTTCGCCGCGCAATTGAACCTCAATGATATCCTGGATGCAGCGATCGCGATGTTGCCGGCCGATGCATTCGCTATGGTGCTGTTGGTCGACCACGACATCTACGAGTCACCCAACGACGACTTTTGCGCCGGGCGCGCGTACGGAGGGAGCCGTGTCAGTGTTGTGCAAAGCGCGCGATATAATCCGCTGCTCGATTCCTACGCTGGCATAACGCAGGACCATGCTTGGCCGACATCTCACTGCAAAGCCTACATCGACTCGCTCTGCGCAGTAGAAGAGATGGAGGCGAAGCCCGCAACAGCCACCGAGACCCGTCTCAGCAAAAACGGACCAGTGCGTGCGGCCGTGAATGCCGTGTCAAAGCTGAAAGCATCAGATTCACGGGCCGATTTTGAAGCGCTGTGGTCGTCCCGGCTGCTCCGCACAGTGTCGCACGAACTCGGTCACTGCCTCTGTCTGGCGCACTGTTTCTACTTCGCCTGCATAATGCAATCTACCTCCTCCCTCCTAGAAGACACCCGCCAGCCACCGTACTTGTGTCCTGTCTGCGACGCAAAGATATCTCACACGATAGTCGTAGAGTTACAAGGAGGTACGGAAGACGACAGAAAGCGCTGGGTGCGCGAGCGCTATAGTGCATTGAAAGCCTTTTGTGAAAATGGTGACAGGAAGAAAATGACGCTATGGGCGGGCTTTGACGGTTGGTTAGGACATGTGCTGGAGACTACAGATGCATTGAACAGACAGTGAGAGTGCAACAGCCTGCAGTCAAGCAAATGTTCAGATGTCTCAGGGCATCCACGTCCCAGGGAACTGAAGAAGGAAACCCGGGAACACAGTATAATAACGCTACAATCGCTAAACAATGCAAAGCGTACTATCCACCATAACAACACAATAGGAGACCTGTCCAACCAAAGAAAAGACAATAGCACATGCTGGGAATTATACCATTCAACACCTCCTCATTCTCTTTAGCAACATCGTTACTGTTGAAGCATATCATTCAGTGTCGGATCCAGTGTCCTCGTCCCCAGCTTTGGCGTCCTTATCGATGTCCACTTCTGGTAAGTCTGACACCTCTGGCAGATCAACGATGATCGGAGCGCCAGTTACGCCAGCCGTTCCACGTCCAGTGATGTTCCTGATATACTCGTCCGTCTGAGCACCGAAGATTGTCTTCAAAAGTGTCGTGCCTTGGGCAACAAGCTTGTTGCCTTCCTCGACGAGGTGAGCACCCTGCTTGTGCATGCTAACGCTGTCGTCTACCAGACCGCTAGTGTCGCGGCAATGGACTGCGCGGTCTGCCGCGGTAGGTACGAGCGAAGTGTCGGGCACACCGGCGTCCTTGGGCTCCTTCGCGTCCGAAGGGATGTCATTGTGGGGGTCTGCCGCGAACTCTTCCATCGCAGCGAAATCTTCGAAAGAGGTAGCAGAGTCTCGAGGGCCGAAGAACGTCTCTAGAAGAGAATCACTCTGTGCCGTGAGTTCCTCACCCTCGTCAATGAGCATCTGAATAAGCGTCAGCGAATACGCTTGGTCCTCGAGGGATGTACATGGTATCAAGGGGGATGTAGGCTATAATGTCTCACCTTGCCTTGCTCTGTAAGCCTCTCGCTATTCCTCAATAGACGGTCATCGACCATTTCGCGCTTAGGAGAGCGAGGAAGAACGTCTCGGTCGGCGTCGGCCACGGTACTAGCAACGCCAATTTGGGTCAAGACGTCGTAGAGACTGGGTGCTGCGCAGCCTCCATTCGGTCCGCCTTCCACGTCCTGGCATTTAAAGATTCCATGGCACCTGGTCATTGTCAACACAAGTACAGGGGCACCAGCCAGTGCAGTATCATCAATCACCTCCTATATGGGGTCCAAACGTCGTCCTTGAATTGCTCGAGCGTATTCTGGTCCTTGCAGCGTGTGACTTGTCCGTTATTCGTGCTGCGACTTAGTGCTGGCCAGGGAAGCCACATCTTCCCGGAATGCGCATTGGGGTGCGCACAAAGTGCGAAGTCTGCCGCACCAACGAAGAAGTCGTTGCATTCGTATGGCGGAAGGCATACTCCGCGGGACTCCCAAGACCTGCCCATCCATTGATGAACTTCGCTCGCATTGGATTTAGTGCAACGTGTCCTGACTCGCAGTTGGCTAATGGGCTCGCGTTGTTTGACCGAGCTGTAGTTGGCCAAGGGCAACTTGTAGAGGTTGCCTTGCGGGCGGCACGCTCCGCGACCATCGTCGTCAACACAATAACCTGGTAAGGTACATTGGAAATGGCGGACCCAAGTGGTGCCGTTATGACGCTGCACCTCCCTAGGATCACCAGGGTTGCAACGAGTGTCGAACATGTTAAAATCAGGTGCGTGAGGATCGTAGGGGTCTTGGCGAGGTAGCTGGCTGTCACAAATTAGCCGCCAGACCCTTCTGAAGGTGATAAAGCGCATCGAAGATACAGCATTATGTTGTCCTGGAATAGGAAACTGCCCTGTCGGAAAGTCTTCACGCTATTGTCGGAAGGGGAGCTTACCGAGTCTGACCATGAGCCTCCATGAGATACGGACGGCCATTAACGTCACAAACAACGAACCCAGCACCTGTCTCGCGGCACGCCCCATGGTTGGGGCACTCTCCGTATGCGATGGTTTGGCCGCGGAAAAAAGCGATCACTCCTGATGGGTAGAGGGCGTCACATCGAGAGCCCCAGCCGTTTTGCGCCAGCGGATCATCTGGAGCTACCAGATCCGGTCGAGCGGCGCGCTTTGGAAAGTTCTGCGTGGGTGGACTTGGAATCACATACTTGTCGCGGTACTCTTCGCAAGCTGCATATTCCATGAACTGAAAGCAAGGCCCACTGCATTGGTAGAAGCGGAGCCACTGTTGCGCCGACGGATGGAGGTACTGGACGAACCTTTGAGTCTCGTCGAGGGGATCGCATCGGGTCTGTATGGGGGCTTGGGCCAAAACAATTTTCTGTTCAATCTGCGGGAGCTCACTGTCATCCTCCGCCTGTTCGACCTGCACGACCAGTCGCGGCGGGCCCCCGTCTACGCCACTGATAAGATCCACGGAGGGAACCAGGATCCGGTATGCATCATGGCAGTAAGCTTTACCCCTGAAATTGTGGCAACCGCTCGCGTACTCGCATGTATGGAAGTCTTGCCACTCATTAAAAAACTCGCTGAAGTACTGAACATGGTCCCTGATCTCGGGGTTGCACCGGGTCGGTGGTTGATCCTCCTCATCGCGTTGTAGAGTCGGCCACTGTATGATTCCTCCATTAGAGGCATGGCGTTTATCGGCAAGTGATCCTGTACAGTCAGTATGCTACATGTACTGAAATGCAGGGCGGACTCACGGGAGGTCAACGGATAGGCCAAGGACTGGACAGCCTGGCAGCCGCCCTGGCCTCGGTGTTCAACACAGGTAGCCTTCGCCGTGCATGCGTAGATATCCTTCCATTGTTTGCCGTCGAGGTACTGAACGGTTCGTCCGTTGGGGCTGCAGCGTGTAGTGCCGTTAAGGTATGGCCCGAGTGGCTTTGGAGAGTCAAGCGCGTGCACCGAATCAGCGAAGTGACAAGTCTTTGGGTCCTTATAAGCATCCGGGCATTTAAAGGCCCAGAGGTAGCTTCGACCAGGGATGGTGAAGTCGTGCCCTCCTGCCCTGCAGGCACCGCTACCAAGGATATCGGAGCAAGCGGTGCCTGGGGGACACTTGTAGTGATGAATCCAACGCTTGTCACTAAATTTTTCGACCAGATCGAAGCTGGTAAGGCTGCAGCGCGTGTGGATACCTTTCCGGTCCGGTATGTTCAGCCCATCTGGAGACTTTCGTGGGGACAAACCTGCGTGAGCGGAACCGGTCGCAGTGTCAGGACTGGATCCGATGGAGCGTTTGTTCGGATGATCTTTATAGTAACCGCAGTGATCGGAATCATCGCAGCCGATGTGCCAGTCGCCATCGGTCGTGGGAGCTTCCTCGCCCTCCTCGTAGCCGAATTTGCAGCGCTCATCGGTCGGTTCCCAGGTACGTTCTTCACCATTGCAGATCCAGTAGATAGGATCACCTGTAATAGTGTTTGGGGCACATTTCTTATGAGCATCCAGTAGAGGCCCGCAGGTTTTACGCCAAGCAATGTCCCACACAGGCTTCTCCGATGCGTGAATGGATAGCACGCCGAAGCAGGTAATAGCGAGAACCGTGAAGAACATGGCCATATTCGATCTGGGAAACGTCAGCTTGGAGAAGTAGACAGCCAATGTCATCATACCTCTGTCTGGACGGCTCAGAACGGTCGGCAACACAGCGTAACAGGCGTGGGGAAGCAGAAAGGATATTCGGCCAAGACAGCCGGCGTGCACGCTGCAAAAGTCAGCATGGAAAAGAGGATGATGAGGGCCTAGCAAACCTGGCGGTGGAGGATATATGTGGTGGAGTCACTGGTGGTGTGATTGGAAGAAAAGAGAGAGAGGAGAGCAGAACGGACCCAGAGATGATTGTTTTGCGGGCTCAAGGCGGCTGCCGATGTCCCTGAACAGGGCAGCTGCTTGGAGTGCGCCTGTAGCCGTCGGAAAGAACGGTCGCTGCGTGAGCATTATCGAGTGAAGAACGCGCGTACGCATCGTTGAAGCGCACGAAGACTTCCCTCCACGTCTCCCTATATCGTAAGCACAATGAGGCCATGCGATACGCTGGTGCACCTCCTATGCTGATGTTTGCGCAGCGGACTCCAGAAAGTGTAGACGCTGGAAGAGTGCGATTTCCCTGCGTAAAGATACGGGCAAAGACATTTGTATTAGCCATTAGAATACGTCCTCGAATTATGGGCAGCCCATACGCCAGATTGAGCTTCCACAGATCGCAAATAACACAAACGGGGCGGCAATTAGCAGTGCAGGCGCAAGCCGGAGCGGAGCCACAAGGGCGAGGCAAGGCGCGCATGTTGCGGTCACTGCATCCCTAGAACAGCCCGTATATTTCAAGAATGAAAAGCATATCGGAACGATGACTAAATTCGATTAGAAAAGTCCGAGTCGTTGCTGCTGTACTGAGCTGGGTGAAATAACGTGCGCGCACAGTCGAGGAGAGAAAGTCAATTGATCGCGTCCATCCGACCACGAGGCAGCGATGGGCGTGCGCCGGGTTAGCTACATCTCAAGGCCTTGCAGATACAATTAGCCTTGACGCATCGCAATTGGAGGTAAGAGAAGCAGCAAGTCGGGTGGCGTGAAAGGAAGACGCGTCGGCGCATCGGGTAAATGTATTGCCGAAACCCCGTCCTCAACCACGAGTACGACTACAGTTCAAGGCTACTTCATCTCATCGCAAGCTCGGAGCATCTCATTGCCTATACCTAATCGTTGCAAGACAGATGATCGACTCGTGAAACTTCACATGGTGGTTGACTCCGCGCGGCTCCTCTCGTGTCTGTTTGTCATCCTTTACTCTTCACGGTCACGCGTCCATTGTTTGGCATCAAACCCATGCCCGTAATTGACGGATGCTCTACCGTAAGCGAGCGTGACCAGTAGTATCACCTGACAGGTTCCCTCTCTTACGATCATTAAAAACTGCACGCTGCTGCAATTACTGGTCAAGCCTGTACATTCTTGTTACGTCGCACCTTACAACGGGACGAAGTCAGCGGGCTCGCAAGCATGCAAAAAGTTTATTTATATATACTTCTCTTTTCATCGCCTCTTGCATTCCTGTCTCCACGTGCTTTCGTGGTTGCCCTGTCGCGCCTTCCCTCCCTTTGCAGAGTCACGGAGCACCCGATTGGTCTGTGCCTGGCATGTCTCCTTCACTTCACCTTACACGTCGAGAGAATTATCGCCTCACGCACGCGCAACCGCCAAGCGAGCCGCCAGAACCGTTTGCACTTCACGCACTGGCCGCTCTTCTCTTCTCTGGCCATGCGCAGGTCTATATAACCCCACCCCGCCCCCCTGCAAGACCTTCCCTCCCTACACGGATTAGGAGTAAACCCGCCACAGAGACAGACTTCCACACCACCGAACGCGAACACAATCTGAGGTAAACATCATCCTGCGCGCTCACCACATCGCGCATTCCTGCACACACTCCCCTACACCTGATCCCTTCCACATTCCTCACTCAGGTATCTCAACGAACCCGAACTCCGCACCAGAATGTCTTCGAGCTCCGCCGCTTTCTGGGCCAAAAACGCGCACAAGATAGGCCAGTTGCGTGGAGTCCTGCCTCCGTCCCCTGACCAGGAGACCAAGCCCACCGAGCCTACGCCGGCTGAAGCCAGCGTGTCGAAGCAGTTCGGCAGCGGCCATGTCTTCAAGGTGAAAAAGGATTGCGGCACGAAGAGCCCTGAGTATCCATCAAGCGCATTCACATCGACGGCGACCACTTCTCCCTTGTCACCTAGCACTGCAACATCGTGGGCCGACTCGGTTGAAGAAGATGAGGCGCAAGCCGATGCCGACGCTGCTGCCGCTGCCGCTGCCGCTGGCCATGGCGCCGGTCGTAACTTCCAACCTATGCCCGGCACCGTGATCCAGCAGGCGAAGCGCATTCAAGAACTGGAGACCACGATCGTTCATCAAGCCAAGCGCATTGTGGATCTCGAAGGCGACGTGAAAGACAAGGACGCCAACATCGAGCATTTGACTGGCGCAATTGAAGAGAAGGAAGCGCACATCAGCCGACTGGAGGCCAACATAATCGATCGAGACACGCACATCGCGAATTTGACTAGTCAAGTGGATGAAGAAATCCGACGCACCAAGAAGCTCAGGGACGAGCTGCAGGAGAAGATGGTGCTCGTTCAAGACTTGGAGTTACAGGTCGCAGAAACCATCAGTGTACCCGACTCGGGTTCGCTCACTGAAGTCGAAGAGGATGCAGAAGAAGAGTCGCTTTCAACCCCCGCGCGCGAGTCTCGCACCGTTCTCATGGCCGAAGCCTGCGAAGATATTGATGTTCCGGGGGACACAACCGCAGGCGCTATCGCTGCCGCACTGGAAGCACAGACGCCCATCAAGCCCGAGACTGCCACCTCATCTGAAGATGAGTTCCCGGCGCTCTCCCCTGTTGACTTCCCTGCACTCGGCTCACCCACACCAGTGCGTGATTTGAAGCGCTCACCATTTGTGACGGCGGACAACATCAAGAAGGTACCACCGCCCCCGCCAGCTCGTACCCTCAAGCTTGGCATCGATCCTTCAAAGTTCCAAAAGAAGTCTGTGGCAGGCCATGGAGGGCGATTCATGTTCGGATCCCGCCGGGCAAACGAGGGACCTCCAAAGATCGATACCTCTAAAGACATTCGAAAAATGTCTAAGGAAGAGCGCGAGCCTTTCGGGTACGGTCCAACTGTGCAGTTCATCATTGGAAATGACACTGTAGCGTCTCTTCCAAAGTACATGTTGATGCAAGTTTCTTCGAAGGCGTTCAACCACTGGACAGCCAATCCCACTGCCCTAACGATCAAGTTCGACGCTGGTTCCATGACCAAAGAGGCACTCAACATCCATTTGGAGTGGATCACCATGCACACCCACTGCAGTCGTGTGTACAGCGTGTCTCTGAAGCCGGAGAATTCCGACCGTTACAACTTGGAGATCGTTCGCTGCGCCCGCGTGCTGGGACTCCACAGCATGTATATGGGTCACTTCACCCGTCTTTACTGCCAGAAAGTGCGCGACGGCCCCACTGACGAACTCATCGCTCTTATCGAAGAACTGGCCTACACTGATGACGAGCCGATCTTCGATTGCTTGGCCAACAACATGGCCATGCAGCACTCAAAGGCGAAAGCAGAGGATCTTCAAGACTGGAACATACATCTCGCCCGCCTTCCGAAGCTGGCTGCTAAGATCCAGGACATCCAGGCTCGGAAGAACTTCGCTCAGGGCAAGACCTACAGCAAGGGCAAGGTATGACTATTCGGCGCGCAAACCTGTAAAAGATTCGAGTGACGCTGACATACCGTAGAAGGCTTTGCCGCCGCAGAAGGCTGCCGAGGAAGTCGCCACAACGGCCGTGACAGCGGATATCGATCCTGACGCGGCGTGGCGCGCTGTAGGCCCGGCGTATGTCTGAATCTGTCGCCTGGCTACCAAGAATTTTAATTGGCGCGGAACATAAATACAGCTTCGGCTTGTGATACTTTTGTATGTAGTCAACCTTCTCGCCTCACCGATAGTTTCGTTCGCCATACCACGCATGCGGAGGCGACGGCTCATTCTTGACGACGAACATCCACAAGCGTTATGAGAAGAAGACAAGCGAAATCTGGTTTGGGCTGGCGAACATCATGCACATAGTGATCTTGTTCTCGTGTTTTGGCATCTCTGGAGTTCGGCGTATCTTTCCATTGACCCTGCCATGAGAGTGCATAAAGGAAAGGGCCTAGATCTGAGGAAGGATTTTTTCCTCCGTGGACGTGATCTTTTGCTACGCTGGTGGTCTAGCTTTCTGATAGTTTGCGATTTGCATGGGCGAACATGGAGGCTGAAGAAGTTGCGGATACCATAGCTTAACGCGATGAACACGTCGCAAGGATAATACATGACAGTTCGCATATCGAGATTTCCATATATACGTCATAGACCATTGTTCAAGCTTTCCTGAGGTGCTTGCCAGCCAGGAGATGAGGTTTGTACCGATCTGCTAGCTGCTGCGTCTCAAATCAACACTTTCCCGAACCGTGGAGATTCACCACGGTATGCGAACAAGTCTAAATCGTTCATCAAGGGTTATGAAGCAAACATCCGTCTCTCTTTACTTTGTTGCAGATGCAAAGAAGATCATTCGACATGACCGAATCCGAGCAAAGCATTCAGAAGTCGCGCATCGATTGCGCCCGCGCTATTCAGACTCTATGTGGCCTGTCGAGAACTTCTGACTGTGCTGTCGCCGTTACGCATCTTGAACTCAGGGGACATCGAGATCCGAGAACTTGTTGTCTTGCTACTTAGCTCCATACAAAATTTCTCACTGAGTCAGAACATGGTGTGCCCCGCATTGGTATCTCGATAGCCTTGAGGCGTAGTTGTTCCGTTTCCGAGCTACACTCGTCATCTTGGTTCATGCGTTTCTCGACAGGGGCCGCACCTCGATATTAGCGAATCTGAAATTAACGAACACGAACTAGCTTGCGTCATTCCAGTAGGTTCGGTCGCACTGCTACATGATCCCGCTGTGGGCCGCGGCTTACCACGCTTTCCGCGTGCTCCCGACGAGTAGTGTTTGGTTGCTGCCCAAATCAGGGCTCGGGTCACATAGCCCTGGCTGTACCCTGGGCCCGAGAAACCCAAGGTTACACAAGTAATCCGGCGTGCAGTTGACTCTTCAAATGGTGCAGTGCGTGCCGCGAGTACTCATGGTGACCAAATGTGCCTGTTAAGGCAGTATTCCGATGTGACATTCAAGCTAGTGACTATTGGTGCTCTCACAAAGACATTGCCCACAGCGCAAGATTCAGTTTGTAGAAGCGGAGAGATCCTGTCATCTAGAAGGCTTCATTGGCCATACTAACGTTGGTTCGTTGGTTAACAGCTACTAGTACTACATAAACATCTACTAGAGGGAAGTGACCAGTCGCTTGTCTATCAGCGGTAATATCGCTCCGCTTTTCCAGGGTTTGGATCTTGGGCCGTGGGACGATTGTTCATGGAAACAATGCTAATTTGATGACTCGATGGGAAAAGTTTGGAAAGAGCATGCCATGTCTTCTTGGTGGCCTATTCATCCTTGAAGGTGAGTCCAGCGCTAGCTCGAAGCTTGTTTCCACTGTGCTACCAAAACATCTATTAGGTTTGCGATTTGCCCTAAATTAGACTCGGGCCACTCGTTGGGCCCTGAGCACTATGGGTTAGTCAATCACCTCTCATGAGAGCTTCCTTAGGAGCGTAAAAACGTGGGAGTAAGTCATGCGAGCACACAATCCACTTCATAAAGTCCCCGCTGCCCGAGATTGTGGCTGTTTCACCGTTCATGCACTGTGCTCTGGCGGGAAACATGCGTGAACGGGCTTGGGCACTGCAACCTTCGCTACTCACTTTATGACGCGGAGTTCAACAAAACTAGAACTTACGTGCGACAAGCTCTGATAGACAATTGTAGATAAGCGGGTTCACCATGTATAAGAATGCGACCTGAGACCTCCAGCTTGATTCTCTTCATGATATACTAGTATAATCAAATTTTCTACTATTGTCTCAGTCCAACAACCAAGTACACTCACACACACGAGAGAAATCGAAGAAATGTCACCACAGAAGCAAGTCAAGGTGTGGGACGATGAGAAAACACAAGCCCTTGCCAAAATGGTCGAGAAGTACCAAGGACCTCTGGAGCAAAAGTTGAATTTCTTAGACGACCATTATAACTCTCAGGAACCCCTGCTCAACGAACACAACAACAAAAAGTTTAGTGACTTTGGTTTCAACCACCACACACTCTATTACCGCAAGCCGGAGAAATACTGGAATGAGGTCGGACTTCTCGTGCCCGACGACCTCGATTTGGAAGAAGAGGCTCCCATCCACGTATTCTTTCAAGGTGGCGGCTTCGTAAGTTGTATCTCGGATTTTTTGCACCTTGAACTAGTCTGATACGATGCAGTGGACTGGCGACTGGACGTGGTGTCCATGGTACCTGCAGGCATCCCTGCGACAAGCGAAAGCTCAACGTGCCGTTATCCTCGCCGTCAACTACCCCCGGTTCCCACTTGCCGACATCAACGACATCACGCGGGCTATCGATGACTTTTGGGACTATTTTTACAGCACCGACATGATCAATGGCTACAAAGCTTGTATAGGGAAACTCGCGCTCGATAAAGAAAAGCTACTCATATCAGGAGAAAGTGCTGGTGGTTATGCAGCAGCATACTCGGTCATACGACCGCATGAGAAGCTCAAAGTCAACGCACTGTTCCTCCGTTATCCAATGCTTCGTCACTATGAGCGTGTTGATAGTTGGAAAGAGCAACTAGGCTACATGGGCCGGACAGTGAATGATAAGAAATATATAGAGAAGAAGGTCAATGAGTTGTGGGAAATGGTCCAGACCATACGTAAAGAGATGAAGGATCATGGACTGCTCGGTCGAAGCGATGATGGCATCTTTGCCGATATCCTCAAACGACGCGTTCCGCCCTACGGCATGTTAGGGGCTTTCGCCAGCTCGTGGTGTGGAACGTGGAGCAACTATTTCGGAAAGACAACTAAGGATGAGCGGTTGCCAGACATCCTGACCCAGTTAGAGCAGATGAAAGACAACAGCCAAGTGTCTGGGCTAAAAAAGGTGCCTGCTCTATTCATTTATCACGGAAAAGACGACACCAATGTGTCTCCTGAGGTGTCTGTAACCTTCAAGCAACAGTGGGAGAGGTTGTTCGAGAATGTGAAAGGTCTAAAAATCAATTTTAAGATGCCAGAAGGTCCGCACGGGTTCGATTACTTGCTCGACGACGAGTTCATGAGAGACTTCATCAAAGACATGACGGAGGCTTGGATTTCTGTGTGAGAAGTGATCCTCTGGTGCATATCAGAGATCACTGACCACTTGTATTGATTATCATAACTCTCAATGTACCTAGGTATCTATGTTAACCATACTGTGTGCATGGGTTTGGGTGGCCAGGTCTTTGACCTGTTTCATGGCTGTGAAGACTGATGCCTGAAAAGATGACGTAGTATGAGATCCAACACACACGTTGAGTATCTTGTTCACGGATACGTTCGCGTTCGTATCGCGTGGGTGCTCTAACGTACGTAAATCACAGCCACCCATTTCTTGCTGCACACTCAGCACTCGCTCAAGCAGTGCGCCCCTCAACCTCGAACATGGCTTGCCGCAACGATAATATGCCGGCACATCCATCCCAATCGCCATCTAGGCTCGCTACAGAGTCACAGATTCTCGACATAGACGCCAGCGACAAGACCACGAGCGTCCTCAATTCGCGCTCTAAGCGCACACCGCTTCTACGAGAATCATGTTCCATTCGGAAATCCCTTAGGAAACGCGGCAAAGCAACTTTACGACCACATTATCCTTCTCGTTGTGGATTGGTTTCGCACTGGTGCGCGGTACTTCTCTCAGATTTGCAAACAACAATTGGAACGCAACTATATGAGCTGCAACTATGAGGAGGAAAGGAAACCAAGCCACTGTACTTTCCGAGGGGTTCCTGCGGACGCTGTGCGTTACTGTGGTGACGATGCAGTTGAGGATCTACTATGGCTTTATCGCATCTGCACAGACAGCTTGGACCCCCAGGAGTACGATGAGTGGTTGCAAGTTGTTATATGCTCAGATAATCCTTGGATGGCTAAGCTTATCTTCGATGTTAACCCTGACACGACATCTGGATTTACGACACAACAGGGTCTTCCGACTGGTCCTTTGAGAGGGCTCGGGCACTTGCAATCGCAGAAGCCTGCGAACGTAACCATGTGGATCTTCTCAAAGCATTCGTCGGTAACCCTCTGATTGGTCCTTACCATTTTTGGGAAGAAGCCCTGATACATTTCCGCGTATACTATCAATTGAACCCATTAGACATAGCTACAAAGTACGGTTCACTAGAAGCCGTCGTGGTTCTCTTGGATGCCGGAGCCTTAGTCGATGGTCCCAGAATACCCGTAAGGGCGTCACAACAGGAAAATGGCAACATTGAAGACACCTATACTCCCTACCGTCACAAGTGCCCGCTCGAACACGCTGTCAGATCAGGATACTTAAACATGGTACAGTATCTCATTATGCGAGGCGCAAACATACAAAAGGTACGTTGGGATGGGAATCGCTTCAGCGAGGCCGTATACGACGAGTTGGACACGATAAAGATGGTGAAATATAACGAGGATTGTCCTACTTATGACCTATGGTGCCGCAGCCAATGTCACTGTAGGTATATACGAACCGGTAACACCTAATGTCTCTCACCCATTCACGTCGCTAAGCCCCGTAGGTTAGTCATACGACCGCCATTGCGTTGCCTGTGCGTGGGCACTGGCGGGAACTCAAATTGGAAGCCAACGGGGCAGTCTGAGGAGATGGGCAGCACACAACATTTGCATTGGCCGTCACAATGTAAACTAGCAGACTTTCAGGAAGCGAACCATATGGTTCGTGTACAAATCATCCGATTCGGCGCGAAGCGGACCAGATGATCCACGCATATTGGTGCAATGAGCGATGGTAGGGTGGTCTTGGGTATTGTTACATGAATGAAATACATAGTTCTGGTGGGGTATTACGTTAGTTCTGGGTGTGCAAACGGAGCTTTGATTCTACTTCCCTCGCTCGTTGCTCTTACCAATAGCGTAGGTTGACCATATCCCCTAATTCAACCACTTTGATAAATCAAAGATTTGGATTAGGTTAAAGACGGGTTTCACTGTATTACGCTCGTGCCCCAAGCGTAATGTTAGCGCATGATATCGCACGAATATAAACCCCTCTTCACGACAGACGTCACTCTGCTTTTTCACCTCACCACGATCTCGTATTTCGACAACGAGCCTCACCCAACAACGAAGCATAGCAATCCACACCCTCCCCGACCGATAACATGAAGCTGTTGGATCTCCCACCGGAGATGTTCCAGCGGATCGTTCACACTCTCGTGCAGCAAGCGGGGCCGCACGGGGCCTGGCAGCTTCGCGGAGTCTGCCGTAAGTGACCCACCACAAGACGGAAAGAACCCTCGAGTCTGTTATTGAATGACATTTATGCATGCTAACTGTGGGAGGGACCTTTGCCGCTGAGATAGAGTATGACATTTTCGCAATGCAGACACAGGACGCATTTACTTCGGATGTAAGCCTGCTGCTCATGCGCAATAACCTTTGGCGCTATCTCTTCTATCGCACCAAGTCTATCCTCGATGCAGATGCAGCCGTGCCGGACATCATTAACGCTATGATCACCTACCTCCAAGAGTATGGATCCGAGGGCTCCGATCAAACCTCCGACCAGCTGCGCGAGGCTCTGTGCAAGGCAGTCGGCCGTAATGTGTCAATGAAGGATCTGGGATTCGACTTGGGTCGTTGGCTTTATTCTGAATCCAAGCTCGAGACCTCTCGAGGGATGGAATATCCAGACCCGATTAGGCTACCTGAAAAGGATGAGCTTATGCTTCCTCACTACAAACTCGCTATGGCCGCAGCAACGGGGAACATGGCGCTCTTGAATAATGTCCTGTCTGAAGACAACCGCGTGGATCCATTCAAGGTTTCAATCTTCGGCAATGCGGTCACGAACTCATTCGCATTCAACCAGCCGCTTATCTTCGATGCAATTGCGACTTACTTAGAGGGATTGCATTCAGAATTGAAGAAGGTTCTGCATATCTACACCTTTCTCTGGGAAAAGCATCTGAAAGAGGCAATGAGGACGGCCAGCCAATCTTGGGTGCGACGAATCATGAATCTCGTCCGGAAGCCCTACATGAGGTACTCTTCGGGAAACTTCCAGAATCTGTTGTATCGAGCTATCAAAGATTGCAGCAGCGAAATCGCCATCACCTTCCTTGACGCTTCGAACACTAGGTCAATCTATTTGCGTTTGGATGCCTACGTGTTCAAGCACGCCTGCAAGCACCACAGTACTGACGTCGTGATGCGTCTCCTCAACATCCCGTCCCATGGCGCCAACTCCCTCTGGCGCAACTCTTCTCCCCTGACCATCGCTATCAATTATGGTACAGCAAATACCGTCGCTGCGATTCTGGGTGCCGGAGCAGTGGTCGACGGCATTGCAAGCCGGCTGTATCAAGATGGAAGCAGGTTCCGAACTAAGGTCATACCCATCGAAGAGGCAATGAAGCGAGGCCGCCTGGACATCGTCCAGACCTTGCTCAACCGCGGTGCTAAAGTTGGAGACTTGGAGGTGGCGAACAGGAAGAAGGCTGTTTACAACTTGCTTCGCGACGCCAAGATGAAAGAGACAGGCAAGCATGTCCCCACCTACTCGGAGAAATACAGCAAGTTCAAGACACAAGTTCCGGCCCCTAAAGATCGATCCCAGCGTAGTCCGGCCCCTAACCCGTCTCGTCAAGGGTCCGATCTGAATATCTGAGCCTCATTCTCGCGCCTATGAGTGCGGCTCCAGCAGCAGCACCGAGATCCTGTGATCACTTGGCTTTGAAATGGTTTTCGGACTGGCTTCAAGATATGGTAGCAAAGAGCGAAGGCATACGGTATAAGCAGGGTGAGATTCTCTGAGGGTTTCCCTGATTTCATTGTTCATTCTGCCCTTTCCCCTAATGGTTTGTGTCCCTTTTTTGGTCTTCCCTGTTGCGTTTTTCCCTTAATCCCCTTTGCCCTACTGTGGTTTGCCCCTATTTGGTTTTCATCCGCGTACTGGCTTGTTGTTTCTTCGGTTATCCATTCGATGACTGAACAACAACAACTCTGAGGCTCTGAAGTGAAAGTGGGTGCATTTGATCTCTTACAGATGCATCCTCTTCCAGCTTCACTACCTCTTTCATGTTATCTTCCCCAATTTCGCATGCTTGTGTAGGTTGCAGTGTACGAATGAAACGATAAAAACGATGTATATCAGCTACTGTCCTCGTGAAGCCCCCAAGAACGCAGTCTGCCAAGCCCGTACCGTGCCACGCGCGCAGCGTGATCACAGATTCTCTGTGGATGAGAAACACGGTCTGGACCCTAATATCGAAAGCGTACACTCATCGGCGAGAGGGCTATTATCAATGGATTGGGTACTGGCAACAAAGGCAGGTCTCCGCAATGAATGCTCATAGACCGTGTGAACTCTGATGCTGTTCATCTAGGAAAAGATATACCATGACGATTTGGCCACTGTCCTAGCACCCATGTCGTTTATGCAAGATATCTTCGAAGTGTGTTGGGTTGTTGAGGAGTGGGAACTTCAGACTGCGGACCTCCGAAGCTGGCTTGTGCCGGCCTTACGTAATGCGGGACAGGGAAGTCGCGACGTGTTTGTGTAATCGCGACGCTGCCACAAGTCACAAAAGAATATGGATAACATCCCCTCCACAACACGATAGCCGCTCAGAGCCAATCTGCACAACATGGCGGAGCTTCAGAGGCTCCAGAAGCTTTCTGCGCCGCATTGCGTCCTCCTCGCCATCCACCATGCCAACGAATCCAACATCACCGCCCTCCGCGCATTGACAGCCCTCCGCGATACCGTCTTTGACCTCGAACTTATTCTGCGGATACTTTTGACGTACCTGCCGGAAAGTGTTCCTCCTTCCGCATACCTCGAATACCTCGATGAACTCGCGAGCGACAACCGCACACCAGGCGACGACCCCGCAGCTGTGCTCGAAGTTGCGCCGGTGGAGGAGCTCTCAGATTCGCAAGCAAAGAAAAAGCGACGGAAGCTTCAACTGAAATTGCTGCCTTTAGTACATCTTTTGTACGAGGCTGAGACGGAACTGGACCCCCTCACACACTTCCTTATCCACCGCGCGCACCGAATAGACGCTGAGACTGGCCTTCTCAACTCAATACCCGAGCTGATCGCGCCCTTCATTGGCCACTCCGAATACCTACGGATATGGTTCATATCTACAGCACTGCCGCTTCTGCGACTGATGTACGAGTACTACCCCGAGAGCCCCGCTCCATCGCTCGATGAATTCGCCAGGTCAAGAGGCCGGCGAGCAATCGACATACAACTATCGAACCTTCGCCAAACACACGCAAGATCACAAGAAGGAGGACTTGCGGCGCGTGACCTAAGAGGTGTGGTCGGCCCCTGGATATGTGGAGCAAACGAGCGAAAGAGGCGCAAACTGTCGCCAGACGACCGAAGAGCGTCCATGACCGAAGCACCAGCCCAAGAGCCTGACGACTGGGAGTCTCTGTTCGGATGGCTGGTGGATACTTCGAAAGCCGACTTCCCATTGATATCATCGGTCATCATCGAGTGGGATGGCCCTGAGGACCTGGACCTTGGCGGCTTCGAAGAAGGACGTGACTATGTCGATGACGAGACACAACGAAAGCTGGAGCGTCGGTATGCACAGATAGCCTTGGCATGCTTATATCTCTTTGATAGTAGCAACAGCGACATACTACAGACAGCCCACGGCCTGCTCGCACGGATATCCGATCTTCTTAGCTTAGAGCCTCCCCCACATCTGAGCTTGATCGTGGAAGCATTACCGTCGTGTGCTGCAGATATGCCCATGCTCCAGGGACTCAAAGCATCCGCCCTCCAAGAAGAGCACATCACACGGCCTGACAATCCCCTGATCCAACCGAATCAGGATGCTGTTCATCTCCTCGAGCTGTTCATTTTTTCTACCCACCTTTTGTCTAGCTTGCAGCAACTCATGTCCGTGAGGGAAGTCGCGCGCATGTTTCTCCGCAATGACAAATCAGAGCAGCTCTCCCTTCTCCACAAGATCGTCCATGCTCTCAGCACAAGTGCTAAGCTTGACGCTGAACAATGGCGGGCCAATCGATCTAGGCTACTCTGGCTCTGGAATTGGGGATCGAATCAGATAGGCTCCGATCGATATGCACAGGGAATATTTGGTCACATTGACAGCCAAACTATTGAGACTGAGATATTGAAAGGTCTTCTAGAAGGCAGCCAGTACACACTTATCGGTCAACTGTACATTCGGTCAACGTCAGATCGAACCCCCCTTCCTCTCTCCGATGTCGAGCAGGTCATCCTCACGGCTGTATTGCACCACTACGACAACGCGACCAACGGCAACCGAACAAGAGGAGGCATGAAACGCGCTTCAGACATTGTTGCAGCGTTCAAGGCACACTTTCTCAATTCGGGCCGCTTTCAGCGTATTCAAGCTCTGCTTGCCGCAACACACGCCATGTCGTTCTACTCTCTGATCCTACAACACGGTGTCCCGTTCCAGCCTGTTAACATCAGGGTGAGCGCTGACCCGCTTTCGTTGATCCAAAAACTACTCGAGCAGAACCTCCGCAGTTACACCCACTTAGACGACCTCATTTCTATCGGCCAGAATCTTGTCGTCGCGCAGCCGTCTACTATCATGGACAAAGATGCCGATTACAGTCACCTTGACACAGCCGCTGTAGAGAAAAGAAAGGCCGCAGCGGAACGTCGTGTCATTGGCATGACGGTCGAGGCAGCACTTGCAGAAGACGACTTTGAGACTGCGTACTCATACGTCGTGAACAGACTTACCCCATCAACGCCCTCGCCCGCTATGTCGCCAACCCTGTCCAAGTCATCACAGCGCTTCTCATTCGGGTCCCACGATTCAGAAGCTCGAGATGATGATAGCGAAGATGTAGCCTGGCGCGTCGCCGTACAAGCAGGTCGCCATCGCGGCTCGCCATCCTCGTCATCAACGTGGGGCCAGGCAAATACTGCCGCCCGCCCCGACTTACGACGATTGGAACAGCGCATGGAGCTTCTTTCACAAGCACTGCTTCTTGCACCGCCTCATCATTTGGAAGAGGTCCTAGCCGTATGGCAGGAATGCGAAACCGAAATGACGAACCTCCTGGCGGAAGAGAACGAAGCAGAAGAGCGCTTCAACGACGCGGCGGACCGCCGTCTTCCCGGCGCATTCGCGGAAGTAGTTACCATCCAGCCTCGCCGCGAAGTCGGCCGAGGCGCGGTGGAAGAAGCACCTATGGGCTTATTTGATGTTGCTAGGGGGGCCGCTGCTGCGTTTTCAAAGAGTGCATTCCCACTTCGCGGAAGTGGAGGCAGCCGCAACGTATCTGGAGCGGAGAGTTACGGCGACACGAGCCGTGCGTCCGTAGATCTAGGCAGCGATTCTGGAAGCATGCACAGTACCGGCGATGAGAGGGTGAGGAGGAGGGATATGGTTGCTAATGCGGTTACTGGTGGGCTGGCCAGTGGCCTCGGGTGGGTGCTTGGTGCGACGCCTGTCAACGAGCATCAATAGATACGCTAGTAATAAATTGGTTCAATCCGATTGATCCTTCGTAGCCCGCGCATTATTGAGTTCGCGAACCCGCAGCAAGGTTGACATCCACGTTGCACAGCACCTGCTTCCAGAAACGTTCTGTTCGGACACATCGATTAGATTACATCGTAGCATCTTTGCAGATCGCATTCAGATGGACAATAACGGGAAATATACCCTAAGGGAGTACTCCATAGCAGGAGCCACTCACATCGGCTGACCTCATATTTGCTCCTACAACGCTGTTCACTGTTTACATTACGGTTCGACGTGTCTATATAGCTTTGCCGCCCACTTGTTTTCCCTTCGCTGTTGCTTCTCAATCCAGATTCCTCCTACCACGGGCGCTCTTTCCTTTCGCATCTCCCGCGGCCCACGGCCTCTCTTTGTCCATTTACTCAATCGCAAACCCGAGTCTATCCACCTCCACGTCGCCTTCACCTTTCTATATATCACACGAGGTAATTGCCTTGAGTACCGCACCTGATCCCTCGCAAACGCACCGCTTCGCCGCCGCAAACCGAGTCCTCCCGCTCCACTATATATAATTGTCTTACAAGCTCTCTACTACTTCTTCCCACTTCTCTCTACCAATCTCGAAGACACCACTATCGTCACCTGGACCTTCGATCCACCAGTCACTACCTTGATACAACTACCCATCTAGATCCGTTTTCACCGCGAAGATGAACCCCCTCATCCTCCTCACCACCCTCTTCTCCATCCTCGCGTTCGGCGCCGCTCTCCCAGCCAATGCTCCCGCGGCCGCAGTCACCGTCTCCTTCGCAGGCAACACCGAGTGCGCTCCCGGCAACATTCCTGAAGCCAGCGTCTCCGGCTGCGTCACCTTCCCACCCGGCACGCAGAGCCTGCGCGTCACGGGCGTGCAAGGCGGTGGCATTCGGTACAACAGCCGTACGTATGATCTTCTAGTCGAGACCGCTGGTGGAAAAGGGTCAAGAAAGTACGCTAACGAAGAACAGTGCGCGTCTACAACAGCGCTGACTGCAGTGGGGGATGGACTCTCGAGCCGGCGCTCACATGTGCGGGTCAAGGTGGCCACGGGTGTGGGTGCAGCCAGGTCAGGGCCTTCGGAAGTATCCAGCTTGTGATTGACTCTTAGGCGGATGAAAGCCGGTGAGTACTGGTCTTGCTCGCGAGGTGTGGTGGATGTGCTGACAAGGTGTGCAGGGGGTGCGAGCATGAACGGGCGAACATGACGGCGATATGATAATGTGTACCACTAAGTGAACATCGATATGTGTATGTAGTCATGCGTTCGGGCAGGCTCACATGGGATGAGTGCGGGTCATTGATTGAGTGAGGGCCTCCTCACTGTCTCACCTCGCCTCACTTTACCCACAATATCAGAGAATAATTAGATGATATATACTTTAGCAACCAACATCATCTCATTGTATCCACACCTTCTCTCTAAACCCTTGTTTTCTCTTTATTTACAACCCACCACGATGCCATATGCACAAATTTCTGCTAAATGAACGAACAGACTCCGTCGCTGATGCCTTCGCGATGCAAGTAAAGAATGTGATGTGCAAGAAACGAAAATGAATCAAAAGGGGGGGATATCTCAACACCAATCGTGCTCGCTCAACTCAATGGGGGAATATCGCGCGTCAAACACCACACATGCAACGCTTTGCCGAATATACCGCATTCCACATCCTTACATTCCTCGGTTGCGCACAGCAACAACATGTCCACGACTCAACACTTTCATCACCATCTCTTAGCTTTCTTTTACGGCAACGGCGGAACCGAGTTCAAGATCCTCGTAACCTCGCTGGGTGTCATCGTGGTGTTCGCAAGAGAACGGACCAGCGAACCCTTCCTCAGACGCTGCAGTCCGATGTTAACCTTCCAGCTCTCGGACTCATCGATCAAAAAGACATATTTCTTGCCGTCAGCGTCGCGGACGGAAGCGCGGAGGATGTGCAGGTGCTTTGAGGCTTGTTGGCCAGTCTAAAATTCGGTCAGTATATTCAGTACATATGAGAGGGGCAGAATGGAGACTCACCTCGACCAGCTTCAACGTCCACGCCTTGCAATCCCACTCGCGCTGCGGTATATTCCTAACGTCGTCGTCGATGAATAAGCCCTCGGTCTGAATCTTCAAGACCAAACCATCCGTCACCTTACCCACGTTCGATACGAGCTGAGCTACAGGCTTCGGGAAGAGGTCGTTGAAAAGATAGACAGCCTTGATCTGGATCTTGTCGGGGTCATTCGTCGAGTACGGACCGCGCTGGCTAGGCGGGGCCGTTGACGCAGCAGTCGACTGCGAAGGCGCGTAGCTGGACGCCGTGTAGGAAGATGCATGGGATGGGGGCTTCGGTGGTCTGGCAGTATCGTAAGGTCGGAAGGAGTGCTCGCTTTCGTCGCCCATGTAAGACTTCGCTGTTGGCTTTTCGTACTTCTTCGATGTAACGTTGACCTTGATAGGCGAGGAGTGCGTTGAGGTGACCGAAGGTGCTGGGGGGCTTCTCGCGCCGGCGTATGGATCGAGGCGTTCACCAGCACCAATGCCACCGTATGTAGTAGTGCGTCGACCGGCTGAGGATTGTGCTGTCGCAGCCGCTGCCTGTGCTTTGATCTTCTCGGCTTCGGCTTTTAGACGAGCTTCACGGTCGCGCTGCGCACGCTCTCGAGCCGCCTTCAACCGCTCACTTCGCTCCGCGTCCGACTTGGCTTTAGCTGCGGCAGCTTCAGCAGCGGCGGCGTCCTCAGCGGCCTTCTTCACAGCCTCCTCGGCAGCTTTGGCTTTCTGCTCCGCCTCCAGCTTCTCGCGAATTTCCTGCTCGATCTTTGCCCGTTCTGCAGCTTCTTTGGCTTGTCTCTCCTTCTCAGCCTTCTCTTTGGCGTCCTTCTCCTTTTGTTCACGCTCCTTTGCAAGGCGAACGCGGGCTTCTCGCTCGCGCTGCTCGCGCTCCCGAGCGCGCATCTTCTCCCACTTCTCCTTCTCCGCCTTTGCTCGTGCTTGCCGGTCGGCCTCCTCCTTCGCTTTCCGTTCCTCCTCCTTCCTCCGCTCAGCTTCGACACGCTCAGCCTCTCTTCGCTTCTCTGCCTCTTTCCGCTCTTCCTCTTTCTTACGTTCTGCCTCCTTGCGTTCTGCTTCCTTCTTCTTTGCCTCCTCCTCGGCTCGTCTACGATCTTCGTCGGCCTTCTTTGCAGCCTCTTCTGCTTTCTTGCGCTCCTCCTCCTTCTTGAGCTCCTCTGCCTTCTTCCGCGCCTCTTCCTTCTTGCGTGCCTCTTCACGGGTCTTGTCCTCATCTTCATCATCGTCATTCCAGAAGTCGTCGTCTTCCGGTGGGGGTGACTGAGCACCACGCTGTTGATGTTGTCCGGACCAGCCCCCACTGCCGCCTCGAGGCGGCGGCGCACTACCGTTCGGATAGCCGCCACGGGGAGGCGGTGGTGGAGCTCGTTGATAGTCCGATCCAGAAGCACCAGCTCCAGCTCCTCCAGGACCAGGGCCACCACCGAAAGACCCCGAGAAGCCTCCAGGTGTCTGCGACTTTCCGAACGCCCAGCCAGCGATTCCCATAGCGACGACCATAAGTAGGACACTGTTTGGACCACCGCCATTGACATTCTGAGTCACGATGAAAAACCACTGCTTGACCGTTGGCTCCATCATCTTCCACACGGCTATGCTGGCAATGGTGCTAGCCACGCCAGCCATGAAGCTGTTCCGCTGAACCTGCAGGCTAGGCAGATACACGAAACCTCCACCTGCCGAATGCGGGGGTATGATGAAGATGTCATAATTCCCTGATGGCAGGCCACCGGACCCTGCAGAGCCATGTGATCCGCCTGTTGTCTTCGGGTTCTCGCCGTGGGGAGGTGGCGGCGGCGGCGGGCCGTCCATGGCGATGTGTGCCCCTTAGGGCGGTATGACGAAGGTAATCAAGCGATGTGAGAAGAGTTGCCGTGCCGAGGCACAAGCTATCTGTAAATTTCGAGGATATCGAAGGTCAGGCTGAGAAGCGGTCGAGCGGCGGGGAATTGCATCAGCGGATGTGGGTCGAGGTGAACGTGTGTGCAACGCCTTCTAATCCTACGTCAGTGTTTCAATTTCTAGAAAACATGTTCACAGGATGTTCTCCCACCTTTCACCGGTGTTGCGGTTGCAAAAAGACAGCGTGTTCGGTGCGGGTAAAGATTTTGTGGAGTGGATTCATCCTGGCGCTGGCGGTCAGGTCGCCGTAAACAAAGGCGCTGCGGCGCTACCACAAGGGGCTAGTACAGCTCGCGCACGGCAGGCGGGAACAACCGTTGGCCTACCACGCTCTCCCATGCAGCCTGCCGCTCAGCCCCTGGACCTCAATGCTGCAGCTTGTGCATGCGAATATTTCCAATTCGCCGATATTCCCTTTTCATCGCGATGTGAATTGAGCACACAGCTTCACTCATCCGCTCGAGGTGCCCTCCCCGCCATCGCGCACGCCCCTCCTCCATCGCTAGCACGACAACAGGCGAGTCAGCCAATGCACGCCAACGCGGCAGACCGCCATTCGCTGCCAACACGACAGACAGTGGAGAGTGGACATCTCCATTCTGCCGTCAACTGTCCGCGGGTCTTCGATTGTTTTGATGCCAGACGCATGCGTCAGAGCGAGACTCGAGGCCTTCCCCTCCTCCCGTGTCCCCGTTCAGCGGTTTTCGTGCAGCCCGACGGCGTAGAGACTGCCGAAGTGCCACAAAAATGCATGCGAAGCGTCATTTCCACTAGCCGATCGACAGGAGGTACCTCGTAATATCAGGCAATTTCCAAGGCCAGACTCCATACCGACGTTATTCTAGAAGCAGTCCTTACCTTCGATGCAAGATGCTCCAAGACGTGACTGTCCCTGTCTTCCTGGGTTGGCCCTGCCATTTCTCGCGTTGCCCCGCATAACGCACGCGAGCCGTTGCGCTAACCGCCTTCGGCGCGCAAATCACGTGCATCTAGCTCCTCCAGGGCTCCAGCTGGTACTGACATATGAAGCCCTGGCTACACATCAATTGGGTGATATCCTCACACAGAACACAGGATCCTATGTTACCACCGAAGCAGCATTCAGAAATGCTTTGGAGCTGTCCCCGCTTCCACTTCCAGCCAGGCTATCCCCCAGACTACATCAGGCTGTGATGCTTCACCTGGCGGAAGTGATAGTACCTACATCTCCTCGCCTCTGGCTCCACGGATTGAAGCACGCGATTAACATATTCAAGATGCTCCATAAAGGTTTTATGCGGAGATTCTTTCACCTCGCACCGCTTGCAGATGCTACATCCTAGCTGACGAATGAGTCGTGTCGGACAGCACAATGACAGCACATTAGGAAATGACACAACTCAGTATGCCGGACCGTCTCAATTACCTTTGCTTCTTCCAGGACAGGAGCACAAATCGGCCGTTCAGTGAACTATAATGATCGTAGTCCTAGCGACGATGTGGCATATCTGTGTCATATTGATGCTGCAACACACTATGTCTTCTTGTGGCAGAATCTCTTTAACTTAACGGCAAAGCCGTCATTACAGTTATCGTCTCCAGCTTTCTTTTTCACCTCTAGCTAGCCAGCAATATCAGCGCAAATTATCACTCGTCCCACTGCGTGTACACAACAGGGCCATTGACAACGACCTCTCCGACCTTACCGCCTTCCTCCTCTAAGACAATCTTTCCAGACGCCACATGGCGCTTCCAGATGATAACAGAGTTATTCCTCTGGTGACCAACCGCCAAAAGATCTCCGTTCTTGTTAATGCTGAACTGCCTAGGCGACCATCCGCCCGAGGGCGCAACCTGCACAAGGCTCAACGTCCCACCATCATTGATAGCAAAAGTAGATATCGAGTCGCTAGGTCCCGTCTGGTATACCGGCGAAGTGGCGAAGGACTTCTCCCTGTGTGACACGATGACGAACCGCCCATCCGGGCTCACGGCTAGCTCACTCGTAGGCGCAGTCGTAGCAGGGTACTCGACGTCCAGCCCGACGATTTCGAAATTCTTGGTGAAGGCAAGCCCGGTCTCGGTGTATTCGACGCGGTACGAGTACACCTTCTGGCTGAGTTCGCCATTGAAGAACAGATACAAATCGCCACTGGGGGACTCCCACAATGCGGCGTGGCGGGGACCAGTTCCAGGGTCGGCAACGAGGGGCTTGAGCTCCGAGAGAGGAGATATGGTCTTGGGATCGTACTTGTATACGCGGACCATATCGCCGCCGAGGTCGGGGACGAGAATGAACTTCTTGGTCGGGTCGAGAATTACGTGGTGTGCATAGCTGCGGTCCTGGCGAGCGGGTACAGGGCCGGTTTTGTTGATGGTGGGGAAGATAGTTTCCAGAGGTCCAGTAAGTGCTCCCTTCTCTCCAAGGATCCAAGAAGCAATTGAGCTTTTGTTGCTGTAAGCTTTGTTAGCCCACACAACGATGTATGTTGGAGGTGTTCAACGCACTATGAGGCTGACACATAGCCACGCACATCGGCCTCGGTATCGAAGATTTGTGCGAACACACCAGACAATGGCGCGGTCGTGCGTGCGATGCGGCTCAGCGATCCATTGCGGGAGATGGAGAACGAGTTGAGAGATCCCGCCGTTGCGTTGGACTGGCCTCGGTCCAGACAGTACAGAACCCTGTTATGGAAGTCGAGATTCAGATGCGAAGGGTTTCCAGCACAGTCAATGGTGTTAGCGATAGCCTTAAATCCTGATGGTTTTCTCGTGTCACCAGCAGATAAATTGAGTGTAGTCAGATTGCCATCGGACTGCGCAGCGAAGAGGTGAATAGCACTGCTCGAGGATACTAAGAGTGCGGATGAGAGCACAGCACCCAGATCTAAGCCTCGCATTTCGGTAATATGTGCTTCAAGAAGTACGTGTTGAGCGAGTGAAGGTGAGAACCTACCCTCTAAAAGACTACAGCTCTAGGCATTACATCCCGCTCGAACTAACATCCAGCCCTTCTCTAGGAGGAGCTTGTACCTCGCGGGCGTCCAACGGAAATTTCTTGCTTGGCGTTTGGTTTGCCAAGTTGCGAGGTACCTACAGTTCTGGGCTCGCTGGGCGCTCCCCCGCTTTGCGACGTCGATCCTCCGGGGAAATTTTGAAGCAAGTACCCACCACTGACAGAGAAACCTTTATCCTAGGATACATACAGAGGTAGTATTGCTTGCCGAAAGTATGTTCCACCGCAAGGTTTATCTCCCCAAAACAACGTCACACTATAATCAACGCGACACGCCGGCAACCATAGACCCGATGTGGCAAACCACAAATTCGTTAGAAGCTAATTTCCAAACATCTTTTGGTGCAACGTCATGCGTAGGGTACAGCTTATTCCGGAACATCTGCCCAGGTAATCATAGAAATTTTGTTCCAGACGAGAAATATGGCGGGCGTGTGGCGATGTAACAACGAAGCGATTAAATGTTTCGTAGTGACGGCATACTCATCAAATCTGGGAAAGGACAAGAGCGCCCGGTATCTGGAGTGTTTCGAAGGCTGCTGGTTAAGAGGATCACGTTTCCGACGATTTGATTACGGTGCCAAAGACCATCAGAGACTTGCATGTGTGGACGTGATGGTGAATGTGGCCGTCAAATGGACTGACAAGACAAAGCACGGCGGTCGTAGTACCAAGAAACACAGTTCGTACGTAGTTAGTTGGTGACGAATATGTACAAAGACAAAAGAAGCCAGCAGTGTTAAGAAGAAATGAGGGGGAAAGCATGATTCCAAAATTGGACTGAACTCTCGGATCTATGAAGATTGATTGCCACAAACCCGGTCTGTCTCGAGGGTTGGCAAGGTAAATAAAAGACTCCTATTGTCCAGGTCGCTGAAAATGGGAATTTGCATCAGGAAGTTCTGAAGCTCGGGAACCACAGGCACGATGGTTATCCGTCAAAGCGCTTGGGGAATCGATTTGTAGAAGGGATGTATTACAGGAAAAAATTGAGTCGTGTTATGTTGGGTTGCAAAAGAAAGACTGGCTTGTAAAAGCACGTGTCTTCCGGGAACACGCAGCTGACATTGAGTATGCATGATTCGTCGTGGTGATCGCAAGGATCTCGATATCTATCCCTTCGATATCAGTTTGGTCAGTCTCGTGGATCTGTGTAATTGCGTGCAACGACTTACGGCTGTGGGCATGGTAAAATTGATGACCACTCGTGATTGTTCTGCTGGGTGTTATGCTTCGCCATCAGACAAAAGATTGCATGGCCGGAAAACTTGTTGGCCAGACCCACAATCACGTTCATGTCTTAATTCAGCCCCAGAACGCTACCCAGGAGAATAGTAGGCGCACGCTGACACTGCTGAGCTTCGCCATCAATGTCGCGAATGCTCTTCTAATTGTTGTCGGTGCGTTTGATAGCCTCCTCAAGCAATTTTCTTTTCGTAGATTCAATATGGCATTTCTCCAGATTATGTTTACCGAAGAAAGGGTCGACTCCGATAAGATCAGCGTTATACGCAAGGAGGAGCTCAAGAATCTTGGCTTCGCAGTTCGAATTTGTGATAGCTTGACGGATAGGATACTCGCGAATCCCACTGGAATTAATTGCACCGTTCGCGTCTGCACCGGACCTGAGAGCGAGTTGTACCAGATCTGCATCGCCGAGACGGACAGCGTAATACAGCACGGATTCGTCATTCATGACAGGAAGAGAGTCACTCCGTGTACTCCTGAAGGTGTATGTTTTGGCCATATCAAAAACCTTCCTTTCAACGAACAGCTTCATAGTAATCCGATCTGGTTTTTCACCCCACCACTCAAAAAGACAAGGGCGATATTCGGCTGCCAGGGCAGAGTTGAATCCCATGTCTAGTATCTTTCTGGAAATGCTTATGGCTCCTCGATGGTGGGCATATCCAAGCCACCGAATACAATACTCCGTACGGGGTCGGCCGAGGAAGGTGCAATATAAGGAGAGAAGTTTTTCCAAGAAGTCTACTTTTGATTCGTCCTTTTGCGCATGAAAAACTCTGTCGATTGTCCGTGAAAAAATCGAAGATTTCGTGCGCTTGTGTGATCTAGTGTCTGTGAGGAGCAATTCTACGGCGGCTAGATCCCTGGCACGGACGGCCACGTCGACAGGAGAGCCCAAGCAATATGCCTCACTCCATGGATCTGTGCAGTGCTTAAGCACACTCCTTGTCAGGTCTAATCTTCCCATGCCAACCACCAGACAGAGTAGACGAGCATCATCTGTATCTTTGGAGCAACCCGTTTCCGTGCATTTGGACGGTTTGATCGCGGCGACATGTACGTTTTTCCAGAACTTTACGACGGCAGCAATGACTTCCTTGTTGAGCTCTATACGCTCTTTAACAGACGTCTCTTGAGTGATTTCAATGATTTTGGCGACGGCCATGCGTACAGCCGAAGGAAGGAGATCATGCGCGCCGTATAAGTGTTCGAGGCGATATTCGAGGAAGACAGTCAATCCCTTTCGGAACAAACCACGGTTTCGGCGGCTAGAGTACACCTTCATCGGTTGGTGTTTGAAGATCTCCACGGTGATATAGACATTGAAAGTTTCTAACATGGTCAGCTGAGTTGCACATGAAATTTAGTGTAGCAACTCTCACTGCAGACTTCTCTGTGCTTCCACGCGTCGCATAGTCCGGCCTTTGCAACGTACTTCTGCATGATACGCTGAAAGACCTCGGGAGGTAGGTCGAGAAGCTCCATGGTGGACCACCAGTTTCGCAATCGATACCTGTATACAGTCATTCAAATATCTCTCACATGATGAAGAAACCGCGCTTACGTAGTGTGCTTGCGCTGTTGGCGTTAATTGATTGATGACCTTCAGGTTTTCCAAGAACGACAAGAGGCCAGCGACAGGGATCCAAATATAATGGTGTCTAGAGGAGCAGGATGAGAAGGCGCGCCAGACGGAGACCTTGTGGAGTGATAGGTCGAGAAGTGGGCAAACGAGCAGGTAAGAGACCGCTGGTAGGGAGAGGGTCTGGCAAGTGAGAGGATTTTGCGAGCCATTTTTTTTATCAGTACAGCAAGCGATGGTGCATCTCAACGTAGGCTTGTGATGTCCGGGAAACCCGCTATTTTGTGTTTCCCTATGCAACCCTTATTGGCGACGTCTGGCATTTCCGCGCCTTCCATTCATGCCATATCGGGACTGTCGTGTAGCTACATGATTGGATTTTTGATGAGATGCGAACAGCTGTGTATATATTGATCTGACACGGTCGAGAGCTCAAGCGATTTCCAACGCTTCTTCCAATGGCTCAAATCTTGAGAAGGAATCAATGATAAAGCTTGTTGAAAGCCACAGCTAAGTTGGTTCAGCAGCCCCGTACTAGAGGATCTTGCATCAGCTAGGGCATGACTACAGTCCTACAAGCTCTCTGAAAGATGAGTGCAGTCGTAGCACGATGCGAAATTGTGTCGACGACTCGTCATTACTGGAGCGCTCTGATGACATTGAGAGTGAGGAGGACGCGGAAACGCCCCCCAAAAGCGTGGTGTTTGAACAGCAGAGGGGGACTACATGGTATGGACGAGATGGCGACGGGATGAAGCGAGTTGGCTCGGAAGTATCGGGCGATACCAAAGGAAGGAAAGTGGAACCCGTCCCATCCGCTAGTCCGAAACAGGATGCATTTTGCGCCGCCGTCCATGCAGCGAGGCCCGTGCAAAACGACCTCGATCGGTTCCGAGTACTCTTTGCAGTCCTTCATCTTCTTATACACCGACATAGTCGTGAGGCATAAAATTCAATTTTTTTATAGCGCCTGAGCGATTGCTCTTTCCTCCTCCGTTGCTAGTAATTTCTGTCGAAGTTAGTAATAAGTGTCGAGCGTATCTTGGGGAAAGAGCTTCCCAACAAAGCTGTCATCATAAAGATCCCTTTAGCGAACTAAATGTGCTCAAGCTGTTGTTCTGTACATATCAGTATACACCGTGCATTGCAGTAGGAGATGGTAGGAGTTCCAGGGCGATCCAAAGGTACTTATGTTAACCCCCCTCATTCCACATACGCCTTGCTGATACCGGAAGGATGCTCGACCTGCCGATCCAGGAAGAAAAAGGTATGCAGATGATTGGTCATGCGCGCTAGTGATGCAAGGTGGCTGACGTTAAGTTGTCAAGTGCGACCAACTACGACCATATTGTGGTAATTGCATACGTGGGAGCTTTGTTTGCGGCGGGTACGAGCGTAACATCATCCTGGTTCATGCCGACCAGTCAGGAAAAGGAACCTATAGACCGGAAACGACGAAAACATGCCCTGGTTTGCAGCGGTCGGGCCCGATTTGTGAACCAGCTTTCGAGGGCAGACAGTCCGAAAGCTTGAATCGTACATCGCTTGAGCTGCGATTCTATTCGGACTTTTGGAACGTGTATTTACCGCCGAAGTCCGTCATAGTGTCTTCCTACGCAGCCTCTTTCGCAAATCCTGGCATTAAATGGGCTGAGTATACCCTCAACTGCGTGCCCCGGAGCGAGGTTACAAGGTGCGCGTTGCTTGCTTTGAGCACTTCCAAGCTCGGTAGAGATGGTCAAGACAAACATCTCACGCAGAGAGGTATACAGTTATACGGGAAAGCGTTGTCATTGTTCGCCAAGGAGCTAAGGTTACAGGCGATGCCATTCGAGATGTTAAATTGTTGTCGCATACTAGCGCTCTATGAGGTATGCACACTGACTACACACAAGACCTAGCTTACTTCCATAGCAAATCAATTCTTTCAGCTCGGCAGCGAGTAACTGGAAAGGCCATATACGAGGGTTGTTGACTCTTGTCCATTTTCATCCCCCAGAAGCATTCTCGCATACTGGAGCACATGAGATTTTTATCGAAACTCGTTTTGACGGTGTGACATCTGCCCTTTCGAATCGAAAAGCAAATTTCCTGTCTCGACCTGAATGGATGACCGGCCCTTGGAAGAATCGACAAAAGGATGCCGTTGATACCGCCATGGATGTTCTGGCCAAGCTTCCTGGTGTCCTTGAAGAATGGGACCTACTCAGCACTCGAAAACTCACTGAAAAAACGCTCCAAAGGTTGAAAGTTTTTAAGGAGCACTGCTCAGACCTTGATATCGAGCTACGGGTCTGGTATAGCAACTTCATAACCTTATTCGAAAGAGCGTATCCACACAATGCAGAATTCATTAAAGAGGGTGAGAACGATCCAGCGCAGCAAGCAGTCATACCTGACATTCTAGCGGGTATGGACCTCCATCTTCTCCATGCCATGACGATATACTGGACATCTTGCACGATCTTACACGCCACTATAGACATGGTAGAGAATGGTTTCCCCGCAGTAGCCGACACTGGCAGCAAAGAGCCCAGCGCTACGAGCGGTGGTATTCTCAAATACCTAATATGTCTCGCACATAGTGCGAAGTACTTTTTAAAATCTGAACTGGGGCTCCTCGGAACTCTGAGCATGCGATATACCGGTACCTGTTTAGTTCGTACGCTGCATGCTCACCAAAGCTACTACCCAAAAGCCGATCCAGAAGACCTAAAGCAGCTGAGGCGCGCAATGAGACTCTTGCAGGGCTTGAGTGGATATGACGCGTGGAAGTTTTGGAAGTGTGGCATGGATGACTTGAACCACAAGAAGAATGGCACGTATCCTTCCCGCCTCTGCTGTTAGGACAGCTCATGGAATAAACTCTAAAGCCATCTAGAATTACTCGATCGCTACAATGCCGATTCGAACTTGCCAATTCCATTTCGTGCGGAGGAACGAGCGGACCCGAACGCTTCGCGTGATCAGTCACGTGACCGGAGCAGGCCCACGAGAAGCACAGCGCACAACATTCGAGAAGATACGTTGTCCGCATAATTCACGCCAACTACGACCGACCTGCAAACGTTTTCATAACACGAACAATGGCGCATTCAACGATAATAGACAGTAGCACCGCTGCGTGTAATAACAATCAGTATCGCGCGTTCTTCCCAAGCTGTTATACACGTCGTCGCGACATTTACGATGCCTTCAGAGTATTTGTTGAATAGACCCACTTTTGTGCGATTGCTCCCCAACGTTTGTAGACATGGTTCGCCTAAACGCTCCCGTAGTTGTCGCACCCTACGAACTGCCCTTGCGGTATTCTCGAATAGGCTTCTGGGAAAACGGGATACAAGAGCATGCGTGTTGCTCACTGGTTTGAGTATACACCCTACCCCAACTTGGATCACCATGCAGAGGGTACATGTGCCTCAGAATCTCACTTCGACCTGAGCCGCTCCTGGTGCAAAGTGCGTGGTTCCTAGAGAGGTGGAGTTGAGGAACGTCCCGTGGCCCACACAAGGAGTCAAGGTGCGCTATGGTTACCCTCGGTGAGACCAGGTTCAACTATGGTAAACTCACTTGGATGCAGCGGTAGAGGCACCACACGTCAGTGGCGATGAGGAGGTCTGCAGCAATACCAAGAGTGATACAGACATGAGCCATGGATTGTGGTCGAAAAGCGGGTACTAGAAATCCATTTCTTGCCTCAATCCTGTCGACAACAAGCATGAGCGGTGAAACAAGCGCGACGGGTCGCTGCATGGGCCATATATGACCCGACGCTACCTCTGTTCATTCACTATGAGCGTCACCCGCAGGCTTTAAAGGTACCGCCACAGAAGTAATTCTCCCGGTGCGCAAACCCAACGAACACACCTACCGCGACACCACGAAGCCTCAACCGTCGCAAAAGATAAAGCGAAAGTTGCTGTTCGACAAGCTCGCCTCTAAACTCGCCTCGTGTTTTCTTCGTTCAGATTCCAACATGGACAACGCTCCACAGCCCGCAAGCGCAAGGAGCGCGACTCACCAGGAATGGATGCCCGTTGATATCGGCGTACACAATCAGCGCGCGCACGCTTTTGCGCAAACAGTTGCGCTGGTAAACTTGCAGACTAATTCACTTGTCGTTACCTCTTCACGCGGCTTTGGTCGCGAGCTGCCACCGACCGCGTCGACTCGTCCGTCGCTCAAAACCCGCCGATACACGGTGGATGCCTCACTCACTCAAGGAGCCTTCCAAGGGCAACGGGACTATATACGCAACAACCACAACATGATGCAGCAGGACTTCACCTACCCGAATCAGCCGCGCGCGAGGCAATTCCGATCTGTGCGAGAAACAGACGAGCCTGTGCAGCGCCAAACTTTGCTTCCTTTTCCGGACCCGCTTCGATATCGCATTCTCCACCGCTGGGGGTACGTCTTGCCGCCCGTTAACGACGATACATACGCTCATATCGGCAATGCTTTGTTATCAAATGAAGACATCTGGAGCATCATGCAGCTCACAGGGATCTATAGTTGGTATAGAGACACTGTTTTGGATGCTGCGCTGGAGCTGACCTCTCTCTATTACGATGGTGAGACAAATGGTATTGCAGTCGCCAGTTCCACGACAGCACAATGCGTGCAATTTGCGGCAACGGGAGTCGACGATGCAGCTATGATCGAGCTACGAGCGTACAAGACAATGTTTGACGACAAGAAGTGGATATTCGTACCTCTCAACGATGGTATGGGTGGCACATCTGCAGAAGAAGTTCGAGGTGGTCACTGGGCCCTCCTTGCCATCGACCGCCCAAACAAGCGAGCGCACTATATTGACGGACTGTTCAGTTGGGCTGTTGATTGGCAAAATATTGCCCAGAGTCTTGCACTTGCTTTCGGAAACTTGCTCGGGGACGGAAAGTATGACTTTTACGTCGAACAGAACGCTCCTCACCAGTGGAACCACAATAGCTTCGGCAGTGCGGACTCGGGTCCATGTGGTCCATATGTTGTGAAGATGGTCCAGACTATGATGCACCATATCTACCACTCTCAGCTTCACGGAGTCGAGGACCAGATTTCACTCCACCTCGAATATGGGATGAGTTTTTTGTTTATATTCAACTCATTCGAGGAGCGCCAGTCTCTCGTGTACACCCTAGCAGGTTTCAAAGCCAGCCAAGTAGCGAATGATCGCGCAATGAAGCACGATGACATGGTACTTGGCCAGCCACGTCCGCTTGGTCTCATTGAGCTCCGCAACCCGGCTTCGTTGGTGTACGATTCGGCACTGTTCGAACGCAATTCTTTGACATTCCATAAGCTAGAATACCACCGCATTCTTGCTCTCCACCAGCACCAGCGTAATATGTCGACCTCCACCCAGAGCTCCAGCGGTAGCTCTGGAGGCATCGATATCACTAGCGTGGCTAGCGGAAGTCAGATCCCAGTTGGGTACGACGGGTCCCAGGACGATCAAATCGCGAACGAAGTGGAGATGCGCGACCGGCCAGCCTCGACTGTGGGAACTGACGACGACTATGTCCGTATCGAAGAAGTTCCGAATAACGAATTCTCGCCATATTGGTATATCCGCGAGCACCTGGAACTTCCCTCCAATGTCAGTCAAAATCGTGCTGAGATGATCCGCCCTCATCAGAATACCCAAAGAAGTAACGATCAGTACCCTCAGTATCCGATCCACGCTGATCAGAATCTGTACCTCCGGGATAGGGTCGACGAAATGTTCGATGACTAATCTCTTCCATCTCAGCAGCTGAACCCTTCGCTCTAGGAAACGATTCTTCTCGGCGATTCGAACACAGCACATACCGAGAACAGAATTGAAGTGCGTGAACATCGTGTCTTCTATTTCCTGCGTAAATACATCCCTCACGGCTCAAGGCCTGTTCCCAATACTTTGCAACCTTGTCTCCTCGCGAGTATCTGTATCTAGTTCATGGTGTTCGGAAGTCCAGTCGGGACTTTCATTCAGCCTTCCTTTTCCGAAACAGGCGCTCTCGGCACTTGCATCCGCAGATTGGATCTTCTTGGTGATTTTTACTGCAATGGTATGTCTTAGCATGAGCGACGTGGGCATGGCGTTAGCGTTCCCAGGACTTCATCCTTACCGCAAGGTCTACACGAAGTGGACAAGAACGCGGGGAGAACTCGAGCAGAGGTAACCTGCATTTGTTAACGCGTTAGAATGTCTGATTCATGGTTCCATTCTAATTCAACTACAAACCTTTCGGTTTATAGTCTTCTGTTACTCTATCTACAATTTCTTCTGTTCCAAGGTTTTGTTTCAGGTTTGATTACCATGTTCCCTCATTCATCGTTCCATTCTCGCTTAACCTAAAAAAAAAACTTGGTTCATAGTTTCACATTAGTTTAGTAACGATTACTCCCGGAATACCTGCTGTCCACATGAGCTCCTTACGTGATGGGATGAGTTTTCGATGAATGCCAGCACACTACAATTACTCCTTTTCGACGATATGCACCCCCGCATCAAAAACTCAGTTGCGGCAACAAGAACCAAAGCACATGTCGGGATCTATTGTAGCTTCAGTGCGTGCGTCTCAGACCTAGATAAAGATACCCAAATTGCAGGCAGTGGTCTTTCTCCCTTTAATATTGCGTGCTTGGTCTGCTAGTGCTGAATTATTGTTTGTGCTGAACAGGATATCCCATCTATATCGGATCAACGATGGGCACAGTAGAGAGCAAGACCTTCTACCGTCGTACATCGCAATTGAACGGATCATATCTGTATATTGTCAGCCTCGTAATGCTTCAAGGTTGCCGGACAAATAAGTTTGTTTCTTGTCTTTGGATTGCCTCGGCTTTAGTGCCACCGCGGCTTGCTTGACAATATCTCACATTCGACAGATAATCCAGGCGTGCGATCATACCCCCGATGAACTATGGTATCATCGGTATAGGCGGCGACACTGGTGCCGCTGGCTTGAACGACCGGTGCCGTGCAGGAGCTGCAGCCTTGAAGATCCGGATCATGAACAATGGGCATAACGCGTACACACGGTATGCTTGCACTCCAATGACTATAATGCAGCCACAAAATCTGCCTTTAACCGTGCGTCGTCAGCCACGCCTCATACCTAGAAATCACACGCTTCTGATATTGCTCTCACTGCAACAACATGGGTTTGCAATTGCCACCATAGGTACGAGTCGTTGTTTGCGACAAGTTCGGTTACAAGCGCGCCACGCCTCGTTTAGGCTTACGTCACGGTAGTTGCTTTTTGTTGAACCCGTCATCGCATTGTCCTGGGTATACATACATATTGCCATCATACTGGTACGCATCTCCCGGAGTGAGTGCGCGACGCTCCCGGTCACAGCCGCGCAATCTCGCTCGTACGTCAGGCACCATCAGACAACGACCTGAGCGTACAGAACACCAACCATTTGCCAAGTTCAGATATGGAGAATGAACGACATCCCGTTATGTGCGTACCAGCGCCATGGACCCTGAAAGCAGAAAGCTACCTACTCTTCCTGAAGCTCAACAGTCTTCCACTCGGGCTCTACGATCCGCTCGAAGAAGCATGGACAGATGAAGGGCTAGGCACATTCACCGGCGGACTTGGTGCTATAATGATTGTTCGCTATACAGACACGCCCGTTGGACTCTATGACGAACTCATGCTCATCCCTGGAAACTTCGCCGTGCCGCGTCCCTCCGACGGCCCGCCCAAGATCCCCAAGAAAGCCCTCCGCATAGCGCGCATTTACGTCTCGCAACGCACTACCACATACAATGGTCGTCTAAACTGGAATATCCCGAAGCATCTTGCACGATTTGAGTTTTCCGCGCCCGTGACGAAGGAGGGGATGGCGCCGCCAGAGAAACTGACTGTGAAAGCATTTGCACCCGGGACGGTGGAGGGGGATGGCGTTGCGCCTTTCTTTGCGTGCACGCTGAAGCCGTGGAGGTGGGTTCCTGCCGTGCCGGTCAACATGAGATATGTTCCGCTGAAGATGGTGCATGTTCAGCCGCCGATCCCAGAGCCGGCGGGGCATCGGCAGGCTGTGGAGACTGAGCTGGACGACGGAGTGAAGATTGACCCGTACGATATTAGTACAAAGAATGAGATAGCCGTAGCTGCGGGTACGGATCGGTGGTGCTCGTTTGATATCGGTGGGAAGGTGGCGAGAGCGCGTGGATGCTGGGTCGAGATGTTGCGGAATGGGACTGGAGGCGAGGAAGAGTCGAAATATTTCCCGCTGGAGCTCAAGCCGTGGAGTTTCGGTGGTTGGATGGAAGAAGCGGTGCTGGAAATTGAAAAGCCGCTGGAGTGGAAGCTGTAAGGTCAAGTACACCGCGTTTATGATCATTCATTGTTGTGCCAGGATTCTATCATAGCTACAGTCATCGATGAAGCTGTCACCACTTGGACATTTACACCACGACCATTGGGTGTCGGGAAGACCTGAATACACAGCAATTTATAGCCTTGGAGCGGTTCGTGGCCGAGAATTTCATCGACGTGGTTCGCGTTTCTTCCCACACAAGCCAATCTGATGTTCATGCCATCTTCCACAAGCTTTTCGACAGCTGCCAGCAGTGTTCGGGGAGGGTAACCTGGTGGACCGGAAACCCCAATTTCAAAGAGATGCTTCACTGCATGGTCGACCTTTCCGATTGCGAAGAGGAACTGAAGGTCGACGCAAGGAGGACCAACGATGCAGCCTTCAATGACCGAGGGTGCGAGGCAGTTGCTTGCACTCCTGAGAGCACTCAAACCGCTGAAAGATGTGCTCAACAGCTTAGGAAGGCGAAGCGTAGAAGCTAGGAGATGAGAGATTCCGGTGCGATGCTGTACAGGAGCGCGGCTTAGGTACACATCAAGGAGCTCCTTCACATACTTGCGGCGTACTTTCAACGAAAGATTGGGGAGAATTCTGTCTGCCATCCGCACGGTGACTCTCCTGTTCACTGTCGCTATGAGATCTTCGTGGCGGGCTCCAGCTCGCAAGGCTGCGGTCACTCTCTCGCCGCGAAGCTCTTGATCAACGTCGCCGAGCACCATGAGCACATCCTTGAGTCTTGTATATGTATCCCAGCTCTGTATATCTGTGCCAACGTAGAGAACGAAAGCAAGGGTCCTGCGCCAAACTCGCAGATGCGCGTCTACCTCTTGACTGAAAAACTTAGACGCACAGAGAAGGCCGCCATGCGTCTCGAAGTCGTAGTCCAGACACCATATTGAGTCGAATGATGAGTTCTTCGCGCGAGATTTCCTCGTGTTACTTTGCAGGAGATAGCGTGCCGTTGCCTGGAAGAGCTCGTCATAAATATTGAGGCGGATGTCTCTAGGGAGGTCGAGCAAGCGAAAGGGGAGTCGTTGCGTTTGAGGCGCTTCCGATGATCGTGGGACGCTCGACATTTGGGGGATATTTATGCCCGGGTATTCGAATAATATTCGTTATCAAATGTGTTGGACTGTTGTATGCGAACTGGGGTAGTGTTTACGCGCGCAAAGCTACTGGCGCCCTTACGTAATCATGTGAAAGTGAAGGGAAGGGACGATACACAGATTCTCTCCGCTCTTAAATGTTCGTAAGGCGCTTTAGGATACATCTGGAGATGTTTGTCTATTCGAAAAGCAAGCATTTTGTGTTTCACCACCATGCAATGAACAAAGACGTCAGTGTCATGCTGCGCTTTCGCCTAGGCCTGGGACAGATGGGACTTGATAGCAATGATTCCACGTCTTGCATGTATAACATCGAGGTGCGGCACAGTAATATCGCAACCTAATTTGTCGCCGTTTCATGGAACCTCACCTCACTCCGAGCAGCGTCGGAAATGACTTATGATCTTGATTCGTAAAGCACCAGTACAGTGTAGAAGCTTCTTACCCTTCCAGAAATACGTGTCTTTTGTTCTTCGCATAAACAGGGCAGCTAAGTCTGTTTATTTCTTCGCCAGAATGTTCGTGTCAAAGATGGACTAGAAATTCTTACCTTCTGGAAGATCGCACACAAGCAACTCCACGCGGTGCTCTTGTCACCATATCAATTTGAACGTCCGCAAATCCCACGCGAGAAATAAGACCTACGCTATTCAGCAATAGAGTCATAACCAATGATCCGCACGGCCTGGGTGTCTTCAATGAAGACCGCAACAAGTGCCCCCAATAGCGATCATAAATACCTGGTCACTCTGAAAACCTAGTACGAACGCGGGGCACTTTACAAAACTGCTGCCTGCAGAGCCTCATCTGATCTCATCTGATCTCATCTCCCTCCCTGTAATCTCATGTGGCATCCAAACAGTACTCAGGAATCCCACTTCAGCTTTCTCATCGCAGCGCATCACCACGGACACCCTCGCCATATCCTTGAGTACCTAGGCTCTGATCCGATTGTCTCCAAATTTATCCTCCTGATCGTAAGCATCGATGTCACATCGCACGCTCGCCTCGCAACACCCGACCTCGCAACAAGCACCCTCTTACACACGCAAGCATGTCCCCTGCACGCCACATTGCGGTGAGCAACCCTCTAGCCTAGCCTTTTCCGTAGTGCATTTTCAGCTTCATTCTCGTGCTGACAGGGACTACGCAACGCGTATTCTAGAAGCCTGAGTCGCGTAGTGCTTTTTGACATGAGGCTGGGGCTGCGCGCTATTGAGCTGTGGGGTTGTCGTGAAGACAGGTTGCCCTTGAAGAGATGAATGGGGAGTGGCGGTGCCTCGGTTAGATCTGGACTAGTTGAGAGATCAGCATGGCGCGTCTGTGGCGCAGGTACAGCCGCGATGACCCGAGGCTGCTATTCGGACGCCTTTGCGTGATATTCGGATTCGGTGTCTTTGCGGAGAGAATGTCTGCTTAAGTTGAGTCACGCAAGGCTGCGACCTTCGTACTTTCCATCGTGTGAGGGCATACGAGCCATGACTCATACAGGCTAGCCTACAAGAGCTCTTGAGTGAGCATCCATGGCTCAACGAGCAACACATGTACTCTACAATTTCGACAGTCAGCACCACATATCAAGACACACGCACAAGTAGAGAGTCTATGGATCAGTATGATGACTACTGCAATGAGGAAAACGCGCAAGACGCGCATAGTGTGCATCTCTGACACGCACAACCAAACACCTAAGCTACCGCAGGGCGACGTACTGATCCATGCGGGGGACATGACGAAACAGGGAAGTCGGCATGAGCTAGAGAAGACGGTTAGGTGGCTAGAAGCAGCGGATTTCGAGGCTAAAATCGTTGTTGCTGGTATGTTGAAAGTTGGGCTGCTTCTGCCCGATCAAAAGTGTGAACCGCTGGCTCATCTTGGTCAGGAAACCACGATATGACTCTCGATGCACCTTTCTTCGAGCAGCACAACACTCGGATTGGATCAAGTCATCCAAGATGGCCAGATACTCGCAGCTCTGAGGACAACAAGAGACTGTTGGCCGAGTCGACGTCAATCACATATCTGGAGAACGAGGCTGCAACCATATATTTGAACGCTAAAGACGGCCCGCATACCTGCTTCAAGGTATATGGCAGTCCCAACGTGCCCAACAACAGGGATTGGGGATTTGCGTACAAGCCTGGAACAGCTCGAAAGATTTGGGATGCGATTCCCTTAGATACCGATATTGCGGTTACGCATACCCCACCCTTGGGACACTGCGACAAGGCCGTGCAAGATGAGCGGACTGGTTGTGAGGAGTTGCTTCACGCTCTCCATCGTGTTAGACCAATGCTGTCTGTTTTCGGGCATATTCACGAAGCACGTGGTGTAGAAAGGGTGCGGTGGAACCTTGAGTCTCCGGGGAAGGGAAGTCTGACGGATGGCGTGGAAGTCTGGCAGGACCCAGGCATGGGCAAGAAGCAGTCAATGGTAGATTTGACTGCTAGAGGACGTCGTCCTTTGGATAACCATAGCAGGCTGACACGTCAGACATACAGTCCCAGGCACTTGGCCCGGGGCGAGCCTCCCGGTGGGGGCCTGTCAGGTCTGCCTGGCGTCATTCAGCCTTCTCAGATTAATGCCACCTCGTCCTCCGAGGGCGTAGGTGGTGAGGTAAGTGGAGGCGCAAAGTTTATGCTTGGAGGAGCAATTGAGCATCGCCAAGGAGTGGGCGCAAGCGAGGTCGGACCCGAGCACAAGCCTGACGTGGATGCCGATGAGCGGAGAGAAACTGTCATGATCAATGCTGCTTTCTTGGGCCCCCATCATCTGAAGACCACGTTCAACAAGCCCATTGTGGTTGACGTCGATCTTCCAGTGTGGGTAACGGAAGACGACGCAGGATGATGTAGAGGATCCCCCATCTAGAATACTGGGTCGATCTGTGTTGTCAGAGTCGTACAGATGAGCGAGCTCCGCAACGGCAGTGACGGACTTCGTGTTGGTGAAGGGCGTCTGTTGTTGGGCTGAAGTGCGTTCAATCAAGCCCTCCCACGTACGTGTACAGTAGTGGTGTTTGAACAGGACTTGTAGGTCGCGATTGGTAGTCGTAGTGAAGAATGCCCCGCTTTTTGTGGCGCCGTCCCCGCATCGTGTGCTACCTGGCCATTCATTGCCAGCGTCTACTGCAGACTACTGTTCTTCTAACGCTTGTCATCCGGGACGGATCGAGTTGGAAATTGTCTGCCTGGCGATGCAACCGCCGGTGCGTCAGGGCACTCCCTCGCAGCTCGCACGCATCACTTCTCAACATGGCGAATGCCGCGCCGGATCTGGCATGGCTCTTGCAGGACCTCGTGACGGATCGCTCGTCCTCCCAGGTCTCCGCTGTCTCGGTATGGCGGGAAGGACGACATGTGAGGGCAATCAGGGCAACGGTCGGCAGGCTGCGAGAAGACGCAGATTGTGCTTTTCCTGCAGCCTGTCCTCTTGGTCATGCCTTGCAAATGTCTCTGCAGGCCAAGCTGTCCGGGTTTGATTGGGCATGCGTGATGCTATCGGCGACTCGTGGATACTTCGTCGGTGTTCTGGATGCTGCAGGTGTGGGCGTCTGTCCTATCACGGCATGCGCAGCGTCAGGTCCCAAAACGTTCCATGTGGCCAGGGCGGCGGCTGATTGGGCGTGTGTTTGTAGCCGCCGTGCCCGCGACGTAGAGTGCATCTGCAGGTCTCGCAGACGGTGTCTGGTCTGCGCGATTTGGGGTGGCTCGGTGGCTCCTGTCTGGCTGAGGACGAGGCGTGGAGCGACGGTGGGCACACCAGGCGTGACTGACTAGTGGCTGCGATCCCCACGAGCTGGCAACTGACTACCTCGCATCAGCAGCGGTGGAGCACGCTCAGTGAATCGGCCTCAGGGCGGAGCTGACGGGCATTGGCTGCTGCAGCCTCAGATGCCGGAAGCATGCAAGTGCGCTGAGGAAGCGTGCGGGTTGAGCAAGGTGCCGCTGTACTGTCCCTAGATAGCCTCTCCGAGCACCCATCGAGTGAGCAACAGCGAAGCCTTGCGTCCCCCATTGATTACTGTGCCCCAGCCTACACTGTCGCACATTGCACTACGCTTCCCTCCTCTTCCGAGCCCTTTTCGACCATCCATCCTCCGTCATATTGCGCAGAGCGTTTGTAATTCCAATCTGATTCTCGTGTCTGGGCTGGCTCCATCGGGTGCGTCAAGCCTCACGCAGTACGTCACTCACCGCCAGAACGACCCGCAGCGTCTCCCGGCCGTTGCCATAACAAAGCATCCTCTGCGCGAGACACGAACGTGCTTCAGAACACAGCCGCGTTCTTGTCGCTCAAGAGGCCTGAAGTCTGCTTACCCTGCGCTGTGTCACCGGCGCAGTTCCTGTCCGGCTTCTACGGGCTTCCCTTGCGACGGCGTTGGCGTTGGCACCTTCCCGCCTTCCCGCTCCACCTTCCACTTACCTCATCGCCCCTGCCGTGACCGACCGTCCGACTCGAGCGACTTTACCGACCGACATATACTCACACGCTCCTTAACACCGCCGCGAACGCGAGCGCGTCCTGACGATCATTGACTAGTACAGCGACTGCACTCGCCGAGGTTTCTGGAGCCACGGGCAGCCACGTCCTCGCCACACCTCGCACCGGCATTATCCAGCACCCGTCTCAGGGATCGTCAGGGCCCTTAAACGCCGCAATTCGGCATTCCCATTCATAACATCGACCAACACTCACCCACACCCACACACGGCAGCCCTCCATCGCCACACATCATGGACCCGCTGCCTCCAGACCCGTACCTGGCACTAGGCCTGCCCAAGGACGTCGATTCAGAGACCATCAAGAAGACGTACCGGAAATTAGTCCTCAAGTGCCACCCTGACAAAGTCACCGATCCGTCATTGAAGCTGCTGAAGCAGGAGGAGTTTCACAAGATTCAGCAGGCCTATGAGCTCATAGGCGAGGAAGAAGCGCGTGCCCGCTACGATGCCGAGGTGAAGCTGGAGTCGCTCCGCAGAGAGAAGGCTGCGAGAGGAGCCAGCGGCAGCGGGCCAGAGGTTCGGACAGCACGCTACGATGTCCGAACTCAAGCCCCCGCAGGCGCAAGCTTCAAGGCTAACGGACCCGCTCGCTATGAGGAGCACAAGTCATCGCGGTACTCGGATGACCGATACTATGAGGAGCGTTCACGCAAGTACGACACGTACGAAGCATATCCCTCGAAACAGAGCACCACGCGCAGCTCTCGCGAGAAAGTGAGCCCTCAGAAGACCACTCGAGAGACCTCCGACCGCGCGAGATCCGACTATAAAAAGTCGCGCGACAAGGAGCGAGAGAAGGATCGCAGGCACGTTGCATCAGAGAGAGAACGCGGCGACAGCGACCACTCTGCAGACGAAAAGGCACGCTATGAAGCAGAGTATAAGAGACGCAGTGATGATGCTCGCAGACGCGCAGAGGAAGACGATGCGCGCAAGGCTGCTGCCGACCTGCGCCGCAAGGCAGAGGACAGGCGCTCGTACGAAGATAGCAAGTATGACCGCAAGCAGAAGCTGAGCGAGCAAGCTAGCGATGCGATGCGCTACATCCGCATGAGCTCCAAGGGAGACGAACGTCCTTCGCCGGGCAGGACCAACTCCTCGCGAGATGTACGGGACTACTACGATAGCCGCGACAGCCGCTCTCGACGAGAGCGACCAGAGACGGTTCGTCGGTCGTCCGCACGACCAAGGGACCGACATTCGCCAACAGGTCGAGACCGGAAAGGCCCCGAAATCGTTGACTGGGAACCTGAAGATAGGAAAATGCCCGCTTTCAAGCATGCCTCGTCTTCGCCAGCTGAGATCAACGTGCCGCGTGCGACACCGCATCGGTCCCATACAGAGTCGTCCCGCGACCACCGCCGTTCAGAGACATCGCCTACGCCAATGTTTCGCCGCTCCGAGACGATGCCTACCGTGCCACAAGCTTCGTCTGCCAGTCGCAAAGCATCGACTGCGCCTCGCCCTTCTGGTCTTCGTGAGTCAGTCACCCCCCAAGACTCTGGAGCTAGCAGTCCGGAAGCATATCCAACAGTCCCGTCGGCAGCTCCAACCAAACGCTACTACTACCCTACGCCTGGAGGAGGTGTCAGCTTAGCTCCCGAAGACATGGGAGTGGGTAACGGGCATCGCACTGTGCTACGCGAGCCAGAGCGACAGCGCCACCGCTCGCCATCGCCACTCACTCGTCCACCCATGGGCGCCAATAGACCTTCCGAAACTTCCTCCGCACGATACACCACTGCTGCACCTAGTAAATCCTCGGTCCCGCCACCGCCACTCGGACGCTCCGCCACCACTATGAACACTAATGAGGATCGCGGTCGACGTCTCTATGGAGAGGTTGGCTCTGATGCTACGCGACGCGAGAATGCACGCCGTCAGACGAGCTTTTCGCCAGACAAGGTCTCTTATTCACGAAAGATCGGACCCGAAGACGTTCGGTGGGCACCTCAAAGCGGCAGCGGTCGTGATCGGGACCGAGAGTACACGAAGCCTACATTAGGCAGACATGCTACGTACGTGTTCTAGTGGCGTGCTATGCGTGCTATTGCAGCCTCCATAGAAGATTTCTGGCTTCTACCCTGGCCATTCGACATTCCGACCGGCAGCACACATCACACAGACAGTATACGTTTACAGCTGGATACCCAATCCTGGCTCTCGACGCGCTTACCCGGACTTTGTTTTGCTTCACTTGTTTCATTGTCATTGTTTACATTCTTGTCCCTGTTTGTCGAGAGACCAGGCTTGATTTACTTGCTTTTGCGCTTCTTGACTGTCTCGCTACTGCCCTCTCAATCACCAAGGTGTTTGCGACACGTACCGAGCTTTGTGTAAAAGACGTTTTCTTTCCTCTACTTTACGATCAAGCCTGCCTTGATCCTTCCTATTATGTCCTAGCTCTCGAGAAACCAACATTGGTGGTCATTTGCAGGCGTTTTTGGCAGTATGTGATTTTGCGAAGTCACTCTTTTCTACATTCGCTGCAGATGATTTACGATAACACTGAACGACGATGCAGGGGGGACCTTGGTGAGAGATGTGAGGCTCTGGGTGCGTGGACATGGGGGGAATCGGGCGCGTTGAGTGCGATGGGTTCGCGCTCCGCTTGTATATAGGAAATGAAATGGAGCCATTCGGTAAACTATAACTCAGGTGCTTCATGTGTGAACGGTATGAGTACGTCATGTACAAGTAGCACGAGGCCTCACTTTACAGCATCATTTCGCTTCACTGACATATTGCAAGGCAAGCTCGTCAATACGACAACTTTCTATGAGTCGCTTCCTTTCTGCCTCCTGGCTAAGAAGGCAGAGACGTCACAAAAGACGAGTTACGCATCAACAGGCCCTACAAAAATCACACTTCCTTAGCTTGCCCTTTATTTTCTCTTGCATCCATCTTCCCCTCTTTTTCTGCTTCTACCTCTGATTCTCCCTCCTACCCACACTAATTTCTCTAATTCAATTTTTCTAAACTTGCATTAATCCTGGAATCATTGCTGACCACCTTCCCTCTTCCCAATAGTCAAGTCCCTCGGAAAAAAAACCACCCCCAATAAGCCCCACATTCACACTTGCTCTCCGGTCTCATCATCGTCGCCCACACTCTTCTTGGCCTCTACCTCCGCTTCTTTCTTCCTCTCCGGTTTTTTCTTCTCTTCGTTCTCCTTGTACCTAGCCTTGACCGCCGGGTCATTCTCGATCTCCTCTCTGGTCCTGGGTTTCTCTGCTTTTTTGAGCACTCCATTCGTATCTTCTGTCTTCTGTAGTGTACTCTAATATTCCCGCTTTCGTAGCGTCTGTTTTTCGAGCGCCTGCAACGGGTTCTCGAGCTCGCTCTCCACCTTCTTGATTACGCGTGCGCGAACGGCCTGCAATCTGTGGGGCATGTTTAGGGCGTGTTAGAGGAAGGTTGGGTAAAGGCGTACAGGGAGTGTTCGCGTTGGGTTGTGAAAGGTGGTAATTGCTGGATAAGAGGTAGGAAAGGGATGCGTCGGATTCATATAGTTTGAGATATTGACAGGCAATTAAGGGGATAGAATGCTTGATACTGAATCAAACACTACGAGGCAAATACCACAAGACAGGTACTACGAGACAGATACTACGAGACAGGCGGTGGGGAGAGTTACCACAATCTTACTACAGGGGACTTGACAGAGTGTAAGGCATCTCGCGTACAAACATTCATCTGAATAACTATCTTGTGATACGACTACCAGCTGATTTCGAAATTGAGATCATTACTGGAGAATCGTCTTCACACACATTTTGTCGGGTTATTCCACTTCACTTTTCCTTTTCAAATTGCATGGAAATTAGTTATAGCTATATCAACTGAGATTGCTTTGATTTCAACCTATTATCGGCCGTCAAGCGAGCATTCGCTGCAAATGTACTGTCATTGAACCCTCATAGTAACTACTCGTAGCACCTCGTGCATACCGTGGGTATCCGCAGCCTAATCCTGGCTCAACCTCATTGTGCTCAAGTTACCCGCTCGCACCTTCTGAATATGCTCAATCGCCTCGATCAGATGTGGCACGAACTTCTGCGGGTTCTCGGTTGCGGGGAAGTGGCCCAGATCCGGCATCGTCTTATGCTCCGCGCCGGGAATCTTGTCCGCCGTCTTCTGGGCCATCTCAGGTGTGTTTGACCAATCGTACTCTCCAGTGAGCATGAAGACAGGACAAGTGTTCGTGTCGATGTTGGCGACGCGGGAACGGCCGTCGAAGCCGCCGAAGTAGAAATCGAGGTCGCCGTGGAAGATCTGAAGGTGGTCGTTAGCAGGGATGGGGAGAGAGGAAGGGGATGGCTTACACCATAGGCTTGGGAGCTATAGGTGTGCCATAGGAGCTGTTTGTTCACAAGTGGTGCTGTTGGCGACATCATCTGGAACTAGTTAGCCACATTAATACCATGCGATGTTCCTAAACTCACCCCGTAAACCCACTCTGGGTTGAATAAAGACTGGTTCACGTACGGCGAGCGGTCGTGCCACAGCCGTTCCATGCTGAGGTACTCAGTTCTATGCAGTGTTAGCCGTCACACTCCATGCCAGCGTGAAGAGCGACAAACCCTTGCAGAGGAATAGTGCCAATAGCTCCAACCTCCTTATGCCTGGTCGCAACAGCCAGACACGCTTGGCCAGCCATACTAGCACCGCAAATGATGGGTCTCCGCAGTCCTAATGCCTTGACGAAAGCTGCGATGATGCCCACGTAGCCATCCTCAGTAATGGTGTGTGCACCAGGGAGGGACTTCTGAGATGGGAAGCTCCTCCCATGCGCGGGCAGGTCAAAAGCGTACATTGTACATCTAGACCGCATTCGCGAGTCGTTCATCACTCCATGGTATTGTCGGCTGTCGCTGCCCGCTGTGTGAAGGAACACAATCGCTTGCTTGCCTTCTCCAGAATACTCGTAGAAGACCTTAGACTTGCCCCACGCTGGAGTTTCTAGGTACACGTATTTGCCTGTGAGGTAGTCCTGGGTCGGTTCCGGCTGCGTGTCCTCCTTCATCGGTCCGCACTGCGCGTCGTGCGCAAGCTCGAGAACGCGTCGCCAGACGTGAGTCCAGTGCGCGAATTCAGTCTCGTCGCCCTGCACTTCAGTGCCTTTCTGCTTGATGTTCATGCCGAACATGCCCCAGTAGCTTTGGTAGGGCGCAACAGGCACTTTTTTGAAGAACTGCTCCCACTGCTCTGGAAGAGCGGAAAGCGTGAAAAGCGCATCTTTCGGAGAGCCAGTTTTGGCCTTCGCGGAGCCGTTGCTCACTTCGATTAGGATGGTGTTGTCGGATCCGCTCGATTTAATTCCGAAGGTTGCCGGCTTGTCAATTGCATTTGATGTTGTAAATGCCTTCAGCTGGTCGTCCGACTGGAGAAGCTGGGAGAACTTGTCGAAGCTTCCCTTGAGAGCTTCGGGAAGATCGGACCAACTGGCCATAGTTTTGTTCGCAAATTGTCAGTTGTGTATTCGACAATGCAGCGGGTGCGTGCAGAATGTGTAGGCGAAGAGCAAGGAAGCGGTGGGATAACAAAGTCAAAATGGGGGAAGCAGCACGCCAAAGTGACGATGTTCTATTGATATACATCTTCTTCCGCGTCTCCAGAGCCATGAGGTCAGGCGGGGTAAGCTCGACGGCTTCTGGTGCGGGGTGTCGACACGTGGATGAGTAGCCTTGCAGAGGAAGGGATAGCTCCGGTAATTCTTTGTGACGAGTATGATGAGAGATGACCCTGATGACCCGTATTGGATAGGTGAGCTTCTGGGGCGCCGTCCGCTGCGGGGACATGCGCTAGTCTGCAAGAGGTAAGGGCTTGAAACACCATGAGGTCCGCTTCCGATGCGTGATACGCCCATCCTTCTCGCACTACGCTAGACATTGCCGGGAACATTCACGTCCCTGATTCGGCGGTCCGTATCTGTCAAAGACCGTCGTTGTGTCGCCGAAAGTGGATACCAGATGTGGATAATAGCTGTTGGCATTACACCACGCATTGCCTCACCAGAACTATCCATCGTTTGCACATCTACAGGAGTTCCAAGGACTGATTACATACACTGACACCAGACCGAGTTGTACGTCTCTTCGATAAGTAACATCGTAATGGGCATAACGTCGTGTTCTCAGACCCGTACCTACGGCGATGGGTCACGCAGGCCGATCAAGCGCAAGCTCAACAGCGCGTCAGTAATGCTGAATGCACACAGAGTGTTACAAGACGAGTACAAGTTGATCTGTCACAGTAAACCGAAACCGAGATAGCTTACGGCTCAGCATCCTCGACACTGCCCTACCTCTAGTCTTTACGACACGCTGCACCGCAGAGATTGTGTTCAAGATGCGTTTGTAGAGCGATCAGCATAGCCACAATGTGCTCGCGAGATACACCGCAATCTGAAGGTGTTTTAGATCTGGTATCTAATTCTCTGTTTCATGAGATAAGGAAATACTACCAGCTTACCCGCTGTACAATGACGGGTCAATCGTTGCACCCGCGGGGCCTGCCTGAAACCCACAGCCAGAATTTTAGTGCTACATCACGACCACTCCGATGTGACCTACCCTGTCACTAGCTCCGGCAGTCGTGCTCCTTCTCCCAATCTGTTGTCGAAAGTCAACATAAAAGCCCCTTACAATTCACGATACAGGATCCTGGCAAAAGCATCTGCTTCCAACCGCTTACCAACAATGCTCTTCAAGATTGCCAAAACAGTCGTGCTATTATCCAGTACCATAGCAACAATTGCACAACCTTTCGCCTGTGGCCAAGGCACCTCTGCCTCCTGCGTCAGCTGGCTCACTTCATCTGCTACACCCTAGAAAGCTTCCCAATAATAGAAGACTTCACCACCTGCGCAAACAATTATCCGAGAGGCTGAGTTTGCTGCGTCGACCATCACCTGGTATGCACGCGTGTGCTCGAATCGTCCTTCAAGGCCAAGAGACTGACTTTGGCTGAAGATAGTAACCCCTATTGACTCTGGCTATAACTTCGGATGTCTACCAGCCAATGTTGTGTCTGGCAAGCCGCTTCAGGGTTCGTTTGGGCATCCTTACGGTAACATGGAACATGACGTATGATGAAGCGTTGGCAGTAATCCACGCCGGTAAGAACTAAAGGCTTGACTGTGAGGGAATGGACATCCTGAGAGCTGCATAGTGTGATTCAGCGCCAGGTTTAGCCATGATCATAGCTCTTGTAATATCACCCCCAAAGCCACTCCATGTTCAAAGAGCAACCATGATCCAGTGACACCCGCTCCCGTCCCGACAGCGGAACACCCTTTCACCATACGTTCCGCCCTCTCACGAAATCCGCTCATAGGCCCCCCCTCTTCTTGTGCATGTTCTACAAGTGAGACCGTTACAACCCACACGCCGCCAATGTATAAACAAACTCGCATCCCCACCACCATCTTGCCTTCAACACAGCCTCAAACCTCCTACATCCTCTTGAATACTCGTCACCATACCACTCCAACTATGTTATTCCACCTCCTTTCCCTCATAACCCTCACCGCAGCTCAGGCCATCGAACCTCCCCAATGTAGCGACATGGCTTCCGCATTCTGCTGCGCAACGCTACAATCCCAACTGGTCGGCCCCTGCGGCGCGTCCGCCGTGGCCGTCGCCAACACCACGGACTGCACGCAAGACGAGTATCCACTAGGCTGGGCGTGCTGTATTGAGAAGGTACGTCCGCCTCCTCAGGCCCTGACTTGAAACTAGGGGAAAGACGTTGAAAATCGCTCAAGAGTGAGAGGCTAACATCAGGTAGCAACCAGTAGATGCGAAACAGCCAGCCTGGGGATGTTTTTCTGCGGTGCCGTTGGTCGAAGGGTATTGGGCTGAGGCGGGCGGGAGCCTGGTTTCGAATGACACTGCGTGGAGGGGTAGGAAGGGGATGGGTAGGAAGGTAAACGTGTTTATGTAAGGGATACTGCTGAACGATTATGGGAGAGGTTTACAAAAGGGCTCGTAGTGTGTTGTGACTGGAGACGAATGGCGAAAAATGAACAATTGAAGATTTCTGCACTAACTCTGCCGCTTCCACATGTCTCTTGCTCACCGTGTGCGCTGCTTTGTGCCTACTGATGCACGAAGCATTCTGCACCTCCGAAGATACGGCGCGTGTGCACCATCTCCACCAGACTGTTGTGTCTTACAAGCTCCTGGATCTGCGAACTCTCCACGCACTTTCGTGTCTCGTGCCAACCTAAACATTAAGGAAATGGTATCCCAGCTTTAGCCCCGCGCTCAAAATATGCATCAATCAATAACTGCCTAGAATGTCTCCTCTTCAGCACCCTCGGTCTCAGCCGGGATCTCGAAGCCCTCCTCTGTCGAGTACAGGATGTTCTGGATCTGCTTAAGCAAGCCTTCATCTTTCTCGAGTTCTGGGTCCGCCTCCATTGCTTGTTGAATCAGCAGCTCGATATCCCGCAGCTTGCTGAAGTAGAAGTCGCGCTCGCGCTCGAGGCCTGCCACTGTCTCCTTAAGCACGTTGTTTTCCTCACGCAGGGCGGCGCTCGCGGCACCTCCACCTCCGAGTGGTGTTCGAGTTCGCGGGGCGGCTGAGTTGCTTGCAGCGGGTGCTCTCCGAGCGGCCGCGGGGGCTGCGCGAGCTGCAGGTGCGCTGGTGGCGACCACTCCACCTTGTCCGTTACGGCGGGCGAGGGCATCGTATTCGTGGCCGGGGAAATACTGGTCCCAATACCTCTTGGCAAATTGGAGAAACTCGAGGTTGTCCTGCATCTTGCACTTGACTAGCTGCTGGACAGGAATAGGCTTGTCGACATGATGTTTCGCGAAGGTGTCTGATCGTGTGATTAGCACAGCTCTTTTCCATCCCTCTTCTGGCGGACATACTCTGCAATATCTTAAAGTTTTGTAGGTATGCGTATTCGGTATTGGCGTTGAACTTGACCCTCGCCATCGGCACGTCATCTATTGGCATTAGTCGCGGCTCCAACAAGGTCCAGCAGCAGAGCCAAACTCACAGAATATGCTGTCGAACACCTGGCATAGCGCTGCCCTGTCAGACCGTCAGCTTCCGTTCCTACCAATGTCCCATGCGCTGAGGCACACGATGTCCTCGAGACCTTATATGATGACATACCCGGTACCACATTGTTCGACCTTGGTGATGTTGAGCTGGAGAAGGTTATTCAGCCATGCAACGAGTTCTTGTCTGCAAAGAGGAATTATATTAGCAACGCATTCCGACGACGGTAGATTGGCAGATTGGCAGGAGGGATCCGAGGTGGCGCTCGTACCGTGATTCTCCCATTTTGGGCAGGAAGGCCTCGAATATGTGTGGTAGGGGATGTTACAGATATAAGCGGGTTGAGTCGTGGCGGGGATAAACGTGGCTTCAGTGGGGGAAGAGTGGAAAGCGTGCGGTGTTGTTTGTTGACTGCCTGGCGGCGCCGAAAATCGTCTGGGCTACGAGATGAGTGCCCCTCGACACTGGGATTGCTGAATGGCTCGTGCACATGTACGCTAACCCGATCGAGGACATACTCGTCGAAGTCATGTCACCGACACTGTTTTGAGTTCATGATGTCAATGTCGGTTAGAATCGTGATATAATATCCACTCGTAGATCAGCTCCCCAGCGCATCATTGATGCTCTTGCCTCGTGGAACAGTATTATATCTCCGACCCATGGCACAAGCAAGCGCGCCGACCCATTAGTGTACCAAAGGTCTGAGTAAATCGACTCGATGTAAAAAGATCCGTTATTCACACCCAAAAGAAAACTTCCCCTTCTGATCTTTGACCTTGAAATCCCCTCTATCCTCAACTACCGTTCTCCTTTGGCGCATAATGTCCGCCTGCAGGCTGCGTCTCACTAACCTCCCTCGGGCTCCCCGCATACTTTACTGCTCTGGTCCTCCTCTTCTCTCCCATGACCATAGCAGCCACCCACGCCAGCCACACCACACCGGCAACCACCCCATAAGCGATCATACCCGACCTTGAGCTCATGTTCATCCGATCCGCAAGCTGCAAACCTAGTCCGCCATTGATGATGCCCAGCGTGACGGCAGCGCGGCCCGTCCACAAGTGGAGGTGCGACCACACCGTGCGTGTCTGGTATTTCTTATACATGGCGTGGTGCAGGAAGCCGAGGATGGGCTGGAAGAAGAGGACGGCGAAGACGACGATGCCGATGATGGGGTGGGTCTCGGAGAGCTGCAGGACGTTAGCATATTAGACCTGTGGTAGGAAGGAGTGATGCTCACCATTTGGTACTCATTGGCGATGTGGATGCCGAGGCCAAAGGCTGCGATGTACACGATGTACGCAAAGACTTGGAACGCGGCGTGGAACCAGACTACGCCGGTGAAGGAAGCAAGACGGATCGCGATGGCGCCGAAGGGGAAGAAGATGACGAAGGCGAGCGCGGCGAGAGTGCCGTGCGCGATTATCATCTTTTTCGTGTTGCTGGTGGATCCCGATGATGAAATGGGGGTGAAGCCGCTGTTCGAGGGATCGTTCTCATCGCAGTAGTTGATGTCTTCACGTTCGGCCAGCTCCCTCTTGTCGTTATCTTCCCATGGGTTGCCAGTAGGTCGGGCGGTTGGGCGGGCGGTTAGGTGAGTCCAGCTATCATTATCATCATCGGACTTGGTCGATGTTGCTCCGCTGCTTCCTCCGCTGGTCGCCGTGCCTGTGGCCGAGCCTCCGCTGGCTGCAGCTCCAGCTGGACGGGGGACACAGCTCGTAGGACTGGCTCCTCCACTTGCACTCCCAGACGATGAGCTTCCAGAGTTAACAAGGGGGTTGACACTGCTCCCACCCTTGGCGTTGGCGTAATTCCACGAAAACGTTGCATGGTCATCATGTTGATCGATGTTCGCAGACTGTGAAGTGGAATCTATGGCACCTCCATTCTGTTTCGTCGCATAGATCCAGTTGCCGTTATTGCCCGAGAAGCTTGCAGTACCACCCGACCAGCTATTGCAACTTGAGCCTACAATGATAGTCAGATCACGTGTAGGATACTGTTCACAAAATACTCACATCGCACATTAGCGACCATCTTCCCGTTCGATACTCCAGAGCCTTCCAGCAAGGTCACTTGCGCGTCACTGTTGAGCTGAGGCATGTTGTGGCCGGTTCCTAACCGTGGTGACAAAGTCACATTGCCGTTGCCGTCAGTGTACATCACAAAGATGTTCGACCCAGACATGCTATTGCCCTGGCCAAGAGCAACCCAGTTATAGGTGTCTGGGGCCGATATTTGGAAGAAGATATCTCCATTGCCAGACGACGCTGTGTTCTGAGGGATATTGAGCTTGAAGCAGACGTTTGTTACAGGACAGACACTGGCCACTTGAGCCGTGGCAAGGGAGGCTGTTATTGGTCAACACACCTATACTCACATATGGAGCGGAGAGGCACATGTATGACACTTACCTAGGGCTACTAGACCAGCAGCCAGAAAGTTTCTCCTGCCGTTCCTCATCTCGAGTTGTGCGTTGAAACAAGAAGAGAGCGGTTCAAGACTTGGGGTTCCAGCTGAACAAGGAGGAATGGGGGCTTGCCAAGCGTCGTATAAGAATAAACCAATTTGACAAATCAGGAAGACAATGGGCGTACAAGCGGACTAGGGTAATTGACGTGCCCTTCAATGATTTTATACTCGAAGGTCTAAAACACTGAAACACTTCGAATGAGGACCTAAAGGGTGGGATGACCGTTGATTAAATCCACCTGCCCCAAGAGGTCCCAGCGATGATCACCGTCCTAAGCCAACCCCCGGTCGCTGGGCTTACAACCGCAAGCTACCGCACGAGCATCAAGCCGGACTTAGATCGTATCTGTTCCCAGCCATTACATGCTATGCTGCAGACGAGCTGCACGTGTGGACCTGCTTCATGCCTGCTTTCGACGTGCCTTGGCTGAAAGCGGTCGGCTCCCCTCTCTGCCCATCGTTTCCGCAGGAGCTTGTCCAACGTCGGACCTTCAGGTACGCGTCATGAGCGACATTGTCCCGGGCGTGGCAGCACCGCAGCGAATAACGCGGGCAGATGCTGTTGAGCAGTGCGACGATTTTGGTGCTGGGCATTCTTGATGGCCGCGTGGTGGAGGCTGAGCACAGGGCAAAGGAACGGGACAAAAGGCAACGAATCATGGCGAGGGCATTTCGCAGATGGTTTGCGCAGCGCGCATGCAGCGAATTGCCTGGCTTTTCGACTACCGCTCTGGGTGAGGCGCGGAAGGTTGCTGTTCAAGCATACGTGAGATCTACGCGGTGGGTCCCGCTCCAGCGTCGTCGATCCGCGCGCACGTTTCACACCTTCGTTCGCATTTACCCCCGCGCGACCCTTATCTACACCTCGGAGCCTTCGACAATGCATGTGCCATCGTCGTCGTGCGAAACTCTTGCAGGCGCCGACTCACCGACAGCATCTCTCAGCTTTAATCCGATCGGCCTCCTGCTACTGAGAGTCTTCAGGATATGGACCGGAGATTTTGGGACCTGGCGCTAAGCGCAGCTAACCGTCAGCAGAGTTAGTACACGGCGTATTGGTCGGTCTTAGTGCAGGCGTGGGGTTCTAGACTGACTTCCGTTTTCGACGAGCTTTTGGAATCACATCAACGTTGCTGACTTGTCCATGGCTCACGGTGTGTCGATGAGCATCATATGCGCCGTATGACTACACAAGTCAGCATACAGTCAGGCAGTCCACACAATAGCATCAGACCGCAAATGTGACTTCGCTAGACCATTCGTCCAGACTACTGCCCATCAGATCCGAGGTCTGTATGGTGTACTCGGGACCATCTCTCATCTCGGACGTATCCTGAAAGAGTTACATGTTATGATAGGTGCATTGAACTCTCCGCCTGCGCGCTTGTAGTTGCCAAGTGCCCTGACTCTGTTCTACTTGTACACGTTGTGCAGTAGGAGAGCAGGAGAGTTTTCGCGCTAATTTCGTCGCTACCACTTCTTGCGAGCCCTGCATACCCCAATAGACCGCGGCAGAGGTATTTGCTGTCTTACGCATCTCTTGCCGTCTACACCAGACACACCCATTCTGACAACGTGAGCTATGGGTGCTGTGATCTATCGTGTCTACAATCTCAACGTCCACATCTCGATACCATGATATCACCGATAGAAATCCACTACATGCTCGAAACCACTGACTTCCTATCTTAGCAAGCAGTTCCCATTTAGTGCATCGAATAGTCTTTAACATCGTCCTATTGCCCTACTAAATCTTACACAGACTAGACTTGACGCTACCATCAGTGGAGCTAAAAAGGTTTGCAGCGGACACGCACATCTCTTCTTCGTCCTGAACTCTCCCAGCTCCACGACACTCATTCAATTTCACCGTCAATAGCACTGCCTCAATGATGATCCGTCTCGTTCGCGTTCCTCGTTCCCACAACGCTCACTCAGGTACACCCATCATATGCTCAGTGACTTACTTCCTAATCTAGCAACAGCCCGTTGCTTCCGCTTCACACGTCCTCCTGCGCACCGTGTGCTTTCGGTGGTATTTCGCCAGACGGTAGACCTCTGACTACGCGAGCTCTACACAGCCTGGAATCACCCCACACAAGACTAACAAACGGTCCGGCTACGGGCAGAAGCACCTCTCGTCCATTATCGACTCTCTTAGCGCCAAGACTTGTACTCAATTCGACGAGCTACCAACAACGATGATCCAACCTGCCCACCGGGTCCTTCCTACCCGGCGCCAACAAAGATCACCCATCAATCCTCGCGTTCCTCGCTCCCATCTCCCACACCAGCTTCCCAAGTCGATCATCTACACCCAACCTCAAGTAGACAACGCAATTCGACTGACTTCCTATTCCAGCACCAGACACCGCTGATTCGCTACGCCTCGTATCAGCGCAGTAGGTATCTCCCAGCGACCTTTGATTTTTAAACATGTGTAGATCTTCAGCTCGATGCACAGCCCCAATGCCAGGACGCAAGCGGAACCTTGGCCCGCGTGCGCCCCAACCATGTGGCACCTGAAACACGAAAGATAACGGTGAGTAAGGGGAAAGATTTGGCGAGTGTGGACGTCATGATGCATGCGACGCGAAGTGGTGATTGCGACGCGTGCGATTGACGGTGCGGGGAGCTGGATGGTGCGACCTCAACACTTGGGGAACAAGGAAACCCCGCCATATCCTTCATCAGCATGTGCACAGCAGCATGTGCATGGCAGCACCCACGAGGAAGGAAGTGGTTGAATGAGACTTGTTGTCCAGAGTGGTTTGTGAGCCAAATCTACAGGTTCATTGCACAGGCGCCGAATTGCAGCAACTTCAGACGACGCTCTTTCGTGCTCTTCCTGCGCACCTCCAACCTTGTTTCGCCATTGGAAGATTACCCGCATTTCAGCAATCTCAAGACTCGCCAGACAATCAATGTTACTCAATATCATGACTTGAGCCATGCGCGAGGATAAACTCCCAAAGATTAAGCTGCAAGAAGTTTTCACAGCATCTGGTTCAAGCAATCATCGCCTCATGATGTATTCTACAATCTCTATATAGGCGTTATTCGTTCACGGATACGCTGGAGCTCTCGGCTGACGGAGTGCCCTGGGATGGTCGAGGAAACCTTCACATCTCGTCGATGCGACACGCGCAATTCCCGTAGGCGCTACAGATCTTGATCAACGAGATAATGACGGCTAGAGTAGGCCGGTTTACGTGAGGCTGACCATATAGACGGAAAACAGAGAACCACTAGAGAATTATGCTGCAGCGTCGTCGGACAGTACCTAAGGAGAATGAATGATCAGTAGCGATAGATATGTCAACCCCTCCTCCACCACCACAGCCTCCTCCGCATCCACCACCGCCTCCCCACCACCACTGCGCTCACCAACTCCCCCTCCAAGACAGCTAGCCTGACAGGCAGGCGTCCCGTTTCCCCTCCCTTCACCCGCACAGTTCCCCACGCTCGCCCCAGGACAGCATGTCCCAGCGACACAACCGCCACCGCTAATTTGCCCACTGGCCGAGTACTCGCACGCCGACTCAGCATAGTACGGCACATACGCAGGATAAACGACCGGATATCCATACGGGCCATAGAGAACAGTATCCTGTTCTTTCTCCGGAGGACTCTGCTTCTTCTTCTCATACCTTCTGCGCACCGCCGCGTACTCTCTATCAAGCTTCTCGAGCTCGGCACGGCGTTGTTTCGCAGACGTTGGGATCAAAGCGTTGTGCGTGCTGATGTGCGGACCGGAGGCTACGTCTTTGCAGAGATCCAGGTCGGCTATGCGTTTGATGTCTGTAGGGAAGCCGAAGACGCGGTTGGTGAAAGAGGAACGGAGAGGCTCGCGTGTGGATTCGCAGTACCAACATGCGCACTCGGCGTACGGCGTGCCGTACTTCTTCTCGTAGAGCTGCGAAGTTCGGATAAAGGCTGTGTTAAGATTCTTACCTGGGATCTTGTCGTCGTGGTTGATGAACCTCGTCGTCTCGCTGATGGTGTATTTGTAGTATACCTTGGGCGTGAGCTGGTGAGTGTGCCACGCGAGATCTACGTCTAATGTGGGAACTGCCGTGTTGTTGTGTTCTGCGATAATTCGTGTAAAGCGGTGATACTTGACGATGGAGCGTTGCATGGTTGTCATAAGCGAAGGGCTGTGGAGCCAGTCTATCTTCACCATTTTCTGGATGAAGCTTGCTTGTCGGACGACAGCCCCGACCAAGTCGAGCCCGAAGGGACTCGAGTTATCCCAGTAGTGGCTCAGCATCTTGCGCACAGCGATTTTGCTGTCTCGGGCTATGTGCAACGGTCTGTGTTGGTTAGAATTTATCAAGCGGATATCAGATTTATTTGCCATCAATCTCCTGAATCCACGCTTGATCGACTCCACGGTGAGCTGCTCCATATCGTTGCGAAACGTTTCGGGTTCAAATCTGTGAAGCCTCTCGACAACGCGATTGGGAAAGAAAGGATCGTGCGTTCCGATTCTTTTTCCATTTGACGTGAGCTCAGGAACGCCTCTGGCAGAAAGGATGGTACCAGGGAGTGGAGTCTTGTGTTCGCGGAGCTTGGTGGCATCATTGATGAATTTTCCAACGCGGAGCTTCTCGTGAGTGATTATCAGATTACATCGCGGACAAAGTTCTTGAAAACTTGAGCTTGCGTATCCAAAGTCCTCTGCAAGGTACACTCGTATAGTTTCCGAGGCGTTGCTTGTGGGAGGACGTGTGTACGGAACCGAGAGCTCTTTGCAGCATTTCGGACAGGTGATGGACTTGTGCCCTATATCATGCTGCCACTCCCATGGAGCATGCGGGTTAAGCCTCGCAAAGGTCTCTTTGGCTGGTCTAGGGGCATCGTATTCGAATGAGTCGCCGATAATTCCGCATATCAGCTGCCATGGGAAGCTACTCCTCCACTGAGGATGTTTCCCCATGCGCATGCAGTCCTCTAGGTACGCCCTCGGATTCAGCATGTACGTATGCCAGACCATTAAGATGTCCAGTGGAGGCAATACTTTGTGCAAATACTCATCCATACCGTCTCCTACCTCTGGCCATTTAATTATCGAATTGGTGTCCTGCGGCCTCGAGGAATTGAACTGCGTCGTCTGGAGCGCAGAACTGAAAAGGTCACAGTCGAACGGCAAAGATTCCCACCACTTTTCGAAGCGGTCAACAGCCTTCGTAAGGAAGATGGTCCATCTCTTATCTCGTAAGCGCTCCGCCAAAGGCCCTACGTCCTGTTCTTGCGCAACCTCATCGCCAGGATCCCCTACGTCTCGAACTCGTTCCAACTCGATACCATATAAGCCCTCAGAATTCCCGACATCCCTCCTCAACTTTGCAAAAGCATGCAACAGTTTCAAATGCGCAATACACTGCGCCGCCGTCGGAATTTCTAAGTTTCCCTCGTCCCAGTCAAGATCGCCGATAGCAGTTACTTCAGCTGCTGCAGGCGCTTGTGAGCTGTACGGTGGTGGCGCGCCGTTCTCTTCATCCATCTTTTGTATTGCGCGCTTTCGTGCCGCATTCGGCTGCTTCAGAAGTACCATTTGATTGATCAAGACCTCTGTATTCGTTCGAGAAGGATGATTTGGACATTAGGGGTGTTCAAGCTGCAGAGCCGTTTTTTTAAACGAACCCCAGAGATACAAAAGAAAGCCGATAGCATGGTCTGAGCAGTGGAATGGCTAGATACAACTCTCAAAAAGATGGAGGCATTCAATCTCTTTTCACCGATCCAGTCGCCGGTCAGCAAGGCTGTTTCCAGCGCTTGGCCGAGGCTGAGCATCCGCAACAGGCAGGCTCAATTCATCCTGTCAACAGCGGTCACTGTATCGAGCATATGGCGTTTTCGTGACTGCAACGACTAGGATACATACAGAAAGAGGCACTCGTGCGGCGTTGCTACGCGGGGTCGCGAAAGCCATGCTTTATCGTGGTCCGTTTGGCTAGGCGAAAACGCAGCCATTGTCGATACTGCCTCAATACGAGCGCAGGATGATGCGCAAACGGATCGAAGATGCGGAGCGAGGGGCGGATAGTTGCAAGAAGAGGACGTGTAGAGTCATGAAGAGGGATTGTAGTGGAATCAGATGGTCGGAAAACTAGGAACCAGGTAGTGGCTCTTCTTGCGCCCACCCTTGCCATCCTCACAAAGCCTTACCATTACAGTCACCACAGCGTTAAACAATCAAGGAAATAATTTCGCATATGCATACGCGTTCGGGTATTCATTTTCATCTAACGCTCTTCCATCGCACTTACAATCCCTCATGAACATACCTTTCCCATAGCCTCCCACCCGAAACCAAACAAACCCCGCCAGCCCATGCAAAACAGCTCAGTGCTCAAATGCCGGAATAAAAATCATCATCACTTCATCATCAGTCAGTCGTCTATATGCTGTGCCAATCCCAGTCATGCAGCCGGCAGAACTCTCGAGATCTCGCTGCACACTGCACCCGCCTCTTCTATCTCTATGTGCTTACACGCTCAAACGTACTCACGAAGTAGCATCTGTCACCTGACACCAGGGATGCTCCAAGACCTGAGAAATAGTAATGCGTCGCTCGACATCGCGGTCCAGCATGAGTCGAATCAAGTCAAGGTTCTCTTCGGACATGACGTAGGGTACGCGTAGGTCGTGGTCCATGATTTCGTCGATACTGTAGAAAGGATTCTCTTTGTACACGATGGTGTAAAGGAGTATACCAAGCGCCCAGACGTCTTGCTCTTTACCGCGGTATGCCTTGCCGGCGAGAACTTCGGGAGCAGCGTAATCTAGTGGACAAGTCAGTCTATGCTGTAACACAAAGCGAGGCCACGATACGTACCGATGGTCCCAACGAAGACATCAAAGGGCCCGCTCTTAATGTACGCTGCGCTACCGAAGTCGATCAACTTGATATTTCCTTCTCCATCCAGGATGACATTCTCGTCCTTGATGTCGCGGTGGACGACCTTTGCTTTGGTGTGCAGATGATGCACCGCCTCCGCGACTTGGCAGAATATCTTTCGGCATTCTTTCTCCTCCATGTTGACGCGAAGCTCGATGTAATCAAAAAGATCCATGCCCGGCAGACCGTGTGGCACCATTTCAATGTAGTAGTTGACGTCGTCCTCGAAGAAATCGGTCATCTCCACAATGTTAGGATGTTTGAAGCCGTCTCTCCGTAAATAGTCCAAAACATGGATCTCCAACGGTACTGTGCCGAGACGGCGGTCGCGTGTCCAGGTGTCGACAAGAATCCGTCGCTTGGTCACGTATTTGATGACCGACTTTTTGCTGCTGCTCTTCTTCGATCGACACAGCTTGACCTGGCCGTATGCGCCCTGGCCCATATCTTCTACGACAACGAAGTCATTAATGGTCTTCCGGGGCGGCTCGGCCATTTCTTTTGTGACGTCGAGTGGTGGTTTAGCTTGTGGTTCCGCAGGAGAAGCAGGTTGGTTAGCTTGGAGTTGTTGCGTTAACAGCGAAATAGGAGTATCAGATTTAGTTTGTTCAGGCTCGGTTTCCTCAGTGTTGATCAAGGTCGACTGTCCAGGCGAGGGTTGGTGCGGAGGCGTGCCTGGCCGTGACACAAGAGGTGTGACAGGACCGACACCGTGAGTGGCCGCATGCAATTGTCTGGAATAAGTGATCCACAACGCAAACACCAATTCCGCGCTTGGCGTTTGACTGGCTGCGGTGTTCTCTTCCTCAATCACTTGCTCATCGTATAGCGGTTTCTTCTCGCTCTTGACAACCCGCATCTGCACGTCTACCATGATGTCGGTGCCATCCCGATGCAGAGCTGGCAGCCCGCTAGGCTTGAGGAAAAGAGTCGCTGCATCGCCACGCCCTTCACGCATGGCCAAAAGGGCTCGCGCTCGCCGGAAACTGTGCTCTGGAATGACAATTCCATCAGCAAGTTCTACATCGTCTTCATCCGTCATTACATTGAGTATCCTGTCGAAGCCGGGAATCAACTGTGTAATGTGGAGGCCGTCAGGCTTTGACTGTCCAAATAAGGCCGACAGAAAGACCGTATTCGAGCTGGAGATGGTAAGGTCCGACGCCGATAACACCACTATACCGGCGATATGAGGAAAGCTCGAGATGCGGAAGGTGGGTTCGCCAAGTAGGGCTTCGACTGTTACGGGTATATTTATGCTGTTCACGGTCCGAGCGGTAAAATTGCGGAGTTCGGCGATTTTATCGTAGTCCAGAGCGCCAGTATACACTCCTTGGACCCTAGGGATTGCTGGTATAAGACGGCTGAGGTCCATGCCTCTTCGTAACCGATCGTCTCCGAAGACTGCTTCTATCGCTCCATGCGCCTTCACGACGCATCCTACTTCATCGACGTTGATGTATACGACGTCTTCCGCGATCTCTTCCAGGACCCAGATGAGACCGCCTCGTTTCTCTTTGACCCATAAGCTAGCACTACCAGTGGCGCCGTTTCGCTTCTGGATCGGCACCACATCACCACAGAGCAAGACTCCTCTGGAAGGCTTGGATTCGTGGTGTGAAGCACCTTTGGTGTTCGACTTCTGTGCATATGATGAACCACTCCCATCATCGGTCTGCGCCCGGCGGTTCTGGGCTACCTGCCGCGATGAAGGCTTGCTGAGTAACCTCGCTGTAACGCCGTTACCAACTTTCAATTGGGTCAGCGGAGCGGGGGTAGTTTGCTGACTTTGATTGTGCGGTTCCCGGGATGCTTTTGATCCAACTTGGGGTTCCCGCAGCTTGTCCTCAAGCCACTTCCTTCGTTCTTCTCGAACGACTTCCAATATGCCCAGCTTCCGAACCTCGGCCCTCGTCACACCGAACACCAGGCAAGCAAGATCGTTCGCAGCCGTGATGGTCCAAGGAGCTGTAGCCTCGGTGGTGAAGATTGCCTGTGCAGCTGGCGCCCAGCGGCTGCCGTGCTGTCCGTGGGGAGCTGGTCCTCCTGAATGCGGGCCTGGAATGCTAGAGAGAGGAGTTGCAGTGGGGATAGTTGGAGACATGAGCTGGTTGGTAAGGTCCTGGTCCCCTACGCGGTAGGGCTGGGCTAGAGCGTCATTGAGTTGATGTCGTATCGATAGAGGTGCTACATCGGTAAGTGTTCGCTTCAGTGCTGCGCGTTGAGGTCGCTGTGGCGGCGAGGTGCCCGTCCGTTGACTTGAGGCCTCGGAGATTTGGTCAGATACGGGGATGCTTCTCGCGTCGAAGTTCTCGTCGTTAGTGTCGCCGTTCGGTATGTTGTCCGTGGGGTCCTTCTGGGTCGGTGACCGGGCTGGGCTTAGCATGCTCGCAGGACTTTCCGATCTTTGGAGCTCGACAAAGCTCTTCTCGAAGAGGTTCTCTCCTTCCACCTCAGCAGGCCCAGTCAGGGGCCCAAGGGCTCCCAAACCGTGAGCGCCTGTGGCATCGCTGCCGATCAGGTTGGCCCTCGTCAGCAGCTCCATCATGCTCTGCACCTCCTGGTCCCCGCTTATCTTTGCCTGGGCTTGTGCGATGCCGGGGTTCGCAGCTGCCCAGCCCAGCTTGTTCTGCATGAAGTCTATCGACCGCTTGAGTACGTTCTGGCGGTTGTGCATGAATTCGTCGGACTGGGTGGCGAAGGAGAACGAGTGTAGCGACTCGCTGGGGAAACGCGTGAGGTCCTCTCCGAAGGCGAGGGTGGGCGAGCTTGGGGCGGTCGGGGCGGAGGTGGAGGGTGTCTGGAAGCGGGTGGTGTAGGATTGATGTTCAGTGATGCAGCTCGATGTTGAGAGACTCCCCGAGAGCCTGGTTGCTGGCGTATGCGGCGAAGACCGGAGGCTCCCAGGCCGTGTTCGTGTTCGGGGACAATGGGTGAGCTGGCGAGTGTAAGCGTATTGTCGAAGGAGGCAGCCATTCACTGCTAGGCACCTACCGGGCCATCCTGTCCAGCTGCCCCGCGTCGATGCTCATGCGTTTGGTATTCACGGACAGGCCCGCCGGCGTGCGCTGTGAGAGCAGATTGCTCGTGCTCTTGTTCTTGGGCAACGAAACATGCTGTTCGGGGGCGGTGATGAAGCGTGTGAGCTCCGGCAGCGACGACAGTGGTTGTTCGTTGGGCGAGCCTGGCGGGGTGTAATCAGCAGTCGAGTTCATGTGCAGTAATGTGAAGCGTTGGGGGGAAGGCGCGTGAGGGACGAGTCAAACGAGGCGTGCGTGGAAGGTGCGACCAAGTGCTCCGAGCATTTGTCTTGCAAGATGCGCAGCGGGAATACGATTTCCACGGAACGCGTTCGGCGCGCTCGGAACGGCCAGTCATGGAGCGGTGAAGGCCTGGGCTCTCGCACGCCGCCATGGTAGGACAGCAGAACGAGCTGCGTGACGGGCCTGAAGGGTCATCAGACGCTTACTACTCACCATCTCTTCGTGGCAGGCTCATTCCCTCAGGTGCCTCACAATGGCCGACGTCGTAACTCGAGTCTAGTGGCGGGACGCTGGAGTCACAAGAGTAGGAGCAACTCTCGTCGTCCTCTGCCAATGCCAAAGTCCAATGCTTGGTAGACAAAAGGGTATCGCGAAGGGTACTGGCGCTTGGGCTACGGTGCAGATGCAGGGCGGGAGTGGCAGAGCAGATGGCGGGGAAGGACGCTGCCGAGTCGCGTTCGCTGGTGGCCGGACTGCTTCGAACAGCGAGGGGCAAGTCAAACAGGGACAGAGAGACAGTGCAATGCGTGAGGTTATGCAAACGGTAGGACTGTACACTTTGGCTGGAGGGGCTTGTAGTGGCCGCCCTGCAGGCTAGTCCATCTGATCTGGTGTTGGCCCACGCCCACGCCCGCCCAAGACCTGCACGGACATCCCGCGCCGCAAGAGAACAAGGGCCGCATCCAGGTGACCGACGGGTGCATTCACATGGGAGACATGACAATTACACGTCGCGCCGTCCACGCGTCCAGGCAGCGTCGCCATCGCCACTGCCTTCACTGCCTCGCGCGGCTTCGGCGTTGGCTCAAAATGCGATGCCGACTTCCACCTGTGCCCAGCGCACTTGTTAAGCGTGTGGTACGGTAATGGTTTGACATTTCCCGACGCCTGGTTTGGTTCAGGTTCGCAAGCCACCCGCTCCATGAACCATTCGTTGCATCACGCGGGGCGTGAGCAGCAGATTCTGGCCACACCGTCATGTACCTCAAAAGGCTCGGGCGTCTGCAGCAAATTTTGTTGATTGCTTTTGCAATGCAAGTCATACCCGGCCTCAGACCTTCCGCTATCCCCGCACCTGATTATTGGCTAGTTAGCTTGCACGTGTACTGCCACAACAACCAGTGAGTGTTTTGTATTGCTCTACGAACAGAAAATCAGTCGCCGCGTGCTTTTGTGAGTAACGGTCCCTCGCTGCACACGAGTTCGGTAGGATGCCCTGACACAAACATCTTAAAGAGCTGAAACTGGCTGACCTCCACCGGTCATTGCCCGGCATATCTGCGGCCTTTTGATTCACGAAATAGTATGATGACCTCCACAGCCTTGGCCATGGCGAAACCCTTCATCGCTGCCTAAGCAGATCCTTGTGTTCACCCCAGAAGTTCTGACAACCTGCGGAAAGTTAGCATTTGTGCCTCGATAGGAAAGGGAGACATACTACGATGCATATTAACCTGCTCAACCCACCACTCCCCAAAGCTATCCTCGGCGCCCTGATCCACAGCACCCACCCGCTCATCTCTCTTCAAGCCGCACAGCATACACGGCTCCTTCGCCGGCACGCCACCTTCGCCCTGTTTCAACACCTTGACAGGCATAGTTTCCTGGATATCTGGCACCGCGCCTAACGAACCAGCCCTGATCTGGTTTGCGGCTGAGACAACATGCCGTAACCTGCCTACTTGGTCCTTCCACGCTCGCACCACGTCTGATGCTTCACGCTCCTCTTTCATGTTCTCGCTCTTATCGATGCTGGAGAGCTTCATCCCCGAAGTGGCCCGTGAGGATGCGGGTCCTATGCGCATGCCTTGCGAGAGATGCTGGTCCCTTTTCCAGCGCAGCTTGCGGCCGGCTATTATGTGAGCTGCGACGGAAGCTAGCATGATGTAACCTTCGAGGTAAGTAATCGTTGCGGGCTCCGCTAGCACTTTGTTGCGCATTGGGAGCGTTTGCGCTGCCATGGGCTTGAACAGTTTCTCCTGAGCGTCGGCAAAGAGTGGAGGAAATAGAGTAAGTAGTACTGCTGGTGGTGGGACGTTCGTTGGTGGTAGCTCGCCGGGATGCGGATCGTCGAATGTGGGTGACAAGATGGGCGGTGCTGAGGTCACATAATTTGGCTTAATAGTCTTCTTAGGAGCAAGGTCGGCCTTCTTCTGAGGCGGCGGTCTTGCGGGATCCCTTGCCGGTGCCTTGGTAGGAATAGATGCTTCCCAGTCGTCGAAGGTATCCCACGATTCTTCTTCTTTCGGGGCTGGAGGGGCAGTGGTAGCTTTTGCATGTTGATTCGGAGCTACGGACCCAAACCCGCCGATGGGGCTTTTCAGAGAGGTTGATGTTGAAGTCTTGTGGCTTGTAGCATTCTGTTGGATGCTAGGGGGAACCGTAGGTTGGGACAAATCCAAGTCTTCGAGCAGATCTGCTATCTAAAACGATGATATGATAAGCACATGCACCACCCATGAGATTTAGACCTGAAAACTCACTCCCGTAGAACTTGTTGGTGCAGCAATAGGCTGCGTAGGAGCCGATTCCGTTCCTTCAAAGTCTCCAAAATCGTCGTTGCCAAAGTCATCTTCTGCGTCGAACAAAACGCTAGGATCCGTGGACTTTTTCGCTTTCACAATAGGTGCTCTCTGCCACGTTGTCTGTGCGACGCGTGGTGTTGAATGAGAGAAGAAGTCGTCCTGTGAGTACAATGAGCAAACATATCTACACTCTGCGGGCACTCAAAGCTCACGTTTTCCAAGGTTGCTGGCAATGTTGGTGCACGTGCTCTGGTCGCTTGAGCCGCTACAAACGCGAATGAATCCTGTTTCACAAGAGGAGGCTTTTCGAAAGACGAAGCACCGCCTTCGAAGTCACCCCAATCATCATTATCGCCATCGTCTTGTTGCGTGCTGCTCGCGAGTGCGGTAGGCTGTGGTGCTGTTTGGGTAGAAGCTGGTGTTGCCGTGAAGTCATCAAAAAAGCCGAACGACGTCGCATTCGGGCCCCCAGGCTGCTTTTGCTGAGATGCCTTTGGGGTTGAAGATGCACCAAATTCTGCAAAGAGGTCCGCTGACATCTTCGCGCGTGCCTGGTGGTGTGGACAAGTGACGGAAGTCTGGGAAGTAGCGAACGGCGCTAGGCTGGGAAAGGGCTGTGGGGCGAGCCTGCGCGTACGATCTTCTCCACTCTATATACCACATGTTATGGCTGGGTTTAACATGCTCTCATATATCACCTCTCACATTGTCTAGATAAACTGTGGAGCCTACAGATATGTGAAAGTGGCCAATGCCATCGTACAACCTTGGGAAACAGTATAGGTTTGCTGCGCCGCCGCCCCCAATTCTTGAAACTCCTAGCATCCTTCCATAGAGGAAGTCGCACATTGGGCGTTGAGTAATCCACAAACCCGGCTGTAATCGAGTTGCATTCGGCCGTAGCTGTCGAGCATACAAAATCTTGACATGACCCGACGCAGCCCTCAACAAGAACTCGAATATAGAATGCCATAACAAATACACCTCTGGAATTTAACTCGTTGGTAGATCTCGTCATTTAGACTTCAGGGCATCACATTGCATCCATTCAAAATGATCCCGCCGGCGCCGACCTTTACAGAAAAGGATATCATCGATCTTTCCAGCAAAGTATACATCCCCCTCTATGCAACCCGAAATACCGTACTTAGGAAATGATTCGTCCCTGACAGACACCCCTTTCAGGTCTACATCATAACATGCGCGACATCCGGCCCCGGTCTCGAGCTCGCAAAGATCCTCTACACGCTCCATGCCACTGTCTACATTGGAACGCGCCTCCTCTCGAGGTACATCATTCTTTGCCATCCACCCTCTTTTCGCTGACGCACTTAGCTTTGAAGATACTCACAGAACAATAACCTCCAAAGCCCCAACCTCCCAAGGCACGCTCAAACCCTTCATAGCCGACCTCGCTGACCTGCACACTGTCAAGCTCGCCGCCGAATCGTTTCTGAAAGAGAACTACCGGCTAGACGTACTGTTTTTAGAAGGGGGTGTTGACAGGGACAGCAAAGACGCCGCCTTCGCCTTACGCGCAAATTGCCTCGCCCCTTTTCTCCTAACACACCTCCTCTACCCTCTCATGCACCGCACAACCACTCACTTTTGCCACATAAACACCTCAATCCGCATCGTGTACGCATGCTCACTTCTCACCGTCTCCACGCCGCAGGGAGGCGTACAACTTGTCCCGGGAAAAGAGGAGGAAATATGGAACCCAAAACAGCTAGTCGGAGTGGAAGGCTACATGCAGAGCAAAGCCGGGGTGTACTTCCTCGCGTACGAATTCGCGCTGAGGCACAAGGATGTGGAGAAGGTGGATGAGCACGGTGTGAGGAGCAGGAATACGGCTGGCGTGCTGCATGTTTGCGTGAATCAGGGGGCTGGGAAGGCGGCCCTACCAGAGGCGTTACAAGGAATTTTGGGTAGGGTTGGAAAGAGGGCGAGATATGGTAAGTTTCATCGTGCTCTTGTGCTATCTGTGGTTGTGCTAATGTCGATGTGGTGCAGGCGCGTATACCGAGCTATTTGCGGGGGTTGCTCCAGGTGTGGAGGACGGCGACTTTATCGTCCCGTGGGGAAGAAAGGGGAGTGTACCTGAGCACGTTCAAGCGAGCATGAAGGAGGGGAAAGGAAAAAGCGTGAGCGCGCGGTTCTACGAGTGGTGTGAGGCACAGGTCAGGCCTTTTCTGTAAAGTTGCAGACCTCAAGTTTTTGTATGCGACTGTCAGTGCGGCCATTGTCTCGCATACACGTATGTTAGGTTGCGCGCCTTGTGCTCATACCGCTGAATACATACGGTCATAATTGCCGCGTCTGCCATATAAACTCGCTTTATCCTGAGACCTCTTTCTACCTCATCCTCACCCCATCAAACATAGCTTTGATGTCTGGCGGTCAATTGCATGATGAAGCATAGATCATGCCCAGGACAAGACGACCTGCGTTCATCGAGCTGCGAAACCAGGATGAGCTATAGCCGTCTCGTGCTAGTCTATGTTCATAGGAGGATGGAGCGAGGACAAGGTTACAACACCCACAAAAACATCACAGTAACAAGTAGGTGGAAAAAAACTTTGTCCAACCCAGTCGATTCATTGGTTATCATGACATAAATCTACGGAAGGACAACGCCAGAACCCGCCTAACCCATTATGCATCATAGCAGCCATAACTCATAATGGCTTCAAGCCACCGCATCCCCAGAATCGGATATCTAGAGACTTTTGGAAGAAAGAAACAAGCCGGAAAAATTGTAATCGCTTATTTCTTGGAGGCCTTCTGGGCGGCCTTGGTGACCTTGCCGGCACCCTTGTCAGCCTTGACGACGGACTTGATGACACCGACAGCGACGGTCTGACGCATGTCACGGACGGCGAAACGACCAAGAGGGGGGTACTCGGTGAAAGCCTCAACGCACATAGGCTTGGAGGGAATCATCTTGACGATAGCGGCATCACCAGACTTGACGAACTTGGGGCTGGACTCGACAGACTTTCCGGTACGGCGGTCAATCTTCTCGAGGAGCTCGGCGAACTTGCAAGCAATGTGGGCAGTGTGGCAGTCAAGGACGGGTGCGTAACCAGCACCGACCTGTCCGGGGTGGTTGAGGACAATGACCTGGGCGTTGAAGGACTCGGCACCCTTGGGGGGGTCGTTCTTGGAGTCACCGGCAACGTTACCACGACGGATCTCCTTGACGGAGACGTTCTTGACGTTGAAGCCGACGTTGTCACCAGGGACACCCTCGGTAAGCTGTTCGTGGTGCATCTCGACGGACTTGACCTCAGTGGTCACACCAGCAGGGGCGAAGGTGACGACCATACCGGGCTTGATGACACCGGTCTCAACACGACCGACAGGGACCGTGCCAATACCACCGATCTTGTAAACATCCTGGAGGGGAAGACGGAGGGGCTTGTCGGAGGGACGGACGGGGGTGTCGATGGCGTCAATGGCCTCGAGGAGGGTCTTGCCAGTGTGCTTGGCCTTGGTCTCCTTCTCCCAGCCCTTGTACCAGGGGCAGTTGGGGGAGGCGTCAATCATGTTGTCACCGTTGAAGCCGGAGATGGGCACGAAGGGAACGTGCTTGGGGTTGTAGCCGACCTTCTTGATGAAGGAAGAGGTCTCCTTGATGATCTCCTGGAAACGCTCCTCAGACCACTTGGTGGTGTCCATCTTGTTGATGGCAACGATGAGCTGCTTGACACCGAGGGTGTAGGCGAGCAGAGCGTGCTCACGGGTCTGGCCATCCTTGGAGATACCAGCCTCGAACTCACCAGTACCGGCGGCAATGATGAGAATGGCGCAGTCAGCCTGCGAGGTACCAGTGATCATGTTCTTGATGAAATCACGGTGACCGGGGGCATCGACTAGAAGTTGTCAGTGAATGTTGCTTGCTATGCTGCTGATTCTGCTGAATCTGCCAGCAGCCGGGGTTGACTTGAGAGGAGTTGACCTACTAACGGTGACATAGTACTTGGGCGTCTCGAACTTCCAGAGAGCGATATCGATGGTGATACCACGCTCACGCTCGGCCTTCAACTTGTCAAGGACCCATGCGTACTTGAAGGAACCCTTGCCGAGTTCGGCGGCTTCCTATGCAACGAGTCAGCGACGTGAACGAGTGGGAAAGCATGAGACAGGATGCGACAGGGCGCCGGCAACTAGTGATCGCTGTGGGTAATTTTGCGGCTGCAAGCTATCCACTGTGCGTCATAGTTGGCGAGCAGCCAACAGTGGACTAGCGCGAAAATTTCGCACAACCCCACTCGGACCGCCCAAATTGCCCCTCAGCGCGATAAGCCAAAAATGTGGCCGGCGCATCGCGGATGCAATTTGATGCCAGTGTCGCAAAGGAAACAGGTGTATCCGTACCTTCTCGAACTTCTCGATGGTACGAGAGTCAATACCACCGCACTTGTAGATCAAGTCTGTCTCCATTGTAAGCTGCTGTTCGTACCCCGCTATCGTTCGAAGGAAGGCTTACGTCCGGTGGTCGTCGACTTGCCAGAGTCGACGTGGCCGATAACGACGACGTTGATATGAGTCTTCTCTTTACTGCAGTACTCGTTAGCATTGTGCTCTTGCAGATGCGTTGCAACCTAGCCGGCGCAGGGCTGAGGTTGACGTACCCCATGATATCGGTTGTGTGGTGAAGTGTGGAAGTAAGAAAGTCTTGAAAATCTCCTGCGAAGAAAGTTAGTGACGAGACAAAGGAGATGGAGAGTGGGGTCGACTGACAGATATCAAAGCTTAATGTTTGATGGTGTGAGGACGAGGGAGAAAGAGGTCCAAGGGAAAAGCGAGTTTATATGGCAGACGCGGGGCAGCCTAAGGGGCGCACGGACCTTCACTCAAATTTTTGCAAAGTGTCACAGCAACCGCCCTCAGCCTCGCTGTTGGGCTCTCACTCTGCGCTCGAGGCCAGATACGGCAGATAACCACTCTGTTATTGGCTTACACGCCCGTTGCGCTGACCGCCCGCTGATCTACTCGCCACAGCCGGACATTTGCTACGTGAAATAACTGCGCAGCCCACCGTCCCTTCTCAGTTCACCACGTCGGCCTAAGTCTCAACAGCATGCATGGCCAGAGTCTAGCTCCAGTGCGCGCTCTACACGTCAATTCATCTATCCACAACGCGAACAGCGCCCGCGGCCGGCGAAGAAGACTGTGATAACGACGACCCAAAACTTTTGGCGGGGTACCTGTTGCATTGCCCCACCATGGTGGGATGCGTCTTTGTTGTTGCGGCGGTACGTGCACTTCTGTTCGTCATCAGCCCACCTTGACGTCCGATAACTTTTGGTGTCTCAATATTGATCCTCGTGGTCGATGTCCAGCGCGGCATCATTCGACTTCTGCTCTGAGATTCATTTTCGATCGATGCGGGGCATTGAGGGGCCTGAGCCATCCCGATGCGCTGAAGGGGCGTATGGCGCCCTTCTCGTTGACTCACTTCCACCAGGTTTCACATCTCGCCCCCAGAGTCGCAGATACCTCGAGCCGAGCTTTACCGTCGTCGTACCTTTTCGTAGACCTCTGCAGCTCTCGCCGACGGCGTCCGTAAAGTCCTCCTTTGCATGTGTAGCGGTTGAGCTCATCCTGTCTTTTGGTTCCTGTTCGCGTCTGAACCATTATGGCATGAGGTAGTCAATCTTGACCGCACCTTCGAGTCAATCCAGAACCTCTTCGATGCATGGCGAGGCACGTACCAGTGTTGCCTGGCATGAGACACCAGATTGAGATCATTGGGAACGTGCTGTACACACATTGCACTGACAATTGGGATGTTGGGTATGCTTCAAGTATTGGCAACAAGAGAGCAAGCGACAGCTGTTGACCAGAGGCGGCAGTTACTCTCAGGTGGCTTTACCTTGATCCTTCGATGGGCAGTGGATCGCGCTTTTCCCTGTCACCTAGCCGTAATCGCATCGCAATTGCGACGTCGGCACGACACTATCCCTATATGGTCGGCCGCTGTATTATACGTCTTAAGGTCGCCCAAGTGAAGCTCCAGTCTGCCAGGCAATTCTGCCAGGCAATTCTGTTACATGTAGCTCGTGGATACGTAGCCAGTCCTGGGCACTGACTTGCAAATAATTTTGAGTTCCATACGTAGCTGCAGTATGAGAAGCAAATGCGCCCATTCAAGAGCTGAAGCAGGTCTGAAATTATTCCTCAAGCCCCAGTGTGTAATGCATTCCAGGACATGTGGTCAAGTGTGCTCTATCTCTCACACTGTTCCAAGAAGCTTTGTTCAAGTTCACTATACGACCAATCGAAGTAGCAACTGTATCACGCTCATGCAGTCCAACGCAAAAGTTACTTACATATATCTGGAATCACTCAGAACTGCTCTCGGCTACGTCTGGGTACCTTTATCTACGACCCTGTAGTTCACGTTCGAAAGCTTTATCTGGAGACAAGGCACCCCTGTTCCAATATAGAAACATCTACCGCCATTCGTGGACTTGGTATTCAAGGCACGGTGTAAATACTACTTTTGATACACCCTCCCCTGCGAAAGTCCATCTTCATAATACCACTTCTAGATGGAAGGTCTAGGGTCCCGCGCGCAATATACACAGCCCATGGTGTCCGATGACCTGTGCTGAATAAAAGCGTGGTGAATACCTACTTAAGGCGAACGTAAAGTACGCTCGAACCTCGCATTCGAAAGCTATAGGTACTTTACGGACATGATGCTTCTCGCACTACTCCTCGCCGTCAGTGCGCTCTTATCGCCCGCATGGGCGGCGACATGGTACTTCCTGCGATACAACTTGCCTTCCTCGCAGGCCTTCCTGTCCTTCTCCGGGACTATGCAGATACCTAAGCTGCCTCAGGCAGGGACGTACTACCTCTGGCCTGGACTACAACCCACTGACAACTCCGGCGTGTATGCTCTGCCCCTCGCCCTTTCCCCGCATGTCCCATCACAAGCTCATGCACTCTAGGTATCAAAACGTGCTCGACGGCCGTTCGGGCACCTGGTGGATCGGCAGCGGCTGGTGCTGCTCGAACCCAAGTTTGCCCTGGGGCAGCGGCTTCAACACATATCAAGGCGAAAGCGTCGCGTTCTCGAACGTGAAGGACTCGAGCGGTAGTACGTGGACGAGCAAGCTCACGAGAGGGAGCTCGAGTGTGTCGAACAGCTTTGCGCTCGGCAGCAAAACATTCAATCAGGTATTGTTTGCGATTGAGCTGACGGGCGTGTCGTGGGACTTCGGAGCGCTCGTATTCAACAATGTCGTTATTGTAAGTTGTAGTGTTGATGCGGTCGGGTAATTGCTAATGCAGGACGTTAGACGTCGTCTGGTACGAGCACGAGCTGGTGTACTAATGCGCCTGAGAACTACAATGGGGCGAGCAACTACGCGGTGTCGGGCGTGAGTGCGAGCGTCAGCGGGAATGTCGTGACGTGCAAGATCAATAGCGTGACGCTGCAGTCTCCGAAGTGAGTTTAAGGAGGAGCTGAGGTGGGCGGTCGTAGTTTTGCAGATGGAGGTTCACCATTCCCAGAGGCCGAAACGAGGATGTGTGAATGATGCTCAATGAGGTATCCTAGCTAGTCAGAAGGTTAGTGATAATAATTGTCTTTGCAAGAACACGCGCAATGGCTCTGTTCAAACTCTCGAAGAATACGTTCGCTACGTGTGTCGAGGGCATGGCAAAGTAAAGGCATCTCTGAAGTGGTGGCTAATGATGGCTGTCCTTCTATGACGCATCAAGCATGCGATAGCTACAATTGTCTCTCCTGAGGGCATCGACACGCAGAATAATCATAGTGCGTTCGTAGAGGATTTACACTCGAGCGAGATCGAAGGAAGCGGTGTTACATAAGCACCGCAACGCCGAGGATCTCCCGACGGCAGCATCACGGAGAGCTTTTCCTACACCTCCGAACAGCTTCCCCGACCACCACCCATCCAAATCCATCTCCCCGGGCTTTGTCACTCCCACCCGGTACGCCAATTCCCTCGCGAGCACTCTCTCTGTACCAATTGACCTCCCGGAACCGCGCGCTAATCCACACCCTCTCACAGAGCCCACGATGAACGCCGCACGCCTTTTCCGCCCTCTCGCCAGGGCCGCCGTCCGCCAGCCCGCCATGGTTCGCCCGTCCGTCATGGCGCGCCCGGCCCTCGCTGCCACCCAGAGCAAGAAGACTGAGGTCGCCCCTCAGCAGATGGTGCGCTTGTTCCCGATGTACAGCGCCAAGGATATGGAAGGAAGCTAACGGATCACAGACGATCCTCAAGTCGGCCATGCCCCAGCTCATCCCCTTCTTCTTCGTCAACGAGACCACCATGGCGTTCGTCCTGCTCCCGACGCTCATCTACGTCATGTCCAAGTACATCCTGCCCCAGCGCGTCCGCCTCTTCGCGGCCCGTCTTTTCATCAGCAAGCTATAAAGGGTGCATACGGAAGGATATGAAGAGGATGGAGGGATTGTGTACAAATAGTCAACATGTGCTTGTAGACAATTAAGTGGTTCGACAACAATGGCTGGATGCCAACCTATGATGCGCCCAGTTGCAGCGTCTTGCATCCGATACTGGCGTTCTGCTCAACTTCAGGAGCGTATTGATGTGAATACAGGCATACTGTTCAGGACTGACGAATAGGCTCGGTCGTCGTCATCTTTACATGTTTGACTGATGTCTTTTCTGAACCATTGAAGACACTGACAACTGCAGCCCTCGTTTCCCGTATGGCGCGATATCACTAAAATACTTTGAATGTCAAACAGAGCAGGATTTGAGGCTTGATTCCATCGATATCAGCATGACAAGGACTGTAGGCAACCTTTCAAATAACTACGCGCATCATCAAAGCCCTACACCGCCTTCTTGAACTCCAATAGCTGCCTCTATAAATTACCAAACGTCTCTGCGCTCCGAAACTCCAGTATCAGCACCCTCTGCATTTTGCCATTATCCACACAAGAAATCGTCAGGGAATGTGCTCTTCCTCGGTGTCCCCTTAAGCACCCTCTCATCCGCACCCTTCACATCAGCGCGCAGGACATCGGCGATCTTTTGTCTAACGGCAAGCGCAACCACGAGGATGAAGCGCTGGGCAGCCACCTCCAAACTATCTAGGGCTAGAACTTGTGCCTCTGCGGCGTCTTCCAATTTATATCAATCCGGTCATCCGTATAACAAACACGAATGAAAAATCATGCTCTGACTTCCACATACAAAAGCACCCAGTTCGGCGGCACCTCGCCATCGGGATCCTTCTCGTAAGAGGAAAGGTGCTGTGGGAATAAATGTTCGCATTGAATGGAAGGGAAACAAGTGCGTCGATGTACTGCTACACCTCGAGTAATTTTATACCTCTCCTAATCCGGTTCCTTAAGCATACGGTCGCAATCAAAACCCATGAATTGAGAAAATTATGATCGTCCCGATGGAGTACTGCTTAAACGAAAGCTTGCTTGCCACCTTCTATTGGCCTACTGGACTACACCTCTCGCTTCGTCAGGGCGTATGCGACCACCGTGCAATGATATCCTCAATTCTCCATGCAAAGCTCCTTACACGAGTAAGCTATCTGCCTCTTCAGTCTTGTTGCGTCACCCGGGGTGCGCACGAGCGCCATCAATCGGCCGTAAATATGCGGGTGGAGGACAGCATATTGCAAGATTCTGTGCTTGGCTGTGTAAAATTTCCTGGGGGATGCGAAGCTGAGGAGAAACTGTGGAAAGCCCGAGATTTTTCGGGCTGAATGTACTTGTGAGTGGGGAATGCATCGTGAGCTGGTCGAACTCGATGTCTAGTATGATGCGAGGACTTTTGCTTTAGTGGTCTCGCGAAATAAGACACTGGAAGATGTGCTCGCGTGGGGGCGGTTTAAGTTGTGACTGGGGTACCACGAGGATGTACAACAAGACAAAGGTTTATTGCCACTTTGGGTACGTCACTGACCCAGGACGGGGTCCGCACACTGCGGAAAGTCTACAAAATATTCTTCATGTATGTATTTGATTGGGGCTTTAGTATACATCCTCGACCTGCGTAAGAAGCGCAAGCCTCCACGGCAAGTTGTTGTAGTTCGTAGTCACATTCGGGTCAACACCCTGATACAAATACCTTAACCCATGTGTATCAATCCTCAGATTCTGATCCACATCCGTCCTAATAACCTCCCCATGACTGATACTCCTCGTCCACTGCGGACCCTCAAACACCACATTCTTCTCGCCCATGAAAGGATGCTCTTCCGTCGCGGCCAGCACATCCCACGGCCCAGCAAGATTTGAACTAGTCCAAGACCGGAAATACCGCTTGTTCTCCGTGCCGATACATTCTACGAGAAGCAGGTAGGATGAGTTGCCGATGTTGTACACGTTGGACGCTTCAAAGAGGTCGTATTTGGAGGGCTCTTCCATCGCAATGACGGGCTCACTCATGCCGTTGGGGAAGTCGGCGAGGGGTGTTTGGCTTCGGAAAAGGCGCCCGTTGTCATCCGAGGAGAAGAGGTGGCAGTTTAGCTCGTCGCAGATGACCCACATGTCGACCCAGTATCCACCTGGAAGGTATTGTTCAATTATCGCGGGCGTGCCGTTATAGAAGTTGGTGGGCGCTGACCAACCTAGGGGATCGTTGATGTCTGGGTTCGTGCTGTACGCTGCATTGTTGTTTTGGAATACGAGATACCATAGTTTCTGGGGCTCGAAATAGAAGACTTCTGGTGCAGCGCGGTAGCCGGTGCCGATTCCTGATTGATCTAAGTAGTTGAAAGGCGCAGAGCCAGCCTCGTCGAAGGAAGTGAAGTTGAAGTAAACTAGCGAATAGTTGGGCGACTCGGATTTTGCTGTGCTGGCGAAGACGTGATAGGTGCCATTGACGGAAATGATTGAGGGATCTTTGATACCTGCGATGGCTCGGGTATCATTCCTCGGGTAGACTGATGCTTGTGTCGATGTCCATTTGAAGCTGCTGGGAAGTGTTGTGTTACGTGTAACGAATGGGAAGCGAGGCTGTGGATGGAGAACGCTACGTGCAGCTGCTACGGCAGCAGCAGACCAGAAGACTAGAATCGACTTCATCATCGAAAGGTTGACGACGGGCTCCCAAATCACATACGAGTATCGCTATAATCCGTTCAAATACATCTTGAAGACCCCCGATTATGGGTGCCCCTCCGTGCCAACGGTTAGCACTCCCGACTAACAGATCCTAGTAAATTGAAATAATGAAGATATCCAAGCAGCAGTGACTCGGGCGTAGCAATTTGGGGGTTTCTGAACCTGATGGATCCCGAGGCCCGTCGTAGCGGCGTTCATTTAACCAGGATTCAGCCGGGACGCAATGTGGAGAATCGCGATTCCTCCCATTAGCACGCACCCAGGCAGATCTCCAGTAAAGTGGAATTCTCGCAGTGCTAGTGTGATGGAAGATCGTAAAGTAACACCAACTCGATCCAGGTTTACTATAAGGAGCTAGGTTCCCTCAGGGTGAGCGATGCAAAGGCTGAAGAGTTCAATACTTCAACGTTCCGGCGGTTGTATACGGTGCAACTCAAGGCATTTGGAGACTAGAGACTTTCGGTTTGGATGTGGTCAGAATGCAGGCGCCCATCTTCAACCATCCCACACGTTGCTTTATGCAGAGCCATTCCCGCGACAGCTTTCCTACTCAAGGTCCCATCGGTGACATCCACTTGAGCACCGCTGTATTTAAACTGTCCCTACGCACCGGCTTCTCCAAATAATCGTCCATGCCAGCCTCCTGGTATTTTTCTAGCTTATCTAGCCTTGTGAATGGTGGAGTTGCAATGATAGGTAGTGAGCGTGTCCGTCCGTCAAACAGGTTCGTGTCGTTGCGGATCCGGCGAGTAGCCTCGAAGCCATCGAGAACGGGCATGCTAGTGTCCATGAACACAATGTCGGGCTGGCGGTTTCCGGATGTTTTGCAGAGATAGTCCAGTGCTTGCTGCCCGTCGCACACAGTAGCTACTGCATGGCCTAGCTTCAGGAGTATAAGAGAGGCGACTCTGCGGTTGACAGTGTTATCCTCTACGACAAGAATGAATATGCCGGTGCTGGGCATTTTGGAACGGGGGTTCAAGTATTTTTGCAACTGTATTAATTCTTGGGCAGCCGACTGTGCCATGGTAAGGAATGCTAGCGTCTCAGTTCGACGCGACGTAGCGTAGGAGGGACGATTGTAGCTTCATCCAAATACGCCTGGCGTGACCTACAGTAGACGCACAGACCACCTCTTCGGTCTTTCGCGCTCGCTGCCTGCTGGGTCCCATATGGTGTTGCCCAACGACAATGCTGGCGCACAACAGGTCGCTTGCGTGTTTCGCAGGCCATTGTGGATGCTCGGCCGAGGAACTGCCTGTCACGGGTCTGTGTACTGCACGGCTGTCGCGCCGCTTTGCGCCTTCCGCGTGCCGCGTCAGCAACACCTCAACACCATCGGCTGCGCAGCAACTGCACGGATCCGTCAACTTGTGCGAGCTCACAGCTGGCCCCGGAATTATTCAGTGCCAGACGATAGGTTCTCGACTATCGACTTGCCGACATCAGTTATGCTGCTCGGAGTCGCCTGGGCAAAGACTCTGGCCTTGATCGATCGAAGAGCAGGCTGTTAGCAGCGCCAAGCGAGGCGCGTTGCGTATCTCGCCGGTTCAGCAGCGAGCAACCATGATTCCAGCATCGACTTAGCATCAACGGCATATGCTGCACGGAGACGCCTTCAATCTTTCGAATGCACTTGGTCGCTGATGGCGACGCTAGAAAGGGTATGCAAAGTGCTGCAGCTTCATGAGGTCGTCTCAACCGCCATCTATCGTCTCGACGCGCGCGAAACGTGTCGCATTGTCCCTTTCGGGTTGCGGTAATGCCGAGCTCTGCAATAGGAACTGCACGATGATGACCTGGTGGAATAGTAAATCGCGTGCTGACGAAGATGCAGTGCAGCGGTGAAACGATTGGCCTCGAGGTACGCCAGACCGCCGGAAGGTCCGAGGCCTTGCGAACGACGAGAGCGATGAGAATCCTCCGACGCGGCGGATGCGGTGTATATTCGACGGGCATTTCATAGCCTTGCGGCCTGACGTCAAGCACAGTCAGTGGAGAGGTTCGCAGCGCGCGGTGCTCACCGCCGACGCGCGCACCTGGCAGCGATCAAGCATCTCACCGCGGCCAGCGCCGACGAGATGATCCGTCCGCGATGGCTGTGCGATGCATTCTTAGAAACACAATTGGCTGCTGCTTACCGCTGGCGTACACCGCCACAGGTTCTGCCGCTACTGTGCAGGCGTGTCCGATTGGCCCACGCGCCTTTTCCGACGCCATGCCGCGAACTGTCGGCGGAAAAGCGGCCAAGCGAAGACGGGACGGGCCTAGCGCTGGACCCCAAGCACGACTGAGCCTCACATGTCCCCTGAAGCGCAGACCGTGCGTATCCCTGGGCAGCTGTTAATAGACCTGGGCCAATCACTTGTCGTACGCGCCACACTTAGCCACACGATACCTTTCATGCTGCGAATGCTACGTACTGTTGCGATGCGGGGTGCGCTGGCTAATATGAACTGGCGGCCTCGTCGCCTTTGCCGCTGTATTCGAGGTCCAGATTTACTGCCTCGTCATTCCGTCCAGCACAGCTTCACCATCGCGGCGACAGACAACAAGCGTGCAACGGCAACCCGACTACGATAAACGAAGACCATCTCGGACAGAACATAGTGTCCAGCATTTGTGTACCGATACCAATCAGGCCGGGGAACCCTACTGTTCGCCCAATTCTTTTTCAAGATCATTGGGTACCAGGAATCTGGGGCTCAGGTATACCCGGACCATGTTGTCTCCAAAGGACATTGGATCCAAGGCCAATGCCTCTAGCATCTGTTCTTGCGACTCAGGTTACGAGACCAGTCGTGCAGTATCACCATCGGTACGACAATCAACAGGTTCCGAACACTACACGGTAGCTTACAATCAACAGCTCCAGGCTCAGGCACCAAACAATACTCATCCGTACCATTCTCAGCAACACACCCCAGTTATCTTCAATGGAGGCGATATCTGGAACTCACCGGTTGGTAGACTAGCTACCTCACACAATGGCATGGAGCTGATTGAGAGCCTACAGAGCCATTGTACTCGTGTGCGAGAAGATTCGCTTGTCGATCCGATTACGACCCAGTTCAACGTCTTCACAACAAGTGATGCATCGATTCATGCTTTTGTGCTTCCTGATCTCCCAGCCTTTGATCAAACTTGCTTAGAGTGTGAAGTTTGGCAGCTCACGAACCCTGGACTACACAACAAATGCCAAAAGTGTCGGGCACTTTCCATTCACCGAGCTATGCCTCCCACAGCGGATCCTTTATCAACAACCAAAGATGCCCTCCCTCAGTTAGAAATTCCTGGAAACCTGCAAGGTCAAGGACTAAAACGTCTACGCTCAGTTTCACGTTGCTTGGCTTGTGACGTGTCTCTGCAGGTTGATTCGAGATACTGCTCTACTTGTGTGCCCGCCCACACTCTCTCACCTTTATCGCCGTTTCCCCCAGAACACCGGGTCAAGCGATCTCGCGCAGGCCGAAATTCAAAGCTTCCAATAGCTGCACTAAATCGACTGCAAGCCTGGCTGGACGCCAATAAGCACAACCCTTATCCGACTGCTGATACAAAGCGATGGCTAGCCCAAGACTGCGGTATCACCGAGAAACAAGTCAACACATGGTTCACCAACGCTAGAGCTAGGCAGATGAACGCACACCAGGTGGAGAGCGGAAGCGAAGTAGAGGGTGCCGAGGATAGCGACGATGCAGAGACGCTACACGCCAACATAGGCGCCACCGAATACCTACAAGACATTGCTCAAGCAGAGTCGTCCCATCGTCGTACCTCGGCTGCCACAGGACCCTCGCGGAGGGGCAAGAAGAAGGACTACCGGCGGATTCACAATGCGGAGGTGCCTCAGACCCCTCTCCTCCTTTCGCCAGCTTCGATGGCGACGTCGCCTATAGATCAATCACTTCCAGCGGACCAGGAGACATGGCAGTGTACGTTCTGTTTCAAGGCTCTGGTACCGAAATCGTGGCGGCGGCATGAAGACACGCAACACCGACCCAAAACTCAGGCCGCTCGGTGGACGTGCATGCTGGATGGTCCACGTCTGAGTTTCCCAAACCGCACCAATACGGGGACGGTATGCGCTTTTTGCATGGTCAAAAATCCAACCGAAGAACACTTTCTTCAAAATCACCGAATCGATGAGTGCTCGAAGAGAGACGCGACTGACCGAACTTTCTATCGACCAGACCACCTGCGACAGCACATCAAGAATTTTCATAATGCCACTCTGTTCGACATTGTGCAAGCCCGCTGGAAGACAGCTGCTGAGACTGTTACAGAAGGATGGACGTGTGGGTTCTGTGGCGACCGCCTGGAGACCTGGGACAAGCGGGAGACGCACATCTCGAACCATTTCAAAGAGGGCATGACCATGGCATCGTGGAGGGACTACCCCGATACGGAGAAGCAAATCGACAAGAAGGGCAAGGGGAAGGAGAAAGAGAAAGGGAGTGCTCTCAGTGGCTCATTCATGAACATCTTTCGACGACCAACTTCACATCAGCACAATCAGCCTCAAACGCAGTCACAGGACAGCGCGTTTGCAAACTCCTTCCAATCTCTGCCCATTGCACCTCAGATTCAAGCTCATGTTCACGGCTACCAGACATCTGCTTCGCATTGCGCATCGACAGGCTATGAAAACGCATATACCTCGTCAACAGCGCCAATGGGTCTCGGCATATCTCAAGCACCTGTCCTGCCTGTCATTCCGAACGTTAGTCCACTTGTAGTGACGCAACATGACTTCGACAATGTCGGCAACGTTTTCGACTGGGCACCAATGGCAACCTCCTTCGATCAGCAGATACAATATCCGCTTCCGAACACGAACATTTATGAGGCTGGAGTACCTACTACTACGATGCAGCCTGATTATACCAATTTGAACGCACTTGGTCTGGATCTTTATGGGAACCAAATTGATTACCAGGGATCCTGGACGCAACAACCACCGTCGTCGCCGCACAACCCGCAACAGTACCCGCAGTACAACCAGAGGCGGCAACAATAATTCAGTCGGGCAGAGCGTCATTCACAACGCTTGCATTGACTGTAGGCTCTTCCTATGGAATTGATGCCTGGACTCCTGTCGATCTCCGACTGGGTCGTTCCTGCTTTCATGTACATGCGTTTGATGCAGTCCTCTATCGAACTCTTATCGTATGTATGATTGCTGTTCTTGGAGTTCTATACACCCTGGGATGTCGGCGCCTGGTGAGCTTTCTCTACTTTCATTCGTGTCATTCCGCCGCGTCACTGTACTCTACCATAGACTGAGTGGGGCGACTGGGGTGTTTCTCTGTTTCATAGTAGATTTCATTATTTCATTCTCTGTCACGTCTCTGAAGTATTCTTATCGTTCTTAATATCTGTCACATGCGTCACTTCTTACTTCTCTGCCACTTTCCACAGCGCAGGTCGCTTATAGTAAGGTCCGCACCACGAGCAGCATGATGTAATGCGTATAACGGCCGATATCTCACAGCAACGGATAATTAGAATTTCTCAGCAGATGACTTCTCTATGAGCCGCATTCAGTGCAGCTAGGCACAGGAATTGAAACATGAACGTGGGTGACGACTTGCGGGTGTCATCTCAGAATACATATCATAATACAACCGCTCTTGCAAAATTGTTGGCGCTGCTTCCGTATATACGGTCCTTCAGTTAATGCTTCACTGTCTGTGTCGGTACCTACGGGTGGTTTCTAATAGCTCTCTTATACACCGTCACCGCTGTACCTCGCAGGCTACCTCAACTGCTGCCGCCTTCACCAAGCACTAGGATTGCCTCTGCTACTCGCTTACCCGAATATGAAGTTCTTTGACTGAAAGCACCGAGCACAGGCCACATTGCCGCCTCCACGGCCGTTTGTCGCGTCGCCGCCCGCCTTCACCAGGCGCCTGCCGCCCTCAAACACGCCCTCTCACCTTCACCACGGCGTGTTTCACTCACTTAATCGTTGTTACCTGATCACGAAATTGCCTTCAGATCAGTCGCTTAGTTTAACTAAACGAGAAACGCTGATCCGGCGCCCGCAGACGCCTATATAAAGGCCGCCCGCCCGCCTCTCACCTTCTCTTCTTCCATCACTTCTCCACTCCACTTCTACTTTTTTGGGCTGTGGCGGCCTGGAACCCAGCATGAGCTCGACTTCTACCTTGTGCCTTCACTCATTGGTACTTCACCTTCACTCAACCTGAGTTCGACTTCTACCTCTGCATGTCGACTCCATCACACCTTGTCGACTTCACATCATGTCGACTTCATCATACCTTGTCGACTTCATCACACCGTGTCGACTTCATCACATCATGTCGACTTCATCATACCTTGTTGACACCTTCACATCATGTTGACCTCTTCACATCATGTCAACATCATCACACCTTCTCGACTTCATCACATCATGTCGACTTCTCTACATCATGTTGACAACCTCACATCATGTCGACTTCATCACACCTTGTTGACACCTTCACATCATGTCACCATCCTCACACCCTGTCGACTTCGCAACCAGCAGCCGCCACCCCGCAAACGAACCGAACCGAACCGAACAGTGGGAAATTTGGCAGTGTCGGTGGATCGGTCAAAGAGGTGGAAGCTGCACTCTATCCGGCGCTCTTCGGAGTCAGGTCAAAGACAGAACAGCAAGTTGGTAGTGTTGGTGGATCGGTCAAAGAGGTGGAAGCTGCACTCTGTCCGGCGCTCTTCGGAGTCAGGTCAAAGACAGAACAGCAAGTTGGTAGTGTTGGTGGATCGGTAAAAGAGGTGGAAGCTGCACTCTGTCCGGCGCTCTTTGGAGTCAGGTCAAAGACAGAACAGCAAGTTGGCAGTTCAAAGACCTAGGGTCGTTCTCAGTTCATGTTGCGGGCCGTGTGGAATCTGAGGGCTTTGTGCCTGGACTACCCGCAACGCGCCTCTTGGTCTTATGTTTTCTAGATGGTGTCATGTATGGATGGATGCTTCACTGTTGCCACTGGGGCTTCGCATGTCTTGGACTTTGTATGTTTGCCTTTCGGCTGGATGAAGCACGTGTTGTGTCCAAGATGTTATTGCTGGGATAAATCACATCGTCTTCTCCAAATGTTCATATGTCTTGCCTATTGTTGATACTCCGCCTTGGCCTTTTTCCCTTGCGACGCGCGCTTGGAAGGGTCTTCTGTATTCACTTGGTGCCCATTAGTCTTCTTTAATCCTGGGGCAACACATGTGCAGTAGGCTTTGTCGCATGTGCGCATAATTGCTCGGCATCGTATCTCATCTCATTCATGATTTGATATCATACAATCATAATCCTTGCCTGAGCAGATTCGTTGCCTGAGCCGATCTCCGCGCTCAGGCGCACATATCCCTCCCCAAGTCCACGTGCACAATGCCATCCCACAAGAATACTCATACCGATAGCCTACACCTGCGTACGGAACCTCACATTCTCCTTCCACTTGCCTGCAAACCTCTCCTTCAGTGCGCCTTGTTCGCCGCCCATCGCCCAGCCCACCACCTCCTCAATGGCGCTGCTCCCCAACTCTTCAAGCGGCAGCCAGTGTCCCGACTCTTCTAGAACGACCACCTGGCTATCCTTCGCCAGGTAATCCGCAATTCCATCGAGTGCCAGCCGGCTCTCGAACGCCGGGTCGTCAGCGCCATACACGATCGTCGCAGGCGCCTTGAGCGCGCCAGGCGGACCGTCGTCGAACAGGCCTGCGCGAGAACCACCAGAGCCGCGCTTGCCGTCGGACTGGATCTCTGAGAGTGCGACGACGGTTTCGATGGACTTCTCCCACGGGCCACGGAAAAGGCCTTCGCGATAGATGCGGACCTTCTCTAACATGCCGTTATTGGAAAGGCGCTTCTTCAGGGACGTGGCGTAGCCGTTGGGTTCATCGAGCTGGGCTAAGCCAGGTCCTGCTGACGAAGCCATGGCGTCGCCTGCCTCCTTCGAAGTGAGCTTGCGGTACTTGCCCGGTGCGATGCGGCCAATGCCGGCCTTGTGGAGTAGACGGAGGAACCAGTAGTTTCCGAAAGTGGGGAAGATGGGTGCGAGCGGCCAGGGTAGGTTGAAGATGACTGTACATGCGTTGTTAGCATTGTATGATACGAGGATCTCGCGTGATGCGCGCAGCCACTGACGTTAGTGGCATAGACACAGAAGATACTTACAGACGTAGAAAGAGCGCCTCATCTGGCTCACCACAGGCTCCAGCGTCCGAGACGCGTTCTTCAGAAGAGAAACTCGTAGAGGCTGTCGAAGATACGTATGAAGCATCTGCTTCGCGGAAGCAGCTTTGGCGGTGGTGTTGGAATATGCAAGCTCTGGCTATCTCAGTGTCAGTATATTGAAGTATTGCATAGAGGATGATCCTACTCACGATCAAAACGCTCGCGATCACCCAACGATCAGCGAGCTGAGAAGCCTCAGCCGCAAGCCTCGCTCCAATGACGGCTCCCCAATCATGTGTGACAACCACCATCTTTGCCTGATCTTTCAAATACTTCTCCCGCATACCCAGGATGAACTCCGTCATGGCTTCCAAAACGTCGTTCGCGCTGTATGTCTCGATGCCCTCGCTCCCGCCATAGCCGGGCAGATCGACAGCGATGAGAGTCTGGGAGTCAAGGGACGATGCTCCGAGTGTCTTCTTCCAGAGAAGGTAGGAATCAGGGAAGCCTCGATCATTTCAGTACAAATTCGAAGACTTTTGCACAGCTGCACTTACCATGGATGAACACAGCGACGTTCTGCGGTTGGGAAGGACCATCCTGAGGAAATTGGGGGCTGTCTTTCCTCAGTAGCGATTCGGTCTTGACGACCTGAGCGATGCATTATTAGCATGAATAACCCGTATTGCTCTGTCGTCTTACATAGTGCAGCTTGACCCCGTTTCTGAGCGTAAAGAACTGATGTGTGAAGCCCGGCAAAGGATTCAGACCGATGCTCCAATACTGTTTCTGAGCTGCGATCTCTTAGCTCGGAGTCATCAAACGATTGGATTTCAAGTATACCAATCTGCAGCTCTCGAACTGCATCCTTGCTCGGCCGCTTGAAGAATGCCCCGTCCCGCACGGCTGCGAGGATGAGGACAGCGAGCAGGTTAGCGGAGGCGTAGACGAAGCTGAAGCACTTCCACAGGAGCTGTCCGAGCATGATCACAGTCTTCTTCGCAACAGGGCGTGGGAAACGTCGATAGCCGTGTACAAAACAGCCTTAGTCGGCTGCCCAGGTGATGTAGCAAATTGGGCACGAGTCTATTGTGCGAGAAGAGTTTTCAACAAGCGTTATACGTAGCAATTCAAACCAAAAAACCTCGCGTAAAGTGTGAAGTGAGGTCGAAAGCAGTGCGTACAAGGTGGAATGTTTGTGGCACTAGCACTGGGCAGATGATTGCTCCCGCCGCAAGGGTCCACGCGCTGGCCGGTGGCAATGACGATGGTTGGCCGACGCAGCGATCGATCCCGCCAGTCCTTGCCTCATTGGGATAGTCGCGCATCTACGATCAACATCGGAGTCGCAAGCCTTTGTCGTGTCCCGCAATGCTAATGCCATTGTATGCTATCGTACAGGCGGGTCTTTGATGCGGTCGTGGATGGCTGAACGGGTATATGATGGCGACGTTTCACGCAGTTTGAACCAGGAGAAGCGACGTCATGTGTACCACTTAACATTAGGCTGGTACCTGCGTGAAGAGTAAGTGGGGAGAGTGGGTAACGACTTCAAGAGATATATCGAAAAGTGAGTTGCCCTAGGACGTGTATTCGCATATCGAACTGGACTTGATTTCCCGACGTTTATATATTCAGGTACCTTGTAGCTGGACGTCATCCTGACATAAGAAACTCGTAGAAGGAAGATAGCCTGGCAGAAGTACACAATAAGAAGATGCTGTATGAACTAGCGAGCGTGGTCGCGAGCAAACAGTCAAGAAAGGAGTGTGCTTTACCATCGTTCACGAATATGCGTCCTCGCCAGCACACATCGACGTTACCAAAGAGCACGCTCCCCTTTTAGTACCGCGCATCCGGCTCTTCCTTACACCTAGTCCAGCTGCATCTCATCCCCAGGCTACACCTTCCTCCCAACCTTCCTGATCCTCTCTCCATAGTACCACAACACTCCCGCCATAGGCAATCCCACACAAAGCATGATGAGCGCCACCAAGCTATTCCCCCACCCATACCCGAGGGCCTTGTACATCTGGGGCGCAAATATAGGCAGCACAAATCCAATAACATTCTGCAGCAAGCACGACGCCGCCATCGCGCTCGCACTGTGCTCTGAGAACTCACCTAGCTGATACGCGTTCACTGCTTGTGCAGTTGTAAAGCTGCCCATCGTGAATACCGCGACGCCGAAATCGACCATGACCCAGTGGAGGGTATAATGTGCGGACCATCCGTACCAGAGAAGGCCGGCGGGCATGAGGATGAGGCCAGGGACCAGGTATGGGATGCGAAACTCGGGCTTGCCGACGCCGTTATTGCGACGTGTAAGTCGCGCGTAGAGGCGGTCCATGAGCCAAGAGCCGAATTGGCCATTGATAGTGGCACCGATAGCAACTGCTATATAGTGCAGACTGCTCGTGAATTCGGAGTCGTGGTACCTGTCGATCCAAAGGTTGGCGAGGGGAGGAGAGCATTAGGCAGTATACACCCATGTCGAGGGCTAGGAGCCCTGCCATGAAGTAGATGATGGGACGGGTCCAGTATAGTCGTATTGGGCGAAGGAAGACCTCAGTCAGGTTGGCTTGTTCATGGGCAGATCTCATGGATTCCCAGGGTTTCCATAGCGGGAATGTCGAGGAGACTGCGGTAGAAGTTTGTGCTGCATGTTTGCGGCGGAGGAGAACCGGTGTATAAGTTTCCTCAAGTAAGAAGACGCCGATGATGGTAACAATGGTGTTGAGTATACTTAAGATCCAGAAGATCCACTGCCAGCGAAGAAGCTGCGTTACAACTCCTCCGAGGATAGGTCCTAGTGCCGGACCGGCATAGGTAAGAAGTGATACAATGGCCATCGATTTGCCACGCTCTTCTTCGCGGAACATGTCCGCCATAATGGGGAAGGCGAGCTATTGCAACACTGGATATCAGCAACGTGAGGTGAAGATATCTCTGTGATTACTTACATTAATGCCAACACTGGCACCTATGCCTGCCATCAACCGAGCAAATATCATCAGCGCCGTCGAGCTCCCTAAAGGGGCGATGGCGTTCCAGAGAATGAACCATATGTTACCTATCATCCACACAGGTCGCCGGCCAAAGGCCTCAGCCAAGACGGCGAAGACGAACGGACCAAGACCAAACCCCAGAAAGGTTACCAACATTTCTACCTGCACAGTGGCAACATCTGTGTGTAGTTCCCGTTCGATGTCGCCTAGCGCCGGAGCGATCATGCTGGCCGACATGTATGCTATGAGCTGTCCGAGCGAGGCGACGGTGCCGATGGTCATTTTGCGTCGGAAAATCCAGTTATAGGGATCGCATGGGTCACTCGGTCCGTCCCAGGTGGCCTAGAGAAGTAAGTAAGATGTACTTTTTGGTGGAGCTGTCCTTCGTTCTGTACCCCATATTGCTGAAGAAGCTTCTCCAAGGAAGCATCATTGTGCTCAACTGCATTTTCAGCATCTCCAGGGGGTACTGGGAATAGCGTAACAGTAGGCGTCACTGGAGGTAGCGGCTTCTCACTTGAGGCCATGAGTGCTGGTCTTGGAAGATACTGTAACTTCAGTGATGTCAGATTCAACTGAAAGTTGAAGTGAGTCTTCACGTTGAACCTGCCGACTGATAAAGTAACAGGCACGGAGACGTTTGCACCGCCATTTATTCAATTTCGTTTACTTCAATGCTCATAGTCCAGCAGTCACGTGGCGCATGAGTATGGTCAGTAACCACGTCTACAAACGCCCACGCCGCAATCTTTCGCAGGGTAAAAACCTTCTCCTTCAAGCTCTGACCGCGCCGCAACAAGATGGGATCCTGATCAGACGATTTGAAACTCTAATACCATGCATCGGCATCGGCAGTCTAGTGTCCTTCACCCATCTACACCCCGTTGTTCAGGGGGAAATATGCCGAAGGGTAACGCCTCGGAGGCCTGACCCTGGCGATCTAGTTGGAAAGCTGTTTTCCGCTACCGGGGTACGTACCTGGACTGAAGATGCGTTAAGCCGGAAATGTGCATCGTGGCTTGCTGCTCAACCTATTGCCTTACAGTCTCTTCTTATTCATTGGCTCCTCAGTGCAAACACGGACGCGGCAGACGCGGCAGATATGGGACGATCAACTGCAGTGTACAATACCCGACCGACTTTCCAGTAGCGAAGAGTGAAGTATGACGTCCAAAATTGAAAGTCCAATTGGAACTCGTGCTGCGTCTAATGTGTGACAACCGCTTCAACCGCCGGCATGCGCGCGTATGCAGCCCGCTTATTCAATGCAGTCGAACAGAGCGAACATGGCTGCCAACAAGCCGCGCATCCCGGTTGTAGGTAGATGTCCGCTGCGCTGCGGTCACAGAAAGAAACAATAGGTGGAGTCAACACGCCCTAAGCTTCGAGAGGCGAAAACCTCTGATCATGTTGGTAGTGGTCCCACGTTGAGTCGCCTCAATTTGTCCATGGCTGCTCTCCGGTTCTGAGCAAAGGACGGTCAGCAAAGACGTAGCTACCATGTGGTTTTCGAACGGTCTGGAGAGGAAAGCCAGTCCGCAAAGAGGTCGAAAAGCTCAATGGTAACAATTTGCGAGGCATGGTGCATCCTTCACGGTAAATTAAGGCATGGAACCTTACAAGGATTGTCGGTGACTCGCAACAGGATGGAGACAAACGTCAGAAAGCTGATAACGCTGACGCGAGCAGCGACACATGACAGGTGGCACCGCCCCTGAGTAGGAAGACCACGCTATCGCAACCCAGAATCAGGCTACTATGCACGTCAACATTCGTTCATGAACGAAGAAAGACGCGATACCTTAAGCCAAATGTGGTTTAGTTAAACGGCCACTGCATGTAGCCATGGGATCAGTGCTCAAGTCGCGCACTGCATAGTATGATGGTCACCGTTGTCTGTCTGCGTACCGTGTCGTTGGACATTCGCTTGCTCGTCAGATGTAGTACAATATCTTTAGTCAGCCGGGCCGGCCCTCGGCCGTCCCACGCCGCCGAACGGGTATGTTTCGGGAACGCAATCGGCTTCCCGGGATGTGGACATGGTGGCTCTGCCGCGACTAAAGCTAATCTTGCGACCTATGGCTCGGTAAGGATATCGTTTAAAAGCCAGAGTCTTCTTTACTGTGCCGTGCATGACCAAGAAGACACCCTTCGAGATCGGTGTGACCGCGCGGACAGTGCTGCCGATTCCGCCTTGGAAGATGCATACTTGGACATGGTGCATTTGAGTAACCCTGAGGTGTTTCGAAGTTTTAGTGACGGAAGAAGCTGAGGCATGACCGGAGCGTAGTGAAGTGGAGAGTCCGTCGTAGTGTAACCTGGATAGAAGAGCTATAATCATAATTGGCTGAGGGTCTCCGCGGCTGTGTTGACCGACAAGAGGCGACAGCGACTGTAGAGACGCTTCCAACCTTCGGGACCTTTCAACCGTGCCGCTGCCGCGCACGGCAAAGTGAAATAGGAGATGAACAGAGCAGCCAAACGGTGAATGCAATGCAGCTTTCAATTCTTTGTCGGTGACCGGACAAGCAGCAATATGGAAATAAGACGCCAAAAGCAAGGGGGGTAGGCGAAGACTGTCTGGTTTCCGAAATCTGCAAGGCCTCAACTTCGACGTGCCCAACCGCTGGCTTTGCTGGGTGCCGAGCGTGCAAAGTGGCGAGATCAGATGAGTGACACTGGAATTCCCGCATATACCGGCAATCCGAGATGGACCATAGATAGGTATGTTTCGAGATTGAGATCTCGTACGTTCGCTTGCGGTTTTGTGAGAGGTGAACAAGGGACGCATAGCATTCGCAGGGCCAAGGCGAGACTCGGGATCGAGATGTGGCAAGCTGGTTGTTGTACCGCAGGGATCTTGCATACGATGCGTCGTCCTCTCGGAACAAGTCGCGCTTCCCCGTGCTGCCCCTTGCCGTTGTCTTCCCTGCGCCTGCCACGCTCACTGAGCTCGACGCAGCCACCTATACTTCGGTTTCCCGTGAGTGTCGGTAAAGGCCGATAAGGAGTGTCGGCCTACAGCTGCTTCACCTTTCCTTCACGACCAGAAGCTGTGTGGAAGCGACGTGATCTATGTTTCCCCGGCACTGTCAATGTTCATCGCTACTACCGACTCTTGTCGCAGGCCAGGTCAGCCCGAGTAGACTCAGCAGCGTTTCCGAAACTAAGTTGCTTCTCTTTCGGCTTCCCTTGATGGTACACATGATAGGCCTTAAGCCTACGCCATACACTCTTCTCCGGTTTTCTCCGATCTGGGACCGCTACGTGATGTAGATGTTGCTAGACCACGCTCCCAACGTTCGAATCCAATAGCCTAATCGTGATGCGCTGTTTGATAGGCATGCACCATGTTTTTTCTTTGTTCTTTCCTTTCTTTAAGGCAGATCAGATTGGCAGATCGACTCAGCCTGGACTACCCCAGCAACAATTGCAAGCATGAATTGTTTCTCTTCTACTCGACCCCAAACATGCAAGCTGAAGTCTTTGTTCGCCTGCGATTATTCGCCTCCTCTTCTACTTGGGGCTGCCTATCTTGTGGACTTTGCGAAGTCCTACTCTCTGATGTGCATACATCACTTCTCTTGTCTCTTATCCCAGGAATACATATGCGAGGGTCTCAAACTCATCTTTATGGCCTTGACCTGGTGACGATTGACATGTCCTGCTCTTTTTTGAACCCTCCAAAGATAGCGTCTGGCTACCTCATGAGCGTCCCGGTGTCTTAGACAGCATCATCGGGAAGACGTTGCATATATAGAGCGTGTTGCGCTTGTTTTAGCACCCGTATGCGACACCAACCGGTCCCACATATCGCTTTATCGTTCGTCTTTTGTTTGTTTTTCCAAGCCTCCACACACCTCCTCATCTCTTCAACCCCTTCAACTTCTCCTGAACACTAACCTCAGCCGCCCTCTGCACCCTCAAATCCTCCAACTCCCTCTCCACCCCTCTATTCCTCTTTACCGCCTCTTCTCTCTCTTTCATCCTCTCCTTCACCGTCTCCAACCTCTCCTCAATCGCCCTTCTCACCGCACTATCCAACGCCTCCCGATCCACAACCCCTTCCTCCGCGATAAACCTCCTTGCGAATTCCTCTATCGACGTCGGACTCGGCCCCGGACCGCCGGTATGATATCCATTTGCGTGCGTGAGGAGGACGCCTGGGATGGGCGAAGGGTGGGTGCGGAGGGCGCTGTCGAGGGAATGGGGAGGGTTGTGGGGTTGATGACGGGGATGCTTGGGAGGGTGTTCGTGGTACGTTTCCTTCGTCGGAGAGGATCGCAGACATGAGCGCATTTTCGAAGGCTTCTGAGTAAGGGATCGTTGCAGGGGAGTAGTCGATTACGGAGATGTAGGCTCTGCGCGTGGGGAGTTGTCGGGGAGCCATCGGCGTCATTGTCGGCGTCGGGGGTGAGGGGGCGTTGGTCATTATCGTATCTTCTTGTTGGGCCATTGTTCCTGGGTATGGGTTATGGTATGGTCTAGGATAGGGAAGTGTAATGCGACAGATATCGTGGTGCGTATGCTATGGTGTTGAGCTTCGAGATTGGATTCGCTGTGGAGACAGATGCAAGTGCGCACAGGCCGCCTGTTCGCGCCTACTCTTAGAAAGTAGATTTCCAACTCCATCTTCAACTCTACACTTCTCACCTCGCTCCCACTCCACCACCCGACCTACGCAAACATGGCCGACAAACTCCGCGCTCAACAGCAACTTGAGGCGCTCCAAGCGCGCTACATCGGCATCGGGTCCGCCGACACGTCTAAGCACGAGTGGACGTCCAACATGGCGCGCGACTCGCTTGCCTCGTACATTGGCCACCCGCCGCTATTGCAGTATATGAGCATCGGTCTTGGACAATCCCGCGAGAAGACTAGGGTCCAGTTGCTTGAGAGGATGATTCAGCCTGTGGGACCACCGCCGAAGGTACGTGAGGATTGATGTCACGGGAAGAGGGAAGGGAGAGCAAGCTAATAGGGGTGCAGCAAGATGATTGAGATGGAATGAAGAAACAGATTGGTACACCACGACGGCGAGTGCATGAACGATACGACTTTCGGCAGGCACGCTTTGCAGGGGAAATCATGCGCGCATGAGGGACGGGTAATGGAATAAGCGCAGACGAAAGAGCGGTTTCGAGGAGAGGAAGGAACCCAAACATGAGATTGAAAACTACAAGGAGTGGAGGAAAGACACCATTGGGCAAGCTTACGCTTCTGTTTGGTCTTGATTCACACACAAGCCTTTACGTCGTACCGCGCCGCCTCCACAGGCGTTTGCGTTTCCCAGCGTCTACACATTCGTGGACAAGAACACGAGTTCATCAGCCTTTTCATAGGCTGCGTACCAGAAGCTGTATACCCTCTTTACTCCCAAGTGATGCTAAACTTAGTCGCTATCACTCGCGCTCCCTGTTGGACCATCGTCATCGTCCGCAACCACATCACCTCCCGCGTTGAGCGCATACTCCGCCTTCTGCAACTCCGCCCTCAGCACCGTATTCCTGGGATCTACCAGCTCGAACGGCTTCAATTTGGCCTTGTTCCGTATCCTGGGGTCGCAGCCGGCGTCGAGGAGGATGTCGACAATGGGGTGGCCTGCGGACTCCCAGTCGGACTTGTCGAGCGAGTTGACATAGCGGACGGCTTTGTGGAGGGGCGTGTCGTGTTCCATGCGGTCGATGTTGTCGATTTCGACGCCTTCTTGGTCCAGGAGGACGTCTAGAACGTCGTCTGCGTGGGGTTAGCTTCAAATTCCCTTACTCATCCTGTGATGATTGTTCTCCAGTGCTGCAAGAACGAGGAATTATGTACAAAGAGCTCACATACAGCTTCCGTATGTTGCTGCGACGTGTAGAGGTCCGTTACCCACTCCGTCAGCGGCCTTGTTTATCGTCTCCGCAACATGGTCCTTCTCCTTCCTTCCGACCTTCTTCGCTTCCTTGGCTAGGTCGGTTATGGCCTCATCGAGTAGAGAAGTGTTATCGCGGCGGCACGCTTCGAGGATAAGCTCACGAGGGGAAGCGCCCTATGTTTCCAGTCAGAAGTAATTCCCTGCAGGAGTGCGCGGCAACAGACCTGGTCATCAGCCATGGTGAGCGACGTCTACGAACGTGCAGGTCTTCAAGAGCTTGCAGTACACCGGGATGTGCGTGGATCTTGCAAGGAAATCGAATCGAACGCGGTGAACGTGCTCTGCGGCGGGGTGACGGAGGAGCCGCAGCGGCAGTTATGGGATGAAATCGCCTTATACGTGGACACTATCTTCCAACAGTACAGCAAGAAATAGAGAAATTTTTAAGAAGGAGTATCAGCGTGTATAAACGTCGAACGTCCACGCGAAACAGTCTCTCCGCGCTCTTTCGTGGTCCTGTGGCTGAAGCAGCCGCAACCCCGCACTTTCCCCTTTCGGGCCGCTAGCTCCTCAGGGTCCCGCTATAACTTTTTGGCCCGCCGTCACTCGTGCATCCTTGCTCTCCTCCAAGTGAAGGCGTTGCCCATCATGTTGATCTGTAAGCCCATATGCCCAATTTACCAATAAGATTTTTACTGAGCATCGATTAAGTCTGCCCAAATTGTCACAACATGCTTCGCGTCTCCAAAGTGCCTCCCGGCGACCCCCTCCACCGCCGCCCTCGAAGGCCGCTCCCGCCTCGAATGCCTGACCTGTCCGTACCAACACATCCTGACGAAGCAGCTGTTTGAGCGCAAAGAGATTACGCCGAAGCAGCCGGATGATGCACTGGGTGGGGAAGGCGCGTGGGACAACGTTGATAAGACGAACGTGCAATGCCCGAACGAGAAGTGCAGGAATTTCGAGGCGTATTGGTATCAGCTTCAGATTCGATCTGCGGATGAGCCTATGACGGCTTTCTACAAGGTAGATATGCGGTGGTTGTTGTGGGCAGAGCTGGGCTGACGACTACAGTGCACGAAGTGTGCGAAAGAGTGGAGAGAGTGAGCTTGGTTCTGGGGTGCGTATTCGACTTTGCATGGCATTTGGAGTTTTGGAGAAAGGGTGTGCTTTACGATATACCCGGAATTTCCCGTTAGCATCAACCTTCGACAATTGATCCGAACACTCAACGTTAGCAGTTGCTCCAATTGGTCACACTCGTTGACAATTTCGTCTTTATGTGCAAGAAAACACACACTTCACCTGGCTGTTCTGCAGTCAATGTCAATGGAGTTCTCCCAGGCTGCGCGATCATAGCCAAAAGCATGGGAGTGCAGCTCGGGATAGCACCACTCACCATGGAGCCATCCAGCATGGAAGCGCTCAGCATAGAACCACTTGGTATGGAATGTCGTGCTTGGCGACAACGGACTGTGGGGGGGTTGTTTTGGAGTGCAGCAAGGTATTGGCCAATGGAGATGCAACACCCATGTCAACGGCTGAGCGCACAAATGTGCACTCCTTCTTCCTGCGCGCTCATCAGCCTTGTGCGAAAACACACACGCCTACTTTATGACGAGGTTCCTCTGTCTACGACCCACCTCCCCTTTGCTTTCGAAGACTACAACGGTCATGTCTCACTACCCGTCTTTCAGCGTTTCGGACGATGAATTGGAGAGATCCACTCGCAGCCCGGATCTTTCATTCGAGTACCCTGATAGCATCGAAAGCACAAGTAACGATGCGTTGTCAAGCAAAAGACCCAGGAAAATAAAATCAGATGACCAACGACCGCGACAACGTCGTAAACTCAACGCTTACTCTTCAATGAACAATCGAAACTCCCGATTAGCCTGCCCATTCGCGAAGCACGACCCATTAAGGCACCGACCATGCTTCAGGTTCTCCAAAATGGACCAGATCTCAAGGCTCAAGTACGTTTTCCCAGGCAGTCACCACGCTTACATGGTTGGCTAACTACCCGACTTTATCGAGCAGACAGCACTTGCTCAGGGTCCATCAAGTACCCATACACTGCGTCCGCTGTTCGCAGACTTTCAGCACAGAGGACGAAAGAGATGTACATCTTCGAAGTGTCCCAGGGTGCGCGATTCAGCCGAATCAGACGCGCATCGGGATCACCGAGACCCAGAAGGCACAACTGGCTCAGCGGATTTCGTCGAAGACGTCGAAAGAGGAGAATTGGTACATGATCTACGAGATTCTATTTCCAGGGTGTCGAAGGCCTGAGACACCATGTACGTACCAGCATGCTTCAATGGCTCTCATTTTTTGCTTCGCTAACTTGGTGAAGACTTGGACGGCACACAGTTCGCAGAAGAACTGTTTGCTCTACGAGAGTCCGCGGTGCAGGTGGCCCCAATTCGCATCAATCAGCTTACTTCAGCGCTCCATCACGAAGGAAAACTCCCCCCTGTGCCGCCAGAGTATCTTGAAGCCTTTGCCTTCGCGGCCGCAAAGGACGTCTTCGACACCGTTATTGGCCAGCATTTGCGCAGCAGTGTTGCAGCAAAGAACTCGCGGCAGACTAACCCCGTGCATCCATCAGATTCAACTTCGCCCGCGCCATCTAGCGTCACTTTGAAAAGATCTCCTTCGGCAACCAAAGCAAAGCCATTTGTTCTGGGAGAGACGAGCTTTAGGGTGGAAACTTCGATAGAACGGAGTGTAGGAGAGGCTGGCCCTCTTGATCACTTACTACCCTCTATCGTGGAAGGTACGAAAGCATGGACCGGCCTCGAGGAGCCTTCGCGTCTAGACTTGCTTTCTATGGTGGCAGATATGGACTCGAGGTCGTGGGACGAGCATTTGAATACTTGCGTGGATGGCGCTTTGCAGCAACCGCTAAAGTGAAGGCGTGTTGAAAGTACGATGGATTGGAGGGCGATGGACTTCATGCTGCACTTTAAGCATGTCTAGCGCCAGTTCTAGCTAAACCGCGCGGTATGCGCGTGGACCAAGATATTACCAAGCTTACGGGCGAGGCCAAATCGAACTTTGGAATAGCTACAGAAGCCGCACTTGCGGCTTATTTAAATTTACAAACTGATGTTGATGGGGAGCTCGTCATTTGTGCAAATTTCGTCCGTACTATAACATTTCAAAACACACCGCAAACGAAAATACTCTCGTCAACTACATAATTCTAGACATGATAGCTATACAGCCACAAGGCACTCATGGCAATCTTGATGGAATAGACGATATTGGAATGCGCGATCAGCTTGCTGAAAAGTGGTGTAATTCGTGATGGTTTTCGAGGAACAATAAACACATTCGTGGCTTTCGCCAATATCCTGCATGGACAGGGAAATCAAGTATATGAAGTATATGTTAAGGTGGTCCGAATGCTAAGGCTGAGGCAGGGAGAAACACCTTCAAGTCAAGTGAGAAATAAAGAATAGCGCGAACTCAATGTTCCATCCTCGAGTGAACAAGAAGAAAAGAAGGTTGCCGGCTGCTGGGTTTGAAATTATGCTCTACGATATAACGATGAGCCGCCAGAAGAGTCTTTTGCAGATTTCATCGTTGGTTGAGTCTCTGTCTCAGAGTGCGAGAAGATAATCCATGCACCAAGGTATAACTCATCACAGTTTACAGGGCTCAACTGTGTGCGTCAACGAGGGACGTGCTTTGCAATAGGGAAGAGTATTATCCTAGACGTGAGGAATTGGACAATCGGCCAGGCAACGGTACAGTCTATGGTAGCATTGCGAAATCCCAGGAGCCGATCGCCCGGTTCCTTTTGCGAATGGCGTGAAATGAAAGGGGCTCAATGGGCCACTGGGAAGCAGGCAACTCCGAGTGAGCCTGGTCGGGAAGCTTTGCTTTGATCCTCACACAAGCATTGAAAAACGTTCTCGGGAAATTGCCGACGTATAGTGCTGATTAGGATGCGGCCTACCCAATCAGGAAGAAGGGTCTCCGAGCGGGCCTATTGCAACAAAGTACACGACAAGTGGCACAAGTGCTGACATCTAAACTCAGTATTAACACTTCTAGTTGGAATGCCGCGGATACAATATCTGCAACGCTATGGCACGTAGAGCGGAACCGATGCTTATATCTGGCCTCTGCTGTACGTCGCTGCTATCAAACCTGCTTGCACTCAACGCCTGCATCCAGCTCAAAGACACAGAGTAACCTTTTCCCCGAATTCATAAACACCAAGTCCTACTAAGATGGGGAATACCTGGACCCAATTCTTCCCTCCCAAGCCGACTTTTACAGAGAAGAACCTCCCAGATCTCTTCGGGAAGGCGCGTCAACTCATCTTCCTAAAGACTATCCCCCTAACCCGCCTAGGTTTTCATTGTCACCGGTTCCAACACCGGAATTGGCAAGGAACTCGCACGCATGCTCTACTCTGCCAACGGCAAAGTCTACATCGCCGCGCGCTCGGAAGACAAAGCCACCAAAGCTATTGCTGATATTCAAGCTGCCAATCTGTCATCAAAAGGCAGCCTTATCTTCCTGCATCTCGACCTGGCAGATCTTGCCACCATCAAAGCGACAGTGCAATCGTTCCTCTCTAGAGAGGAAAAATTGCATGTGTTGTTTAACAATGCAGGTGTCATGTCCGTTCCGTCTGTCCCGGACCGCACGCCCCAAGGCTACGAGATGAACCTGGGCGTGAACAACGTAGGAACGTTTCTGCTGACCAAGCTACTGACTCCCATCTTGGTCTCAACCGCGCAGACCGAATCGCCGGGTGTAGTTCGCGTGGTCTGGGTCTCGTCGACCATAGATCTTGCAGCCGCGAAAAACGTCGGCGTCCCACTCGACGATCTCGAATATCGAAAGAAGGAGGTGCCAGGCATGAATCGCTACGGGCTAAGCAAGACAGGCAACTGGCTCCATGCAGTCGAGTATGCGAAGCTGCACAAATCCGACGGCGTCGTTTGCGTGCCTGTCAACCCAGGGAATTTGAACAGCGAGCTCGCAAGGGAGCACACCCGATTTATGCAGTGGATACTGAGTTTCATTGTACATCCGGTATATTTGGGGGCTTATAGTTTGTTGTTCGCGGGGTTGAGCCCGGTGGTCACGGTTGAGAAGTCGGGAACTTTTATATGGCCGTGGGGTCGGTTTGGGACCGTTAGGCAGGACCTTGTGGCCGCAACGAAGAGCGAGACGGATGGTGGCAATGGCAACGCAAAGAAGTTCTGGGATTGGACTGAGGAGCAGGTGGAGAAGTACGTCTGAAGGACTTGCCGTACTGTAAGGTAGGTAGCTCGTTTGAGGAAGCGATCGAAGCCTGCATACTGCGCTGAGTCATACCTGGCATGTGTACCCCCTCCACCACTCCGAGACGAAGTCTTTACTGTTTTAAGCACTTCGCGTCTGTTGCACTTTGTCATTCCTGGAGATCGACCAAGCTGGAATGGTCAAGAGGGCTGCGCCGAGAGCAATGCTTACACCGCTATACACCTGCGCTCCGATGTAGTCAAGGTCATCTTCGTCAACCTGCCTGCTTTACCAGGGCTTCGCCAATCAATTAAGTCCTTAAAGACTCCAATAGTCCACATCAAGACAATGCGAACACCGACGTTTCTTTGGGTGGAGAGGCGGGATGCGGCAGTGTTAGGTATGGAGACGACGATGCCGGAATGTAAACTGTGTCCTGAAATTAGTGCACATGAATCAAAGGAAAAGGGGAAAGTCCGTACCCAGTGGTGTCAGCACATACCCAATGACAACACAACACACTGTGATCACCGGCGCTGACGATGCCCAGGCACGTGAATGCAAGCACGACCAAGGAAACAGCTCCACCAAGCAGTATCATAGGCGGGCCGACAGGCTCACTTACGGCTACGGGCAGAATGCAGCCGAAGAACATGCCTACGTTTAGGATACTCAAGAAGTACTTAGCGTAAGTTGAGGACGTGTTGAGCAAGCCTGACGAGAAAGGCACGATGTAAAACAAGGGTACCCAATAACAACAAGTGAATCATGTCGCTGATTATTCGATATTCTGCGAGGCTGTCGGTGCCTTACCCTGTCAAAATGTTAGATTAAGTAACGGCATTCCTGCTGCCAAAGCTCCGTTGTGTAGTATGAAGTCGGACGTCAAGCCCCGGGAGCATACACAAACCATCGCGCAATGGCATGGATATGTTGTAAAGCAACGGAGGTAATGAGGGGTTTTGGGCGCTACAATAGCCGGGTGAGAGTACCCGATTGCAAAGCACATTGAGCTCCGAGGACAGAACATCGAAGAACTGTCTAGTCCATCCGAGCTTGTTCAGCTTGTAGCAAGGAAGAGAGTTGCTGAAATGGTACATGGAAGATACCTGTCATTGGATGCGCGCGCTAAGCAGGGATCAGGCCGCCGGGAAGGAGCCACGCAATCAACCCAACCTACTGTGCCTGACAGCACGCTTTTCGTCCTCGTTATCTTGATGCTTCTCGCAACGCTGCTGTGCCGCTCGACATAATGTGCAACATGTCATGATGTTCCAGATCGGTATGTACGTTACGACCGCACACAATCGCTGATTCGTGGAACAATGAAACACCACGCGTCGCCACTAGCCACAATGTCCCCCAACATTCGAAGCATGCTAAACGGCGATCAGGACCAATCAATTTAAGGACAGAACATGGTTCAAAAAACATTTAAAGATGTTTCTGCCCAGAGTCTTGGTCGCTGTCCAAGTCTATTAGTTGCTTGGTCTTGCCAATGAAAATGAGATCCCAAGGTGGGCCAATGCGAATTCATGTGCTTGGTCGCAACAAGCTAACCTTGTGATAGTCTTGACAGCAGCTACGTTTGCTGGTGTCGCAGTAGCGGCGACGAATAGCTCTTGTATCGTAACTCAGTATGCGGACGTGAATGCGACAGTTGCGTCGTGTACCGACATTACGCTTTCGAACATCCTTGTTCCCAGCGGCCAAACGCTTGATTTGACAAAACTCAAGACTGGCGCCACTGTGACTTTCGCGGGCAAGACATCTTTCGAGTATTATGACGGCAACATCGACCTCATCAAAGTAGCCGGTACAGACATTACCATCACCGCCGAACCGGATGCCATAATCGATGGAAATGGCCAGGAATGGTGGGACGGCCTAGGTTCAAACGGTGGCATCTCTAAGCCAAACCACTTCATCACCGTCAGCAAGGCGAACGGCGCTTCCACTATCAAAGACTTGTACATTCAGAATTGGCCGGTGCACTGTTTCTCCATCTCTAACTGCAACGGCCTCAGCATCTACAACATCACGCTGAACAACACCGCCGGCGATGCACCAAACAACCGCTCTGACGGCCTGCCAGCGTACGCAATTTCGGGGTACAAAGTTGGTGTTCATGCCAGGCGATTGTCTAAGACTCCGAGCGTAACACCTGTCAAGTCCTGTCAAGACTTCTTCAGACATTAGCAGCTGGCCAGAACACCTACTTCACCCACTTCCCTGATTTGTGAACATTACACTGACTAGGGATAGAGCTCACAACTCGGATGGTTTTGATCTATCGTCGTGCAACAATGTTACTCTTCGCGACTCCTGGGTTCGTAACCAGGACGACTGCGTGGCCGTGACATCGGGCGACAACATCACCGTACGAAACATGTACTGTGACGGCGGCCACGGACTCAGCATCGGCAGCGTAGGCGGCAAGTCTAACAACAACGTCACCAACATCCTCTTTGAAGACAGCAAGGTGCTCAACAACCAGAATGGCGCGCGTATCAAGACGAACTCGGAGACCACTGGTTACATCGCGGGAATTACATACCGCAACATCGAGCTGGTCAACATCTCCACGTATGGTATCGATATACAGCAGGATTACCTGAACGGTGGCCCAACGGGTGAGCCGACCAACGGTGTGATCATCAAGAACATCACCATGGAGAACATCCATGGTACGGTGACGGGCGACGCGAAGGATTACTATATCCTCTGTGGTGATGGGTCGTGCTCGGATTTCACGTTCAACAACATTAGCATTACCGGGGGAACGAACAGCAGCTGCAACTTCCATCCCGAAGGCGACTTCACATGCCAAGAGTAGCTGTGTACGGCGGGCATAAGGATCTATATATTCTTGTATATAAACGTTGTTGTATGATTCAAACCTATATCAAACGCCTTGTACATTGCGCCTTCAGTGACAGAACGAATGCCATGCCATGCACCACAACGCCCATTAATCTCTCTCATCCGTCTACTCTAAGTTCTAGATCATCTATAGTTCATTGTGCACAGGTCCATCAGCTTCCTTCTCAACCGCAGGAACCTCTCCTTTCGCCTTGGAAGAATGATACGACTCCACGTTCTCCGTCTCGATGCTGACCTCAAACAGACCGCTGCCAACAAACCCACTTCCCTCGGCATGCGATACTTCCAGCTCGAACCACGCATCTGTACGCGGTATGTCGCCGATTCCCAGCTTAGCTCTAAACGTTGCGTTGCCATTCAGACCAATGTCAAGCTCCTTGACGACCTCATTCCTGCGGACGTGTCGCATGGCCACGTGCAGCGAGAGCTTGTGCGTGATGGAGTGGACGGAGATAATAGCGTTATCGAGCTCACTCGCGTCGAAAGAGAAGCGGCGGGGCTCAGACTCGGGAGTTACGTAGTCGCTGATAGAAAGACCAGCAGGGAGTAGAGTAGCGGTGTCCCTGGCGTTGTCGTACTGCGTGAGGCCGCGCGAGACCACGTGGTCTAAGAAACTTGGTACTGCTTCTTCGTTTTGGAGGATACTGTAGGTTCCGCCTGTGCGGAGGACGCTGGTGATGAGGTCTTGCTCTTTCGCCTTGATCGTTGCTGCGTCTTCGTCGATTGTCTCTGGTGCTTCTGATGGATAGCGTGGAGGTGGAAGGAGTCCAAAGTGAACGCGGATGCCTTCGTCTCCGGCGTGCCATACGTGCGCGATCTGCTCGTCAAGGTGCAGGTTTCGTGTCTTGGTCAGCGCTATGATGGCAGTCTTGTTGGTAGGGAAGGTAGTTGCGTTGTGGCGGAGAGCTTTGAACGCGCCGCCGACATCAAGACCGTCATGTGTAGGATGATGTAAGTGCTCCACAAGGTGCCCCTTATCATCAGCCTCTTCCTCTTCCAGCTGACCGCTCGATCCCATGCTCTTTGTAGAATTCTGAGGAGTCACGCCTTCGCCAGGTCCCTCGTCATGCGCACTCCCTTCGATCTCTTGCAGAAGCCAGGCCTGGATGGGGATCTGCATCTCTGCGATTCTGCTCGTGTTTCGTAGCGCATCTTGTAGGATGGCGACCCTTCGCCCATAGCAGTCCTGCGTTGGATCATCGCGAATCAACGCGCAAATGATGATGTTGCCCCTCTCTTTCCCGTACGTCCTGCGGATCTGCTCGCGGAAGTAACGCCACTGCCGCCTGGAGTCCTTGATAGCTGCACTAACTGCCCGCTCAAAATTACCCGGTACGTCGCTCCGTGGGGTGTTCGGACCGGGCTTGGTCGTCTTCCCAGTGACCCAGTCAACAATTCCATTGTCCTTGTTGAGCGTGTGGTGAGTGACCCGGCCTCTGCAGTCGAGCGAGCCGGGCTCTAGAGGATGTCCCGCTTTGCCTTCTGGGCCATCTGTCATGATGCCACCGAAGCAGCCTGTAGATAAATCATGAGGCACCTGGTCAGTGATGTTGTTCTCTGCGCGCAAATCCAGAAACACGGGACTACCGTCAAGCTTCAGGCCTGGTGGGTTAGTCAGTCCATAAGGTGGCTTCGCCTCATCGGCCCAGTTGCTATGTGCATAGAAGTCTTGAATTCCGTGCAAAGCTCTACCGAAGCCCTCGATAGCGGAGCATTTGCCCCTCGAGAACCAGTGCATCTGGAGCTCCGGGAATGAGAAGCGGCAATCACTGCCCGAGATATCAACTTCAGGCGTAACGATCCGTGCATTTTGGTCTACAATCTTATCCGCCGCATCTACGCCCTCAAGGAACCTTAGGCGCATATGATTCGTGCAGGTCTGTAGTTGTGCTGTAGCTTCCTCGCGCGTGCGTGGGTATGCAATGCCTAGCCCGTGCGCTTCTGCGTCTAGGAAATCAGCATTGTCGCAGTGAGCCTCTGGACCTTCCGGGATTGGGTCTAACATGTCCGGAGCACCAACTGCTCCGTTGGTACCCCATCCTACATGGCCTTCCGGTCCTGATCTTCCTGCTAGCTGGTGAAGGCTCAGCTCTTCGAAGCATCGGCCATCCGATACCTTGATACCTGGAGGGCAAGCAAATGCCGCCCTGGTGATCCGCTCATGTTCGCAGTGTTGGCCGACTACTTCTGGCTCATTTATAGTCCCAAATCCTGAGGTGGAGACGCTCCATAGGGAAAGGCCCAAGAGGAGGGGCAAAGACAAGGTGGGATGGCGTCGCCTCTTCATTGTCATATCGATAAGCAGCCGCGCGCTAGGGATGCTGTGAACGGATCTGCCTAAATTCGATGGCGCAATGCAAAAATCGTTGTTATCGGTCCATGGTGGTGTTTGTGTGTATGTGTGGAGTGTAGCTGGTGAGCCGGGTTTGCATAATGATTCGTGCTAGCTCGGAAGGTTTGTTTTATCTGACGTTAAACTTTGGTCATTGCGCCACATCAGTGTGGCTGATGGGTCTGCGTGACACGTTGAGCAGTCGTCTGATGTCTGGTCACTCGCTCGCATCAAACATGTTTTAACATGGTCACTTGTAAAGATGCATTTACACTCATCAGGCTAACCGTACCGAGCGAGAAGCTCCTTCGGGTCTTTCACAGTCACTTACCTTTAGAGTCCTAGTCTATCTCTGAACAGACCCTGCGCTTTTATGCAAACTAATGGTTCCTAGCTTCGTGCACCTGCCACCAGGCTAAAATACTCCACGGCGCTTTGAGTGCGGAGCAGCTGGAGTAAGATGCACCGAGCCGCTTTGAGGCAACTCCCATGCAGATGTGATTCCTCCAATCACTACAAGCGCTAGAGCATGTAGTTTGAGATCGGCCATTTGTCCGAGAGCACGTCGCGCCACTATAAAGTGTACCATCCCGAAGATGGTAAGTTGGGCAGCAACTATTTTGAAGTTGTTCTCGAATGTTGTGTGGGCTCGCGTGGCATTGAAATTCTGGAATGCAGGTCCCTGTTAAAATCATGAAGGTCCTTGTGTCGTTGCTCAGCATAGCGTCTGCTGCATCTTGCACCCCAGCAATGGGCAAACAAAGCGAGAGTGCTCAGGTGCTGAGACGCCAGTCGTATGCCGAATCACCACCCAAGACATATAATGTACTGACCATTCTCCAGGGTGAATAGCAGTATCTTGACATACCACCCTGCGAATGTTTCCAATGGCGTCGGTGTGCTCGTTTTGCCGGGCGGAGGCTATTCGTACACATCGATGGACAAGGAAGGCTACCAACCAGCCACCTGGCTGAACCAGCGTGGCTATGATGCCTGGATTCTGGACTACGCAACAGCGAACAACACGGAAACACCGCTCTATCCGCTGCCTCAGGACCAAGCCCTAGAAGCGGTGAAGCAGATTCGGGCAAAGGATATCGTGTCGAAACTGGGAATTTGGGGGTTCTCAGCAGGAGGGCACTTGGCTGCAACGACTGTAACGAACACCTCCGCAGACCTGGACTTCGGTATACTCGCATATCCCGTCATTACACTAGACCCGAAGTACACGCACAATGGATCGCGGACGAATCTCGTTGGGAGCAACCCTTCGCCTGAACTGCAACATTTGTTATCGGCAGAGAACCGCGTCACGAACTCCACTCCTCCAGTGTTCTTATTTCACACCGCCAATGACGGATCAGTTCCTATCCAAAATACATATCTTTTCGCAAATGCGATGGCGAGTCACAAGCGACCCACTCAATTGCTTGTCTTGCCTGATGGAGGACATGGGCTTGGATTGGCGCTAAGTGACCCGGTAAGAACTTGGACCGGAGAGCTTGAAAGGTTCTTAAGGTACTCGATCTGAGCTCTAGAAACAAGGGATCGAGTCGGGAAATTTGGGTATAGATATGCCTGAAACGAACATTGCCCCCCTGTTATTCTATGTGAGCCGTGTGACGACGGTCCCTCAGCGTGTTGTGTCATAATCGCAAGGATCCCTTTTCGCATAACATTTCAAGGTGCTGAAGCTGATGTAGCCACTGGCAGCTTCCGGTGAAGGCGCGTTACAATCTCAAGGTAATCCTGCTCGTTCTCGTCTGTGAGGATGCCGTGTCGAATAAAGAAATCAATCATAACAGCCGCGCAATTGGTTTTGAATTGTCGGTTGATCATTGCTTTCTTGACTTGCTCCAGGTCCCACAGATAGAAGTCTTCTACCTCGTCGTCTTGGGGCCGAGGTACGATGTGTTCAGGAAGTTCGATGTCGTAGTTGTATAAGATGACCGGGGTCATTAAGTCAGAACCGTCTCCGTAGGCATCGCTACTCTTTGCGACATATGTGATCGCACCGCAAGCTTTGACGTTGGCGCGAACGAAATCAGCCGGTATAGACGCTTCCTCGGCAGCCTCGTGCACGATGCATTCGAAAGGTGACTCTTCAGCCTTGACCCCACCAGCAACGGTCGTGTCCAGCTTGCCTGGGTAGGTGAAAAGATGAGCGGCCCGTCGTCCTACCCATATCTTCATCCCCTCATTGGTTCGCACGTATGCTGTCATGTGGGCCCCACGAGAGCAGATGCCAAATAGACGCGCTGCACTGCGCAGTATCTGCACGGTTGGATATCTGGCACCTACGATCCTGTAATTTTCCCATTGCATCGTCTTGAGAAAAGGAAACAGCTTGTCTTCAACGGCTTTTTCTAACACCTCATAGAAGGCACGGCTACATATAGCGGCAGTATCCTCTCCATGTGAGTCGTCGAGCAGCTGCACAGTTCTTGGCGAGTTGTGGCTCACTTGGAACGCGGCAGACCATTTGAGCTTCTGCACTATGGACGAGTGGATGTATCCGTGGGGTCGAGGATCGTTGGGAAGAAGTAATTGGTAGAAAGCAAGATTGACGCGTGGGTTGTAGGGTGTCTTTGATATGTCAATGTGTGGAAAACTTATTCAATCAGTAAGCTGCTGACGTGACGAATGAGCAGACTCACCTATCCACAGCTTCCAGGAGTTCAAGATAAGGAGGCTGCGCCGTCATATTCGAGGTGGTGACGTTGCGCGGCTGGATTTGTGAGTAGGCGTCACGATCAGTCACACGTAGCGGAGCCGAAGTCGGCTGTACCTGCATCCAATGGCGGGCGACCTGTTCGCCCAACCTGGTCAAATTCAGTGGTCCAGTAACTAGGTACAAGGCAGCCACTAAATGAAAGCCCCAAAAAGTCAAGATTTGATCCACATGTCCATCGGACCTGAACCACGACGTCACGTGTCTCTAGCTTTTCCCAGGTTAGCGCCTTGGCATTTCGGCATTTCGCCTTCGATCTAACATGCGACAACGAACGGCTATTTCAAACATGATCCAACGCTCGATAGATCTATGACACCTAAAGGACGCAGAGCTGAGCGAATTTCTGCCCGCTACTGGGGGCCTGTAATTGCGAGAAACCCGCAACAGAACGATGCGGATGATGGCGCCGAAAGCGATTTGCGTTTGATGGGCAAGGACGTGACGTATGCATACCACCTATCCTAGACATCAAGCCCGCAGCTAGTGACAAAGCACATAGTATTTCATCTCAAACCGTTGGCTCCGATGATATCGATGATTTTGGGGCGGCGGCGGAGCCATCTGCTCGTCGTAGTAGCAGTAGCATTCCGCTGAGAATGAAAGAGAACATCCAAACGGACCACCAGGCGATGGTTTTCGATCGGAACGCAACGTATGTCGAATGCTACTTGTCTCCCGAATTTTGCATCTAACTTTGGAAAGTACACTTCGCAATAGAAAGGAGTCAACGTTACTGCGACTCCCCGGCGAAATCAGACGACAGATCTGGGACATGGCTTTTGGCTTTCGCACCGTGCACCCAAGGGCTATGCGCGGCAATGTCGACTGGCAACCCAAACGAAAACACCTGAAGAATTCCAGATGGGGCGTATCTTATGACCCGTGCTTTCAGAGCCCGTCGGATCATGAGATATATGCGCTGAGCTTGCAAGATCCGGATACTGATCATTGGCCCGACGATATGCGTCCTGATTTAGGAGCACCCGGTTGGCACCAATGTGATCAGCTAGCCAAACCAAGGGAATATCACTACTTGGTTCCCCCAGTATGTAAACAGATCTGGACCGAAGGTTCAGAATGCGCTTGGAAGACAGTCACTTTTGCTTTCACCACTTCTGGCGATTTCCAGCATTTTATTCATTTCTCAGGAGCTCGATTGGATCAGGTTCGACAAATCTGCATCATCAGTCCCGGGATGGACTTCTTCGGTGGACACGAGATCTCCGAGAAGAACAAGTTTGAGAGAGGTTGGGAGAGAGCGCTGAAATCAGGCATCCTCGGAGAGTTCACTTCCCTCGTTGGTCTGCATCTGGTTCTTCGTTCCTTTTGGGGCACGTCTCGATGGGGGGTCACTACCGTCGAAAACCTGGAGTTTCCGCCAGACGAATGTCTGTACCTTCCAGAGATTATCCGAGTCTTCCAGCAACTGCGACTCCGCCCAGAACATACAACTGTTTTGGTTACCAACGACCGATCTGATGAGCCGTATGGGTACGAAGACTTCACGGTACCTAAAAGACGCAAGATGGCGCAGGCCATCCGAGATTTTATCCTTGAAGAAACGCCGAGTTGTGATTGGACCGGACCGGGACAAATGATGGTGATGCGGTCCTGAGTTTAGACTTGTGCGAAGCAGCTACTACAACTACAACTACACTATACTGGAGACGGAGCTATTGAACTGATAAATAACAGAAGAAATGTTAGCCACAATCGCAAAGCGTATCACCATTTTGATCAATACCATCGACCCCTTCGTGTCCACACGTCACCGCCAAGATAGCGAGAAGGTCTATCCCTGGCGGCCGGCGTACGATTCGACGGTATACCATAGAACTCTGGCTCTCAGTAATCCCACCTTCTGTTCATATCTCGATTGTCCCGTCTGTACAGGCGACGGCTGTTTGGATCATACCAGCTCGTTGTTCCGTCATCCCGCTATCCATCATCCCAGCTCATCACCCTGCTGTTGGCTCCGAAGTTGAGACCGTAGGCTTCGTGGCGGTCAGGAGCATACCTAGGATGCACGTGGTCGTTTTGTTGACGAAAATCGGAGTTGAAAGGCATCTGCGTGTGAGAAGGTTCCGAAAAGATTGTTTGCGTTGTTTGAGATTTGAGTAGAGTTGTCGTTGTCTTCTTGCAAGGTAGAGGACTTAAGGTAGTGCCATACTGCAGTACATATACGAGTGCTAGCAGATAACCTGGAACAGAAAACCTTCGTGGAATTCACCAGTGCTGCATTCGCGTCTTAGACTCTCTGACAGTCTCTATGAATTTCAGCGACCTTTACATTATGATGATGCATAAGTATTGTCGACAACGTCTAGCCTAACTGCAGCGTGATTGGGGAGTACAGTGGTTCGTGAGCTAATTGGCACCATCCGAGTAAACAACACGAAGCCCGCAAATAGTTAGGTTCTGCTGCCAATCATTCCTCTTCATCCACTGATTATACTGTCAATGAGATTCGTGATCAAGGTAGCGTCAGTTTACGGAGACAAGTGGAGCAACGTAAGTATGCCAGCACCTAGTGCATCAATTGTCGCCTACACGTGAATTGGTACGCTGTTCTCTATTTGACGTACTCTTTGTCTATTGCCAGCATATCACCATGTCACAACGTGCAGTATATGATATTCTCGTAAAGACCACACAAAGTTGCCCTCCTACAAAGCACATTACAACGACTCGAAAAAGGAATCATGCCTCGAAGACAACTTGACGCCAGAAATCTAGCCCAGCACGATGCCGCCATGAGTAAGTCTGGCTCTCCTCAACTAACTGCCGATCATCTAGCTCGACATAACGCTGCTATGAATGAGTCTGAACTTCATCAGCTGGCTCGAGAGAGGTTCGATCGTCGCGATACTGGCGTCAATGAGCCGCAGCGCGACCAACTATCATTCGAAAATCTAGCACGGCACAACACAGCTACGAGCGATCCGTCTGGTACAACCGCGGGTACACACGGGTCAGAACGATCCAGGCTGACTCATGGAAACGGCACTACGATGAGGGATCGGGGCAACGCTAATAATGAACAACAACGTTCCCATCTGCTACGCGATGATTTTGACTACAGCGATATTGGTTGGAGCCGGACAGAACATCGAGAAGGTTGGGGCGGTCTATGGGAGCCTCGTGCTGGGCGCCGGAGGCGAGACAGGCTCGAGTTGCTTGATAGTAGCATAGTTGGGAGGGTGCATTGTTTCTAATTGGCCTGTGTGAAGTTGGTATTCAAAAAAGTGCAATGCTTCACAAAGGTTTTCTGAGGCCCACAGCACTACCCAGACCATTCGGAAAATCGTTGGTATGTTGTAAATTATGGTTTTAGTATGCATAGGCAGTGTTTTCACGCATGACCACAAACCGTACAAAAGGGTTGTATCAGAATGATAGGATTATGTTCATGTGAGATGTGCGATGGATTGCATAGCTGCAGAAAAAACCCTAGACGCGAAAAGAGATTGGCTTTGAAAAGAGCAACCTTGTGCCGGATACAGTTCTTAGTTCTGACTCAGTATGTGTCGACCTGCGATGCAACGCTACTCTCTAGCTTGCGACTGACCTATTCCTCGCACATAGCACCTGCCCTCCACATCAAATCATTTCGCACTGCAGTACAACCACACTGAGTTCACTAACTCGTTTCGCATAGCAGCAAGATTGGAAAGCATCTCTCGCTCTTCTAGAACCCTGATTTGATATTTGTCAGTATTTCATCGCATTGTCTATCACAGATACAGTTGCGGGTAATAGATTGTGCTAGGGTCGAGATTAAGCATCAAGCCAGCCACCCACAAAGCGGCTCAAGAGAATCTCAACTCAAGGGATCCCGTACCCGCAACGCCTCTCCCGTTCCGCACGCATACACCTTCCGTCTTTCCAAGCCAACGCCAGTGTCGCCGTTATTCCCATATCCGGGAAACCCATTTCGAATACGGCATATCCCAATTCATACACTCGAAGTCCTTCATCTCCCCCAGCAAAAGTCCCCACCTCCCCACACCCGCCTGCACCCCGCCGCTTATCACACAGTACCGTCCTGCACATCATACCTCAACCCATCACATCATCTCTTACTCACATAGGCCCTTTATGCACCCTACCGCACCATGCACACCGTACGCCACCGCAAGGACACCGCACCCCTGCGCACCCACGTCGTCGGTACATGTCTCCGCGATCGCCTCCTCTGACAAGGCTCTGTTTCAAGGGTCCCCCTTGTGTCTGAGCCAAGTGCGTGCCCCAGGCTGCGCCGGTTTGAGAGACTGCGGCCTCCGTTTGAGTCCCCGAGAGTCGGATCGAGACATACCCGGCCAAAATGGCCCGGAATCGGACGGAGTGGCTGTGAAGGGCGGTGAGGGAGCGGAGTCCGGGAGGTCACGAAGGACGAGCTTGCGACAGTTATGAAGGATGTGTGTGTAGGAAAAGAGGGTGGTGTTGGCATGGTGGGGGGTAGTACGAAGAGAGCAGATGCTCACCGCTTACTGCGCTGTTACCGTGGCATGCGGCCCATCTCCGAACAAATTGACATTTTGATGATAATTTTTCTTGAAAGCGTATAGGACATCTATCTACGTGATCGGGTGATATGTCGTGACAGGTTGGTAATGCAACGGAGTGAAGGGGATATCTACTTGCTAATTTCGTAGCTTCATACGGCCGCACCACCGAGTGGAGATGGCGTGCGAGCCTAGAAACAGAACCGCTGAAAATAAAACAAACAAAGAGAGATCCTAAGTTTATATCCCGTGGCCCTGTGATAGCCTTGCGCCAAGAATAGCGTGAAAGAATCGCTCGCCGGTCCATGCATCGCTCCGTAGCATAGGAAAATGATGACCGCAGTTCGCCAATGAGTACCCGGTGCTTTGACAGCCGTACCAACCATCTAGCCGGAACGCCTACTAAACACGAAAGAACATCGTTACGAACGAAGGAGAAGAAACCACATCGGAAAACGAAAACAAGCTGATTGGTGAAAGCAATGCGGATCACCCTTTGCGACATTCTACGCCCTAGATCATACTTGCGATAGAGCTGAGGGCCGTCGTCCTCGGTATGCCAACCAATTCTGGCTCGCTGACCCGATGCGTGGGGTGGAATGTGCCGCCTGGTTGTAATGGTGAGGTGAAAAGACCAACGACAGGAGTCTTGGGCTGGAATTCGGCAGCAGAGGTCGGTGGATGCATAGCCGTTGTGGAAGTCGGTGTCGGATACGCCGACGGGGCCGGGTAGGATGTAGTGGTACTCGGCTGCGATGTCGAATTCGGCACGGCGTGCATCGAAGCGGGTATGCCAAGGGCTTTCAAGGAGGACGTGGGGATCGGGGCGGAATGTCGGTGCGCGGTTGTATCTTGTTGCGATGACGACTCTGTCTTGATTGGGTAGCCGGAGGAGGTGGCTGATGCCGATGATACCGCCCGAGCACGAACAGCGTGGGTTTCACGCCGTCTTTTGGGACCGTCTTTGACCTTCGGGTGCGTGTGGCACTGTCAAAGTATTAGCGTACGCCCAGTACAACGTCGCGCTAAGATTATTGTCCGATAGGCGGACAGAAATCTCAGTACAGTATGCGGGGAAAAAAAGAAATATGGCGTACCTTGTATGCATGCCTGAACCATGTTGTGCCCTTCTTCTTGCTACTCACGAGCGCAATCCACTCTCCACAGCTTCCACAAAGACCCTCCCAAACGTCAAGGTTGCCTTCGGTGCGGCGCGTCTCTTGCGGTCCTTGGAATGCAGCTCCGGTAGCTGCGCTCACACCATGCGTGAACGACTTGTCGTACCAGAAGGCGCTATTCTTGAGCACGAGCCAACGGCCTGGCTTACACAGTCCGCACCAGCCTTCTCGCTTGTTGCCGTGGCCACGTACCCAACGTGGAGTGTACAAATCTCCGGTGAAGCGCAGATCCTGTTCATGCGGGATGAGATCAGGATCTGATGGGTTCATATCCGACTCCGGAGGGTCGGAGGCCTCTTCGTGTAGGGACGAATAGAGGTCTGGTGGATCGGAGAGATCCGCGAAATGTGATGCACAACCACCATGTCTGTCGGCATTGCTCTGTAACAATCGGAAAAGGCCTTGGGACGGTAACGGTCGCGGCACTTCAAGTTGAAACGGCTGATCCTGGGCGGCGAACATTGTAGGATTGCTTGATTGCAATGGATGGGGCTGAGAGTACAACACGTTCTGAGTCTGGAGTCCGAAGTTGTGTAGCGCGCCAGGAGGATAAGCTGGCATCGAATGGTGGGGATTCACTCGAGGACCATAAGGCGCAAACCGGTCTTGCACTTGAGACAGTGGGCGCTGCGTAGGGGTGGACGTGGGCGCATGGCCAGTTGACCATCTCTTGAAGCGACTGCTCTCCAACGTATATGGCGAGGATCGAACATTGTTATGGGGCGCCGGCGAAGCACGATTCCGACTACCACTGCGCACGACATTGTCATGCTGGGGTCGGCGCGGGGAGGCCAGAGGTGATAGTAGATTAGGCGCTGGTTCCAAGTTTGGCCATGCTTCGCAATCGGACGGATATGCGACTGCCTCGGACGTTCCCAAGTCCTCGTAGTTCGTCGTTTCTGGAAGAACACCACCAGTGCTGGATATTGAGAACGAGGATTCGGATAATCGTCGTGAAGAGTTGGGGTTGTACGTCGGCATGCTATCGACTTCATGCTGGTCCATACCATGATACTGTCCGAGGTGAATGATCGGGGCATTCTCGTCGTGACCCATGAAGCCTTGATTGAATTCGTGTATTTCTGGGTCCATGGACGGGAACGATTCCAATTCTTCGCAGACCTTCTGTCCCCATGGACCTATACACATTAGTATCACTTGATCATAGAGGACATGCTGACCTACTGGTATCGATTACACCAGGAAAATAGTCTGTAGTTCCAAGACTATCCGGTCCACTAATCTGAGGTCGATAAGTTGCACTGCTCAAAGCCGGTGAATGTGTTGTCGTGACGTCAGGTCTTGATACAAATCGCTGCTGCTCTTCTCTGGTAGATGCCACGGGCGCCTTGGTAAGCCCGTTCGGCATCGGGTAGTACTGGTTGTGCGACTGTGGCACCGCCCACGTGGGTTGAGGTGGTGACGGCCTCGATATGTTTTGCATGTTCTGGTGGTGCTGATGGTGCTGGTGGTGCTGTGGATGTTGAAGAGCAACACCGCCGTAGGAGTACATCATCTGCGTTGGATTGCCTGTCTGTTGATTGACGGCGTATGATCTATTAGGTGATTGCCGGTATCTTTATATCGGGTCAGCCTGCGTCCGAGCCGATTCTGGTGGCAGACCAGGATGGAGAGATCTCACTGTTGGACCGCATTAAATTCCATCTTTATATTCGTCCCGTATTGGTATGGCCTTGAAAAGTGGTGTGTCTGTGAACTAGATCGACGCCACTGTTAGCAACCTGAACAGGCAGTTCACTCTAGTCTAGCACTAGCAACAACGTGCATCGGGCGGCGCACAGCGTGGGGTCTTGTGAGGTAACGCAAGGGAGCACAGATGCGCACGAGGGACTTACTATTTCGTGAAAGCGAAAGAGGTATGTCTGTTCAAAGGAATGTAGCTAGTCGATACTGCTGTGCGACTATGAATAATGGCGTGGCGACAAAAGAAAGCTTGCAGCCGGATCAAAAGAGTGTACGGAGAACAATGTCTCCCTCGCTGCCAGCGCGGTAAGGAGCCCGCTCCAAATGGAAAAGAATGAATAGTAAAAATAGGGCGTGATTCCGAAAGAGTGACGAGGCCAAAGTAAGAACAAACGTAGCTCGAGGGTATATGCGTATATAATGAGAGGCGGGTTGAAGGATTCCGAGAGTGACGATGGGCGGGATAGACATGTGCTCAGCGGAGGCAGAGGAACCACTTTGGGGCAGAGAGTTTGAGAACAGCATCGGGAGGCGCCTTGGCCGCCAGAGATCTGGAACGACGCCAACCTGGAGGAGAGGCGTTCGCCCAAAGAGGGACATCGCGCGGTGGAGCAGGTGGGTGTAGGGCTGCCGGGGATTAGCGCTCATGCCACGGGGCGGTCTACGATGAGCGGCCAGGGTGCGGGGAGCTGCATCTGGAGGGCGAGCAGTGTGAGTTCCTGACAAACTGAGGCAACTCTGTCATGGTGGAGATGCGCCAGCCAATTGAGGAGGCGCCGGAGGAACCTCAGCCGGGATGCCTCCTGCCCATTTGCGAACTCGAGACCTGTTCACGAGAGCCGTTTCAGGATAGCCCCCGTCGCTGCGGCATCTCGGCGACGGGGGCGAGCTGAGGTGCTCGGTTGAAGCTGGTGAGGGTCGGGTAGAAGTCGAAGGATGCTGGTCGTCGCAGATATGAGACGTATTCTGAAACGTCGACCTCGCGCCAGCCCACAGTATGGCCGCAGTACGCTACAGAGGCTTCGCGGGCAGCACCGCGTTTATTGGTAGGACACATTTTCCATTATCGAGAGTGCAGCTGGCCAGTGATGTCTCGAGGCAGTGGAGAGAAGCGTCACGACGTTGGGACGATGACTTTGCACGGTTGAGAACGGCTAGCGCGGGCCGCTAAACCCGCTTACCGAGTCCCCTGTGTCAGAGCCTCGACGTCTCCTCCACCCTAGGAACTTCGATTCGACAGCCGCTCCCAGGTGTACGGCGGAGACAGGAGCGGACTGCCCGCCGACGTTACTCGATCGCTGTCAGAACATGGAGCCACCTAGTCCGAGCCGTGACCAGCCAAGCTACTCGCCCCGTGTAACGTGGTTTACACTTTCGGACGGCCGCGCCTTGCGCGAGTGCTGACGTTTAACAGCTCGATGACTTTTGGGAGTCGTGGACCTTTGACCACGTGAGCACTCTCGCTGCTTCAGGCAGTCGTTCGGTCCTCCTCACAGCTTTGGATCGTAAACCGTCCGTGTGGGCGTCCGTGTCGACTGCAAAGCCACCATGTTTAGCACACACATCTCGCGTCATAAAAACACATCTTAACAGCATATCCATGTTCTCTTTATCATACTTTGACCGACATAAGTGCGTCAGGCCCGACGTGCCTCAGTCAACCTGACTTCGAGACGCATTTGTCAGTAATGAACATGCACTACTGGTGAACATCTACGACTCAGCAGCCACTTTGGCGGTATGCGCTCTTCCAGCATGACTTCTCATCACAACGGCCTTAGAATCTTATTCACGGTTCAGCCACCATCATGCCACTATGCGCAGACCTGCAATATCTGAACTGAGGGACCCAGCGCCCCACGATGACCCTTCATCAGACCGCTACTTGCACGTCGGCCAGCCCGATACACATGCACCCCATCTGTGCTGTCCACGCAGTCACTCCTTACAGTTTCTCGGGCCCAGGCGCCTAGGCGTCGAAAATGCATCTCGATAGGCGCCTTAGCCGGCATAGCGTGCACATCAGCATGGGGCCCCGGATGCAGCACGGTCCGTGTGCTGTTCAATCGGCAGTACTGTGGCTGACAACAACATTTCTAGAAGGAAGGGGCCAGCGATCGATGTCGTTCGCAGCCCTCCCTTGCTTCCCAATGCAGGCAACTTCCAACGTGGACTAGACTGGCCGCTACACCACGTCACGACATCTGTTTATCTGAAGTGAACTCCACTTCTGTGCTTCCTTCTCATTCCTCCACGTGCTGGGTTGCACGGGGCGGGCCCCTCCGGCCGCGTAGACATCTGCACTGCCCTCCGTATACGGGATGGCTACAATCTAGCGACTGTCTATCGATGTCTCGGATGAGAAGGCGTTCATTCCCCGCATAACCAAAAAGGTGAGATGCCCTGAGCAGGTGCGCGGCTGACCACCAAACCCCCCTGTACCGGGAGAGATCCTCGGATATTGATCTTCACTGGGAGTTCGTGCCACCAACTTGCCGCCTGGACCGCGTTCCTGACGGCAGACGGCAGTCGGTGGTCGCCGCGGACGTCTAGGTTAGTCCTCAGGCCATGTTGGCGACCAGATCATGTAAGACACGACATCCCGCGCTCACAAGCGTAGGGCAGGGCGAGGCGAGGTATCCTTAAGAAACGACCCTTCCGCATATTGGCGGATCGCGCCGTGGGAAAGCTGCCGATACGACGGGTCGCACAGAAACGGTCGGAGGAATGGCAAACATCGTTGAAGTTTGGCTGTCCACCATAGCCATAGCTGATAGGCCTGACTACGCACCTTGAAGTCAATTGAAATCAAACGCTTCAAGTTGACAGGCAGCAACGCTTTCCGCAAGCCATTTTTAATATGGGCATGTTACTATATGGTCCCGAAACAGCTTATCACTTTCTACTGACCAACGAATAACGCAGGCCAAAGACCTCACTTCTCCATAAGGTTCGTCCGCTATTTCTTTCCACGGTAGCTATTCCTCTGCCAGGATAACGTCAACACCAACAACCACAGATTATCATTACGAGCCTCCAGTGTTTCCAGTCTATCCTCAAGTCCAACCCTTTCGATAACGTCCGCCTCCACTAGTTCCATCTTACTTCATTCACCATCCACAGCTCCTATATTACATCACATATGATCGCTAACAATACGAACATACGGCCAATGTACGCTCAACACGCCCGCTAACCCAACAGTCCTCGTCCGAAAATGGACGGATGCGCCTTCAATTTCCCACAGGCTCACAGACCATGTCCATTCGCACCATCTGCCCTACGCTTCACCATTAGGTGGGTCCAAGGCGGGAGTGGACCCGCACACCGAGGGTTTTCGGGTCCTCGTACCGTTGCGTCTACTACACGACGGGCCATCCATGTCCCAACATGTCGGACCATGAACGGCCCCATTGCGCCGACGAACGTGCGAGTAACCACACAGTCGACGTGGAGTTGGGATGATTCGTGAAGCCCGACCCGGTCCTCGTTGCGCTCTTCATGCGAATGGAAGCCAATGTTTCGTCTGTAAGGTGTCTGGGCTGACGGGTCCTGACGAACGCGTCAGAGGTCTTGGTATATGTGGTGCGGGCGATGACATGTCATTCTTGGCTTCCCAGTGCGGAGATATGACCGCGAGCGCGATATTGGTTGCCTCTCATGGATACATGGTCAAGGCCTAGCACGCGCAACGTGACGAGCATTCGGTGCTAAGATGTGGAGCATTCGGCGCAAAACAACGCCCGAGCAGATGTATCCCAAGCACCAGTGCAAATCAGAATACGCACAGCTCCATGAACAAACGAAACTCAAGATATGCGACTATATGGTATCATACCCCCAAAGCAGCGCGGCGCCGCGCAGACCACTTTTGCAACACCTCCGAACGCCATCATGAAATCGTTTCCCGCAGCGATTACTTCCTTCCTACCGAGACGTCGCAGCCCCCATTAAGCGTCTTGAACACCATCGTGCTGCCACCATTTCCTTTCTTCGCCTCAACACGGTTCAAACCAGGCCTCTCTTCTTGTCGAATTAGCTCCAAATCTTTACCCTGCACGTGCAGTACTCCCGTCACACTCTGCCCCTCCAAATGGCCCTCCCATTCCTGCGGGTACGCGAGGTCGATCTGGCCACTGACACTAGTATGCGTGCTCAGCAGTTTGCCCATCGCCGTCCCGGGCGTCTTGTACGGTGCTTTGAGTTTGATCTTCGTCTCGCCATCTACTGATTTCGTTGTGAGTAAGGAGCTGTAATCGCCAGAGGAATAAGGGAGCAAGTCGATGTTGATACCACCGGCGACAGAGGATATCTCCGTCTTGGAACCGTGGATGAAGGTGCCGTCTACGGAGCCGGCGGTACTGTTGATGCTGACGATGTAGTCGCGCTCGGGGATTTTCTTGCGCTCTGTGTCGACGCGAATGCTACCGGACATCGTGTTTGCATAGAACAGAGCCGCCGCTGGTCCGTCTGCGGCCTTCTCTTTGGGATCGATGTTGACGTTCACGGAGCCTGACTTCGTTACGATCGATAGGAGATCGAGAAGCGAGTACTTCCCGCTGATAGACCCAGATATGGTTTCTAGGCGTGTCTCGCGGGAGTTGAGGGACGTGGCGTCGAGGGTGCCGGTGGTCAGGGTGATGGAGGTACCGTTCGTGACGGAGAAGTTTACGCCTTCATGGATCTGCATGCCTAGATGTATGGCCTGGACATTGAAATTTTCGAGAGTGACGCCGGGAGCCATGTATAGGACGACAGAGACGCCTAAGCACGACTGACCCCTTTGCACTCCATCGAAGCCATCCGGAAAGGATGGGTCGCCGATCGTAAGGCCTGTTGACGACCACGAGTACTTAATGTTGTCTATGTCGACTGTGTTCGTTGCAGCGTAGGATATCTTGGCCTCGATGGTACCAGCGGCCTGTTCAGGCGGCGCTTGAGTGACGTGGATCCAGCCGGAGACTCGCTTCCAAGGACCATCGAGCTGATGTACAGCTTCCACGATGTTCAATTGACCGGGTTTGCCAAAGCTCATCTCCTCGCTCTTGATGTTGTAGTTCTTCTTCCCACACGCGGCGGGCCACCGGATTGGAAAGCTTTCTTTGCCTTTCGACGGTTTTGATATTGGGGACCCGGATTCGGCAGGTTGTGCGGGTACGGGAGTCACCACGGCCGACTACCCATCGGTTAGCACCATTACCTTGAGGCAAGACCAAGACTCGAACCTTGTTATTCCTATGCGCCAGCACCGCAATGATAGCGACCAATATTATCATCACAAACAATGCCGCCAACCACTGCATCCTCTTTCTCGAATAGTATGCCTTACAATTCCGCCGTCGATATCTCCCATCTTTGTGTCCCTCCTCCCTCAGCGGCGTCAACACCGCTGTCTCCTCATTCAACAAGCCTACACCTTCTCCTCTCCACCCCATCGGCGTAGTCGCCTCCAGATAACTCGGCGGCGCATCCTGTCCCACAAAAGAATCCAGCAGCGGCGTTCTCTCCTCGGTATACCTCGCCGGACTACGTGTGGTCCCCTGCGGCTTCTTCGCGCCCTCATTCGCAGCCTCGGTATCGATGTACATGACGTCGGATGGCACGCTGCCACTGCCTCTGAAGTTATCTCCTCCACGAAAGCCGTCGGCCGGACCAGAAAGCGGATCGGAAATGCTGGAATAAAAAGAAGCAGTGTCGTCGTCCCTTAGCGACTGTGGACAGCGCGAGGAACTCATGACGGGCTGCGTTATTAAGTATTACAATGGCTAAGAGTTAAGGAGCTATGCTGTGATTGATCTCCGGGTCCTGGAGAGCTTGGGAGCTTGGCTGGAAGGGGATGTCACAATTGTTTCGGGGAGTGGAAACGCGGAGAGTTTGAGGTGGGCTTGGCTGCAAGTGGTTGCGCATCGCGAAGATGATGGCATTTAACATTTTCGCTATCAAAGAACTATCGGTCAGTGGCGAGGGATCGAGTAAGCGAAGGATACGCGTCGCTGCAGGTAGTCGCAAGGCGACAATGTGGTGAGGAGGGGCAATTGGTTGTAGAGGGCGTTGCCGTGCTGCATGTCGCGATGCCTCAGGCTGTTCTTGGTGGGGAAATGTCAGACGCTAGGGGGCTTTGGGCAGGTCCATCTGCGATCTGTGCAGCGACGCGAGTGTCTGGCTGCACATCCGCCATCACACCTGAGGCAGCGATCGTCGGTGTATGCTATGGGGAACTGGTGTTCCTGGTAGACTTGCGCTTAATACTAGCAACCTCGACGAGCAAGGAGATTCTACGCTCTTTTGTGGACGCCACTTCGAGCACGCCACTATTCACACAACATTCAGATACTATACTACCCTAAGTCTTCGGGTGCAAAATTGCTCGTCCTGGAATAATAGCGAATCATCCGTGGAGTGTAGGCAAAGAGCGCGTGTGGTTGCAAGTCTTCCCACATGCCCTCAGACTCTTCCTCATTGTCGTCCTCAGACTCCTCCCCATTAGACTCCGCGTCATCAGCCTCTTCTTCGAAACCTTCATCAGCTTCTTCATCAGATTCTTCATAAGTCTCCTCATCAGACTCTTCCTCGACACCACTCCAAGCATGCGTTCGGTAGTAAATATGCAGGTGCATCAACGCGCCTCGGGCAACGCTGCGCATACTCGAGGTCCTTATCGAACTCCTCCTCTTCCAGCTCTTCCTCGAACGCGTCGTCCTCGTGGTGATCTTCTTCAGTCCCCTCCTCGTTTCCATCTTCTGAGCCCAATTCTTCTAATTCCTCGCCATCAGGATCTTCTTGCTCAGGTTCATCTTCATCAGACTCCTCGTCATCAGATATGTTCTCATCAGGCAACTCCTCATCAGGCACCTCCTCCTCAGACTCCTCACCATCGTCTTCCTCAGACCCCTCCTCTACCTCTCCCTCCAACTCCCGCTTCTTCCCACAAAACCTGAACGTCAAACCCTTCACCAGCCCCTCTTGCTCACGCACACTGATCTCACACCTAACAACATCATAGGTTCCCCCCACATACTCCCTCAATATATCCTCATCTTCCTTATTAGTGACTTCATACGCCCACCCCTGAACCAGATCATCCTCAACCCCATCAACAAGCGCCGCATACTTCCCGCGCCACAAGCGCACCTTGCCGCGAAGAATACACGCAGGTGTCAGCATAGGGGCTGGGGCCAGAGTGACGCTTTTTTGTAATTGCAGGCATTGATCCAATTCCTCTTCCTTATCCACTTCCTGGAAGCCACCGTCTGGATGGCTTTCGTAGCAAGTCGTCGAATTGTCTTGTGACTCTGTCTCCGCACCATCCTCAAGGTCCTCTGAGGTAAGGATAGCTTCAGCCCCCAAAACCCGTGCAAGGAGTGCGGGCTCGCTAAGTGTGCCGTAGAAGAAGTAGCACACAGGGTACTCATTTTGCCTTGGGCGTGGCTTAACAATAGGAGCACGTTGTTGGGCTAGGGTGGTTTCAATGCCTAGGGTGGGCGAGAGAGACGTCTTGGAGAGGTTTTTGGCTGCTAGCTTTCGTGTAGTGTAGAATGGGAAGTCTGCCTTGGGAAACTCCTTCAACAGGAAAAATAGCATGGATGGCGTCATGTAGGCGTAAAGAGCGGGAGGCTCCTCGAGTTCTAGAATTTCGATGACTGGGATCTTGTCGTCTTGAAGGACTTCATGGAGTTTTGCTTCGGTTTCGACGGGGGAAGAGAGTTTGAAGAGGTATTGAATATCTGTGGTGGTGGACATGTTGGATTCCGAGTGGATGAGTTTATAAATTTCTGAAAGTGGTGTCAATCTGACAGTGAAGCTTTAGTCGCGATTTGAAGGCAATATATGTTTTATATTCTTTTTCGTACCGCATAGTGTTTGGTGAGTCGATGCTCAACCGTGGTTCGTGGCTTCCTCTGTGTCCACAATACTGTTCAACCACCACTTTGGAAGATGCGAAAAACCATGGCTTAAGCGTGACTCAACAGTGCGTATGTGAACCACTATCTACCTTGCCTCGTCCACAATGAGTCTTTCGAACCTCCGTGCAATGTGGACTTGAAGGTCTATAAGCTCACTGCGCCAGGACAAAACGCGCGCAGCGTGCCTTGAGTCATCCCAGGTCACGCTATCAGTAAGACAACACTACAAAGCACTCCACCATGAGCGACCTCATCGACCTCGCAGTCCTAGAAGGCATGGCGCACACCGCCACCGAGTCCTCCGTCCTAGCCTCCAACTACGCAGACTACGGTGGTCAAGATCTCTGGATGAAGCTCTTTTGTTACACCGCTCCGGAAGCAGAAGCAGCAATAGAAGCCCACTTTGGGGACGTAGAGCGTGAGGTGATCAATGATGAACAATTTGAGCGCATCCGCACTTTCTCCGATCTTAAGGATCATGACAAGGAGAGTTTCGCCTATTATCTCAAGCGCTCCGACACAACTTTGGCGCGGTATTTGCTGCAGCAGGCGGAAGGGCTTGATACAAAGAGGAGAGATAAGGGGCAGAAGTATCTTGTAAAACTTGGACGGGGACTGACGGCGGCGTTTATACAACGCTTGGCTGGGCTCGCAGAGCCACCAGGGGTGTCCGAGAGCGAGACGGGTGAGACTATGGCTGCGGTTGTAGACAGCAAGACGAAAGCTGCACTTGAGGAGGCGTTACCAGGCCTGCTCCAGTTTGTGCCCATATCAGGTCCACGGAAAGCAGAGAAATCCTTATCATCCTGCTCAATAGCACCCGCGCTCGGCATCGACGCCACTCTGCCTCAACATCGCCCAACCATGTCCCCTTCACCGGGTCAAGACTCATATCCCGTCCCCTACTTCTTCTACGGTAGCCTCGCGGACCCGGAGAAGCTTAGCAGGGTTCTAGAGGTGAAAAGCAAACCAGTCTTGTCGCCTGCAGAAATTCGGGGAGGGAGGCTAATGATCTGGGGTGAGTACTTTGCGCTTGTGGATGGGACAGAGCAGGACTTTGTGTCGGGTTGGGTGTATGTAGTTGAGAGTCAAGCGCATGAGGACAAGCTGAGGTGGTATGAGACGGGGAAGTATGAGGTGGTCAGGTGCGAGGTTTGGAGGGGGGGAAAGAAGGGACCTGGTTTGACGTTTAGATTTTGTGGAAAGAAGGAGGAGTTGGCATGAAGATTTAGGTATAGTGGATAGTGTTCAAGATGGGTTTGTGCGCTTTTTAGAATGTGTGTATCAGTCCAGGCCTATCGGAGGCTGAAAGTAACTTGTACTAAGATATTGCGTTGAATTCAGTTGCTGCGACGAGTGTCGAAAAGCTGCTGATGTGAAATCAACCTTTGTAGCTTTGTAAGCAAGCAATAGGGTGCACGTATCTACAGTGTCGTGCCCAATTTAGCTCGAGTAATGGAATGTAGGACACACATTGTCTCTTGACTCAGACTCCGTATAGTGAGACCCACTTTGAGTATAGAGTCAGGATCGTGGCCCTGGCAGATGGCAATGGAAATATGTCAAAGCGCAGTCCTTACGATCGCAGACAATTCGGACATTACCGACGTGTAAACGGTTAAATCTGGTAGTACCGAGAACCGGGACTACGCCGTACCCTGGCCCACTTGGTCTTCCGACCATTGCGATTCGGCTCTCGAAAGACAGCCGGGATTTTCGGCAGGAGTGGTTATCAACGGCTAACCTCGAGACGATGATATCCGGGAGTCTGCTCTCGCGCGCTCAACGGCTCTTCTGTTGAACTATCTATGTACTGCTATATTGGGCAGACTACCGATCACGAGATACCTCAATCAGGTCATCCGATCGAGCTGATGCCAAGTCGGCATCGACCTACGATGTCACTTTAGCTCGTCAGCTGGACGATGGACTTTTGCGTAACGCCGTCGGCGCGCTTGTCATGTCGTGTCGGCACCTGGAGGAATTCAATCGGGAGAAGTTTAGCAAGTGGTGTGCAGATGGTGGGTCTTGCCGTGGTCCCGCAGCGCTAATTGCGTAATCGGCGTATCGCGCAACGTTCGACGAGCTAGAGAGCTGCGGGTGGAAAGCTGCTGTCGGCTAAGTATCGGTATTTCGTGCAGCTGTTATGGAGCAAGTGTCCATCTTCCGACGACTGTAACTTTGTTTTTCGAGTCGAGAGGGGCCTAGAAGAAGCTACGGCGGACTGTTTAGAGCCTGTCAGTCGGCCAACTGCCGTGTAAGGCTGGGCAAATGCAAGCATGCTGCTTGATACGGTCTGCTTGAGTCATAATGGAGTGTAGCTCCACTGTCGACGTTTGCAGCCGCTGTACGTTTAAGTGTACAGATGCATTCACCTTACTCCTGATGCGGTAAGCGAGTCATTATATTGACCTATGGCGTCTTGTGTAGTGTAGGACTAGACATCGGAAAGCGCACTAGCATCGTACAAAGAGAACTCTGAGAAAGATAACGAAACCAGAATGGGCGGATCCTCGGAGGAGGTAACGGCAATGATATTAGTATGGTCGACGTCGCTAGCCATAATTCAGAATGCGGGAAATGCTATGGATGCCTTAAGAACGCCAGCGATGCAATATTGGGGCAAAAGAGATTCGTGATATCAAGGCCCAGTCATCAGCTCTTTAACATGTCATCGTCCACCTCCCAGTCGTCCCACGTGGGTGTGTCGAAGCCGTTCGGTCGGGAGCTGCGCAAGAAGCCGTTCCAAGTGCCTTCGATCTCGACGACAGGCCTTATGGTACGAACGATTGCATCAAAACCCCGACTGAAGCATCCTTGCATGTGCTTATCGTCAAAAAGTTCGGGATGTGTCCTCCTCATTGTTTTCAAAGCACGCTTGCCAACCTCGTCAACTGAGTCGTTGTGGCGTAGTTCGAAGAACTCGCTATCGTGCTGTTCCCTCAGATGGGCCATTATGTTCTCGTCGTATAGCCCTAACTGAAGTAGATAAATGTCGTACTGGCAAAGTGAAGTTGTGCCAAGATAACTCCCGCCATATTTTGCTCGCTTGTATAGACCGGTCAACGCTGCAATCGTTCCCATGCAGCCGGTACCGTAGTCGCTCATGGGAAATGGTGGCACGACAGGTTCGTTGAGGCCCATCCCGAGGCCTTGCGCCCAAGCGACGCCTGACACGCAATCCGCAATTTGCTGCCATCCTGGTCGCGAGGACCAAGGCCCAACATGACCGAAGCAGTCTTCAGCCACGTACACGATGCCACGTTTGCGACCCTTTACGAGCTGCAATATCTGGCTGGGGCCGTATCCGAGACGCTTTAAACTGCCTGGTCGGTAACCATCAAGGATAACATCGGCAGATTCCAGTAAATCCTCAAAAACTTTGCGATCGCTCGAATCGCGCAAGTTCAGTTCAGCGGCATGCTTGCCTAGATTGCCGTCCACTTGAAAGAATGGTACGTCGGATAGATTGGGCGACGTGATTTTGATGACTTCGGCACCATATTCAGCCAATCCTCGTCCGATCGCCGGTCCTGCAATTATCCGGCACAGTTCGATGACGCGAATTCCTGCCAGAATTTGGGGTTTCGGCGCCGATGACGCAGCGAAAGGGAACGGAGCAGGAGGCGATTCAGGTTCTAGAAGGTCGACTCTCCACGGCGGCTCTTGCAGTAGAGCTTGGCCGTGCTCGGTGGTCTGGAAGTCTTCCCACTTCAAGCAGGTCACACCTTATGCAAAGTTAATCATGTAAACATTGGTGAGTTATGACAGGATGTACTGTTTCGCATAACTCGAATGGGATACCTACCCGCCTGTTTGATCCTCCAGTTCATCTCTTCAAGCTCGTCGACAGTGTACTTCTTGACATGATCTTCAATGACTTTAATACATTCGCGGTACTCGGTGAGGTCTGCTCGGTGGCCTTCTAAGCCGATCATGTTTAGCGCTTTGGTAGCTTCCAGAGAACCATGAAGATGGAAGTATTCGCCATGGTTCTTGGTTGCGTAGAGGTTCGCGGACAGTCTGCGATAGAGGATGGACTGAGCTTGGAGGAGATCGGTATCTAGGCGAGCTTAGCCATATGATAGTTATGCGAGGAGGGTTCTACGTCTTCGGGATCGGACGCGTTCAGGGGGCATGAGGTGAAATTCTGTAGAGACCTTCGAATCACCTACCCTTCAAGTACTTCTTCACTTTGGGATGTGCCTTGTCCATGCCGCCAACAGTGGCAAGGTACGTAGAGAAGAGGAAGGCGGAAGCTCGTTCCAGGTCCACATTGATGCTTCGATCCGGCACATTGGTTTTGAGATCTGCTATTGATGCTGCTACGCCAGCTTCCACCGCCTTTAGAGCTGAAATGGCTTCTGTCTGTTTCAATGGACTCGGAAAGTAAGGACTTCCGGTGTTGGCTGTCGAGAAACGTGCTCGTGCAACATATGGCAAGCACTCTTCCGGAAGTTGAGCTGTGACCTGTCCTAGAAGAAAATCCAGGGCGGCGTGCGTGCCATCGAGCAGTGTGTCTGTGTTGTCGTAAGACGCACTACCGTTGGCGTGACCATTCGTAGCTCCCGTAAGGTAGGGCGTCATCCTGTGGGCCTAAAAGCTCCAATTAACGGTGGGAGAGGAGAAAGAAGAGGCAGGATGGTCGAAGACATGTGAGCGGGCCGAGCATACAAGTATTTTGTGCCGCTCGGAAAGCCGTTGCGGGCTCGCTCTGCTAGCGACATGCTCAACGGGCACTCGGTACAATGTTGGTGAGGCTAAATCAGGGCGCCGCGGAGCACCAGTGCCAATGCCGGCGGATGCAAGCAAGCGGCGGTAGGGCTGGCGATGGAGTGAGGGTGGAGGGCGGCGGATCGTTGTTCAGCGCCGATGGATGCCTGTGAGGGGAAGCCAATTGCAGCGCGCTAGAGGCCTAGTGCCGTGATCGATCTCGGCTTGGCGCCGTGGAAGCCGGAAAGCGACGCGCCTTGCATCTAACAAGGAAATACGGGCGATCCAGCCGCCAGCTATCGAGGTCTCCTCAGCCCATTGCGAATCCCATCATTCGCTGTGCATTGCGCCTTTTACGTCGTGTGCATGAGCATGCAATCCCCCCGCAGCTGATGCCACTTGGTGAGCACGACCCGCTTCGACCGCCGCCCACATCCGACACATGCTCCGATAGACATCCTCACCGCGGATGGGCACCAACCCTGTCTATCCGACGAGCCCTTTGAGCACCCTATCGTGTTGCCTGTCGTAAAACACCCGGCATGACTCGTCCCAAAGTACCGCCTGGCAAGTTCGCTCAGATATCGCGTCGGCCCACCCGCATCTAACATTCCACGCCTAGAACAGCGCCAACGCACAGCACAGGCGTGCGAAAGTTGCAAGCGCCGTAAACAAAAGGTCCGTCTTTTGCTCAAATCCCATATTGGCGTCATAAGCGAGCAACTCCAATCCATTCGGCTTTTGCCGAGATCCCTGCCATAATGTGTAAATACACTGTCGTACAATCTCCTCTACTGTTTTGTGTCTTTTCGGACCAGTCATCACGCGGAAATCATCATCCAGCCGTGCCCTGAGGCTCCTTCCCCACTTTATCTTCTGCACCTTTCTTTGGACCCAATTTCCCTCCAGCCTGATGATGATACCCATTGCCAGTCACTCCGAGATCCCGAGATTTTGTAACAAGCCAATCTGTACTAAGTCCAAGTCCTTCTCCTGTACATAGTAGCTTGGCGTTGCGTTCCTGCTATTCTACTGGCGTCATCCCACCTTCCTTTGTTCACGTCAACCCCGTCGCGGGCCGTAGCGTTGTCGTTCTGGAGAAGCTGACCGAAAAAAAGTGCAACGGTCTCTGTCCCTGCAACACTTGCGATAGGGTAAAGAAATCCATACTCGTACCGCACTATCATTAACTCCTACAGAGGAAGTTCACATGCATATATTCCGAGCGGGATGCACCCTCACCTTCTGCCAGCGAACGACCACCTAAACGACAAGCTGTTGATGGAGAGCAAGATAGTCCAGTCGTAAATGACAACTCGTCCACAAACACTCCCACCAACGGAATAAACACCGCAAGCCTCTCTCCAGTCGCCCATTCCCTATCATACGTGTCGCCACCCATTCCACGGTCTGGCCTTGTCCCACATGAATCCAGATCTGCGCCGTTAAACGTAAGTAATTTCGAGCTACTCAAAGCGAATTGGTCAAAATGTGGCACTTCAAAGCATACCATCCCATGTTGTCTGGGATGCCGTAGGCGAAGGTCGACTGTACGATGCTTGCAGGGCAAGAGGTCAAGTACAACTTCTCTGCTCACTCCGGCAACACACTCTATGATATAGGATAGCATGTCGCTCACTATTAACACACTCGTGCCTTGACATTCCATCTTGAGCAATTTACTGACTTTCACCGGCGCTTCAGGCTATCAAGCGCGAAGACAATGCAAACAGAGTATTTGATGAGCGACCGTCTGTCGAAGTCGCGGCCACTCCCTTGCCACTAGCATCCGGGTATGTCATCGCGAGTATTTAGCTCTCTAACTGTACCATGCCCCACTATAGTTCATGCTACCCCATGATACCTCATATTCCCTCTGAAGCCCCCATATTGAATCTTACTGACTTGTTACCCAACATTTAGCCCGCCACCCGACGAACCACCACCACTTATCTCACGCGGCTCAACCGTTCAGAGTGGGCAAGACGAAGAGGCGGTGATATACTCTCAAACTCGAATGTTGCAGGATCCAACTGGCCGATTACGTGGGTTTGATTCCAATGATTACTCACACCATAATCCGGCAATACTAATCAAGTACAGTCTATGTCGGAGATTCGGCAACCTTGTCGTTCCTGCAACTCCTGCGAATGATGGTGGAGAATGCTGCCGGACAGTCACCCTTCACTGATGACCCTCGACGGCATAAGATTGTGGAAGGCCAATTTTCGCTCCCTGCGGGCGCTCGGTACGGAATCACGTGCAGAACGGTTACCCTCGGATCATTTTGCTGACTTTGCACCTTAGGCATACGCATCTCTTACCAGACCAAAGAACCGCCCGCGTCCTCGTTGACGCTTTTTTCATCAACACCCATGGGCTCCTGCAGGTCTTCGAGCGTCACAAGTTCTTGGAGAAGCTCGAGACTTGTTATTCCGACCCGTTATCTACTGAACCTTCCTGGCTATGTATCCTCAACTTAGTCTTTGCCATTGGCTTGACCATGGCCACCCCACTTTCTGGGAGCTCCGAGGCGCTCATCATCGACAAGCTGAGGAGTGAGCACCTGGACCGAGCGGAAGTCTTCTACCTCAACGCCAAAAGCCTGAACGACCCGATGACCGGGTTTGAAGACCAGGACTTTTGGTCAGTGCAAGCGTTGCTATTAATGTCTGTATACATGCTCGCCAAGTCGAAACGAAACACTGCGTTTGCCTTGCTAGGGATGGCAGCCCGCTCAGCCCAAGCACTTGGGCTACACCGGGAGGAGACCTTGGTCATATTCGGCCCTGAAGAGCAGAAGGCACGGAAAAATCTATGGCGCTCATTATTCGTGATCGATCGACTTCTTGCTTGCCTGCTGGGGCGCCCTACGGCAATATCTGAGAGCGACTGTTCGGGAGATAATCTACGCCCTGCCGAGGCAGCCGCTGAGGCATCGAATCTGAAGGCCAACTTCAGTGAGACCGGAGCTTTCGCCCTCGAGGCTGCTGTAAGAAGCTGCTCTGCTATTGGTCTGATACTGAAGAAAGTCTACCAACAACGCAAGATCAGTACGCGACTTGCTCAGGAGATTGCTGACATATGTAAGACATGGCCACGAGCTTTGCCGGCCGTCTTACATTGGCGTCAAGCATCCACAGCCACTGCTAGCCAAGGGATAGCCATTCTGCATGTCAATCTTTTCTATTGTCACTCTATAATACTGCTAACGCGTCCGTTCTTCCTATACATTCTCAACATGGAGACTCAGCGTCAAGTCACCCAAGCTTCATCTGGAAATCGAGCACCACGGCCTTATCTGCGTATGGAGAAGTTTAGCGAAGCGTGCGTAATCGCTTCGACGCATACCATCCTCCTGGTACAGAACGCCTTCGATGCTGGATACCTTTCGCGACGAAACCCTGCCGTAATATACTTCCTCTTCGCCGCTGCACTCGTGGTACTCGCCAACGAATTTGCCGGCTTGTACCGGGTGGAGTCTCCAGATTCCTGCATCACCAATTCAATCACCATTATGAGTTATTGCGCAGAAAGCGACCAACAGGCCAGCCGCTTGGTGTACATCCTAAGCTCATTCCGAGACGTTGTCGTCCAACAGCGGGTGCGCAGGAAGCAAATCCAGACTGATAACCTACATCTACCAAGCATTAGTTCGCAGCTGTATGGAGGGCCTACACCCAATCAGCAAACGCCCGTTCCTGGTCAAAGTGGGGAAACACCGAGACTCCATCAGGTCCCAATCCACATATATCCCGGGATGCAGACTCTCCCGCATAGCGATCCGTCAGGGGGGCTGCAGGCGCAACAGCAGCAATCTGGCGCACCTGATCTGTCTGTACATCTGACACCAATACAAGTAAGCACCTCAGAACACGCAACATGGACTTTACTTATTCATTTCGACAGGACCATCACGCAGCCACAGCCGGGCCAGACCTGTACTCGTTAGGTGGCCAATCTAAACCTCCGAGCCTCTCCAATGTTTTCGACCTTTCTGGTCTTGATACCACCCGTGTACCCAGCCTCTATTCTGAGGAGAGTGGCACAGATGAACAGATCGATTTCGATGCGTTGTGGGCATGGCCGAGCAATACTCCTGCCGTCGGGTCGCCCAGAAACCCTGGTGACGCTGCTGCCATTGGGCTGCCGTCGACTCAAGGCATGAGCGATAATTCTGTGCCGTTGTTTAGTGTAGTTTCACATGCTGGAGATTGATTGGTAGTAGATCGCAAATGTCTTCCAGTACAGCGCATAAGCGCACGCACGAACCTAGATAAGTGAAGTAACTACAGGACCACGGATACAATAGGGTATACGAGAAGACGGAGGGCGAGCAGAAAATAATTGCGCTGGTGTACTTGTAAGGGCGCACAGTAGGGACTGAAATTCAGCGATTGCGGGTTTATTCTAGATTCGGCGGAACAAAAATGTACGTACAGATTTCTGGAGGTTCTGGTGAGGTTTGGTTTGCGCGACTCATGGCTTGTACAATGGCTAGAGCAATACGGTCATGTTATGGAAGGAGGGAAGGAACTTCCCGTCAACCTCGTTGCTTCCCTTTTCGTTGGCACCTACTCAAGCTCCCCACTTTCTCCACGAGTGTCAGAAAAACGAACCTCAACCTCAACCTCACTAATCACAGTGCATTCCCTACCACTTGAAAGCCGCGCTACAACCGAGCTCTCCATACTGACAACTTTCTTTGTTGCCCGCTCAGCTGTGTTTGTGAAGCGTTGCAGATCGACTTCAGCGCAGGATTCGCCTTCACCCACCGGCTCATGTGCCACACCTAGCTCGAGGCCACCCACGACCCGAGAATTGGCGGAACCCCATTGAGGGCTCTTAAGCCTACAAGCCTACCACGAAGGCGGGCCGCGACTCCACAAGAAACCGTGAACTGTAAACTGCGGATTGATGCGGCGTGTGCGCGAGCGTTTCCCCAGACCAGGCTCGCAAATTGTTTCGAGTGCGGAGTCACCATCTCCGCCTTCGTAGCGAGGATCAAAGAGGTTAGCTGCAACCCCACACGTACGGGAAACGCAAATGTATCATGCCACAGATTGACTATCTGCCGGGTGAGGTTGAGGGGTTGCGCTGCTTGGAGACGACAGATATGCCTCCCATGCAAGCCTCTCTCAAGTACCGCCTCCGTAGGATATTAATACTGTCGTAGAGAGGCATACTGCTTTCCTCGTAGCCATAGATTTGTCTCGACGCATCGCTATGTTCCAGCAGGAGCAAGCCCAGCTTCGATCTGCATATGAATCGCATGCCCAGACCCTGGAGTGAGTGAAGTATTCGCGGAAAAACTCCCACCACCAAGGTCAGCATCCATCACACAACCTTTCGAGCCAAGCCTGGGCAACGCTGCACGACACGGCTCGCGGTATGCCCAGTATGCCTCTTCGCTGCATCGTACCGACCTCTTGGTAGCGCCTGGCGTGCCACGCTGGGGTAACACTGGGGTATATAGACGACTCTTTGCGCGCTTCTACAAAGGGCACCGCAGTCGGTCTTGTCTTTGACAGATCGCTGAATATCTTGCGGCGGCAGCGACATCTTCTTACCGGCACCATGGCTCCCACGGCGGTTGAGGAGGGTATTGTCCAGCAGTTGGTCAATGCTGACAAGGTGCGATGGTGGAACAAGCCCAACCTGAGGACGCTGTACCTCCTACTTGTGCCGTTCTGTCTCTTCATTGAGTCAACGTCTGGCTTTGACTCGTCGATGATGAACGGTATGCAAGCACTGGTTTATTGGAAAGAGTACTTCAATAATCCTGAGGGCGGTATGCTGGGCCTATTGGTCGCGTGCTACAATCTGGGCGCTTTGACATCGATTCCATTTGTCTCTATCGTATCGGACCATGTTGGTAGGAGATGGAGTATTGTGTTCGGATCAGTCATTATGATCATTGGTTCGATCATGCAGGGACTGTCTCAAAACCGTAAGTGATCTCCAAGACCACAGTATTGCCAGATACTGATAGCTAGTAGTGGCCATGTTCATTTTCTCGCGCATCTTCCTCGGCCATGGTATCGTCTACGCTATCATCGCAGGTGCCGCCCTCCTCGGTGAGCTGGGTCATCCCAAGGAGCGTGCTTTCTTGGGCTCCATGTTTAACGCCTTTTATGGTGTCGGAGCTGTCCTCGGCGCAGGCATTGTCGTCCGCACGATCAACATCCAGAACGACTGGTCCTGGCGTCTTCCTAGTATGCTGCAAGCTCTTCCGTCCCTCCTTCAGATTGCTTTCGCTTTCACCGTCCCCGAAAGCCCACGTTGGCTCGTTTCCAAGGACCGATCTGAGGAGGCTCTCCAGATCTTGATCAAGTACCACGCCGAAGGCGACGCCTCTAACGAGTTGCCACACATTGAACTTGCCGAAATTCAAAAGGCGCTCGAGATCGAAAACGAGTCCCGTAAGCGCGGATGGATGGAGCTATTCCAGACCGCGGGTATGCGCCGCCGCTCCCTCGTCTCCGGCGCTCTCGGAATGTTTGTACAATTCTCCGGAAACTCGCTTATTTCACAGTATCTGGTTCCTATTCTTGAGATGATTGGTGTCACAGATAGGCAGCAACAAGTGCGCTACAATGTCGGCAAGGAAGCGTGGGGTCTCATCGTCGGCATTGTGCTCGCTGGTATTACGCCCAGGTACCCACGTAGGCGCATGTACCTGCTCTGCGCGTCCTGTCTCTTACTATGCTACACCGGATGGACTGTGGCCCAGGCTCGTAACCGCATCACTGGGTCGGTCGAGTCTGGCTACGCAGTTTTGGTGTTCATATTTTTGTACAGTCCGGCCTATTGTCTCGGATACAACGCATTGACGTACGTGTACATGGTCGAGATCTTCCCGTACTATGTACGTACGAAGGGCTTGAGTTGGTTCCAGCTATGGAGCAGGTCTGCAGTCATGTTCAGTAGGTCTCCCCCAGTCCGTTGCAATCCTCGTCTTCTAACAAGCAGCAGGCAGCTTTGTCAATCCGATAGGCCTGAAGGATATTGGCTGGAAATATCTCTTGGTGTACGTGTGCTGGCTGTGCTTCGAGGTCGTCTTCATCTATTTCTTCTTCCCCGAGACATTTGGCAAGACTTTGGAAGAATTGACCTTCTTGTTCGATGACGAAGCAGACGCAAAGCAGGCACTCGCAGCTACAGCAGAGAAGGTGCTGAATGATCCGACTGTTACCGAGATCCACGAGTCGGCAGAGAAGAAGGCTTAGCTGGGATAAGCAAGCACTACCAAGCATTTGGAATATGGCGTGGATACGACGTAAACCTGGCAATGGTGTGCGCGTCGTGAGGCTTAGGCAGATAGCTTTGTGCGTATATAGCCAAGTCAGTGTCGCAGAACAGAGGACGACAGCAGCTGGCTACGAACAATCCATCGATTGATGATTTCGGCTCTGAACCAATCATATAATTCTCCCTGACACCATCACCCTATTGGCCACCACACATTAAGCGCCTTCCCCTCCTGGCCACCAGTTCGCCGGCAAAATCGCCAACCGAACGCCTACCCCGCTAGCGTTCCGGACCTGCTTGCGACGACATCATAACACAGTAATAACAACGCGCCATTCCTCCTACACAAACACCTCGCATCTCGCATAGTTCCAATTACATCTATATTTTATCTATAAGACATCGCGACCACGAAAATGGTGTCCACGCGCAACCACCCATCGACCTTCCCGCCACCCGAGGCCTCACCCACGAAGTCCTCGCCACGCAAGTCGCGCACGTCTACGCCCGCGCCCACGGCGTCGCCGGACCGCACGAGTCCGAGCGTGGTCGTGGGGAAGGGTCTACGGGAGCGCGCGGTCGAAAATGCGCAGAATGGGTATGCCGCTGTGAATAGAGAGGGAGGGAGAGGGAGAGGTGGCTGGAGCCACACCGCGAGCAATGTGACGATCGCGTGGATCGCGGTTAGTCTGCCGCTTGTGATCTGTAAGTTCCTATATGAGAAAAGATGGAAAAGAAGACAGATGATTTTGGGTTCAATGGTAAAGGGTTTGTGCTAACATATTCAGGGGATTCGCTGTATATTCTTCTGCGCCCGCACACCATGGCCGGCGGCTTCCTCCAATGGCCCATCTGGAAACCCTACGAGATTTACGCGTCCATCGACTACGTCTACGGCCAACCTGGTTGGGACGAGAAAGACGGGTTTGGAGGCGGGCAAGGCGCGATTAATGCTATCGAAGCTGTGCTGTACGGACTGTACCTCATGCTTGTGTATAACCACGGTATTAAGGCCGCTGGTGGGAGTGGCGTGCAAATTGGACAGGGGGTGAACGGGTGGATGAGTGGTGGCGTGAAGGTAGCGGGGAAGAGGGGGAACACGGCGCTGATAATTGGATTTACGGCGAGTGTTATGACGTTGAGTAAGACGGTATTGTACTGTGAGTCTCTCAGACCCCTCGCCCTGCTCTTCAACTAATCATAATTGTAGATCTGGTCGAGTACTACGCTGGATTCAAGAACACTGCGCATAATGACTGGTTCACGCTGTTTTTGTTCTACGGCGTCATGAAGTAGGTTTATTAACATTAAGCTTTTATGTCATGAGCTAATGAGTTACAGCGGCCTCTGGGTCATCTTCCCAGCGTACATGACTGTAACATTTGGGTCTGACATTCTCGCTGGTTTAGACGCTGCGGTGGAGAGCTCGGAGAAGAAGCAAAACTAGGGACTCAGATTTCATATTCACTATCTCGTTACAATCGCCTTCCTGCTCAGTAATTATGCGGCAACTCAGTCTCCGGTACTTCAATCAAGTAATTTCTCTTACTTCCGCCGCCCACAACAGCCGAACCATTTGCTCCACCATCCGCCTCTTTTCTCTTCACGAGGTCCAGGAAGTTCATACACCTCGCGAGGCAAGCCACTGGGCAGCATTTCAGTGTCGCTGTCACCCTCCCCAGGCATCGACACATTCCTCAGTGGACTCGGAAGATGCACCCCATGTGAATGGCTAAAAGTTGGCCTCGTAGGACTCAACAGCGCTTGCCTACTCTCGCTTGGACGATCTCGGGGAAATGGGCGAGCAGGTGTAGGATCGCTTGCCAGGGGAGTGGGAGCAGGACTCCGGATGGTCCAGGTAGGACTCAAAGACGGATACTGGGAGTCGTTCATTTCGCTACGCGGAAACCTGGGTACACCTGCAGGTGTCGGAGGGTTGGCAGCCAGGCTATCGGAGGATGTCGACGCGGTAGCAGGTGGAGGGGTCGAGGGTGGACTTGACTGGTAATACCTCTCCCGTGGACGAACGATATTCGAGGGCTCCGCTGTCGGTTCAAGAGGACTGGGAGATGTTGCAGGCGCGCTCGCAATCCGACGACTCGGCATCCTGACTGGACTCAGCTTCAATGTCCCGCTTCTGCTTCGCTGGGCGCTTGGAGCCGACGCAGTCTCGTCCCAGTCATCCGGTGGGAGGGTGGCTGACATGCGCTGGCAGTCGGCGATCAACTCCTTGAGCATCACGGGCGGGGCGGTCGCGGGATGTTCCGACATGTTCGTATATGCGGTTGCTTTCTGGCGTGTATGGGTTTTTGTGTGGGCGGATATCGACTGGCGTTCTCAGGCGTGCGCGAGTGCGGTGATGCGGTTGAATGCAAGGCGTGAGTGTTCGCGCTGCTGTGTTTACGGTGAGCGTTTGCGTCTTCTTGCTTGGGGCTTCAAATGGCCCGGGCGGGACTTTGAATTAATGGCGTTCGTGCAGAGGTGAATGATGGAGCGCTAAGGGGCGCCATTAACTACATTCCAACTTCGTTGAGCTTATGATATATACGAAATTCAGCATTGCCGACTTATGTCAAGATATACTCTATTTCTATACCTGCCGGTGTCCCCGTTGTCGAGTGATTTGACCTGAATACCTGATAAAATTGTAGTGGTAGACTTGGTTGGAACAGAGGAGATTGATATATGGAGTAGCCATTTGTGGGGTTTGCTCTTGTAGGGCCGTGTGATGTGGGCAACGGGCAGAATCTATGCTGATTACGCAAACGCTACCACAAATGATGCTTGTATATATACTTGCTACTCAATCTGTAGGCTTCCCTCAGCGTTCATGCAATGCTGTCGTGGCCACACTGGCCCTCTGTGCGCTCATTAGTATCGCTCAAATATCAAATAACTACTGCAAGGCTATGAGCACCAATTAGAGCATTCAGGAATACGCAACATCCTTCCACAGAGCCATCATTCTCCACCCATCACATGGCCACACATTTACACAACCCTCCACGCTCTTCATCCTCCTTATTTCCTCTCTTCCCCGCGGCCTCGAACCTCTGGCTCACGCTCTTGGCTCCACTAATCTGCCTTCGCCTCTCAGCAAGCTCCTGCACCCCCTTCGCAGTCCCAAAGGGACCTTCGTCCGCGTGGCCCATCTTGCGCTCCATCTCATCTCGTCCAGGCGTCGAGAAAGTTGCATTGCTGGCCACACTTCTTGTCGATGCCTGACGTGTCGGTTGCGGCTTGACGGCAGTAGCCGTGACGTTCCGGGGGTGTGGAGGAGATGGCACATCAGGACCGATTTGCAGCGCGGGCTTCTTCCATGGTGAGGGTATTGGTCCACGCGGGCTCGTAGGGAGTGGTGTTATTGCGTCGGGATCATGTTCGTAGAAGGGCCTATCCTGGAAGTAGTCCTCTTCGCGACGTACAGCTGGCCGTGTGGGATCGATGGCTTGATGTGAAGTTGGTGGTTCCGGCGCAAATGGGTCTTCTGTGGGGAACAAAGTGAATTCGCGCAGCCGCGCTCTCTCGTCGTCTGGAACCGCGGGTGGTGGCCGCGCAGGGGAAGCTGGCATGGCTAGTCCTGCTGACACAGCTTCGCTCCCGCTTGCGGCTGAGATGGTCTGGTTCTCGCTCGCGTGAACGGGAGATACTGGACTGGAAGGCAGTAGAGGACGGTGCTGCCGCGGGGCGCCCAACTTCGACGGCGATTTACGGCCTGCCTTGCTGCGCTTAAGATCTCCAAAGTTGCTGCTGCGGCTAGAGGTGTGGTTCGTAGGGATGGGGATACGCGATGGAGTTATTCTTCTGCTGTAGTTCGGGCGGTCCTCATGTGAGTGCAGTGAGCGCGCGCGAGATACGTCGTTTTGATGGCCTGCATCCGGATCACCTTCTGTTCTTTCATTAGCTTCGTTATGTATGGCTTCAATGCAATGGCGTGTATGATATGCGCTCAATGCAGCCCGGTCATCCGCGCAACTTCCTAATCGGGCTCCGCGGGGTACATTCGGTCTTGCACCAGTTGTGAACTTACCAGCTAGCAACAACGTCTTGCCGTCTACAACTGCACGTCCGAGACTGTGCAGAGAGCGTGTTTGTACGGGACGGCGAGGTGTCGATTGCGTGGCATGGCCTTTGGTGAGAGCCTCGGACAGGGAATCAGGTGATGGCGTCACGCGGCGGATGGTCGAGCTCATGCTGTAAGAGCTTACGGGACGTGTTGGTGAGTGTGAAGCCGTGTGTGGGCGAAGATGAGTAGCCATTCTTTGTTTGCGTTAGAGACTATTGCGGGAGAGTAGTGGGCTGGAAAAGGTTATTTCGGTATGAGATTTAGTCAACCGTGCGAGCAAAGCGGCACTTCTGAGTCGCAAAGCTGACTTGTCGGCGGGTTTTCGAAGTGTGAAAGGTATTCAAAAGTGCACAGTGCGAGTGAAGGTGGGGGGTTCCAATACTTTGGGCGTGTTGCCGGAGCAGTATACAATCAACCTCGATTTTTTAAGAGCTACCTGCACAAGTTCTATCACACCTACAACGATGAGAACCTCAAAACCGGTCATCGTTCAGCATGGCTAGACTCAAAGCGTTGATCTGATTCTCAGAAACAATGACATATCCATTCTAGGATGCTGACATTTCCGATCGCTATGACCGTTTGCGTCGCGCCTTCTGCTTTGAATCACTCCACCGCCCCTGACCATCTTTGTATTCATCATTCCAGATCATGGCTCGCTTTTTAGCAATAAGACGAGCCTCTGCATCCGCAGAGGTGGATTCGGGTATATAGCCGCGGGAGTCGTCGGTGCGTTGCCAACGTGGGTAGTCGCCATGGCCATGCAGACGGGTGTGCTGAGGCTGCGCAACAACAGCATGAGTATAACCAGATGTTTGCCCGTGAACGGTGTCATTAGGTCGATTGCGTTGTTCTTTGTGGTGGTTTTGCTGACGATTCGGCTGTCTTTGTGCAGCAACAGGGACACTAGTAGGAGCACGATGGGGTCTTTGACGCCTTGTAGGGTCAAGCAAGCTGAAGAAGCACATTGTTAGCAGACTTTTTCGGAGGTTACATGCCGTTAGTGAATCGTTTTGGTCAGTGAGGTAGCTATATATATGATGCGAAACGAGGGACGTGACGATGGTGAAGCTGGCAACATGCTACGCATTCATTCCGTGGACGTTTGTGCGGACGTGGCATTTCCGTTCGATTGTTTCTTCGCTGGTTTGTCATGTGTTGAATCATAGATGAGCTAACTCATGCGGCTTCCACGTACTTCAGCTTCGTCGTCAATACGATGCAAAAGCTGTAGTCCGTTTCCTCAGTCGCAACTGGCTATCGGTAGGGTACCATCCTACAGCACTTACCTGCGCAACATGGAGGACGCTACCGAAGGAATTCGACTGACATGTGATGAGAAAGGGGCTACCATTCCTATGGAATACTTGATCGTCATGGATCGGCACACGAATTATCATAGCAGTGTCATTCAGTATCGCGCCGACGGTTAGCAGGGTTGCGTTCAACATTGCGATCGCGACAGATGCAAAGAGATGTGATCGCGAGAGAGAAAGAAAAAATGCTAGAAGGAGCAAATGGGCCTGAGGCATGATGTTGTCCTGTTGCGTCCGGAAATGCAGTGATGTCAAAGACGCCTTTTCCCTCACAACATCATAGAAGAAGAAGCCTCCACAGACAAGTGATTGATCATCCTGTCGCAGACAATTGTATTAGGGAGGCTATTCTTCCCTTACCATGGCGGCGGGCCCATCGACCCCACCATCAACCATCATGGGCAGCCTACTCCACCATTGTTGCATGGAAAGAGTGGCCCACAGCAATTTCCACAGCTTCACACCCCTGAACTGAATTCTAAGTCACCCATCATGCAGATAATGTGGCCATCGATTTGAATATGTACTTTTTCTTGCCGCTGTCAGCGCTATCGATAACCTTAGAATAGCTCGCCCCATGCGTGGCGTTCTCAACATTCTTGCCCACACTAGACAACGCGTTAGAGCCAGCTAACACTAGTGAAACCCACTTGTCGTTGCTACTGCAGGTACGAAGCAGTCGCTATGAACGCCATCTTCATGACAAGGCAGCACCCATCTTAGTGTCAGCCACGAAAGCCACGAAAGCCACAAACATCGCTTGTCGCAACTACTGCAGGTACAGAGTCGCGGAGCAGAAGCCATGAACGCCATCAGACGAAAAAGCAAGACACATCTTAGTGAAAGCCATGGCTCGCAACTACTGCAGGTACGACAACTGCCGAGCACGACTCGGAACAGGGCGAACTTACATGACGACGCAACACCCGATCTCGTCGTGCTTCGCACAAGTTTTCCTCTGAAGCTTCTTGCTTCCCATGTATTGGTAGTCCGTCGGCTCATGCTGAGATGGAGGCATCGCACGCATCTTTGCTCGGTAGTTCACCTCTTGCTTTGCCCTCAGGGCCATCATCTCCGCCCTGAACTGAGCATCTCGCCGCGAGTTCCCGCTTCCTTCCTTAGGGAAGAGCGAGTACTCTGCTTGCCGACGCGGACGCGAGAAATTCGGAGGCGTACGCGCTTTCATTGTAGCGGTGTGCGTCATCTTGTTATGCTCAACTTACTTTAATCAACTCTGATCTGGAATGTGGGAAGTTATTGTCCTATGGTTAAGGGATAGGCCGAACAACGCATTGTTTGGGTTTCATCGAGTGTACAGTGAGAATAAAGTCATGCATTCTTTCTACAACAATGAAAGGAACACTTGGGCTGAACAAAGCCACCCTGTCGCCGCTCACATGACTACACAGTACCTCAACGACGACTCTCCACCCTGTTCGATTGTGTGGCTGTAGTATCTCTTGGGAACCCTTTCGCCTGTACCTCGTGGCTGTCTGCCTGCGCGAGATGGAATCCCGTCCTCCCGTCTGAAGTAACTGCGATCATCCATTGCTGGAGGTTTCGTTTTTCCGTATTCGCCTGTAACCTGCGACCGTGCTCCTGGACGAGATTTCTCTGCGCGGTCATTGCGGTCATCCATTGCTGAAGGTTTCTTTTTTTCGTATTCGGCTGTATTTCGTGGTACACTCTCTGCGCGAGATGGGTTCTTGTCCTTCCATCTAAAGTCATTGCGATCACCCATTGCTGGAGATATCGCTTTTCTGTGTGCCGAAGATATGGGCGTGGATCGATATCGAATTGTGGATGCTGTTTCGAGGCAGAGTTGTGGCGAATATCCGAATCAGCTTAGAAGAGCTTGGATTTTGGGAGGTTTCCAATAACGATAATAGTAGTGATGAAGCGGCCCATATAAATAGTAAGTACATGGAATGCAGTCACATTTTGAGCATTCACGAAACAGTCATCATTATCGCTTGGTTCGCGTCACTGACCCATTGACTCATCGCGCACTTTGTAACCCGCAGATGACACAGATCTTCAATACGCATTCACATACTTAACAATGCTGAATCCTCCCAGGACAATTCTCGGAGTCACATAACACAACAACACTTCTTCGCTTCCCTATCCTCATCTATCGTCACTGGACTCCAAATACTCTGAAACTCGTCATCACGCCTCTTCTTTGCACCCTCCTCTCTCCTCACAACGATCTTCTGCGCTTGCCTTTCCCACGGACTACGTATCGGTTGTGGGTGTTGCAATGGCGGAAACAGCTCACCTTGCACAGACTGATGCGGTTTGGTATGCGACACAGAAGTACTTCTCTCTGGCCCCGGCTGCACTACTTGAGTCGTCGCAGGCGAGGACACTCTTGGTAGTGGCGGCAACGGCTTATTGTTCATATTGCGGTCGAACTCTCTCTCCCACTGCTTGTAGGCTGCATCGTTGAAGGGTCGACCTTGTTTGTCGAAGGATGATTCTTGCATATTTGCGTGCAAGGTGCGTACAAGTGCGGCGAGGTGTTTCGTTTCGCCGTCGGGGTAATGACAGGGCTCTTCGGGAATGGAGTTGAGCATGGGCTTAGGCGTGGTGCTCACCGTGACTGCAGGTGGGGCTTTATGATAACATCGTTCTATTGTGGCGGTCTTAGTAAGGGGGCAACGTTATACATAATAGTTTTCTTTGTCGTGACTGTAACGTTACGAGACAAAGAATGGGACATTCCCGCAAGCGAGACAACAAGATCCTAAAGATTGTTATTGTCTTCTAAGAGTCATGCTGGAGATGTTTCAAGGGCGCGAGAATTGTGGCGCAAGGTAGCCTATGAGACTCGTGTACAGTGACTGGCACGCAAATAAGCATGACCCGAGCCAGCACAAGAGGGTGAGGAAGAGTATGCATATCTGGTTTTGTTTCTAAAAGCTGACGATACTAGTAAGTAATGAAGTCAAAACATTTCTTCGAGGAAGAGGTGATTTTCTCTCGCGCACTTGCGCTTACATAAACTCCTTTCATGATTAAATCCACAATACATTCGCACCACACTGCAACCACGTGTCCTCCACACGGATCTAGCCATCTCCAAGTACGACAGCCTTCATCAAGTAAGATTACACTCATCAACGCCGAAGACTCATCCAGGACCTGTCCGGGTTACGCCTTCGAGCGCGTGCTCCAGGACCATATTGAGGCCCACCGTCTCGTTCTGTTTGGAAGCGCCATCGAGGCTCGCTATAATCATAGTGTCGGTTCAATTGCCTGTTCCCCAGCGCATGCTCCCATTCGCCGCCATGCACATCTGCATGACCCCAAGTTGGTCGTCCGTTGTTGTAGCCGTCGTCCCAGCGCATCACTCGGTCGCGGTTAGTGGGGTGCTGACGAGGTACTCTGTAAGGCATAGTGTTGAGGGATATGATCAAGTATCTCGTGGTGTTGCTTATTGAAGTACAGGTTGTAGGGGGAAATACTTTCGCAGTGTTAATGAGATAGATATCGATGTTCGAGGACTTGGGGGCGAGGGGACATTAATATAGACAGTGTTACGTAGACATGAATGAAGTGCTGGCTGTCTGTGTTTTATCCTGACGCTGATTTCCTGGAACGTGAAGACATCTCTGTGCCTTATGTTGAACTTCATACCAGCTTCGAGCTTCAAGTTCGCCACGACCTCTCGGAAATTCTTACTCGAGCGTCAGATAACTTCAATGACACTTCACGTAGGTAGGATATCCTGAAGACATCTTCTTTCGAATACCATATCTAGGCCCTCCACACACGCGTATGCTACCCGGCACCAACATTCGAGCGCCTGTCTTCAGTAAAAAAATCCAGTCCTATCAACCTAACACTGTCACACTACCCAATAACTAAACAGGATGCCCCGCCGCGACCCCCCATATACTCACCACGGCCCAGGCGGTTTCCGCAACCCGCACAACCTCCGTTACGCCAATAGGGACAATGACGACCTCGACACCAGGATCTCGCGATGGAATGACGGTTTCAACGGGGGCAGGCCAGACTGGGGTGATCGCGATAGATTCGATTATGAGGATCTGTACTATGGACCTCATGCAAACAGTTGGGATGGGCCGAGGAGTTGGGCGCATGGGGCGAGGAGGAGGTTTTGAAATTTGTTAGCTAGTGCGAGGATCGCGACGATAGTGCCCAGGTAGACTCAAATATCTGAAAGTCAAGACTTTGGTATTCACGCCGTGTTCGTTCCGTCGCTGTCTATTCCTATGAAGTACAATAGATTTCATATCACCGCTCGTCTAATGGTTATCCAATCCAGTATACGCGAAACCGTATGCATCTTACAACAATATGCCCGACCGATATCCAAGGACAGGTTTTTGAGTGCGCGCAAGATCAAATGCGGAGCGGAGAAGAGATGAGCAGCGTAGGTCTTTCGGAGATTGGTAGGGTGGTAGGGTGAGAAAAGACACGCTCATTCAAAACGAAACGCCAAAACGATGCAGCCAACGCCAATCAATCAGACGAGGAGCTAAACCCGGGTATCACAGCTCTCAGTCAACCTTTACCATCCTTCATCTTTCTGATTCTTGCTATCGCCTTGCAGCACTTGCTTTTCTTCGTTCGTGAGCTCAATCATCTCAGCACCTTGCAGTCGGAAGCCCTTAGCATCGACTATGTGGTCTTGGGCGGTCTTGTGATAAAGCTGGTGCAGTCGCGGTATGAAGTACTGCATGACCTGATCGCTGAGCGCCTTCGGGACGAGGCCCTTGTTAACCCAGTAGTGGCGCACAAACGTGCCCTTGCAGCCGCCACGGTTCTCGGCTTCCGGGGCGCCATTCGCTTCCACGCACGGTAACACTTTGATATCTTGGGGGCGGTCGAAGTCGTAGCGGATGTAGTTGCCAAAGGCTGCCTGCTCGTGGAACATCTCGAGCTTCCACTTGGCGCAGCCCGGATAGCGTCCTTCGTCAGGGCATTCGGCCCATACTTTGAACATCTCTTGCGTGCGCGGGCTCTGCTGCGCAATGACGAAGCCGGTGTTGAGATAGCGGTTTCCTCGGGAATCGTAGTTCTGCGGCTCGTCGGGGTCCAGCGACATCATGATGAGGGTCTCCTTGGTCATGTTCCAGTAGTTGAGAAGCCACTCGAGCGGAAGGTGCGGAAAATGGAGCATGACGTCCGAGTCCATGAAGAGGATGTAGTCGTGAGTCTTGAGGGCTTCCTTCATCACAGGCACCTTGACCCAGGTGCCCCAACGATCCTCGTAATCGGGTGCGCGAATGAATTTGTAGTCGTATCCGTGGATCATGGCGTAGATGTAATGGCTCAGCATGCCGGCGGAGAGGGCTCGAATTCCTTCTCCACCCTTCCAAATGAGCTCATCGTCCATGAGCTGACCTGGCTTATCCAAAGGCCGGCTATCAATGTCCAAAACCAAGACCTTCTTCCCCAACTTTTGTTTGAAGCGTGGTTCACCGTGTAGACGGTATATCTGCCCTTCGTCATCGGTAAAGTTCGCGGCGTCAACCGGGTGTACTATCGGTTCGTAGAGGGCTTTGATGACGGTAGCCATGGATGTATCGCCGTCGGGGAGGGAAATATTGTGCAGGTAAGGGTATCTGGGAGCACATGTCAGAGTCAGGCTGTCCAGCGTATGGAGATGCGTGATGGATCGAAACATACTGTGAGCTCTTGTAGGAACGTATCGCGTTCGATTCAAACGTGAAGTATATAAAGGCGCACAGCATCGGGATCAAGGCCATCATCAGGATGCGTCGCCATCGCGCGTGAGGCCCGGAGGTAAGGTTGGCTAGGGAGGTGTAGGCATAGTTGGTGTGCGCCGACATGGCATGCGTTAAGGAATGGCGGTGCGGGTCGCGAGGAGCTAGGTATCGGTTTCTAGGACGGTCGAGGAGGGAGTCGTTCGGCCAGACGTGAACGTGGCCTTGTGAACGCTCCAGCAGCGAGGAAAGAGCTGCGGGCGTAGGCGGAACGCGCGGTCGCAATTGCAACAGTAAAATAGGTAGCAGCAGAAAAGAAACAACAAAAAAGAGAACAGGTCAGGTGTAGGTGCTGGAGATCAGCAAGAAAGATGGCGGAGCCGCGTCGCAGGCTCAGCTAAGCTCATGGCGCGTCCACGTCTGATGGCGATCGCTCGGAGGCCTTGCGGGGACTAGCCACAGCAGCCACTGCGCAACGGCCTCCCACATGCCATTGACCCCTTGCGGCGATTCGCATGCCGCATTGGGCAACAGGGAAGTAGAGTGATGGTTTACACTTTGTAATTGTGCGAGATAGACTCAATAACGCGGGGTCAAGTACGCCTTGCAATGCGATTTCCGGCAGAAATCCCATGTTTAAGCGAGCGATCCTGCAAGCCATCAAAATGTCCCGTTCTTGTCCCGGTGCCGCGACCAGGGGGTTGCGTCAGGCACTGCGTGGCGCAATGGAATACTCGTACACCTGGTGGTGCCAACACACATGTTGTGTCCGCCTTCGTGGACAACAACTTCAACTCTGACGTCTCGAGCACGTTGTTGATCGAGATGCCGAGATACACGGACACAGTGTCACTATTCCCGGATTTTTGGTACTCGGCGGCCTAGCGTCTGTCATATGTCGTTCAAGACCACCTCTTGCCCACCTCCACCGTCGATGAGTCGATTGTGCTTTGGTTTCCATACGGAGAAATGCAAATTTGCCAGTAATGCCCGGCCTCCAGCTCGATGCCGGTGGTGCCGGTAAGCTTGAGGCTGTGCGTCGATGCAGGCAGTATTTGGTTGAAATTTGGGGCCCTTATGGTGGGCTGTGTTATCCCAGATACGCTATACGATCTCTAAACCTATGGCATTGCACAGTCGCCGTCACAGTAAGCGCAATAGCTCGTAATCTTTGGCTATCCCAGGACTCTCGCGCGCGCAGCTTCCAATCAGATCCATCATGATGTTTACCCAATTCTCCCATCCTTCAGGCAGTGTCGCTCTCAACTCGGGGTCTGATGATCGCGCCACTGAGTTAAAGAGTAGGACCTGACCGAAGCATTGGGAACACCATCCAAATTTGATCGGCAAGGCAGCTTTCATTTGGGCGCATAATCCCATTGTGGTTGGCCAGTACATAGCCCCCTCGAGCCCTTTTCGGACCTCATCGTATTCACTTCGCGTCGTGTGTTCCGGCGCATGAAGAGCTTTGTATAAGAATGGTCGTCCGATATGGAACTTTGCGACCCGGTAGCGACTGCGTAGCATGGCTTTCGCAATCACATGCGCAGGGCTGGGTGAATCATCGGCGTCCTCACTATCGGTAAACTGTAGTGTTGGTGGTAGATTCGAGCGCCACTGTTCGAGCTGGTGGTGCATCTCCGCCGTTAGATTCGGACTGGGATGACCTTCTTTTTCCGCAAAGGAGTAGAGGTTGTGCCTAGAAATCTGTCAGTAGTAATCGTATATTTAGAGCATGATCTACGCGCCTGATACGGGTAAGTATGATGCGATGGGCGGCTTGTGCAAGGAAATGGAAGTTGAAGAAAGAGTCATCTTCGTCAGAAAGCAGTCCGGAGATTGACGTCTTAGGCCGAGGGGAGGATTTAAACTTGGGAATAGGAATATCCGCTTCGTAGTCGAGTAGACCGCTCAAAGGGAGACTGAGCTCTTGCGTGATGATAGTCTCATACATGAGCGTATTCCAGAACAATCTCGAGAACATGTCGCCCTCCCAGTCATCGAAGTCAATCGTTTCTTCCCGCGACAGTACGCTGATGCAGCACAGGGCAGCACGGTTGACCATCGTCCACGAATCGATTGGACGTAGGGTCTGGGCGTAGTACAGTGTACAAAGCATATAAAACTGGCCAATTGGCAAGTCATTCTGGTTCATGAGGAATCCAATCCGCTGTCGTGCTTCGTTGAAAAACTTCAGACCTGGTGGATCGTCCATGACTACTTCATACCATTCGGGCCGTGCAAAACCGGTTGTAGCAGATGGCGTGCGTGATGGCAATGCGAAGTCTCCCTCTTCGTAGGCTCGGACAGCTAGACAGCCAAGCGCAAGAACTATCAACACGAGGCACGTTTCGACATCGTATCCGAATTCGCTTTCCAGTGCGCCATGAAGGGTGCTGGAGAAGAATTGAAACCGATCAAGGATAGGAGTACTACGGTGGAAGACCGCAAAATACGCGTCAGCTAGGCCTTTGATGACTGATAGTGGGAGCCTTGTTAGCCAGAAATTGCTACTGTATTCTGCCGGAATGTCGATGTGAATAGGTAATGGCGGTCTATGAGTTTCTATATTCACGATATAGTCTCTGTGCAGTGCCTTGCGCGCGGCGAGAAACTCCGCGGGGAGCATCTCCACAACAGCAGGCCACAAAGCAACTCCATGCTGACTGAAGGATAGTTTGGTCGCACCATGGGTCTCGGGAGCAGAATTTGAGGCTTTCCCAGGGGTGCCGGTGGCAAGCGGAGATCCGACGTCCAGGGAACCTCGTTCATGATGCGGTATTGAGTAAGGCAGGACGTGTGATCCAGGACTTGGCTGAGAATTGGCAAATGGGGACCTGTAGTCTTGTGGGTGTACAAGTGGAGGTGGAGGCGGAAGTCTGCTAGAATTAATGACTGTAGTGAGATCTTCAACCTTCGCCTCAAGCCGCCTGATGGCATTTATGGCCACTGTCATTGACTGATCCTTCCTGTAACATCATTAGAGCAGAAGGTGACAGGATGCGTGCAGACCCAGGCCGGAATTTGAGTCTAATGCCCCTTGTGTTGCCCGTTTGTGGCATACGTAAAGCAATCAGAACTTGGTTTTAGTGCAACATACTTGGTGGGACGAGGTGTCTGGTATATGCATTCGAGGTTCATGACCTTGCAATACCCACACTTGGGGCGGTCCTCATCACATCTCGTCTTTCGAGATCTACAGACGTCGCAGGCCTGATATCGTAAGTTCTATGATGTGCTGCTGGGTATGCTATGTCCATGCAAGGTGTTCTGCAGGCTCGCACTTACCAAAGTAGCCATGAAAGTGCGCGGCTTCTTCACGGCCGAGCCATCTCCGTCATCTTCGCCGTGACTCGAATCGGCACGCTGTGCGCGCCCCGGCGGGTGCGGGCTAAATGAAGCAGACGCGTCTTGAGGTCGCTTGGTCATGTCATATTAATGTAGTGATGTGCGCAGGGAGCGTTGCTAGCAAGCTGTCGTGAGTGATGACTGGTTGCTGGGGTTGGCGTTGGATGTTGAGGCTCGCCGGCTTTCTGGAGGGAAAGCGCAACCGACGCACTAGTCGTTCTTGGGGTTAGTAGCTGCCGTTCTTTGGAACACTTGTGAACGTTTGAAATGTATGACGTTGGTACACTTGTGAACGCTGGAACACTTGTGGACGTTGGATCACTTGGCGGAACACTTGCGAACGTTGGACCACGTGTGAACGTTGGCCCACTCGTGAACGTTGGAACACTTGCGAACGTTGAACCATGGGGAGGCCTTTTCACAACACGCGACATCACGAATCGTCTCGCAAGCACAGGGTCAGTTATAAGCAACATAATGCGACTTGGCAAGCTCAGAGGTGAAGCGCACATCGATGAAGACCGAAGGAACGCAGTCAAGAAGGCCAGAGAAAAGAGAGTACAAAGAAATTCCCGACACGTTTATCGAACCAACGAATTGTCTAAAGGGCTGAATATAGAAAATCTGCTGTAAAAACACTGTCGCGGACGTGCATACTGGACGATATTCGGAAGGAATTCGGAAGAGAAGAACAGTAGGAGATTGACAAGTGAAAAGTGTGCCAGGATGAAGGAATTTGATGAGTATGGGAAGATAAACTGCTCCTATGCCTTCTAAGAAAGGGGAAAGCATTTCGACTTGATTTCCCGATTGCGTATCGAAGCTGTTGCCCAAGTGCAACCACCTGCAGTCTAGCTAGGGCATCATGAGCTCATCGGATCCAGAAGGCATCATGGGGCCTCAACGGGACGTGTCGAAGACAATGCAGACAAGCGGTAAGACGAGAAACATGAAAAATAGATACCTGTATTTGAATGTACTGTTGAGGCACCTGCTTCTGTCATATTTTCCCTAGGTATCTGTGATATCGAAACAGTTAATATAGTGTTAAAAGATATTGGTTTGGACGAGTATGGGGAAGTACTGCACAAGCGCCATCCCCAGCGAAATTGCTCTGTAAGATTTGAACTCAGAAGAAACGCACTCGAAGCGCGAAGGGATATCACACGGGCGCATGCCCCTCAGCATAGCAGCGTCGTGGGTTTTCAGACTTGAAAAAGCGTTGCTTTAGAAAACCGCAAGCAAGAAAAAAACTGCTGCCTCACTCACTATGGAGGCAGCATAGTGGAAAAACAAGCATCTACCTCAGCGAAGGTAGCAAGGCCGCAAGAAATGAACAAGAAGCTGAAAAGAGTCTCGCCACCAGGTACGTTCATAATACCTGCACCGCCACCAGCTGAGGAAGTATAGATGAGGCGCAACGTGGCGCCGACTTCCCGACGGTACGGACTGCCGTCCCAAGATTACACAAATGAAATCTCCAGCCGCGCGGAGCCAGCAGATCAAGAAACCTTGGAAGACCCTGCGTGCAGTGGGAAAAAGAAAGGCAAAGGGCGGTAAAGGAAATGCATCCTGACGTGGTCCTGCCCGCTTCCGAATCAAGTAATTTTATGAAAAAACTAAATATAAATGGGCGACCCCGCAGTAATGGCAAAGTATTGCCGTACGACATCGCGCAGGTAATTGCGCATATGCGTTGTGAGATGGGGATTGAACCCTACAAGGACGGCCCCAGCGTTATTCCTTGCAGGTGCGTGTGCGTAGGTGGGTATTCCGAAGCTGAAGCTCCATTCAAGGAAATCTCCACGAAGACCGTCATCGTCGTTATTCTTGGTGGGGGCGAGAGCCATATCGATACAATCGTGATTTGTGGAACAACCCACTGAGGGGTTCTGCCTTCCCTGTAAGTGCGCGGAGGATTGATGGTTACGATTGGGTAAGGATCTACACGAGATGCATGCAGAATGCCGTTGTTCATAATGCTGCGTAGGTGGCTTATCGATAGATGCTCGTTTAGTGCGCATGGCGGCAAGAGATGGGATTCTCGACAGGCATAGTTTACGTCCTCGCTTAGAAAAGCCACTGGATGAAGGTATTGGGTGAGATATCGTGCCTAGTCAAGCATCCCCAGGCGCGCGCGTCTGTTCGCACTGCTGCGCTCTCTGCAATTCATCTGATGTGAATCCCGGATGCACCGGAAAGGATTGTGACGAAGAAAGGAATTGGGTGATCCAAGTCAGGCGCAGTCGCTTACGCTCCAGCGCTTCCTTGTCAATGCGGCATTCTAGAAGCCCGTATTTTAGATTGGGTACATGCCGTATCTGCCGTGTCACATTTTGCCTGTCACTGCGTGCGAAGAATCGAAGGGACCTGGTCAATCTTCTCAGCCGCATTCGTGCTACAACGTATACGCTTCTTCGCCCGGCAACGTGCATCGGAAAGCCGGATGACAGCTGCTTAGCCTTTCGGACGCAGCCGTCAACGTTTTCGAGTCGCCACAATATATATGCGATAATCAATCGAAATCGCGAGGCCTTGGCGTCGGCTCCAGCGCGGTCAATAGTTTTGCATGCATGCGTTGTGCATCGGGGTTGGAATCCTGATGTTCGTTTACCCATGCAGGTTGCGTCAGACACCATGGGCACATACTGTACATCGTCGCAGCGAGCAGATCTGGGAGATCCAATCAATTGCATGCCATGCGCAAAACGTGCGTGTAGTCTACTCGCAGTTGAACTTGCTTCAGTAAGCCCTGGTCCAGCAGCGCACAGTGGTTGATCACTGTCCACTGATCGTAAATGGGCTGACTCCCACCCACCAGATAGGCTCTGAGGTTGCTTGTAAGTTAATGTTCAGTTTTGCGATGAGGCATCTGGAACTGCAAAGTTAGTGGGCTTATATGGCATTGAATGATCGCTGTGTGTGAGTGCTTCACAACCTTTGAATGGAGCAACGAGATGTGCACTTTTGGCCTAACAACGCTTGCTGCGTTTGGCGACGAAATTCCTTTGAGTAACTGCAGCGAGACTACCTCTTTCTTGCTTTGACTTCCGGTGATGCCTAACAAAGTCCAATGACAAAAGCTTTTCGGTTAGAGCAACGACCCCCTGAAGTCCAAGAATAGGGCAGAGGTGCGACCTCAGCGAATGGCCTGCGTGATGCAAAGCGCGTGGCATAGCGTGGAAGCGCGGCTGTGGACAGGCAGCATCGTGCGAGCAGCGCCTGAAAAGCACGCAACGTGCTCATCGGCGGGTGCAACGCGGACCACTGTGGCTCGGTGCTAGTGATGGCATACTATTTGAGGGCGTCTTCGCGCCGATGCAGGCCATCGCTCGATGGTCATTGCTCAGTGTCTCCGAAAGGTACCTAGCTTTCAAGATTCACATCCTGGTCTCGGTCGGAACTTCGCGCCGCTAGTTTTTTCATGTTGCTGCGGCCGAGAACCCCCATGGTCGAGTTCTCACATAGGGATAGTCTTGCTGATGAGTTTCGAAAGATGATTGAAACTTGTGATCTGACTCAAGCTCTGTTCCTACACAGTATAGCAGCGGAGGAGTTCCACGTTTACGGCGTCGCGTCTGTTTCGACCACGGCCCTGTTTTGGGGAACGAACAGCCACATAAAACGTGGCGTCCTGGCACTAGTAGAACAAGAGTTTAATTCCCACCAGGAAGCATTGGCGAGTCCGGCCAAGCTTGCTTGTGAGTTTCCGTGTCCACAACTTGTTCCACTACCGTGCCGCTATCGATACAGGCCTAGTTTAGCGCGCTCCGCATGTTCACGCCGTTGGGGAGGTTTACTGCGAGCGCGGCCACGGTCGAAGAATGCCAGCTTGCCAGATGTACCAGGAAATCCGGCTATATCGAAAGTCTCACGTCGGAGATGCTTCATGCTGATGTACGTCCATGTAGACTACTTTGTAGACTAGAGGAAACCGTACCGTCAGCATGTTAGTGTTCCAGGTTTGGGTTGCACACGGCAGGGGATGTGCGTGGCACACCCGGCCCCTGCGTCCGTCAAGGCCCTGCCGCCCTATGGACGGGACTATCCCAGTCATGCGTTGACGCCGCTAACGGCATGGGGCAACGGGGCTGACGGAGAGTCGCACGCAATTCGTGACCCCCATCTGGAGACCTCCTTTTTCGGCGGATTTGGGCCCGTAGCGGCTAGTCGTGGTGTGTTATTGGGAAGTTGCAGAATTAGATGGACCCGAGCACGGCGTAAACCTTCGCGAATGCCACCGGCCGTCTGCTGTGTTACGTACGATACACGTTCAGGGGCGACGTACCTTTGCCACGCGGAGGCCGCCTAGTCAAACCTTCCACGCGGCGTGCGAAAATTTGGTCATGGTGTTGTACTGTGTGGCATCGTTTCCTGTCCGTCTTGCGGGGTCAAGGGTCTCCCCTAGGAGATATCGATGGTAGGCGTCCCTGACGAGCACCAAGGATCCGTTGCCCTGAGCCAAAATATGACGCATTGGCATGACAGGCCAGAGCCCGAAAGGTTGGCACGCTAGTAGACTGGTGCCGAGTGGGCGCTAATGTGCAGAAACTTTGGAAAGGTACATCGGTACCTCGATGGCCGCAGGCGTGCTGCAGCATACGTAGCGACGACGCGCTGTCTTCGGGCGGCCAATGTGGGCACGTAGGGCCAGCACGATTGGAAGGGTCCGGCGTTTGACGCCTAGGAGCTGAGCGCTATTGCCTTGTTTCATGCGCTGAAGTCAGCAACGGCTCGTCTAACAATGCACTTCTAGGCTAGAGAGCTCCTCCGGCCCGCTCCCGGTGATTGCTTCGGGTGGCTTGCAATGAGGGCGTTGCCACAAACCCAACTCTGCCGATCGAAAAACGTGCAACATCCACCTTGGCTGTGCGGAGGCTCAGCAGCAGTAACTCTGGTTGCACGGGGCTCCAAGGAAGCAAATTTTACCTAACCTTTTTACCCCTGCAGTTGTAGTCTGCAGTCATGTTGCGTTGCGGGGTTGTTGCATAGGCGTTGGTGCTGGAGGACGGATGAATATTCCAGAATATCCGGACATGGAGAATTCCCTCAACAGCCTACTCTAGCATGCTGAAGCTATGCACATCTTCTGTGGGACGGAGGTTCCGTACATCCAGAGTACCCGCCGGGATCGCCAGATCTCAGCACGTGCTTGACGCAATGAGTGTCCGAACGCGAACCCAATGGTACGACAAAGTAACTCATGATGCTCAACCAGCCTTATGGACGACTAGAGCGGCCAGAACAAGAGCGGCTGGTAGGGTGAAATTGCTGCACTGTTCGCTTCTGGCCGAAGCGCTATGAACTCATACATCGCCCCGGCTCGCTTCACGATCCTTGTCAGATGCGGTGAGTTCGGCGACGCCACGGATGCCTAGCTCGGGTCTTGTTCTCGATCTGACGCTGTAGCTGAAGACCTAACTATTGAATTTTTGCGGAGGGAATTCACCGGAACGTGCGTTCCGATGGTCGTGGCTTGCTGGCACGATGTCGTCGACAAGAGCCCAGATTCGCGAAGGTAGATCACACACAAGCTCCCCTGAGGCCTCTCCACGCTTATAGGCAGCTGCCCTCGACCCGGATACTGGGCAGCCTTTTCGCCGCCACACACTCGTTTGCTCGATTGGACTTTATCCAGGATGACGCCTAACCCTCGACCCCCTCGGATTAACATCCAAGGCGATTATCATAGTGAAAAGAAAGGGTCCGCATCGAGTGCCCAATCTGGGTCCGGTAACTCGTTTGGTAGCCTAGATGTCGTTATCCCTGCCCATCTGCTCCAAACTGCGACGAACACGGTCTCCAAGCGCGATGAGGGCGAAGTACCCAACTGGGGGCCTCAGAGGCAGCTCAGTGTACGGCAGAATCCCATATTCAGACAGCTATCCGCCGCTGTCCGTCCTCCTCGACGACCGGCTGCGATACAAAGGTCTTCGACAGCTCCAAGCGTGAGGTCCTCTGCGGCACCTTCGCGTGTGGTATCTCGAGCAAATAGCACTACAGGGAGCCCAAGGACATCATTGCCGAACGAGGCGAAGCCTCGTGTGGTGAAGAGACCAGAGGCGATAAATACAAGAAAGAGTTGGAGGTTATCCTATACGCCTGGGGACCTCGAGAAGCTGGCCATTAGTCCAAGAGCGTCACGAGCAGGTTCTCCAGCTTCAGAGACTTTTCCCGTAACCGAGCACGCCTCATACGACTTCGGGAAACGACCTGTCTCGAATCCGTTCGGCGATAAACATGTCGACAAATCTGCTAACGCCTCTCGACGTTCTTCGTTCGGTGAGGCCATCAACCCTTTCCTTTCACGGAACAACTCGTCATCATCGATCGACCAGCACGCCCGCCCCGAAGCGGCCTATGCCCCCCGGGACGCACGAGAACGAAGCAATACACTCGAGACCATTGTCAATGCCATCGTCCCTGATGCCCTGCAGAAGAAGCTGACGAACAACACCACTAACACCGGCGGCTTAGCTCGGCACAGCAGTATGAGGAAGACGTTCGAGAACGCCAAATTGCGCGGGCAGGAACTGCAGCGGAATAAATACGCCATGGTGGCCTTCGAATGGGGCATCTATCTCTTCCTCTTATGTTTCATATACTTTGTCTTGATTGGTATACCCTTGTGGAATGGCGCTGTCTGGTGGTTGTACTGGGTGGTCGCTAATAAGTTTGTCTTCACTGGTGGTTTCAGTATCACCCTTGGTATTGGTTTCTTGTGAGTAGCTTGTCCCTTCGTCAATTCCGTCGCTAACAAGGTTTTAGCTACGCCTTCGCGCCTCTCCTTATCATGTTCGAGAAGGATCCTGACCCAGTGGAGATTACCGCCGAAACGAAGATTCAGGAAAACGTCAAGGACACCGCGCTCTTGATTCCTTGCTACAAGTCCGCCAACCTCATCGCAGCAACGCTCGAAGCCGCACTAAAGATCTTCCCGGCCTCGCACATCTACGTGCTGGCAAACGGCAACAGCCCAACGCCGCTCGATAACACCGAGGAGATATGTCGCCCGTATGGTGTTAACCACATCTGGTCTCCTGTGGGATCCAAGATCGTCGCGCAGTTTGTGGGTTGTTACGCAGCCAAGGCTTTTAAGAACGTGTTGTTGATCGACGACGACTGTGCACTACCGCCTGATTTCCCCGTTGTTACCGAGCGTTTGAAAGGCAACGTGATGTGTCTCGGATACACCATTAAGAGTGTAGGACCCAACTCTTCCAAAGGCAACTACTGCCAGCAGGCACAGGATCTCGAGTATAAGCTCAGCGGTCTTCAGCGAGACTTTGCAGGTCGCGTCGGTTCAGCCACCTTCCCTCACGGTGCCATCGCGCTGTGGGACCGCGAGCTACTCGTTAAGACATTCCACGAACACCCCGGCTTCAGTGTCTCCGAAGATTGGTTCTTTGGCCACGTCGCGCGCAAGCTCGGTTCTAGGATCACGATGTGCTCTCAGGTCTTTGTCGAAACCGAAACCCCAACGTCTGTTTTCTTCTCTAGCGGCGGTTCGCGTGGCGGGTTCGGTGAGATGACCATCTTTAGTCAACGATTCAAACGCTGGAACTTCTTCTTCGTCAACGGCATGTGGTTCAACCTCGCCTATATCTTCGGCAGCTGGAAGCTCGGCTGGTGGGAGATTGGCGCCAAAATTTTCGTTTTCCAGGAGGTGTACGAGACCCTTTTGTATTTGCTGACTCCATTCATTTTGCCTATTTCCTTTTATGTTCGACCATCTTTTTGCGGCATTTTGCTTGGAGCCACCATCGTTATGTATTTCGTCAACACCATCATCTTCAACGAGATCCACCTGCGCCGCAAGAAGGAGCGCATTGGTTGGTTCACGGTCTACGTCTACTATCTCCCGTACAAGTTCGTCCTGACGGGCATCAACGTGGCGAGTTGCTACTGGTAAGTCTACTGCATCGCTTCTCCAGGATGACCGACTAACATGGTGACAGGTCGCTGTACAAGTACGCTCGATACTTCGCGAAGAGACATCCCAGGGTCGTCGAAGATGAGAAGGCGGTTGAAGTCGTCGTTAGACTCGAGGAGGACGCATACGCAGCGGAAGCCGGAGGCCTTGGTCGCAGTCTTACCGTCCGCAAGGTTGCCGAAATACCTGCTGGCCGGACATCCTTGTCTGAGGAGAGCGAGGGAACGGCCGTGCAGACAAGGGCGAACACACCTCAGATCGGATTGAACCTGCATTCGGATGCGTCTTTCTATGAGCCATACTATCACCAAGATGAGCTCGACAGCGCTGGATCTGGTGCTAGCACCCCTGCTAGAGGTCTAATGGGTGGCTATCATGCGGTCGGCTACGCACCCACCAGCCAAGCCAGTACTCCAAACAATCGTTCCTATGCAACGAGTGTGAACAGCGACTACTCCATGTGGGATAACGGCAGAGTGAGCGAGACCCGGTGGATCTGAGGTGGAGCTGGCCAGGGTTGGTTGTTTGCCTAAAAGCAGTAATCTATAATACACATGTGCATATACCCAACGACAAAATAGAACACGTACGCCTTCCCATTGCGTCTTTGCATAATTGTTGAAACGTGATGTAGACAGACTTGACGAGCATTCGGGAGAGGAGAGATACCAGTCACTTATGAAGCTTTCAGCTGCTTCTTATCAGCCATCGCACTAGTCCAAAAACAATACAATCACGTGATGTTATCTCTTCCCCCGGTAAATGCTATCTTTGCAGATAATCAATACATCATTCATTGAGATAGACGTGCAGAAATTATATCGATTTACAAACACCCCTGTCTAGTCCAGGGCTCGGGCAATTTCACATAAGAAATGCGTCGACAACCATAGGTGCCCACGCGCAACACCCGTCCAACACTGCATCACAGGAGGAGTACATGCGGTGGTGCAACAAAGACGCAGCGTGAATATGTACACCAAAAATTCAAAACCAACAGCAGTAAATAAATCTGGAAGTTCTACCATCGGTGGTATGCCATGTCTTTCACTGTGTCACATCAGATAGTTCGCTCAGCCTAGCCCCAAGACCATCATCCATGTACACGCGGGTAGTAACAAGGGATGTGCCTGGGGCCGATCTCCGTATCTTCGATATCTGGGACTCGGCACTACCCGCCCTCGACCCTTGCTTCCGAGTACCGCGTGTCCACATCCGTCGACTCAGTGTCCCAATCAAAGTCCGTAACCCACGTATCCGTATCCTCATTACGGAAACTCTTAAATTCAACCTTTGTTTCCAGCCGTGCCACCCTGGCCCATCTTGCCCGTAAGAATTACAGCCAAAGACGTGGACGTAAGGTTCGTCTGGGGATGCAAACCCAATTTTTCACTACCAATCTACAGCGACTGTGATCCCGAGCCGAGGTCACCGTTATCAGTAGTAGTGCATAGCGGAATACTTCGTATGAGTCTGTCTCACCACCTGAAATGAAATTGCGAGACGTATTTGGGAGATTTCTTGTTTACAAACGCAACCGTTATCGTGCTCCGGCTCCACGGGAAATGAAGGGCCGCCGATTAGACCCTTAATTTCTGCCACAATGAATTTTTGGTTCTCAACTTTGTCTCCTGGGAAGTGTCCTGGCAGACCGCTGGCTTTCTTCGGATGATAGAGCGAACAGTGATATGTTTCGGTAGGTATGGAAGGTACCTAGCTAGGCTTACTCATGTTCGGCGTCTTCTTGAAGCCGTTCGATTTCGAAGTTGTTGGCGATGTTAGGGTCGGTCATGGGGGTTACGCTTTGGTTGCTCGCCTGTACTATTCCGGAAGGCGCTTCACTGGTAACTGGTAGCTTCGTCCGATCAGCGTCGGTACGCGGAAGTGCGGTTGTTGTTGATCTCGTCCCCATACTCGTCACGTTCTATGCAGCGAACCTTGGAAGTGCGTTGCGCGGCTGGTCATTACCCTAATCGTCCTGCAGCCCTTCCACCGTAGAACACTTATCACAAGGATGGGTCACATACTGCAACAGATTAAACAAGCTTTGTTTTAATCTGAATGTGACCAATCATAAATGGATGATTGAGCCTGAAATATATTAGCGCAATGATAACAAAAAACCAGAGATCTTACACAATTTTGACCATGCCACATACATACATGTGCAGATTGGGTGTTTCTCCCTTCCTGAATTACAGCCTGAATGTAGTCGGTTGTGATTACCATCGTTGAACTCCCATGTAGGTAGCTGTGTAGTTTCTTCTTTTTATAGTTGACAAAGACACTCACTTCTTATGTGGAAGATAAGGATATGTAAGTGGTCAGAACAAAATCCCTTGTTGCACGCATTATCGATGGAACGTCTGTCACCACCGCGCACTGCGAATAGCCAAAAGAGCATGATCAGCTGTCTGGTTGCCATCTACATCTCACTCGAGCTTACAGCGCCGCTAAGCAAACGCCCGAGGACGACGCCGTTGCACTCTTCATCTCCTACCGTGACGTCACCCAGTTACCCGCGCAGTAAGAACGAGGCCCTAGGAATGAATAGTGGAAAGCCGTTCGAGAGACACGGTTTTCGCTTTCAAATTATACCTAGATATCCACAATGCCGATGTCAGAGGTCCCGTTTACCCTCTTCCGCCTTCTGGAAGCTGACGACCGAGGCGTGAGTCTTTAGCTCTGTCGATGTGCCTTGACCATCAATGATATACTGGAAAAGGGGGTTTCGAGGAACTGAGTACTTCATCTACCCTTTCTGGCTTGCATCTGACGACTATGCGGAGCGCCTAGCAGACCCAAAGACAAAGTCGCGCAAGGCTAAAAGCCCCGATACCGCTTTCGTACAAAGTCACCGTTCATCGGAGAGAAGGCAGAAGATGTTACGGAGTGTCTGCGCAAGAAACCACCAGAGGCCGGCATCGATGGCCACTTCTTCGCCTTTCTGGACAAGACTTGTGTGAGTGGAGAAATCGTGATATGTCGGATCGGCCGAATGGACTTGAAGGATCCAAATGACTTGAACTACATTCATGGGATCGTAGAGATGTTAGCATAACAGCAGGGTACTATAAAAATCGGAGCTTGGGAAGAGAAGGAGTCACGTGGACAGGCTGAGATAGAGTATTGAGCGCATGCAGCTGGGTTCATGTGCTTTCGACCGACCTAAACTCCACGGTACTTTCTATTTCATTTGCATCGCAGTCGCCTCAGTGCGAAATGCCTCTCGCTTTGGAACTACTCCCTCTCCGTTCCTGCAGCTGTAGCCTCGCCGTTGGCCGCAATGTTGATCCCGTTTTCTCCTCCAACGGACTTGCTTCCATCGGAACCTTGAGTGATTCCCAGGTTTCCACCGAGATTCGCCGCGCTGCCATCCGTGTTTAGTGTAATGCCAGCCTCTTCTGAGAAGCGCTCCGACTCCTCGGTAGCCTTGACGCCATTGGACTTTTCCTGTCCAGCACCAGCCTCACCCTTTGCCTCAGCCGCCTCACCTTTAGCCTCTGCCGCGGCGGCTTCGCCTTCAGCACGTCCAGGTTGGTTTTCAGTTCCTGGTCCGGCTCCGCTTGCAGATTCTGCGGGAGCGGGTGCCTTGGGCTCTTCAGCTGGTGCTTCTGGCTCATTAGCGGGTGCCTTCGCTTCTTCAGCTGGCGCTTTTGTCTCGGCAGCTGGTCGGCTCTCAGCAGGAGTGGCAGGCGACTCTTTTGCAGCTGTAGCTTCGGTAGCCGTACCATTTCCTCCTGGCTTCGAGGCCTCGACTATGACGGTCTCCTTCGCTGCAGCGGGTGCTGCTTCGGCTGCTGTTGCATTTGCGGCCACGGCCTCTCCCGACTTCGAAGCTTCGACAGTGACAGTTGGCTTTGCTTCGGCCGCTGTCGCTGGCTCCTCACCTGCTGCGGCTGTTTCTTTGGGTGCCTCTGCTGATGCAGCCGTTGCGTTTCCTCCTGATTTGCCGGCTTCAACGGTAATAGTTGACTTTGCTGGTGCTGCCTCGGCTGCGGGCGCGCCTTCAGCTGGCTTCGGAGCGGCGGTTTCCTTGGGCGCTGCTTCGGCTTCTGGAGCGCCTTCAGCAGGCTTCTCAGCTTTAGCGGCAGTCTCTTTAGGTGCCGCCTCAGCTTCCGGAGCACCCTCTGCGGGCTTCGCACCTTCAGCGGCAGGCTTAGACTCTTGTGCTGCTTGTCCTTCTGCCGGCGTTGCTCCCTCTGCTTGTCTTTGTTCCTCAGCAGTGCCTGCTCCCTCAGCCTGACCTTGTTGACCCTGGCCGTTGTTCTGACCTCCAGGCAAGTTGAGGCCATTGCCTGAGATGCCACCATTGGAGCCACCGAGGGTCAATCCGCCAATAGTCAGACCGCCTCCATTTCCTCCTTGGGTCTGTCCGCCAGCTGCGCCTTCAGTTGCGTTGCCTCCTCCGCCGAGCTTCAGACCTCCAACCTCGATCTGACGGCGACCAAGTGCGTTAGCTCGGGCAGACAGCGAACCCTGAAGAACTGTTAGCACCTGTATTTGTAGTCGGAGCGGAAGGGGAAGCTTGTTTATTTGATCTCTTGGTGGCTTAGCCTAAGGGGATGGAATACGTACCGTCCACCTACGCGACGGAGTATTAGCAACCGCGACATTAGTAAAGGCTAGAATAGCAACGGCTACTTGTGTATTGAGCCTCATATTGCAGTAAGAGTAAGAATCGAAAGTGTACTAAAATGATACCTGTCCTGCAGACCAAGAATTGAATGAAAGTGACAAGAAGAGGAAGAAGCTTCAAGCTCCTAGTAATTAGATAGAGGATAAGAAGTGACGAAGGCACAGGTTCTAAGAGGACTATAGCATAGCTTTTGAGCGGCGCCGCAGGCCTAGAATGCTTCTTACTGGACCATGCATTGCGCAACGCATACAGAACGACTTGGCAACCTTGACGTTGACTAGAAGATGCTAAGACTCCGACGCACGAATAGAAGCATTCTGTTTGAGCCGCGGTGGAGATCTTGGCGTAGCGGAATGGTTGCAGACACGGGGAAACGGCTTGGCGTTTGATCGGCCCGTGACAACGAGGAGCAAAGAAGCAACGTACGGGGAATGAAACTCGGATGATGTCTATCCAGATTCTAGGCGTCTGGAAATAGTTGGTTGTTTGTATGGAATGATGGAGTTGCAATCGCGTCAATCGCTTGGCCACGACTGCGGTAAACATGGACGCCGGGCTGATGGCTTCGGAACTGTGACGAAGAAACGTACTGGGACACCTGCGATCCATCTGAGGTACAACAGCGTGAGCTGTTGACCCCGGAGGCTCTTAAATAGACGCCATTGTGATGAAGTGGATGGGAGGGTACAGACGCTCCTCGCTCGCATGCGCACGTTTGTGCCCGACGGTCGTAACTTCAACGTGATGCGTTATCGCGAAGCAACGTATTTACGTTCCACATACTGCAGATCGGGCGAGGGAACAGTGTGAGTCTACAGAGTAATAGAGGCATTCCGGAAACGGATGAACAAACGTGAAGTAAAAGTGGGAGAGCTGCCGATGCGTAGGCGCTAGTATTTATTAGTAAGCGAGCACCTCAACACCACCCTTCATTCTATAACTCAGTCCACTGCTCCTCGCATAATTGAACTCCGAACCACCAAGTTTCTCAAGATACGATGGGCGGGTCTGAATTTGTGCCTTCATCGCTCTAGATAGCACTCGCTCTTGAAGAGATGGACAAGGGAGCAACTGCAATTTGGCAAATCACAGAGGAGTCAGATGACATATGTTACATCCAGGACGCAGAGTAAATGGGCTGGCAGTAACATGTGTGCGCTGGGAACATTGATACTGTAACGCTAAGCATACGTGATGGGCCGAGATGGTTCACTTTCACCGCCCTCGCACCTTCCTCGTCACCTTGGACACGCTCGTGCCTTCCTCGCAACGCGTCCCACACTACGCACGGACCTGTTCAAGCTGCACTTCATAGCTTTTGTCAGTCGTTGACCTTGACACCTTCTCTAACCTTGAATTGCTTTACGCGCGACACCAGACGTACTTGACGCACCATGGCGGGTTCGATTTGCGGCGAGAAGATAACTCCAGGAGATGACGACGACAGCAGGAGAGCGGAGCTCGCAAGAATGCTCGCTGAAAATGAAGACGACTGGTTCAGGATCAAAGCCCGCAGCGCAGACCGTTCAGGTGGATCCAGCCCCACGGTCGCAGCAGGAGGTGACGAGGAGGTCCTGCAATTTGAGCCAGCGAAGATCAACACCACTCTTATGGATACACCTGGACTATCTTTGGTGGTTCCCAATGAGGTCCAGGAACTTCGTGCTGAGAAGGAGCAGTTGAACATCGAGCTTGATCAAGTCAAAAAGCAGCTTGCGTCCAAGACATTGGCACACGACGAGGCCCTAACACAGATCAAGCTGCAGGGTGAGCAGCTGGAAACGAAAAGGCTTGCGCATGAAGAGGCTCTCCAGCAAGTCTCAAACCTCCAAGACAATGTCCTTGCTCGCGATGCAATAAAGGAGGCTTCGGACTACAAAATTAAGCAGCTCACAGGGGGAACAAGCTTTATGGACCGCCTGGACCGCCTTTACAATGAAAAGGACAAGGACAAGGACCAAATTCAGCGATTGTTAGAAGAGCGTCTTAGCCTCTGTGAGGACCTGCGTCGCAAGGGCGAGACAACTACACAGTTGCAGAAGCAAGTGTTCCAATTCAAAAAGCAGCTCGGCTCACTTCAGCTTCAACTTGGCTCTAGGAAGGCAGTGGAATCGCAACTGATTGACAAGTGTGCCGAAGTCGATTCTCTCAAGTACACTCTGGCAAACCTGAATACTCAGAAGGGCGCACAGTCTGTCGGGCTCAGCACCGTTCGCACCGAGCTCAAGGATGCTCTTAATGCCAACCAAACCCAGAGCAAAGCGATCACGGCCCTGGAACCCCATGTTGCCGCTCGATGCGATAAGCAGAAGATGTGGGAGCTTAAGCGCGATATCGCTTTCTACATCACGCATCTCGACCTAGCAAACAACCGCTGCCGGGTCTTCAGCTGTGCGCACGTCAGTCTATTCAGCCTCCCCAAGCGCAACAAGTCTACTCTTCAGAGAGATGCACGTGTTATTGCAGGCGAATTCTTTAGGGACTGGGCTAATGATAAGCAATTCATGGACCAGTATCATTTTCAGCGTCAATACGTTATCGACCATCATCGAGCGCACGAGCGTTCCGCCTCGGGACGAGGTGCACATTCAGGCACGATCAAGAATATCCGTGAGTGCTCATCATCTGATTTACTGACCTCTCACTAACACCAACAGTCACTCAGGTTGACGGTGGCCGGAACGTGTCGCTCGAGTATAACTAGGGTAACAGAGGTTGTTGCATGTAGCTGAATTTTGAGGGCGTTCGGATGGATTCAACAAGCTCAGGCACGTCAAGCTCGTATGGCTATCCAGATCAATTACCAAATTTCAACATCATCCCTCAGCAAAGTGCCTCTCAACATGAAACGCCACCGCCCTCTCGTCCCCCTCAAATTCTCCACAAACAGGACACACCGCAAGCTCTCCACCATCTCCATCCCTACCACTCGCCCCTATACTCTCCGCATGCCTCCTATCCGCCTCTTCTAACTGTACAAAAAGCCCCAAATCCTTCTGTCCCGCCCTTCCCTCATCATAAAAATACTCATCATCCTCCCTGATGTCTCTCTCATGCCTGTACCCCTACCACCTCCACCTCTCCCTCCTCTAAGTCCTGCACCCCAATCTCCCCATCCCTTCCCAAATTCGCACCAACCCCACCTGCTGCCTCTTCCCCAGCTAACCCATCAGCTTCGCTAACAAGCCGCTGTACGCGTCCCACCCGCCCATCTCTCAGCCTGACCTTCACACCTCGTGGATGATCACCCCTCGTGAGCAGTTCGGCCACTATGCCGCTAACTTGACGACCAGTGGGCTGGTCTACTTTTAACACAAGAGATACGGCGGTTCCAACAGTGATGGCTGAGAAGGCGGGAACGGAGCGATTCTCTGCGCCGAGGGGTTGGCGTTGGGGTCGTGGGGGACGAGGGCCACGAGAGCGGTTTGAAACGGAGTGGTTATTGGGGTGAGATGTTGATGGGGAGGAGGAGTGTGATTGCTGCTGAATGCCGCCGCGGGGTGGGCGAGGTTGGCGGTTGCGTCCTGGCATTTCCGGTAGCAACAATGGTGGTAACGATTGCCGGGCCACGTGCTATCTTTCTTCTTCCTACGCTCTTTTCTGTGGAAAGTGTGAAAGTGGGCGTGGTGAGATGAGTGACTAGGCGGTAGAGGTATGGGCAAAGTGGGAGATGGTCAACGTTGGTCAAACGTAATGCAATGCACAGTCTATAATGCAGGTATTTGGGAATAGTATATCTGGCCGTTTGATAAGGAGATTGGTGAAGGCATTGGAGCATTCGGGTGTGAAAAAGCTATTCCGAGTTTGGCGTAGCGAGCAATTACGTCATCCTCGTCCCTTCCTCAACCACCATCACCTTATGTGGAGCGAGCAGGAGTTTCGGGTGATTCAAAGGTCAACCACACTTGCATTTGCATGGCACCATGGGTATGAAGCTTCGGGGAACAGATACAATGAATGAATGCATCATCTTATCCTACTATGCGCCAAATACAGAGATCTCGTTCGTTTACACGATAAGATTGAGACGCCAACAATGCTGTGATGACAAGGCAGTCTATATCGAGCTTACGCTGTAGCTCTCTATGTGGAGCTTACGCTGTAGTAGCTCGCGCCGACCCATACTATCCCAACGCCGTGCATGATCCAATAAGAGTACGAAACCCAGTGGGAAAGGATTGCGGGTGTGCAAGTGTAGGTGCAGGATGCGGGATGCCCAGACTATGCACTTACCGTAAAATCTTCGAATGCAGAAGTATGCTGCGAGTACGCTCAGAAGGGGAATCCGCCCTGGAACTGCTGGCCTCTTCGGCCTCCACCGCCGGGCATACCGCCCATACCTCCGAAGGGGGGCTGCCGCCGCCGCCAGTCTGGAAGCTGAAGCCACCCCCACCCCCGCCACGGCCGCCGCCCATGCCTCCGAACATTTGCATGAGGATCTCTGGGTCTATTCCTCCTCCCATGCCGCCTCCGAAGCCACCGCCACCTCCGCCGAACATTTCGGAGGGGGTCGATTAGGTCCTCGCCAGAGTCATAGCGAGCACGCTTCTGCGGGTCGCTCAAAGTCTCGTGAGCTTCCTGGATCTCTTGGAACCTCTGGTGAGCGGTCTCATCATCGGGGTTCTTGTCGGGGTGGTGCACGATGGCGAGCTTGCGGTAGGCCTTCTTGATTTCGGAATCGCCAGCGTCCTTCTCAACGCCGAGGATCTTGTAGTAATCCTTTCGCTTGCTCTTCTTGAGCTCGAGCTCTGCGTTCCTGATCTCCTTGGCGATGCCGGGCTCTGAGGGGTTGGCCTCGTGGATGGCCTTGAGCTCCTTGATAGCCTCGTCCCAGTTACCCGACTCTCCCAATGCCTTTGCTCGGGTCTTCTTCGCTTTTGTGTAGCTGGGATCGAGCTCGAGAGCCTTGTCACAGTCCGTGATAGCGTTCGTATATTTCTTGAGCTTGGAGTAGCAGAGCGCTCGGTTCTGCAGGATCTTCGAGTTGGTCTGCTTGTTCGAAGGATCAATTTCCAGCGCCTTGGTGTAGGTGTCAACGGCTTCCTGGATGCGACCCGACTTGAACGCTGTGTTGCCCTCCTCCTTCGTCCGCTCGAGCTTCTGCACCATCCGCAGATATTTCAGCGCATCTTTGAAGTCAGGATCACAACTCAGCGCCTGCCTAAAGTGTTGGAGAGCCTTCTCGTTCTCGCCCTGGCCGTACAGCGCGCGACCTCGGAGCACCAGTGCGTCCGGATCCTGATTGTTCCGTCTGAGCAGGTTCATAGCCACGTTTTGTGCCTCACCAAGAGCGTTGATGTTGCCCATCCGCAAGTGTGCTTCTCCTCGCATGAGGTTCCATTTCCGCGGCCTGTCCACGCCAGAGCCTAGCCCTCGCTCAGCCTCGTTGAGTGCGTATATAATCATGGACCCCGCGCCGCCACTCTTCAATGTCTCCTCGGCTTGCTGCAGATGCCGCTGCATGGTGAGCGCAGGCTGCATGTCCTTCTGCGTAGCATGAACAGCGTTGAACGCCGCGATTGCCTCGTCAGGTCGCCCCAGACTGGTGTACACTCTGCCTAATCGGAGTCCGACCTTCATGTTGCCGGGCTCGAGTTCATCTGCCATCTTGCAGTCTTCCAAAGCTTCGACGAAACGGTTTGACGACATGTAAGCGGCGGCTCGGTTCGAGTAGTAGGTGGCATTCTGAGGGTCGGCCTCGATGGCTGCGCATGATTAGCGGTTATTTACAGGTTGTGCGAGGTAGCGCAGTGCGGCAGGATGCAGCACGCGACCCAGCGAGCGTGCGACGTTAGCACAACGCACCTTTCGAGTACTCTTTGATAGCGGCGGGATAGTCCTTGATCTTGAAGAATTTGTTCCCCGCAGCCTTGTACTCCTCCGCATCAATGGTGGGCGGCTGTGCAGGCGGAGATGACTCTTCTGGGGTTGCAGCATATTTGGCCGACTCCGGCGGCGGACTCGTCGTGTACCTATGTGGAGGTGGTGCTGGCCGTGATTCTTCGCCGTTGGACTTGGGGAATGCTGCCGGGGCCTGTGCGGCAGCCGGGCTGGAGGGCGTCGGCGAGGTTGCGGATTCCCGGTCTATATCCATGGGCTGGGGAGTAGGCTGGTCGGCCATAGCGGACATGGCAGACGAGGACAGCCTGCGGAGCTCGTCGGGCGGGAGGTTGAGCGGGTGTGAGTCGCGCTCGTATTTGGACGAGCGCTTGGACGAGTAGGAGCTAGAGCGGCGTTCGCGCTCACGCTCTTTGACGCGGGTGTGGGACTTTTTGTCAGGCGACGAGGAAGGGGTGCCTGGATTACTTTTTGTCGAGGGCTTGCCGGGGGGGAGTTTCGGGACGTCGGGCTTCGCTGATTTGGAAGACTTGCGGAAGAGAGAGGGAAGCACCATGAGAGGCGAGCGAACAAAGGTCAGGAGGCCCGGTGTAACTGAAATTTTAGTGCGCGCAGTCAAGGCAAAGTTTGGTTGAGAGCGGGCGCGGACCGACGAAAAACGGCACTGGGATCAAGGGAGTCTTCTAGCACCTTCTACCGCTCTCGCTCTCGCTAATCCGCAGAGACGTGCAGCCGCGGGCGCGTGCTCAGCTGGGGGCTGGGCTGCAGCTCGTCATAGCAGCCAGGGTAGGTTGTCGTGAGACAGGGAAGGAATCGTTCATTTAAAACGTCGTCGTTTCGACACTTCTTCACGTTGTATGCGTTTTATGCGTGGTGCTTGCGGACACACAGTCTACCATCACTGCGAGGCCAACACCCAAAAACCGTCAAGTATGTATACAAAAGACACCCGCACTCCGCCAACTCTTCACCCGCCTACAGGATGAAATGATCGTCTCGCGTATCCAATCCGCGTCCAGGAGGTTGGTGCTTGCAGATCAAAACATCGCCAACAGCAACTGCATAAACAACGGTTATTTCGCTCCAATCTGCGGTTGCATCTGCGGTTTTCCCGCTGCATTTGATGTGCTGTCCTATCGTTTGCCAGCCTCTTGATATTCCCATTGGAAATGCTGCAAATGTGTCGACACGTCGTCACTCTACAACCGCTGGCCGAAGGATGTTACGTGTTGATCAAACTGGCTTGTGAAATAGTGAGATGGCTTCCAGGCATGCAGCAATGTCGGTTAACAGAATGACAGGCGGCTGATGGCCTGTCAACCGCCGTTTCTGAATCAGGAAACCGGATATGCTTCTCCATTGGTGGAGACCCCATAGCGATCCCACAGTTCCAGTGGGGAACAGAAGTCCGCAGCAATCGTGATAGGAGTAACTTCATCTCTGTAGTAACGCAACCGCATCTGATAGCATACGCACGTCTCATAGGATGGTATATATAACGAAGGCCGCCGGGCCAGGCCACGGCATGGTGTGAGGCTCGCTGCAATCAGCGTGAGATCTTCGTTTGCGCCATGTTGAATTCTGTTCGTAATGATCAAGCCATCCATATGTGCGTCTGAGCAGCAGGAAGAAGGTCCGTGAAAACTGACGTGAACTTCCGCAGCCGGCGCTTTATCTAATCGCCACGTGCCAGAGCTCCGACCCGACCGGGGTCGCACCTGCCGTCCCTCCACTCACAGCTCCCCGCCATCACAGTACCTCACAGCTCCAGTCTCGCTCGGCCACTAATGCAACCTCGCAGAGCGTGCGCACACTTCTCGTGGTGATCGACAACAAGGAGACAACGTCTCCAGCAAGCTTCTCACTTCCATCCCAAGCTGGTCGTCACAAGGACAAGCGTGGCGCCCAACAAGCCAGGGCACCAGTGCTCCCCAGGCATTAACGACAAGATTGAGGTGATCTCGCAAACCACTTGAACCACCTGTCACCGCTCGCCCGCTCTTTTGCTCTTCCTCTTTCACTGCAGCGTGAAGCAACTCCTCCATCTTCGCATCGGTCAACGTTCCGTGCCTTGGGTCCGCGGCGGACCCTTCGCTACCTCTGGACCTCGCTCTGCTCGCTGCGGCCGCCGGACATACGGTACCAGCTATACTCTCACTCAAGTCCGCATCCCTTTGCCATGGGTCTGACGTACAACATCTACCTCAGTGGAGGCCGCATCTATGGGTGTAGGACCTGCAAAACGCACCTCTCCAACCACGACGATATCCTCAGTAGGGTAAGCTCGCCCAAACGTGTGGTGTATACGTTATTGACCATACTGAAATGTCCTCAGAACTTCCGCGGCCAGCATGGCAAGGCATACCTCTTCGATCAAGTGGTCAACATCACCGAATCGGACCCAAACGAGCGCAACATGACGACCGGGCGCCACGTCGTACGCGATATACACTGTCGACAATGCAAAGAGACTGTGGGCTGGAAGTATGATAAGGCGTACGAATCCAGCGAGAAGTACAAGGAGGGCAAGTTCATTCTCGAGGCGGAGCTTTTGTGTACGGTATCTTGAGCGGTCGGCATCCCGGCTATGCATCAGCACGCGGCCGATCTTCCAAGCATGCATTTATATGGAGTTTTTGGGTATGGGATAGGGTTAGGTCTAGGGCACGGCATGGAGTTCAAGTATGGGTCTGCAACTTGGGCGTCTGGCGCGGTTACGGCAGGCAACAGGATGGTTGCTTGGTATGTGGACACACCATACTTCTCTCCCAAATGTACGAGGCCTTCCAGATGGACAGCACTCTAAATAGCTTACACAGCAGGCAACATGATGAAACGTTCAACTCGCAGCTTCCGTGCTTCCTTGAGGCCTGCATCTACCCCGCTCAATCCGGCGGGGTGGAGCACAAGCTCTTCCGATAGTGACCCCACCCGATGCCGAAGCTTTATTTCTTGAACTGCTCAGCCTTATCCAAACACCATAGCAACTAACCCATACTTCTTCCTTTTAGTGCCTGAATATTCTAGACACTGCTGTGTAGCGTACCCCAGAGCTTCCCATGGCAAAAGACACAATGAAGGCCGTGGTCTTCAAAGGGCCACATAAAGTCGTCATCGAAGACCGCCCTATTCCTAAGATCAAAGACCAGACAGATATCATCGTAAAAGTGGATAAGGTGTGCTGGCTGCTCCCATGCTCTGATGCTTTGCTAATCGTTCTCAGACTGCACTATGCGGCAGGTGCGCTGGACGCATCTCGTAGAACTTCAATTGTTGATTTGTGGACAGCGAGCTTCACGTTTACCGCGGCCACCAGCCTTCAGGCACGGACTTCATCATGGGCCACGAGTTCACCGGCCACGTTGAAGAGGTGGGCTCCGAGGTCAAGAACTTCAAGAAAGGCGACCGCGTGGTCACCCCCTTCACTGTGTCGTGCGGAGAGTGCTTTTACTGCACTCGCAACTTTTCGTCTCGTTGCGCCAAAAGTCTTCTCTTCGGCTCAGTAGGTCTTGACGGAGGTCAAGCGGAGTTCGCGCGCATCCCCCTGGCCGACAGCACTGCAGTAAAAGCACCAGAGGGTATCAAAGACGAAGCACTGGTGCTCATGGCAGATATCTTCCCCACAGGCTGGTTCGCAGCGCACAATGCATTTAAAGAGACGCCCAAGGAGGACATCAGCGCCAGCACCGTGGTCCTGATCGGCTGCGGCCCAGTGGCCCTTTGCGCCCTTGTCAACCTTGTGGACTACAAGCCGAAGAACATCCTGGCCGTTGACTCGATCCAGTCACGCCTGGACCTGGCAAAGAGTCTGGGAGCCGAGCCATGGAACTTCCAGACTGACCGAGAGGGTCTGGACAAGCGAGTGAAAGAGCTCACCGACGGGAGAGGCGCAGATGTCGTGGTAGAGGTGGTCGGCCTCTCACCGGCGCTCAAGATGGGCTATGAATTGCTGCGACCTTGGGGCGTCATCTCGAGCGTGGGCGTGCACAATGGGGAGATTCCTTGGTGAGTCGAACCGCATGCGTGCAAGACACAGGTGGGCTAAGTGTCTAGGACGGGAAACCAAGCATACAACAAGAACCTACGCGTTCAGATGGGAAGATGCCCGGTTCGCAGCGTGTTCCCGCAAGCGCTGCAGTCACTGAAGAAGCACCAGGACAAGCTAGGGTATGTCTGTGAATGACTATCACGGAGCACGAGCTAAAGATGACAGATTCATGGCGGACAAGATCATGCCGCTGTCAGAGGCCGTCGAGGGCTACGACCTGTTCGACAAGATGAAGGCGCAGAAGGTGGTTTTCGAAGCGCAGAAGTAGGTTGGAGACAGGCCAATGACGGCTGCGGAGGAGAGCTGGGAGTTGTATGCAATTAAGTGAAGCGCAAGTTCGCCGCAATGCGACCGTTTGTGGCTCGTGCGGGAGCGGGGCGAGCTTGAGGGCCGGCACACCCACGCGTCGAGCTGGAGCTTGGGTGCGTTGGGGTCGAGCCGCTGGTTCACGCGGCGGCAAGATGACGCAGAAGTGTGCCTGCATCGCAGCGCGTCCGCCTGCCCGCCGTGGGACCTGCTGTATCTGCTGCCATTCCCACTGCCATTGCTTTCTCTGTATAATTTCCGGACGTCGCAGCTGCATTCCCCAGTCGATACGGCAAGACCTGCCCGCCTCGCTAAGAGAGCTAGCAACAAAGCAGCCGTCCCCGCCGCAATATTCGTGTTCGTCCTCTGCAACCTTCGTCACCTTACCTGAGCGTACCTTGGTCACTCAAATCCGCACCCACTCCCCTCCGTCTCCACTACCACCCTTCCTCTCTCCTCCCTCCCCTCGCCTGCGTTGCCTCACCGCACGCCTCTCCTCCCACCTGTCGATCCGCACCGACCACCTCTCCCCCCGCCACTTCCGCAACCACCTGTGAGTAGCGAGAGGCATCCATGCATCCTAGCAGCACGTCAACAACCCACTGACACTACACGCGCGACAATAGCAGAGCGCATCACACACGCGCCCACCACCCTCTCCTCCTTCTTCATCTTCCCCAACTCACTCTCCGGTAAGTGTCGCGTTGTTCTCCGCCACGCGTGTGGACGTCACTGACGGCGCCGCAGCACCACCCTCCCCCATCCTTAGATCATGTCTGCAGAGGAGTCCCAGCAGGCCGTCCAGGACCCCAGCCAGGTCGCCGAGTCTCTGCAGCGCCTGAGCGTCAACGAGGATGGCGACGTCCAACCGCGCACCGAGCAAGAGTATGCCGAGTCGCAGCTCACTCTTCGCGCCATTGTGTCGTCCAAGGAAGCTGGAGTCATCATAGGGAAGGCAGGCAAGAACGTTGCTGACCTCCGCGACGAGACTGGTGTGCGCGCAGGCGTCAGCAAGGTTGTCCAGGGCGTTCATGACCGCGTCTTGTCCGTCACCGGGCCGCTCTCTGGCATCTCCAAAGCATATGGCCTGGTCGCAAAGGGACTGCTCGAAGGAGCGCCCCAGATGGGCATGGGCGGCCTGCTTCGGAGTGACGGCACTCATCGTATGTTCAATGCGCTATTTTCCCCCTCCAGTGAATGTCTGCTAATTCACCCAGCCATCCGCCTGCTCATCTCGCACAACCAGATGGGCACCATCATCGGACGCCAGGGCCTGAAGATCAAGCAAATCCAGGATGCCTCCGGTGTGCGCATGGTTGCGCAGAAGGAGATGCTTCCCCAGTCCACGGAGCGCATTGTCGAAGTCCAGGGTTCCCCGCAAGGCATCGAGAAGGCTGTGTGGGAGATTGGCAAGTGCTTGATTGACGACCATGAGCGCGGCTACGGTACCGTGCTATACAACCCTGCTGTGAGGGTCCAGCCTGGCGTTGCTCCCTTGTCGTCCAATGGCATCAACAGCGGTGGACGCTCGTACAATCGCACTGGGCACGGTGCAGACTTTAGCGATTCGCCTCCTACCTACAGCCGACGATCCGGATCGGATGCTGCGAGTCGCCCACCGCCTCCGACGCACACCGAAGATGGTGAAGAGATGCAGACGCAGAACATCAGCATCCCCTCGGACATGGTTGGTTGCATTATCGGCCGCGGCGGCAGCAAGATTAGCGAGATCCGCAAGAGCTCTGGCGCGCGCATCTCGATCGCGAAGGCTCCCCATGATGAAACCGGCGAGCGCATGTTCACGATCACCGGAAGCGCCGGCGCCAATGAGAAGGCACTGTACCTCTTGTATGAGAACTTGGAGGCCGAGAAGATGCGTCGCAGCCAAGCTGCAGAATAGTCGCCCTGCGCATGTTGCTCCGTTGGAGATTGACGCTGGATGAGGACGAAGGCGCGTCGACCGCTTCTGAGCACATTGGGACCTTGTCATCATCGCCCTCATCGTCTGGTTGGCATTCTCTCGCCAAACAGGCCCCAAAAGCAAGGCTTTGCTTACTTTCTTCTGTCTGCCCTCTTTTACCTACTACTGATGGATACCAACGGCCGGGGCATTATTTTATTCTAATTCGAGGTTCAAGTGCAAATTGAGCGAGCTGGATTGTGTCAGTTACGACTTTAACGACTTACGGAAGATATCCAGGACTGCTGCCGGACGGTCTGCGTCAGGCAGGATTTCTTTGGCTGTTTGAAATGGCGCGGTGAAGACAGTGTACTCCTGCAAGGGAACACCTCTCTGTACTACTCTCCCTAAAACCCTCCTATATCTACGAGCACTCCTGAACTACTTCTTTCCGATATCCTATTATCTACTCCTGTCTCTGTCTATGCAGAAGTAAGCTGGCTGGCGAACCAGCCTGTCTGTAGTTGTAGAGTACGAATAGATGATCTCTACGTCAAAGTCAATATGTGTTCCACCGCCGTCATTGTTACGCTTTCTGCTGGTGACGGTATCTACCTATCACATCGGCGATGCATCCCTCTCGGAACATGGTTCGGAAATCGGAATGAGGGAGGCTGGGCCCGTGCGGCCCGCGGCTTAGTCGCCGTTGGAGCTTGATGCCACCTTTAACTTTTTGGGAGTAATATAAAGTGTCATTCTCCGCCTCTTTCTTGGGGTTTACTTCGATTTCATGTTTCCTTGGTGCTAAAACGAGAGTGATTCGCGTCGATTCGGAGAACCATTTCGCCTCGAAGATAGAAAAACAATTGCGACCGCGTCCACTGCATTGCGGATCATACCACAACACCGGTATTCCCAGTTTGTAGTTCAGAATGGCGCAACCATATGATGCCACACCAGTCAAGCGTACATCTTCCGAGACACATACGCAGAATGGCAACACAAATGGCTCAGCGCGTCGACGAGCGAGCGTTACGGAGCGGATAGAGAAGCGGTTGGAGGACGTTGCTGAATCGGCAGCTAGGGACCCCGAGGAGCAGAAGCAGTCGGGGCTGCTGGCATTGGCAATCTGTGTAGGCGGAATCTATGCAAGTTTGTAAGTGAGAATTCTCGCCGTTCAGTGCGAATTATGGCTAATGCGACACGCAGCTTGAGCTGGGCATACCTTCAGGAACGGATTACCACGACTAAATACGGACCGAATCAGTCCCGTTTCACATATTCCATCTTCCTAAACACCATTCAATCCGCCTTCGCAGCGTGCACCGGCGCCGTCTACCTCTTCGCATCCTCCCCGCGCGACCCCAAGACCGGCACCCGGAAGGTCCCACCTGTCTTCCCCTCGAAACAGATCCTCTTCCCGCTGCTCATCATCGCCGTCACATCCTCGCTTGCCTCTCCTTTTGGATACGCAAGTCTGAAGCACATCGACTATGTGACCTTCATCCTAGCCAAGAGCTGCAAGCTGCTCCCCGTCATGTTTCTCCACATGACCCTCTTCCAGAAGAGATACCCGTACTACAAGTACGCCGTGGTGATCACTGTCACCGCCGGCGTGGCCATGTTCACGCTCTACAACCCTTCCACCGCAAATAAAGCGAAGAAGGGCGTTTCCGCAGACGCTTCCAAAGTTCTAGGAATGTTCTTGTTGAGCATCAATTTGCTGTTCGACGGCTTGACCAACACGGTGCAAGACCAGATCTTCAGCACCTTCAAAGGCTTCACAGGCCCTCAGATGATGTGCGCGCAGAACATCATGAGCACGCTACTAACGGTGTCGTACCTCCTCTCCGCGCCGTACATCGCTGCCTCCCCCATTGGCGGCGCGGTCGGCCTCACTGCCACCTCTGGAAACGAATTCGCAGACGCAGTCAACTTCGTCACAACGTATCCGGCCGTCGGCTGGGACGTCCTCGCCTTCGCGGCCTGCGGCGCCATCGGTCAGGTCTTCATTTTCCACACGCTTGCACATTTCTCGTCGCTGTTGTTGGTCACTGTGACGGTGACGAGGAAGATGTTGACGATGCTGATGAGTGTTGTGCTCTTTGGGCACAAGGTCACAGGGATGCAATGGGCGGGCGTGGGGCTCGTGTTTGGCGGGATTGGCGCGGAGGCGTGGTATCAGCGGGTCGAGAAGAAGGCTAAGATGGGGGCGAAGAAGCGGGAGGCGGCGGCAAAGAAGCAGTAAACAGAATTAGGGGGTGATGTGGGATGAAAGGCGTTCTCTGGATTTGAATTTTGATGTGTTTTGTGGAGAAGAGAAAAGGTGGGAGCGGTATACCCAGGCGTGGAGATAGACTTATTCGATGAATACATTTGCGGTATGGCTTTCACGTTCGTAAGTTTCCTGCCAATACGTGATCTCTCATTACATCCTGATATCTTTGAGCGAAATGCAACGGTAATGACTGAAAGCATACCTTGGCGTACGCTGTTTTACCCAGGATAGAGATTAGGAAGACAAGAACCCTGGATTCGTGCATTGAGTATGGGAGGTTCTTGGAGGGAGAGGACGTGGGACAAGCAGTATCCAGACACGAAAGTTTAAATTCATGATATTAAAAACTTCTCTTTCATCCTGAATTCGCTATTCTCTTCCCCGTCGCGATATTAGGTCCAGGGTATAGGAATCTTGAAACGAGTGATGCTGACATAAGCTGCACCTGATCTGTTGCCTGATCGCTCTCAGTCCCGATCCATCAACAACTTTTCCCTTCATTGAGGGGTGTAACAATTGAGATTGGTGCATCTTTTCTTCTGTCTGTGCTGTTTGAGACGCAGCAACGTTCTTTGAAAGGTTACGGGAACTCGTCAACTAGACCTAGCCATTCGTGACTTCTCAGCTGCGTTCGAGGGGCTTGAAAAAGGGTGTTCCACTCGACCGCTCTTACAACCGTAGCATGGTGCACTCCCGACCTCAGGTCGCTACTCTATGGAGCCCTGTGAGGTGTCATGCACCGCGTCGCTCACTCTATGAATCCGCATATGCACCCAACAAATTCGATCATGAACACTTCTACCAGCATAGCACTGGCCGCTGGCTCTGGGATGAGAAGAAACAGCTAGCGGAGAGCTATAGACACTTCGATATCCCTGCTCTCAAGGAGATCGCGGCGCAAAGCGTTGGTGCGAAACGGTGCATTTCGATGGGCAAGATTGCAGAAGGTCATTCAAGCAGGGTCTTTCGATTGAGGATGGATAACGGGAAATACGCGTTTGCGAGGATCCTGTATGCGAATCTTGATCCGGAGTGCGCGGCTAGGGCGATCAATTCCGAGGTCGCGAGTATGGAGTTTGTAGGTTGTTGCCTCCGGTTTGGAATTGAAAGGCGTCCTGCTGATGGAGACGGTGCAGGCTAGAACGGTGCTTGGGGTGCCGACACCGAGGGTCTTGGACTGGAGCGGTACTCAGGAGAATGCGGTGGGGGCTGAGTATGTTCTTATGGAAGCAGCGACGGGAACGCCGCTCTGGAGGCTTTGGCCGAAGATGGATGTAAAGAGCAAATTGAGCGTTGTTGCTGAACTCATCGAGGTGGAGAAGAAGTTTCTCTCCGTGGCGTTCACGCGGTTCGTGTCCGTCGTCCTGCTTAACAACAAGAAATGCTCATGTACGACAGCTATGGGAATCTGTATATTGCACAAGATGCCTTTCCTGGCTGCGAGAAAGCTGAAGTAAAGGGACAAGTGGCGCAATTGATTAAAGACGAAGTCTCCAGAAGATTTGTGATCGGTCCGGTGGCAGCGCGGAGTTTTTGGCATCACGAGCGCGCATGCATGGAGATTGATCGGGGTCCTTGTAAGTCTGTACCATTGGAAGGGATGGTCAGTATTGAAATTTTGAATAGGGAAATCTCCACAGGACTATCTTCGAGCCATTGCTCGAAGGGAGATTGCGTGGACAGTGCGCCATGCAGATCCGAAGACCCAGCGGAGTGAGTCGCATCTACCATTCATTCTAGAGATGCCTCTAAGGGCGGAGCAAAAGGCCTAGACCAAATGCATGATCCCAAGGAAGGATATCCCAATGACGAAAATTCCTAGGCTGCGAAGTTAGTGTTGAGCTGACAGCATTTCTACCTCAGGCTTCTACAACGCACCTTTCACAATGCCAGAACCTCCAATGCAGCGAGACATCAGCAAACACATTGCTCACTACCTCAAGCTCCAAGATCTTTCCGAGACCCTACTACCCGAAGGAGAAAAAAGCCGCGCCACACTTTGGCACCCGAACCTCCGGACAGCAAACATATTCGTGAAAGACAACAAGATCACCGGCATTATCGACTGGAACGATGTCTGGGTTGGGCCGTTATTTCTGCAAGCAGAGTCTCCCTCGCTGGTAACTCATGTGGGCGAGATGAAGCTAAAACTTCCGGATGAAAACGAGACGATGGATGAGGTGGACCAGGGGTTTGCGCGCCGCCAGGTCGACGGGAGTATGGTAGCCCAAGCGTACCGCGAGATGCTTAGGAAACAGAGTCCGTTCTTAAGCTGCGTGCGCAACGTTCCGCACGCAAAGAACACCCAGCTAGTTATACACTTAGCGCAGAATACGTGGCACGGCGATGTCGTGCTTCTAAGGCAGGTGTTGATTCGCGTCGCAAGGCATTGGGGCGATATGCGCCCGGACATCCCCTGTCCCATATCTTTCACCGATGCGGAATTGGAAGAGCTCCAACCCTACGCCGAGGGCTGGAACCATACCGCAGACATTTATGAGGCGTTCCATACGTTCATGGGCGTACATAGGGATGGGTGGATCGAGGAGAGGAATTATGAGGTCGCGGTTGAATACTTGAAGGAGATTATTGAGAAGATAGATTATGGGGAGGAGGATACGCCTGAGGAGAGGGAGGATTTCATGGCGAAGTTGGGAAGGGTGGGCGGGGAATGACGCGGTGGGGGAACGTGTGAACGTAGGTCACGCATACGTGGGACAGGTACTCAGCTCAATTGTAACACTAGTTTGCCGCTCTGTGAAATCGAATGAGTCATGCACACATTCAGCTATTACACCTTGCATGCATATCATGCGCGATCTGAAGTAGAGATTGCATTATACGGTGGATTGTACCAGGATGCGAGAAGGGCAGTCAGTCATAACTAGCCTTTGATCTATCTTAGTAGGCCTTTGGAACAATTAGACGTGACTTTTAACTACCGAATTGACATCTTGCGATGAAGGTTATTCAGTACGTATTCCAGGCTGTAGAAACCCTCTGGGACTCAACGAGGACATTTACTTGGAGAGTAAGCTACATTAAAATCTGTCTTCTCGAAGGAATGTATTGAGGAAGTCATTCTAGAGATGGCTACAGGTGTATGTCATGCAGCTTGGCCATTCTGATAAGAAAGAGGAATCTACACTAGGAAAACCAGATCAATGTATTCTGGGAGCCTTGACCGTGTCCTGAACGTGAACTCTTCAGTCCTCCTCATTACTGTCCGATGACAAATCGTCGTTCCCGTCTTCATCTTCGTCCTCCTCCGTCATAGAGTGCTCCTCACGTACTGGACGCTTCGACTTCGACGAATGAAGTCTATCTTTCCTTTGACCCGGCCGTGCATCATCTCGAGATGGTGTTCTGTTTGGATACTGCTTCCTGGCAAGGGGCAGATGTGGATCATAGTCATCATCTCGCAGTTCTAGATCGCGAGCTGTCGTACTATCGTTGCCGCGCAGTTTCTCGATATATTCTTCAAAGTCTGACGCAGTCCTGGCAATCTTCTGGAAGTTTGCCTTTGTTAACTTGACTGTGTTCCACTTCTTCTTCCCAGTCGCAAGTGCTTCTTCAGGGGTCATGCCTTCGGCGCGGATCTTGGCGACCCTCTCATAATGGCCCAGCGCGATCGCGGTTTGAAACGCGTTGCGGATTTGGCGTCCGTTCCAAGTTACACCTGCTTGAGTGCACTTCTCGAAATGTCGCGTAGCAAAGTCGAGCAGAGCATCTTTGTCAAAGACAATCCTAATGGCAGTGGACTTGTTGTCAATTTCCAGACGATTCATAATGTTGCGCCACATGGTTTTGGTGGACTCGAGATCAATGCTTGGATATCGGAGAGAGATGTGTATTCGCGATTTGAATGCTTCGTCAAGCACACCTGGTCGATTGGTTGTGAGGAACAGAATTCCAGCGTAGTACTCTAGTTGTCGAAGAAACACTGAAAACCGTTAGAGCGCATTTGGTACGTGAAGCAAGGAACCACTGACCGGATACGAGAGCGTTCCGTTGAATACTGCGCCAATCTCTTTGAACAAGGAAAACGTCCGCCTCATCTAGGAGGAGGACACATCCCCACTTGTCTGCTCGCTGTGTATGTTGAAGCAAGCGTAATTCAACTTCCTGTGGGGTTGTTCCAATATCACCACATGTAATTGCGTACAGTGGCCTTCCTGTGTACGCTGCTATCGTCTCGGCCGTACTCGTCTTGCCGGATCCGGGCGGTCCATGCAAGAGGATGATCAAGCCTTGCCCCTTACCTCTGACCAGGTCTATCTGGGTTGGTTTGAAGTAATCCTTGCTCTGCTTGGTCTTCTCCCGTGCGCGCTGGATACCGGATGCATGATTATCCACGAGTGCAACTAGAAGATCTCGATTGCGTTGGTCTATGACCAGATCGTCGAATCCTGCCCGCCTGGCGCTATCCGATTCGCGATCCATCTCATTGACGAGCTCAATATCTAGGCGACCTAAATGTGATGCGGGTCAGTCGATGCACTGCTGTTGCCTCGTGGTAATATTCAGTAGTACTCACTCCACCGCCGTGTCTGGAAGACATATCCGAAAACCCAGGGAGGTAATAGGACCAGATGTTCCCAGGAGATTTTTTTCTCATCAGGCTTGAAACGCTCCAAGCTTGCTCGGTTCGTATCCATGAAATCTTCGTATCGTTTTACGTCTACCTCGTGGCCGCTGTAAACTCGGTAATTTGTCACGCCGGGCCAATTTTCCTCAACCTCTGCCGGATTCTGTTTACTCCTGAAGAACCTTCCAAATTGAGGCTTCTTCGCAGGATAGTCCTGGAAATAGGTATCGAAATCGACATATATGTCGCTTTCAATCTGTTCGTGGCGGTCCTCTAATTCCAAGGCAATGTTTCCGCCATCATAGCTCTTATGTCCCCCACCAAAAAGAACTTTCCTTCCTCGTTCTTCCGCTTTGCGTGTCATTACATCTCTATCGGGATGGAATTGTACTGGATATAACGGCAGGCTGGTGATTTCCCTCTCTCCTGCATATGGCCTTATACGCTTTAGCACGTCTACAGGCCCGCAGTACACCCCGTCAAAGGCCATTTTGTAGCAGTCAACCTTGAAAGTCGTCCAGACTCCAACACCAGAATATTGTTCTTTTTGTAACATTCCCTCGTCGTGGAGTTCAGCGACCTCTTCATATTCTATAAAAAAAGGTGGAGGGGGAAGATGAGGGGAAGGATTCTCCTTAGGGTCAAGCTTGCGTCCTGGGACCTGCCCACCAGTCACGGCAAAAACTTTGTACAGCTGGTCACGACCATGGGACTGAGAATATACCATGTCGCCTATTTGGTAGAGATGCCAGATATCCTGGAAGCGGATGCTCGACAATGTGCCCATCTTCACACGCTCTCGTAACTCAATCTCGTCCTTCAATTCGTTGGTGACGAATTCGAAAAAGCATTTGAGGTGAAGGTATTGCGTTTGAACCAAATCTCGTCGATCTGAGACAGGGATGACAGATGACATGTCATCTTGCTTCGCTCCAGTCTCCTCACGTTTTTCGTGTTCAGAGGTAGTGCCTTCTTCGACAGGCATTGATAAGAGCTCTCCTTCTCGCCCCGAAGAGCTCTTCAAGCTATTCGCAGTGGTGTGAAGCGCAGTCCCCGATGCGGGTCCGTTCAGCTCTTCTTCGAGTCGTGCGATTCGAGCTTTAACGTCCGGTAGGAACTGTAAGATCAACTGCATGAGAGTTTAGCCGTGGCAACAAGTTGATATAGGGTGGTTGAGTACCTTGTACGGCGGATTCAACCTTTACAGATTGCGAAGGTCAGTATGAGTGACATAGTTTATCTGCCTAAAACTTACATGATTGGATACGTCGCTGACGATATAGAGGTGATTATGAGGAGTTCCTCAAAAAGTACATCGGAATAGATGCAGATTCTTTGAAGATTCTTCAAAGGTCCGTTCTCATCGGAAGGCAGTTCCCCTTCATGATGAGACGGTGTACTCTTTGGGTCGCCAGGTTTTTGTACGTAGAAAGCTTGTATGATGGGCATGGGCCAACGTAGGTTATGATAAAGCGGCTTCCTCCAGTCCCGCATTGAAGCTCTCTCTACCTCGCATACATACTTCCTCTTGCTGTGAGATGTAAGTCAGCCAAATTGGACCAACAGCCGATTGTGCTGAACACACGTGACGATAACGATTGCTCGGATCAACGACTGCAAGGAAATTTAAAGGTCTTTGTGTGGGACGCACTGAAAATTACCTATGCTTTCTCCAGGATTTCGTTGAGGTATGTGATCGAGGAATTTGCCGACAAAAGGAAAGAACGTAGGCTGCGGCGGTTGAGCTGGGTCGGGCGACGGTTTGCTCAAGGTTTCCTCTTCTTGCGGTGATGGCGAAGATGCCTTGCTTGAGGCTTCCTCATCTTGCAGTAGGGGTGGAGGTACTTTGCTTGAGGTGGAATCTCCCTGTGGGGGCGTTACTGTACTGGTTGCACCTTCGAATCCTGCAACATCTTTATCCACGGGTTCAGGGCCTTCAGAGTCCTCCTTTGATTTAGCAAGAAGCGCATCCATGATCGATGTCAACTTCGTAAGGAGACCGGACAACGGAGAGAAGAGATAGCCCGAACTGACTGAATGGACAAGGCTGAAGTTCAGACGGTGTTGGTGCCTGGAGTTGGGCTGTATTTGACTCTTGCGGATTTCTATTTCAACTGCCCATCACCAATATACAGTGCATTAGCTCGTCCGTGGAGCCAATAGCCTTAAGTTAAATGCTTAGACCTCAGTCATTTGGGGGCGATATGCATGTGGCCATAGATACCCCGCAGCGGCCTCGACAGTCGACACTCAGCCTCGCGACAGCCGTCTTGAGTCTTCAAAGATTCCCGTAAAACCGATCCCTACATTCATTAGTCGCTCGAGCATTATCGCGAATATGTCTGATTACGAGGTTTCGGAATACATGGTATCGTCTCTGAACGGTACAATACATTCCGCATTGCTGGGGAGGCCAGGATCCGGAGTCATCTTTGACGGTCGAAAACAACGATGGATGCCCGAACCTGGCGAGAACGCTCGCGAAATGTTGAGAAGCTGGATCCTAGCTTCACGTCCTCCTTTTGCTGATTTGGATTAGACCATACGATGAAATATACCGAGCCACATTCCTCGCGCGCGATGAACTTTTAGCGACAGCGAATAGGTACCGCAGAAAGCTGAAGCAGCCGACTCTTGCACTGAACACCACGCATAGCTGGTCCGAGGTTCAAGAATGCGTCCAAACTACCTGCACTGGATTGGATGAACTAGCCGTGACGGACAAAGACATGTCGGGTTCTTTGGGTAGACTCAAAAAAGCTTTTCGAGGGCTCTGTCGCAACGCCGGTGTGGGACAAACATGCGCGGCGTTGATACCTAACGACTCTTTTGGTTTTACTTCCGTGTTATGCGGAGGCCTTAAGGTAGTCTTTGCAGGTTTACGGGCCACAGGAGTATACAGGCATGAGGTGTACCGGACTTTAGAAGGGTTACCGGCGCAACTGGAAGACCTAGCTGCGAACGTCAATCTTTACGAACACGACGAGCAATTGCATGTGCGGGCCGCGGCTTTGTATGTCGCAACATTCCATCTCTTGAATCATATTCTCCTCTGGTTCTTGCAAAGAACATGGCGTAAGCTACGACATCTTTTATGTATTCGGTCAGAATCCTGCTGATGATTCTTGTGGCGTAGTGACCGGAGCGAAGCTCTTGTTCGATCCTTCGGGCTTCATCGAGAAGCTTCGAGACCACCAAGCCGAGTTCAAATTGGCGGCTCAGAGTTTCGGAGCACATCTGAGCACTCTTGCAATGAAGACTGACCTGGAGACTATGCAATTGCAGTACACGACAGCGTTCACTCAGGCTAAGATCAGTAGTCAGCTTGAAGCACTTATAAAATTCAAAGAGGAATTCCAAGAGAGACAGGCTCAGATGGAGGTGCGCGAACATAACACTCGGGTTGAAGTGTTGGAGAGTATACGTCCACTGCTCAACAACTTGATGGACTCCTTGCAGCAAAAGGCCATAAGTGCCCCACAACCTCGCCACTTAGTAGCTGGTCCGGAGGTAAATGTCGATGACACACTCACGGACTTTCTTTATGAGCGTGATCTCGTCAAGAATGACTGTGTCGCATTAGCCAAATTGCTCAAGGGAAAGCATCATCTTGCCAGATATGATATAAATCGGATCTCAGCCCTGTCATTCCACCCGCAGCTACGTGCATGGCTCACGGTCGACGAACCATCTCTGATTCTTCTCAATGGTCGAGCTGATGCTCGCCCGGACTCGGAAGTGTCGCTATACACCGCAAAGATAGTGCACCAGTTGCTCGAACACCATTGGGCACAAGCGGGGCAGAGCAGCTCAGGTGGCACAGTCATACCTTTGGCATTCTTCTGTGGTCAGCATCGGGACTGGCAAAGAGATGACAGTGGAACTCCCGAGGAGCTTGCCATGAGTCTCCTACTTCAGCTGGTGGACCGCGGCCAACATCATCTGAACACAAATATACTTCGAACCTTCAGCGAACATACGATCGGTGGAGATACAGATTCTATCTGCTCAATGTTTGGACGACTGATCTCTAGCCTTAGTCGCGAGGTCATTGTGATAGTGGTAATTGATGGTTTGAGGTATTTCGCACAGCCACCAAACAGGGGCCATGGTACCAAGGTGGTTGTTTCGCAACTGGTTCAGATATATAGGAGGTCCCCGCAAGCGACCATGAAGTTCCTGTTCACCAGTCCGACGAAGTCACATTTCTTGGAGGACTTGTTTACCGAGGAGGAGGTATTGGAGATGCCAAGGGACATCCCAGCTACCGGCATGGAGTCGTCGCAGTGGTTGCGATTTAGAGTATGAGGCAACGAGGTCATTCTGGCCGCGGCAGCCACCGTACGTGGTCTGTGTCTGGCATGTCGGGAATGTCTCTGGCCACGGAGAGTCATCAAACATGCAGTGTGCTGAGTGTGCTGAGTGTGGAGGCGTCAATCGTTAGCGCCAAGCTAACCTATCTAAGCAAGGGGACTTGCTAGCTGTCTCCAGCTGATGATCGAATTGACTTGATTCATCGCATCTTCCTCCGAACATTAGACTTTCACACACGCTACATGTCCGAGAGTCCCGGACCTCGGCGGAGGCGACAGCCTGTTTCGAAAGGGCCTCGTCCGTGCGACGCTTGTCGCCGGCGGAAAACTCGCTGCATCCTTGACACAAGCCAACAAAAGTGCAATATCTGCATCCACAGAAGGACTGATTGTACTTTCTTGGAAGACCCTCCGAAGCGCTCGGCCCCTGTACCGTTGCCATCTCCTGACCGTGAAGTTCAAGTCGCGCCTGCACCGTCGCCTCATTATGTTCTTAGCCCAGGCTATGACCCGAGCCCAACGGCCACGCTAAATGCCAATGCGGTGCCAAATGGCATCGACACGCGGAAGGACAGAGCAGATGTCATTGCCCGTATCGATGAGCGGGGAAGATCGCTTGGACTAAACCCTACTAAGTTCGCCGAACTGTATGGGCTGGGGAGCGATATGGAACCTATTCTTATGGTTCGTAGATCCTGACGAACTACAACATTCACCATCTAAAATCCATCAGCGGCATCGTCCATACTCCACCATATGCAACGAGTATACACTGCCGACACACTCAATACGTCGAGTTCTGGAGCACGACCAAAACGTTGACTATCCAGTTACATTTCATATGGCAAGCATGGTGGATCCCTACTTGGTATCGATGCTGACCATAGTCAGGGCTCCGATACTAAATCTTCTCTTTTCGAAGATAACTCCGATGCTGTTGACTCCATCGAAGCTTGCGTCAAACCTCATGGAGAAAAGTTACTTCGGCTGTTCTGGAAGATCATACATCCATCGTACCCAATTGTTCACAAAGACGGATTCATGGAGAAATACAAGAAGTCCTACCGGTGCATTGATGCGCCTTTGTTAGGTGCAGTCTACCTCAATGCGATCAACTGGTGGTTCTACGATTCCAATCTGTCAAATCAGCCAGGCATAGATGTCGCCACCTTACGTAAGCTCACATTGCAGAACATCCAGCTCTCTTATCATCGACCTCGTTTGTCATCGATCGAAGCGGCCTTACTACTTCTGCAATGCAAGCCTGAGGATCCGCTGAATCCTGATCATACCTTCGCGTGGGGACTGACTTCGCAGGTTCTATCGGTTGGGCAGGCTTGCGGATTGCACCTTGATGCATCGGCGTGGGCGATCCCTGAATGGGAAAGATCTCTGCGAAAACGACTTGGCTGGGCTATCTATATACAAGATGTATGGACGGCGCTCGCGCATGGTCGGCCCACACATATAACGGAAGATGATTGGGGTGTCACCCCCCTCGCCGAAGACGACTTCGACATTGCGGATGGTACGAGTGTCGAAGGAGAGCAGTTTCTGTACTTTCAATCGCTCACAAAAATATTGCACACTGTCCTCAGGACCTTCTACACGGTCAAATCCACAACGCAGCAGGACACGTCGAAGCTAAAGGAACAAGCGCAACCAATTTTCGACTCCCTTGAGCGGTGGCATCTATCTCTACCGCCATCGCTTGCAGTATCTAACCTTCCACCAAGAGAGCTCTGCGCGAACGGTATGTCTCGAAGCACTGCAATCCGAAAAGTCTTTGATCACTAAGTCCATGCAGGCAATATACATCTCGCTTATTACGGCGTAAAGATTAACATACTTCGCCGCCTAGTGCGCTCGACTGCTCTCGCTCCACTCTGTCTCGATATACCAGCTCTTACTGCGATCAGAGTCCATGCCCACGAGACAGCGCAACAAGCCACTTCTTTTGTGGCGTCATTACGACTCGAGCATTTGGACAGCTTCTGGTACTTTGTCGCACCTTATCTGTTCTCTGTCATAGGCTCCTTTCTCACACTACTACTGGTCACTAGTCTTACGCCAGCAGAGCGCGATCATTGGCGTGAGTCACTGAGAGCTTACCTATGGACACTACGCATCATGAGCAAGTCCAATGAGCCGATTCGATACGCCGTGAATCGCCTGGAAGGAGCCATTCTCCGTGGTCTGGAGCACGCGCTCGTGTTCACGGTGGAGGGTACCTCACCGGTAGCTTTTGAAGCTACGCCTGGCCAGTTCAACGCGGACCCAGACGCCTTTGCGCTCGGTTTTGGTTTTACAGACGGTTTTGATCCTATTGAAATGGACCTAACCGCTTTCGATTTTCTAAGTAATGCTACCCTTGGCTGACTGGCCAAATGGCCCGCAAAGTCATACTACCGACAGTACACTCGCAGTAGTTACAACTAAAAAGTGTACGTTAAGAGCTCGTGCGCCTTCGTAAATGTACATCTGTCAACTCAACATGTCCATCTTCAACGAAAATCCCGACTTCCTGCGCCTGGTGCTCGTCACCATTTGATAGCGAGCCATTCACCAGCCCATTCTGGTGGCCGTTGGTCTCGGAAGGCAGCTTCTCGTGCGCGCCTACATCCGAAGGTAAACGATAACTAAAAGACTTCCCACCGACAAAGATTTCCAATACGTTGCTTGTTACGGTAATGACGATGTTGCCTCGGATGTTCACAAGATGGCGCGCGATTTCGGGGCCGTCAACTTCGCGTGGCAGATGCATCTTGTATTGGTCCGCCCAGAAGTCGTCCAGGGGAGCTGGATATCGTGCTAAGACGACCTCGCACAGCTCCGACTTAGCCGGTATGAATCTAAGCCTATGGCCATCCATATCCTTGGATGTGCGGAACAGTAGACCAAAGGATGAGGCATCGTAGGAAGCGATGCTGAACTCGAAACAATATTCATTCGGTATTGCCTCCCCTGTAGAGAGGGATTGGCTTCTTGTCTCGCCGACGCTTCCGATTGAGATATTCGAAGGTATCGGTACTTCAGATCCCGGAGCGAATGTCGCATCCAGGTATTCAGAACATGGTCGTATGACCAACTGACCGCCCTCATCGGCGGAGATCTCTCTCGGCATGCCCATATCGCCACCCCATGACCACTGCCCATCAAGCTTATCGGCAACCCATCCAAAGTATATTCGCTTGCTTGGATCGCCGGCCTTCGGACATGATTTCGCGGCGTACCATCTACGCGCATCAAAGCGCCCACCGGAAGATGCACGGGGCGTTCTGAACGGGCCTCGCGGCGAATCAGCGGTTCTGTACACTGTACCAGCATCTGGAGCGTGAAACCGCGAGTACACAAGGTACCACTTCCCATTTGGCAGCGAGAAGATTTCGGGGCATTCGGGGCAGAACATATCGTTGGGCGCGTAGAAGGGTTCTGGGTCGATTGTCCAGGCGTCGAGGTCCGGCGACGTGAGCAGCGCCAGACACCCTCGTGTCCAGAAGGGACCAGTCCTCAGTCTCGTAGCGACTAGCATCCAGTACGATTTCTCTGACTCTTGCCACGAAACATGAGCGTCTCGGAAATCGATGTCTTCGAATCTTGACATGTCGCCAGTAATTCGGATTGGTGAGGGGGATTTGGTGAACTGTGTGCCCTTCTTATCCTGCGAATGTGCATGCAAGATGACTTGCTTGCCATCTTGTGACAGGTTGTATCCGGTATAGAAGATGTGCATGTTTTCATCTGGCCCGATGATCGCGCATCCAGTCCAAGCACCATCGGCATCTGGGCTATCGCGAGTTTTGCCTGGTGTCAGTACCTCGCTCTGGTCGCGTTCCCAGTTTACTAGATCACGCGAGCGTAGACGCGACCATGTTGATCGAAGCCGTGGCGGATGTCGAATTGTGTTCGGAGGGGTACTGAGGTGGAAAACTTGGTATTCGTCGTCTACCAGTATTGGTATCGCATCAGCTGCAGCTTGGCGATCTGAAGGCCTACTGTACGGTGCTGACCGCGGAGTTGTTCTTGAAGGCATCTTTGACTGTTGAACAACCAGTGACAGCGGCGCACATCCGACCTTATGAACAATTCGAAATGATCCATCAACGCTTGCAAGCGCTAGGAACATATGTCGGTCGCTCGCCTTGCCGATTTTGGAAGTCAACTCGGCATCTTTGAGGTGGCCTCCCGTTGGTCAAGGTTAGCAATAACATTCTCGGCCGGCCGGCCGGCCGTTCTCGCCTTGCAATACGCCGGCCGCATCATCGGCCGGCGAGTTTAGCATCGGCGCTTTCCCCAATACGACCAGCTAATGGTCGCCTCCACAAAACCCGTTCAGATGGAAATGAATCGTACGGGGCTCCACAACTTGTCGCGTGGTTCTCCGCATCATTGTGTGAGAAGTATAAGAACGCGGCGGCCCATGGCCACTGTGTCGGTATCATCACATCTCCTGTGCGGAACCATCCTCCCTACCAAAGGACCCATCAAAGATGCCGAAACTTCAATACCCATACATTTGGGCATTTTGCGCTTTCGCTGCACTCGGCGCATGTCAATATGGCTACGACGGTAAGTATCTCAGATCATCTGCCTACCAATTACTTATCTCACAGCAGGCGTCTACTTTTCGGGTATTCAAGCCATGTCGACCTTTGTGCGGCACTTTGGCGACAAGCAGCCCGATGGTACCTATGCAATCTCTGCTTCTGACTTATCGATCATGAGTTCGATGATCAACGTTGGAGAGCTGGTTGGCTCCCTTGGAGCCGCCCCTATAAACGACTTCTTCGGACGAAAGGGTGCATTCCTCATCGCTGCTATCGTCGCCATCGTTGGCACGGTACTTCAGGTGATCACAGATCATGACCAGGGAATAATCATTGGTGGACGAGTTATACTGGGCTTGGGCGTCGGTATCTTCTCGTCTACAAGTCCTCTTTATATTGGCGTAAGTCGTAACATTGTATGAGTAACGGAACGTGTCACTGACGACATAACAATAGGAGATCGCACCTACTGCCATTCGAGGCCCTCTGCTTGGCTGCTGGCAGCTTGTCCTTTCGATCTCTCAGATCATCGCAGCTGTCATCAACCGAGGCACGGAATCTCTCACATCCACGGCCTCTTACCGTGTTCCCACCGCTGTACAGCTCATTTTTCCAATCCTCAGCCTTACCCTCCTCTACTGGGTTCCTGAGTCGCCTCGCTGGCTCATGCGCCATGAGAAAACCGAACGCTGCGATGCAGCTCTCCGTCTCCTCCGCAAAGACGACAAGACCTACGAGCCCGACGTAGACATGATTACCATTCGCGCTAGCATCGAGCACGAGGCTGAGCTTTCCGCAGATTCGAAGTGGACGGACTTAGTGACAGATCCGATTGAGCGTCGCAAAGTTATTTTCAGCGCTGGAGCTCTTGTCGCACAGCAGATCAACGGTATCCAGTGGTTCTACTACTTCGGTACGGTGTTCAGCCAGGCTATTGGACTCGACGATCCATTCCTTATGACGATTATCGTCTTCGTGATCCAAGTCGTCACTGTCTTTGCAGCGGTCCTCTGCGCTAACAAGATCCCGCGACGCCCGCTACTGCTATCAACCACGTTAGTCATGATGGTGAGCATATTCATCGTTGGCTGCTTGGGTATTCCTGGGGGCGAAGTGAGCGGGACGAGCGGCAAAGTCATCATTTCGTTCGTCATCATTGAGATCACCGCTTTCAATTTCGCGTGGGGGCCTTTGGGCTGGACGATTGTAAGTTCCCCTCGTATTGCCTAACTAGTATACAGCACTGACTTCCGTCTCAAGGCTTCCGAAATGGCTGTCGGACGCAACCGCAATAAGATCTACGCTATTGCCGTCGCGTGCTTCTGGGTCACGGTCTGGGTCACGGTCTTTACGCTGCCCTACCTCTACTACTCGGCAAATCTTGGTCCGAAGACGGGTTTCGTATACACAGGGCTATGTTTCATCACTCTGGCGTACGTATGGTTCTGCGTTGGGGAAGTGACGGGTCGCAGCATGGAAGAGATAGAGGGATTTTTCCGGAACGGCGTGCCTGCGCGTCAGTGGAGTCAGCAGCCAAAGATGACTGGGTTCGACGAAGATGTACAAGTACATGTCAGCGACAAGGAAAAGGAAGTTATGCGGATGCAGCAGGAGAGGAATGAGGTTTAGGCAACGGAACTCGTTACACTATATTCAAGATTATGATTAAGCATTTCGTGTCAGCCTTGACCCAAGTTCCACCCACTCGCGATGCGATCCACTCCTTCCATCATATTTCTTAGTTCTGACCGACAACGTATATATCACAATGCACGATAAAATTGGTCACATCCGTCTCTACAGCCTTGCCAGGTTGGCCGTCCAAATCCAGGTAAGTGTGCTGAGCATCCAATTGCCCAATTGTCTTATCCCCGTTGTAGACACCGCAGCTATGACCCGCCGGCAGTGGAAGATCGGGGAAAGACAGCTGCATGCTAGTGGCGATGATTTTGCCGTCGCGGCTAAGGGGAGAGTTGGAGAACAGGTCCCAGCCGAACTCAAAAGAGTGGCCGGACGTGTCGATACCGACAGCGGCGTGGGCGCCGGTGACGTCGTTGAAGACCGTGACCGTGAGCGGGAGGTAGTACATGTTGGGAGAGGCGTTGGATTCGGAGACTGGGACAGGTGCCGCGAAGGCCGCTGTGAAGAGGGCTGCGATAGCAAGGTAGGAGCGCATCTCGGTGAAGCTTACGAAGAGGTGGTGAGGATGGGGGAAGGTGGTAATATTATGTATTAGTGATCTTAAAAGATCAGTCGTTGGGAGATTGTCCTATCGTGAAGCTTGGGTAGTGAGGCAGTCTTGGTTGCAGACAGTGCCATCTTTATACCTTCGTTCAGCCTGATACATCTGAATACGAGGAGCTGAACATATTCGTGGTGTCACCAAGTTGCCTTGTGACGCGGCCCCGCGACAGTAACATCGTGTAAAATGATACCAATTACACTCGTTTGCCTGAAACTCATTCTCATTAGAGGATATGTTTACTGTGCTGATGTTCGCGGTATTGGTGGTGGCTGGTTGCAGCTCGATTTAGCAGTGCAGGAGTATCTGAGCACTCGGTGCCCTACGCAGGGTCCCCACTCTGTCCACGCTTACATGAGGAAGTCTTAAGGTGAGCATGGCTAGCGGGATGGGGACTACGCAACAGTTGTTTACTGGTGGTAGCGCAGTTTATTCAAAGGGTCATACGCTCTTCGCTGGTCCTCACCCGCTCAATTCCGTGGTGGACATCGAAAGCGGAGGGCGAGGTGGCTGTGCCATTGGTGCTGATGAACTCTGACATGGCTTCATGCATCAGTGATACAGATCCTATGAGGCCAACAGTGTAGTCAATATCTTTTTTGTTGATATTATGATTGATCAGATGCTACTATACTGCTAAACATACCAAAACGCTGCACATTGCAAGAAACAAGCATCAACACCCCTTCCCGTGCACCACCACGAGCTACCTCCTTACAAAACCTTACATCACAGCGCACATCCAACAGCTTCGCCCCCTATCCTTCTCAGTCTCTTCCAGTTCCGGATAAATGCCTAGCACCAACTCCCTCAGCTCGTCGCCCTCCGTTCTCCTCTGTCCCTTTCTCGCTTCCTCTGCTTTGCGCAACCTGTCTCTCTCGTCGAAGTGCTCGTCAAGTGGGTCTTCAAGTCTGCGAATATCGGTCCGCAAGCGACGCTCGCGGTCCAGGTTGTCCGTTGAGCCCCAAGGAGGGAGACGTGGGCCGTAGGGTTTGAAGCGGTCCGGTACCGAGGCGGTGTAGGAGAGCTCTGTGCGGCGAATTGGTACGGGAGGGGTGAGTGGAATAGGATAGGAGAACGTCTGCTGAGGTGGTGGTTTTGGTGAAAGAGGCGTGCAGAGAATGGTGTGGGCGTCTGCGAAGCGTACAAGAGGTTTATGGTGAGGTTCATCGTCTTCGTCGGTTGAGGCATCATGGAGAGGGCCGTAGTCTGAGCTTGAGCGTCGATGATGGTGGTGCTCGACATGAGGTGCGTCGGGAGCGTAGTCGCAGACTGCATCTAAGCTTGCGCGGCGGAAATGATATGCAAAGGTGCTCTCGTCGCAGTTCACCCGCAAGACGTTATCTGGCTCCTTGGGCGCATTCGAGGCACCACGCGTAAGAGTGCCCGTCGATAAATGAATAGGAGTGGCGGATAAACCAGAAGAATGCGCTTCGTGCGTCGTGAATTCCGAAAGTCTCTGCTGTGGCACTTTCGAGCCATTAAGAGGGGCTTTCGCATGCAGAAACGTCCTGAGATTGTGATAATCATCATCTGCTCGAGCAAAGAGATCGAGGTTGATTTCGCTCGTGTCGTCGAACAATGCGAAAGCGTTCTCGCTTTCCTTCGAAATACTTGCATGTTCGCTCCCAGGTTCTACCCTAACGTCCGTCTCATCTCGTGGCTTAGATTGGACCTCATCCTTATCCTCATGCGGCAATGCTGGCAGAGGGTGCTCTCTCATAGTAGTAGACGGTATATGCCGTGATTGAAGCTGCACCTGACCGCATGTTGAGAGCTGGATGTTTGCGTTGTTGGCGTGATGTAGCAGGTCGTACCCGTGCCGGGCATTGGTGTCGATGTTATTGTTGGCTCGTGGAGCGACGGGTGACACCATGTGATATTGATGTGATTCGTGTGATTGGCCGTGCACCTCTCAACCATCAACACGGGCCAGGAAATGAAGAGAAAGGGCATGGCAGAGAGCGAGCTATGAACTGTGTTGCTCGGGTGCATACCAGCAAGGTCATGTGCTCAGATCCCAACAACAGCATTGAAGTCATGAATACCCCTTCGTATTCCCTGCTCATACTCCCATACAAAACCGCCTGCGAATCCACTTTCACGGATTCTCTTGAGCAGCCAAAGCTCCACGTTGCCAAGCCTATTGCCCGGCCCCACGGCTTCGTCTGCTTTGCCCTCGAAGAAGACGTACGCATCAGCATACCCAATCTTCCAGCCATGCTCATATCGTGAGTGGTCAGCCAGCGTATTCGGGGCAAGGTGGTCGTAATATGCGCGATGCTGGTCGACAGCTTTCCACATACGTTCTTCCTTGCGGTTGCGGGCGCATTCCAGTAGTCCGAAGATGTTGCGCTCGGGGATAAATGCGTGCGGAGGGGGAAAGATGAAACGGTTTTGAGGGTTCGATTGAGCCTTAAATCCCCACTCGCCGCCAGGCATCCAGTCCATCTTCCATGTCCAGAAGAAAGCGCCTCCGGCACGTTGTTGGTATCGTAAAGACTGCTCCGCACCAAATATCTTGATCAGTTCCGCTTTGGGCGTTTCGCCTGTTTTCACCCAAGTATCGGCGGAAAGGACGTTGGAGTATTCGCCAATGATAACTTGTACAGCGCCGCGATCAGTCACGGACCCCTCTTTTCCATTGAGCTCGGAGAGTTTAGTAGAGACTTCTTGGATGATGTCTTGAGGGGACTTCTTCTTGTCGGCGTCGTTGAAGCACCAGTACATGTGCCTATCAATTACGATGGGGTTAATTGGCTTAGTAGGGTTTACGACATTCTTTCTTAGCGAGTATCCGATCGCTCGTTTGAGGTCCCAAGCGTCCGATATAACAATAGGAAGGCTGGAGTCTATGGCGGAAACAGCATCCGTGGCCTCATCGTACCAATCGTAAATGGTTTCGCTGTCCGTGTTCGGCTCGTTTACCAGAGATATGCCAGCAAGTTGAAGTCCTGCAGCCGATTCTCGAGCAACAAATTCAGCGCAACGAATACCAAGCTTGCGATTGTATGGCGAAGTGAAGAACTCTGCGACGTTGCTATTGGTGCCGGAGTGATCATTAGTGTTTGCACCACCTGGAACAGCGTGAAAGTCGATCAGAACGCCGATGTTGTGTGCACGTAATCGTAGGATGAGATCACGAATGCTTATCCAGGCGTTGGAATAAATGTGCGAAATAGGCTCGAAAGGAGTACCTCTTGTGAACTCTTCTCCTGGTAGGTCCCAATATCCTATAGGAAGACGAACCGTGGTACCTGTGTCGCGTTAGTAAAAACGCCGAACCCCGATGTAGATGCATTTGATCGTGCAGATAAACACAAAGAACAACCACGAACTCATTCTACTCACCCTTTGCTTCATTCCTCAACCAGTCAATGTCCCTAGAAGATCGGTAAGCGAGCTTCGTCCACAAGCAATGCATTCTATTGGATTACCTACTCATCCAAGATTGCATTTGCCCAACATGTCTCGAACATTTGCTTCGTTTGTTCCGTTCCAATCTTTGCGACCCATGCTTTGACAGCCTCCAGCTCGCTCGATCCTGAAGTGTCCTGAGGAAAACGAGAAGGCGACAGCCATCGCTCGAGGACATAAACAGAGCCAAGATTAGTAGCGTGGTGATAACGGTAGCGAAGAATGTCAAGTGCCGAAGGGTCTTGAATGGACGGTAGCAGGTTTGAGCGAGAGTTCATGCCGCTGAAGCCCACTGTTGAGGACGGAGCGATCAGGCTCGACGGTTTTGATGCTGATAGCGGCCTTGGATTCCTCTTTTCAGACGGCGGCTGGGGACCAGCTACGAGGTCCGCATTGAACAGCTTGTGCGCTTTACCAATGAAGCCCTTCATGATGTGATTTAGCAACCCGTGTTCCCTCGGTTTGAGTGTCAAGTCCGAGATAAAGTGATGCACAAATCAAGCAACGAAAAGCTGAAGGAGGGACTGAAGCACCAGAGGGTATTGAAGGGCAAGATGACAACTATTGTAGGTTTGAGTGGGTCGGCCTCGGAAGTAGGAAACGTGTTTGAGAAACAGACCTGACAGTAGACTTGGATGGCGCAGCAACGCCGCGCATTAGCTCGACAGCGGCGTCCAGATAGTCGCACATTTTGCTTAGCGTGACGTCTTGGAGGACAGGAGTGGAGGGGTCTTGTGCATACACGCGCAATCGGCAGACCATTCGCGGATGAAGCAATTATCGATGATGTCTGCTTTCCACTCGACGGCTATGATATCCGCTCGCTCCTTGCCCAACGCGCATGATATCTATATCTCAGCTCTCCACCTGAGAAGCTGAGCAGGTCGCCGCGAATGATTTGCTTCCTGCGATAATCGCAAGTCAGCCTACTCAAGCGTGTTTCCGATAGCCTGGTATCGGAGGTCTGTTTCACTGGTGTGCGGCTGTTGTGTCACTATACGATCGAAGTTCCTGGACTAACGTCGCGCAGTACGGCTGATGCCAGAGCCAAGAGCCAGATGGACGCGCCCATGGAGGAGACTTCAGCTGTGGGGCTCTCGTCAGATGGAGGCTGGGGAACGCGCTGCGGACACTAGACGATAAGCCAGACCGGATCCATATCTGGGTGGTCGGTGGTCGGCGTGTGGGCCTGTTTCGTCCCGACTCAAGCTCGAGCTTCAGGACGACGCGCTTGCAAACACGACTCACCAACATTCAGAGCGCGTCTGCTTTCCTCTGGAATATCTTGACACCGATCGCATAGGTTGTCTCTAAAACGCTCTTATTCTTCCCCATTGCACCTTTACCGCGTCTGGTCATCCTTGCCTCATTGGTCCCGCCTCAACACGCGTGCTTTCTCAAGACGAGCTCTCACATCTTCCACCCCGCACGCCATTCTTTGCGCCATGTCTGTCTCGCACGCAAATAGCCCCTCCCAGGGCACTCCTCGACGTATCCTAGGAGACCTCACGCCCAAGGCACTGAACACGCCTTCGAAACGCGCCGACCTGTCCGAAAACACGCGAGCACATAGCCCGTTGAAGCAGATGCAGACCCTCTCGCCACAGCTCTTCGGAGACAAGGAAAATGCCTTGAACAGTGCGGTGAAGGGCAGGAAGAGGAGTATTAACGAAGTGGATGACGCGGAGCGCATCGATGCGAAGGTCAGGGTAGGAGGGAGCGCGAGTGGAAACATGGGACTGAGCGCGGCTGCAATGCGCCTGCACACGGTAGCTTGCATCTCAAGCCTGACGCGTCAGTCACACAACTAATTTGGCCCAGAGTAATACCACCAGCGACCTCCCAGTGCCGGGTTCTCCCACGGAGCGCAACTCGCCAACGCCAGAACCTGAGCATATGCATGAGGCGGTCAACTCGCAAGATACGCAGGGCACCAACAACTCCTTCTCGGCACTGATCGACTTCGATCTATGCGCCAGCCAGAACAGCGTCCAAGCGCCCGCGTCACGCGCACCGTCACCCCCTTCGCCCGTGTTGGAAGAGAATAATTCCAGGGCGGACCTGCTCCGCACGAGACTATGCTTCGGTATCTACAAAGTCAAGACGAATCAAGTGACGAAGAGCGGCAGCGATATCATATCGACATGGGAGTCGTCATTCTACCACGCAACAGACGCGTCCACTTCCATGGCCATAACATCTTTCGATGGATCAAAAGACGTGCATCAAGTGCCCGATATTACTATATCCTCAGCCAGACGCGACCATCAACCAGTATTCGTAAAAGCGAATCTCGATCCTTTCCGTCCCATCGGCAACCTAAAGCTCACGCCTGCGCCTGTCCTCCTGCCGACCGCTACCTCTTCGCGCATATTACATGATTATGACATGCCCTCGTCTCCACCACAAGTCATCTCCCCCGAGCAGCTCAGATCTCCAGTGAAGCAAAGACTAGACTACGCGACGCCAGTGAACCAGAGCCCGCGATCAGAGCGGGCGGAAGATGATGTAGGAGATGGAAGCGCGCAAAGTGGGCTGAGGAAATTGCAGAGATTTCAAGAAGGCGAGCTGACGAGCTCTGCGGTGAAGGGCAATGCTGCGAAAGGGCTGATGCAGCTGATGGCTGGAAAGCGGTAGTATAAGCTTTCCGGTTGTGGTTGATGATGCTATGAGGATACGGCGAGATTTGAGAACCATGCGGCAAGAGAAAGCCTTAGGAAAACTTAGACCATGATGTTATTTATCGCTGAGAATAGCGACCATTGATACTCCAAGCTCGTAGTGTTAGCGTGGAGACAATTCAAGATCCACACAACAATCGATACTACGTGCTCGTCAAGGGGAAAAAGGTTCCAATGTCGTCACATCGCGAAGGCCTGAAGGACGGCGGCACAAACGTGTCAGAAGCAACGTGTCTAAAGGTGTTGTTGCAGTGGAAGGTGAACGAAACGCGGATGCCTGCAAGTGGCCATAGCTAGGGAGGTTAGCTCACTAGCCACGGTGGCGCGCCACCCAAGAATCAACAAAACGTCATTATTCCAGCCGTGAAGCGACTTGCTTGTCCTCGATTTTTGGTCCTTTCACCCCTCTCGCCTTCCACACAAACCATTGTTCATGGCACGCCTCTTGCTCATATAGATAGCAGCTGACCTCATTCTCTCCTCAACTCCACCTTCACACACTCGAAATGTCAACGCGACGCAAAGCAGCGAATGGTCAACCTGCCCCACTGACCGCGACCATGCCTTCGGGTACTATTCGAACAACGCCCGCAGCGCGGTCGCCTTTCTTTCCCACCCGCCTCGAAGCGCTGCTCCTCGGTATATACCCCGCGACACTTGTGCTCGGCTCCGTCCTCAGCACCCTCACGCCCGCATTTCGCAATGCGCCCTATTCGCCTGACCTCCAGTCGCATGATCCTGCATTCGCTCCTACATACTTTGCAAAAAAGAAGAACATTTTCAATGTTTGGTTCGTCAAGAAGGGCTGGGGCTGGGCGACTATAGCCTTTGCCGTGTTCCTGTTAATGTGGCCGGGTTTCGGAAAGGGCTTGACTACGAAGAGGATACAAGCTACGTTGCGCTACAGCGTTATCACCCTGTGGTGGTTCTTTGTCACTCAGTGGTTCTTCGGACCGCCTCTGGTCGACCGCGGCTTCCTCTTCACTGGTGGCCAGTGTGAAAAGCTACAAGATCCAAGCGCGATGGAGGGGATGAGCGATACGAGGGTATACTTGACAGCGGCAGCTTGTAAAAGAGCAGGTCGCAAGTGGACAGGCGGACATGACATTTCTGGACACGTATTTCTGCTCATCATCGGCTCGGCTCTTCTCTGGTTCGAGACACTACCCGCACTTACGAGGTTCGAGGGTCTCCGCGATGGTCGCCGAATTATACTCGACGATGGAAAGGTTGCGAGCGTGGCTGTGGAGAAGAGCCCTGAATCTGAGAATGATGAGCCCACGAGGCAAGGCGTTCCGATGCCGCTTGGTGTTGCAGTCTTCATGTGGTGGATGCTTTTGATGACGGCGGCTTTCTTCCATACTTGGTTCGAGAAGTTTACGGGACTTCTGGTTGCCTTTGCGGCGTTGTGGACCGTGTATTTCTTGCCTCGAGGAGTACCCGCAGTCAGGGCTGTACTTGGAATGCCCGGTGTATGAGGGATTTCACATCATGGTTGAGTAGATAGCCTTCATGAGTGTACGATAGTAACGTCGACGATATCCGCATCTTAATATCTATGTATTTACTTCTCCTTCTGCAGCTTCGTGGTAGTGGACAGCGCTGAAACCCCGAATATATCACACATTTTGACAATGCTTTCTTATGCTCGTCGTTGTAAATCATTCCAAAGCTATGTACCGATAGATAAATCATCATTAATCAAACCGCAGATCCATGGAACACATCACTTTAGCCCACGTAACATGCAGTAGCTCGGCTCGGAAGTCTTGGCGCGCCGACCGCCTCCTCCATCATCACTTCCCTAAGCATGCATCTAGAGCGCGTCCCCGATGTCAGCTAGTATGTTCCAATTAAAGTGATAACTATTCATACCCCCATGTCTCACGCACCCGATACAGCCCAAGATGCCCGAGGAGAACTGGGCGCTACATGGCGGCGCCCCTGCCTGTGATTTGTGTCACTCGAGGAAGGTACGCGTTGCCCAGCTTTGTGGTGCGGTCAGTGTAGGAATCATGTTGAAGAGCAAAGGTCAAATGCGATCGCAACTATCCGTGTAAAAATTGCACGACTGCGAGTGTCCCATGTTTGCGGACGAGGCAGAAGAAGACGCCGCAACCAAGGGTTAAGGCGTGAGTAGCCTCCTGAGGAGGAGGTGGGCGAAGGGTTGCTAATGGGAGAAATAGCGACGACAAGATCAAAGCTCTTGTGGAGAAGCTGGCGACGTTAGAGGATGCTGTCCGCTCAACGGGAGTCAGTGCTCCATCCGTTACCTCGGCGCCGCCAGCAGCAGCCAAACCCAACACTGTCTCGAGCACAGGAGACGACATTTCATCTCGGCCTGCGAAGCGTAGCAGGACTGATGCGGGCTCTGTTGGAACGGCGACGTCCGCCCAAGACCTCCTCTCGCCTCCGGACTCTGTGACTTCGCAGCTTCATCGCAATGGCGGCGCCCGCGACCACATCGAAAAAGAGCTCACTCTCAACGAGGGCTTAAAAAGCCACCAGAAAAGCGTCTTCGAGACAGCGATTGCTTTCATTGACCAACTGTCGCAGGCTCCAACGACTGCTGTAGAAGAAGAAGTTTGGAACCTGAAAGTATCGACCGAGTTCTCGAAAGGCGAACTCGTACAGATAGTTCTCGCCAGTAAGCGTCTCCTCCCACAACTTTTTCCCCTTTTTCAAAACTAACTTCCCCCAGGCCAGCAAGCCGACGTCGACAGAAACCGCCCAGACACGCAGCTCTTCTTACTCGACCACGTTCCTCCCTCAGCACTAACCAGAATGGCAATGTGTCTGCTAGAAGGCACGGCGAGCGAGCAAACCCTTCATCTATGCAAGGTGATAGTGCATTTCAAGGCTGGACTAGGCCTTTATGCGAGCCAGTTGCATTCGCCCAAGGATCCGACGATCAGAGAGTATGTCAAGGAGATGCAATTGAGGCACCTTAATGCGGCGCTTACGGCGTTGGATGCGGTCAGTTTCCTAGTAAGGCCGAGTTTGTTGCTGCTGCAGGCACTGTTGACTGGGGTCAGTATGAGATCTTTCTTGAAAAGGACGGTTGAGAGGGTATTGGCTAACGCTGTGCCTAGTCCGTGTTGATGTATATCGTGGGGAACTCCCAGAGCTGCTGGTCTCTGACGGCGTACGCCTCACGGACCCTCGTCGCCCTAGGCTACCACAACATTCACACTTTAACGCCTGAGAACGAACAAGAGCAAGAGATCCGCGCGGCCGTCGCTTGGTGCTACCACTTCGATAGAGTTATGAGCCTCCTCTTGCTCCGGCCGCCATCTTTGCCGCCTCTCCAAGTCCCAGTCGCTTCGCTGGTGTCGTACAGCCCGCACAACCCCATGGCCATTTTTGCCTCCATCATGCTCGAGCTCGTGCCCATCCACGAGGTGCTGCTGGAACTGACGCTCGCCGGCCAGAAGCGGAACATGTCGAAGACGGAAGCGGAGCCCCAGGTGGACGATCTGCGCAGAAAGATGGATGAGATTTACAGCATGATGGGAAAGGTTCGCGCGAACGACCCTGTCGCCAACAGCCCGGACTACCAACTCCATTGGCATAGCTTGGAGTTTAAATTCTTCTCCACGCTAACGGCAGTCCATCGGCTCAGCAACACGGTATGCTTCTGTGCTTCTGAGCGCGAGAAGTGTCTGTACGCTGCGCGCCGTGCGTTGCAGTGCGTGAAGGCGATACAAGGTCTTGCTAAGCAGCAAGACCATTTCCTTGAAGAATTCAGCCCGTACCTTGCCTGGTAAGTCTGCTCTTTCTGTATTCAAGTCCGACCGGTGTCCGGAGCCCCCCGCCACCAATCAGGGGGGACATCCGGCGGCTCAAGTGCCTGTATATACAGTCCCAGTGTCTCTAATATCAGCTCTCAGGACAATTCTCTCATACCCGCTCTCACCCTTCTTTGTCCTCTTCTGCAACGTAGTCGGCACCTCCGACTGGCGCGATTTTCAGCTCCTACAAGATGTCGTCGACAGCGTCTCCTCACTAGTGATCGAGAACAGATACGTTGAGCGCCTGCGTCGCCTCTGCAACACGCTGCTCGCGCTCTGCAGACCGCTCGTCCAACAGCATGGCAATGCGGCAGTCGTTCAAGAGCAGCAGGCTGGCCTGCTCTTGAACTTCGCAGCTGGCAATGAAGCAGCAGTAACTGAGGACGGTGTGATGCAGTCATCAATTACGGGAGAGGCTCAAGAGGAAGTAATGGCGAATGAGCCGTGGCAGGACGATATGATGTGGCAGCTCTTCCAGGCTCAACCTAGCCTGGATTGGTTCAATTCGGATATCTTGGACCCGGCGTCTTGGGATCTGAATCTACCGAGTTGAACAAGCGCACGGTGAGCCAAAGTCTTCGTATCACCCTCCTCAGCTCCTATCACGCGCAGTATATACGCATCGATGCCCTGGCCGACCCTCTTCCCGACCTTCTGGGCAACACCTATGTTCGCCATGAGCATGGGAAGTTCATAATGCTGCCATCTAAATCACTCAGAAGACGTTCGATCAATCCAGCTCGATGGGGCGCTTTCGACATTATTCTTTCTGGTCCTTCTAGTGTTGCGCGATAGCGATATGAACCACAAGGATTAGCGGGGCGACATATTATGAGAGAGCTTTCGTTCCGAAACAGGGACGCCATCTGCCACAACAACGAATGAGGAAGCGTAAAGATCGACATTGCTTTGGTGCTTGTTTTGTCGACTGGCAAGTTCCGCGAGGGCGGCGGCTGTGAAGAGCTGAAAAAGCGACCGCTTCTGATCGCCCTGTTCGGCCAGTATGATGCGCCTGGCCAGGTCTTCGTATTCGCGACCAGGTGGATCCTTGTTCGCAATCCGCAACAAGGCACTTCAGCTACAACGTCGCTCAGCGACGAATAATTGTACCGATACTTGCTTGGCATCCCTACGTACGGGTCATGCTCGCTTTGAAAGGCTTGTTCGATGCAGTAATAGAATCCGTAAACGAGGTCGCCTCTAGAATCGGCCTTGGGCCTCACCTGGCTTTAGGTGGGCGGTAAGAAGCATTGCGACGAGAAAGCCTGGCCTTGCACATGCCGTTCTTGTCGACCATGATGTGCCTTACAAGAGCCGCATGTCCGCCTCTGAAGTGCGCAGGCTTTGGCTGTTCCGGGTGTGAGCTTCCCTTGAGGATCTCTGTTGGTCGTCACCGAAACCTGTCGCGAAGATCGGTGCGTCGGTATTTCTTGTGTCTAGAATAGTCGACAATTGACCTGAAGTATGGAAAGCGTACTGAGGGTACAACAACGCTGCCCGGTACTCATCCTCTTACTCTTCGCATCCAAGCAAGGGCTGGCATAAGCACTCTCGATCCCCAAAGAGGGAGATCCCCCTCAACAGCCAGCTGCATACGGATGTGGCTTGGCGAATTAGGATAGCAGACATTGAAGTCGGCATCGGATGCGGCAATTTCTGTTTCCGCCGCCCCCGATTGACCCACGGCGTCTTTTACATCCCAAGCCGCCTTTCATCCGACTTCTCCACTTGAACCGAGGACCTCTACTTCACACGTGCCGTGAACTATTGCCACAGCTTGGGAATAGCGACGGTCACTGTCGTCACATCGTTAAGCTCAGCTCCCTAGAATAACGGACCTATTACTGTTACTAAGTTTACATCCGTACCTACCGCTACTGTGACCGTCGTATCGTCTTCCGCTTCTTCTACAAAGGCATCGCTGCCCTCCAGTGAGTGGCTAGTGGCTTGTCGTGGGGGGTTTCGCTCTCGTTGTCCGTCTACACTTCGAAAAGTCGCTCTGACGGCGTCCGGCCAGGTAGTGTTGGCGATACTGGGCCCTGTAGACACGCTCGTCGTCGTTTTCCTCTCCTGAGCTATTATTCCCCGCGACATCTCCGCTGCCACGACCCTCTGCAAGTGGCCCTTCACCATATAGCTCTTCTATCTCGATCTCCGACTCGGGCTCAAGGTCTAACGAGAGCGGATATGATCAACATCGTGATACCGATCGCGTGCCTTGTCATCGCCATAGTCGCTGGAATCATCGGGTAGGTTCCACGCAGGTGGCACAAGGCGACAAAAGATGGGAATCGGGGTGGTGCGGCAGTCAGAAGCGGTGTACCGGCGGACCATCAACGACGTCGAGTCTCGAGGGGCGGAGCCTGCATGGCTCATCGTGGCGGCATAGCTGACAGGGCTTTTGGGTGAGAGCTGTTTCGAGGGACGGATGGCGGATGCGGCCCGAGCCGGTGGGAGAAGGGTTGGCTGTATAGGCAGCATACTCAAAGGTCGACGCGGCGGCCGTCTGAGCGGCATGCCTCCATCGTCACGGGGGCGTCTTACTTTTATCTTCGAAGGAGAGGGGGAACTGGACCCGGGTCTCGACCGAGCTGGACTTTCCAACGTCCTCGGTGCTCGAGATGTCAGGACGACATCTCTGTACAGAGGGCCTGTGGCGAATCGCGCCCCCACAGTGAAGCAGCTGGCGGTCTCCTTGGCTCGCCGACTGCTCTCTCGATGCAAGAACAGCCTGTTGTGCTATAGTGGGGGTCGATGGGCCAGCCATGGTGCTCGGTATCGATGCAGACTCTATCATAGGTCTCTGCTGTGTTCCATCTCGCTCGGCAAAGGCAAATTCATTGACAGCTTACGCTTTAGCAAAGCTACGCCCGTCGAAGAGGCCTCCTCCGTCTTGCTGCTTGCATATTATCGTAGGCCAGGCAGGGGTGCGGCCGTCTAGCGTGGGTGCAGCTGCTTTATAATTTTGAAAAACACGCCCCCGTCTCACTGCCTTCTTCGCGACACGACCACTGAAAGACAATCACCACGACAGCAACCATGGATCTTCTGGACCTCCCGCCTGAGCTCTTCCAGCATATCGTGTATCTCTACATCATGATGCACAAAGTGGAGAGCACCCAGAAGCTCCTTTTCCTTCATAGTACGTATATTTCTATCAACCTGAATGGTGGCCGCTCGAAAGTCTGGCTTTCTGCCCAAGAATGCAGTATTAAATCGATAGAAATGAAATAGCACTTACCTTCAGCTGACTCGAATTGATTAGGTGCGTTCAACGGGGCTATCAGCTACAGCCTCATTTTCGAATTGCCGCGTGAGTATTATCGTTACAAGCTTGGTCACAACTTCTTCAAGGCGCAATTCAGCCTTATTCTGCAGGCGCGCGTAAGGCAGGTTCCTCGAAAGAATGCGGATGCTTTAACGGCCGAGAAACTTAACGGCGTGTATCCCTTCCTTCCGAAGTACATCACCAAGGTCGTCAACCGTGTCTACGAGATTGCCGGTCTGCAGTACGACCACAACGATCGGAAAAAGCACGAGGCAAATCTCTGCGACGGTAAGTATCTATCCAGCCCCGACCTTCAGCATCATTCTCGGGAGGGTTAAAATCTCTGGGTGCCACGAGGTGGTCAACGTTCCATCGCGCACTAATGTGGCAATTGCACGCTGACGTTGCAAAAAAAGCTATAGTACATTACTTCAAATACGCTGAGGGCGTTAGTGAGAGCGGACTGTACCCCCTCATGTTAGATGAATCTCGGGCGAACGAGCAGCTTAAGACGGAATTCAACACAACTCTTCCTCGTGCCACTGTAGCGGCCGCTGCTGCTATGTACGGAAGCCTCGACCGCATAGAAGCGATCGTGAAGCAGGATGACATGTGGCAGGCCTCCGCTGCCTTCGGAACCCCGTTCAATGTTGCTGTATCCTCTGGATCGGCCGCTATAGTTCTTCGTGCTTTGGTTGCCGTTCAGAAGATGACTCCATCCCCTGATAGCGCTGTCGTGGATGCACTTCTCACTGGCCTTGGCATCTCACTTCATCGGGGACATATAGGAATGGCTTCGGCTATCTTACTTGTTGGAAGCAAACAATTTCCTATCATCAAAGCCCACACATACAAGGCCTGGCTCGATAAGGCTATGGCGATCGGAGACCTGGTTACCTTGAATACTATCCTAGGGCTGAAGCATCACGCCCGCAAGCAAAGCCTGGGTGACGCTTTCGTGAAAGCATGCAAAAACGGCCAACACCTCATCCTGAACGTCTTCTTTCGCAATAATCTGCTAAATGTCACCGAATACGTAAACCTTAGCAAGGCTACAATGTCTCGTAAGTCCATGGGCATTTACAGTTATAACAGTGTTCTTCATTCTCAAGACATCGCTAACTCCTGGCCTTTGTTATGTAGCACCCTACTGCTATCCGATCATGGCAGCTATACGTAGAGCGCCGTCTGACGAAGCACGCGCCGCGCTTGTCACAGAGCTGCTACAATTGAGAGCGGATCCCAACGGACCGAGCATGGCCATGGGTATGCCAGTGTCGGAAATCCCCCTTGCTATGGCCGCGGAGAAGCAGAGCTGTGCTACTGTCAAGATTCTATTCGATAATGGGGCGGACTTGATGATGCCCACCGCCCGTGACAGCCAGTGGTCCGCGAAGTTTGGTGTCCTACAGGCCATCATAGCTTTGGTCAGGACGTCACCATACCACGAGTTCTGTCGCAAGCTGGAGCAAGAGCTGAAGCTTGACGGAGTCTTGCTAATCACCCCACTTGTCATGGCTGTGAGGAATCGTTGCTGGGGTGCTGTAGCAATCCTACTCAACAATGGTGCGGACTTGACAACGGAAATTCACCACGAAGACGTAGCCGAGGAATGGTTTACAGTCCTGGATAGCATCTATGACTATTTCAACACCGGACGTCAGCACATGCTCTTCCGCCACGTTTGGCTGAAGCTGGAAGCAGAGTTGGCCTCTTTCGACGACGTTTGGCTGAAGCTACGTGCAGAGTCGGACTCTGACTCTGGAGACGATGAGGAATTTCCCCTTGAGCGGCAGCCTGCCTCCACGGATGAGCCTTGTCCTGTATCTTACCGTAGTCCTGTGTTCTACGGTACAGCTGGCTTCCCTCCCCCGGATGCATCATACTAGGCAAAAATAATGCTCGATTGGTTCCCGTCAAGTGAGTCACAATTCCCTACATCCAAGCAGATTGAAGTACACTAATTTTACGTACACAGGAGCTCAGATATGATCTTTTCATGTCTGACAGTCAGCGTACCCCTGAAGCCATGCAGCCTGGTCTATACATGCATCATTACTGTTGCATATTGGAGATTGGTTTCCGGAGCCCATCCATCTGCTTGACTCGATTGGTAGATGTTACTATGGCATTATCGATGCTTGCCCCATTCCCTCGCTTCGTGCGATCCACCTCCATGAGTGGGAATTTCTTCTCATCTCTTGATTTGCGTTAGCTCTGATTGGGTAACATAACCTGATTCTCTGTAGTAATACATGAGGGATTTGCACAATCTTTCATTCACCGTGTGTAGCTAGTGTACTACGCTTGATATGCCTTTGAAACTGCTGAGGTGACTACTCATTTGGCTGCTCGAATCGCGTCGCGAATTCCCAGACCATTGGCCCAGGAATCTCATAGCTCGTAACATTCCCATGAATGTCCACCAGCACGCCCTTATCCCTTATCCCATACAAATTCTCTCCGACGACCCCGCCCTCTAGCTTCTTTACATCCCTGCTCCCACTGCTCGCAACCTTCAGATTGACACACTGCGGGTACGCCTGCGCCCCATTCACCTGCTCCGCCACATGCAACGCAATAATTTCATGCCTCAACACATAGTTTCCTTCATTCAAACTCTCCGGGATCTTCACCATCCAACTTGCCTTATTCGCAATAAGCACATCGCTCCCCCACGTTCCCCCAAGAGGCACAACATCCACCCCCGAACTGTTTAGCCAACCCACCTCATCAATCTTGACCCATTCTAACTTCTCCTTATCCACATCCACACAGCTCCCAGCACAGTCTGCTAGGTACGTCAAGACGGGTCCTTTGTGCGAAACAGGCCATTCGTTCCATTGGACTTTGAGCGTGGAGCCTGCGGTGGTGGGGATGTGGAGAGCTCCCGGAGTGGCGTTGTAGTGGCATATTATGTCTGAAGTATTGAACTGTGAGGGCTTGACGAAAATGTTTCCGAGGTTGGAGGCGCGCCATGCGGCGAGCGGCGTTGCGAGGAGGGATTGGGGGGTAGCAGGGTCCCAGCCGGGGTAGACGGTGCCGGATGAGGTTGTAATGTTTGTTATACGGCCATGGGCGGAGGTTGTGGAGATGAGCGTCGTGAGGACTGCGGGGAGAGTAGAGGTGGAGAGTCGCATTGTTGTAAAGGAGTGTGGATTATGGGACTACGCCCATGCTGAGTGGTATTCACGGAGCGTTGAGAAAGTCGTTTGAAGAATATGAGAGCGACTTCTGAGTGCGTATGGAAATGATTTCAAACGTAACTACCATATATATGAACGTTTCTAACTGCGGCTGTAAACCCCCAAGTGGCAAGCCACGCCTATCGACCATGTATCCACCTACTCTCCGCAACTTCTGCCTATTTCCACAGTACTACTATACAGTCTCCAAACACGTGAGTTGTTGCTTCGGTTATATTGTTGGTGCAAGGTCGCCATCCCTGTAATATCCCGGGCCAACGGCGCGTATATGGTTCGAAACAACATCGTAATATGAAACATCTCAGGCAGGTAAAGATCGCCGCGCGATCGTCTTTTACGATTCCCTGACATGTTTCCAGTCTACATGGCTGCGGCTCTGCTGTCCGGTAACCGCAGATTGGGGAGGCTGCAGAGGGGTTTGTGTGGATATTACGAAACTTGGTCCTTCATTAGGGGGATGTCGTCGGGGAGGAGGTACTGCAGCTGCCAGATGTTCTGCTCCGGCACTCTTTGCACTTATGCAATGCTCGTGGAAAGTGCAATGGGTACAACAGATCCTTACCGGAGCATGTCATTCAAGCCTTTGATAAGAGAACTCGTCGTGCTAGAGATGCCTAACAGTTTGCAATCCAGGCGCACAGTGACATGTTTAGGAGCTGAATTCCGCAATTCCAACGACACTGACTGTGGTCGAGGACTATATAAGAGTGCTTCGAAACAAAAAAGAAGATATTGAAAAATTTATACACAAGAAGTTTGTGAGTACGCACGGTTCGCTTGGGTGCTGAAGGATATCCAGAAGTTCTTGTCGAGTAGGACTACCTGCGCACTGCGGTATCTCGCTGCCCTTTACGTCCACCATATCGTCCGCTTCTTCAAGGCAGAGTGTTTGACTATGGTCTGCACTGTTCTAGGTCTCTTGGAACCAAGTTCCTTTCCAGACATCTTACCCGCCGCGATGATATGCTGCTCACCGTTGCTTTTGACCCAGTTGACAAAGACGCTGCCACCACCATCCATGTTTAGTGCTTGGTGCGCATTCGCGATTCCTTCTTTGACTGTCGTGAACTCTTTCAAGAAAGTATCAATGAGTAGTCGCATGCGGTTTAGATCGAGACCTCCACGGTTGTTCCTTGTAGAAGTGTATGAGAATACATACTTGTGGGACGGGCTGATAATAACGGTTACAAGACGCTCAGCGGAACCACTTGCGTGGGAAAGACTTCCCGGGATAGACCCATAGATCTTGTTGACTAAGCCAATCATATTTGCGTCTCTTATGTTAGACTCTTCCGCTGTAGGCTTGGGTTGGCAGAATTCTGGATGTTCCGGACCAAAATCTAGCTCATCCTTGAGGGATGGTCCGCACATCATAGAGCTACCATCTGTGCCTACGAGCCGCTCGTAATATCCTTGGTAATCTGGAGGTACACCGACAGTCTTTTCTTCTCCTGGATCGGTAGAGGTAAAGCCGATTGAGTACGAATGGAATTGGTCAATATCATTGATAGGCTCACCACCGTACTGCCAATACATCTCGTCGTCTCCGGGCAACACGAAGAAGTTGCCGTTCGTAACAAGACACCTTCCACCAGCTGCTGCTGCCTTCGCAACAACATCTTGAGGTCTATTGGGACCCGCTTTGCCCACGCAATACGTCTTTTGCGATTTGCCGGTGAATGCAACCACGTTGAAAAAGCCATTGGACCTCATCTTGTTCATGACGTTGCGCACGTGGGGCGGTGAGTTTTTCACTGACGGCGACTGTTGCCACCCTTCAGTCGTATCAAAGTAATAATGATAAACAAGCTTCTGGTCGAGAAGCTCTCTTCGATAATGTGGTTTTAGTTCGCATGCCTCGACGTCGTCGTCTGTAGCTTTTCCCTTCCCCTTGCCACTTGGCGAGCCCGTGGGTGTTGTTCTAGGCAACAAATAGGATGGTAAGAAGCTTTCGACAACATCACGTATGTTCTTTTTGCCCTTCTTGCCCGTCGTGCCTGACTTGCCCTTCTTCGCCTGACATGAGTTCTTCTTGGGCTTTGTAGCCTTCTTCGGTTTAGTCTTTGGTCTGATTTTTGGTGTGCTCTTCGGTCTGGTACCCGACTTGGCTTTCGGCTTAGACTTAGGTGGAACCTTCGGTTTGGTCTTGGACTTGGACTTGGACTTCGTCTTCTTGGCCTTAGACTTCGTTTTCTTCACATTAGGCTTTCTGGTCTTCCTTGTGCCAGACTTGGTCCTAGTCCTTCCTCCACGAGTACGGCCTCGTGCCTGTAAGCCTTTCAGTTCTTGATCGTCGTTTGATAAACTTGTTTCTTCAACACCAGTCTCGCCCATTACATGTATCTCGTACAAGGCGTCGTTACTAACGGCAATTCCGCCCTCAACGTTCTCAGCGATGAAGCATTGGTTGAAGATGCCGCCAAAGTGAGTGATGCAGATGTCCATACCTGCTGGCGCGCCTTCATCAAACTGCGTCACGCTCAACAGATGCGATCCGCAATCCTGTGACGCACCACCAGTCGAGCAGAGCTTGTCAATGCAGGATTGAATCGCATGATTCTGGTCCTGACTCGTGCCATTGATTCTTGAAGCCTGCGAAGTATCGCAGATAACGCTTGACAATGCTCCAGGCAGGCCAAGGCTGATTGCAGTTGCGAGCAGAAAGGTTCGCATTGCTGGGAAACGGCGACCGGACTCGCGATACGTCGTAAGTTTGTGAAAGCAACACAAATTCGGTCCGAAGTGGTAACTAGATTCAATTCGAAAGTGCGATGACAACGATGCGTATCACATCTGATATCAATAAAGGGTCTTCTAATTGTGGATGCAGAACGGAAATGTAAAGGAGTGCATGCATGAAAGAGTGATTGACTAACGAGATGTTTGTTGAAAGCGTGTCTTTGAGACTTATGTACTCGCAGATACACGAGAGGCCTTGTAGTCCGAAGTATTGAAGGGATGTATTACGCGGCGAAAGTAAGATCGCCCCGTGCTTAGCCATTTAAATTGTGAGACCTACTGTGAATCATCCGCAATGTCCGGGCTACCTCCCCCTTGGGCATTGTGCTATTGCACATGCTACTAATTCGTTACTACTACCGACTACCAAAGCGGACATGGAAACTTCGTCAGGAAGACCTCAGCATGTGTCAAAGAATCACGACTACTCTGTTCTCGCTATGATTGACCTGAAAGATTAAAGCCTGGTTACATTAGTACCACTTGGGCAACTTCGGTAGCAAATTGAAAGGATTTTCCAAGGATACGGACTGAAGGGCGGAAATCCGCAGGGCGTATGCTCTCAGATTGTCAAACTACGCCACTGCATCACGCTGACAGGTCCCAGACAGAGTCAATCTTGATGAACTGTGCAGCTTGACGTTTCACTACTGCAAGGCGAAGGTAGTCAGCGCAAGAGCCGAAGACCGCAAGCTGGGAACTGTGCTGCAATGCAGGCTTCAAATCCACAAGCCGACGATTCGCATACTATTCATCGACGCTTTACAGAATCAAAGGCAATAAGCGACACTAGCGTTCAACCTCACCTTTTCGACGAACTTGGTAGAGGTACATGACATAAAAATGCATTAGAGGTCACGAAAACACATGGTCAATGTCTTACTAGGTCAGAATCATTTTACCCGTAGGGTGGGTGTCCGGTTGTGCCTTTGGCAAAAAAGGACTAGCGTGGCTCACTGCCCATGCATTCGGGCGACACGACTGTGCAACCCCCGCACTGTTGCTTCGCCCCCACAGTACGCCTAGTTCCGCATCCCAGACTCTACGACTTGTGCGGCGCTGCTTTGAAGCTATCGTTTCCCTGTTACTTTCATCTCCAGTTGCAGCCTTATTTCCACGCTTGCAGCAATCGCAGTCATGACTGGAAGAGATCGTGAATTCACGTTGCAATTAGGCATTTCGCATGACTACCCAAAAACAGTAAGAACTCTATGGCGATTTCCTCTCGTTAGGTCTACCTGCAACATTCTGGACAGGACTAATAAGGGACAGCGGCAAGGCAGCTCCTGCCGTAGCAGCGACGGTCTCACTGAGTGCGCGTGCATCAAAAACAAGATTAACACAAGCATGGAGGAATGCTCTCTCTACGGGCGTCCTATCGAGCCCCTAGCCTTCTACTTGCCGGCTTTCTCCGAAGTGGAACAGCAGAAGCAGTCGCCATTGTACAGGATCCCAAAGGAAATACGCGATCTTATCTTCGAATATGCTCTGACGGACGACGGCGCGCCGTCGCCTAATAGCGACAACGTCTTCCGGCGCAGTGCTAAAGGGGAAATTTCTGAGGTGGACAGCGCATGTTCTCTCCTTCAAACATGTAAAGCAGTGTATCTGGAGGCATACCGTTTACCTATGCAGTTGAATGGTACGCTTCTGTTCTCCCGTGACAAGCCTAGGCAGGCTGGTCATACGTTTCTGTCCTTGCTAACCTACTGGTGGATTAAAGGCTATCTGGCATACTTTACTAAGGAATGGAGCGGAAGGCGCGACGGCTCGCGTTGGAATGATCCCTCGCGTCCAGATCTCGCCCGCATTGCACCAGTAAGTGTGGCACACGAGTTCCTTCAACTTATGGTTGACCATACTTCCAGTGGCAGTACGCCTTGATCCAACGAATTGATCTTAGCCTTCAGCAAACCTCAATAGAGGGAAAGGGAGGCCTGCAGAATGAACTACAGTATTGGGGGCCTGCCTTAAGGCACTCAGGTGCCTACGTCTCTCCCCGCTACTATAGCACCACACGCTCTCTTAGCAGCCGCCCCAAGCCCGAGGTATCCGCTCACAACTTCGCACTTGTTCCAGCATCGGACAGAAATTGCGAAAAGGGGATTAAAGACGGAGATAAGGTGACGCTGGAGCGGTACGATGTCGAAACGTACTATGATCCGGAAGATGAGATAGGTTATGGTCAACTATGCTATGTGAAAGGCAAGTTCATTGCTCGATCAATGGTAGCCAGGAGGCTTACTCATCTCACGCTTCGCATGTCACGGACTGACTGGTGGACCTGGGGAGATGACCCCAGCGCAGTCGATAGCGACAAACAACTCGCCCTAGATCCCGCCTGCGGCGGCACAATACCGAGACCAACAATTGACGACATGCTAAACCTAGCTACTTCCCGCCGCAATGGTTGCCATCCCTCGTACGACGAGTCAGGCAGCGAGACATGGGGATCGGCCATTGGAGCTTTACCAGACCTGAAGACATTTGAACTTATACTAGAAACATTCTCGCCAAAGAAGCAGCAACTGGAGAACGTTGTTGATTGTGCTAGAACCTGGAAGTTTCCTCTAAAAGGGACGCAGTATGAAATGGTATGCGATCATAAGATAGAGTCTCTGCAGTGGGGCCTGCCTGAACATAGAGATGGAAACGTTGATGGCATGGAAAGGATGTCTGACGAGCAGAATCAAGCGCAAGACCAACGCCATCCAGCCCCTTACACGTTGAGGGACAACGTCGATCCCGCCCCCTCATCCGCTTCCTCTTCACTACGTCAACGGTTCAGGCATAGGTTCTTCAAGCGCTCTAGAGAACCACCGAAGACCAAGTCCATCGCGATACTTCCACAATGGAATCCTCCAGCTTCACAAGACTGGGTGCAGCCGAGTCAAAGCCCATCTCTATATGAAGACGACTTCCATCCGGAAATATCTTGGCTTCGCGGGTGTACTGAATTTGAGGTTAGGGTCGTGCGCTTTAAACGGAGGAGAGCGGACTGAAACGTCTGTCTTCTTTGTTCAGAGATACGAGACGTGACAGCTTGTGCGGGTTGGGGGACTAGCTGTGTGTGTGCTACTCCGTGAAGTTCCGCACTTCCAAAGACATTGCTCTCTTGACTATTAAACGAGAGAGTCATGTCCTACAAGTCAAAGTCGTGGAGGAAGGCCATGCTACGTTTGTGTTCTCTTCAGGTTATGGGCTCGCTGCGGCTACGACATCTTTATAATAAGCTAATTTGCAGAATTTCTCACATACGACTATAGGACACTGAAAACTAGTTTGATAAATCACCGCCGCTTAGATTTCTCTACATAGAATGCCTCTTCACTTTGCTGTTTGTTCCATCACTAATAGCCGTACTATCGCTCCTGAAAGTTTGTTGCTTTGTCAAAGCTACATCTTCCATGGGGAGGACCGTATGCTTGCTGATATGCTGTACAGTCCCACTCTTCAATAGGCCGCCCTCGGTTGTTACCGGTTGTGGGGTCGAAGCGAGAGGTAGATTGGTCAGGTTCCCCATATCCGCAGTTGTCGGTATTGCTTGAGACAAATCTTGCCATTTTCCCTCACCATGTGCTTCGTAGGCACGCCTTTGAAACTGGAACACGCTGTCCTGTATCCAACGGTCTATGCGCGGGGCTAACTTACGCCTGAAGAAAGGCACGTGGACTAGCGACTTCAACAGGACAAGATCTAATAGCATGAAAGTGCAAGACAGCCCGATGATGAGGGAGAAACCAAGTACATTGACGTTCCTAGAGTACTTGTAAGTATGCGATGATTTGTTGCAAAAGGCACAATGCACACTTACGCGAAACCACCGGACTTTTTCATCCTCATAGCATGGCACAGTGATTGTTCAGCCGCTGTAGCCGGCTTGTCAACATATTCGTATGCATGCGGCTCTGTGGCTTGGGCACCGATGGCATAGTCCGCTAGCAATATCTGTAGCACCGCCCATACTTTGGAGTCCTGGGAGATCGCTTCTATCTTCCATTGATCATCTGGTAGGGTTGTTCGCGTCCCTCTATTGAGAGTGTATGTCGCGTTCAGAATGCCTATATTACTAAAATCCATGAACCACGATCCATGGCCAAGAAGCCGAAGTATCAATCTTTGGACATCGCTGGCTTCTGGAAAGCTTTCTTGCCAAGCATTTTCACTGAGCGGACCTAGGTCGCTACAAGATTCATTTTTTCCCGTTTCGACTATACACACCTGATACTGTAGCTATGGTGAGTTTTTGTTCTCGTTTGAAGCTGGTGTTCTTACCTGGACTGTACATCCCAGTGTACCGGATCGATGGTCGGATAGATAGTATTTACCGGTTGTGAAGTTGTAAACAGTATGGGCAGCGAACAACGGGTCTTCTACTGGCTGCTGATATCTAATCTGTCCAATAGTTACAACCATAAGCACGAGATCAGATTCCTTTTGCGAAATCTCTGGAACGGGTGTCCAGCAGTAGTCGTCATCTGTGCAAGGAAAAGGATCGCTCCCAAGCTTCATCCATCCGCTGCAGCTGCATCAGTATCGCGAATTTCTTGGTAAATCTGGTGAAACGGGTACATACTCAGCTCTGTAATTTCTGGTCGAATTCGTGTACAGCAGACTGCGTATCTCTGTAGCCTGGTCTAGCTTACTGGTAGCATTGAACCATTTCGTACCATTGCCGCTTACAAACCCTCCATAGAGGGTTGCCTCGAATTGTTCTTCGGAGAAGTCGTAGCGCGGCTGGGATAAATAAAGTAGCTTGTCCTCACGAGATAGATCGGAAGAGTTTATTATAGTGAGATAGCCATCTGGAGGTAAAACTGAGCACGTAGTGCGCCGCCGGAACTTGACGCCGTCGTTTACGCCGAGGTTGAAACCAAAATGCTCGTTCATATCCAAGAGACCAGAATCCATGACAATAGCGGAGAAGTTCTTCGTAGCACAGATTTTGGCTGAGAACGGGCATTCGGCCTCCTCGATGGTGACCGGTATGCGTGGCTTGACGAAGATGTTGTTGCACCGGCTTCGTGAAGTATCGGACTTGATATAGCAGTCCAATGCGTAGGTTTCTCCGATGCTTTCGTACGTAGAAACGTAATCGTTTTCGAACGAGCCATGTTCGTTTAGATAGCGTGTGGCATTTCGGAATCCACAGAAAGGACTATCAACGAGGACTTGGATGTCGGAGCTTGAGACAATAGCAGACGAGAATACACTTGCAGTGAGCGTACTAGCCGCAAACAGAAGTGAAAAAAGAGCCGGCAATAGACACCGAAGAAGCACACGGCCTTTACGTCTCCAGCTCCACCAAAGTTTGATCATTTCCGTCACAAAATTGCCGGGCGCAGGCATGGTTCGTAAAAGCGCTTGCTGTTGCTGGAACAGAGCATCCTTGGACCCGCCGGATGCTCGCTGCTGGTGGAACGAGAAAAGTAGCAAGCTCCATAAGTGTGTTGCGCCGATGGTTGACATAATCGCTAGCAGTGCCACGATGATAACAGATGTGTTTGTGTCCACGGTTATCGTGCGTCCCATGGTCGATCCACCAGTCTGGTCCAACCATACGCCACGGTATACATAACGGTCATCTAGCTCAGACATGGTGGTTGAGTGCGGAGTGGGGATGCAATTGTAAGGAAAGAACGTGTGGCCCCTGATTGGTTAGATGATGGACTCAAGTGCTGAATCTACAAGATTCCCTGAAGGATCCGATATCTATCGCGAGCCTTGCCTTGCTTATAAACTCCACTTCATGGGCACAAGGCAGCATTGATAGAATCATTAACAACGATATGAACGAATGAACGGACGTTCTCCCAAAAAGGAATATAGTGGAAAACACAGTGGTGGCGACGATCTCCAGCAATTGGACTCAACCTCGCCCCATGGATATCAGCCTGCACTTCGTATGCAATGCATTGATCGTTATCGCTCGAATAATGCGTAGTCGAATATGCAGTCGGATGCAACATTGTATTTGAATAATATGCAGGTTACAATTCATTAGTTCTCTCCTAAGCCCCCTTTATCAGGCCCCCTTGTGCTACAGTATCGATGAGAAGTGTGAGGACTGTGTTGCTCGATATGTACCTTGGAAGTTAGACAGAGATTGGGGCTAAAATAACAACGTGGGGTACCATAGGACAGACTGCAAGCAACATTTGTAGTGCATATTCTCTTAGTAGGTGTGTTGTGCCGGTGCAAGGCTGAGAATATAGACTCTTGTGATAGGTAGATAGTGATAGATTTGCGTCCGCTAGTCTGGGCCCCAGTGTCGCTTGAAGGATGCGCCGAGTATCTTCAGTCTGATTACTATTTACAAAGACAATCTGTACATTACATAGCTACCACCAACCTCCAGGAGGGGTGACCTGTCCGTTATCTGTCCTCCATACTATGGGAATCCTGACTTTGGTCGGTTGCGGCGTTGCAAGTTGGCCTATCTGGAGGGTTTGCCTGATCGCCTTGCGCCCCTAGCCCCAGCGGATGTGGGGTGTGGGGGCATTCCGCAGACGCGGTGGCTTTTGTGTGATATACGACCCATTAGTTGCATCGTGGCGTTTCTTTGACTCGTTCAAGTGTGCCACATCTGCATGGGGCCAGCTGAAGCCGCTCTGATAGGCCAGGCGTTCTCAGTCTCTGGATAAGGCCAGTCTAATGCGTGAAAAGGCAAGACACATCAATATGTCTTGAGAACTTGGCAAGGAAGATCAACCTTGCACGATCCGTATCTGAACATGGCTGGGGATTGTGAAAGCACTTTGTGTTATGTCGAAATTCGTAGTTTTGGCAACGGAATATTTACGGGTGCTAATTATACTGAGTTTGCGAAAGCGCATCTAGTAAGTCTGCAGTACATCTCAGCGACCTGTCCATTAGTGCCCACAGTTGCAAAGCGAATGGCAACCGCCTCGATTCAATGCATTTTCACAAGTCTACAGGCCAACAGATTCCGCTCAAACTGCAACGGTGCCTCAAATCACATTAGCCCCAGCAAACATTTGAAAATTCTCAAGTTAAGGCGTCCACCCACCACCAGACAAGGGGCCGAAACTTGGGTGCATTTTCGGCAATCCCGCACTACCTATGGGCTGCAACCGAAGCGACAGAACCAGAGACCTTTTGACACAGAGTCAATCTTTCGTGGTTGTTGTAGTGACTTCAAGTGCATCAGGTGCAACCGTGCAGCCAGGTTGGCCATTAACCAGAGGCCTCTTTCATTTCGTGTCAAAGAGTATAAGACGATGTAACTATCCTTGCGAGGCAAATTCAATGTCTTGGAGACTAGTGTTAGAAGTTGAAATTTAAGTCTATTGTACGTTCACTTAGTTAGACTTTTTGAAACGTCTCGCCGCAAACCTGCACAAGTCGGCGGGATCAGGCTCATAAGCAGCGGTTAGGAGTAATATGTAAAGTTGGACAAAGGGACTTCCCGCGGCGGGAGAATAGAGCTGACGCGCGCATATACGTTGGTTTTTGTGCTGGAGCAGTTAGGGCCACTCGCTTGGCAACAAATGCTATTCCGTCTAGGAGGAAGCGCCAGCTCAGCGATGCTCTCTCTATTCCCACGAAAAAGCTTCTCTCAAAGGAGTATAGAATCGTTTCTATCAAGTATGTCTCACTCATCTGGCGCCTGTTTGATCAGGGTGATGATGCCATTGGCAGCTTCGTGATCGGAAACGCGCTACGTGATTATCTACGCGCCACGCTAACCGTCTAGGATCAGACTCCTCGCCAAGATACAACACTACTGGACGTTTGTCTGGCGCCAACCTCCTTCCAGCCTCCCCACAACCCTGTTTTGTTTACCACACGTTTGATCCTAGCGCTTGCCATAACAGCAGCCGTTGTTCACCGATCTGGAGCCTCACGCGATTAGAGACGATATGCATTTGTCTGTACCAAGCTTCGCCGCTACATGTTCGGCTGCATCGCTCCCCGCCGGTTGATTAAACAGCTGCTATCCTCACGGTTCTGCTGGGTGAGTTTCTGTTTTTACAACCACACTACAAAGATACTATCTTCTTCAAGTGGACTGGGCCAGAATTGGTGCACCATTTACATAATCTGCTGGAGGATGTCGCACTTGCCAGTCGCCCCGATGACACCAATATCGCCATCCATCTCGACTCGACTCATGATCAAACGTCTTCAAAAGCCGAAGAGGTCCCCGAGCACATATGTCCTAATTGCTCAGCGAGCTCGAAGAACCAATCCATTCACTGCATATCAGTGTCAACGCCTGCTCCCCCTTCCTATCATACGACCGTTTCACAGCCACGGTCCGTAGCAAGATTATCTGTTCCGATCCTCAACTTGCAGACGCCAGATCATAGGTCGATATCTATTCGTCCACATCGCCCTCCACCCGCTTTTCGTCGACCCGACGAAGGAAGACTTCACGTGCGATTTCGTGGAAACGGCCTCTCGCCCGTTTCGCCTCAAATATCCGAGCAAGGTCACCGCAGCGGCTGGCAGGTTTCCGCAGGCCTCGGCATACCGGACGCTCCGTTCAAACCCGATATCAGCCCGATAACCCCAGGGACCGCGGAAAAGGCCGAAGGTGCGGACGAAGCTAAAGACACGGAAACCCCGGAGGCAAGCTCCGGTGCTTCGAATCTCGCACAATGGATCGAACAGAAACTGTGGAAATACAGCGCGTCCCCAAACGTTGTGAAAAGATGGCTGATGGAAATCATCAGTTGGACCTTCAGTGCACTTTCCAGGGTTGGCATAATAATTGTTCTATATCATTACCAGCATCGACCTTTACCACGGTGGCCGCTTGGATTGACGTTAAACGCTTACATTTCAGTCTTGGCAAAGGTTAGCGGAGCTGCTCTCCTCCTCCCCGTCTCCGAAGCTCTTGGGCAACTGAAATGGATATGGTTTCGAGTGAATGGCGACAATTCTATGCAAAGCAAGAAGATGTGGGATTTTGAGTGAGTTGATTCTATTTCGTAAAATGGACATGGTCTTGTTGGGCAGCATAGATCTACAGCGCTACTTGAAACATCCTGTTGTCATCTCACTCAACGGAGGTTGGCCTTTGTTCATTTCTTCTTTCAGTGGACCACGCTGACTTCTTGGGTTGTTAGGCTATTTGACAACGCATCAAGAGGTCCTTGGGGGTCTTTCATGTTATTGTTCCGTACCAAGGGGAGGTCGGTGGCCGCTCTTGGCGCAGCTATTACCCTCTTTGCGCTTGCGATGGACCCATTCTTTCAACAGGTGGTCAACATCTCCGAGCAATGGCGGGAACAGCCGACGAAAGCATTTCTTCCGCGTGCAACCACATACATGGCGTACACCGCCGGAACGTTCCTACTCGAAGGCAGCGGGGTCATCGAGCTTGATCAAGCCATGTCAGCAACATCATATCTTTACTTTTACGACAATGGGACCATGCCAGTCACTTCTAGCAACAAAGGGGTCAATCCCACGATTCCCCTATCTTGCCCCAGTGCCAATTGCACATGGCCCACGCATGAAAGCCTGAGTGTATGCAATAGGTGTGAAGACGTCACCGATCGCCTCGAATTTAGGTGTCGCGATTCAACTCTTGACTGGGTCCCGGCCCCCGTGCCTCTTCCTGATTTCACCAATTGGGACTACCCTAACGGAACCGCATGTGGATGGTACCTTATAGCAGATACTCCGATCCTTATGGCTGGCTATACTACCGAGCCATTTACTAATCAGACCGGAGAAGTCCTTATATCACGCTCGCAGCCGCTGTACGATCTTTTCACAAGAGCTCCGCTTTCTGGTTACGCAGCAAAACTCAACGACACCCGCAACCCAATATCTCACTTTGTCGTTGTCTCCGGTGGGGATGCAATACGGGTTCGCCAAAATGCAACACCAATAGCGCATGAATGCATCTTGTCTGTGAGTAAACCTAGCCCTAGGGATTATAGTCCTCGTCGTGCGCAGAGCTGGCAACATATCACTCGGGTGGCCTGACACATTCGCCTAAATATCAACTCCCCGATCAAATCGCTGACTTCGAACCCTCTAGTGGTGCGTTAAGACCATGCAATCAATGGTTTTTGAAGGAGCGTATACGGAGAATGTAACGGATACGGTCTTCAACAAAACTCTCGGACGCGATCCGTGGATTACCTTCGTTGAAAAGGACGGCAATGAAACCCTTGGCATGTTTTATGAGTATACGGAAAGCGTCACCATTGTTGGAAACAGCGGATTCGACTACACAATCAGCAACGAGACACACACCAACATCCTCTCCATCTTCGATGACGTCTTTCCTTCGACGTATACAGTCACAAATACCACGGATATGAAACAGGCTGAGTTGCGCTTCCAGCAGTACAAAACCGCCGGCTACCGATCACGGAATGAGGACTACAATCCCTTCCTCTATGACAACATTACATCTCACTTGAACAATATGGCTAGCGATTTGACCAACATCGTAAGGTCAGCAAAGAGCTCGATTGAGATGATTCCGGGTCCAGCATCCGACCTTGTGAGTGTCGTCGAGGTCCGATGGGAATGGCTTTCTCTTCCAATCGGCCTCCTTATCTTCAGCTTTGTCTTCCTGGTGGCAACCATCATACGAAGCTCTATGGCGCAGGACGTGGGCGTATGGAAGACTTCGGCCATCGCAACTCTGCTTTATGGCCTCCCAGACGATGTGCGGGAGAAGGTAACGTCCGCTAAGGACAAAGGAACCCCGCGAGCAAATGCGAAACGTACAAAAGTGAAGTGGCTTCCTGGGGTCGGGTGGAGGCTCTCGGGCGCGAGCGCGTTCTCACCATCTCCTCTAAGATCTCGTCACACGCCTCCGCGGGCGAAATGGAAGGAATAATTTGATGATACCTTTATTTCACTCCAGTATACTTTTTATCCAAGATATCACAGGAATCCAGTTGCACACGCCTGCATCAACGTTTCTCGGTCGTTTACGAACAGACTCTTCGTGTCCCGCCTATAAGCTATTTTTGGGTTTTGCAAATGTACATACCGAACGCCTACAATCTTCGCTTGTTGAAATGCTTTGGCCCCCATCGTCGAGGGCAACTGCCCCATGTCGCATAGGCACGGGGCTTTAGTCCAAGGTCACCATACATCCCGCGCCTAAAGCCAATAATAGGCATCGGAATCGACACAAATCTCGGCCAGGTCACCATGCGAACTCTTCCACGAAGCCAATCAGTATGGAGCGCTTTCAAGCACGTGAAGACCCATTGCATCGCATAGAGGGAACCTGCCAGCCACAGTACCGAAGCGCTCAGGTACCTATTGTTCCTCCAACTTCCTTCGTTCTTACTGACACGCGTAAAACTACACTTGTTTCAGTTTCTCCACCGGGCGGCTAGCAAGTAAGGTTCACCGTTCAAGGCACTAGGCGCTTACAGTATCCTTGTAACCAATCAACGCACAGCTCTTGTGTTTGACATAATGCAGCCTTGTGCAGCATACCAACACTTAAAGTGCAGCATATCGCCCAGTTTGCAAAGCAAGGGCTGGCTCCATTCATTACTCCATTCTTTCGAACTTCTCGTCTCTCTTGTCTTTATCGTTTTAATACTGGGAAGTGCTGCGCACCGAACCCCTCACAGAAATATACACAGAAATATACCAGAAACAACACAGTCAGCAACAGTCAACATGCGCTATTCACTTATCTTCGCAACCTTTGGCCTCGCCGCCCTGGCCGCTCCGCTTCCCATGGTAAGTCGAACTGCGTTTTTAGCGATCTCCTTCGGAAAAGCTAACATGGACACAGGAACAAGCCCGCGGAGTCGCTTTCGAAGCGCGCAACACCAGGAAATTCGGGAATGGGCTGCATGTCTCCTCGCGAGAGGCAAACGCAGAGGCGGACGCAGATGCTCAAGGAAACCTCCGCCCATGGTCACGAGAGGCAGAGCCAGAGCCCAACGGCAACCTGCGCCCGTGGTCAAGAGAGGCAGAGCCAGAGCCCAATGGCAACCTGCGCCCGTGGTCAAGAGAGGCGGAGGCGGACCCCGAAGGAAACCTTCGCCCATGGTCACGAGAGGCAGAAGCAGAGCCCAAGGGAAATCTCCGTCCCTGGTCGGCCAGAGAGGCCTAGTAAACATACGCTTCCTCGAGTGGAAAACGCTAAGACTGAAGCGCTGAGAACAAGCGAGGTGTAAGATCTGGAAACCGATACCGGTCAGCACTGCATGACGGTACTCGGAGGACGCATTTGACTTTTCAGACGGTTGTACGCAGCCTCGGGAACGTGGAGACTGTAATTGGGGCCCTTCATGCTCTAAGCACTTCTAATAAGTATAACTGTTCTTCTCACCCCTATTCTTATGTGCATAGTCACCTCGACATTATGTGTTTTTTATTCTTCTTTGATAAACCACGACGCGATGGTCTCGTAGTGTCTACTCAGCGGAGTCGATATAGAGCTGTCCTATAAAGTGTTAGGCGCTTTGGCTTTAGGATCCTTTGATCTTGGAGAAAGTTATTATAACTAACCGTCTTTGCAATCCCCTCCTCTACACCGTAGGTTTCCAAAATTGGTGTTTTTAGCAGTCTCCGTGGCGAGTTTGTACCGGTGGATTAGTAGTTGCGTGGGTGACCAGCAGCGAATACCCGCTGTTGTATGTTTTTGCGAATCTTTTTCTTGCTCGTTGTGGGTCTGGAAACGGGCGATGTGGGCCTCGAAGCCGGACGCGGTCCGCTACTCTAAATCACTAACGATAGTCCCTGCCTCGTTTGTTTTTGCCTCTTATTGCTCGTTTAAACATCATGATCTTATAGAGAAATGGGAAATTCCTGCCACTGTATAGTGTCTGGTAGATCCTGGGTCTGACGGACGGGGTGTTGGAAATTTGATCGCTCCATGGGCATATGCGAACTGTACTATGTCTTTTTCCTCTTTTAGACAAGAGTCTGAATCTGTTACATACGATAGACATCCCTCCCAGTCATCATCCTCTTCTTCGGCGCCGGTTTTGTCCGGTAACCACTTGTCTCATTACCCCCTTCGCCACTACTGAACAAATTCTCCACCTTCGCAAACACCATCTCCGTGTACGGAATACTCGGCGCGTCGTAATCGATGGTAAAAGCGCTCACACTAATCCCGCCGTTAGCCACCACGGCCGTCTCGCCGGGCAGACTGCAGTCTCCATTATAGCACGCGTTCACACCAGCAGCCAACGGCCTCAGGTTTCCCCACGTAAACGTCCCCTTCTCTTCATCGTACACCGCAACATCCGTCTCTGCTTCCCCCGTGAGTCTTGACTTCACAACCGGCGGCAGTGTGTCGTCAAATAGCTCAGGGATGTTGACATTCACACCGTACCCGAGCGGCAGAACGCGTGCGCCTTCTGCGGTGGCGTTGATGAACTGCTTCACCACGGCATAGGATGCCTTCGCCGCGAGAGCCGCAGGATGTGAAGAATTTGTCACGTTGAAGTACGGCACTGCAGCGTTGCTTGCGCTCAGAGCAATGGCGGGAATGGAGCGCGATACAGCCGCGTACGTGGCGCCCAAAGTACCACTCAGACTGTACACAAATGGCCCAAGATTCGTCCCATAGTTTGGTCCAGCAAGTGCGAGATCAGGCGTCCATCCTGGATAGTATCGTGGCAAAACATAGTCAAGCGCAACGAACGTGCACGCAGCAGGCGTCCCGTTGTAGTACCATATACTGCTATCGTTGGGGTCTGTTCCTACGGCTGGGGCTCCTGCGGGAACGATGTCGTACTGCGAGGACGAGGTGAGGTTGGGGTAAGTTGAGAAGTCTGAGCGACCGCCTTGGCCGGACTGTTGTGTTGCGGGTGCGACGATGAGGACGTCGTGGCCGGCAGCTTTGAGAAGCTTGTATAGTTCGCGGAGATTGCCTGAGCCGAAGCCGTCGTCGTTATTTAGGAGGATGTTAAGGGCTGAGGAAGTGGAGGCGAGCGAGAGGACTGCTGCGAGCGTAGTGGCAAACCTCATCTTGGAGCAATGGCAATGACCAAGTGCTCAGTCTAATAGGTGGGCAAGAGCTGCGCGCTATCAATCAATGAGAGAGGCCTTGCTCTTTAAAAGCTGCGAGCAGCGCATCCCTCCGATGCCGCTCAAACCAAGTGTCGCGTGCTCACCTTCCCTATGCAACTAGCAGTTCGCTAAGGATGCAGGTACCGTGCTGGTTCGCAAAGTCGTTCAATCATCGCAGCTCCCGGAGAGGATCTACCAAGTCCCAAGCTCTCGGTGATAAGAGGTGCTGGAATATGGGGTGGGGACTTGGGGCTAAACGAAGTGTGGAAGGTGGAGATAAGCTGGGCTCGGAAATCGGCGCCTCGTCACATATAGCACGGTGATAGTTGTAGGCTAAGAGTTGGAATCGACGTCAACGTCAACGTGACAGACGAGTAGGGCGATAAGATTTGGGCGGAAAACAGGTCGTTCAAATTTATGATAGTAGCATCTCTTGTGAAGGCAGCCCGAGGAATGATCTTTTAATTCTTGAATCACATATAAGGTTTCAGTACCTCATGCGTATGCTTCCAAACGCTCGGCGTCGCTTTTGCCCTTAGAGCGGGAATAACTTTAGTGTTCGTAGTAGATTCGCATTTATAGTTGGTGAGGAACAGGCCTTCGTCCACTCTCCCTGTCGTACTTGTACCAGCTTTTCCCGACCACGGTACACCGCAGCCACCAAACGCAGCACTCGTGCAGATGTAAAGATGCCTCTGGCCAGCTTCCTCGTCCGTGAAAGACAGTAAACGGATCAATGGATCAAGGAACGCCCAAATGGCCCACGACAGAATCGACTGATTCGCGTCCAGGCCTCTCCACACGTTACCTGTGTTCACCCAGCCCGGCCAGGAATGGATGAATGTCACATCGGTGTGCCCAGTTGCAAGCTTGTCCAGAAAGACAGTGTTCAGGGTCAGGTAGTGCGGCTGTGCGGTTGTGAAGCCGAAGCTGCCAGGATTCTTAAGATCGATGTCGTCAACGTTGATGCTGGTCGTTCGTTCAAGGCCGCCTCCCAGGACATTTACAACGCGCGGGTTCTCAGCCTTCTTCAGGAGAGGAAGAAGATGCAGGATGAAAAGGACGCGTGCGTAGTATGACAGAGCTTGAGAGATTTCTATTCCTTCAGAGGTCTCTTGGCGGATGCCAAAAGGTGCATATCCCGTTGTAAGAAAGAGCAAGTCGATGTGACATTCCTTGCTCTTGATCAACTCGCATGCTTTCTTGGCTTCCGCGAGAAGTGATACTTCGGCTTCGACCCATATGACTTCGGCGTTTGCATTGATGCTCTGTAGTTCTTGGACGAAGGTACGAGTGCGCACTTCAGAGCTCGGGCGTCCGATGAGATATATTCGCAGACTAGTACCTGTCGCGACTAAGGCGCGGAGTGTGAGCTTGCCGATGCCAGAAGTTCCTCCCACGAAGACGGCCACACGGGGCGCGTTTGCATCGTTAATAAGAGCGTTAGAAATCTGGATGTCCTTGTAGGCAACCATGATGGGGTTGGACTTCGATCTTTGGCCGGACTGTAGGTATACAGAAGATTAGAGGCGAAGCTTTGCTCTATAAACATTGTCAACCGTACGTGTTCGCACGGGTCATTAAGGCATCCTGCTCTTCGGACGAATTCTGGGCGCCACAGTGCCGCTGGATAGACCACTCATGCTGCCTTCGTGGCATACATCGGAGTCGAATCTAGCTTCTCGCATATCTAGCGACATGCGAATATGTGTACGAGCAGGCTCATGCGTAGTGGAAGAGGGAGTGGAAATGCAGCCGTGCAGTAATTGTCGGCACGTGGCGCTAGGTTAGCGTCATCGAACTGTTGTGCTCCACCGACGTCAGCCATCGAAGCGGACCCTGGCACCAGATACAATCTTTATGTCGGCCTGTTTCGCTCATGCCCTGACTGTGATTTCTCTTTCACAATCCGTGTGTTCATATCACTGGCTTTGACAGTACCATTTCGAAACTTGTTAACCAAGAGGTCCCCCGGCCCCAGCACGCGACCAGTCCTCGCGCCGCTGCCTGTTTACTAGGTACTCTTGCGCTCTTCGCCCATTCACCTCTCAACACACCACCACCATGGCGCCTCTCCGAATAACGATACCCACGTCGCACACCGAATCAGATGGTGGTAAAGAGTTCACAACCTACGAAATCCGCATCGAGCACCCTTTCCCACGCGCATCCACGTCCCTGCGAAAGCGCTACTCCGACTTCGCGGCACTCGACTCCGCTTTGCGCTCTCAAGTAGGCGCACTCCCGGCTCCCTTACCTGCCAAATCGTGGCTTGGGGGTTTCCTTGGTCTCGGCAGCTCCCTCGGCTCCCCGGAGCAGATAGAGAAGCGCAGACAAGGACTAGAAAAGTACTTAGAAGCGATTGAAACAAGTGAAGACGGGCGATGGCGGGTCAATCCGGTATACCGCGAGTTCCTCGAACTCGGAAGCGACAAAGACAAGAAGACGGCGAACCTTCCGGGCGCGCAGTTCGGCAAGGACAGAGTGAGGGACAGCACAGACTGGTTGGATAAATATCAAGAGGTGAAGAGCAACCTGCAGGATGCGAGACGGTGGTTGACGGCAAGAGAGCAAGCTACCGCCGCGACAGCGCAGCACGAAGCGGGTGCGAATGCGAAGAAGGGTCTCGTCAGAGCCGGCACCCTTTTGTCAGCGTTGGAAGAGGGCTTGAACAGGCTGGGAGGCAGCAGCGATGGATGGAGCGGTGATAAACTTGGCGAGGGTGAGATACGGCGGCGACGTGATCTCATTGGCACGTCACGTAAAGAGCGCGATGGCTTGGAGAGCGTGCTCAACACTATGGCGGTGAAGGCCGCGGTCTCGGGGTCTGCATCCTCCGCACCTTCCACAAACTCGGCTGCAGTCACGAACGAGCAAAAGGCTGGGCTCTTCAGTCGCGCGAATCAAGCTGCACCAGGCCGATCGGGACGTGTTCTTGGAGGTCAAGCCAAAGAGACCGAGCGCACACGCGAACTCGATAATGAGGGTGTGCTTCAACTTCAACAGCAGATCGTCGCCGAGCAAGATGAAGATCTGGTCGACTTGACGACGGTGGTCAGACGCATGAAAGAGATGGGCGTTCAGATCAACGAAGAACTGGTGTATCAGAACGCCTTGCTCGACCAGGTCGACCAAGATGTTGAGCGTGTTGAAGGCAAGATGAAGATTGCAAAGAAGCGCATTGCAAAGATCAAGTGAGAGGGGATCGAGTATGGGTTTTGCATATCACACTGGCGTTTTGCTTATCAGCTTGATTTTGCTTTGCATATACCCATCTTCCTAATGAGCACATACGCACATAGCATTCTTCAAATACGTTTTCTTCTGTTCGCTCTTCCTGTCCATTGCTGTGTTGGCTGCAGGCAAACCTCATTCACACGGTAAGAGCCACCGCCGGCGCTAGCCTTATGTTACGGCGTCTCCAGTTTCTGCCCTCCACCCTTCTTACATCAACTTCAGGTTTGCATCTACTTTAGTTTAGTTTTCGACACTCAGCGCTGTTGTCTCAACGACCTGTACGCTCTTCTTCATGCATTCAAATTCCATCTGTCGCCGAGCTGAAGCGGGGAACGCCAGCCAAACCACACAGCCCCGCCTCTCGTCCTCCTCCAGACATTACACAGCCATAACGCAACATGTCGTGCAGTACATCACGTTCGCTGCTTAATTGCGCCACGATGCCTTACCGTCCTCATCGAAGGGCAAAGTGAGCGTGAAATGGAGAGCTGTGCGGTGAGCAGTGGATGCGCCCTTGAACGCGGCGAACCACATCATTACGGTGTGCAAGAGCAAGGCAAAGGCAATGCACCAAAAATTTGTGGCGTGTAGCAATAATGTTTCGCCATTTTAAGGTGCAGGTAGGTAACTGGTGCCACATGGACAGGGAGCATATAGGTCGGCGGTTGCCCCTGGGAGCGCAGTCCATTTCACAAGATCGTGAAGCAATACTTGAGGCCACGAACTTCCTACCCGCGATTCAAACCTGGTCAAATATATGAACCATCTCTGTGAAAGATTTTGTTTCATCCAACATGGCCGCCCTCAGCGACTTAGCTACCGTAGTACACATTCTCAAACGCGCCCACGCCTTTTGTGAATCCTGCCGTTCCGCCCCCGAAGAGATCTACCTCGCACGTGAGCATGTACACGCCATGACTCTCTGTCTTGAAGGAGTTTCATCCGATCTGTACGAGAACCAACGCTCGTTTGTACACCAAACCACCTACAAGGCCAAAACCCGTCAACACACGCTCAAGGCGCACATCGCGAGCTGCGACCGCTCTCTGATGCGAATGGAAGTTCTGCTGCAGAGTTACCAGGGGTTCAAGAAGGAACATGTCAGTCTCTGGGATAAGTTTCGCTGGAGTACTGGCGGGAAGAAAGAGATTGCGGAGTGTAAAGCGGACTTGGTGCTGAGTACAGCTGTGCTCGATGTGTTTCTCGGCAGGGAGCAGTTGAGTGTGCTGTATAAGCTGGAGAGCATTATGGAAGCGTTCATGAAACGGGTTGCACCGTTAGAGGCCTTCGACGTGCCCATGTCAGCGAATGATGGGAGGGGGAGGCAGAGGAGTGGGAGCAACGTCACGAGGACGATTGTTATCAGTCTGGTACTAGCCCGACTGAAGAAAGTCTTGCAGTCTTACCGGAGGAAGACGGCTAATGCCAAGTCCAAGAAAGCCGGACACCAAACAAGCCCAGGACGACCGAAGCCTGTGATGAGAACAAACTCTGGTTTCATGAATAATCCAAACCGCAACGCCCTGATGCATACATATGCGTCGAACATGGCGAGCGCTGCAGCATTCAAGGCTCCACACATACAGCGGAAACCTCATCCTCGCACACCCAGCCCAGACTTCCATTACATCCCGAGCACCAGACCATCTTCTCCTCTACCTGGGCTCATCCGCCGCTCAAGCTCCATGCAACGCCTTACGAGCCACCTGAACGCCCGCAACAGCAATCTCCGTACCTCCAAAGAGCATTACGAGTGCTGGAGAGTCGGAATCGGCACGCTGGCCTTGGGGCCTAAGACCGCACCACAGTACCTACCACACAAGCGTGGGCAGCTGCAATTGCGAAAAATGGGTGACGTGTTCAAAGAAGCTGAACTATATGATAGCAGGGCGGTGACAGAAAGTGACGAGAAGGTGAAGTCGTTATTGAAAGAGAAGAATAGAAAGGTGAAAAAGGGGAGAAAGTGGTACTTTGTGGCAGGGAAAGTGGTCGGGAGGGACCCGGGGAGGACGGGAGTGGTGAGTGTGGAGAAGGCTTTCGTTGTGCTTGTGAGACGATGAGGATCGAGCTATGGATCTTAGAAATTACTTACCTTGGCATGGTATGTTTTGTAATACATCGTTAATAATGAAATGTAGAGCTTCTAGAAGCAAGTCCCTTCACATCCATCAACCTACGGACCAAATACCTAGCCATTGACTCTCACTGCCTTCATTCACCTCTTCTGTTCCCCCCAATTGAGTAGGCAAGTCAAAATCATTGTCAGCGACGCACACAGTTCATCTACGATGTCTACGATGTAGGCCAATAGACCGGCAAAGATTGTGTTCAGTAATCCAATCTGATGATTCAAGAGCCCAAGAATCAGCTTCAAGAACCCCGTCGATCAGGACTTTCAGAATGCAGAAGAGTTTCTGTATCTGACGATCGCTGCTTGGAGACTTGGTATCTAAATCGTGCATGAGTCTTTCACAATTACATGTAGCTCATCGGTAGGCTCAGGTGGATAGTGTATATTATTTGGAAACTGCGTCTGTGTCGAGAGCTACCTCGGTACTAAGCATTTCTCGCAGCGAAATTCTCATGCCTATGCATCTATGCTAGTTCACGATGATCTGCTCGCCGAATTGGGAAAGATGATACACGACGAAGCTTCCCACTGGGAATCATACATCCTGTTGATGCACAGCCAGGAATGTCAAGCTCCATAGCTGAATGATATCGCTCTCGGTCGTCGAAAACGCACTCAAGGGCACGGGTTGGTACCCATTGTTGTACTGCCAGCTCCAGACCTCGCCGCTCAGCTGTGCGCGATTCTCATTGATCGTTTCCCAGAGCACTTCGTAGGCGTTACCGACTTTGCTGCGAAGTTTCTGGCCGCAGAAATCTTGAAAATGGGTTAGCCGCGTGAATTCGAGAACGAGAACATGAAGGACGCTTACCGGGTGCAGAGGTACAGTTACAGCGGGCGAGTTGTCGGCCTAGACCAGCTGCCATCATGGCTAATTGCCAACTCCATACTACAGTGCCGTGGTAGTCGGAATTCTTGAACTGGTCTTGGAGGGATCTACTGTCGGCATAGGCTGGGTTTGCAACAAACAAGCCCACATCTGTTTTCAGCCCGACGGGGAAGTTCTGCAGGATGTGGTCGGCGGTCTGCTCAAGGAATGCGCTCAGCTGAGCTTGATTTGTGGTGTTCAGGAGGAAATGTCGGAAGCAATCATCAGTGTTCATGACGCGGACCGGCTTGTCATCAGTCCCCAGAGCGAGACCGTAGAATGTGATGTTACCCGAGATCTGGTCGGTGTTCGAAGGTCCTGCAAGGGCAGCATCGGAGACATATTGTTGGACAAGCTGTTTAGCTTCGCTGCTAGAGACTGACACCTCGAAGAATTGTAGCGTTTCGTCTTCCCACACTTGCGCATACTTAGCTGCAGTATCCGCCCAATCCGGGTGATCTGAGAAGTAGCCTGCTTGAGACAAGGAAGCGATTGCACGCAAACCTGCGGGTACAAGCGCTGTGTTGACGTCGTATGGTATGCGACCACCTCCTAGACCTGTACCTGAATCTCGCCAATTGCCTACTGTTTGGCCATCTTTCAGATGTAATAGATTCGATGCAACTTGGCTTGAAACAAACGGCGCAGTGATGCTCATGATCCTCTCAGCGGTACGCTCTGCCAGGGTAGAATAAGCGGTTCCCGCATTCTCCTCCAAAAAGGTAGCTTTTCGGCTGAAGAATAGCGCTGCTCGGTCTTTGCCAACGTCCGTGTTTACGAAGTAGTTGTTCATCAATATAGGGAACAAAAAGTCTGTATCGATCATCTTGTAATCGCAGGAAGGCGCGCTCGAGTCGATGCCGTCCTGGCGAGCGAGGAATGCAGCGTAGTCTCCTAGATTCTCTTCGTGGCAGACTGTTCCGTCAGTCTTATTAATGCGCTCGATTACTGCCCCAATCACTGCCTCCAGTGCACCACCTTCTCCCTGGCTGAGAATGTCTTGCATAAGCAACGCGGAAAGCATGCTGTCCCGACCGAAGTACGTCAGGAACCTCCATGATCCAGCAAGAAGCTTATTCGAGTAGGACAAGAAGGAAAGTGACTTGGTTAAATCGGCACTCTCCCTTACAAGAGCTTGCGAAGCGTTGTTGAGCACCTCCGAAGGGCTCAGCTGAACGAGCTGAGGGTAATTGAAAGTTGCTCTGAACTCGTATGTTCCTGTGCCAAAACGAAGCCTTTGTGTAGAAATTAGCTTTTTGGACGATAATGGAGAGTGTTCACTTACATCCACTTATCGCCGGTGATAATTTGAACCGCTTCCACCCCAGAAGTGGGTGTGAAGTCGATCCAAGTGGTGGTCTCGCCATCGAACCAAGTCCGCGAGAACTGTCCGCCGTTGTCGCCAAATGTCTCCGTTACGACAGCGTTCTGTACATCGGGACTGAGTATCCCTCCACCCTCAGAGTAGTCGCGGATAGAGCGGATGCTCCCAAGAATGGGCAGAGTGAGAAGAGCAGGCGTATCGAAGTGAACCAGACCTTTGACACCAACGCGCGGATTCTGGTTCTTGGCTCCGGTGGCTGCAGGTTGGTTTACAGTGTCCAGAATTTGCCCGTCTGCGGTTGAGTTCTGAAGCTGCAGGCCAAGCGTGCCGTTGTTCTCGGCTTCAAAATAGGCAGTTGCGCCACTGTTGCCTGCAGGCCATGCGACAAGTAGCCGTGGTTTGGAATTTGAATTGTTGGTGTTCGCATCCGGACTTGTGACAATGACATGGGCGCTGGTGATGCAGTCGGAGAGGAAGTAGTTGTCATACGGCGGTTCCGAGATATGGAGCCTTGACGCAGGACAGTCTGCGGCAAATGTGAAGCCAAATGAGGCTGCCAACAGATACCAGAGCACGAAAAGGGTAGCCATGAGGCAGTTGAAACTGTGCGTGGTGATCAGCTTCGATTGCGGGAGCCAAATTATATACTTGAACTAAGGTACCATGCAATGCCCGTGCGTCATTTGGGCGTTAGCCCCGGACGCAGTGAAAGACGCAGGCATCGTGAGAGCACACCGTGAAGCCGTACATCAAAATGAGGTTACACATCCACCTTCCCCATCTTATAGGTTTCCTCCATGCAAGGCCATTGACTTTCATGGCTTTGTGTAAGCGATAAGGAAACAATTACAGTTGGTGCGCGCAACGGCAGGTGAGATTCTAGCAACGTCATTCAGCATGGCAGCTACCTGAATGCGGCGGGCGTGGTGCATCTAATGCAGGCAACTCGGAACAAAAGAGGGGTCGAAGAGCGATGCTGCAGATCACCTGGCCGACGAGCTTTGGTGTCTTTGACCCGATGCAACCTGGGAGGAATGGTCCGCTACGGATGCGCTAAAGACCAAAGAAGACTAGTCCGTAAGCGGAGCACGCTTTGGGATTCTCGTCATGCATGGTGCCTTGCAACCTTCCTGCTGCGGCTCATCACTCTGTCTTGTTGTCGTGCGAGTCCACCGTCGTCTCTGCCTCGGTTTCGTACCCCGGTGCTTTTCGTTGGCTCTATCTAAGCTGCTGTGAACGGCTATTACGTGGCCGACAGAACCACCTGCAATGAACAATCCTGTACCCTTCAGTCAGTCCCCTTAGTAGTTTCCCGAAGGTTGAAGCCTGTGCCAATCATTGAACGCTTGGTCAGCTGAGTCTCAGGCAGAAATTCTACTTCAACAAACTGGTCTCTTCTAAGAAGCGTCTGGTCCAGGGCAAGGCAAAAATTGCGAAGATACTTCGGAACGTTTTGTCTAGCTTTCCTAAGCACATATCTCTACGCAATATAGCAGAAAGAGAACTATAGTAAACGTCAGCATCGAATCAGTTGTAATGAATCACCTCCGGATTTCAAGGAAAGGGACACCATGTTCAAGATTCATTTTCAAAGGTCAAACCCTTGCTTTCGCCTGATAGCATTCAAATATATACATCAATGGTAGGTCAACGGTACCGCAGCTTATAAACATCCACAAGAGCTCGACAACCTGCTTCGTGTCGATTTTACCCAGGTTTTACCTCTCATGCGATGAACTTGACCGCAGTAGTCGTCCCCTGGTCCGCCTTAGCCGCCGCCAATGCCATAAGCAACCCCGGATACCAAACATTCATCATCTTCTGGTCTCCGCTCGCATTCGGATGCACACCATCGCGCAAGTCGCTCGAGCCAGAAAAGCCAGTGTACTGGTCCACGACCCAGATAGGCGACTCGGTCTTGTTGAGCCCAGCGGCCCAGGTCGGGATCTGAGCGTTGAGTTGCTGGATCTTGGTGTTGTACGAGCCGATTCCCATGGGGATGATCTGGGCGACCTGCGGATAAGAGTTTAGTGAATGGTTTGCAGAGGAGGGTGTTGGAAACGGGGAAGGCATACCACAATCTTCATTTTGGGGTTGTGAGTCCGCATCGTCCCCACCAACTTCGTAAACGCCGTGATAACATCCGCCACAGGCTTGTTCTGCTGCACGAAATCATTCGTCCCCAGGTGCATCGTAATCACATCCGCGGGATTTGTCTTCAGCCAGCCGTCGAGCTGGTTTTTATTCGCGATGTCAATGGCCAGGAAGCCTGAGTGGCCCTCGTTGTCGCGATCATACTTGGTATCTTTGCAGTTGTTCTCGTTCTTGCCGCTGCCGACGAAGTTCACAGAGGCCCATTCCGTGGTTTGCAGTTTCTCCCAGAGGAGCGAGCGCCAGCAGGTGATCTCCGTGATGGAGTCACCGAAGGGCATGTAGCGCAGGGTGGCATTTTGAGCGGTGGTGATCCCGAGGAGGGTGAGCAAGGAGAGGACTTTGAGGGATACCATTGTGTGTGAGTGAAGTACTGCGCTCGTAGACTGGGGTGCTGATGGATGAATCAGACCACTTTCTGCTCTTTTATATGCAGTGTCTGTGGAAGATATCTCGGATGTAGTTCGGAGATCTTAACAATTGATATTGATTATATAGCTGGCGTCGCGTCGCCCATTGCTCACGGCGGGGTCATTTCATCTGAATAGAGACTTGAAAATGGCCGCGGAGGAAGTCGAAAAGACGCTTGCTGGTCGAGATTGAAACTTAGTTCAAGAATAAGTATATAGAGCAAGGTGAATTCCCAGGATCGCATGCCATACATGAGATCTGACAGGCGTGACCGGGTTGTGAACCTGGCTAAATGGGACGAAATCGGATATTGCTCATCTAAACAGATTGGCGAAGGTCAACACGGTATAAAACACGGTACAAAAGCGCGGGGTTATCCCCAAATTCCATGGTGTCGGTTGAAAGGGAGCATGGGTGCCGGCGATGTTTCGGGTGAGCAGTGGAGGGTGAATGCGCCAGATCGCAAGTGCACTTCGTAAAGCGGCCTCGCGTAGCCTCATGTAGAAATCGTTGTACCTTCCGAACGGACGTAGTATATGCCACAGATGGAGAGCTTTTGGAAAACGAGATAACTTGAGGCGTATGATGTCGAGAGGCAGCACCTAGGGTTGAGAGCCTATGGGCCTATACGCTCAATTCACTACAAGATAGCCGCAACTGAGGTAAAGCATAACTCCAATTTATGCAGTCGTATTCGCTCCCATACCAAGGACTGCAACGCTCAATACCAGAAGAGGTATCAGAGCATATACCGGTGCGCCTGTATGCTTCCGAGTCATGCACTACACTCCACTCTTATACATCATCGCTTGAACGACCAAATGATCGATCGGAAACATGGAGAATGCCGGTGACCTCACAGAACCGACTCCACCGCCCACTCAACTACCACCTGCCACGCAGATGCAGACCTACGGACGACCGACAAACACGTACTCCTCCTCCTTCTCCTTCCCAACCGTCTTGCCGTCGTCCTGAACTGTCTTTTTGCTTTCACCCTCCCCTACTTCCACGCCGGCCTCAGCTTTGCTGACAACAACAGGCTCCTCTTCCAACGCACCCGGCGCCCTAGACCCCGCCACATCGTCCGGCCCGACCGTCTCCTCATCATCCCCCTCACTCTCATACTTCCCCAGCAACGCCCCCTGAATCTCACTCTCCTCCTCCAGCACGAGAACGTTCTTGACATCCTCGAATAACTCCCGGTGCCGCTCACGCCTAATCTCGTCTTCCACGAACACCGGTGTGCTCTCTCGATCAGCCTGCGATACTCTACGGCCTAGAGCGATCTTGGTTGGGGAATGTTGTTCTGGCTTCGTGGGCGAAAGATTCTTCTCGCCGAACTCGTTGCCGTGCTGGATGCCAGATAGCCAGGTGGAGATGTCTCCTGGGCTTGTGCGTGGCTTTGTGCGCTTTAGGCGCTTGACGATGAGTGGGTGATTTGCGATGGTGGAGTCATTTTCGAGGTTGGATGACTCATTGATGCTTGAAGCCTCATCGTCGGCGAATGAGTCGTCACTTGATGCTTTTGTCGGGGTCGGGGTGGCCTCTGTGACGGCTGGCTTCCTTCTAATGAAGGTCATCACTTCGACCTGCTTCGATGTAGTGGATTCCATGTCGACGTTGTCGCCCTGATCGTGGCGCGGCTCCTCAGTCCAAAACGTCTCTAGCGCGGCGTGCGCCTTGATGAGATCCTTGTGGTGGATAACGATGTACAAGCTGATGCTTGCGGCGCACACGATGAGTCCAGGGCCCAGATAGCGGGTCAATTGGATGTTGTCGGGCATTGTACTTAAGCTCGATGATGCAGCTAAAGCTCTTGAGCATTTGATAGAACATTAGAAAACAAGGATACTTACCAAAGAAGAGGTGTGAGAGTATGACAGAGGCCCTGTGCAGCCAGTCGGTGGTCTATGGCAGGCTGCCAAAGGTTGAGGTCAGGGGTGCTGAAGTGGGTGATGGGATTAAGAACTGCAATGGATTGAGCTCTGATTATTAGTGATTATGTTCAGTGCGTTTTGTTGCTCACTATCTAGGATAGCCCCATGCGTCAGGCGTGAGAGCCCACATTCACTCGTGGGGACTTGGCAATTTCCCCACGTTCGAATATTCATCCGTATCAACCGCTTCTGGACCATCACGTAGCCCGTCGATTCCCACCTGAAATCCACCGAAGGCTTACCGCCTACCCATTCCCAGAATCTTCGAAGCCGCACTACTGACCTTCAACACATCCCTATACGTTAAGCTCACTCTCGTCCCCCTCTCATTTCTCCCGTCTTCGAAAACGGTCCTGTCTCCCAAGAGTCCCCAATTCGCCACCGTCTCCTCGCTCAGTCCCTCATCAGTTTCGACAGCCGCAATTCCGTGCATCAAGTCACTATACGCCGCCTCCGTCGTGACAAGCAGACTTCTCCGTTCCTGCAGAACACGGGTCGGGATGGCGTACACAGAGTGCTCTTCTTCAGTCGTAGATTCTTGGGGATCGGAGGAACCTTTTCCCGTAATCTCCAAACAGATACTTGCACCCAGACTCACAGTCGCGACGACAGGCGCATACGCATCGCCGTCCTCGTGCGGCATAATGCCCTCTCCTTTCCTATACTCATTGATGAGCACGTGATTAGGCTGCTTGTGCGGGGTGGCTTCGAAAATGCCTAGCTGCTTGAAGCGCTCCACGACGGGGTCGAGAAGATAAGGCGGCAATGGTGCACCGAGCAGTGTGTTGTTCTTCGTGAGGGTGGAGGGGTGCGCTTGGAGGCGTCGGTGGGAAAGGGTTATCCAGCGGTTGGATGGGATCTGCGGTGCATTAGTATGGAAAGAAGGATAGAACAATTCTCGGGAGTTTAGGAAGTCGCTCGCATTACACGGTGCATGCATACTTTGTCCAAGATCGAGGCCTCCTCTTCAGTCGTGATGAAGTTTGGGATGTAGTAAAATTCAGGCGGCAACGACGCAATCCTGAAAGCTTCCAGCCCTTCACGTCCAATTGTTAAGTCCATCTTCGGTAGGATACCCGCCAAGTTGATGTCTATCTTTGATGTGGTCGTGCCTTGATGTAGTTGAAGGATAGTACACTAGTGTGCAGTAAGAAGTGGCGGCTCGTTCGAGACAGAGCGACCATGCCTTTTCAGGGAATATGTGTCACGTGCGCTCTGAGGCCTAACCAAAGCGCCCGCAGTTGATGATAAGAAAAAGCACACGAATGAAGAGAATTCAATTATCAAACGCAGCTGTAATTGCAAGGCCTGATGTATGATGTTCAATGCGAAAGCTATCCTTAGCTATATATAACCTCGACAAGGGAGTGGATCACTCTACCTCTAATCTGCGCCGATGAAAATGTATCCAATCCGTGCGCCCCATGACAACAAAGGAAAGAGATCACATAGGAGATGTTGTGGCGATATGAAGAAATAAATGCGAAGGATGGAGGCCGCAAGATATCCAGACCCGCCGACCACATGTAAAGAAACACGCGACCCCTAAACAAGATTTGAACAAGACATGGGAGCGAAGAGAAAAAAAAGGAAGACCAAGAGGTTTGGCTCACATCACACTGCAGCCACCAGGGCCACTTCGAGCGCGACGGCGACGACCCACACCGCCGGTGCCCAACCCGATACCACCTTCTTCTTCATCAGCATGCATCATCTGTGCTTCGCGTGCGCGTCTTCGTCGGCGTCGAGCGCCAGCTCCGCCTACACCAGCCTCCTCGTTCAGCATCATCCAGTCAGCCCACTTGCGCTCCAGACGTGCGGCAGCGGCAAAGTCGCCTCTCAAGACGCGCTTGGTGTGCTCTTCGACTGTGGGTTGCCAGTTGTAGAAGCATTTGAGGCCGATTATTTCTCGCGGGTAAGATGGCATGTTTGACTGCGAACCAGGCGACGGTCGCGAGATCTCTGCGTTACGGGACAACACTTCACGAACACCGGTCCACGTCACGTTTGCACAGTCGTAGGCCACGATGCGAATACCGACACTAGGGCGCTCGGAGCTAGTCAGTGCTCGCGCATGGCGATTGCGGGCACGTATGCACGATGCGGCTTCCGCAAGAACAAGGTCTGAAATTCGAGTGTTGTCCATCTCCAACGAGCAGAGACTTGAACATGCTTTGAGAACCGGTAGCATCCCGGCGTCACCCAGTGACTCGCAGTACGAGATACAGAGGTGTCGGAGGTGAGGTGCGCACATTGCGGAAGCAAGTGTCTTCAGCACCTCGTTCGTCAATCCATCCAGCTCTTCGATGTCCAAGTGAGTAAGCACGGGGAGCGTAGGTAGTACTGTAGTGAAAGCGTCATCGGTCAAGCCATGGCACTTGGACAGTTGAAGGCCTTCCAAGAAAGGCACATTCCCTGCCAACTTCTTGACTCCCGCATCCGTAATGCCGCGACATCGTGTAAGGTCCAGGTGCTTCAGTCGTCGCGGCGAAACAATAGGTCGGTCAGTAAGAACGTCAATCTCGCTATCGACGCCTTCAAAAAGTGCAGTGAGCGAGTCATCATTGAGGCTGTCGCAGTTCATCAGAACAAGCCTTTCCAGGGTGTTGCGCTTGAACAGCTCAGCCATGAAGTCAACGTCATCCCAGCCGCGTACCTCTCCGGCACGCAAATCTTTCAGCTTCGGACAGTTTTCGACGACTTTGCGGAGACCCCTGGTGTCGATGTTGTTGCACCACGACACGTTGAGGTGCTCCACGCGCGGGCAGTGGTTGGCCAATATCTTCATGGCCGCATTCGTTGCGCCGGCCAGACCTGACAGGTTGACGTGCACTAGAGATTTGTTCTGCAGTAAGAAGCAGTGAATCGATGTCCTGTCAATTCGGCATCCTTCCAAGGAAAAGTTCTCCAAGTTTCGACACGCATCGATGAGGCCCTTATTGCTCCATTGCTCTCTCAATTGCACGCATCCGCGAAGGTTGAGGTCGCGCACGAACGGACCAGCTGCGGTAATGATGTTGACCAAAGCATTGGCAGTAATATCGCGATAGAATCCAGAGGTATCCAAATCGCTCCACAGTTGGCCATCGAAGCACATTGAGTGCCATGTCTTGGAGACAGCGGAACATCGTACTATCTCTTTCGGCTCGAGGTATCGCAAGATCTGCATGCGAATCTCGGCGGGCATGTCGGACCAAAAGTTGAAGTTTGGTCTTGGTTGCACCCGCTTCCGGATGGGCTGCGAGAAGTAGTCGCCCTCGCCTTGGATGCCATCCTTGGTCAACGGGCGAAACTCAGAAGGAAGAGGCACAGAAGATGGGCCATCGGGGCTGAACATTCGAAAGCGCGCCCTCTCATCGTACAGAGGGCTTCCCGGCGGGCTATTGGCGACCGAAGTGGGAGCTGTGGAGAAGCCAGCCGAAAGCTCCGAGGAGTAGGAGCTGCCGTACGACTGAGCGTAGGGCGATGCACCCGATGCCAGCGACACGCACGACATGGAAGCTTTTCCTGTGCCTCTCATGCTGTGCGAGCGAGACCTGCTCAGACTAGCTAGGCTGGGTGACGAGCCCATCCGTTGTAAGCCATGTAGGAGGCGCTGGCGGCCCTTCAGCTTCGGTTTGTCGATGTGGATAGCTTCGCTCGGGGTAGGCGGACGGCTCGGGGTCAGGTCGCCGGGAGTGTTCACCACGACCGAGTCGATTGACAATGGCTCCATGGTGACGCGTAAACGGGATAGGCAGCGGGAGGAGGTTGGGCGGGTCGGACGCGGGGAAAGTAGAAGCACAATGCTGTGAAGGATGGTACCTTGAGGCCTGCCAGCGAATGGACTTGGCAAAGCACCAGAAGGTAACAGTCGCTGACGAACGGAAGAAAAACGAGCGAGGGATCCGTCTACCGTAGACTGTGTGCCGGGTGGGTGAGCGGTTTTGAGTACACTGCGCGGCGGTATGTACTAGGGGTTCTAGCCCGTCCTGGCAGTGTGTGGATGCGGGGGCGTGGACACTGGATCAGCGCTGACCTGCGGGAGCGTGAGGCTAGCCAACGCAGCTTGCAAAGGAGAGCTCTCGACGGAGGGAAAAGAACATAGAGAGCTCAGAGGTTTACTACAGCACGATAGATACAACGCAGCGAGCACGTCTATGATATGCGGGTGTACAGCTCGCTGCACTGCGGGCCAACGACGCGGGGATCCAGCGGTTATCTTATCGATATGGGTCATGAGCCGCCGCGGCTCGGCGAGAAACGCACGTGGAGAAGGTCAAGCGACCATCGCAACTGCCATCCACCCTCCTTGTACTGAAACAGTGGGCGACACCACGCGCCTCGTGAAGATTTCGTCTGTTGCATACTTCCATCACGACGGGTGGGCAGGGCGGTCCTTCGTTTCCTGTTCGGCCGCCGCGGCAACCCCTGTGCGCCCCATATGCAGGGAAAACAATCGCCAACCGCAGCTGCCCAATGCACACCAGACCCGCCAATCTGGACCGGCAGCGGGCGAGCTGGCCGTGGAACAACGCGCCGAAGGACCAACGGCGCCGCGAAGTCGCCTCTCGCCAGTGCCAGCCCACATCTTTCGACGGGGTACCTTCTGCCGACGATCCACGCCTCCTTGTGGCCTTGCGCAGCAGCTGTTAAAGACCACATGCCGCCTCGCCACAAGTGCTTCGAATGAGACGATGTTTCGTTATCTCCAACACCATCACGCAACGCTCCAACGATGGTCAACTGGCCTCGTCTGATAACCTTCGCAGCCTTGAAAGAACCACACTGCAAATCTCATCCCAAGCGAATGCCCCACCTCTTTGGGAAGGTGGGGGCTGTGAGAGTGCGATACGCGGCGCCTCGCAAGAGGAACGGAGCTGAAGAGTAGAAGTTTCATAGAACGCCTAGAAGCCTGCCTGAATGCGCCATCGATGCCCACGTCTCGCGTGTCCGTACAATCAAGCCTTCACTGGGACGCCCTGCAGGTGCCCTACGAACCTGCTGTGGATGCCTCTCCAGTTCTCCTCGCACTTCCCCTTTACAGTGCCAACCAACAGCCGTGACGCTTTGATTTCGACCTCTTCTACCAGACTCCATTCATTCTTCGCCTCCGTCGACTTGCCCTCGTCCACAGCTTTCTCCTTGCCCTTGCCTACGTCCGCGTTCCTCGTTATCGTCCATTTGGTCTGCTGCACCAGCCCCAGCGGAGCCTTGATCACCCACAGCACACCGTCTTCCGTGTTGGTGATCTGCGACTCGAAGGTCACTGTAGAGTCCCAGAGGCCCTTTGGTAGCGCGTGCATATGGTCCGTCACCTTGTACCGCTTCGTGTTCGGCGCAGCATCGTCCGAGGGCAGTGTCTCGTACGAGTGTAGCTCAGGGTCGAGGTGAATGAGAAGATCATGGTTTTGAAGCTTCTCGATCGCTGCTTCGATGGTGGTGCCTGCTGGAAGCGGTGTGACATGATGCAGCTTCGCCGTTGAGCTGAAGGCTTGACGGTCAGCTCGACGCAGGGCTGCACGAGGGGAAGCTGACTTACAGAACATGTTTCGTTGATCTTGAAGCTCGAATCGGTGGTAATTCGACCGTATCCGCTTTTTGGCCAAGGAAACTCTCGCGCGTGGCTGTGTTCGGAATTGTTGCCGACGTCTACAGCTCTCAGCGTCGGATTTGATTGAGTATTATCACGTATCGCGCGAGCAAGGACTTAGTATAGGCTCAAAGGATCGACGTGTGTTATTGAAAGAGCTATATGTCTCTCCGCTTGCGTTTCCGACGCGCCCGTTTCATATGCGCGACGCTTTTGAGGCAGTAAAGCAGACCATGACTGAGGATGCTCGCAATCTCAACAAAAACTCCGCTTCAGCTCCACTATGCACAGTTTGGACGAAAAGTCAATTGAGAGCTCGTTACAATTGTCGCACGGGTTTTGCGGTTTTTGGTGAGACGACCCATTTATCGGTACCGAGTGACATCGCGCGGGCCTCCGCGAAGCTCTAAGCTCGAATGACCTCACACCATTCAGGATCAAGTAAAGGGTGTCAGGCAACCAAGGGAGCTATATGTAGCACTCTGTTCATTGCACCGTAGTTCTGCTCTTCCTACACATTTTAATTAATCTCCATTTCTGACGTCCAGCTACTCACAATGGCAACAGCAGGCTCTCCATCGGGGCTTCTCATCGCCCAAGCGTGCGAATGCCCTCAATCGCTCAACAATGGCACAACTAATTGAGCACCAGGGTGGGAATCACAGCATCAACCTACCTCCTCGGCGCCAACGCAAGCATCGCCTTTGTCGCGATCCCCGCCGTCATGGAGGCTCCCCTCCCCGCTCGCCGCACGCCAATGGGCCAAATTATACAACCTCGGGAAGCCCTTCGGAATCGGCTGCAGCGTCGCCGCTGCCGTATGCACCGGCTACGTCGCGTATAACCGTGCGCTTTTCCCATTCTCCTACTCGAAATCTCGCTAACGTGGAAGCAGAGGACCCCGCCTCTCTCCCCTTCAAGCTCAACGCCGCCGCTACCCTCATTATCCCGTCTATCGTGCCGTTCACGCTTTTGGTCCTCAAGCCGATCAACGATAAGCTATTCGCCAAAGCCGATGCGCTCGCGCTGGATGAAAAGGCAGAGGTTGGCGTTGCGCAGGAAGAGACGACCAAGGCGCTCATTGAGCGGTGGACAAAGGGACATCTCGTCAGAACGGTGATTACGGGCGCGGGTGCTATATTGGCAATTTGGGCCGCGTTGGATAAGAGCGACACTGGTAGCGTTGCTGGACTGAGCTTCGGGACTGGGGCGAACAGACTTGGGTAGATGCGAGGGGAAGAGAATTCGATATTCTAGGATTTCGGGCATGAGGTGAACATTGCACAATCGCTGAAAGCTGTATATATAGTGTTGAATAGCGGTGCGTCCCAACGAGCTGAAAATCTCAACTGTCTACAAACGCTTACGCGCAAGTCCATGGCCAAGTACTTACGTTCTGCGATGCTCATGAGCTCCTAATTTCATACTCGGCTGTCCAGGAAGCGTCGTGACGAATTTCAATCGTCTGTGCTAGAGGAAGCTCGTCGGACGCGGTGATGTTCATCACCATCAAACTACCAGGAGCTCGCGCTAAGATTTTGCTTATAAAAGCCCTCACAGTTTCCTTCCTTCGACCGCACATTACTTCGCTCTTCCTAGGAAGTGTCTAAAGGTTACTGGCTACCACGCTGATGTCGCTGGGATTGTCTAAAAAACTGCTCCGGTTCAATTGATGTGCGTGGGAGACTTCTAAAACGCCATGTACTCCCGGAGAATGTGGGTGGTCGGCTGTCCTTGTCTAAAAGTTCCTTCCCAGAAGCGACGATGTTCCTGGGAGGTTGGCGCCCTGCAAAGTAGCCATCCAGTGGGACCATGTGGGCGGTCTTTCGGTCTATCATGGGTTCATGGATCGATAGTAGGAACATCACCAACACCATCGGACTATGCAGAGCTCAGGGCATTGCGTTGCATACAAATGTCCATTCTGTTTCAGTATGCGGGGCCGCACAGCGCTACATGCTCTCGAACTGGTCTGAAAGAAGAGCTGTTCGTTGCTCATGATTGTGAAGGGCGTTGAAAAGTTGCGGCAGCACATATCATTGAGGGCGTCTAAAGCCCATATACAAGGCTATGTTCTCGGGGACTTCTAGAATGCATGAAGGCAACCGCAAATGGGTGGACGGACGTGTTCTCCAAACACCTTATGAAGCACATCATGATTGTGAGACCAGAATGCATTATCAGATGGGCCAATGCGGCTCGTCTATAACATCGGTGTACATATGAGACAGTGCTGATTCTCGCCGTAAGACTCCAAAGCTTGTGCCGTGTTTTCACGTATAAATATCAGCTAATCATTCCCTTGGACGGCACACTGCTCACTCGCCACTGCGGACCAAAAGAGAGAGATGCGACGCGACATGGCTCTGGAGACGTCCAAAAGAAGACATCAACGAAGACATGTTCGTGGAGGGTCTACAAGAGCTACACGATCCCAGGCATGTGAGCGGACGAACTTTTTCTCTATAGTCCAGAGCACACGAGCAATGAGCGGGACCAAAAGCCTGTACGATTGGGGCAAATGGCTTTGGAGCAGCTCCTCTCGCAACATCGACCCAGTTGCATGATCTCTAGCCATGCTAGAGCACTCGTCCTTGCAGTCGTCTTAATACCCAAGCGACAAGAAGCTCATGCTGAAGGAACGGTGTAATTATCTTTCCGATGCTTTCTCTCAAACTGCACAATATTCTGCTTCTTTCATAGAGTCCAAAAAGGCGCCGCGGCGACCCTATGTGTGAGGGGGCCTGTTCTCAAATGAATCAATCGAGCAGAATATGTTTGTGGAGGCTGTTTCCAAGACGAAGAACAGAAGCTTCATGTGGGTGGATGGATCTTTCCCAAAATTGTGCCCAGAAATCTCATGTTCGTGGCAGATTTTGCTGTCAAACTCCTCTGCAACATATACGTGTCTGTGTACAAAATTTCAGTACGAGCTTGTCGATCACTTTATGGGCCGTCTTCTATGACCTTGTCTGTGTGCGTGATCTGGTCATCGTGCTATGATACTCGATTCTGGTGTTGAGTAATACCACTATTGGAACCCTTGTAGCGCTGGTAGTTGGGTTGCATTAAATCCCTTCCTCTGCTTCTCTTGTTCCATTGCACACTACTTCTGTTACGCTTGGAAGGATACCAAAATCAAGTTATCCCAAGTGCCATGTTTGAGGACACCGCTCTCTAACAAAGGACACAGATTGCCAATGTTCGTTGGGCGTCCTAAAATCGGGAAGAGCAAGTACATATGGGGAGAGCGGATCTCTTCTCCAGATTCCACAAGTCAAGATCCGCATGCGCTTGAGGATCATACTCTGTACAATCTATGACGCCGAGAAGCATCACCAACATGCACAATGTCATGACATATAATATCATCTTTTGCTAGCGATAACGCCCTTCACCCTGGGAAGAGATGAATCCTGACTGGAATTGCGCCATTGAGTGGTTATAAATATTTGTCTTTCTCATCGTCTTGACCACACACTACCTTGCTCACTGGACAAAAAAGGAATATCCTCAAGCACCCTATGTTCTTGGATTGGAGGACTGTTCTCCAGACAAGATGTCTAACAAGAAACGTTTGTGGAAGAGGTAAAAGGCGGATCAAATAATACACGCTGGGAGCAGACCTTATCAAAAGCAATGGCTTGAAAGCTGATACTTGCGAGACCAAAAGTTCATTCGAATTCTCTGCATGAAATCAAAACGTGTGCCTCAAGATCTCAGCCTTTGGCGCGATGTTCCAGGGATCAGCACACATAACTACGGCAGCTTTGTCACGCTGAGCCTGCTATCCGTAATCCACGTTATAAACCCATTCTGCATCACTGATCTTGCCACACATTACTTCCTCCCTTGCTTGGGAAGGCCCAGAATACAGCATCAATGCGGCCATGTTTTGCGGGCAACTATTCTCGAACTAAAAAGTGACGACTGACCTTGTCCAAGAGCTGTGCACATACGAGTGCATGTACTACACGGTTCATGTTTGAAGCCGTGACTCAACAAGCTCATGCTCCTAACACCAAAAGTTCGCTCGCTTCCTTTCCATCGCCTGTGGAAGTTAGTCTCGTAAACTCAACCTGTTGGCGCGATATGATTCTCATGTTAAAGCGCCCATGGCATGCGGCGGTCGTCATAACGATCAGCATAACAGGTTACGCCGCCGTGTAGGCTATAAATACCAAGTCTACAGCGGGGTCTAAAATTAATCTTCGATTGTCATATGTCTGTGGATGATGTCTCAAAACACTCTCAATGAAATCCCATGTTCGGGTGATCGACCAAAAAGTGATTGATGTGGGTGGATGAGCTGCCCCGGCATAACCAGATCAACGAGTGCATATGCCTGGATCCAGGAAACCGCGACCCGACCAACAAGATTATGTAAAGGCTGTGACTTGGCCGATGTGCGTGATTCGGCCGCTCATTTCGTGGTACTTTCTGGCGATGATAAACCTCACTACTAGGCAATTCCTACTACTGCTACCAAGTCATCTATAAATTCAGCGACCTATTTTCACCATCAAGCTCACATGACGCCATGTACCAGACACCATGTGGTGCGTCTGGAAGGTGCAAAAGCTATTCCACCAGAATGAAAAGGCTGTGAAAGACGTCTGCAAATATGAACTGGGTATGTACAATGTCTTCCGCCTTCAGGAAAGCGTTGCGGACGCAATGATAAGCACGGTTCGTCTGCTGCAGCATGTTGCACAGAAATGGTTGTGCATATCATCATTAAACAATGGACCATATCTGGACTGCGCTACTAGTTGACGATAAATCTCTGTGTAATTCTTGGTTACAAGCCCACAGCACTCACAGCTTTTGTGGGACATCTCAATAGTAAATCAGACGAACGACATGCATATGAAGGCATGTGCAAAGATGCTCACTAATGTCTACATGGTCGTCAGGGACGTCTAGAATATCACTTACATCTAGAAGTTCATGTGCGTCTCGCCTCCCAATAGATGCTATCGTACTGCTTGAAAGTCTGCGGTTGCGACAGTGTCCTATCTTGACAGTGATACTCACCATCACTGAAGGTTTCTAACTTTGGTAACTTGATGCGTATAAATACCCCATCAACTTCTTCCCTTTTTCTGTACACTGTCTCCAGAGTTCTCTAGAACAATCTAAAATGGGTCAACAGCCGCTCATGTGTTCGTAGGCGCTGTCCAAAAAGACTATCGGAAGGGGGACATAGTCTTGGCAACGGCTAGGAAGTATCCCGGGATTGGACGCATGCTCAAGTGAAGACTGCTCTAGAAGCGAGAAAACCGACTACACATGGGAGGACAGACCTTTTCGGACTTTGAGATTGAATACATCACTGATATGCTGTTGCTCGACCATAATTGCGCAGTCGATCTGTAGCAGTTGCGTGTACCCTCCGAATTGTGTTCTTGTTGGTGGATCTCATCTTTAAGAACTTCCATCATCTTCCTGGTTTGATGCCACGGCGTAGTCTATGACTACCGTCTTCTCCCGTTCTTTCTACCGTACACAACTCCCATATCTTCTCATGACAGTATGAAAGATAGGGAAGGAGAATTCATGTCGTTTGGCAGACGTCTAAAAGACATAGAGAACCACAAAGTATTTGTGGCAGGGTGGTTTTGAAGACACTGCTGGGACCGATCATGACTGCGGGGAACGTCTCTGAAATGGTCTATCACAGAGTCCTATGCGTGGCGCGTGTCTATGGACGAGAAGCCTAGGGATTATATGGCCTTGGGAAAGACTAAAATATGAACAGTAAAGGCCCTTTCCCCGAAGGCGGTACATATGAAAACCCTACGTCTTCCAGTTATGTTCGTGGAACCAGTAACCATGCCAATCTCAATCCCTGACTTTGGGAGCATGTTATCCCGTCAAACCCACTGATGTTGATGTGAGCAGCCTTCAGAAACTCGTGCGGCCGTGAAAGCGCTATCCAGAAATAGTTGTTGTCTCATCATCAAATTGTCGACTCTTCGTGAGCTTGTCCTAACACTCGATTAATACCCTGCGTCTTTATCATAAATGCTACAGAGTCCTCTTGTCCCTCATTAAGGAGTCAAAAATTAACAAGTGTCATGACCAGGACTCGGTGCGCATTGGAGGACTTCCTCGAAAGCGACGGTAAATGGATATGTGTGTGGGAGCACTAAGCGCGGACCAATTTTTCAAGCGCAAAGCTGCTTCCGTAAAGGTAGGTTCTTAAGCGGAGCTCGCCGTACAAAACTTGATGTGTCTCCCCGATGCCAGTGTTGTTGGCGCGGTAGCTTGGATCCGCGAAAATCTTCTTCTGTTGGTAAAGCTCATCAACCTCTTTCTCAGCCTGTCTTTACCTTCGCATGAAAACAAGTCTCCAAGGTATTCTCCGATCCCCGTACCATGCTGTGGAAAGATGGGTCAAGCGAAGATTGCACGTTTTCGTAAGCCCTATGTCTACTGGAAGAGATCTGACGTGAAACGTGTTGGCCTAGTGGGCGAGCTTATCGCCCATAAGCGGTGCGCGAGTAACTGGGAAGTGTGGACACTGGCAAAATCTAGATAGAAGTTAGTTGCCTCTTACGGGGTGACCCATCAAATGTGCTTAATCAGTTCGCCGGTTTCGAGCGGTTCGGGCCGAAAAGCCTCCCCGACCACGTCCGAAACTGGACCGAGGCCTGCACACATAGTGAGGCTCCTAACGCTCAAACAATTCTCGGAGCGAGTGTTCTGCTTTGGACCCTTGTTTGTTTGTCAGCGCCGCCGAAATGATCAGAGCTTCCTCCGAATGCTTCTCTTTCAGGATACTGATCCGTTGTTACCATACGTGTCACTGCAAATCGACGTTTACAAACGCTTTGACAGATACTGCAACAGGGAAAATTTTGCTGAATGTGTTTGAGATGAAAACAAAGTCCCACAGCCATAATGTTGCCTTTGTACTTATATAAGACTTATTCTCGACAAATCTTCTAATTTTCTTCATATCAATTGCGCACAGCACATTCTCGTCACCATGGAAGTAACATACAACGTCATCAAGGGCTCTGCCAGCAAACAACTTGTTGAGCATAGCGTGGTTTCCCGTCTAGAGCCTCACCAAGTTTACATCGAGACCACCCACTCTGGCCTATGTTTTACAGATGAGCATTACCTTGGCGCCGACCAAGCTCTCGGTCACGAGGGAGTTGGTATCATCCGCCAAGTGGGTCAAGGAGTAAAATCGGTCAAGGTTGGCGACCGTGTCGGTTTCGGATATACCCATGAAGTTTGCGCGAATTGCGACAACTGCGCTCAGGGTCAGTAATCCTCGTCTCAAGATGCGTCACTCGGTTGGAAACTAACTGAAGAGTGCAACAGGTTGGGATCAGTTCTGCAGAGATCAGAAGCAATATGGCTTCCACGACTTCGACAACGGCACCTTCAGCTCTGGCGCCGTCTGGGACGAGAAGTGCGTATACCGCATACCTGAAGGCTACGAGTCCGCCCATGCCGCTCCTCTCATGTGTGCTGGAGCTACTGTTTGGACCGTCCTAAGCAAATACGGCGTCGCTGCCCGCGACCGCGTTGCTATCATGGGTATCGGCGGTCTCGGACATTTGGCCATCAAGCTTGCTGCCGCCATGGGATGCCATGTTGTGGTTCTCTCAAGTTCTGAAACTAAGAGACAAGAAGCAATGGACTATGGCGCATCCGAGTTTCATGTCTTCCGATCTGGAGAAAGTCCAGTGGATACCATCGCACCTGTGAAGCACCTGCTCCTTTGCGGTAGTGGTGGCGTGGACTACAAGAGGTAAGTTCTCTACGGCTAGCCATTAAGATGTCTTGCTAAACTTAGCTAGTCTCCTCCCTCTTATGGACACACACGGTGCTATCTATCCTCTTACCGTGGCCTTTGAACCTGCGCCTATTCCACTCCTTGACCTTCTCTGGAAGGGTGTCAAGATCCAAGGCTCCCTAGTTGCATCACGCGACTCGATGCGCAGCTTGCTGGAGTTTGCTGCCCGCAAGAACATTACTCCAACTATCGTCACCTACCCTCTCACTGTGAAAGGCATCGAGTCAGCAATGGAGGACTTGCGGGGCGGAAAGGTCCGATACAGAGCAGTTCTGTGTCGTGAGGCATCACAGCCCTGATAACATGCGCTTTTGATTTTCTTTTGTATCACTAACTACATCAACGACGTCCTTTACATGCAATGTTAGCGAAAAAATCATCCATAATACAACACGTATGTGCTGTCGTTCGAGACTTGCCGATATCAAGAACTCGAAATGATGAGCTTCCAAATTACAATGCTCCATAGAAGCTTCTATAACTGGTCATGACTATCGTCTCTCTCTCAGTAACCGGTGACATCGAAATTAGCGTGTACCATGATTCAGAAGACATCTTGTCCAGAATATTCCACAGGTTCTGATCTTACTAAAACATGTTAGAGCGCTTATATTTGTCTCTTTATCTGCGAGATCCTGTCAGAAATGTATGGGATTTTGCTTTGAAGTTCAACAAAGAGTTCGGAATTGTCATCGTGTGCACTGGTGACGACTGTTGAGCATCTCATGTCCGCGGCTCTTAGTGTCCTTCCAAACATGCGAAATCGACGATCAGAATGGAAAAGTGGGCGAAGACGATCATCGTCCTCGTGAGTAAGGCTAGATTCCAGAAGCAAAGTATAAAAGCCTGCCATTCCATTTGTTTCTTCGTTACACTACTAACTCACCTCAACATACTAAAATGAGCCGTCATCGAAAGTCGATGGGGTCTGGACCACAATCGACTCCTATTGGGCACATGTCCGGCTGCGGTTCTCCTCTTCACACAGAATGGTCAAAAACATTGAGTAGTATCTCAGAGGGTCAGGGTGAGAAAGGCGGTGATGATTATCAGCTTCCTCCGACGCTAAAAGTCCGATAACCTCAGGGTACAGAAGCGTTCTAATCTAGCTTGTTGCTCCGTACGAGAAAGCTTGAGATAGGTTCATGGTAGGACAGAGAGGTTGACCATGGATGTTGTGGAAACAGCTTACGACACAGACAGCGACTGTGCTCTCTATTGCGGGACGAACGAAGGGATGCTTCGCAGTTACGTATTGGGGTAATTATCACTAGCCAAGTTCAACACACAACATCATCACGCAACTCGACACCAGCAATTGAAAGGTACTTGTCGTATAGATTTCGATTCATCTATACCAATTGTCTCACCCGCCCTGATGTAATCCATGAGAGGTGAATAAGCCCAAGCAAGGCCCTTTTCAAGCTTCCAATCCATCACCAAACCCAATTCCCAATCCAACATCGTACTCCAAGGCTGTTCAAAGCCTTTCAAAGCGTCCCTTGGGACGATCAATGCGCGATCCAAACATGAGACAATCCAGCGAAGGAAACGACATAAGAGATGCAAGACTGCTGACCGCCCGTTGCGCCCAAGCCGATCCTGCGCACCGTATGTACAGGTCTGAGATTGAGAAGCGCAGGTTGGTGCGTCTTCTTTGCTCGCCGTGGCGTAGCATAAACTTCGTAAAACAGGAAAAGAGGTCGATTGTGTAAGAGGAACGATCTGAGAGTGTATGATAGGTAGGAGAGGTACAGAGAACGTGTGATGTGTGATGTGTAGGATATGATGGTGTGAAAGGCATAATGAGCGTGGTGGAGGTTCGCGTGTACTAGAAACTAGAGACTAGAACATTAAGTGAGGGTGCAGAGCTTGCCTTCGCTATGCCTCGGCAAAAACCAATGAAGAAGAGAAAAAGAAAGGAGAAACTTTAGGAAAGAATGCTGATCGCGCTATGCAGAAGCAATGATACACAGCGGGTGTATTGTGCGCACGAAAGTCGCATGAGGATGGCGGTAGCGCGACATTAAGACAGCGAGCTTTTGCCAGTCGTTAAATTTCGTGCTCAGCGCCTGAAGGATTCGCATCGTGAAGTGGGTGGCTTGGAGCCAAGGCCCAATGGTTGGTGCATATATCTCGAACACCGAACAATGCGGACGCTGTGGGCTCGGTTACAGCATGTGTTTGCTCTTCCAACGACGAAACCTACGAGATCGCGACGGCCTCATTGCTGTTGAGCCCGGTAAATCTCTCCACGGCGAATTCCCATGTACAATGCGCGATAGGGAGTCTGGGTCATTGACAAGCAGCGTTGAGTGACGAACTCTTTTCAAAGTACGTCCCAGATATTTCGCACGATAGGACTGCTTCCTGTTTGAACTGGGCTTCGAGGGTCGTCATCGAGGGACTTCTGGGGGGTCCATTGACGCTTCTCTGTCCATTCAGTGGGGGTTTGACCATCTTTGACCGTTTCAATCGAGGAGGCTGGGCTGACTTCGTCGGTCGGGGATCGAAGATCGAAATGAAACGGATTGCGAGTGAACTCCTCTGCACGCGGAGACATCAGAGCGTCCAAATCGTCCACAGTTTGCGTAGGCTGCGGCGCCCGAGTTGGGAGCATGGCCTCCATCTCGGTTTGCAGCTTGTGCAATTTTCGCTGTTCTCGGAGATTGGGTGAGGAGAACCGTGATTTGATGCCGTTTTGTTTCGAAGGAGTTGACAAATATGCGTGACCGGGAGACTTTGGAGTGACTGGAGGCTCTCGTGTAGCAGTCCTGAGAACAGGCAACGGGCTCTCTGAAAACGGGATATTCTCCGTAGGGCTGACACTGTCGATACGAGCATCAAGCTCTCCGCTCTTGGGACGAGCGAATGAAGGTGTTTGGATAGCTGGGGGCGCCTGTGCTGTACTATTCAGTGAAGCGAATCCGTTGACGCTCTCAGGTTGGGCAAGATTAGAGGGCGGCAGAATCGCTTGAAAAGACGGCCGTCGAGCCTCCGCTTCGAGTTCCGCTTCGCGTTGGGCAAAATTGTGGTGTTTGAAAATACTTGGAGGGAACTCAAAGTGTCGCGGAGACGCAAGACCAAACGGGTCCTCGTCCGCGACTCTCGGCTTCAGCGGTGTCATGTGGAACTCAGTCGCTCGTGGAGAGGTTAATTCCTGCTTTACCACGTCCGTATCACGCCCAAAAATATCTGAAGGGAACTCAGTTCGAACTGGAGATGCAGAATCCGTCTCTTCGTTACCCTTAGTACTCCGCTCCAGACTAGGCATCCTAATCGTCGAATCTGAGGCTCGATTATAACGTGCATCGTATGACTCGGTCGGTTCCGGCTCATCCCGTTGTGGGGCATTGAACTCGAAGGTCCTCGGAGACAAGGGCGGCGGCGGCGGTGAGTCAGATCTTGTGTAAGGATCCAAGTCGTAACCCTTCGGCCATGGATTCAAATTGAACTCTGGTTTTGCGGGCGACTTTAGTGGAACACCCAGCGCATGGTCCGGGGCAAGAGAAGGTATGTTGAAGGTTGCCACAGCTGGAGACCGTAGTGGCAAGTCGTGACCCTGCGAGGGAGCAAGGAGGTTACTGACATTCGGCGAACTCCGCGGTCGGTCGAGTTGAGTATCACCGTCTGCTAACCTGAACGGTAGCTGGCGGGAGAAGTTTGGCACAGGGTATGGTTTGAGGCCTGCCTCATGATCACTTGACTGTGGCTGTGCCTCTTCTGTCGTAGACGGTGAAACTTCAACTGCTGAGGAATCGTTGTCCGTGATGGCTAATACCGGAACAATGTGGCCTTTCGGGTCAACATACGGAGTAGCGGTCGGTGACGATTTCGGTGATAGGTCGAACTGGGTCTGGCTCGCCGCCCATGATTGACGGAATCCAGGAGAGAAGAGCGAAGAACCAGATGGTGCTGACAATGGACCGGGCGATATAGCCATCATGTTGCCAGTGCTGGCGCGTTGCAGATTTATATCTGTATCGGGCGGCAAAGGCGCGGTGCGAGGAGTGCGGGGGCCGGTGGGCATGTTCCTATCGAATGGCGAATGTCGATTTGTGGCAACCGAGACACCTGTGGGGAGACCAGCAGATCGTCTGCCAAAACCTTGGTTGAATGACCGGCTTTCGTTGGCTTTGAGCAATCCGTTCCGGAACTCTTGGAGCTGCATGATGAGGTTCATGTTGGGACCTATCCACTTGCTTCGCTTCTTAGCAATGTCGTAGGCTTCCTGAACGCTCATTCCAGGGTTCTTGTACAGGCCGTAGGCGACGATCAAACTAGCAGAACGGCTGACACCGCACTGGCAGTGGACAAGAACACGCTTGCCCTGCTGTACTCGCTCATCCATAGTCTTCACCAGCCTGTACAGGTCGGACACGATGTCGGTGTTATGCTCCCACATCATGTGGATATATTCCGGGGTCTTCTGCGTCTTGCCGTCTATCAGATACTCGGAAGGATGGATGGTGTCAAGCACAGGTGTGGCTTTCGGCGTCGTAGGTGAGCTAGTCTCCTGTTCGAGCGATGCTTGGGTTTCGTCGAGGATCGAGGTGAAGTCTGGATTTTCAGCTGGCGGGCCATCCAGTCGCCGAGCATCGAGGTCTTTTTGAGACTCGGAAGCAGGTGTGGTGAAAGGGTTCTTAACCTCGCTGGCAACGTTGAAGATAACATCGAAAGTGCAAGCTTGTGCGGCTGTAGGTTCGAAGTAGAGGAAGACTCCCGAGGGGTAAATCTGAATAGGCCCATTCGGATACGCCGCAGGCTTCTCTTCTCGCGACTGAGGAATATCAAAGTTCGGTTCTTGCTCCTCCTCTTCCTCCATCTCATACGGGACCTCTGACAGTGCACGTGGGTTTGCCTTGACCGGGCGAAGGGACGGGAATTGCATACCGCCAGATGGGCCAACAGCAGGTGAGCATAACGGCAATGATGGAGACGACTGGAAGTGGCGAAGCGCAGGGCGGTTGAACGACGGCGTAGATGGGATGATCAGTCGCATAGGCTTGTTTTCCTGGCTTCCGGGAGTCGATATAGTCAAGCTTAAATTGGACGGTCGCCGCCGTGGAGGCGTCGGGGGCTTAATGAAAGAGGGCGAAGGAGGTGCCGAGCTGTTCTTCTCCTGCTTTTCCACTGCGGGAAGAGAGGCCGAGGGATTCAAGCGCAGGTTGCCTAGTGACGTAGAAGTGTTTATCCCAAGATTTTTGAGATTTCGAGGCTTCTTCGCAGGTGTGGTAGGCCTTTGTAGCTCGAAAAAGGTGCTCGGTGACGATTCTTGGGAGCCGTTATCAGTTCTACGCGACCGGAAATCGGCAACGAAAGACGTCGCAGCCTTTGCAACCGGTGACTCGGGGGACGGTCCTGGTGATGGGTCTGTTACTGAAGATGAGTCCATCGTGGATATGGTCGTGGTGGGCGAGTTGTCCGAAGAGGCGGTCGAAGTGCTGTCCCGGCTGTCGCGGTGGATGTGAAACGAAGAGAAGGGGACTGCGCTGTGGGGACTCCCACTCGTATGCGGTCTGGTTATCATGCCATGTGCGCTTGCGCCGTCTGCGCTGGGCAATGGTTTCAGGTGGGTGTTGCGTGCGTCTTCTCCAAAAACCGAGCCAAACGAGGGCATGGCAAAGGACCTCGGGCTTGTTTGCATGCTGGGTCTACGGGCTCCGGCAGGCGGCCCCGACCTGGGCGAGCGACTATTTGTTCTGTTGGGCCACGGTGGTGGACTAGAAGTACGAAGTGTGGACGTTTGGCGTGGTGTCCGCTTGAGCCTTTTCGAAGAGAAGGAAATATTACGTGTAGAAAGTGCCCTTTTGAGAGCACTGTGGTCAGTATCGTGTGCTACTAAAATGGACGCCATCTTGACGTTGACATCTCTTGTGCGGAAAGTCGTAGGTAGAATTCGAGGGTAGAAGCACAACGATTATGGTCGCTGGAGGGCGCTAGCCGCTGAGGCGCGGAAGCGTACTGACAACGGTGACAGGCTGAGAAACAGAGGGCGCAGCAGAATGTGCGCCTCGCCTCGACTTGGTAGACAAAGAGAAAAGTGATAAGGATAATGTACAGTGTGCAGAGAGGCAGAAATATCGGATCAGGACAACGGAGGCAGACTTACCGACGGCCAACACGAGAATAGACCTGTGTTGTAGACTTGAAACGAGAATACCAGATTCTCAACTAACGCAGTAGGGAGCGGCTGGGGACAAGGTACCCCGAATGTGCGTGGAGGAAGAAGAATCGACTTGGACGGCCGTGTGCTCAGCGTCGTGGGGAGAGTCGTGCCGTTCGTGTTGCAATGCGACGGTCGTGTACGGCGAGGCAAGAGCGCACTTTCCTCGAGGGCGAAGGGGGGCAAGTACGACCGACTGGGAGGCGAGAAAGTCGGCCTGGCGCCGTGGGTGTTGTTGTGGGGGGTTGCGCGGCGGCGCTTTCGCTGTGGTTGAAGAGGATGGGTGTCGCTCGCTGGTCGCTGGAGCAGAGCGTCGGCGGCCAGTGTGAGGGCGAGCGCCTAAGCGTCGGCCAATGACAGGCAAGAACGGCTCGCAGGACTGCCCAAAAATAGCAGAAGAAGGGGCGTCTGTGCGGGAAGCGTTCGGCCTGGCAACTGCCTCTGCACGCACACTGCGTCGTTCCAGCCCTGTTGAAATTGCACCTCGAGTCGCGCCTTCGTACGACGCTGTTTGCGACGACTCTTCCAGCTCTGCTTGTGTCTTCGCGATGCTTGCGACGACTTCTTTGTCCAAATGAGCCGACGTTTGTCTAATTTTAGAAGCCGTACTCGGCCGTTCGGTTGGCTCGCTCGTGTGGCAAGACCACGGAACTCTGCCCTCCATCAGCAACAGTCAGTCTTTATCAAAACACAAGGCCCACGGCGCACAACAGACAGCATGCATCTCTACGTCCCCGGACAATGCTGGCTATCCTGTTCAGTCCATTGAGGCTCTGCTGCGCACGGAGCCGTCAGCCTCGTTGGACTGGACTCCGTACCAACCCATAATACGCTCCTCCCGCGTTGGCCCTCGGACTCTCGTTCGACTCCAGCGCCAGTGCTTTGTCGTCGCTGTGTCCAGGAAATTGTCCGACAGCACAGGTGATTATGAAACATGAGGCTGGTTGGCGGGGTGAGCACTCGAAACCTGCGACGGCGAGGTCATCTGACCGCCAGTTTCAGATGCTCTTTGGAAGACATCTGTCGCGCAAACTGACATGTCTTGTTTCCCAATTCCAATCATTAGCCACAAGCAGATTTATCATAGGTTACAGCTATTCCACATGCGACCTTTGAGTGTATCAGCTACGACGTCTTGCAACACTTCGGTACATCGCTTCTCAGCTACATGCTGTGCTGCTCGCTTGTAACGGTGTCCCTTCGCTAGTGACTTGGAGCGCTTTTGAGCTACAAGCATCGCCAACCAGGCACAAAATTTTCCGATTTCGAAACTCGCCATGTCAACGCCGGAACCCTGGCAGCGCCCGTTGAAACACGTAGAACGCCGGAGCACAGACATTCTGTCTAGGTGAAGCGTAGTACAAGCAGAAGCAGAAGGTGCGGGGATCGCGTAGTCTTCAGCTAGTTGCATTAGGAAATTGCCGGTGTCCGGGAAGTTACAGCGAAGGGAGTTAATGGTACTCAACGAAGAAGTAATTTGTTATTCACAGCGGATGATAGCATGGGCCGGACCAAACTTTCGACTAGTTACTTCATGCTAGTCCACCCAGGATATGCGGTGCAGAGGGAAACTAGAGGTCACGACGCCTATGCATGCTTCTGCAATCCTGAAATCTAGGCGTGTGCAGTATCTCTCAAGCTAACAAATACTTGACTCTAAACAGGCTTACCCTATCGCCTATTGAACATTGAAGACGTAGTCCTTTACCCGCACATGACCTTACTTCAACTTCTATCCGGATGCATTGAGCTGAATGCCTTAGAGCTGGACTCATACAGAATGAAAATCTAACCACACCTCCCATCGTACTCCCTCGGCTCTAGCTCAACTCCCGACTTCAAACAACTATCCAGCATCCCATCACCTAGCAGGCCGGACTCGTAGGTGTTTGGAAAATCAACGGTACTGATGCAAAATCACTCAAGTCTAATCTCCACAAAGTGATGCGGAATGACAGGAGACTATTTCCAGAACCATGGAAATAATTCCATGACGCAGCTCCAGATGCAGCTCGTATCATTCGTGAGGTGTTTACAACAATTTGCCTCAGCCGTCTGCAGTAATATCTGTCAAACCATCCGCATCAACAGCGGCCAAGCTTTGTCGATGAGAACGCCGTTCATCCATGAACACCAACCCTCTCATTTTTTTAACGCGTAATCCTTTTGGCCTCCACCTCCAATCCACTTTGAAATATCCGCGGCATAATTGTGTCCTCCTCGTTCCTTGGACTAGTGCCGTGCTTGTCCTGCTAGCGCGACGGTCGCTACGCTAACGCTCGCTTAGCTTTTCGAGCAGGCGCGATCTTGGCGCACACCGAAAAATCACTCCGCGAGTTCAGAACTTCAACATCAACACAGCGTACTAACCCGCAGCACAAGACGCCCGCCATGTCTCGGCCTACCGTCACCATCATTTCCGGCTCCGGGGAGGCCTCTAAGGACACTGCCTCTATCCCCAATGTCTTCAAGGCAAGTCCTACGACATCTTCGCAATTGCAGCTCCTACCGCCTCGCACGCCCCGCCTCGCAACGACCACCGAATCCGCGCATATTCTGCAGTAGATGGTTAGGACGATGTATCGGCAATGTTCTTTCAGGACTTTCCATCGAAATACAAACAGACGTCAACAGCTTGATATGCGCGGATGAGGCTTCGGCGAAGCGCTGGCATCTACAGGATTTTCCATTCTTCATGGTCCACATTACACCTTGGTGTGTGGATGGAGTTTGGAATATCTGGGCAGTGCGCTTTCAAATAGCGATACTGCGTACTCAATGCTGAGCTGAATTGCTAACTTCCGAATAGAGCCCCATCCGCCCGGACATTGTCCACTCGGTGCACACTGGCATGAACAAGAACAAGCGCCAGCCGTACGCTGTGTAAGTTTTTTCCAAACCCACTGGATACGTTCATAGCTGACTTGTGCAGCTCCGAGAAGGCTGGTCACCAGACCTCCGCCGAGTCTTGGGGTACCGGTCGTGCCGTCGCCCGTATTCCTCGTGTCTCGGGTGGTGGTACTCACCGTGCCGGTCAGGCTGCTTTCGGTAACATGTGCCGCTCCGGTCGCATGTTCGCTCCCACCAAGGTCTGGAGGAAGTGGCATCAGAAGATCAACCTGAACCAGAAGCGCTTTGCGACCGCCTCCGCCCTCGCTGCGTCATCCAGCGCTGCTCTTCTCCTTGCCCGTGGCCACAACATCGCCACCGTCCCGGAAGTTCCCCTCGTCATTTCCTCGACCGCTTTCGCCGACGCTGCTATCGCTAAGACCTCCGCTGCCCTTGCTCTGCTCAAGGCCGTCGGTGCTGGCGCTGACCTCGAGAAGGTCAAGAAGTCCAGGAAGGTCCGTGCCGGTAAGGGTAAGCTCAGGGGCCGCCGCTACACTCAGCGCCGTGGTCCTCTTGTCATCTACAACCCCGATGAGGATGGCAAGGAGCTCGTTGGTGCTTTCCGCAACTTGCCCGGTGTCGAGACCTCGTCCGTCTACTCCCTCAACCTTCTCCAGCTCGCCCCTGGAGGTCACCTCGGACGTTTCATCGTCTGGACTTCCTCAGCTTTCTCTGCTCTTGACAAGGTCTACGGCTCCACCACCGAGCCTTCGGCCCTCAAGAAGGATTTCCTCCTCCCCTCGGCTCTGATGAAGCAGCCCGACCTCAGCAAGATCATCAACTCCAGCGATGTCCAGAAGGTCCTCCGACCTGTCCGCGGCGGTGCCATCAGCAAGCGCACCAACGTCCAGAAGAAGAACCCTCTCCGCAACCTCCAGGTACAGCTCCGCCTCAACCCGTATGCTGCTGCCTACTCCAAGAACAAGGAGGGTCAGAAGTCGCTCAATGCCGGCAAGCCCGAGCGTGTGGGCGAGTCTTTCACCGAGCAGCTTCACGAGAACTAGATCTAGGCGCTTGGGTTTGGTTCTGGGTTTTCTTAAGGTTTCTTCATGACACTGAATGGCTGGTGTACGCGGTGATGGCTTAATGTAGCTGTCCCAAAAATATACCCGAGAAGGGTTTCTTCACCTTCAATATCATCTTCTGTGCCTTTGTGATGATTGATGTGGAATATGCTCTATAATATGACTTGGCTTAGTAAAGCGAATGTTACCCGCGTTACTGGGTTCCGCGATTAGTCCTCAACAAGCACCTGTCAATCTTGATTCCCAGGTTGCTCCAAGCAAAGAGCTTCAACGAGACAAGTTCGTTCATGGTGGTTAATGTTCAGGTGGCCTGGGCGCGTCAGTCATCCCTTTCCAGTGCTATCGCCCAAAAGTGTCAGTTTTATCGCAGAGTTTCACCGACACATAGCTAACCAAAACTATCTACATCTGAACGGGTCGCACTGATAGTACCCAGACACTGAATCTAGATCTGTCCAGCAATGTTGCGTAACAACATGCATGTAGGGCTGCTTACTGCATGTCTGTCCAGCTATCGACCACTGCATGTAGTTTCTACTACTCGCCCGTACTGCCCTTGGGTCTGCTTCCTTTCCTGCACATGAACTTGTGATATGAGCTGCTTATAAAGCACCTGTGCATGATCTACGATTCTGCAGCTCATACATCAGCTTCAGCATTAGGTACTATGTATTTCGACAGGTGTAGACCACTATTTCACAATGATACTTTGTTTTCGCCCTTATAAAATGGTTGAACCTACATCGCCATAGAATAGGATCCGTATTGTACTCACGTTGCCCTAGAGCGAAGCATCCACGTGAATGAAACTTGCTTAATTATTTTCTTAAGATTTTGAGGTGAATCTACGTGAATGAAAATGATGCTTGGCTTTGGTGAAATTTTCTGTGCTAGTAGCGTACATTCCGGTCATCAAATATCACTATCAGCACAACGATGTTCTCAAGCTAAAATAGAGCTGCTCATAGGAAGGCAGAGTGCGTAAAGCAGGGAGGTGAGGTAGACATGAAAGAACCCATGTTAGGTGCCCGTGCGCTCCCGTAGTACTAGCGCGATTTTCGCGAAGCGGCGCCTTTGAAGCTCCCGCTTTCTTAACTGCAACTTGACGGCGCTCTCCACGCAAATCATCACTCCATCCTAATAGCCCAAGGGCGAACCCCGCCAACTTTGCCATAGCCAGGACTTGAAGACATACCATGGCGTCGCCGCCACCCCCGCAAATCATCATACCCAATCCTCGCAAACGCGGCTCCATCTCCAGCGTCTCTTCGCAGGCAAAGAAACGCAAACCCTCTAATCTCCGCAACTCTTTCGACCCAGACAACGAATCCGCCATCGCGTCTCCGTTACGCCACAGCCGCTCACCTTCCGTCGGCAGTGTAGATACGGCCTCACTCGTAAACGGAGCAGGCGGTGGCAGAAAGAGGAAGCGCAAAGGTGATGATGGTGCCAGCGTCGCCGGCAACTCTGCCCGCGACGGCGCACGTCCAGGCGATCCTTCAGTGAACGGAGCTGCAGGTGCGGAGGAAGAGGAAGACGATGACTACGGCGAAGACGAAGACGAGGGCACAAAGCTCGAAGGCGAGCGCCCCTCCGAAGCTGCCAAACAACAAGCCGCCCACAACGAGCGCATGCTAGTGCTGGCCATGGACGAATCGCAGCAGAACGCCTACTCCGTATACCGTCGTGTCAAACTCAAGACCTCCATGGTGCGCAAGCTAGTCAACCAGACCCTGTCACAATCCGTCCCGCCGAATGTCATCATCGCGGTGACGTCGTACAGCAAGGCTTTCGTTGGCGAGCTTATTGACCGCGCGCTCATAGTTCGCGACGAATGGGCCGCTGCTCGCACGCACTTGCCGAATCCAAATCTCCCTCCCGCCGTCCTGCAACAGGGTCTGCAAGAGCCGTTTGGTCATCGACCGGATAGTAAACCGTCGAATCAGCATATTCAGAATGCAGGCCTGTACCTGAACCAAGTGAACAGGGAAGAGGGATTCTGGAAAGAGATTCCGCGAGATGCGAGTCTGAAGGATAGGCTGAAGGAGGAGGACAAAGGCCCGTTGACGCCGGCGCATCTGAGGGAGGCGCTGAGGCGGTATAAGAGGGATCGAGAAGGCGGTGGAGCTGGGTTCGCGGGTTTGAGCTTGGAGGGTCCGGAGAGAACGTTAGCAAGGACTGGGGGGCGGAGACTGTTCCGTTGAGGAGCTTGCGACACCTTCAAAGGTACGAACGAGGAAATGGAGTGTTTGGACAAGCTCTTGATCGGCCCATTCATTTGGTCGGCGACCATCGACTTCAACATCGTATTCCCCACCTCTACGACGTTCCTTGCCAACGGACTGTCTTCCAGCATCTTGCGGAACTCTGAATCGTTACTAGTTACATCAGCATCCCTCCCTTCGAGATTTGGGTTTTGGACCCGTGGCTCATCTACTTTGATCAAAGGGGCAGAGACTATAAGCTTTACCTGAACATGTTTCCACCTAACACATGACTTCGACAGATGGATGGGTTCTAGGATACTCGGCGGTATAACTGGTAGATGTCGCCATCAGCGACGAAGGGACTCAACACAGTGGCTTGCATAGCATGGCATTGTGGTCTAGGTGAATCAGATACCCAAAACAGTCACTCTTCAGTTGCTGTAGAATATGAATACGATTGCATGACAATGACGTGGAGACATAAAATATTTCTTGATATGCTATAGTACTATAGAATGCAATATCGGAGAGAGTGCTCTCACAAACCCGATGTCAAACTCCTGCTAATGCAAATCCTCGCATACAAGGCCTACGAATCGAGCTATTCCCCTGGATCGGCATATACACAGTAGTCTTAATCACTTTCATCCTCCACCCTCGCTCTCTTTGCCGCCCTCCCTTCATCCTCTCCTTTCCTCTTCTCCCCCGCAACCTCCTTGATCATCTTATCAATCTGAAACGGATCATCCTTCTCCTTCTCAAACTGCACAGGCCCATCCCTCTGCTCCTGCACATCCGCGCCCTTGAACCCCTCCTTCGCCCTGCCCAGCACCTCAAACCGACTACTTTTCGTAATCTTATCGTACGTTTCGCCCGCGTCCTCGCCATCGTCCTGGTTAACAGTCGGTCGGTAGATGCTGGCAATAGCGTCCTGCGCAGCGAACAGCGGCTTGTCGTACGCCTGATCTTCGTTGAACCCGGCGTCGAAGCCAGAGGATCGGTTGAACAGGCGCGAGTCGTACATTGCTTCGCCTGATTGTGTGGGTTTGGCCAGCCCGAGCGCAACTTTCTCGCTAATGTCGCGATTTTGCTCGCGGGCGAGCACCTGCAATTTGCGCTCGGTGCCCATGCGGGATTGGCGAAGTTCGCGCTGAAACTCCTGACGGCGCTCCTTACGGGCTTCTTCGCGGCGGCGAACGGCTTCGTCTTCGGAGTCGGAATGCGAGGATGCGGACGAGTAGCTGGCAGAGCGACGGCGCGAGTGCGTGGTGCGATCTTCGCGGGCTTGCCGCGCGAGGTTGCGGAGGTGTTCTTCTTTTTGAAGTTTTTCCTTCTCGGCGAGACGCTGCTGCATGAGTGCGCGTTGCTTTACTTCTTCGCGAGCGTGGCGGTCGGCAGCTTGGAGAGCCTCGCCAAATTGCGCGAATTTGTCGTTGATGGTTACGTCTTGGAGGCCGCGGCCATCGGCTGCGAGACGCTTGTCTAGCGGGACGGTGTACCCTTTGGGGTTCTTCCAGTTCGAGATGGGAGGAGGGATCTTCCACATTTCCTGGTCCTCTGCTGTGAGCTTTCGCGGGGGGGAATGGAGGACTGGCGGCGGAGGCGAGGGAGGACCGCGCGGGATGCGCTTGTGCTTGAATTTGGGTGGTTCCATCGGGTCCATTTGTCGTTGTTGAATCTTGAGAATGCGCGTCTTGCCTTGTGCTTCGCCCATTTGCGCCGTAGGTGTGTACCGAACAAATGTAGGTTCATCCTTTGCTCTCCCCTGGACCGTCTTCGGCTTCTGTGCGGCAGTCTGCCCCGCAATCAGCGCATTGAGCGCTGCCTGTGTCTTCTCTTTCGTGGCCTGCACCATCTCCTGGCTCGGTCGCTCCAAATCCAGCTCTCCCGCATTCGCCTGCTGCCGTAATGGTATCAGATCCTTGAAACTGGCTTGCACTATACGGTTTTCTGCGTGTCCCCGTCGTGCGATTTCGTCGTATTTCGTTTTTCCCTCTTGATCAACGCGCATCGCAAGCGCATTCGATGAGCTCGCAGTGCCCTTTCTCCCCATATCAAGCGGATACTGCGCGATATGTATCTCAGGAAACGCGCCACCATCTCCGTAATCTTCTGCTGTGCGGGGCCGCCATCCTGTGCGCTGGCCGTACGGAGGGGGCCCGTTTTGTCGCTTCGCGAGTTGTGTCGAATGTTCGGGCAGCACGCGTGCGTTCCGTGAGGTATCTAGCTCTTCCACATCGCCCGCATATTTCGGCTTCGGCAGAGACTTTGACAGGGTCGCGACGGACATCGTGAGTGGTCGGCGGGGGAAGTCGTGCTTGTTGATGTCGAGTGACGAGGGCGAAACTTTCAGACTAACGACGGGCATGCGGAGCTTAGTTTCACCGGCCCAGGAGCTCCAAATCACGTGAATTTTAGAAGCCAAGCAGGAGGTTCCAGCCTCCCGAATTACACCAAGCGCAAGCGAGACTCCCGCGCGACTCGCCTCGTGGTAGTCACGGCGCTTGTTGATCACTGCTCAGACTTGGACCAAATTCAATCTTGGGTTCTAATCGTGCTGGTGCGCGGCAGCAACAAGTGTGTGCGCGCGCGAATAAACTGCATAGGCCAGTACTTCTAAGAGGAACTGAGCTCCTTGAACACAACGTCAACAGCATTTGTAAACTGCGACACGGGTCACTCGGGACACGTGGAGTACTCTTGCGCTCTTGATGCAGAGATCGACAGAAGTGGTAGATTTGGGGCATGCGCGAGGCAGGGGGATGTTGGTGCTTCAAGACTGTTTGCAAATGGTCTTTGGGGCTGTTCTTGCTCAATGGCCTCAGAGACGATGCGCTTTATTACGAGTAGCTGAGAGCGTCCAGCAGAACTATCAACATAAGACGTTGTTTAGAGCCGGTCTAACCTGTACCTGCACGTCACCGTCGAAACGATGGCGACAGTAGCCTGTGCCTGTGACAGATAGTGCATGGCCGGCGCGTCTTGGCCCGTTCGAAAGGCGATGGCTGGGATTGTCGTTCGACTCGCGGCGCTGATACACGGGTAGCCGATTATCAAAATAGCCCTGGTGCCGCTGCCAGCTCCAAATCCTAAACGACGGCTCTTTTGAAGTAGTGATGACGGTTTTCTGCACGTTGCAATTGAGCTGAGAAACTTGCAAGACCATCCATGCATGCACGCCAACGCAGCTCGACCGGCGCTATGGAGACCGGCCCGTCAGCCTCGCACTCTCGACTGACGCGCCCAATGGCTGACGCGCAAACAACGACTCCCAAACACAAACTGGCTCAGTCGCCTTCGGATAGACCTTCGCTGTTGCGCCTGCCTTCCTCTGCGAGTTCGGCAGCTGCGTCCTCGATACGCTCTCGCAGAGTCTCGAACCCCACGCCCACGCGCACGCCGACAACCAGCCAAGCTTCAGCGTCAGCGACGCCCGCCACAACGCCCTCCTACTTCTCTCCCCAACACGCTTCGGCCGGCAAGGAAGTGCGCTCCCCTGGAACCGGACGGCCGCCTGCTTCCTTCAGCTCTTTTGGCAAAACATATGGCGATACGTCGCGAGGCCCTCCGATAAGCGCGTCTGGCACCTGGCCCAAACAACGCACACCCACGCGCTCGTTATCAATCTCTACAGACCGCATGGCCGGCTCCAGCGAAGCCTCCTACTCCTTTGACTCAGTCGCGCGTCCGCGCCTGCAGACACGTCGCACTGGCGAAAGTCGTTATGGGGACACCGACGCCTCTGGCACTGACGGCGACGGCGGGGAGGACTTGTTTCTGAACATCGCGGAAGACAGTGCGAAGGATCCCACTGCGAATGTCGTATCTCGGTCGGACAGATTACGGGTAGGTCCTCATCCTCTTGCGCCATGCTTCGGGCATTGGCCAACATTGCACGCTGCACGCTGACCCTCCGCAAACAGTCCCGCATAACCCGTAGCAACCGGCAATCGTTACCCTCATCTATACCATCATCATCTCCAGCGACGTCCGGTGCTACCAGACCGAATGGTGCCAGAATCCCCGCTGCAATCGATACTTCAGCAGGCACCCAGTACCGCCGCGCATCGCTCCTTCCCTCTACGACAAGGTCCACGCGGGAACAGTCCCCACTGACACCTGCAAATCCCGTCTTCACACCACGCACGCGCATTCACGAGCTTTCGCCCAGGAACAGGCGTTCGATTACGTCACTGGGACAAGATCAGGACCAAGAATCGCAACCTCACTCGGCGCGGGCAGATGCGGGCTCCAGCTTTTCCCCAAAAGAGTTTTCGGCACAGGTGGATGCGGTCAAGACACGGCAGCGAGACTCCACTTTGTCACCTAAAGAATTTCTCGCACAGCTCGAAGCAGGCAAGCGCCGCCCTTCATACCCGGATACGCTTCAGACACCGCCGAACACTCGCAACGGGGCATTCAAGCCCTCGAATCTGCATTATCATTCCTCTTCGCGCGACAATACCACGATTCCACACGTCGATACACCACCCGAGGCACGGTCGCGATATGCAGGGACAGAGTCTCAAGGCAGCACTGGAGCCGCAACATCAATGTGGGACGAGCTGGACGAGCTGAAATCAAGGATGAAGCGACTGGAGTTGGGCGGGAAGATACCAGCTACCTCTGGTGCCGCAGTAGCCCAAGCCTCCGCAGAGCGCCCGCGAACGGCGAATACTTCAGCTACTACAGTGTCCTCGTCTCCAAAACAGCAGAGAAAACCAGCTTCAGCCGACTCAACGGTGCCACTTTCCTCGTCGAACAGGGTTCACCCCTTGTTGCATGAGGCTTTGGCGAAAGCGAAGCAGTATACCGCACCTGCAGTTTATCGTGCTCTTGAAGACACGGCTAAAGAAGCACTCGCTTTGGCTGAGATGGCGGGAAGCGGTGGTCCGCAAGGTACATTCCACTCGACCAGTTCCATCCTAGGCGGTCACTCCATGCCTGACCGGCAAGTCCGGCGAAAAGCAGATCACATCTGTCGTAGTCTGACGGAACTCTGCGTTGAGCTATACGACAACAAGCCCACCTTCGTAAGCCCGGCAGTACAGAGAACATCAGCTGCAGCGGTATCTCGTCGACCCAGTCTTCAAATCAATGGCGAGTCACCAACTATTCGCCAAAGCATCGAGCCCGAGAGCGACGTCCTCCCTCGATCGAGTCCCAGCAGGGCCATGAGTCGCATTGAAGCGCGTCGAACCACTGTACTGGGCAAGCGCGGGGGAAGTCAAGAGCCACCGAACCCGTCTCAGTCCCAAGCTCCATCCCGATTGGACACTCGTTTAGACCGATCTGGTACCAGTCTTTACCGTCGCCGTGATCACGAACCGGAGGATGACGATCCGACCTTACGAGCACCTTCGCGGGCAATGACCGACTTCCGGGAGATCCGTGCTGCACACAAGCCGCGCTATAGCAGAGAATATACCTCTCAAGAGCCTTTACCAGACTTACAGCCTTCGCCTGCTCTTCCGACATCGACAACCTCGCGGCGAACTACTCTGACCGGAAACGAAAACAACCTGCTCTACCGGAACAGAGACAGTATCACTGGTAGTTCTAGTCGTTACGGATTCACTAGCCAGGCTTCTCCTGCGACGGAGAGACATCCGGTGGCCAGGACCCAATTCGCCTCAAATAGGAACTCAATAGGAGGGAGCTTCCCGCTGGGGCGTAGCGCTAGCCTCAGCCGGAGGCGCGTCAACGGAGAGTGAATTGAGCTATTCGCTAGCGAATCACCGACTTCTTTCCTTCCGGCGCATTATGACGATTGCATGCTTTACATATACCCCTGGTTTCCCACCGGCGTCACGTAGGACGTCTATTCGAGTAGGCTTTTGCAAGTTGCGCTAGCGTTCAGCAATGCATCTAGGGATGGTATACGCTTTTATGGGGATCACACCCGGTGTGGCCATTGTCCACCAGTCAGCGCTTTTGCTGGGATGTTGGGATGTTTCATTTCATTTCCCTGTCCTTTGACACGGCCTGATATTCACTTCGCAGCACAGTGTTTACACTTTTGCATTCGCATGGCTCTGTTCCTGCATAACCAGCGGTTTTTGTCCTTTCTTCTACTTTTCTAGCATTTGTACACGGAGTTCAGTGAGCGTATGCCCTATCGGGAGTGAGCGTTCTCAAAACGGATTTAGCATCACAGGTGTTTGGGAATGTAGTGTATGCGAAGTATATGTGTATGATCGGTGGGTGTAACGAGAATAGTAAAGTTCACTTTTTCTGTTTCAACCCCGCGTTTTCTCGTTGCACGGAATTGATTAGTGTGCAAGCCGATACCTTTGCTGGGTATTGCCTCCCACGGCTCATACACCGACGCCCTACCCAATCGGTGAGGCTTGAATGCGGGCTCGAGAAATGCAATGCGTGCAGGATGCTCCCGCACCCGAGACATCCACCTGGCCATTCCAAACCCTACAGTGATCGAACTTGTACTAATACACAGGCCCCGGATCCGGAGATGACACATTTCTGACGTGGACGAAGCCGAAACTTTGTCTAAAGCATCAAGAACCATGCATTAACAGTAGCCAGACGCGGTGTAGTTGGATCAGACCTTGAAGAGGATTTGTAGTTTGCGACTACACAGATGGAAGAGTTATCTTATTTAACCTCGTGGAAATTTTCAGACGTGGGACAGCGTCCGGGCATGTAATATGAAGTAGTATCGGCGCGGGGAGCAGTAATTGATACTATGATCGGCCTTTTCCAGCCATCGGTTTGCCTTCCTCAAGATCGTCTTGACTAGAGTTGATACTTTGTGTGCGGGTTTCGTGAGATCGGTTCTTTCCCCGTTTTCTTTATGGAGCGAATTCGTGAATGTGATTAAAAGTAGTGGGAGCCTAGGATGTGACTTCATGATGGCAGTACGAGGATACTGAGGAAGCCAAGGGATTACGCGCTTTGTTAATGCAAGCAAGACGTAGGATGGTAGTATTGTTACCCATAGTAACTTCATCCTAATCGATTTAGCGTTTCGATCAGCATGGGCTGGATCAGAGGCCTAGGTACCTTGATCTCCTTCAGTGAGGCTGCATACGTTCCAATCTATCCGTCTCGTAGGGTTTGGCATTCGCTTGGCCAACTTCGGTATTTTCCACATTCATCGAGACGTTCACCTCAGAAGTGGTGTGATTGTTGGTAATCGGTCACCGTATCCGGAGATAAGATACGGACAAGTTTTGGTGTTCAATAATCTTGCCTGTTCGGCCATCAGTGCTTTTGAAATATTCATGGATAGTCGGTAGTTGAGAGGTAGAGTCCTGATTGTGTGTTCTGAATCTAGAACGAGGTTACGAATTTGGAAGTGGATAGCTCATCCAGAGCGCGGACAGTAAATTTCGGTTACTTGAAGTGATTTCGGCGTCTTAAGTCTGAATGAAATTCTGTCGCAGCCAGCTTGTGACAAACATGCTGATGGCTATCCCCCCTTTAGTCGTGAGTGGGTGGTGAGATGGTAGTCGCGTCATGTCTTGTTGAAAGTCAACATGGAGGGGAGGCTTCCTGATTGGGCATGCTTGTTCACAGTTGGAGGAATCCTCGGGGTACCGTACCCGCTGCCGGGTCTGACTGATGCTAGTTAATGTGGCCCAAGGGTCGATACCCATTGAAACCGGATTGTCTTCGCATTTTCATTGCCCTCGCTAGAGAGGTTTTTGCCCGAGTCTCTAGCATTCGCGATTTAGCGTCGTTCGGTTCTTAACAACTTGGGTATGTAGACGGAGTGTAAGACAAGGTACTTTAGAGAAGAACATGAGCTCCTGTCTCTGTTGCTCTAACATCAGTGTAAGATCATGGCTGATTCAAGAATCTGAATAACTGCCTCTCCAACAAGACCTACTGTAAAAACGCCCATGATTCCGTGTGAGCCTTAGATCTGCAGACTGTGCCACACTGCTTGGGCGTGTTTTGTTTTTGTGTTGCTGAGCCTCATAGAAGCCTTTGATCCTGCGTAAATTAAGTTAGATCGCCAGACCACACTGCGCCGCAGCGCCTTACATGTTTTACCGAATCTGCCGAGATGGAACGTTCACACCGCCGTTCTTTCCGTGCTCTAAGGCGTACAGCTTCTCAGGAGATTGTTGTTCCCTGAAATTTAAGAGCAAAGGCATTAGATATATTTAAACCTGCCATTTGTAAGAGTATGTGCGCATTAATCTATGCGGCGGGACAAAAGCTCTGGGCGTCCGGTACCAGGAGGATCATTTGACTCAGACGCCCCCATTGCAGCATTGCAGGCAAGGATATGCGACACGCGACCAGCTCACCGCGTACGCTAGGTCGGCGCGGACGAACTTCCTAGGATTGGCCTAGGGTACGCTGAGAAACATGTGTATAGGATGCCAATTCCTGTATGAACAAGTCACCATGAGCGCCGTGCAGCTTCCTACAGTGGGTTCCAGCGGTGTGTAAGATGTAGTGTAGGATGGGGCTTATCCGCAGTGGCGCTACATTACGGACGGAAACATCAATCGCGTGATGCAGCAAGACGGTCTGGGAAGAAGAAGAAGATGGCGTAGGCGTTGTCGTTGTCATTTTGGCCGCGTGATGTTTGGAGTGTTTTGCAATCTTTGGAAGCGCTTCACATATGCAATTGTCTTTGAGGTCAACCAGTTCATATGCACAGCTTTTCGTTCAATCACATACTATGTATGGACTGATGCATGATATAAATATAGGAGGCAAAACCAGAAGCATCAAATTGTCAGTGCCTACATGAGCTTTGCATACAGCTCAGGTCAATCGACCGGGATTTTGCACCGGAGTTATCCCCGTCCTCATGTCCGGTCTATATTCGGGGAAGCTGATCAATCAAAAGCAGTACTGCACGGGCGATATCAGTTTGTGGGAGATGCGGCAGGATCGTGTAGTTCATACTACGAGACACAGGCTGCAGTCCCATGCCTATATGATTAATAGGGCGTAGCGCGAGTCAAATTAATTTGTGACTCCAGGGCTCATGACTTGTACGCACTCACCATTGGTGACGGTGGCCATGATGAGTCTCAGATGTGTCGATTCGCATGAACCGGCAACGCGTTTCTTTGTCAAGGTTGTATGCAGGTAGCAAGCTCGGGTCCAATTCAGGAGCGTCTTGTTGGTCGGAGTTGTCGAAGGATCATGTCAAGTCACAAATCTGGCCGCTCTTGTGAGGTTGCTGGCATGTAAGTTGTAAGACACATTATGGCGTTGCGCATGGCGGCTAACGCGTAGCTCAAGTAAACAGTTGTGCCGCTTCAAAGAGGGATTATCTATTCAATCGTACGATCGCGTCCCGTCTATACAAGGACTAGCTCCCATCAGTCTTATTGTAAATCTTTAGATTACAAGTTCGTTACGATAGTCAGGCCTGAAAGACGCGCTAAAACTTACCATGATGCCGTGAATGCTTACTTCTTGCATACGCGAGATATACTACACGAACCCGATATGCAACCCGGGAAGACTTGCTGTCATTAATTACACTCGCATTTCCTGCATATACGAGATTTCCCATCCTCAAGCAAATAACTTTCAATCAATCGGAGGTTCCCGAAGGATTGAGTCAAGCTGCTTGGAAGGCGCATTGGCGCTCAAATCTCGATGGTATTCGGAGTTAAGTTTCGCGAGAGGCGGATGGCGCGAGTCAAATTGAGCCGTAGTCTAGATTGTTATGACTTGTACATGCTTTCATCGTTGAAATTGGACATGACGTTGCTCCAGTCTATTTCGGGAGCGCTTGCCGATTATGGGAGATTTTGGAGGATCGATGGGCACAAGCCACACATGTGATGTGTTTGGTATGCGAGTTCTAGGATGCATATTATTGTTGCGCATAGCGCGCATGGAGAATTTGCACCATTAGGTGGGAGAACTTACACATCAGTTCCATTATTGAAACTGGTCTCCGATTGTTCACGTAATGTCAATCCTCGCTATCGAGGCATATTCTGCATTTCGCTGTCTGCATGTCTCTCTCGATGAAGACTAATTCTCACGTTGTCCCTTGCTATGGGTCCATGTTGGACAATTTACTCACCGCACATTTGTCTCTAAGAGGGCTAATGCCCATGGGCGGTGCCCCTAGAAATCAGTAAAGCATCTGCAAAGCATCAAATTTGCACAATCTAGAAGTACGCACCATTGCGTTCGCTTCCAAATGTGTACTAACTCCCACGGGTCGTCCTTCACAAGGTGCATGGCTAAGCGGGCATCGGAACTTCAGCCTGGTGCCTGGCCCCCACTTCTGCGTGAACCCCTCCCATTGGTCCACTCGTAATTCACAAGGCTAAAAAAGCTCCGCCATACACTGGCACTGGCACCCTAACAACGGCTATCCTCTAACTCTGCCACACCGAGCTCGACCGACCCACCTCGCCCACCCACCCCATGCCCGATCAAGGCAGTAATCGTATACACTAAAGTGACCCATCTAGAACGGTTCCGTCCGCCTCGCCCAGATCGAGTGCGTCCGAAATGGGCCACTAGATCGGAATGCGGCCCCCACATCGCGTGCGGACTGGCCCCCAAAAGACACGTACGCGCGCAGCGCCAGTCGTGTTGCGGAAATCATCCGACGGATCTTCGCAATGCGTCATGCTCCGCAATCTAAGGATGATAGATGCACCTTTCCTGTGGGTGTAGGGATAGTTGATTTGCTTTGGGTGAGAAGTGCATTGGTGCTTAGAGATGGTTCCGGTGAGTGTGAGAAAATGTCGTGGAAGATGGCGGTCTGAGGCACGCCTTGATAGAGGGATGATGGTCTGGTGGTATGATTTGACTATAAACATGACTGCAGATGCAAAGTGAGGTGTGATAGTGAGCAAGACATGATAGTGATGGGGCATGTGCAGCGCAAGGCGCGGCCAAGGCGGAATAGCTCGGTCATTCCCTCGTGGTGCCCGTTAGGATTCATGTAGCGTTTGGCACTCGAGTCGCGATAACGCCGTAAATCTAGGCTGTCGTGTGGAGCTTGCCGGCGTTGGAGCAAGCCTATTATCCCGAACGAGTCGCATTTTGCGCGCGGCTCATACTCGGAAGTGACATGGGAATAGATGTAGCGGGATATGCTTAAGCTTCCGCTACCAGGATCCGAAGCCGAAGCCGAAGCCGAAGAGACACGATTGGTTTGCGGAGTTGGGCCCGCAGCCTGGATCGCATGCATGTTGTTTTAAGATGTGGTACTTGCGGTAAGGCTGTAGGAATAGCATGCTGCTACCCAGCTTAACCTTCGTTAACCTTGACTTAGTGTGATAGTAAGCGAAAGTGTGCCATGGATATGTGGCGAGCGCTGCCCGTTTGTAGGTTGGTATAGTGGCGTCTGGGGACATCATAGCCTAGCTTCTTCTCGACGCTGGATTCACGGGAAGGATTGCGGCGGTGCTAGCTTGGAGCAGGAGGTATTGCGAAGCGCACTTATGTAGCCCTGTGATCTGTGAGCATCGGACCATAGCCATCATCTGAAGAGTGAAGGTGCTGGATTGGGTATCCGTGCCGTAGGCAGTTTTATGAACACTACGCGCAGATGTCCCGTTATGACTCTGTCGTGCCTATGTGCCGGGTCAATGCTCCATGCCAGTCCTATTTTCAGAACGCCGCAACGTGGTTCGGCCGTAAGGTTGAGCCTTTCAAGCGATACTGTAATACTCGTATGATCGAATGAGTTCTATGCAGTGCGTTAATTCCGATCACTGTAATTCCGGGGAAGCAACTCCTGCGGCCGCACCATGGCTACCGGTATGCTGGCTATGCTGTATGCACGAGCCGATACCTGTACTCTGAGGATCTTGAAGCTTAGTGTACGCTGATACTGAACTAGCTAGGAAATGCTCTTTTGGGTGGACACCGACGTATCTCGGCGTTGTAGTAGATTTGCATGTCAACGAGAGTAGGCGACTAAGTCCATTAGGAATTGCGCAGCGGACCTGCGTACGGAGTGGTCGTTTATAGTTGCACTTTGTTGTCGGAACAGGCAGGAGCTGGTACGATCGGAGCTGGAATGTTGAGGGCAGTGGACAACGTCGTAGGTATACTTCACTTCCGTGACGTATGGCGATGATCGAGACCCGCGTCATTCGCGTCAAGAGGCGAGTGTCGCAAATTTTGCCGTTTGCTCGCTCCTACGCTGCGTCAAGTGACAAGACATATCGACGCCATCTCTGCGAAGGTGTGTCTGGCACGTGGCGAGTACCATAGGTACCTAGTCTCACTTCTGAGGCTGATCAGTGGGGGCTAGTTAGAGGCCATGAGTTGAGAGACTTACACGAGTCGCCATGAGCGTAGTTATGCTTAATTTTACCACATTGCTGTCTTCATGGCCATGGCGGAGATCCACCCCAGGATCCTATTTCCGTGGGCTGCCAAGCCTGGATTAATGCCTCGAATAGGCTAAGCGTAGGAGAACTCGCGAGCATTTTCGCGAACGGACCTATCACAACGTTGACAGGTATCACTGGTGCCAAACAAAGTACAGCATCCGAGACAGGTTGGATGTGCCCGCCAATGGGCCACTGGGCCCCGTCTAGGGTGGGTTTTGTGGCAGTACGACAGGGAGATGCCGCGCGGTGAAGGGACTTGCGCCCTTGGATTTGAAATATGGGATGCCAGTATCTTCAAAGGGCTGTGGAGCATGCTTGCGGACTCGAAGGAGGATCGTGAAGGCGCGGCGGGACAGCAGGGCTGTGACGATTCCCAGCATCGCGTACTACTGCAACTCTCAAGTGCTCCGCGGTTCGTCCTCGATCTGCACCCTTCATATACTGGCTTACTGGCTTACAAGCTCGCAGATAAACCGGTGTAGGGCCAATCGTAAGGTCAGCCTGTACGTGAGGCTACTTTACATACATTGCCTCGCCTACGAAGTATTACCCAACTTGAGCCTGCGTTTTTCTGATTCGGGAGCTGCCACCGCACCGTTCGCTGGACTTCTGAAAGCGATCTTGATGGTAAGATCGGAGGGAAACAGTCCGCCATGTGAAGGCATGAATGTGCCCACAGCGAAGAGTAATTGCTGGACGTGCAAAGGTATGTCATGCTGGTTTATTTCTTCCATTCGTATGGTCCAACTCAAGGTCGGTCATGATGTCGGTTCCGGATGGGGTAACCGGGCGAATGCTTACGGCCGTACATACCAAGAAGTATACATGAACAGGTTACGCCGCGCTCATACACCTGTTGTAGTAGATACCGTGGTTCGCTTGTCTATGTTGGCTTACCAGTTGCAGAACGCAAAGTCGGATGCGATCGCGCCCTGCCGCATTGCGCGAATTGTACGCGCGCAAAGAGGGAGTGCAAAGGCTATGGATTGAAGCTCGCGTGGCCCGATAAGTACGATGGAAGAAGAAAGCAGAAGAAGTATCAGGCGGAACCAGACACAAGTGCGACCAACTACGTGACCAAGTTCGGCGAATTCTACTTCCTCAACACCAGCATTGAGGACGTCGAAGGACACAGGTATACTGTGCGAGATCTCGTTGCAATTGGCTGTTTTGCCAACGACTTTTACGCCCCGAGAAGCCTTTCGCCGGGCCTAGAATTCTGGAAGCTGGATCTGGGCGAGCGCGAGGGAACACTTTTGTCTTATTGTAAGTGTACAAACTGCCCGTATTCCGCGTGTTGCACTCGCACGGGTAGCGTTGATCCGGACGATTGGTCAAGCGCAGCTCGCATTTCATTGCCTCGATGCGGTGAGGTCACTCCAGGGTCGCTCGTTTAGCTTCACCAGAATGGACACATGCTGACATGGATTCTGCAGACAACTCTGTGGTCGCACGAATGATCACAACGATTGATGATAGCACCAACGGTTTCCGTCTCGAAATCATGCCCATGGCATTAACGTCGACAGCTGCAGCCGCAACAAGCCTTCTGCAGGCCACATTAGCACTGGCGTCTTTCCATTTAGGGAGTCGTGAAGAAGCGCTTACCCATAAAGTCAGGGCTATTAAGGCGCTTGCGGATAGTTTTCACTGTGGATCGCCTCCAGACGAAAGAACTCGACTGACGCAGTTTGCGTCGTGTATGATGCTCTGCGTATATAGCGTAAGTATCCCACTTATTGAAGCGGAGTAAAGGGAACGCATGTGTTTCTGCGCGATCCAGTTCCTCCAGTTCAGCCCCTTGTTGCGAGATTCTGACTCACCTCTAGGTCTTCGACGCCTCAGACACAAGCTGGCACACTCATCTTCAAGGCGCCCGCAACGTCGTCACAAGCCATCTCCGGGCTCTCCCTGGGAACCAACATAGATGCAATCCTTTCTTAAAAGAATGGTACGAATACCACCACACTTTCTCGGAATTCGCGTACCCGTCCCAGTTCTACACGGCGTTACCATCAATACACGACATTCTGATCCCCGAAAGCCTCGCTATTGATCGAAGAGTACGTGGACCTCGCAACCCAAGCTACCAGTGCCATCTTGAGACTGACACTGAAGATAAGATTGTGGGTCTGTTGGGTTGTTCGAGCGAATTATTGCGATTGATCTCGTGCATCAACCAACTGCGCACTCTCCTGACGATGGAAACAGGCACGTCGGAGTCTGACATGACCGCGCTAGCTGTCCATATCCGCTTTCGACTGCTCAATCTGCGACAGGAGATATACATCTACCCAGACGAGACTTCCGGGCACATCTCGCACACACGTATTCACCATACAGCAGAGTTCTACCAAGTTGCTGCCATGCTGTACTTGTACAACACGTACCCGGCAACCGCTCCATCTTCATCGACTTCTAGTCCACCGAATTCGCCGCTTCCATTCCCGAGCATCCCGGATCTTGTTCGCAAGGCTTTCATGCTGCTTGATCAAATGGAAGTGTGCACTTCGCCTTGGCCACTGTTCGTGGTGGCCTGCAATGTGTCAGAGGATAGGGATCGTATTGAGATCATGAGAATATTCGAAGAAGGGTCCCAGGTACGAAGAGTTGGCAACTATGACGTTATTACGGGTTTGGTGAAAGCAGTATGGAGTAGAGGGGATTTGAAAGTTGACGAAGGCAGGGATGGAAGCGCAAAGATACCGGACTGGAGGGAATTGGTCGATGAAAAGACGGGCATGCCTTCGTTCATTTGAGACGATGGACGAGTTCATGAGAGATGACACGACCAGGAAAAAATTGTTTGGGGCACGACGGCTTTGATTATAATGCGTCAAAATGCAGAGGATCTGACGTTTGACCGGCAGACCATACGTGGGATGTCTGAGGGTCGTGCTTCTGTCGACCGCTGTCGTTTGGCATTTGATACTGGCCCATTTTCTAAAGGACAGAAACATGCAGGGACGCGGAAGCCCATGGCTATTCAGGATCGCCTCCGTTGCAGAGGGGTCCATGAAGACGAGGCCTAGGAATGGGAGCCAATAAACACGGTCGGATTTCCATCTTTTGTGGAACAAGAAGAACATCTAGAAGGGTCGCTGATGTTACTAAAGATGAAGCGATGACCAGCGTTGGTTGCGAGCAAGTGGAGGTTATACCCAAGTAGAAGATACAGCAGAGAAATTCAAGGCTGGATAGTGCTGATACAGATCAGTCAATGAAGTCTGTGCATCTCCGCACGTGTTTTTTGAGTCATGAAAACCTAGGTCCCCAGAGCTGTAGAATGGTGTGCGTTATCGGTTTTGCACTGATCTGGATATAACTCGCATTGAGAAAAGGAAACACTTCTCTCTTAGAAGTGAATGAGCGTCGGTCTTTTCGTGGATTACCCTCAGTAGCAAGGGATACGGTGGCTGCGGGGGTTAGATGCATCGTGGTAGATCTCAGATATTGGCGAGGCTGGCGCAGGTATACCGTCTTCGTATGCGGTTACGCTAGCTTCCGTAGCAGCTTGGGCGCTTGACGTTAGCTAGATCTTGGTAAGATGGAGGTACCTCGGTACCCCGAGAGCAAACTTTCGAGAGGCCCCGCAGTAGACGGAAGAATGCATCGTATAGGTGTGGAGCCACGGTACTTGTAGTTGCATGCCGTGGTATGTTTGTTCCTTGGCGACGGTGTTGGCAACGTCATGCGAGCTGTGGTGTCCACAAGCCCCGTTCGAAGGGATGTAAGGTGTGCTGGAGTCGCAATTTCGAGGTGCGAAGTACACATATCGAAACAAAGCGAGGCTTTCCGCCGCTCTGTCGACGGGTCTTGGACTTGAGCTTGCGGTGCGGTGACGTGAGTGCTGTTGGTTCCACCTTCCCAATGCGCAGAATCCACTAGATGCACTGCGAAAGACGGCCAGTGATGGCTCGTTGCGCGTGCCAGGGTGGGAGCCCAAGGAAAAGCGCTGCCCGGCCCGCTCGTCAGCATCGAGTACAGCATCTAGCGCCTGCAGAGAGGGCCGACAGCGGGGAAGGTGACAGGTTGACAACCGCAGGGCTGGTAGGAGACTTTGTGACAATGAACCAGCAACCAGGCGTGGCGTAAGGAAGCGGCAGGCCTAGCAAAGCAGCTATGCGCGCCAATGCGGCGCCTCACGGTGAAGGCAACGCTGATGTACGACGTCAACCCCGCATCTCTTGATGTTCTGCACGCTATGCCTGATGGCGGCGCGCCATGTCGACGTCCGGGGAACGACGGATGGGGCTTTGCTCGGCAGCTGGGCGTTTTTGTGGGCGTTTCTGGGGGAGCAGCGCACGGCCGCAGGAAATGATGATGTGCCGCTGGGAGATGACGCAGGCGAACGTCTTGATCCCACGCCGGTAAGGGGAGGCAGACGAAGCCCAGCGACGGCACGGCATCATCGACGCAAGGACGCGGCAGAGATGGCTAACGCATTTGACGCATCCGCGGCGGCCGTTCAGCCGTTCAGCACCCGTGAGCGAAGCCTCGAGCGAGGTGTTGGCGGAGAAACAAGACTGGCCAAAGATCAGCAGGTGCCTGAGCGTGCAGCCATGGCCCGCCCAACCTACGACAGGGGTGTGTGCATCTTCCGGGGTCGAAGCTGGGGAGCTTGCGGAGCTGTGAATAAAAACCCAGGGCCGCTGTCCTCGCCGCTGCTTTTCTGCGAGCGCCCTCACATTATACCGTAGCCCTAGCTGTCGGTATCCTAATACACAATCTTCGCGCAGGGCCTGTCAAGTAAAGCTCCCACGTTCGAAGAGCATTCTTAGCCGTCATGGTGCACCGCGCGTGGCTTGCTCCATTCCTGCATGTGGCTTTCGCCCAAGCTCAGGTACGTCTACTCCCTTTACACACCACCACAATTTCACCTACATGAGAAAATCTGGGAGAAGCTGCACCCATGACGCCTGGTTTGGCGCATTTCTTCTTGTCGCTGTTTCCCTTTCTCAGAGTCACCAATGTCTGCTTTCCGCTCTTGTTGATGCACATGCGCTGACGGTAAACAAGTACTCCACCACGCCAATTGGCCCCAATGGCACCACGCCTGGTGACCTGAACAATGCCTACAGTCCTCCGTACTATCCTAGCCCGTGGGTAGACAGCTCAGCGGCTGGTTGGACCGACGCCGTTGCTAAAGCGCAAGCTTTCGTACGCCAGTTGACCCTGCTCGAGAAGGTCAACCTGACCACGGGCGTTGGCTGGGAAGGCGAGGCCTGGTAAGTAGATTCGATTCCTAAACGCCCATTTTCGGTCCATCGCTGATTTGCAAAGTGTCGGTAATACTGGAGCCGTTCCGCGTCTGGGCTTCCCAGGCTTCTGCGCCCAGGACAGCCCTCTAGGCGTTCGATTTGCCGACTATGTCTCCGCGTTTCCGGCTGGTGGCACCATCGCGGCCTCTTGGGACCGTGGCGAATTCTACCGCCGCGGGTATCAAATGGGTGTGGAGCACCGCGGCAAAGGCGTGGATGTCCAACTTGGTCCCGTTGTTGGCCCTCTCGGCCGCAACCCCAAGGGTGGACGTAATTGGGAAGGCTTCAGCCCTGACCCAATTCTCTCCGGAATTGCTGTCGCCGAGACCGTGAAGGGCATCCAAGATGCTGGTGTTATCGCTTGTACCAAGCACTACATCTTGAACGAGCAGGAACACTTCCGCTCGCCAGGCGACTTCGAGGACTTCGGTTTCGTGGATGCGGTCAGCTCCAATGTTGATGACAAGACTCTCCATGAATTGTACCTGTGGCCGTTCGCCGACGCAGTCCGTGCGGGTACTGGTAGTATCATGTGCTCCTACAACAAGGCGAACAACTCGCAGGTTTGCCAGAACTCGTACCTTCAGAATTATATTTTGAAGGGTGAGCTTGGTTTCCAAGGATTCATCATGTCAGATTGGGATGCGCAGCACTCTGGTGTAGCTTCCACACTTGCCGGTCTCGACATGACTATGCCTGTAAGTGCTACTATATGCTGATGGCCAGGACAATCACTGATTTGATATCGTAGGGTGACTCCGACTTCGACAGCGGCTTCTCCTTCTGGGGCCCCAACCTGACCCTCTCCATCATCAATGGAACAGTTCCGGAATGGCGCCTTGACGACGCAGCCACGCGCATCATGGCTGCTTACTACCTCGTTGGCCGCGATCGCCACGCTATTTCACCAAACTTCAACAGCTGGTCGCGCGATACCTACGGATACCAGCATGCCTTCGCCCAAGTAGGCTATGGTCTGATCAACCAGCACGTTGACGTACGGGCCGACCACTACAAGGCCATTCGCGTTGCATCGGCCAAGTCGACTGTCCTCTTGAAGAACAACGGCGCGCTCCCGCTCAAGGGCAACGAGAAGAACACGGTCGTCTTCGGTCAAGATGCTGGAGACAATCAATACGGCCCCAATGGCTGTGCTGACCGCGGTTGCGATAATGGTACGCTTGCTATGGGATGGGGATCTGGGACATCTGACTTCCCTTACCTCGTGACTCCCCTCGACGCTATTAAGAATGAGGTTGCCAGCAACGGTGGCATTCTACAGTCCGTCACTGACAACTACGCATGGACCCAGATCGTTGCGCTTGCCCAGCAGGCGAGCACTGCCATCGTTTTCGTAAATGCCGACTCGGGAGAGGGCTACATCACTGTCGATGGCAACATGGGCGACAGGAACAACCTCACCATTTGGCAAGGCGGCGAGACGCTTGTGCGTAACGTATCTGCGTACTGCAACAACACCATTGTAGTTATTCACTCTGTTGGTCCTGTTCTCGTCGACTCTTTCTCCAACAGCGAGAACGTCACTGCCATTCTCTGGGCTGGTCTTCCTGGTCAGGAGTCCGGCAACGCTATTGCTGATGTCCTTTACGGTCGCGTCAACCCAGGCGGCAAGTTACCATTCACTTTCGGCACAAATGCATCGGAATATGGCCCTGACCTCATTTATGAGCCCATCGCCGGTCATGACAGCCCTCAAGACAATTTCGAAGAGGGTGTGTTTATCGACTACCGCGCATTTGACCAGAAGAACATCACACCGGTGTACGAATTTGGATTCGGATTGTCATACACGACCTTCTCCTACTCCAACCTGAAGGTTAGCAAAGTCGCAGCTGGTGCTTACAGTCCAAACACGGGTCTCACTCAACCTGCACCAATCCTCGGTAACTCTAGCCACGATGCTTCTCAGTACCAGTGGCCGTCGAACTTGACCTACGTTAACAAGTACATCTACCCGTACCTCAACTCCACCAACCTGAAGGACGCATCCCACGACCCCGAGTACGGTCTCGACTACACCTACCCCGATGGCGCCACCGATGGCTCAGCTCAGCCCAAGATTGCCGCCGGCGGAGGTCCCGGAGGTAACCCACAACTGTGGGACGTTCTTTTCTCCGTGACCGCCACCATTACCAACAACGGCACCGTAGTTGGAGACGAGGTAGCCCAGCTGTACATTTCACTCGGTGGACCGTCCGACCCTGTCGTTGCGCTCCGCAACTTCGACCGCCTGAGCATCGCTCCCGGCAAGAGCGCGACTTTCTACGCGGACATCACGCGCCGCGACGTGTCCAACTGGGATACCATCAGCCAGAATTGGGTCATCAGCAATTACACCAAGACGGTGCACGTTGGCTCGTCGTCGCGGAAACTGCCGCTCAGCGCAAAGCTGTCTTTCTAGATGCCTAGATGATGATTGTTCATTGTTGTGTATTGTTTTGCTACGAACTGGATGAGATGAGCGGCTGCCCCATGAAACATAGCATGGGTATCAGATCTTAGCATAGCACATAATGGCAGAATTTTCAAATCTGTGATAGGGCCGTAGCCGGAGTTGTTACATGTCAATTGAAGTGAAGTTGTTTACTTCTTCCTGGATAGACGTTGTAGAGCGCGCGTGGCACGCGTCTAGCGCACGACTAATTTAGACGGAATGGTTCTGGTGTGCCCTGCAAATGCGGTGGTTGGAGTGATGTCATGTGGGTCGGATCGCGCACTGTGGGATTTTTGTTTACCTTGGGTAGCGTGCTGCATTGGAAAAAGTTTTCTTTACGTAGCTCGCACTTCTGCACGGAAGAACTTTGATCGTCATGGACAACAATAGATCTGTGACGCTGGGCTCGCTTCTCGCTTGCTGGTGGGCTTGCTGCGAACTGTGTGGGCCGCAGCGTGGGTGGGTGCATCGACTCCTCGCGTTGATGACGAAGCGCGCTTGTCTGAGAGCGTTTGCCTACAACAACAATGGGCGTCATCGTCGACAGCGAGCGATCGAAGCGAGTTTGTAGCAACGCCATGATGTTCAAGATCGACTGTAGAAGCGCGCTGCTCCTGTGTCTCGATTCTTGCAGACAGATGGACAGACTATCGTAGCAAATGGACGAGCAAGGCGAGGCATCTATAGACGCGCTTCAGGCGTCACGTGCGGCTGACCTGCCCGGCGCACGGTCAAGGCTAGAGGCATTGAGCCGCCATGTTCCTTTCTGCACGTCTTCGTGATCCTTGGATGGCTGAGACGTGTTGTCTTCCTCTGTGTCCACGATTCCCGCCGGCTGTACCGCCCAACTGTCTACCAAACGCAGCGCCGTTTCGTCGCGCATGGACGGAAAACAAACAAGACGACCCTGGGCCGAAGAACACGCGCCGCTTCCTCCACATCACCACTACTGAAGCGACAGCCAGCCTCCCGCTTCCCACAACGCAGCTGCTCCCGCTGCACATTTGCGCCTACGCACCGCGGAAGAGGCAGCCTTGACCGAACGCGACGGGCAGCGCATCCCGCTCGAGTCTGGGTGGGGCGAAAGAACCACTCGACGACACCCTCTGTTTAGATCGCCTTCTCCGCTCGCATTCTCACCCGCCCCGCGAGCGCACTCGGAACAAATACTCACGCAGCGCCATTTCCGCCTTGCAACCGCCGCCCACACACGATGCCGCCCTCAGCGACGAGGCGATCCGGCCTGCGCTCCCGCCGTGAGGCCGACGCACAGCACTCGGATGCAGACACGCCAGACTCGATCGCCACACCCTCCCGCAAGCGCAGGAAGGTGGGCAGCGCCCATGCCTCTCCCGCAAAGTTGAACGCCCAGTTTGTGACGCTGAACGGTGCCGATCAACCCGCGCCCGCGGATCTGGCACGTAACCGCAGAGCATCTGTCGGCAGCAACGACTCCAACGCAACCCTGCCCGAGGCGGACGCAGATGAGCCCGTAGACCCTATAGAGCGCCAGAATCACCTTATCAATCATCTGCGGATACCCGGTTATACCACCAACGCCTCGATTGACTTCGCCAATGATCTCCAGATGCGCAAGGCGATCGGCAACAATGTCGCGGCGTTTGCAAAGGTGGCAGCCCGCGACTGGTGCTTTTTCGCGCAGAAGACGCGCTTCATCATCGGCCGCGCAGACGCAGCGTCGCGCTCGCAGGCGCGTCCGACAGCCCCAAATGGACAGTATAGCGAGTTGAGCGAGCCGAATGTCTGGGGAGTGGACATTGATCTGGGTCCTGAACGACAAGTCTCTCGTGTTCACGCCGATATCGAATATGATGGCGATGACATGGTCTGGTACCTCACCTGCAACAGCCGTAACGGTCTTAAGCTGGACGACAGGAGCCTGACCAAAGGACAACGCGAACCGCTGCACTCGGGCATTTGCATACAGGTCATGGGCACGCAGATGCTTTTCCTCCTAGCTAACGGTGAGGATGTATTTCACCCGATGATCTGGCGCCAGACGATGAACAACCCGAATGCAGGCTTATCTGATGACGAAGATGGTCACCCTCCTTCTCGCACTGCACCGCCGCACGCTCATCCGAACGGACCAACACCCAAGCGCGAGCCATATGATCCATTTCCACCTACATCGTCACGCAGTAGAGGCGCCCATCCATACAGCAGTCAGTTGACGTCGACTCCTGGACGTCCAATACCTGGCACACCGGTTACTTTTTCTCGCAGTAAAGGCTCACCCTCGACTTACCCTCGTGGCATGATGCTTGATTCGACCGAGGACATCGATTACAGTCAGGACTCCGCGAAAGATATCAAGCCGCCTCACAGTTATGCCCAATTGATCGGCCAGGCCATACTACAAAGCGAAGAGCAGATGCTTACGCTCGCAAACATCTATGAGTACATCAAGGACCACTACGCTTTTTTTCGTAACACAAATAGCGGTTGGCAAAATTCGATCCGTCACAACCTGTCGCTAAACAAGTGCTTCGAGAAGGTTGCCCGCCGCACTGACGAGCCTGGAAAGGGCATGAAATGGAAGATCACCGACAGCGAGAAGGAAGATTTCATGAAGAAGCAGATGCTCAACCCACGCAAAGGCGGTGGGGCATTCCGAATGGACACGTCTGGACCAAGCTCACCTGCTATAGGCCAGTTCCGGGACCCGCGCGACCAACGGGAGAACCCCTTGCAAGCTTCGGAACGACTTCAGGGTGCTCTCGGACAGCAGGATGCTTTTCGCAGACAGGAAGCAGGAGGCCACATCAAGTCCCCGCCGCGCTCAACAACACCACCACTATCATCTGTCCCCATGGCTAACGAGTCCTACACCCCTGACCGTGGTCCCAGGGCAATAAACCAGCCGGGAATTCTCAAGCAATCTCCAAAATTCACCAGCGATCGCTTCGTGACACCCGCTAAACGACTCATCTATGGGGAGGATGAATCGCGCGGACCCGCTTTCGTCAAAGGTCCTGAAGACAGTCATCGAGGACTGGAGTCATCCCCGTCTGTGGACCCTGTCAAGCCCAACGTAAGTGGTCTACGTGGTGAGGCAGCCAACTCACCACCCACGCTATATTCGGACGTCACGGCCAACAATTCCAACGGAGGACAAGACTCATCTAGGATGAACCCGTTGGTCACGCCCCTTGTCACCCGCCATGCTCCGCGTCTTGCACCCCCTTCTACTGCTCAAGTACCAAGCCAGTACATGAACTTCTCCAGCCCGGCCCCATTCTGGAAATACATCGACCTGCCCAGCACCCCAGCAAAGCAGCCGCTGGATCTCAGCCCTATCAAACTGAGACCTAGCAACGAGAAGGACGGGGAGGACGAGGTGCCGCAGCCTAGCTCGCCACCGCTTATCCAGGATGAAGAGGAAGAGCGCAGTGGCGAGTCGGAAGAGAAGGACGCTGAAGAGAAAGCCGACGAGGATGAGGACGCACCACCAGATAGCCCAAGCCGTACCGTGTCGCGTCCCGTGAGCCGCCGTGAGCCCCCCTCCCAACGCTCCCGTTCGAACTCCAATGTCAATAGCTTCGATGCTAAGCCTGGTATGGTGCGAGGTGCTAGCCTGGGTTCTTTCGAGGAGGAGCCCGAGGAGGAGGGATTCGATCTGTCTAAGTAAGTAACGGTTGCTTGCGTTGAGCGGAATGTAGTCTAACGGTCAGAAGGGGCTTCCAGAAGATCGGCTCATTCCACAGGAGCATTGCGCAAGCGCACGGCGTCGTGGGCCCGCGCTCTTCGCAAAGCCAGGAACCGGTCTCTGCCAGGACGAGTGTCACAACGAACATGTAGGACGTGGGTCGTCGTTACACACCTGGTCTCACGATCGTGCCTTGCACATCTGGATATGAAGTCCCGCCTCGCACGCTTACACATTCTTATGAGATTTACAACCCCAGGCTCTTCGCTAGTATGGACGAAATGGAGGAGTATTGAGTTCATGCGCGGTCTGCTCGGAACGTTTCAAGATCTTCGTGTTGGTTACGTTTCCGAACGAAGCGTGTCATGCATGAGAGTAGAGGAAGAAAGGACACAAACTTCGTGTTACTATTACAGCATGCATTTGTTTGATGGGTATGGCGTTTATCTGGTGGCTTCGGATACGATGTTATGAGTTCTCTTCTACGACTATGAGGCAGAGTTAAGGGTTTTTGTTTGATATGTGGGTTTGGGTGGCTATGTCTTTTTTTTCGGCGAGGAGCTCGTCAGGGTGTTATAAGACTGTATGTGTACGAGGAATGAATGCATGGCTACTTTCAACTCCACATATTCTACCCCTGCGTGAGGTGGGACACTCTTGTGAGATCTGCACGGGAGGTCGACGTGCGTGAGACATCACATATCAGACAAACGCAAACGCAGCACACCACGATTTTGTTCTTCACTCACTCTCTTATTCCTATTGACAGCCTATCCTACTCTCCTTTCCTTACCGCGTGATATCATACCCACTTCTCTCCCTCAAGACACTAGTTTATCTCCTTGTGCGGGAACCACTTGCTCGCCTTGAGGTTCTTCTCCTCGAGCGGCGCATCCAGCACGCCCAGTCGCCGTATCTCTCCCGCCGAGGGCGCATCGTCGCGCTTGATGTTGGCTTCGGCTTTGCGGTAGGCGGCTTGGAGGGCGAGGGTGCGTGCAGCCTATGCGAATCACATCAGCATCGTTTCTCGCTATGAGTAACTTGGTACGACGACGAATGAAGTGGGGAATTGGATGGATGGATCTGGGGTCCATAGGGAGAACGAACCTCCTTCTTGTGGTGCAGACACTCGTAGTAGTCTTCGAGCACGGGCTGGCACTTTATCTTGCCAGCGTCGCTGTCGGGAGATGTGTTTGTGACGTAGCAGGCGAGGACTTCTTGCCAGAAGGGGAAGCAGCGGGAAGGGCCTGCGGAATGTCAGTATGAACATCTTCGTCGCGCTAAAAGGTTCGAGGGTTCGGTGAGCGCGGAGGGAGAGCATGAGCGGCGAGGAGAGGAGCGAAGCTTTGAGGCAGCGGATGCGGAGCGGAACCGAGGCGTAGTGTTCGACGGTGCGCGGTAGGCGAGAGAATATGCGAATACAAATGTGCGTAGAAGTGTCTATTGATGTTGCGCGTTCGATCGTGTGGTGCTCCAAAGCTTCGTAGCCGTGGTTGTGGTCGTCGTTGTCGCTGGTGGTCGCATCCTCTTCGCCCGCCATTGCCGCCGCTCCGGCACTCGTAGCTCCTCCTCGTGCTCGTCCAGATGCGATTGATATGCATGAGAATACGTACCGCCGGCCAAGCCGTATCCAGAAGCCATAGTCGCGGTATAAGTGGGGGGTCTTGCTGTTCGGAGGTAGCTTTGCGAGACCTGAGGTTGAGCTAGCTCGCATGACTAAGCCATCGATGGCCGAACTTCATCTCTTGGCGGTCATCGCAACAGCACCATCCTGATAGGGCAACGAGCATGCGGGAAGAGCTAGATCAGGCGTGAGAGGCTTGGAGCGATGCCCAAGTCCTCTCAATAGCTGACTTACCCGTCTGCATCTCTGCGGCGTAGACTAGATGCTGCGCCTGTTCGCCCGAACGCATGCACACCGCCTCAGCTGCTAACGAATCTGGTGTGGTGTCTCTACATCTCCGTTTGAAATGGCGGAATGCCAGTGGATGTATGCTGGCTTGGGCACGATTTGCCCATATCATACGGTAAGCTGGTGCGGGGCCAAAAGTCTGTAGATAAAAAGGCAGGCTTTCGCCCGTCCAGCATCGATTACCTAGGTACCATAGGTATTGTTGTAATTCGATTCACCATCGACTGTGTGTTCGACACCGCTCCTGATACAACGCAAAATCACCCCTATTCAGGTAGAGCCTTTCCTATGCATGACAGGATCAGTATTGATGTACTACAGCCGCACTCACCCAGCTTTCCAGCAGCCATGGCGCCACCAGGACCTCCCACCATACGCACGGCCTTCCTTTCTGTCAAGCCTTTTGAACCCGTTATGGTGTTTGACACCCAAGATCAAGCATTTTGGTTCCAGGACAAGGTCCGTCAAGGCCGTGTGCTGCTCGATCACAGCCAGAAATGGGTGTATCTGCCGATGCCGGAGGGCCTGCTCAGAGTGCGGACGGCAAAGGATGGGGATATCGCGTTTGATTTTGATACTCCTGCACATGCGGGCTTGTTCAACCAGAGTATTAAGGGACTCGGTAGAGTGTTCCAGAGGACCGCAGACAAGCCAAAGTGGGATTGCACGTTGTACATTGGGAAGTCTTTGAAGTGAAGAGCATCAGACGAGTCAGAGGACGTTGAGGTCAGACAGGATTGCTTGCCGAAAGAAGAATCCGTGTTTGCATGGACGGTGAGCAGATGTCACGCTTTGGAAAGGTACGGGTTACCTAGCAAGTCCACGATTCACCTCGTCACCATGGTGATGACAGCGCGCGCCTTCTAGAAAAGGCTTTCTCAAATTCAACCTCGCTCATACCTACTCTACCTTACACTACGCTCCCGCACGTGCCGCGTTCCTGTCTCGTCTCTACGTATATAAGAACTTGCACTGACTCAACAACTATGTCTCACAGATCCGTTTCTCCCTTTTCTCCCGCCCTCGTCAACCCCAACAGCAACCCTACTACTCCGCACGTGGGCGTGAACCACATCCAACCCCAGATCGACGACATCGACCCCGACAACGAGTACCTCAATAACCTCCGTAGCCCATTCGCGCACGTCAGCAGCATGAGCGACCCTTTCCCGCAGCAGAGTCGCCGTCACGTTCCCTTCACCGTCGCCTCCGCCCTCGGCCGCACCGACTACAAGGAAGAGTGGGAGCCCAAGGAGCGCCGCTCAGACGCGTACCTCGCGGTGCAAGGTGAGTAGTGTCATCTCTACTCAGTTACAGTATCACTATACGTGTTACCCCAGAACAGACTATACCAGGGATCAAAAAGCTCACTGTCCGGACGTTTTGGCCCTTTCTATAGCCAATTTGTGGTAACTCAGCACACTCAAGCTTCTGGCTGACTTTCCGCAGTGCAAATCCTTGACTATCTCAACACCCGCGCCGCCGACGAGCTCACCCCCGGCCAAGCGCACTTCTTCACCGAGAACGCAGGTACCAAGCCCCACGGCCCAAGCACAAAGCAAGCCGTCGAGCTATGCTACTTCATGCGCAGCCATGGCTTCGACACGTACGTGAAGCTGGATTCGCGCGACAAGAAGATCCGCCTCTATGTTGCGAATCGCGACACTTGTGACCGTAGTCGAGACAGTTTGTACTGGGTATGTAATACGTGCTTGAAGGCGAACGAAGAAGACTTGCTGAATGAAGTGTTCTAGGAGCAAGACTTGAAGACTGGAGAGTCTGTGCCGATGTCGGGTTTGGCGCGTGGAGCTAGAGGGGGAAGGAGGGGCGCGCTGGCAAACATCTTTGAGGGTGTGCGGACTGGCTGGCAGTAGAGTGATGCGAGGAGACTGCGTGGTGTTTTGGTGTTTGAGCTTGCGGGCGTTATGGATGATACCCTGGGTATGTAAGTTTTGGGTTTGAGGCCTTGTTCTGGCGGCGTAAAGGGGTGTGAGTTCCCGCAGGATGAGTATTGCCGGAATGCTCAGTATGGGCAAGCTTTTGAACCTGCGATGTCGATGTGTAAATTTAATTTGATGTAAGAGGTATTGTGTTACCCCAGGCTACGATTTCTATCAATAGCAGCACGTGCAACAGACTTCCCATCTAATCACAACAGACCCGCCAACATAAATACAGTTCTCCTGTCCCGCTGCTTCTGCCTCTTTCTCACCCTTCGCACCGACTTCACGGTTTCTGGAATGTGCCATTTGTGTCTAAATATGTTCTCTGGGTCGCATTCAAAAATGGGTCATCAAGGTTTTGATGGCCCTCTGTGTTCCGAAAGTCTCACATGTTTCCGTCATGTTTTTCCACTGCGTGGCTCCAAAATTACACATCTGGAAGGTTCATGTCTCTCTTCTGCGTTCTTCCAAAGACAGAGCACTAGTGAGCATGGCGCTCTCATGTTTTCTGGGCAACAAAAGTTCTGGCAATAAGCTGGCACGGGGTCCATCTCCATGGGAACAAAAGTTCCACAGTAAGGTACATTTAATCGATGCCTGACCCCTTCCACAGCCCACAGAGGCCATAATAACGTTGGTGGTGGGGTCAAAGAAAGTCGTGACCGCGCTTATGGCCTGTCACCAAAAACCCAGTCCACATGCCCTTGTGAAGTGTGTTGTGTAGCTTATCCCCACTATCATCGGGGTAAGCGGCACGTATTATTTCCACGATAACCAAGAAACCTTGATACAAGAACACATGAACTTTGCCTTCTCCGGAGTCCAGGAAAGGGTCGCTTGGAGGGATGGTGCAGATGTCCCGTGAAATATGGAAGTTGGACTTGCTGGAGAATCTTGGATTTTGGAGGACGCTCAAATCCGTTTTGAGATAGAAGATGTTCTTGATGGAATTGCCTCTAAGCGTTTTCTGATGACCGGCATGTCGTGAGCCAGCTCATTAAAGAAAAACAATCTTGACAGGAGAGAATATGTGCATTGCTGATGGTAAAGAATAGCTCCATCAAGGTCGTTGAAGGCTATGCGACATCAAGTGGCTTGGAGGGTTGAGCATGACTGCCTTGATTTCAACATTTACCACAAGCCCGGATTGATCAAGCAGCCAAATACAACATGATCGGGCAAATGGGCTAGAATCATAGAAGAACAATTTGGATATGCTGGGATAAACTCGAGAAAAGCCTCCAAACACCTTTAGGGCAATTTTGCTCTATCTTTTTGAACCAAAACCCCTGAACACTCCCTAGAAGCTTCATTCGGCAGCTTGAACAACCCTAGGGTATTGTGCACACTACACCCTTTTTCTGTCCAACCCAACAAACCGTTCATGTCTCCCTCGCGTATGCCTTGCGTTTCTCCTCTGGCATTATTGTAAAATCTAATTTTGGCGAAGTGTATGCATCACGTGGATCGCCACGCATGAGAGATACAGTGCCGATAAGTTTGCACGCACTAAGACGTTCAAAAAGGGGCCTAGTATCGTCGGGTGATAAGGCAGGTCAAACAGCTTATGCAGACTTAGCTCGAGCTCTGTACCTTCCGCGCACATGATAGACCAAAACCCAAGCCCGAGAGATTTGCCGTGATGCAGACGACTTTATATATGCAAATAAAGGCAAATAGAACCTCAGTCACGAGGTTTTGTGTCGAAATGAGCTAGAGCAGTATTCCTTGACTTGACGAGTGCCCGGTCGCTTGGAATTTGCTCGGAATTTGCTCGGAGAGAAAGAGTCTGTCTCAACGGAGCAAACGTCTGTGCTACTGCTATCATCGTTTGCGAAAAGAATGAGCCACTTCCCACAGTACTGGAACAGCGTTTAGGGCGAGTATATATGAATTATTAATTGTATTAACGTAATGGAAGCACATGACACGGCCTACCTTGTCCAAGATAGAAGCGCGTGGCCGCATCGAGGACAACGTATATATCAGCATAAAGTCATGTGCTTGCCGGAGTAAAACGGCGCAAGTATGGGAAACCAACCGTGCTACCCAGACTTCAACACGGCAGGTGTAGTGCCAATATAGCTAGAAACTTTTTCCGCAACGGATCTGTAGACAATGCATTCGTAAAACCAAGATACGACACGAACACGAGCTCGTCGATTCTTCGCACATCCGATGTGCAAATAAGTCTCTAACTACCTAATACAGCCTTACCCACCAACCACACTTCCGTGGCTCGTAGGCGAGAAAAGGAGAAAACAATTCCTCCAGCGCCATGCTAAAACTAGATAGTGCCCGTAAATATACAAAACAAGTAACCACACCGTACCGATGAGGTGTTCCAACGCCAAAAACTTATTCCTAGAGTGCCATTGTTGTGCTGATGACGGTGGAGTCCTTCCACCCTCGAACCAAATGCATGGCGCCATCTTACAGCTCAACACCTTCCAAGCGAAGGTCTCAGTTCTTCATCTTGCCTAAGAAGCCCTCCAAATCGAACTCTTCCTCGTACTGGCTTTCATCCCACAGCTCGCCAATCTCATCGAGGAAGCCCTTCTTGCCCTTCTCCCTAAGATTTCCTTCCGCATCGACTGCGTCGTTTTCTGAGATACCCGTGCCGCCATCCTTGTCGTTGGACGGCGGCGGCGGCAACGCAGAGGGATCTGCTGAATCGGCGGATACATTGAACAGGTCGAGGATCTGGTCTGTTTGCATGGAGCCAAGGCCGGCGTTTTGTTGGTTGACGACGGTGGAGGCGACGTCGATCTTGAAGCGTTGGAGACTGGTTGTAGTTAGTATGTGTGACATAAGGGGCGAAATGGAGACACGTACTTGAGAATCTTTTCCTCCAGAGTACCGCGCGTGATAATGCGGTACACGTTGACGACCTTCTTCTGACCGATACGATGCGCGCGGTCCATGGCCTGAATATCCTTCTGCGGGTTCCAGTCGTGCTCGACGAATATGACTGTATCAGCTCCAGTCAAATTAAGACCGAGACCACCAACGCTAGTGGTGAGGAGTAGGACGTCGTATGAGGGATCGGAGTTGAACTTGTTGACGATGTCTTGACGCTTGGTAGCATCAACGCTACCATCGAGACGCATGAACTGCACGGAAGGTAAGCACTTCTGCAGGACCTGTGTCTGGACCGCATCGAGCATCTCCTTCATTTGGCAAAAGACGAGGGCACGATGCTGTGAGACGGCTTCAGGAAGGTCACCGTTGGTAGTGATGCCCTTCTCCTTCTCCACATCTGCAGCTCCGATACCGCAATCGACCAACAAATCCTTCAGGGCACCAAGTTTGGGAGCATGCGCGATATCTTCTATCGAGGTATTGTTCTTCTTCAGATAGGCTTGAGTAGCATCGTACTGCTTGTGGTTTGGCTTGATCACCATCGAAGGGCCGTTGCAAAGCTTTCTCATGTATTGCAGCGCTTGGAAGATGTGCTGTTTGCTGTCGCGGTCGGCATTGCCAGCCTTTGCCTGGATCTCCTTGCTTTCCTTTTTCGTAAACTCATCGAAGAGCTTGCGTTGCAGGTCAGAGAGATCGCAGTAGTAATTCTGTAGGATCTTCGGTGGGAGGTCGTCGAGCACCTCTTCCTTGAGGCGACGCAACAAGAAGGGTAGGACCTGCTTGTGGAGGGCTTCGATGGCGAGAGCACCACGCTCCTGCTCCTTCGAAGAGGACTTGGCAAAGCGCGATGCCGCAATAGGTTTGGCGAATCGCTCCTGGAAGACCTTCTCGGAACCAAGGAAGCCAGGCATAAGGAAGTCAAACAGCGACCACAACTCGAGCACATTGTTCTGAATAGGCGTACCGGAGAGAATGAGACGATGATTAGACTGGAAATTCTTGACAGCCTGGCTAGTCTTCGACTTGGCATTCTTGATGAGATGACCTTCGTCGAGAACGACATAGTTCCAGCTGAACGGCTTCAAGACGTCGTTGTCGTTGCGACAAATATCGTACGAGGTGATGACAATGTCAACCTTGTCGAGCTGATCCCTGTGCTGGCCTCGAATGGCAGGTGATCCCACATACGCTACGCATGAAAGGAACGGCGCATACTGTCGGATCTCTTGCTGCCAGTGTCCAGAAAGTGTAGGCGGGCAGACGATAAGTGTAGGCACGCGGCGGAAGTTGGGGTCCTGCGTCTTCGCGAATTCTTCGGCGCGCAAGTGATGGTCAGAGGCAACCATACAGAGAGTTTGTAAAGTCTTTCCGAGACCCATATCGTCGCAAAGGATGCCATGGAGGTTGTATCTGTTGAGGAAAGCCAACCAGTTGACGCCGTCTTGTTGGTAGGAACGAAGTGTGGCTTTGATGCCGACTGGAATCTCGAAAGGCTCGACTTTCTTTGCGTCCAGCATTTGGGCAACGAATTTCCGCTCTTTATCCCTTCCTTGCAGCAACGTCTCTGGAAGCCCTGGCGGGTCGGGTATACCTGCTTCAAGCGGAACCAGTTTGACGAGAGTGGCGAAGCTGGTTGTCGCGAGGAGACGAACATCGTTGTCGGAGTCGCTCATCCTACCGAGGACTGGGGTGATCAAGAAGATCACGTATGGGAGAATGCTGTCTTCCATGACGTGAATGAGATGGTACACGCACTCGATCGCACCTTGCCGAGCATGCAGGTGATCGGATCTGCTAATGGATGGAAGGACACTCTCGACAAGCATCGTAATCCCTTCGACAGACATGACACTGCAGATCGTTGCAAAGCACTTGGCCGCAACGTAACGTAGAACGTAAAGTCGTGACTGTATAGCCTTAGCGACGAGCGGAAGGAGATCCTTGATGAACTGATGGACATCGGGGTGAAAGCTTCCGACCAGTGCGCGCAGCGTCGAGAAGGCGTCGACAACCTCTTGTCCGAACACACCATCTTCGTCTTCGATCTCTGATGGGAGTGCATCTTCGGTGAATGCTTTTCGGATGGGTTTCTCAATCAAGTCCTTCAGAATCGGGACCTTTGCGAAGATTTGGGCGCCAAAGTTTTGCACAACTTGCTCCAGACCCTCGCGAGCACCGCGCTTAGTAATGCGAGCGGCTCTTGATTCTTCCGCGAACTTGGCGGCATCAGGATGATCACGAATATCTTCGTCCTTTTTGAGAGTGAGAATGCCATCCTCAATGCTTGCGTGCGCGGGGAATTCGGGTGTCTCCGCGGTTTCCATGCAATAGAACTTGACGAGGTTGCCGACGACCTTCTTGACAACACCTGTCTTGTTCTTGTCGACAAGATGAACGATGAACCCTGCCACAGCGCGAGCCGAGCGTTTCTGGAGTTCCACGTTCTCTTCCTTCTTGATGCTGTCCATCATGGCCTTGATCGCAGGGGAAGGCTTTCCTGGAGGAGATTTGAGGGACACGAGCGCTCCAGCGGCGGCAGCCTTGATTCGAACGTCGCGCTCCTCCTTGATATCCCTGGCTTCACGCAAGGTGGTTTCCACTTCTGCTTTCGTGGTCTCCAAGTTGGCGAGAGCCATCATACGCGCTGCCGGGGTCATGGCCTTTTTCAACTTCTCGTAGGAAACACTCAGAATCTTCTCAGCATCCGCCACGGAGAACGCGTATTGACTCGCCTCGGGTTGACCTTGGACGACTATTGCGATGTTGGGGAGATTTTGCACGTGGTGGTCGCGGAAGACGTTCAGCAAAGCGGTGCATTGCGTTCGAACAATTTGCAACTTCGGAACGAGGTCCTCGTATGCGGTGGGCCTCTCACCCTCTACGATGTCTGAGAGCGGTTTGACGAAGGCTTCCGCGAGCTCGTCCTTAGCCGAAAGCGATTGGCCGAACTCCTCCATGATCATCGCTGCTATTAGCTGGGTCGTAGAGTTTGTAGAGGTGAGGGGAGGGATCAACGTGGTTTTGAAGGTCTGTAATCTTGAATCCTCCGGCCATGTTGCGATCGCTTTTCCAAGGGCTTGTGCGGCAGAAATTCTTGAGCGGATCATGACTTCAGAGCCAACGAGCTCCAAATCACCGTTGACCATGGGGCCATCGACGTTGTGGGAAGAGGTACTAGCTGACGCCGGTGTCTCCTCTCTACTGACACGAGACTGTTTCCGCTTCTTGATTGCACGCTCGCCGTTTTGTGGCGGCGTCGAGCGTCGGGAGACTTGCTGGTTTGCAGGAGGGCCAAAGGCTTGACCGGACGGCTTGATGAGCAGAGACTGATCCATGTGTATCGGGTGGCGAGGTACACCAATAGGTGTCAATGAGAGAGGAACGATAGATCCAAGGATGGGGCCAAGATGCAATGGCAGCTCCGCACTTCCAAGTACATCGAGAAGCGAATTCCAGAGCTGCATGGATAATCGCAGTACACCCTCGTTCCTCTCCAGAAGTATGTTCTGGAATACCAATTGAAGGGCTTTGCTGTCAATCCAACCATCCTTTCCTGCGTCTTGAATGTCGAGGAAAGTGCTTAACGCACGGAGGACTGCAGCACGTACACTGGTGATGGTGTGCCGAAGGAAGGGGAACAGACGTGGCACCAGCTCATGGAAAGACTGAGATTCATCCATCTGAGCGTTGGCCTGCATCGCTTCCAAGACCTTGGGGAAGCTGCATAGCTTCGCCAAGAGGTCCATAATGAACCCAGTACTGGCACTGAGATCATCTGTCAGACTGGACAAACACGCCCAGACTTCATTGATGAGTTCCTTTAGTCTGTCAGGTCGCATCTCGACAAATTCCTTGGCAACAGGAATCAGTGTCGCGGCGCTGATGGCACGAACGTCATCGTCAGAGTCGCCCAAGCCCTTGATAACAGCGTTGAGCACTCCGTCCATAAGGGTGTCGTCTTGAAGAAGAAGGTCGCTTCTCACGGCGACCAAGTACCGCAAACCCATCATACCGCCTTGTGATATCTGCCATAGAGCATGTGTGGGGGCGTCCTCCGGTGAAATGAGGCGATTAAGAACGTGGAATGTGGCGAGGACGTTTTCTTGTGAGAGGTGTTGGAGTAACGCACCAAGCGCTTGTCCAGTAGTTTCACGAACGGGTGCGACGGCATTGTCGCCCGTGTAATCGGCAAACCTGTCGAGCATGAACACACAACAGAAGCGACATGCGAGATCGTTGAGCCATCTTTGATTGAGCTGATCGTTTTGCGAGCGAGTCTTGCCCTTCAACCGCCCGGCACCAGCGCCATGCACACGGAGTATCTCTCGAAGACCCATGGCAGCACCATGCCGTACTTCCCAAGCATGGTCAAACAACTCTACACTGAGGTATTCGCAGACACGCTCGAATGGCCACTCCAGCCCTTGCTCTTCTGCTTCCGTCTGGAACGATGACTTATCAGGTACCGGTTCGCCCTTGAATTCTTTCACGAACTTCTGGTCGTCCTCGGCACCATTCCGTTCCAGAGAAAAGTAATCGTCTGTGCCCGTGGCGTCAGCGTCTTCTTTTGGTTCCTGCTTGACGGCATGGGGATGTGCACTGGCTGGCGTCTGGGGTATGTCGTGTGAGCTCTTGCGGTGGGCAGATCCAAAGTCGACGATTTGTACTTTGTTCGCTTGCTTCGAGATGTCTTTCTTCGCTTTGCGCTTCAGTGCGTTAAGTTGACGCTTGCTAAGCCCGGACTGATCGCCGCTCGGGGTGCCGGGCGGTGGAGGAGAGAGGGCCGATGCAGAAGCCATGCTATCTGATCGCTGCACTGAAGTATCTATGCGATGCGGTGCTGGGGTGCGCACAGCTGGGGTTTGTGCTGGAAGGTCATGCTCAGTAACAAGTTCTTCCTCCATGTATTCACCTGCGAGACCAAGTCGTTGGGATAGGGTCTTCTTCTGATGTGCGAGCCGTGAAGCAGGATCCATGCCGGCGAGTTTGTAGTCGTATTCTTTGCCAGCGCTGCCGAGAAGCTGCTTGCCGTACCTCAGTATGGAGCCCATGTCCATGGTCCGAAGATCGAGAAGGTCTTCGTCGAGCGAGTCGCTCTCTGCACCATTCTCCTCCTTTTTGATGGTGCCATTGCTGCCCTCCTCCTTGACGTGGCCGTTGGACTCGGATTTGACCTCGGCCTTGATGGGCTCATCCTCGGCGTTTGGGTCGAACTTTTCCGCGTTGGCGATGATGCCTCCTACGGCCCTGGCAGCAGCGACCCTGGTCTCCCAGCTCTTGGACCGCAGGTACGGAATGACGCGTGTAAGTAAATTGAATAAATCTTCCGGATGCTGCTTCTGGACATCGGCTAGCTGGTCTGCAGCCGTGTTCCGGATCAATGGAGTGCTGCCGGTCTCGAGGAGTCTGGCCGGGCGTCAGTCAAGAGGATGCAGGAGCAACAGCAAGCGAAGGAAGGCGCGACATGGCATGGAAGCAAGCGACTTGTATTTGCAGCGAAGAGGGAAGTAGGTGAAGGGTACTCACGTGACAAGCCTGTCGAGCCGGCTGTGCGAGCCACTGTGCATTGTTAGCGGGCACTCTTGCCATAGGTTGCAGACGCATGCTGGAGTCGACGTACCTCATTCTGGCTGCGCTGGGCGGACGCACGGGCGGGGAGTATTATAAATTACGAGGGCCAGTCAGGGCGCCATGGGGGCACTGGGGGTGGGGCAGGGTGCTGTTGAGTGTTGCAGGTCACGTGGGTGTGCGCGGGCCGGGGGAAAATTGGCGCGGACGAGCTCTTCAGGTTGGAGGGGAACCGACGCCTATGTACGAGTTCAATAAATACGGTATCGCACCGCCTTAGCGGTTCGACCGCGCACGGGCCACTCCCAGCACGGCCGTTTCAGGGAACAGATTCAGTTTTTCGCACGCCGTCTGCATCGCGGCCTCGCTTCTCTGCATCAATTTCGTCGCGGGCCCTCGGTCGCGTACCTGCAAGATGCTGCTGGCCACCCTTGCCGCTTCGCACTTTCCTCGTGCGCCGCCTCGCGCCTGCTTCTCGAGACTGGACAGGTAATCACCACGCGCACGCTAACCGCAAATCATCAGAGCTTGGGGCACGCCTTCCCGCTTCTCGTCGCGCTCTACTCGGACGCGACAGAGTCCACCTGCGTCTCCGTCATCAGTTTTGTGCTGCCTATTCGCAGCATCCGGTGAGCACCCACGTCGAGCACCCACGTCGCGTCGCGCTGGAGACTGCAGCAAATCGTAGGCGGGCAACCCCGGATCATCTACGCGAGATCCAGGCACCCATGGTGATGCGCGCCCCCATCAGATGTCGACACCTGATTCTCTGCTGCAGTGCTCTGCCATCGCGACCAGCTGCAGAACGCGTCGGTGTTGGTGCCGGGACGACGCGCAATGCAGCAGCCGGCGATTCGACGTGTCCTGCGTGGAAACCCGCGGCGTCAAACGTCGGCCTGCGCAGATCCTCCCAGCCTTTGGCAGCCCCGGCACCGAATCCGCCGTTGATCTACTGCGTGCGGCTGACCGCTAGCGCATCGTGTCCACCTCCACCTCTTCTCTTCTACTTTCTACTTGCCTTTGACGTCCCTTCATCAGCCCTATTTGTACTGCAACATCCTTCCAGCCGCAATGTTCCGCCCAAGACGGGGTTTTCCATGATTGCACACGAAGAGTTTTCTGCCCCTGATAGCCCTGAGTAGCTCGCGTGCGGCACGCCGCGGAAGAGTCGCGGGAAGGTGCATGCTCTTTAAATTCAGATGCTGTCCAGCCTGGAGCTATCCATCACACCCCAGGGCTGACGCTAACGTCTTGATTGGTTGATATGTGCGGGAGGGTGGGGAAGCTCTCGCGCCTGACAGGGGTTTCCGGGACCTTCAACACCACCGCCATGTGTCCCCGTATCCTCGGTCGCTTTCATCTGTGCAGGTATTGGTCTCTGATCAGGCTGCGATGCTACTACTGTGTATGTAATGCCAATGCCCGGTCACGTGGGATCCATTTATCCATGCATGTCAATCGTTGCTGTCTGGGCCACCCCTTTTGCCAGGCTGGGCATGTGATCGCCATACCCCAGCTTTCCGATGCGAAACCTGCAACACAAAGTTCCCTAGCCATGTTGGACCCATTTGACGCGACGGCCATGTTCTCGACCTTGTCACGATACACTATGCGGCCATGTGTACTAGATTTGTATCAATGACTATCGCACCAGCTGCTCGAAGCCATGTGGCCGCAATACCAGATCCCTTTCAATGTCGTTCGCACAATTACATCGCAGCTTACACATATCTAATACATCCCAATTCCTCCCGGCGGAACGGCTCCACCTCGCAGGTCAGCCCTTGGTTACCTTTGCAGCATTCGGCGAACTTGAGAGCTTGTGTTCTTGGCTCTCCATTAGAACTCTACCCTTTTGATATCTATTCCATTACATGTCTCTGAAGAGTTCACAAAAACTTTGCGAGTTATGATTGACGCCACGTAATGGCACCCCAATGTTGTCAGGAACGTAAAAAAGGTCGAAGATGACCGATTGGAAGAGTGAATCATACGTCACATTACGTAGACGGTATGTTTGAAGCAAATTCTCAGAGAACATGTTGAACATCAGATTATTGGTGGTTCCGCTAACGTGCTTTGTCATAGATTAATCACGAGAGCTGCACTTGCCCGGGCAACCCAGAAAGACAGCATCACTGTCGCACGTCCTGGAAGCAGCGCCATACCAATATTCGAGCGTCTCTTCGCCATTATGCAGGCGCAACCGAGTCTTTTCCTCCGCGTTACGACATAAAAATTTTCTCGACTTGCCGATTACCTTCTAAGGTTGCACGGCGTCGACACACCTCAACACTGTACCAACAGCCACCCGGCTCTGCAAATCCATCGCCCCACCATGGCGGCCTCAACCGACGTTTCAGACCATGCCAGCGACCCCGACTCTGTCGAACTGGTCAATACCATGTATGTTGCCAATATCATGGACGAGGACACTGTTGGCAGCGGTGCGGTCAAGACACCGGAAATTACAATTGACGGTCCGTCGATACGACAAGCCTGCATTACTCATCAACCAAAAGAAGATCTTCCAGACACGACAGCTACCAACGTCGATATCTTCGCGGGCTTAAACATCGTCGACAAAGCCGCCCCTAGCGGTGCGCTTTCGCAGCCCGTCCCCCTCTACCACGGTAAATTTTTTACACACGAAGCCTTGCAGCCGCAGTCATTCTGACAACGGTTCGTTCTAGACATGAAACTGGCACCAAAACAGCCCGTTCAAATCCTCGCGGAGAAACGCGTTGAAGTTGCGCCCGGCGTCTTCGTTTGGTCCGATACTCCGTTCTTCATCGAAGTCCACAAGCCCGCCGTTATCAAGGGAGTCGAGGTTCTGAACGAGAAGTTCGGAAAAGGCTGGAGCAAACTTCCCGATGAGCTAAAGGTGAAGATCTTGTCCTTCGACCCCGAACTCAACGACGATATCAGGCCGCGCGGCAAGGAGCACTGCTTCGGTCATCAAAACGGTTGGAAGACGCTGAAACGTTATCACGAGATGGCCCCAGAGTTTGGCATCCTTGCGACACAGATTTTCTACAAGACGCATCACTTCCATATCACTGGCGTATGTACGCCATCGGATAGCAGCTCCTTCAGGCCTATGTTCTTCCCCAAACCCAACGTCAATCGCTGGATTAAGGTGATAACCTTGTGCATACCACTGCATATTCGTGCTTGGACCTGGCTTGAGAAACTTGCCAGCGGGAGCTTGGGCTTTCAAGATTTGCAGTACCTTGCCGTAGAAGTCTTCCAGACAGTGGATTTCGTCGCTCTGGGCAGCACTCTGGTCGATGTTCCATTGCGAATGCAGGTCTGCAACGAGCCGTTCGTGGACAAGTTCATCGTGTTCAAGTGCAAAGGAAAGGTCATATATACTTGCGATGCAGGATATGACGACTTTTACGTGGACATTAGCACAAAGAAGGACACGCTCGTATGTGAGATGGAGGAGTTGCTGCTGCGGAGGATCACATTCGGTTCCGGTAGCTGAAGCGCAGCCATTCGATCTTACAGCGACAATATATGGACAATATGATACTGTGTACTTGCAGCTCTGGTTTAGTAGACCTAGTTGCAAGGGCTGATATTGTACAGCATGATAGACTCTAGTTCTTGGTCGCTCGATGGATGCGTCTCAGTGGCGCTAGATAACTTGCTTCCCACTCTTTCGCAGCCTCTTGATGTCTCTTGACTCGTTGAAATGGCACAGAGCGTATGCAAAACTTGCAAGTCAATGATGGATTACCTTCATTATCTAATGAACGTCCCTTCTCTTCTCATCGTGTGAGTTGTCTGGAGAGATCCGCAGTGAGTCCGCTCTAAGCCTTTGGCATAACTCGCATCGTATATATGGACCTGCCATTCTACGCTGAGCACCCGAAGATGGTGGCTCATGCAAATATATCATCGTAGCCAGAGATTGCAAGATGCTGGTACGCTAAGCGTAACGAGGGAAGGCCCCACTTTGCTCAAAGCTAGCTGCTTCTTCTTCCAGCAATGCTCGCTTCCTCCATCAGCTAACCGTCCTGGTTGCTCAAGCAAAGTTTTCCCTTGTCTCAGCTGATTAAATTGCTGTATAAAGCCCTCGTTACTGGTCCTTAGTATCGCACCTCTTTTCTGCAGAGCTGACGTCATAGAAGTTGACCCGCGACGAGACCTTACCCTCGCGAAAAGAATGTCTGGCACGCAACCTCTAAGAATACTCATCACCGGCGGAGCACGTGGTATCGGACGCGGACTCTTTCGACACTTTTTGGGCGCCGGACACTCCGTTTACATACTCGATGCCAACTCAATCGAGCTCGAGCACGTCAAAAAGTCAGCGGATAAATGGAAGTCAGCCTCATCCCAAGCCATATGGAAAGCTTCTCTCTGCGATCTGCGAGATCGAGAATACATCAAATCCATTGTTGATGACGTGAAAGACGTGTTCGACGGAAAACTCGATGTTCTCATCAACAACGCTATGGCAACCGAAGGGGTTGGAGCGGGCAAGCCCATGGAGGACGATGGCGACGAGACCATGGAAGACTGGGACACGAAGATTGCCGTTGGCCTGACTGCGCCATACGTGCTCAGTCGTCTATGTGTACCTCTTTTGAAGGCCGGATCAAGCGCGCCAGGCTCCCCAGGTACCATCATCAACATCTCGTCGACGCGTGCCCACCAGGCTGAAGATAATCATGAGGCATATTCGGCTGCCAAAGCTGGTATTCTTGGATTGACACAGTCGATGAGCGTATCTTTAGGCCACAGACACAAGATTCGCGTGAATGCAATCTTGCCAGGGTGGATCCACGTGATGAACGAACGAGCGGAGGCTGACGTGTCTGGTGCAGCATGGGAAGAGGGCCTGACTAAGGAGGATGCTGAATGGCATCCGGCTGGAAGGGTGGGAAAGGTGGACGATGTTGCTAAGGCTGCTGAGTATCTGATTGGGACAGGCTTCGTTACGGGACAAGAAGTGGTGATAGATGGAGGCGTCGGACGGAAGATGGTGTATCCTGAGGAATAACATTTTCAGAGCACAGCTGAAAAGGTGTGGTGTCAGTCCAGCCAAAGTGTGCGACTATATGCCGCATCGAAGATCGTGCCTAGTGTACACGGAGAGCAGCATGCAGGTGTCAAGAGGTAATAATCATTTCTTCCTAACACTATTTATAGAGACTGGGCCCTCTTACAGGGCCTGTTATGATAGGATCTATCTCGTAAAACTTACGGAGCTTGTATGGGCTATTTTTATAATGAGATACGGTGTATCAGTCCAGAGCAGCCTATAAGCAAGCCATTTGACACGATATTGCAGCTTTCAGCGATGAAGACGGACCGCTAGAATCCGCGTCATCTCGTATTCGGTATCATCACTTGCACTTCCGTGGTTGATCTCTGCCTTGTCTAGACCTTGCTTGGTTTTTTCTCCTACCCTGTCGCTGCTACCATTAGCGCCTTTGTCTTCCATGTCCTGTACTCAACAATATTGGCGCGCGACCTCAAATTTGGATGAGATGGCGGAGGACGTGAGGAAGGGTATTGTTCTCGTTATTTGCCGATCGCTGCTTCGACAATTCGTCTGATGTGTTAATTGTACCGCTTGCGGCCCGCAGTAATGACTGAAGAAGCACATTCCTGTTTCCGAATGATGCTATAGGCATTGCTCTTGCTATCGCAATTACTACCACTAGTTATACCGTTAGGCGTGGGAATTCGCCTAGCTCCTGTTAGGTCCGGCAGTGGCAACTTCACATATAGAACTACCTTATACGTGGAAGATCTGGCCGTTGCAATGGACAGGAAAGGGGCGTCCCCATCGCTTTCTCGTCCCCAAACGTATGAGAGACACGTGTACTCCCCTGAGAGGGCCGAGTTGAACAGTCGAATCTGGACTGTGCCGTGTGTTGGAATTTTGGTTCTACTTCGATGAGCCGGATGGAGGAGCCAGAGCTGTCAAGCGGCTGGTACTGAAATCTTTGTTTACTATCTGCGCTGTCGCTGCGTATCGACTCCGTTGCAACAAATGATAGACTGAGAGCTTGCGTGTATGGACTGATCGAAAATGGAGAAGATAAGGATGCTTGGGCGCATCGGGAGGCTATGTACAGTGGGTGGCCACGTTGGCTCGCACACCTCGTTATCAAACCAAGCGTACCGTGAGTTTAGTCTGGTCGAGTTATCAGTGTCGCAAACCTCCTTAAACAGAATTTGTACGTTTTTACATGCGCCATCGGCGTGTAAGAGTTAATGTGGGCACACCCTGTACGAATAAGGCTGTGCTCGCGGGGCGGGGTAAGTCTACCACAAGGCTGAAAATGAAGAAGTGCGGTAACGGATAAGTCTCAGAATGCGGACATTTAGAAATCTCATTAAACCGCATCTTGGAAAGCGGATGCAGGCCATTTGAAAATTGGTTTGACGCTGGGATAGTTGCTGTAACCATACTGATCTTCGTCATAGTCACGACCGCTTGTGCCACTTGCACAGCCGCATCAAGGATTGATGGAGATCCCACGTTCACGTGATGGCCATCGCGGGTGGCGTTGTCGCCCATTCACAGGGATGGCCACGTTAACTTATGCTTCTCGTTGCCACTCAATGTGCACCGTGAGTTCAGTCTAGTTAGGATCTGTACATTACATTCGCTTGGTCTATTTCGGCAAAGCTCGAGTGTGAGGCACATAAGTTGAAAATTCAATTAAGCCTTCCTCCGTCATAGATGCTACGCGGACGAGAAAGAATGTAGGTGTGATGTCGCGTCTTCGCCATCAATCCACACCGAAACGACAGGCGCCAACGACGATGTTGCGGATATTGAGTAGGTGCAAGAAAGACCTGAATTATTTACGTCCTCAAACATCAGGAAGGCTTGGAGCTGATGAGTATAGTGGCTATGGATAGTTGCGAGGATAGTACTCGTCTTCCACGGATTCTTTTACGATTACTAAGAAGCGCATTGCGTATTATGGGTGGTACGACCCCCACGTAACTAACCTAACCCGTAGGTAGCGCTTGCCCCACTCGCTGTATTGACACTCTCGACAACGACGTTCACAGTGTTCTCGCTGCCACCAGCAAACTTGGTGTTGGGCACTTGCTCAGCGTGAGCGGCGCGGGCGGGAAAGTCTTCTTGCTCACCATCCTATGCTCTCTTATTTGGATGGCCTTCCTCGATTAATAGCCCGACGCTCAAGATCAGCCTTACAACCGTTACACCACCGCACACTCATTGGCCCAGATCACTCAGCAGCTCAACCCCGCTCCTTCACTTTATCATATTTGACCAGCCAACTGCGCTTTCCTTACTGAGATCAAGCGACATACTCGTTTCACCCGTCAATTCGCCTGTTGCAAGTGCACCAAAGCTCCAGACGTGTCGACTCGAAGTGCCCGTCAACCCTTTCGTACAGTGCATCACAACCGACAAAAACCGCGTAGCACCATGGAAGTTTTCATGCGAGGCCTACCACTGGACTTGACAGACCAAGGGCTTCGGACCCATCTAGCGCCCCTGGTGAAGGCACTGTACATCAAGGACTGGTCCTGCCAGAAACCACGCAAGAAGACATTCGGAAGTGTCACCTTCCTGCTGTATACGGATGGCCAAAAATTTCTACAGGGACATGGAGAGCAGGCTATGCCTCCTGGGATGTTCTCTAAGTACCAATCTAAAGCTCGTTTGATGATCCTGGGCAAACACGTCTATTGCAGCCTCAGCAAGAAGTCTCCCGACCCTTTCCTCTTGAAGTGCTTAACGAAGTCAGCAGAGGATCGACGAGCAGGCAGCGAGTGAGTCTCACAGTCCTGGTTTGAATTCAAGCTGACGAGCCTAGGCTTCCTCCCTCAGCTGATCAAGATGACAAGATCGTCTTTCGCACGCAAGCGTTCTCGTGCGGGATATACCAGTATGTGGACAGCCAGTTGGTTTACTCTCCGGAGGTGGAATGGAAATTTGCAGCCGGAACAGCCAAGTTCGTTAAGAAGGCTTTGATCCTTGAATACGAAGATGAGTTCGGCCGCACGAGGGTTGAGATACCATATCGAACAGTGGAGAGCATCGTAGCCACCTCACGACCTGCTGCGCTCGTATTGACCCTATGGGAAACACCTCGACTCTTCGGTACAAATGAGCCGGATCTGGCGGATCTAATGGCTGCACTACTGCTACAGAAAAACACAAACACTAAGCGACGGCTTACAGGACTCCCAAGCCACAGTTCATCGCATCATAAAGTTGTTGGCCAAGCGTTGGTGTACCGCATCTGCGTTTCTCCAGTTGACTTCTACACACTGTCAAATCTGTTGATCCAGCGCGAAGTCCTCAGCGTCATCCGACATGATCTCACTGTATTGCCGTCGCATGCACATCTCAGCCTGAAGAAAGGTATGGAGCTCCTGAATCAGACCATCCAAGAAACGAGCCGCGCGGTCCCCTTCGCGGTTATGTTTCAGCTAGAAGCTTTGGCAAGAAACGCGTTCTTGCCTCCTTGGACTGTTCAGAGTCTATTGTGGAAGATCAACACGCGGCTCGAGGAGTCCCTCGATCCGGATATGAAATATTCTCTAGAGGTAACTTATACGACAATGGAAGCTTCGCGGCAACTGACATGACATGAACAGAAACCCCTCGTTTCAGCAGAGGCTGTTCGAAAGCTACTTTCCCAAATACCTTTCCCGGGCATCGATATCGATGCTTCGGTGTTCGACCCCGAGAAGATCTGGGATTACCTTGAACAGAACGAACAAGAAATACAGAGTGGTTGTCACAAAGATCTCATAACCGTACGATACTTGACTCGATGTCAACAATGGTATGCTGATAGATTCTAGGAAAGGGGGCGGGAAAACCTCACCATGGTCCACAAGATCACCGTTACGCCCACAGGTATCACGCTCCATGGCCCTGATCCCGAAGCCAGGAATCGTATCCTGCGGCGTTTTCCGGATCACACTGAATACTTTTTGCGCGTTCAATTCTGTGATGAAGACGGCACCGGTCTACAGTTCAATTCAAGAGTCTCCAATGAAGAGATCTATGAAAAGTTCAAACAAATCATGATCAATGGGATTGCGATCTGCGGTAGGGTGTATGGATTCTTGGGTTACTCTCACTCATCCTTGCGAAGCCATTCGGCCTGGTTCATGGCTCCATTCTGGCACAAAGACCGCTTAGAGACTTATTTCACGGTCATACCGACGCTAGGCAAATTCGGTGACATTTATTCACCAGCTCGCTGCGCAGCTCGCATTGGCCAAGCATTTTCGGAGACTCCATTCGCAATCTCGCTGGATTATCACGGCGTACGACATGCCACGATGCCAGACATTACGACGGGAGATGGGCAGCATATGTTCAGCGATGGTGTGGGGACGCTTTCTCGTGCAGCTGTCGAAGCCATCCGAGATTCGATTCCTCAGAAGAAGGGTGCTGCTACCTGCTTTCAGATCCGGTGGGGTGGAGCTAAAGGCATGCTCGCACTAGATGATCGCCTCGAAGGTACCACGATGAATGTTCGAGATTCGATGGTCAAGTTTGAGAGTGCCGATATCGAAAATCTGGAAATTTGCGATGCTGCAAACAAGCCCATTCCGCTGGTCTTGAACCGACAGGTACGTTGTTAACTGTGCAAGATAGTCTACGATCGTCGAAGCATGTGCTGAGATGATGGACGTATGAGCTCATATTTACTGACACATGAATAGATGGTCAAAATTCTCGAAGATATGCGTTTGCCGGCTAATTGGTTCTTAGAACAGCAAGCCACTGCATTACGCAAGCTACAGTTCGTTACAGCGCACATCGCAAATACCGCGGGTTTCCTCAAGCGTCAAGGCGTCGCCGATCGTATTGGTTTCCCACAACTGATCAGGCGCTTAGAATCCGACGGTATCGACTATAGAAGAGATCAATTCATGCGCTCAGTTGTAGAGACGGCTGTACTTCGTGAGCTGCGCCTCATGAAGTATAAAGCGCGTATTCCCATTGAGCAAGGCGTTACACTATTCGGGATCATGGATGAAACAGAATATCTAGAGGAGGGTGAAGTTTTCGTTGTGTTTGACCATGCATCTTTCATTGGCTCCCACACACTGGATCTGGACAACCGCCAAATGCTCATCACTAGGTCACCAGCACTGCATCCAGGCGATATCCAGGTTGCGACCAACATCATCCCCCCGGAACATCACCCACTGAGGGCTTTGAGAAATTGCATCGTATTCTCTCAAAAAGGAGCACGAGATCTGCCAAGTTGTTTGAGTGGAGGAGACCTCGATGGTGATACGTACAGTGTGATATGGGATAAAGTAGCGGTGTCCGGGTGTCAGTGCATCTACACGCCTGCCAAATATCCTCGCACTGCCCCTCTGAACATCGGACGCACTGTAGAGAAGAAAGACATGACCGACTTCTTCATTCAATTTATGGCCACAGATCAGCTCGGGCTCATTGCGACTAGGCATATGATCTTGGCAGATCAACGGCCTGCCGGCACAGCTGATCCAGGTATGCACGCACCTAATCTGCCAATTTGCCTACTTATTAATATCGTCTAGATTGTGCGATGCTTGCGGAATTGCATTCAACTGGTGTAGACTATTCCAAAACAGGAATACCGGTCAATATGGAGACGTTCAAGAATATCAGAACGAACAAATATCGACCTCACTTGTAAGCTTCATCTTGGAAGAGACACGATTTCCTCGCATGCAAGTCATATCCCACCGGTTACTAACTGGTTGATAGTCTTGCGCCCAGCGGGTTCACTTACATCAAGGACAAAGCCCAAATCGAGTTTGACATGCCCACACGCCCACGTGAAGATGAAGAGAAGGACGAAGATGATAATCTTGGACCACAGTATCTATACTATCGCTCTGAGAAGATCAATGGACTTCTCTATGACGCTATTGATGAACGGAAGATCTGGTATGAGGACATAAAGGGTAGCAGCAAGACTGACGGAGCGGTATGGACCGACTTTCTGAACCAAATGAAACGCCAATGCAAGATGCAGCTCGGAGCCGTTCATTGGGAGCACTTGAGAGATGAAGCATTCAGCATTCGTCACGCGTAAGTCCACTTGTCGAATGCGTCCATTCTGCGATCTCGCTTACCATGTATATAGTTACGAGGACGCTATATATAGCGCCACAATAGACTACTCAGGTCACCCAACGCAGCCACTTACCGAGCTCGAGGTTTTCACTGGGTCTATCTTCAATATTTCTGGCGTGCAAACGCGTCGACAACGAGATCGATCGCTACAGCTGAAGGATGAATTCGATCGTATTGCGCGATGGATTGAGAATCTAATTCGGAGACGCCCCACGGTCTCTTCGACCAGACAGGATGATCACAGGAATGCTACCCAAGACACCCTGGAAGCTCTCATGATGAGTCTCGCATGCTTGGAAGTCAGCCAGTGGAAGGAGACACGAGCCAATAGGTCTAGATCTGGGCGTTCGATCGAACAGTATCAAAGCTTCAAGATCATATCAGCGTGTTGCACAATCAGGGAGCTAAATACAGCAACAAAGCGGGCAGAGGTGGAGGATTGGTATTAGTGGCATGAGAATTGTCCTTGCGAGTTGCAATTTGCCTGACCTGCAGATCAGTTTTCCCCCAAGTGCTGGATATTAGACGGAACCGATCGTCACCTTTCTACAATGCCCACTCCGTAGGCGCCTGGATGACTGAGCAGAGCCATTATTGGTTATGAAAACGACTCTGTGAGATATGGCTAAGGATCGGGTACGAACATATTCTAAGCCCTACGACTGTACGATAATGAATTTCATTGAATGACTGAATGAGATGAGCGGCTGTTTCGAAATAATCATTTGTGGGGCGGGGCCAATTGCTGCTTTGATTCAACTTACGAAGCAAATGACACGTCATTGCCAAGGCTGGATAACTGTGCCGCATGTTCTTGCTGTGCCTCAAAACCAGAATTGCCCTCACTCTTTCCCCATCCCTATGCTCTGATTGCCGCTCGCGCGTGAACTCATAACCGACTGTCTTCGAGTATCTGTTATCAAGTCCTTTTTCGAACTATTTCAACATCTAAGGTGACACCCACATCCGAAAGTGCACGCTTGTCAGCCAAATCGACTTCCCATCGGACTTGATCCGATATCCTGCAATAATTTCTTCCTTATACCAGGATTACGGCATCTCGAACCAATCCGCTATGGATAAGCTGGCGCCCGAACTGTATGCAGAGATCGTAGAATGCATCCGCAGGTCTCATCAACCTAATGCCAGGTTGGCGTCATATGCGGCCATAAGCAGGCGATGGAAAGATTCTATCGAGCGCTATACGTTCAAGGAAATCAACAGCTTGGAGACTACGGAGCTCGACACTTTTAAGCAGCTCTTTGTGGGAGCAAACATCCAACGCCGAGAGTACTTGAAGCAGCTTACGATCCACTTTATCTTACCGGACCCGCCGAATATGGACGCATGCTGTGACCTGGAGGTTGTGATAGATCGAGATGCCGACAGCAAAGCATTTACGGCATCCATACGAGAGTTATTCGACACACTGTCGGGTCTTGAACGGAGATCGTCAAGGAAATCCAACATCACACTCATCTTTCACCAGGCTTACCGTTGCTCACCGGGCACATTTCAGTTCGGCGGCAACAAGTACCATAGATGTAGTGGACACGCCAGGAGAGATATTCGAGAAGCAAGAGCAAACAGTGGAAAGTTTGAACTGCTTACAGGAGATCCTCTACCTGACCTACACCATGTATCCCATTTCGAGTTTCAATGCGACACATTGCTTGCTGATTTGAAACCCACGTGGATTCCGATCGTTACAAGTCATCTTCCTCAAATGACTAACATAAAGATCAAAGAAAGAGATCTTTACGAGTTTGGTAGTAAGCTGAGGAGAATCTATAGAAACGGTATGTCCTGGGTGTGGGTCGTGGACTCATGGTTCGAAGACTAATCCAAGTAGAACTTGCACGATCACTCTGCTTGCTACCAGCGAACCAACTAACGGAAATCGTTCTGGACATTAATCACACCACATTGCCTGACGAAGATGTTCCTGTACAGAAGCTTGTTGAACCAGGCAGTTGGATTGAGGAGGCCTGGAGCATTGTGTTTTGCCGTCTTGCGCAGTTTCCGCATCTTGTAACGTTACACCTTTTTGGCGAACTAACCATCTGTCCCGAATTCTTCCGTAGTATTGAACAACATGCAGACACGGCTTTTCAGTCACTTCAAGAGCTTTTTATTGAGGTTGCTCCGGAGACTGCAGATGGTAGATGGTTTTACGAGCGGGATGAAGATGCGTTTGCAAAGGCAAGGGTTAATCCGGAGCTAAGCGAGTGGTGGGAAATAATGGGGGGAGGCGCAAGACGATGCACTTCAATCAGCTGATTATCTAGTCTTCAGAGACTCTGCACGGTATACCCGTAAAACCTATTTCAACAAATTTCGCACGCTCCCGGATCCGCAGGTCTTTGCGCCATTCCTTCAAAGCGCCACCCAGGTCGTTTGCCGCCTTCCTCAACTACGAAAGTTTGTTCTGAAGGTGGCAGACGGTAGCGGCGGTGATTACGGGCCTTTTGTGTCAAGGGAGTTCGAGCTGTGCTGGCTACGGAGCGGTGAGCCTCGATCCCCGTCCAGGACAAAGAATACAGATCTCTGGCGGTGGCCATACATAAAGTGCGAAGCTTATTATATCAACCGGAATCGCCTGTATTGGCGGACAGACAACTGGGTACCCTGGGAAGAGGTACAGAGTGCGTGGACTAAAGCGGCTGGTGCGAACGCAAAGATCGTATTTTTAGACGAAAAGCACTGGTCTGGGGATTGGAGACGGGCCGAGCCTCCCTACTACTACCGCCAATTTTAGCGAAACACTACCTTTCCACAAGTAGGTTGCTAGGTCACTTCACAGCAGAACCAAAAGCTACAGCGGCACATCCCTAGCCCAGGCTACACGATCAAGGTACCCCATCTTTCAAGCACTGCTTGAAAGCTGGGTTTTGCACAATCCTCCTGAATCCTTCTTTCATCCCTTCTAGGCCTTTGGGTGTCCCTTGTCCTTTCGGAGCGAGTTTGAACAGTCGATCCGTATTCTTCGCGATATTCGCCAATCTCGGCGCCCATCTTGCAACACTCGTTGCGGTACGTGCGATGAGCGACATACCCAAACGAGTGCCAAAGAGACCGATCTCGAGGAGGATTTGAAAAGCAACGACTGGGTTCCGTTCTTCGATTTCATTCAGTTCGCTAGCGCTCATGGTTGCATAAAGCCCGACAGTGACGGATAGCGATGAGATATTGTTTGCCAGCTCAAATGCTGACCGTTTCCGGCACCGTGCGTTCAAATTTCTGCCTGAGATTTGACCACACGTAGGCCAGTTTTTCAAGTCATGGCTCTGCGCAGTCTCCTCCCAGTACTTCATGTACGCCTCTGCATCTACGCACTTGTCCGAGACACAAGCGACAGTGTCGATGTCAACGTCATTTGGCCAGTCTGCCAGGCGATCATCGGAAGTGAAGAATTCCTCGTCAAAAAAATTGGACGTCATATCGTAGGGATGATCTTCGTCCCGTTTCTGAGCCGTGTTTTGGGCGACACCCATGATCAGCGCCGTAACGGTGGAGCACTTTCCCATCCGTGCTTTCTTTTTGTCGTTTTGTTCTTTCAGTTTGTCTCTCTCCTCCATCTCCTTCTGAAGCTTGTCCCTGTGCTCTTTAAGCTTAGACAGCTTGTCGGCCCTGTCCTTCTTCTGTTGCTCCCGCTGTGGCTTCTGTTTGTACCACTTCTCTTTGAAGTTTGCACTCAGCTCTTTCACTCTGCTTCTCTTGTGCTCTTGAAATCGTTTAGTCTTTTGACATTCTTCATGTGCCACTCCGTCTGTGTCAACCCACGTATAAGTATAATGCGTTTTGGCTTTGCACCTCGGCCGCTCGTTCTCATTTTTTGGTTCTCCGCAGTCCGGCTTATAGGAAATGTCTGTTTCGTATCCTTCAGTACGTGTAGCTGGAATCTTGGGCTTCTTGCAATCTTTTTCGTCATCTATTTGGCATTTCGGATTCGGGTCGTCGGGTTTGTTGCCTTCTTTTGGATCGAGGACTTGTCCATCGGGGCAATTACCCTTGCGACTACTGCTGGTATCATCGTCGCAACCGATTCCTCCAGGTTTCGATTTTCTTCCTTCAGGGCACTCGCATCCATTTCCAACTTGGTTTGCCTTCATGCCTATTGGACAACAGCCGCCTTTGTCGTTCTTCTCATGACCTAGAGCGAGAAATTAGATGTATCGCACCTAAACGAGTTCATTGTATGAGCATGGAATTGAACATACCATCAGCACAGTTATCCTGGCAAAACTTGCCGTCCATAGAAGGAACTTGCGGCGACGAACACTTTCTGCATTTGCACTTCTCAAGAATCTCGCCGAACATGTTGAGGCAAAGCGGCTGCTTCTTGCAACATTGCGTTTCCAGTCCTCTCTCAATGATGTAACGCACCTTACGTCCACTGTATACGCCTTTAAACTCGATGTTGACGGCATCTGGGTAGACGGATCTGCCTAATGGGAGAATGTTGTTCTCGCCCATGCTACCGTAATCGCTCGATGGCATAGCGACAATGAACGGAGCCAAATAAAGTAATGGAAAGATTGCAAATGAAGCGAGCTAATGCATTGCCATTGTTTTGAAGAGTGGTAAAATCACAAATCTTAAATCAGATATCGAACTTTTGCGAGTAGGCGGATGGCATAAGTACTTGTACTAGGTCAGCAGTTGGAGCCCTTGAGACCTACGACGTCAGCTTTGTGGCTAGAGAAAGCCACTGCACTACGGCCACGCGTCAGTCCAAATATACAACTGTCCAAAAGAGCATGATCGCGCCTGTGAACAGGCTCCACGACTGGTAGAATGGTTCCAACAAGTCTTAGGTAGGTAGGTAAGACAACAACTATTCAGAACAGCGTTTCATGTATATAACTCGCGCCACTGCGCTAGGACTGTCGAAACGGGGGTCACGATGACTGTAGTCCTAGAGGCCTGAATGTTCCATGTTTTCGATGAGTATTGAACTCACTGTTGAGGGCTGCGGTACGGCAGCACATGCGGCGTAGCACGTATACCTACACGGTGTTCAGACGTGCGGCACACAACTTGTGTCCCACCTCGGTGCAGTGAACAAGACAGATATGCGATTAAGGTTTCAGCGGCATAAGTTGCACATCGGTGAAATGTGGCTACACCGCCAGAGAGCGCTCCAACCCTTTACTAAATCCCGTCTCATCCGCATCATTGTTAATCCAACACCACCCTTGCCAGCGTCTAAGCACCTCCACTGCACAGCCATATCTTCGCCCAGCGTACGTTCACAGAGATTTCAAGTTTTCATCTATAAGGAGTGAGCTGATGGTAACTTCTTAACAGTATGCACGCATTTCGACTTCGACTTCTCAGGCTCGCACCGCTTTTTGGTTCAGTCAATGCCATGTACTACGCCCTGTGGGATTCTGAAGGCTGTCACGGGAACAACGATCTTCGTCGCTCTGTGGCGATCGAGGAAGACGGCTGTCATGTCCGAGGTGATGTCCTGGTCGATCTCGAACTCGATGGCCGGGGAGGCTTCAAGGAGAGAGCTATTTCTGCTTCTAGCGAAGGACCCGACGAAGCTTTTGAAGTCATAGTGTTCTTCTCGTCAGATGACTGCTTCCCGGATAATCGTATTGAGAACGCGACTATGGATGACGGATGCTCTAGCGAGCTCGGTGGCTGGGACAAGGCGAAGGACTACCAGAGTTGGGCGGTTTGGAACTTATGCGAGAGCAATGCTACGTGCGATTTTGACTAAACAAGTAAGGATATTTAGTATCGCCAGCTACGCTGAGTAGTTTGATATTGAAGCTATAGATACGGTTGGCAATCGGACGTAGCGAGATCAGTTCAATGACAAATCGTACGATACTCGTGCGTACATCATCGTAATTATGCTATCGTTTGTCATATCCCACATCAACTTTTACCCTTGTAGGGATCCTATACATCGTTGTACCGACGTATGCACGGTCTGTTACCTCTCTTGCCTCTCTCAAACTATGATGAGCGAAGCCACTTACACCCATCAATGATTTCTGTCTTTTGAAGCGCAGTCAAACTCGGAGGCCGAAATTATATTGATCATGCGGCGCGAACCTCGCGTCATCATTTGATCCCAAAGTAGGCTTCTTGTAAAGTGTTATGTGCCACCTACGCCTTACTTGTAGTGTTCTATCGCCAAGTGTTGAGTTATTTGAAACACCGTGTCTGACACTAACAAAACTACCAACAGAAGGATTGCAATAGCGGTGACACAAAACAACAGCTCTCCTCCACTGCACAGTTCCGGTCTGTGGCATCGCGCATAGTTACAGCCCAACGGCCAAATTAGTGAGTATCGGCTGGGAGTATGATATCATGTCTTTAATCTATAGAAGATCTCATGAGGTGTAGTCGTTCAAATCGCGCTCGTTCCTTGGCATGGAATGGGTGCTTATTGCCTTGGTGTTCACTTTGACTGCGCCGTGTAGTAGATATCCAACGTGGCAAGATTCAATGCACTGTGATGATGGCGGATATATAAGGCAACAATTGCGAGCGATACATTTCCAGATCCCAGCTTTACTACACAATGCGCTTATGTCAGACCATTTGCACGTCCCTCCTTACCGTTGCATTATGCGAACGGAATGTCCGAGCATCTGTCGACCACATCCCGAAATTTGACTTTTCGCCCCATGAATTGTCGGCGTTCGGTGACTTGGACTTAATCAATGTTACAAAACGTGGGAATGAAGTTGTCTATCACCTGCGGCGCCGAGGGAACGATCAGTGTGATAGCAAAAGTGACTGCTTGACCTATTCAGGTTGGACCGCCGATGAGAAAATGCCTTGCAGCGAAAAGGAAGTAGGAGACTAAGAAGACGACGAAAATGAAGAGGTAGAAGACGTGCCCGAAGTTGCGCGAAGATCCCTGATGAAGAGAGGCGTCAAGTTCTCAGCAATATGTCTCGGTGTCACGGTTCCCGGGAAAAAAACCGAGAAAGGCTTACGACTCAACTCACCCCGTTGGCCAAAGTTGGGTGATCTGGAGAAGGTGTTTTCATCAGTTCGATCATTCCTGGTCACCATTACTAATTGATTCAGAAATATAAAATGGTCTATGATATTGGAGACCCTTCGGACCCGACAAAGCCAGACTGGTACCAGCTTAAACGACACGACAAAAGATGGACCGAAGACATAGATCCTGAGAGAGGAGACCGATGTTATGACGCCGAACACGTTCTCGAATGGTCATTGCTCCTGCAATTTCTCGGAGAGAATAACAGTCGTTGCGCGCTGCTGTGGAAATACTTCAGCGAAGAGAACATGCCGAAAAATGATATAACGGTTAGAAAAGCGAAGGACTACAAAAAAACTCTGAAAAAGGGCGACCACTTTGACTATACGGACGCACAATTCAAGATGGGGAAGTTCAAGAGCTTCTGGTCAAACGATAAAGATCCAATCAAGGAACCTAGACCAATCGATTGGATTGGCATGCAGTGGCCCGGCCAAGAAGGCTCGAGGTCACGACCTCCAACTCCATGGGAGTACGAGCTCATCTTGTTGAACAAAGAGTTCAATATTAAGAAGAACAACGTGAGTTCCTGTGTCAGTAATTTCCAGGTCATACCTCTAACATTGTAGGTCTGGGACGATGAAGAAATCCTTCCCGTGCCGGACTATGAGCCAGGTACTACCAATCTGAAGAAAACACAGGCCAACTCGAACACTCTGGAGGCACTTTACGGGAATCGATACTTCGAAGAGCAAGCAGAGAAGAAATGGCAGGACAACAGGGGAAAGTGCAAGGCGATCTACAAGTTTACTACGTTGATGAGCTTGGTGAGCTACCACAATGATCCATACATACAGGAAGTGATGCGCGCTCAGGTACGACGCGTCGGCCGAGCTTTCGAGCACTTGGAGAAAACGGTGTTGCCGGCATTGAACGAACCTTATATTGATCCGGTAACCCAAGTGTCTCATCCGTATAAACGGGTCAACCTGAGAGCTACATGGTTCAAGTGGATTAAGAAGGTTCACAAGGCTCGCTTAGGAAAACTCAATGCCGTTATGGAGGAGAAGGTGAAGGTTTTCGAGGCCGACACAGCGGCGACGACGAGATTCAAGCGTTGGGATTTCTTTGGAGTTTTCAGGAGGGCAGTAAAGGAGCCAAACTGCGGATTCGAACCAGACGACCAAAAAATCCTTGAAAGAGTGGAACTGATGTTGGATGCGTACGGGAAATTGGAGAAAGTGGATACCGAGCTAACACTCGAAGGAGACGACGAAGACAAGGAAGACGACGAAGAGGAACAAGAAGAGGGGGAACAGGAGAACGAGGAGCAGGAAGAGAATCAAGACCAAGAACAGGAAGATCAAGAGCCAGAACAAGCAGATTGAAATCGGTTAAATGGGAAACAAAGGCATTATTGAATTGCAAGCCTTTCATATCACTCATATCTCGTTTAGTTCCAGCACCCTCAATCTTATACAATCCTCCAACATGCATCTACGCCTTCTCAACAGCCCGTCTAGCAATTTCCTTCGCAATCTGCTCATTCGCAGCGGGCACGCTAGCCGCCAACACCTCCGCCGCTGCCTTCTTGCCAAATGCCCTCACAGCCGCATAATATACGTCAGCCAGGTCCTTGCAGATGCTCGTGAAGGTCTCTGTGTCGCACTGGTTGTACAAGTCGTTGTGGAAATTGTCGTCGATGCGAAGTTTATTCGCCTATCCCACGTTAGCACATCCCCAAAATGGTTCACATATCTGCAGGGCCAGCTCACGTCCGTAAACCTCGACTGCGCCTTGAAGTTGCGGTATCCGAAGTCATGGCGATAGCATGAGTTCAAAAAGTCAAATCCAAATGGGTTGTCAGGTGACGAGCTGCAGCCATCAGAGGACCAGTCGAGCGTCGAAGGGTTTTGTGCATTCCTTGCGGTAATGAACGCTGCGAGAGTCGTTTTGAATACGAGCCTGTCGGTGGCTTCGACGGCGGTTTCGCGCACTTCGAGGGACTGCGTGGGGGCCGCCGCCACGCAGGACACAAGGGCCGCGATGAGGATGGGAAAGCGCATTGTAGCTATCGAATAACGGAATGGTAAGAATGGCGAGGACGAGTGACTTTAGACACAGTTGTCGCGCGAATCGGACATGTACTGTAAATTGAAGTTGAGGCTGAGGGGAGGCCTCGTCGGTGTCCAATACCGTGGCAATGGATTTGCGCCGGTGGTGTTCGATTTGCTCAACAACCTGTCTTTCCTCACTGAACCCGACAGCGAATCCAATTTATATTATGTCTTCCGTCCCGTATATTGCAAACGACCCCTCATCCCCAAGCCCGCGGAGCAGCCCATATTTGCTCGAACCTGCATGTAACCTCTGGCTCTCGCCCTGCTGTAGGTGACGTCTTCCCCACTCAGCCCCATTCTTACACCCCATTCGCTTTTCGCAAAGAGCGCATTCCTGGGCATTTGACCCTTCTACGCGCTGGATATATGTTTGAGCACGGTCATGGCTCGTTTATTGAGCGTGATTGGACCGCGGACTTTACATCCCAGCGATGATCTACATACTAAGCAAGTAACTGCCGATTCGAGCGCGAGTCGGGCCGCGCGTTGAGCAAGTGTTTTTGGAAGGTCTCTAAAGCAAGTGACTTCGTGTCTCGAGACTTGTACACGATTCGAGGGATGCGATGGGAGACTCGTGTTGGGGCTCGTATGCTGTGGATACAGCACGTATTCTAGATGAAGTTGGCAAAGGCCGCCCGTATAACTTGGTCATCACGATGATATCGAGTGGCGCATGATGCGTTGCATGTGGTCGAGTTCTAGGTGTTCAAGCGGATGTTTCGTCCTTATAAAAGTGTCAAGGCGAAGGGTTGGATTCCAGGACGGGTGCTCTCCCCAAGAAGTGCAAATGCAGTTGCATCGGAGGCCTCGCTCATCGTTCAGGTAGAGTTGCGCAGCGGACGATGTTCGAAATCTTGATTTTCCATTTGACAACTGCACAAGTGAGTCGGGAGCTGTATGCACAAGCGCTGTGCGCGTCGTAGACGATTGATAGATCATATACACGCGATTGAAACCAGTATGTCCACAATCAAATGCAACGCCTTTCAAACCCTGGTAACTTCGTAGGAGACATCTGAGGGTACGCTCATAGAAGTGCCGGCCGTGTTGATAGCGAACACACTGAGCCAGAAAATATATTTATAGAGCTTATTAGTAAGAGATCAGACCAAATCGTAGTTACCCGTTCGAGGCTTTTCCGTTGAAAGAGTTGAGAGCATCGCAAACGGAGCTGGATGCAGTTCATCTTCGTCCACACAGGCGTGCGCAGCCATTCACAGGCTCATCCATCTTCACATGCTTGCATATCGGGCTATGTTGTCCTCTCAAGTGTACAATTTCGTTGTCGATACAGGACCAGAAGCCGAACCCAGAAGCGCTGCGTGTAGGTAGCTTAGTTATCGCGGAGAATTGTAGGAGGGATGCAGGTACCAACGTGGATGACGGCCATCAACGTGCGCTATCCCACATTGGCAACGTCATCAGGGACTCGCGGAAGCCACGACCACACTGAACAAGTAAGCGCAGCCTCGCAACGCTCGTATACCCTCCATGGCTGTCTTACATCCTGGGAAGCACGCGTCTTTCTTGTCACACAGTTCGCGATGCACCATCGAGGTCATGCGGCGCGTTGCTTCCTCTCGTGACAATATCCCCGCTGTGTCTTGGCGGCTCTCTCAGCATGCCCCAGCCCATGGCAGAGGAGCCGGCGGAGGAGCACGAACTGGATGCACTCAACGAAACATCCGCGACGATGCCGCCCGAGGATGCCGCCGACGTCGCGCGGCACGATGAGCAGCTGCACAAGCGCACGCTGCGGAAGCTCGATTTCCTGCTGCTGCCGTTCCTCGCCCTGCTTTTCCTGTTCAACAGTCTTGACAAGTCAAATGTACGCGCTGCGCCAACCAGCAGTCGATCAAATTTGCTGACACTCGATGAACAGATAGGCAATGCTGAATCCGCACACTTCACGACCGATATAGGCCTCCGCCGGTCCGACCTGAATACCGCCGTAGCCCTCTTCTTCGCCTTCTTTGTCGCCCTGCAACCCGCCGGTGCTGCCCTGGGAAGGAAATATGGTATGGTCGCATGGGTGCCCACCTGTATGCTGCTGTGGGGAATCTCTACGGCGCTGCATACCTGGGTGAGGGCGCGGTGGCAGCTCTATGTCCTAAGGATAATTATTGGTTGCTTGGAGGGTACGTGTAAAGCTACAATTGAGCTCTGGACTTCGCAGAACGATTGCTGATGCATCGGACAGCCGGTTTCTACCCCGTTACTGTCTCCTACCTCTCTCTCTTTTATACGCGCTTCGAATTCGGACGGCGGCTGTCTCTATTCTACGGCCAGGCTGCTGTGGGCGGCGCTTTGGGCGGCATCATAAGCTACCTGGTCTTCTCTCACTTCCCAGATATACACCACGAACACGGCGATGAAGGAGACCCGGAGTTAAATGATAGGTGGCAGAGCTGGCAGGTCCTATTTTTGCTGGAAGGCAGCTTGACCATGGTCGTTGCCGTCGTAGGCTACCTCTGGCTACCCCATAACGCAGAAACAGCATGGTTCCTGACGCCTGAGGAGAGGGCATACGCCACATCTCGCGTCGTTCGCGATCGTATGGCACAGTCCGATTCACCTTCGCTGCCTTCAGAAGTTGTGGACGAAGAAAGAGAGTACGATGAAGAATCCCGCGGCCTCTTGGCTTCGTCGCGACCGAGAGCCATGTCCGCGTCGAATCAAGTGACGGATGACCGCGGTCTGACGCCGCACGACGTCGTGTCTGCTTTCCTCAACGTCAGAATATGGCACATCCTCGCCATCAACATCCTAGCTGCCATTCCCGTCTACGCCTTCCAAGTCTTTCTCCCGCTCGTTCTCGCGCCGCTTATACCCAACCCTGACTCCACAAATCCGGATGCGGATCCGGCCCTCGTCAACCTTTTCACCGCCCCGCCGTACATATTTGGCGCCATTATCCTCTACCTCTTCGCCTCCTACAGTGACCACCACCGCACGCGCATCCTTCCCATTCTTTGTGGCCTAGCAATCATGGTACTCGGCCTCATCTTAGTGGTCGCATTGCCCATGACGGCTGCGTGGGCAATTCCTCGATACGTTGCGCTTAATGTTCTCCTTTCCGGAACTTTCATTGCAAGTCCGCTCACCGTGGCGTGGATCTCAGGCAACACGCCGAGTCCTGGAAAACGAGCACTGTTGCTGGGAATCAACGGGTGGGGAAACCTAGCCGGCGTCTTATCCGCTATGCTGTTCAAGCCAAAATACGAGGCCTCTGGGTACATAGTACCTTTCTGGTGGACTCTCGCGTGCGTCTCCGCGGCCGCAGTCGGATACCTTGTTCTCTGGCGTAACCTCAAAGCCGAGAATGCAAGGAGGAGAGAGATACTGAGCAAATGGGACGAAGAGGAAATCGAAAGGGAGAAAGCGGACGGCCACGGGCCGCTGGAGCAGAACCATCGTCTTGAAAAGATAATGATTCAGTGGCTCAGAAAAACCGGGAGATTTCCTGCAGCTGTGGAATGGCTCGAGGAGGCCGCGCAGGGCGGGAGGGAAGGTGAGGAGAAGATCACATTCGTGTATGGCCTATGAAGGTACAAACGATAGGTTGAACATATGATCCCGGCGCTCATCCTACTCTGAACATAGCTTTAAGCCTCTTCAGATGTTGCGCAAAATCCGATGACACGACGACACTAAGTCTGTCACGTACCGGCATTGCTCTTTCAGGGTACCGTATTAGTATCGACCGCTGAGCCTCGCTGCACGTCTGGCTCCAGCTGTTCAAAATTCAATGCGGCTGAACATCGTTATTCTGCAGGCACGCAATTGGTCATTTCCTCCAGTGCCAGGCATTTGTCCAATTCTGGGACCTTCTCATGTTTGAGGATGGCGCAGGGCCTTGCGAACATCGTGCTGAGGCACTTTGCAACAGTTGCAAAGACCAGATTGCTTCGTTCACCAAGCGCAACCGCGCTTCACTTCGATAACGATCCCTACAACTGGAAATATCGGACGCGATGTCAGGCATTCACGGGATACAATAGGATATGCGAGAACCCTCGAGCGATAGTTCTAAGATCAGATGTGGGCAGGACATCCTGGCCTAACCAGCCCGAGGTTGATGTATCTTCAGATACCATTATCGTAGACTACCGAAGCGATGAACTCACGGGCACAGGCCTACACAGGTAGGGTCATATCAGCCTCGTGGAGCTCTCTTCCGAACACATCCGCCCAACCCGACCTGTGGTGTTCAGATACCACAGTGTTCGTCTGGCTACGGCTCCTGACTCCAAAGCTCTTTCATACACTTGGTACTTATCTTCGCGGCATAGTTTAATCCGAAGCATCTATCTTACCGACAATCCATTATCGTATTGACGAACCTCACCACAACTCACGTCACGAACGCCCGGACCGATGAAAAAATAGAGAACTACCCCGAGTGCCGACCGTATAACTAAGTATTCAGGCTTCACTCTAAAACCACTCAAACACATTTCTATGTTCACGTCTTCTTTCCGTATCCAAGCCCCTTGTGCACCTAGCCGATTTAATTGCTTCCGCCTTAAGAATAGAACTACCGATAATTCTTGAGCTCAATGTATTTTCTCGATCAACTACCATTCATACTGGCCCATCGGCGTCCCACGATACTCATACATGTCAAATTGCTTTCCCCCAGTATTCCCGCCACTGCCGGAGCAAACCATGGAGGGCATGAAGTGCTCAGAATGATTAGCCGGATGGGCCAGGTAGCTCTCCGGGAGATCTCGCCAGCCCATTAGTTTGGTCTTGCGGTCCACAGGGTCTGGAGTGGACGCTACAGACTTGAAGAACTTCTCGAACTGCCTGCTGCGCTCAGGTACCTCCTTTCCTTCGAAGAAGGCTGCGGCAACAGCTTGGAAATCATGAAACGATCCACCGCTTCCCACGATAGCGCAGCCTTTATCACGGAAGCATTCCAGAGCTTGTCCCAATTTGATGTTCGCTTCCGTTGACTCTGCTTCGGTGTCTCTGGTAATCACCGACATCTGCACGATGGGAATATCAGCAGCGGGCCTCATGGAAGTCATGGGCACATAGACTGCACGGTCCAGTCCGCGTTTCTCATCCAGAACGGGCTTGAATCCGCTAAGCTGGAGGCGCTCAGCGACTTCGCTCGCCAGGTGCGGATCTCCTTTGGTTGGGTATTGGAACTCGAATGCTTCCTTGGGCAGCATGTGTGTCATATCCTCGTAGACGTAGTAGATTGGTGATGTGTGGCTGCTCGGTTTCCCAATGAGCAGAGATCAGTAAATCGCTCTGACACCGTCGAACTTGTTGCCATGTCTACCAAGCATCTGACGAAAGGGCTCCTGCTCGGGGCCTAGAAGAGGGAAAGGTCCAGTACCGTGCGAAAGGAAGAGACTGGGGGCGCGCATTGTTATCTGCAAATTTGCTACTTAGGGGTGGAAGTATGGTTCAGTAGATAGGCTCTGAATCACTCCAGGCCATAACCCTGTTCTTATATACTCAAGTAAGTCCTTATCCCGCTGATGTTCAATGCTTCGTCTGCACGTGTATAAGCATTCACCTGAGCACATCGGACCGACCAGCACTAGTCCGCTAGTGCCACGCTAGTCCCCCTCCGTATTACGCTAGTCCGCTAGTGTCGCTCTAGTCCGCTAGCGAAGTATATCTCCAGCGCTGGAATCCTGGGGGATCAGGCTCACTTCCTTTCTATTTCGTCACGTTGGCAACTTCATGGTCAGCCTATCATCTTAGTGCCCTTTCTAAGCCATATTATGGTGTCTGAAGAAGCCACGCTATCTAGACCCACTGGTGCCAATGCTTGCATAGCATGCTGGTCGAAGAAACGGAAATGCGATCGGCTTCTTCCAGTGTGTAGCCGTTGTGTTGCGTAATGCTGGATTTCCTCGGCTTGGAGGGCCCCGCTAACGAATTGAACAGAGTGAACGCTGAGTGTGCGTATTGTGATGTGTCCAATATCACTTCATTCGCCCGGGCTATGCAACCTTACACGTATACTTCAGAACGAGCAAAGAACAACCGGGTACCTATTCTCTCAAGAGTAGACACCTTGAAATCTCAAGCGCTCAACATGAGTCCTGACCTTGACGCGAGGGTCACGTCCGAAGTCATCTCGTTGCTGAGAGAGCTCGGCATCGGCATTAGAGCGATTGTCGACCAATACTGGAAATCAATCCACCACTGGCTGCCTTTGTTCCAACCGCAGTTTTTCGACAGTCACGTTGCAAATCTCGCCAGCAAACCATGTGCCGAAACTGCGTTACTCCTTGTGCATATTCTTCTAATATGTTCGTCCAGGGCCTCGCCAACGACAGGTGACCCCAGTCACAGGAATGCGCTCTACCACATGTGCAAGTCTATCTTCGAACATGTGCGCCAAACTACAACGAGACCAAAAGTCACAACCATACAGTCTGGGGTTCTACTAGCAGCATTCGAGATCGGGAATCGCTCACTGTCAGATGCCTTACAAACATTGGAAACGTGTGCCAGTGTATGGCGCAAGACCAGGACCTCCTCGCCTTCTGTCAATGGCGCGGCGTCTTCTGGGGCAAGAGAATTGCAGGCTTGTTGGTGGGCAATCAATATGCTCGATAGAATCCTCTGTCTTTTTAGTGACGTTCGACGGGTTTCAATCATTGCAGACGCCGAGGTTGACCACGACTTCACAAATGAGAATCGCTTTAACCGCAGGGGACCCAATGGCAAGCATATACTTCAGCCAGGGGGCGAATATTCCGACTCACAGCATCAAGGCTTTACTACTACTCAGGCCCAGGCACTGAGCCTTCTAGACGACCTTGTATCGGATGGAATCCAAAGCAGCGATGAACGTCGATTAATGGACAGCCTCTTGCAGCAACGGCTTTCTGAGATCTTCAATAGAAAGGATCGAGACTGGGTCCTGCCATATAGTACTGCCGTGATTCTTCTGCTGTAAGTCTTGATCATTGGTTATCGCATCTCATCTAACCAAGTCAGGGCATTAGTTGAATTGCATGGGAAGGTACTATCAATAAGTCCTGACATGTTGGATGCAACTTTGAGAGAACAATCTCAGCTAGCCCTGAGGACGACTCTTCAGATGACGGGCGACTTAACTCAATTGGAAAACATAAACAAGCTAGAAAGGATGCCACTGGCGGCAGTGTTGCTGCTAAAGAAATGTATAGCTGTTTCCGCACTCCTGGGCTCTGAGTATCAGCCAAGTAAGCAGGTCTTAGCAGAGATTCATGGCTCATTACAGCGGGCTAGAGCGCGGTGGAAAGTTGCGAACGACGCCCTATAAAGGGATCCTGGTTCGCGTCGCGGTTTTTAAGCAGTGCCCGTTATGCTCCCGCCTAGGCTAGCCTAGGCCCTTTTGTGGTAGGCGACTCCGACCAATACTCTTCGCTAAAAACAACTTGTATCATCAGAATACCGTAAGTTTGGAGCTGAGCTCCTGAGCCGTACTCGAACCCATCAATCCACGAGAAATACTCTATCATGACATGTGTTACAAGTGTAGCTTTTGCGGGAATATGCGCCTGGCGTACTAGAGCCTACGCGCAGGGCTGATTTGGAATGGTCTTTGGCAAAGCAGCAATTACGGATCTCATGATGACGACCGCTGCCCTTTGCCAGATGGAATTTTGCATTATATACGACTCTTTTCGATGTTGACATGTTTTTTGAATTGAGGCTACCTAGCTAGATTGCCGGATACGCTTCCGATATCTGTGGCAGTGCACTTGAACTTCACTGCCTCTGTGCTGCCTTGTTGCCTCGAGTACGAGCAATTCGCAGCGATTTCAATCCAACAAAAGACGATCGTCAGCGTAGTTGCGTTGATTAAACGTTAGCAACGCCTGCACTTATAGGGGTGAGGGATATAGGGCCATGTGACAGCAAGAGCGCGCGGTATGCTGCGGCAACTTGAACGGAAGGCTGCATCCGTTAGCAGTGAGATCAGATTGAATGAAAGTAGTGCTCTTAGATGTTTCTGGATCCTTGTATACTGTCGCGATAGTGCGCGCGACACCTGAGGCCGCTTTTTACGATGTCCACGTCTGATGCCCCCTGGTGTCCCCGGGCTGCGCCTCTTTCACGCCTCCTCCCAGCGTCGCAGCTTCGTGACGAACAAGCCCACCAACGTTGCCTAGAATCCGACCTGTGTATAAGATCATGCGGTTCATGAAGGACTCGTTATACCACTCCCTCCATTCCAAGCCATTTTGTCTCTTACTCGCACATTTCAATTCCACTTTGTCAGTATGTCACGTGAAGTCCCGGAATCCGCATGGGCGGTCATGTATCCCGAGAACGAAGCCGATGACAACTTTGGTCTCAACAGTGTTCCAGAAGATATCCAACACCTGATTCTATCGGAGCTCATGGAGGCATCACCAGCCACACTCCCAAGCGTCTCACAGTCTTCGAAAACACTGCATGATGCTGCGTTACCATTCATGTATCGACACTTGCAGTTACTGAAGGCACCAAATGGAAACAAGGAATTGTTGGTATATAAAGTCCTCCTCAACAAGTTTCGCGGTACTGCGGCCAGTGAGATCGCAAGACACGTGCGCAGTATCACTGTCCAAAACGAAATACCTTCGGAGGACTTGATGTTGATCCTTGACAAGATTTCAGAATTTGGGAAGCTTCGCGAGTTTAAGTAAGTCATGTAGCGAACGATATCTCGACCACAACTAACCTCCATAGCTGGAATACGTCGGCGCACATTCCTAAAGCGGTCTTGCAGAAGCTGCATTCTACCTGGTCTGACCTAGAGATATCGGCTACTGTGGTTGACCGTGAAGATGCTGTAAATGCGGCGTATCGTAAAATGGATTTGAGGCTTCTTTCATCTCCCCTTCTGGCTCGGCTGACCTATGTCGTGTACGAGCGAGGCTATCGGTCGGATCAGCCGTGTCGTTCGGACTGGCCAAAACTGTCACAAGCTTTGTCGTCTGGAGGTAACGTCCGATCTATATCGATTCAGAGCCAGCAAGATAGCTCGAGTGCTTATCGCCACATGCTTGTAGAGGATACTGAGCCAGAGAAACTGCCACGCTTAGACCTATCACTTGGAGCGTGTTTCTCTAAGCTCGAACAACTCAGAATCCGGAATCAGAGTTACTATACCTACTTGTGGGACGAGGAGCATTGCCGAGCCCTTCGTAACTTCATCGATCCTTCTCGGCTACGAGCGCTCGACTTTGGTAACGATAATCCGGAAGTTTTCTTCACCACCTTCGCAGGTATTCTTCCAGACCTGAAAGTTTTGCAGTTTGGAGCGAAGAGGAATACCTCCTTGCAGCCTGCTAAGGACTTCATCGATTCCCTTTCTGGTTTAGAAACTCTCGAGATTGGAGAAGCACAGAGGGGATTCGATGAGCTTTGGCCCGTCATCGAGAAGCACAAGGATACTCTGAAAACACTGATACTTGGACCGACTTGGGGGCAATATTGTTCCCCAGAGTACATTGACCTTAGCGTACTGGAAACTATTTCTCAGACATTCCCGAAGCTTGAGCGCCTTGGTTGGCATGTGCCCATCGGACAAGCCGTAAGTGCACATACGTTCAATACTTGGACACTTCTGTGAGCTGACTTCGAACCTCAGAATGACGAAAACTTCCTTGCAATGCTTTCCACCATGAATCTCCGCAGCCTCGACATATCCATACATATCCCCGGCGAAGCTTCGGAGTACAGCGGGAAGCTGGACGTAGATGTTATGCAAGGATCAAACAACCCTCCACTAAACAGAGTCCAATCCATAGCTGCCGCAACGCGAATTGCCGATACAATATCTCAAAGGCAGAAAGACGACCTCAAACGGCTAACGCTCCACATTTCACGCACTCTATACATGGATAGGTTTCAGCCATACATGACGTACACGGCATTTCAATTGAGAAGAAACGAGAGTTCCACTGCACAGGACGAAAAGTATCATGTTCGTGGCAAGATGCATTGGTGGTACAGCGGTCAACCACTTCAAGAAGAGCTGCTCTTCGAGGAGGATAATGCAGCTGCATTTCCCGCACAGTAGTTCGAGAAAGTCATAATCAACCTTGCGTTCGGATACGAAAAGTAAGGGTCTAGATCTATTTGATTGCTAGTCTACGAAGGTGGTGATTAGCAAGTAGTCCAACGTTTACACATAACCTACAAGCCTAGGATACCTTATGTTATCGTCAATTTGTGACAGATTTAGTTATTTGATTCGCTGCCCTTTCAACCAAAATGCTTATTTATCTGCGCAACAGATGATCCCGCATTGGCCCACATAGCTGTAGATGCGAGGTGAGATGGTGTGTGGAGGGATGCGGCAACAGCAGCAGAGCTAAATTCGCTCAGGCCAGCTTGCTCGGCTTTGCGCTTGATCAACTTGTGGCACTCGGCGTTCCACGCGGCAGGCTAGAGGACGTGAGGCCGAGCAATAGGCTGAAGTGCGACTGTTCATTTCAGGACGAGACGTTTTAGTCGAAGAGAGCTGGATGCCCAGGGAAAAGGGGTACGGCTTCGACTCGATCACGTTAACGGTTGCCCGCGGGTAAAAGAAAGCGAAGGAAGGCAAGGGCGGTCGAACAAACACCTAAGCCGGGTTGATCGGAGCAATTGACACCTATTGGCAAGAAATTGGTATCACATGATCACGGAAACTAAGATGATTCAACCATCGAGGCAGGATATTGGAGCATCGCAGCGCAGCTGTAGAGTGTATTACGTCTCACCGTCACACTATATTAGCTCGCTTCGTGTCATCTATGAGCCAGCACAGATTCGTATTTGAAGCCGCGTTTGAGACTGACTAAATCCTGATTCGACTCATGTTGCGCTATCCAAGGTCTTTCACTCGAATATCCTTCTTGATAGACCCTTCTTGACATTTGTCGACCATACGACGGAGCTAGCACTTCGCTCCTGCAGAAGCCGATGCAGCCATTCTGTTCTGTAACTCTTTCGTCGCCACAGGGTCCACAAACTCCATGCTCCTTTCGACCTTCGTTCCCTCCGCAGTCATCCAAAGCCACCACACCAGATCATTCTCCACAGGGTCCTGCCCTGGCGCCTTCATCTGGTATGATACCCTTGCTACCACAGATCCTTGTACCTCGTCAACTGCCACGGCTTTCACTTCATTTGTTTCGCTCTCCAACTTGAGCGTCATCGATGCCACGCGCGTCATGAAACCATCGAGATCAGACGTGCCTTGCATAGGTGGGGTTTGAGAAACGAAGTAGTTGTGGCCGAAAGTATGAGTGTAGTTCGAGGCGCGGGCGGCGCGGATTTTGTTCATGTCGAAGCGGACTTCATCTGTGGTTGTAGTGTTGGGCATGAGAGAAAGCGAAGTAATGAATGCGAGAGCTGTGCTTCGAAGAACATCGTAGGCGACCATGTTGGAAGGTGTCTTTTATGCGCGAAGACTTGATTGCAAAGCGAAAGAATGTAAAAGATTTTAACGTTGAAGGCGTGGCGGAAAAGTGTCTCAATGCTCTGAAAACTGTGGTGTATTTGGTAGTATGCTCTCGCTGTCTGTCCTGCAGCGGAGAGTACCTCTTTTATATATAGGCTGAGCAATGTGCATGCGGTCGACAACTTTCCAATCACCGCGTTTTCTTAATCTCGGCATGGTGACGGCTATACAGGACGCCTATGTGTATGCGTTGAGGCTCAAATCTGTGGTGTACAACCTGGTACTAGTGTACGCTGGATATCCTAGAAGAGGAATAACATAACCAATAGATGGTCTTGCAGCTCTGGCGTCGGGAATGCGTGAACGCCAAGTTCGTTAGAATCGGACTTGGCGACATCGTCGGAGAATAACTCTGAAACGACCAATCAAGCCTCGCGATTTGCTCCACCATGGCCTAGAACCAGACTAACAGCATGAGTTTGCTCTTTTCTAAGTGGCTGTCCGAAAACAGTATTTGAGGTGAAGGGATGATGTATAGTAGGGCGCCTGCGCAAATGTTTCAAGATCACCGCATACGTTGGTGTAGTATCTATTCCAATACGAGAATGATGGAAAGGTCGCACGTGGTGAACCCATTTGGTCAAATGTTTGCGCGAGAGCTTCTAGAACTGTATCCGCCAGCTCCACCCTGCTGCCACAATCCTTGTCAACAGGAACGCAAGAAATGCTGCCATGTAAGAGGCTCCAGCAAACACAATCAACCCAGTGAACGCACCACCGCTAGCGTTTACGATCGCACCTGCGATAGGAATGCTAACAAGCACGGCGAGGCTGGAAATCGAGAATGTCGTACCACTCCTCTTGCCATAATCCTCCGTCTTGCAGACCTGTCCAATGCAAACCGGCGTCAGACTTATTGCCGCCCCAGACCAGAAGCCAAAAATCACAGCAAAGGCTGTTATAGCAGCCTCACTTGCGCCGGACGTGAGCCAAAGCGCAAAGATGAAGGTCGCGCATGTGAAAGAAGTGATACACATGACGTTGAAGTAGCCAAAGCGGTCCGCTACGTAGCCTGGAAGTGCGCGACCTGGTATTGCGCCAGCATTGAGTAGTGCAGAAAGGCGATAGGCGTGCTGAGGCTCGACTCCCTGGTAGATGGCGTACGAAGAAATGTACGTGTATGGGATGAAAACGGCGAATTCAACGAGCCACACTGCCAGTGTGGTGAGGGCATAGTTCCTGTCTTTCAAAGCCTTCAAGTCAATCGACGCGCCAGCCTTCTTGTTGTGAGGCAATCTTTTGCGAAGGAGCCAACAAGCTAGGACGCCTGCTATGAGGCATATGAAACCCACAATCCGGATCGCCCAGCCATAACCGATCACTGGTGCAGCGTATAAAATTATCAGTGGGAATATAATGCCGCCAGTGCCGCCTGCAGTACAAGCAATGCCCGTGGCTAGGGCGCGGCGCTTGGAAAACCAGTGGCCGATTGTCGCTATCGCAGGTGTAAATTGGCATGAAGCAGAGAGACCACCGAGCACACCGAAAGTGAGAAGGAACTGGTAGTACTCTGAAGGAACGATGGTCAGTCTGCGCGCTTCTTGTCAATCGGAAAGACTGCAGCATACCTTCACAAACGCTGAGTAACATGACAGCAGCTACTATACCGATAGATCCAGGGATCATCACGTACCGTACGTCGTGTGCGTCGAATATAGGTCCTAGATGATGATGAGATCTGCGTATACTGTGGAACTGGGAACTACTCACCAACTTGTGCACCAGTGACGTAGAGGAAGAAACCATATAAGCCAAAGATCCATCCAATGTCGAACTCCGTATAGTCGCGCAACTGGTGCGTCCACACCCAAGCCTGGAGTACACCAACAGTGTTGAGAAGTCCCATGGATGGTATCATAGCACACCAAGCTCCAAATACGACTGTCCATGCCTCTCCTCCTCCGTCTGGGTAGTCCTCGATATCGTCAACATCATCGAAAAGTTCCAATCGCCCTGCCTCAGGAGAGCTTTGCTGTGCGAGTTCTTGTTGTCCCGTCATTACTGGTCCATGAGAGAGCACCCCGGTGGATGCGCCGTTACTCATCACAAGTGAACCACCCGTCGTTAACGATCGTCCCGATTTCCAAAGAGTAACCGATCGTAGAAAATGTGGTATCTTGCAAAGCTGCCTTGGGATAGCGACTCTCTTAATCATTAAGTGGATACAGTCTGCGGGCTATGGACTCTACCAACTGAGAGACAGCATTCCCGAAAGCTGACAAACAGATCGCAAGGTCTGATTTTGTTATTTGCGGGATTGAAGAATCCGTAGAGCAGTGGGGCAAGTTTTAGCGAGTTAAACCATCCTAGGTAAAGGTTAGTGAAAAAGGAGGAAACTAGAGTTCGGCTCGGCGCATCCCGACGGAAAACCATGCGGCCAAAGTTGCTCAACTGAGCTGGCGCTACGAGTAAATGTTCGTATAACCTGTCTTTGACGCTCGTAACGCTGCTAACGCGGCGAGAAGTCTATTTTGACGTCTTCTTGTCATGCTCCAGAAAGTTTTTTTGGTCGCACCAGTTCGAGGTGCTCAGGAGTCCGGCGACTGAATGTGGAGATTGCGATCAAGGTCACAAAAGATCCAAACCTTCAGCTATTGGTGAAACAAGCAAACAATAATTCCGAGACCATTCTACGGTTTATCGCAGTAGGAAAAGACTCTAGTCCGTGGAGCAAATGCATTCACGATTGTTTCAACAACGAATACAGAATTTGCGATGTCCATTGCCAGATAGCATGAGCAGATTCGTAAGTCCAGGAACCTTTGACAATGGTAGTTTCCTTTAGCAGCAAAGTTCCGCCCATGCCCACTGCCGATGGTCCTTGACGTGTCGGCTACAGTTATTTGGTCTTTTCGAGCTTATCGAAGCTGTTGACAATTGCATACCAACTCTGCCGAAAGCACCTGGTACATACTTCACATAGTAAGCTAACACGTGAGCCAGATATATCCCTGCCATTGCCCGAAGTGGAAATCCATATATCTCTGTGGAAAATAGATTAAAGTCTGGGCTTGGCGCACGGATGATTCACTGACACTTGCAACCTTTCTCGGCAACTTGGCATCTCAATTGGCATCAATTCCCATGCAATGAGCGTAGCGTGTGGCTTGCGCTTGCCTTCAATATACTGAGACAACGCACGACTGCCACATCCTTTGCCAGGAGACCGAGATGTCATGTGTACATCCTCTGCAGTGCGTAAGGTGCGGTCAAACCATGGGATATCTGGCATCTTGGACGATAAGAGAGGGATCGGAACCGTACGTAGGATTCTTCGTGATGTAAATACTTGTGCGCAATAAGCTCTACGCTGCGCTTTCAAGCTACCGGTCCTTAAAGAGTACATCATATACATTGTGCCCGTGAGACAACGAAAAGTCCATTCGTCAACCGCAACAAGATCAAAACGACAGCGGTGACTAGGGTTACCGGAGGACCAATCAACCTTGCGCATAAATCAACATCGCGGTGTCGCGGTAGTTTTGGCTTCTTTGACAACACACGTCATCAACCCGGTACCTAGGTAGAGGCAGCGCGCATTGGAAAAGGTAATAGGCTCTCTCTGCGGCCAACTCGTTGCTTTGAGATCGCCGCAAAGGAGGAGTCGTTGTATGACGATGTGCGGATGTCATTGGAAGAAGAAGATGTGAGGAACATGGAATTTACAGAAAGCGTCGACTTCACCGCCAAGCGTCATACTATGCTACAAGTGGATTAGCTTATATTAAGCGACCTTCCCACATTCCCCAGACCGACGACTTCGGTCTACGTGTATAAGTCCACTACCTCCAATTCGATACATTGTAAACTGCGTAATCAAAAATTCGAACCTACGATGACCGCCCAAAACTTCTCAAAGTACTACCCTGCAGAGGATGAGGCACAGATGAAGCAGGTAAGTACAACTAACGCGTGACCTGCACGCATGTGAATGGGATAAACCTAAGGATTGATGGATGCTGATTGTATGGAAGGCCCGCAAGACAGCGCATCCGACTAAGTATCGTACCTCGCTCCAGCCTGGTACAGTGCTCATTCTCCTTTCCGGTCGCTTCAGGGGCAAGCGCGTGATCCTCCTTCGACAGCTGTCTCAGGGAGTTTTACTTATCACTGGTCCTTTCAAATCAAATGGGGTTCCCCTGCGACGTGTCAACCATCGCTACGTTATCGCGACTTCTACTTCTGTCGATATCACTGGAACCGACGATGAGGTCTTGGACCGTGTAAGCAAAGATGAGTACTGGGCACGAGAGAAGAAGGAAGGCAAAGGTGAGGAGGAATTCTTCAAGGACGGCGAGACGCAGTCAAAGAAAGAGACGGACCCGCAGCGTATCGAGGACCAGAAGAAGGTCGACAAGGCCATTATGAGCAACATTCGCAAGGTTCCGGATCTTGAGACGTACTTGGCTGCCACTTTCAGTCTCAGAGGCGATGAGAAGCCGCACGAAATGGTGTTCTAAGGAGGATGTGTGGCAAAAAGATCACGAAATTTCTTCCTAAAGAATGCAGGAAGGTCCTAGAGATACCCAGTCATGCCTAGTTGCTATGCAGCCGAGTGCGTGCGTGCGCAAGAGCATGTTCAAATACAATACTGTAACAATTAGCCCCTACTGGCGTGATTTCACCTCGTCAAAGCAAGATTCCGACAGGCGCAAGGGAGCGACTCTACTCGAGATGGCGAACGGTCCACATGAGGTAATCAACCTATGAGTGAAGCTTCGGCTTTATTTGTTACGTTGGGGAGAAGTTTGGATAGAAACACTAAAGTATTCGATCTGCATTAACCGATGGATGGTGTGATTTGCGACTTCATCTCTTCTTTGAGATTCTGGCAAACGGTTATAGTTTCATTTCAAAGTCATCATCTTTGTTTGCACAGGTGAGTCCAGGTGGATGGCTACAATTGAATATGTTTACTCTCTTTGTGGCGGGGTTTCGTGCTGCAATGATCCAAGGGGAATTCATGCAGCCAGTGTTAGATCAATCGGCCCGGTCTTGATGAGTTCCAGACTGCAGAGTATGTAGGCTATGGCTCTTTTATGTGTATATTAGATCAGACCTCGCAATACGAGCTTGTCTTAATGATCCAGCAAAAGGAAGAAAGAGCCCTGCAGTACGCAGACCAAAGCTACCGTCAGCAACCCGAACTTGATAAGAGACGTAATCTGTTCTATCGCGAGAGCCTCAACTACGACTCGGCAGACTGCTCAAGACCTCGTCCTTTCAGGGACAAGATATATGGTAACACTTCACTCGTCACCTCGAGTACCACAATTTTGACGCAGCGAATTTGGGATCAATGGTCAGAGGACTCACAAATCCCGTCGCATCGCTCTGTGATCATTGCGCCTGAATGAGCGCCTTCTCGAAGCATCCAAGGAGAACGCAAATAAAAGGCATCATTATTCCATGGAGAGAAGCATAGTGCAAATTCTCCAGTCATTGTACGCTTCTGATCACGGGAAATCCTTGGGATGACTAAGTACCAGTATACGACACCTAAGAGAGGATCTGTGGGTTTATGTTTTCTTTGGAGAAACTCTGGAGCGATTCTTCCAAATGACTTCGCAAAATCTCAAAGTGCAGCTCTTCGCTCCAATGTCTTGCTACAACAAGATCGAAGCCAAAGCCGAATTTGTGGCTTCGCTATTAGAAATAAGAAAATAGAATTTGAGTCGATCACGCACTACACGATGTGAATTTCCTTGCTCCAGCCTTTATCACCAAAAAGAAGAGCGTGATGAGGCTATGTGGCTTGGTAGCTTCGGGTCTGGAGACCGGTAGTGGGACAGTGAACATCGCTCATAGACGCCATGTATCCAAGCCAAATGCTGCTAGGTAGTTGCGAATCCTCGCCCGTTGCATTCACGGCACGAAACAACCCTAAGGTACTCCTCCGATTTAGAATTGCAGATGAGTTCGAAATGCTTAACATGAACCTGCATTTTGAAAGCGGACAGCGGTGCTTCGAAGCGCATATATCGCTACAAGACTTTATCCCACACAATGCATATGGGGCCTCGGCGTTCCAGCACCACTCAATCAGATTCTACATGGCTCTTGTGGAGGATTGTCGCGCAGTCCATGTGTAGGGCACATCTTCCCGCCCTGTCATTTTGCCGCAGCCAAATCGGTCAAGTTCTCGTGTTGTTTCCACGTGCGAGATGCAGTTGAAAGGGCAACAACTCGTAAGCCGCATCCGATGCCATTTGATTCACGAATTAGATCCAATGTTCACTACTATCTTTCTTTCTTCCTTTCTTCTCCTTTTCAGTGCCACAAAAAGCTTTCCGTCGCGACGCGTGTGCTCATGAAGTACTGAAAATTGACCGGTTAGCAGGTTCGTTTCAAGTGAAAATATGTATACAAGCCGATATGCGCTCGCTGCCCTTTCCTCCCTCTCACATTTGCTCGAAACAAAACCCGACACCACAATGATATGGTTTCTGGGTGCCAAAAGCCAACAGTCCATCTACCTATGCTTCGGAGGGCGCGCCGAGTTCATGGAGCCCAGTCCTCCCGCTTCGTGATCCCTGTTTTGGTTCCTTATCAATCGGCCTAAGAGAATGCTGCGACAAAGTCATGTGCTTCTTGAGTCTCAAAAGCCGCAATGTACCTTGATTATGCTGGTCGGTGGACCGAGTCGGAAGCGAGGAGTCTTTCAAGAATTACGTGCCTGCTGTTCCGCTCGAATACCCATCATAAAGCTTGGGGGTGTCTCAAAAAAGAATTGCTCAAATGATGTCTCTCTGGCCATGGAACAGGACCAATGCACCAGGTTAGAGGACATGTGTGTGTCGTGAGAGTCCTGCACCTGATAGCAAAACAGATCACGTTTCGCCCCTGCTCGTTATCGCATGTGTCTTGGCGCGAAGTGGATGAGAGAAGGTGAGACGATCCAGGCAATAGTGGTGAGTATCGTTACTTCAAGGCGTTGGCGAGTGCTGGAGGAATTAATGTTTGTTAGCACACTCAGAACAGCAGTCTTCAAGATCAGGATACAGTATTCATACAAATAGCAGCCTCTACCCCTCCTCCTTGTTGCCTCTATATGTGTCTCTCCTACTGCCTGGGTGCATATGCTCTCCTGTCTCGCATCTGGGTATCATAGCTCCTTACTGCTCTTTCCTCTCCGACTTGCCCACCATCCCAGACTTTCCAATCGCCGTGTCCATCGTGCTCCATCTCCTCAGCAACGCTTGTATTCCTACCGGAAGCGCGCCTAGGCTCTCCGCATACTTCGTATACAATGGTAGCGCCACTTCCCCGCTCTCACCCTTTTCAATCAGATTCATTATGCTTTTCGCAACCTCAGCTGGTGAAACGATCGGACCCAGGAACTTGCTCGGCGTCTTGACGCCCTCGAACATCTTCGTGCCCATCTGGCCTGGCGTAACGAGTATTGTCTTGATCTCATTCGCATCTGGGTTCTGCGCGAGCTCGGCGCGGAGAGATTGGTGGAGCGCGAGGAGCGCGGCTTTGGAGGCGGTGTAGGAAGAAAGGTTTGCGGCGCCGAGACGGCCGAGGACGGAGGAGATGGTTACGATGGTGCCACGACGTTCACTAAGCATGTGCGGGAGGATAGCGCGAAGGGTGTTGAAGTGGGAAATGGTGTTTGTGCGGAAAGTCCTATATTTGCGGTCAGCATCTAAGATGGTGCTGTTGCGAGGCATGGGGAACGTACTGCTCAACTTCTTCCGGGGTGGATTCGAGTATCGATCTCGCACGTACCATGCCAGCATTGTTAATGAGAATCGTCGGAGCGCCGAGCTGTGCGTAATTAGCATTTTGGGGGCGTCTCTGGAGCCTGAGGTACATGCATCTTCCACAATCTCGGCCACGGCCGCTTCGACCTGCTTCGCATCGCCCACGTCGCATTGGTAATAGAGCACGCCCTTCTCTTCGGCTTCTTCGTCGTCTACCTTCTTCATGTCCAGAACAGCCACATTCGCGTTCCGCATCCCGTATGTATCGGCGAGCAATCCACCCAAGCCGTCGACACCTCCGGTGATGACAATTACCTCCTCGCTCAGATCAACCTCCCTCGGCGCACCGTACGCGATCCTGTCGCTGAAGATGTTGAAGATGCCAATTGCACACATGAGCATGGCCCACGCGATCGCAATACGCATCTCAAGCGCGTGCCATGGCGTGTACTGCGCTCGCAGACAGAGCACGAGAACGCAAGCTACGAATGGATGGAAGACGGTGTAGCCTAGGACATAGTGCAGCAGGTCTATTGTGACGTAGCGATACCATGGCTCGTCGGGGGTATCGAATTTACGTGGAAGTGATACGTTGACTTCTTTGAGCTTTGGCGGACTCATGGTGGGTGAGCTGCAAGAGGTGCGTTGGATCATCTCGGAGGTATCGCGGGGCGCGTATTCGCGTCTTGGAGGGGTGGGGCCAGTTGTGATATTGTATCAACACGAAAATACGAGCGAAGCTATCCAGGAGCTGGAGCAAATGCAAAAGATTGGTGTACAGAGCGAGACTGCGAGAAAGGAGACATGGCGGTCTTATCCTCAGCCGTGGGCGTTGTGTCCTGAGGTGCAGTGCGTTTCATCCTCAAGCTGCTCCGCATCAGTGATCACCGCTCCGAAGTATTGCCGAACGACGCGACCTCGCACATCGCGTCCGACTTTCACCCCGTACAAGTTACCTGTTACGAACTTGCCTATGAGCAATGATAACGTGCTGGTTCATCGCAGACCTTTATGACCAATCTCCTTCGCTCTCATTCTCTGCTAACAAATTAATGCCATGTCTGCACCCAGGAGGAAGGAAGGCGACGGTGACTTAAACTGTAAACGGGGATTCCTTTGCGCTCGTTCTTTCATCTCATTGATCGATTGCTCTTACTCACAGTGTTCATGGTGAGCCCTTGCTGCCGATGCCCGATATGTGCAGCCCTGTTGCCCTCGGAGAGGGCCTGGGCCTGCGCTTTCCTTTGCCCTCACAACCACCTGCCACGAGAACCAGCACCATGACGATGCGAGGCTGTCATCGACGCCCTCAGCCGGGCACTACCTGCACCCAAGTGAACGTACTCTCGTCCCGTCTTTCTCTCTCCCTCCCCAACCGCATCGTCACTCGACAGCGTTTTTAGCGGCCAGCTGTTTTCACAACATACATACCCTGCCATCTTCTCTTGTCCGTCTTGGCTCTCTACCTCCTTTTTCCGACACGTCTACTCCCTCCAGCTGGCGGATCATGGCCCTCCGGGTCCTCATCCTCAGCGTCCTGGTGGCCCTCGGCCACTCCAAAGCTATTGTCACCAACAAATGCCGGAAGGACGTCTATATTTGGTCAGTACCTGAAAAGGCAGACCTTGCAAACAACCTCTCCATAAGCCCTGGAAAGAGGTATGAGGAGCCCTGGCGCTCTGGCACCACCGTCATTCCTGGTGTCGCCATAAAGATCTCCACTGAACGTGATGGCATCTACACGGGTAAGGGCGAGATCAACTTCCAGTACGATGTCGACTCGTCCGATGCCAACAAGATCTGGATCGACCTCGCCACGGTTCGCGGGAATGACTTCGATACCGCTACCTTGAACACCTGCCGTGGCAGTTTCAAGAGTTCAGACGTGCCCACCCAGCAGTGTTCGAGCACCGACGACATCGAGCTAGTTCTTTGCGGCTCGGAGCGTACAGTTCCCTCTCTAGATACCACACCTGTCCGTGTCATCTCGAACTGTATCGGCCTCCTCGCCGAACGCGACGATCCGCTCCACCCTCGCATGTGCAGCGCCCGCGTTGTGGGTCCGAAGCGAATGCCAATGTTGTCCGAGGATGAGGAAAGCCAGTGGCTTGTTGAACGCGTCGATACGGTACCTCTCAAGACCGTGATGCGTCTCGAAGCGGCCAAGCATGCTGCCTCCCAGGATGCCGAAGCCCATACCGCTCCTCGCGCCCGAAACACCGGCGCCGTAAAGGCAGACACGGTTATGGAGAATTCGGTCAGCTCGGGACCTATGTGCAACCTTCTTCATGAGGCTTGGCCTGACGCTCAATGCGACGAGAAGATGGCTCAACACAATGCGAAGCTCTTCTACCAAGACAACTGCGGCGAAAAAACCAAGTATATGTTCCCTGGAGCCAGTTGCGAAGCTATTCGACACCAGATGGAGCAGATATATCCGGGTGTAGTGGAAAAACGTGACAACCACGTTACCATGTGCATCAACAAGTATTACCCATGGTTTGAGAAGTTCTGGGGCTCGAGGGATACCGTCAAATCAGTCCTCAACAATCACGGTGACCCACTGTTTCCAGATCGTTCTTGGACTTCGGACGAGGAGCTTTGTCAAAAGCCGAACAAGACAGTCTCTCCTGTTCTCAAGGATGGAAAGCACCGATTCAAGCGTTGTGTCAAACCCTTTTGTCACAAAGGATATCGCCTGCCAGGTGACTGCAGTGATGTGGAGGACGAGCTCGAGAAACTTTCGAAGGACGCTGGCTGGGAAGTCGACTGGACGAGCGAAGATGAGGTATGCGGGGACAAGCGTGCTGCGACCGAAAAGCGCGATGTCAACGCCACGCCCCCAACGAAGCACGGCCACCGAATCACTTGCGTCGAGCCCGCGTACAAATTGCTCCGTCATTTCCCTCCATGGGGTAGCAAACGTGCTGTAAAAGAGTTTCTCAATAACGGTGGCCCATACAACTTGTTCCACGATGTCTCTTTCACATCAGACGAGGAGCAATGCCGTGGTTTGGACAACCCTATCGACCTGGTAAAGCCAATTGGGAATCAGCCCTGCGTCAGACCTTGGTGCGACCACGGATCCTGCAGTGAACTTAGAGACGCGCTCAATGTTGTTTCCAGACAAGCTGGCAAGGACGTCAGCTGGACCACTGACGACAGTGCGGACCTTGGGGACGAGCATTGTCAATACGATGGGTCCGCGCTCACACGGCGTCAAATAGGTAACGCTACCTATGGTATTGGTCACCGCTGGAATGACATCCGCAAAGTTTGCATCACTACGGCCAACGAGAAGCTCGGCAAATACTGGGGAGCCAACGAAACCGAAGAACGCGTCCGAGAGCTCTTTTCAGGTGTTCGCTGGACCACGAACCTCGACGATTGCTCGCCACAAGCCATTGCTGAATCCCGGGCCTATCATCGCAAGCTCATTGACAAGAAGCAGCACAAGGAGAAGAAGTGTGTTGTGGGTTGCCAGGGCAAAGCTTGCAAGCGCGTCAAGAAGGAGCTCAACATGCTTTCGACGGACGTTGGTCAGAATTGGAGCTGGACGGACGATGAAAAGGTCTGTACCAGTAACGTCACCTTTGGCTCGCAAGGCCCTGAGGTGTCAAGATGTGTTGTAGGCGAGAATGCGATCAGGAAACTCTTCACGTACTGGGGAGATGTACACGACGACGTCATGAGGGAGATTTACCCGAACATCGATTGGACGACAGATGAGGAGTGCGATCTACCGTACGACATGGCTGCAAGGAAGTGGCTTCGTGATCATCGCGTGAAAGGGAAGCGGCCCCAACGTTGCGTCAACCCTTACTGCAAGCCCTTCGAGGCAGACTGCAGCGACGTCGAAGACCAACTCGAGGAAATATCGAAGAACCTCGGCCATGAGATCGACTGGACAACGGATGATGACGCCTGCCCCAAGGTCGCGCCCGATGTGTTTGTAGCCTACCCTTCAGAGGTTTGCATGCTAGAGAACTGCCGGATCCACAACCTTTCCAATGACGAATGTGAGGAGGCAGCGGAGTTGGCGGAAGAGCTGTCGCTTGAATTCTTTGGAACACGCGTCAGTTTCAGTGTCGATGGACCCGCCTGTCTTGGAGTGAGGGCCAACGAACTCCCTCACTTGCCTCTGTCCACCAAGGCAAAGCGAGGGTCCCACAAAGTTTGTCGTAAGGAGCTTTGTCGTCGTTCAGACCACATCGATTACGATTGCAAGAAGATTGAGCACAACCTTGGACGTTTCTTGAACAAGACAATGCAGATGGACGTCGAGTTCACAGATGACCACGATGTCTGCGGTATTGTACTTGCACGCACATCCTTTGAGGATCCTACGATTTCCGCTTATAACACTTCAATGTCTTTGGTTTGCTCGAAAGCATACTGCGCCCCGCGTATTCCTGGAGTCGACTGCGCTGTCGTCCACCGAGACTTTGGGATGATGTTCCAGATCGAAGCTGTCCCACCCACGGTCGGCGATGCGACAAGCGATCACGTTTGCCGCGACGAACCCTTCCTTCGTCTACCCGTTGTCAGGGACCAGTCGCGTCGGCAGAAGGTATGCGTGAGAGACTTATGCACGCTTTCCGAGTCCAAGTACGGTAAGAAGTGCGATGCGGTCGTCCCTCTTATCGAGCGATACTATAGGGGCGCCCACGACGTCGATATCGCCGCCTCCATCGATGATGATGTCTGTGGCAAGGAGACCGGTCATTAGTCCACCACAGTCTACAAGCGCGACCATGCCTAAACAATTGTTCGGGTTTGATGTGTAGAATATATGTCTGTTTATCGCCCCCGCGTTAGCAGAACCGACTGTAGCGCTCTCATCAAGTCTATCGACGCAGTCGTGCTCGATAATTAGCAAGTGGTTGATTATCATTTCTTGTGGCCCTTCCGACAGCCGCAATGTACCGGTATTGTTGTTTCCGCACAGCACTCTGGATCCAACCGCAACGGTGCGCGTACGGGACTTCTGCAACTGGTCCGGTCATGGGGTTATTTCGGAGGTATGCATGGATCCTGTTCTCAAATCTTGAGACGAGTATCTCGGGCTTAGGAGGAAGATTCCGAGCTAATGGTTTATTCATTGGCGAAGTGGCTGGTTGAGCATGAGATGGGCGGATAGAGAGGAATTGGTAGCGTTGTGTTTCTTTTCTTGTTTTACGGGTCTGTTTAGAAATTTGTCTTTCCGCGGACTTTGGCTTCTGCTCTCTGATGCTGTTGGTCCATTGTCGTGGTGCTGGAGCATTGTGGTGTGTATCCATCATTACTCGACACCCGTGTGTTATCTCCCTAGTGCCGGATCACTTCATCATCATATTGAAGACGAACTTCTTACTTCCAGGCTGGCTGAGTTATTCTGGAAGCATCTGCATCTTGCTTCCCTACCCCAGGACCAACATCACGCATCAAAATTCTTCACTTAGAAGCTCAAATCAGTCATACTTCAGGCACTGGTCTCTTACATGTGTAGCGCAATTCGAATGTTGCATTTGTGAGAGCAATGATCAACCCATGGGTGAGAACGCCGGGAAATGCCACTTCATCCCGATGCATAACAAAACAAAAAAGACAGACCTATACGAACGGACACGAGCGTTGGACGCCAATCATGCCAAGATAAGTGACAAGAACGCCAAAGGAGGGAGTCAAGGACCGACGCCAGTGTGTGGGTATATAACAAGTCAAGATGGCGGCCGTACCAACAAGCGCAGAAGGATAGAACGAACAGACTGCACCAATCTATCCGCCTCTCCTTCCGCCCCTTCGCCCACTTCCACTGGCCGTCCGCGCCATGCCCACACCTCCGAGCGCGGCCGCAAGACTACTCTCCCCGTACCTTCCCATCGGCGTATTACCACCAGCGTCACTATACCCGCCCATACTGCTCTGCGCGCTCATCGGCACGCCACCGAGCACCGCACCGTTCCCAACCTCCAGGTGCGGCACCAACGTCCTGACCAGACTCGTTGTCTCGTTGGCCGGCTCGCGGTATTCCGGCGGCTGTATCGCATATTCTCTCGCGCGCACAGGATGCACAGCTGCCTGAAGCAGCTTCTCGTTGAGCTCGTCGTCCGGCCGGGCGTCGCGCAGCATGAGTTTGAGATCTTGCTCTACATCTGCGGCGCCGAGGGGCGGGGGCGCTGGAGCGGACGCATTTGGTTTCTGGAAGATCTTCGCATCGAGGATGAAGGGCGGGGCGTACATAGTGGGGATTGTGCCGGTCGCGAGGTTGAAGTTGGGATGCGCGCGAGTTGCGCCGCGGGTGGCGTGCGGGTTGGACGAGACTTGCCGGCCCATGTCAACTGCGCCGGGAATATCGTCAGAGTCTTGCTCTTCGGGGGCGTCATCGCCTATGTCGAGGGCGCGGTCGCCGTTGGTGGTGGTGCCGTTTGTGCCGTTGGTTGTGGGCTGCTCGGTGTCGGATGTCTTCATCTTGGCGAAGAAGTTCGAGGCGGCGGTTGTGGCTTGGTTTATGGCCATGTTGAGCTCTTTCTCGGTGAAGAGGCGCTCGAGAGAGTAGGCCGAGGCTTCGAATTGCGTGTGCATGGTGCGGGCTTTGGCTTCACGGAAGGGCGAGTTGGCGCCAAACTCGACGTTGCGGCCAGAGGGGCCAGGAGAGTCGTTGTCGTCTGTTTCGAAGAGCTTTCGCTTGCGCTTGTTCTCTTGCGCAATGTCCTCCGCATCGCCGAACTTGTGTCCTGTCCTGCGTGTCTTGCGTGGCGCCTGGGGCCCGCCTGGGCTGGCGGGATTGCCAATGCTGAACTGATTTGGGTGCAGCAGCATGGCGTTACTGTCCGAGAGGTCTAATTGCTCCTTCTCGCGCTTCAGACGCATGGTGCGTGTCTGTATGGTAGCCATGAGGCGTTCGCGGATGGTGGCCGCGAGAAGCTTGTGCTCTTCTTCGGCTATTTGCACCTTGTAGAAGTGCGCATTCTCGATCTCGTTCTTAGTGTTCTGGTGTTTGTTCTATGCAAGTGTAGAGTTAGCGGGTGTCTAGATGTGAAGTGAGAAAGGGCGCAAGCGTACAAACAGCATTGTGAGATCGCGGTCGCGGTCCTCTATAGCATCATTGACGTTGTCTACGAAGCGCCCATAGTATTTTCCACACTGAGCGACGTAGTCGGTGCCCGCGCTTGGTGCGGTCGGCGCATTGTTGCCCATGATGGAGGTGATGAGCTCGGATGCCTCCTCGCCAGCATCCTCGAGTGGCTTGTTCGTATACGGGTCGGCTTTGAGGATGAGGTTGATATCGGCTTGCAGAGCGGCCAACTGGGCGCGGTAGTGGCTATCCCTATTGTCGGAGAAGGATGCCATCATCTCAGAGAGCTTGTCGGCGAGCATGTTGCGCCGCTTGTCGCGCTTCGAAACTGCAGGCTGCGGCGAGCCTGCGTGGTCCAAGGCCATAGCGGGCGATGGGCTGCGATTGCGAGCCATGGTGCGTTGTGAGGGCAATCGTAGGTTCGTGAAGAATGGTGTGACTGGTGGGACTGCAAGGAAGCTGGCAGGTGTGGCAGCGAGCTGGACGAGCGAAAGAAGCTTGACCGAAAGGCACCAAGAGTTACAGAAGACAAGAAGAAACGAGCAGAGAAGTGTCGGTGCTTGACCACGAGGTCGCTAAAGCGTGGGCAACATGGAGGAAGGTGAGTGAGCACGGTGACGGTGAATCGTCTTGGAGGAGTGAATTGCATTTGGGACCACAATCGGCGGCTGATCCCGGCGAACAAAGGGTTTAGCGTATTTTCGCTATCGCCGGTTGCCGATTCGACTGCTGACACAGCTTGCATTTCTTGGCAGGTACCACGGGATTCACTCATTGCACGTGTACGAGCAACGTTCCAGTTACAGTGCGAACCGTGAATGATTTGGATATAATCGGCTACGTCGCTCACGCAATTGTATGTACACAGTCTTTCGCACTTGCTTAAGATGTTCTCTTGTTTCCGCTGACCCACCGACTTTCCACGCAGCCGGATATCTGCTGAGAATGTCAAGCTATTTGATTGTCAAGACCTCGTGCAAAGAATAGTGTGACTAATACCATGATTTCACCTCATGCGTGCTCGCAAAATTCGGGAAAACTCAAAGCTGTCCCTTTGTAGCACTGCCTAAGGTGAGGGTAAATTGGGGTTTATATTACGAATGCGTGGCTGTACGGCATTGGTGATATAATAGACCGCGTTAATTGAAGCAAGTGGCTTGTAAGGGGCTTAGATTGCAGGTTTCCGTGCTGTACACAGGTGACTCGTAGAGGTCTATAAAGGCGAATCTAAGGGGAACATTGAATACGTGCGATACGACTAAGCATAAGGTACCTGCAACAGACCATATATTTCCCAACCTTGATTCTCTCCCTCCGCAATCTCCATCCGTCTCTAACCGACTAGTGTACTCCTCGCACAAGGACCATTGATCTAGTAGCCAATATCAAGATACAAATCACCGTGCCCCTGATACCCAACTGTATGCGGGTCGTGCTTCTGCCCATCGTTCCAATCGTTATCGCTGCCCGGACCGCCGAGCTTAGTTTTGGAGCCCGCAAACGGGAAGTAATTGTGGGCACTCAAATCGTAGTAAATCCAGCCGTCGGGGTGCTTATTGTAGGCAAGGATGAGGACGCCCTTACCTGGCGTATCGATGTCGACCCGATCGGGGGTGATCTTGACAGCAACGCCTGGTCTGTCGCTCTGGTCTAAGGACGCCTCGTCGTGGGCGCCTATGTAAAAGGTTTCGCTGCGGTAGCCAGTCTGGTCGACTGTAGTGTACCAGACGGGAACGGCAAGATGGTTCTTGATAATGACCTGCTCGACAGCAAGGGCGAGGGTGGTTATGGCTGCGAGGGACGAGAGAAGGGTCGTGACGCGCATGATTGCTGCACCGATGTGTCCAGAGGTAGAGGTGGATCAATAGTTTATAAGGATGGTAGCCAGAAGAGCGAAAGCCAGACCAAATGTGAAAGTTTCCGACGTTCAATTGAGCTTGCAAGCTGTCATCGCAGGCTGTCCTCCTCTTCTTATACCTCGAGAGTCCCAGGGAGTCTCACTGCGATTTTACTAACGAGACCTCGTTTCTTGTCAAACGGACACGATTACACCTGGCCAATAGCGTAGAATTGACGAAAGTTTGTAGAGTGGCTGTACGCCAGAGCCAGTTTGAAGAAGACGTCGCGTCAGACTGGCATCGTGAAATAGTCTGGACGCACAATGCAGGAGCCCCCGTCCTCTCAGGAATGTCAGTGGGATGAAAGTGCTTAGCGTGGACCCGTAGTCTTGCTGGTGGCGCTGATAGGCGAGGAGTGTCCTATGTAGCACTGAGCCGTTTACTGAATATCTCGGCTGCCGTATGCATGTTCGATTGCATCCAGATTCTCGGTTGGTGCTAGGAACAACGTCTATCCTATCAGCCGAAAACGCGTTCGTGCTATTGCGCGTGCTAAGATTGATGCCCAAAACGCCTGGACAAAGTGAAGCGTCATGCGGCCATCTTCGGTGAGTGAACTGTCAGCTAAGAACCTTAGATCTGGGCGGAACACATGTTCATTGACGGATGTACCGTACATCAATGCAACAGACCTGTCACTGACAATATCGTGCTTACCGTGCACAGAGCAATGCTACTACGTATGCAGCTCTTTCATAAGCCACATTGTATATATATGGGACAGCGGGTAAGTTCGATTGAGAAGAATATAACCTATTGTCATTGAAACGATACTTCGTGTTCGTGTTTGTGCAAGTTCGTCCACGATGGGGCAAAGCGTGCGTTCGCTGTTGAGCGGAGCGGTGGTGCGCTGTTGCGATGTTGTTTGATAAGTCTCAAAACTTCGGGAAAGGGGCACGACTACCGATACTTGTGAGGCGCATGTTGATGGGAATATTGGGAGATGTCAAAGAGAGTCACGAGGAAGTCGCACTCACGTTATCTTATTATCTCCGAGTCATCTACATCATCGCCGAACATCTTCCAGGTGACTAAGGGCGGCGCCATTGAGCCGCGAAGGGCCGATGTCATACCTCGGCTCAAGCGTGGCGGACTCCGCATTCTCCACATTCCGAACGTCAAGAGGCAGAGCGGCGGCAATTCCGCCATGTGACAACCGATCCAAAACTACTTTCTCTCTACATACTTCTTCCTTGCTGTGTATTGTATTTGCGCCATTCGTTGGTTTTCATAGTCATGTCTTTTGCTCTTCGCACATCTTTGAGGATGGCTTCACGGCCCCAGCAACGCCTTGCTAGCATACAACGCCAGTTCAGCTCATCCGCTCAGCAGAAGAAGGAAGTCAGAGATGCATACATCCTGAGCGCGAGTCGGACGCCTACTGGAGTGGTGAGTCTCAATACACCTAGAGAATGTGACGTTGGCATTGACATCTGATAGTTCAACGGCGCATTCACCACCGTCTCCGCAACCCAGCTCGGTGCCACCGCGATAAAGTCGGCCCTCGAAAAGTCCAAAGTACCCATTTCTTCTATCGATGCCGTATACATGGGCAACGTGCTCAGTGCAGGCGTTGGACAAGCTCCCGCACGACAAGCCGCCATCTTCGCTGGCCTGCCCACTAATATCGAAGCTACTACGGTGAATAAGGTCTGCGCATCGGGCCTCAAGGCTGTTAACCTCGCTGCTCAGAGCATCGAGCTCGGCCAGGCGGAAGCACAGATCGCAGGAGGATTCGAGAATATGACGAGAGTACCATACTATCTCAACCGGGCGAGCCAACAGCCGCCCTTTGGCCACCAGCAGCTGCAGGATGGACTGATTGGTGATGGACTTTGGGATGTATACAACCAGATTCATATGGGCAACTGCGCGGAGAACACGGTGAAGAAGTACGACCTCTCTCGGGACGAGCAGGACGAGTTCGCCATCCTCACCTACAAGCGCGCGCAAGCAGCGTGGAAAGAGGGCCTGTTTAAGGACGAGGTTGCGCCGGTAACAGTCAAGTCGAGGAAGGGCGAGGTTATCGTATCGGAAGATGAAGGCTACAATAAGCTCAAGTTGGAGAAGGTACCTACCCTGAAGCCAGCATTCGTGCGAGACGGCAGCGGCAGCGTTACCGCTGCGAACAGCTCTGCATTCAGCGACGGTGGATCTGCACTGGTGCTCGGTAGCAAGGAGATCGCCCAGCAGTACGGCAAGGACAGTCGCGTTCTCGCAAAGATCGTCACGTACGCCGATGCAGCCATGGACCCGATCGACTTCCCTGTCGCGCCCGCCGCCGTAGTCGAGAAGCTCCTCCAGCAATCTGGGCTTTCCAAGTCCGACATCGCTATTTGGGAATTCAATGAAGCGTTTGCCGCAGTCATCAAGGCCAATGCTAAGATCCTCGGATTGGGAGTTGACAATGTGAACCCGAGAGGTGGAGCTATCGCGCTTGGTCACGCTCTCGGTAGCTCTGGTAGCAGGATATTGGTCACGCTGCTGCACCAGCTCGAGGTCGGGCAGTATGGGGCCGCTGCTATCTGCAATGGTGGAGGTGCGGCCACAGGTATAATTGTACAGAGAGTCTCGCCAGACCAGCTATAAGCGACGACTTAATTTTGATACCAGCACGGCGTTTAAAGGAAAGGTAGGCAAAATGTAAATATATAATCCGAACGTCACCTATCAGAATTTTCCCCTTTTGTCGTCGCCCTCCCTCTACGAACCTACCATTCCTATCACTGCTAACGAATTTGAGCTGCAAGGAAGATGTGTACAAGTTAAAAAAGAAGCACAGTCGTCGACGTGGACCAGACTCGAACTGGCGCTCCCGAAGGAACAAGATTTCAAGTCTTGCGCATTAACCACTCTGCCACCACGCCTTCTCGGACCTGCTACTGGATAGTTTACGCTGGAGTAACTATATGAACCCGGGTAAGGTCTTTTGGAAAGAGCCTATCACAGAATATGGAAGTTTGAAATGGTTGGGAAAGAAGAGGTGGTACAAACGGGTATGTGCAGTGTTGGGCGGGAGCGTGCATTACTGCGGCTGCGCGGGCCACAGAATGCTTGCATCATGCTCTCTGTTGAGATGTAAGTCTGTACAAGTCGCTGTGAGGTCGTTACAACGAGTGCCTTGTGAACAGCGCACCCAATCTATGATTCGTATCGTCATCAACACAACATGCCGGCTATCACACCACATATATATGTTTTTATTTTGAACCCCTCTTTGGGACCAAGATGATATGGGTCGCATTTCCAGACATATGATTGATTGGTGTTTCGACTTCATACGGCCCATGACCATATCTCAGTGCCTGGAGTCATATTCGTAGAATCCATGTGTGACTCGACATTCCGATGTTTGATTGCAAAGCCAGTCTGTTGGTCTCCAGCCAGGTCCAGAACCGTAGCCGATTATTCAGCTCTATTTCCTCCGAATTGGGCGATATCCGAACGTCCTCAGCATAGTCTGTTGACAATTTGCCTCCAGTCTCGATGTTGCGCACAACAACATGTGTCTGCCATAGCGAAATGTGTCCTGCAAAGCTGCCGCAGAGAGTACATGGCCTCCTTTTCTTACCATATGAAGAGGAATTCATGGCTTCACATTCTTTTCGTATTAGTCTACCTCACCGGGATTGCGAACCTGTGCTGGAGAAGGGAAGAACACGAACGGCCTTTTATAGGTGACCACCACTTTGAAAAGAAGCGGATCTTAGATTGTCTTCAATATTTTTCCAATGCGAACTTGGTAAGTGAGGCTCCCCAGCCTACCTCTCGAACATGTAGCACTGCTCGCACAACTTGCTAGTGCTGACCGGTAAATGCAAAGGAAGGCCATGTGGTGCAATGTTGTAAGTTGAGAGAGGACGATAGGCACCACATATCACGCCACTCTTCCAAGTTCAATTGGTCTCACCATGAACTTGATTCATCAGAACTTTGCATAACGCGATCGATTTGGACATCGTACTCCGGGTTTGAGAAAATAGACGGTTTCAGCAGGAAATCGCCTCCCGATGAAAGAACACTTATATCTAGGTCTTGTACTGAAGCTTTTATATGGAAGTGACCAGAAATGATCTTTTCTTACCGACACCGCCGATAGAAGGCACATTTTGCGTATTTTTGACTTTGCAAGATCCGCTTCATAGTTCTGGTGCACCCTGGTTTTGCTTGAGCGCAAAACGTCGAGATATCGGGCTTCTGCCAATATACTTCGAATGTTATGTTAGGCGAACGCCCATCGCTCATGTAGTGATTGCACTATAGCTATTTATATTGATACAAAGTCGGGTTTCCCTCAGGTATGAAAGTGGAGTTGTTCAGTCATTTGAGAGCTGAGATGCGGAGATGACATCGTTGAGATTTTAAACGATCCGCAGATTCGTCCTATAACTTCATCATTTCTACGTTTTGCTTAGATGGGAAGGTGGAGAAGCCGTGCGATAAGAGTGGTTGCGATGCGCGGTCCTTTATATGTAAGGCTCCAGAGACATGTTGTTATTCTGAAGCAAAAGATATGTTCCCAGCCATACAACCATTACGTGGCTGTTTCTGATTGATCGCAGGCGCGCAGACGTACACAGGATACGAGCTTGCGTGACGTCCGCTATTCAACAGGACTTCCACAAGACCCATGAAGTCTACTTTTTAACACACTTGATAGGATACGAGTGAGTTGCCCAGTGTAAGCGAAGAAGAGTAGAAGGGCTTTGCAGAGTAAGCGGGGTGTGGTGTCCCTCATTGTAAATTCTCTTTATTCGCGATGGAGCAGTATCGTCCAAGTGAGCATGACTGGCTGACCTACTGACTGTGAATCTGAATCCGCGTCCGAACCTGCACAGGCAAACATCAAGCCCGCCAAATATGCTTTTAGTGTAACAAGCAAATTTATGGAAGAACACATAGGTTATGACAACATCATTCTTGGCGCATAAGCAGCTCGCACCATGGATATTCCGGTTAGGGATCTTGTGAGATGCGGATGGATGGTTATAAGGTTTAGTTCTCATATGGACATGAAGGGAGGGGGAAATATGATACATGCTATTAGCGCTGCTTTCGCATACTGGGATGGCACAGCGAGAGGCATAACACACAGCTCTCACTGCTTCGGTGGACGTAAACGCTCATCCATAATGAAATTTCTCGCGTGTTTCTGTGACTCGAGGACTTCAAGTGGGTAAGATACGGTAGATGTGACCCTACAAAAAGGAGCATAATGCAGTTTTATGACTTTCTCGTTTAGAAAAAAGCCATCGATATGTTTTCAGGCACACATTCTCATGTGCGGGCAGCAAACTACCGCAGAAGAATGTTGTATGTTCTCCAGTCCCAAGGTCGAGACATCGGTTGAGGCAATATACATGTTGCCCACGAAGTGACATTCCCCAATACGAAGCGAAAGAAACGTCCACATATAGTATGACGCTACAGATTGAAGTCTGTACTTTTGTTATGATTCAGTAGTCTTCCATCCGTCGATCCGGCACTTTAATGATCCAGGGATCCCATGCATGATAAGGAGGACATGAGCTTGTGGATGTCAGAGTATCACAAGAGGATCTCGTGGCGACGGCACATGGACGCTTTCGTATCCAATCCAGGTACATGTGTTACTGTTTGCTGTATTTAGATATTTCGAAATTCGCATATCTAGATATATAGGCTTTGACCTTTCATGTCGACTCCAATGGCACTTCGGTGATGAGAGACTTTAGAAAAGACACAGTTCATCGCAGCAATCCCATGATCTGTACTGGGGACCGTCTAAAATGACCGCAGATACATGGAATGCCAGAGTGATTGTTCTTGTCTCTCAGCCAATTCATGTAAGTGTGTTCGCATGAGTTTTTGTTCTGAAAAAGAGTCCATGGCATGGCGAAGCAACGATTTTGTCTCCTCACCTCCATAGCGTGGCTGAGACAATTTTTGAAGGCCTGGAAAGAAGTAGGTGGAAGCGATATGCATCTTCCACTCGAAGAGAGTAGCCCTTTTATACACCCCATCAGCAATTTGTCAGATGAGCACACGCGTGGGTCTCCATACGCCTCAGAAAAAACACATAAAGCATAACCATGAATTCTTCAGTAACCCAATTATATTAAAAATTGAAGACCAACCCGAACGCCGCCCTATACAGTCTCTAAAACCCGTAAGGTCACTCTACTCTCCATCCCTTCCTCCTCTGTTCTCCGAAAACATCATCCGGCGAGAATTGTTTCCGTATTGGATGACTATCAGGCTCGTCCCATGCACTATCCTCGTCATTACTATTATTTCCCGCCCGGGGTGACGACGCTGCAGAGTCGACGCGAGCTCGTGTCGGTAGTGAGGGCATTGGGGGAGGAGTGGGTATGGAAGATGTGGCAGGCGGGCTGGAGGCGCTTGGTATACGTTTCACTGGTTTATAAGGTTTGGGTACTGTGGTCATTCGAGAAGGCGATGCAGAGTTCAGCTCCGGTTGTGCGAGAGCAGGCACTACAGGGTACGTCGGCGGAGGTGAGGTGGATATTGCCGGTGTGTGTGACGCGAGAGAAGTAGGCTTCGAAGGCTCGGTAGCAGGACCACGTACCTTGTCGACTATCACCAAGGATGGCTCGCCCCTCTCCTGATTTGTCTTCTCTGCTTCAAGTTTCTCCTGCTCGGCTTCCCATTCTCGTCGTTTCGCCAGTCGCGACTCAAGCTCAGAAGTGGGACCTGATGGCTCTGCTGTGGGGATGATACTTGAACCAGATCTTGGGCGGATGTTCTTTTTCCAGTCTGGCGTTGTTGTACCGGAAGTAGCGGTGAAGCTGGGCTGTGGAATCCTATAATCCGTTGGACTCGACTGCACAGGTCTGGCGAGACTGGCCATCGGTGTGGGAGCGGTTTTGAAACTCGGGGTCGTTGGGGGTCTTGTTGGTTCAGCCCGTTTTTGAGATTCGTGTAGAGGTATACGTCGGTTCCCGAGCATGCCGTGCCCGATCTCTTGGTGTCCATGGTGACCGACCAGCGTGCTATAGTCTACGGCGGTTTTGGACGTAAAAGTCGTGGTATGCGTGGGTGGTGGGGAGACTGTCTCCGCTGCTTCGGCGGCCCTCTCTCGAGCGAGCTTACGCTCCAGTTCTTCTTTCTCCCGTTCGACCCTATCTTCATCTGCCTCGTACTGTCGTCCGAGATCCGCTTCTCTGTTATGTCTATTTTGCTCGTCGGCTACCTCCTGGGCCTTTCTTGCCGCTTCACGTAAACGTTTGGCTTCCTTTGCCTTCTCAGCCAACTTGCGTTCATGCTCTGCTTTTTGAAACCTCAAACGCTCCTTATGCTCAGCATCTTTCTTGAATTCGAGCTCAGCAGCTTCTTCGGCCTCTTCTCTGGCGATGCGGTCGAACAATTCTTGCTGCTCCTTCTGCATCTGCGCTTGTAGCTCAGCAGCCTCTTTGGCCCGTCGCTCGGCGGCGGCGGCTGCGTTGTTCTTGATTATTTCCGCATCTTCGCGCCTTCTGCGCTCTGCCAGCTTTGCATCTTCATGCTGCTTCCAAGCCTTCCTTTCCCACTCCATGCGCTGCTCTTCTTCCTTTTGCACTCTTTCGGCCGCTTCCCGGGCCCTCTTGGCTTTTTCGGAGGCTTCTAGTGACTCCTTTATCGCGGCTGCTAGGTCGGCATTCTCTGCCTCCTGGAGACAGTCAAAACACCTTCCTTTTCTTTTTCGAGTGACGACCGTAGTTCCTCGTTCTCTGTGCTGTCGGTTGTCTGGCTGACAGTGAACGCTGGTCCGTTCGAAGTATGCGCATAGGCTAGTGTCGATGTGGTCTTGTTTTCTGTGGCCGCACTCGAGATGAGTATATGTGAACTCGCACATGTTGGATTATGTATCCTCTAGAACCACCCAAATGAGAGTTTGCGCTGATGGTGATGTGCTGTTTGACAGAGCAAACGGTGCTTGCAGCAGGGTTGTGGTTCTTGTTAACTATAAGAGCCCCTTCTACACGTGACTTCCCACTTGAGAAGTGGAGACCTCAAGATTAATCGTGTCAGCGTTTCGTTGTTGTCACTGTTAGTTGCATACAATGCCAGCGTTACGAACGTGTGAGCAATTGGTCGTTCGCCTCGCCCCACACAAAGTGAGGCGCAAGCGAGGGCCAGCAAAGACGTCTAGAATCGGACGCGAAGTTTCGAAACAGAAGACTGCGGATACCGCGCTGCCAACATTGTGCCGCTTGACCGCCTTGCTGTGTGGGCGTCACGTGGGCGCTAGTGGTCCACGGGTTCGTCTTTGTGTTGAGGCCGCTGTGGGTACTTGTGCAAGGATGCCCAACATCGTACCGTGACTGCATCTGAGCCAATCATGTCTAGACAAGAAGTCGATTTCAACAAGACTCTTCCAAAACTAGCATTTGGAAGGCTAGATATCACAGTTTCAGTCGACGAAGACATGCTACAGCAATAGGACTCTCTTCGCTCTCTAACAAAGAGGTGGGGTGAGCTCATTATTTTCACGTTAGAAAAGCTATCCATACACTTCTCACAAGGTAAGATAGAGCTTTATACACGAGATTCGACTACATGTGATGAAATGCGAGATCGATGGATGCAAATAAGGATCGAACGGCAATTCAGACGGACTAGATGTAGTACGCGGAAGTCATCCCTTAAGATCACATGGCTCATCATGGATGGCTTTTAGGTCCTTTTGGTCTTCTGACCGAAGAAAAGAAGCGTGCAAATACCTTGCCTTTCCAGAGACGTCTCCGATGCGCTACCAGCTCGCACCTGGCAGCGCATAGATCTGATGCCACGTACGTAGATTAGGTCAAGCGTTGTATACCATCGTCAAGCTGTACACCAAGCGCAGAGAGCCTGCATGTGTAACGTTCTAAAGGTCATGAATATAGACGATGTCGAATCTAATTTTGAGTGTTGATCTCCCTTCCCCATCCCTACTCCAGACAACCTATAGGCTGTGTAGTGTTGCTTTTGAGTCCGACAGCAAGTCAATGTTGGTGAAACTGTCGTACTTTTGGTCGTACCGCAGACCCAGTATCGTGCTGTTTTCTGCCGCTTTTCAGTCCATTTCTTAGTTCCCAAGCACATAGAAGCTACTGGATACTCAATTTAGTATCCAAGAGTAGATCAACATTATGTAGATTTCTTGCCACTCGAAAACCACCTTTCATACCGTTCCCACCTTCGTGTGGCAAGATATGAAATTGACGCCAGAGACATAGATAAGGAGGGACATCGTGTACAATCGTTAGAGCTCATCAAAGCTAGGACTCAGTGTACGTGGGCCTCAAGCTAAGGATCATTATGTTCTTTTAGAATGTGTTTATTCTTTATGCCATGCATCCGTTCTCCACTCCACCCATGATGAAGTCGTCCAACGTATGAGATTGATAAGCTTGTAGCATCAGGTTGATTGATCTTCCAATTCGACCCGCAATCCGCCATCGTCCTTGCCTGTGGTCGCGTCCAACGAGGTGCGAAAATGGCGATGTGACTTTCGTTGGCATTTTCGAAGAAAATTGTGTAATGACTCACTCATCCAAACAGTCATCCTTCTCATCCGGAATTTTTGGAAACACAACAAGTTCATGCGTTCTATGGTACGTTATTTGAGTTCCACACCCAGCTCGACCCCATGCAATGAGTATTCCTTATTTATTTATTTACTATCCTCCCTCAACCCCATGTTATTTGCTATCCATCTTTTCAGTCGCGCAACACATTGCAGTCTTCTCTTCTTTTTTTTTTAGTTCGCCAGACGAAGAAGCGAAGTAGTGTGCAGGTTTCCACGGGCGAAAGGACGCCTTTTCTACCTCGTCTGGGTACTTTCCGGAGTGAATGGACCGGCTCGTTGGCTGTAAGCCACAGTGCGTTACGCGGAACTGTTATAGGTGACAGCGGCACACCGGTGCCGGAAATCCAGTATCTGAAGGCTTCTTTGGAGGGTATCAAGGCAGCCCTCACAACAAAGACGGATGTGCAATGCACGGAAAAACCACCATCATAATCACAATTGAACGCTTTTGAGCTGGTGTCCCCCTTCCTTCTGCCGAGGACAGCTTCACGCACAACTCATCGTATCTTAACCGTAACTGTACGCCCAATAAGTTTGAAAGCACAGGAAGTCCATGTGGTGGTGGTAGTGGTATTTCAGTCCCACCCAAGCTCGACCACATGCCTGACGACCCTATGGCTGTTCAGATCCACACCAAGTCCAACACCATGACATGCCCCATTGCGTCTTTTAGTTCCACCAACCCATAGGAGTAGTCGAATGGGATTTTTAGTCCTTTGAGAGGAGTAGTGGTGTACAGACTTTCACGTAACAAGATCAGCCCTTTTATACGTGCGCTGCTTAGATCCGGGTGCGTATGAGATGGGGATCGTGGCGACCATCCGCTGTTTCGTGAATTTAGTAGCTTTGACAGATAGATGCTTCCGCTATGCCCGGCGCCCTGTGGCAATAGGATCTCCAGTTTGCTCGAACACGGCCACGCAAACGATGCTCTGTCCAGACAACACCGCGAATGAATTGAACGTATGCGCATGTGTACACTACAGCCCCCCAATCTGCATCACCTCCCTTCCAGCCTCAACCGATCCAACGTCCTTCCCTCTTCCCTCCTCGCCACCAAGAACCACAGACAGCTGATCCAGCACAGCACAACGCCGGTCCAACTATGGCTCGGCATTTTAAACGCACTCAGCATGACGAGCTGGAAAGCACTCCTTGGGACTGCGACAAACGTCGCCGTCAGTGGACTCGTTGCCTTGATCAAGAGCAGAGTGGACACGAAAACCGCGAAACTGCCTAGAGTCCCACACCAGATCATCAACCAGAAGAAGGGCACGTCGAGGAAGGGGATGTTGCGGATGATGTGGGGGATGCCCCCAGAGAAGAGAACGACGGGTGTAAGCAGCGTAATGGAAAGTAGAGAAGTGTAGTGCAAGACGCGGTAGTAGGCGCGGGTCTCTTCACGGTTCGAGGGGGAGTCCTCGGCAGAAGAGGGGTAGCCCGTGAGGACGTCGCCCTGGGGTACAAGGTTGGAGACGAGGGTGCGGTAGGTGCGGAGGAGCATGATGGGGTAGAGAGCGACGAAGATAGAGGAGAAGACACCGGCGACGATGGAGTCGGCAGTCACACGCTGATGGGAGCGGTAGGAAGCGAAGGAGAGGAAGAGAGTCGCGATGAGCGCGGAGGAGAGGGTCGAACCGCTGTGGTTTTCTTTTTGGATGACGGCGGAGAAGATGAGGGCCAAAGGCACGACTGGTATGCGTGCGAGTTGGTAGACGGGTAGAGGAGCGTATCTGTAAGCTGTCAGATAAATCATTGTGAGCAGGTAGCAACTTACGCAAAAGAAACGTTGCTGAGTAGCACCTTGAAGCAGAAAACAACAGCAAGCGGAAGCACCTGTTTCGCCACGTGCCAGTCGAACTCGAACAGACCGCCTCCAGCAATTCCTCCAGAGCCATTGGTCAACCACTTGAGAATCCTCATCGGTGTAGATTGCGGCTTGGGTGGGTTCCTGAACGAAGCTCCGGCGGGTGCAACTGGAAAAGCAGGCGCAACCGCAGCTCCTAAGCCTAGTCTCCGGAGGGGACTTCCGAGACCGCGCGTGAGGCTCGAGAAGCCTATGAGAAGGATGTGCGTAAGGACCAGCTGAACGTATGTCCCTGTGAGCGGGAATGGGAACCTGCCCTTATTAGCAAGTGCCTCGACTAACTGCCTGCAATTGCGTACTTATAGACACCCGTCAACATAATGAATCGATTCATGAGCAGCAGCCCGAAGCCGCATCCACCGACCCAGAACACCAGCAGCGCCACATAAACTTGCCAACCCATCCAGGTGCCAAAGAAGAAACCTCCTAGCCCTCCTTCTCTCCACACTCCTCTGCTTATGCTTCCTCTTCCCACATTGTGATTTACGAGCGGACGAATGCTATCTGCTGGCTCAAAGTCATCGTCCTCGTCCTCGCTCTGTACTGCGCTGCGACTACGCGGGTATGGCGATGTCGAGCGGCTCCCGATGTCTATAAGCGGGACCGCAGGCTGCAGCTCGGAGAGCGAGTTCTTGCTCGAATGGCTTAGCCGTGAGCTGTCCATTTGTGCGTACTGTTCTATGTCTGAATGATCCGTATCATCGAGCGAGCTTGCGCTGTTCTTGCGACGGGCCGCGTAACTGTTTGTTTTCTTGGGAAGGTCGCGCGCGACGTTGTTCAGGTAGGAGAAGGCGGGCCGGAAGATGTTGTTCGCCGTGCGAGTGAAGGGGCGCGAGGAATTCATGGCGTCCGCATGGCAGCGGAGAGGTGAGAAGTCATGGTCTGTGAGGCTGTGAAATAACTGTCGTTTGTCGCACCGGAAAGAGCAACCTAGGGTTGTGGCTGCAGGAGGTACGCGTGGCTTGGCGCCAGGGGTTCCGGCGATCTTCATCAACGGTTCTTAGACTACCACCAACAACCATCAGGACACGACAGCTGTAGATACTCGTTGAGCACATATCTTTTCCTTGACATTGCTGATCATGAACAAATAACGTGTAATCCGAGTAGATTCGCCCACGAAATAGCCACAATAGTTCCAAGATTCCTGGAGACCTCGAAAAACAACACATCCCAACGCGTATCACCTCCAGGCCTCCTGCTTCTTTTCGATCTTGTATCGATTGCTCTATGTGAGTATCCATTGGATGTGACGTGGGTGTGCGGTTGTAGATGAGCAACATATACTTCACCTACTGTCCAGGCACATGTAGAAGCAAAGGCCAGAAAACAAGCCCTGACCAGGGAAGGATGGCTATTGGGTCAGCGTAGATTATCATCACGGTCTCTCCTCGCTCACTAGGCCTGCCTTGTTCTTAGTTGTCTACACAGGCGTAGTACTTGTTCACCCAATGAAGTGGATCATATGTTACCCCTCACCATTGGTGAGCGTGTTTGTGTACGGTGTGCGTCTGAACTTGTGCATGAGATCAATGAATGCCATGCATCGGAGTTGAGCGGCGAAGACTGCGAGAGGGGATTAAACAATTGGTATCTGGGTCAATGTTCCTGTCTCGGCGCCAATTCGATGCACCACAAAAAGTTGTGCAAATGTGTGGTATCTGCTACGATATGCAATAGAACTGTTCCCAGTGTAGGACAGAGCAGGCTCTATTGCACTGTCACATATCTGCCCTGTATGCAATCATGCTGGCGTGACCAGAGTTCGTCCGGAACAATTGTTGTATGCGAATATCTCGAGGCGGGCCGCTGCGGGTGTTTGATGCACCGAGACCAGATCTTGGGGTGTCAATGTGGCGTGAGAGCGCAACAAAAAGCTTCACCACTCTCCCTTTCCTAATCACACACCCGCTTCTCGACGAGTATCAGGAAGATGTACATGTCGAAGACAAAGTGTACAAAAGGCTCGGAGATAAACAGATGGTCGCTAATCACGGCCGATTCTAAGCGCGGCAGTCAAAGCTCCTGGCCCCACTCGATTACTCTTCACCACCAGCGCGCCGGCAGCGGCGGACGAAAGCCGTAGATTTGTTGCTTTTCCGTCCTCTGTGCCTCTCCACGTGCTGAGCGTGCGCTAGTATTTGGACCGAAGCTTGTTGCATAAAGTAGTGCCCAGGCCGTTAGAGTGCAAGTCCGAAGCAATGAAACGAAACGCGTGTGGACCCTGGCTGCCAGTGGCCGCATGACATAGCCATAGCTCTTTTCTGTCGAGGCCTCACCTCCACTTCTCTCTAAATCGCTGAAAGCAATCAAGCTGCACGAAACCTCTGCTAAAGGCCAAGTGATCATTGCGGATACGAGGCACGCTGCCCGGAGTCTATTCACGCCACATGCGCCTAGAGCTGCCGTCAGCCCATCGCTGCAGTTAGGCGTTGCGCCGCGCAGCTTGAGCTATGGCGAAAGGACCAGCGGTTGTGTTTGTCGCGAGGTATGCTTTTTCGCTCCACTCCACGAACTTCTCCAATCAGCTCGTACTGACAGTGCTCTAGGCACGGCGCCCGTCTCGATGCTGCCGACAAGCAATGGCATCTTACCTCCCCTACCCCCTACGATCCTCCCCTCACATACGGTGGCTGGTCTCAAGGAAAGGCCCTCGGTCTGCGCATTGCCTCGCTGCTCCACCAGCGTGAGCTCGAAAAGGCCAAAGAGGCGAAGAACGGGTCGGAAGTTGGCGTAGCGCATCCAGGGACCAAAAGGCGGAAGCACAAGATCATCATACACTCGAGCCCGTTCCTGAGATGTACACAGACGAGTACGGCCGTTGCCGCAGGCATATCTCAATTCAAGCCACCGCGGGAAGAGCCTCCGACTACAGCCGTGAATCTGAACGTGCCGCAGCCCTCTGGTGAGAGGGAGAAGAGCCCTCTGGGAAAGGATATATCCACTTCCTCAGCCGTGCAGCCCGTCCGTGGTAGACAAGCAAATAAATCCGAGCCCGAATCACCGCCAAAATCCCGCAAGTCCGGATGGCTGCGATTGACCAACCCTGCAGTGAACTCCAAACCGTACATTGGACCGGAGAAGATACTGTTGCGCATTGATGCTTTCTTGGGCGAATGGCTATCTCCAGACTACTACGAAGACATTACACCGCCGCCAAATTCAACCATGATGGTCGCGGGCGCAAAAGCAGATTTACTAAGAAGAAGCGACTATATCGAAGCGCCGCCCAGCAAACCTAGCAGTGTAGGACATTTTCCTGGTGGATGGGTCAGGAGCAATGCGGGGGGTCTGCGACCAGCAGCCGCAACAACACACCGAACGGTGCTTTCCCTACCATGGGAAACTTAGCACAGGCGCTTCCCCAGCGCGAGCGATCGAACAGCCAAGGGAGCATGCTCAGCAGGCAGCGTTCTAGATCGCAAGAACCTCACGGCCCCGCCGAGCTATCGGTGACACACAAGCCGAACGGTCGCCTTTACGATGCTCCAATCCCGGCATATGCCGTTTCTCCAGCGGAGCCGATCCCTCGAGGATATGCTACCCACGCTCGAGATGCGTGTCTCAAAGTCGATTTTCAGTGGGACAGTATGAGGGAGCCACAGCAATGGGGCGACGGTGGCGACTTCGGCGATGAGTGGAGCACCATGCACAAGCGCTTCCGCAGGGGGCTCGCTGGCATGATGCAGTGGTACAGGGAGCATGGCACGAAAACACTACCGCCCCAGAACATGTTCCCTGGCTTCACGTTCACCGAACGCACCACTTCTGCGCCGAAAAAGGCGACACCTGCCCCCTTACCAACGAAAGAGAAGGAAAAAGAAGACGAAGAAGAGGACGAAGAGCTCGTGCTTGTGCTGATAACACATGGCGCGGGTTGCAATGCACTGCTCGGAGCGATCACCAACCAGCCGGTGCTCATGGACATTAGTCTGGCGGCGCTGTCTATGGCCGTACGGAGGGACACGCCGCGACCAACATCATCTTCTACCGTCTACGCCCGCATATCATCAGTCGTGGACCCAGGCATGGCAGACACGTACGAGATGAAGATCCTCGCCTCCGTCGACCACCTCCGTCCTGGCGTCGACCCATCGAAACCCCCACAACCCCAAAAGCCTGCCGCAGTCGCCAGCCCAACCATCGGCCTCGACTACCGCCCGCCGCGCCGTGTGGGCGCAAGCGGAACCAACACCCCCACCAGCCAGATTGACTCGCCGCTCACCCTGGGCCCTTCCGCACGCTTGGGCTGGAACAGCTCCCCTCGGCAGCATCCGACGCACGTCCAACTACGGCTCGGGCTCGGACTTTGCGTCGACTACTGCAAGCGGCTCTTCGTCCCCGAGCGCGAGTGGCGGCTCAGGCCTCTGGGGCGGCAGCCTACGCTCGACCTCCATCAACGATACCCCGGTCGACGGCCGCGCGAGCCCTGGTGCCGAAATGGTCGAGGCCTTCCGGAACTCGCAACCTACATCGGAGTCGACTCAAGAGCCTGCGCCCACTTCTGATATTCCTGCCGTAGATGGCGCGGCATCGCCGAAAATGCCGGCAGTGAACGGCAACGAGGACGCCGAGAAGCACGACGATGTGGCGCCGCTGAGTAATCCTAAGCGGGCACCAAATGCACCCAAGAAAGCCGGTGGAGGTGGCGGTGGAGGAGGACTCTGGGGCGCGCCGAAACAGCAGGAGAGTACGAATGGGCTCTGGAAGAACAGTTCTGTGCTTTGGGGGCCGCCGAAGCTGGATGAGGTGTATGAGCATGTGGCAGGGCCAAAGAGGAGGTGGACGATGACGGAGCGGGAGTAGATCCACCATCACAAAAAGGGTTCTGCATCTCCTTGGGCGATACGACAGACGGAGCGGTCCAAGGATTTTCGACGAGCTTGTAGCGATGCACATCATATTACTTTGACGAAGGACGAAAACGGGGAGTTTAATATTTCAGCATTTCTACGGTGTTGCCATGGGTATGGAGGGCAGGGCGGTCTGGCGCTGATGTTTCTATCTCTTTTCTTCGAAAAGCTTATGATACCACTGAAAGCCAACTGTATTTGATTTCCCCCACTCCCTTGCTTGTAGGAACAAGTTTAGGAGATGCTGATGCACATCACCATTATTAACTCCACTATGATGAGGTGAGGATCGTGTGGGCGAGTGAATCTCTGCTTTGCACGCGCGTAACCATGAATGTCTATTTCTTTCTTCCCATCAAAGGGCGGCGAAATTGATATTTAGTCCGAGATAATGTACAAGCATTGAGTTCGACTGGCGGGTTCTGATGCCCAGACAGACTGGACGCGTCCCACATAGGCATAGCTCTTGTAGTTTGTTTCCAGAAGCGGAGGTGTACCTAGGTAGTTAAAGAGTCACGTGCTCGCGGTGCTCCCGAGGTCAATCTTAGGAGAGCGCAAGCACGTCCATTCATTTCGATGCATGGCAATTCACAGTGCGCGTTGTGCCATATCTTGTGTGAGCAGTCTTCACTCCGCAAAGAATGCATCTTCGTGCAGGGATGGGAACATACACGTTCCATGCTGATAGACTTCGATTTTGACCGTCAGCACGACATGACACGTGCGCGAAATGCCGGATTCACAGCATCTGTCGATTTGGTGGAAGCTTGTGGAATTCGCTCTAATGTAAAACTACTATATATATCAGTCCGCGGAGTTCTCTAGAAACAATTCCTAGTTTGCCTGACGTAGTCACTGATCGCTTTCCATTGCTTCATAGCTCGTTCGAACTCACACGGGTCTGAGACGGGAGCGTTGTCTGCGATGCCAAAGAACTGAAGATATATAGATCGCCACTTTTCTTCCGCAGAAGACTTTTGTCCCGTCATGTTGAGGCTTGTAAATCGAGAATCCTGTTGCTTATCCATCCACTCTGGTTCATCGAGCCTCAATTCTCTTGGTTGACAGTCACCGATGCGTGTGTGGATTTGCTGTGTGTACGCTCTGCATCATTTTTGTTCCCGCTAAAATTCTGCTTGCACGTAGAAGCAACATGGAACTCCTAAAGAGTGAGATTTCTTCACGTGTTCACTTGTATCCGTCAGTTTTCGAGCTCACACATATCCACCTGAGCAAGACTTACGCTACTCTTCCAGGATTAGGGAATCCAAAACGCTCTGTACAGGAATTTGCTACGTATTCGTAGCGTACAGGATTTCTCTTGACAAAAGGACACGATAGCATTTTATTGAGGGTTGGACCTGATCAGGCACGAAGATTGATTGCGTTGTCGCTTTCGCTTTCCTGCCTCGAAGCCTGTGACGATTCCTCACCATACGTTCGCTTACGTCGTCGTTTGGGTGGGTCACCAGAAATATTGGTGGTGACATGGTGGCTCGTGGAATGCCCTGCAGTACTCTAATGACTTGTTGGATGTCGTCTTTGTCCAGATGCATTGCCAGCGGTCATCATGACATCGATTTTAAGAAACACTTCCTCGAACCTCTTTTGTCGATCACCATCTGGATCAACGCCCATCTTCTCTACCCATGTTGTAATCTGATCCAGGTCAATGTCCTCTTCACGATTGACATCCTGGTTCTGCAGCCGCTGAAATACTGGAATTCCAGCAAACGTACCTGTGCTTGGGTGCCTTTGTAATTGACTATTTTGAGTAGCATCGGTGAACTTGGATTGTGTCGGTGACCCCACATACTCTATCGACGACTCTCTAGTTGTCAAATCAGGGGTTAAGCATACGCCCACTGTGAGTTCTTCCATTGCTAAGTCGATTGGAAGATGATCGAACAGAAATAGTCGACCTGTCACGAATCAATCACATCCTACCCCTTCGAAGTCGCTATGGTTTCTTTCGGCCGAGCTTACCATCGCCTTTCATCACCCATATCTTCTTCGAACTTGCGGACCCTTCAGACTCAAATACCAAGAGGTACTTTCAGCTTCTCCAGCGAAGAAGGCGATCGTGATCAACTGTGAAACCAATAAAACGGCTGTCGTATGGTTGCTGTGCCTTGCGTTAATTGCTTCGGTCATCGTTGGGATGATATTTGGATTGAACCTGAAGCGCGCTGAGCTGGGAACAGCCATGAGTGCTGGTCTCTTTACTATGTTGTCTATACTAGAGATGCTCGCTATCTGGTTCTGTGCTTGAAAGCAAGTATTAGTAATGCCACAGCGTGTGTATTCCACTCTTTGCTGAGATTAGCTGAGATAGTGTGCGCTATAGGCATAAATTCTGTTCAAATAACTTGTCTATCCGATTTCCGTATCAATTAGCCAAGTCTAAGGTTTTCGAGAAAGGTCCCACCTTACTCAAGCGGCGAAACGCACATGACTTCGGTTTGTATTGCCTTGACCGCTTGTGAGCCCTTTTAGTTGTGCCTCTCCAGTGTCTTCATTATGGCGTGTAATTTGCGGATGTAGTGTTGTAGTGAAGCTTCATGGAGGTGGCGAGTGACTTGCCAGATCGCTCCCTGCATACGTTCTTGATGCACCTGCCAACATTCTTGCTTTCGACAGAGTCCAAGTCTGCTCGAGACAGATCATAAGCATAATGGACCTGCCACACGGAGAAAACACATCGCAATCGCGGTTGTGAAACCCATGAGCGCCATCTCTTCGACGTCCAGGTGGGACACCCTCGCCGTTACGCTCACCGCACCGCAGAGAGAGTGCCTTCCATTCACCTGAGATCTAAACGCGAATCAACGCGTCTGACCAGCATCAAAACAAACCGCGCCTTCCTCACGTGGTCTCCCGGAGCAACGAAGTGTATAAAGGTTTCCACTACCGCCCATTCCACCACGTCGTCGCGACGAAACAATTTCCAACCCGCTTAAACTTTTGACACACACAAACCGCACTTCACAAAGCATTAGAGCAACATTTCAGCTCAACTAATTTGTCGCGACCAGAAGCAGTTCACCTGCCGACAACAACATCGTCGCAGCAGCCGTCAACTCGCGACGGTCATATCCCTCCGCGACAGAGGCCTCAGACCTACTGAAGTCGTTGTGGCTTCATACAATATGCCTCCCAAACGCAAAGCCTCCGAGCAACCTTCCGGTGCCTACACCGACGTCAAGAAGCCGCGAGTCACCACCATAGGCGCCATCTCTTCGCTCGTTCCTGTGGGTGAGCGCAAGATGGCCAAGAAGGGTGTATCCGAACCAGAACTGTTGCGCATGCTCTGTGAAGACCGAGACAAAAACAACGAGCGCAAGGAGTTGCACTTTAAGAAGATTATCCACTCCGAGATCGACTGGGACAACAAGCTCCACATTGACAAGATCAACGCCTGGCGCAACCAGATTTACGGCCGGGCAGGCATCAAGAACAAGACGGTACTGATGTGGCACAAGGATGAGGAAGCCTGGCTCGAGCTGTACTGGCAACTCCTAGTTGTCGAGGCGAACAAGCGCGGTATCGAAATGCCGAAGCCAAAGACCATCCGCGAAAACTTCAACGTGTTCTTCAACGGCAAGGTGTTTCACTCCGCCGGTGCGGGAGAGCTTGAGCCGCGCGTGGATCGCGGAAGCGGTCCGTTCACGTCGAAGATGGGCAGATTGATCAAGTCACTGAGGCCGTACTTAGAGGAGAAACTACGTGGCAAGAAAGGTAGCACGTTCGTTCCCAAGATCAACCAAGAGATGCTAGAGGAGTACCAGAAGCTCAAGGCTGACCTGACTGAGCTTGGCTGCGATGACAATAAGATTGTGCCTTGGGAGGAACTCGAGGACGAAGCCAACGACAAGGACTACGTTACCCGCTGTCGCGAGTATATCGAGAGCTTGCCCGACCAGGACGACGTAAACATGGACGATGAGGAAGAGGCAGAGGACGCGACGCTCGTGGCATCTGAAGAACTCGATAGGGAATTGCTGGAGCTGGCTTCCGAGCCTGCAGCAGCGAAGACAGAGCCCATGGATACCGACGAAGAGCCTTCCTCGTTCAAGGTCGCCGCAGACAGAAAGCCCTCCTGGGTCACGCTCGCGACGGGCTCCGATAGTTCGTCTCGCGAAGCTTCTCCGCCGAATATTGTGCGAAACAAGTGTGTGTCCACCGAAGGTACGCGCATGTCCTCCGCCTCCTTGCCAGAGAAAGCCCACTAAAACCAGCGTAGACGTCGTGTCCCCACGTAAGAAGCGTGCTGATTCAGTGGCTTCCACCGATGCCGCAGCCGAGGAGGATTCCACCGAAACCACGCTTGTCGGCAAGGGTGTTATCTCAGACGAGGTCAAAGGTCAGTGATACGACCAACAGGGCGCCAGACCGTTCACTGCTAATGCTCTTGCAGATCATTTTGTTATCGGAAGCGAGGATAGAGTCGTCCAGGAGAAAGCCGGCTCCGCCGCCGAGAACGAAGGTAAGACGGACACACTCGTTACTACCAAGAGCAGAGCTGACGAGTTGCCAAAGCCGCTGCCACCTTGTTGTCCCTATGCGGTTCTTGAATAGTCTCCGCTGATCCGCCCTCCTCCGGCCGGCACCTACATCTCTTCTATGCCAACTCATGCGAGCGAAATTAATGTGTGCTCGTTGCATTTTAGCACACTTTTTGCATATTCCCTGCTTGTTCGTACGATTCCGGTGCGACGATTGGTGGCTTGGATGATTTTGCATGCAATCAAGGTCTGCGAAGCGCATTCAGTATACGTGCGGTGCCCACCACTGCTGGGGATAGGATATGTGAGCATATGAACAGAACTTCAACTGAATGCTGATGCATCGTTTCTGGACGTCTGACGCGTGTGCGTTTGATCATGAGGTGGTTATGGAATGTCCATAGAGTCACACCAAGAGAGGCCTCATGAAAGCACATACTCCTTACACTAATTTTTTTATTGAACGAATGTCATCTCTTGAAATGCGGGATATAGAAAATTCACGTTGTGCATGTTGTTGTTTGTCCTGACGCCTTTTCCACATATTGGCAGCAAGACATGTGGAAAACCCACGAAGCGAAAAGGTCATAGAGAAATAGAAGCTCAAATAAAGTGGATTGGTCTGATGATGACGAGAATGCAACATGTGCGATATGGTGCGGATGAGATAGAGATGCAGGAGTTGAGGGAGGCATAAGGGTCTGAGCACGTTGGTGGTGCTTAAAGAAATTTACGGTAGGCGCGACGGACCAACCCCGCAGCTCCCCACAAGCAAACTTCACTTTTGGCGCTTGACCAGAACACCACGAAATTGCACATCTCGCATTGCAACACGTTCGAAACACCGGGTTTTGAAACCGCCGTTATCAGAGCATCAAGGCATCAAGACTATGTCGGACACGGATTCAGACACCGCAAGCTCCGTGGGCGAGATTCTCGAGGACGTTAGCGAAGCGGATACCACTACATTCAAATGCCTGTTCTGTGACGAGCAATGGGGTCGTGTCCCGGACATGTTCGTACATTGCAATAAAGAGCACGGGTTCGACGTCGAAAGCACCATCACGAAGCTCGGACAAGGTCAGTGGGACCATTACACATTTTTTCCTGATTCGTATACTGATCACGTGCCCAGACATTGATGAATTGACCATCATCAAGCTCGTTAATTACCTCCGCCTAGAGTCGCAAAAGAGCATAGAGCCCAAGAACATCAAGGTAGACACGGAGACACTAGCTGACGACAAGTACCTGCAACCCACTCTACTGGACGATGCTCTACTTTTCGAACTAGGAGACTTCATGCCTGATCCGGATTCGAAGGCTGTCGATTACGATGAGTACGAGGCTGCCCTGCAGAAGAATATCGGAGAGAACGTCGAGAAGATTAGTCTGGATAACGACCGCGATACCGACTACTTCGAATCGTATAAGGGCAATGCGATTCATCGTGAGATGATTGAAGATCGGGTACGAACAGAAGGATATCGAGACTTCATTGAGAAGAACGCGGAACTCTTCAAGGGAAAGACAGTGCTAGATGTTGGTTGTGGCACAGGCATTCTTTCGTTGTTTTGTGCACGAGTGGGAGCGAAGCGGGTTTTAGCTGTCGACAACTCCGATATCGCCAACCGAGCACGGGAAAATATCGCTCGGAACGGATACCAAGACAAGATTGAAGTGATACAGGGCCGAGTAGAGGACTTCCACATGCAGAGAAAAATTGGCAAAGAGAAGGTTGATATCATCATCTCTGAATGGATGGGATACGGACTACTGTTCGAAGGCATGCTGGACTCGGTTTTGCGAGCGCGAGATCTGTACCTAAAGGAAGACGGCTTGATGGTGCCGTCGCACTGCACGATGAGGATAGCACCCATCTCGGACAAGGAATGGATAGCAGATGCGAGCGGTGAGAAGTTCTGGAAAGACGTGTACGGCTTCGACTTTACATCTATGATTCCGGGGGGCATCCTCAACGAGCGCGAGATCGGTGTATTCGATGTTCCCAGCAAGTCGATATCGGGTGAACCCTCCACCTTCTACCAGCTCGACCTGAAGAACATCCAGATACGCGATCTCGACTTCACAGCACCATTTTCCTCGAAGCTATGCTCTGATAGCGCTTCAATTGATGCATTCGCGATATGGTTTGATACGTTTTTCTTGCCGAGCGAGAAGTCGCAAGACGCAACCGCGATAGACGTAGCTCAATGGGGAGATCATGGCGAGGCTGGCCTCGGGTTCTCCACGGGCCCTTACTCGATTTACACCCATTGGCACCAAGCTGTACTTCTCTTGAGCGACAAAGACCGGAAAAAGGAGGTAAATGGAGGCAGCATATTGAAGGGTAAGGTGACATACAAGAAGCCAAGGAAGGACGATCGGGGAATCGACGTTACGGTCGAATGGGAGGCCGAGAGCACACAGGGTCCAGTAGCTGGACACATCAAGCGCAGTATGGGGGCTTGATGTGGAGATGGATGAAGCGATCCATTGCAGGCCAAGAGCAATTCTTTTCGTTCACAATCTTACGTCTATTGATGTGCTTCTACCACCATGTTCCGGAAACCATAGGATTTTTAGATGAGAAGGTTAAAAGCTACTGAAGGCCTCATAATTGCCGCCATACCCACAGCTAGATGTGGAAATCCCTAAACGCAACTGTACATTTCATGTGTAATGGGGGATCATTACCCGAGAACACGATTTGGGGGAGGACGGGGCGCTATTGACGGGAGCTCTGACGACACCACGTGGGGCCGTGCGCGTGAGCGACTGCATGGTACCCTGGTTCACAACGTCCAATGTTCCGATACAATGCTTCAGGCTGCCCCGACACGCAATTACTCGAACACCTCTGCGCTGTGGATTCGCTCCCTGCAATAGTCCCTTCCTGACGATGTGCAATCGGTAGAAACGTTCCAACCGCGACTTCCCATGCGCGACATCCTCCCCGGGCGGCCGCAGGCAAAGCTGCAAGCTGCCACACACGGACTATGGGAGGACCAACAAATTATCGTACGTCACTACTTACAACACTCACGTATGCTAAAATAAACGACTAATTACGATCGCTGCAGGCCTACATCTCTGGCAACGCGTTGATAATCCTTGATTCGCCGAACCACGTCCTCCAAACCACCTATATCGATGAGGAGACAGAGCTCGAAGCTGTCTGCCTTGATGAGAACACAGGCAAGGTCGCAGCTTGTTCGACCCGAAATATATACATCTACCAGCCTTACGGGCAAGATGAGGGCGCAATCAAGGTGGGGTGAAGCTACCACAGGCTCAGGAGACACGCTGACAGGCGCAGTGGTCGCTCCAGGGCAGCATGTCACTGCCCGACGCCGACGATTCGATAACCACACTGTCATGGGGCATGCCCAACGAACTACTCGCTGGCAGCGCATCCCTCACGTTGTTCACTACCCACGGCGCAACGGAGCAGATATGGACAAAGCAACTGGCGAATCCGGTCAAATTCGCGCACTTCTCACCAGACGCGGAAATGATTGCGTCGACGGGAAGATATGACAGGCTCCTCAAAGTATGGCGGCGCATCTCGTTTGGTTCGGCGGACCAGCGTTTCGACTACTTCTATCTCCCGCATCCGATGGTTATCACTGGCATACACTGGCGCAGACCATTCCACAAAGACCAGACGACGGACAACGTTCTTTACACTATATGTGCCGACTACAAGGTGCGGATATGGACCAGCGACCATCATGGCATAGACGGACTGGGGCTATGGAACGAGGTAGATTTAATGGGATCGATCCAACCGCGGTCACTCGACCAGCAATCAGAGAAGAGATATGCTTTCTTTATCGACGGTCGAGAGTTCACACATGCGACAGAGAGAGCCGTGGAGCAGGCTACGAGTGCGGAGAAGGACCAAGTGGCACTACATCATCTTGTTGAGATCGCCAATCGCAACCCAGAAATATGCGTGGTTTTGGACGACCGTGGCAACATGTCCGCGTGGGGTTTCGAGAACGTTGGCTCGAAGGTGAAGAAAGTGACTGATGTGTTCAACCTTGCTCATGTCGAGGGGTTACACCTACACTTTGCAAGTGGCGCTAGCGGCCTGCAGGATAATGTTCAATTCTACGCTTTCTGCCCTAACAAACCGAATTCGGTGTTCACTATACTCTCACATCACTTTGATGGACGTTTGGAATGGCTGCAATCCCGGATGGATCACTTCTTTGATCCCTCTCCTTCCCAGCAAAATCGGATCGATCGTAAAGCTACCTGGACCGGCCATTCACATGCAATCAAAAAGGTCAACCGTACGGCTAGCGGCCGAGCACTGGTTTCGCGAACTGTAACGGATGAATGCATTGTCTGGGTGCAGCGACCGGCCGAGATTGGCATGACACTTCATCGGCATAGCACTGTGAGCGTCACGGAGCACATCCACCGAACAGCGCTACTCCAAGACGGTAATTTCCTTGTCTTCTTACACCACGAACACATCGCCTTGTGGGATACACGGGGGCCTATGGCTGTTGAAGTCAATCGGGTCGAGTACAAGCTGCAAGGAAAACCACTTTGTTTGATAGTCGTACCAGAGACGCAACCCGGTGGCCATCTGGTGCACATCGCTACGATAAGCTCGGAGATGAATAGCATTTGCTGGGAGGTGCGACTCCCACTGCTGAACAGAGATCCAATCACGAACCGCAAATATTCGTTCTACGGATCATACACAAACGGATATACAAATGGACACCGCGAGATCGGTATCGAAGAATACTCTACATTTGATCTTGGATCTGGGGACGATCTTGCCTTCGTGCTGCCCGTCGATCCTGCCGGTTCCGCACCAGTCATTTCCGGCTTCCTCGATACCTTTGCTCGCGATATCGCCATTTCGTATACCAAGTCGGGCGTCATCAGGTCTTGGACAGCGAGGGTGAATCAGGACAAGGGCAAACTCGAATGGCTCGAAACATCGACTGTCGATACCAGTATCGCAAATCCTTCGCTTGCAAGCGGTACATCGATACGTAAAGCGGCACTCGTGGATGCAGAGCAAACCACGCTCACGATCTGGAACACACGAAGCGCGCAGCTGGAATACCAAGAGACATTTGAAGGTAACGGCATCATTCAGGATCTCGATTGGTCTTCCACTCCAGACAATCAGTCTATCCTTGCTGTTGGCTTTCCCCACCGCGTAGTCATCTACGCGCAATTGAGGTATGATTATCTGAACGCCGGTCCTTCATGGGTGCAAATTCGTGATGTACGCATACGAGACATCACACCCCATCCCATTGGAGACTCGGTCTGGCTGGGCAGCGGAAACCTCGTCATTGGCGCTGGCAACCAGCTCTTCATCCAAGATGAGCACGTCCAGGTGTCGGAGGGCTTGTTCCCTAGTCTTCGCATGATCTCGCGCCAGAAGGCCTCTATCGATATCTTTACGGCTGTTAGCAGGCTTAATGGACCTCTTCCAATTTATCATCCGCAACTGCTGTCACAATGCGTTCTGGCAGGGAAGTTGCTACTCGTTCAACGCATATTGATCCGGCTGTTTCAAAAGTTGAAATTTTGGACCGAAGGAGAGGAGCTTGAGAGCTCGTTAGGCTTCTTGCCGGAAGACTTTTCGGAAGACGCCGAGGTAAGTTGTTAAGTGGTCAGCTTCGAAGAGGCGCTGACAGCACATAGACACAGATGACGACGTCACGGCGGGACATACATTCATCGTACGCCGACTTCTCGGATGACGGCGAACCACAGGCAGTGACTGAAGAGGTCGCCGTCCAGCTCAATGAACTCCTTCAAACGAAACAGATACCACTTCTCTCAAGCCGAGAGCAATTCCATCTAGCGGACATCACCGAATGCGTGGGCATGGTCGAAAAGCATCGTCGCTCAATCGACGATAATGCTGGCCGCTTCCTTCTCTTCTTCCGCGCACACGCTCTGAGCGATGCGCAAGCGCCAATCTCGTGGCGGGAGATTATATGGGCATTCCACTCCCAGAGTCAAGACATCTTGGTAGATTTGGTTTCTCGGCATTTCAACGGCAAGATGCTTTGGCAGCATGCAAAAGAGAGCGGAGTGTTCATGTGGATGTCTGACATTACGGCATTAGTACGTCTCTCCGTGTTTCTTCAGCGGTATAAAAAGCTAATAATTTGAAACAGCGTGCTCAATTCGAAGTCATCGCTCGTAACGAGTACACGAAGACCGAGGACAAGAACCCAGTGGACTGCGCACTTTACTACCTAGCGCTCAAAAAGAAGCCCGTCCTCCTCGGCCTGTGGCGCATGGCAACGTGGAGCAGAGAGCAACCCGCCACCCACCGCCTTCTCTCCAACAACTTCAACGAAGAGCGCTGGAAAACCGCCGCCTTGAAAAATGCCTACGCCCTGATGGGCAGGCGCCGCTTCGAATACGCAGCTTCGTTCTTCCTACTCGCAGACCATCTCCAGGATGCCATGAATGTCTTGCACAACCAGCTTGGCGACACACAGCTAGCCATTGCCATAGGTCGCGTCTACGGTGGCGACGACTCTCCCATTCTGCTAAACTTCCTCCGCGACAAGATCCTCCCGCAAGCCGCCCGTGATGGCAATCGCTGGCTAGCTACCTGGGCATTCTGGCTACTAAATAGGCGCGACAACGCCGTCCGATGCCTAGTTACACCGCTCTCGACACTCCTCAGCCCGCCCGAAACACCAAATTTCAAGAGCAAGAGCTACCTCACCGACGACCCTGCACTTGTCGTCTTGTACAAGCAGCTCCGCGAGAAGAGTCTGCAGACACTCCGAGGCGCATCTATGGTCGGTTTGAGAGAAGAGTGGGAGTTTGTCCTACACACGGCAGGCTTATATGAGCGCATGGGCTGCGATCTCCTCGCTCTAGATCTTGGTAATGGTCCCCCAAACCCTGCTTCATCTCTTCATGCACGCTAACCCAATGGCAACAGTCAAAACATGGGAATTTCTCGCACCCCCACCCGCATCACTCAAACTCGCCAACCGCCCGCCTCTCAGCCCTGCCATCCCGCATATGTCTTTCCACGCGCGCAGCGCGAATCAATCGGCCACGGACTTTGACTTTGATCCGAGGAAGTTGCTGAGAAGGAGGAGCTCGCTTGTTGTGGCGGATTTGCCGGCAAGGGAACATGTAGCCAATGTGCTGGCAGAAAGCAAGGGAAGTATTGTTGAGGTGGGGGATGAAAGTGAGGAAGAAGATAAAGATGGTAAGGGTAACAAAGAGGATCAGAAGGTGGAGGAGAAGGAGGAGAAGAAGAAGCCGCCGCCGACGCAGTTCCAGGAACCAGATGCTAGTAGTTTATTGGACTCTTTTGGATTTTAATGGAAGGGGATGGTGCATGTATGTATAGCTAAGAGTATGTGCGGGTACGTGCATAGCGTGGTGTTGTTGGCGTTGCAGAGTTACTGCGGCTGAATGTATAGTGTTCACGATAGTGATGGCCTGGCTATTGAAAGCTGTTGCAGTGAATTACATGACTAGTTTGAAGGCTAGGGCGGTTGTTATAATCTAACCTAGACACAGTGCTGTCACATACTTCGCTATCTTGCTTCTCTTAGAGCGTGTATGCACGTTAATAGTCGCCGATGTCTTGTGCGAGATAAAAGAGTGTATTTAAATTTCTATTTATGAACCAGACCGCGAAGCCAGAACCTACGCGATGGAGTTGAATCCATTGCTTCCAAAGGCAGTCCTTATGGGATAGAGTTGAGTCTATTGTGATTGAACGCAGTCAGAACGCAATAGCAGGATAGGAAAGCAAAAAGTGAATCTGGTCAGTGTTCGCAATCCTCCAAGCAGCGGGATCCAACACGTCGATACCCTCCCCACAAGAAAGGACATCAATTACCTGTCTAAAGGGAAACAGTTAGGACACGTTCATAAAGAGCATCGTATATGCACCCGGCGGCGCAGCAGTTCGTCACAAGCCACCACGCGGCCGAGTGTATGCATGCTCGGAGATCCGACTCGTGTGGAGGCCCCCAGGATCCGCCCTGAGAGAGCACGAAAGGTCTCTTTGAGGAGCCAGGCGAGTTCGGATTAGATCTTCAGGCTTCGGGGTCAAGCCGAAGATGTAATACGAAATCCCGACTGGCTCGCTCAAAGAGACCTTTCGTGCCCTCTCAGGGGGGTTCCTGGGGGCGTCCACACCCCGTATCTAGAAGTAGCATATTAGTTAATAGTGATAATCCACTCAAGTGCTGATAAGGGTATTTTGACATTACCACTTGCTGGTTCAGGCCGATGTGGGCCATGACGTGCCTGACGGCTGCGTCCCCTCCATCCTCGTAGACAGCACCAAGAATTGCCTCCATGGCGGTGGCCATCATCACCGTTCCTGGCATACCCTCGTGTCCTGGTGCTGCAATGATCGTGACAGCTAAGCCGAGCAAGTTGCCCAGACTTGCTAGAGATCCATTGCTGAGTGTGTCCTGGCGGATAAGTGTCCAGGCGGAAAGCGTCCGGGGATTTCCTGTAAAATCGTTGGTAAAGACGACGGAGCGTACGAACCACCAGTGCGCGAACTTACCATTCTGGTCACGGTCGTTGAACCATACTTCGCAGAGTACCTGCGTCGCTACTGCGTCGCCCAGCACAGCGAGACGCTTGTTCGCGCCGACCTGGTGGGCTTGACCATTAATCATGAGAAGACTTTGCGGGGCTGCCATTTGAAGAGACTCAGCGCAAAGCAACTTGTTTGCGAATGCATAATCAAGGATGCGCTCCACTTCAGCGAGTTTGTGATCTGCATTCATCATGTAATATAACGGCGTTTTCTTGAAAGGGGAAATCTGAATCTCTTTAATGGATGTGAGAAGATATTGTTGAGTAAAAGGGGGGAAATGGCAGACTCTTACGGTTTTGAGATACAAAGGCGGGGTTCATTCAGTCTGACGTAGCGCCGTTGCATAGCAAAGCAATCAATCCGCCGAGAATCCAATAAGTGGTAGTGAACGTGGACCAATGACGCGTGATATGGGAACAATGTTGTTCTTGAGCCATCGCATTCGTTCCATACATGCGAATGGCAGAGAGCCAACCCTGCAAAATATAACGATTAAATGAACAGCATGTCAGAGGTTCAACCGACCTTGAGAAGAACGTCTCATCTCGAGACTATGGAAGCTTCAGCACACCCTAGGATAATTCTTCGCCTCTGGTGCCAAAATACTACAGCCATAGTGGTAGGCGCATCATTGCCACGCCTGCATCTATGTTGTTGATGCGCCATTTACTCCTCGCAGCTTTGGAAGACACAGCTTTTTGTTACACACTGGAAAACTAATTGGAAAGATATGTTTCCGCTCTTCGCTTGGGGGAAAACAATGATCACCCAGACCAAATATCTCAATGTGGTGACCTTGGCCCCGAAACATTCTTAGCGCCCGTCTCGTATACGGCCGGCTAGCTTAGCTGCCGCAAGGTGTAAACTCAATTCCGACCGCAACCTCATGCGTACACACTGCGATGTTGGGTGGTGTAGAATGTTGGGTACCGAAGTGCGTGCGAGACCATGCGTGCGAGACCATGCAGGCGCTTGGCAGGGTGAGGGAGGCCGACGTCACGGTCACAGAGTGTCGCATACGCAAGTGCATTAGTTGGAGGACAAGATACGTAGAAGATGGGGATGCAAGGTGCCTTGCACAGATTTTCATGGAATTGCACGGGGTATTCTTTGAACTTTCTGCTTGTGCGTATCGCCTTCTGCCTTTGCTGCCAAACGCCAATTCGCGATTGCCCCCTCCAGAGATACAACAACGCCGGATATGGAAAGAGAGAGCAATCACCCCCAGATTCTCCCTTCGGCGAACGGCAGTCCAGCCGATCGATTATACCTTGGCGTCAATAAATTCCATCGCTCATTGCCCGCAGCTTGAAACTCCAGCCCCTTCGCATACAACTTTACCGCCTCGCTATCGCACTGCTTCGTTACCTCCTCTAGAAGCACAAAGTGCTGGTGTTCAAGCTCCCTTGACGTCTCCCACATGACGCGCATAGCGCTATGCTCGTTGAGGCCACACGCAGTCATTACGATGGGGACCGCCGAGCATAGCTGTCCAAGCGCGAAGCCCTTGCCTGCGGCGAGGACTTCCTTTTCGTAGGATGCGATGTCGTTAACAAGTGTGACGTGGCGCATGACGTTCATTTCGAGGGGTTGCACGAGGGCAAGCTCGGCGGGCTTCATGTGAAGGCCCATAGAGAAGCACATGACGCCTGACATGAAGCTGTGGAACGCAAGTCAGCATCTTCAAAGCAGAGCTGAAAGGCATGGTGGCTTACCCTTTGCCGAGATCCGCATGTCGATATTCAAAGTAATCCTTCAAGCTTTTCGGTTTCGACCGGTCTGCATCCGTCTGCGCCTCGAAGAAGTCAATTGTGTACCCAAGCAGCATATCCGCAAGTGCCTTGTCGATGGCTCGGAACTCCTCAAAAAGGTCGTACATGATCCACTGCGCGGGCTTCTCGCGGTCGGGAAGTCGTTCGCCACGGGAGCACGCGATGACGACGGTGTTGTGCGCCTTTCCCTCTTCTACGGACATGCGATCCAGCATGTCGTCGATCAGGAAGCCGGTCGTTAGAAACTTACACACGCCGACCATGCGGTCGTCTAGGCCCATGGGGCACAAAATGCAATTGAACCATGCGTAGCCCTCATCACAGAAGCGCTTTCTGTGCTTGTCGGACGGGAATGGCCAGTGCTTCAGGAAGAAAGCGTGGCATTCTTCGACGATTTGCCTGGTGTTTGGGTGTAATTTGGCTTCTAAGATGGTGGGTCGTATGTCCCGAGGCAGGTACGGGAGATCTGTTGGCGCGGGTGGTGGTATCGTGGAGCCGTCTGTGCTGGTGAGGACAGGCCCATCTGTGACTTCTGCGACGGGAACGGGCTGTCCCGTGGGAAGGATGTCCCGAAAACGGCGGACTAGCTGTGAATATAAGGGGGTTTCTAACAAAGGCATGGCTGAAGGTGTGAAAGCTTATGTGGATGCTCAGAGTCAGAGGAGCGGATATTCAACTGGTGGGACCGCGGGAGAAGGATTGCTAGGGAAGCGGTCAGGAACAACCTCGTTATATGACACGTTCAGAGGAAGAGTTGAGGATTGGACTTGCGCAGGAGCAGAGATCTCCCTCCCATGACCATACTTGTACATGGTACATGGGATCAAAGCGCTCTTGAGAACGCGCGATGTCCCTTTGTGGAGAAGTCTACGAGGGTGGGGATGCGGCGTGGGCATTCGCCCAGAGATCTTGATAGTAGTTCCCCCTGTACCTGTTCCAGTGCAAAGTCTGTGCAGACAGCCAGCAACAGAAGCTGGCACATTTCCATCATCCCGCGTCAAGCTACCGACATCAGGCGATACTTGCTACGGAGGTACTGCCATCGAGGGAACATTTCTGGTCGACGGAAATTGGAGCGATTTCGCAGCATTGTCAGTCCAGACCAGTTTCAATCGCCTAACTGCCAGACGAGGCGGCGTAGGAGAAAATTGGATCCTACGTACAGAGTAGACGCCGACGTGCGGCACCTGGGTTAGGCGCGCGGATCCTAACGGGCCGCACTTTACCATTCATTCCTCTCATTGGCGTGAAGGAAAGCTTGGACGATACTTGGCACAGCAAGATACGAGACAACTGGGAAGTCCCACTCTCGGTCAAATTCTTGTTCTTCTGATATCCTCTCTTGACCACTATCTCAGGCGTAGATTGTATTCGCAGTGATCGCCACAATGTCGCGACCCATATTTATCGAAATGCTAGTCATCTACCCTGCTCTTTAGGAAGAGTTTAAAGTGGAGTGACCATGAAGATGGCGTCTTCCCGTCTGAGCTCCACCGGCTCCCGCGGCTCGTATGGTCGTCTCATGCTCCGTGAACACAATGGCGTGAGGCATACAAACTGCGACAACGTCAGGATACGAGGGTACTGTCAAATAGGGTTGATGGTATCTGTCACTATGCGTGGAGAAAGCGTCCACCTGCGCGAAACGCGCTTCTTCCGGCGGATACCACGCGTGTGACACGTGTATCAGGGTAACAAGATCCTTGATAAACTACACAGTAACTCGTATGGCGCGTTTGATGTCGGTAACCACTTGCGTCAACGTCGACTGCATCTGTAATCGCATGTACGGCTCGGTAGGAACTTGGAGTCCGCTGGAGTGGGCGGAGTGCATGCCAAAAGGCACTAAAACGTTGGTCGGCGTAATATTGGCACCGAGATCATGCAAGAATGATCGAAAATGGCAGTGGACGTGGAGTCATGTATCTTACGACCTATGTCTGCGTCCATACAAACACACTGGCAGAGGCAACCGGTCTAACCAATAGTCAAAGGTTACCTCCGGGCGGTAGCGAACCTAACGGGAGAGTTGCCGTGTTTCTGGTACGTCTTCATAATATCCTCCCCATGGTGGGACATTGTGGATACTGCGGTAAGGTTCCTGAATCGTGGGTCGTTGACCGCAGTTGAGGCACGTGCTCGACCACAGACTGCAGTGCACATCAATTTCCTAAATGATGCTGTGTCAACCAATTTACTGGACTTGAGGGCCGAAGACAATCTCTACACGTGCTCACTCGAGCATCCCGTGTGCGTGGGTAGGTTTCGTTACAGCAGAAGTATACTGGCGCGGACTGCAGCTAACCGAAACGTGGAGGGATTTACTCGCAAGCGAGCGGAAGGCGCGTACTGTCCGATGGTTACGAGTTTTACATAGACGATGCACACCTCCTGGACATGTTCGGCTGCGGTATGCTGCTTCCGCAGGCGACGCGGTTCGGCCACCCTAGCCAAGTTCAGCTGCATACGTTCATTCCGGCATTTTGATAATTGGTGACGATCCTTGCCGGCGCGAAATACCAGCCTTGACAGGGTTTCCTTTCGACGACCCAAGGGAAGGATTGAGATAGGATTCTTTTCGATGCATTGTTTGCAGCGCCTGAGCTGCATTAGGTGAAAATTTTATCCTTCTCGCGCTTGGGGCCTGAGGATTATCGGGCGATGCCTACTACGGTACAAGTCGAAGGTGGCACATCCTGGCTGAGCACGTTCCATATCGTATGCCCGTTATTGTGGGGTTCTCTTCAAGGGTCCGGGTCCTGCCGCAAGCCCCAGACATTTGCGTCGTACGGCATCTCCGTGAGCTTGGCCAGCGTCGCTACACGCGTCAAAGCCACGCAAAGTACACGTGGAGTAAAAGATAAGCGCGCTTGACGTGGGTGGTAGGGTATAGTGAGTTTTGCAGAGATGTCCACTTCTCCCGGTGCCAGGGGGCTACATGCAGGCCTGTGGCGTGGTATCGACTGTACCTGCCCTCGGTGTCTGGTGCTCCATTCCTAGACCCCAGGTCCCGCTATTAGCGTGAGAAGCTCGAACTTTTCACTGCGGCCCGCTGCGGCAAGTTTATGCTGGCGTGAAATTGGCTGGTGCTCTCTTCCCAGCTTTTCAGAGTGCACGATTTCGGCCCTTTTCACATTGCCGTCCCCTCTTTCAAGATTGTCTTGTAATTGACTGAGGTTTCCCTTCGCCGGCATTTCGAACCAGATAGGACACCATGGATGTGCCACAAAACGTCTCAGCGCAATGGCACGATGAAAGCCTGCAAGCCGGAGGTCCAAGCGGTGCTTTGGTGTTGCGCGCTGTCATAGCTTTGGTAATTACTCACTGTGCTTGAGATCTACATTACACAGTTGCTGACTCGTGAACAGTTTGTTGCCTCTGGTATCGGTCAGGTCGTGTACAATCTTTATTTCCATCCGCTCAAAGATGTCCCTGGGCCATTGTTGGCAAAAGCAACGTTATTATGGCGTTTCCGGTATTGTATGGGCGGCCACTGGCAGTAAGTATGATCTGGGTGTATACATATAAACCACGCTGACCTCGTTCTTCTCTCTCCAGCCTCCATATCGAGAAGGCGCATAAACGCTACGGTGTGTACAGCTCTTGACCGAATCTGCTCGGAAGCTGACGGAAAACCAGGAGATGTGATACGCGTGAGCCCCAACGAGCTCTCCTTTGCCAGCGTCAGTGCTTGGAAATCCGTTTACGGCGTCCAGAAGGGCGCACCTATCACCAAGAACGAGTTCTGGGACATGATAGGTCTTGGCTTCGACGAAGGATCCATCGGCTCAGAGCGAGACTACCATCTTGCGGCTCAGAAGCGCGACTTGTTCGCGGACGCTTTGTCCAATCGAAACTTGGTACAACAAGAGCCGATCATGCAGCAGTTTGTCAGTCTATTCGTGGATAAGATTGGGAAGCTGGGCGATACTGAAGGGGGGATGGACATGGGCCAGTGGTTTCTGTACTTCGGCTTCGATCTAGGGACGAAGATGGCTTTTGGAGAATCGTTCGCATGTCTTGTGAGAGGTTCGTGTGCCGTACCGGAAAGCCTAGAGTTACAACTAACGACTCGCTACAGAGAGTGCACACGAATGGCTCACCCTTGTTTTGCCTCTTTTCTTCATAATCAACATCGCAGACAACTTCAGGCGACTTCCTTTGGTCGTACCAATACTCAAGTTGATCCCGATGAAATGGTTACAGGGTGTCCGCGGAAAAATCGTCAAGTACTCCAAAGACCAGACTGCAAAGTGGGTAGTGGCGTCTTGATGGACTAAACGAGACGTTGATCTAACCATTGAGACAGACGCCTGAAAAGATCTGGACCGCAGAATGATTTCTTCGACAACTGTGTCGAGAAAGTTCACAAAGGCGATGTGACTGAAGAGGAAATGGCGTCCCACTTGTTCACTTTCAGGTACGTATACCTTCAGTCGAGATTTTTCGATGAATTTGCAAATTTCCTAACGCATCTTTAGTGTTGCAGCAGGGGAGACCCAAGCAACGTCTATGACTGGTATCCTGTACTACTTGCTCAGAGATCCGGAAAAGCGTGACGAGCTTCAGCGCGAAGTTCGAGGGGCTTTCAAGTCCACTCACGATATGGACGTTGCCTCGCTTCTCAAGCTACCGTACCTTCAGGCGGTGCTAAAGGAAGGCATGAGGATACATCCCGCAGTGCCGCAGGGTCTGCCGCGTGTCTCGCCTGGAACAATGATTGAGGGTATTTATGTCCCTCAAGGAGTATGCCAGAACCGTCCCTCGATTCTTCTTGCTCATTGCTAACACTTGTCAGACTGAAGTGTACGTGTCTGCGTGGTCACCGAGTCATGATGAGCGCTATTTTCATGACCCGTACGCTTTCAAACCGGAGCGCTGGATCGATCCAGATTGCCGGGATGTCAAGGACGCAAGCCAACCGTTCGGACTCGGGCCTAGAGTCTGCCCAGGAAAGCGGTAAGTGGGTTGCAATAATTTTGGACAACGCTAATATTTGTAGTCTCGCGTTTTCCCAGATGTCTCTGCAACTGGCGAAGATGATTTACACGTATGACATGGAGCTTCTCGAGAGCAGTCGAGACTGGATATCTGGCTGCAGGGTGCACTACTTTTGGTGGATGCCACCCCTGAATGTGCGCTTCCGGCCGCGGGGGAGCGTTGCTACGTGAGCCACACCTCGTGCGTTGCTTCATATCCATGGTGGCGGCTGGAACGATTGCTCCAAATTACATCTTGGTCCATGCAGCATACAAATTCAATGACATGTAGCATTGCCTTGCACCATGCTCAACACACTTTCGTGGAGGTCCAAAGCAGCAATGGGTGCCTCTTGTGATACGGTTAGCCAATGGTCCACTGTGTCCTGGCCCTTGTAAGTGATCAGCATCACCATGCCAAAATCGTCCAGCTCGTGGCCGCTTCCGTAGCTGATGACATGATCGAAGTTCATGCCTATGTTGGAAGTACAAGATTAGCTGCGATTTTCTTCGAGTATTTTTGCAAGGCTGTTCATAACTGAAGGCACGAGTATGGCTGTGGTAGTTACAGACGGTCACCATCGGGGATTACGAAAGCATGCACATACCCGGGGTCCAGAAGGGATCATGATTCTCCTTGACTCGCTGCCACTCAAGCGGACCAGTAGCGTCCCAGAGTTTTCGTTGGGCCGTAAAAGAATGTGCAGAAACCTGTTGACCTCGTGTGCAGTAGCCGTGTTTGACAAGTGCATAGATCCCAGACAAGAAGACGCTCATAGTGCTAGTACGTCTTACGGACTCGGAGAAGATCCACGATCGCCAGGATGGTGCAGTATCGGTGGTGTAGCTTCGGTCTGTAGTCGTGATTCTGTTGAGTTTATTGGTCCACGCCTCTAGCACTGATTCTGCTCTCTCAGCTTGTGTGCCTGAACGCGTATGAACAAGTTAGCGACTGTCTATGTGACCAGGCAAATGCAACGCAACACAAGCTATCCATAAGATAGCCAGCCTTTTGCTTGGAGTCAACGTACGCTGACGTATATCACCATCAAACAGTCTGATGAACTGGAAGATGAGTAACGCTTGCACAGCAGCTAACAGCTCGAGCGAGGTCCAGGACCCCTGGTCCGGTGATCGCAACAGCTCGTTCGCTTTCGACTCTATGACGCTGAAGGCAACAAATGCGTTCTGGTCAGTCTTGGTTGAGTAGATGGCACAGGCAGCATATGCATCTTGGAGCGCCTTTGGCATGTCATTCGTATACAACCGCGGATGGATGAAGGGTGCTTTCCCCTCTTTGACCCACTTCTCAGGCCATGTTTTGAAGCGGTGAAGGGCGGCTTCCATCTCTGTACGTGCCAATGCTGATCGATTTGGCGCATCGACGCTCTCAACACCCAGTGGAGCGAGTCTCGACAAGTGCTGGATATCGGATGCAGAGCTGCCAGAATAGTTTGCGGATGCTGCGGAGGCGACCTCGAGCTGTGGCTGTAGCGCTCCTTCCCATGGCAGGGAATCAGGGTCGTGCAAGAAATCGTCCAACCAAGGAAAGTCGAGTTCTGGTATTGGCAGTTCTGCAACCACCATCTTGCTAGGATAGGCACATGTAATGTCCTTCTTCGCACATCGACTGCATTTGGGTAGCTCCATGCCGCACTTCCGCTTCGCCTTCACGCATTCGTTGCATGACTTGCGCTTTGAGAGGGGAGTCGCCGTCATGATGTGTTGGAACCATGAGTCTGTCAAGAAAGATGTGCTGATAAACAACCGGCACCGGAGACGGCAAGAACGATGCGCGCGTGCTTACCAATGTTTCATAACGCTAACCGCTTCGGGCGCCATGTTTCTATCCGCATCAACACTCATCGAGTGCAGAGATGAGTAGATTTGGATGTCTATATTGATCGTGTTCGTAGTGCAAGTGCCAAAGCCCCGCGATGCCAGAATAAGCTTCAAAGCTGCTAATTATTTGCTTCAAACTCAGTGCTAGCTTGATGGCGTTGGAGCTGTACACAGGTAATACTACGCAAACAATTGCATCCGCTCTATAGGACCTACCAATTGACTCGGCTCACCTTCATCACTCATCACCCATCGCTCATCGCTCTCGCTCATCAGTCGCAGGTGGGAGATTGCAGTGAGGTGAGAGGGATGGGATCGAGCACGCCTCCTCGAAGGGTTAGGCGCTGAAGTTAGCGCGGACCCTAGCGCGCAATGATTCGTTCGTCGCGGCAACAACACGAACCAAAACACAGGAGCGCGATCAAAACACGCCCGCAGCGTCCGCCTCTCCACCACGTTGCTCCCTTCTCGCTGCTTCGCCTGCCACGTCTCTTGCTGGCCTGGGCGCAAACGTTGTTTTCTTTACCTTTCTTGTCCTGAGGGACTTTTTCTTTGACCTTTGCCACGATGGACGACTCGCTGCTCCAATCGGACTTTGACGACGGCGCCAGCTCTGACTTCGCACCGCCTGCCAAACCTACAAAGACTACCAAAGCGAAGCCTGCAGCACCCAAGAAGGCCGCCGGGCCCGCAAAGTCCCGAGGACGACCGCCAAAAGACCCCTCCGCTCCACCCAAAACAAAAGCGCCTGCGAAGGCCAAGGCAGCGCCAAAGAAGAAGCGCAAAGATGATTCCGCTGACGAAAACTCGGACATAGACGTCCACGACGATGCTCTCGATGATGAAGACGACTCGCTACTCGCCGACACACCTCCAAAGCAGAAGAAGGCTCCCGCACCGAAGAAGTCGAGCGGCAAGCCCCTCGCAAGCATTGCCAACGAGAGCTTCGACATGATGGACGGAATAGACGATTCGGCGCCTAGTGGCAAGGCAAAAGCCGGTGGCGCGAGTAGCAAATACCAGATGGTGACTTCTGCTCCCACTATTGCGCTGCTAAAAACTAACAATGCTGCAGCTTACGCATCTGCAACACATCATGGCAAGACCGGACACGTACATCGGCTCCGTCGAGCGAACCTCGGACAAGATGTGGGTGTACAACTCGACGACCGAGGCCATGGAGTTCCGCGAAGTTTCCTACGTGCCTGGTCTCTACAAGATCTTCGACGAAATTCTCGTAAACGCGGCCGACAACAAGCAGAACGATAAGAACATGAGCGAGATCCGGGTGACACTGGATCGCGAATCCGGTGAAATCTCAGTAAGAAACGATGGAAAGGGTATCCCGATCGAGATTCACAAGGAGCACGGCATCTACGTGCCCGAGATGATTTTTGGTCACTTGCTGACTTCATCCAACTACGATGATAACCAGGCGAAGGTCACGGGCGGTCGCAACGGTTACGGTGCCAAACTTTGCAACGTCTTCAGTAAAGAATTCAACCTAGAGACGGTTGACTCAAAACAGAAGAAGAAATATAGGCAGACGTGGACGGAGAACATGAGCAAGATGGGCAAAGCCAAGATCACCGACATCAAGACGGACGACTATACCAAGGTCTCTTACAAAGCCGACTTCGAGAAGTTTGGCATGGAAGGTATTGACGACGACTTCGAAGCTCTCGTCAAACGCCGGACGTACGACATGGCTGGCACTCTTCGTAGCGTCAAGAGGTGTACCTTAACGGCGATCGCGTTAAGGTTACCAGTTTCTCCAAGTACATGGAGATGTACACCAAGGCCATTCGCCTTGAACAGGGCAAGTCCGAGGAAGACAAAGACGTGATTATTACAGACCGCCACGACCGCTGGGATATCGGTTTTGCCGTCTCAGATGGAGCTTTCAATCAAGTGTCATTCGTGAATTCGATTGCCACGGCATCGGGTGGTACACACGTCAACTACATTGCCGACCAGATCGTCGAGAAGTTGCTTGCAATCGTCAACAAGAAGAATAAGGGTGGCGTCAAGCTCAAGCCAGCTCAGATCAAGAACCACATATTCCTCTTCGTCAATTGTTCGATCGTGAACCCCGCCTTCACGTCGCAAACGAAAGAGCAGCTCACGACAAAAGCGAGCCAGTTTGGCAGTAAACCTATTTTGAGCGACAAATTTCTGAAGGCAATCGAGAAGACCGAGGTTATCCAGAATATCATGCATTTCGCTCAGCAGAAAGCCGATCAACTGCTGAAGAAGACTGATGGCAACAAGCGAAGTCGCATGAGCAACTCCAAGCTCACTGATGCGAACAGAGCAGGCACCAAGGATGGTCACTTGTGCACTCTCATCTTGACTGAAGGTGACTCCGCTGCCCTTCTCGCCTTGGCTGGACGTGCGGTGGTCGATCCTGACTATTTCGGCGTTTTTCCCCTTCGTGGTAAACTTCTCAATGTTCGCGACGCTTCCATCGACCAGATCTCTAAAAACCAAGAAATACAGAACATCAAGAAGTTCATCGGTCTTCAGCACAAGAAGGAATACACTGACACAAAGGGTCTCCGCTACGGCCACATCATGATCATGACGGATCAGGATCACGATGGTAGTCATATCAAAGGCTTGTTGATCAACTTCTTGCAATGTCAGTTTCCCTAGCTTGCTTAAAATCCCGAGTTTCCTGATGGAGTTCATCACTCCTATTGTCAAAGTGTGGAAGGGCGACCCAAAGAATCCTCGAGGACTGAAGAGCTTCTTCTCCATGCCCGAATACGAGGAGTGGAAAGAACAGCATAGGTACGAGAAGGGTTGGGATCACAAGTACTACAAGGGATTGGGTACCAGCGGTCCCGAAGACGCTCAGATCTACTTCCGCGATCTCGACACGCACATGAAGGCCTTCCATACGATGCGGGCACAAGAAGAGGAGCTCATTGAGCTTGCCTTCTCTAAGAAGAAAGCCGACGCTCGTAAGGAGTGGTTGCGGGATTTTGTTCCTGGCAACCATCTTGACCTGACTACGAAAGAGATCACTTACGACGACTTCGTCAACAAAGAGCTCATCCTGTTCAGCATGGCGGACAATATGCGATCTATTCCTTCGATTATCGATGGCTTCAAGCCCGGTCAGCGCAAGGTTCTCTACACGTGCTTTCGACGAAACCTCAAGAAGGACGTCAAAGTAGTCGATCTCGCTGGTTCCGTTTCTGGTACTACTGATTACGCTTATGGTGAGGCTTCTATGCAAGGGACCATCGTCGGTCTTGCCCAGAACTTCGTGGGATCGAACAATATCAACTGCTTAGAGCCAAGTGGCAATTTCGGATCGCGACTTCAAGGTGGCAAGGATGCTGCCTCCGCCAGGTACATCTACACCCGTCTCTCACCCTTCGCACGACGAATTTTTCATCCGCAAGACGACGCCCTCCTCAAATACGGCGAATCAGATGGAAACAAAATCGAGCCGGAGATGTACGTGCCGATTTTGCCCATGGTGCTTGTGAATGGCTCGGACGGTATCGGAACCGGATGGAGTTCTTCTATCCCGAATTATAATCCTCTTGAGATTGTGGAGAATTTAAGAATCCGCATGCGGGATGGCAGCTCGAAAGAAGACATGCAACCTATGGCTCCTTGGTTCCGCGGATTCACTGGACAAACCGAAGAGCTTCCTAACGATCGCTACAAATTCACTGGTATCATCCGAGAGACTGGCGAAAATGAGCTCGAAATCACGGAACTGCCTGTGCGGTACTGGTCCCAGGACTTCAAGGAGAAACTAGAGGACATCATCAAGGCGGAGAAGGTGCCTTCAATCATCAAAGACTACGTTGACTACAATACACCGGACAGGGTCCACTTCATCATAAAGATGGAGGACAAGCACATGCAGGCCGCCCGAGCCAAAGGTCTCGAGGATACTTTCAAGCTCTCTTCGACCGTGGCTACCACTAATTTGGTTGCCTTTGATTCGCAAGGTCGTATTCACAAGTATGCCACTGTCCTTGACATCATGGAGGAGTTCTATCACATCCGTTTGCGGTACTATGAGAAGCGCAAGGTAAGATCCCTGGTCTGCTATGCTTATCGTCATCTAATGCTCTATAGTCACACCAGCTCGAAGAGTTGAACAAGGATCTCACCAAAATGACCAACCAAGCTCGCTTTATCCAAATGATAATTGACGGCAAGCTTGTCGTATCCAAGAAGAAGAAGGCTGTTCTTGTCGAAGAGCTGAAGAAACTTGGTTTCACCCCGTTTCCCAAGGTCACGGATGCTAAGAAGGCTGGTGAGCAAGAGGACGCGCAACAAGACGATGAAGAGAACGACCGCGATGTGGCGGCTGGCGCAAGCGACTACGACTACCTGCTTGGCGTAAGTTTACTAGCTTCACTATTCACGAGACCACGTCTAACGAATTGCAGATGGCTATTTGGTCTTTAACTCAAGAACGTGTCGAGAAGCTCCAGAGGCAGATTGGTGACAAGGAGTTGGAAATCGACGCTCTTCAGAAGCTAACGCCGCGGGACCTTTGGACGCGAGACCTTGACGATTTCGTGGAGGAGTGGAACCTGCAGCTCGACGATGAAGCCAAGCGCAAGAAGAAGATAGCGAGCATGAGCCGTCGCACATCTAAGAAGCTCGGAATTGGTGCCTCCAAGGGTGGCAAGCGTAAGAAGAAGAGGGCGGGCTCCGACTCCGACTCTGACGAATTCTCCGACTACGGCCCTGCTAAGAAGAAGGCCAAGCCGAAGACTGGTGGTCTACTCAGTTATCTTAAAAAGGACCCTGATGAGCCCCAGAGACCGGAGGTGCCAAAGCCTACCGCTACGAAGCAAACTGGTATGCTGTCCTATCTCAAGAAAAGCCCACCGCCCGCAGAGGAAGATGCCATGGACGTCGACGATTCCGCGCCAGCAGCCCCTGCTGCTGCTGTTTCGAAACGTGGCCGACCTGCTGGTGCGAAGAATGTCAAGAAGCCCACGCCTGTGCCTGTCGACTCAGAGTCGGACTCTGATGTCTTCGCTGCCGTCGCTAAAGAGGCGAGCAAGAAGAAGCCTGCCGAGACTGTGACCAAGGGTCGCACTGCCCGTGGCGCGACGAAGAAAGCTACCAGCTACGCAGTTGATAAGGACAGCGACAGCGATAACATGAGCGACGACGATTTTGACGTTAGCATGATGGTGAAAACCATCGGTGCTAGCGGGAACGATCGTCCACTCTTCTCAGTTCCTACTGCTCGCCCGACTAGTGCTACAGGCGCCGCATCCAAGCTCAACGGTCGTGCTGCTGCACAGAAGCCGACACTCATCCCCGATGATGACGACTTAGATGAGACGAACTACGAGGCCCTCGCTCAAGGCTCGCCAGAGAAATACAACCAGGGTACGATGGACTCTGACATCTCGGACGACGACCTACTCCTCAGCGTGAAGAAGAAGGCACCCGTCAAAGCTATACCCAAGGCCAAAGCCAAAGCCGCCCCGAAGTCCAAGGCTCCTGCCGCATCCTCCGTGGTAGCAAAGAAGACAACACAGCTCAGCCCCGCCGCGAAGGCCTACGCGGCTCGCTTGGGCAAGAACAAGGACCTGGCATCAAATGCTAAGAAGCCTATCGCTATCGATTCGGACGAAGATGAGGATGAGCTGATGGACGACGACGCAGATGAGCTGGCCAACGATATCCTCTCCGATGACGAGGATGACGAGCCAATTGTAAAGCCCAAGTCCAAGCCTAGTGCGGCGCGTCCCGGTCGGAGGGCAGCCGCCAAGCCGGCGAAGTACGTTGTCAGTGATGACGAGGATGAGGACGAGGAGCCCAGCGAGGTGAGCTTTGACGATGACAGCGAATAGTTGCGTGATGGGTACTCAGATTGGCGTTTGAGGGATGACGATACCCGGGCTCGGTGCTGGGCGTTTGGTCGCGGATGGCTATGATCATAATGGTTTCTGGATAAGGAGCGCTTCGATGTCACATCATAGGACTGGTTTCTGAATGGCGTTCTGAGTAGCAGTTATTCTGCGAGTGAACAACAGTGTAATGTGAATATATACAATGCTTTCCCTAGCTGTACCTGGTCTTGCGTGCAAACCTTTCTGATATGCCTTGCATCTACCTGTGCGTCTCACCTTCGAGCTACTTCAGACTTCGGCTGGCTTGCTTGTCATTGCGACCGTATCCACTGTAGCGGAACTTTTTCACCTTCGCGTTGCTTGTCCCCGCCATCTTTTCAAAATACAACATACATATCACGCAATCTCGATCTGCGAGCGAGTCATCTTTCAGAGTTCTACAGCTGGAGGAATGGTGTACGTCGTGGTATAAAACTCCCAATTGTATGTATATATACTACCATGGCACTCTTCACTTCTGTTTCAACCTGGGTGTTCATGCTTAAGGTCAAGTCACAGAACGGCAGAGGTGTACACAAGCATGTTAACGTAGTGATACAGCTCGAATCTCAAGGCAAGGGACAATATCCAAGATCTTGCACACTGGCAGGATAGCGTGCGGGCGCTATGGACAGCGGGCCTGTCGCGGGAAAGAACACCCTCGGAAGCATAGAAGGAAAGCTGTTCGTGTAAGTCTGGCAGCGCGCAGCTCCGCTTCCATGCGACGAGATGTGTTGGCAGGATCATGCTTGTTAAGCTAAGCGAGGGGGAAGACAGGAAGATTAGAGAATCGCGTTGCTGCGCACAATCTAGTCCTGCGATATCTGTTCAGCATAGGCGTGTACACGACGCGTGTTTTCATGTGAACGGAGATGTTTCTTGCTGGAGTCACCAAGGACGGGCGCGAACGCCTGTTCGTGCTACTGTACTTCATGGCGCGGAGCCAGGGTGTCGGCTGACAGGTGATTGACAGATGGGTTTGTACGAGGATCGCTGGAGGTGATCCATACATCATGCGCGCCTAGACGGCACGCATCTGGTGCATAGTGCATACCCGGGCACAGATATTGGATGTGTTTACAAGCCTCACAGTAGAGGACGTGGGGCGTGTGGAACGAAGATGTAGCCTGAAAAGGAAGGGTCCAAGGTATGAGGGTAGATATTGAGATGTGTGTAGCTGGTGAAGTAGCAGTGGAGGCAAGAATAGCATAGCGGGAGGAGCGAAGTCACGGAGTGTGTGAAGGTATACATTCGTCTGCTCGCTTTCCTCCATGTGCACTCGGAACGCCAGCCGACTTCGGGCTGCTGATTTCACGCCCAACGCCGACCATGTCCTACAACATCGGAGCGGCCCGTCTCACCGTCTACGTTTCTTCTCGAACAGCCCGCAACCGGGGACCAGAACCCAACTAAAGAGCACTAAGAGTAAGTGCGCGAGCTAGGAGGATATCTCCCGTACCGGTCGTAGTAGTCGTAACGCACCCTCGACTCTAACTTCTGCCCAACATATCCTAAAGCGCCACAAAGCTTGACACTACCACGCCAGCTGTCAGTATAAACCTACGCTTCAAGCTGTGAACCGCTGCCCTCGAAACATACCCTGCATTTGTGCCCTGTGCAGCCACACACCTCACTTGTGTATCGTGCCCACAAAGCCCCGCCGCAAGAATTAACCCGTAAGGTGAAAAGTCGGCCATCGATAAAGTTCGACATCCCTGGTGCGCGTCCGGGCGGAAGCAGTGACAGGGCGGTAGGACTCAGCGGCTGCGACCAGGGCGTTATGTGTAGCGTAGCGTCCTGGTGTTATTGCCGTGCATCCTGGGGTGTAACGCAATCTGTGCGGAGATTTTGACAAGCTGGTCGTACTGCGCGCACAGGGTCTTTTGTGCCTCGATGCTGGCGTCTCGAGGGTGTTGAGTGCTGGGCCGTATGTTAGCTTTGCATGACGGATCGTCGATCTTGTTCTGCAGAAGTGCGGTGCGATGCGGTTTGATGTGGTATGGTATAGGATCGTTGGGTACATGCAGCTATCGACGGTAAGCTGAGATAGTCTGCGTACGATCATGCTATATGAGACGAATGTATTGCAGTGGTTTGCTTCCTATCGAAGAAGGTGAGTGGGTGTACTCGTCGTACAGGTTATGCCATGCGATCGAACTAAGTGCAAGACTGGCACGCTGCGGTGAATGAGCAATGCGGAGGTCTCTGTGAGCAGTAGCTGGATAGATAGCTAGCAATGGCTAGTGCGGACTAGAGAGATGACATGGAGGCTATATCCTGGGGTATCGATGAAGCTTCTGTGGTGATAACCTCCTGTCGCAGAACAGTACGCGTTCTGCGCTTGCGTTCTGAGCGACAAGGTGCACCTAACGCTCTTGGACAGGCTCCAAATGCGCTCAGCGAGCATCATGGTGGCCCTGGAAAGCTTTGCTCACAGTTGCTAGTATGTTGATGTGCCGGTCTGCGGTACGTAGGCGACACGACATCGGAAGGAAGCCATAGGTGATTTCCAGACATTGCGTGCGCTTGTGGGGAACCATGCTTCGGATGCATGCTCCAGATTTTGACAGCTCTGTTGTACGGAACAGGTAGATAGCAGTGTTGTGCGGTCGGTCGTGGACGATGCCGCCCACGGGCGCTCGACAACGTCCCTGTGCAGGGGCTGATACGATCGTCCGAAACAGAGCGAATGGAATACTGGCCAGTGTCATTGGCCGCCTATGCTGAGTTCCAGCCTCGTCTGCTGAAAGCAAAAAGCATTTCTAGACATGCAGTTCCACCATGCCATCGATGTGCATGATGATGTAGGCTCGAGCCGCTTTTCACACGATAGTCGCCGCCGAATGGGCCGTCACGAGTGGCAGTGGGGTAGTGCCACGTACACTAGGGTCAAAATGCCTGAAGGGTTTATCCGTCCTGTTCGATGGGCCCGTGTAGCCACTCTGGCATCGCGAGGATACCGACTAGCTCTTGAAGCGAGCTATCGTCGATCGATGACCGTACGCACCATCACGCCACAAGTCTTTTGATATCGCTTGTTATAGACAAGAAGGAAAACAATAGTGTTAATGGCTAGTAGTCGAGCACACTCATGTGACGTTTCTTTTCGTCGTGCCCGTCTTGCATGACGCAACCGAAGGCCCGAGACTTTCAGTGTGGCACAGAGTCAGGTGCGATAATGATCATTAAGAGCGTTGTGCTCATGACCTGTTAGATCAGTAAAGGTCAATATGCTGAAGGCTATTCGACGTGTTTCGAAACGAGCACATGCATTCACCGGACGAGGACTCATGCGATGTGTTCACCGCCGGGTCAGTGCATCGACAGCGTCACATAACTAGCTCTCTGGCCGCGCACATGACGACGTCGATGATGCCAAGGCCTCATGTTATAAGCCTCATATCGTTTGCCTTCTCCACTTGAACTTCTTTCATAGCCCATGTTCCAGTTCGCTATCATTCCGGAACTCAGTAGAAAGAGTGCTCAGAGCACTGCTCAATCACTGCTTTGCGGAGTGGAGGCAGCGAGGACTACCCGTCTGGATCCACCATGCAGTTTGATTGTTCATCTCTAGGCGGTCAGGACTGAGACATGCCGCCGCTTTTACATGCTGAGATGGCTTCCTGGTCTTTAGTCGTCGGGTGAAGGAGACCTCTCGTCTGAATTTTGCCCATTGTAGGGCTAGTACACATGCTCGCAACAAGGTGGAAATGTCGGCTTTTGGAAGTTCAGTTATCCAATGTGACCTTGCAGACGAGCCTCTCAGTATCGCGGTGACGAGCATGCTCGTGTGTCGTTCTGAATCGAGGAAGCAATCAGCCAGGGCAAGGGGCTTCGAGTACCCACCCCCGCCACTTGAGTCCCCGGAAAGTGCCTCACCGACACAATTTTGAGCCAATTAATTTTGTAGCCGCGCTCGCAATTAAGCAGCTAACCGAAAAGTGCAGATTGCAAGGGAAGAGCGACCACGTTTGTCCGTGAGGGTCCGGCCAAGCCAGGTACGTGCGCTTGTACTCGCGGATAGCTGCAGATGGACAACGTATCCATTCGCCCTTCACACGCGGTACGGCGAGGAAGCATGACCGGGTTGGCTTGGATGGCCTGTGCCAGAGATGAGCCCAGGAGCCCTTTGTTATCCCCCCTTGTTCGCGCATGTATGCGATGAGTCTTCGATACCGGGCGCTCGCCTGGAGGAATCGAAACAGCTTGCACTGCGGTTCCATTCTATCTTGGGAGATCCAACGAGCTTAGATACAGTCCCTCCACCTATGATATACATACTGGAGCTGTGTAGGGCTACGCCAGAGAGAGCGGCACCACCAGCCATGTCCCTCCGCCTGGGGTCGCTTTGTATCGTCGCTCCACTGCTGTTTTTTTTTTGTTTTCATAGGTTGTCCAGTGCTAAATGCAGGGTTTATGGGCGAAGAGCGTTTGACGCCGTGAAACGAGGCTGCACTGTCCTCGATCCCCTGCCGGCTACAGCACGCTCAATGACTAGCTGCATTATAGCAATGACTGTCTTATATCCAGAACGGACCGTGTCTCGCGTACTTTGGCAGCTTAGCTGAGCCACATAGAGCGAGCACTGAGACAGCTTCCATCTTTCGCTTCTTCACACCTGGCGTACGTCTGCAGAGCTCGGGCAACATAAGTGACCGTGTGGCTGGGATAGTAACAGCTAGTGGCCGACGGGATCATACAAGAACGGCCCAACACCAGAGCTTAGAGCCGATCTAGTGTTCCTTGTTAGCCTCTGCCCTGCCTCGCCCTTCTCTTGTTGCTTATTACAGTTCGCCAAGTTCCACTTGACTAACGAGGCATACGAACCTCATCTAGCAGATAGAGGCAGTCTTTTGGAAGAGGAGCCGCTCTTTTGGATCGCTTTTCATTTTGACGTGTATCGTCTCGTCATCACGATCCCGCAGCGAGAAATTCACTGGACAAGGCGAACCAGGCAATCCGTTGGACATCAAGCGAGAACGCAAATCATTGCCACGGGAGCTTTCCGTTTGTCGGACGACCATTTGTAGTCTGGTCTGTCTCTCTCTGTGGCGCCCTGCCATCTTCGCAAGGGAAGCCGAACCGCTAGGTTCCTCACCTGTCTCCCTCGATACCAGATACATTGCGTAAGTACTAGCTTCAGTAATCTGGGATGTTTCAGACACTTACAGAGGAGGGCAGATATTGTCGCTTGGCGATTCGGGGAGAATAGGCAGCGAAAACACCTGCGCGTATAAGCTGTCCGTTTCGTCCTCGTGGCCAGCACGCAAACGCTGTGGAAAGCGGCCTTTTCTCCGTCGACCAGTGTTCCAAGCTTCCCGCTACCCATACTGCATTATTGTTCCACAGCAGCTAAGCTCCCTTCTGTTCCTGGCTTTTGATCCAAGTCCACCTTTGGCGAGTACATCGCGGCCAGGCTGGAAGCTCAGTCTAGCATCGTCAGCAACGCGTGCAACAAGTTTCGACCTCAGCTTAACCTACCGAGCAATGAAGATACATTCTCTACTCAACCCATGTCGTGGCGACGAGCGCGATGGCTATCGCGGCTCGGAGTCTCCAACACCAGCGCCTATGCCTCGTCCCATGGCGCCGTACACTTCGGTTCCGAAACGACAGAAGATTCCCAAAGACGCGCCCGTCTTCTCAGAAAGCGCCCAGGTTGTCGGCCATGTGAACTATCCCCCACACGAAGGTCATGAGGATGACGCCCTCGTCTTTCAGTATCGCCGATTTCAGCTATTCCCCATGAGAGAGATCAAGAAGAAAGGAGTCCGCCACATCCCTTACAATAGCGACAAGAAGGACTTCCTGGACAAAACGGGACGAGAGTCTTTCGAAAGCAAGTTGACGCCTCTAAACATCTGAACCTCTTCTGACTTGTTGATAGTGTTCCAATACACGTATAAAGTGCCGGGCGACGATAAGGAGTATGTTGTCGTTTGGGACTACAATGTTGGCTTAGTCCGCATGACGCCATTCTTCAAGTCACTGAAACACACCAAGGTCGGTCGTTCTTTTCATGTTCATTGTTGTGTCAAGATACTGATCCCTTCAGACGATACCAGCAAAAGCTCTGAGGGAGAATCCGGGTCTCAAGGATGTCAGCTACAGCATCACGGGAGGGGCCCTAGTATGTCAAGGTGAGTTACCCTTCAGACAATGTAGATGGATTACTTACCAGCTCAGGATACTGGATGCCGTACCAAGCCGCCAAGGCCATCGCCGCGACGTTCTGTTGGCACATTCGCTGGGTCCTGACCCCTGTTTTCGGATACGATTTCCCCGAGATGTGCTTCCATCCAGAAGATCCCAGATACGGTAGATTCCTGATCGCTCCTGAGATCGTGCAGGAATGTATCGACGAGACAAACCGTTTCAGAGAGGAGGGGTGCGATTATCGGATTGCGAGCCAGATGGGGTCGACTACGGTGGAGACACCACAGCTGCCAACTTTGAACGCGCCTTGGGAGCCCATGTCGCATCACCCACGAAAGTCGGAAGAGAGTGGCTATTACACTGGCGGGGACCAGAACGAGAGATCTACTGTTTCGCCACAAGTTTCGCCGCGGGGTTCGACCTGGATATCTGCTTGGACATCAGTCAACGGCTCAAAGTCCCCATCATCGTCACCTATTGTCCACTCCCCAACTTGCGATCGTACGGCGAATGAATTACCGCCTCTCCACCAACACTTGCGCGAGTATGGGGTCCCCTTGGACCCGCGCCCAACCTCGGTGCCGCGAGGTTACTATGACAAGGCTATTCTCACGAAAAGGCCACATTCAGAGATTGTTGTTGACGACAATTTTCTGCGCAGGAGTCCGATCCATCCTCACAATATAATGCCGACTCCCCAACCGATCGACAACACCGGAGCGAGCAACTTCGGTAACCGCAACCGCACGCATCGAGAGCTCGAAGCCGCAGAGATTATATTGCAGCTCAGTGTAGCAGATCAGGAGCTTCCGGCTCCAAAGCGCCCACGTCATGGTTCGCAGTACTGGAGGACCATTGACTAGTCCATGAACTCCAGCAGGTGGTGGGGATCTTGACAGAAAATCCGCTTTCAGCGTAATGGCACGCTGGACCTTCCTTTGGGTATGTTGCATTAGGTCTGTAATTGGAGTTTTGGATTTGTCGGGGGCATTAGATTACCCGCGGGCTTTCACCATTTACTGCATCGTTAGGTCTCCTGTTTGTCTGAAGGTCTGCACAAATGTCACTTTCCGCGGCAAGCTCGATCATGAGCAGCAGTATCTGCATGAGCATAGCACAATGGCGAACATCTCACAAAAGTTTCAGTGTAGTTGTTATGGTATTTGATGGCCATCAAGTCCACGTACCGAAACTGCTTGCCATTCACGCTCTAGGCCTTTGCCTTGAGTGAAGCAACTTTCTTCTTAATGCTTTCCACGGCGCGCTCCTCGTTCCAGATATACGTCACGCTTTCTTGCTTGATGACCTCAGTAGCCCACTTGGAAAATTGGGGAAGTCCGTGCATCTCATCGCTGGCTGACTTGGGAAGCAGGCCATGTTTCGTGAAAGCAAAGAGGCGTACGATGAAGGGTGCAACGATGGCTTCAGCGAAGGTCAACTTGGAGCTCCCGCCAAAGAACGGCGCCGCATCCTTGAGCAAGGGCTCAATTTCCTTCTTGACGGTGCTGACCAATTCTTTCGAAAGCTTTTCCTTCTCTTCCTCGGAGTCCGCCATTGCGATCTTGAACCAAAAGCTACCGGCTTTGGTGGTCCAGGTGTCCGTGAAGAAGTTGATGCGAGCGCGCTTCAAGGCACCGTCCACAGTGTTAGATGGCGGAAGGAGATGTGACGGGTAAGCGTCAGCCAGGAATTGGGAGACAATAGCGGACTCGGTGATGATTTCGCCATTGAAGTTGATCGAAGGAACGAGGCCGCGCTGGTGGGGTTAGCGAGAGCCAATTTTCACTGCATTGTGTCGTCGTACAACTCGGGATTGTGCAGAAGCTAGGTCCCGGGTGCTGGAGTCGAAGAATGAGCGACGCTCGTTCCTCTATGAGTGAGGGAGTACGCAGACACACTTACTGGGTTGACCTCCAGATACCAAGGTTCTCTCGGTTTGTTCAGATCGATGATGACCTCCTCGTATGGTAGCCCCAGCTCCTTGATCACAATGTGCGCACGGTGCGCGTACGGGCAATTATGGTTAGTGTAAATGGTGATCTTGGGGGGGTTTCCATTTATGGCTGCCATTTTGTTGTTGGTTGCAGTGCTCAAATATGCGTGTAGGCGGGTGTGGAAGGAGTGTAAGAAATGACCAGTGTATAGCAAACGAACGATGAGGTCACAGATGGGTAGTTGAACGAGGTCTTAAATAGGCGGCTTTGCACGCACGACGCGTAGGATCAATGATGCTCGGCATTCTGCTTAGAAATGCAAAGCTTGCATTGCGTCAATTGCGCCAGTGCTCACATAAGTGGAAACGACATCTATAGGTTGTTGATACGGCAGGAGCTTCCCCGCAGCGGCCATGCTCCCCAGCATACCGGACGATATTGGTCCGAAACATTTTTAGCATAAGGTCGGACAAAACGTTTATGCTGATGCCATTGAACGCATTCGTCACTGGCCATGATTTTCAACTCCTTGGTCTCCTGCAAAATTTCGCACAAAGCAAGCATCCAAAGGACAGTAAATGTGAGATAGAGGTAAGATCTTCTATCATAGATTCGGTCAAGTATGAGAGATGGCACAGTGCCTGGGTATCTTCGATGTCCAACCTAAACGCCAAATGCCGATTCTATTCCGGTACAACGTGCATGCTTTTCGTTCAAAATCCCTCCCAATCGTCCTTTTTTGCCCGCCTTTTCTCATTTCGCTTTTGCCGCTTTGCCTCCCGGTCTTTGTCTTCTTCCTCTTTCCGCTGATCCAGCCGCTTATCCAGATCCAACTCCTCTTTTTGCATTGCCTCTCTCCTCTTCCGACTAAGATACCTCAGCCTCTCCCTGACCTCCTCCAGCGTCGCCCTCTTTACATCCATACTCTGCCCCGTATTGCTCAAATGCTGCTTCGAATTCAGATGCTCAATCCAACTTGGACTGTCCCTCAGCGTGATATCGCATGCCTCACAGTAGAATCCTGCGGATTTGCCGCGCTTGCCTACGCCTGAGCCGGCGGGCACAAGCATGGTCTTGCCAACAAGCGAGGCTACGTCCACGCGGCCGGTGCGCGCTTCCGTCATCTTGAGGTCTTCAGGCGTAGAGGCGCGGCGCCGGTAGGAGCGGCCTTCTTGTTTAGCTTCATAGCGGGCCTTGCCTTCGGCGCGCTCGCGCTCTTCGCGTTCTTTGGCGAGGGCAGCGTATTTCTCGCGGTCGTAGGTCTTGCGGAAATCGGTGTCACCTCCGCCTGCGGCGCCGCCGTAGGCACCAGACTTCTTGTCCATAACGGCAGCGTTGCGTGGTACGATTCGCGGATGTAGTGAACGGCGTAGGACAACTAGCTGGTAATCTTGAGGCGGGTAAGTCGGGTCTTTCGGTTTGCACGTAGAAGGGCCTCGCAGGAGCACAAAGGTCAAGGCAGTGCAGATTGCGCGCGCGTAGGTGGTTGAGTATGAATGAACGTCAGTGAACTTTTGGGAAGCCGCGCTGGGAAGCTCAACGTGACACTAACGTATATTGGCTTAGTGGAGTGCTTAGTCACATATTATGGCAGGTTGCTTGGCATAAGTCCGAACCATGAGTTGTTCGGATACAAGAGTAGGTGTTCGATGTCATGTATAACAGCTATCATAATGGCTACCTGCAAATCGCTGTTACGTCTTGCGTGCGGAGGGGAGAAGTGAAACCAAAGACACAATCGAAACCGCAACTCCTTGCTATGCTTAATGCTCAGAAGCAAATAGAACCGCCAACGACCTTGCAGCGTTGATAAGCCTGCAGTGGGTGGGGATAGAACGCCAGGTATGCTAATCGTGACAGTCGTAGTAAGATAGATGGTAAAGATGAGAAGGAAATGCGGAGTGAACTCAGCCGGAGATGGCGAATGGTGAGCGACTGCAAACTTGCCTGTCGCCCGCTCAGTACCCAGGATACACGGGTGGTGGTCGAGGATATCCGCCGCCGATGGGAGGCGTGGGCGCAGCCGGTGGGCCTCTCACTCGACCCAGGACTGCATGCATCGGGGGTTCGTCCCTATGCATTCCTCTTTCTGGTGGTGCCAAAGAGCTGTCTCTTCTCTTCTTTTTCTTCTCCTTCGCTATGTGGCTCACAAACCCTCTATCCGCATATCCCGCGGCGGCAAACGGAGGTTCCACGACCCGCGATGAGCGTTCGTCCGGTAGTTTCAACTGAACCAGACCGTAGAAGTAATCGAGCACGTCTGGGTAACGGAGCACAGAGGCGCGCCAGTCGGCATCGATGCCCCGCTTTAAATCAGCGTGCGCCTCGGCGATCTGGCGCTGGAGGGTCTCGATGTATATGGGATGTATTGGCGGGTGACCTGAATACTGCATGTAAACGCTATAGTTGGGCAGGGTCGCGAGGTAGGCCGAGTGCTGGGCTTCGCGCGTCGACGCGAGTCGTTTGAACTGGTTCAGAATGTGCTGGCGCGCGTGCGATATCACCCAGTCTCTGTCCACAATAAGCAACCGTCTTTGAGCTGTATGGCAAATGTGAGGCTGCGCACCGTATCTCGGTCAGCTTCTCTTCCATGGCGCGGTTTTCAGCCTGCTTGACCGCGATCTGCAGGCGCTCCGACTCGCAGGGACATTCTGGATACGCGGGCGCATTACAGATTGCACAATTCGGAGCCGCATCCATCTCAGCACGTAGTCATGAATCAGTCGCTGCTGGCATTATTACCGAACATCCAGTGGGCAGAGTAAGGCCTGCGGTTGCGATGTCCCCAGCGCGGAGGTGGGGTCAGGGAGGGGCAAGCCGGGAGCGGCGTCGTGAGGCTTCGTGTGCTTCTGCGCCGTTTCACAGCACTCGAGGCGGTTCGGTGCCCTTAAGCAGAGCGAAGGCGGTGACTGAGAACATGATACACGATGCTTGTGGACACTGCATGCCTGCGGGACTCGGCTAGCTCTGCATGTCTGGGCCGCTTGACAACGGTGTAATGCGTGCAGCGATGCGTTGGCATTCGTCGCTAGTTCGCGCGGAGCTCTGACGGATAGGTAGCCTTGTCCAGCTTTCTCGTCGCGGGCGTATTATGGCGAGCCCCAGGAGATGCGTATGAGATGGAGTCTCATGGCTCGCGGCTTGCGTGTTGGGGCAGCAAAAGCTGTGGGAGACGTGAGCGGCCGTAGTATCCGTGCATGGGTGGAGGCTGAGTTGCAAACTCACATCGGTCCTCCTTGGGAACCACCAGCCAACGGACCTGCACGCGTTGGCAATATCAGAACTCCACCTAGATTTGCACGTAAGAGAGGGTCATGGTGAATCCAGCGAACAGTGCGCACCGGTCCTCTTATAGCGGACTGTCGACTGCGTCAGGCACCCACGTTATCACAGGGGCCAGCCACCCACACACCTGCGCCGTCGAGGCTGCGCTGCATTATTGTCTGCTGGGCAGACTAGTCTTTCAAGCATTATGCTCTATTGTCTTTCCATGTCGCGTAGAGATCACCACCGGTTCGACCGCATGCGGAACCACATCCAGGTGGTAGAATTTATGGAGAATCGCATCTTCAGTCACACTGAGCCCAGAATACTCCAGGTAGGCATGAAGCATAGTTGATTAACATTGCGCACTGCTAGATCAAAGCCTATCTATCTAGCGAATGTGGTATCCAAAAAATCCCGAAGCGCCATACGGGAAATATCACCTACCTCCCAACTTTGCTCTACCACGCTGCCGCACAACGCAGCTCATGCTGCCACCGTCCATGTGCAACACTCCCGGCGTTACGAGTCCCAGATGGGTCCAAACGCAGGAATACCTCGGGATTCCAGGCTGTACACAATCTTGCGCGTCAGTGCAGGGTTGCTAATCACAAACACCGATTCAGCCCCCGCTTCAGCATAGAGGCGGTATGATAGACCAACCATGTCCGGACGTCCGGATGTCTTACTGTCTATGGTTATGGCCTCGGGATCTGCTTGGCGGACGTATTGGACGATCTCAGAACCAAAGGTCTGCTCTGGTCGTGGTCCGGTCCACAATATGCGGATTGTCATGCGCCGATTTGGCGATGATGGACAGGCATGGCCCAATTCCAGATCCCGTCGTGACGATAACGACTCGCTTGAAAATGAGCGAGAGACCTAGAACGCCCGGCTTGGGCATTCCTTTGACCCAGTAGTAGCTTCGAGGCTTCTCAACTGCTGATTTGGTGCAGTCTCCTGCGCGAGAGACAATGATGGATCCTCCCTCCTGTGCCTTGTCTAAACATGGAAGTGTGGCAAACGGATGCCATTCCAGCAGCGGGGAGCTGGAGATGGCGATTCCGGTGCAAGGCCCAACTCTACGCTCGAAGTATAAACGAACCGCATGCTCTGTCAATGGCCACCGCCTTGAACTCGCAACGTCGCACAAACAGCCATGGGAGGATCGCGTGGATGGTGATCGGATCAATAACCAGAAAGATGGCTGCCGAACCAGGGCGTATGTAGCCGCAACGTGTTTTCCTGAGTCACTGTGTTAGCAAGCAGCCCAAGTTCAACCCAGAATAGCATGATCACCGTCCATCCAGCGAACCGATGAGATGCCTCGAAGATATTATGGTAATTAGCACGGAAGGTCGGGTAATTCAAGGCTACGATCAGGAGGAGTGAAGCTTGCATTATGCAGGTCACTATGAGAACCGCTTCCGATGTAAAATTGATCTTCGCGAATTAGACGGACAAGATGATTGTCAGGGCGACGAACCATAGTGTGCCTGCAATGCCGCAGCCAGACTGCACTCCACCGTTTTCGTAAAGCTTCGCGACGATACAACGTACCCGCAACGGTGCCGAATGCGGTGTCAGCCAGGCCGTATAGTACAGAACGTTCAATAAGTAGTCCTGCTGGGTCGCCGTTGCGACGAAGATGTTGGCGTTAGCGGCGGTTTCAAGGTTCCAGATGTTGATGTGAAGAATGTCGTTGGCTTTGGAGAGGAAGATAATCATGGCCACGGCGTTGGCGATGAACATAATTGAGAACTGTCGCCTGTAGACGTTCAACAATGTGTGGCGCAAGAGTCGGATTGCACGAAGTTGTTGTTTTGCGCGTAGTTTGAGCTTTTCCACAGCATCTGAGTATCCAACATGCTCGACATGAGGTTTCGAAGTGGGAGTGAAGTGCTGTCGCGGAGTGGAGGCCGAACTCTGAGGCTGAGTCTCCATGGTTCTGGCCTGTATCCCTCGCTTTCGCTTCAATTCTTCATGCATATTTTGGGGTCGCTTGACTGGCGGGTCAGATACATATTTCCTCTCGGTATCCTGTACTTATCGCTAACCTGATGCGTAGCGTGCTCGACAACGACGGTCTTCCTCTTCAAATCCCAGACGCCAATGGGGAAGATACTGGCTTCACATGCCATGCTTGGGTATTTAAACAACGCAGAAGCCGACCAGGAGATTTTCATTGTTGTTGTCTACATCTGTAGCACATCTGCAGAGAAGAAAATCTTCCTATCCTTTCTAAGTCTCTTCGAAGCGCCGGTTCCCGCGGTCCTTTCTCTTCAACTCAATCTCGTTCAAGAACACGGAAGACACCAAGCCCAATCCACTCATTCCGGCCATCGTGTAGAATATGGCTTTGAAAGATTCGAGGTAGACCCGCGAGACCTGGTCCAGCGTTGTAGCGGGGGCGTCCAGCGACCTCAACTCGCCAATGAAGCTCACAGCATTGGAGGCGTCCTTTAGCGACTCCAGCGGCCCCGCCAGCTCGACTGCACCCTCTGAAACGGAATTCGAGAAGACAATGTTGAAGATCGGCGAGCAGATCGCGAGGCCGACAAGGGCTCCAAACATGCGAATTGTAAGAAAGTTCGCAGTCGCTAAGCCCTCGTCGTCGACACACTTGACGCTTGCTTGGACCGGAAGCATGAGGAGGCGTAGCAGCGAAACTCCTTGTCCCCAGAGAATCGGAAGGCCGTACAGTATAGATGTCGAAGACCCCACGCCGAAAAGAGCCAGTAAACTGGTCCCCAGCGCAGTGATGACCCATGAGAGCCGAAGAAGCCATACATATCCTCCGAACATCGGGACCATCAGCATTGAGATGGCTGTGACTAGCACGCTTACGATGACTGTGGGCAGCAGGAAAACGGCTGACGATATTGCTGTCTTGAGCTGGACGGCTTGGTAGAACAGCGGCAAGTACTGCAGCAGGGAGATGAGGACCATGCCGTGGATGAAGCCCCCTACAAGGGCCATGTTTCCTGTCTTTGTTTGGAAGAGTCGGTGGGGAATAATGGGTGCCGCGGGCTTGGACTCGTACCAGGCAAATATGACGAGCATCGCAACTCCCAGGATCAACGGGAGGAGAGTTTGCCAGGATGCCCATGGGAATAGAGACCCCGCCCAGCTGACCGGTACGCAGAAGGAAGTTATTCCGACGATGACGAGTGGCATGCCGATCCAGTCAAGTCGCTTCAGATTGCTAGTGAGCGTCGCGCCGAGCGGAACGGCCCGAAGTCTGAGGAAGAAAAACAACAACATTGTCCCGACACCCAACAGTGGTAGGTTAATCCAACCGATCCATCTCCAGGAGGCATAGGTAGAGAAAAGTGCGCCGACGAAGGGGCCCATGATGTTGCCAACTGCTGACGGGATGGCCATCAGGCCCAGGTATTTCGAACGTTCCTCCAGCATCGTCATGTCCGCGAGGACGACAGACGCCAAAACGTCAATTCCTCCACCGCCGAGTCCTTGAAGGACGCGTCCGGCGCTGACAGTGATCATGTTTTGCGCAGTAGCAAAAACAATGGAACCGACGAAGAAGAGGCACACAGATGCATGAAGAGGGTACTTGCGGCCGAAAGCGTCGGAGACGCTGGCCCAAACCGGCTGCATGACGAGACCGCAAAGGCTGTAGCCCAAATTCGCCCAAAAGGACTCCAGACTCGTACCCTTAAGCTCTTTGGAGATGGTCTGCAATAGAATTCAGTATAGGATATGGGAAGGACGACAAGTCAGGCCGGTGTCTGGGCTCACCGGAAGCGCAATGCTTAGGCACGTTGCGTCCATTTGAAATACAAGAAGGATCAGGGCAAGTCCAGAAAAGGAAAGTTTAAAGGAGAGCGACTTTTTCCGCGTGGGCTGGGTCAAATCCTCTCCATTGTGTTCTTGAATACGCAGCTCTTCTTGGAGCTCCGTTACGATACCGGGTTTTCCTGGTTGTTGCAACAGTTCCCGATTCCCTCGACCAGCGGTCGTAGCGAGCGCGATGCTAGAACCGTTTTCAGTAGCGGAGTGGCTCATGATGGAAGTTGTCAAAGTTGTCGGGTCAAGCGAAGTGTGATTTGCGGCTGCAAGTAGTCTCAAATACTCTCCCGTGACCGCGTTTGGGACTTGGCATGCCTCTCGTACGACTGCCAGAGTGACGAAAACACTGCATTATGCCTACCGAACACCCGTACCGCGCTTGTAGAGACTCACACTCCAGGACATTGGGTTTGAGTCATTGAAGAGCAACCTTTTAATTGTGCCTAGCAAAGTCCTCAAGCTGTGGGTACCACCGTTCACCATGTTTTTCAAATATCTATGATGTGACAGATCAACAAGTGGCTGGCATGGTCAACCATGACGCTTCATCTCTGCTACCCAAATGGTAGGCACTGTAATTTTGCTGTAACTTGGTTGGAACTTACTAGCTTGCGTATATAGCACATTCCATGCAAGTTGGCTGAATTTCCGCAACGCCACACAATGTCTGCGCGCGTACAGTCTCTGCTGCAATCTATAACATGTCTGTCCAGACATCGGGCATCATCGCAACTAATATTCATCGCTATGATGACGCCGCCAAGTATAGACCCAGGAACCGTGTTCTTCGCGTGTTGAGCATAGTCAATATCTTCCTGGATCCGGGAACGAAGGCTTGGTATGTGTGGAGGATCAAGCAAAGACAAAAGTTGTGGCGTCGTATGAGTGAAGAAAAGAGAATGAGGTCCCTTGGAGGCACGACAGATAATGGCAACAAGCTATTAGAGTCCAGGTTTACAAATTGATAGGTAGATCCCGAGGCAGCCTTGCTATGATTTATGATCTACGGTTTATGCATCAGCATACTACACATAGAAGTTTTATTGGGCCCGAATGTTGGTTGGATGGCTGCACAGAAACTTCCATGGAAACGGTATGATTACCCATGATTGACACCTCCCTGGCTAGTACCTGGCAAGAATGCGCTTGATGTACCTGGCAAGAATGCGCTTGATGCCACGACCATGAAGAGTCACCAGACGTAGGACTAAACTTGCAGTGCCTCAGTGGTGGTTTTTGGGAACATCTGGATAAGACTTCCTAGGTCTGATGTGGGATGGAAGTCAGTTCTTATCTCTGGTAGTGTTGTGCTGTGCTGTTGGTGATATAGCCTCCCATCAAATCGACCAGCGATGTCATTGCGGACATTACGTGCTCACAGCAACTGAAGCCGCCATATTTGTCTGGGGGAGATGGCTTATCTTTCGAATGGAGGCAAGCATCATCCTACGACTGACCATCAGCATAGGCGATTTCCTTTTCGCTCTAAGGAAGAGTCATAGCGGTGGGCTAGGAGCGAACGCGAACCACGCCGACTACACCGAACCCGCCGAACGTGCCGTGGAAAGGTGATAGTCCTGAGCCGATATGATGTGCCTCTGAATCTTGCCTAATCTTCGAAAATCGAGAACAGATGCAAGAGGGGATTCCCACTGGACTCTTTACCGTTCTTCAAGAGAGAGACAGACATGTGAACAATCTATGTACTGTCAGTATCAACGCGTTGTAGGTGAGACGGTAGTAGCAACAGTCCCCTCTCTCTAGCGTCCAAACCTAGTCATCACAACACTGCATTCCTAGGTCAATTTTGTTACAAGTGAAGGTGAGTCAACGAACGTAAGGCCATACTTGCAAGCTATCAGAGAAACTCTCGCCTGCTCGCCATGCATGATCGGCTATGTCCGAGCGGAACGACTTCTGAATCCGTGCTACTGGTAAGCGTTAACCGTCCAACTCTTCGCATTGCCGGCAGACTCTTACTCGTCCACACCATCAACACACATGCACACAGCCCTTCATCAGCGCTCGTCTGCAATCGCGCGACCAGATGGCATTTCGTAACCCTGTCTGTAGATAATGTTGCTGACGGACGGCTGCGCTTACTGGATCCAGCCGCGAATAGATTTTCTCCAGACTTTCTGAGGGTCGCTAAGGCGTAGTCTACCGTTTTGCCAGATGGCCGGCGGGCGAATCGGAGGGATACAGGAGGGGCGCTGTGGGGTTTGTCAGCCGATGGAATGCCATGGTGCGGTGCGCTAGCTGGGCTTGGTGGTAGGAGGAAACAGTAAACTCGTAAGTTTTCACGTACTAATAACTAGATCACCGAGGCTCTGAGGGCAGCGCGGTACGAGATTGGATCGGTACCAAGCCAGACCTGCATCGCTTGTCGATACCTTCAAACATTCATCTTCGATGGCTATCAGCAAGCCGGAGTGACGGCGTCAACTTCGCACGTCGCTGGCTTGTTAACACAATATCTCACAGTTCGAAGAATGGGTTGATTCGGCGATCTCACAAACAGCCGTCTTACTCAGCCGAAACAAAAGAAGTTGTGCCGATGCCCGGATGGACATCGAAGGATCCGCCCCGAACTCCACGCCCTAGCCAGAGCTGCGCACAGACGCATGTCAATTCCACGCCCTGCGCTTGTCGTCTCTGCACCCGAACGAGCCTAGCTCGCTCGTCTCGAGGCAGCTGTGACTCCAATCTAGGACTCTTTTCTTACTCACATTGCACGCAGCACTGCGACATCTCTTCCATGCTCCAACCCTACTTTTGACGCCCTATCGTCAATTCCGCAGACTCGGAGGGCGTGCTTCCCTTGCAGGGCGCTTCGCCATACCATTTCCGCTCTTGTGCCACGGCCGACTAAAGTTTCCGCATCATGGCCACGCCCAACGCTCAATCCGACATGGCCCAATTCTTTGATTTTGGAGAGGCTTCTTCCATGATTCACGAAGTCGGCTCCCCGTTACCAAGCCGGCCAGCGTCTCGTGCCAGTAAACACCGGGTCGGCTGTCCAGCTTACGGCCAGGAAGGTGATGACGGGTAAGTCGTAGCTTCCACGTTTCTGTCTCATGTCACGGAGATGCGCAACACGCTCTTTGCGGGTTGTAGCCTGTATGGAATGTCTGAGCTTTGACACACCACCCTCGGTCGTATTACTCCGGGTCATCCTAGGCTACCCTGGAGCATATCATACAATGAATGAGAGACTTCCAAGGATGGCCGTGTTTTTCGCCTTCACACTCGATAAAATACCAAGATGATCTTTGAGATTGATTGTACTGACAAGGTTTAGCTGCCTTTGTGCTTCCTTCAACCAGGACATATCACTCCCGGATATACTCCATGATGACATCGCTCCCGAGGAGTTCAACACCGACTTCTCAAGTTGGTGAGTAACAACATATCTCACCGTATTCCCATAGCGTGCTCATTGATCCAGGCTCCCCAGATATCAGAAACCGCCCCATCCCTGTGAATACTGTCGATCAAAATCACTGGAGTGCTTCATCTATGATGCCGACAAAGGAAAGTCATCCGGATGCTCGCCCTGCAATGCATTGTTCCGTCCCTGCAGCTTCACCAGCCCTGAAAAAATGCCTATGCAAATGAATCGGACTGCCTTAGATACATTGCATAGTGTGGCCGAGGTCAGTGAGAGGACATTTGGAGGCTTCACTGGGAAGAAACCTATGCGTTCCCTCGGTCATCAAGGCCCGATTGAGGAAGATGAGACTGAAGGCAAGGGACCGAAGAAGGGTGCTGCGGCTGCCCGCTTCCCACGTGCTGCTGTCAAAATCCTGAAGGACTGGATGATCGCACATATCGACCACCCTTACCCAACCGAAGAAGAGAAGGAAGCATTAGGCCAGCAGACTGGTCTGTCTATGAGCCAGATCTCTAACTGGATGGCGAACACAAGGCGAAGGCACAAGGCACGACCGAAGCGAACTTCATCGCCTAGTTTGCGACCAGTAACTGAACCTGTCAATGTTCCACCGGGTCGAACCTGGGAGTCTCTGAGTCAGTATACCCCTTCCACCTCTACCTCTAACAATCAGGGCCGGTTCTTCAAATACCGCCTTGACAGCCCGAGCCTGCATATGCCGGTTCCGGCTGTAACTCAATCGCAAAAGAGTCAGAATTGACCGCAATCAGATCCCTTCGAACGATGGAAGCACTCCCCCCCTGAGAACGAACCGGCGCCGCTGCAAGCTATCGCTCACAACGTGGAGAATTTCGACTTCCCTGATGACGCCGATCGAAGCGCTGCGAGTAGCTACAGGAAGGAGAACTCGAACGACAGTACCGGCAGTTTCTCAGTCTTTCGCGCGCCCTCCATCACATCTTTGGAGACCGGCCTCACGATCCTCTCGTCAGGGTCCATTGGTTCGTCTACTTCCGCCACTTACTCACAAAGCTCGCGGCACTCTCTTGGTTCCTTCAGTAGCTTGAAGTCGAAGGAGAGGCGTCGGCGACGACGCATGCCAACTCGAGCGCTAAAACACGACTCTGATAGTGATGCACGTCTATTCCAATGTAAGTGTTCTCATCCGACATGTGCATGTCAAAGCATTCTCCGAAATAGTTTCCTTCTTTAGCCCGTCGTGTCAGCTATTATTATCATGCTCACTTACCCAGGCACTTTCTGCACTGATCGCTTCAAGAATAAGTACGACTGGACCCGTCACGAAAAGTCTCTTCACCTGTCTCTCGAGAAGTGGATATGTGCTCCACTTGGTGACGTTATCACCTGCTCTTCGTCTGGCCAGCGCAAATGTGTCTACTGTGATGAGGTAAACCCCAGCAATGCGCACTTGGAATCACACAACCACCTTGCCTGCGAAGAGAAGGGAATGGAGGCAAGAACTTTCTATCGCAAAGACCACCTCAGGCAACATCTTCGCTTAATGTGAGTATTCTGGCTCCAATAGACAGATTCGTACATACTGACTGCCAACCCTAGGCACGGCTGTAAAATGACCCCAAGCATGGAGGCTTGGAAGGCGGAAGCTCAAGTGATCAACTCGCGCTGTGGCTTCTGCGGCAAGACGTTCGACAAATGGCAAGATCGTGCTGTCCACCTCGCGAAGGAATTTCGCAATGGAGCTACCATGAGGAACTGGAAGGGTTGTAGGGGGTCTTGACCCGCATGTCGCCCAACACGTCACGAATGCCATGCCACCGTACCTAATCGCGAACGAGAGCAAGTCTCCGTTCCCATTCTCCGCCACCAACTCATCATCGATGAAACATCCAGGCATGAGCCTGGACCAACCCGATCTTGAGGTCCTGCTACCCAACAGCAACGACATCTCACCAAAGACGTGCAATTTCGCCGTAGACGAGTCTACTAGTACAGGAACCACGCAGCGCCCTTCACCACACACAACTTCACCACACCGTTCTCCTCATCCATATGCAACTTGCTGGGAGATACTCACGCTGCGCCTTGGCCGCTTTGCGCGCCAGCACATTGAGCAACATGGGTCAGGCTCAGTTACAGATGCAATGCTTCAAAGCGAAGCTCGACGCATTCTATACGACTCGGATGACGCATGGGAACAAACGGCAGCCGACAATCCGGAATGGCTCAATCTCTTTAGGAAAGCACACGGCATGGATCTCACCCAACCACAAGCGATCGCGGGCCAGTACTCCAACCACGAGGTGTTGGAAGATCTAGGCTTGGGACCCAATGCACAGCTCGATGAGAGCTTCAACCTCAAGAACTTTCATTGCATCTCCAAGAACTTTCACGACCCCCGTAGCACGCGCGCGTGCGTTCGAGTGCACATTGGCAGGCACCATGGCCATGTCGAAAGCAGGCGAAGTTTCTGTACCGATCACGCACATGCTCGGTGCCACCACGTCCGCACCTACATCGGCGACTTCCAACCTCCCTATCTCTTCCTTCACTGATTTTGGAGGCTTGGACCTGAACGCAACAATAAATGATCTAGAAGGTACGGGTGCGGGTGGTTTCTGCATCGGCGATGACGGCGAGTTCTGCACTACCTCGGCGCCTCTCTCGAAAAGTCATCCAGCCTTCATGACCCCTATCAACGAGCTGGCGTGCAACGCTTCCAACAATGCCATTGACCCGGATTACGGTTTTCCTGTGTTCAGCACGGCCGACCCTGACTTCGACATGACGGCGACATCCACAGGATTCGGATCAACCCTGGCTGCCACATCGGGCTTTAGCGACTCGGATCTGAGCGCAGGTGCGACGATAGATCAATCGCAGATGTTGCCGTGGGATGATACCGATTTGACGTTCAGCATGGATATGGACCTAGATATGGATCTTGGCATGCCTACCAGCTCAGGGGCGTGAGATTAATTGGTGAATTATGGAAAGAATGTTTGATACTTTGCTATATGGAATGATTGGGCCCAGTGTCAGCAGGTTCTAGTGGTCTATTGGCGCAAGATCGTCATCTCAATTTCTGGGGGATTTATACAAAAAGTCACGGCCGTTTCAACATGTCATGTAAATCGGATAGATAACGACACCACTTAATGATAATCAATGAGTTGTACCCGATTTGATTACCGAGCCACGTCCGTTATAGTTTTGATCATCCGCCAAGTAATGTAGGTTAACTACCATGGATGTGTCCAAGGGACTTCGGATGAAGTACTGCATACAACGACCTCAAAATCTCTCATGGACCACTTCACACTGCGCTTGAGACCAGATTTAATCACTGGAAGTCGTCCGCGAAGTTCGTATGCTGTCTCTGCGCTCTCTAAAACTTTTTGTATGATCCGACACGTGGCAGAATTGGTCGGACCCTTCGCACCACGACCAGACATGGTAGCTGAAAAGTGTGGCGGAATTTAAAACATGGTGTTTCCTTGCCTATGTTAAAAAGCTAAAAGCTTTAATGATTATGGGGGCTGACTTTTCAGACCCTTGTCAATTCTACTCATTGCTAACTTTTGGCCCTCGAAAGACGGGTATGAGGTGAAAGATGGTATGTGCGGGCCTTTCTCTAGAGAGACACAGCATGTTCCATCTATGGGAACAAATCTTTTTGTGTCCTTCTCAATCCCGCCAATGGAAAAATTTGGTGACGAAAACACAATGAGGCACAAGATATGGTGTGCATGCCTTTCCAAAAACAATTGAGAAGGATTGCATGTCGCGAGTGTGGTTGGATGCTCATTCCTCGACGCTCCACATCTCCTCCAAAGAACATGCCTCGTAAAAGTATGCGTTCAAAACTCGCCGTCGCCAACTTCATGGCTTCTCCTGTCTCGCTGCGGTCCCAAAATGGTGACCGCGGAGAATACGTATTTTGTGTCCCAATTAACAAACGGGGATGTCCGAGTCGTTACGTCGTTCGCGGAACTGCGGCTACAAAGCAACCTCCGAAATACCTCGCAATCCTCATTTTCTTTCGTATCCAGGACTAGCATTCTCTAATGGCTTGTATACTGGAGAGCGGTTTTAAAACCGACAGGAACAGGCAGGTGCTGCGTTGGATGGGATCATAAAACTAAGCTCCACGTAGTGTGCGTATGTCCACGTGATTTTGGCACTGCACTGAGGGTACCAAAAGCCATCAACTCAATGGGGCACGATGTAGCGGTTCTACAAAGCTATTGAGTGAAGCTGATTTGCTCGGAACGAGTAGGCTAGCATATATCTGCAGAGCGCAGAAATTCGCAATTAATAAGACGATGGCGATCTTTCAAAAATTTTTAAAAGCTGAATGCCTTTGGGCGATTTTACGGATCTCAATAATAGCAAGCGACATTCGCTTGGCCGTTCATATAGTATAATCATGAACACCTCGTTCGAGAAACGCCAAAAAGCTACTGCTATTAGCACTATGAGCCTTTGAGTCAAGGATAGACTAAGTTGGCATCAGCAAAGACAACAGAGAGTGCGTAGAGTTTGGCAAGTGGTGTGTCAGGGGCGAGAGAATCAACGAGTTGCGAAGGGTAATGTCGGTCGGAAATAGTGACCTGGGAGACTGCGCATCTACGCGATCCCCTGGACTATACTGAAGGGACGGGCAATGGTGGAACTCAGGGGTGTCGAACAGCGGATGGAAGATTCAAAGCTGCTATGGACACATATTTTTCGCAATTCTTATGGCCGATGTCCATTGGCGGGATGTCTTTCAGATTCTGGGATATGGTGGTCTGCGATGTCTAATGGCTCTTTACTACAAGCCCAGATGTGATCTGACTCATTTCTGATGCCCAGCTGTCGCAACCTGCAGAATTCCTTCTTCAAGTCCAGGCACATGAATGCATTCAATCCCGTGCTCTTCAAGCTTAGCTCGACCTTTGTTCTCGCCGACAAACTTCTCCGGCTCTTGGACACCCAGATACACTTTCGTGATCGCTGCCGCACCATCCTTATTCTTGGTCCTGATTATCCTATCGACGCAAGGCAAGCTCCCGCTGAGTCTCATATTGCAAGGCTCCATGGTAGTGTAGATAGCGGTGTTGGGCGGTAATGCCTCGCCAACACGCTCTTCGGGCAGATCGTGCGCTTGCGCGAGCTTGATGAGGCAGCATTGTTCAGCGTGAGTGTTACCCTCGACTTCCAACGTATAGCCACGTGACAGTACTTCGCCTGTCTCCAGGTCCACTAGTAGAGCGCCGACACAGAAGTTGGAGGGCTTTGGTGGTGATTTCTTGGCTTCCTCGAGGGCTTCCTGCATCAACGCCTTGTGGTCTACGACATCATCAACTATCTCTTGCTGTACCGGTCGAGATTCTGAACTTTGCAAACACATAGTGAAGATCCGTAGTGAATGTGGAAGCCAGTGTGAGAGATTGCGAAAAGAGAGAAGGCTGGTGCCTGCTGTGGCGGTGCGTGGTCTGAGCGTAATCCCGGCTAAAGTCCGAGGCCGCCTCTGTACGTGACGCGACGCGTTCTTGACTCCACGCGCGCTGACTTTCTCTTATCTTCAATACCGCAACGTTTAGTCACGAAGACTCACACAACATGGCGCCCCGTCAGAAGAAGTCATCACGAGAGCAGGAGGCAAAGGAGGATACGTTCATCCACGATGACGAAGAAGAGGACGCAGACCTAGAGGCAGACGGCCCACCAAGTATCGAGCCTTACGCCGTGCTAGGTCTGGATAAGGAGGCGACGGCAGACGATGTAAAGAAAGCGTATAGGAAAATGGCCCTCAAGCACCACCCAGGTATGCGCCCTACCGACAACACCAAGGCTATCACTAACAGCCACCAGACAAGGCACCCGAGAACGAGAAGGAAGCCGCGAACAAGGCATTCCAAGAAATTGCTTTCGCCTACGCCGTTCTATCTGACGACCGCCGTCGCAAGCGCTATGATGTCACCGGCAGCACCGCAGAGACGCTCGAAGACGATGAAGAGTTTGATTGGCTCAAGTTCTACCGCGAGCAGTTTGAAGATGTCGTCAACCAGGAGAACATTGACAAGATTGCGAATTCGTATAAAGACAGCGCTGAGGAGCGGCGCGATCTGCTGAATGTGTACACCAAGTACAACGGTCGGCTCGATGCTGTTTACGAGAATGTGATGCTGTCAGACATTTTGGAGGACGATGACCGGTTCAGGCGCGTTCTTGACGAAGAAATCGCCAAGGGCACGATCGAGTCATACGAGGAATACGAGCGCGAAAACAACGATGCAGCCCGCCAGAAAGCCAAAGCTGCAGAGAAGAAAAGGAGAGCGGACTTCGACAAGAAGGAGGCTAAGAAGCAGGCTACGGAGGAAGCAGCGGCAAAGGCAAGCGGCAAGCCGAAGCCGAAAAGCAAGAAGAAGGACGCGGGCGGCATGGGAGACCTTGCTGCACTTATCGCACAGCGGCAGAAGACGCGACACGGCAACTTCTTCGATCACCTAGAAGCCAAGTACGCGCCCACAGGACGGAGAGGCAAGAGGGCTTCACCAATGGACGAACCGCCTGAGGAGATGTTTGAGGCGATGGCGGCGAGAAAGAAACATAAAACTAGCAGCCGCTCGAAGAAGGCCAAGGTTGATGCGGACGCAGACCTTGCGGAAGAGGATGTTGGTGAGTCGGAGGACGAAGAAGAGGAGGCACCGCGCAAGTCCAGAAAGGCTGCGAAGCCACGTGCGAAGCGAGGAAAGGCCGCTGCTTGAGCGGCTGTTCTGGAGTAAGTAGTCTTCGAGGCTGCACGACTCGAAAAATACAACAGCAAAAATTCACGGATGGTTTGTATATTGCATAAGTTCTGGGCGTTGGACTAGGCAGCTGCTTCGGCTGAAAGGGACTGGTTAATATACCCGCTTTAGGTCTTCCTACATGGAATTCACCGTTCCAATGATCACGATGCATATTTTCGAAACTTTGTTGTTTATGACACCTAGACTGCTGTTGCCACAACACACCCCGTCAGTCATGAATGTGGTGACTAACTCTCGTGCTATACAGTCACGTACGTTATCGTGTCTCAGTCAATAAGTCTGATTAATTCCCTCACAAAGGTTCTGCTTAACACTAAACCCAACTTACCAGAACAGCTGCAGTACTGAAAGAGTCTTTATGTCAAAGGCCTTATCGAGGGAAAATATAGCTACAAGCAAACATTTTGAAACTATGACGAATATGCCACATGACCCTATGGATAGCTTCCTGCCGGGTCCTGATGTGAGTCTCTATCATTGCGCGAATTTCTGACGATCAGTAGACTGAACGGCATAGGCAAGCATCGACGATCGCCTTGCGCTCAGCCTAAAGGAACCTTATTCGCGACAAGATGCAGAAGAGGCCATCGATTTCGAGATGGGGAGAGAAGATACAGCCTGGTCGATGTTCATGTCTCTGCCACCAAGCAGTCCAGCCTTACCAATTGAGGAAGCCCAATCTGAGCAAGGGAATCTAGATACTAAAATTCCTGCATGGCCCCATACAGAATATGTAGAATCGGATTTGATCACGCACAATCACGGTGAACAGGAGAAAACAAACAACGATCATACTTTGCCGGAGCTGTTCAAGGTCGAAGAAAATGCTCAGAGAAACTCACCGCTACCAACAAAAAAGTACGAGCAAGTGCATTTACGAGACGCGAAGCAACTGCTGGCTGAGAAAGCAGCGCATCGGAAAAGAAAGAGGCAGAACAAAGCCATGCGGACTTCTACCCCGCGAAAGCGCGCTTGCGGTATCTCGACATCCCTAAACAAGCGGGATGTGAAATCTGCCGAGCAGGTACGTCCGAGTCCAGTTGTACCCGTCTCCCACTGAACCCTCAACTAGCGCACTGGATTCGATGAAACAACATACCAAAGTATTCCAGTGTCTCAAGAGCGACACGACCCTGCCAATATCACACAACCATCCCTCTCGAACACTTCCACAACAACCCCTTTCCTCACGACCACCGAATTATCCACAGATCCCTCCCTCCTCCCCATCCCCCTAGGATCCAGCACGACCTACTACACCGCGCAGCTCTCCTCCCTCACAGACTCTATGTTCAATACCCTCTGGCAGGACTGTCCTCATATCGACGTCCTGGAGACCAGCTTTTGGGAGTTCGTCCAGGCTCAAGTAGCAGCGTGGCCATACGGGAAGTTGAGGATTCTGGCGCATATGGGGATTGTGCCGGGCTGGTGGTGGGTGAGGGAGTGGGTGAATGTTTTGATTGTAATGGCGGGCTGGGGGGTAGATGACCGGGAGATGATGGAGAGCTGGATTTGGCATGAACAGAGGATTCAGAAGTGGAACGAGGGCATGGGAGATTGGGGGTGACGGGTAAGGAAATTGATAAGGTTGGATAGGGTTATGAGTAGTAGACGGGCAGATATGCGCGTGAAGAAGGAAAGGCTGGCCTTTGTTTATCAATTTAAAAACTTCAGTGTAAATCGTCATGTGTAAATATGCTGTAATGATTCTTCGAGCATCCATGTCGAGTGCACACGTGCGGTTTGATAGCCATGTGCGGCTCATTCCGAGATCGTGGCGCGATCCTCGATTTCCACCCGCATCTGGGGAATGCGCGATCTCTTAGCGCGTTGTGTACCCGGATAACGTCATGACTTTAGACAATCGAGCGCGTCAGCGACAAAACAACCGAATAAAAGATGGCATATGCTATATGCTTAAAATCATTACATTTGCCACAGTCACCCTACAAATGCAATCCCTCTTTCCTCGAACTTGCGCAAATACCCTACGAACATCTACAAGACCCATCTCATCAGTACAAAGAAAAGCGTTCTCGGTAACCATGTCCACCGGCATCCCGAACGTTTCCTCGAATTTGAACCTCGAGACGAAAGATCTTAAGACAGCGCCGGGCGTCTCACTGAACGAGAACCAGTCCACCATCCTCCGCTCCATCCTCGATCTCTTCGCGGGTAAACCTAGTTTACCTAAATTGGCCCTCTGGCGCGACGATGCCACCTTCACCGACCCCATCACCATCGCTCAGGGCCGCGACCGCTATGCTGCGCAGTGGTACGGCCTACAACAAGCCTTTTCCGAGATCGAGCGACTGCACCATGAAGTCACAGATGCAGGAAACCCCATATTGATGGACTTGAAGACGCGCTACGTGATCAAGGGGATCAACAAGGAGCAGACGATCAACAGTGTGGTGGCGGTGCACTTGGATTCCGAGGGCAAGGTGCAGAAGGTGGAGGACAAGTGGGACGGGAAGCTGCCTGAGGGAAGCATCCAAAATGTGAGTTCTCTCTTTGATTTGGCCCAGCCAACATGGTGGATCAACTATTATATTGCGTGGGGATTCTGGATCTGGAGCTTCACATGGGAGACGAGGGTATGGAGGGTGGGTGTGCTCCCATGCCGCATTTGTCGCTTGTGTATGAAGGTAGAAGAATATGACCGCTGACATTTATGCGCAGGCTTTCCGGCATCTGAACGCAGTCACGGTCCCAAAGATGGTCTCTGTGCCGAAGAACGAGGAGGAAGATGCGAAGAAGGGAAATTGAACTAGGTGGTTCAGCAATCTCCCAGACTGTGTTACGAGTCCAGTCCATGTTGTGTATGATATGTCTTGGAGTTACTTAGGGTGAAGCGCGTTACGAGTCCGCTCGCCCACTTAGGTAGCATTGTAGCATAAGTTCAACTCGTAAATTGTTACATTCATGAATATCGTACCCAGTAACGTATCAACGTCATCAACGTCATAACCAACGGAACATCCGCGCGATAGCCAATTGCATTGTGAGAAATGCGCCAAACAGGCCGAAACCAATTGGTGTCCAGCTTCTCGAGCTCCCGTTCACTATCAGTATCGTGCCGCACTGTCCTTGCGTGACCACAGGCAGACCAGGCCCGTGCATCGTTAACGTCTGACAGAAACCAGCTGCAGCAGGTGGTGCGGAATAAGCGTTGGGGTAGTATGTCGTTGTTGTGTACTGCTGCGGGTATACGGTCTGTTGCGCCTGAGCGGTAACCGTTACGGTTTGCACATATGGTACGGGTCCAGCGCAATTGCTCCCAGCAGGGCAGCAACCAACGTAACCGTTCGTATCCTGCTGCTGAATGCACGAGCATCCTCCTGGGCAACACCTGGGGTTAATCAGCCTTGACATGGACCGATGGATTTAACTTGCTCACCAACTTGGGTGACCTTGGTCACCACAATTCAAAGAAGCCTCAGCCGGACATGAACCTTGCGCCGGCTGGCCGTTTGGATTGACGATATAGATTGCGCCTGAAAACGGCGCATTGTTAACATAGCTCTGCGCTTTTGCGAACGCTTTTGGAATCGCTTTTGCTTCAGGCCGAGGTTCAGGTACTGCGTGCGTGATACATGTCTTAAATACGACCGGGAGGGCAAGAATGACTAGTCGCAATCGCATATCGCAGGGCTGACGAGACTGATGAGTAGAAGCGAACAGAAAGACAGTGAGAGATTGCTAGGGTATGCGCTATCTCGGCTCGCAACAGTTGCAAACAGCTCTTCTAGCTGTGGAAGGTGATCAGCTTCGGGGGTAAGTACTGAGGGCTTCGGGCGGGAAGTTGCGGTGGCAGCCGTAGTGTCTTATGACCTTGACCGGTAGTTGTTTAAGCTCGAGAGAGCATGGCTTACCGGGCACTCCAAGAAAGGTGGTCAGCCTCGTAGGTCATGACCACTCGACGCCGGCTGGTGGGGTGGCCGTTGACATGTTAGCAAACCTGCACACTTGTACTCGATAGCTGTATCGATTTGGCACTCAGCCAGGTAGTACCCGGTATCCGGCACGTTGCGAGCCCAACTGCACGGCGACTAAGAAGAAAGCGACCAGTTGATTGATGGGGAACAGGAAGAAAAAAGCGGTGTTGAGGTGGAATTGAGCTGCTGTTGACCAGGAAGCCTGGTCGGGTGGATACTGCAACCCCTCATTCGGGCATGTTGGCACCGGAAAAGAGTCTATCGTGGAAGGCTTCTGTCGAATGCCTTGCTTTCGCTTGCCAAGCTGATGGCGGTCCTTGAAGCGGCTCACACGGATGCGCGGCGCTGCATGTTATTGCGCATGTGCTGTGGTCATCTTGCAGCAGCGTGAGCTCAGGTGCAGTGTGGGTCTTCCCGCTTACCCGCGCTCTGGTCCTTATTTGGACGTCACGTTTCTTCGCGAAAGCGCTTACCTCTCGACGCGTCGCCTGCTTGTATCCCACCAGCATCAACTACCGCATCATGACATGTCAACGCAGCACCCTGCACCAAAGTACAGACTTTATCCAGCCTGGTGCTTCCAGGCATCGCCCACCTATAATGACTGGGTCAGAATGACAGCAGCCGATGTGCAGCTGCTACGCAAGGAACCCGAATTCACGAGTACTTTCGCCACGCACGTCTCACCGAGATGCTCGCTGACACACCAGGCCTAGTCCCGCACACATATTACTACCTTAACCACCCTATACGATACATATATCTCGTTGGCGTTGTCGTAGCGATCGATGACATTAATCTGAGGTACACCACACTCACGCTCGACGATGGAAGCGGCGCCACCCTCGAGGTTAAGATAAAGCGCCTTCTTCCGGAGATATACAATCCTGTCGATAACCCATCAAATACGGAGGTCGACAATGTGAATGTCCTTAGTGGCTTAGGACGGTTCGATGTCACCGTGGATGATCAGATTGTGGACATTGGTAAGACCATAAAGGTTAAAGGCATGATCTCTGAGTTCCGAGGCTTTAAGCAGTTGGAGCTGAAGAGAATCTGGATCGTATCGGCCACAAATGAGGAGGTCAAGTTCTGGGAGGCTCTAGCTACGTTCAAGAAAGATGTCTTGGGCAGGCCGTGGCACCTCAGCAAAGCGCAGGGCGAGGAGATTAAGAAATCAACCAAGAATGAACAGAAGAAAGCAAGAGAACACGAAAGGCAAAAGTTGGTGCACGAGGCCAAGAAGAAGGAACAACGGAAAGCGCGCGCGGAGTACCTGGCGCAGAGAGAAGCCAAGTACGAGATACGGAGGCGAAAGGAAAATATTATGATGAACGCAGGAGCTTTGATATGAACGCCTATTCTTGCGTATGGTCTTCACACAAAAGGAACATTCTTCGCCGCTCCATCAACCTTCCGCAACGTCTGTATCGCTTGTGCTCCCGTTAACCTTTGCACCCAGTTCGTGACCGATGTGTCGACATTGCTAGCCATACAGCCTCAGAACGGACAATACCTTGATGTTGAATAGCTTCACCATGGCGACGTCGACGTGTATATTCTCTAGTCCGGCCGCAAGTAGACCTCCCTTCATCTTTCAGGCTATCGATCTCCCACCCTCTGCAAGCCGGTTCAGTCAGTATTCACTGCCTTCCTTGGATCAATGACAGGCACGATGCATAACATCCTGCAAGCTCTTGGATATTGCTCTTGCATTTGCCTGAACCGACCTATGGGAGTTTAGCCACTCGAGAAGGATTTGGTGACCGTGCCGCAAGCATGCATACCGAGGCGCTAACTACTACGCTTCATCGTACCTGCATTGCAACACTAAGCGCCCATACACCACACCAGCATATCAAGTACAAGGAGTTGATCCAATTAAGATGGATTACGAGCTTCTCGGCGCGTATGACAATACTGTCGCACAGCCAAAAACCGGCTTGCGACAACGAAACACTGAGAGTCGTGGTATCTCCATCCCATCTCGTGAACTCATTGCCCAGCGCCATTTCCAATGTCATTCCTCCCAAGAACACACAACAACGAGATCAACAATACCGGCAATGGCATCCATAATACTCGCTACGACCAATCCTACCTCAAGGCTCACCTCGAATCCTATTCCATGAAACCTGTCTCTCCCTATGACACCCACGATCCCAATGAAGCGTTCTACAACAACCCTGAACCGAATTTACCTTGCAATAATCCAAAAGACCCGTTAGAATACGTCCCGCTTAAACGACCGCGCTGGATCCGCGTTCTCAAGCTCGAACCAGGATTCGTCTATATGAAGATCCGCGTTTCACTCCTCCACCTCAACCTCGACGATCCGTCCCATCTTCCCTACGAAGCTATAAGCTACACCTGGCGCGCATACTACTCTTTCGAAGCGCACAAGGATGACTGGAAGGAGGACATTATCTGCAACGGCCGCTATGTACGCATAACGCGCAGCCTTTTCCACGCTCTATCAGTGTTCAGACGGACTGATCGCGCAAGGATCATCTGGGCAGACGCGCTGTGCATCAATCAGGAAGACGAGCAAGAGAAAGGACACCAGGTCGGGCTCATGCAGCAGATATACAAGCGCGCGTTCCACGTGCTGATCTGGGTTGGGTATCGATGGACGAAGGTCGTGAAGGAGAGTATGGATCTGGTGTGTGGGATCGTGAACCAAGAGTATTCGACGGAAGAAAGAAGAGGTGTTGTAGCGGAGTGGTACGATGAGCCCAGTATTCTGGAAATGGATGATGTGGCGCCTCCAAACCCGGATTCTCCGTCGTCTCTTTACGCAGAGGACATTCCAGAGCAAGAGGAAAAAACAAGACTTGATGCGCAGAATTTGAAGCCGCTGAAAGATCTGTTCGAGGCGCTGTATTTCTCGCGGTTGTGGGTGTTTCAAGAAGTGGCACTGAGTCCGCTTGCGACTATGTGCTGGAGTCAGGCGCGCGTTCGCTTTGAGTGGGTTGCCCTCGTTGCTGATCTAATATCGCGGAATCCGGAATACCTGAGTGCTTTCTCTATTTATGAGGAAGCGATTGATGGCTTACAGAATTGTGCCAACATGTATAATGCGTGGAGGGGCAAATACGCCGAGACCCCATTTTTCGACCTTCTACTTAGTACGCGAGCGTTAAAATCAGGTGTTGGAAGGGATAAAGTTTACGGATTGCTGGGGATCAAGACGAGTGATACAGATCCAGAGAAAGATGTTGTGTTCATCAAGGCGGACTATGCGATCGAAGAGCGTGAATTATGGAAGAGTGTTGCGCTCAAGATCTTAGTCGAACAGGGTGATGTGAGGTGTCTGGCTGCTGTCAATCACCTCAATACTCCGACTGATTCCCCGTCGTGGATTCCGAACTTTGCAAACCTCTCTGAGTTATTCCTCCCTTTTCTTCACGCAGATGCGCACAATCAAGTAGAAAAGGCCTGTGTATTTCTCGACCCATTCTGTCGTATACCAGATTGTCTTTCCGTGGAGGCCAATACAATCGATTCGATCGTGTCAATCATCAGGCCTGACTTCGAATTTAACACGCACTGGCGCCACATCTCAACCTGCATGCAACTGCACCGACTGATACGCCGTCTCGAATCCACGTTCTCTTGGGACACGTTAGCCCTGTGCCTCACGCAAGGCTTTGACTTCTCCTTCACGAAGGCAGTGACTGATATCACCAGCCACATCGCTGCTCTACGCGCCTTCTACGCCTGGGGCGAGGGACCCTGCCTCACTAAAGACGATCTCGTCATCCCTCCTTCAGACACAGCGACCGACGATGCCAAGGCGGCTTATAACTTCTTTTGTGCTTCTGCGAAAGCCGTTCAAGGGAAGTGCCTGTTCATCACAGAAATGAGGACACTGGGTATTGGGCCCGGACATCTGCGAGGAGGATGCACTTTAGTATCTGTGCATGGATCTTGTGTGCCTTTTGCAGTGAGGAGCGTGAGTGCCGATCTCGAGAAGGAGCATTGGAGGCTTGTCGGTCCGTGCTATGTACCAATGGCAGACGGCATGTCGCTCGCGGATCGGAACGTGGTTCCTGAAGGGAGGGGAGACACGCATACGCTACACATTCTTTAGCATGAGGCAGTTCTTATTCTCGCATGTGTGTGAAAACATGAGTGCATATGTGTGTAACTGCGTTAAGGGCTGCGTCGGTACTATTTACAACCTTGGAAGGATCGAAATATTATCGTTTGCACAAAGAATATGCCACCTCCCACGGCGCTGGAATAAGAGATCAGGAACTATTAACAAATATATTTACTATAGGTAGTGAAGTATTGGCTTGATCTTGTTGAACTCGACTTTTTGGGCCTGGTAAAGCCTAAAATAGGGTACTAATCTGTTAAAATAAGTGTACTAGAGTAAATAGACTAATACTTCACTCCCTATAGTAAGTATATTTGTTAATAGTTCCTGATCTCTTCTTCCAGCGCCGTGGGAGGTGGCATATTCTTGGCGCAAAGCACCGATATAAGACGCGATATATACAACGATTCATCGTTCCCAACAACACTTATGTGCATGTGCTCATACGCGCCATAGCTGCCAATTATCGCGATAGGTTCCGTGTATGTTTATGTAAATATTTGGAACACAACGGACACACCACCATAGTAGAGTTGTAGACCTGACCCAGGGACCAAGACGGAGGTTGTTCGAACGTCTCTGATCCTAGAGGCGGCAGTGGGCGCCCATCAGGAGTTTGAATCTAGATAAGTGGCGCTCACATGACCAACCCCAATTTGGGAAGATAAGTAGTGGCTGGCAATATATATACTGACTCAATATTGGTGTAGAGCGTGGGTTCTGTGGCTCATTGGGGCAAAGGATCAGGGCGAAGATGGACCTTGGTAGACCAGATAGGCCCCACTAGAGAAGGTTTGCAGCGGGATGTTATTTAGAGATGGAACAGTGTGCGGGGAAAATAGTATTTTTGAAACCCACAAACGCCTATTTACCCTACTTCTCAGACTTCAGAAACACCTTGATCTCTTGCTCTCAACTCCATCCTTGGCGTCATTCGCCGCTCTTAGTAACAAAGGAAGGAAGGCATCAGGAGGCTAAAGAAGGCGACTACCCAATGCATAATCATGATATGGAAGTAGTCTCGACGTGCCATGAGGCAATGTAGACTATGTGGATACTAACATAGCATGGCGCAACGATGTCGACTTGTTTATATGATTTATATCCGCTCTACTGTGATTGAACGATTCGTCCAATAGAAGGCGAAACAACAACATTCGTGCACAGGACTACACCATTCGAGCATCTTTCTCAGACGGGAAGTTTTGAGGACGTAGAACAGCGAAATTTGTGAGGGCCACACACGCTCAGGTGCACTGGTCTCCAATCTTCGTTATGAGTACATTTGGAATCTAGAGAGGATTTGAGTTCAGTCTTCCGCTGGTATCGGGCAAAGGAATACACTGAAAAGCTGGTCCAACGGTTCGAGTAGCTGCACCTGTCCAATAATAGCAGGTTTAGCAAGCTCTATCAGGGCAGATAAACTCACCCTTGTCGCCCACTGTACGAACTGCTCCGCGTTGAGACTATCTAGGTTTCCATATTCCACATCTGCCGGAGGTTCGGTCCATCGAGGCGGCAAAGCAGCGACGAGGTGCTGGAGAGGCTTGAGCTGCGATACAGACACCGCATTTTCACTTTTTGCGTTTCCTACAGGCTCTAGTCGCTCGTCTAGTGGTTCAAAGTAAGACACCGGGCGGCGCGGGACGCAGTCCTTGCCGTGAATGGCAGCAGGGTAACCTAGCTTGCAGGCCACGGCGAGTACATCGCCCTGCGTTGGTATACCTGTATGCGGTCTCAACAATGCCGAGTGGAGGAACGTAAGTCGTTTTTTATCGGGTCGTTTGCGGATGCAGTCATGCGATACACCTCCGCTGGCTCCTCCCTAGGCTTGTTTGAATGTCTTTCGGAATCGATCGGTCAGTAGCGAGATTGCGCGGCAGAACGATGATTCAGTCAGTCTGACAGGAGCCGAGAATGGAAAGTGTGCGTGTGCAATGATGAATGTCTCAATCAGAGAAGCCGCGGGTTGTATGACATTTATTTTAGATGTGTGAGCTTTGGTGAGGCAGCGAATCATTGTTTGCAGCTGTATCTAGTCGTCAGCAGTAACGTAGAGCTCTGCTACAACTCCTAGGAAGTACTCAGGCTCCGGGGATTCGAACGCGGGCAGCCATAGGTTGTTCCCTTCCTTGAAATAGTTGAGGAAGAGGAGTCGAATGTCATCTAGAGGCGATCAGTTGAACCGTAACATCGAAACGGAGGGACACATCGTACCTGGCATGACGCTCCAATCCAATGCTCAAGATCCTCCGCTGCATTGGCATCGTTGGACCGCCAGAACCTACGCTTTCGCGAAACTTAGCGACGTTCAATCGGGTATTGTGAGGATGGAGCAAAGAAAGTGAAGGTCGAGACTACCTGAGACGAGAACGCAGGGTGCATACTTCTCGTTGCCTGAGGTATGGGGCGGTGGTGAGGCGGTGGTGTTTCATCCTCGAGCTCAAGTGCTTAGCTCAAGCTGGTCTAGCGTGACAAGTTGACACTCGTGGATCTTAAATATATAAGGATATGTACTCGCTGGATATGGCATAAAGACGAGAGTCTGCTTGTGGCCCCTGTATTCCTCCTCGCAGTATGGATCGTTTACTCGCATACTGCACGTAGCGATCTTGGGGGCGGCAGTGGTGCAACGATGGCTTCATTAATTGAGCGCGTCGAAGATGTGCTCAGGTCCCGCGGCCAAGCACATCCGGAAATCGTTGTTATGGAGAAGTTCAGCTACTACTAATGAGTCAATTGCCTGTGTCTGTTTTTTTTTTTTTCCCTCTTCCGGCGGAGGCCAGAGCGACGGCGCGAGAATGCTAGGTATACCTTAAAAAATAAAATTTCCGGTTCATCCATTGATCTACGTTCACTCCAGGACTCTCACTTGATGCTGCCTCAATTTGGAAGTGTTTCCGTGGTTGCGAAGCGTGAAGCGTGGTTTGCGGGTCTTTGCAGTGTGGAATTTTCCTGAACAAAAGATTTCTCATACGTGGATGAAGGTTTATATGGAATGGAGACAAGGAACTTTGATATTACGTCGATTGAGTTGTCTCAGGGGTATCAACCAATTCTATCCCACACTACCACTTAACCTCTCCAGCAACTCCGTTTGCGAACCCGCAGAAGGCTTCCGCCCCGCTCTTCTCGCGGCCCTCTGCTCCCTAGCACTTATTTTCGTTGATGCAAGTTGGGCTGGCGCGACTGTTCTAGTAACCGGTCTCTCGACGGCTTGATCCATAACCTTATGGGTCTTTATCGTCCTGATGGTCGGGCCTTCTTTCTTTGCTCGCTCGACAGCACTCTGGTCGGTCCGGAACTGGAACCCCATCGCCTGTAACATGGCGAAGCGCACAGCATCGATGCCGAGTCTGCGCTCGTCGACGAGCACTTCAGAACTGCAAGCCAGAATCTCGCCAATCGCGCCAGCGCCATTGGGTGGCTGGATCTCTTCGCGGAGCTTCTCCATCGTCTTGCGCAGTCCTTCCATTGTGCCTTTTGGCTTTAGCTTGTCCAGGCGCTTGCCGTCAAAGCGCTTAATTGTCTTCGCTTGAGGTAGGTAGATCTTGTCAACCTTGGAGAGAATGACTTGATGCGAGATGCCGCCTAGCCGCAACGAAGCAAGAAGTGAGCGATCCTTATCCTTGACCCCATGCTGGGCATCGATCAAGACGAAGACCCGGCGAAGCTGCTTGCGGCCCTGGAGATACTTCATAATCTCTTGACCCCATTCAGATAGCGAGCCTTCTCCGTAGCCGGGCATGTCCACGATGGTAATGCCGCCCGTGCCAACGATCTTCCCGTGCCCGCTTGGTTGCTTCTTGAAATGTACGCCGCCCTGTGGCCCTAGGCCGTAGAGATTCATTGTCTTGGTAAAACCTGGCGTGGACGATGTGCGCGCAAGAAGCGCTTTGGTGTCTGCATTGACGATTGCGTTCAGTAAGCTGCTCTTACCAACGTTACTCCTGCCCACGAATGCTATCTCAGGGACGTTGCTGTCAGGAAATGCGCGGAAGAATGCTACTGACTGCAGGAATTTCGGCGACGCATTCTTTGTGAAGAAATGCTGTGCCTGTGTCCTCTGCGTCATTGTAGGCGGCATGGTCTCCCAGTACCAGTTCCAGTCTTGCAGTGCACCAAAATGTAAGGAGGCATGGCTCATAGGTTTCTCAGGCGACCATATCTTTACCGGTGGCGGCGCTTCTGAAGGTTCCGATGGCTTGAGAAATTCGAATTCTGCTTCCTCCACCTTCCTGGACGCTTGTCTTCCGTGGATAAAGGATGGTGTCTTCGTACTCACGGTGACCTGCGGTCGCTTGCCTCGTGTCATTGTTCGGCGTGCCTCTACCGGCACATGTACGGGCGGCGGGTCAGGCAGCGGGACGTTGTGTAAAGGGAAGTGGTTCCTGGGTGTAGAATAAGGTATTCGTTTTCCTGATCGCGCGACATATTGGCCGTCATCAAGGTTGACTTTGAGGCCGGACTCCCATGTTGGTCGCACCGATGCTTTTGATAGACCATGTTCTTCACCAATTGCTTCTTCACTCTTGCTGAGCTTCTTGTAATGTTTGGCGATGCGAAACGAGGGTTCATCGGGTGAGTCGGTGGAATTGTACCGCCGTTGCGCGTGAACAGCACGAAGCTTGGGAAACCTGGTACATTGTACGATGTATTTTATGCAGCTCTGACATATGTACTGCGGTCTCGCGGGCAGCGAAGCCATAGTTGATGAATGTTGAAGGGACGGTGGTTCGCAGCTTGTCGCAAAATCCACGGCGGGCCCAAGCTCTCTCCCGCAACTTTTCGCCGCAGACACCTCCGCATCTTCACCACCCTAACCTACAATCGCCAGGTCGCCCAACCTTGACTTGGACCGCTCAATCCACTGTTCAACCACCTGCAATGGCTTCGTCAGCGCCCCATGTTCGCTCCCTCTACCGGCGCATCCTGCGCGAACTTCCCACACCTACTTCCACCACTTCATCAACCCGGTCCGCCAGCACCCCACCCAAATTCCGCTCGAGCTCGCACCAGAAGCTCTCGGCGCCTTCCACAATTCAAAAGCGCGTACGCGACACATTTGTAAACGCGAATGGAGCGGGTCAGATGGCACAGGCGGAACAATTCATACAATACGTCCAGGCGCAGAGGATGTACGCGACGCTGATTGAGCGGTACAATCCAGGAATGGGAATGAGTGAGGAGGAAAGGGTACGATTAAGTGCGAGAAGGGTGGGTGTGGATCTGCCGACTGAATATGGAAAGGGAGAGCAGTGAGGGGAGGACGATGCGAGGAGCTGGGCAGCATAGCAGAGAGGAGCAAGGGCACAATAATTGAAGAGGCAATGTGTATACCAATGTACATCCTTAGCATATAAGGGCTAAAAAACATGGGCCAGAGTAGACCCGTTTTTCTACCCGTCACGAGAACAGGTTCTGTATGGCGCACGTGCCTCTGGTGAAAGGGTATGGTGCTTCCATCTAAACGCCGAAATAACATCTAAACATTCCGCCAGATATCCCGCTATTGTTTTTTAACGCATGAGGCCATGATCATTTCAAGCATGTGCTGCTCTGCTTCAGTCAAAGGTGGTTTCCGGCCTCAAGATGCGCGACGACTAATCTCAGGATCACGACCGCAACCTCGTCCAAGGCCACGCCCTTCGCCTCCTCGTCCACGGTAGCCGCCGGACTCTCGGTGATCTTTCCGTCCATACTCTTGATCAGGCTTATGCCCGCGTCCTACAAGACCAAAGGATGGTTAGTTACCGATTCCAATGCCAACAATATGTTTTGCAACGCATCAAGAAGCAAGTTAGTCGTCGAACTTAATACCTTTGCCGCCCGACGTGTCAATCATACCGCCCCTGTAAGAGCCCCTCTTCTTCTTGTTCTTCTCCTTCGTGAAACCCTTGCCCTTGGTCACAATCAAGTCGGCGTGAGCGCGGTCCGCGTAGTCATAGGATACGTAGTCATTGCTGGCGAAACGCGGGTCCACGGCCGTTTCTGGCTTGATGCGCTGGAATCGATTCTCCACGTGGTTCTTCTTTTTGGCCGGACCGTTTAGCGCGAGTGAGTCGGAGTCGGAGGCCTTGCGCTTGTTGCCAGTTGCGGGTGCGGGAGAAGCAGGTCCAACGGTCGCGCTTGAATCGCTCTTCTCCTCTTTTTCGGATTCAGAGGAGTCGCTCTCGGAGGAGCTGGAGTCGCTGCTGGATGATGAAGAGTCTGCCTTCTCTGCGGCTTTCTTCTTAGTCATCTTCTTTGGGGGAGCAGCATCCGAGTCGCTGTCGGACGAAGAAGAGTCTGAGTCGCTCGAGGAATTAGAGCTTGAAGATGAAGATGAAGATGAAGAGACAGATGCCGCCTTCTTTGTTTTCTTGGGCTTCGCCTCCGCCTCCGAATCGGAACCAGAGTCGCTGTCGGAGCCGCTCGAGCTTGAGTCGCTCGAGCCACTTGAGTCACTTGAGTCGCTTGAGTCGCTTGAGTCTGAGCTGTCGGAGTCGGGAAGCGGGATGTTCGCGGGTTCATCTTCGGAGTCGCTATCAGAATCGCTAGCCGAAGACGAGGACGAAGCAGCGGACGAGGAAACAGAGACAGATCGCTTGGTCTTCTTGACGGCAGGCTTAGCCTGCTCGTCCCCTGAATCCGAATCGGAGCTGGAGTCGGAGGAGGAATCGGAGCTCGAGCTGGAAGCGTCAGAGTCGATGCCCTTCGCAGCTGCCTTCTTCTTCGGTGCCTCCTTGTCTTCAGAGTCGCTGCCGTCGTCGCTGGAATCGCTGCCGGAAGCGCTGCTGCTATCGTCGCTGCTAGCTGCGCTCTTCTCGTCTACATCCATAGCACTAGACGTTTCCTTGGTGTTCTTCTCCCATTGCTCGTAAAGCGTGGTGAGGTTGGGCAGATCTTGGGGAGACGCTGCGCTCACGACGGTCGGAGCCTCAGCCTCAAGCTTGCTGGCAGCTTCGGTATATCCGTGCTCGCTCAAGAAAGACTGGACGAGATTCAATAGCGGACCGGGAGCTTTTTTGCTGGCTGCCTTCTTGGACTTCTCGATGCGCCCGGCGGCGACTTTGTTGGAAGCTGACTGCTTTTTGTCGCGGGAGGCGCTCTTTGCGACCCTCTTCGTGCTAGCCATGGTGTCAATTGGCGTACGTCGTGGGGTGGAGAGGGCGTTTGGTGTTCTTGATGCAGGCGACAGAAAAAAAGTTTGGAGTCGAAAAGTCCAGGGTCAAGCCGCAGCTGTGGCGGGGCACGCTAAGCCCTTAGAGTGACGTCCGTGTTGCTGCGGGCCGTCTCATACACGACATCCACACCTCCTCGAGCTGTCACGAGCAGCGCCCACCATTCACCCACTTTCGCCTTCGTGCATACCGTCCATAACAACTGCGAACATTTGCAACAGCCATTCTGCACTGGAACCATTGCGGCACCGATTGCCGAGGCCTGCTTTCTCTCCCATACCTAGCGCTGTCCCCCATTGATGGCTGCACCCTGCGGCACATCCGCCCACCGATAGAGGCATCAGCCAGCTGGCTTGCCTCTTACATGACCCGAACTCTCTGAGAATCGTTCACCTGCCGATTGTGAACTTGCCACAAAGCGATATGGACCCGCGGTCCCGCAACTACTCCAATGGCACTGGGAGTACGGGAAGACCTAGCAATGAGAGTCGGCGTCCGCCTGGGGCCCCTGGAGGAGCGCCGGCTTCTGAGCGCTCTTCTGCACCCTCTGGATCAGGAATGTCACGCGCGGAGAAATTCGAAGACGAAAGACGGAGGATCACCGCGAGCTGCTTCTCGAAACTGGAACCCAATGGGACGCGTACGTCTCCTCACCCTTGTTTCGAAAGGATATAGCGGTTGCTTCATTTTGGGAATCAACGTAGTTTTGTCGCGATGCTGACCTTCACAGTAACTGAGTCCTACATCACGCATATCCGCATCACGGAAGATGCCGCATACCCGCAGTCTCCCCCCCCGCCCAGCTCGGATCCTAAGAACAAGAAGCAGAGAGTCATCGTGATTGGGGTGAAACATACTACAAGAGTGCAAGTTCACAAGGGGCGCGAGAATCAGAATGGGAGTTTCTCCATTGGCAAGACATGGCATATGGAAGACCTCTCCCATATCGAGAACTATGTGAATATGGAGACTCCGCGTGGTGAGGATGTTCAGTTCAAAGAGTGGGCAGGTGTCAGCGGGTTCCTAGTGACCATCAACAAGCCATACTACTGGGAAGCAAACACGGCGAAAGAGAAGGAGTTCTTCATTGGAAGCCTAGTCAAGATTTACACCAAGTACACTGACAAATTTGGTCGAAAAGAAGGGAAATACCCTGTCATGTCTGGTTTCGGTCTTGAAGAGCTCATCACTTTGACGGATAATCGCCCGTTCGCCGCAACCGAAGCTGGGCGTGCGGCCTACGACAGTTGGATAAGACCTTATATCGACACTGAAACTAAACCGCCTCCGAACGATCCTGGCCCTTACGTTGAATTGAGAAGAGCTTATGAGGCTGCAAGACAGCCAAGGCCCAGTCCTGGTCCTGGTCCCGGAGTCCCGCGACCTCAAGGTTTGCCGTCGCCGCGTGATATCGGCCGAGCACCGCCCTCAGAAGCGCGAGATATGAGACGTATGATGCCCCCGGAAGACAGGAACCTGAACCGCAATCTATCGGAAGAAAGAGATATGAGGCGCATGCCTCCACCAGGAGAGAGGGATATGAGGCGACCGCCGCCTCCAGGAGACAGAAGGCCTCCACCCCGCGGACCACCTCGACCTGACGGAGAACCGCGGCAAAGACGTCCAGGACCACCGCCAATGCCAGTTGGAGGAGATCCTGCCGTTTTCAGTGCGTCCGCCGGAGACGGTCGTTTGCCGCCTGCGTCTCCTCGATTTGCGCCTGCTGGCATGGGCGCGCTACCTCCACCAGGGCTGCAAGCTGGTCGTGGAAGACGACCTTCTATGGACCAGAATTTGCGCAACCGTCCCAGCAGGGAGGCGCTGAAGCCCTCGGCCAGTCGAGAACGCTTACAGCCGATGCCCGGGACGATACCACCAGTACCCGTTCCCTCACCATCGCGACTAGATCCCCAATCATCGCGATCTGATTTGCGGCCCAAAACTCCAGACACTATAGCAAGCGCTTCATCCATTCCCTCCAGTATTAGTCCGGGTAGACCCTCGTTCCCAGATGATGCTCGGTCGCAAAGGTCGGGAAAGTCCATGGAGCGACCATCATTCGATGGGGCAGGTTCAAGACCCTCTCCTGTCGAGGACCAAAGGTCGAATACAAATGGATACCCAACACCGCCGATGCGACGTGACCCATCTCCTAGAGGCCTCCGACCCGGCACTGCTCAAAGTACTGCCAGCTCCTTCCAATCTCGGAGCGAAGACCCTCCGACTGAAGAACCTCGGCAAAGAACTGCTCCTCCAGAGCGCAGGAGGCCGCCAATGGAGCGACCAGCAGCATTGTCAAAGCAGAGTTCCGAAGCCGCAGCCAGTGGTCCCAACACAGAATTTCATACGCCGGCTCAGTCCCCACCACCCGTTGAACGGGTTCCACTGGAACCTCCACCCAGGAGAAGGCCCCAGGAAATACCCGAGAGGCCTAGGCCTTCCCCTGCTGAGGCACCAGCCCCTGCCTTCGAAGACGCACTTCCGGATCGCTTACGGGCAGGACCTTCTCCCGCGCAGATGCTACCACTTGCACAACCTCCACCACCACCGACTTCTCCACTTCCGCAAATTCCTAAGGCGTTCGATCAAAAGGAACGCTCCCCTGTAGTAGAGTCACCTGTAACAGAACAACCCCCGGCAGTGGTTGAAATACCCGCAATAGAGCCCCTCAAAAACGGCGCCAAAGAAATGGAAAAAGAGTCTGAGGTCGCACCAGAAGTAAAGCCGATCTCAAGCACAACGGACGACAAGGAGCCCACGTCAGCTTCCACCGTTAGTCCCGTGGAGAACAAGCTGGGCAAAGCCGGCGCTGCGAATGCTTTCCGAAAGATCGCTAAAGCTGCAGGCGCCTTCAATAACGCCGGGTTTGTGCCTCGTGCTGGTGGGGCTGCGGCGAAAAGACTGCAACCAGACGAGAAGAAGTCTGACGAGCCTGATGGCATTAGTGCGGTATTCGTTCCCAAAAGACCTGCACCGAAAGAAGAAGTCAGAGAGAAGGAAGAGGACGTCAAGCCTAAAGCCGAAGCGGACCGATCATCGAAGGACCGCCTGTCGATACAGACCGAAATCGTTCCTGAAGTCAAGGTTTCTGCGCCCCTGTCGCCGACGCCTGTGACTCTCAAGAACGAGGGACCGAAGCTGCCTGCGCGTGCTGCGTCACCCAGCGTAGAAGCTGAGCAATCTGCATCAAAGACTCAAGCCGAACCCGAAGTGCGGCGCAAGAGACGAAGGTCCAATCAACAGATGACGAACATCTCTAGATTGGGCATTGACCCGAACATATTAGACGAACGAGGTCTTGAGTTCGAAACCCTGCTATCTGAATTTGGATGGGGTAGCAGCGAGCTCTCAGCGAAGAACATTGAGTCTCTAGAATCCGACATCAAGCGCGAGATCGCTCGCGTAGAGGCGGGTAGCTGGCTGAATCACCTTGAGCAAAAAGATGATCGCGTCGAGGCTGTCGAAAAATTACTAGATCGCGCAATTGCTGAATGCGACGAACTTGAAGGTCTCCTTACTCTTTACAATGTGGAGCTTAGCGTAAGTTGCAACCTATGCATTTCATTGTCAAACTGTACTAAACGTCGCCACAGAGTTTGAACGACGATATCGCCTTTATCGAAGCCCAGAGCCAAGGCCTACAAGTCCAGACGGCCAATCAACGTTTGCTACAGAACGAACTGAAGCAACTCGTTGACACCATCTCCATAACGGAGGACCAGCTTATACCGCTTAGACGTGAACCCATTGGTAAAGTCAACGGTCTACGGGCTATCGAAGGTTCCTTGGTCCTACTCTACAAGGCCTTAATCACAATCGATCCCGCTTTCGTCGACAGCAGCCGCGCTGTTGGTGCAGACAGTCTCAACAAAATCACCAATTCAGGTTTCGGCAACAGTGAATTGGCTTCGATGCAAGCGCTACAGGAAAAGAAGGATCGATACCTCAACGAGGGTGCCGTATTTTTGGACCGACTCAAGAAACACATGGAGATCACGTTCGGCGCGGCGTTCTTGCAGACCAGGGAGACCCTGGAACGTATTGATACGACGTCAATGCCATCGACCAAAGCTAATATCGCGGCGCACGATGCTGGCCGAGATACACTGTGGATGCTCAGCCCAGTAGTTTTATTTGCGAAGGAGATCGACCGAGCCTCTTGGGACACCCTGCTCCGCATGTACCAGAACCAAGCCGGCGCAGCTTATCAGAACGAGGTCCGGGACAATATCTTATCCTGGAAGCGGTTCGCCCGTAAACCCACTGGCGATGAGCAGGAACTCTTGTTCACCGCGCAAGAAAAGGAACCCGAAAGTATCACTGGTGCCGCTCGGAAGCTTACTGTAAAACGAAGCCAAACTCTGGCTCGTGGCCTTCGAGCAGCTTCTGGCGATAAAGAAGTCAAGTCGAGCAAGTCTCAGGACGGGAAGCTGTTTGCCTTTGACGTGTTCGCTAGGGTCCTTGAGGATATTGGCCCCGTGCTACTGACCGAACAGAACTTTGTGACGGAGTTTTTCCACGCAACTTCCACTGACTCTGTCGATTTCCCAGAGGCCGTGGCAAGGGCAAATCCTGAAAACCGTCGTGGGCCGAATCTTTGGGTCCGAAAGCAGTATGAGGCTGATAGATCAATGGCCAAACGTGTGGCTGAAGTCATGGAGGATATCTTCTCATTCTGGCCTACAGAAATTCAGAACTTGGTGGAGTGGGCTGTGAATGCCGACCCCTTGTATGTGTCTTTCTGTTGTGTTACGATTTCCCTCGCTAATATCATTCTAGACAAGGTGTGGGTATTCTTTGCGCTGTCGATCGTAAATTGGTTGAGATTGAGGAGTCTAACCAAGACTTCCTGACCCGAAACCTGCAGAAGGTGCATGAGCGTTTGACCGGCCTTTTTAGCCGTTTCGTAGACGAACAGATCCGAGCTATCGAAGACACCAAGGTGAAGATCAAAAAGCGTAAGGGCGTGATTGCGTTCATGAAAACGTTTCCTCACTTTTCTATGGCTATTGAGAACATGTTGCCCGCGGCAGACGAGCAAGAACATCTCGAGATACGCCGTATGGTTGATGATGCGTACCAAAAAATCAACAAAGCGATGTTCGAGAGCTTGAAGGTCATCGCCAAGGAGTCACCAGCGGTCATGGCTACTCAAGGGCAAGCTGATCCTGAAGACAAGGAAGCGCTCAACTACCACATCCTCCTCATTGAGAATATGAACCACTACCTTGAGGAAGTCGATGCACGGTCTGACCCAGTGTTGATGGATTGGAAAGTGAAGGCTCAAGATGAATTGAGGGAGCACATGGACCTCTATGTGGACGCTGTTATCCGCCGACCGCTGGGCAAGCTCCTGGAATTCGTCGAATCAACGGAAACGCTGCTCACCCAGCCCGGCGCAAGCGCACCAGCGATCGCCCAGCGATCGTCCCACTCCCGCTCTGTCTTCAAGAAACTAGTGCACTCTTTTGACGCCAAGGAAATCCGCAAAGGTATCGAAGCCCTCAAGAAGCGCGTCGACAAGCACTTCGGCGATGCCGACGACCCAACGATTAGCCGTGACCTTGTCTTCAAGGTTCTAAAAGAATGCGAGAAGAAGTACGACAACGTCTATGACCGCACGATCCATATCAACCAGGACGTGTACTCTGGAGAGGTGGAAATTGACTGGAGTTCGAACGATATTGCCACTGCTTTTAGGAGGTAAAAGAGGTAAATATGAGGCGCGTTTTGGGTTACTGACTTTACGTGCACCTGCCTGTATAATTTCGATAGTTATTTTGCTTGCATATCTCCTTGCTGGGATTGGGCTTCAGCAAGCCTGGTGTTACGGGCTTTGGGCATATGGCTCAAGCGCTGCTTTAGGATGTGGTCTTTTTGGGTGGTGGCTGTTCGATATCATGCTATCTTACGTTGAGTATTGGTTCGAGTGTACAAAAGGAGCTGTTACATCGCATGTATCAAAGTCCTCATTTGAGTAACGCGCCGTGACTACTTAGCGTGGCTGACTGCATTGATCTCGCTTCCACATCCATCAATATCTCAGTGTATTTGTGGTCAGGCTCTTCGGACTCGTCGGATCTTTACATTGTTCGCTCCACCCGATTTTGAGCTCTCTTTATTCGTTTCCTAGCCTCTATTCTGGATCGAACGGATCGCATAGTGTAACTGAGTAGGCAAGATGGCGACATCAGCCCCCATTGTGAAGCTCGATTTCCATACTACAGGGGTAGGGCTAAGACGATAAAGATGGGACCGCGAAATGATTCTTGTGTCAACAGTGGGTTGTGACTGCAAGCTTTTACACTATAACAACCCTCCTCCGATACCTCCAACCAATACAATCCTGCTCGCAGATCGCATTCTCAAAAAGTGAATGAGAAGGCATGTCAAAGAGCGTGTACAGCGCATCACTGACTTCGGCCTCCCAATTTAGCTGCCCCCCATTGACACCCGCTTTACATAGCATGTCAATTCTGGTAAGCAGCTTCCAGCAATAACTTAAATACATTCTCAACTCCTCTGCGTTCGAAGCATGCAACGGGTCGTCGCGGACAGGCAGACGCCCGACTGAGACGTATCCCGCCAGATCCAACATCTGAAGCGCGAGTTTAGCTGGAAGACCTTTCTTCCCCAGCATATTGAGTACAGACGCGACATCTAGTTTCGAAGGAACGTGAACGCCTTCAAAGCTGCCATGAGCAAGCTCATCAACGCGCTGCGTCCCGAGATTACACTTCTGCCAGCGGCCATACTGCGTGTCGTCGTATTCGAAACGGTACATCCCTCTCGGCACGCCGAAGTACTCGCGATGCGGAAACGTATGGGCCTCGCAGCGGTGTCCATACGGCAGGCCTGTGCAATGCAGCAGCATTTTCTGATACGCCGTTGTCAACCGATAATCGTACTCCTCTTTTCCGTACGGTTTCCGGCCCGCCGCTGTCTCACTCGCGACGAAAGCGTCAAGGGTGGCGGCGTCATACAACTGCGGCTTCAGAGTCATCACATTGAGACATATATACGCTTGCAGCGCAGCATCTACGAGTTTACTCAGCCCGAAACCGTGCGAGTTCGCGTATTGACCTTCGTGCCACAGCCGGCGAAAGTACACACGTGGGTGGGCGGCGAGGCGGAACAAAGCGTCCATCTCGCCATGCATGAGCATCGCTTTGACTTGCTCGCACGCCTCGCGTGCGCCGTCGAACATGTCGCCTTCGCCTGGCATGGTGTCGCAGACGAAGCGTGCAGCGGAGCGCTCGTAGGGGGGAAAGGATGTCGTCGAGCGAGGCTGGCGTGGCGTAATTTCCATCATGGGATTTGTAGCGCAGTACTGTCTTGGACATTCTCTTGACCCCGGCGTCTGAGATAAGTATCTCACCTTCGTCTGGCGGAGCTGGATCCTCGTTGTATTTCTTTCGCTCGATGGTGGAGTAGTCGGTCAATGCGCGCGCAAAGCCGCGGACGAAGTGGCGGATTTGTTTTCCTTGATGAAGATCTTTTGTTCTGCGCAGGTAGAGGTTTGTGATGCCGTGGTTGCGTGGGCTGCAGTGGAGGTATATTAAGTTGTCTGCTAGGGTTTGCCAGGGGATGGTATAGGCTTGGTGGGCCATGTGACAAGGACAATCGTTAAAGACAAATGGTGTGGAGGAGTGTACATGATCTCAAAGCTGTACGGGGTATCCTACTCTTTGTTGCGTTCAGATGTTGCCTATCGTATTTTGGCATGATTGACTCATTCTCGGTCAGCCGACGCTAGTATATGCTACGTCGTGTTGAGCCATCTAAAAGCGAAATGCACGGAAATATGCAAGTTCCTCTGGGTGAATGCATTGCGATTTGGCAACGTGTGTAGGATAAGATTCACGGTGCTTGAGGTTTGGTGTTGAGGTAGAGTAGGCCCAAAGCAGACGTGATGACGACGTCGATTTGCGTCGCGCATCAGGACCCTGAACATCAGATCGCAACACCCCATCTAGAACCTCGTTTTAGGCGACCGGCATGGATGGGAACAGGGCGTCACGGAACCGGTGTTTGCAATCCTCCGAACCATAGTACATAAAGTCGGTCATCTCAATGTGTTGGAGCGTAACCTTTATATCGTTGCACACTATTCGTCTCGCTCAAGCACGCGACATCAACAATGCCGCTCCTGCAGTCGCTCCTCCATGCGACGGCGTTCCGCACGCCGCTCCTGAGGACATTGGTGCCCTCTGTTGCGCTTGCATACGGAATCCAGACAGCCGTGGCAGTGCCTTCGATTGCGGCACAGACGGAACGCTTCTACGACCTTAGCGGCAGTTTGACCTACATCTCCTGCACAGCGCTGTCATTCTTCATGCCATATCTGCGAGCAAGGAGCACGGGAGCCTTCGCCGGTGGCTTGGCAGAGTATCTGAGTGCGCCGGCGCCAGGACAGGGATTATGGTGGTGGAGACACGCCGTGTTGAGCGCTGCGGTGGGAATCTGGGCTACGAGATGTAGGGTCCCCTTCCGCTACCTGCCTGTGCACAACCTATGGACGTGAGATGCGAGAGCTAACCTTGGCCAGTGGGTTCGTTCCTTTTCAAACGCATCACCGAAGACCAGGGCACAGACTCCCGCTTCGACAACATCCGCTCTTCACCCGCAAAGTTCTACGGCGCCTTCTTTGCCCAGGCAACCTGGGTCTCTCTCTGCACGCTCCCAGTCGTGCTCGTGAACAGTCTGCCACGCTCTGCATTTGCCTTGTCCCGCCTCGCGAATATCACTTCTGCTATTCCACCCGTTGTATCCGCCAAGCCGTACCCAGTCGAACTGCTCGGCCTCGCTATCTTCGTCTTTGGACTGACCTTCGAAGTCATCGCCGACAGGCAGAAATCCCAATGGAGCCAAGAGAAGAAAGAGAAGAAGCACTCCGAGGAATTTCTTACACGCGGACTGTGGTCAAAGTCTAGACACCCCAATTACTTCGGCGAAATTACGCTCTGGAGCGGTATTGCAATTGCGGCGTCTGGCCTCCTTCTGAAGCAGCCAGCGCAGGCAGGTCTGGGACTGAGTGGTGCCAGTGGCAAGATTCTTGTTGCCGGTATGTGTGCTGCGAGCCCGGCTTTTGTGGCATTTCTGCTGCTCAAAGTCAGCGGGATCCCGTTGAGCGAAAACAAGTACGATAGGAAGTTCGGTGATAGAAAGGATTACAAGAAGTGGAAGGAGGAGACGCCCATGCTCATCCCGAAGTTCTGAATCTCATCATTCTAGACAACAACTACACTAGTATCACATTCGTGATCGAATAGTGATCACATTGACCAAGCTCACTACTGTCTTACTGTGCTGTATCCTCTCTACTATCCCCTCTCCAACTTCTCTTCTGTGTAATATTTGTCAAAGCATTGGTGGGGGCTTGGGATGGGATTCGGACCATCTTCGATGCAATCGGATGACGTCCGACGACACCACACTCGAAAGGCGCGGAATCGTACCGCTTGTGCAAGGTGAAGACACACATCTTCACCATTAGCAACATGTTCATTAGCACCATTCTCCTATATTCGCGAAGATAAATGCGTAAAGAGACCCTACAACAACGTTGTCGCTCCCGAATGTGACTTGGGTATTCAGATGCGATGAACATTCATCAACCAGGCAAGGGAAAAAGCAATGTGTATTTGGATATCCTGTAGACTATTCCACCACTCGATCCATATATATCGCGTAACCTCACGTCCCGTTCCCCGTTCACCATCTTCCAACCCAGCCTTGCCCGTTCATAAATAATCGTTTTATACCGCCTTTGCTCCGTCTCCTCATCTAGGCGACAGCACTTCCCCTGGGCCTGACGTTGTGAATCGGGCGCGGGTTCGCCTTGTGTCTGTAACCCAATTAGCCAACGCCCCAGCTCTCAGATGGTGGGATAACTTACTTCTTTACAATCCTCTCAATAGCATCCATACCCTTAGCCAGGGTATCCATCCTGGGCCCATAGCTCAACCGCACAAAGTGATGACACGGCGAATCGAACAAATCCCTACGCTTAGATGGGTTCAAATCAAAGAAGATACCCGGCACAACAATGACCTTCTCCTCCAGACACGCCTGGAAGAAGTTCAAGCCGTCAGCAATGCTCTCCGGCAGCGCCGACAAATCAAGCCAGATGTAAAAGGTCGAGTTGGGCATGAACGGGAAAGTAAACCCGATTTCTTGGAGGCGGCCAATGACGAAGTCACGCTTGGTGCGGAAGTGCATCTGCAGAGCGCGCATCTCGTTGCGCACGCGCGGCGGCTCGAGCATGCTGACTGCGGCTTCTTGGAAGGGCACGTTGCAGCCGCCGTCGAGATAGGAGCCGCAGCTGCCGATGGCCTGGATGAACTCCTTGGGGCCCAAGATCCAGGCGACGCGCCAGCCGGGAAGGCGGAAGCGCTTGGTCAGCCCGTCGATGATGAGCACGTCGTCCTCGTCGACGTCTTCGACGTTGTCAGCGGCAGAGATGACGGTGCCGTCGCAGTTGGTCGTGTAGTTGTAGCCGCAGTAGAACTCGTCCATGATGAGGGTTGCGCGATCGCGGCAGATGTTTTGAATCTGGGCGAGTTCGGGGTTGGTGATCATTTGGCCGGTGGGGTTGCGCGGGTTAGAGGTCAGGATGACTGAGGTGCCACGGGCGATTTCAGTCGCGATGAGGTCGGGCGACATGTGGTATTTGTCGTCTTCGCCTAGGGGAATGGGGATGGCGGCGATGTTACGGAAGAGGGACAACATCTCATTGTAGGCGGTGTAATCTGCTCTCGTTAGTTCCAGGTTCCACCCTTATCATTTGTACATGGATGGTGCTCACCAGGAATGAAGAACCCCAAGTAACAGTTCCCCAGCACCGCAGCAATACGGATCAACCCTGCACGCCCACCAGGCACAATGCAAACATTCTCCCACGTATACTGCGACTTCCTCCACTTGCGATGATGCTCGTTATACAGCTTGGCGACGGCCATGCGGAGCGGCTTGATACCAGCGGTGGGACCGTATTCACGTCCATGGCTCGAAATGTCGACCTCCTTAGGCCTCTCGAAGCAGCCCTTGATCTCATCGTCGACCTCAGGCGCACCCTGACCCAGATTCGCCCATGCGTCAGGGCTCTCGAGGTAGCCGTGCTCGTAGGCGCGTTCGGACGTCCATACTACACCGGTAGAGGCACGCGTTGGATCGAGACCGGCGTGGGCTTTGTGACCTTCGTGGGAGTCGCGGAACTGTCGGTGGATCTTTGAGGTGAGCTCTGTGAAGAAACGTGATTAGCGTCCGTATTGTAGCAACTAGCTGTGTGGGGAAGATTTCCAGAGCAGGTCGCAATGCTGGCGTCAATGGCCATGCTGTGGCTGCCAATCGTCGGAGCACGAATTGGGATGCATAAGCTCCACGAAAATCAGGAAAACGTGTTCTCCAAGCCTCCCACGTCCCGGATCGCCCTTGTCCCAGCTCTTTTCCTGCATAGCAGCGAAGCTCCCCGCGCAATGACGTAGCTCTGTGTGCCTGTGCCCCTACAACATCAAGCTGAGATTGCCAACTCACCATTCTCTGTGGGGTCTTTGGTCGACGAAAAGCGCCTGTTGCTGAAGGTGCCCGTTCGCTGCAGAATCGGGACCTTGTCCGCCGAGAAAGACATGGTGGTGTTTGTGTGTAGAAGTGGGTAGGCAGGACCAGTTAAGCTTTTCTAGCGCAGTCTCGAGTGGAGATCACTGCAAGTCTCTGGCTTGAATGAAGTATCGAAGGCAGAAGAAGTCTTGGGAGGGTCCAGCAGCCACAGTATATAAAAGATGCGCGGCGATCGTGGGTACTGCCGCAGGTCTGCGCCCAAGCTCGTTCCATGCTGCCGCCAGGCAAGTGCACGTCGCCGGCCCAATGTCGCGCCCGTCTCACGCTGCGCCCAATCACTGCCCCATGCCCTTCAGCCATCCCCCCAGCACGTCCTCTCACCGCCGCCACAGACCCCCGCTTGACGTGCATTCACCAGCGTCTGTTGTGAGTTGCGGTCAAGATGCGCCTTCTATCTACTTGCTTGTCCAGATCCTCTGTGAACCTGCCATCCGGCAGTTCGCATCACTCGATCGAGTGTAGAGAATCCTACTCGCCCGTTCCGAAAGGCCACCAGACGCTTCCGATTCCGATCCCTGCACGTACTCGCTGGCGTTGTGGATAGCTCTGTTCGCTGCTGGCCTGCTCGCATCGCGCATACTACCTACCCCTTCCATCCCGCGGATGCAACACTGGGATTGGCAGGGCTGATGTCGGGCTTCGACTGCTGCACGCTGTGTGCTCCCTGAACAGTGCTTGTACCACCTCCCACAGTATTCCCGGCAAGCCCGAAGCCTCGAGGAATCCGAGCTCACTGCGCGATTAATCTTTCTAACACAGACATAAAAAGCAAGTTTCAAACCGTCCGTGTACAATTGCTATACACGTACAGGGCATGGCGTTGCTATGCCCGATGCTACTCTACACTACAAGCACAAATAAAACAGAAGAAAATCTACAATTACTCGACGGGGTCCTCTTCGAGCAGCTTTTCAAAGCTGAAAGGCTCAAAAGGCACACCGTCTCCGATGAAATGCTTGCTCATGGCTTCGACCCAGTGCAGACGGAGAGAGTGCAACATGGCACTTGTACCCTCCATAACGCACAGTACGGCTACAGTGAGCATGAACCACATGTAGAAGACGACCACCATGATGACGGCACCACCGATACCAGTGAAGCCGAATGCGTTCTTCATCGTCATGTCCCAGAGCACAATGGAGAGACGTTGATGTGCGAGCGAGAGAGCCCAGAGACGCAGATAGGACGCAGTGTGGGAAACACAGTTGAGGCAGAATTCTGCCTTGTTGTCAGTAACCGATCCATGAGGGTATAGAGGCTGGAACATACCGATAGTGTGGATGACCTGGTGGATCATGATCTCGCCAAAATCGAACTCTTCGTGCTCTTCGCCGTGACCAATGTCTTGCGTAATCATAGCAATGCCATCTTCATCGTCACCGAAGCTCTCACGTCCACCATTGAGAGTGCGGCCTTCCTCTTCATCATCGTCATCCAGAGCGCTCACGCGCGTACTCTCACCAATGCCGCGGTATCCCAACGCACGAGCCTTGTTGTGCTCCCATCGAAGGTAGAACGGCTTCAGGAAAAGCAAGATAGGAACGCAAATTAGGGCTAGAACCACGAGGGTTTTCTGGATAGCAATTTGTCCAGAGAAGAGAGGGTCCTGACCGAGGTCGCCAGGCTTGAGGAACATGTAGATCAACATGTTCAGAAGACTGGGCGGGTCGCTGCCACGGGCAGCCCAGTCAACCGACCACTTATACACGATGGTGAAGGCGAGGTAACCAAAGATCGACTGGAAGAAGATCATGCCGGGAACAAAGTTGCCCCAGATATCAATAGGCGTCTTGAAGTACCGGGCATTGACAAGTGACCACATCAGCGAGAAGGTCATGTGGCACCAACCAAGCAGGATACTAAGCTTCATCTTGTAACTGTTGGAGAAGAGCAAATCGTTGTCGGTATCGTGCCATCTCCAGTCCAGGCCGAAGGGGTAGGTGTGGCCTTCCACACGAGTGGCTCGGGGACCCAGGGTCTTGCCGTCCGTTTCCCACTCCCACATGGACTTGAACCAGGGCAATTCCTTGGAGAAAGCATCGCAGTAGAGGAGACCAGTATAGATGGAAAAGATACCCATCATGAGGACAATGTAACGACCGTAGAAGATCATAGAGAACAGCTCGTCGAGCTTGCTACGCTGCAGCTTCCGTTCGAAGTAAATCATACCGAGGGCAGCGGCGAGAAGGATTATACCATGGCCGGCATCACCAAACATGACGGCGAACATGAAAGGGAAGGTGACAATGGCAGGGAGAGCTGGGTTGACTTCACGGTACTTGATCGTGCCGTAGGCATCGATAATGGTTTGGAAAGCCAAAGTGAAGCGGTTCGTCTTAAAGTAGGTTGGCGGAGTCTTCGTGGTCTTGATCTGATTGACGATGGTAGGAACAGACAATCCAGCTCGATCGTTAACATCTTGCAAGGTCGATTTGACCAGACCAAGGGAGCTAGTAGGTGCCCAAGCTTCAGCAATGAGCGTCTTTCGCTGGTGATCATACGAGAACTTGTTTAAAGTCTCATACGTGCCCTTCTCTTTCTTGACAACAACCATCCAAGCTGCAAGGTTGCGGCCAATGGCTGTCAATTCCGCATCAAGGGTTGACTTGGTGTTCCTCAAAACACTGGCGAGATCGCTTAAACGCTCGTTGACCTCGCGAATCTGGTCACGGCGGAGCTCACTGTTCTCGTCGACGCTGTAAAGGTCGGCACCCATAGACTCGGAAATCTTGCGGATCTTAGCGATGATCTCCTTGCCGTGAGCGAAGATGATGAAGACGTTCTTGTTCGACTCCTCGTTGTTCTCGGGGTTGATGATCGGTTCGGGAATCTCAGACTGGTTCATGTACAAGTTGCCACGGAGTGTTCTCCACAGGATCCTTTCGAAGGCCGCAATGCGCTCGCGGGGAATGACACCAGCAACGAAGCCAATGTTCATCACGGAGAAGGAGCGGTCTCCAGAGACCTCGCCTTGTCCGTTCTGCTCGACATCCTGGAGCAAGGGCGCATCGTCGTCATCGACCGAGTGGCGGATCTCCTCCGTCTGTCCGCGGGCTCTATCGAAGAACCCACCGGCCTCCCTCAGCACCCAGCGCCATTCTGTAAGCTCCACTTCGCGCTTCTTCAGCGTTTCATAGCTCTCGTTCAGTGAGGAAATCCTATCTTCTAGCTGCTGGCTCTTGTCGGCGAGCTCGTCGATCTCGGAGGCGGAAGGCGAGGTGAACGGGTTCTCGAAATCGTAAATCGAACGCATCGGGATACTGGCCTTGTCCATTTGGCCACGAAAGTATCGCAGTTGGCGCTCGACATTGTCCAGTCGGCGGATCTCTTGCGTGAAGGTACGTTGAAAGGCGGTCGTCTCCGAATTGAGCTACATTGACATCATCAGCACTTCGCCCATTGTCTTCCATAGCCGAAGCTTCAAAAATCCATTTGCGAGGTCCCTAGAATCACGTACATCTCTAAAGTCCATGATACCAAGCTCTCCAAGGGCAGAAACGACTTCGCGCCCAATCTCGTTGGCTATGTAGAGCTGCGTCAAGGACATGTCCGCCGAGCGGAACATGGTGTCCTTGTGCGGCGCCATGGTGGCAGCTCTGCTAAAAAAATGCAGCTTCGGGGAGGACTTGTTATGAGGTGCGGTGGCGGTCGGGTCGGTTCGTGATGGATGATGGATGCAGCTGCCTCGACGATGATGCGGCAGGCAAGGGTGGCTGCTGTGACCTTGGAACTCGCTTAGTCAACGATATCACGTGCCACTTCGTCCCAGCTCCGTTCAAAGGGTAGATTGCTGAAGACACGACAAGTAGTCTAGGTCACCAGTGCAATATGAACTCATATTGTATTACCCGTAGCATTATGATTTGATATGGTTCCATCCGTCTCCTTTGGTAGCCCGATCATCCATCCTCGCTTGAACCAAGAAGCTCCCACAGCGATAGACACAGTGCCCAAATCTCTGAAGCTAATACCTTCTGGTAAATGATTCATCTCATCAACGTAGTTGAAGACGACGATAGTCGATCGCTGCTCAATCAACGATCTCCACAATGTCACCGAACTCCTGGAACAGCCACGGCTCGAGACCTTTGTAGGCTTCTGGAATAAGTTCGCCATTGACAGTAGTTTCCTCTTCCTTCACAGGATCTTCAGGTTTGACTTCCTTGAGGGAAACCTTTTTCTTCTCGAAGAATTTGCTACTTCTCATAAGCTTCTCATCTTCATGTTCGGGCTCGTGCTCGGGTCCCTCTAATGTGGAGTCTTGCAGCATGGGCTTGGCCGATTTGAAATCTCTAAAAGGCGTCTGAGAACTACTCGAATCGTTCAAGAAGAGAGATCGACCTTTCTCCGGCGGCATCATAGGAACTTTAGCGGGAGAGGAAGTATCTTGTTTGAAGGCGGTCGGCTCCTGATCGTAATTATATTCAGCAGTCGGCAAGGGTTGATCCTCCAGGTTATTAGGGTCGTAGTCATCATGGTGATATGGGTCGAACAGTTTTGATTCGATATCATCGTTGTTGACAGGCTCTCCTTTGAGATCTTCAGAGTCCATCGCACCCCACATGATGTCGCTAATCATTGAATTATCATCATCGAACAGGTCAACCTTATGATTGGCGATGGTTTGATCAGCGGCAGTACCCATAGAAATGTCATCTTTATCTTCTTTCGATATCTGAGCCACTCGAGAGGTCATACGGCTGGACGCTGACTTTCTCAGATCTGCCGAAAGATCATCAAACCCCAGAACATCGTAGTCGCTTGAAAATTCCGAATCCAGCCGGCCATAAGGGCGAGGGCTCTGGATACCAAGAAACGAAAGATCAGGTGTACCGCCTTGACCATAGCAGTACGAAGGTTTTTGGTGCATGACCGTCGAGACAGACGACGGAGGATCCTTCATTTGAACGCTCTTGTGAAGTTTTTCTAGTTCCCTGAAGTCTTTCACGCCATTCTTCGCGTAGTCACCTTTCTTCTTCTTCTCTTGCTGGGTCAAGTCAAGTTCCTCTACCATGGCCGAGCTCTTCCGCTTCGAGGCTGTGAGCTGTAGCTTGATTTGAGTCTTCTGGTCTTTCCCCTTGGCAGCTTCAGAAAGCGATATATCATGGCTGTTATGAGTTTCTTGAGAAGGAACACGTTTGGATGTTGTCTTCTTGGGTGGCTTGTCCATCCCATGCTTGCAGCACAAGTGTTTGCATGCATTTTTATCTTTACAAAGATGTTTGCACGCCCATTTGCCGTTCTCTAGTTGTCGAGGTTCACGATCTTCTTGCTCTTGAGGTTGAGAGGGCTCTTGGATGCGGCCTTTGCTTTTTGCGGTATTCTTGGCTACGTTCTTCCGCATGATGGCATCTGTCGGATTCGCGTAATTGTCAATGTGATCAAAGTTAAGGTCATTCAAGGAGGCTTTCACAAGCTCGTCATCATCGATACCGTCATCGAACTCGTCCACAGGCTTTCGTGGAAGTGAGGGTGTCTCGGTGCGGCGTCTGGAGATGTTCGATGTGGGACGCGTTTGCTCATGCGGTGCTGTCAGCTCAGTCTTCCGCGGTGGAAACATCGAGGCTCCGATTTTTGGTGTGACAGAGGCGGTCCGCATAGTTCCGGCTGTCATAAGTCAGCAACGTACATGGCAGTAGGTACATGCGCGTACCAATGCCATCGCACATGATGTGACAGTTGATGCTCAGATTAGGTGCAGTGAGCAAGGCAGGAACTTTCAGCGACTGTGCGTTTCCGAGCTTTTTCGCACTGGACAAGGTCAGTGTACGTTTCAAACGTTACAAGATCCGGCCAACCTTAAACGAGCAAAGTGAACTTTACGGCCATCGGAAGTTTCTGCCAATAAGCACACATACACCATTTTCCCCGCAAACTTATCCGGCAGCTTCTCATTTATAAAGCCAATCTCGATCTTGACAATGACTCTCACTCCCTCGGGGGTCTTCGTAATCTTCGAGAGGTCAGTGGATAGTGAACAAGATACGTGAGAACTCACTGCCAAGGATTGGAGCTGCAATGAAACTCGCAATTTTGGAAACGCCTTCAGTTTCTCAAGGATCTTCAAACCATATGGCGGATTGCGTCCAAGCAAATGTTCGATACGATGAGCTTCGGTGCACTCTAGCTCTTCGAGCGATCGAATACCGGCCTGTGCAAGCTTCCTGCATCCGACAACGCCCAAACCTTCGATCTGCTTCATTTGTATCGCACTATCATCCCACACCCGCGCAGCTAAGCTTCGCTCCCAAGAGAAGAGCATTATTGATGCTCACTGAGTCGCCAACGTATATCTGACAATCGATTACGCAGCGTATGAGGCGGTTGACCTGCTTGAAGATCACTAGTGCTTCGGTGTTGTATTGCGTTCTGTGCTTCGCGTTATCGCCATCCCAAGAGATATCTGCGCCGCCTAAGATCGATTGTATCAAGAGCGACACTTTGTGAGCTGGCAGGTCCAGGTTCGCTGGGATAGGAAACCGTATGTATGGTGAGTTGTTGATACTCTTGTACAAGGGCTTTTCACCACTCCTGAAGCGGATAGTCGCGAACTCAGAAGCCTGTGCGATGGCTGAAAGCTGATGATGTTGACGTTAGCTACACAACAAGCTTCGGTGTGAATGCTTACGAGCTCAGAGATTGTGGCCTTGGGGGGCAAGCCCCAAGAACACCCGCATGGTGTCAAATTGGACGTAGTACTGTGCCATAGCGTGGCCATAGTCGGTGCAAAGCAAGAAGTCTTCGCCTGTTGTCAGGTTGTGTTGACGTAGTAGCGTGATATCCCGGGTTAAGATGTCATCGAGTTGTTCGTCGATGCTTTGGCCACTCCTAGACCCTTCCAACTTGTAGTACGCTGGGTTCTGTTTGATACGAACGTAAAGAAAGGTGCTCGCAAGCCACTTCCGGGCAGAAGGGAGGTTGTGTATAGTGCCAAGGCCTATTTCAGCATTCAAGTGGTCAATAAGGCCTTGATGGAGGGTGCTCTCCAGGATTTCCTGTCCAGTCACCATTAGCTCGTACTTGCGAACTTTGTTCTGTCGAGTCATGATAACAGCGACTGCACTATCATCGAACTGCGGCCGGCCGGCACGCCCGAGCATTTGCATGATCTCGAGATCGGAATACTCCTGGACTCCACCCTGCGCAAAGCCCACGGTATTCTTGATGATAACGAGATGACATGGCAAGTTCACACCCACCGCTAGTGTCGAAGTGCAACATATCACACTGATCTCTCCTTCTAGGTATGCTTTCTCGACCTTTACTCTATCGTCAGAATCAATGCCAGCATGATGGAATGCCACACCGGATGCAGCGCATTCGCGAAGCTCACGATTCTGAAAAGACAAAGGTTTGGTGGGCGGTTTCCCAGGCACGATCCTTTGCGTGACGCGTAATCCACCAGTTCGCGAGAGTTTTGGCAGTAGCTATGGTGGAAGCTCGTGTGAAACAGAACACCATGATGGGCTTCCCTTCGGAGTGAATGCTCACTACATCTGGTAGTTTGCTGTTAAGGTGCTTCTCGAACGCAAAGTCGTTGGCATTAGACTGATAGCCAGATACATGTTTCCGTAGCCTGACAGGTCGGAACTCTTCGCTAAACTTCTCGTGCACGGCGGGTTCGTAAGGCTCGGCTGCGGTCTTGCCCAGCCAAGTCGCTACATCGTGGAAGTTTGGCACTGTTGCAGACAGTGCAACGAATCGGACATCTGTGCCGATAGACCTCATACGCGAGACGATTACCTCCAAGGTGGCACCGCGATCTTCTTTCAGTAGATGGACTTCGTCGATAAGAAACAGCTTCACGAGTCGCATCAACTTCTCGTGGTCTTTCCACTTCCGTGTAATGCTGTCCCACTTTTCTGGAGTAGTAATGATGATGTTGGCGCTCTGGACATTTCGCAAGTCTGCAGATTCGGAATCGCCCGTTATCTCGGCACAATCAAGACCAAGTGGACCAAATTTATTTTGCCAATCTCGTTGCCGTTCGGAGCATAGTGCCTTGGTAGGGGCCTGGTAGACGATCTTGTACTGGTCTGTAGAGGTTTTGGAGATAGCTCGACATATGGCAAGCTCCAGGACCACTGTCTTACCACTTCCGGTAGGCGACGACAGCACAAAGTTATTGTCGGTCTTGTAGACAGCATCAAAACACTTGGACTGCACAGCGTTGAAGATCGGATACGGGAAGATGGTGCGGAGCTTATCTGGGAGCTCCCCTCACAGGGACCTGCTGTATGCCCTGGGTGATCGGAGCACCAATACGAGCATTTGGGCGTGAACCAGCCGCTACTGCGGAGGGATGGTGTTGAGGGCGTGGAGGCACTTCTCGTGGGCAGAAAGTCTCGAACACTGCCTCCTGCTTGCAATTTCGTTGACGTACAGCCGGTTGGGTGGACACTTGAGGGACCCCAGCGTGTCGTTGACCAGCCATGAATGCTGGGCTAGAGGAAACGCCCAATGGCATATCTGAGCTTGATTCTTGAACGAAATTTATTGAATTAGAGGCAAACTGACCTACAATGTGTAAGCAAGACCTCACAACGAGATGCTCGATAGATACGCACGGCGGTCGCGTCGTGTAGCTGACGTGGAAAAGCCATCTTGGTCTGCTTGATGGTCAACAACTACCACAATTTCAAGTCGCTTAACTATGTACCATCTAATTCGTCTCGTGGTCCATCTTTGGAATAATACGGATCGGGCGCCTGCGAAGATGCAACAGGAGCAAAAGACCTGCACGGCTGCGGTGGGAACGAGAGCCGTGCCTGACCTCTTGCGGCTCTGCTCTGGCGATCTACGTACGGCTGTTGCAGCATTCTCTCATCTGAAGGAAGATTTAGTGGATCGCTCTGGTTGCACCTTCCTGCTCAGTAGACTCACCGAAGGAGTCGAGGGGCTGCTCTAGCCCGTATGTGCACTCTTCCGCCGCAACATCGTACAGGGTATTCTGACGAGGTGCGCGATAGCGATCGCGAGGAGGAAATACTTGTGAGCGAGTGTGTTGTCTGAACTGCGGCTGCAAGTTGGGATACGGAGGCGTATCTGGTTGCGTCCCTCGGCCTTCGAGACGATCGCGGAAGGTGAAGCTCATAGTCGCGGCATGGAGAGGAGAACCAGCTGGCACGAGACGAAAGGGAGGATGATGACAGATCGTAGACAAGAATGAAGGGGTGAAAGGGCGGCTAAAGGTCAGTGAGCGTAGAATGGCGCAGTCAGAATCAGTAGGTGAGTTCGAGGAGGAAGTCGCGATCCGATGCAATCCATCTATCAACGACCACCGCGGCAATCATCTGCAGGTGATACACTTTTCACATAGCCAACGTAACTGTCATGATTGCTCCATTGCTAGACTATCTTTTGCTCCAGCCGCAGGTCTTGCATTGTTCTTCTTGGTCGACTTAGCGCTCCTGCGTTCTCCGTGAAGCTACGAGTGAGACAGCCTGCGCCGTTTCTTCCTGCAAATAGCCTTCCATTTCAAAGACCCATATACATGCATCAAAACACTCTGTGGCGCTGTATTCGTGAGACAGGGTTGGCGTGCTCGGTATGTCATGGTATACGTAGGAGACTGGTGTCCACCGACACCCCAAGAAGCCCTCGCCCCTTTTGTATCGTACCAATGTCCTGACGGCTTTCAAGCCCCACAATTCGTGTCCGTAAACGTTGGCAAATTGGGAAATGCGCTCCAGCGAAAATTGTACACTAATATACCCACAAATAATCATACCGCCTCCGAACAATAGACCTTCATCTTTGATTCATCGCGGTCGCCGCCGCGCATCTATCGCAACCGATCTACAACAGACAGTAAGATCATCGAACAATGGACGCTTGCAAATCTTGCGACGTAGAAGCAAATACGCGAGAAATAGTTAGGGTGCGCTTGAGCATTTCACTCGGGCTTCTCGGCTGGCCGCATGTGATCTGACGAGCCTCGATCGGAGCTGGAGCTGGGTCGGCCTCTAGTCATCAACGGTTCGTTGGCTTCGCCAGTCGTAGTCCCCTCGAGAGGAGCGATCTGCGTCGTAGCTGGCTTCGGTGCATCCGGTTGGGTGTAGAGATAAGTTGCTGCTAATACAACACCCGTTCCCACAGCGAACTGCTTTCGTCAGCGAACATAGGTAGAAGGAAGAATAGCATAAACTTACCGCCAAGGTGATTTGGAAATCAAAAAAGTATGCGCTCGCTACACAACTAACGATAATCGACAAGCTCGTTGCAAAGTTCTTGGCGATGTTGTCCGCGTAGTTGATGACCAATGCGACGATGATACCACCCGCGGCCTGGAAGCCAATCGCCGTCCACACAACCCAGTTGTAGCCTGCGAAGAAGCCGTCTTTTGCGATGTCCTGACCGTCGACCCAGACAATACCAATGAAAAAGGCGGGGAACAGCGACCAGAAAGAGAGCTGGCAGTTACGAATCCAAAGTGAGGCTTGTTTGGTCGAAGACTGCTTGAGAATCTTTTCGAAAGTGACACCGGCGAGACCAGAAAGAGCGCATGCAATCAGAACAGCCATCAATCCGACAGACTTGTTCATGGCCGGTAGCTCATCCTCGCCGATACCCTCGTAGGTTGCGGATCGCCTGACAATGGCCTTGAGCCAGCGCCTGGCCTCTGCTGCTTTGGCCTCCTCGACTGCTGGTTCTGGTACGTACTGGGGCAGCTGCACGATAGCCACACCCGCCATAAGCAAGCCAAGGGCCGCCCATTTCTTGACCGAAAGAACTCTTCCAAGCATTATGACACTGAAAATGGCCGTCGTAAGGATCTTCAGCTGGTATGTAACTTGGAAGGTCGCGGCGTCCAGATTGCTGACAGCCACATACTGCAGCGAGTTCTGCAGGGTGTACATGGCCGCAGGAACGGCGAGCTTCCAGCTGTCACCAGCGAAAACGGCTTGAAAAAGAGTGGTGAAGAGCGTCGTGGCCGGCGTCCCGGGTGGGAGGTTTTTGGCGATGTCGTACAGGGCGACGGTTGCGCTGATGCCGAGCTTGATGACTTCGTTGAGGAATACGGAGGTAGAGGTGTGATAGCGGATACCATCCACCGGAGGCATGATACGCGAATAGTGCATTATCTAGAGGTGGTCAGCCACGATGTCGCGGGCGCACCATGTTCGCGCGGGGAGGGTGAACGTACCAAAATCAACATGGAGTTTTGAAAGACCAACTACGAATGATGGTTAGTGGACGGGTTATGGATGGTTCGGGAGCGTCCATACTGTGACCAGCGAGAGGTGCTTCAAGGGCACCCCTCGGAAAGTCGCATTGGGGTTCGACATGACGGTTTAGGTGTATAGGGGTGCAATGTCCACGGTAAGAGATGCAGGCTAAAGGCAACAAAGACGGATGAATCAATGGCACCGCTGCATGTACCGCACGCCGCGCGCTGTGCCGGACGTTAACGAGCGTGAGGAGCTGGAGGTGTGGCAGGAACACAAAAGCAGGAGAGGGCGGAGCTGGAAAGGCGATCTTTACTTAGAATCCAGCCCGGGCCAGTCCCCAGGTTGTCAGCCGCAGGCACTAGCGCCCCTGTCCCTTTCGCTACCGTAGCCTCATCTCCGCAACCTTGTTTGCAGTTCACGCTCGTTCAATCTCATCAGTCGAATGCTCGCCTGCAAAGGCGCGCCTCTGGGAGGCAGCTGCATCTGCGCTGCCTGCTACACCTTTGGTTGACGAAACACCGTGGACTCGGGGTTCGCTCTCTTGACCTAAGCTCGCTTGTCCTGGGAGGCGCCCTAATAAGCATTTGATAGCTGCCAAGCATTATGCGCCACTGGCTTCTCTGCAAATCACAGCGCCGTACGAGCGCATCCGCTTCCGATCCCCCAAGCCCTTTTCCCGCAAATCATCTAAACTCTACAAATGCGCATGTATGTTTGATAACGAATACTCGACGAATTTCATGTCACGACACATCACCTACAGAATGCACTTCCTCGAGGAAACGATGGAGTCGCATGGCTCTCGCCCCTTTACTCGATTCGTTCCGCTATAGTACATGTACACGCTCATCCGAGCCCTATTTTTGCACGCATCCCGTAGCCTCAATATGCCTATATGATGGAATCCATAACCCGATTGACATGACTGAAAAGTAATATTTTCTTGAACATTCGAACAAAACAAATGAAATCACGCCATGCTATCTCGCAACAGTAGCCGCCATCACAGTCATTTACTCCGCAGAGGCTCCATCGCCTCCCGCTCCTCCACCACCACGTCCACCCCGATGCCTCTTCCCGCGCTGCTGCTGCTGTTGCTGCTGAGTCCCATCGTCTTCAGCGCCGCGCTTCTGGCCCTTCCCGCCAGGCCCTGGAGGCACAAACGCGTTCGCCCCCGGGTTCATGGGACTACCAGGCTGTTGACCGCGTCCTCGACCTCCCTGTTGTCCTCGACCCCCGCCGCCGCCACGTAGTTGCTGCTGATTAGCCTGCGCACCTGCGTTTGGACCTAGCATGGGCTGCTGTTGACCGCCTCGGCCTCGGCCGCCGCCGCCGCCGCCCGGAATAGGAATACCGGAGCCAGCACGAGGAATGCTTGATTGACCACGTATGTTCATGTTCTGACCACCCCGTGGAGGCTGGTACGGCTGCATTGTCGGCTGTTGTTGCATCGGCTGTTGCATGTGTGGTTGTAGCTGGCCGAACGGCGAATTGGGGCGGCTGTGATGCTGTTGGTTCTGGAACGGGTTCGGTGCTCCGAATCCACCCTGCTGTTGAGAGCCCAAACCAAATTGTTTCTGGTTCAGACCTTGGTTCATAGAATGCACGAAGGGATTGCCGAGACCAGACTGATTGTTGGGCAACTGCCCCAAGGTGTTGATGTTTGAGCCGTTCGATTGAGGACCGGCACCTGCAGCAGCTTGGGGTTGTTGTTGTCCAAGCGTTACGGGCGCGGGAGCGGTTGTTGTAGCAGCAGGTGCTTGCGACTGTGCGCCTTCAGCGACAGATGGCTGGGTTGGGGTAGGGTCTGTCTTCGGTGCTGGAGCTGTAGCTTTGGCAGCGTTGGCTACGTCGAAGACGTCTTTGATGGGCTTCTCGGGCGTATCTTTTGTAGCTGCCACGACAACGTTCCATTTGGCAGTAAGGCCGTCAGTCTTGTTCTTAGCCATGCTGAGCTTGGCCTTGGTTCTCGTTTCAACCAGATTCCTCTCCGCTGTCTTGGCGTCCTCAATCTTCTGTGCTAGAGCTGCTTGTTCCTCTGCTCGGACACTGGCGGTCACCTCTTCAATCCTCTGCTCCACCTTGGTCCTTATGTTTCTGTCTATGATTTCCTTCACTGTCTTGCTGTTTTTGATGAAATCCTTAATTTCAAGATCGGATGCATCAGGACCGGGGACTGTCGAAGCTGGAGGAGCTTGCTTCATCTGCTCGACTTCTGTCTGCAATCGCTCCACCTCCTTCTGCAGTCGATCCACCTCTTCCTGGAGACGTGATATCTCGGCGTCTTTCTCTTCAATCGTCTTCCGCTTTTCTTCCGAAATCTTCTTGATCTTTGCATTTGCCTTCTCTTTCAAGTTCTCCATTTTCACGTTCATTGCAGCAATCTGGTCAGCTTGCGAAGGGCTATCATTTTGTGGCTCAGTAGCAGGCTCAGCATGATTCTCCGAAGATTGGGCAGCTTCAATTTCAGCTTTGCGTTGCTGCAGATCGGACTCGGCCTTCGCCAACGCAGCCTCGCGCTCTTCGAGGGCAGATGTTCGCTCTTCAAGGGCAGCTTTCTCGGTACCAAATTGCTCCGTAGGTGGTTCCGTGCGAGGTTTCGCGCCGGCTTCCTCGCCATTACCAACGAATGAGTCTGCCATCTCTGCTTGGGTGCGGAGATCTTCCACTTCTTTCTCGCGTGCAGCAAGGTCTTCCTTCAATTGCGCAACCAGCTCTGAAGACGACGTGGTTTCAGTGGGCTGTATAGGAATCTGTTGGGACTGTAACTGTGCGACTTGAGCATCGGCACGCGCTTTGTCGTCCTTTGCATCTTGAGCTTCTTTGGCAAGGACACCAACGCGCTGTTGCAACTCCGCCTGGTCAGTGGTTAACGATGTCCACGCAATATTCGCAAACGAAGAACTCACAACTTGGCCTTCGAGCGTGCGATCCCTTGTTTGCAATTCTTCAAGCTGGTTCGTCTGCTGCCGTTCCCGATCTTCCGCCTCCCTCACCCGAGCTTCCAGCTGCTCCTTTTCTTCAGACGATAAGCCAGCGTTGCTTTCAGCGACCTGGCCTTCTTCTTCCATCACAACATCACTGCTAGCGTTCGCCTTCGCCTGTGCCTCGTCACGTTCTTGGCGTACCGACTGCAACTCCTCTCGTACCGTTGCGAGTTCCGTTTGTGCATTCGCAAGATTCGTCTCAGCCTCTTTCACTTGGGTTCTAAGCGCTCCAATCTTCTCTCTAGCATCAGCCACGACGTTCTTTCTCCGTTCGTGTGCCTGCTCAGCCTCCGCCTTCTGCTTCGCGGCCTCCTCCTCGGCAGCTTTGATGCGTTCTTCAAAACCCTCATCGGCTTGTTGAGATGCTTGGTCGCGCTCAGTTTTGAGGGTTTCGATTTGTTGTTTCAGATCTTCCAGCTCCTTGGGGTCGATGCGGTCATATCTTTGAAGTACGTCCTGGTGTCGCTTCTGCCAACGTTCACGGTCTTCTTCAACTGTCTTCAACTGACCGCTCGTGAATTCAAGTTCACCCTCAAGCTCGAAGACCCGGGCCTGTAGAGGTTGAAGCTGTGCTCGAAGAGCTTCTAGCTCCTTATCCTTTTGGTTGCAATGAGCCTCCAAGCGTTGGATGTCATTCCGAAGAGTGGTGTTGCTCTCGCGGTAGAGGTTGAGTTGCCCCACACTCTCCTCCAAAGCCTTGAACTTCGCGTCGTTCGGTCGACTCTGAGAGTGAGCCTGTTCGGCGAGCAGTTTTTCGTTTGATCGCTCGAGTTGCTCCTGCTTTGTTGCAAGTTCTTGACGGACCCGCTGGACTTCAAGTTCCATGCCGTTGACCTTGAGCTGTAGGATATCCTTATCATTGCGAAGTGATCTATTAAGTGCTTGCAAGCCACTGAGGCTGGAGTCGAGGCTGATGCTATCTGCTTGTCCTCCGGGAACGGAAAGGCGGTTGTCCTGCAGTGTCTTGATCGTGTTGTTGAGGGTATCGACCTGCTCGTACAGGGTCTTGTTCTGTCCGTTCAGCCCGTCTTTCTCTTCTCGGACCTCTCTAAGTTCGCGGTCCTGGCGCTCCTTGATCGATAACCAATGCTCCTCGTTCTGCGATAACGAAACCCGAGCAGCCTCTGCCTCGGTCTTGTACTGGGTAATCTCGGTGCTGAGGGTATTGAACTGTTCACGGAGCGCTCGCAAAGTCTTCATGGTCTCCCCATGTTTCGCGAGCTCGTTCTCATAGTCAGCTTGTGCGCGCTTCGCGATTTCGGCTTGCGATACAACGAGCTGTTTCTGGGTCTCCATGGCAGCCTCGTACTCGTTTACATCGCTCTGGATACGGGCAATGTCAGCCTCGAGTGCTTCCTTTTGCTGGGTAAGCTCTAGTTTCTCCTGCTCTTGGTTGCTGCGGAGGTTGGAGAGCTCGGTGCTGGTAGTGGCGAGCTCAGACGAGAATTCTTCAACCCGCTTTTTGAGATCCTCAATCTCAGATTCCTTCTCCTGTAGCGTCCGGTTCAAGTCCTGCTCCATCTGGTCATGAGCCTCAACAAAACTTTCCAACTGCTCTTCTTTCTCTTGAGCGATATTCTTGTAAGTCTCAATGTGCGTTTCGGCGGTCTCCAATTTCTCTCTCGTACGTTCATAATCGCGTTTGAGATCGGCAAGTTGCACCTTGAGCTGCTCTTCATGGCTGAACCCCTCTTCTTCTTCCTCTCCGTCGGCTGCTGCAGCACCGTTGGCGCGGGGTGCCTGTTGAGCACGATCCTCAGCAAGGCGCAAGTCGGATTGCAACTCGCCCACGCGAACTTGCAGTTGATCTCGAGCAGTTCGGACAGACGCAAGCTCTTGACGAACTTCGTTGGCAGCTTTAAGCAAGTCGTCTATCTTCCTCTGTTTGTCCGTCTGATCAAGCTCAAATCGTATAGTGATCCTCTTGTGTTCTTCCGTTTCGTCCTGCAGCTTCCGTTGTGCGTTTGAAAGTTCAACCTCCAGCGAGCTGGCTCGAGACTCAAGCAATCGTCGAGTCTCAGCTTGCATCAAAGTCTGCTCGTTGTAGTCGTTCCGTTTCTCTTCCAAGGACTTGTTCAGGAGACTCTTGGTTTCGTTGAGGGTCCTGATCTCGCCTTCCAAACGATTCCTAGTTGTCTCCCATATCGATTGCGAGGCCTTCAAGTTAGTGTTAGCGCGCTCAAGGCTCTCGAGCTGGCCCCTGCACTCGACGTTTTCTTCCATGACTTGCTGGAACTTGAGATCACTGCTAGCGAGTTGATCCTGTGCAGCATTCAGGCGTTTCTGCAATAAGTCCTTCTGCGACTCCAAAGCAGCGATGCGATGTTGTTGTTGATCATGCCACTGTTGAGCCACCTGTTGCTTGCTTTCGAGTCGCACATTTTCGTGCTGCAGCTGGCGGATCTCCTTGGTCAGGTCGTCGATCTGGTGCTTGAGCGTCGCACGATCAGTGACAGACTCTTCCCTTAGAATATCTAACGACTTCTGAAGCTCTTTGAAAAGGTTGCTGTTCTGGACGGCTTCCGCAGACTGCGTATTGGAGATACTGTTTCCTGGTGGTGGGGTTCCATCGAATATTGACGCTGCGTCAGAGCCTCCACTTCGGTGGCCTTGGTTCGTGGCGGTACGGCGCCACAAATCGCGCTCCTTAGTCAGTAGGTTCACGGTGTTTTCGAGCGAATTGATCCTGTCTTCATACTGTGCAGCTTTCTCTCGGAACTCTTCGAGTTCTCGCTTGACACGCTCCTGCTCTTCAAGTTTTTCCTGTGCTTGCCTCCCTTCATAGACTTGAGTGAAGTTCGAAACTTGCTGCAACAGGTCATGATTGCGCTGGACCAACTCATCAATATTCTTATACAAGACAAGATGCTGGGTCAGCGAACGGCTCGTGGGTGTATCATTCTGATCCAGTCTATGTTCGGGAATTGTGTTGTCCTTGGTCTCTTCGAGGAAACGCAGGTCTTCCGGAGAAAGGGCTTCCAAACCGACTTCTCGACGCTGTTGCTCGAGAAGCAAGAGTTTGTTCTGGAATGTGATGTCGGTGATGATTTGCCGGTCAATCTGGTGTCGCTGCTCGAGACCCTTGATATCGCCATCCTTCTTTCGGGCTTCCTTCCGAGCGGCGTCCTTCGCAGTAAGAGCATCGTCCAAGTTACCCGACAAATTCGCGAATTCGGATTTCAGCCGTTCGATCTCTTGTTTCCGCTCCTCCAATTCCGGGTAGATTTCTTCCATTGACTGAAGCATGTCGTTGACTTGTTCACGCAGCTCCGTCCTGTTCTCCTCAGAGCTGCGAAGGTCTGCCTTGAGCTTTACGTTCTCGGCGTAGAGCTGGGTCACCGTCAAGCCGCCCTTCTTCGATCCGCCCGGTGTAGAGATCATGGGGGAACCAGCCCGTGCTGGGGTGCCGAAAGCACCGTTCATACCGCGACGAGGAGTATGTGGGACGTGAACGGATGTCCTCAGCTCGGATAGCTGGGATTCTTGAGTCTCTACCAAAGACTCGACTTCGGCGAGCTTCGCTTCATACTGGACGACCTTGCTCTTTTCAGAGTCGCATTCGGCCTGTAGCTTACCTACCTCGAAGGCCGCTGCATCCTTGACATCCCGGAACTCATCGGTAATCTCTTCCAGGCGCTTCTTAGCGGTCTTTTCCCGCTCTCCGCACAGTTCAGCAAGGCGACGGCTGTTGTCCAGCTCGGCGCGGAACGACTGTTGGTTCTGCGCAGTCTCTTCTTGAAGTTGTTGGATACGGAGCAGCGACTGTTCGACACGCTGTTCAAGCTCTTCGACGCGCTTGGTCTGCGATGTTTCCTTGCTGCGGAGCGAGTCTATCGTCTGAGTTGCATCGGCGTTGGCGCGTTGTAGTTCCGCAATCTGCGCATTCTTTTCCTTGCGGAAGCGAGTGTTGTCGGCGGAGCGCGTCTTGAGCTCGCCTTCGTACCACTCGTTGCTGGAGCGGAGCTGGTCGATTTCCTGACGCAGGTTATTCTCGCGGAAAGTCACATCCTTGGCGCCAGCCTCGAGCTCCTGCTTCTTGTCTTCCAGTTCAGAGACCTGCTTGCGGAGGGCGACAAGCTTCTGGTGCTGGGCCGACAATTCTTCGGCGAGGCGGTCATAGGCGGCGGATTTCGCTTCGTGCAGGGCAACAGTGTCACGGTTCTGGCTTTCCAGGCTTCGTACGCGGGCTTCTAGTACATCGACCTGAGACGACGAGCTTGAGGTACTCGCTTGGAGCGTCAGCAGCTGCGTCTCAAGCTGCTGGTGGGCTGTTTCTGTAGCTTGTCAGTATGCACCGCAACATCAATGGGCAGGTGTAAGCGCATACCTTTCTGTGCGAGCTGCTGGCGCAGCTCCTCTGCATCCTTCACGGCTTTGTCGGCGGTCGCCTGGAGAGTGCGTGCGCGGGCTTCTCCAGCGCGGACTGCCGTCTCATTCTCGATGTCGGCGCGGAGCTTCTCTGATTGCAGCTCGTCGTACTCGCGTGCCTTTGCCTCAATCTGTACAAGCAGCGACTGAACGAGCTCGACGCTGGGTTCGGATAATAGTGACCGGATGTTCGTCTCTGGGATCGCGTAGGACGCGGCAATGTAGCCGACGTCAACTGCAGTCGCAGCCATGGTGGACGGTGAAATGCGTTCGAGTCTTAGCACATCCTCGAGAAGGGGGTGTCGCGCCCGAACAACCAGTTGAGGTATAAACAAAGAAAAGAGCGTGGGTGCGCCAGCTCAGGTCGTGTGGCCTGTCTCTTTGAAGCTCCGTACAAAGTCGCGGTCGTTTGTTAGTTAGTCGGAGCTTGGCGCAAGCGGCCGCTGCATTGACGCATTCAACTGAGCAGTGACCACCCGCGCAGCTGCCTCCGACCTTCACTTCCCTCACCTGCGACATTGACCTGGCGCCAGCGTTTCTCGGCTAGGCATATAAAGCGGCTGCGCGACCCTTTAAATAGACGCCGCCTGCCCGCCTGTTCAACCGCTCTGCTCGCTCTTCCTCCACCTGCGATCAATTCACAGGCCCCCGCCGCCACGATGTCCACCCTCAAGACCAGCAGGCTCGCGCCGAACGCGCCCTCGCCGACGCCCTCAAGCACCTCCGCGAACGGCACCAAGCGCAAGCGTCCTGAGGAGACTTCCAAGGTGGTGTACTCGCAGCCGCTTGACACAGAGCAGCGCGACCACCTCTTCACGCAGTGTACCTACGCCTTGGAGCACCTGCGCGGACAGCCTGACAGATGGTTCACCTTCAACGATATAATGAACTATCTCAACATCAGGGAAGACGACCACGTCGTCCGCAAGCACATGAAGGACTTCTTCCATGCCGACAACGCCACCCAGAAGATCGAGTACAATCCTGCGACCAAGAAGTACCGCTTCAAGCCCAAGTACAACGTCCGCAACAATGCAGAGCTCAGGCAATATCTTCAGAACCAGAAGTCTGCGCAGGGCTTGGCGGTCAAGGATCTGAAGGAGGGCTGGGTCAATGTGCAGGATGACCTCCGGATCCTGGAGGCCAGGAAGCAGATTCTTGTGAGGCACAATCAGAAGGATATGAATGCGAAGACTGTGTATGTCACTTGTAAGTATGTATGTGGCGCGTGCTAATACGCATGAAGGTGGAATAACGACTCGACGCTCATGCACCACGTTGATCCAGAGTTTAAAGAGGAGTGGCACCACGTCATCATCCCGCAGGGCCAGGATGATCTGCGCAAGACTCTCGTAGCAGCCGGTCTCAAGCCGTCGAGCGCGCCTCGTCTCCCCACCACAACTAAACCCAAGGAGACGAAGCGCAAGACCGCTCGTCGTGGTGGCAAGCAGACCAACACCCACATGGCAAGCATCCTCAAGGACTTTTCGCACCTACGCAAGTAAGCATCTTCTTCTCGGCATAGCGTCGGCGTTTGGGTAGGTAAAACATTCACGGATACGGTTATGGGCTTGCATCTGCTCCGAGTTGCAGAGCTGGCGACGTCAAGATTAAACATACAATAAACTGAGTGGCATCCGTCTCAACTTCAAATTCTTGTGGAGAAGCTTGCTTGCGAAGGCTTGATCCATAACCAAATCAGAGACTTCGTCATATGAACATCCTGTCGCAATGGATGAACAACATGTTCACATATTCTTTACTGATAGCGCCTATTGATGCCCTATGATGATGAGTCACGTGGATGGAACAAGGTGAATGTGATTCCACTTGTGAATTACAAATGATGTTTTCTATCATTCAAATTCATGGGAGAGTTTGTGCAGCCTGAAGCTCATGCATCTTCAGCTGGGCGTAACACTAATTCACAATTTCCCGTGCCCAAACCCTACAATTCAAGATGCTTGCCCCTAAGCGACCCGCATGAACAGGGTCCGTGCCATACCGGTAAAAGTTAGTGGTGACATCAATCACTCCGAGGCACAAGACGCTCCCATTGCACACCACCCTAAATACTGGAAGCTATGAAAGCTTCACGATCACTTTGGGCGCTCCACCGCCTCCAGAGACATCCGTCCTCTCCATCATATTGTTCAACACCTGCACAAACCGTTCAAGCACACCCTCCGCGCTTCGCATCACCAATGCGCCTCTCCTCCACGACCTCTTCCTCCGCAGAAGAACCTTCCAAATCCACCGTAGACCCAACAGAAGTATCCCACTTCAATGCGCTCGCCTCCAGTTGGTGGGACCCCGTCGGCCCCTCGCGCCTCCTCCACCTCATGAACCCCCTCCGACACAATTTCATATCACGTTGCCGCTCTGCGTCTCCCTCCGCTTCCCCCACCAGCAACCTCCGCTACCTAGACATCGGCTGTGGCGGTGGAATCTTCGCCGAATCAGCAGCGCGTCTTCCACACACCGCATCCGTAACCGCCATCGACCCAACGCCCGAAGTACTCAAGATCGCTGAGGCGCATAAGAGGAGGGATCCTACGCTTGCTGCGCCGGGAAAGCTGACGTATATAAACACATCGATTGAGGATCTATCGCAGCCTAGGATGCTGGAGGAAGGCTACGACGTCGTGAGCTTGTTCGAGGTGCTGGAGCACGTCAATGCGCCAGGTCCTTTCCTAGAGCATATCGTGCCGCATGTGAAACCTGGAGGGTGGCTGGTGTTGAGCACGATCGCGCGGACGTGGACGAGTTGGATAGTGACGAATGTCATGGCGGAGGATGTGCTTGGGATTGTGCCGAAGGGGACGCACGATTGGGGAAAGTATGTTAACGAGGCGGAATTGAGGAATTGGTTTTATGGGAAGCCGGGATGGGGAGAGATGAAGACAATGGGCGTGATTTATGTGCCTGGGTTTGGGTGGAAAGAAGTTACGGGGAGTGAGGGCTGGGGTAATTACTTCTTCGCTGTGAGGAGGGTAGAGTAAGGGGTGGAGTCGAGCGTAGGCTTATACGATATGGTGTGAAGTGATAGTACATATGATACCCAGTTTGAGAATGTACAGTCAGTATATGTACATTTAGTCGGCGCAAAATTATTAAATGCGCTGTTTCGACAACAACCGTCCGCGTATCGTACAATGCTCTTTGCGAATGGCCGCAATTCCAGCCAGGTTGCATCACCCTTCAGTGTCTTGAATACCATAAAAAGCCGTTTTTTCTCCCAAGTGCACATCCTCTCCTTCGCTTATTACTTCAGAGCGAGTATCTTCAGCTGTCCACCTCACTTCTGCCAAAATTTCTTCTCGCTCTTCTTCGGCGGCTCCTCCCATACCTCTGGCATCTTCTGCTCCTGTGAAGGGTCGTAATACGGCGCATCTACGACATCGTGCCCACCCTCTGCCTTCCACCTCGTCAGATACGCCTCGCCCGTCATCGCCTCCGGCACGGTCTCCCACTTTTTCTCGCCCATTTGTACATTCTTCGGTGTGCGGCTGCTTACGAATGGTGTCAACTACAGCTCCTGTCAGTCTCGTCCTCTCCTACAAACATTACAGTTGATGCGTGCCGGCCGGGGCATTGCTGCTGACCTCAAATCCCTTCGTCCCCTTCGAAGGGTACACAAACGTCCGTATCTTGCTGTAGTCCGGGTGGAAACGTCCGTATTTATCAATCGTGCCCAGGGTCCCTGTGCGGTTGCCTTTGTAGTATTCTCTTCCGGCCTGTTTCGTCGAGAGTGGCAGGCGCCGCAACGTCTTTTGCATGCATGGTGTAGGTTTGAACATATTCGCGAATACCCCGTCCTAGGCTGTTTGGTTCGATTCAACGCACGACAAGTTGCTTTGACAATGGCAAGATGGCAGCGCAATGGGATGCAATGCGGAGGTCCGCCGGCGAAACTCCGGCAGTGAGGGTTGTAGTCGACTTTTTTGGCCGCCAAGATTTCGACCCACTGCTCTTGATTTTCGTTGCGAGAGGCAAGTCGAGCAACACCACATTACGCAGACATGCCTCCACGGAAATCGCGAGACTCACTCCAGAGCGGAAAGCCGCCCAAAGGGAAACCCCAATCCGGCCCCCGAAATCCCAAGAAAGCACAACGGCGCGCTCAAAACGCTTTCTCGATCGCAGGCTACGATGCTTCAGACCGTACCAAGATACGCAAAAGTCGCCTCGGTGAAATCGAAGGCGCTACACACCGAAAACGACCACGTGATGAAGAGGATGAGGAGGGAGAAGACGAAGAAGAGCAAGATGTGAAGCGGGGCAAGCGGAGGCGAGCAGGAGACGAGAGCTTCGATGAGGGAAGCGATTCCGAGGGGAATACCTGGACTATGGGCCATGTGGAGGACGACGATGACAGCGATATTGATAGTGACGAGGCTTTCGGGGAGAGTGATGAGGAGAGGTTTGAGGGGTGGACGTTCCGTGGGAGTTCAAGCAATCAAAAGAGTGGGAAGCCGAAGAGAGTGAGACTTGCAAAAGAGATGGATGATGCAGACGGAGAAATTGATCTGGATGAGGCAGAAAGTGCGGACGGTGAGAATGAAGACGAGGATGACCTAGGCGAGGATGCGATTGATCTAGCTACTGCGCTGGATCAATATGAAGAGGATGAAGGGGAGGAAAAGAGGGAGAAGCAGAAGAGAAAGAAGACAACTGCTTTCGACGACAGCGACAGCGATGAGGCGCCAAGTGAGGTTGGTGACCTCGCTGCAGACGGTGCCTCTGACTTCTCCTCTGAGGATGACGACGAAGATGAAGCCGATCGAAGGGCGCAGTTGAAGGACCTAATCACGTCCATGGCAACAGAAGACGAACAGAACGCTCCCGCACCACGCAAGGTGGACATCCACGAGAATGCTGCTCCATCTGAATTCGGTATTATGCGGAAGGTCGACCTAGCAGGCTTCAAATCGAAGATCGCGGATCCTGGGAGGAGAAAGTCGTTGAAACTGTTGCAAGACGACAACTCAACGAAGCGCAATGACATTGCCCGAAAACTGGAGGCACCCCTCCCTAAGCGACAGCAAGACAAGCTTGACCGAGCTGCCGCTGCTGCTAAAGCCAAGGAGACATTAGACAGGTGGACAGATACTGTGAAGCATAATCGCCGCGCCGAACATCTACATTTCGGTCCAGACCAACCAGAACCGGGCTCTCGTATGGGTGAAAGTCGACTACTGCCTACCACCACAGCTGAGCCGGCTAATGACCTCGAAAGCACCATTCAGTCCATCTTACAACAGAGCGGACTTTCGAACGGAAAGGAAGACGAAGAGAAGATTCAGAAATGGGAAGAGCTTCAGACAAACAAGCTTCCCCTTGAAGAAGTCCAGAAACGCCGTGCGCAACTTCGTTTGGAGCGAGAGCTTATGTTTCGTGAGGAAGTCCGTGCGAAACGTATCAAGAAGATCAAGAGCAAATCGTACCGCCGGGTTCATCGCAAAGAGCGTGATCGATTGATGGAAAAGGAGCGTGAACAGCTCAAGGCCGACGGCATCGATGTCTCGGAAGACGAACGAGGGCACAATGATCGTCGAAGAGCGGAGGAGCGAATGGGCGCGAAGCATCGTGATAGCAAGTGGGCTAAGGGCGTTAAAGCCTCTGGCAGAGGTGCCTGGGACGATGACGCTCGTGCGGGTGTGACCGAGATGGCTCGACGTAATGAAGAGCTTCGGCGTCGCATCGAAGGCAAGGAGGTGCGCGAAGAAGGCGACGAAGCTTCTGACTTCTCTAGCGACGAAGACGATGAGGACTTGACCGATAACGAAGAAGGCACCGAGGCTGTCAAGCGTCAGCTTGCGCGCTTGGAGCAAAACCCTTTCTCTGCCAATAATTCCAAGCTCGGATCGATGGCCTTCATGCAGAAAGCCGAAGCTGCACGGAAGGCTCGTAATGACGAGGATGTTGAGCGCTTACGGAAAGAACTTGCGGGTGAAGAGAGCAACAGCGACGTGGATGACAACGCAGCCAAAGTCGGTCGCCGCAAGTTCGGACCCAGTACCACAATGGCACCGCCAGCCATAGAGGTCCGCAGCGAATTTGAAGAACGCGAAGAGCTGGACAGTGATGCACGAAATGGCGATGCAGCTCCAAGTGAAGAAATCGCCACCAACGGTAAAGCTACCTTCAGCTCGAAGAGCGAGAGTAGTGATATAAACCCTTACCTCATTGCAAAGAGGACCAAAAAGATGGATGAAGTGCCATCTACAGACCTAGTACCAATGGCATACGATACTATTGCCGCCACCCAGGTTCAGGAAAAGCCCGCCAAGGCTTCTAAAAAGAAGTCGAAGTCGAAGCAGGAACAGTCATCAGATGAGTCGCTTAAAGGGGTGTTCGCCGGCAATCCCACAATCGGCAAAGCAGACGACGACGGTTTCCAGACAGTTACCTACGACACCGACGACAAAGAAGATGATGGTTGGGGCGACGAGAACGATACTTTCGATGCCATCGGTCTACGGCGCAACCAACAATTCACAGCGAGTGCCTTCGCTGGCGACAACGTTGTAGCCGATTTTGTCGCCGAGAAGGGGAAAATTGTCGCGGAGGAAGACGAGCGCATCGAGGAGAATGTTTTGCCCGGTTGGGGCGCATGGACAGGTGACGGTCTCACCGCGTCCGAGAAGCGCAACAAAGGGCAGATCTCTCGCACCAAAAAATCCGGTATTGCGCCCGGCAAGCGAAAGGATGCGAAATTGGCTCGCGTTATCATCAACGAGAAGCGCGTCAAGGCCAACGCCAAGTACATGTCTTCGCAACTTCCGTTTCCATTCGAGACGAAGGAACAGTATGAGAGGAGTCTTAGGTTGCCTAAAGGCCCGGAGTGGACGACGAAGAAAACGTTCCAGCAGGCGACGAAGCCTAGGGTTATGGTTAAGCAAGGTGTAATCAAGCCGATGCATAAGCCGCTTATCTAGGTCTTTATGAGAATCTAAAAAGTGCATTCGGAGCGCGCATAGTACCGGCAGAATTTGTAGCAATCCCCAAGAATAGAAGAGATGACAGACCTTAGGACGGTAGCATCTGAAGAATGCCAGCGTCGTGCTACTATGCTAGAAGAAGCCCCACAAAGTTTGAGATATGACGAAAGGGAGACGCGGGACGCACATGACCTCTCCTTGTTACTACTACTACGGCATATGCTGACCTCTTCAGGTGAGTCAGTCTCGAGCTTGACATTGTGCATGTGTTGTCCAGATGGTGTGTACATGGACATTACATCTGTCGCTCTTGCGACGGACGCTGTATTCCATTGGCGGGTGCGATTACCCATTCAGCACGGGCAGATGCCCACTTCTATAGCCACCATACCATATCCTCCTGGATCTCTTCAGACTTTATCTCTACCAGTATAACTGTCCGTAATTCTTGATGGCTGTCTTCATAGCTGACTGTTGCTTGATCATCTTGACTTCAGCAATAGCGCGTAAGTCTTGCCTCAGAGACTAGTCGTCTTCGGCAGGCATTCGAGATGAGTAGATGTAGGTGGCTGCGCTATGTCAAGACTGTACGGGTACAGTACATGGACTCGCGCACTTGATGAGAGGCCCAAATGGTCGGCAGGCAGGTAAGTATATCAGTCCTTGCCCGTGCTCCTTGCAAGGACTGCAACATCCGCATCAAGTACTTCAGTCGTTTATCTCGATGCTTCCCCTCCTTTACCCAACTTTGTGAGATATGTCCAATCTTCACTTTTCGTCTGCTGCGTTATCGTCCAACTTGACTTTCGTCGATCATGACACCCATGCACGTTCTTGCAGCCTTGCATTTTGATCTTCTAGTCTGTCTGTCAGGCCGCGTCGAAGCAGCACCTCTAGACGACCGACTTATCTAAGACTCTCATGGAAGACAATGTATATCGCAGAGACAGTAATGCTCTGCGAATCAACTGTAGGCAGTCATACAGCGAACGCCGACTCTCAGGCTTCAATGTTCACCAGGGAGGATGAGTCAACAAAGAACAGCGATCAGACACCCAGAAGTGTCTCACTCAGTGACAGTATCAAGAATTCTGCCGAAATGGTATATCTACGATGCAATCTATAGTGAGTGTGCCCCATCACAACTGCCTCGCAAACAATCGACCTTTGCTCGTCACTTCTTCAAACACCCGCTTTGCCACAATCAAGCCTTCACGTCCCAGCATGCCCAACAGTCGCAAACATCGCTTCCGTTCTTGCTCTACTCTGGCTGCGACCAACAAAATCTCTACTGACGAGCCGCTCCTACCAAAGGAATAGGCTGCACTAACAATGCCCTTTATACTGCTATCTACTACAGATACATCGCACGCATCTACACCTACATAGTCTCGCACCGCTCCTACGCCTGTTTTATTTTCCTACCTATCCTTATCATTACCCTAAGTACCTCTTTCGCGCTGGGCACGCATAACTCCTCCCCGACGGCAAAATATCTCCCTACGACCCCGAGCAATTTTGCACAGCCGTTCTCAATCTCCCTTGTATCGATCCATGGGCCAATCGCAAAATATCATCCGGCCCACTCGCCGACCGTCATCATCATCGCGAAGACGCAGCACGCTTTCCTCCACTTTTCGCTCGACACCTACACCTGCACCAACATCGAAAGCAACCCCTGCAGACAACATCTTCGTACCCATTCAGCAGGACGATGTACTAGGCCAAATTCCGATAAACATCAAGCATCCGTTGCCGAGATTAGGTATCGAAGATAGTGCAGATAAGCCGATTCAGACGAATAGGTTCTATGCAAATGCGTTTCTGGGCAAGCAAGACCAGCCGATATGGCCCCAACCGTACTTTATCTGGTGGGGAAGAGGTGGCTCAGATCCGAATCAGGTTCCGACATGGGGTATGAATGTTGGGCATGTAGAGAGCGAGGACCTGGAGCTTGGTCCTGGCGATCCGCCAAAAGTATGCTACTGTAACCATTGCTCATGCTAGATCGATCGATAGTTTGATAGTGGATGCTAATGTGATATAGTACTATTCTGCGCCACGGAAGCAGCCAGTCATCCTCGGTGCAAGGGAGCTTGATGACAAGACTGTAATGACGACAGACACGCATCTTCCATACTCAGTCAACATAAATCTAAGGTACGTTCTAGAGTATTTGAAGCGGAGAGTTTACATACTCAAGATCTTCAATATAGGCGCGGGACTGCCGCAGACTCCCCCAAACTGACGTTTACTGTCGTACAGGGCATGAGCTTCATTACAGTAGGTTATAGGAATGCTTCGCCTCTAGTACAGACAGCCGGGAAGGGCTTCCAAGGTGACTTAGGCAACCCAGTTTTGATTGGGAGATCGACCAAATATCGATTCAAAGATTGCGACGGGCGCGACTGGCTCATGTACATCAACCCCGCGAGCGGTGTAGAGTATGATGGCACGAAGCTGACCAAGATCGACGCCAATACAATCGTTTTCTCGTCGAATTTCAAAGGCATCATCCAGATAGCCAAGAACCCTTCCGGAACTGACGCAGAAGCTCTCTATGACAAGACGTATGGGACCTTTGCAGCCGAAGCCAAACTTCACGCTACTGTCAATGATTCTCGTGGTACTTACGGTTGGACCTATAGGAAGTTAGGTAGGGGTCCTTTACTCATGTTCCTCCTCCCACACCACCTCCAGTCCCTTGATTCCGAATTCAAGTCAAGCATTACAAAACTTCAGCTGCAGACTACCACAAAGGGCACAGCAACAGCCGTTTGGATACCGGCTGATAGTGTCTCCTTCACCGAAACAAACTTGCCCACTACCATGGGGTTCGCTCCCTGGACGCACAATCTGACAACCGCACGTACCCGCTTTCCATCAGACTTCCTCCTCTTCCTCTCCTCCGTCGCAGAGCTCGACCTCCGCCGCGCAATGTCCGACCCTATTACCGAGGACTCGTACTACTACGCCGGCAAGTCTCTTTCAAAATTTGCAAACCTCCTCTGGGTGATCAAAGAAATCCTGAACAACCCTGAATGGGTGGCCAAAGGGCTAGGAAAGCTCAAAGAAGACATGGCGCGGTACATCGAAAATGTGGTAAAGTTTCCACTGTACTACGACGATACGTGGAAGGGGCTTGTAAGTAAAGCGGGCCTTGATGGTGATCAAGGAAGCGATTTTGGAAATACATTTTACAATGATCATCATTTTGATTTTGGGTACCTCATTCACACTGCAGCGGTTATTGGGGCGTTGGATCCGGGGTGGTTGGAGCAGGGGTCCAATAAGAGGTTTATCAATATGTTGGTCAAGGTATATCATCTAAGGAATTGTCCTAAAGGAAGTGACTGATTCGACTTATTCCAGGATATCGCAGAAAGCGAGTACGAAGGGAGAGACTTTCCTTTCCAGCGATGCTTCGACTGGTACGCCGGCCACAGCTGGGCAAAAGGACTCTTCGAAAGTGCGGATGGCAAAGACGAAGAGTCGACGAGCGAGGATGGCTTCGCAAGCTACGCGATCAAGATGTGGGGAAAGGTCATCGGAGACGCCGATATGGAGAAGAGAGGTACTGCCACCTCCTGATGCACTTACTCATCCAGCCACAGTTCAAGCCACGATACTGAACCATACCACAGGCAATCTCATGCTCGCCGTCCAAGCCCGCGCTTTCAACAGCTACTTCTACCTCACGTCTACGAACCCAAACCAGTCCTCCAGCTTCCTCCCGCACAAGATCACCGGCATTACTTTTGAGAACAAAATTGACTACGCCACATATTTCGGCGACGCACCGCACCTCGTCCACGGAAAACACATGCTGCCCCTCGCACCACCTAGTGCCTACCTCCGCCCCCGTGCCTTCATCAAAGAGGAATGGGACGCTCTCTTCGCGTTGCCGCCCCCGACCGCTGCTACTTCGCTGGCCCACGGCTCTTTCGCGAGCACGGCGCTGCACCCCTCACCACCTCCCATTATGTTCAGACCCATTTTATCACCCAAGCAATCCGCATGGAGCTCGAACGTAAAAGCAGACCCGCTCGCCGGAGGACCCTATGTCGACGGCGGGTGGCGCGGGATTCTATTTTCGAATCTGGCGCTCGCGGATCCTAAAACTGCGTATTCGTTCTTCAGGGACGGAGTGGGCGGTGTGTGGGATGAGAGGTGGGTGGATGGTGGGGCGACGAGGAGTTGGTGTTTGGTTTGGTGTGCGAGTTTGGGGGGTGTGGGGATGAGGTAGGGAGGAGGGTGAAAGGGTGAGAGTCAGGGCCGACGGCTGAGCTGGAAGCTAGGATTGAGGTGGTTGGTCCTCGTTGCGATGATCAGTTTGCCCTCTCTCGTGAGTGTTGGGAGATGCGATGAGTTTTCTCGTGCTTGTAATGATTCTAATGCGTGACGAATTGGTGACACAGTACTTCTTTACCGGGTACGCGGCGCGGTCCCAGTTGCTCTGCTGAGAGGTGCATACGACGCAAGCATGCTCCCGTAATGCATTGTCCAAACACCAGCATGCTCACCATCTTCCTCGGCTGAGGCGCATTGCGAAGCCAGCGTCGAACGGCTGCTTGCGTGAACTTGGAAGACGTTCTCAACATAGAGCAGATAACGCCACGTCGGTGAGGGACGCAAACACAATTTACAATAACAATTATTCATTCTGTTTCCTGCCAAATTTGCTCTACCGCCTAGCATACCTCATGCGCCAAGCGCAAGCCACCCACGTTACTTTTCTACCAACGCCAAAAAGAAACACAGAGATGAAGCCGCCGGTATATAGTATTGTACAACTTGCATACCTACTCGCACAACAAATGACAACATGTGACAGGAAAAGAAAGGGGCACGTAAGGGAAGGGTGCAGTGGGTGTCGTATAGCCAGCTCAGCTCGACTAAAACAGGGTAAACAGGGTAAACAGGGATACTATGTACAAAAAGGAAAAGGTTGGATGGATGATTGCGCACGCGTGGCCGTCCGTCGCGTCAACCTGCCTTGCGACACCGCGCCAGGGAAGTCGGCACGCCCATTGAACACTGCGTTTACCGCTTTAGGTACGACAGTCACATTTGCGAATATGTGGTGGTGCATTTGGGGGCTGCAGAGCAGGGTGGGGCCGCATTCCGTGTATCCGAGAATTAGAAGAGTTTCGCGAAGAAGCTGCTGCCGAGATTACCGGAGGCGTCTTCGGGCTTGACGTAGAAGGCTAGGGCGATGATGATGTACCTTAAAACCCGCGTCAGCGCCACATTCTGTTGCACGGCCACTTTCACCTTGGATTCGCATGTTCGACATCCACTCCCCCTCGTTGAACGTCGCGATTTTTCAATCTTCGACGGAATACCAAGATGCGCTTCCCAGAGGCCCTGAAACCCGTGACGTCATACTGCCACGGCTTCCGCGTGTCTCTGAAAAGCGCGCTCTGGGAGGAGACGTGGGTGCGGGGGTTTGTTACTTACATTCCGAGGCACATGCAGCCCTCCAAGTAGTTTGACTTTCCGTCCTGGATGAGGTAGTTGACGACCAGGACCGAGAGGAAGAAGATGACCGTCTCGAAGCCCTGGAAGTGCAGCGTCATGTTGCGGTCCATGATCCAGCCGAGGATAACGAGGAACGGAGTTACGAAGAGCGCAATCTGCAGACTGCTGCCAATGGCGACGTTGATGGCGAGGTCCATCTTACCCTTGAGCGCGACCACGACGGCCGTCACGTGCTCAGCGGCGTTTCCGACAATGGGGATGAGGATGAGACCGATGAAGGTCTTGTTGATGTGAGCGGTTTCCACAATGGAATCAATACTGTCAACGAGGTAGTCGGCGCAGAAGGCGATGACAACAGTCACGAGGACGAGTGCCACCACGGCGGCAACGGGACCGAGGATATCCCCCTCTTTAGGACCTTCCTCTTCGTCACCTCCCTCTTGCGCCTCGACGTCAGAGAACAGTTGGTGGTGGGTGAAAAGCTGGAACACGATGTAAAGAACATAGAGGAGGAGCAGAATGATAGCGGTGCCGCGAGACAAGAGCTGGATGTTGGGGTCGTCGTCGCGGATCTTGTGGTCGCTCTGCTCAGAGATGGCTGTGTAAAGAGTAGCGGGGATAATCAGCGCTGCTGAACCGACAGCCATCAAAGAAGACATGGTCGAGGCCACCGTCGCATTAAACTCACGCTCAGGCGCGCGAATTCCGCCTGCTAGGAAGCAGCAACCAAGGACCTACTTGTTATTAGCACTGTGACGAATATGCGCGCCAGCTACGACAAGAACCATCTGCCGTCGTCCCACAAGTCGACCTAGGATACAAAACTTAAGTCCATGATAGAAGAGACTGGCACAACTGGGTTTCAATCTTTCCGCAGTCTACTTGTCCATACGTCCTAGGGGAACTTGTGGCAGGTTACGGTCAGGAGGGGTGTACTCACAAGAAGCATATTAGAGAGGATGCTGCCCAGCATACTAGCCTGGACAACGCGGATCTGGTTCGCCTGGAGCGCAACGATCGACACCTGTTGGAGTCAGACAATCTATTCACAGCGGCGCACCGCATACGACAAAAAAGAGGACCCGCCATCGGCGCATCTCGTACATGTCCCATCAGGATACCCGCCATCCACAAGCACTGCATATGAAGCTATACAGCTCGAGTATTGACGGTCGCAGATCCCGGAACAAGGCACTGAGATACTCGCGATGCTGTCCTGTCTTTCCCATGACCCACAGCGGGTGTGTGCGGATGCTTACAATAAGTTCGACCGCATTTCCGAATGTCGCATTGCACAGGCCACCCAAGGTCTGTCCCAGCTTCGCCGACAGCTCCTCGGTCGCGAAGCTCAGCAGCGCGGCCAGTGGCATGATTGCGATGAAGTTGAGGATGAAGACGGCGGTGGGAGACCATTGCATCTTGCCGGCGATGATGCCCAGCGGGACGAAGACAAGCAACACGTTGACGTAGTTGCTGGAGAGGGTGCCCCAGACCATCTGCCATACGTTCTTAGCGTACGACTTCCATTTCGGCTCGTTGTCGCGACGGGAGCCGAGCAGCGGTGTCGACTCGCCGAGCGAGCCGTTGGTAGGTGCCGGCATAGTGTTCGATCGTGCGTTGTTGTTCAAACTCTTGTGACGGCCGTGACGATGGAATTGAGACCTTAAAGTGTCTGGACGGAGCGCCAAGCGCGTAGAATTAGCCAAGATATCGCGGCGAGTGGAGTACGTTGGATGTTGTGGCTGCGCCGGGCAGAGGAGTGATGGGCGGTCCAGCACCGGTGGACGGCGATGGTGTTGAGAGATTGCCGAGCACCAAGACCAGTGACAAAGGTGGCAGGGCGACCACGGCTCACTTGGGACTTGGGTGCCGGGTGCGGGTAGGGTCAGGCGATTAGTACTCACTCATTGCTCCGCGAATGTTTAGGAGTCAGAATCTGCGAGCGGGAACGTAGCTACAAGTACGTAGATCCCCGGCACGCTGCGTCGGCGTCGGTGTGCTTGCGCGTCCAAGCAATTGGTCAATGAGCTTGAGAGAGCGCCCGCCGCGAATGCAAGTACTCTGAGCTATCGAACACTCTTCACTGTGACCAGGCGGCAGGTGATGAGAGCGACAGAGAGCGGGGAAAGGAAATGCCCAGCAGAGCACTCGTGGCTGGATGTGGACGATGACGCCGTACGTCTGGCAGCTCCCGCCCATCGTGCCAGTTGCGCTGCGAGCACTGCCCCTTTGCCAAGCCGTGGCTAAGCGTGCGGCCCACGCCCGTTGCGGACCGTGACCTGCCGATCGGACGAGCTCGGCCACCCCCATTCGTCGCTTCCACCATCAAGCACAAGCTCTTGGAAGCGCCCATGCCAGCGCACAAACACCCGCCGTGCAGCAGCCTGAGGCAACACGCCAAGGTGAATACACGAGAGTTCTACAGAGGGTATATGTATACACAGCCCGCCACTGCTCAGCGCTGTGGGATCGCATGCCGAAGGCCAAGAAAAGCACACCTCGACCAGAACAATTGCGCCTGATGGGCAACTCCGGCGCCTTCCGCTCCCAGTAACCAAAAACGCCGTGCCTGACATGCATCCTTCTCCCCGTTTGTCTATCCGTGTCGCTATGCTTTGCGCCGCAGTAATCATCACAAAAGACCTGTACACACTGACCGCAGCAGCCTCTCAGTACTCCGCCTCTTCGTCGTCGTCCCTGCCTGTGGTGATCGATATGGCTGGGCGGCTTGGCGCGGCAAACAGCTGCTTGGTGAATTTGTGTTTCTGTGAGTCGCGGATCCCCTGGAGGAAATCGTGCGTGGCGACCACATCTTCCAGCTGCTTTTCGATGCTGTACGAGTCGGATTGGGCGCCTCGGATCACGGGTGATATCAGGCTCTTCCGCGCAACGACGAGCTGGTCTTGCACTGCTCGGATGATCTGGATGTTGTTCTTGAGCTCAGACTTGTTGGCCAGAGCGCTTGAACGCAGCGTCTTCAATAGCTTCAGATTCTTTTCGTACTTCTTCAGTCTGAGCTTGTTGGTGATCGTAGTGCGCCACATGGATGCCAGAAACTCGTCCTTCTGCGCAGAAAGAGTGTCTTCCTCTTTGGCAACGGTTCGATGTAAGTTGTGGAATTGCAAGTCCACGTTGTCGAACATTTGGAAGAGACTGTCGGCACGGCTAAGCTCGTTCTGTAGGTTCTCCTCCAATGTGGAAAGCACAAAATCGAACGATCGCTGTAATGCTGCTTTTGCCTTCTGCTGTGTCGTAGATCCCATGAGGCCGGTGACGACAGATCCGACAGCGCTGAGTTGGTCATCCGTGCCTAGAAGCCCGATCTTGCTCAATCCACCGTGAACATTTCCTATCACGGTGTCTAGCACACCGACGTGTGAGCCTTGGATACCCTCAAGCTGGCGCGTAGCCCATCCAATGGCGCTTATCGTGCTAGAGGCTGTCAGAATTCGTACATGGCAAGTGAGCACCATCACTCACCCATCCATATCACCATCAACATGTACAAAGAAAGTCTGGATCTGTTGTGAAAGTGTCTTCAAATTTTCGCTCAAACCGTCCAGCTGGGTAACGATGACTTTCGATCCCGACATATTGCTCGCCCGAATACTCTCGCCGAGATCTTCTACCGCGATAGATGCGTCGCTGAGCTCGCGTGAGCGCGGGATCACATTCTCTGATGCGTACAAAAGCGGCTCAAATCTCCTCACCATACTCACTAGGTGGGCGACGTTGGGCCCGGGAGAGGCTGTTTCGGTGCCCCAAGGATGGATGAGTAGCCACGCTAAGACTAGGACGACCAAACTGCCACACACTCTCGTCTTTGACATACCGCGGGAAAACGAAGAAATGCGCTCCTCGAGTGGTCCCATGTTAACTAGGCTCTCGGATTTGAACACGACTCGAATGACTGGCATAGTTAGTCAAACTCTTGTAGGCGACATAACAAACATGGGCAGAGAGTAATACTGGAGCGAAGATACCTACATCCGTCGCGTCTAGGCGATCCTTCTTCCTCTGGGTGTTGCTGCGCGCCTGAAGTTATGTCGGGCTCAATTGACGGGCTCTGAAGCCTCGATGCAATCGTATCGGGAGTGAAGTGACGTTGCTCCACGGGTTCTGGGCTCGTGCGCGGCGTTCCTTTGCGTGGCGACTCTGGGAGCGGTATGCGTGATGGCGTGACTTCCCGATCAAAGCGCTGCTCGTAGGGACTCGCGGTACGAGACTTGGATGGGCTTGACTCTTGCAAATACGATTTGCGATACCACTTGTTGTTGTGGTTCTGCCAGGCTGGCGGTGCCCATGGCCCTTCCGACTCTGCTTCGGACTCGTCCTCAGCCGGAGGAGCACTCCAACGGGATGAATGCATGTTAGAATGTGCGCTATATGCTGAATTGTGCATGCTGCGGTCTGGGTCGAAATCTCTCAGCGAGGCGCTTAGTGACATATCAGAGTAGATGGAATCGCGATCCATGGGTTCCGTCATTCGGCTGTTGGCTGGTCGAAATGCGTGGGCGCGAAGTTGCGGGAAGGTGCAGCACAGTGGGAGGGGTGGGTGGCTGGTAACTGAGGTCTGGGCTGCTGTTCACAACGGAGCGGTACAACCTAGCACGCGCAGAGAAGCTGGCGGGCACATGGAAGGGTCTCGTGATGCGCGTCGAGTATGATGAGTCGGAGCCTGCCGGGAGAGGAAGAACGAAGCTTCAAAGCTCCAGAAGAGATGTAGAGAGTCTCGCAGCACCGACCTCTCGTGGACGCACGGGCTTCTATATCGCGGGGAGCGCCAGCGAACCCGCCAGGGCTAGGGGTGAATAGTGAAACACGAAAGGCGAGTGGCTGGGCGAAGTGGTTGGGCGCCGTGTAACGCGACCCCTGCTGTGCAGGCGCGGGGGCGCGCGAACGCGACTGGCCCACTCTACTGCCAGAGGCAACAGACTCAATAGCCTTAGATGTTGTTCGTATAAGACGATTTGTTACGGAAACAGTTCAAGGGGCAGCGAATACCGAAGGTAAGTTGTCAGGACTACTTACGGTAGTAGCAAGAAAATCAGGTTGTCTGGGTCTTCGTTCGCCATCTGGATTGAACATACACATATTATCTGGTTCTTGTCCAAGATACGATGTCCTCTCGTCCGGTGCCAGCCATGACATGACGAATTCCAATCTTCGAGGAATGGGCTCCAGCATGTACGAGACCGCAGCCCAGAGCCTAGGCGACCGAAAATGACATACACAGTAAGCTTCTAATAATTACTTCGCCGATGAATCCGCGAAAGCATTGCATAGGCTCATCAAAACTGGCAGACTATCACCTTGCTATTTGGCAACTATGCTATCGCTATGAGCGTTAAAGTGGGTCCGAACATTGTAACAACTAACAGCATTTCAGCCTTACTCGCCGTCATCCTCCACTTCGTAATGATGTACTATCTGAACGGGAAGCCGACCGATGACAGAACTTATTTGACTCAGCAACATGTCATCCGGCTTTCTCTACTCCTGATCACTAGTTTCAAGGCCTCCTTGTGTGCTTCTCTGGCCGTCGCGTTCACCCAGCATATATGGAGAGTACTGGGACACAAAGCGCTTCAAGCGTCGTCCATCGAGTCTCTGCACGGTGTCCGTTACAATCTTCTTCTACTTGGGAAGTGGCGAGTATTGATAACAAGACTAGCCTTGTACTTGATGGCTACGGTTATATGGCTGGCTACTGTCGCCGTTCTCTTTCCCTCGTCTGCTCTCACCATCAATGTGCGACATTTCGTCGAAAGGCAATCCTTGGTGATACCAACATTCGTTACTGAGTACGGACGAGACGTCCGAAGTTATGGTACAGGAACGTCATCTTCAAGCACGTGGAGGCCATCCCAAGGTCAAACTTCGAGGTCTCAGTCTGCAGTTTCTTAAAGTAGCTCTTTTTCTACTTCCAGGTATCGCTTTCGGTCCGAAACCATCACAATTCCTTCACGGATACCGTAAGTAGTCGCACGATTGACCGCCCCCCAGCGTGGCACCACGCCGGAAGAGGTCACTGAACATGTTGGCTGGCGGTACGATACGTTCAAAGCATCATAGTAGTACATATTGCATCTATAGATAGATGAAAAGACCAATCAAGGTTGAAACTTCGTTGTCGATGGGCGGCGAGCAACGAGCAACGAGCGACAAGCGATTTCGGAGATAGCACGTGACTCGTGACGCCAATCCGCACTAGTCAACATCGCCGCATCATTTTCGAAAGACTCGCGACCCCTTCAACTCGATTGATCGTCGTAACACCCACATCATCATGCCTCCCAAGTTGAACGTCCTCAGCTTCGCGCGAGCAATCCCATACAGGCCAAAAGCACAGGCTCAATGGCTTTCCCGACCTGCCACGCGACTCGCACCGGCGCAGACTCGTGCCTATTCCGATGCGAAAGACCCCAAAGAAGTTCCCGCCGCCGATCGCTCAAAGCGAATCGATGCGAAACCTCTTGAGCATGTTAGCGAAGAAGCGGCAACAATGGCAGAAATCACAGGTGGTGAAGGTCCGGACCTGAGCCAGGGCACACCCGTTCAAGAAATTGTGAAGGGCGATAAAAAGGCGGAGGAGAAGTTGCCCAAGGTTATGCAAGAGCAGCTCAAGAAGGCGAGTTCGGCCCCGAAAGGCTCGCGCTCTTACTCGACCACAACGAGACCAATTGATGGTGGAAACGGCGCGTTTGACATGGGCCTCATGAGTTTTACTTCGGCGCCAGCCGCAGCTGCGCCAGCGTCGCCAGGCCTCAAGTTTGACATGCCTGTGTTGCCTCTTCCTAAGGATGGTCACGTCAAGCATAGGTATGACCCGGTTGTTGACCAGGTTACCAACTTGTTAATGCGGCACGGCCAGAAAAGCGTTGCTCAAAGGGTACGTCATAATCTCGAAACACGTTCGTAGCTTGTGGGCTAACAGTAAACATAGAATATGGCGCTCATCCTCCAACAACTTCGCACGGCTTCTGTCCCTACGATCAACCCACAACGACCGCTTTTGCCTGGTGCGCCGCCACCGTCGCACCTCCCGCTCAACCCCGTTCTCTACCTGACTCTTGCCATTGATTCGGTAGCGCCCTTGCTTAGGATTCGAAGTCAGAAGGGTGCTGCGGGTGGTGGTGTGGCTTTACAGATTCCCGTTCCTCTAGGCCAGCGGCAGCGACGAAGAATTGCAATTCAGTGGATCTTGGCAGCGGCATCAAAAAGGAAGACCAACACCAGTGGCAAGACCGGCTACGCGCAAAGAGTAGCATCAGAGTTGATCGCCGTCATCGAGGGTCGCAGTGGTGTATGGGACAGGAGGAATGCTGTGCACAAGTTGGGTATCTCCGCTCGTGCTAACATTGTTCTGCCACGGAAGAGATGATAGCATGTAAGAAGGAAAAGTGCAATCGGTCACTGTTTGATTCCAAATAGTATGGAGTCAACTATTACAAGTGTACTATGTATTGCAAGGCAACTTGTGCCATAACATTTGCCAAAGTTCAAGTGCATGCTATATGCAAAGCGTAACGCGCTCTTAGAAAGTCGGCTGAGCCCGTTTGTCACTCACTTCTACCCTCATCTTTCGTCACTCACTTAACCCCGCTGCTTTAAGGTCATCACAGCAACTAAACCGACTTGACTGCGCGTCTCTTCTAGTGCTCCATTTCCTCGACTCTCCTCGCGCCTGTCTTGCAACAAATCGCATCGCCGTTTCCAGTATGGACGAAAGTGACCAAGATCACTGCGCCAACTGTGGCTCCGCTGCTGGCTCACGGTGCGGAAAGTGCAAGACGACAAAATACTGTAGCGCTGAGTGCCAGAAGGCGGCTTGGCCCACCCATAAGGACACTTGCGGAATGAGCGGAGTGGAGCTTGTCGTCCATCGGGCAGCGCAACTGCTGCAGGACGTCTACCTCCACATGAGAGAGATGTCATTCGACAACTCCATCAAGAGTATCGAAGACAAGGGCGATGTCTTGCTTATTTGCGACGATCCGACGACGCCGGGCACTATTTTCCAGTTTCCTAGTCATCTTGTCCGAACTGAGGAAGAGAAGAGAATGGTTCTCACAACGCTCGTCTGTCAAGAACCTACCGCTTATCTCCATGACTTCCTGACGGAGATGCTCGACGGTAAGCAAAAAGCCATTCTTAGGATCTAGAGCTTGATTGACCATGACAGGTACGGGCGTGACTCTAGAGGAGCATATGCTAAGGATCAAGAAGCCTGCGAAGACGGTCCGCGTGGACGCCCAGAGAAAGATTCTTGACATGAGCAATTTCTACCATTCGGTTGTACGTGCTACGTCATCTGATGGCACCTATTCATGGATCGTCGACGCGTCGGGAGCGCAGTATAGTATCTTCAAGGCTTGTTTGACTGAGCGAACCTACCGCAAACGGCACGTCGTTAACACTTTGGCTGCATATCGATCAGGCACCAACAAGAAAATCTATGAGAAAATGAAGGACATGGAGGGTAATGGACCTCTGCTTGCTCGCATTGGTTGGTTTGCAGTGGACAAGGTCAGGTCGGCCGTCTTGGAGTGGAGGACCAAATCCGATTTCTCACTATCCTCGCTCATGGGCAAACCGGAAGCAATCTTCGTCGAAGGGTGTAAAGAGCTTGTGGAGTGCATCAAGGTTTCGCTTGACAACTTTGCCGCTGAAGTGCGAGCCAAATTCTTCGCAGACATCGGGCGCACGATGGTTTATTCCCAGCAGGACGCGTGGAAGTTGGCCATCGGCCTCGACCCAAACCAGGATGTGACAAAGATGATGGAGGAGATCAGCAAGAAGAATCAGCTATATTAGGCTCGGTTTCTTTTACTGATTGGAAACGGGCGCTTTCGATAAAGTCAAAATTGTTCATCAGTCGAAGGAGGTAGAGTTGGAGGACAAGGCAAGTTCAAAACCATAGTCAACCTGAACAAGGGCCGGTCCCTCCCCCTTCTTTTCCTCGCAAGATCAATCTGTGTCTTATACTTTGGGCGTTGAATGTTTTGGGCTACCACCGTCCAATAGCGTCGGCAACACATTTCGTTTGGGTGTTGCGCATTTTATACGCAGATACCCTCGCTTATCCGTTCCGAAGGCCTCCGGTCACAGCCGAATGATCCATCTCTGCGCTCGCCACGCAGCACGTGAATGGTAGCTTCGCCCAAAGTGATGCAATCATCATGTGATTCTCGGTCTTGGCAGTATCAACCGATGATGGCCTACTCTCTTGCGAATCTCACACTTGTTAAATGACCTCCAGGTTTTACCCGTCGCTTGCACCGTGAGTATGTAACTCCAAGATACCCCAGCGGTTTATCAATTACCACCCGAGGTTTCAAGTGCCAGGCGGAGGAGTGCGTGCCAAGCGCTGCAACGCGGCCAAGGGCGCATCCCCCCTCAACCCGCCGGTCTCCACTAGCACTTCGACCCATCCACGAGTGTCGTGTCTTCCGCGCTTACTGCTCCGAGACCCTGCGCATCATCGCCCGCTGAAGTCTTCCTTATGTCGTCCGCGTCCACCACCGCCCTGAAGAACAACCTGTTCTCCGACAGCGGCTAACGACACTTCAGACCACCGCCAGCCTTCGCTTGCTTCTCCCACTTTTGACCCCGCTGCAACCACTACTTCTGCCTATCACGCGACAAACCCGCGGCGATTGAATTGGCGGCTCACTTTTACTTGAATGCTCGCAGGCGATACTACAAGCCCCACTAGCAACCCGCTTCAAACGAGCCGCACCACGACTACACCAAACGCCCCTAAGCAACCCGCTTTCGCTCCGAGCAATTCATTGTGCTGCTGTGCAGTGACACCGCCTCTGCTTATTTTTTTTCCACAAGTCGACCGCGACGCCAAACCTGCGTTTACGCCCACACACATTCGAATAGCCCAACCCGCCACCGCGAGAACCCGCCATGTCTCTGGAATCGGCGCTAGACGACGAGAGGAAGCAGGTGCTGGCCTTGCTGGAAGCGAATACTAGGGCAAACTCAGGTCGCTCCGGGAGTCCTCATGTAGGCGGACGCGCACTAAGTCCGGGCATGTCGCCTGTCCGCAGCATGCTGGATGTCGGTGGCCCACACGTAGCAGATTGGTCGCATCTTGGAAAGAAGAAACGGAATACCAGTCGCGGCAGCAATCCCTCGTCCCCGCCGCCTTCTGCTCGCAGTTTTGGAGCGTCTCCCATCGACCCTGAATCGCAATACCAGTTCTCAATGCTGCCCACTATAGAGGCGCACTCTATGCCCAAACGCGTGTCACAAGGCGGCAAGGCGAGCACCACCGCCAAACCTCGAGCAATGTCATCGGTATTCGGCGATCAATCTGGGAAGGCGTCGAATAGAGACCGTGACCGACACGGCTCGTTCAACGGCTTTCAGAGCCAAAGGACTGGTAGTCCTAGACCGGGCAGGTCTCAGTCTCCAGGTGGCCGCATGCTCAATACGAATTCGTCGAACTTGATGCCCTCTCCGAATAAGTATGTGACCGATTCGGGCAAGGTCATCGACATGTCATCTGCATACCGTAAGCTTTCCGATGCAAATTTGAGTCGCTCAGGCGGCAGTCTTTCGTCTCTTCCAAGCCGCAAAGGTTCCGACCCATCCAAGGGTGAGTCTCTTGCTCCTGGCGGCGGCGTTCGCTTGGCAACAGACGATTTTGGCGACGATGAGGCTGCAGTCGAATCGAGTGAGAATGATGATACTGAAGATTCGGACGATGACGGTTGGGGAGGTGCGAAGAGCCGGGGTAGACAACGTCGACGGAGCGACGGTAGCGAGGGCAAAGTCCCGAGGAGTATGTTAGCGGCCGCTGAAGAAGAACGTGAGTAGAATGAATCTGGTCACCGGTACGACGATATATACTGAGTCAAGCAGGCAAAGACGTATCTACCTCTAACAGGGTGCGATCAATGTTGGAGCCAGACGTGACCATTACTGGTCCAGACGGTACTACATTGGCAGGCGAGAAGATGTCGAACAAGAAATCAGGAGTGCATCCGCATACGAGCTTCGATCAGAGCGGATCTGCGGTGTCTACACCTTACAATTCAGATACTGAAGCGGATTTGTCTGAGCTCAAGTCGGCTCAGCAGTTATCCATGAATATCTCCCCTATCCAATCAAGCCCGGAGGCTCACCGCTGCGTCCGCCAGATTGTCCGTGGCAACTATGGTAAATTCTTAGCGGATGCCGAAAACGGTCTGCGACGACAGCGGGTTTACTTGGTAGCAACCGATATAAGCGAAGAAGCAGCTTATGCTTTAGAATGGACAATCGGGACGGTGCTGAGGGACGGCGATACACTGCTCGCCGTTTATGCAGTCGATGAGGAGGTAGGTGTTGGCGGAACGGATACTCCTGGGGGCACTCATGGCAGCGTAACTACTGCGCAGGAGGAGAGCGATTCGTTGATGCAAACACTCTCAAACCACCAAGGCCTTATAGCGGAAGGACCAGGACCATCGCCCTTATCCAACAGTGTGTCAGCCTCAGAAACAGACACAAGCACCATGAACAAAGCAGAGAAGGACCGATACCAGGCGGCTGTCGAAGTGTCCGACCGCTGCGTCAAGCTCCTGCGCAAGACTCGCTTGCAGGTACGGGTCGTGGTCGAAGTTTTTCATTGCAAGAGCCCTAAACACATGCTTACAGAAGTGGTAAGTATGAAACAACGACGACACTCATGGCGTGCTACTGACAGCTGATTGACAGATTGACTTTCTAGACCCCACATTGGTAATCCTGGGGTCTAGAGGGCGCAATGCGTTGAAAGGGTAAGTCTCTCTTCTGCGCGAGACACAACTTGCATGATTGCTGACGCCCTGTCAGTGTCCTGCTTGGCTCCTTCAGTAACTATCTTGTGACCAAATCTTCGGTCCCTGTCATGGTAGCAAGGAAGCGGCTCCGCAAGCATAGCAAGTACAAGCGCAAGAATCTGCGGCTGTCCAATGTCATCTCGCCGTCTAACAATGGTCGGCTCGCCAACGCTAAAATCGATTGAATCTTTCGTTTGGAGATTTGTCAGACGGTATCATAATCCAACGGCGTTGAGTTGGTGTGGGGTCGAGAGAAGAGCGCTGAGGTGCGAGATCGCGTGGCGAAACGTAAACAGTTTACGATTGCTTGGTTTGGTTTGGAACACTGTTTCTCTCAGAACCAGATTCACAACTACCAAGCACTTCTATTCTTGCCCTTTACCGTACTCTCCTGCAGTATCTGCTTCAGAACGTTAAGCGGTTCGGGCGATGTTTCCGACATGTCCATTTCCGAGCATTAGTTTAGCGTCCAATACCACCGAGCGCACGCGACTCGATATGCACCTCACTTTTTGCTTGTTTACTCGACAAGAACGCCATCGCAATCTTTTCACGGTCGTGCAGGAATGAGCAGCTACCATGTTGCTTCAGATTCGTTTTGGCGTGCGATTCGGCACATCATCTGCCTAGTCTCCGTCCCTAGACGTCACCATCCAACGACAGCTGCAAGTTCCCACCTCTCAAAATTTTGACATCTTGAAGACCCGGCAGACCGGTAAGGTTTTCAATCCTCCCCTCAGGGCGACGACTCCGGTCATTTGCGCGCCCAGCCTGCCCCGCTCGACACAGAAGTGGCGCCCCAACGATAATGCGAGAGCCTCCTGGACGGGGCTGATTCCGGTATATGGGCTGGTGTTTGGAATCGACCAGAGAAGTGTGCATCGTTGAAAAGCAGTGTGTTTGCCATGATATAATTCGAGTCATCGATAGCGTCGGCTAGCTTACTCCACGTGCACTATGGTTGCCCGGCATATGCCTTACGCTATGTCTGCATCCACAGTGCCCTCTCCCTCTAGCCTGAGAGCAGGCCACTGCGGATTCATCGAAGTCGACGAACTCGAGCTCGATACATCGAGCCTTCATGCGCATATAGTCAGTCCTGGCGCAAGAGATTCACTTCTCAAGCCTCAGCAGTCGCAACATCCACACAGAAGTCACGACGACGCCGGTGCTTCCCTCCTCGCTGATCTCCGCCGCCTCGCTCCCTCCGTTGCCAAGGACTTCCTCTCGAGGCCTTCAGCTCGGGATGATGCCGTCTTTCGCCTTATCAACGACGTGTACTCGGAAGGAGAGGAGAAGTCCTACATCGCCATGAGCTACGTTTGGAACAAAGTCAGTCGGGATATACCGAAGAAGCTCATCTCGCCTGTTGGCGATCTGCCCTTCGGATGGGTTCAGACTGTGGAGCAGTTCCCTCTTCCCACTACGAAAGGGATGTTTCAGGCCGTGCTGAACGAGAGAAGGGCCGGCGAGGGCTTGTGGTTCGATCAAGTCTGCATCAACCAAGAAGATGAGGCGGAAAAGGCGTTGGCCGTTGGCACTATGGACTCCATCTACAAGAATGCACGCGTCGTGGTCGCAGCTTTGGACGACGTCTCCGTCACGGCGGAGGAGTTACAGTTCCTCGAGCAATACTACCATCAGTACATCTTCTCGAATCTGCCGTTAGATCAACATCCGAACCTCGGACTCAATCCACCGGTCATGCAACAGCATCCTCTGTTCCGATCTTTCGTAGAACGGGTACTTACTTCGATGTGGTTTGAGAGAGCTTGGTGCGCGCACGAACTGCGCATGGCACGAAGTCACGTATTTCTTGTGCCTTGCGAGATTGAGGCAGGAGAGGAGTCCGCATACACAGTCATTCGGTTTACCGGAGCTTTCTTCGTTCATATGCTTGTCCTTGCTAGTGAGGTCGTCACCTCTTCTGTGACGCAACAACAACTTCGGTCCTTGCTCCGACAATTCTCAAACTCTTACCTTTCTAACGAACAAGAGGCTCTCGCTGTGCGTAATCCGGATCGTCAGCCGACACCATCGCCACCACACTCTTTGGTACCTACAATCTCAGAAATTTTCAGCATGAAGGCAGGAGGAAACCCAAGACTTCCAGAGTATTTGCGGAGACTGGATGCAAATCGCGATAAGATGTCCATTGTATTGAACATAACAGGTATACCTTTGGTTCTAAAACCACCATCACCTCTACAGCGGCCAGCACTGGAGGACGAATGCGTACGCCAACTTCTCCTTGCGGGCTTAGCAGCGAGAGACCCAGTAACACTCTGCACGACAGGTGCACCATTACAGCTCCACGATGGTTCGATATCGTGGCTATGCAAGCCAACGCCACTCGATCTACCATCCTCACACACTATTCCCCTTCCAGCATTCCCACAAGCAGCGAGTACGATCACGCAAGGCTCAGACGGACGAGCAGAATACATCCAGCTCGATCTCATCTTCCTTGATCTTCCACACCGCACGCTATCGAATCCAAATTTCCCCCCAATCGTGCACCGAGCACGCGAATTCATCGACATCTGCATACAACGCCAGGTGCAGAGCCACATGTTGTGGAATCTATGGCAAACACCAAATCATCCACGAGCACCGGCTATGCGGAACATCTTTATCCAGACACTGGCATGTATATTCGACTGCGGCATACCTTGGCTGCTAGACGTTGCTTCGCAGCCTTCCTTCCCATATGTTACTTCGGGACTAGACCCTGCCGCTATAGAGATGCTGTTCAACCCACAAGTCATCCTTCACACCTACGTCAACGTTCCCTTTTTCTCCACGCTCCTCAACATCATCGGCTCGTTCATCGCACATGGCATCCCATGGGCCTCGGCCGCTAGTGAGCGCACTCACGGCCCGCTCATCATCTCCGCACCCTCGTTTGAAAATCAACCTTCACCAACGCCTGTCTACACAGCTATGCTCAAGAAATCCCTCATCTTCGCCCCCTTCGCACATTCCAAAACACTCCTCGTCGCCGTCCCCGGTGCAGTCAAGAGCCCAGACTACGCCGCCCTGGCTCGCGGATGGATCCTGACGCCGAGTAATCCGTACACAGGCATGGGTACAGGCACAGGGAGTCCAAAGGCAGCCGTGAGCTGGGTGCTAAGAGGGAAGGGAACGGTGTTTGGGGAGCGGGAGTTTAATGGTGCGTTGGGGGAGAGTAGGCCGGTGCATGTGAGGAACCACAGGGTCTATGGGCCTGGTGTCGGGGCTGCGTGAGGGGGGTCATTTTTGCAACAACAGGGCATGGGGAGGTTTTCCGGATTTACACATACAGGCATACCTAGACATGGGATAGAAATTTTAGGTTGGGTTCACACATATAGAATCATATTTGCTTAATTAGCTTCAGCGAGCAAGGTGTGGAAGGCTCCCGGCTGGCATCGACTCACCATCTACCAGACTCAACCAGTGTCTCCGCAGTTAGCACATCATTATGTTTCGGGGGAATTAAAAATAGCCGCCGAACCCTACACGCCTGGCTCTCTTTTGCACCCCACTCGCTCTACCGTCCAACACGCCCTTCCGTGAAACAGCCCCACCCGAGCCACATTGAATACAAAAAAAGCAAAGAGACGTCAGGATCCCGATCCTTTTTTTTTTTTTTGGCAATTGAGGGCCTCTGCTGGCTATAGCGTCACTTCCATCAGGTACACGACCCGCGCCTCAGGCTCGTGCACCCTTCTAGAAGCACGTTCGGCATGCTGTGTCTCGGTACTTGCTTGTTTCGTCTGACATAGACACTCATGCGTATCAACTCACGAAAAACGTGTTTCGGAAGTTTCTGTGCCGCTTCTCGAAGGTTTGACTTGCCTGAACCGGGCTGTAGGTGGTGCCGATTCCCTGGTGCAGGGGAGTGTTTGCAACATGCAAGGCTGGGAAACACAAGGACAAGGGATGCTGAACAAGTAGGGATATACAAGAACAAGGCAGGCGGGACACATGGGTAAATATATGTCATCTTATGATCTACACTGCAATGCACTACTTCTACCACTGGGGAGACGCTCGGCGCTGGGCTACGAGCTCTCCTTGCCCAACATAGCGAGATCTGTGGTGACGAATTCCGTAGCTGAAAGTATTGCAGTGGACCCGTATATGACTCTTCGCTTCTGGCCCGTGCCTGCTGCGCCGCCTGCGCTGGTTCGCTTCGCCCACTCCTGCAGGTTGCCGTACTCACTGTGAAGGTCAGTCTGTGGATCAAATTTGTTTGAGGCACGAGGAACTTACTCCATGCTACCGCCGCCGACAGAGAAGACAATGGCTTCTGAGAAGGCCTGCCGGCGCTGGCCGAACGTAGCTTCGATGCCAATCCGCGTGCCCTGCTGGTTGCGGGCCTGGCTTGCTGGCGGCAGTGTACCTCGAGCGTTGGCAGACCGCGGGTCGAAGTAGAGATAGTTCTCTGTCTTCTGGATGGCGCTTGAGGACGCGTTTGCCGGGTCCATGAGTGACTCTGTGATCTTGGTCAAAGTAAGGTCTTTGTTGGCTGGCAGGAAGTTCTTGACTCCTTCAAGAAGGCCGCCAATATTGGCGCCTAAACCAGCTTCCTTGAACTTGTCCGTGACGCGAGACGAGAGGCCGCTAAAACCGCCGAAGAGCTGGGAGGCTGTGTTTTGTGTGGGTTGTGTTGGAGCAGAGGAGATCATGGTCATTCGGGTAAGCTGGCGAACAGTTCGGACATATTTGATGGATGTTGTATCTGCACCTGCGGCTTCCAGTGCTTGAGTGAAGCTGTCAAGATCCGTCCTATTAAGTTCTGTCTCCGTAGTAAGATACCTAAAGAGTGTGAGAATACGTAAGATGTGTTTGGAAAAACCCCTTACCACTGGAGGAACAATCTTAGTTTATCGAGCGGTTCGTTGCCCTTGTCGGACGCTTTGATAAGCTCCAAGATCTGGGCTTTGGTCTGTTTGGACAATTCTTCTTCTAGCTGGAAATACTCATCTAGCTTTCGATCTTTCATCAGTCAGTAAATCAGCCGTCCTTCAACGCATGCATAGAAGGATCTCCTACCCTTGATGCCCCTCATGAGCGCCTCGAGTATTTCCATGTGCATTGTAATGGTCGCTTTTCGCTCCTTCAGCTCAGGCAGAGCTGCCATAGCTCCTTTCAGATGTGCTGCAAATGAATTCGTATCACTGGAGAGGTCGTCTATTGATGAAGTGCCCGTTTTTTTTGTGATTTCATTTGCATCTTCTTGATATTTGTTCCACTCTGTTGATACATTTTCCGCTACTTCGGGGAACGGGAGAGAAGAGTTCCGTAACCAGAAGCTATCTGAAGCGGTCAAGTCGTAAGACTGCTTCTTGGTTCCCTTTTCGGGATGTTGATTATCGACCGGGACATTCATGGTGATTTTGTTGAGGTGCATTGACAACACATCGTAAATTAGAGATTGATAGACCCAGCTGTGACTGAGCATGGCTGTCAAGTCCACGTTCCGATCCACGAGTACAAGCACCGGTCTGGAGCCTGTTGTGGACGACTTTTGGTCGCCGGAGAAGAGATTCGTCTTTGAGTTCAGAATGTGGTCTCGCAATTTCCTGTCGAGCTTCGCAGCGACAAGTTCAGCAGGGCCGCCCTTGCTCGATCGAATGATTGGAATGGTGCCCATGGTCACGACGACGGAGAAGAGCCCTGACACAATCCGGTCCACGAGCGCATCCAGCTCCTGGTCCGATACATTTGCGCTGTTCAACGTGCCGTACGCCCCCTTCATGCCCAGCGAAAACAGGTCTGGCTCCGAGACAATGAAGTTCAGGTATTGGTCATATATTTGGGCGATGTGCTCTGCAGTGCCCGAGGTGACCGTCTGCTGGGCGAAGTCCTCGAGGAGGGGTCTCGGTACTGATGATAGGAAGTTTACGTAGGCGGGAGAGTACAGGCTGCGCGACAGGTCGCTCGTGATGATCTCAAGGTTCGAGGCGGTCGGTTCTATGAGGTAGATGACTGGCACATCGGGTATCATATGCCTTGTGGTATTGATCGAGAGGTATATCGTCACGCCCCAGGCTCGCAGGTCGTTGACCCGCAGTACCGATGACACGACATCCCGCGAGAAGTCGTCAAATACCAGCACCTTCCATATCGGTTCGCCCGTTTCGGAGAGAATTGGGGTGTTCGCGGAGGGCAGAGCATTGTTCGCGTCGTCGTCGGAGGGCTGTTTTGGGGCGTTCAGATTGAGGATGCGCTGGATGGAGGCTGGGGATGACCGTCAGCTTCGGCGCCTGACCATAGCGAGGACGATCTGATCATGAAGCAGAGAATGTTATAATGAACATACCGATCTGGCGATCGCGCAGAGAAGCCATGATGGTGGTGGTGGTGGTGGTGTTTGGCGCCCGCCCGTGGTTCGATCACCTCATGCGCAGGGAGTCTGAGTCGCAAAGAGGATGCAAAGGCAATGCAGCAGGAAGCAAGGCGCAAAAAGCTATCGATAGAGCGTTACTGCGCTGCCTGGAGCTTCTACAAAATGTCCACAGCTACACCTGGCAACTGCATCACCGCCGCGCGCGAGGCTGCTTCGAGGCTAGCCTGCCAAGCACCTTCCCATTTCACGGTTAGCCGCCCGCGCGCCCCCGCCTGCCTCTGAAAAAGAGGCCTGCCCGCTGTCGCACCTCCTCTCTCCTTACACTCATCACCTCACCCGCCGACACGACCCAACTTCTTCCCTTCTCTCCGCTTCATGCCACTTCTCAGTGACCCTTTGCCCACTTAATAAGGGCGTTTGAATTTCAAGCTAGATTCAATTTTCCTCGCCGTGAGCGAGTCGTGCGTACAGGTCTGGCTGGTGGCGGCGTTGTTGGGCGCAGGACGCAGGAAGGGCAGGGCAGCAGTGACACTCAACCCAGCGTCTGTACTAATACAGCTGCGTCGACATCTCGCGGGGCTTTCCCGGACGTCTAGCGGGCCATCGCACAAAGCGTAGAGCAGCTCTTCACGAGCGACATACAGCGTGCGTGTCTCGTTCGCGCCGTGCTGTGCAGCTGGGTGCGATACGTCAAGTGACGCACCCACCGTGTTCGCGTCGCAAATAGCCAGGCTTACGTGCCGCCTAATAAATCCAAAGGCTACGACTTCGTGGACAGCGGGTTACGGCAGCGTGCGCGTTGGACAGTTGGACAGCACAGCAAGCGCCTGCGCGTCTCACCCTCGCCAGCAGCTGCTCCGACACTCTTGCGAGCGCAGGACTCTGCAGCAGACCCCGACAGATTCAGCAACAACTGCGCTACCGCCCAGTTCGGAAGTATTACGGGCCTTTCACCTGGTCGCATTTCCCGAACCGGCTCTCCTTCACCCCTGTGAGTCAGCGCGAGGCCGATTGTCGCTTAGTGCATTTGTCATTGTCGCATAAATCCATTTTGCCGGAGCCAGACCTCTGCCGTGGCACAGTGTGGGGCCGGCCAATAAGGCTGATTGACAAAGTCCATCTCCGCCCACACCATGGCGCCCGCTCACGTGCCTGGTGAACAACTCCCGCTGCAGGGACAGAACATGTACACGAACTCGCCCTACCAAAGTATCTACTCTGTTGACCAGTACGACGCGCCATCGTGGAACAGTCAGCTACAACATGCCGCCCTGGTGCCCGATACCCCCCAGTCGCAGACTTGGCACCACAACACCTACCCGACCCAACCGTACAGCCAAATAAGTTCGCCGTATGTGAATCAAGGCCAGTCCAGCCGGACCGCATCGCCGTATCAATATGGCCAGTTTGGCAACCATGCCGCTCCCACAAACTATGGACATGCCGCAAACGTCGACCCTTCTCTGAGCAATGTAATGCGCCAGCAACAACAGTCGCCATATCAACTCTCTGCGCAAAATACACCGCCACAAGGTCGACCAAGCACCGTAACACCGCAATCACTGCAACACGGTTTGCAGGCGCAACCGCAAGATCCACGTGTGACAACCTCTTACCAAGTAAGTTCAAACCGTTCGCTCATGTGAGCGCCCATGGACTGACATTATAGGTGCCCAAACCGACAGCAGAGACATTCGTCCAGCGTCCTGTTCATCAACCGTTTGTCCAGCCTATAGCTGTTCCCGAATACGAGATTCCGAAGGGCAAGACATCTGGCTCATTTTACGTTTTTGATCAGGCTGCGTTGATAAAGGCTACGAAGTCAGTTGCTCTGAATAAATTCGTGACTTTGGGTACTGAGCCCTTTCACCTCCCAACCAATAGAAGTAAGATTGTTTGCCTATCAAGAGTGATAAAATCATGTCTAATTTCCCCAGCTGCTCTCCCAATATATACGCCCCGCCAGTCGGTGAAAGACCTCAAGAAAGCGGGGGCCGACAGCAAGAAGCTGGCCAAGAAAGCTCCGACCAGACAGCTGTCCGCTGGTAGAGTACTCAAAAGGGAAGTCAGTGATAGCGAAAGCTATGACGACTCGTCCGACGATGACAGTGATTATTCGGATGAAGAGGAAGAGCCTTCACCTTTACCGCCAACGAAACCAGAAGAGCCACAGGGAGCATTTCGCTATGACATCATCAAAGCATCCTGGTATCCTCACCGATCACAGCCAAGCTCGGAGAAGATTAAGACGAGCTTGAAGCAGTTGTGGGAGATTTTCAATACCATCCAGAGCCGTTGGCGGTCTGATAGCAAAACGTTGAAGGAGGCTGAAGATCAGAAGAAGACGGGGGAACTCCCCGTGCTCAAGCGTCGTGTGGCTGAACAGCGTGATTTGCTGCAATCTGCCTTGAAGTCGTCGCTAGAGCTCACTCACCCCGATGTCCTGTACCATCTCGGTCAGGTCAAGGGCTTTCTTTATCTCTGTTATCAGTTCCTGGCCAATCGGGTCAAGGTGTTAGATTACGACGGGGATTTACCATCTGCTATCCTCGAGATGTTATCCCGGTGTTCAGGCACTACAACTACTGAAATGCTTGAAGAGACTAAAGTGTCTAAAGCACTCAACGTCCTCAAAAAGAAAGTGAATGATAGACACAAAACACTCATTCAGAAGATTGAGGATGGTGCTGCCGCTGGCTCCAAGAAGGCCAAGGTAGGCTCGCCGCCTGAGATGGACGTGACCGCAGAGGCGAAACCTGTCAAGCGACCTGCAACACAACCCGCGGGTCGCACGCCCAGCGAGGGTCCTTTGAAAAAGTTGAAACCTACAGAAACCGCGACAAACGGCGACAAGAAGCCTGCCACGGCTACGGGTATCTCAAAAATCGTTCCGGCCACACAACAGAAACGATTCGGCGAGAAACCCGCGCCGGCCCCCGTCCGAACTCAAGGCATCAAGATTACCAACAAACCATCTTCACTGTTCGCCTCGCTCAATGCGGCTGGCAAGAAGCCCACTGGCGCTGCTGCTTCTGCATCCACTACAAAGCCCGCTGTTAAGTCTTCAGTATCCGCTCCTACAGCTAAAAAAACTGTTGCAGCATCTGCTGCGAAGCCCGCATTCTCTTTCAAGGACACGATGGCAGAGTTGTTGAAGCCCAAAGAAGAGAAGTCAGCAGCACCATCCAAGACAGAAAAGCAGCTACCGCCGGAGACGCCGGAGGAAAAGGCTAAACGCTTGCGCAAGGAATCACGACGTCACTTACGGGTAAAATTCCGTCCAGGTGATGCACTAGTCAGCATCAAATATTTCCATCATGACCCAGAAGAAGAGACTGGCCACGATGAGAACTTTGTCCGGGATGCTGGTGATATCGGTGGGGAAGGTCGCATGTTCAAGCAACACAAAGAGATGGATGACGAAGATGACGAGGAAGAGAAGGAGATGGAATACCGCCCGTGGGAGGGACCTTCTTTAGTCGACTTCAGCGTTGTCCACGAAGAGGAACGTAAAAGAAACTACGCGCCGTACGGAGGCGGTGAACTACAACCCACCTGCCCAGAGCGGGATGCAAATATTGCACATGAGAAAACAACACTGGAGATCTTCTACTCTCGACCGGCCGACATTCCGTCGTCACCACGCGAGCCACTGATTCAACAGATGCAATCCTCCGACACGCCGGTCACCGCTTTCGGATCACCGCCTGACTTGGTCATGAATAGGTTACCCGAGTCTGCGACATCTGCGACCGCTGCGCCGCCAGTACCGCCCATTGATATCAGCAACCTGACTAACATCGTGCAACAATTGACGGGTCAATCGAATTCGAGTCAGGCTGGCTACCCGCCGGTTCAGGCTCCTCCTGCTTCCGCCCCTCCCGCTGCGCCCGCCGCGCCCACTGCTACACCCGACATTAGCAGTATACTCAGCTTGCTCGGTCAGGGCCAGAACCAGAATCCCATGATAGCCCCCATGTCTGTCCCACCGGCAGCGCCAGCGGCCCCGCCTTCAATGGACTTTGCACAAATCCTCGCTATGGCCCAGCAATTTGCTCAGCCAGGGAATGCGGCCTTTCCACCGCCTCCAGCGGGTCTTCCAAATTGGCCCGGGTATCCTCACATCCCTCAACAGCAGCAACCAGACATGGCTTCTATGTACACTACTCAGGATACTCAACAACATGGTCAGCATGGTAGTGGAAGCGGCAAAAAGGCAGCGCCCCGACGACGGTGCTGAATCCCATGGCCGTGACAAACGCGGCAAACATGAGAGAGGTCCATACAAGGTCATACCGTGCAAATTCTACGAATTGGGCAAATGCAACAAGGGTGCCAAGTGTACCTTCATCCACCCGCAGCAATAGGCCACTTCGTACACCTGCGAAACCGGTTGTTGTTCTGGGGTTTCGATTTCGATTTCATGTAAAATACCCCTATTTCCTTTCTTTGATGTCTTGTTCTTGGACAAAAGGTCCTCGCATACCCGGTGGGGTCAACTGGCTTTTTCATAACGCGTGCATGCATCAGAAGGCGTTATTCGTAGCCGTAGGCTTTTGCCTCAGTAGCAGCATTATCATGGCGTTCAGCGGGAGGAATTCTCAGGCATGGCATATAGCGGACCTCTTCGGAGGGGTTTTATCATCGTGTCATCGTGCTGAGGGCATGAAAAGCGCATGCTCATAGGAGAGAACAAATACATTGTAATCAACTGTCGACTGTCACATTCCGCTTCATGACTCTGACAGTGACGTGAAATTTTCACCAAATACTAGGAATAGGAAGCTGTGTACCAAGATAGAAAACAAGGCTCACGTGGATTCACAACGACATGTGGCTTGGGACGCATCGCAGGTCAATTGCGAACTGCGCAAGCAAAAAGGTCAGCTACCGATGTCTGGTCAATGGCACCGAATTATGGCGGCCCGCGCCCGTACCCCCCAACCACAAAAGGCACCTGGGTTGTTGAAAGTGTTGGTGCGGTTACGGGATTTGCCGCCGCGCGACAACAGACAGATGGTCTGAGCGCCATCATTCTCTGTCGATGCCTGAGAAATCACGACCATACAATCAACCTCCACCGACCCCTCGCTACATCGTCGCTGCATTACGGCCGCCGATAACGCGCTTGCACCCGCAGCAGCCCTCCCGCACTTGGAACCCCCCCATTCTCGGGCACTACCGCCGCCGAGTCATCACGCACACCGTCCTCCGCCCTCAAGCCGGCCGACTACACGTACCTCGCCGCCCATCGCCTGCCTCTGCCCCACCTAACGCTCCTTCTCTCCGAAATCATGGCCGGTATCAGGAAGAGGCAAACTGGTGTTGCGCGACGCAGGAGACTGGACGACGAGGACAGCAGATCTGTGGCGACTGAGGGCGCCGAGGATTCCCAGAGCGACATTTCGGTGCCGAGCGACGTGGACGAAGACGCCGATGCAGACAACAGCGACCTCAGCGAGGTGGACAGCTCCGCCTCGCTGACAGATGGCAAAGCAAAGCGGAAAGCAAATGGCACTCGAGACGCAAAACCACGGGCAGACGTCACAAGCCGGCGGGTCCCTTCCCCGCCCATTGCACGATCTGACGCGACCTTCACGGCAACGAAAGACACAGAGATAATGCTTAACGGCCTCACGATAGCAGACAAAGCCGCTGATGATGAAGTGGTGGATTTCGAGACCGGCCAAGCCGTGGGCGCTCTAGCACCAGCGGTTGCTGCGCCAGATCGGTCTGAAACATTTGCAGAACGCAAGAGACGGGAGCACGAAGAATACAAGAAGAAACGAGACTCGGATCCTGCCTTCATCCCGAACCGCGGCGCCTTCTTCATGCACGACCAGCGATCCGCGCCTGCTCAGAACGGCTTCAGACAATTCGGTGGGCGTGGTGGTATGAGAGGAGGTGGAGGGATGGGTGGGCCCTTTGCACCAGCCAGCATGAGAAAACAAGCACCAGAGGCAACAGACTCACCATGGCAGCACGATCTACACGAGACAGTCAACAACGGGGGCAGCGCTCAGATTGCGCCATCACAACCTCAGCCTGCACACTCTGGTGCAGCTGTGCAACATGGAGCGGCCCCGTTACAGCAATATGCTAGAGTGCAAGCACAACCGGCCCCGAAGCCTCCGCAGACACGCAATTTCTCGACTACCCGGCATACCCACAATGCACTCGTGCGCGTGTTCTTGCCCACGATGAAGGAGCCGATTCTGTTTCAGAATGTTCCTATCAAACAACATACGCGACTGCCCAACCATCGACCGCCTCTTCGCCGCGATAAGCCCGTGCGCATCTCTTTACCTCCTTCTGCACCACGATACATCTTCCCAACGGTCGAACGATCCTTTATATTCATACCGCGAGCGCTTAGACCCAACCAGCAAGGATTCGGACGAGGGCGAGGCCGCGGTTTCGGTTCTTTTGGCGGTGGCTTCTCCAGTAGACGAACTAGTGCATATGGTGGCAGTGTTTACTCGCCAAGCGTAGCCATGAGCAGGCGGTCGTCTATGGCTCGCGAAATGGGTAGAGACAGCTTGGTTTCACCAGCCGGATCTATCATGTCTCGTGGAGGTTACGATCCTTCGCGCCCGGTTGTTCGACTCCCGCCCGGAGGACCTAAATATCCCAACGCGCCACCCGTTATCTCACCGCAGAGCGCAATGCCGTCTGGCTTATTCCAGCAACCCTACCCGCTTCCTCAGAAGCCGACCTTCCGCGAAAATTGGACTCAAGGTCAGATTCCCATGCATCAACCTCGTCCTCAGAAGACTGTCTCGGTCGCCGGCATCGAGTCACCGGCGTCCATGACTTTCAATCCGCCGCAGCAGCAGGAGCAGCAGCCGTTCCACCAGCAAATTCCCGCCCACGCAAATGGAGGAGCGCCACCTGCCGAACCACAGCCCTTTTATTCTCACACCCGCCAGCCTTCGTTCCCCATTCAGGCGTCGACAGGTACACCATTGTCCAATATTCCTGAAAGGGCTATTCACGCCCCAGCCTTCCAGCCCTTTCAGCCTGGATACCAACCCCAGAATTTTGCTGTGCCACAGGGCTACTATTACCCGCAGAACGGCGCTCAACCTCCGTACATTACTCCTGGTGGTATGGTGCCTATGTTTGTGCCAAATACGCAGCAGAGTGCATACGTCATGCCTATGGTTGCACCTCCTGCACCCGCTCCTCCCGCTCCTCCCCCTGCTGTCCAACCCAGCCAGGTGGCCTATGAGTCAAATGGTATGACATACTATGTCGATCCGACGCAGCTTTATGCCCCGCCCATGGAAGGATATCCGCAAGTTGCAGTTCCTGGCATGGGAGGGATGATGACACCTGGGCCTGACGGTGCATACTACTATCCGCAGCAGATACAGCCGGCGCCTTTCTATCAACCTCAGTAGCATGGGGCCAATAAAGGATGCCCGCCGAAGTTTGAGCTACTCCAAGCACTGGGCTATTGGACGTCTCCCTTCGACAGAGTAAACGGCCAGCCATGAATGGAATATGAAGCGGTGGATTTTCTCCTGCAACAGTCTCTTCCTACCTGCAATCAGTTGTCAAAACACCTGCCAAAAGAACTCCATAGCCCCAGCATACGCGCAAGGCTGCTGGTATAATTCACCAACTGTCTACGGGTCTTGCACCTCTGTTGTTAGCGACGACTTGGGATGCATATCTACTAGGCTGTGGCTATTCTTCTTATCGTGACGATCCTCTCTCTCGCTGCCCTCTTGGTTTGCGCTTGTCCAGGCGAGTTTATCTTCGACACCATTTGCTTCTTCTTTTCTTGTGCGGCGTTCCGGCGAGTGAACAGCGGCCTTCAACATTCTATCGATCCATTTCCAGCGGCACAAAATATCTAATCATGAATTACCAAGGGAGGCAGGTCGATTCCCCCCCTCTCCACTTCGTTATATTGGTTACTGTTGCCTTTGTTTCTTACTTGTTCCGGTCGGTGGGCGGCCGGATGGATGAGGCGTATCCATTACACGCACGTTACTGCTTTTTGGTCTAATGTTTCTTTTTGATGGCAACTGTTTTGTTGGATTCCCCTCATAGCTAGCTAGTGTCTTTTGGCGGGGGCACGGTACGGTCGGTCGGATTACCTTTCTTGTACCATGGATTGAGTTGGAGATGTTTGTGTCAGAGATCGAGTTGATGGTGGGCTGGGGATGATGCTGGGTTCGTGATAGAAATATCATACTGGTGCTAGCCAGGATTTGACGTCTTGGACTTGACCTGACCTGAAAATGCAGTGGTGAGACTGCATGATCAAGCTTTCTGCGTACGTAGGGCAGCCTGCGATTGCCAAAGCCCACTACACCAGAGAACTGTTAACTGCTACTGCTAGGTCTGAACGAGCTGAAAAGGGAAAGATCTAGTCGAAACGGTAGCGCTGTTCACACGAGTAGTAACGTCTCACGAAGTCAATTACGGACAGTTTGTCGTTCAGCCTTCTACAAGCCTTCCAAAATCTCTGTAGGAGTAGCCTTCCTTCGTCTCCACATCTTGATTGACACCTCCGGGTGTCCATGATAGTTATGTTCACTCGGTACACGGACAGTACAAATGAATTTCCATAAATGTATTGCACGCTCGCTTGTTCGAAATTTGCTGCCTACCATGCTGATGTGTGAGAAACTGAAATGTATACCGTGACATACAAAACATTACCTCCATGTACCGTCCTGCAGAGGCCTGTCACACCTTCTTGATGACCGTGCTGTCTCATACACAATGTAAAGGGCATGTCATGGCCCCTTCCGTGCTAATACTCCACCAACAGATCCGAAAACCGATGTTTGACACGTGCCTACTCAAACTCCAGGCTGTCTCTCACACACTTCCGTACGCGCTTCTTGAACTCTGGTAGGTTTTCTCGCCATAGCGACGCAGCTTCGACATTGGCTGGTGACTCGTCGTTGGGCGATGAGAGCATGGAAATCACGGAAAGGAGTATAGTTTCAGGTGTTTGCACCGGTGACCAGCGCTCAGCAGCAGACTCGTAGCCGTACTTGTCTTCCTCGGGTGGGTGGAGAATCGAAATGCACACATCGCCGTTGGGGTATATGTTCGGGTGAAAGAGGGGTGTTTCGAAGCGCATCTTAGGAGGGAGGAGAGGGTACTCAGTGGGAAATGTGAGGCGTGCGCGGAAGAATCCACCTTTAGTAGATTAGCTGACATTGAACATATGAGGGTGTGACTAATACGCACCGCCGTAGTACTTCGTCTCGTCATTGATCATGAGCATGACTTCCCACTCGAAGACATTGTTGTCGACCAGCCCACACGATATGCCTGGTATGTCCTTGTCGTTTTGCATCTGCTTCAGCTGGCGGGCCAGCAGGCCGGCTGCCGCGGAGGACGAGGCCATGGTTGATACGGCGTGGTGGTGTGTTTCGGATTGAGGGTCTGGTGGATGTCGATGATCGTATACGAGCGCGATAAATTTGGGGGCTATCGGAAGGCGCCCGGGGGCTTTCTGCGGGGGTCGCAGTTGGTGACTGCGATTATTTGAGGTCTGTATATACGTTCGAGAACGCCCGTGGGCGAATGTTCTACAGTCGTGTGCCACACGCGGGGCAATGAAGGTGAAAGCGGGGTTGGTATCGAGGATTATCTAGTATTAATGCTGCCGTGAAAAGTCGCCAGAAGCCGAGGCAAGAGCAGGAAACTACAAGAGACGTGGTGCGCGTTTGTGGTGTGGTGTGGCAGAAACAAAGTGTAGACTGGTCGAGTCTCAAGCTGCCACTCAAGGTGCCCCAGTGGCGGTACGCGCTAAGAATTCGGCCCGTTCACCGCTTGCATCGGAGTCTCTCCGCCCCTGATGGTCTCCTAATCTTCTTACATCAACATCAGGTCGAGATGTTGGTCATTCCATCAACCCGCCGTGTTCCATCCAGATCATCGCTGAAGGCCAAACCCACAGGCCTGGTGTGCTGATGAAGTACCTGATCTGACTTCCTGGTCAACAAAGTCGAGCATACAGTACCTCGGCCTCGGGAGCTGGAACCACTCAATGCACTGATTCGCGAAGAGACTCAGCAAATGTGCGAGGACCAACTACATGCCGCTTCGAGTTCGGTCGCGAAGCACTGGAAGTATCTGGGTCTAACTATATCTGATACTATTGTGCCTGTGTCGGTCGCATCGAGCATCTCGGAATTTACAAGCAGCCACTATCAAAGCCCACCTACTTTGCGCTGCTGCGCCTGTCTTCACTCCACCACCATTTGCAGATCGATGACCGAAGTGCGAACAGCTGGAGCCGAACGCAGCTGAAGCAGTTGAAGCCCATGCGCCACACGTCAAGCTCTGGCCAAGTGCTGCGCAACAATGGCGCCTCCACCTCCACACCTCTCGGAGACGTACTCGAAATCCAGATGCCTTGTTCCGTCGGAGCTTAATACAGACCCACGTTGTCGTCGTGGGGGCTAAGAGCTCAGCAGGCTGATGGAGATCGGCAACTTCGGGTCATGCAAACAAGTGTTGAGTCACGTTGTGAGAGGCGGTCAATCTTTCTCTCACACTAGTACATGGTCGGCAACGGCGGGCAGGATGCATTGACATGGACGATTCTCTTGCGACATTGCGCTGTTGGCCGTGCCATCGCAACCTGCAGAGAACAGTGTCCACACTTTCCGTATCGTCCGCACTTTCAGGAGTCTAGAAGGCTTGCGGGACCAACCTGCTCGTGCAATGCTGCCATCTACACCCACGGGCCAAGTGGCGCCCAATCGTAAACCACAGCGCCCTCGAACCCACGCTCGGCGTTGTGACTAAACACCTGAGTTGATTATCTTTTGGAAAACTTCCCAGAGCGGATGCCAAGCTGTAGCACAGCGTCTTGCCTGCTGTGACCCCTCACTGAAACCTGGACGGTTATTTGCTGAGGCTGAAGGGAAGGCGTTACCCTGACCAATTTGTCCGTGATGCTCCCACTTTGTCGGGGCCGTGGCGCAACTAAATGGTGAATAAGCATATCCCTGTTCACGGATCTACGGCGGACTGACCGCATTACGGGCTTTCCGCGAGCTGCTTTCGCAAAGACGCTGGCTGCGGCTTGCCTTTTGCTTGCACGCGTCAGAAATTGTTTTTCCAATCTTACATTGTGACGTTGAACTGTACGTTTGGCGCAGCTGAAGGGCACAGCTGTAGCAACTCCACGATATCGTTCGCTCGCCTATGCATGTACCCAAACTGAGTATAGCTGCCTATCGGAGCTTTGACGGCAATTCGGTATGCCGAACCTATCTTCCTAGTTCCATTGGATACAAGGGTATGCAAGCGGTTTCCTCCTTCCGCTATGATCTGACGACAGCAAGCCTGGAGTGATAGGAGGGTGCAGGGCCTGCAAGGCTGAAGCCAGCCACAGGAGCTGCCGTCCCCGAGAAACCGTTAATAACGAATGCAGCTACCGATAGTTCCCCTACTTGCAAACCGAAACTTCATCTTCCGCGGATACTTCCAAGTGCGTCCATGACTAGATACCATGGCACTGTATAGTGGCTGGCTACCACGTCCTCTAGCCGCGCCTATTGCATCCATCGTCATTTGGGCGTTTGCTGTAGCGCATGTTGGCGCGCAGCAACCACCTACGAATGCTGGTCCTGACCCAGTTGAGAGCTTTTGCATGAGATGGTGGTCACAATGTTAGATTTTCGGCTCCTTGTCGCAGTTCTGTGCTAATGGGATACTAGCTGTTGTGAAAAATAACACACTGTACATCGACAGTGGCATTGAAAGATTCAATGACTCGGGCGATGTCTATCTAGGGATCAGTGGGTCGCTTCGTCTTCAAGAAAGAATCAATCGCTTAAAGTGTCTAGACAACCACATACTGACGATCAACCTGACGGGAACATGGGATTGGAAGATCCCCGGTAATGAATCAGGGGGATTGAGCTCAATCGACATCAAGCGCAAGAATGTTACCAATCCGAAGACTGGCACTCCGGTACCTAATTTGATACGCGGCCACATTTTTCACGGGCCGAACAACATGACTGATACTATATACAATTTCGGCGGAGCGACGTACATGAACAATCAGTCCTTCGAAGGCTATTTGCAGCCAGACAGTTCACAATATCCCCTCTGGACGTATGATCACACGCAAGACAACCCGTGGGATCAACATACCATACAACAGGTTTGGCAGCCGAATCATGGCGCTGCAGCTGAGGATGTCGAAAAGGGGCTTGGTTTCTATCTAGGTGGACAAATCGATATGGGAACTTCGACCAAAACCCTGGGGAGGCCCTTCAAGGACCCCACTCAGAATCTGTATATGCCGCTGCAAGGAATGCTGATCATCAACCTGGTCGATCTCGACAGCCCTTCGGCAAACATATCGACATCTAGCATGAACAGAGGCACTCCGAGAGTTGGGGGCACCTTGGACTATATCCCTGCAGTAGGCGACAGTGGGATTTTAGTTGCGCTAGGTGGACAGATCCAGCCTGGTCTTCAGTTCGGTGAAATTGCCAACAGAACGAAAGGAGAGCTTGTAAGTCGTATCTCACAAAAGCCATCCAAGCCTTACTTTGACTTCACCTTCTCTGAATACCACTTCACATAGCTGACTCTTCACAGATCGACTTCAACACCGTAGATGTGTTTGACTTGGACTCTTACTTCAAGGATCCATCCAGTAGTAACGGCACATGGTACCAGCAAGCTACCACAGGCGACATACCACCTCCGAGAATCGACTTTTGCACCGTTTTCACCTCTGCGCCAGACAATTCAAGCCACCACATCTACCTATACGGCGGTATCGATCCTATCAACAACAAGTTCTACGACGACGTCGTAGTTTTGTCGATCCCATCATTCACGTGGACGAACATCTGGCCGGTTGGAGAGAGCCCTCGACTGGGACACGGTTGCCATCGGGCCGGCAAGCGACAGATGGTTACAGTGGGTGGAAACGTGACCAATTTAGACTGCGACTGGGAACGTAAAGGCGTCGCCTTCCTCGATCTGTCGACCGCTAAATGGGGCAGCGTATTCCTTGGCAACCAAAGCGACTACGAAGTCCCGCAAAACGTATTCAAGGTGACAGGTGGCCAAGCGGATGGGAAAGCTACCGTCGGTGAACCGAAGCAGGGCTGGACGGAGAAGGGACTGGGTGAGGTGTTCCACAAGTCACGATATACAATACCCTCAACCTGGGCCCTGTCAAACGATACTTCAGGGTCTGGAAGCCCGTCAGAATCGAAAAAGACGAATGTTGGTGCCATCGCCGGCGGGGTCGTAGGCGGTATTGCAGGCCTCGCCCTTATTGCAGGCATCCTCTTCATCCTGCACCGTCGACACGTCAAAGGACGATCTGGTTCCGAACTTCACAGCGACGATGTGCCCCGCTCTAGCAACGACGAGACGAAAGACAAGTACGGGCTTCAAGGAGTTAACGGAAACGATCCTGCCGAGCTGCCGGGGCCTGATGCAGTGGAGCTGAACGCCCCGAGGGATTTTGTCGAAGCAGATCACGACACAGCAACGCGGGCATCGGAGCTTCCGGGTACGAACACTGTTGCTGGCGGCGTGCATGGAGTACCAATACTGCGGACACCTGGAGATGACCTACCCGAGACTCCGAAGTATACGCCGGGGTTGAGGAGGCCAGCTAGTGCAGGTGATCGGAGGAGAAGGAGCTCGAGTAGCGCGAGTGACGGGGTAAGAAAAGCACGGCAGGCTCCCCCAAAGCAGCCGCAAGACCGGAAGGAAGACTACTTCAGCACTTCTACAAAGAAATCTCCGCCCAATGTCGAGAGCCCGCGCAGTGAGAAAGAGGACGTCTCCCAGACGCCTCACGAACAGGTTTCTCCGCCTGAACCTGAACCGCCCGCGCGCGCGCCCTCGACAAAGCCGCCGCCGCTTCCTGGGAGTGCTCTATAGCTTCTCACTCCCTCACTTCCAGATCTAATCACCACGCTGAGCACACATCGCATTCAATCTCTCTCTGCTGCATGCATCGAGCTGGACGCAGCAGGAACACAAAAGGGGTTGGACTGGAGTTTGCACGGATATTCTTGCACGGTCTTTTTGGATGCTATATACCCACTTTAGCGCAGCAATTAAGAGGCGTGGCCATACTCTGATGTCCTGTCTGTTACTCTAATGCTCGTATAGTCCCACACTCACTATTCACCCTGCAGTCGCCATGATGAAAACGTTCCTTTCTTGGAGCAGCGGGAGGCACAGGGTGAGATGAGCATTGCTGTTGTAGTAATTTAAGATTGGTATCTCTGCAGATATTCCATCTGATTCGTGCACACCACATCCGTTTTGAATGCTAACAGAGGTGAGATCTAGCAAGGTTAGCCCCCTCCTATAGCCCATATCCAACATGCCGAATCCCTATCCAATCCATGAAAACCGCGTTTACCCAGCGCCATGATGTCGTGAACATAAGAAAGATAAGGATATATGGTATCCCGATGCGAAGGTGTGCCAACAACCTACTGTCTACCATGAATGAAGAAAGGTAAGATGCGAAATAATGTATCATAGGAGTAGAGTATAAGAAAGCGCTACGCAAACACTTTGGTGAAGCCTAACAGCCCTACACCGCACAAAACTGGGATCGTGAGATTGTCGTCCCAGCCAAAGAGATCGATGGCCTCGCTGGCGCTCGCGACAATGCCGGCCCAGAAGGACATGGCGCCCAGCGCAAGGTAGCCTGTTATCGAGCCCTTCCCGCTAGAGAGTTCAAGGGTTTTCCGGGCCTGTGCAGGAAGCGCGAGGACGCTCCGGTATGCAAATGCGTTTACGCCGGTGTTGTAGTCCGCGTACATAGGCGCGAGCCAACCCCACCAAAGCGCCGCAGTTATTACACCCGTCACGCACGCTGCGATAGATCCAGCGAGCGACTTGCCCTTCCTTACGCGCCACGTACGGTGGCCCCAGAGACGGCCGAAAGTCGAGGCCGCGGTGTCGCACCAGCTGAGCAACAATACACTCATTACGCCGATGTCCTTAGGGAAGAACCGCAGGACGATCCACGCGCCGAGAAGGTACGAGATGACACCGTTCCAGCCGTCAACTTCAGATTCGCGCATCAACGCGCCCAAGAATCGTATGTACAATCGATTGACCTGCCAGTATCTGTGGCGGATGAAGTCGGTTGCGGCGATGGGAATGAGCATGGCGAGGAGCACTGGGTGGATCTGGTCGGGCTGGCGGCCGGTGCAGTAGAGGAAGATGGTCAGAAAGCCGATGGAGACGTGGAGGACTTTGCGGGGGACTTCGTGCCGGTGGATCTGTCGTCTGTTAGCCGTGTTATCACCCAGTAGATTCCACGGCTACCTACGAATGATCTCCACTTCTGATGTATGGGAATCAGACCCAGCGGACTCGGACTTCTGCTCAGCTCGCGCCAGTAATTCTTGTTTGCGGCCGCGGGCGAGAGATGCCCATTGACCGTCCCGTTTGGCAATGCCAGGTCGGCCTTCTTCGCCCTTAAGTTGCCGTTCATTTGCCGCTTAGATGTGAGCCCGCTCATCTGCCGTCTCCGCCCCTCAAGTGGACTCCTACTCCTAGCTCTGGCTCTCTTGTCTGGATCCGAGCCCGACGAGTCCTCGTCGATGGGCGGCGGCGACGTGACTTTCTGCTTGCGACTCGCCGAGCGCGTCACTGGACCAAAGTACCCCTCCTTCCCGCTCAGCTCAGAAGGTGTCGGCGAGGGTGAAATCACGCGCGGCGTGTGCGGTACTGAGTACTGCTTAGAGGAAGCCATGGCTCGCTGCCAGCAGAGCGGAAACGCGGGAAGCGGAGGGTGCCGGATGAGCCCGGTAAACTTGGCTGAACTCTCAAGATAAAGATGGGTCAAGTGCGCAAGGAGTGCGACGTCCTCCGCGGGTTGCGAGTGCGGCACGTGTGTGGGCGCAGGCTGAGCGTCAAGGTGCGCGGCGAGCGCTATGGGCTGTCCGACATGCGCGTGTGGATGTTCTGGGGTTAATACGTGCGCCAGGGTTGGGGCTGCGAATGCGTATTCGTCCGGACGACACGCAACATCGTCTGGTGGCGGGGTCGGGGGAGAGGAGGCCACCGTGGTGTCTTGCGGTGAGCCTCGAGGACTACGTGCGTGGGAGATAGGGTGGGAGATGACGATGCTTTTGTTGTCCAAGCAGGCAGGCACAGCAGGCAGGCAAGGTTCAGGCGGATATTTTTGCGAGCGGCCTGCTCATGCGCTCATGCGGATCGCGACTGGGGGCTCCCCGGCTTGGCACGTGAGATCAGGACGCATCTTCTTGATTGTGGACGGTCTATCCGAGAGCAGAAACCCTATGAAGCCTTGCTTTCTCTTCCCTGTAGCACGGCAAAGCTTGTTTGTTGTCCGTTGTAGTTGCCACGTGCATCATTTCCTGCAGAAAGCCTGTCACATGCCATTCGATGATCCATGGATGATGCACCGCCACAGTGCGTGGCTCAACGCTGCAGTACCCGCTTTATTTCTCTGCCCAAACTTTTGCCGCTCGTGATCGCGATTCCAGCACCACCGACTAAGCGCCTAGCACAGCAAGAGACGGAAAGAGTTCACATTGACGGCATCGTAGCATGGCGCCTCAGACGAAGATGGAACGGTCGTGGAGCGCCCTGACGCCGCCATTATCAGAATGGATACTGGACGCCATTTCCGCCATGGGCTTTACCAAAACGACACCTGTACAGCATGCCGCAATTCCAATGTTCATGGGCAACAAGGACGTAGTCGTGGAAGCCGTCACTGGATCCGGAAAGACATTAGCCTTTCTGATACCAATGGTTGAGCGCCTACTCCGACTAGATGCCCCCATCAAAAAAAATCACGTTGGAGCTATCATACTATCGCCAACACGAGAACTAGCGACTCAGATACATACTGTACTCGTTTCTCTCCTTAAGTTTCATGCTCCATCGGCGGCTGTCATGAAGACGGGTGATGAGGATTCTGATATGGAGGATGCGGATGCGCCTCCTCCCCCAACCTTCCCTCCCGGAACCCTCAAGATCGTGCCTCAGCTTCTCTTGGGTGGGTCAGTCACTCCCGCACAAGACTTAAGCTGGTTCTTGAAGAACTCACCCACCATTCTCATTGGGACACCCGGCCGTTTGTTGGAGCTACTATCGTCGCCGCACGTTCACTGCCCACAGTCATCGTTTGATGCGCTAGTGTTGGATGAAGCGGATCGACTTCTGGACATGGGCTTCAAGGATGACTTACAAAAGATACTCTCAAGACTACCGAAACAGCGGCGAACAGGGCTATTCAGTGCTAGCGTCAGCGAAGCCGTTGATCAGCTCATCCGTGTTGGTCTACGTAACCCTGTTCGTATAGCCGTTAAAGTTAAAGCAAGAGCTACCCCGAAACTCGGCGAAGAGGGAAGGCTTGAAGATAAGCGTACACCTGCCAGTTTACAAATGTCATATCTGATCATGCCGCCTTCGCACAAGATTCCTGCGATCAAGAAGCTACTGGCGACTCTGCAACCGCAGCCACAGAAGATCATATTGTATCTGGCAACTTGCTACTCGGTCGACTACTTCCAACATGTGCTTCCAGAGGTACTGAAAGGGCACGCAATCATTCCACTGCATGGCAAACACCCCGACAAGGTCCGCAAAAAGAACTTCACCAAGTTCGTCGACAGCATGGTCCCATCCATCCTCCTCACCACCGACGTTGCAGCCCGCGGCCTTGACATTCCCGCCGTCGACCTTGTCTTGCAAATCGATCCACCAAGCGACCCGAAGACCTTCATTCATCGCTGCGGCCGCGCTGGCCGTGCCGGTCGAAGAGGTCTAGCAGTGACCTTTCTCAACCCAGGTCGCGAAGAAGACTACATCGAGTTCCTGCGTATACGGCAAACGCCCATCTCGCCTTTGACCACGCCAGACATCACCATCATCTCTGTCGATGCCGACGCAGCAAGCAAGAAGATGAGAGCCGTGGCCAAGACCGACAGAGCGATCTTCGACAAAGCCCAGCGCGGTTTCGTTTCTTGGGTCCGTGCTTACAGCAAGCACACCGCTAGCTCCATCTTTCGCGTCAGCGATCTGGACTGGGAAGACCTGGGTCATGCATGGGGTCTGCTCCGCCTACCTAGTATGCCTGAGCTTAAGAAGTTTGATGGAGATCGCACACTTGGGCTAGAGTTCGAGCTAGATGCGCTTGCCTACAAGGACAAGATGCGCGAACAGCAGCGGCGAGAGGAACTTAGTGCACAAGGCGAGGGAGCGCAGAAGAAGAGGTTCAAGAAGGAAGATAAGGAAAAAGATGCGTGGACGCAGAAGAAAGAGCATAGGGTGACGAAGGAGGTTAGGCGGGAGAAGAAGGTGAAGAAGAGGGAGCATGAGCGTGTGGCGAAGTTGAGTGAAGAGGAGAGGAGGAAGGAGGATGATTTGCAGAAGATGATTGCGCAGGTGCGGAAGAATGTGGCGGAGGAAGAGGAGTTTGAGGGGTTTAGCGATTAGTCGACAGGAGCATGCGAGTCAGAAGAGTTCAGAGGCAGCGCTATTTGGATTTTTTAGCACATATTGGGGACATGCCGACTCCGCTTCTACATTCTATAGCTCTGTTCTCCTTCTACCCGCTATCCATGCCATGACATTCGGAAGAAGGAGCGGTCGTCGCAGATGCTTCGGGGAACGGTTGGCATAAACTTTTGCTTTGCCCACATGGGTTCTTTTCCGGCCATAATCCCTTGAGTCTATGCCGGATGTGGCCAAAATGCCAACAGCGTCGCATCCGACATCCACGCTAACTTCTCGAATCGATCACAGTACTTTACTTCCAACTATGTCCGTAAGGTACCAACAGCCGCTATGCACCTACGGTCGTACTGTGCGTATCGAGATGTAGTTGTACCCATCGACTGCTTCAGAGACGGCAGTTGATGGCAGAGCAAAGAGAGAAGGCGCAAAGCTGGCGCTGGCTGATAGCTCTTTCTCTTTGTGCACTTCAAAGTGCTGTTAAACAACATTCGTGGGAATACATAGGACTCGCTGCATAACAATTGCTCCAATATGCGATCCGACATTGCATGGCCGACGTTCGCATTTGCGGGAAAACATGTTTGTGATCCCGTTTCCAGACCCACTTCGTCCCACAGACGCGTTTCATCGCCGGTTACACTTCACGCGTGAGGAGCGCGTTATCACGTGAGCTTGGTAACTCTGAAAGCCTTCATTGGTGGGTCGCTATCCGAGTCTCACTCGATCCTACGCGTCTCTCCGCTGGCCTATCGCAGCATCTTCAGCCTTCCGTTTTTCCAAATCATCTCTCGATCTCCCGCTGCCTGTCGTCGCTCGCTCGCTTTATGCTCAACAACAATTACAAACACTCGCCCCAAGATGGCTTCATCTAGTTCTCCTACTTTCCTTGGCCTCCCGCGAGAGGTACGCAACAAGATCTATCGCGCAGCGCTGTGCACATTCGAGCCTCGACCGTCCACGATTTACCCACCACCAGATGTGAGCGTCGCTCCTACCTTCATGAACGAACTTGCCATCGTCGAACATGACATTGATACCTCCATCCTCCTTGTTTCAAAGCAGATTCATCAAGAAGCATACGACGTTATGGTCAAGAAAAACCGATTCGTTCGCGTCACAACATCTGGCGGGTTTCCTCTACGACTTCTTCTCAATCACCTTCGCGTCCCGGTAGTCACTGAAGTCAAAGAGAGCGTCGATAACTTCCAAGGCTACGTGCTGTCAGTGACCTTGACATTTCCAAAGGAGGTGGGTCAGGCGTTCCAGGACACGCCGTTCTCAGTGGAGCCGTGCAGCTTGATGTTGCTCAGCCGTGACATGGATGTTTTGTGCGACGTCTTGATGGATGGAGATACACATCTACCGGGCTTTGGCACAAATGTGGCCATCAAGATTGCGGTGGCCCCAGGCAGTATTCTGTCCTCTTCGTCTTATAAGGACCCGATATCAGACTTTTTCTCTGAAAAAACTCAGCAGGTTCTTTTACGACCTTTCCGTAACCGTCTTCGCGGTTTCAAAAAAAGTCAAGATCCGGGGTCTTGTCTTCCGCTCCATCGCCGAAGCTGTCGAGGAGGAGTTGGCTCAAGACACTGCGTCGGATCCGGAAGCTGTCTTATCTAAGTTTCAGAGCTTGAAGGACGAAGGTCAAAGCCTTTTTAGGTCGAAACAAACAGAGGCCGCGAACTTGAAATGGATGGACGCTGCGCTTGAGATCGAGCAACTGCACGAGAGCAGCTCATGGCCAGTGCTTACTGGAAAGAGTGGTGAAACTCTTTTTGCTCGCCTGGCCGAGCTCTATTTCTTGATGAAGCTCAATATTTCTCATATCAACCTGGCGAACATGGAGAAGGGATACGTTATGCAGATGTGATGGCTGAGGATGCGTTGAACATGGCGGTTCGGTCGCTCAAGAAAGACTACTGGATGCCCGAGTTTCGCTGGCAACCGACAGATGCGCACAAGGCAAAATTGCAATACCGGCGTGCACTGTTCCTCAGATTACAAGGAGATCCAGAGACAATTCCTACCGCGGTGTTTGCCATCAAGAACGCACACCGGCTTCTTCCTGACGATGCTGGTATCGCCAAGGAGCGAGCCACCATCTTTGCATGGAGGGATTCATTGGTATAATGTTGCATGTATGACTGATCTCAGTCGCTCGAATGGTCTACAACATCGCAACACAGTGAATCTGGCCGACAGGTCGCTTTCGTTTACATTGGACTGTCTTGTCACTTGGCATTCTAAAGTGCCACACGGGTCTATCAAGAGGTACAAAATCAAAACTCCTGCTGCCATTTAAATTGGCTACCGTCAATCCATGTTTCAATCCAACGATACGCTTCCAACTGCAGCACTGCACGCGTGACCGTCTGCGACACTGATTTTGTATCAAAGCGTCACGTTTGTACAAGTCAACCTTGGAAGTCTTGATGGCTGATGGTGGTTTCCTACAAAGACACGCACCAAGGTCCTCAGCTTCTTCGGGACTTTTACAATCTTCGAGTCGCCACAACATAAGTACAGATGTTGCGTACTCTGATAAGAATCCTGTACGTCACGTGTGAATCCCCGTGCTGTTCGTATTCTCGCTTTCACACTTGCTTCAGGCTTCGAACATGGGCTCAAGGCATGCGCTACTACTCTCCGGAGCAGCATCTGCACATGTGAAGTCGGTGCGGCCGATGTCCATCTGGGCCGCGGGTCATCGCAATGTTTCCGTACAAGTCGGCTGCTGGGTACGTTGCATGGCAATTCTGGCCCTAAGAGTCGCCCAAGGTGAGGTGTCTTCCGCTGGCTAATGAGATCACCTCAAAGCGTGGCCAAGTCGCAGTTGACCAAGAAAAGCCGCACTGCCCGGCCACACCGTGTAACTAGAGCGCACTGTGTAACTAGAGCGCACTGTGTAACTAGAGCGCACTGTGTAACTAGAGCGCACTGTGTAACTAGAGCGCGCGCTCAGGCGTGAGTTGCAGGTGCGTGCCTGCGCCAGCGCAGGGCGTTCGTGATCTTCCGCTCGCCAACGAGCTTGTTTGAAACGACACCCGTTGGAGTCGGCTTTGGTTCCGTCCGAGCATTGAGTATCAGCGGAGGAAGCATATCTGAGGTGCTCCGGATCTTCTGCTCGATTGAGCGAATTTAGCGAAATGCGGATACTGTAGCAATTGACCGTTGTCTGTCACGTTCTCAGAGATGGAGGAGGATGCTGGGCCGTGCGTTGGAATGGTTTGGGACCGGTCGGCCATCGTTTGGTGGGTCTCGGAAGCTTCTTTGCACCACCGCTGCGATCGCTCACCACCGTCTCCGAGCCCCTGCATCTCTCGCCCAGGCTGGAGCTGAGCCTGCTACTACCGTAGAGTTTTGCAGATAGCGATTTATTTAGCCATGAGCGATCCAATCAGACAGTCTATCGGAGCGTAGAAGCAGGTCTGAAACACGATCTACGTTTGGTGATTGGTGCCTGCTCGCCCTGCGGTCACCCGTTCCCCGGGCGAGCGTCTCTCCCAAAGTCGACGCAATCGCCCCGCAACGCCAAGCGCCGCATTCGATCTTTGCGCCATTCATGATGCTCTGGTCCTGGACCTAGGCGGGCTGCGTGATGCTTTTGCTACCTTTGTTCGAATACGCTTTAGATCTGTTTGTATTGACTTTCAACAGTCTAGATTCGATTTCTTCTACCCTACTAGCACAAGTTACTCGAGTAGTTCGGCACTCTTACTTCCAGACTGGGATGTCGATGCAGATGGAATAAGATGACTGGAAGATAGCGTACCTCCTCATGTCGAATTCGTGATGGTCACGGATGGAACGATGCCAGAAGCCTATGCCTACAATGATCGAGACGAATTGGCTAATCTTCGATCCTGGATTTCCGAGACTGCATCGACGAGAACACCATACCTCGTCGAGATCTATTTCGATCTGGTGCAGGGTTCTAACTGTGTTGAATCTGAGCAGTATGATATGTTTGAGCAAGTTTTTGAGGGAACAGCTTTGAAGCATAGAGTCATCAAAGCGGATAATGAGGAGCCCCGGGAAAAAATATGGTGAGAGATAGCGAACGCGACGGGGAACATGTACCAACTAGCAGGTCGGAAGAGTTCAAAACACGACTTCTAGCAACGCTAATCCGTCTCTCATTCTCAAATTGCGCATCCGTTGAGTCGTTCCTATTTGCTCTTCGTCGGAGAGAAGTTTAGCGACGAGCACAACCCTGCCCGCCGCTTTTCGCACGCACGTCAACATCGTCATTGGCCTTCACGTTCGCCCTTTCGGTATTTGCAGCGCATTGCACTGACAAGGGTCGCCTCGCTTGCACGAAAGGCATCATTTTCTCCTTGCAAGCAGGTCCACCAAAGGCATGGGCTTGTGTTCATTGCCTAATCGACGAGCCTGAGGCGGTACTTGAGCCTCCTCTTTGCGCCGAGCGTCGTCCTCAGCACAGCATCCAGGCAGTGTAAGAGGTGCTCCGCCCCGACGCCATGACGGAATGGTTGGCACAGAAGTTTGCGCCCGCTGGTCGACGCCGATGAAACATACATTGTCGGCGCAGGTGAAATTTTTTCAAACGCGTGCGTGCGTGGTGGCTTACGCGACGGTTGCCTGCTTTGCATCCCAAAGTGGTTTGACTCGGACATGCGTCGTTGGCCAAGACAGGACCTTCTGGATGTGATTGGTGAAGCGCGGTGCGCATTGTCCTTTCTCGACAATCTACAGTACATGTGTAGGCTCTCGGCAGGCCGAACTCTCCACCACTGTTATTGGCCATCCGATCCATTTGCAACACGCGCCACAGGCGCTGCGTTGCGCGGATCAACGCGCAGTCGCCTGACTGCTCCGTCGACAAACCATGGCCTCCCTCGAACGAACTCACCCGCAAAAGCAGGTACCGCCGACATGGGCGTCTGAATCCATCCTAGCAGGCCGGCATTGCCTCGAGCCTGTGATGGAGGTCAACTTAGTGAATGCCAAGCGCATGCCAAATCGCCAGGCTCGCCAGTATGCTACCAGAAGCAGTCGGTCAGCACGCGCGTATGAGACGGGAAATTGGTCTGTACGTATCGCTCAACGTACGTGATGATACGGCGGTGGAATCGCTGGCTGTACCGACTTCCGGTCGGACTTTTCCAGTGTAGATAATTTCCTCGTGCGAGCGGGGATTAGCTGGCTGTGGCCCTACGATGTCTGCAGGCCCCCTACCCATGTTCATGCATGATCCAGTGCCTGGCAGTTGCAGCTGGCTCCCCCATGCTGTGCGACCGGATGCGCGTACTGGGTGCACTGCGAGACCTTCGCACCACGCCCGGCTTCTGACTGTTCCATCCGTTGTTTATCGCTAATAGCGGCTGGCTCGTTGTTGTACCGAAGGCACACTTCAGGCTGCAACAACTAAGCGAACGCTGCCATTGTTTCAACGACGGACAAGAGGAGTGCGTGGATGATGTGAACGGGTGGCAAAGTGGATCTCGGTTCTGATCGACGCCACGCACCCTGGCCGTTGCATGGGGCATGTGCGCCTCGCAAGGCTCGTTACGCCATAGCTGTCTCCCGACATGTCATGGTCCCACGGAGCATTCGGAGGCTCGGACGCGGCGCGCATGCGCTCTCCATCCCTCAGCGTGCGACCCTAGCTGCAGCGCAACTATCAGCCGACCACGACGGAGCGCCTAGCCTGCATCCACACCATGCAGCATGTTCGGCTGTCCCCATCACTGTCAAATATCCCATGTACCACTAGCGCTGACGCGGAAGTCTGTCTGCACCTTACGAAATCCCCTTCCCCCACGGGCCACGACACAGCGCGAGGATGCTGTAGGGGCGCGCCACGGTTCTTCGTCCCGAAACGGTTTACTCGCGCATCCGTGGGCGGCACTTGATGCAGCTAAATCGAGCTGCAGATGCAGAGGCAGAGTTAGTGGGTCACGATTGTATGCCTGTGCTGTCTGCGGTCTGGCACTGCGAATCACGGGCAATCCTGCACCGGTGAGCCTGCAAATTGGACTTGCAATGTTCGGTGTCTTGCTTGGAAATGCACGGTCCCCCTCTGAAGCGCTCTCCACCGTCGACGTTGGGCAGGATGCGGCTGCGCTGGCAGTGGAGGACTTTTGGTTGCACAGAGGGTGCCGCCCCGGCCCTAGGGCGTGGGGATGGTTCGCGATTCGATAACGACGAGTGGATGCGCGCGGGCCTTCGTTCTCAGGCGCCATGTAGACTTTCGATCGAAGACTATAAAGTGTCGCCCGCGCGCTGTTGCTGGGCCGCTGATGCTGCTGGTTTCCGTAGCTGACGAGGCACCCACCCTGATCGTCACCCACGCCCTACCATCCCGATACGCGCAACCTTGGCCCCTTTGCTGCTCATCACACCAACCCGAGCGCATCGATACAGCAGTCTTGTTGTTCGCAGCGCCCCTTTACATGCCCATCGAGACGTCGTTGTGATAGCCGCCACCAGGCACTAAAAAGACCCGTCAACCATGGCGCGCATTGGTGAGCCGGAACTGGCCCGTCTCGTCCCGCCCTTGTTCCACGTCGCACCCCTGCTTCCCCGCGTTCGCCGCATCACCCCTGCCACTCCACCATCCCTGTCGCCCGCACAGGTGGCCCGTCGCTAGCTAACGCCGTGCCCAGCTCCGCCCGCCCTCAAGCCCCTGCTCCGACCCTCGCTCCGCTCCATCGGCGTTCCTGATGTGAGGGACGTCCTCGCCGTCTACCTGTGGTGGCTGAATCAGCAACGCTTCCGCGCCCTCGTCGAGTCCGACCTGTCCTCGGACATCGCTTCCTCAGTACGGTCCGTCTATGGAGACAATGGAGAAGAGCACGACACCGCATTTCCATCGTCCGAGGAAACAGCCTTCGACACACGGTCGACAGCCTTTGACTTGTGTGGCATTGGTGGGCAGTTCGACTAGGTGAGGTCTTTGGACACATCCTGTTCGTCCACGGAGTTGAAGGTTGGCGTTGGTATTGTGCATCCTGCATCAACACAGGGCATGATACAAAGAGAGGGCGTCTCCGGAACAACATGTTCGTCTCTGGTCAAGGAGATGTTGCTCGTACACGCGCACTAAGCGCGGCGGTGTGTTGGCGTTCTGTGGTCCACAACACCTTTTTGTTTTGGAAGTCTGTTTTTGGGATGCATGGGCGATTGTGAGTCGGAATGGAGCCAGACGCTTTGCGCGTCGCTGGTCTGCATACATGCATGCATATACGTAGATTTCTGCCATCTCCATCGTTAAAGCATTTTTGCAAGGTTCACATACGCCATGGATTATGTTCCCCGCACGGTCATGGTGAGGCGTTCGTCAACGCACCTTATTAATCACCTTTGCGCCATCGCTAATTGTGGCAGCCTTGCTTTCTTATCTAGCACACTCCTTCCCGCCCCCTAGGCGAAACTTCCGACGTTCGTGTCGAACTTGACAATCTGTTCTGCGCACCCTGTTTGTCTGATGGTAGCGATGCCCCATGCGACTTATTTATTCTATGCTTCTTGATGCTACTTCGTCCCCTTCCGGCCTTTCTCATTACTCGTCTAATACCTATCGTATACCCATCTCTTCTGCACAGTTTACAATAGATCCATGACGCGCCCAACGAGGAATCTCATGGGACACCGCCCACGAAGATCACTTCGCACGCGTCTCTCCGGCTCGTGCGGACGGTGTCTCAGCATACTCAACAATCGTTTGCTAGAGGGAGGCGGCGTCGTGTTGCGTGGCATTGATTTAGCAATGAAATGGGCATTCGACGGCTGTTGGCGGGAGTTCAAGAGCCGGATCAGCGACTTTCTGAATGCGCATACGCATGTTGAGACTGTGGTGCTTGGGTTTAGTTTTCTACCTTTATTGCTGCTTTTGTATATCATGGGCGCGTTCGTGGTGCCTGTGGAGGAGTGTGTGGAGGCGTTTGCGAGTTTGAGGTGGTGGTGGAATCAGCCTAGGCGCCACTTACTCAATGAAAAGGAAATTAGGAAAAGAAGGGAATCGAGGGTCTTGGAAAGAGATGAGGTGAAGCCGCTGCCGAAGGCCAGGCCAAGGGCGCTTACCCTGCGGTCGCATTATATATCGTCTGCAATCGAGCAAGAGTTGGGTAGTAAGATTCGGAACCGCGTGAGGCAGAGAACAGTGGACCAGCTTCAGGCTTGCGACCTCTGGAGATTTCCATTTGAGGTCCGCGAGGTCATCTTCAAATATGCCGTTGGTGGTAACCATGTGCATATTGTGAAGGGAAGAGGCAGATGGGGTAGTGTTTACTGTCCTGCCAAAGATCCTAAGGATCCAGTGCACAGGGACTTCTGTGTGAGGAGAGATGATGATGGGTATTATGCGAAGAGCGCATGGCCAAAGGATATGCGGCCATTGGGGTTGTTGGTGAGCTGTCGGCAGATGTAAGTTGAACGCCACATTTACAGATCAATATGCTCATATCGAAAAGATACTCGGAATGCATCCACTTCCTGTACTCGCACAATACGTTCGCCTTTGACGACCCAGCTTGGTTTTACGCCTGGACAAGGTTCCTAATTCCTCGTAGAGTCCGCCTCATTACGTCAATCCACCTTACGCCCGTCTTCGCACGCGAATGGAGTGATACTGGGAAGGGACGGTTGTTCATCCGAAAACAGCCCGACCCAACCGATGCAATTCACTACCACCAGTACCTAGAATCCGCATTTACTATTCTCGAGACAAAATACTTTCTATCGATCACGCCGAAACTCAGGTTAGACTTCACAACCAGATGCGACCTCATCGTTGGCAATTTCGTTCCCAAATTCGTCTACGAGCTGAACCGTTTGCAGACAGCTACGATCACCCTCGCTTGGCCTGAGGATCCAGCGACATACGCACCCGCGGCCGTGGCCCATACCAGCTACTGGGGGCGAGAAGCGACACTGCCCTCTGAGGAAGACCGTAAGTTCGAACTCAAGGAGATACCATGGCAGTCGCCCACTGTACTGATGGCGTTCTTCATTCCGTTTGACGTCCAGTGTGTGCACTGCGCAGACTACACCATCATTCGCCGCGCAACAAGAGCTTGCGCTGAAGTATCCTTTCTTCCACTTTCGCTATCTACTATGCCGCCTGAAAATCCCACGCTACCCGACTTCCTCATGCGATACTGGACACATCACGTGTTCTGTGGTGGATGGATCGAATTCCAATACCACGGCGAGCGAAAGGAGTGGAGCGTGACGCAAGGCGCACAGAGGATTCCAGAAGAGGACGCGGATAGACATCTTGCCTCAAAGGATGGTCTTGAGAGGCATTACCCAGTATTGGGAAACCCGCATGAGAGGCTGAAGGGTATCACTGCCTCGTACGTTGTGGGGGGTTTGGCGCCGGGCCGATGGTCGGTGACTCATTGGCATGGGATAGGGATGATGATTGATGAGCCGACGAGGGGGGCGTATTATCGGAACGTTGGGTGGACGAGGGACTAGGCACAGTGCGGAGTAAACGTGGACAAGCGTTGCCTTGGATATACTGTCGTCTGATTGAGGGACATAGTCTATAGAGCCAATGTTATTGTCATCTATCTCTTAGGGGCTTTCGTGCCACAGGGTGTAGACTGTCGTAGAGCTTTGAATTGTTCACTTCGTAACGTCAGCTGTGTGGTATGCAGACAAGGGAGGCGCGATGTCGCAGGTTCAAAAAGGTGAGAGACAAGTTGTGGAGTAGGCTATGTATGCGTAGGGCCGTCAATTGCTTCGCTCTAGTCTGCATTGGAAATACTTCAGCCAAATTGTGAACAAGTCGGATGGGGAGCACCAATAATAGGGTCGGTGAGGCAATGTTGGAAGGTGATAGGGCGTCCTTGTTTGGGCGTTTTGTCAGTTACTTTGGCGCTACCACGAACATTAATTCTCTGCTGCCTGGGCCGTCGGAGGTGCGGGAGAAGGAAGCCACGATTGTCACCGTCGCGCTGGACAGAGTGCGCCGCATTGCGACAGGACACCTTGTAACAGCATGGCATTGATCCCTTTGCATGGGGCGTTGGTATACGGGCATCGACTCTCAAGAGATGTATCTCCCATCCCAGGAGGTCCACGGGGACGACGTTCTTCCGTGTCGAAGCAGTTATGCAGCTGCACATTACGTTCCAGATAAGGGAGTCAGAGCAGTGATAGCCATATTGTTGATGGCGCAGCGCGTGCATGGCCCCTGCACTAAGGATGACACGCTCAATCAAAGAGAAGCTACCATTTTGTGTGTTTTGTTTCGCGTTCGAGACTGCGGCGGTTGGTGTTGAGAGAGCTCTAGTTGAGGGTAATGCCAACAGGAAGGAGTATTGACCTAGAGGCCTATCATGAAAAGACGATACTCTCAAAGTCCAGCCTCCAGGAATTGCGTACAATCAATGAAGCTCGTGAAAGCGTGTCAAGCCTTCAGGCAATCCAGGCAATGATTGAAGTGACGAGCGGCTAGTTTCTTACACTTCCGTTGTTGCTGGCAGTTTAGCTATCAAAGTCGTTCAAAGAGCGTCCGTGCTCATGTTGGCGCTAAAATGGAGAGTCCGAATAAAAAGAACAAAATGGAGACCGCGAGCAGGATCGAACTCGAAACAAAACACAAAAAAAATGGTAGCTTCTCTTTGATTGAGCGTGTCATCCTTAGTGCAGGGGCCATGCTAATCTTCTCTGTATCGTTTCAAATTGACCAAATGTTCCGAAGAACAAAATAGTTGCGAAATGAAAAGTATATATAGGGAAATGAAAATAGAATTGAACGACGAGATCGAGCACACGGCGAAACTTGTCCATGGCGGCATAAAAAAGTTGAACCGCGGCGGGCCAACGCTAGTCTGTGCGCGTGAACAGTGCGCTTCAAGGGCGGTGTGAATCGGCGGTCGGCGACTGAGGCCAGCTTGTCCGAGATTCCTTCCCAGACTTCCGGGCACAACCACATCGCTATCTCCTCGAAAGACCAGCGAATGGAACCTGGACAACCAGAAATCGTCTTCCGAGTCCAGACGAGTCTTTAACGGGTCGAGTCCGCACTGGGTCGCATCCAGCAGGCCTTCCTCATGGCCTTTACCGTGGTTGATCTTTGGCCTTGTTCTGGATCTCTGAACAAGATGCACATGTTGCAACATCTGGGCAGATCTATTCAAGACATCACAATGTGAACTACCTGAGAGATCGCGGTCTTGGTGCAAGGTGTTGCTCATGTGGCGATGTTCTTGCTGGGCTGCGACTTCCTGCGAAGTATTGGCAGGCGAACTCCGGAGTCCATGCTGGCCAAGATATATGTACAAGTTGTTCGTCCGTCTTTGTGCAATTCAACAATCCGGATGGCTTTGATAACTGCGTGCCCTAGTTTTGAATCTCAAACCGGATATAGGATCAATTTGATCGCATGCGCCGGATACACAGGCTTCGAGTAAAGGTAGCCAACATCCGTTCAAGGCAGGTTCCAGCGAAAGATTCGTTTCCGTTTTGGTCGTCGATGGCCCCAACATTTGAAGCTTACAGAATATGATACCGTGAACGGCAGCAAGCTGCCTTGAGATACACATTGCTGGAGTGAATGTTGCGCGAAAGACATTTTGGGGTTTGTGTGGGACTACGGGGGAGGGGTAGCTAGCGGCCGAAGTTCGGAGACCTGGCAGTTGTATGCATAGTAAAGGCAGTACAGTAGCAGTTGCGTACAGTGTGAAGGCTGCAAAGATGAACATGGTAGCTGTGTAAGAGGTTCCTTTCGTTCAGGAGCTTGATAGTTGGCTTGACTCCTGTCGCGGTGGTGCACGCAATGACCAACATAGGATAGATGAACCGTTGCATCGAAGAAAAGGCTCTTAATACAACATGTACGTATCACCATCTAATTACAATCTCCACCTACGCTCACGCTATGCATTGTACAGAAAGGACGAGGCTGAAATCCTCATCTCCGCAGTCACACTATGCCGCTCTCGCGCTGCTCATCGGTCTACCATCTTCTCCAGTCCTCTTCCTGATCTCCATCTGCTCAATCTCCAAGTGGTTCGACTTTTTCTCTACCTTCACAGCCCCAATATAGTCTTTCGCGTCGGTGCCACTTGCATGAGCGTACGGCGTCTGTGGCGGTGACTGCAGGCTGATACCCTCGACCAGCACCTGCTCGTTTCCCAGCTCGTTAACCTCCGGCTTTCTTGTGCCAAGCGGCGGATCGAACCGCTTCCTGATTGTCTCAATCATCTTACCAAACCAGAACCAGTTCAGACCGTTGAGCGTCAGGTTTGACAGCAGGTAGCAAGCGGCGAGCCACAGCGGAACAGTACGCTCGCCGGCGAATCGCATGATGTCAGATGTCGGAATGGCGTTGGGATCAACGGTGGTGCCATTGCTGAGCTTGCCGAGCTCCGGGTCTTGCAAGACGAATTCGCCAGCTGTGATCGCGCGGTAGACGTCGTAGAAAACGCGTACAGATTGGTACGTTCCCCAGCAGAGGCGGCAGCCGAAGAAGGTGCAGAGCAGGATGATGCCATTGTAGAGCTGGACTTTAGAGCCCGTCATTTTGAGCTTGTCGCAGAACCAGTGGATGTTCAGGAAGGGCGAAGAGAGCTCGTAGAGGATGAAAGTGGGCGCGTAGAAGTTGACGAAGGGCCTCTGGTATCTACATTAGCTTTCTGTGGGCTGCGCATAGCCTGAGAAGGACGTACAAAGCCAAGCGAGAAGACGAACAAGGCGGAAACCGCGTGCGCCAGCATACCCAACCCAAAGACGTTGATATTCTGCACCGTGATGACCAGATCCCACAAGAAATATCCCCCCGCAAACGCCTGTATCAGTCCCCCGGCACCGGTATACCCATGCACCTTGCCTGCCCAGTTCATCTCGCTGCGCTCCTCATCGTTCGCCATGACCCAGAGCGCGAGCACGCAGATGACGGTGCTCTGCACAAACGACACAATGTGCACATCCCAATTAAGTTTGGTGCGGGCATTGAAGCTGGGGTATATTCGCGGAAAGAAAAACCGCGAGATGATGGGCGCGACGATGATGTTGACCGTGGAGTAGAGGGAGAACGCGAGAAGCACTTCGTGAATGTGCAGCGGGAGGGTCTTGAGAGAGACGTAGTCGGCGAAAGGCTCGATGCGCTGCCGTAACCAGTCCGGGCATGGGAACGGGAAGGGGTCGTGCATGGTGGGAGGTAATCCGCGGCGGTGGATCGTCTGAAGCAAGGGAGAGCTACGTGCTCGCCGCTCGGTGGCTATCGATAGCAATAATGAGAAACCCCAAGGCGTTACAGCGCTTGGAAGCGGATGGAGAGGTGACTCGGAAGAGAGTGGGTTATGTGCGAAGTGGGCGGCCAAGGCAGCGGGTGGTAGGCGGAGGTGATGGATTCAGCTCCGCAGCTCTCAGCGACTTATGCAAGTGTCTCGTGCCTCGGTCGGCGCAGATGAACAAAGCCCTTCAATCAGACGACAGCATTCACGCAACTAACAAGACATAGGACTAGTGGTCTCGCACGACGCAGTCACAGATACACTTGGCTACCTGGTGTCGCTTGCGAGATGCTCAAATTCAAGAGTTGTGCGCCTCACGAGACCACGTCATGAGCTAACGTTGACCGGCGTGGCGCTGAGATGTCTGGCTGCACTGCCACACGAGGCGCGTGCATTAGCTTGCCCACTAGATTCCCGCCTGGCCCGACCCGTGACCATGCCATCGTCACGATTTCTCGGAGGAGGTGAACGTCGGCCACACAGTATCAGGTCACAGCTGTGCACTTTCAATACATAGTTGCGGACGAGGGTGGTTCGAAAAGATATATTCAGGTTCAAACGAAGCCAGTCAGGGTCCTTGTTCTACAGAGCTTCGTCAAAAGTCCGAGCACTACATTGCTCATCCTAAGGCAACAGGGGGTATCGGTACTTGCGATGAGGCATGGTACAATGCCTATACAAAAGACGTCCATGAGCCAGGTACATCGCAGAAGGACAAAGGGCAAAGAGATCTGAAGTTTACGCCCAACCTTCCACGTAGCGCTCGAACCAGCAATCTTTGCACATGTCATCGCGTAGACGCTCTGCATATGCTTCCAGGAACAGCGCTCCCACATACGAAGTCCGTTCGATCTGGTCGAGTAGAGAGTAGAAGTCCGGCAGCGTCTTGTAACTCAAGATGCATCTGGCTACCGAAGAGTGAGACGCATGCTCACTCCCGCTCCATGCTTCCTTGTCTGTCCCAGGAAGCGCGAGTGAGGCCTGATCGTAGCCACGCAAAGAGAAACGATTATAGGCATTATCAGCTACCGGTAGAGAGGCAGGTGGTGTCGGTAAAGGTGGTGCAGGACCTTCAGAGGTTGGTCCTAGTGCAGACTGAGGTGGCATTGTGAGATCGATCTCTTCGACTTTTGCAGGTGGTGTTTTCGGACGTGCATTGGCCGAGATCTCTGAAAGTGGTGCCTTCCTTGCGTTCTGTGATGTTCTCGCAGGACTCGAAGTTGATGCAAGCTCCTCATTCTCAGTGATGCGTTGGATATCCTTCTGCAAATCGACCCACAAATTCCAGCTCGCATCCGTGATGTTCTCCGAGGTGAAGATGAGTTTCAGCGCTTCCTTCATCTCGAATGCATTCTGGTAAGGATGGTACTTGTTTTTCTGGCTGCGCTTCCCACCAGTTCGTTGTTCAATATCTTCTACGAAGGGCTCCAAGATCCCCAACTCATAATTGACAGCCCAGTTCAGCTCTTCATTCAAGTTTCTATCTGGCGCAGTGATTAACTCATCCTCCCAACTCAATCGTTCTGCGACGAGGTAGGCTTTGCGAAGATGAGCGCTTACTTTGCGTTCCTTTCTACAAACGGGACACCGGAAAGGAAGCGGTGGGAAGATTTGGGCTCGGTTATGGAGTCGATGCCAGGAGTCGTACGGAAGGAGACCTAGGGGATAGGGTACCCAGTGGAAGTCTTGCAGTATCTTGCTGTCGGGGTGTGGCTCGTGCAAGATCTGAGGCTTATACGCAATGGGCTGGGTCACAGGCTGGCATGATCGTGTTGGTGGTACGGGCTGAGGTGTGTGTGCCGGCTCGTTCACGAATGTTGTCGCGTTACTGAGCCAATTTTTATGGAATGCTGACTGAGATTGCAAAGAAACTCGACTCGGAGTTCGTAGATGTCTCGTCGCATCTTCGAGCCATTTTCTCTGTGATGCTGATCGTGCTGCTGCTCTCGACTGTGGACGATGATCAATAACTAAGGTTTGGCCCTGCTGAAGTTGCTCAAGTGGAACGTAGGGCCTCACAGCTGAGTATGTTGGAGGGTGTGGTTCTGAAAGCCGGAATGCCCTTGTACCTGTTGGTGCTAACGAAGGTTGTGGTGGGAATTCAACAGCAGTAGCATTGTGCTGAACTGGGCGTGGGTTTCTCAAACCCTTGGGTATTGGCATATGGTGCGTTCGTGGAAGAGTTTCCGGGTGGATTGGCGGCGAGGGCGACCGCAAATCAATTATGGGCATATCCTGCGGAATTGAGCCCAACCTAGAGGACGTTGAAGTGGAAATGCGAGAGCCATTGGAAGGATTTGAGTGTGCTGTCTTGGTCCAGACTTGACCCATTTGTTTCTTTTTAGGAGGCATGGTCACTTCCCTCTTGACCTCTGTGACTGCTTAGTCGTGCCGCGAATACCCTCAATATCATCGGGGAGTGTCCATGTGCGTTGTAACATATGACGCGTGTGGACCCAGCGGACGCGTCGTGGGGAAGCAGGGGTCTTACTTGGCGGGCGGGAGCTTGCGCAAAAGTTCCGACAGGGTAGCTTCACTCACACAATCTCACCTCATGCCCGTTCGGACTAACGTGTTATTGTCCAATAGGCTCAATCAGCTGTATTCTTTCGCATCTATGTAAAATTTAAATGGCTCGAAGATGAGATCACTACAATCCCTCTTTTCGAGAACATGTGCCGCATGCCGGACGCAGCTCCAGACCACACGAACGTTGCCCTCTCGAATACCACGCACGCCTCGCCGTACATATACTAGACCCGCGTTCGCTCCAAAACCTGCGATAGACATCAAGCACATTCGCCAGAACCCCGGCCTCTACGAACAGAATTGCATCGACCGTAATTATGCTGCGCACGGAAAATCCTCATGGCGCATAATCGAGCTGCACGAAGGATGGCTGGCGCTACAACAGAATGCCCGCCATCTGAGAGAAAGGAACAATCAAATACGTGGGAAACTAGCAAAGGCAAAGTCCCACAGCGCAAGCGAAGGAAATGGTCAGTCGAGAGAATCACTCATCGACGAAGCAAAAGCGTTGAAGGCTGAGATTGGAGTCATCGAGGCAAAAGAAGTGATATTGCAAGAAGAGATAGACAATCTTGCTCAGGACTTGCCAAACCTCAGCAGCACAAATACACCCGTTGGCACCGAGCCGCAAGTCCTCGAATATATCAATGACCACCCCGAACCCGAACCTTCGCAGTCGGACCGCATTTGGAGATCGCATGTACACATTGGCTCAGAGCTCGGGATACTGGACTTTGCGGGCTCAGCGCAGACATCAGGATGGGGCTGGTACTTCCTCGTAGGTGACGCCGCGATGCTGGAGCAGGCTCTTGTACAATATGCATTGAGCGTAGCAAGAAAACGAAGCTGGAAGGTTGTGGCACCACCATCGCTGGTATACTCCCATGTTGCGTCTGCATGCGGGTTTCAACCGCGAGATCAGAACGGCGAACAGCAGGTCTATGCTATCGAGCAGGCGGAGAAGGACCAGGCGAAGCCGCAGCTAGTCCTTGCAGGTACCGCTGAGATTCCACTGGCTGGCATGAAAGCGAATCAGACGTTTGAGGATGTGGAGCTCCCGCTGAAGACGATTGGAGTCTCACGGTGCTACCGCGCCGAAGCAGGTGCCCGCGGCATAGATACCAAGGGTCTATACCGTGTGCACGAGTTCACTAAGGTAGAGATGTTTGCTTGGACACTACCAGATACCAACGAACAAGAGCATTTTGCGGCCGACACACCCTCGAACTCCGTAACGATCTTCGAAGAGATGTTGTCTATGCAGAAGGAGATCCTGCAGAGTCTTGGCCTGCACTGCCGCGTTCTCGAGATGCCTACGAGCGACCTTGGAGCCAGTGCGACCAGGAAGATAGATATCGAGGCTTTCTTTCCGTCAAGGCGCGAGAAGGACGACGGTTGGGGCGAGGTTACTTCCACATCCATCTGCACAGACTACCAGAGTCGGCGATTACATACTAGAGTTCGACTGGGCAAGATCGGCGGCAAGCTAGAGTTTCCATATACCTTGAATGGTACGGCTCTTGCAGTCCCACGCGTGTTGGCTGCCATCCTGGAAAACTCGTGGAATGAGCATGATTACTCTGTGACCATACCAGAGGTGCTACGGCCGTTCATGGGAGGCCAAGAGAAAATTCAGGGGCACAAGATCCATGGAACGGGCAACTATTGAGGAAACGAAAGCTGTTTCGGTACGGCGCATGTAAGCTTGGAGTGAAGTATAGCTCTGTATGTTATGTGTTCACGAAGCTAGTTGTAATATACCTTAATTGAGAATTCATGACTATCTTTTTGGTCAGACTCTAATGTGAGTGCGATGTGGTTACATCTACTGAGTCTGGGGAACCTAAAGCGGGAAGGGGAGGGATTGAATCATCCGGTATGAAGGATAGACCCAATGAGGAGTCTCTAAACAATGCCTTGCTTTGATTATCCAGTACATGAACCTGTCTGAATAGCTTGGGCGAGTTCTGTGAAAGGCAAGCCGCGATACTGGGTCAAGATTTATTGTAATCCGCATCCTGGACGACACTAGGTACCAAAATCTCCGACGAAAGGCAGCCACAATTATCGGATTGCAAACAAGGATATGGTACTCACAAGAGCTGATGTGGACCACAGGCACTCTGGATTGAACATCACGTGGTGGGCCTTTCACCTCAGTCCACTTGTTCGATCGGCTAGTCAGCCGCGTACCCTGACTTCGGGAGCGCTCGCATCACCTGACTTTCATAGACCTCAGACGCCTGTCTTTTCCCACCCGTGGCGCGGCACTCAACATCGACCTCTCGCCTTCATCCCACGCTCCCTTCGGTAAGCAAAGGCCCCAATTCTCGAATTCTTGCGGTTTCTGCCTCTTCAAGAAATCAGACTTGCAATTGTGTGGTTTCGTTAGCAAAGTGCAGGGCTCCGTGGACGATATCTGGTGAGCTTTTGCGACGTGCACTTTGCGTCCGGCCAATTCAGGAGCGACTTCAAGTTTCCGACAGACTTCCTCTACCACCATTTGACGCCAGCAGATGAAGTACCTTCCAGTGCCTCGTCAAGACTTTGTATACCATGTTCCTCATCTGAGGTACTAGAGGGTACTGAAGTCTTTTCTCCACTCATGTAAGAAACATGCGGTCGTGGTTGACGCTCAGCATCGGCTATGTAGTCAGGAGAGTTCAGCTGAATTTTTGCTCAAAAGTGTCCCGCGTTCATGAATTCGGACGAGCACAGATGTTCGATGAATCGGTGACGCAATCCATACACGACGATAGCCCGCGAATGAATAGCGTAAATGAGCCTTGACACTCTGTTCGATGTTTCTTAATCTCGATTCTCATGCGCTTCTCCGCCCTTCCAATGTGCGATACCAGTCTACAGTTGTCAATGAATCTGCCAATGCGGCTACTTCGTCTCTCATGTTTGCTTCAAGCTTAAAAGCCTGAGCAGGATCGGGGGGGATGAAGCAATGGAACTTTTTGCACGCGTTCCGAGGCTCGTGAATTATGAAGCATGTAGTAGTCCTAACGTGTAAGCATGGTATGGCTGGTGCATACTGACAAGACTCGAAGAGTGTTGCGACGTCGAGATTTTACCGAGCGAAGAACATGTGGTCAATGGTACAGGACGCGCGGCGCAACATGTTATGAAGATCTCTCCATCGCAGGCATAATCCTCACAGTGGGTTCTTCCAAGTGCATGAACAGTTGAAGAGGAACACAACATCGAAAACCAGACGACAGCATCGCATCTTCCGCTCCGACACCATCGCCACGCCTCCCGCTCGACGAACATCTGCCAGTCCAAGTGGATGCTAGGAAAAGCTTGGCTCGGGTAACAGCGGCGATTGGCGCATCACATGCTGCATCCTGGCACATCCTGGCATGCCCTGCAGACCAGCTGCATGCGGGCAACGCGATGGGCTGTCGCCACAGCCACCGACTTCCTGCCACCGTGAGCTCCTGAAACGCTCGACAATACAGCGCCGGACGAGGAAAGCCGACCACCGCCGCCATCATTTCAGGAGCTCAAACCTCTGTGCAGTAACCCTTCGTCCAAGGCGGGGTGAGACGGCGGGCCTGTTGCAGCACTCCAGCCTCGCTGCACCTCGACCTGCAGCAACAGCGAACAACACAACACGCAGCCACCTTGTGTACGCCTTCGCTCCAGCCTCTTCACCGCCGTCGCATGCACTCGGCGTGCATATCGCCCTCAGCCTGTCTATAGACTTCGCATCGCATCTGAACAGCTGGGAGTCATAGCAGGCTCGCATGGTTTCCTATCCCGACTCGCAAGGCGCAGAGCGCTCGCTCGCCATCCGCCGCCCGCCCTCCGTCACCTCGCACTCGTCCCGCGCCTCGACCGTTCGGAGACATCGCCCGCACCGCTCGCATTTTGGTGGCTCCTCGTACCAGCCACAAAACGAGTTTCCCGTGTTTACGCACACTGGAGATGTCGAGATACTGATCTCCAATGGAAGGAAAGAGCAGCGCTACCTGCTCCACAAGCTCATTTTGGCGCAATGCTCCGGCTTTTTTGAGGCGGGACTGAGTGACGAGTGGGCGACGGCCGGTGGGAGCAGCGCGCCGAATGCAAGCTCGGCAGCACTGGCGAGGGTCCCGCATGGCGCTCTACAGGAAAAGAAGGTGTGGAAGTACGAGCTCGATTGGGGCAGGGACGACGAGCTTCCTATGCTGATACAAAAGGTGCGATCCCTATATCTTCAATAAGAGCAATTACATGCTAAGTCGAGGCAGAAAGCGCAGCCCACATTGTTCGGAGGTGATACAGCGGCCTCGCAACCGCCAGTGCTCCGTAATAAGCCGCCAGCTCCCCAAGCAGGCTTCTTCCGCAGTATGGCCAATTTTTCTTCCCTCCATGTGCCCACGACTCCCAGCGACCCCGACGACGACACCTTCCGAGACTACGACAACCTGCTCCGCGTCTTCTATAATTACCCACCAGCCTTAGACCCGGTTAACATTGCGAATGCATACGTCGAATGCAAATCGCTCCTTCAAATCGGCGACATGTACGATGCACTTGACGTGATAGGGCCGCGGGTAGATCACCATCTGCTACGGTTCCAGGGTCGGCTGTGGAAGCAGATTGCTAAATACCCTCCAAGCTACCTCAAGCTGGGCTACATGGCGCGGAGCAAGGCGATATTTTCAGAAGCCATGGTGCACGTGGTGGGGCAGTGGCCGCAGGGCATGAATCAGCTGAGAGGACAAGTCGCAGAGTCTGTACTGGAGCTGGTGGAAGACAAAGTGGACGAGATGGATGAGCTGAAGGCAAAGGTCGAGGTCAAACTGTTCCGGCTCACACTTACAACGAGCAGAGGTGAGCGGGTCACACCCTCGAACAACTGGCTGGAATGGATGGCAATATCCCTCTTCCGACAATGGCTCGCAGAAAACACCACGCCCCCACCCGCGCCGATTCTGAAATCTCCACGCCAACCTTCGCGAAATGGAGAGAATGCGCCTTTGCCTCCGCCTCCCCCTTTCAATACTGGACGAATATTCAAATTACTCGGCACTGGTGGATCCAGCTACCTAGGCCACGACGAGTGCAAGCGTTTCCTCAAGCTGAGTCCCGAACACTACAATCGCGACAATCTGAAGCGTTTCGAAAGACGTATTGAAGAGATCAAGAATAAGGCGAAAGACGCTGTAAAACCTCTTATGAGAAATTTCCTCGAACTGGATCTTAGAGAAGGTGGTTTGCCATATTTAACATGTACCCGCATCGACCCACAGGATTTCCCGTGGGATGAGTAGCCTTTGCTTTGGAAAATGAGCGCTATTTGCTATATGATACCTCCTGAATCGATGTTAGGAGTTGGCGCAGGCATGGTCGTTTGGATTTGCAAGAGAGATATTTGGCGCCAGATACCCTATGTTATGATTATTTGTCGTTCGTTGTCCGGTTTTCCTTGCATTTGCGTCGACAGGTAGGATAATACTGTCTGGCAAGAGAGACATGCTGGCCACGCCTCTCTTCCGGAAAAGATAAACGATCAGATATGACAGAACTTCTATTGTCGCTCTTCAACTTTCGAGACTACGCCTCCAGGCCCAGCCGTGACCCATTTAATGGAGTGCATCTGAGTGGCAAATGGAAGAAGCACAGAGGTCGGAGTTTCTCCAAGGCCGCAATTGGTACCGGCTGTGCTCTGCCAGGTGATCTCACCTCCGGGTTCAGGAGTGCGTACGACTGGTCTTCGGGTGGTTTCGGTCATAATTCCCCTTCGTCCTATACGCCCAAAAAAATCAAAGTAGTTACTTTGCATTACGGGTACAGATATGGTCTTGCCGTCTCATTCGAGCGTCAGAGTCGACACGGATTGAGCATGTAAATTGATCGGCGCTGTGTCTTTGTGCAGCAGATTCGGCTGCCATCATACAGGCTCTCCGTGAATTGGCGAAACTGGGGCATTTGGAGATAACGGATACTAACAAAGGGCATTTGTACAATGTACATACCCAACCTAAGAAAGCAGTGCCTCGCAGAAAGGTGGCACGTACGACAGGAAATTGAGATGGATTTGGCATTACGCAATTTGGTAGGTCGACGCTACGCAACAGACGCACCATGTAACATTCCACAGTTCATCGGGTAATCGCAGGTCCTCCCATGAGCACGGGATCCCAAGATAACGTAGTCCCGCCATGTATGGGTGCAAGACTGTGCTGACCAAACACCAATACAAGGTGCCCTAATCCCAACATGCGCAGTTTGAATAAGATGTTAGTATCAAGCTTCAGGGTGCGTATGAATCTCTTGATAGATGGAGGGAGCGGTGCAAGGTAACCAGTGAACTCACTCACCGTTAATGCGAACAGATATGCGTTCCTCGGCTCAAGCGTCATGCTCGTTGATGCGACTGTTGCCTAGCGCTTGTTGCTCACATCCCCTTTCTCTTTTTCGAGGAGTTGAGAGGCACATGTTTGGGATAGCTGATAACGACCGCGGCCGCGCAGCGCGTCACGTGGGTTGTCGAACTTCACCCTCTTGGCACATGCGCTGCGCTAGGCTTCAGGATGCTTGGCGCCTTCGCTGCGAGCGACAAAGATACGCCGCCCTCGCAGCAGAACATGCTCCGCACCGCACACGCAGACGCTCAACCCCGCTGTTCACACAGCGAGATCAACTCCAACGCATCTGCGTAAACACCCGGTGCCCCCGCGGCAGACAGCCCTTTACGATTTTCTCTTCAGAGGCGCACGATTATATTGTGCCCGTCACCTGCGCGCCTTCGTTCTTGCCGTCCATCCAGACTGCGCAGAAGGCAAGTCACTTTCACCAATCCGCGACCCTTGCGCCTCGAGCGCATTCACCTCACTCGTACCATACCCCACCTCAAATCGACCTTCATTGTTGCGTCAATCTATTGCTGCCACCACTTGCTCAAACGGAGCCTCGACATCTATCCGACTTCGCTCGTCAACCTCGCGATCTTGCCAGTGCCGCGATGCAGGACTCACCGTTCACATTCGGTTGTTCACCTGGACAAGGCGCGCCACTGAATACGACGCATGCCACGTACAGTACCCTAGACGTGCCTGAACCCTCTGCAGGCATCGCATCTGGCCAGAACGTCCGTACTACTTTCGCGTCAGGTTTGAGTGCCGCACTGTCTCCCCGCACGGCGCTCACGAACGTCAATATCGATACTCCCCATGATTCTCAAGGTTCTTCTGCTAGAGATGGGAAGATTGAAGTCCCTCTACCTGCTGCAAATGATCGGGGTACTACTATTCCTGTGCTGCAAGAGGAACGACATACAATCCCTGTTGGATCTTCCCGTACTTCACGGCGTGTTGGACGTAGGAACGCGGATCGCAGGAAGGATAAACTTCCCTCGGTGCTCTATGACAAGGAGCCGCTCCATGACGGCGGCTATCGACTCGTTTTCCAAGCGGGCGGTCGAGAAGCCAGTTTCCTCGAATACCACCCACAGACCTCACGGAACTCTAAAAATGATGTTTCCAGTGCAGACTTCTCGGTGGAATACCATGCTGTACGCGCACTTATGAACATGGAGAAGCAGGGCTCTTCGACGAGCACTCCTGGCCCCTCTACCGCTTCCCTGACTTCCCTCGCTAAGAATCGTTTTTCCGTTGGCGATGTTCCAGTATCTTCGCAGCAGCAGGAGCGGACGCAAGCTATCAAAGAAGATGTCGACATCCAGGTGCCGAATCACGAGCCAGCCGTCATCGGGACGAACCTATCTGACGTTGGAAGCGCAAACGAGGGACACCAGGCAGTCACCCGTGAGTCCACTGACTCTTTACATTTCTACACGATCCGGTCTGTCGGACTGGACCCACTGGACAACGTGAACTCAGCCGTAGATGTCCTAAAACAAACGCCGGTCCCTGTCGCAACTGGGTTCCCTCAAATCCAAGGTATCTTGGAGGATGATCGGGCCCACACATATGTACCTGACGAGGTCCTTCTTTCCCCTGGCATTATTCACAACCAAAACACCAACACCGAAGCCCGGCGTGTTGCTCGCCGTAAAACTATAGAAGAGCTCAAAGCGAAGAGCGGGACGAAACCCCAGACGCAAACGACGAAGCGTACTCCTTCAATTGCGATGAATGATACTACTGAAGGTGTCGACTTACCCAACCATGTTCACAGGAACATGTCGTGGTATCAGCTTCTTTGGACACTCTTGGGTCTACTGCTCCTGGGACTTTATTACAATATTTTGATCCCAACTGGACAAGCTTGTTTGAACCGCACTCCCGGAGTCCTGAACTTCGTTTGCAATGCGGTGGTTTCAGCCGCACATGGTGTTGCTGCAGCCCGGGGTTGCATCAGGCCAACGCAACCCCCTGAGCCCACGCAACATGAGAGCCACTGGTCGCCACAGACCGCTAACAACGATCAAGGCTCGTTAGCTATGCTCACAACCGTTGCTTCAGGGTTTTCATCTTTGCGATCTCCATTGAACAAGCAACATGTACACGGAGCAAACTTCGCTGCTCCTGAAGTTTCCCGCGGTGAGCCTGCGTGTTATTCAAACCCTTCCGCTACTCGCTTACCGCCGTATACGCGACAACCTTTCTCGCCATCGGCGTCCTGCCATGAGCCTTCGTGGCACTCACACTCATCTACTGCTCGCTTTCGACGTTACACTCACCAACCGCCCGTACCGTTCGCTCCGCAGACGTCTTTTAGAGAAGATCGCTACCCACTTACCTCACTGAATGCCTATGGCCATCCGCAGACGAATTACGTCTACGGGGATCGTGCCCGCAACCTCGCCAAGCTGGACACTCCGTCTCCATATCGAAACGCAGAATATTGGGACGAAGTACCCCAGCGCTCGTACAACTTTTCATAGTGGCCACCTCTTTCGATGATATTGAGGTTCTGTTCACGTCGCTATCTGTACTTGGCGGCAGCAGTCCACTCGAACTGTCACCTCCCTTGACTGCCGAACCTATTGCATCTGACCTGGTCTGTCTCGATGCCCCACAATGAAGAAGCTTGCATGCTAGGCCACTAGAGTCAGCCGGCTCGAACCTACGATAACAGCTGCTGCTATACACCATCCGCTAAAGAAAGCCCATCTTTTGGGCTTGCTTCCATACGTGCCTTGTGTTAAGTCCACGAGGACAACTCCGCCAACATCATCTGTTACCCTACTGCCAAGCTTGAACCATCGCTGGCCTGTACATGATTCGACATCCACTCAGCGCTCCAAATATATAACAAGCTCTGCCATCATCACAATCATTCCATCGTTCGCATTCCATCTCCGGCCCACCGATTCGGCATTTCGCGCTTTCTAAGCACTTTCGACCGTTACATTCACCTTAAACGAGACGGATAACTTCTCTCGTTACACATAAACCCTTGAACAACTCTTCAGCTCACCGCAACACCCTCCAACTTTGGCTCTGACCCATCCGCCAAAGTCATCCCCTCCCTACCTCCCACCCCCAAATGCCGACCCGGCATGGACGTTCCGCTATAATCTTATGAAAGTAGCTAGACACAGCATCACTCATAGGGTCTGGTATTGCGGAACAGAATACCTACCTCGGAGTAGGCGCGGCCAGACTTAGTGAGCCCACACCGAATTTGAGGCTCATTTGGAACCGTCGAGGGTGCTTTCAGAGTCAGGTAGTAAAAAGATGCTATTGTCTACGGATTGGGAAGCGGTTTATGTGTATAACTGTATAGCAGCCACAATGTGTGTACCGAAGATTCTAGAATCACAGAAGGCCTTAACGCGACAATACTTGGTGGGCAGCTACAAGACTACCAGCTCGCAATAACCGGCTTCGTCTAATCGTTCAGAAACCAATAATACAGAATCCTGTCAGTGACAGCGGGCGCGAATGCTGGCTATCAACATCTAGCAACGTTCATCAGATGGGACTGCAATACAGGGTCCACACCGAGTCGAACAAAAAATTGCTTTGGAACCGCAATATCGTAGGCGGACTGAACCTGAGAAGTCGCTCGCAATTTACGATGAAACGAATTGCCACACCCACCTCGAACCATGATACTACCATGCGTTGACCGCGCGCATATGGTGTTGAAAACGATAATTAATGGAACAACAAATGGAACAACAAATGGAACAACAAATGGAACAACAAATGGAACAACAAATGGAACAACAAATGGAACAACAACGAACAAAGACGGTACATAGCGCAAACGACCCCGAACCGAAGCCCACCACACATCTGCCTACTTTCCCTCATTAATGTACTCCCATCCGACAATCCCATGGGTACGTTTGAGTCTGTCAGAAGGCTAGATGATACAACATCACAACGGGCTTTAGCATTGATGAAACGAGGACGAGTCTACGCAGTCCTCGCAATGTTTCACCTATTTACTCACAGGACACGACATATATGGATGGGTGTTATTAGCAGCAGCCAAGCCCCACATCGATCGATTCGAGAGCCGCTACAACTTCCTCCTCTCGATGTGGCCGCTGTGCCATGCTACAAATTCCCCGGCTTAATCTTACGGCTTGGTAGTCTTTCTCTTTGACGTGGGACCACGAGACTGGCTACGATCATTTCGCATGACAATCACGCGGATGTTTCGCTACGACTGGGTTTTTTCCTTCTCATCTCCGCACTTTTATGATCCCGTCGGAGGCGCGTTGTCGGGACGAGAAAACAGAAAGCGGCGAAAAAAAAACACATCACCAACCGAACGTAAAGTGTTCTAAAAATTCTCTTCTTGAGTGCTGCGGAGCACAACTTATTCGAGGCGTTACTTTGGGAGTTGAAAGGTCTTTTGTTGCGTGTCTTGCTCGGCATTCCATGCCCATTGAAGTTTTGGAAGTGCGAAGAGCGATATGATTCTGATTTTGAGGCGGAGCCGCCTGCGGGTCTTATGCGATGTATCTTTTTTTGTTGAACGAATCAGGTCTGATGACCAAGATGAATGGGACAATTGTCAAATCCACCTCAGTTCATATTTTCTTGTTGATGCCAAGTGATGTTTTGCGTATGATCTACTAAACAATTGCGTATCAGAGATGCCTGCGGTAGAGATCCCGGGAGTTGCAACAAGTCGGCGGCTGGGGAAGCATGCAGCCCTTTTGTGGACCCGATCGGTCGCAGAAACTTGCAACTGCATCCGGATCAATGTCGAAAGGCCGGCATCTACGCGCTGATGACTAGATCAAGGATGCATGCTTAACGGAATAGTCGCCTACAACTTACGTCGGTCGGACAAACTTAATGGAGCGGTCATGGCTGCAGCGAAGGGATAGATGTCCATCACTTTATCGTTCCTCTGAGCTTCGTCGATGCAGGCTTTCAGTCCAGCCATCAACAACATCGAAACGTATTACGTATTATTGACCATCGATGGCGATGTTGGTCTCCTACCTCTAGATTTTGCGACGAGCGCGCATGTTTGGCCAATCAATGGAATTCCCACACAAACCCGGCGCGTAAATCTCCCGCGGCGACGACGAGCAATCACCGCCAATCGCTCAACAGTCCACTTCGTCGCATCATATCTTGTACCTTTTCAGCGGCAATTTTTGCCTGCGCCGCTTCGTTAGGAACAGACGGGTTGCCTTTCCGTATCAGATCTACATGCCACGCCGCAGTGGTGGTTTGAGCCACCGGCGCCTGCACGTGTCCTCAAACAAAGCAATCCATCCCAGCGCTTATACAGGGCCTCCATTGGGCTGCATGGTCTCTAGCGCATCGACAGGAAGCTAAGCTCAACTTCCTGCATCTCCCGCTGTTCACGTTGTACTTTTCACCCGGTTCACCTAACATGTAGGATTGAGGCGTAGACCAAATTCTGCGCGTAGGCTTCACGACGACTGGAGGCTCCGAGCGGCAATTATATTTTGTGAAGATCGGCAAGCATAGGTCAAGTAATTTGTATCCGATTTGCCTCATGCCTTGACACGCGATTGACAACCGTCTATTTCCTACAAGCCCTACCTTTCCCGCTTTCGCCCAAAGTTGGACTCCAGTCGCCTTCCGCTCGATCATTATCAAAGGCATACTGTCTATGCAGTAGTGTCATTGATCTGGCGCTCTGCTTAATCTCACTCTCCATCTTCTTGTCTCGTTTCATTTTTTCCCTTCGACGATGTCCAAACTCCCTATATCCCCATTTTGGACCCGCGATCCACAAATCCCAATATACCTCGACACCGGCAACAAACGTGAGCAGATCTGCCCAACCTGTGGTCTCAATTCGAAAGATCACCCCATCCACTGTATCACTACAGCCTCACCGGCACCCCCTTCCTACCGTTCAACTGCCTCACCCGCATCTTCCTCAGGACACCTAGCAGCTCCTCCCTCCTATGACTCGCCCGCTTCGCCCGCTGCTTCCTCACGGAACCTAGCCGTGCCGGTCCTTCGCCTGGAAACGCCACGTCGCTGGTATCGGCCTCAGCCTCCTCGTCCTGCACTCCGGTTCGACGTTCAATCCAATGAGCAGGGCAGAGCACGCGTGCGAGCCCGTCGAGTAACATTTTCCCCTCTTTCACCAGTAACGACGATACATGAAGACGACGCAGGGCGGAGAAGTTTTACCAGCGGGTCGTCAATCCCAAACACACCAGTGGACGAAACTGAGCGCACGAAGAAGAGCAATTTGGGACTTGGCATAGCAGATGCCCCATTCCATCTGGATCCGAGTCCGATACGATCGCCAGGAGGCGAGCACCTCGCTAAAGCCGAGAAAGGCGAGCCCATCAGGAAGAGTTCAACACCAAACCTTGCAGAGGGCATCGAGCAAAAGCTTTGGAAATACAGCGCTTCCAGCAACGTTGTGAAGCGCTGGCTTCTGGAGATCATCAGCTGGCTACTGAGTGCTCTGTGTATGTGCGCAATAATCATATTATTGTTCTTCCTGCAAAACAAACCGTTGCCGGGCCGTTGGCCTATGAACATCACACTGAACGCCTACATCGCTACCCTTTCAAGAATCGCCTCGGCTTCGCTTATGCTCCCAGTTTCCGAAGCGCTTGGACAACTGAAATGGAGCTGGTTTCAAGGACGTTCAAAGAAGATGTGGGATTTCGAATTATTCGACAATGCATCTCGAGGTCCTTGGGGATCTGTCATGCTTCTCGTTCGTACGAAAGGCACAACACTTGCAGCCCTTGGTGCGGCATTAACAATATTTGTGATGGCAATGGATCCTTTTTTTCAGCAAGTGGTGCGCTATCCCCAGCGAACGGTGCTTCAAGTACAGAACAGCTCCATTCCCAGAGCCGTGCGCTATGAGCAAGATACTGCAAGGACTTTTTCAGCAGGACAAGAGGTCATGAACCCAGATTTGGACATGAAGGCCGTAATCGATCAATCCTTCCTCGATTTTGGGGTCCCACAGTACCAAGTTGGGAACGGAACACAGACAGAAATACCTCTATCTTGCTCAACCAGCGATTGTACTTGGGAGCCCTATGAGACGCTTGGCGTCTGTAACGAGTGTGCAGATGTGGTCGATATGCTGGATTTTGGCTGCCTTCCTACAAAATTGGATTGGGTACAAAATTCGACCCAGTATATTCCGTACGATAACGGAACCATGTGTGGGTGGTTTTTCAATGCAAGCAGCGAGAATCCGATGCTCATGCTAGGTTACCAAGTGGATCCGTTTACTAACCGATCCTCTGGTGAGATTTTGACAACGCGTCTCTTGCCCCTCATCGGCAACGTGAACAGAAAACCTCTATTTGGCGGCTCCATCAACTTCAGGCATGTCCGGAACCCACTCATCAATTTCGTGGTTGTGTCGACTACAGAAGGACAAGACCAGGAGAGTGTCTTGAAGAGTATCTTCCACCATCAGAAGCCACGGGCGTTGGAGTGCGTTTTGTCATGGTGCGTCAAGACGATCAAGTCTACGTATAATGAGGCTACGTATACCGAGATTATCCAAGATCGCTTCATCAACACGACTACGGGTCCATTCCCGTGGACCTTTATTAAACCTGACTCTAACTCTACGGATGAAGTTGCAAAAGTGCAATACTTACAGGACATCACCGTTAATCCGCATGCCCTTGAGGGCCAGGGCAACACTTCCAGTTACGGGATGTCCAATCAGACTGCTTTCAATATCCTCTCCATTTTCGATGACTATCTACCATCGTTCGCGACACTCGCCAACAACGCTTCCCAGCAATACATGAAGTTCATGTTTTGGGACGAAAATCCCTGGTTGCGGGAATTCCCGGAAAATCCATGGTCTGCACCGAACAACGTCACATATCGAATGGAAAGGCTCGCAACAGTAATGACGAACATCATGCGGCAGGCAGCCAATGACACGACCTTCGGACAATCATTCAACGAGGAGACATACATAGAGGTTCGCTGGGTGTGGCTCACTCTGCCTGTCGGACTGCTTGGGTTGACTTTGGTCTTCCTAGCGGGAACTGTGATACGTACGTCAATGGAGAAGGATCGCGTTGGCGTTTGGAAAAATTCGGCTATTGCGACGCTTCTCTACGGACTACCCGACGAAATGCAGCGGAAGATCACAGACTCGCAAGGGCACGGTACACCACGATCCAAGGCGAAAGAACTGAATGTCAGGATGCTTCCTACGAAGGGTTGGCGAGTTTCAGGACATGTGCTGTCACCAATCGTACGGAAGCAGAAGCCGCCACCAGGATGGATATAGGGAGCCAAGGAGCGCAAGAAAATGTCTCTATATATTGTGGGCATGCAGCGGTAATAGTTAGTTGACGTGCTATAATTCATGCCATAGACAGATCTTGACTTTAGTGAGGTTTAAGGGTCGCCCCATGAAGGGTAAAGCATTGTGCCTCAGTACCCCATACAGGTGATATCAACTATGGACCACATCGTGCTGTCGTACCTGTAGCAGCCTAGAGTTTCTTACGGTCTTATCATGCATTGGTGTTGTCCCTATCTATCGTCATTGATTCCCTGAGATTGAGAACGATGGCATTCATTGGAACTTTTCATTAGCAGAGGACTTCAATCATTATTTCACATTTCACATTTCACAATTCTTTCATAACACTTGGAAGGGATTACATATTGCACCATTCAAACACTGGGTCAGTTAACTAATTGACAGCTGGACTACCCTGTGGTGGCCTGTGCCGTACCTCAAAGCTATCTCACCAGTAGTCAAGGCGCACACCACTCAGAAACATGAACGGCAGGGGGATTTCTTATCGAGAGCGTAAATACTTGATAAATCGGCCTCAGTGAAGCATTCCTTACACGCCTGGATGTCGAGAAGAGGTAAAGAACGATGATTTGAGGAGATACAGAAAGCCTATCTATCCATCTTCGCAGAGTTCGCTCTTCATTCCTCTTCCGTCTCTAAAGCAACGTACTCGGTGACATAATCGCGCTTGTTCACACCTTTCCCGTCGTAGGTCCGGCGCTTCTCTAACTCATCCTCGTCGTTAATGTCCTCGTCTTCGGCATCGCTTCGGGTATTCAGCCCAGGTGGGATCATGCCGGAAGCAAGTCGGCGTTTCTCGTTCGCATCAGATAGATCGTCGGGGATGGATCTTTGGACGATGGTGTCTAGCCGTTCGAGAATTTGGCGCTTCAAGTTTTCGAGGACAGGTGAGATGGCTTCCGGGTCCGCATCTCGAACCATCAATGGCGCGGGGCTCTCGAACGGGAACACGGTGGGAACAGGTGCACCGACGACCGAAGCCGCGAGCGAAGTGGCGAGCAAGATTAGACTGGCGTGCATGCTGTCGGTATTTGGTGGTGATTAATGGAGTATGTAGTAAATTTTGTGTTTTGATTTTTTTAAGTTGTGAAGATGCACAGCACCGATTATTTCAAAAACAGGCACAGCCTGGAGGCAGAAGAATAGACGTTGAAAGAATGTTGTTGGAGTGGATCCGGTCCCCTTGACGTTCGAACTTCGGGGGTGAACGAACTCTTATACCCCGGCGTAAATGGTCATCCCAGAATCAGTCAGAGCGGGATCGATAATATGCGCGCGTAATACCACAACCTTGCGATGTTGACATGGCTTGCAGCGAACCAGCACACAAAACAGCCACCTTTGCCTAGCCGGGCAGTGTTGCCTAGCCGAGCAGTATCGATGTCGCTTTCACACTTTTTTTACCATCACGAGTACAGTTTATCTCGCGATTCCTACTGATTGAGGGCAGCTCTCATCCTGCAATTTCCCTGGTCTATAGTATGTTCAGACACGTTGGTCGGCGTCCTGCTAATCAACATCGAGCACGGTGCGAGCTGGCGGCTATGGTCCACTATTTCGCTGATAGCAACCGGTTAGCCGGCAAGTCGTCATCGAATCCTTACCTACGAGCGCTTAAAGATAGTTTCACGCCCAGGTGTAAGTTGCATGCTCGCCGTTCCACTTGCCGCCGCATTGACGTGGTCCGGAGCTGCCGCGTCTGATTGGTTCGCACGACACCCGACTGGCTGGCGTAGCGCCGAGGTACGTACCTATTTTCGTCTCGATAGCTTTACAACGCCGAAGAGTATGTGGGTGCTCTTCAAGAAGAATCCGGCCACGGACCGTAGAGAGTGGATGGAAAGTACGAAAATTCTTATGGGGGTTCGCGGAGTGTGATTCGTGTTTCTGGATCATGCCACTTCATCACGGAGTCACACAATCTTCTGTAATCGATGAATGCTTGAATAGATAGAAACGGCAGTACCAGTACTTTTTTGGTTGCTTCTTGATTTGGTCGTTGTTTTCCCTAGTTCCTGATGAGTTTCGCACATCGAATCAAGCTTGACGTCAGGTTTTGATCCAAGCCGCGACATGGTGGGAATACGCAGTAAGGTAACACGTTGGGAAACAGTGCCATTGGAAAGCTGGAAGTTGTCATCACATGAATCGCGACTTTGAAAACCCACGCTAATACAAGATCCAATTGTTCTTAAAGTCCAGAATGGATCTAGATCTACACGGCAACACTGTGAACGCTGCCAGGAGAACGGAAAATGAATAGTCACTGACACTGCTAAATCTATTCAGGAACACCTTCTCCCGAGCTGCAAACAAATACTCCGTTTCAGTTCCCCTTGGATATCGCCACCGAAGGAAGGAAAACGCCATATGTGAACATAAAAACTGAGATACCGAGCGAGCAGCTTTCTACACACCCAATCATCCTCGTCTCCTCCGCTGTCCTCCTTGTGCCTTCGCAAAGTCCGGCGCAGCATTCTCCATGCCGATATTTGCCAGCTCTCTAACGACTATAGAAGCAGCGGCAGTAGCTGCTGCATCTTCCGCTGCCTGTCTATCGGCCTCTTCCTTCGCCTTCTGTTCCTTCTCAAGTCTCTCCTTATCCAGCCTCTCCCTTTCTCTTTGATCCCTTTCTCTTTGATCCCTTTCCCTCTGTTCCCTCTCCTGCCTTTCCTTCTTCAATCTATCCTCCTCCACCTTCTGGATCCACTCCTCATCCTTCTTCCTCTCCTCCTCTTCTTGCTTCCTGAGCTCCTCCTCTTCTTGCTCCCTGCCCTTCTTCCCGCCGCCATCTTCATCTTCGTGAAACCACACTCCTTTCTTATCCCCAAAGACGTTATTAATAACTTCGTAAGTTCCGCACACCCCGTCGACTTCACCCCATGGGAGCCACAGTCCAGAGTCGGCGGTCCACACACCGCCGCGACCGCCGCGTTGGTCCCAGAGAAGGTCGCCTCCGATGGCTGCGGTGTGGTAGCCCATGGGTGACTGCGGGGTGCGGAAGTAGCGGCGGAGGAGAGCGCGCTCGTAGCCGGCGTACCAGAGAGATGTCCAGGCTACGTCTACGTTATAGGGCTGCGTCTCAGCAAGGTTTGTAACACGGGATTGGTTCTGCTCGCTTCCGGGCGAGAGAGTGCGGTGATTTGTGCGGAATGTTGCAGGGACAGCGCCAGTGTACGTGTTCTGGATCAGTGATATGTTTGTCCATGATGTGTCACGGCGAGGGAGCTTGTCGAGCCCGTACTTGTATTCTAGCTTGTCAATGTAAGCTGACTTGTCGTTGGGAGAGGGGTCGTGGCTGGAATCGTCGGGTCTCCAGAAAGGACCGGTTGCGTTGACGAAAGCTGAGGGCAGGTCAGAGGAGATGTGTGACATCTGTGGATAATGTTTTTGCGTGGGTTCAGTATCATTGCTGCGCTTGGTGGTAAGAAGTTCGCCTTCAGCGCATTCAATCAACGGTTGGAATAGTGCATGCGTGTAGTCCAGGCCAATAGAAAACTCGTACTGGCGATCCCCCTGGAGTATGACATTGCTTGTCTTTCCCTGTTCCTTGGAACCCAACAGTGCTCCAGAAACGTGGTCATACATCTTCAACGCGGCGGGCCTGTTCTCTTTCTTATAGATGTGTCTCGCCAGCATCTGCTCTCCGAAAAGGGTCTTCATGACGGACTGCACAGTCCGGTATTGGCTTTTTCCTTGCTCAAGCACCAACAGCGCCGTTTGAAACAGTACCCGCAAATCATTGACTGGCCCCATCAATGTCTCCGCATCCAGGTATTTCGCCGGCACGAGCTCTTCGGTCTCCTTCATACCCTCGCCGGTACGATATACGTCACGCGGCAGGATAGACGATGGCATATGTCTACAAGCTACGTCATCTCCTTCACAAGTCTTCTTCGCCCCAAACACAATGGTCTGAGAGAAAACCTTGCCATACTCCTTCTGAACCCTCCGATTCGCATCTGCCACCACATTCATATACTGCCTGATCATAAGCTCGCTTGGCAGCTGAAACCAGGTCTCTCTCCCATCGACTAGCATGACCAAATCATTATCCTTGACCACCTTCCTGTCCTCAAGATATGCCAGCACGCCCTTCAGCTTTTCTTTCTCCCAATCCGACTTCTTTTCGGGATCCACGAGCGGACTAACGATGGTCGGGGGCGGGTAGTTCATGATCATAGCAGACATGGTGGTCTTGCAGAAATCGGCATCGTGTTCAAGAGACGATAGAAGGAGATGGAAGTTCGGCGACGACTTGCGAAGGTTGCCCGGGACGTGAGATATCGTGCCATTCTCGAGTTGGAGCGCAGTGCTTGAGAGCTTACGGAGAGATGTCGGTATTGATGAAGGGAGATGCGGGAGATGCGGTCGCCAGGTCGAAAACTGATCGAGGTTTGATGATATGGTTTGGTAAGAAGAGGAAAGCGTCTGGGCGTCCGGTTAGCACTTGGGTATACGTGAAGCTCGAAGAAGGTCCACTCACCTCTTTCTGCCTCGCACCCGCCATCAATAGCACTACTGTAAACAGCAACGCCGACAAAATCGCGACCCTCCCTCTTCTTCCACACGCCCATTGTATTGCCGCATTACCAGGTCGCAGCTGCTCGTGTGGCGAAGACAGCGGAGACCACGGAGCTTCCAAGTGCATGCGTGCCATGCTACCGTCTGCGCCGCCCTTTCGAGGAGGAAGAAGTTTCAAGAGTGCCGGTAGAAGTGAAGGAGCGCGACGAGACTGAGAAGGGAAAGAACGGGAAATCCACCCAAACACCACGACTAGGTCAACCTCAAGCCACCGTTCACCTTCACGAGACCTGTCTTTCCCTCGACGTACTCGGTTCGCACTTGGAGGTAGCGCCCCCAAGTCTTGGTGTGCGACCCTGCTGTTCGATTGCGGGTACCCAACCTAAGCTCTTCACTAGCAACCTTTGCTTCCAAAACGTATAGCGAGTCCAATGTGCAAACAACACAGCTCCCGCACAGCACGAGTGTGAAGGAGAAAAGATAAGAAGACCGGAGAACGCGTGAAGGTGCCCTCTCCAGCTCAAGCCCGCGCATTCCTCGACCTTGTTGCGTCAGCCCTTTGGATGGTCGGTCCACAAAAGGGTCCAGCACAGGGACGCCCGTTCTTGCGGTACGCGGACACGGCATCGGTGGCCCCTGCCGATGGAGCCTCGCAAGCTCGTGCGCCTCTGATCTGCTGCGAGGGTGTCTCGGGCGCATCTCACGTCTCTGCGCCATCTTCCCCATGTCTTGCTTTACGAAAAACATGGCGCTGTTGATGCCTTGACGCCTGCCTGGAGGACAAGATGGATTCTGGCATGCAACGCATCGTGACACACAGAGTATTGGTAAGCATGTGCGTATTCGCTCGCTCAGCCTCGCCGTCGACGGCGCCGTCGGTGTAGAGTAGCGACCCAAGGGCGCCCTAGGATCTGCAGCTCCACCCGCTCCACCTTGCTTTCGCGGCTTAATTTGACGACGCGTGGCAGCTGTTTGAAACGAAGATAGCATTGTTTCGTTTTCAAGCTCTGGAAGCTTTTCACTCGCAATGAAATGCGGCCGATGCTCCTGCACGTGCAGATTCTGACCAACTTTGCACATGTGGGGATGAGGCGCACACGTTTCACGAAACATTTGGCTGGGTGTGACAGGTGACATTTGCAACACTGTGATAAACACCGAATGTTGACACATGTCTCAGCGGTCGGGCTCTTTCGGTGCCGCTGTCTTCCAGATTCCTGCCCTACTGCCTCCACTACGGTAATAACGTACCTTCGACGCAAATGCTCCAACAACTCCGTTTTATTGCTGAACGCTCGTTCCAAGGGGTATCTTGCAAGTGCACGCTCCCAAGCAAAAATCTCAGATGCAAAAATATTCCAAAGAGAGCCTTCTCTGCTTTGTCCCCAGCCATGAAGGTACGAGAGGCACCGGTTTTGGTACAGCTATACCATCGCTTCCTGCATCACCCAACGCGTCTGCTTCTGGCATTACTCTCGACGCCCGTCTCTTAGCCCCAGAAGCTATACCAGGACTGGCAGCGCCACCCGTTCCATACGGCCTTCCAAAAGCATTCTTCCACGCATGCAATGGCGGGGAGCTGCCCTTCGTTGCAAGACGATCCTTCTCTTGAACAGTTCTACACGACTTTAGTACGTAAACTCGCCACACAATCTTGAATCAGCCACTTAGCCAGATGGTAAGTACTGTTTCATCGTCTTGTTGCGGACGTCTTGACACTTCATCATAGCCATCATGTGCATCTCCTGACCAACTTTCCATGTCTCCATCACAGTTTCGTCTTCCTTCATCCTAGCCAGATAACCTGGAAAGCCGATTCTGTTGGTGGTTTCGCCTCGTTGGTGTATGAAGCGATCCTCCAAATCGTTGAGCTCTTCCTCGCGCGCAGCGAAGTGACTCATCATGTTCTGGTTCCATTTCCTGTACTGTCGCACGTAGCTCTCCATGCGGCTGAAGTAGTCGTTCATGGAGGCCGGGTCGAGTTTCGGTGGGACAAATGGCGCCACAGGTACCTCAGGGTACTTCAACTTCTGGGCCGTGTTGGGCTTGGTAGGATGATTTTGGGAAGCGCCAGATTTGAAAGGCAAGGTATCCTTCAGCTCATCTAGGCCCATTCCACGGTTTGTAGCAGGAAGGAATGGCTCCACGTTACCCAAACCAGCCAGACCGTTGAGACCTGGATCAACAGCCTTGTCAGTGGGAGCAGTAGAAGAAGTGGCAGCGGTGCCGTTCGGCACCGTACCTGTTCCAGAAGTCTTCGCTTTGGATGAGCTCGCTGCAGACGCAAATGCCGGGACAGGCTTTGGCTTCCCTATCGAAGGGCTATCTTCGTCAACATCCATAGCATCACCAGCACCATCATCTTCGGTAAAAGCTTGATATTTCGGCTTCCGCTCAGACTGGCCTTCAGTATTGGACATACTGTCAGGAACAACCGATCCCTTGCGAGCGGGATTGGGTCGCTTGGTAGCAGCAGAACCACGCCGAGGCGAGGTTTCCTTGGGCTGCGATGGCGTTGGGTAGGCCCAGCTTGGCTCTTTAAAAGTCTCGGTCCAGACGTCTGGTGCGAACTTAGCAGTATGAGGTGCAGAGTTACTTCCGCTAGGAAATGCTGTCTGCGTGTTCAGCTGTGGCGGCGGTCCTGGCGGAGGAGGGGGCATCTGTGAAAACTGGGAGAAGGGGGATGCAGGTGGAGGCGGTTGTGATTGACCTGCAAAAGTTCGTTTCTCCGCTGCCGGTCGTTGAGTGGACCTGCCTCGAGAAGGCGACACACGCCCTCTGCTCGTGCCACCTTTTTGTGGGGCGAAGTAATCCGGCTTTCCTTCGAACTTACCGCTCCATTGTCCAGGTGAAAACTTCATGTTGATGCTTTCCTCGCTCTTGCTCTTAAACGGGTTTGGAGAAGTGCCATTGCCCTGCTGTGGATTCTGCTGTGGCGTTCCGAAAATCTTGGAGTTCGGTCGCTGCTGCGGCGACTCTTTGGGCGGAGGTGGACCACGGTGCTTCCTGCCTTTACTGAATGCCGAAGCTTCGTCTTCCTCGTCACTGCTTGAGACATACATGTGAGGAAACGGGTTTTCCTTTGGAGGGCCGCTATATGAAGTCCGCTGTCGATGTCCTGAATCCGAGTAAGACCCTGGATCGGCAGATGAGCCCGGCCGATGGGTAGGTGAGTTGCGAACACTGGCGGATCTGCCCACGCCCTCTCCAAACATCGACGTCCGCTCTCCTGACTTTGTCGAGAAGTACGGAGTTCGTACGCGATTACCCTCAGAGAAGGGCACGTCCTCTGCAATATCTTCGTCTAGGGGAGACGCCTTCGGTCGCTCATAGTTGGAGCGGTATGCCGAGCGCGCCTGGCCTTCATCTCCGGCGGAGCTAGGATCAAAACCTTTCTTGCTAGAAGAGGGCATCCGCGTACTCTGATTACGACCGAAGGGTGTACCGTTCGGATTGTTCGCATTCGTGGAATTTGGTCTCGGCTGCTCCGGCCGCGGTTGCTTCATCTTCTGCCATGCCGTAAATACATTCGCAGGTTCAGGCTTCTTTGCGGTAGGTGGAGTCCTGAAGTTCTTGAAGTTGTTACCCGCAAACCGATCTGCGCCATTCGTGTAGGTGTTATGGTGCTGCGGCGCAGGTCGTTGCGGACCAGGCTGAGGCTGAGGTCTGGGCGGAGGAGGACGATAGTACTGCCCACCATTTGGCGTACTCGTGTAGGTATTGCGGGGGTGGAGGAGGGCGGCTTCGGGGCGTGTTCGGAGGGTGGTATGGCGGTATGTTCAGGTTCCTAAACTTCTTTCGTTCTGCATCGTACTTTGCCCGTTGATGCGGGTCGCTCAAAACCTCGTGCGCAGCCTGGATCTGCTGGAATTTCGCAACCCACTCCTGCTCTTGGCCGGGATGCCGATCGGGATGGCACTCGAGGGCGAGCTTGCGAAACGATTTGCGGATATCGTTGTCGCTAGCGGTTGCAGGAATGCTCAGGTCCGCATAGTAGTTGCGTGTCGCATCTATCTTCGCCATGGTGAAGGGACGGCAGCCGAGGGGTTTGAGATGTGTGCGGTGGCTCTAAATGAGCGTTGTTTAGTTTGTGGCTGTAGCAGGCAGGCGTGGTGGCTCTCTTGGAACCTGGCTTGCTGTTCACTGTTTTGTTTAGGCGTTGCGAGGCGAAGTCACTCAGATGACGACCCGTGCGCGTGCTCGCACATCGTGTGTAGATAAACCTAGCCTCTAGATTCAAGCGGCGATTACGTATCACGAGTAGCGCATGTCGGATGGTTTCAGAGAGCGAAAGGTTGGCGTTGTAGGCCTCGGAAGGTGGTCAGTTGTTCGTTGGCCTGGTGTCGAGCTGCCGTGTTTTTGGCGGGGCCGAGCTCAGCGAACCGTCGGCGAGGAAGCCTTCAGGCGTATCCCAGCAGTCCAGTAGCGGACACTAAACGCACCGTCTTTGCAAGGCTATATCGAAAAAGTGCCTGATACCGCTCTGCATGCGTTATCGGGTGCGCTGCCTTTGGTGGAGGGACTTCTCGTTGCCAGCAAAACAAAGTGCACTGACGTCGTTCATTAACCATGTCCAGCACCCATGGAGCCATAACCGGTCAGCGCTATTGATCCGGATACGATCTGCACTGTTGAGGCTGACTGCACAGAGATACATTGCAGATGAGGGGCACTGTCACTGAGAAAGCACAATGATACTTCATTGTAGGGTATCGAAAATCGTGAACTCGTTTGAATTCATTTTGACATCCTGTCTGTCCCGGTCGGGTCAGATCAAAATAACTATAGAGCCTGAACAGCTTTTCCATGCACGCCAACCCAATCGCTCGAAAAGATTGACCATGTTTCCCACCAGGAACGCAAGAGCGCCCACGCGTTTACCGGTAGCGCCAGAGGGAGAGGGTGTTGTGCCTCTTCCAGGTCTTCCTCCTGCCGGCAGTGGTCTTGTGGTATCCGTGTCCTTTGCCCAAACCACGGCTCTTCTTGCCGGTCGCGGTGAGACCACGGCTCTCGCGGTGCTTGTGGACGGGGTTAACGATCCAGTTGATGCGGGCATCACGGCGGATGGCCTTGTGAGAGGGGTCGACAAGGATGACTTCGTAGTACTTGTAGGTCGAGTCCTGGTTGATCCAGTAGGAGTTCAGGACGCGCAAGTTGGCGCAGCGGCGGCCGACACGCTCCTCAGCGGTCGACTTGAGGGAGCGCTGGTACTTGAGCTGGTTCACACCCTGGTTGGTGGGCTTGCCTGTTGTAATATTAGAGAAGCGTCTTCAGCTTCAGTCAATGGTTGACATACCATAGGTGGCACCCCTGGAAAACTTTGTTAGCAATTGTCCGTGTAATTTGCATTTGCAGTCTCTGGTTGTACATACTTGGGAACGGGCCTCTTGCGACCTCCACGGCGGACGCGGATGCGGTAGATAACGTAGCCCTGCTTGGCCTTGTAACCGAGACGGCGGGCCTTGTCGGGGCGCGACGGGCGGCTGGCACGGTGGATGACCTTGAGTTGGCGAAGCTATTGATGCACTCTCAGCTATGTTCAACGAGCAACATCAATTGAGGCCCGAAGGTCTCAAAGAAATAGTAGTTCATACCTCCCAGCACTGTCAAATGTTAGCGAAATTCCTTCACAAACGGCAATTGTCCAAAACGTACGCGAACGCGCATCAAGAAGCGCATCATGTCCGACTGCTTCTTCTTTTGAAGCTCCTCGACATACTTGAGGGCACCCATCTTGGCTGATTGTGCTGTGTGTTAGTAGGTCGGCGGGGTGGAAGTGTCGATTGAAGTTCGTCGAGCGAAGCGAAGCGCAAAATCGTTGTGTGTGAGCTTAGTAAGCATGGCGCGACAGGGATCCGTCGGCGGGCGCCAGGAAGGAGCTAGCGATTCGTAATGTACAGCACGAAGGACCCAAAGCTCAACTGCAGAGTATGGAGTTGTTGTAATCTTGAATTTGCATATATCTGGTTGCGAGAGGGCACGGCTGCATGTTTGTTATAAGCCCATCGCGGCAGTTCCTCCCCTACATGAACGATCACCTTATGTCGTCTTTGTATCGCCACCCTCCTTTGCAGAGCTTCGTTCTCAAGGCTCGGTCTTGGGGAGACCTTTGACCATCCGCTTAACGCCCCTCTCTGCGTATCTCAATCCTTCCAGCAGCTCCAGGCTCAGCTCTTTGTGCACGCCTATTCCTTTCTCCCCTCCCTCTGTGTCATCAAACAATGTCCCCTCGCCTTCAGTATCATCACCTTTGGTCTCAGCACCCAGGACCCTCTTGACATGTCTCACTGCCGTCTTATGACCCAGCCTGAGGAGCCTCTCGGTTTCCTCAACGTCTTTCATCCACTTCTCCAACACTTCGTTCTTGTTGTCCCCCGCTAGTCTGTCAATAATCGCCTCTAGAGCGTCGTACTCAGATAGCATGCTCCGGCATGCTGCGTCTACCTTGCCCACCGAATGGTAGATAACGTTACCGGCAATCTTTGTGTTTGCAAAGGTCATGGACTCGTGCGAAGTGGACTTGTTGGGCTTTGTGAGCGCTTCGGTGATCAGGGCGGACATCTCGTTTTGACGGCAGGCATTGGCTTTCTCACTGCAATGATGAAGCCTTTAGCTTTGATCCCGATCAACTGCTGGGACTGTGTAGACCCACGCTCGCTGAAGTCGCTGTTGAAGCAACGCGTTCATGGTGCGCCTGTCGTCTGCGACCTTCTTCCGAAACTGCTGAATTTCCTTCTCGTCTCCCTTTGGCTTCGCCAAGAGCGAAACCATTGCTTGTACTTGCCTGTTGCTGTCAGCCTGTGTACCCTCCTAGGCGCTTGCGGTTCACATGCTGGCTTCCTGTGACCGCTTCCTCCTGGTCTGCCGCGCGCTTCGTTTTGCGTCCACGCTGCATACTGCTCGCCGAGTTGGATGCACTGCTGGCTATGCTCTTGTTGGAGCATCGAAGTTAGGAAGGGGTGCAATGCCGTTGTGAGCGGGCCGAGTCCATACGGCGGGTCCGGGTCGTTGCCAGACAGAGGAGGAAGGCACGTCATGTGTATCGACCCCCTCGAGAAGAAAAAAGCCGCCCAACAGTCTCAAATTGCACTGTGCCACTACGGGAAACCCCTTTTGACCTTAGTTGCGCGACCTCACACATGTGATCCCTGATCAGTCTTTTCGTCAACGAAATCCATTCTCCTTCCCCTCGATGCAAAGTCTGTCATACCTCACTTCATAGTCTCAAAGTCGGATCTATGCCACGCGCATCGTCCATCATGTGTAATGCCTCTTGGCCGCTATCCTAAAGGCTCTGATCATGGTTCGAGATACATCGTCCATTCTCCCCGTAATTCTTTTTGACCAACTGTGCACCATCACTGGCGTAGTAGGGCTGCAACCTAGATGCATTTTGAAAATCCAGGATCGCAAGATTGTTGCACCTTTGTTTCAGCCATTCATCCTTTAGGTTGAACCTGTGTATACAATACAGTGCCCGACACCCGACGTCCTCGTCTATACACACTTGCACACATTAGAAACTTCTGCCATTCACCCGGTCAAGTCGAATTCCAGACATTTGTAGGCGACAAGCTCAGAGACTTACCTTCTCATGGTTATCTGCACTGGGGCAGCATCCCAGAGGTCGCCAAAGCTTCTCAGTACCTTCTGGGCTGTACTCACCACCGGTTGACTCAGGCTACATAATGGATTGATCGAAATCATGGCGTCGCTGAAAAACAATGACATCCACTTTCCAATCAGAGTGCCACTCTTCTCGTCAATGCTGGCCACTGTTTGTAAAAGTCCAAATACAAACGCCATGCGTGTTATCTCAGGATGTATATTCTAGCACCCGAACTCACAGCAAACCACACACACACTATCACTCTCCTCTCAGTCTAGGATTTCTGTTAGCGCGGTAGCACACGAAAACCCCTCGGACCATCTACCCTACAGTCCCTGCGAGTCACGTTAGGCTCCACTATACACCATCCATTCTCAGGGCGTTGCAAGCATACATCAACATATAGAAACGCCAGGGTCTTTCAGATCATTCCACGACTCTTCCAAGTCGAACTATACGCATGTGAAGCCAAGCTGCACTTTCCGCACCCAGAACCCGAAAATACATGATGATTAGACGAAGATATGTCCTCCTTTCTACAAAGCACCACAGTTTAACGTATGCTTCTGATCACACAAGGGAGCCATGCGATCCTAGAATTGCAGCAACCGATGTTCACAGAATACCCTGAAACCTCAACCTCTTAGCCCCATCAAGTCGACCCAAGCTACTTTTTACAACACTCGACTCTTCCAAGATCTTAGCCCAGCATGACACTCAAAGCAAGCTTCTACGGGTGCGCTGTAACCCTCTCAAGTCATACCAGGATACACTATCACATGCCAGCCACGAGATAGCGAGTTCGTCAGTCCCGAAATTTCACAGGCCAGAAACTAGTAAGGTTTCCAAGAACACTCTTGCTGCAAAAGCCTCTGTGTTGATCTAGGCTGACCTTGAAGGGTCGACTTGCACAGAACTTAGACCAGACTTATGTACCAAAATCCCTCCCCGTACCCAGTAATCCCTCACTCAAATCAAATTTGGGTACCTCGTCACGTTTCAGCCCAGTGATTACAAGCCACACTATCACACAAAATTCATGACTGGCAGCACTTCATGAACTATCGCTCGTGCGCCAGAAATCGACAGTCTGCTGGAAACCTGCTGCATACCCACCCTGTGTTGACCCAGGATGAGCTTTACGAGTCCCGCATTACGTCGAAACGCAGCCCAGTTTGACACGTAAACCTTTTTCCTCACATCCATCAATGCCTTGCTCGAGTCATACCCGGACACCCCGTCAAGGAACAGCCTAGACCACCCCATCATAGATCACTCGTTAGGACACCAGCATATCACAGATCAGAAGCACATAAATGGCGACATAACGTCATTTTTTTTTACTATGAAAAGCAAAACCATTTTTGCTTCCCCATCCCAGCATGCATGAAGAAGAGAGTTTCCTGTCTTCCACACTACACACCATAGAGAAGGGAAAGATAACAAGAAAACACACGCAAATGCCAGCTAGGCCCAAAGCCTGAGTCATTCTTCCACATGCCAGATCAGCAGACAGAGATAAACCACCTTCAAACCGGTGCCTCAGCACTGATGATGCCAGAATCAGTCCACATCGCATTCATTAAACAATAAAGAAAGAAAAAGTAAAGAAAAACAAAGAAAGAAGGGGAAACACACAGCTATGAAGAGACTTCAAGTGCCCAGACTACTGGGTGTTGGAATCGCTGTTCACACCAGCATTGGCACCACTTTTACCAGCACCGTTGTTACTGTTGCCAGCAGCATTGTTTGCTCCGGAAAAGTTAAGGCTTGCCATTGCAGCCATCACATCAGGATCGAAGCCAACGAAAGGAGCAGCTCCAGTCGCTGCAGAAGAGGAATAGCCGGCCTGCGCGTTGAAGGTGGTGCTATAGGCGCTAGCAGCCACAGCGTTCGACGCAGCATAGGGGTTACTGCCAGAAGTAGCGGAGTAACCGCCACGGAAAGATGTATTGCTCGACGCGTTGTTGAATGCCGGAGAGGTAGAGTAGGTAGAGGGTGGGTACCAAGCGCCTATGTTCATAGGGCTGCGGTTTGCGGCGGCATTGGGGTCGTAGCGGTTGAACATATCCGCACTCAGATACTGCTGGCCCCATTGCTGCATCTGGTACGGGTTCTGTACCGGGAAACCAGACAGCTGGTGCGAGAAAGGGCCGTAGTTCTGGCTGTCGAAGGTACCTTGCGGGTTGGTGGGGCGGCCACGGTTTCCTGAGAGATAGTGTTAGATGGCAAATGTCTTCAGGTCAGAGAATGCACCTACCGTACTGCTCGTTGGGACGGTACGAGTTATTTCCGAAGAGAGGACCGACGGATAGAGAGGCGTTGGGCGCATTGTTCGGAACGATAGCCCCGGGACCAATGGCAGACGGAGGCTTGATCTGCATACCCGCTGGGTTCACCACAGAGGCTGGATTGACCGCCGACATCCAGATGCGGATCTTGTAATGTTTGAAGAGATCCGTGACCAAGATTTTGAAGTCAACATATGACTCGGCGTAATAGAAGAACGAGATTTTGTGATGATCCCATTGAAACTCCGCGTCGAGTATCTCCATGGGAAGGTTGTGGTCCAAAGCTTTGTCGGTAGCCATACGCTTGGCGCGAGCCTCTTCGCCCTCCTTGTCGCGAAGCTGTAGGATCTCATGGGTCTGTGCCAGCCGACGGATCATACGCGGCTTGTTCTCGGGGTCTTGCTGAACGCCCATCCCAGTGAGTTGGGGACGGTTGCCACTCTTCGGGACCTCATGCGCGCGGAACAAAGCCCCAAGCATTGCGTTCTTGGTGGACGCGCCTGCAACGGAGTATTGCGAGAACATGACCAACCACCGGAAATGATCCTCATTCGCCTCGTTCTTTAAGCGCTTGGCCTCATCCATTGTCACGTCTGCGTGAGTGACTTGTCCGAGGTCGTGACCACGGTCACCTTCGACGATGACAAGGTCGCCGACGCGAACCTCCAGGCCCGTATTCTCATAGAGAAAGTAGATGTCCGAGCGCGAACACTTGAACTGAACGAGGTAAATGCGTCGACCCGGCCGACCGTAGCCCGTGGGATTAGCGTACGCGTTAGGTGGAGGAGGTGGGTGGGTTATGGCCGGCGCCGGATGGGCGGCTGAGATGGCCGAGGAGTTGATCGTACGAGCGGCAGGTCCGTAGCCACTGAAGTAGTCGAGCGTGTTCCACTTCGGGTCATTCTGGGCGGGAGGAAGAACCGGGAGAACGGTGTCGAGAGGGGATGCTTCTTCTTCTTCCTCCTCTTGTGTGTGGCTAAGAGTAGGCTGGGAGAAGTTCGACGAGAGGTTGGAGCCGTAGTGCGCGATGGAGTGGCGACGGCTCAAAGCATCTGTGTTGAAGCGCGGGACAGGGCTAGCCCAGCCATGGGGTTCGCTGCTCTGTGCCAGCTCGTCTGCCTGCGCCAGCGTGCCAACATGCTCGCTGTAGCGACGCATGAGCGGTATCATGCGGTTGTCGAAACTCGCCTCAGCAACGTCGTCGACATCGTTCTGCGTCATGCTTCGCATGCTGTGAGAGAGCCTGCGGGTTGGTGGGGCAATGATGGTGACCTGCTTGGTAACCATGGGTTTCGTCTGTCCGCGCGCTTCTTGCTGCCAATAGTCCGAGGGCAGAGGAATACCGTGCTGGGAGCCGTTGGATGAGTCAACCTCGTCGTTGTCGTCCTCGCGTAACTGGCCTAGGCCGACGGCTGATTCTGTGCCTGCAAGCAGGCTTGGTTTCGAAGGACGGTGGCGGAGAGCTGACCGCAAATGTGAGGCAGGATTGCCAATGTCACCCTGGCCGACACTATAGGATTGGGATCGGACAGATTTGCGGACGGTGTGCTGATTGAGGAGGAACCCCACAGTATCGTCAGTCTCTGAAGATGGCGCAGCACCGAACAACTTGTCACCGGGGCCTTGTGCAGACGTAGGCGAGGGCAGGACCTCTTTCATGCGATTGGATGAGGAAGCAACGGTAAAGCTGTTTGTATTCCAAACAGTCGGAGCTCTGGAGGGGCCATCCAATGAGAGGACCGGCGTCGTCGGCTGCGATCCCAATGAGACCGACGGCAGAGAGTTCTTGCGATTTGGTAGGTCCTGTGCCATCCATGAAGGACGGCGTGCAGTTGCAAACGGAGCGCCTGTGGGACGGGTCGGGGGAGGCGCGACGATCTCGTGATCATCGTCACTCGAAGCCAGCACGTCACTGTCTGGAGTTGGCCGACGCATCTGCAGTTTCGACTTGTCAAACGGAGAACCGCCGACGGTTAGATTGGTCTTATAAGGATTGGACGCCATCTTGTTGATCAGTCTGACCAGATTAGAGTGTGACAAAGACCTGAAGTGAAGGCGAAAAACGCATACCTTGTTGTTCTTGCGATCAGTAGGAATGGTCTCTATTTACGCCCACACCCTATTCACTGTGAGAGGTATAGGCCACACGCTATGTCCGTTTCGGCGAATGATAAGTAGATGTTAGTAAAAGGTAAAGGCTACCTAGTTCTATGTCGCTAAGTAATGTTCACCTATGAAGACGAAAAGTTAGCCTACGAATATAGACACTGAAGCTATAGCAGCCGAAACGCGCTAGGAACTCACGACGTGCTAAGGTAAAGGTGTAGTGAGAGACGTCATATGCACAATGCACACGCCCGTACAATATTGGCCGTTGATTGGCGCGGGTTGAGAAACCACAGCGTCGCAGCGTGTATGTAGCACGGCGAGGTTCTCATTTGTGAGGTAGACTTACAGAGTCTTGCGGTTTGAGCAGTATACTCTTGCCGTCTCAAGTCAGTGTTGAACAGAGCTGCCGTTATACAGATTTGCCGGTAGATGTCAATGAGTGTCTGGAACAGGAGCTGGTCTGAGTCAAGCCGGCTCCCGCTTGTTGTTGCAGTGATCTCGCGAGATCTGTATGTGACTCTGGGGGCTGAAGTCAGTGTGAGTTATCAAAGAGAAGCGGGGTAGGTGGAAGAGGGAAGGAGCGGTTGGTGCCACCGACACGCTCGGACGAGAGGAGTCGTCGTGTACTCGGAGCCTGTAAAGGACAGCGAGAGGAGTAGAAGGAGAGGTGAGCGACTGCAGGCTAATGGGAGCCGCTGTCTGGAGTAGAGGGGCTGATGCACTTACCTGAGCTAGTCTGGGCTTTGAGCTGCGCCCAAGGCTGGCGACGAGAAGGCGGTCTCTATGGCAGACGAGAGCTTGCGCGTAGATGAGCTCGCCAATGATAACGAGCTTGCTCTGCTGCAATAGGCGGTCTGATGTTGGAGGGAGGGTGTCACCTGGAGCTCAGCGGCCGTGAGCTGTAAAGCAGTGCAAGCCGTACTGGATGGTACCGGCGTGCCGCAAGAGCTGCAAGAGTACTTTTAGAGGCCGCGCTGCCAGTTGGAAGAGTGGGAGATTGTATCGAAGAAGGGGAAGTGCAAAAGCTTAGATAGATGAGGTAAGTTGTGGGTGGAGAGGAGAAGGTGGAGGGAGAGAGGAAGCTCTCCAAGGCGGGGTTTTATACACGTAGGCAGCGGTAGCGCGCAGACCCTCAGTGCGTTTGCTTCTCACTTGGGTGCTCCGGCCGTGCTTGCTCGTGATGGTCTGGGGGCAGATGCAGCGGTCTGCAGTAGGCTTTAGGAATTACTGTTGTTCATCGCATCTTAGCCAGGTATCACCGGAAGATTTATTCGAGTCAGAAACAGAATAGCTCTTGCTCGAGTGTTTGCGGATAGGAGATTGGCGAGTACGTGTTGCCTTGTGGATGGTTTGCATCGTGAGCTTTCAGGGCTTGGTCAACAGACCTGCCCCTTCTCACCCAACGCCGCCACACACCGCAACTCGCTCACGCCGAATCAGGAGGCTGCGACGCATCCTCGTGTTGCACAAGTGTGTCAATGTCAATTCCACATTGCAAACACTTCGCAGCAGGTTCGCCAACTCGCAGCCGGCCGCGACGACATTGCGTAGACTCGACCCGACTCTCGGCCTCGACCTTGTTCGCCCGAGTAGCGGCAGCAGCCCATCATCCACGAGCCTCCATTGCGAAGGGGGAGGAGCAAAAGGGGCACAAATAAGAAGAGACCTGAAAAGCGGAAGGGCCATTGAGACGAAGTAGAAGTGGGAGCATACCTTGTGTACAGGAACAGAAAATACCGTCGCGGTAGCAAAGTCGTAACAATCGAACCTTTCTATTGGATCACCGGGTGTTTATTCTGCTCTTCTGTCAACATCCATCCCTTACAAACACGACCTGCATCTCCACGGAGGGGGTCCCACGGGCGAGGCTTCTGGTGCGAAGGCTATGACCTGCTAGGCGGGGAGAACGGGAAACTGGACATACCCGACAGTCTATCTCGGTGACAAACGTACTTCTTGAAGACAATTTTTGTATCCAGAAAATAACTGACGCTACCAGTAAGCCTTGATTGCCATCCATTTGGAAAGAGCCGCTTGCTCGCGGGGATGACGGTACCTCAGAACGTAAACCAGAAACACCGAGCTCTTGATCCAGTCTATCCCTACTCTTAGAAATCGCGCAGAAGAATCGTGCAAAAAACAGACGGCCTATACTATGGCATCAGTCGTCGCATGGATGTATACAGGCCGGTCGTCTAGGTGGGAGCCTCAGAGAAGAAGAAATGTGGGGATGCGCCACGGTTCTACCAGCTGAGCTCGGCCTCGTAGTGTGCAAGCCAGTCGTCGGGCTAGAGTACGGGCGCCTACTGTAGCAAGCGCATCGTCGCCCTGAGCTCCGAGCGACTGATGGAGAGGCGGTAATGCTGGCGGCAGTGGTGGGACACAGGCACCGGAGGGGGTTCGAATTCCTGCCAGGGACGGTGGTTCGACACGGTTCAAACGCAGAAATCACCCGAATCCGTTGTCGAAGACACACAGCGGAGTCCTCTTGGTCAAGTGGGACGGGCGTCGAAGGCAACCAGCTTGTGATGGAGGAGGGGCAGACAGAAGGCTCCCAGCTGGACAAGTCAGAGGCCTCGAGACAGCGCGCGCATCACAGAGGTGGGAAGACCAGAACGCGCACTCCCAACGCCTTTGAGGCTTCCTGCAGGCAGGCGGCCGGGCCAAGGATCAGGGGCTTTGGGTGGCAGATGCGCAAAATGCGGAGACGACCAAACCAACTGCAGGCTAGCCCTTGTATAATTAGGGACGAACTGCTGCAAATTGTCTGCTGCCGTTCGGGGGTAGCGAGGCGAGCCAGGAAGGATGACAGCAAATCATCGGCCCCCTTCATGTGCGTTGTGACATGCTCCGTCCTCTTCGCCGTCTCCACCTCATCAAAATGCCGCCGCCGTGAGACTCGTGCCCTAGCGGCGGGCTGGGATGTGGGATGCACTGTGCTTTCACGCCCTAGGGTTTCGAGGCAGACCCCTCTTTTTTTCGTCTGGACTCGGTTGGGTCCGACGGCGACCGTGCCCCCAATCCATCCCTCCTTGAACGTCCAAGGCTTTCATGCACGCCATCCTACTTCGCTTCAAGCGCCATCGCAGCACCCCGCCCGGCCACTGTCATCAAGACGGGGTACGCCATCAGGAGACCCAGCTCACAGCGGACAATGGACATCACGCGCCCATCGACATGCTCGCACGAACCCCCTGGACCCTGGTAGCGTCCTCCAGGGCTGGTGACGAGGCACCGAAGCTACGTTCTTTGCGACTCTGGAACTCTCCATATGGGTTTCGTCGCGTCCGCTTGCAGAGGACTGTTGTTGACAGCTGTACCTGAAGCTAGGCCCGAACGCTGCTGCACGCGACGACCGAGGCAGCTGTTCGCACGTCTTCTCCCGAAGAACCCAGCCCGGCGTTCGCTGTCATGCACGAGAGGACTCCTTCCCATGTTGATCATTCGAGCTAGGAATGGTGCTGCTTGACCCCGCATTTTCATGCAAAGCTTGAGCTCCTCGTCCAAGCTTCTCGGGGAACACCAGCCATGCCACTAGGAGGTGCCAGCAGGCGAACCCTGTATGCACTATAGTTTCCGTTGTCTCCTTGCAGCGGATGCGGCAGGTCCGCATACGGGTCCGGCCAAGCTGTGGTCCAGACGTAGAAAGAGCAGGATGACTGTGGAAAGAATGTTTGGATCATTCTGGCTTCTCCGGGCTACCTCATTGAGCAGGCATTCTTGCGGATTCTTTGTCTTCCTTAGCCCAATGAGTACCATTCGGGGCTGTTCTTCGCTCTCTTTGAAGGGCTTCTTGCATCGAGATACGGGTCCTTGGCTTTTGTTTACGGAGGCCGATGTTCTGTGCCGCTTTGTTAGCCTTGGCTGCACATCGGCCCTCTTGTTGCGCTCTGCCATGGAAGTTCCTTCGGTACTTTCTGGGTATCTTTTTCGGTGCGTGCTGTGCTCCATCGCTGCTCTATTGCCGACCGCTTCGGTGACGGAGCTTTACTGAGCCTTGGTTGGGCCGATCAGCTTCTTCGTAGGAGGGACGCCGATCCGGTAGCGTGCTTGGGACCGAGAATGTTTCGAGCAAGAAGGCAGCAAAAGAGCTTGGATGCATTGACAACGGGTGCACGGTCAAGGCTCACGGTTCAATCGTTCGTGCCTAAAGTCGAGGGTCCTGTCATGTTATGCGCTGTGTGCTCAGGTGTTGTGCTGCCTTACCGGGGCAGAGGGTAGGGCTCGGGGCATTGGCATGGCAGTATATTTTCGCGTAGGCGCGATGGAGTTATCGTGCAGGTGCGGCGGAAGTTGAGGCAGCCGGGTGGGTGGGTGGTGATTGCAGTCGAGGCAGCAGGTACGCGCGGTGGCCAACGGAGACGGTGGGAGCTCAAAGCCTGTCACCCCAAACACCGCTGCGGGGGACATTTTCACTCACCTCAAAGAGGGGATCTTCGACTGCAAGGCATTCAGGGGTAATGAATATGTCTAGTCTCCCAGGGCATCACTTCAAGGTCAGAGGTAGGACATTTGGAACAGCATTATCACTTCCCCAGGGGTAGCTGCTCGCCATTTTCCTTCACCCCCGGGAACAAGGCTACGGGCTGCGATTTTCCATCACCTATGTTTAAAGGGTGAACATCAAACGCAGGCCTTCCCCTCCTGGCAGCCTTGTTCATCACTAAGGTGCTGGCCGTTTCCTGCTGGTCTTATCGGCCCTTTCCAGGTGTCCAAAATCAACTCATGGCGAGCAGGGTGTCGGGCTCTACCTCCACCGCGTGCTCAGCATCCCTAGTCATCACCTCCGAGGCTGACTGGGTCTGCGAGCTTTGTGTCTACAATAGACCCAACGATAGCACTTAGCAGGTCGGCCCTTCAACGCCCCTCGTCTTCTTTGTTTGCAGCAGAACGTTGCCGCCCCAATCCCCCTCTCCCCAACCTTCGACACACCGGCTTATCGTTTCCATCGCCGCAGCTTCGATGTCCACCAATTTGCGCCCGTCCATAGCGCCAGCATCGCTGCTGATTCTGTGCGCTCTGCTCACCCCTCCGTCTCCGCTTTACAATACGCCCGCAGCGGCGTCGACACCACGTTCGACACCACAGGCCTTTGCGCCTACCTCGTTATCCTCTCGGCGAGACGCTCCTACTTCACGCTCCATGACCGCCCAATTCGAAATGACCACCACACAAGCCTCTCTATACCCCTGGGGCGCCGTCAGAGAGATTTCGAGATTACCAATGTGCTTCCTAGGCGGGCGTCCACGCCCAGTTTCCTCCACCGAGACATTTAGTCGCCGCTCTGACCGAGACCTACCACCACAGAACACCTCCGATATTCCTCCCCACGAGCGAGCGCTGTCGGGATTGGTGATCATCAAACAACTGCCATGCATAGATGTTCCCCAAGAACACGCCCTCCTTATGCCTATAGCGACCTCTCGAGCGAAGCGCAAAAAGCGGTGGCTGCAAAGATGCTCAACAGCGCGAACATATGGAGCACCTTGCTCAAGAGTGTGCATGGTCTGAGCTTCCAATCCTTGCTGGATGATGGCGGACACGAACCTCGGAGCGTCCGGTAATCCCGAACACAATGAGTAGCTCAGAGACAGGTCGTCTTTGCGCAGACTGTATCTGCGAGCAGTGCAATTCGAACAGACATCATACACAAAGCGCAACATCTGTCCAGGCTCCTACGCGCCGTGCGCGCGTTGCCGTGCTTGAGTCACGAGAAGCATACCGCGTGGGCAGCCACGGTAAGGCAACACCTACTGACGCATCAATTGTAGGATTGTATGATTAAATTCGAATTTAGCGACACGGTAAGACAAGGCGCGTGGGTGTGATGATAATGCACAAGCAGCTGCTGAAATCTCGAAACAATACGTGCTGAACAATTTACATGGGCCGTCATGGATTTCGCAGTCAATTTTTCTGAAATAGCCACTTCGATCATACACCTGCCTCAGAAGAAATTTTTTTGCACAAACTTTTATTTGTGGAAGACCTGGTAAGACAGTGTATGAGCTAGCACTTGATACTGGCGACCAACTGGATGGGCAAACGGGATGTCCGCCACCTGGTACTGAAGAACATACCGACGAGACGTCTTCAGAGGACGGCCAGGGCAACATGCCAGCATCTGAGAAGCTAGGAAATCGGCAGGCAGCACGGCATATTGTCCGCTTGATCAGCTCAAGCGTCTTCACGGGCGCTTACATTGAGCAGGAACGAGTTCTCGAGTAGCGAAAGAGTTCGCTGCAAAGTCAATCCCTAGGCCCGCGTTACGCACCGAGTATACCTTCTGGCCAAAATTCACCGACTTCACGACACCTTCTCGAAGCCTTCGCAATGGCCCGAGAGGGTGAGTAACGTACCCATGGTACGACGTCGAAGAGAAACGCGCCGAAGATCCTCTTACTGCGGTAGGATGGGCCTGCGGCATCCCAGCTTCAAAAGTCGCTTAGACTGAGACTCTTGTCTTTGCAATACAGATACGGTTGGGACATTCCATAGTTGATCGGATATCGGGGGCTCACACAACTTGCTATGCTATCACCCCTCTGTGCTTAGAACGATATATTGAAGTGTATCGTCTACGTGCAAATCATATGCTAGCGCGACGTACATCGTTAATCCACAGCAATTCAAGTGCAACCCAGCCGACCTGTGACAACTACAAGATTCATTCATTTCCTACGACCCGTCGCTCTGTATCAATGGAGGGCGAACCACCATCACGTTCATGTCCGCAGACGAAGAACATGTGCAGCATGGAGAAAGCTTCATCATCCGTCTAGCCGTTCAAATTGATAGCTGCAAAGAGCGCACTCAGTCTCAGTACTGCACGATAAAAGACGATTCATGCATATGGGCACAGAGTCTCAAACAACACAGTGATCATGTAAACACACCATCGAACCCTGCTCACATCCATGACGATCCGCAGATCCGGGGGACGGCGCTCGCACAACAAGCTCATCAGCCACACACAGCAGTTGCCGTCAGGCTAGCCAGCCAGTCAGAGCCGCAGTGTCTAGACTCGTGAAGGGCAGAGGCGCGTTACGTAGTTGGCCCTCCACCCCTCCTCGGAAGAAGTGTGGATGGTTGATCCTTGCCGGGCTGTTGCATCACCGTCTTGTTGCCGAATCAACCGCCCGTCACTGCCACAGCTGCTGTAGTAACGCCATTTCAGCCAATCACCGCGCGCGCGAACATGGTCAGCCTGCGCATCCCATCTCTCTCGACGCATAAAACAACCAACGCATCTCTGCACCGAGTCTCCAACTGCACTCGCACCTGGGAAGTGTCCTATCTCGAACTCAAAGCAGTGGGTCTAGCGCCAGGTAAGTCCCGATCCAGCGCAACCGGTGGAGGCAGGCGGTTCGCTGGACCCTTTGGGCGGCGGTTGTGACGTAGGCGCAACCCTCGCGAGGCGATGACGATGAACCGCAACGAGCCGCGACGTCTGACATTGACGCACTCCATCCGCTGACTCTTATATTCTGCAGGCACACTCCGCTACGCCCAAGTACCGACACACAGCTCATCCACCTCTCCAGCATCCGCACCCGCCTTGTTCGCGTTCTGACAAGCCTGCCAGCCAGTTTCTTTGTTCGCGACCCATCGATACTCGAAGAGCATATATCCCAGCGACAAATTCTTCGCAATCCTAAACTGCAAAAATGGTGTCCAAGGCTTTGAACATTGGACTGCGGTCCTGGCAGGTTCGCATTCGCCTGTTCCCGTGTGATGCGCATTGATTTACCGTCAACAGTTCATCTGCTCCATCGTCATCATGGGCCTCGTCGGCAACATGATCGCCACAGCCTTCAAGGGCAACTCGGCGATGGTCAACTACGACATGTTCACGGCAACCTTTGGGCTGCTCTCCCTGCTATACCTCCTGCCAACGTCGTTCCTGGATGGTTATAGCATGCCCGTCGCCAACATGGCGCTTGACACGCTCAATGTCCTCTTCTGGTTCTGCGCTGCCGTCGCGACAGCCGCGTATCTGCATGTGCACAGCTGCAGCAACCGCGTAAGATTCATCCTATTATTGCTGCCTCTCCCCTCCGTTATCATGATGACAGAGAATGATCTTCCAACACCGGACCCACATTGTACGACACCGCGCTGACCAACTCAGGCCTACACCCTCTCCAACCACATTACCAACGGCAGCCCCAACACCGAGAAGCGCTGCCGCGAAGCCCAAGCTTCGACCGCCTTCTTCTGGTTCGGCTGGGCCGCCTGGGTTGCCTCCATGGTCTTCAGCGTCATCGGTGGCCGCTCCTCCGGAGCCAACCTACGCGGTGGCATTCGCCGCGGGCCCGCCATGAGCCAGGTCTAGGAGCCTTGGTGGTGCGGCAGCATTCAGAGCTCGGTGAATAGCTGGAACACGAGGACGGAAAGTAAGATAGGGTATCACTCCGATGCGCCGAGGGCGTAATGACTTGTCTTGATGACGAGCATGGTATATGATATCAGTGTCACATAGCTATGTATTGATCAACATGGACTGGAATGGATCGGATTGGGAGGCTCCTCGGATGGGCCATCTTCGGCTGCAACGTCAGTTCGATGGCTCGGTTTTGATATACCAGGTACATTGGGCCTTTTCGGTGTTTTATTGCTTTGAGCAACAATACTAATAATGAAATTACGTCAAACATGTAATACTTGGGCTCATTTATACACCGATTGATAAAATCCTGATTGTCGACAAGTGATCGTACAAGGGTGTGTATTTTAGCTATCTACCTTAAGCACGCAATGGGGTATATTCCGAATTAGCAAAAAGCTAGTAAGACGTATCTGCTCTGGGAAAAGAGCAAGGGAGCTTACCCTATGCTACTACCACCAGTATTCTTCCACGCCAAATCTGTGGTCTGTGTATTTGCTCCCCAAGGGTATTGCTCATCTTCCCTCTGCACGTTTCACTAGTTCCTCGTCCAAGCCCACCGGATCCCAACTACTTTTATCCTTCTTGTTCTGCGCAAAGATGTTGTCGCCCTTGAAGTGCACCACGACACCACCTGCCCCCGTAGCACTCGCTGCAATGCGGAAAAGCGCCATGCCAGTCGTCTCGTCTTTCTTCCGTAGCGGCATAAGCAGCAGATCCTGCTCCGCGCACCAGGAATCGACGTAGTCCTTGAACGAGACGTCTTCAGCCTCTTGTGGCGCTGGCTCAGGCTTCCTAATTCGGGAAGGTTGTGGTGTCTCAGGCACAGGAGCAACGCGTTCAGGTTCTACGTTGGGGAGTGGGAGGTCCTCCATGGTGGCGTCGTTGTCACCGTTGAGCTCCAGGAGGTCTAGGGCCGCGTTGATCAGATTGTACGCTTGTATCCAGTCGTTCTCTAGGTCGGCGATATACTCGCCCAGCGTCTCGTCTTTCCACCATTGCACCCAGGTGCCGATCTCGGCGTACTGCGCTTCCGCATAGCTGGACCATGAGTGTAGCACATTGTAGAAGTTGGGGAAAAAAGCCGAGTGCAGAAGTTCCGATATGACATGGGAAGAAAGCAGAGGTTTCCAGGTGACTACGGCAGACACAACGTCGAGCTTCTGGTCTGCGGGGTCAATCTCGAGACCTCGGAGGTGTTCTGCTAGTCGTGGGAGGAGGTGCTTAACAAGCATCTGATTCACAGGGCCAGGAAAGGCTTTCTTCCAGAGTTGTATGCCTGGTATGACGCCCTTGTGTATCGGCCAGATCTCCAACACGGTGCGGAGTTTGCCCTTGCACGCTGTGAAGATGTCCGGGTAATATGGTAGGAAGTCAAAAATCCACTGAGGGAGTGGCGTTTCTCTATGTTTGATAGCTTTGCGAACATTCCAAGAGTCTATCGCAGCAGAGCACCGGAGCTTGATCTGCTTGGTTATCCTGGCCTTGATAAAGGAGGGCAGGACAGGGAACCAAATGTCGATAGTCCGAAGAAATGAGGATGCAGATGGTGAATCAGGCTGGAACCCGTGCACCATGGCAGTCTGAAGATGTGAGAACCATGACAACATCAACGTTTCGTAAGGGGTTGTAGATCGGCGACTGATTGGCTCGGTCCGAGGGTAAGTGGGTGCCAGGACGATACGACCAACCTCGTGCGAGGGGATGGTGGACTTCCCTGAAGATGAATCGATCATGCTAAGGTTTTCCAAGCTCAATGCAAGATCCTCAAGAGTGTCCGTGGCTGGATCCCAGCCTACAATGCGTCTTTCGAACGTGGGTCTTATCGCCGCAATAGCTTCCTTCTCAAAGTTGCGCGAGGGATAAGCCTTGCGCAGGTTCTTCAACCCTTCGATCAAATCCGGCCATTCCTTCGCAGGGAGCTCTCCCATCCGTGAGCGGATATCGGCTAGCTCTGAGACATCGCGTTCGAGGGCTTTCAGCTCGACCTCCAGGCGCTCACTCTCCAGGTCGATGTTCTGAGCATCCGACTCCACAGCTTCAGCTGCATCCGCAAATGCAGCCAGTTCCCGTTGTACTTTTCCAGTGAGGCTAGTTTGGAATATGGGTTGCTCGCCGCGGAGGCTGAGAGACGATGTCTTGACTTGCGTTCCGGTCGCATCGACGATGCTTTGAAGTTGGCGCGGCACTTCGAAGCCGGCAGCCTTCAGATCGTAGATCGTCTTCTTCGGTCGCGGCGTCGAGCTCGGTGTCGACGTGCCCGTGCCCGTGCCCATGCTACCAGCGACCTTCCTCCTCTTGCGCCGCTGGCGCTCTTCCTCGCTCGAGTCAATGTAGACTTCTCCCTTTTCCTCCGCGTCCCTTTTCGCCCTCCGCTTAGCTTCCTTCTTCTGTTGTTCGCTCAATTCGCTGACGGCGCCGACGCCTCCTTTGGTGTTGCGCAGCTTGACCTCAATGGGGGCTGCTATGCCGTCTCCTGACGCCCCCAAACCTTCGCCCTTCTTCCAGCCCATTTTGCCCATGAGCTTGGCTCCAAGGCCAGAGAAGTGGCCTTCAGCGCCATTGTTCTCAGGCTTCTTCTTCGTTTGGCGGAAGCTCTGTCTGAAAGATCGTTTCTTCGGTTGTTGCTCCTCCTCCTCCATCTTGGTCGTAATATTGAGGGCTGCGGAGAGGCGCGTACCGTTTTCAGGATCGACCTCGGCCAGTAGACTGGGTATTTTGGTTGCTAGTCAACACGGGGAAAGCGTGGTGATTGTAGACGGTGTTCGGCGAATACGCGCGTCTCTTGGAGGTTCGCCTCAGGTCTGCTTCCTTATCACGGTTGACGGTGCATCGGCGCAAGGTTTCGATAGAGGAGTAGGCGCGATTAGATGTGCGCAACCAGCCAGGCAGTCAAGCGTAGTGAAAGTCACGTTTCGAAGGCATCAATCGCGAAATGGTGGAGAGATTGCGCTAGTGAAAACGATGCCAAGGCTCGGAAGGAAGACCGGGGACCCTAGCAACTTGATAGCCATCCTATTCTTGGATCATATCAATGTTACTATTGAGCATCAACATTCCCCTTTCACGCGACACTGTACACATTGGGCGGGTTTCCGCCTATTGGAAAAGCCATGGCCACCTCCCCGTCCGCGCTGGCGCATCCATCTCGCGCCGCTGATAGCAGCACCTCGCCAGATCTCCAGCATCCGACGCCCGACCTGCAGTCACTCCAGGGGGCCTACATTGGAAACATCGAACGCCTAGAGGAGCACGCGGAACGTATGAGTGAAAAGGGCTCTGACCTTGGGGAAGAGATACGGAAATTGCAGCTCGAGCAGAAATTGTCCGATAGCCGCCGATCATCCCTCCTATCCGCCTCTGTGGCTGAGGAGCCCATACGACACGTTGATACGAGGAGCCGCGGTGCCTCCACCAGCTCTTTCACCAACTCGATCGTGGACCTGAACGGTGCAGCGCGTTGGGGTGGATATTCACCCGGAGGTTACCTAGCTTCTCCTACGGGATCGCTGCATTCCAGCACCTCGCAACCCACAGCACTGCAGCGCCAGCGATCCAACTCGAAAGCCTCCCGACTAGACCAGATCATGCGAGTGGACGAGGAAGAGGAGACGATGGAAAAAATCGAAGAACATCCAGGCTCGCCGCCTCTGCAGCGACACGACAGCGAATCGCAGTACAGTGCATCGCACCGCGAACAATCACCGCCGCTCACACGACCCCGTTCCGTCTCGTCCTTCACACGACAGTACAACGAAATGGCACAGGAACTCAAGCAAGAGCTCCGTAATAGCGTCATCCTCGCTGATACCTACGAACAGCAACAGACTGAGCCGGGAGCTTCATACTACGAACACCCAGACCTTCCCGATCGACCTCCTACGGCAGCTTCGACGGATACCACCCATAAACTGCGTACATTATGGCAGGACTTTGATGGTACACACTGTCCGGATACCGTACCTGAAGAGGAGCCTTTACCTTCTCAGGGCAATGGGAGTCGAGATTCATCTATGCTGAAGTCAGCACCGTCGCCTCCGCCTCAAGGGGCACCACCCCCTGATAATAACATGGTTTATTACCCGGCACCTGTTCCGCGAATGCTCAATCTACCTCAACGGTTATCTAAAGTTCCGAACGCGAATGTACAAGCCAGGCGACGCACCCAACTCTTAGAGTCGATGCAAAGTGAGAACCGAAAGTCTGCCCCGTGGCTTTCTGAGATGGGTGCATCACCCACATCACCCAAGACGAACAGGAAAAGTAAGAACTTAGCTAATATGCCACCTCAGCTCAGGGCGAGCGCCTACTTTGATGCACCTGCACCCGCACAAGAGTTCGAAGTGAAAGGCGAATCTGCCCAGGATACGCTGAACAATATACTTGAAGCGTCTGCGCACGCTCCAGTATCCGCTTTCACAGATCATCCATATGCAGGGCATGTGGGAGACGAGATCTACGGGCAGGAAAAGAGAAAGCACAAACGGACAGGCTCGAAAGCGAACGAGCTTGACAAGCTTGAGTCACGCAAGAGTCGAAGTTCTTTGAATCTGCTAGACACGCGGCGGAACTCGAGTGGCGATGCCCTGAACAAACTTAAGAAACACAATAGTTCAGCGGATCTCAATCTACTGACCGTGCGTGCTACAGAGAGTCGAATGAGTTTGGGCGACGAGCTTGAGAACCACGACCCTGATGCTAGAGGACCAGACCCGGAGGATGAACATGCGGTACACTCTGTCGATGGTGATCATGAACACGCCGTGGATGACGAAGATGGGGAAGAAGGAGAAGAAGAACCGGAAGAGCAGTTCTTTGTTGCACCGACGACCCTACTTGCTGAGCTTCAAATGCGCAAAGCTCAACAAAAGACACGTAATCTCACAGCGGCGACAGCTTTTCCGAACGGCATGCACGCTACTTTGCTAGAGCTTGACGCCGTTGCCGAGATTGAGAAAAAGAAGCGACTGAAAAAGAAGGTTAACCTGGCTTGGGAGGCGCAAGCTCCGGCGGACGAAGACGCAGATTCGGACGACGATGTTCCTCTCGGAATGTTGTATCCAGGACGTGAGGGCCTCGTCAATAAACGTCATGGTGCACCTGCAAAAGACGATTGGGACCGACCGCTAGGCTTGATGGCACAGCGTGAGATAGAAAACGCCGAGCCTCTCAACCAGCGGCGTACTCGGCTTTTTGGCAACAACAGAAACACAAAGCTCATGGATCCAGCGAAACGTAACACGACATTCACAGAGCTCAACGGACCCAGCCAACAGCATCTTGCCGTGCCAACTTCCACAACGCCTCAGCCAGAATCGGAAGAGGATGAAGGCGAGACTCTTGCACAGCGCATACGCCGCATGAAGGATCAACAAGCTCTCGATGAGGCTGTTGTCGACGTACGAAAGAGTACCGTGAGCAACGATTTTGCCACCGAGTTGATGAGCCAGTTCGGCTTTGGTGAAGAGGAGAAGCCAAAAACCGCCGCATCTCCCGCGAACGACGGTGAAGAAGAGACATTGGGTCAACGACGAGCGCGTCTGCAAGCCGAAGCCCTCGCAAGAGGTGACGCCAATCCACACGGCACTCGCCCTCCTCTCCGAGCCTCGATGTCTATGGCTGACGTACTCGGCGCGCACCCCATCGATCCGAACAACTCGGCGCGCAAGGTCTCAGACGAGCAACTCCTCTCTTCTCTCCCGCAGGGCAGCCTGCTTCACCAAAACGCAGTTAAGCAGGAGCGTCGCCGCGTCTCTCGAATGGACATGAATCAGCGTAGCTCCACGTACAACCTCGAGCAGCCACTACTTGGCGAAGGCGTTGGCAGAGCATCCGAGGACCAGCCCCTCGGCGCAAAGATTCAGGCTTACAAGGACAGGATGGCAGGCGCTGGAGTCGCAACGCCCATGACCGCGCCCGCACTGTCTGGTATTCCCATGATGAACCCTTCTATGTCCTCAGTGAATCTGCTCGGCGCTGGCGGGCAGCGCAACTCGTACTTCCCGCAGGCGCCACCGCAGCAGCCGATGATGGGTATGAACGGGTATGGGATGATGCCGCAGCAGATGATGGGCATGCAGATGAACATGATGGGTGTGCCTATGAACGGCATGCAAGGCATGGGCTATCCGCAAGTTGGCCCAATGGGCATGCCCGGTATGAGGCAGTCGTCCATGATCAACCTCCCGAGCATGTCCATGGGTGGGATGAACATGGGGGTAATGCAGCCGGGGATGGGCATGCCGCCGAACATGGGGACTATCATGATGGAGCCACCTATGGATCCTAGGCAGAGGGATGCTATTGATCGGTGGAGGTCCGCGGTTATGCACTGATACTTTTTCTTGTTTGACTTTGGTATGGTCGCTGCATTTAGCGTTTTGATTTTTGACATGGGCATAGCATCGCGTGGCGCTTCTACATGGTACGCATATGGTATGGAACGGTAATGGGCATGTGTACTAGGGATCACGGTAATGCTAGAGCACCTTGGAGCGTAACGTATAGCGTTGTAGTAATGTTCCAAAAGCTATTGGGCCATCTCACGAATTCTGGAGTCTTCAACTGTGGTCTATTCCAATCGCATGTGAGAGATTGCAGCGACATTATCTTCTCATGATCACTTGGCATGGCCCTGGACGGAAGGATCCTCGACAATGTCAATAAGCCAAAAGGGGAATAAGGAAGCAACAAAGGACATTGCGAATGGAGTGCAGATGTTCTCGCAAGGTTCAATGGAATCCTCGTTGGGACAAGCAGGAGGGTGCAGGGATCACAGCATTGGCTACTCGTCGTCTCCATGTTCCTCTCACACATAGCCAAATTGACATTGCTCAGCAAGCACATGCTCCTCAGTCACGATTGACGCAACGAGTCAGTTCTCGCAAGGTCCGTCACCCTTCGCAGCATGCTACCTATATCATTCGTTCCGACTCGACAGTCCACAGGTCAGGCACACGGACCCGTCTCCATCATCAACCAATATTGACTCTCTGCCAGCGCCTTCCGCCGAGGCTACTTCAAGACTATGCCCATCTAGCCACTGGCGATAGCGTGCCCGTGATGATCCATGCATTAGTGGGCCCCCACACGGTGCATGAACCTGCAGCATACTTTGGTACTGTCTGCTCTTAACGTGACTTGCCAGGTGTGACGAGCCTCACCCTAGATTGCGACCGGAGGCCCGACAACGCAGGCGGCCTGGAAGCCCGAGTCAGCATAATCACGTCCGAGCATCCTCTCAGGTGCCGTGCAAGGGCTGGTGGCTTGGGGATGGAGGCTTGATTGGCAATGGCGGCGCCAGAGGAAACACGGCACCGACGAGTAGGATCGTGGGGAGAAAGCTGCAGGGTTCCGTTCGCATAAGAAAGGAAGGGAGGGGCAAGTTCCGCTCTGTGCTGTCTCGGCTGGCTCGCGTAGATGCGCTTGTGGCGAATCATGCGTCCGACACGGTCCCCCGTCTTGGCGTCTTGTTTCTGGCGGGAGAGCGTTTCGTGGGCGGAAACACTGTGTTTCTCCCATCTTGACAGCGCAATTGCTGCGCTCCACGTCGCTATCCTGCGTCTCGGAAGTCTTTCAATGGCAGCTGGGCACCGACCGCGTGGCCAGACGGCTCGCCAATTCAGACCTTGTTCCTCGGTGGGTTCGACGCGCATGAGCTGTCCCCGCCCGGCGCTTACAAGGGTGCAGTGAATGGTCGCGCAACCAAACACTCGTCCAATCAGCGCCAGAACCTCGCGTCCCCAGCCATCACACCCCTCCCCTCGCAGCGACCCATCCACCCATAGAGGAGATATACATACAGCCGTCCGCACACCTTAGCAGGCACCATGTCAAAAGCTGTTACACTCTGCATTTCACCCGGCCCCTCTTGTGTGTCGCAGATCAGCACATTTGCGGCACACCTCACCCTCCCCTCACCCGCCTTAAGGGTCGACTCTCAGGGCTGGGACAGGAGTTAAAACGACGATGCGGCGGGCTTTTCTCCCGCCTGCACTTCTGCTTCTGCTTGTTGACTTTGTACACGCCGCTCCTTACGACTTTCTTGACAACTATCGCGACCCTGCGCCTTCGCCACAGGACGGACCCCCAGCTTCGGCAAACGCTACTAGAGACAGAAATCTACTACCTGCGCAGATCTGCGGCATAGTCGGTGCCTACGCCGTCACTGTTCTCATCTGGGGTATACTACTTGTCACCGTCGGTAGAAAAATGAGGAGGAGAACAGAGAACTCGCCCAAGACGCTCGAGCTGGAGCTCGTCACCAAGCGCCCTTCCCTCCGGAGCCCTACCTCGCCCATTGGCTCTGCGAGGAGCGTGTCTAGCTGGCGAAAGATCTTCAGGAAGGAGAAGGATATCGAAAATGGAGATGTCCCTGAAAGCCCCATCGCGATAAGTCCCGTGATACACAGCCCGGGCTCGTTCGACCAAAGGATCATCGACGAGAATAAGGCACGCGCACAGGCTGAGATGGAGCGTCTATATGCCGCCGTCATGGACCACGACAGGAAGAAGTCGATTGCCTCGCAAGCCAGTCTCGACTCCAACGAGCCGCAAGCACACTCTCCTCGTCGCCCCTCAGCGATAAACACCAACATGACATCGCACTCAAACCCCTCCTCACCTGTGAAGGCAATCTACCCCCCAGGCTATTCGAATGGCCCGCCTACCGCTCCTTTACCACGCGAACGTCCCACCTCACAGCGAAGCGTGCTTTCTAAGAAGTCGACTTCGTCCAGCAAGCGCGGCTTCAACCTCAAGAACCTCCGGATCTCAGGCCCCATCCAGAAATACCCTGGCGAATCCGGCGACGAAGAACGCACTCCCCTCTCCCCACGCTACTACCACAACCCCGGCGCACCACCCTCACCCCCAACACAGCAAAACTCTCCCACCACACCCGCCGACCTCGAGGAAGCCTACGAACACCTCGACACCGTACAACCCCTTCCGCGCCCCGCGCCACAGCGCCACAACTCTTCTAACGCACCTTCACCCACTACTAGGGGACCAAACCCCACCCTCACACTCTCCAAATCCGCAACATCATCGCAAAACGAGCTTCCCCTACGCGGCTATGCGGAGCCACTCAAGTCGCCCTCGCTGCGCACGACAGTGCTTAACAGGCGCGCCGAGCATCTGGGCATGAACACGCCCAAGACAGGCGTGCCGTACACCCCGTACAGTCCGTATATGCCCTTTACACCCGTGACGCCCGTGACGCCGCATCTGGTGACGAAGAAGGAGCGCAAGATGGCGAAGAAGTGGGATGGGCGGAAGCAGGCTGACCGGGGGGATTTGGTGCAGAGTCCCAAGGAGATTTTTGGGGATGCGTGGTGATTATCTTCTAACATTATACATACTTATCCGGAGAGGAGGGGTGGGGAAGGTGACCTTGCGCAGTTGTTGATAAGATGACGACGATTATGACCTTTATACCATTTTGTGCCTTGTAATTGAGCTGGTTTCGGATTGGATTGTACATTGGTTCGCTTTCGATAGCATGGGATGGGTGGATCGAAACGCGTTCATCTTCGCTTCGAGCGTTGACGATTTAGTCAAACAAGCCATGACCTATCTCAACGCACAAAACGTTCGTGATGATTGGAGAACATCTGCAGCCGTGTGATGAGCGTTCGTCGCTCCAGGACTCGGCTCACTTTGAGCTAGACGAATCGTCTTCTCGTGCCGACCCTGACATGTCTCCAAACCCTATCGTGCAGCCCATGGCGGCCTTGACAAGTCGATCCCTTATACCGGATTGAGCATACCCCCGAATATTGTGCTCTCAGACACCGCAGTCTCCTAGAGGTACGGCCCCTCCCAAGCGTCCCTCTTGATCTTCATCAGATTGCTCTGCTTATGCGGGAAGCTAATCTCTCTTTCCTTATAGAAGCCCACATCCATCAGATATTGTGCAAGCCTTTCTTTGATTAGCACTCCGTTTCCATACATCAGATGGCCGCGTTTACTCACTTCTCATTATCAACCCTTGGCTCCAACACCACACTCTCGGTCCGCAAATCCGCCAAAAAGCAAAAATGCACCAATGCACTCAACCACACCCTCACCCGCTGCGGCCCCCGGAACTCCTGCTCCCCAACGAGGCAATGAATCCCCCGGTCGTAATTTCCCACGTTCTCCAGGTAGCGCCCCAGCCTGTCCTCTTTGACCCAGTATATCTCGAAGTAGCCAAACGGCCGGCCGTCCCAGCATCCGATTACAGGGAAGGAATGTTTCGAATTGAGACCGGCTTGGAGGAACTTTAGTTGGTGCTCTTCTCGTCCCGATTCACCCCAGAAGTAGGATACGCGTGGGTCGTTCATCCACTTGTGGAGGTACTCTGGGTCGGAGAGGTTGAGGTTCAGGGAGGAAACCGTGGGGAGGTGGGAGTCGGATACAGGGAGGGGAGTGCTACGATGCGGTGTCGGTGTGTGACTCGCAACTGGTCCGCGATGTCTCAGTGCTTTGTTGGATACCGAGGCGACACGGAAGGAGAGGTACTGCGCTACGCTGGGTATGTATCGAGTGTAGAAAATCTCACCCTGCCTAGGGGGTTTCGGCCTTATCGGATGACGTACGTTGTCTGTGAAGACGTATTGTGGTGGTGGTGGCGGGTAGTACGTTGGTAGATGGGACGTCGAATGGAAAGGGCCTGAGCCTGCGCCTGAGGGTGACCAAAGGCCTTGAGAGACGGCCTCGAGCTGGACTTCTTTTCTTTCGCCGTCTGCGCCGAGGACGGGACTCCCGGGCCGTGATGGATAGGGCGAGCCAGTTGGGAAGGGCGATTGTGCCATAGGCGAGAGCGTGAAGAGGTAGATGCGGGGATCTAGCTGCCAGAACGACCGGCGGCTGACGAACATGCGTGTCCATCCCTCGGGGCTACCCTCCTCTTGCGGGAGGCCTACACTGCTATCTTCGCTTGCTATGAGGCCCATACGCTCGAGCTTGGGGAGCACGACTTTACCCTTGAAGATGCCCTCTCTATTAATGTTGATGCGCCATTCGCCCTCTGGCCTTCCTGGTTCAGGTGTATTTATTGATTCCTTCGTCGTAACATGTAGGCTCGGTTCTGGCTGATGGAAGTACCAGTACAAGGTTGCCCACAGCATCATTGCCATTTGGCGCGTCGGGGACGTAGGGGGTTTGAATTCGCTACTCGAGGGATTTGATATCGACGAGATGTAAAGATGGTCCTTGTGCAACGTAGGCTTCTTGTATCGGTGTACCCGTCTTGGGATTGCGCGCGTGTCGTCGTCAGGGCTGTCATCGTTCTGCTCGTCCTCGCCAGGGTCTTCGTCCTCGGTGTTCAAGACGACTGTCCAGCCAGGTGGAAACGGTGAATGGTGGTTTGTTAGATCGTTGCTCTTGAAGAACAATCCACCGAATACAGGCGTTATGCTAAGATTCTGGCCGTTGGGTAGGTGGACACTTGCGCCTGGGGCAGAATTCCAGGAATTTCTGTAAGCCATTGCGGGGTACACTTGAACGAAGGAAGAAGGTAGAATATTCGAGAGCCTGTATTAGTAGCACGTCAATGCTTGAAAGTGTTTGTCGATCCGTATCTGAGCCATGTAAGGATCAGGTTACATGGCGTGAGTACGCATGCACAGGCACAACGGTTCGTGAAGCAAAGCCAACAAGGCACGAGACAGACAAACTGACGTCTGACGTGGTGTAGTCGAGGGTCCGCGCCCGCTTACCGGACTGCGGGGCGCCAGCAGGGGCAGCCACCATCCATCGTCGATATACCAGACTCTTAACGCTCCACCGAGTGCATCGTCCGATTAACTACTCCCGAGGTGACAATAGCAACTCTCTGATAGGCTTCCACGTGCGCGTTGCGTTTCTCGTGCGCGACTGCTGTGTGATTGGCTGGCGCACGTGCGCGAACCTTCGGGAGCTCGGGCTCTCACAATGACGAAAGTGTTGTGATTATCTTAGCGGATGAGGCCAGAGCTCCACCCGAGCTCTTCTTCAACGTCGCAGACACACTCCGTTCCTCCATCGCCTCAATTGACAACCTGCCATCGATCAATTGACTTTACAAGATGAACTCGACACTCCTCCGCACCACCGCCGTCCGCTCGGCCCTGCGCGCCGCAGTTCCTTCCACACCCGCCCGCGCTGGCATCGCTGGCACCACCTTCGTGCGCGGAAAGGCTACGCTGCCGGATCTGCCGTGTACGTCTTGTCCCTCAATCGCTCGCAAGCCAAGCTAATACTCTGACTCAGATGACTACGGTGCCCTCGAGCCCGCCATCAGCGGCAAGATCATGGAGCTCCACCACAAGAATCACCACAACACCTACGTAACCTCCTTCAACAACTTCAGCGAGCAGATCGCCGAAGCCAAGCAGAAGAACGACATCGCCGCCCAGATCGCTCTCCAACCCCTCATCAACTTCCACGGCGGCGGCCACATCAACCACACCCTCTTCTGGGAGAACCTCGCGCCCACGTCCCAGGGCGGCGGCGAGCCCCCAACCGGCGCCCTCGCCTCGGCCATCAACGACTCTTATGGCAGCCTTGATGCGTTCAAGGAGAAATTCAACACTGCGCTTGCGGGCATTCAGGGTAGCGGATGGGCGTGGTTGGTCCAGGATACGCAGACGGGCAAGGTGGGGATTAAGACGTATGCGAACCAGGACCCGGTTGTTGGTCAGTTCCGCCCCATCTTGGGCGTGGATGCCTGGGAGCACGCGTACTACCTGCAGTACCAGAACCGTAAGGCCGAGTACTTCAAGGCTATTTGGGATGTCATCAACTGGAAGGCGGCGGAGAAGCGTCTCAAGTAGATGCCGGGTAGAATGTAGCATAATGTAAGCGAGCTGTCAACGCAAATTGGAATCACAAGCTATCACGCTATGCGTACTTGGTATACAAAGCCTTTGAGGGGCATTTATTAACCGAAACAATAGTATCAGACCCAGCCATGCCAAACACCTCAAAACCATGCAGTACACAACGCCTATGCAACCCAAAAATTTCTGCTGGAGCGCTGCAATGCAAAATGATTGGTATAAAACTCCCTCGTGAGAATCATGAAATCGCCCAAACAACGGAGCCTACACCTTCCTCGCTCTCCTGCGTGGCAAGCCCGTTGCGACCGCAGGCATCTCGATCTTCGGAGCCACAACCACAGACGGCATGGGGATGCCCTTCTTAGGCGTAGCCGCCGCAATACCCTTCCCTTGGTTCTCCTTTCCATCTCCTGCTGCCGTAGATGAAAGCTGAGGTAGCTTGACTTTCCTCGGCGTCGCCAGTCTGCTCTTGCGTTCTTTTGAAGAGGCTTTAGTAGGGTCGATACCGACAGGTGCGACCTCCAGCACGGGGAGTTTCGACTCTACCCATGCGGGCGCGGAGGCCGTATCTGTACCCGCCATCGACGTCTTTCTGATTCTGCTGGTCTTCGGCTTGGGTACCCGCTGCTTCTCCTCCAACTCTTCTTTGTCGGCCAGCATCGTATCTGGAAGCAACGACGCCGGAGTGAACAACCCCTTTCCAGGCGTCCCGTTTTTGGAGCCCAGATTCTTGACCTTGCGTACCCTGGGCGTCGCGTCCTTGTTCACCTTCGGCACTACCTTCACTCGGGTTGGCTTCGCGGCTGGAGGTGCCGTGCTGAGCTCGTCGGGCGTAGCGAGAGACTCTGCATCCGCAAGTGCGTCAGCGATAGCCTGAATTCTTTCTTGAAAGTACGCAAGCTGGGAGTCCCAGCGGACGTACTTCTTCCCAGGCACTTGGACCACTCTCTCTGACAATTCGGGGGTGCTGGCGACTTCTGTAGATCGAGCATCGTTTGAGAGCTTCAAAAGGCGAACGTTGACGGCGACAGCGTTTTGCTTGTTCTTGCGCGTATTGACCCGAGTGAGTAAGCTTAGCTCTTGCGCGTCGGTCTTCTTGAGGACGACTGGGTCGCCGCCGTCACGTTTGACAGATATCTTTGGTGGACCCGTTGGGAGCGATGAAGGCGCAGGGAGACGTGAATTGCGTGCTCGTGATGAGCGTCTCGACGTGCGTTCCGCTTTGGGATCGTCAACATCATCTGTCTCTGCTGTCTTTTGAACCTTACCGGGAGACAATGGGGCGGTTGACTCCATGTCGAGCGTAAGTGTCTGAGAAAGATTCGATGTCGTCTCATTGTCATACTTTGAAGGAGAGTTCGGGTCCTTATCTTCAAGTGCCTTGCGAGGCGATGCGAGAGCATGCCGTACGACATCAGAGTCGCGACGATTTTGTAGAGATTCGCGTCGCGTCATGTTCTCAGCCTTGTTCGCCTTGCTGGCTGCTGCTCGACAAAGGAAATCCTTCAACAACGCCGTATCGTCATCGAAAGCGAAAGTCATCGTCGCGTCGTCCGGTCCGCTCGCAGTACGCGGAGGCGGTGAGGGCGATCGCAGCTTCCGTGGCGTCGGTTCCCGTGATGAAGGTGCTGGTCCAAGGGTCAGTCCTGAGGTGATATCGTCCAAGGCATCGTCTATCGCTAATGGGAGCTCAGACGGCAGCTTCTCCTGAGTTGCAATCGCCTCGGCGACTTCCGCCATGTCCGTGTTGGGGGCAGACTTGTCGTTGTCTGAAGAAGGCGTCTCCATCATCTGCATGTCTTGCTGTATGTTGAATTGCAAGGACGCTTCTGTGAAGTTCTCGTCCGGGTTTTCATCTCGGTCTTCGAGCTCGAAATTCGCGAAATGGTCTTGCACCTCCTGAGGCGATACAGTTACAGCTTGTTCGCGTTCTAAGGAACCATCATCACGGTCAGCCGGCTTTTCGACGTCTGAGTCCTGTGGAAGCGCCGAACACGCAACGCCTTCGGCAGCAGCCTCGATGTCTGCTTCCATGACATGTTGAGCCGAAGACTCCGTCTCCAAAGCCGTGTCCTCATCCATTATGTCATCTCCAGTTTGCGCTGAGACAGAGTCCTCGTTAACATGTCGTTCTGGCACTTCTTTCGCCATATGGTTTTGGTCGTTCGCATCGACGGCGTCATCTTCAGAGGCAGGCATAGAAGGTAGCTCGGGGTAGCTCAGGGGTTGGATGGACATCAATCCTTCGGTAGGAGTCTTGTGAGAAATTTGAAAGCCTCGCGTGATAATCGCGTCTTGTTCCATGGGCTCGGCGTGGGTGAGAGCTCTAGGCGGAGTGGGAGCCGGAGCATCGTCCGCGGCCTCTCGATCTGCCACATCGCCGTTCTCGTTGAAGAGGAAAGTAAATGTTGCTCTCCGATCTTCGCCCTCGGGCAACAGTGCTACCTCTTGTGTCGCTGCCCTCACATTGCCAAAGCTAATTTCCGAGAAGCTGTTGTCGCCAACATCCGTTGTCGTTGTGTCTTGCTCCTCTTCCTCTTCCTCTTCCTCTTCCAATGCGGCTTCCACTCCTACGGATTTCTTCCCTACGTACTCGATCAGTTTACAGCTCGGACATATAATGAGCTACCTACTTGGTAGTACACTTTTGCGGCGGTCCCAGCGCGTTGCTTTAAAAGCGTGCGTTGTGCCAAAACGCGAAGCTGCCGACCTCTCTATAGCCTTGGGGCTCATGCGCTGCAATCTCTTGACAGGTCTCGCCCGTACATCGTCTTCTGGGTCCTCGTTCGTAGCTGCATCGCATGTGCGCGATCTTGTGCCATATTTTCGCCATATTTCCTTCTTCTTCCTGTTCTTCCCGTTGCCGTCGATTCTGACTTCCTGCTTGCGATCCCATGCTCGAGGGAGTCTTTGTATGGGTAGCGACGTCGGGTCAAGGTAGGCGGTGTCGGATGCGTCCCAAGTCTGATCAAAGGCATGCGCGTCCTTGCGCGGGGAGGCGGCCATCGAGGCCATTTCGTTATGCTTTTGTGAAAGAATTATAGCAATGAGAAGTGAAACCGCGCAAAGAAAACGCCGTGCAGAAACATACAATTAACACGTCGTGACGGTTGCAATGTCGTGTGCGCGCGGTCATGGGTTGCGTTGGCAGGCAACGAGAGCTCGAGAGCAATAACAAACAACACCACGGGCAAGCTAGCAGGGATCGCTCCTGCACTAAGCCGCTTTGGCGCGGGGACACCCCAAGGTTTTCGGCGCAACACCACACTTCAACATCTCGAGATCTTCCACGCCCAGTACTGCCCGTTCCATTGCGACAGTACATCCGTAAATTCTTGATTCGCAACCCACGATGGTTCCGAAACCGCAAAATGCGACTGTTCAGTCGGTCACCCACCGCCCGCTGCCGCCTCTCCCAAAGCTCCGCGTTAGACGACCGAACAAGCCCGAGACAAACCCTTGCCTAGGCCTCATGTCTTCAGTTCTGGGTACGTAGCCACATTGCGGCAGCTTAGCGCAATCAGGCCCAATGGCAGAGGAGGATGCGGTGGACTCGGGCAGGAGGATAGCAGAGGGATGCGGGATAGTCTTGCTGACTATATATTAGGATGCTGGGCATCGTCAGGACAAGCAGCAGCTGCCCAAGGCTGTGCGCAGCTCGAACAGAGACTACGGCAGTGCATGGATGCACCAGTAAGTTGGCCTGTCTCGTGCTGTGGACGTGGGCTAACAACCGGACAGCGCGACACCAACCCGAAGAAAAACAACATCAACTACCACCTCTCACGCATGTATCCCAACATCGTCGGGCCTCACAAGCGGAACTAGATCTGCCTTGGAGTCGAACGCTATGTCTTGAGGACTTGTATATCATATGTATGTCGCATAGTGCGACGCAGAAAAATAGCACTCATCGTGCATGCATGGGAGGAGTCTACAATTTTTTCTTTCGAAACGGCGTTTTGGTGGAAATACCTCTATAGGATGTACCTGTAAAAAGAGCTGGTTGTTTGCAGATGCACTGTATTTTTATCGATGCATAACTATCACTTATCAACTTCTGGCCCCCATCCATCACTCACAGGCTGCATAAACACTGACCCTTTAGGTTGACGGCACCATCACCGATATTGCTAAAAGTATTGTCGCGGCGTTGTCGCAGCGACAATGATAAGGACCGCAACTCGTTCGGATTGAAAGCTTGCACAGCAGGAAGATGATCGAAAGTCGCAGCTGAGGACATCCCGAGTCTATGCTTTTTCCTTAAATCGAATTTACGGACGGTCCAAGAAAACCAAGCCAGCTGCAAGTTGACTAGACCGAATGGCCTCGTATAACTTCAACTCATGAGGGGTAGCCGTCGCGTTGCAATACGATCTTTAAGGCCCGATGACGCGGACCCAGATCCCACATCCATCATGTCCTCCCGCCATAGATACTACCGAATTTCTTGCACGAGAGAAGAGAAACACCAATGACTCGTCTTAGCCCAGAGCCTCTTTTCTCGATCAAACGGAGGGATGATATCGCGATATGAAACTTTCGATGCACCTGCAAAGGGATCCCAACCACTCGAGAAAGTAGCGAGTCCAGAGCTATATTTGTGCATCCCCAGACCTCCCCATCCCCATGACTGGTCAGCGATGCTAAGCCCAATGCACTCAGCCGCAGCCTGGCCTCCAAACACATCATTCCTTCGCCCACCCTCAACCTTGCACCCACGCGCCTCCCACGGCAATTTTCTAGCCTAAGCCGGCGAACGATGGAGGAAGGCAATGCTATCCTCCGTCCCATTCGTTCCTCGCTGACCGCAACCATTGCGCTTTGCCTGACATAGCAACACGTAGCTCAAGCTTACCCGCATGACCCTAGACTCACCACCATGCCACAATCGTGCTCATTCGATCGACAGGGCAGCGCAGGGCGCCATGAGCGTGCAAGCGACGTCAACTATCGTGGGCTCGCGCACGGTGAGCCGCTCAGCCTTCCTGTGCTTAAAACAGCTGTGCCCGCCTTGCCTTCGTGTCGGTTTTCGCTTTCATATCATCTACCACAGCCTCGCGTACGCGCCAGCCATTCCCCACCTCGCACCGTGCACACCATGGCGACCTGACTTTGGATGTTTACAACACATAAATTTTCAGCTGGAATGCGAGATAGATGTGGAAATACGCCTTATCGTGCGCCATCTTGGCACCAGGAGCCGTGAAAGCTGCGATCTTTGCTGTGCCAGAACCTACGTTTGTTGCGCCGGCAGTTGATGGATGGAACCCGGCCCCCACAAAGGCACCGCGCCTTGGTGCGATCGAGCTCTTCAGACGCGACAATGAACCGTGGAAAGTCTTCGAACAGAGCGGAACTTGTGGATTCTTCGACGGCAAGCAAAGTACACATTCAAATTTCTCAAATTTTCAAGTTGCACATGCTAAGAAGTCAACAGCATCAGCCTACACCTGCCGTCAATCTCAACATGTCTGCGCGACCAACACATTCTACGGCAATCACGGATGCTGTAACCCCTTCGAGCCGGCAGGATCATGCACGCTCGCAACAACATGTCTACCCAAAACGCTATTGTCAAAGAGCTGTGATAGCGATTGTTCCAAGAACGACTATATCGCGAAATGCAGTCTCACTGCAAACCCCGAATGCTACCAATTCAATTTCGTATATACGACTGGCGGACGCACAACGACTATGAGCGAGTACGGGTGCACAGATACAGCAACTACGACCGAGATACCACTCCTCTACAGCGGTTACAGTGCTCCCGGTAGCGGTGACACTTCAACATCGTCCTCGTCGTCAACATCATCAACAAGCTCACCCACACCAAGCGAAACACCCCAACAAGTAACCAAAGGTGATGGCAAACCCAACAACACCCCCGCCATCATCGGGGGTGTCCTAGGAGGCCTCGTCATAATCGGCGCCCTTGTCTTCGCCATCGTCTTCCTCCTCCTGCGCGACCGCCGCCGCAAGCGCGAGGCGCAACTGAACCAACAGCCGCAACAACACCAAGACTGGGAGGGGCCGCCACCCACACCTGGAATGTCAGAAGTGCATTACAACCCCGATGGCTTCATTGGATGCAACGTTTACGGCGAAGAGCCGCGGACTACCACGACGGAAGACCCACCTAAGAACTGGAAGGCATGGAGCAGAGTCAGCAGAGATAAGAAGGTGCCGCAGGATAGGGTCACGAGCTGTGGAGAGCAGGGGCCGTATGGGGCTGTAGAGGCTGAAGGACGGATGGTGCATGAGGCGCCTGCATAACAGCACTATCGCTACGATCGTCAAGTTTGACTAGAAGCACGGTTTTGGTATTCATATTCATGATTCTGCTTGCATTTTGATGAGGAAGCCACGCATATGGGCTGGCATGCACTCGTTTCAGGTATATACCCCGATGGAGGATGATGGACTCTCTAGTAGGTACATATAGCCTCAGTATGAGTAATGAATTCGACGTCTAATGTATCTAAGAGTGTCTATACTACATCAAGTGACAAACACCGTAAAACACACAGTCACTATTCCTCGTTCCTTGCACCAACTACGCATCCGCGACAGCCCCTTACACATTCTGCCCACTAGCCATCAATAAACTCCCACTTTAAGCCCTCGACTTCACTGGCACCAACTTAATGAAATCGCTGTCGGAGCTTGGTTGGAGCCAGGAAGAGAGGGGGAGGTCGGTATCGTTGGTGGGAGAATTGGAGCACAAAGAAGGTGGAGAAGGCGGCTCGTGAAATTCAATGTCGTCGTCAGTGCGTTTCGGGTGTACTATGTCGGCAATGTGGAGCTTTGCAGAGGTCAGAGAAGAGAGGCCCATGTTATCATTGTTGGTTAAAAAGGGAGCGGCGGACGTCGTCGTTGCGTGTAGATAATATGCATCTCTGAGAGCCGGTGGGAAGGTAGGCATGTCCGAGTGATCGAGGATGCTGGCTCCGCAATACAATTCATGCCTGTGGGGCGAAGGCGTGCCCTTGCGAAGCCTTGACAGTGGGAGTCGTCTTGAGGGTGGTGGGAGAGCAAGAAACCCTCCTGTGTCTTTGTACGTTGCAATGTGATCTCTTCTCCGCAGCAAGATCCTTGCGCTCCTCAGCCGTCTGCTTCTCACTTGTATTGGGGTCAAAGGGAGCCGGGGTGGATATCGTCTCGAGGCAAAACTGCTTTCGCATTTCCTGCGTTCGGCGGGCCCGCTCTGCCTCTTCGGCTCCGGCTTGTCGTACGATGGAGCAATCGATGTGCGGGTGTGTGACCATGTTTGCTTCACTTTTGCATATCCTGGTGTCTCGGGCGGGCTCGGTTGGCTCTGCTTTCTTACGGTCGTTGTAGGACGATATTTGTTCAGGCCGCTTGCCACCGTTCTTCTCCGCGTCTGAAACGAAGAATGGCGTTTTTGTAGCAAAGAGGACGCTCTTATTCATCGAGCTTGGAGCCATAACAGTATTGATTTGTTTTGCCTGTGAGTTCGCATCGACGAAGGTAGGCGATCTGGTCGCAGATGGACTTGACAGCGTAGATATCTCCGGTCCGCCATGTGTGACTCTCATATTCTGCATACCCTTTATCGGTGCTTTGCGAAAGGAATGCCCCCACCCTACCATGGTACAGCTCCTCCCTTTTTAGTTATATCTCCCCCTTTTTAGTAAGTATAACATATATCTACTCTATTATTAGTTTAAATGCGTTGGTACGCCTATTCTAACAGCTAGGTACCCTATTTTAACGTCTACCACAACCAAATTTAGCTATTCAACAAGATCTAGCTAGCATTCAACAAGATCTGGCCAGTAATAGAGTGAATATATCATGTAATAAACAACAATTGAGGATCTGTACTATGGTAGGGTGGGGGCATTCTTTTCGCAAACGATAATATAATCTGCTGGAGTTCGACTGTTGGCTTGCTAATTTCGCCCGATGTATGCGACATGGCTCGTAGTTGAGGAATCACGCACTGCTTCTGTTCATTCCTCTTCCGTGGCGCAGCCAGGGCATAAGATTGCTGGTCTGTAACTCCAGAATCTCGAGAATGTCAAGGTGCCTGTCGCGCTCTCGTTGCCTGGCGTTCTACGAAGGCCTGGTGCTTCGTACAACTAGCTTCTACAATATGCTCGAGCGTGAAGCACAGATCATTGGCACTTTCTTGGGAGTCCTCTCTAGTTGAATGGAGGAGGATGAGGGAAAGGGTGCTCCGGTGTAACAGCCTGAAGTTACCCGCACGCCAGCAAAGGATCGATCGCATAACTGTGGATCTCTCGTTGCATCATCCTCCGCAGCATTAGACACGGATTTAGATGGAAATGCTTCCGAATAGTTGCCCTGATGGTCCTTCACCGCTCCAGACGACCACATGTCCAAAGAGCAGGCTGCATCGTAGTGTGGCTTGTATTGGGACCTCAGGCCATCTGGCATAGAAGATATTCCCATCTCGCAAGGTACTGCTGAAGACGTAGCCGTCTTCTTCTTGTTTTCAAAACGTTTGTTATAGAGTGCCTCCAGACATGTTGGAGACTTTTCTTTCTTTTCCATGGTCCAAAATTACATCTGTACAGCGGCCGCGGCACGCGGATTTTGCGCTGCACGTAATAGTCGAGGTGTGTAGCTGACGCTCCTGCGCAATACATGTTCCGCTCTCACTCGCTCGTCGTCCGTTTCAAGTGGGTTTAGCGGCAGGTAAGGATGGCCACTGGGTTTTCCATTCAGAGGATGTAGATCGCACGACGTTCGCACCCAGAGGGCTGAGGCTTGTCTGTTGTGTTTCATTAGGAGAGGAAACAAATACTGGGGCGGTAGATTCTCTCAGATAGTGCCTTGGTCGGCGATGCGCTATGATGGGATTTTCGAGGACTCTTGCGCGTGCATGTGGTCGTCTCCTATGCATAGGGACAGCTGGTCTTCTGGCGGGTTGGGCAGCGAGAGGGATAACGGGTGCGCCAGCTGTTGGTCCTGCAGGCTCAGACGGCCATGCACTTGGTAGAGTCATATGGTTGGTGCTCGGGGACGAAGAGTTAGGGCGGTTCGTGGGATCCGACCCGTTTCGAGGTTAACGGTGTGCCATCACGTTTTTGACCGAGTTATCGTCCAGAGATGGAGTCGAGAAGAGTACGAAGAGAGGTGCGCATCCTTAAAAGGTGTTGAGAACACAGTCATTGGTGCCCATCCAAGAAGGTCGTTCAGACCCAGTCTTCAAGACATGGTTTTTGGGGACCTGGCACATGGCTCATTTCCGAACGAACGCTGCTGTCAATTGTACTGGCAATCACATTCTGTAATCTTGACCTGTCCATGCCTTGTTATAGGTCTTCCTCTGAGGGTATTGAGAATCAATGCGGCTCACGAGCACTATATTTGCAACGAATATGTCTTTCATGTATCTCCACGTGGTAAATGTACTGTAAAAATGTCTTGTATTGCTATGATATGAATTCACGACTCTTTCAGTGAGGTGCCCATTTGCAGAAAGATATGTGCCAATGGTGGGCCAAGCGCACAGTTCTCCTTGTACGCAGTAGGCACTGATCGCGTTCCTTCAATCCTTAAGGGTATGAAAACGTATCGCGCGCTCAGACGCTGTAAATGCAGCTTTGCAGATGTTTGGCTGTGTTGCATGCAACACCAACGGCATGATTAGTGATCGAGAGGCACTCTTCATTGTCGCTGAAGAAAAATTCATGCTGCGTAGCAGGTCGCTAGCTTCCCGGTTGCGTTATGCATATAGCTCAGCAATTGCATGCAGTATCATACCATAGGTGATTGCATCCGGCTATTGAAAACCAGCCCTTCACAACTCTTTTGACATCGCAACGCCACTCTATCCTTTTTCTCGCTAGACCTCGGTGAAGCTAATGCGAGTATTTTCAAAACGATGCTCCCGGTGTTTCAGGTTCTCACCGGTCATTGGCGATTGCATGAACGTTCAACTGCTCTTTTGATAAGCCCAGTCCTCTCTATCCGACGACGCGAAGCAGGAGAGAGCGGTCCCAATTGTGTGGAAAAAATTCAGCATGTTCCGAAGAGCATGTTGCGGCTGTTACGAGTGAATAGTCATTTCAGAACCAATGGAGAAGTTGGATGCCATGATGTACACGTAAGGACCGTGATCTCAATGAACAAGCTGAGGTGGAGATGGTCTGGGTCTGAAGCTAGGATTCCCCTCGGTCGAGCGAAGCGGAGTTGTGGCCGCGCAGGACATACGTCTGCGCTTATAACGAAGCTTGCTCAGTGCATTGTCACTCCTCTACCTTCACTAGAATGCCCAAACGACCTGGAGATGGTAATCGCGCTCATGTATCGATTGCACTATCACAGTGATCGTGCAACATCGAGGGCTTAGTCACTTCTAAGCTTAGCGGCAACGTCCGTGCCCAATGTTTGGGCCCACCACAACAAACGAGCTTCCCGGTCCTCCACACATCTCGCCTGCACCGCGACATGCGCAGAACGACACCCTACTCCTAATGCACAATGCTTAACTAGTATTTTGCACCTCATTACTTCTTTTCATCCTCCCTGACACGCTACAACACGCGTCTCTTCCCGAATCCGCACGACTACTAGCGACCACATGATGGCTGCCGCTCGCAGCAAGGTCCCGGCCATAGGGTCTGCGCATTGGGTCCTCGACGAGAGGAAACAGGCGGATGATTTGGTTTCGCAGGAGGTCGAAGACTTCGGTTTCTCGGTGCGCAATGAGCTCGAGTGGCTGAATGAACACATGGCCGAAATATTCGCACAGAATGGACAGTATGTCGCGCCTACTCACTCCGTTAGCGCAGCTGCTGACCGCTCTTCAGAAACAAGCTGGATGTATTCAAGACACCAGGAAAACTACGCGGAAAGACACCGCGAACCGCGCGCAAGAAGGCCGTAGAGCCGCGCCAGGTAGGCGCTTGCTTCTACCCCTTCCTTTACCAGCTCCTGACGTGTCTGTAGCCTCTGGGAAACATCCTTGGAGGAAACGCGCAGCGTCGCGCAAGCCTAGCGGAACAGAGCCTCAAGGGCAATCTGAACACGAGCCCTGTCAGATCGCATTTCAACATCGTGGAGGACGCTGAGAACGTCATACCAACAAGATCGCCAGTAAAATCGCCCGTGCCTTCACTCTTTACTAGCTTGATCAACAGGGAGAAAGAGAATTCAGGTAGCTACGGATACCGCAGCCAACACGCGTCTCCCGAGCGCCGTCCTGCGACAGGGCATTCCACCGCCCCCTCACAGTACAGCCAGGTAGCCTCAACACAAAGCACGGTCCCGTCTCATGAAGACGATGTCTTTTCGCCGCCTCAAACACAATCCACGCAGCCCACGCAAGCGACACAGTCATTTGCACAGTCAACACAGCCTTGCGAGGAGGAACGACGCGATACTGGCGACTCTTTTGTATCAGCAAAAGAAGCGTTTGGCAGCAAGAATGCTTCAAACGAAAATTTAGGCGCGAGATTCAGCAATGACGCGATGGATGTGGATGAGGCTAAGCCGGACGATGCACAATCTGATGCTCAGGGTACTGCTGTCCACCATGACCTGAGTTCGGATCATGACGAAATGGCGGTTGACGACTTTTCTGCATTCCCTGAACCACCCAGAACTGTCTCAGAGGGATACAGCACCTCCGCCGACACGCAAGCTACGCAAAATGCGGCGGAGCAGCGCGCACGTTCCCCTGAGCCGAAGACCCTCATGCCGCCGGCTGAGATCTTCGCTACTTCAGATCGTACCGAGGCCGAGGATGCGCAACACGATGACACGGTCGTTCACCATGAGGTCGAAGATAACATGGACATCGATGACGATGTTCGATCACCATCGGACTCATCTAGTCCTGTAAAGCCTCTGGTCAGGAAGAGCAGTCTCACATTTGCATCTTTACCAGCACGTGAGCCGCTACTCGCAAAGAAGAGCATGGGCAACCGAAACTCCAGAACTAGTCACGTTGACCCGAATAAGGTACGAAGCAGCAATTTAGGCCGCTTCACTGGTGGGAAGAGCCTTGGAGGCTCTCAATTACCACTTCCAGAACCCCAACACGATGCAATGGACGTGGACGAAGAACGGCCAGAATTGCCACGCGAAGAGCTTGAAGCGACTAAACTCCACAACAAGACCTCTTCTCAGCGCCTCCTTGAGCGCATTAACATGCTAAAACAGCAGAATGAGGCACCCAAGCGGATCAGCCAGAACATTCTAGCTTCGCAGTTGAGTCAAGCGACGAGCTTCACTGCATCACAAATGAAGGAGTCCTCGCAACCCTCGCAGTCGGCACAGCCAGCACCCGTAACGCAGCCCGCATATCCAAGTCTACCTCCCGCAGGACCAGAGCACGATGATGACGATGACGACGATTGGATTTCGCCAATCCGGACTGTTGCTCCAGCACCGAGTCCAAAACGCCCTCCTTTCAGCAAGAGTCATTCTGAACAGGCCCGGCCATCACCTGTTAAAACTGTACCAAAGCCAATCTCGGTTTCTAACCCCGACTTCCCGGCAGTCGTGGAGTCAACCACTCCGGCAGGCTCCCCGACTGGTAAGAAATATATGGATGGCCCTCTCAGCGCTTCCAAGGCTAAGTTCTATTCAGCTCTCCGTGCCGCCAAAGAGAAGATAATTGGTTCAAGCGCTACCAGTGCGCAAATTAAACTCGACGCACTTTCAGAAAGCCCCGTGCGCCCGACAATCAAGGATCAGCAGTCCAGTGATGATGTTTTCCGCAGCCCGAAGCGCAACGAGAAAGCCGGTACATCTATTTTCTCACATCTGCGCTCACCTTCTAAGGAGTCTCTGAAATCCAGCAAGTCAAAGGCGGCGATTGCTACGTCAAGCAGCCCCGCGAAGGAAGACGGCCGACGAACTCGCAGCTCTACTGAACGAGAGAAGCAGAAGGAGAAAGACTTTAGAGAGAAGCAGCGTGTAGATGACAGATTGAAAGAGATGCGCTCGAAGGAACAAGTCAAAGCTGCAGCGCATCACCAGAAGATCAAGGCTACGACAACGAAGACGCCGTCAGCGATGCCCTCGCAACAAAGCATGAGACAGGTCCCCGTCACTGCTATAAAGACACCATTTTCCGTCACCGAGCCGTCACAACCCCGTCCTCAGCCGAGTCGTGCCAATACTGCGACTTCTAATGAGACTGACTCGGCAGACGATATGCCTCCGCCGCCCCCGCCGAAGAGCTTCCTTCCAACGACTGGGCAAAAGCTTAGAGAGCCGCGCAAGGTTGAGCCAAAGAAGCTTGCTAAGCCCAATAGCAAGGAGACACTACCCAAGGTTAAACCTCAGAAGATCATGGTATCGCTTCACAACAGTCGGTATGGCCAGGCACCACCCGCTGCTTCAAAGCATGCCGCTTCAGTTCCGGCGCCTTCGAGCACAGCTCCGATTGCGGCTAAATCGGCTCCTTCGACACAGAGGATGGGCCCACCTGCCACGAAGCCGACTCATGCTGCACCGCCCCGACCAGCATCGGCCCTGTCTACAAAGTCTGGAGCATCTTATAAAGCGGCTCCAAAGCCAGCTCCTAGAGTCGCGAGGCCACCTGTACAGAAGCCGGTGGAGAAGCCGGTGGAGAAGCCAAAGGCAGTGCCGGCACCGACGCGTGCGGACCTCGCTGCAGCCCGTCCTGTTGCGCGCATGCAAACAATTCAAGATGCCAGCCGCATCCAAGTCTCGGTCCCTCCAGTCAACCCAGCTAAGCCCGCGAAGCGACCGTTTGAACAAGACGAGTCGACGCTCCAGCGTCCCCCTAAGCGTCCTTCAACACAAGCGAAAATGAACCCCATCACGCCCGCCCATCCGAACTCGCAGTTCGCGAAGGGCAAGATCCCCTTCGCTGAGCCCGTTCAGTCAGCAAAGACTCCTGTGCCGCAATACCAGAATGGCGAGGAGATCAAATTGCCAGACATCATGACTGACTCTGAAGATGAGGATTCGGACAACGAGTTCGAGCAGCCCAGCTGGGTCAATACCCCGAACCTGCGCGATCTATTGACTCAGCAGCAGCTGGTCGATCCAGAGCAAGTGTTTGGTCCTATTGCTCCCCTCAACATGGAGCAAGTCTTCCCAAACAAGGAGAGGCATAAGCGTTTCCGTGAGCGCACTAGCAGTGCTTACTGGGCCAATGATCAGGTTACCGAGGAAGAGAGGCGGAAGGATAGGGAGGCGAAAGAGAGGCTCTTCCGCGAGGGTGCGTGGACTTACAACCCGAGCCCACGTCCGCCGCCTCAGCCGAGTCGCGGTCTATGAAATAGAACAACATTGGTAGTGGCGTTGGTGTTTTCATGAAGCCAAACTTTCTAGTTGCGGAAGACGCGGTTGGCTCGGGACGGTGTTCGGATATAGCGTGCGGGATGAGACGAAGAGCCTGTGGGCTACGACGTGTATACAGGCGTTTTGTGTTCTGATATTGGGTTGGCGTTGATTGGGCCTTTTCTTTTGAGCATAGCGAGCGTGCGTGCTGTACCATTCATGAAGCCTTGGCGTTCGAATGGTTTGGACGACTCACATATGGTGGGCTGGGCTTTTTTCTGAATTCCGAAAATACCGATTGCTTCATGTACTCAAGGCAATGAACGGGTCTTCTGCTTCATAATGTATGTCAATATCGTGGTTGCAGAGTGAACCAGGTCTCGTTTCATTGTTGAGGTATGGCGGTGCTGGTGAACGATTCGCGGTTATCGTAAGAGACCGCATCTCGTATGCGTTGCGAATCAATGGAGACTGAGAATAGAATTTCCCATATTCGCCTGCAAATTGTATGTAAAAGTTGCCTTGCCGCGTCAGGTCGGCTGTCCGCTTCCGTCACTGTCAGATGCTTGCGATGGATGATGTAGGAAGGTGCGAGCTGTGATTATTGCTAGAGCGATTAATTGCGAGATCATAGCCTAGTAGAGAGCCATTCTAGCAGGTCATAGGAGTAGGATTCTCCGATCAAGTTGATCGAGAAGCAACGTTGATGTCCATGCTGTATTTGCAGGTTTCTTCTCGCCAATCCAAAGAGTGAGACGCTACATTTGTAATTCGATGAAGTCGAGTCTTTTACCCATGAATGGGTCTGATCCATGATGCATGCACAAGCAGCCCTTGAGCATCTACTGAGCGATTCGTTTGGATTCAGCGGAAATTTCGGGGTCCCAAAGCTGCTCTACCTAGGCACAGGACCCGAGTATGTTAGCAAGTATACCTATAATTAGACGGCGGGGACTAGTCTGGTCAGTGTAGCTCAGCCCAACAGGGGAGAAAGAGCCCCAGAGGGATTTCAGTAGAGGCCGTAAAGTTAGCCCTGTGCACTTCGGGGAGTTCGGAGATTAGACGGGAGTGGTGTGATCACGTTGTGTCCGATGCAAACCGTACGTGTAGTAGGTTGAAAGGCTGCAATTTGCCATTCACAGTCACTATGGAGACGTGTTGGGAGTGGTTTTAACTGCAGATTTCGTGGTGAACAGTCGAGGAAGTATACTTCGGCGCTGATCAGCTGTTGGCGCATGAAGCTGCGGAGCGATGAAAGGCGAGATTCGCTTTCCAAGTGTAACAACATTCGGACACTGTTCTGGGGCCGATAACATACAGCCACCAGTATCAGCCGTATCGATTACTGTCGATCTTCGAGTCTAAGCAACGTTATAACCGCGTTTGCCCCGGGCAGGGGCTATGTAAGCGTACATACGCTGCGTAACTTGTCAGGTGTCTTAATTCGAATGGAGTATATCGAACAAGCATCTTTCGCTGGGCTCATGACCTTCTTGCATGCCTTAAGACGTATTTGCACTCTTCGAGACATGATCTGAGTTTGTGACAAATAATGGTAGGCACTACAGCTTTCGATAAGATCACTCCGCTTCCACGCAATTTTACGATGAGTGATCGATATGGCGCGACCGACGAACTACACAAGCCGGGTTTGCTTTGACCTTATCATGATGCCCGGAGCTCCGGAATGTTTTCTGAGCTTACACTGTCAACGGACGTCAGTTGTTACCAAGTTTGCGAGCTCTTCGTACTCGGACGACACCCACCTACGACTATAACCCCGAACAAGCATAGTTATCTATGGGATCAGGACGGCAAGCCGACATAACCGGGGTACCAAGCAGCCGACGCAGCATGCAGTCATTCTGGAAGAGTGGCCTCGTACGGGAGCCTTACGCAGTTGTCTGCACATTAAATCATCCCTTTTTGTATAATGAATCCCAAGAGTAAGTAGTCAGTCGGATCACGACGGGTGCTCGGAACCGTGAAGATAGTCTCGTGCACAACCTACTGCCCAGGTGTCGTCGACTGGCGGACAAGCTGTTGAGACCTGTGCTTACGCATCAATGTTCATTGGTGAGTTGTCAATCTAAACATGCAAACTAACCTTGTCGGACCTAGTACGGCTGAAAAGTGCATGCAAACACCCCAGAAATTCGACGCGACATCCCTTCTACGATGCTTCGCGGGTTTTCTCGCAGTTTAGTCACTTCGCCGCACGGCGAAACCTTGATTTGTGATTCGACTATCTGCCGCTCCACCGTTAAACCCGTGAAACCGTCCAACGTCAACATGCTCTCTTATGTGCTGAAATGCTCACGGACCGAAATCGCGGTCATTCTGATGATTCATCAATCATAAGACCTCGCATTTCCTCGGCTGAGAATCCAAATGTGGTCATTGTTAACTAAACCTGTACGAGCCCTGTGCGCCGAGTCACCAATGTCCAGCTCCAATAGCATCCGTCACCATGCCTGTTCAGGATTTACACTTCGACATGCGAAAGGCGCGCTCACACAGTGCGCCACTTCCCTAATCCCAAGCTAAGTTGCAGGGCGAAGTTAAGGTTAAATTCGCGGACGGGGAGGATCCACTTCGGTCTTTGCTTGTGCTCCACCCTCATGCTGCTATTCTTGTCGGCGTTATTCAGCTTTCCAAGAAAAGGTATTACCTGGAAGTACCACTCTGTTCGGCGAGGCGGCCATTGACGACGTTCTAAGAACCGGGCATACATATACAACGGCTGGTCCTTGGCAATCCGTTACTTCGAGCTAAAAGAGCCATCGGAAGTGGATTCCTGCCTTGATTGCTGCACACTACTATTCCGCCTTTGATGGTACCATCTGCTGGCGCCATGTTCTTGACTTCTTTCTACCAGTCTCAAGACTCATCGCGACCTTCCAGCAAGGGAGCAGATGACACTGCTGAGGGGCAAGAGTCAGGGAAGAAACCGAAGAAAGTCAACAGTGAAATCAGGAAGCAACAGAACAGGATAGCATCTAGAAATTACAGTGGGTGACTTGCCAGATTGGTGAGATATTCACGCCTGACTAATCTTGCCACGCAGGGGAGAAGCGGAAAAGGAAGCTTCAATACCTTCAACAACTTTTGAAAGATGGAGATTCACCAGAACAAGCTGCGCATTCTGTTGAAGAGGCACATCGGGAGCGTATGGTCACGCCAGAGTACCATGCCCACACACCGCCAGCATCAGCCCTCACTCTACCATCCAATGGCGGGTTTCAACATTCACCAGCGACAAGCGCCGACCCCATCGACCCCATCTTTTGCATCTCAGCAATGCCTTACGATCGTCACTTCGGTCGTCGCTCGCAATATCATGCCGCCTTCGAAAACACGTGGAACACAACAATATACGACCTTCCACCCAACGTAAACATGTCCACTTGGAACGTCCCGGCCTGGTTGCCCAATGTAGATCATACGCCTTCCGTGTCTTCTAGACACGAAGAATTCCACTATACTCCACCACAACACTCGCAACATACATTCGAGCAGCTCCCGACGCCGCCCCAGCAGTCTCGCACACCAGACCCGGACTTATTCGTTCTGGGATCCTACGGGCATTGCAGCAGAGTGGACAGTCAACAGACAATGGGAATATCGAACGTGTGTTTGCCTTCCTCGGCTTCCCCGTCTCCGTTCCCTTATACAAGATACGCCGGGATGCCATAAAATCTGCCACGAAAAGCATGACTGGGTGGGAAAGGTGCTCGCTAACATGTGTATCACATATAGCTCACTCAACACAGTGCTTCAAGAATGCACCGAGTCGCATATATCAGGGACGCATATCTCCCTGAGCCACCACCGGAATCTTACTAAACTGCCCCTTATTGAATGATACGTTTGATCGCCGTCCATTTCGCTATGAACACGAGCTTACAGTATACCCATCCAATCACGGCGACTAAACTGTTCTCCACGGGATAATGGGGGCCAAAACGCACGATCACGAATCGAGGACCACTTACCGCATGGAGTATTATCTGAACGAGACTCATCGGACGTAGAACGTAGTACCATCAGGGCAGGGGCACGTCAGCGAGTGGTGGCGATGCCGAAGGTCGGGCATAGCTCGACCCGAGGTCAAATATGCGTGTTGTGAGCGATATAGGGCTTTCACAAGACTTGATACAACTAGTTGTACTCTGGGGACTGAAATCAACAGATGTGGAGAATGGAAACAAATATTTCCGGGAGAAGGGGTCGTTGTACGCTTGTGTTTGACCACAGCGCAGATCTATTGCATAAGGCTCAAAACTTGGTCTCATTACTGTATTATCCGATCGACCCTTCATAACATAGACTTGTAGACACAGATGCACAGACCGAGTCAAAGTCCTGTGTGGGTGGCATGGACACCGTGAGACATTATTGTTTGGCAAGGCTCGATTCATGTGATAGAGGAGCGCTTCAAATTCAGTTGCGAGGGCTACAGAACAACCCGTATCCCGATGAGTCCACACCCTTCTGCCTGTATTTTACTTCTCATCGTTTCCAGTGCGGTGAGATGTACGGGGGTTGCACGCGCCGCATGCCAAGCCATTGGACTTTCAACGCAATACAACGGACCGAAACCTTGTCTTCAATAACATGTGCAAAGCCAAAGTCGAGCGGCATCTGCGCCTCCTTTCGCACCGACCAAAGAGGAGTCGCGACGCGCAGGACACGGTCAACTGTAACGTACGGAATCGTTCGGTTACAACGCATCGATACAGCCGCTCTCTTCTCCCGCACCAATCGCATGGCTGTACGGCCGTGACCCCGATTTCTATACGAGTCTAGTGCGAATCAGGGGCCAAATCAATCGTACCCACTCTGCCGTGCAAGCTAATCAGCATTAAAGCCAACGCCATTCTTTTACCGGTCTAGACCGGCCAGGTCATATGATTCGCGCCTCCAAGGTTTCTAGCCGATTCCTCTCCACCTCCATCATCTTCTCTGTCGCGACGTGTCGTGACCACTTCCTGAGCTGCGAGGCAGCTATAATGCCCAAAACAATCGCAAGTCGTCGCGGTCGCTTCTTAGGTCCGTACCGCTTCGCTCCATCCGAACCTCCCGATGACAGGTCCGATGCAGCAGCAGCAGCGCGTGGCACGACCCTCACGCCTCGGACTGGGCCCAAACCTCGCATCAAAGGATACGAACTGGTCTTTTTAGTAAATTGGCTCGATCTCTGCATATTGCAGGGAGATGACGATCAATTCCAGGAAACGCTGGTCAAGGAGTTCCAGAAGAGGTTCGGACGCGTTGTGAACGCGAAAACTGCCGAAGGAAAAGTCGTCGTAAACCTGCAAGAATTGGCAGGCAGAATAGGGTCCAAGTATGTCAGCAAAAGAGAGGTTCTTTCCAAGGGTAGCCGATGTATCGAGTGGCATCGCGCGCCTGAAGAGCTGGGTATGTGATTTACACATCTTGCACACCTCCTGCCTGAGACAATTTTCCGCTTTGAACCTGTCAGACGAACTTTGCTAATTGGTGTCTTCATTAGTATTTGAATACAATACCATGCGACAAGAGTTGGGGCTTCCTCTCATCATCGTAAGTCGTGTTTACAGGAGCACGATTGCCTCTGTTCGGAAAGGATTAACCCTGGGTAACAGGCCGACGAAGAAGAGACGGAGCGGAATAAACTATTTCGAGCTTCAGACTCAGAAACGGCCTCGACTTCAGTGGCAGAAGAAGAGCCGGAGCTAGGATCGATATCAGAACCACGACCAAGCTCTTCTTCACGACCTTCACCTTTTCGGCATCGACCATCCTCTGCTGCGAAGAATGGCTCTTCAACTTATAGAAGTAAAGCGAAAACCACGAAAACCACGATTACAAAGACCATCACACCGCCTGTCTCAGTCCCAGCCCGAGCGGAGTTAGAAGTTGCCGAAAGTCAAGATTCTAGTGAAACAGATTCCACTGTTGCAAGCAAAGAGCTTGAGGAGACCGATCAAACAGACCAGACCGATCTTTCTCAAATGAACTGGCAAACTACCGGGGAACAGCAAGGCGCGATCGGACTCCCCCGAAATGGTCGAGATAACAAGATCAATTTACTTTCAAATATGATATCGTGGTTACTGCAGCGTCACAGAGATGGTTGGCTCGGCTCAGACGCCGAGCTGGCGCGTTTGGAGAGCGTACGTAAAGAGGTGGTCAGCGAACGTGACAATGTTTTTGAATCACTTTTGAACGAATTGACTGGGGAAGAAAGGAAAACGACCAAGTTCCAGAGTATCATAAAAAGCGTAGTCGGCAGAATCAGCGTTATCGAGCCCGAGACAGTACATGCGCCCCAGGCTCCATTTACGAAAGCGATCGACGGCGAATGGAGGTTGTTGTGGGAACGATGTAGACTATTGACACGGACGATTTTGGTTGACCGGAAATTCACAGAGCCAGACTTCCAGCGACTGTACGAATCGATCGATGTAACCTTCTCAAGCGATCTGCATTATAAAGCCATCATTCAACAGAGTGCCGAATACCGTACTGCCCACGAAAGCGACGTGCTCCTTAAGCTTCACGGTTCACTGGCCCGTCTACTGTTTATATTTGTTTTCGAATATCCGACACCGCTTCTCGAAAGCCAACATTCAGAATTGCTCAAACATTTATATACCATGATTGGTGCAGCAGGTATGCCATATCCAAAGAACATTTGCCGGACGCGTCTCTGGAGTCGACCCATCACATTGACTTCCTGGTTCGCTGAACAGAGCTGATGTCGGCGCAATGCTATCCGGATATTGTATATATGCTGACTGATATAGGGGACATGTCCGAGGTCAAGCGCTTGGACTTGCTTGCAACCGAGATGCTGCTCAAAGAGGACCGAGTTCAAAACACCTTGATACACCAAAAAGCACAGCAGAGATCTTCCTGGATAAGCCAGATGCTCGGGCTCAATTCGTCGCCAGATCCATATGACACGATCGCTGGGGACCTGAGGGAGCTTTGCTACCGTGCGATCAAACTCTACTCACAGCTTTTGGTGAGTCCATTGGAATACTGTATCCATTTTTTCCCGCAAGGAACAACATTCGATGAGCCTTCTATGAAGGTGGAGGACGCGTTTGGGAATGCACTGCCAACATCGCGGTGCATTGGCAGGACAGTCCGATTATGTCTGTTTCCGGCAATTTGGCAATATTGTGACCAGCCTTTGAATCAGACTAGGGATGTTGCCGATGCCTTGACGGTAAATAGGAAATTTCTCAGAACGCACATGGGCGATTCGAAGGTCCATCTATCACTGGTTTCGAAGGCAGTGGTGCTTCTTGAGTAGGCGTCAACGACGATACCACGTCGTCCCACAGCATTAGAACGCAGACATCGGTATGATGTGCGTTTGCGTTTACACCTGCGTTGCAAATCATGTATACCCCTCAGGAGCCCATTTAGCTCCATTGAGATGGCGTAGGTCTACGTTTTACATCGGACTTGAACAAATGATATCACACTGGCATGGCGTTCTTGAATATACAACGCCCGGCCAGCAGAGCGCAGGTAGACCAAGGGTCTTACGGACGCCGACTTGATATTTGATACCCAACGGCACTTGTACAAAAGAAATCACAGCCTTTCACAGCTGTACAGAACCGGCGTTGGAGGCAAAGCGATGACTAATACCATAACGAATTTCCTTGGAACGAGATGAGCGTACTTCGGTACTTTTCAAAACTGTGTATGGGATACCATAATTCTTGATGTCGATAAATTTTCGGTAGCATCCCTCAGAAGGGTAGTGCAATTCAACCGTTGGTACGCTGTCTCAAGAGTAAAGGACTGTGAGCTGTGTCTCGGACAAGAATTACCTACGATCCAAAGTTGCCTTTCCAACACTGCCATTGCCGCTGCTGTTTCTTCAAGAGCACAACACATCTGGCCCCATCCATTTCAGTTTCGATCCAGTGTTCAGAAGCTCGTGCAAACGCAATTGAACGACGAAACCGACCACGTGAAGACCCCGAAATCCACTCTGGCGATCCTGAGCAACCAAGAGGCTAAGCGAACCGAACCTCTGCGTGATAGTTCAACTCAACCTTTTCAACGCGACTTTGGCGATGGCGAAATTTCAAGTCCAAGGACCTGTCCACAAGAATTTAAGGCATCCTCGTCACAAGAATCTGCGATGGACATGTGGTTTTGGAGTGATATCAAGACGGATGTGGGTGTTGAGGGGGAAAGAGTGGTGGAAGTACGGGACCGCGGACTACATTGCCTGTGAGGGTGCCGGGTTGGGAAATCAAGGCATTTAATGGTGGGAATCATGGATAAGGATTTGACAGTATGCCGTCAGGGGTGAGAAGCTTTCAATGATCACGATGAAGGAAGGTTCATCAGCCAAGTGAGATAGTCTTCACATAGCTCGACTTGCGCACAAAGCCTTACGAACGCGTGGCTTGTCAGCTAAATAAGAATGAATGTTTCTGCTTCTTCCTCAGTCCATGAAACTCCTTCACCATGCATAATGCCTTTCACGTAACAATCGCCAATTACCTTATATTCAACGTCTTTACCTTGGACAGCTTCCAGCACAACGGGCACAACGGGCACAACGGGCACAATGCATCCATGCAAAATGACAATCACACATCTCCTCTGGCTCCCAATCCACGGCGCCAAGCCAATACGACCCTTCTCCGTCCTCATGACACGTCGTCCTATCCCGATAGCCAGACACGTACCCAGCGACTGGTCATAACCTGATATGTTGGACAACTTGTTGCCCCAAGCGTTTGGCTTGACACCCAAGACTTCCTCGGCGCTTTCTCTCGGCTCATCATCATTAGAGGCCACTATGCTCAGTCTTGTCCATGAGTTGGCCCGGGGGAACAGCCTGGAGGTCAGCGAGGTGCTGCATACTGAACTGCACGTCTCCAACGACGAAGAGCGCATTGGGAGAAAGTGACAACTCTTGTACTACCCAGCCTCTAGTAAACAATGGGCGCGACCAAAAGCTTCGGATCGCTGGAGCGTACATAGGATCGTTGTCCGGACTAACAAAATGCTCTTGACTACGACAAACCTAATGTTGGGGTCGAATGTCTCTGTACCTGGCGTCATGCGATCCGAGTTTGGCATGCCTTCGATCATGTCGGCCACTGCGTGCAGCCATTGCTTGCACAGGCGACTATTCTCGTCTTCTGGTCCAAGCCATATAATTGCTCGTTTCGGGAATTTATATATGCGCGACATGATACCAATCTAGAGAAATTTTCGGGGGGATCATCCTGATTAATGCAGATTTGGTCGATGCAGAGATGTTTGGTCGTGGAGTGCCGACTCAGACGCGGTAGTGTTTGGGCAAGATTCTGAGTGAGACCAATTGAGCCGACACTGCCACTCAAAGGAAGTGACGACACGCGACGAGCACTTCCCCATGTGTAGGACACGGCCTCGAGATCAGTCTCTCCACCAGCATTGGGGCTAAATTTTGCGCCGACGACGGTGTAAGCACATGGCTCTTCCATTTCTTCATCATTGGATATGTCAATTTGGAGAAGTCGGATGTGTCCAGATGCCGGCAATGGAGCGTAGTCAAATGTTGTGGGACGGCGCGTCCTCTCCAGGGCGGGGTGCACATCGACTGCAGTTCGAGGCGGGTGTCAGTATGTAGGAACTGTCTTAGCCCGGAGCGGCTAGGATGCATGTATGCCGTGTAACGCCGAATACACGCAGGCATAGTACGCAATCTCATACACATATCTTCTTGGAATCAGTCCAATTGCATGAAAAAGGAGCCTTCATGTTCCTGGTATAAGTGGCCAGTGATGGCACAATAAATATACATGGCATACCCCAGACAGTAACGCGTTCAGGTAAGCACATCCAACCTAACTGGGAAAGCGCACCCTCAGCACCAGCTGCCGCGGAGAAATGCTCATCGTCTGGATAAAAATTTCCATGGCCGAGTGACCGAACGACCCATTCTCCAATTTCTGGTCTACGCTGCCGATTACAACGGGCCGCACTCCGATTTTACCCTTTGCATGGCGGAGTCGGGACCTTTCGGCGTGCCACGCATGTGGTAGGGTGATATTTAGTCACACGGTGACAAGTACTCTGTTCTCTACCGGAGGTCATGGTCATGCAGTAAACATGGAGATTAGACTGGAACTGTTTGATGCTGTATCGGATAGAGTTTGGTCCCCGATGTGTAGTGGATGCGCGCCATAGAGACGTACGCGAAGAAACGGCTGTAGAGTGTATCTTTACAATTAGCAGAGCCAGTACAGGTCGGTGCCTGGACTAGCGTAATGCCAACGGCTCCTGTCGAGTTTCGTGTGTGCATGTGCAAGGACGAACGAACGCTCTCCGAGGCACGACCTATCTTCATGGCGTCCAGTACCCGCGCTGAGGCTGCAATCGGCTCTCGCCTGAATACCACGAGCAAAGTCGCAGTACTGTAGCACAACCACAGAAATCATTATACATGAAAGAGCCTCAAGATATCACCTCACCGTATGCACCAGTCCACTTACGCCGCCAATCGATCCCATGTCCGAAGCGGCGGAAGTGGCGGAGAAGCGGCGGGCCTGCGGAACAGACCGCGTACAAAGCGCCGACCCTGCAGATTCTTGCGCTACTACGTAACAACAGCGTCGGAAAGACCGCTTACCCAAGCACTTTTTCCTCAAGCGCAAATGCATCGTTCATAGCGCCGCGGTGCGCAGAGTGAGAGTGAGCTGATATTTTGGGTCTTGGGCCCAGTGTTGGCCTGGCATGGCCTGTTTTTCTCCAAACCACCAATGCTACAGAAAATGTAAGTTTCCGCGGAAATACTCACATCGAGTGAAGAACTTGAAGCTTGGTTGATGGGTATGCATGTATATAAGATAGTAGTGTGGTTTTCTTTTTCCTGTCACCATCAGAAGATAGCTTTGTATACGACGACGGCCTGCTACCGCCTACGACAATACTTCGAATATTTATATCACTCAAGCATCTACTTCCAAGACGAGATCCGCCTTTGACCGAATCCTTACATCAAGAAACCCATCATCGCCACATCAGTACAATATAGCAGAACCATCTACCTATCCTGCATCACACCAATTCTCAACATGGCGGCAGCATTAACACCAGAGCAGACCGCCATCGTTAAGTCCACCGTTCCCGTCCTCGCCCAATATGGCGAAACCATCACCACAAAATTCTACCACGACATGATCTCCGCAAATCCTTCTCTCAAGAACATCTTCAACAACACACACCAAGCAACAGGTCACCAAGCACGCGCACTCGCAGTATCTCTGTACGCCTACGCCGCCAACCTCGATGACCTGGGCAAGCTGAGCCCTGCCGTGGAGCTCATCTGCCACAAGCATGCGAGCTTGGGCGTCAAAGCCGAGCACTACAACATTGTCGGCGACTTCCTCATCAAGACGATGAAGAGCGTGCTGGGCGACGCCGCGACCGACGAGATCCTCGATGCCTGGGGCGCCGCCTACTGGCAGCTCGCCAACATCATGATCCAGAAGGAGGCCCAGATGTACACCGAGACGAGCTACTGGCCCGGGTGGCAAGACTTCAGGATCGCGCGCAAAGAGAAGGAATCCGACGAGATTACGTCGTTTTACTTTGAGCCTGTTAACAAGGACCTCAAGCTGCCGATTTTCAAGCCGGGACAGTACATCTCAGTAAATCTATTTGTGGACGAACTGGATGGTGGTGTCTGGCAGGCGAGGCAGTACAGTCTGAGCGATGCGCCGGGGAAACCGTATCTGCGGATTAGCGTGAAGAGGGAGCCAGGTATCGAGATTGGGGAGCCAAAGCATATGACGCATGCGGGATACTTGTCGAATATCCTGCACGACAAGAAGAACGTGGGTGATGTCGTGAAGCTATCGCATCCGTTTGGTGACTTTTTCTTCGAGGAGAAGGACGTCGAGGAGGACACGCCGGTTGTCTTCATCTCGGCGGGTGTGGGCCTGACGTGCCTGACGAGCATCTTGAACGCGTTGGTCGGGGAGGGCAGCTCAAGACCAATTACTTGGGTCCAGGGTTCGCGGGACTCGAAGTCGCGAGCGTTCAAGGCGCATGTCGACAAAGTGGCAGCTAGCAACAGGAAATTCCACAAGCTGTACTTCTCCTCTTCACCCAAGGAAGGCGAAGTCGGAGGACAAGATTACGACATCAAGGGGCGCATTGATCTGGACAAGATCGGGAAGGAGTACCTTTTCACGGATAACAAGAAGACGCAATACTTCACCTGCGGACCAACGCAATTCATGTTGGACGTCGAAGCGAAGTTGAAGAGCTTTGGTGTCGATAGTGACAGGGTGCACATGGAGCTATTCGGCACCGGAGGCGTTCCAAGGGTTTGAGACTTTGCCCAAAGACAAATATGTCTGTAGCGGTTCCTTGCTTGTTCGTGTTAGGTGCTTTGAGCGTTGGTCGTCTTGACATTTAGACGACATGTTGTTAGATCGTCCCCATTCTCCTACTACTTGTGTACTATAGTTGCATAACGGTAACGAAAACAATCGCATTTGCGTCTCTTTCTTCGAGTAGATTGTTGAAGGGATCATTTAGTGTCTAGTGGCTGGCTGATCGTTGGGGAAACTGCTCGTTCATAGGCCAGGTTTTGTGTTGAAACATTGTCTCGATAGCTCGCAATCCATCGCCGAAGGAATCTGACCCTGGCCTTCGTCCGGTGATGTTGTACGCATGCTTTGTTTTAGATAATCGCACGCATACAGACATGGTGTAAATATTTCGAGCGTTGTGTGTTTCGCCTACCGTAACTGACTTCACAATAACCCGCACTGACCAGCCAACACATGGTCTGTACTTCCTGCGTAGAGGGCTCACATGCGCATGCACCAAAGATGCTGTAACAGAAAGAACCTTCCAAAGCTGGAAGAAACAATAGTCGCTCAGGATGTACAATGATGCAGTGTCCACGGTGCCTGACGTATATTGCCTTCGTTCAAAGGGGCAAGCGCATGTACGGATGTCGATCGACATGTGGCCAAGAATTCACGCGAACACCAGTGTCATTATTTCAGCTGGGTGCCCATTCGCGCAGTGAGAAACACTTGTACTTGCGATGCGACGACGGGCATGTACGGTAAAGCTAAGACCTCCGCAGCGAGCGGCACCGAACTGACCGCGATGCACAACGTGAACGCGGGATGACGCAGAGGACCCTCGTGCCGGCGGGCGACGGATGGGCACCAGCTGCGGAAAATTAGGGTAAAAGGGGTAGTCTTCTGGAAACAAGGGGCGGGCGCACGACGCACTCTGTGACGCGGACTGTTGTGGGCGGACATTCTTTCTCAAATTGCGAGGCAGCGGTCAAGGTGAGGCTAATGCGAAGAAGGCAGGCTTCTAGAAAGCGCATGGATGTTGTTGGAGCCTTACGGGGAGTGGATTGCTGGGCGCTCCATGCTTTTGGTGCCCGAGCGGTGTTGGTTGGAAGACGGCGTCGGAGATGATGCACGCGGAAGCTGGGGCTGCAGCCGCTTGGCCAGTGGCATGCAAGTTCAGGCTTCTGACGCACGACGTGGCCAGCACAAGAATAGTGCAAGAACATGCCCAAGCGACAGCGAGGAAATGCACGCAGAACTGGAGGAATGTCTGGTTGTGAAACGTCGGTGCCCTGTCGCAGTTTTGCCGGGCAGACGTGACAGGTCGGCGCCGAAGCACACTGCAGGCGCTCGCCCGTTAGCGGGGATATCTGATGTTGCTGCATCTGCCCGATCGCTTTCCGAGTGTGAGGCCTTTGTCGACGGTGCGATGGGCGGAAGCTTCGGAGGCGCTTTGCGAGGGGACAGCATGAAGAGCGTGAGACGATCGCCCGGAGACAGCGCGCATTGAGGCTCAAGGTGGATCCGGCTAGGGTGGCCCCGTGCATCATCGCATCTTGGTAACGAGCACAGACTGCCATCGTGGAAGCATCGCGGAAGCCCTCTTGGTCGGCGGCGTCTCCTGGCCGAACTGACTCGCGCCTGCTCTCGTCGCCCACGGCCTGCAATCTGCCCATTGTAGTGGCATGCTTACGCGTGAATGGCAAACAGGTGCAGCAGAGAGCTGGACTTTTGACCTTGGTCATCGCGTGCACTATCGTACGACACATCGCTGCCGTGCCCCCGTCGGAAGCCCGCGTCGATCCCGATGCGCAACGCTCAAACAAAGTGCATGTGGATGCCGAACCGGTGGTGTGACGGTGGCTCTCGAGCAGTCGTGACATGTACGTCTTTTGCCAGAGAGCACCGGCCCGCTCTTCGCAGCAACAGCTTGTGCCACCGCATCTCGCGGGCCCTGCAGAGGGACATGTATCGTGGAGGAAGCCTGCTGCCGTGATGTCATGCGCCTGCTCCTCGTGGGAAGCAGCGGCGCAGTTGGGGACGTGTGTTTTCCTGTCCTACGGTGGGCGCTCATGGCGCCCAAGCTATGGTTCGTGAGGGCTTCAGGGGTGTCTCGGACAGCCGCGACACTGCGAGTTCGCATTGTCACGTCCACCCGCTCGCATGCTCGTAGGGGAGGCGGGCAAAGGCCAATTGCACGTTGGAACTCGACGGTCGGCGGCAGGCGCTCAAGATGTTTCGCAACAGGCTAAATTTGGGGCGCCGGCAGGGATTCTGCTGTTTGTGAGGTCCGTGGTTTGAGAGCGCATGGATCATAGAAGCCCGCTAGAAGGTGGATGGCTTCGATGCCCCCAGCTCCTGCGACAGCTCCACGCCTCACATGGCGGCGTTGCGAAGCTGCTGTGCTGCTTCGAAACCGCGCGTCTGACTCTGCTTCCAGCGTGCGCCGCTCTTGTGCCCACATGCAGCGGGCGGTTCATGCAAGCCGTTGGAGGAGCGACGGTTCTCTGGCTGCCTGTCTGTTCGCCAGCGCCACAGAACGCCTCAGACAGGCGCAGTGCCTCGGAGCCTTGACTCTTGCGGTGGGTCTGGCAGATGGTCGTGGGGATGGTGAGGCCCTGGCGTCCCCTTCTGGCGGGCGCAAGGATAGCGTCGTATGAAATGCCACCCTGATGCCGTACACAGTATAAACAAGCGTGATCTGCGAGTATTAGACTGCCCCTGCGCCAGCTGGGTCGCAAGTGACGGTGCCGTTATTATCTTGTTACGCGCACGCCTGCGATTGAGCAAAGCACAGTGACGCAAACCACGACCGCCCACGCCTCGGACACATCCAGTTCCAACGACAGCCACTCGAGATATCGCACCCCCGCATCGCAGTCGAGCATTACCTCTGCGATTGCATTTCCATTACCTAGTCGCAGCGACAGAAGGATTCAGACAATAGGGGCGCGGCCAAGCTGAGCAGGTGAGCATCCCACCGCGTCCTCTCCCCCGGGCGCGGACACAGTCAGCGCGCGCTTTCCCACCCCGAGACGGGCGGTAGACTGACGGGCCTGCAGCTGTAGCAACGTTGCTTCCGCCGATTCTGTGGAGGCGCAACATCGTCCAACGGCCACTGGGGCGGGTCCGACCGGGATCGCGTTGGGATCTGGAGATACTGAGGCACAAGACTACATAGGCATACTCTCTTCGAAACGTCACGGGTTGCACCCGGGCGGTGCCAGCAATCAACCGCAGCGTCTTCGCCGTTCGATCGGGGTCCGCAGAGCTGAAGGCGAACAGGCGACGCAGTAGTCAGCGGCCCGGTTAGTCATCGGTGGTTGCGCGCTTCTCAAAAGGAGCGCAGGTGAGATTTGCGGGTTTCAGGCGACCGAAAAGAGACAGCAGAGTCCGCCGGGGCCTTCATAACGCGGCGCGCGCCCATTGCAGCAGCGTCCCTTGCCCTTGGTCTGCTGGCCTGAGCGTCTACGGCTGCACATCGTCCTCTGCCACTTGCTGGGGTCGACGACTCGGAACTAGCCGATACTGGTTTGGGCTCTAGCTCGGAAATCACAACACGCGCGAAGAAGCAGCAAAGGACTTTGTACCTTTCAACTCCACACCCCCATCAACAGCCATCCTCTGCCCTGCCCTCCCGCAGGCCCTCACTCGTAGGTACGTCTCGACCGTTTGCCATCGCGAGCGCGAGCCGCCGCGCCCGCCGCCTGCCGCGCTCTCGCCGGTGCCCCTTTCCTGTCCTCGAGACGGCGAGGGCGCCCGCGTGCTGCCAGGCCAGCGACGACGGGCGCATCTTCGACTCCCGCTGCCGTGAAGGCGACAACGCCCCTGTGACCGTTTCTCTGGCTGACACTCGCTCTAGTGCAACATCAGCATTGGCCTGCACGCGGTCCGCCCATCTTTTTGACATCAACGGACGGGCCACCTCGACCATCGTCCTCGACGCCTCCTGCTGGCCGCCATCACCACCACCGCGTCGGTCGACTCCTTTCACCTCGCCGCCGCAGGCTCACCGCCTAGTTCTCTGGTGCGCACCCACCGTCCTTTCACGCTGGGCCCTCGGCCCGCTGTTCTGCCACGCGACCTCTTCCCCTGGCGATGGAGCTAGGAACTATTTTGAACGCAAGGTTGACCGCCCACGCAGGAACAGGTTCACCCTTCAGCATGCAACACGCGATGCAGCATCAACCACAGCACTTCGCCGCTCAGCCGGCCTACATGAATGGCCACATCAAGTCTGAGAACGGCTCTGAGCGTGGCGTCTCACCGCACCCATCCGACTCGTCGCGCTACTCGTCACAACAACCACAGCAGCCACTCCCGTCATACCCTCCCATCCCCGCCCAGCACATGAACGGCATGCGCTATCCTTCGCCCACGCCCATGCAGCAAGCACCGATGCAGATGCTCAACAATAACAGCTATATCCCTAATCCACAGGACCACGCGTATGCTCAGCAGCAGGTTCCAGACCAGCAGGCACAGCATGCTGGTGGCCGTCCTGCCAACGAGAACGGCCCGCCAAAGGCATTCGCGTGCTCCACGTGTGGTAAGGGTTTCGCGCGACGCAGTGACCTTGCACGTCACGGTAAGGAGCTTGGGCCTCAACACCAAAGTCATTCCGTCACTAACAACATACAGAACGTATCCACAGCGGCATCCGTCCCCATGTGTGCGAGTACCCCAATTGCGGCAAGCAGTTCATCCAGCGCTCGGCACTGACGGTCCATCAACGTGTCCACACGGGCGAGAAGCCCCATATGTGTGAGCGTTGCGGCAAGGTATGCTTCCGGTCGCGTGTGTCAATGCGTCTTCTAACCTTCGCCCAGCCCTTCAGTGACTCTAGTTCACTCGCTCGCCACCGTCGTATCCACTCTGGCAAGCGCCCGTACAAATGCCCCTACGCGGACTGCCAGAAGACGTTCACGCGTCGCACTACCCTGACTCGCCATCAAAACCACCACACAGGCACTGTCGAAGAAGCTGCTGCTGCTACGGCGGCAGCTCTCGCTTCGCGCGCATCTGCCCCGAGCAGGTCGGCTCGCTCTGATGCAGAGGAGTACTCTGAGACCGCGTCGCCTTTGAACACGCCGTCACCCAACGACCGTCTCACGTCTATGTCTCCTGCCGGCGGCATGCCTGCCGGTGTCGTGCCGGGAATGCACCGCCAACAACCGGAATACGCGTACATGGGTAACATGAACGTTCCCCCACATCTTAGAAACGAGATGCCTCAACCTAGCCCGCGTGCATCTCCCGCCCTGACATCACAATCGTACACCTCGACTGCGAGCGGCTCGCGTCCAACCATCACCTCGCACCCGAGCGGCTATGGCCCGCCTCCGATCCTAGAGCCACCGGCATCTGCCAACCACAACCAGTCTGGGACCAACAGCGCGAGTGGAAGCCCGCACATGACTGCGGTCGGCTGGCAGTCGCCTTCTCACCAGGCGTTGCCATCCCCAGGAGCTGGTGACAACAGTTATGTCTACCCAGAGCCCCAGTATGCCAACCCGCCCCACAACATGTACTACCAGAACAACAACATCCGTCGCCCGAACAGCACCGAGCCGGACCACTACAGCACAAACCAGGGGCAGCAGATGTGGGCCCCCGCGGTGCAATAAATGCACCGCTCACTCTCTGTACAACTAACACAAAGATTCAAGTTGAAGATTCCAATCCATTACATCGGTGTTCTCGGCAGGACTTATACCCCTGTTTTCCACTACACAAAAATTTCATTGCTTCTTCCGGCGTGTTTGCTCGATCTCGGGGACATCCTGCATGGCGGTTACATGAATCTGCGGGGTTTCGTTGACTGCCTGCTTTCCACTCTGCAGTCTTTTCTGGAAGTTTTCTCGTTTGGTGTGGTGGCCAACTCTATATCTCCTTTGTTGCATTCTCTACTCATCTAGCTCCACTGTGACGCTGGTGGGTGTTTCCTTACGGTTTGGGGGGACTGATGGAGTTGGGTGTCCCTTCTAAGACTGGTAAGGGCGTCTGCGACTCGCAGGTTATTCGGGTATTTCCTTTGCACACTGGCAATCCTTTAGACTGGTACTTAATGAAGGATGTAAATCCGCGCTCTAGACTATGAAATCGCGCCGATGCGCTTCAATAATCCTTCTCTGGCACGGGCCTTGATGTGTGTCATGTGCAAGGCTCATCTTACAGAGCTTCGTGAAATCCCCACTGGGACCGTGAACGTAGGAGTTGGACCTGCAAGCAACCAAGTAATCGACAAAATGCTATATACCCAAAAGGTGACTGACCATGCGTCTTTAGCCTTGTTGGGCGGACAGCGGGTTCGTGCGCTTAGGCCAAGCCTGGTGACGAAAGCCAGCACCAGCTCCCTGAACCAACTGAACCAGTCTGCTCCTCCGCACGCTGCAGAGCCGCCACTTCACAGCCCCGTGCACCACGACGACTCTTACTAAACCCCTCTCGCATCGAAAATTCGCTCCGCCGCTACAACGAGCCTGCACTCCTCATCGGTCACTCGACCTGCCGCGCCAAAGGAACCGCTGTGGTCCAACTGATTGCATCATCGTCGACAGCATCACTGCGCCGCCGAACTCGACCTCAGGCAATCCACCGACCTTCTCTGCGGCCGTTTTCGCGCCGGATCCACGAATACAACAGCACACAGCAGCGCGCACGTCCCCCCCGCGCTGAGCTCCATCCTCGACAGCCATGTCGAAGGTAGTGAGGAGCGTCAAGAATGTCACCAAGGGCTATTCTGCCGTCGAGGTGAAGGTTCGCAATGGTACGGCAATCTAAATTGCGATTTTTATGCAGACACTGAGAACAACAGCGACCAGCAACGATCCGTGGGGCCCGGTGGGCTCCGATATGGCCGAGATAGCTCAGATCACCTTCAACAAGTAGGGGCGACCTGATGAAGCTCATAGCAACGCGCTAATCGCAAGCAATAGCTCGACCGACTTCTATCAAGTCATGGATATGCTTGACAAGCGGCTCAATGACAAGGGGAAGAACTGGCGCCACGTGCTCAAGTCCCTCAAGGTCCTTGACTACTGCTTGCACGAAGGCTCCGAATTAGTCGTCACGTGGGCGCGGAAGAATATCTATATCATCAAGACTCTGCGCGAGTTCCAGTACATTGATGAAGACGGTCGGGATGTGGGCCAGAACAGTGGGTATACTTGCGCGATCAAAGGGACAATTGCTAATGTGGACCAGTCCGTATCGCCGCCAAAGAGCTTACTTCGCTAGTCATGGATGAAGAACGTCTACGCGCAGAACGGCAGGACCGAAAGTCGTGGAAGTCTCGCGTAACCGGCATCGAAGAGTACGGCGGAGGCAACCAACACCATGGTGGACCAGCTTCCGATAATCAAGGACGTCGTCGCGAAGGTCGTCAGCGACGTGACAACGATGATGACCTAGAATTTCGGTTGGCACTAGAAGCGAGCAAAAACGAGGCAGAAGAGGAGCGCAAGCGGCGCGAACGCAACAATGTTACCGTCGACGACGACGACGATCTCGCAAAGGCCATCAAGCTCAGCAAGGAGGAGGAAGAGCTGCGGCGGAAGGAGCTCGAATCGAGCAATGCAGACCTGTTGTTTGGCGATGTTCCAGCTCAGCCCACAGCGTACCAGCCCACGGGCAATAACCAGGGTTACCAACAGCAAGGCGCAGTTGACTGGTTTGGAAACCTGATGGACCAAAACCCGCAGCAACAACCTCAAAGTACGGGCTTCCTCAACAACGCATATGCCCAGCCCACGGGCATGCAGCCTCAGCAGACCGCTTTCCAGACTGGTTATGGAGGTTACAATGGTCTCCCACAGCAGCAGCCAAACTACGATGCTTTTAATCAGCAACAGCAACAGCAGCAGTTCTTGCAGCCTCAGCAGACCGCCTTTAGCCAGAACAACCCTTACGGTCAGATGAACAATGGCTTTGGGCAGCAGCAACAAGACCAGAGCACCCTGCAGCCTGGTAGCCACAACCCCTGGGCGACCAACAAGCCTCAAGAGTCACTTGTTCCGCAACCTACAGGGTCAAACAACCCCTTCGCACAATCGTTCAACCGACCGCAGACCGCGCAACCGCAAACGCAGAGGCAACCGACACTCAACACACTCTATGAACAGAAGACACAATCGCAATTCAACAACACGAACTTCAACCCTCCCGTATCATTCTCGCCACCAGCCCAACAACCTCAAAAGGAGATGGATCCGAATGCAGCAAGGCTCAACGCCCTGCTTGCAACGGGAGAAGGGCAGGACACCTTTGGAAACGTAGGAAACCTTCGCATTCCGGCACAACATACGGCTCCGGGAACGTTCGTCAATTCGGCCGGCGCCGGTTTGAACCAGGTCAACACCAACGCCACAGGCAACAATCCTTTCCTCAACTCTCAATTCACAGGTTTGCCGCAACAGAACCGCATGATGCCGGCCCAAACGGGACCTGCTGGAGGATTTGGAGCCAACCCCTACGGCAGCTCCAACCCCTTTGGCCAGGGCAACAGGCAGCAAGGGGGCGCTGGTGCCGGCCCTTTGATAGACTTATAGGGTATGATAGCTCACGAGGAAAGCGTTTGCCTGTTTCTTTTGTTTGATATTTGAGCGCTGCGAAGCAGTCGGCTTGGTGTGCTTCATCTATTTCGGACGTTCATTGGGATGGCAGTCGAAAAGCACGCCTGCGAAGTCGCAGGATGGTCCGGCTTCTCCCCCAGCATATGGAGGATAGAGGATCGGTAGCATTTTTCTGGTTCGCATGGAGATATCTTTGAAAGTGATTTAGCAAGAGGGATGTCGGAGCCGCAGGCTTGGTGAATTATATGCAGTTTGTTATATTTGCGTTAGACGGCGGGAGGCTTCAATGCATACGTGCTAGGAACAAAACCAAGTAAACTTAGTTGTGCACTTGCAATTTCCCAAGACTTGATTTCAAGCAGCGCGTGACGGAAGCGAACCTCAAGGACCTGGAGCATGGGGCAGGCAGCTCAACCCCGCGCAGCTACCTAGCGCGCCAAGACGCGTACCAGCATTCGACCCGGCAGCTGTCTGCACTTCTCGATTCCGCACGCTACCGTCAACTGCTTGCTATTCTCATATCGTCATCTGGTACATCACTCTCGGATATTGGACTCATTTCACATTTTGTCCTGCATCCCATCGGCCTCTTCGAATTGCTCTAGGGTGCGCCTGTACTGGTTCTTGCTTCCCCACACCAGCACGAGTCGAGGCACGCGCTGGTAGCATCGAACACCTGGCGATTACACCATGCTCACAGGAACATAAGGAGGGATTGATTGTCTTACGATACGATTCGAAATAAATTTGGAATTGCGTACGATGGCGCGCTCGAAACGACACTTTCCACTGATGGAAGAGCGGAGGGAGGTGCTTCGCGGTCGAGATCTGGAGGAGGCAACTCAAGAGGCGATTGGAAGAGCTCTCGATGCAGTGAATAAGAGGAGAAAGGTGGAAAATCCTGGCCCGGTGCGCGCTGTGCGGGACCCTGCGAATGCGCCCAAAGTCGCTGCGCTGCACGACGTTGGCCTGCCTACACTTGAAGCCTACTCTTTGAATGAAGAAGAGCAGCCAAGCAAAGACGTTTTTCCATTTCTCAAGCTACCTGCCGAACTGCGAATGAATATCTACCGCTGGGCACTGTGCAGTGATGAGCCGCTGCTGCTGGACTTGCCGCCCAAAGACGAGAAAGATGACGACACGGAGACGCTGAAGCCGAAGCGGGCGTCCATCGCAAGGAACAACGCAGGCGTCAACGTCGCACTACTCCGGACATGCTCCCTCGTATACAAAGAAGCGCGTCAGATCTTCTATTCGGAGAATTGTTTTACTCTCTCTATCGAATCAAGTGTTGCTACGCTAGGGCAGTTGCACCAGCGCTCGCGTTCGCTCATAAGATCTGTCACCCTCGCCATTCCTTCGCATCACGACATCTTGGATAGCTTTGCCGATATGGTGCGTTTGGGACTGCGCTATTGTTGGGGTCTCAAGACGTTCACAATCCGACTGGATGTCATGCTTCCCGATTTTGACACCCTACCTGCAGGTCACCACGGTGGCATCTACGCGAATGCGTTCCGCATCTTGAGATGGTTGCCGAAGGGTTGCAAGGTCATTCTCGAGGGCAACGTCAACGAAAGCGTGAAGAGGGTTGTTGCGGAAGAGGGTCGTTTGCTTGTCGAACTTGACGAGGCACGTTGATTTCTCATTTTGTTCATGTGACCCCGTAGTACAGAAGGAAAAGTTAATTTTAATCCAGATCAGCTACTTCAGGAGGCAGCACCAGATGTCTGGCCGAATTTCCGGTTCTTCTTTCACGCCCAGCCAACGGGATGTAAAGGACGTGCCGATTGAACCCTCAGAAGAGGGTCGCATTTCTGCTTTCGAGAACTTTTCAGCTCCAGGAAGAGCGTACTACACTCGATCCCGCCGGTCAATAGGTTGAGAACGGGAACAGAGGGCACAGACTTAATCTTACACTCTAGATCCTTTTAACTACGTCTCTGTCATGTTTGGATTGCCGCGATTTCCGCACGTCACTGGACGGTGACTTCTATACCTTGTTTGTACTATGTTGGCACAGGCTGTTGCAACTGTGCCTGTTGAGTGTGCACACTGTTGTGGATTAGTGTCTTGATCAAGCTCGCATCTTAGGATCGCCGTGGAATATATGCTGGGGCTGTATACGAATTCTTGTATAATGGGTTGGAAGTCACGGCGATAGAGGCAGATTGGGCGACTCGAATGCTAAAGCCGTCTGTCGAGAGAAAAGAAAACCGGGTGTGCTGAACACTATTTCGGTGCTATCCACACGAAGTGCTGTACAAATGTCTAGACGCGGATGTCTAGCCTATGGAAAGTAATAACAACAATCGTACCTTCACCGGGTTCGAGGCTCTGCCCCGTTCGAATCATATACCACCCACTATTGAGGCACAAGCTGAAGCCCTCGATGCGCTGCACTTTCTCGGCCAGCGGTTTGCGGTGACGCTGGATTCCCAGAAGGGAGATGTCCAAATTGTGAATAATCTATCAATCTTTCATGTTAGCGATGTGTTCACAATTAACGCGGAGAAGCCGAGGGCTTGAATTTGGCAACGGCGGTTGGTAATACCAGGGTTTTGATGGATGTGAGACGTGGGAGTTGATGTTTATGCTCTCCATGTTTAACCAGGAGGGAGCTGCCTCGTCGATGTCGCTGTACCAGAATAGGGTTTCGTCAGCGATGACGTGCAGCTTCATCCTACAAAGTAGAAGAGAGAAAATGCGGGGACTGGTACTGGCCATCCCAAAACAGCAGTCACCGAGCCTGCCTAGAACAGATAGATGACAACAATTGAAGATTTGGTATCACAAAGCACGTACAAGACTCCCAAAACGCCATGCTCATCACCTAACCGCCCACACAATCCAAACCGCACGCGCTACACAACAATGTGCCAAAAACACAGAAAATGCCAATCAGAAACTTTTCAGATCACGCCCTTACCTGTCCTTCCTCGACATGGTCAGACCATCGTGCGAAGCCTCGCTCCTCGGCGTGGTGGTACCACTTTCCTCCCCTTGGTGCCAATCCTCCACGCTGCTTCTTCTGTGCCCTCTACTCCGCATACCGCTTTTTATCCTCCTACTAACCTCATCCAAGTTGCCATCGATCGTGCTAAAAGGCTTAAGTTGGAAGCCCTGCCCAAAGCCTCCACTCGGCTTGCGACTGTGATGCCTCTTAGGCGTACTCGGTCGCGTACTGAAAATGTCCTGGTTCGTAAGATCGGTAAACGACTCGTTCTTGTGAAGTCCATTGCGGTCCATGGAGGGCGATGTTGGGGAGGCAGGGAAGTCATAAGATTCGACAGGCTCAGGTGCTTCATGTTCAGCATCTTCTTTTGATTTCTGCGGCGGTGGCGTTGTAGGCGGGGACTGATTGAAGGGGTCTGAGATGATGCGCTTGGAGTGGAAGTCGTCAAACATTTCGGGACCAAGAGTATTGATGATGTCGGTGATGCGTTCAGCGAGCTTTTCGCGGCGGGCCTGGGCCCTGGCGAGTTCGTTACCTGTCCATGGATTCATCATTTTGAAGAGTGGTCCGAGCGACCTGGCAATGTCCATAGCCACTTCTCCGAAACGCAGTGCTGCATAGGTAACGGTAGGGTAGATGATCACCTGCGCCAGGATGAGGTACCTCTTCCTTAAACCATCGGGTAGAAACCCGAAAACGCGGTTGTAAGAATAAAGCCACGTGACAAGGACGACGTAGTAGGTATAAACCAGGGGGGTGACAGCCATGGCGACCAGAAGTTTCCAGGTGGCGAGTACATCTCTAGCCTGTACCTTGACGTTGGACTCTGCAAGTGCTTGCTTCGCCTTAACGTTTGAGTAAAACTTGCACGCAGCGAAGACGAGGCCGAATAGGAGAGTGCCAGGAACCACAAATATAGATAGTACAGCGAGCTTCGCTAGTCGATACCAGAACAGAAAGAAGCATGTGACACCGCTGACTCTGGCATATTGTACCTGGTGATCTCTAACACCAAGAGCCAAAATTTGTTTGTTGTAGCTCATGACCTCCTTCTTGAGATTGATGATGCGTGGGTCGTCCTTGTACTTGTTGTAACCCTGTATGAGGCGGCGATTGAGTTCAACTACGCGGGGTAGCGGGAGTTTCGTGCCTTTTGGGTTGTAAAGACGACGTACAGCTTGGATCAACTGACGAACGTATTAGCGAAGGATATACATAGAGCTAAAGCTGCATACCATGAGTGTGTCGTAGTCAGGCGCTGTTACTGTGACGGAGATGAGCCCTTCTCGGATAGTCTCCAGCATCTGGCCGATAGCCTCTCGTCGTTCACCGGCTTGAAACCTCTGGGCAAGTTCGACAGGGACCTCGATAGCGTTGCCAAATTCGATGACAGCCCTTGAGCGAAACTTGTGGGCGTGAAAGTAATTCATACCCACAGGGATGATCTTCAAGTTACAATCCGGCTTTGAGGCTACCGTGCCTAATGACATAATGGCAACACCAGCTGGGTGGTGTTAGTTGAGTGATCAACCGCACATTGCACTTCTGGACCCACCTTTTAGGGGTAGAAGCTCCGTTCGATCGTGACTACCGCCTTCCGGGAAGATAGCAATAGTACCTCCGCGGTGTAGTACGGTATGCACGGCATCATAAACTTCAGTCTGGTTGAGCTTCGGCGCAATCTGAAAAACGGTGCCTTCGTAGCCGGGAGCAGGACCAATTGCAGACGATGCGCCGTTAACGAATGTCCCATCCTCGGTCATGTCGTTCCGGCCTGTCAACTGCTGCATGGCGACTCCACCCTTGAAGGGTCGCTTCAGCCTTATTTCTTCCGGGCCTTTGATCTCTACTATTTCGGCAGAAGCCGCCACATTGTTAACCTTGGGCAAGACCAGGGATCCTCCGATCTGGAAGTCCTGAGCCTCAAAATTTGTGCCTACACCGCGTACAAGGAGAGGATCGTTGACGGGATCCGGAAGGTATATCTTCCCCGGTGCTGGTCTGGTCTTGTCCATTGCTCGTCCAACAGGCACGGCACCCGAAGCGGCTGCCATTGTGCCCACAAACCTGCGCTTCATCGACTTTTCGGCGGTGAGGACGTGTATGCGGCGCTCCGTCTCTTTTTTGACTACGCGCATCAAGATCAGAGGATCGACGAACTCCCAAAGTCAGTACGATTCCGGGAGCACGACCGGCATTGCAGCTTACCTGGTTCGCGTGCGGTGCACACACGAACAGGACAGGCCCTTCCTTGGGCACCTTCCAACTCCCTCGTGGGTGCACCTCGCGGAAGAAGAGCTCCACCAACACCGAGAATGTCCATAGGAATGCATCGTAAACGTATTTGTTCATATACCCGATTTCCTTCTTCTTAGGCGCCATTTTGCTCGCTGCCGGCTCCGGTAGGTTCGCACTCGACGAGGAGGGAAAGAGTGTCTGTTCGTAAAGTGGACGGGCGAAAAGACCACGGACTTTGTCGGAATCGGAAGGCGGGTGGTGGATCTGGGCACTGAGTACCACGTTAGCCATTGCAGGTGCCATCTCCATCCTCAGGCTTCACAATCACAAACCTGATCGAAAATCCGGGGGCTCCGCCTTATCTACTACTGCCAACGATTGCGTTATGGCCCACTATCCGCGTCCAACACTCAGGCCATGGTAAGTCGTACCGTACCAACGCACTCGTCTGGTTGAGGGTATATCTTTGCGAAGCGATAGCCGAGGTTCGGGCCGCGAATGCTCTTGCTGTGGACGACGATAATGCGTGTGGTGAGGCGCTATCGCTGCTGTTGAGGCTCCGGACGTGTGGAGCAGTGCAACCAAAAGCTCGGTGGTGTGCAATCACGCCAGGGTTGACAGCGCGGGGCACTCGCTCACGGAGGACGCCGCGCCAATCACTTCACGACTCGCCTTGCTTGCTGAGACCTCCGCCATCAGTCTCCAACATCACGAAACCTCCACATTTGCAGCCGTGACATATGCTTGCTACAGTGTCACCAACGTTCGCATTTAGACATGAAAAGATGTGCACGCATTAGCACCAGCACAACCGAGCGAGCATGCGAGTCTATCAAATAAATTACTATTCCAGGCCCTCGATACCTTTTGGAAGTAGCCATGCTCTATAATGTACCGCGGATTGGCAGATAGAGTGCCAAGCCTCAAATCGAAAACGCCTCCTATGCAGTCCTATGCTGGCTGGATGGGAGTATTACATGCTATGCAATGAGGAGAAGGGATATCTAACAAGGAAACAAGATCCGTTTTGGATGGAGGAAAGGAGGGGCCCGCTCCGCAAATTGACCCAGGTATATCGTACGTATCAGACATCTACAAGAGAACAGCCAGGACCGCTAGACCAGCCGCAGCAAAGACAGTGCTTGCGCCCATCTTCAAGTTGGAGGCAGCGCCCGGGAAGACCTCAACGGCGCTGCTGTTGGCAGGCGGTGGGGGCGAAGGAGGAAGAGCACCAGTCGGAACGATGGTGGGAGTAGTATTGTTCGCCGGAGGGGCCGGAGGAGCAGCTGGCGGCGGCGTAGCCTCAGTGGGCGGGTTGACGTAGACGGTGGTCGTCTTCTTTCCAGTGCAAGTGCAGGCATGGGCCGTGGAGTTCTTAACCTCGCCAAACTGGCCGCCCGGCTTGCTCGTGGGAGTGCTGGTTGGCGCAGGTGTCTCGATAGGGGCGTAGAGGCCAGCAGAGTAGGAGAGCTGAGGAATGTCGGTCGGGACGCTGGCTGTGTCGGACTGGCTCGAGCTCACGTTGGCGACTGGAGCACTAGTGGGGTAGCCAGCTGAAGCCTCGCTGGCTGGTGGGGCGGCTTCGCTCGACTTGGGAGCCTTGCTGGATTCCGGAGCATCCTCGGACTTGGGTGCATTGCTGGTCTTAGGGGGAGTGGCGGTAGACTTGGACACGTCGCTGGACTCAGGGGCAGCAGTGGAGCTGGACTTGGGAGCCGCAGACGAAGAGGGCTTGGAAGGCTCCGAGGACTCTCCACCAGTGCCGGGAAGAGTGCCCTGCTGAATCATAAGGCAGGCCTGGGTGACCTCCATGGCGGACATCTGCTGGCCGACACCGGTCTCTCCATCGAAGTCCTGGTACCATCGAGAACCGCAGGCGCCAGCATCACCAGTGCAAGACTTGGCAGCGGCCGAGGCAGACTTTGTGAGGTATGTGGTGATCTGGTCCTTGGTCGAAGGCACAAGGATCGCGGTCTTTGCCATCCAACGTCCGAGGTAGGCCTTGAACGATTGCTGGTCCAGGTTGCAGTTCTTGCCGCCAACGCTGTTCTCGCAAACCTCGAACATGACGTCCTTGACTTGCTTGGGGTTGTTGAAGAAGATGGCGGCACGGCTCAGGAAGCCCTCGGTACGCTGCGTCCACTTGTCGTCCTTGGTGTAGGAAGCCATGAAGGCAGACCCGTGGATCATCATAGCGTTGTTGTAAGTCCACTCCGTCTTGTCGGCGACCTCCTTACAGTTCGACTTATCATCGGTTCCATCAAAAACCTCGAAACTGTCACCAATAAGGCCGACCTTCTTCTCCCAGTCATAGATCTTCTCGGCCCAATCTGCGTAGGTTTGATTGCCAGTGAAGCGGGCAAGGCGGGCACCGAGAGCAAAGGTGGCGCCGTTGCTGATGGAGTTCTTGTAGTTGTACCCATAGTCGTTCTCCGGGTAGATTTGCCACTTCAAACCTCCGCCGCACGATGTTTCGTCCCAGCGAGCAACAATGTTGTTGAAGCAGTTCTTGCTAACTTCGAGGTAGGTTGCTGGTGCATCCGCAGGCTCGGGGAAGCCATATTCGGCTGCCGACATGGTCGCAAGACACCAGAAGGCCTGGTCATCGTTGCCCTGCAATACGTTAGACGGATAACACCGAAATACCAGCATGTGGTTCATACCGTTTGGTCACGCTTGTAGTCCAGGATGAAGTTGTTCTCCGGGCCGTAGTTGGCAGTCAGACCCTGCTGGATCGTCTTCACGTACGAATCGTCTCCGACGATGTTTGTGTACTCGACCATGGCTCCCCAGAGAGCACCAGACTCCCACCAGTAGTGAGGCTTGGGAATGTAGCCAACCTCTTCCGCCGGAAGACCTGAGGCATTCGCGCTGTAGTATGACATCAAGCCATTGGCATACTGTGAGATGGCGGCCTTGAGCGAGGCCTCGTCGTCCACCTTGAGCTCGACGGCGCCCACAGCAGCAGCTAAGGGAAGGAGCGCAGCTCCGATGGTAGAAAAGGATCGCATGGTTGATGCTGGGAAAGGAAAGAAACGCAGACAACCAAGTAAAGAATGTGGAGCTTCGTGGAAGCAAAAGAACGTGTCGGTGAAGAGGCAAGCGGCCACCGTTGAATGCGGAGGGTGCAATCAATTAAAGGTAAGCAGGCGCGGTGCCCCGTTCGCATGGGCGCGAGCATTCACTAGGCCGGCGTGGCGCTAGAGGGTACCTGGTTTCGAAACAGCAAAATAGAACGATGCCCAGCCAATTAGGCAAGTGCCAGCTCGTTTCAGGCAGTGGCCCCGTGCATAAGCCTCGCCAATTGTCCGCTCGGAGTCCTTCACTTCGACGACAGCGTCCCCTAATCTTGTGCGGCAGAGCGCGGGAGCGCGCCGCCGACTCGCAGCGCCTAGATGCGCAAATCACAATCAAACAGCGCGTTGCGACTTCGTCTGTCCTTTGCCAGCCTCCATCTGCGCGCGTCTGCGGAGCCACCAGCACATCCTCTTGTTTCGTTTGTTTGTTCTGGACTTGGATCTGCCCAGGCCTATGCGCCGGACTAGGTATGATGAGCGGAGGCGGCCTGACATAATGCGGAACTTGGAGCTGGAGATGATCCCCGCGAGCACAGCCACTGCATATGGGAGTGCGTGGAGGAGGCGTGGGTGAACTTGCTGTGGAAATCGTCTGGACCTCAAAAGGTGGAGCTGCAGGTCGCCAATGCAAACCTTGCTACCATCGCAGCCCGCTCCGGAAACATCGCAGACAGGACGCTGCAAAATGCATGTCTCTTCTGCCCTCATCAACCCCCAGCGATTGGCTGTCGCGCGCTGTGAGACAGCATCGGAGTCGTGCTCGTGTTCGGACCCCTGGGAACGCAGCCCTACCGGACACGTGCACTGCCGCTTTCGTACGACCAAAGGACATTGTCAAACTACCAAAAGCGTACAATTCCATTCAAGATGCCATGTAATCGGACTCACAATGGAACCACTACCCTTGACGCGCCACGCATCTATACCATGAGTCTATCCGTAAACACCAAGTATGTCGCTAAGCCCAAAAACCAAGTCATTACACCCCTCAGGACGCACCGCCCAACCTCTCCTCCTTCTTGACCCGCTCGGCTTCTTTGAAGTCGGCAACTTCATCCCTTGTTGCATTGTATGCGATCGCCGCCTGGTTCTTCGGGTTGTCGGGATGCTTGTCGAACTCTTTCCTAATCTGCTCGACCTTCTGGTTCCGTCTCAAGCCCTTCTCGTCCTTCATCTCCTCAAGTCTGCGCTCTTCGTATGCTGCATAGGCAGCCTTATACCTCCTCTCGGGGTGTCGGTCGATCTTGTCGGCATCTTTGGCAGTGAGACTGAGCGCATCTAGAGCGTTGTCGATACCAGTGGCGCTGAGCGAGCCCAGAGCAGAGTCGATACCGCGCGTCTTCTTCTCGGCCTTTTTGGCACCAGCGCCCTTAGGTTTCGAGGGCTGTGATGCTTCCTCCTCCTTAAGCAGCGCATCCTTCTCAGCCTTCTTTCGAGCGGCTTCTTCCTTCTTCGCGGCGGCGGCGTCGCTGCTGCAAGTAAATAGTGGATCATCGGACGGTGCAAGCGACTTACGCCTTCGAGTTCGACTTTGAGCCCTGATCCCACTTCTTTGCCTCTGCTACCTGTGTCTCCTGTTCTTTCTGGGCTTGCTTGCCCGCCGCCGCTTCTGCCTTGCGCGCCTGGCCTTGAGCCTTCTTGGAGCCCTCTCCTCCACCCTTCTTAGGACCCATACTGAGCTGTGAAGTACGGAATATAATCAGCTGCTTTCTAGAGATGGACAGAGGGAGGGAGTCGAGAGTGCGAGTTCGCAGCTGGAAAGGTCTCTTTGTGACTCGAATAAAAAGGTGGTGGGGTCACTCTGCAGGTCCAGCAGCGGGGCGCACGCCACTTCACGTCACACGGCCCGCACGGCCCCGAACCTTGGAATTGGTTGAAGCTTCCGTGACCCTTCTCAGTTTACACTTCACTGATCCAACCTCATGACTCTTGTCACAGTTCATAGGATACATAACTCGACTGCACAGCCAGCAGGCTAAGCAGCTGACGGTTCATGCGCCGTGATCGAGACCTGATGCGCTCCTCCTTAGCATACTCTTGAGTACTCGTACAGCACACCATGTGAGGTCTAAGACATCTCAGTGCTACCATGACTTCTCGCCTACCTTGTATTGTGTGGGATCGTCTATGCATGGCGTTGTAGGAACGCGAGCCGGACACGCACACACATGGCCACTAATATCAGACTACCCGGTTCTGAACCCTGCAGATGCATCTGTCGATGCACAGCAGTACGATTCTCCATATTGCGGTTACAGTCGACATGCATCGTAGAACGCGAAGTTGCAATGGACCCAGAGTACCTTCTCGATGCTCTAGCACACTCGGAATAGCGTCCTACCGTTCAGCGTCGGCTAAAGTCAGCGACCGTCGTTCATAGACTGGGTGTGGGGAGATCGCTGCTGGGTAAGCATAATGACGATGGAGGTGCGTGGGGTATTTAGATACAAGGAGATCCTGTTCGTGCTGTTGCGTGTGCCTGTCTTCAGCTGGAGACACTTTCTGAAGCCTCAACCGCATGAGGTGGGCACATCGAGCTCAGCTACAATCTCATTGGCATAACTTTTAACACAACGATGGCTGTTCCGTTCCCGATCCTCTCCAAAATGGCTTCATTACTATCTATCCTTATTGCCGCAACGGCACCAATGGCCTCCGCCTCCGTCCAGGACCCCAAAATATCGTCTCGACCACCCATGGGCTTCAACAACTGGGCACGCTTCATGTGCAATCTGAATGAGACACTGTTCACGCAAACTGCCGATTCAATGTTAGAGAAGGGTCTCCTCGCCGCTGGCTACAACAACATCAATCTTGACGACTGCTGGCATGTCCAAACTGGGCGTAACGCCAAAGGGGAACTCGAATGGAACTCCACCCTTTTCCCCCACGGCATGCCCTGGCTGGGTGACTATCTCCACGACCGAGGCTTCAACTTTGGTATCTACACGAACGCTGGTAATCAGACGTGCGGTTTGTACCCAGGCTCGCAAGACCACGAGGAGATTGATGCAAAGACGTTTGAGCGTTGGGGTATAGACTACGTCAAAATAGATGGATGTCACATGGATCTGCAGCACAACCGCACATACTACGAGGAATTCGAGTATCGGTACAAGCTTTGGCACGAAGTGCTCACCACGAAGCTCCAGGAACCGCTCACCTTCAGTCAATCCGCGCCTGCGTACTTCAGCCCGAACTTTCACCTCGATCAAAACAACACTGATTGGTACCGCACAATGAAGTATATCCGCACAACTGGGGAGCTCGCTCGTCATTCCGACGACATCAAAGTCTACGGCAACAACCCCACCAATACCTTCGAGCCCGGCGGTCACTGGGAGTCCATGATGAACAACTACATTATGGAAGTGCGACTCTCGCGCTACCAATCCTGCGGCTTCTTTAACGACCCTGACTTCCTTATCGTCGACTGGCCGGACCTCAGCCTCGACGAGAAGAAGACGCATTTTGCGCTTTGGAGCTCGTTTTCTGCGCCGCTTATCCTTTCTGCATGGATTCCGGACCTTACAAAGGAGGAAGTGGCGTATCTGACCAATAAGGATATCATCGACGTGGATCAGGATGCGCTGTGCGAACAAGCTACCTTCGTCTCCCAAAACGAGGACGGCGCCATCGACGTCCTGACCAAGAACCTCGCGAACGGAGACCGCCTACTTACCATTTTAAACCACGATAACAAGACGCACACCGCCATCGTGTCTCTTGAGCGACTGGGCATCGATTCTGAGAAGTCATATCAGGCGAAGAATCTCTGGACAGCCAAGACGAGCACCGTACGCAACGAGGTGCGCGTCAAACTGGCGAAGCATCAAACGGCTATCTACCGCGTTTCTGGCGATTCTAACAAGGCGCTCAAGGTTACGCCTACAGGCCAGATCTTCAACACATTTTCGCTGAACTGTCTTACCACGTCCGCATCTTCTCAACACGGCTCGTCGGACGTGAATTTCGCCGCCTGTGAGGGGAGTGATGAGCAAGTCTGGCAGATCTCTTCTCAAGGCCTCGTATACTCATTGGCTGACAGCAAGAGCTGTCTGACCGCAGACGCTAATGATGTAAGTCAAGAGCGATGCAACAGCAAGCAGAAAGGCCAACAGTGGAGCTACGGCATCAGCGGGAACCTCGTTACTAAGGCGAAGGGCCTCTGCTTGACGGAGGGAAACCGCGGGAGCGTCAGCATCAAGAAGTGCGGGAGGGCGCTAGACAGCCAGGTCTTTGCTTTACCCGGAGGTGTGAAGCTGGACAACTAGCTGATTAGATAGATTGGCACGCGTAATGTGAGTGTGCTTTACAAAAGACGCGGAGCCGTCGACGCAGCATGCGTTGAGCTGACACCGGGTGATGCTGTCTATTCCCCTTCATTAAGATCTGTCTTCGACATCACCGCAAGGGCGAAGTCACTGCATTATCTACACATCTATCCATTCATCCGCATCCCGAGCCTCGCAATGCTCGTAATAGCTTATCCAATGACAAGTCACAAACATAACAACACGATCTCCAGGGGTATTATATAGTACAACCGACGTATAAGCATCGGTACAAGCTTCATCAAGACGCCGCGACTCCTTGCGCAAAATGCATGAGTCGTTGTCGTGGGTATTCGTTTTCGATTTACGTGGAAGCCGGGGTAACCGACTTGGAGAGATTCGACTTCGGCAGTTGCGACTCCTTGCGCAGCTGGCGCACCATGGCCTCGAGTTTGCGCCGTTCTTCTTGCTCGGACTGTCTATCTGTCAGCATGTTCTCTCCAGGCCTTCGTATAGAAATTCGAAAACTCACCCTCAAAGCCCGCAACGCCTCAGCCGTACGATCCCTCATCATCTTCCTAAAATCCTCCCTCAACATCCTAATGCTCGTCGCACCTTGGTCCGGCGTCGCAGTCGCGCCCGCAGCCACACTAGGGCTCCGAATACCCAACCATTTAACCCTCTCATCGCTCAGCTCAAGCTCAAGCAACTCCTTCTCGTCCCTGAGCCTGTCGATGCTGGCCTCGAGCGCATCGCGGTCCTTCTCATTCTGGATTGCGTCGCGCGTGAGCTCTTCATACTCTATCGCCATGCCGGCAAGCTCGGCCTTGACGTTGCGCTCGTTGTCGCGGGCTTCCTGTTCTGACTGAGATGCTGCTTCTGAAACCTTTTGAAGAGCTGTGATCTCAGCGAGAAGAGCCGTATTTGTGGCCACGATCTCGTCGAGCTCCTTCTTAGTGGTGGCACCAGATTCGGCGGCGCGTTCGGCGCGGGTGCCATATGCGCCGTCGAGCTCGGCTTTGGCAAAGGTGAGTTCAGTGGTGAGGCGGACGACTTCGCCTTCGAGGTTGCGCAATTCTTCTTCCTTACTCGAGAGCGCCGTTGTGGCTTCCTTGGCGCGGGTTTCTGCTGCTTCTTTCTGCGCAGTGGCCGCGAGGAGGGCGGTGGATGCTTCGTCGATCTTGGACATAGATTGAGCAAGTTCGGCTTGGATGGTGGCGGCTTCGGCGCGGGATTGTTCTTGGGCTTCTTTAAGTTGTACTTCGAGAACGGTCGTACGTTCTTGCGCTTCGTGAATGTGCGCCTCGTAGCCCAGGCTGCGCTCCTGTGCATCGCGGATCTGGGCCTCGTATGCTGCACTTCGCTGCTCCGCCTCACGAATCTGAGCTTCAAAAGCGTTACTTCGTTCCTGAGCATCTAGGATCTGAGTTTTTAGGCCCGCATTACGCTCTAGGGCGTCACGAAGTGCTTGGTCGTCAGCTTGAACTTTCGCTTCATCGAAGGCTGTCAGTTGGCCCATTGCTCGCTCGAGCTCTGCCTCCATAGTCTTCTTCTCTGAGCGCGCACTAAGAACTTGCTCGTTGAGCCTGTTGACCTGCTCTTCTCTTTGTGCATCTGACTTGCTGTTGAGCTCGCGCTGTTGCTTGATTTGTCTGATCAAGATAGACTGCTTGTCCTTGAGAGACATGGCCCTTCGGAAGATTGTCTGTATCTTTGAATCGAATGCTAGCAGAGAGAAAGTCTCTTCACCCATATCGCTTTCGTCAGGAGACACCTCTTCCGTATTATCAGGGTCATCTGCAATTAAGCGTCGTCGTTCACGTTTCCGCTCACGTGCTTCTTCTTCGCCTCTCTGTATCATCTGCCAAAGCTTCGTCAAGGTTGTTTCGTACTTCTCTAAGCCTTGTTCGGTGGCCGCATCTTGACGCAAATCGTCCAGTTGGTCATTCAGAGCATACTGTAGCCGCTCGATGCTATAGAAAGAGTCTTCTAGATAATCGAGCTGCTCTTGCAAGCCGCTCCCGGTGACCGAGGGCGGTGGTGGCACGTTGTCGTCCGAAGCGCTAAGCATGGCATACATCTGGGTGTTGATCCCCTGTAACCGCTCTTCTACAGCTCCATTGGCGTCTGTGGAAACCTTCTGTGTCGCATGCTCGGTGCTAATATCGCGAAGACCTTGGTCTAGGAAGTCCAGTTGGCGTTCGAGCTCAGCAGCGTCTGGCGTGGCTCCAGATGCTTGTGGAGGGGGAGGATACCTCTCATTACGTTCCGGATTTGCCTCTATGATGAGCCCTCTCAAGTTCTCGTTGAGCTCTTCGAGGCGCTTGCTCATGGCGCTCAGCGGTTCATTCTGTTTGTCGACTGAGTGCGATTGGTGGTGTGTGCCGTTCTGCAAGGCGTTCATCAAGCTGTCAAGATTCTCCGGTGACCGGTAGAGACTCCTTTCATCAAATCCGTCGTCTCTCCCTCCGAAACCTCTTTCATTCTCATACGTGTATATGCTCGCAGGACTGTCTGGTCTTCGGTCTCCACCATTATTCATATCCGCATTCTGTTTTCGCTTTCGCGGCCCGTTGTGGGTCAGCTGCAACACGGCAGCAGTGTGCATCAGTAACTGCATGTCAATGAGGCGCATGCGTGACTCGACCTCCAACAACTCGCGCGTAAAATCCTCCACCTTTTTGTCACTAGCAGCCAGCTCATCTAGCGCCCTGACGGATGTGTCCTTCACTGGAGGACTGCTCCTGCTGCTGAGGCCTCTCCGGTGTCCTTTATCTTCGCGAGAATTGAGGCGGGTCAGTGACCGCGCGGCATCTCGAATCTTGGTCTCAGATTCCAGGCGCTTCCTCACGGTACTCAACCGCCCATCCAGGCCCTTTTGTTCCTGCTTCAACGCCTCCACCTCTTCCACTGACAGGATGTCAAAGTTCTGGCTGTCGATCATGGCCGTCTCCACCAGCAAGTGCATTGCGACCGGGTCACTGCCGAGGGCACCAGAACCCCGATTCTTGAAAGCGCGCGGCGTGTAGGGTCCATTGTCATTCGTGGAGGCATTGCGAGGGTCGACAAAGATATCAGCGGGCGGGATGAAGGCACTGCCGCCAAAGCGCGGGCTGATGCTGTAGGCCATGGGGAAGAAGCTCGGCGAGGTCGCTGGTATGCCAGAGGGATAGTTTGACGTCGGGGACGGGAAATCGTACATGGGGCGTGGGCTTAGGCCGCCGTACGGGTATTGGGTGCGCAGCCCATCGTTCGCCATGGTATGTGCGCCTGAGACACGGCGTTGTACACTGGCCGGACTGCAACGGCGTGAGAGGGTGAGGCTGTGGGGGCGCGCGATCGAAGGGTAGGCGGGAAGGATGCGCAGGAGTAAGAAGCAGGCCGGCCAGAGTCTGCAGGCGGAGGCCAGCTTTTCATCGAGTGCGCTGCATGTTAGGCGGCGGACTGGTCAGGAGAATGCGCGAGTGGAGATTGCATTGAGGCTAGCAGGCGCGAGGATGAAGGCGCATGTCGAAGCCGCTGCCGCTTGTCATCCAGCCAGGGGCAACTTGACTACCGCGCGGGTGGGCCGTGGCCATCCATCCCGCATCCGGACGCCTTGATCAGCCGCATACCCCACGGTCTCGTCCCTGCGCTTCCTCATTGCGACCGTCAGACCTCGTTGGCGTGCACCCTTCTTGCGGCAACGTTCCTGTGCATGTATAAACATCACGTCAACATGCTAGTCCAGCCAAGTGCTCCGTGGCGTCTCCGCATGGTTGGCCCATCACAGACGTTGACATTGTTGCCCGTCTCATCTCCAGGCGTCCCTGAACATCATTTCCCAGCATGTCAACTCCACAACGCCCCGTCTACACGTCAGCGCAGATTGCAAAATACTTTGACCGCCTCAAGTTGCCAGAGGAACAGCGCAAGTACGATGCTGCAGGCTTGAACCCGAGGATGCGCTGGCATACCTGGCTTTGCTCCAGAAACACCATGTTGTGGAGATACCATTCGAGAATCTGAGCTTGCACTACTCGCCACATCGTCAAATATCACTCCACCCGGAAGCACTCTTCAGGAAAATCATTGCCGATGATAATGGGAGGGGCGGCTATTGCATGGAGAACACCGGACTGTTTGCAATATTGCTGCATTGGCTGGGCTTCAATAGCTATTCAGCGGGTGCTCGCGTTTTTAATGAGCGACTGTCTGGATGGTGAGTGACCATTACCATCCAGGCATATCTAAATAGTAACCTTCCAAGGTTGAATAGGGGTCACATGATCATATTGGTCAAAATCGGAGGCCAAAAGTACCATGTAGACGTTGGCTTCGGCGCCAATGGACCCATCATGCCCATGCCACTTGATCGCTCAGGCACAATCCGGTCACACATTACCCCAGCCTCAGTGCGCCTTCAGTGGAAGGATATACCGCAGAATTCAGACCCCGATCAAAGGCTCTGGATTTACGAGCACAAGATCAACGAGGAGCTTGACTGGGAGATGATGTACTGCTTTACCGAGCTCGAATTCCTACCGGGCGACTACCGCGTCATGAACTTGAGTACGAGCACCAGTCCGACGACTTTCTTCACGAAGATCGTTTTCATGGAGAAGAAGCTGCTTGGCGAAGATGGTGAAATAATAGGGAACATCATCTTGGGGACTGACGCCAAGTGGAGGATACATGGAAACAAGGAAAGAGAGATAAAGTTCGAGAGCGAAGAGGATAGAGTAAAGGCGATCGAAGAGCATTTCGGGGTCAAGCTGGGTATCGTAGAGAGGGACAGCTTCTTAGGCCTGGTGTCACAGATCAATTCGGAACGGTAGCTGGTATTTTCTGTGTGTAATTCAGGTGAGTTGTTGGATAACGGTGTAAATGAAGGCTCGTATTCTAAGCATGATGTGCGAAGTCTTGAAATCACAGAGAATCTCGGGCATGCGGATCGACTGCATTTTTGCAAATGAGAATGCGGAAAGTGTACATTGGCTATTGAACAGTTGGGTTGCTTGTGTGTATCGTCTAGATGTATCGTTGCTCCATCTGGCCGCGGTTAGTACTACCCGGCCGCTCGTACCTTCTGTACGTACCCTCCATGGGTTGTTGAGCTCGAAGCCCGCTGGTGCCTCGGCCTTGTCGGTCTGTCCTCGAGCAAAGCCCGTTAATCTGCGGTCGCGTTCGAGCACTGCGTCGCTTTAGTATGTGGCTGAGACCATCGTGAAGGTGTCGTACTTTGCTGTAGCTGCGTTAGCCATGGTTTATGTCTCGAAAATGAGGTTGGTACTTACCCTGTCCCACGCATCCATGCCGCGCCTGGTCTTCTTTCCTCCGTTCTGCATCTCTTTGAGCTTGCCGACGGACACGGCGCTGAATGCGAACATCTACAGACGTTAGTGAGCGCCTGCAGCGAGCGATCCGGGCCATTGACGTACGCCGAGCATGATCCCGTACGGGAGGAGGGCTTCGAATGGCACACCCATGGTTGCGACGCTCACGGAGTGTGCTATGTGGTGTTGGGGTGGGGGTGAGTGAAGTGCAGCTTGGGGTACGTTCGGGTCGTTAGCCAGAGGTTGGGACGTGGATGGAGAAGCTTGGCGTCTGCGACCTCACCCAACTCAGGAGGCTGCTCTTCAGACGGCGGATTCTCACCGTCCACGCGCTCTCCAGCCCAGAAATAAATATTCTTGGTGTCGCTCGACGCTGCAGATTTGCCAGGATCGCGAAAACCCGTACCTTTTACCCCAAACCGGCCACAAATATCGCCCACGGCGGCCGCCACAGCTGCACAGTAACAAACGACGCGCCTACAACCGTTCTGCATCGACTCCCAGCGTTCTGAAGCCCTGAGCAATTATAATACATCATAAAAACACGATACCGACACATCGAGCATTTTACCGGACACCACAACGCGCTACGACGCCTGCACGACGCGCCCGCGAACGCACTCCATGCTAACACCGCCGAGGTGCCCGCCGCCCGCACGATCGATGCAGTAGAAGGCGCAGTAAACATACACAGCGAATCTGGCGTATCTGGTATCAAAACTGGCGACTGTCGTGTCTTACGCCATGGCGGAGCCCGCTCGGCTCATGGGCCAGACCGCGGCCAACGTCGACGCAGACGACGTTGATGCGGACGGCGAGTACGAGGAAGATGACATGGGCTACGAGCAGGTCACCCGGGAGCAGACTCAGGATGAGGGGCACACCACAGACGCCGAGGGCTCCGATGTGGATGCCGAGGGCGAAGAGATAGATGAGGATGACGACAGCGAGCCTGTAGGCGCCGTCAAAATCGCTGCGCCCGAGGATGCCTTTTCTGAAGAGGAAGACGAGCGCGACGGAGACGCCGCAGTGGAGTCCTCATCGGACGCCAAGAGCAGCGCCAGCGAGGACGAGTCCGATAGCTCTGAACTTTCCGAAGCGGAGAATGGTTGGCAGGTGGAAAGCGAGAACGAGGAGGCTGATGCCGAGAAACCAGATCCAAATGTTTGCGTGTAAGTGTGAACGTCTACAAACTCAAGAGCCCAGAGTTGATCCTCTATAGATATTGTAATGAGGATGAGGATAATGACCCAAACGAGGAGTTCGAGGAGATTCTTTCATGTGTGGAGTGCGGAGATATGGGTAAGTGGTAACTTCCTAAGAATGTTTAAGTTTGTACGTTTCGGGGTAGCTGACATGATCTTGTTCCTGCAGCACATCGGCAATGCGCCCGCGACGCTAAAACCCTTAGCCCACATGATGGTAAGTCCATATCCGGCCGGCTTTGGTAAGGCAGTTGCACTGACTGGCTGTTCTTACAGATACGAAGAAATGGACCTGTACAGCTTGCATCAACAATGGACTCCACGAGAGCGATCGGGATGAGACCTCTGAATCACTCACTCGACGTAGGCTTTCGTCAGTGCCCAAACTAGCTCGAGATCTGCTGCCCTCGCATCGTGGGCACGTCCCGAAAGGGCACTCTATCTTCAATGAACTCATTCTTCCCGATGACTCAGCTGACGGGACTCGTTCGCTGCGGAAACGGAAGGCTTCGCATGAAGAAGAGGTGCAGCTGCCTGTCAGGCAAGCGAGGAAAAGGCGTAGGTCGTCCGAGGTCTCAAGACCGGATATGGAGAAATCTGCTGCTGCCTCACCGCTACGTGCGCCTGCCAGAAGTGTTATGACAGACGGAAACGAGACCGATGCTGCCCACCACACCGCCTCAGAGCACGAATCAAGTCGACTGCGTTCTGTGCGCGCTCGACGAACCAAACCCAAGAGGACTGACAAGCGACCACTGGCTTGGATCGACGAACCCCTCGGTACGAAAAGCCTAGTCATTGCTTTCCACCTGAACAACGAGAAAGTTCAGAAGATAGTAACTGCAAAGCCAAAGAAATCGGAGGTTAGACCCATGACCAGGGACGAGGAGCGGCGTGAGCGACGCCGCGAGAAGGATCGCGAGCGCAGGGAACGCAATCGCCGCGCCGAACGGGAAGCCCGGGAGTCAGTTGAGGAGACACACTATCCAGCGGCCCACAGCCAATTCGCTGCCCCGTTCTATGGATTTGCGGATAAGGAGACAGACGAAAACAAGAGTAAGCCATACGGTGGCATACTTTCTGAAGCAGACGCCGATACCTCAAAAACATACCCAACCGCAGCAGACAGGAAACGCTTTGAAGATGCCCGTCAGAAAGCGGAAGAAGATTGGAATCGGAAGCAAGAAGAGCTGTACGCAGGTCAAGAGCCGCAGAAACCCTTGAAACATACAGGCCCGCCCAGCAAGATAAAGTGTATCAACTTTGGCGGCTGGGAAATTGACACATGGCACGCCGCGCCATATCCCGAAGAGTACAGCAAGAACAGGGTGCTTTACATTTGCGAATTCTGCCTCAAGTACATGAACTCTGATTATGTAGCATGGCGGCACAAGGTATTCACAGTTCGTCGCTTTTACGGACCATGCTAACCTGCTTAGCTCAAATGCCCTGCAAAACACCCCCCAGGAGACGAGATCTACCGTGATGGCAAGTTCTCATTCTTCGAAGTCGATGGTCGCAAGAATCCCGTGTACTGTCAAAACCTGTGTCTCCTTGCTAAGCTTTTCCTCGGCTCGAAGACCTTATACTATGACGTGGAGCCATTCCTTTTCTACGTCATGACCGAGTGTGACCAATTTGGCCACCACTTTGTCGGGTATTTCTCCAAGGAAAAGCGACCTAGTTCTCTCAACAATGTTTCCTGCATTCTCGTCCTTCCCATACACATGCGCAAAGGCTACGGTCAATACCTTATCGAGTTCTCCTACCTCCTTACTCGCGTGGAGAGGAAAACCGGCAGTCCCGAGAAGCCGCTCAGTGACATGGGTTTGGTCAGTTATCGAAAGTACTGGCGGCTTGTCCTGTGCGAAGAGCTCCTCCACCAGAAGGGGCCCATCAGCATTTCCGCGATATCCGAGCGCACCGGTATGACCGCAGATGATATTGTTTCTGCGCTGGAAGGTCTCCGCGCTCTAGTGCGCGATCCTGTTACGAAAACATACGCACTTCGACTGGACTATGCGTATTTCAAGCAATACATTGACAAGTGCTACAGTGCTGGCAATCCAACAATAAACCCGGAACGTCTGCAATGGACGCCCTATGTAATGGGACGCTTTGGTCAGTACGAAGATGGACCAGCTCTACATACCGTGCAGCAACGCGATGAGGAGGACGAGGAAGACAAACCTGAGCCTGAAGAGGGTGTCCAATTGGAAATGGCTGCAAAGTCTACAAAACAAAATGGCACGTCGCAAAATGACTCAGCAATTGGCGAAGATGGTGGAGAAGATGCACCGACGCCTGTCCTTGCGGCCGAAGACTCCGTCAATGGCGGTTCGCCTACGCCTGGCACACCTCTTGCGAATGGTAGTACGGTTGCTGTCGCTGGGTCTCAAATCACAAGTGCACCATCAATTCCAGCAACCCGATTCGAAGTGTTCCCTCACATTCCTGGCCAGCAACCCCCAAAGCGACGAGCCGGACGACCCTTCGGTGCGCGACGTCGAACAAGCACGCCCCAAAGGAATCGTTCTCATACCTTGACCATAGCGACTGCGCCTGTTCCCCGCATACAGTTCTCTCCAAACGGAAGTGGCAAGGCCTCGCCAAGCATAAATGGTATGCATACACCTAGTATAAGCCTGCGACGTACCAGGAGCAGGCTTGGCGAGAGCGTAGTGAATGGCATCGATGATGATGAGCTTGAAGAGGGCGGTGAAGTCAAAGCACCCGGTAGACGAACAACTCGTAGCTCAACGAAAAGCCCGCACACCATCAAGAGTGCCAAAGGAAAGGGGAAGGCCCTGCCAGATAACGAGGAGGAAGAGGAGGAAGAGGGAGAAGAGGAGGAAGAGGAAGAGGAGGAAGAGGAAGGGGAGGAAGAGGAAGGGGAGGAAGAGGAAGGGGAGGAAGAGGAAGGGGAGGAAGAGGAAGGGGAGGAAGAGGAAGGGGAGGAAGAGGAAGGGGAGGAAGAGGAAGGGAGGAAGAGGAAGGGGAGGAGGAAGATGCGGAAGGGGAAGATGACGACGAAGATGCTGAAGGAGAAGACGATGATGAAGACGCCGAGGGCGAAGACGAGGATGCCGAAGGAGAGATGGATGTTGATGCGGAAGGCTCAGACGACGACGAGCTTATGCCTGACGCATGAGCACAAAATTGCGGACATTGTTGCCGTTGCTATATTTGAACGTGTGTATGTTTTGGTTGGAGTTTGAGAGGATTTGATATGGGCTTTTCGAGCGTAGCCACTTGGCCACAGGCTGCGAGGCGCTTCATTCGACTGGCGCATGTTCGTTCCGACTTTGCATTAGGGAAGATACCTTGGGAGGGAGTTGATTGAATATAACTACTGATCATTCTACAACCGCGCCTCTACTGTTGTTGCTACCCAGCTTGTTTCACTATATGTCGACATCCAAATCATCCCGTGCTCTTTTCGGTTCATCGGCCTAAAACATTCCGGACGCGATGTTGATCGCTCCTTGCTCTCCACCGCCAAACCTCCACCTTCATCTTAACCGGCGGAACACCCCGCAAGCGGCTCAGACCACGCACCCCACACCGGATCCCTCCGCTAGCCTGACCTCCACGTCCAGCATTGCGTATATATCAATTTCCTATTGCTCAATTTCCATAATGCTTGGCTGCATCCACAAGGCTAATGTACAGCTTCCATGCGCTAGCCTCAGCTTTTACCCGGATACCTACTCTGAACGTCATATGCGAGCAGGTACGCTAGTCGACAGGAGTTGCGCCGGTCATGAAAAGAATTCAATCTATAAGCATGAGCAACTCAACTTCGCTATTGCGCGACCATTCGACATCTGGTCTTCCCTGCGAGTGGCCTTCGGCAGTCAATCATGCTGGCACGGACCCTGAGAGTGCGCTCCTTGTCCCTCGCATTGTTGTTACGGGGCCTTGCAAGTGCGCGGGACTCTTCCCAGTTCCCGAACCCAATTCTCCCTGGTTTCCATCCTGATCCAAGCTGCACGTTCATCGCCGAGGAAGAAACATTCTATTGCGCTTCGTCCAGCTTCAATGCCTTTCCTGGCATTCCGATCCATGCAAGTAAAGATCTGACAAAATGGCGTCTCGTCGGTGAGTCTGTTCCGCGTTCGATTGTCTCCCATCTATTGCTGGCTGCCTGTATGCAACTACCGGCGCGGGGCCCATTAACCGCCATCTGAACCCACCGCTGGAATGTACTTTATGCATTGGCAGTATCACCAGATCAATTTACACCCTGTCTCAAGTCTTCCCACCATCGCTACGTGCCGTTCCGACCACCGGTTTCTCCAGCTCGCGTCCTGGCGCTTGCGTATCGATCGGCAGGGGTGAATTCCAAAAACATCCTGGCCCCCTTTCATTCGCTTCCGGAATGTTTCTTGCAGCTATCCTTGTTCAGCCGCGGAGACAGAACCCGGATTATGTTTCAGTCCAGAGTGTTAGCTCACTGGTGAGATTACAGGGAATGTGCTGAACCGCGAGAGTCAACTGCCTGAGCTTGCGGTATCGGTCGGTGGAACGAGCGGTATCTGGGCACCAACACTACGACTGCGAGATGGCACCTGGTATCTCGTGACTACTATGGTGCATGACAAGAAGGAAGCTGATGATCCTACACGTTGGCGAAATGTGTGTTCCCTCCACGCTAATAAAGTATTTGCAGTATTGCTAACAGTAGACTCACTATAGATCATCTTTACCACGGAAGACATCTGGAACGAGAGTAGTTGGAGTGACGCCGTGCATTTTGACTTCGAAGGTTATGATACGAGCCCTTTCTGGGATGACGACGGAACTTCGTACATAGTTGGGAGTCATGCATATAAAGTAGAGTATGTTTTAGGGATTAAACTCGTAAGTACTGTGGCTAATACGGCTAGGCCAGGAAACCATCTCGCCAAGGTGGACTTGGAGAGTGGTGAGGTTCAGAGCAATTGGACAAATTTGTGGTCTGGTACTGGAGGCCTTGTAAGTGGAAGATCTTGCTGATAATCCCGCCCACTTATCATTTCTAGGCGCCTGAAGGACCGCATCTCTACCACAAAGATGGTTACTACTACTTGATGATTGCGGAAGGTAGAGTTCCTCATTGTGTATTTGATAGGAAGAAGCTTAAAAACCGTAGGTGGGACAGGTCTCGGTCACATGGAAACCATTGCTCGGTCAAAGGATCTGTATGGTCCTTATGAGTCCAACCACGCTAATCCCATCTTGACCAACGCAAACAGTACTGAGTACTGTAAGACAATCCACTTCCCTTGGACTAGTCATCCTCTAATCGTGTTACACAGTCCAGACCATTGGCCACGCAGACCTCTTCCAAGATGCCAATGGCAATTGGTGGGCTGTTGCACTGTCAACGAGAGGTGGTCCAGCCTTCAAGATCTACCCAATGGGTCGAGAGACCATTCTCACGAACGCGACGTGGGACGTAGGATCTTGGCCCGTCATACACAACCCCGTCAGAGGTGTCATGAACGGATGGCCATTACCAGAATCAGATCAAGCTCTTCCTGGCAATGGGTAAGTCTTGATGCTCCTCCCATCTGGAACCGCGCTGACAGAAATTCAGTCCATTGGTTGATCAGGGCGATGACAACCTGCAATTCCCACCTAAATGTCAACTACCACCGCACTTCCTCCACTGGCGCCCACCAGTCAAAGAGAACTACGTTATTTCCCCCGCCAGACCACCTTCAATACCTTGGCCTCAAGCCTTCGAAGCTCAATCTGACCGGCATCGATGGCAACTCTGCCCCAGGAGGCCAAACCTTCGTGGGTAGAAGACAAGTCGATACACTGTTCACATACAGCGTCGTCCTAGACTATACTCCTAAAGCAGCACAAGAAGAAGCAGGCATCACACTGTTCTTAACACAGAACCACCACGTTCGCCTTGGCTTAACTCTACTCCCAACATCTGACACTGCGTCCGCCCTCACACCACACTTGCGCTTCACCACGGAGCCATACTCGTCGGCGGCACCTCCCTTCAGCATCCCAATGCCTGCTGAACTCCATGACGCACGTCTAGTCATGGAAATCAAAGCTGTCAACGAAACACACTTCTCCTTTGCAGTTGGACGCACTGAAAGCAAAGACCTCGCCGTGCTGGCGCACGCACCTGGTGAGATCGTGAGCTGGGGCTTCACAGGTACGCTGATTGGTGTATATGCGACGAGCAATGGAGGTAATGGGACAGAAACGGCGTACGTGAGTAAATGGACATATAAGGGGGAAGGGCAGATCAGGGGGTAACTACACCTTGTGACATCTTGGCAAGGGAAAGAATCGAGTAGATTAGACGTTTCGCTGTACCGGGTTGAGCCCCAGCCCTCTCCTTTCCAACATGGCACACGATGGGTAGCGACTCCTTCGGTAGCAACTGCGCCGTTGTCCGAGACTTACGCGCCATTCCGCGATCAACGTTACACGCACCTCATCCTCCCGATCCTCGCCTTTCTCTTTTCTCCCTTCAGCGTCGTGGACTGTAACCGACGCCGCAATGGCACGTTGCACAGGATCCACTACCAACTATTGAGCCGCGTACTGCAGGTAGGTGCGAAAAGGGCAACCGGTGTGACGCGTGCTATTCATGGAAGTACCTGGGCTCAGAAGAGGTTACACGGCGCGGACGTGGCTGCAGGTGTTGCAGACCGGTTCCGAGGATCGAAGGGATGTGCAACTTCAAGCTGGACGTGAATGCATCAGGAGCTGTGCGAATTGTAGAAGATCCATTCCATTGTGTAGGTGTTGCAGTGGTAATGGTGCACAGTGTTGATTGTAGAGCGTATTCCACGCTAGACAGGAGCTGGTTACCCGTTCCGTTCCTGCATCGATCACGTGTAGATAAAGCGAACCAAGGACCGGCACGCGAGCGGGGGTCTCCGCACCACCAGTGGCGGCGGGGACGACAGGGCGCATGAAGACGACGAGTCACCTTGTTATCCGCCGGGCTGCCAGCTCTCTGTGCACCCAATTCTTCACCCTGACAACGCGGTTGCGCGTACCCCTACGTCATACAACACCATTTACCGTGCAGGACCCCAAACATGCAACTCGCTACTATCGCGGTGCTGCTGATAGCGCCCTTCATCGCCCAATTCGTATATCGGTATTTGACGAATCCGTTGCGGAAGATTCCAGCTGCGCATCCGCTTGCACATTTCACCTCCCTGTGGATCAATTATGTGCGTTGGCGATCTGTCGAGAACAGGACGCTTAAGCGTGCACACGAGCGTCTAGGGCCAGTAGTATGTCTTGGACCGAACGAAATCAGCGTGAACTGTGTAAGGGGAGGCATAAGAGATATCTATGCAGGCGGCTTTGAGAAGGCCAATCTGCCTGAGACGTTCAACTGGTATGCATTCTTTACGAACTTTGGGTAAGTCGTTGATGCTTGTCGTATTGGGCGTTACAGGGTTGACAGGGTCTAGCGAGTCCAACATGTTCTCCACGGGGAAGAACAAAGCTCATTCGGCGCGTAAACGTATGCTCAGTAATATCTACAGCAAGTCTGTTATCAGTGGATCGCCGGCTCTGCTCGCTCAGGTCAGTATAATCATCTTTGATCGCCTTCTGCCGCGCCTCGCCTCGACCATCTCGAACGAAGATCAGGGGCTCTTGAACATCGGCCCGCTGCTCAATGCTGCTACCATGGATATCGTGTCGGGCTACATCTTCGGGCTGAAGTCGAGCTCCAACTTGATCAATGATCCAAAGCAATTATCATGGTTCCTTGGATTGTACAATTCTCGGCGGTCCTTCAACTTTTGGCCGCAAGAGCTCCCTGCTTTGACATCTTTCGTGAAGAAGTGGTTTCGGTATAGCTTGGTGCCGCAATGGGTCGACAAGGCCAACAAGGAGATTGAAGGCTGGACCAAGGGCATGTGCCAAAGCGCTGCCATAGTCATGTCACAGGGGGTTACGAATGTCGCGGACACCCCAGTCGTGTACGAACAGCTTTTTGCCGCACTTTCGAAGGAGGCAGTGAAGACTGGCGAGGATGGAAAGGACCGAAGTTCGCTGGCCGCGAGCGAAGTCCTGGATCAAATAGCTGCGGGCTTCGATGTGAGTCCGTCTGCCATGCTGTATTTTGTTTTCCGCTAACAGTACCGGAAGACGTCGGGCATAACCCTAACATATGTCGTCCACGAACTGAGTCGCAATTCCAAGATGCAAACGCGCCTTCAGCGAGAGCTCCGCACATTGGCTCCGCCTATCCTGCCGTCGTCTTCGCCCATTCTTCCGGACGGAAAAGCAGTCGACGCGCTGCCGTTTCTCCACGCAGTGATATGGGAGACACTGCGTCTTCATCCAGCCATTCCAGGCCCGCAGCCGCGTGTCTCGCCTCCGCAAGGATGTCGCCTTGGTTCTGACAATAACACGTACTATGTGCCGGGTGGTGTTAGGGTGAGTGCCAGTGCTGGCTTGCTGCACCTGAATGAGGAGGTTTATCCGCAAGCAGACGAGTGGAAACCGGAGCGGTGGCTTGAGCTCGAAAAGCTTGAAGGAGAGAAGAGAAGGGATATGGAAAGCAGATGGTTTTGGGCCTTTGGAAGGTCAGTGTACATCGGATGGAAGGCTGACGCACATGCTTACCTTACCCAGTGGCGGACGAATGTGTGTAGGGAGTCACTTGGCTGTGTTTCGTGAGTAGCTGCTCCCTTCCTTACACCAACAGGGTAGCTTGGCTGTACTAGTGACCACCAAGTGGCTAAGCACCGGGTCATGGAATGCTTGCTATAGTTACATGTTGGGGCTTGTGCAACACCTCGAGCTCCCTGGCTTGGCTGCGTCCAAGCACACCAGTGACACCTGCTGACATCATTCCAGAGATGAAATACATCGTCGCAGCCCTGTACTCTAACTACAGAACGGCTATCGTCGACGACACGGGTATCGAGCAATCAGACGCGTATACTGCACCTCCGCAGAATGACAAGCTTTTCATCAGGCTGCAGAGGCTAGACTCTTGAACCTGGGCATGTGAAGGCCAGGGGAACCTTTTCTCGACCCCTCACCGCCAGTTACAGTGGGCTCCTAATGCCGACTCCACAAGTTGCACCAGACGGGTTCGCTTTGGCTAAAATCTGGGGAGAGGGGTAACACTTCGAGAACGCCTGAAATCGGATGACATGCCTCATGAACGTGTTTGCATCGGTCTACCGACCTTACCGCGCTGAGAACCATGGTTGTAGATGCTCATTAGCGGCAGAAGTGGGCTTATGGCGTGCAATAGCCAGTAACCGATGCGAAAGCACTGAATTTCCGAAGACGGCGTTGGCTAGTGTGAGCGGTTTGGCTGGCGTGAATGTACTGATTGGTTGTTTCAGAAAATGATGAGAATGACCAACGTGATAGCGGTTGGCGTTCGGATTATTTGCCCCACCCCTTCACACTCCCGAAAGCAAGAGGTGAGAGTAGGACAAGCCGAAGGTAGACCGCTTGATTTCTGACTGTGACCCTGGCTGAACGATGGAAGCATGCAGCTTTGACGCGGGACTGTATTGGTAGTCTAGTCTGCGTTACCTCGTCATGGCACGCATGCGCATAACGCCTGTGGTCCCACCTATCTCGACCCATCCATGCGCGCAGCACGACAGTGATTTACATGCTGTGACCGACGATTCTGGATTTCGGTGCAGGCTTTCCATCGCGGGCTGCAAGGACTCCAAATTTTCCTTGCAAACGGGACACCAACTTTTCGTGGAATGTGGGGTGTTCATCGCACACATTGCTGAGCCTCTCTTAGGAGCGAGTATATTAGCATCCGGCCCCACTGTCTTCGCGCTGCAGTTTGTTCCATGTGAAGTATCGAGTTGCGGAGGTCTATTGACAGTGACAGCAACACCCGAATGTTCGGCTACGGTAACCTTGAGGCTAGATTGTCCGTGGAGCGGTGGAGCGGCCGGACAAGCAATACATCATTGCTCCAATGCATACTGTCGTATGAGGGGTTGACGAGAAGATAGCCTGGCAGGATTGGCCAAAGCCTCGAGAGGCACATATTGCTCAGACACCCTGTTAACACTATGCGGGCAAATGCAAACATCCATCAGCTTCGGCAGTGACGAACAGATGTTGAAATGCCAACGTCACGTTTGTCGAAAACTGAAGGAAGACCTGGCTTTGAAAGCACCAAGAGCCAGGTTTACGAATTCTCCGAGAACGTCGCCATGCCAGACCACATGAGCGTAGCCAGGCACCGTGAACGGCGTTACACATGGTTGCAACCCAACGTGCAGAAAGGCCGCAGCATTACCTCACCATATGATGCAATACAGGATGGTCCACTGTGCGCGTCTGCCGAAGTAATGCAATATATTCGCCCGCACAAAAGTATTGGCTGAGGCTTTGATGCCTCGTCCGCCAGGATACGCTTGCTTGACGCTTTAAGCATAAATCGACTATCCTTCTGGACAGCAATGCCCTGAAGCAACTTCTAACGATAGACGCACAATATCGAGGACTGGTAATAGTCACAGTGAGCATACAGAAGGCCGATAACCGCCGAGTATTAGTGTTTTGCTGAATGATTCGGCGTTTTTTACATGTGATTTACGATGCCAGCACCACAAGAGTCGTCGAGCTGCGGTTCTCGAAGGCCATATTCCCATCAAGGAAGGCGGACACAGGCGTCATGGCTTCCTCATTCGGGTGGCCAACACTGCGAGGATAGTGTCTCCCACTTGTTCTGAGAGCTGAGGACGGTGTAGACATGAGCGGAAGCTATTCCAGATAGGCGGGGTCCGGTGTAGACATCCGTGCCGGACAATGTGCGCTGTCTCAGGTCGAGGCACAGCGGAAGGGTGGCGGTATCCTGGAGAGGAGCCCAGAGTTGATTAAGCCCATATGAAGGCTTGCCATTTCGGCCGTGCGAATGGATATGCCAACAGCCGCATATGCAGTCGTATCTGCAGGTACGGCGGACGGGCCAGCTCTCAAGCTAGAGCGGAGAAGGAGATGTTGGACAGTGGAAGCGAGGTGTCTTCTGCTCCGACGAGACACCAAGCCGCACGCAGTCGGCTAGAATTGCGTGTCGTCACCAAGCGCGGCGGCGAGCTGGAGGCTGAGTGCGAGAGCTGAGGGCATAGGAGTGTTAAGACGATGCCGGCTATAGTGCGCTGTCGCTATCAGACGTATCGAGCCCACAGGATTGGGGTCTGTTGGCTAAACGGGCAGCGAATGAAGCGACCGGTTGTTGTGTAACATCGTAGAATTCTCAAGGTGCGTGGAGCGCAAAGCGCCCCGTTCCAACCTGGCAAGCAATCTGGACGGCGATCTCCTCCCACATCGCACCTCACCGCATCCCACGGCGTGATGCATGACGGCGTTCTCTGCGTTTGCATTCTGCCGCCAGCACTGCCCGCTCGCGCGCTCAACACCATGCGGGCCTTTTGATGCCGCCGACCAGAGGTAGCGCGCCGTCCGCTGTGACGTCTGCTCAGTGGTCAGGGTCACCATAGCACGCTGTTACCAGGCGCACCATCAGCTGGCGAGGCGTGTCCTGCGGTGCGACGTAAGTATGGCACTGGCGATGCAGCCAGCACCCTTAGCTCGCCGGCGTCTGTCAGTTCTCGCTACATCGAGTCTCGAGGTACTCGCAGCGCCGGCCATGTGCGTGGCCATGTCCCGTACCACTCTGGACGGCGGTGACTGGTCGCAGCGAATGCAATGGAGCAGCCTTCTGGCGCCGGGGTCTTCTGTGGCTCCAGGCTACGGGTCAGAGGAAGCGGCAGCGAGCGCGTGGGCGGAGGAGGAGCTGAGATATTGGGCGCAGGCGGCAGTTATATACAGCCTCTCAAGTAGAGTAGTTGCAAAGGCTAAAGTCCGAGTGCTGTTTGGCTGTAGTGCAGGCTTCCCGGGTACCCAAGCCCTGCACGGCGCCCATACCACGCCTCAACCTGGGAATGCCATCGACTCGACGCACGACTGAACGGCCCTAGGACTACCCATGCTGCCGCCGCCGATTGCTGTGCAGCACCGGCCGCTGCGTGTGGGCTGCAGGGGTGTCCTCGCCGAGGGTGGATGTGACAGCGGCTTGTTGTTCTGTTCTTCTTCAGACTGGCAACGGCCGAGAGTGCTGCGTGAAGCTCGTCGCCATCGCCCAGCAGAGGCAGACCGATCCGTGAGGCCTGCCGTCCGGCGCCAGAGTCTGTCTTCCCGCCGCTCGTTGCTCGTTGCTCGTTGTGCTGGACAAGCATCAGACTGTCGTTTCCTGGCCTGCCCCTGCCCTGCTGCTTGGACCCAAAAGAGAAGGTACGGTCCGAGGCTCAACACCAACACCTGGACGTCGTCGGCATCGTGAGGTGACGAGTCTGGAGCGGACGTCGACAGCGTTTCAGTCGTCGGGTGGTGCTTGGGCGAGATATAGCAAGCTCCGCGAACCCTACTGGCCACGCTAGAGAGCACTTCACTGCAGCCCGTCGCGCGGCTCCGCCATCTAGTGCCCTTCTGGCAGCGACGCCTCCTAGCGGGATAGTCAACGGCGAACCAGATCTGCGGGCTAGGCCACAGAACGATTGCGGAGGCACCGGTGCAGGAGCGTTCGCAGAAGCCGTCCGGGAAGCCCACTAAGCCGCAGCTTCAACGTCTACGGTCGCGGTCGAGCCCTTTATCATCCTTCACCCACCCCGGACCGTTTCTCTCGCGCCCGCGACCTGCATTGCACCGTCGCGCCTATCCAGGAGCAAGTCCAAGCAACCACGGCCACTGTCCAACGGCTCCCTTTGTTCATCCATCTGACTACCGCGGTTCCCACGGCCACTGAGTGAAGCGACCCAGTCGACTATGCCGACGCGGTGACGAGCCCGCCCAAGAAAAGGACGCCTGCCTTCTGTTCGAGAGACCCTCGGACTGCGTTATCTCTTTTCTCCTGGGCGCAACCCACACGAGCGGGTGCGTGACCAGGCGCATTGGAGTCACAGCCCGCCCGTGAGCCCCCAGCAGAGCCTCTGCCCTGCCCGCGGACCTCTCACAGCTTGCTGAATAGCAATATCGCGGGCGCAACGGGCACGGCGTCGCGGCTTGTTGGTCACAAGCTTCAACCATCTGAGCGCCAACAGCTGTTCCAGGGCAACTTGCAGCAGCTTCCAAGGACCATTGTGGGGGCGTTCCGGTCTGTTCCTCGATTTGGAGTAATGGTAACGCTGGTATTCGTTCAAACAGTCTTTGATATTGTTGGGGTGCATGGCGTTGTGGCTCCTTCCTCTCAACGCGCACACTCCTGCCTATAACCATTTCTCAACATACAGCCCAGACTGCGGCGACTACCCACATCAATTCCCAAGGCCAGCACCCTTCTGGTTCCGCATATCTCATACACCATTGCTTCAACCACACCCTTCTCCTCCACATCCAGTTCCCAGCCATGGATATGTACATGCAGCAGCAGTACGCCGCGGGCATGTACACGCCGCACCATAGCTCGATGGCTTACCACGGCACTCATCGCGCCAGCAGGAGCAAGCTGTCGGACAACATCATGACGGATGCAAAGGGAGCCATCAACAACCCTGACATCACGTTGGTAATGCGACAAGAACCCAAGGAGGCTCTCGTCTTGAGCGCAGGCAAAGAGAAAAGTCGCAAACCCGTGGATCCGCCACCCATCGTTCAGCTCAAGGTTAACGCTGACGTGGAGTCCAGCCAACACTTCCTACAGAGCCCGTACCTGTTCGTGGTTGCGGACCTTTGGAAGCCCGATAAAGACGAGCGCTGGGAGGACCGTGGTGGTAACAACCTCTATGGCGGGCTCTGCAGCTCTCTGCACCGCCTCAAGGACATTGACAACAAGGATGGCGGCTTCTTTATCTTTGGCGACATCTCCGTCAAGATGACTGGCAGCTTTCGGCTCCACTTCAGTCTGTACGACCTCCAGAAGGAACACAACGCCGCAGTCTTTCTTGGTAGCGTCGCGACCCAGCCGTTCAAATGCATGGCCCCGAAGGACTTCCAAGGCTTGGAAGAATCCACCTACCTCTCCAGGGCATTTTCGGATCAGGGTGTCCGGCTGCGTCTGCGCAAGGAGCCGAGGGCATTTGCAGGTCAGAAGCGCACATACTTCGCTGATGGCATGCCTCCTTCTCAGTCAAACGCTCCAGGAAGGGCCAGTAATTCCTATTATGAGGACGAGTCTCCGCAAGCCAAGCGTTATCGTGCGGACACAGAAGATCGCAAGGAGAGCTATGTCGACCACGCTGCTGTCTCACAGTCTAACTTCTCCTCGTCCTATACCCCAGCCCCACAAGCAAGCTTTCCAGTAACCACCTACGCTCCCCAGGCAGGGTACACTCCTTCGTACACTTCACTTCCCCAACCAGGCTATTCCTCGTCATTTGCGCCACTTTCCCAGACAAATTACGCTGCGCACTACCTCCCATCCTCGCCATATCACCATGCTCGTCCTCCGACCGAGACGAGGCAGTACAACGTTGGAGCTTATGCAAGCAACATCAATCTCGCAAACATTCCGCAGTCCATGCCGCAGTCTATACCGCAATCTATACCACAACCAAGCTTGTCACACTATCCGGATATTCGCGCAGAGGAGAGCTGGGATCCTTATGCAGGCCTACAGAACCAACCCGCTTCGGGTCCTTAAAGTGGCCTCTTCTCAGTCATTTATTCGTTACTGTCAGCTGGTCGGCGCTCGTGGTATCAAGGTTTTTGAATAGACATGTCTTCTAGGCCACAGTTGTGACCCTTACTATGGTAATGCTTGCTGGTAGGCGTTGGTCGTCTGGAGTACAGGGTGGAAATCACTCGACAAGGGGTCGGGTGTGCCAAAAGGAGTTCGGAGTACAATGTATATCTGCACTGACTCTTTAGGCAGTAACGCAGAGCTCCAAACGTTTGTCTCACGTTTGTATAGAAGCTTGCATTGGGGACCCGGCGCTCAACTGTGTAGCATAGTTTAGTTTCGTTCTATGTGTTTATCAATTGATCATAATAAACTTCATCTATGGTTGACCTTCTCTACACATATAACAAACATGGCCCGAAGCCTTCGGTGCGCGGCGCCGTGTAACGCCTCGTCCTGCAAGTCAGGCATTCGACATGCATAGGCGTGCAGCCGACGACTGAGACACCACGCGACCGCCGAACATCGCGGCGGCTGACCTGGCAGCCTCGCCCACCTCAGCGTAGCCCCTTCCGGCTCTACTTTCCCCCTCTGCAACCCCATCACGCCACTCCTCTTGCACTTTCCCCGAAGCATCCTCGCGGCACCTTTCCGGCGGCATCGGAGCTCTGTCCCGCCAGCCCTGTCGTCCGATCATGCATGTGAAGTGAAGGTCCGTGCGGGGAATTCACCGAGCGACGACGGACGCGCGCAAGCGTTACCTTCGGACAAGAGGGGCAGCGGTGCGGGCTCGGGTCGCGCGTGTGCCTTCCCGTTCGTGAGCCGCGGAATCGAGGGGGGATCATGGGGGGACCGATGCGGGCTTGCATGCGCGTGAGCTGGACGCGCTGCGCTGCGGATAGAGTTTTGGGCGGGCGGGCGCCACCGTGAGGATGGGGTTAGCGGCGGAGATGACGCGCATGAAGTTTTGATCATGTGATGTAAAGGGTTTGTGATTGGTTCGTGGGGTGCTGGAGGGGGGAAGCTAGAGGCCGTGACTTTCTGGGCTATTGGCACTCCAAATCACGGTATACAACGAGAACACGCATGGACTATGTTGTAGTTTCCGGAATGCTCACGCGACAGTACCAAACAGCAATCAATTCAAGAAGTTTCAAGAACTTGAATTTTTTATTGTAAGTCTTGTAGACCAGTTAGGGTGAAAGCCTCATGACAACCACTAGTCGACTAAAGCCAGACACAGAAATGATGCAACAAGTGCGCTTCGCCGTTTTTCAATCGACTCATGCAAGACTCCTTCAGTGAAGTGGAAGTCCCTAATATCACGTCGAGAATTCTGCAATGCAAGGCAATGCAAAATCGGATGGGCACTGTCTGACGATTATTCTTTCGACTGGTTCAAAGACCACATGCATGGTTTCATCTTACCTGATGCGCTTAAGCATAGTTTGCCGTGACTAAGCCGTACCGGACGCCATTGACGGAAAGGGAGTACTCGAGGGCAGACTGGATCGATATTTCCACATCGATGTCAAGCAAGCAGTAAGGCTTGCCAGAAGGACTAGTCGACTTGCGCCACTCCTTCTTGGGAACAGGGTTTAAGTCGATCACCATCTGCCCGACATGGTAGACATTCTAAGAGGGTCAATACCATGTATTCCAAGATGGTGGAGAAAACTCACCGGGTCATATGATGAAGTGGGCGCCTCGTCCGAATCCGAAGCCATGAGCGCCATCGTCAAGATCTTACTCGAGCCAAACCAGACTGTATAAGATATGGTGACCTTTCCGTGACCCACCTCTGACGTCTTGAGTTCCTGTCCCTTCTTGATGATCCAGTCCATCTGAGAATCAGCACGCTTCTCACCAGAGAACGAGCAAAGGAAAGAATCGCTCTCCTTGTGTTCGCCAGCACGGAATCGGGTGCTGCAATCTGTTCCGTAGTGACGACGACAAATTCGAGACCTAATAGCGGCAGACCCATCGCCCTCCAAGCCCTTGGCAGCTGCACCACGCACAATAGCAGACCATCTGTTAAGTCGATCAGTGAGCGTTCTTGATGTGTGTACTTAACGAAGAATACTCACGCGTATGGTGGCTTGATAGCCTGAATACCAGAAGCCCGAGCAAGGGCGCTAAGTTCCTTGTACATGTATGGAGACTCGGCGAAGCCGCCCACCATGAAGATGTACTTGAGCTTCGCCTTACCAGATCGACGCGCTTGCTGAATTTGTCCATTTAGAAGCTCCTTAGTACGGCGAAGAGGAATTTCGAAGATCTTCTTCATATCCGTCCTGGTACGCAATAATGTCAGCTTGGTTGCGCGTAGTGGAAAAGGACAACTTACGCGGTTACTTGCATTTCCCCATCATTCATACCCCGCTTTTCGTCGTCAACTGCGCTGAGCGCGGTTGGTAGACGAAGAAAGTACTCTTCTGTACCAGAGAACCCGCTCTTCGCGGTGAGCGTGAACTCTTGCACCACGCGTCCAAGCTTGGGTGGTAATGATGTCCGAGATAGCTCATCGGCACGACAACCGGCAACCTTGCCAAAGTTGTCCACACCAACCTTCTCCTCGAACCATTTGAGAAAGCCTCGGTCAACAAAACTACCACCGCATTGGCCTCCGGTACCCATAGTCACCTCTTCAACGATGGTGGGCTCGAGCTCGGCCACCCGGTACGAGATAAGATCAACAGTTCCACCGCCCATGTCGCATACTACAAATCCGTCGCCAACATGAAGCTGCGCATCCTGGGATGTTCCACGGAGCGATTTGATGGTGTATATTGCGGCAGCCTCTGGCTCGGTTGTGGTGACGGTGTGCCGCAAATGCGGAAAGTAGGTGGCATTGAAGCCGGCCTTGAATACGGCTTCTAGTGTCTTGTGCTTCGCTGAATCGGACCACACAGCAGGAACCGTGATCACCAGCGTAATGGGCAGTGTGCGCCAGAGCTTCGGGCCATACTGGTTGTCGAGGTTCTTGATGAGGTGGTTCTTGACCTGACCAAGATAGTCGGCAACGATCTCGACCGGCGTCTTCTGAGCAGGTCCTCCCATGATTGTGAGGAGCGCGAGCTCTTGACGAATAGCCTCGGCCTCACCTTGCCTCGGAGCATCAAGCTCGAGCTTGGTCCACATGTTGCGCTGGACGTGAGGGAGAATGAGGCCACCCCACTTGATACCATCCGGCAGGTACGCAATTTCGCTGGGCACTTTCTCTTTCGTACCGATCATTGTGTGTGCTGAAGGCCAATCTTGGACAATTTGAATGCGCTCCTCTATGGTCGCAGTATCAGACGCTTCACACCACGAAACACCGGTGTAGGTGGTACCATAGTCAAGACCTATTTTTGTGAGAGCGACCCAAAGTACAACATGTCCGGAGTCAACTAACCAATTATAAGTCGATTACCTGGTACAGTTTGCATCTTGAGGTGAGCGGCACTGTGCAGCGTGTGTCCCGAGAGCTAGAGAAGGCGGACTTTCGACGTCGCAAGAGGGGAAGATGCGGTGGGACAGGAGGTGTTGAAGAAAAGTTACGGAAGGCAAACAGGCGCAATTTGATCGCTTGTGTGCGATTCGTTGCTGGGCTAGCTTTCACTTTGAAGTGAGAGGTGAGGTTGACGCACGGCAGGAGCGCGTTTACGCCCCCGCATGCGGAAGGTACGATCTCCCCTTCACTCCGTGTCTGCCCTTTCGCCGCCGCTCATTTTCGAGCGCTCTTGTTGCTGCCACTTATAAAACCATCGGTCACCAAGATATCCTCGCTCATCGCTGACTGGATAGCCATGTTCAGAGAAGCATTTGAAACGGTAAGTCACATCCCCTATGTTTTGTAATCATTTTTAAGCTGTGTAGGCCAAAAGCTTCGCGCAGGCCTTAGGCTCCACGGCCGACACAGCTCGACCGCGTAACGACCTGTTTCTTGAGAAGGCTACCGAAGAGGGGCGCCTTATTACGACCTCAAAGCGCAAAACATCTGACAAGATGAGCGAGGCCCAACCGGAAATGCAAGCGCTCCTCGCGGACGAGCAGCGCCATTCTCGCACGCGACTGGATGCCGTTGCTGCTGCACAACTAGCTTCTCAGCGTGACATGGCACGTAGTGGCAAGGCAGCTATCAATTTCCTTAATGAAGACATGCTGAGCGACTACGAAGGCGAGGAACACGTCTCGCAACGTTCGAAAGGACAGCAAGGGTATTCGAAGTCAATGCCGCAAAAGCGAGAAGTGTCCGCGGGTGACGAGTACGATAGCCTCAAACGCAAATATTGGAGGTTGCGGGAGAAACTCCAGGCCATGGACGTTGAAGCGAGCAACCTCACAGATGAGAACAGCCAGATAAAGGCAGAGAAGAAGGACCTAGAGAAAGAGATTCGTTTCCTTGACAGCTTCTTGCATGTCATCAAGGATCTCCTGCTTCGTCCTTATGCGGAAGCCACTGGCCACGACCGTTACACTGCTAGCATGTTCCAAAATATCTTGCACGATGCTCTTGAAGCCAAGACTCTGAAGCAGCAAACCATCTATTATCAGGATCAGATCGTTTCGCTGCATAAGAAAGAACAGTCGCTTCAAGAGCACGTGACGATTCTGCAGCAAGAGCTACTCTCAAATGTAGAGAAAGCCAGCATCGTGTCTGACGAACATTTCACACAAGATTTCCGTTGGTTGGCCAGTTCGATCAAGACTCTTAGTCGGAACATTCGTTTCCCGGCTGATATCGACCTCGCTGACATCCCCGCGATTAAATCTGCCCGCCTTCTGAACAATGTCGATAAGGCCCATTGGAACGGCCGTGGTCGCAAGAAAGCCTTGATCGAAGCATTCCTGTGGTCCGTCTTGATCTACCAAGTGTTCGGTAGCCCTTTCGGGATTGCCGGTCCTGGTTGTGCATCAGAGATCAATGACTGGTGGGCTAAGCTATTCGGGAGAAACCATGTAGCGGACTGGCCGCTTCCTGGTGATTTGGCAGAGCGTTGGAGGAGCATGACCGTAGAGCAAGTGGTGAAGCTCGGCGGCAAAGAAGCTATCACACGTGGTATCATCACCACCGAACAGGGCGCGGCTATTCGGCAAGACATACTCGATAGCATCCTGAAAGGACGAACCAGTGCCTACAAGCTCATCACTGAGACTCTCGGCGAGCTCTCACCGGCTACCGACTTTTTACAAGTCCCCGTGATCATCGACAAAGCTTTCTCACTTGCTCTTGAGATGAACATCCAGCGTTGCCGTCTCCAAGCGGTCTACCCCAAAATCGGAGATCTTTATTCCCAAGGCGAGCCATCATACCTGAAGAGTAATCTTAATGATGAAGAAGCGGACGAGGGAACTGTGGCCGTCATCGTTAATCCTGGACTTGTGAAATGGGGTGATGGTCATGGCAAGAATCTGGATCAGGAGCTTGTGCTCGTTCCATGCGATGTCATCATCGCTCCTCTCCCGAATGATGACGTATCGACAGAGGTGAATGTGTCCTTTTCAAGTGTTCAGGCGATGCAGGCTGGGTACGATAACTTCATGAAGACGCCAAAGTCCGAGGATCATCGTAGATCTGCACAGACTGATTCGCCCAGTTACATCGAAGACGATCTTGTGGACCTCCGTCCCAATCTTGGGCGCGCTTTTTCTCAGCAAACTCAATTTTCCTTCCCAAATTCCGAGTCGCCTGACAATGGTGTCGGCCTCAAATGAAAATTTCCTTCGCACGCGTTCCTGAGGAGACAATGGAATCGTCAATAGCATATCTGTTTCGCTTTCATCGCATCAGCATCTGACGAGCTATTGAACGTTCCGCGCTTCTGTTGGGTCACTCAGCACAACGCACATTGTATATCGTGTTCTTTTCCATGTGTCCTCCGTCTACATGAGCAGACTGAACACGAACGATAATGAATCTACTTAGGGCTCAGTTGCTGCCATCATGACAGCCGTCGCCAAGCATCAAAGTATGATCTTTTCAAAATCAGGCAGATTGAATGGATTTCTACTTACAATTCTTGATATCACGTGCATGTGATTAATGTTCGTATTCCTTGCCCACACGTATCCTCCGGAACAATAGCCCACACTTTGCACCTCACCATCATCGTTAGACTCTGATGTGCTTATATGGCTGACAGATATCTCACGATACGCAGAGCAATCTTATGTCGTTCTTTGAGGGGCACAGTGAGCCAGGTCCACTGGGTAGGGATGCGTCGACTGCGCATCGAGAGGTACGCCCTTCAGCGTTCGCTTGTCCATATAAGATATTTGGAGGTACTCAGCGCAACCTCCTGCCACCGTTTGATGGTCTTCGATGGCTGTGGGGATTTAGAACGTTGCTGACAAGCGGATTGGTCAAGGAAGGTCGTTGGAGATACTCGTGTTAGTACCCTTTCTAAAGGCTAGCAAGATAAGTGATGACATCACCGTTCTTGGGATCGTTCCCAGATAGACGTTTATTGATAAAGGGAAGCTCAGAAGCTCCAGCACAGGAACCAGCAGAAACGTTGCTAAGCTTTGCTAAGCTCGAAGGAAGTGGGCCGGAAGAGACACCGGAGATTGTACACTGGCCTTGCTCGGGATCACAATGGTATTACCATCACATTTACTGTCCTGCGTTTCTTGGGAAATGGATGTATACGGTTCTGCCAAAGGGCAATGGTGTGTAATCTCAGGATGTAAGTCCAAATTGGTTGAAATCGATGCATGGACTCTCCTGAAAGCTGGCTTCGGATGACTTTTTATAAAAGAACCGTCGATTAGCATGGATGGAGTCTCGCCCGGATAATAAGGACCCCTGCCTGCAGTTGCTAAAGTTTAGTCTGTAAGCTCTGGGTCCGACGTATTGTTTGTTTTTGGACAGCTCGCTGAGCTAGTCTGGATCAACCCGACGGCCTCAGGAACCAAGATTGTGGAGGCATCTGGAAAAGGGCTTGCTATGTAGAATAGCTCGAAGGGTTCACTACTGGAGTGAATGGAGCGGGTGATGTCCTGCTCATGATGCACGGTAAGTCCGATCAACTGCTCAAAGAGCATCCAGTGTCTGCGGTTTAAGACCTACCAAACATGCGCCATCGGCAAACCGAAGAGATAAACCCTAAGATGAGCCATCCTCAACATCGACAATGTTCACAGTGTTTGCACTTTCTGAAGCGTTCGAGCCATCCCGAATGGGACATCATGACGCGCTTGCGCTACGGCGGATTAATTTGCCGATCACCGAAGCACGTGGTAGTTCCGAAGAGGAGGAGGGAACCAGGTCCTCACCCACGCTTCACCACACAAGCTGCTCCTACGCGCAAGCAGCCGCCTGCTCGTTGCTTGAAATGTGATCCCACATCATTACTACAGCTCTCATACTAATTCCCCCGGTTTTTCGTGCCTTCGTGTTCAAAGACCGTTTCCACACCTTTCCCGCGGCGCGCGCAGCTCAGTGCTTCCACGATGCCTCCAGCCGCAGGCTCTCGTACTGCCGGCCCCTCTACAGCTTCCGACCGCCGGCCGACGCGACAAGGGCGCACCACCGTCCGACCGACCAACTACTATGCGCGCACCTTTGCAGGGCGTTCCGGCGGGATGGAGCAGACACCCGAAGCGTCCAACAACGCCGGTGGCTTCTGTCCGGCGCTCACACACTTCTCACAGGCAGTAGATGCTTTTCCGAAAGAGCTTATCCGGCACTTTTCCATGTTCAAGGAAGTCGAAGCGAAGATCCACGACCCCGAACGCAGTCTGAGGCTCATGTTTGACGAGATAGACCAAATGCCCATTCCCACCAAAGCAGAGCGCCGCGAAAGCTCGCACAACTCCGTAGTAGTCGAGAACGGCTCGGGGGCAAGCGCCAATGGCGGCACGATGCAAGATCCAGCCATCCTTTGGCAACAGCTCGCCGCGATCGACCCCGATACACTTTCGTCAAGAGAGCAGGCCGACTTGAAGAAGCGCCAGGCTTTCTGCCGGTTGCGCATGCATATCGTAAACATCTTGCCTGCGCTCGATGAGAAGTTGGTGGTCCTTGGTGGCGCTCAAGCGACGAAAGACAAGGGCCTCGCGCGCATGAATAACTCTTACGCACACCTGGACGACGAGGTCAGCGAGGAAGCGCGCTATGGGAGTCTCACGCACTGGGCATATGCGGATAAAGAAGAGAAGAAGAAGGGCAATGCGCATGAGCGGCAAAGAAGAGAAGTGGTATCGGCCAACAACCTGGCCGCAGCTGCTCAGCATATGCATGATGTTGACTCCATAGCAGCCAAAAGTGAAGCGCGACGAGAAGCTATGCTTGCGAACAAGCGCAGTCGACACCAGCACGTTGACTCCGACTTCGACGACCGGCCTGCGAAGAAACCGCACAAACGCAAGGCCCTGGCTGCAGAAGCAGCTGGAAACGATGGTCGTGCCGTCGGCCTGGGCATTACAAGCAATGCCGCGCCATCGCAGGGCAAGAGGAAGAAGACAGAGAAAGCGCTGGCGGCAGCAGCGGCCGGGGCTCCGCCTATGGAACGATCGCTGAGTGGCGCGCTCAAGGCTGCCGCAGGAACCGGTGGGCGGAGCGGGACGAGCCCGCGAGCAACACCAAGCGTCGAGGGCGGGACAAGCAAGCGGAAGCCACGAGCACCCCCAGCGCCGGCACAGCGGAAGCACGCACTGCCCGCGTATTCACCCCAGCCGGCCTCGTCTCCACTGGTCGGCAACTTTACATTACCGAAAGGCAATGCTGCAAACTCAGAACGCCCAACAGCCGCGCGCGCGCGCAAGAACTCTACTGCAAACTCTGTGGCATCTGCAGCCCCTGAGCCGCCTGTCATTCGTCGACCTTCATCGTCCCACTCTGCGCAGCAAGCTACAAGCAGTAACGTCATCACTGAACTTGAACAAGCAGCTGGTATCAATCGTGACAATGGCTCCATGAAAGGAGCATCCACCCCGAAGGATGCCACGGAACTTCCGCCATTTGAGACATTAACCACCACGGCCTTGAAACACGAAGATGTTGAGGCACAGGCGCCCGAAAGCATGGAAATCGATATACCAGCGCCAGCACCCTCGACTGTCCGTACGGGTCGTGCTTCTAAGACGGCAACTCCTGTCGTGGGGACGTTTCCTGAGGTTCCCATGGCTCGCAGCAGAAGCACGCGCAAAGCCAACAACGGAACCGGCAATTCGAATACGTCGTCAGAAAATAACAGCACAGCGGGAACTGTGTCTAAACGCGGGAATAAGAAGACCACGACGACCACTAGTGCGACCATGCAGTCCCCTGCACTGGAATTTGCACTCGATTCCAAGTCGAATCCGCAGTCATCCAGAGCAAGTTCCGTTGTCCCTGAAGAACAGTCGCAGGAAGCAGAGTCGGATGACGATGGCGACGAGCCACGGTACTGCTACTGCAACCAAGTATCTTTCGGGAACATGATAGCGTGCGACAACGACTCTTGTCCACGCGAGTGGTTCCATCTTCCATGCGTGAACCTCGATAGAGCTCCCTCAGGTAGGACAAAGTGGTTCTGCAGCGACGAGTGCAAAGAGGCACACGCAAAGACGAAGATTGGCAAGGGTGGACGCCCAGGAAGCAGTCGACAATAGGAATTAGGAAGGAGTTCAAGGCGTTCACAGTCGGGTCCATCACATGGGTCTAGGCCGGGTCCAAAGGGTAAGGGCAAGGCTAAGTTGGGATTATGGGATGGCTGGCATGCTCTTCCTGACTGATCTAGGTCTGCTTTGGGTATTTGGGTAGGGTCTCTCGGTATGGCGGCGTTCGGCCTTGGCTTCTCAAGAGGTTGGACGATGCTGCAATCGCATTGAATGCGATTGATGAACTTTGTTATAGCCTTGGTAGAGGACTTTGGAGAGGTAGGACGTTGATGATGGATTACGCCTTCCGACTGGGTCGCATAGATGTTGGTGCATAGCGTCGTATCAAGTGCTCACTATTCTGAGCAAACTTCTTCGAGACAGTTGTGCTGGCATGAGGAAAAGACAAAGGCGGTCAGCACATCGAGGTGTATCCACTTTTGTGTCCCTTGCTAATCGTTGTCTACAATTGGCTGTTTGCTGCGGACGGCTGCAGCTGGACCCTGGATTCAGCTTCCGCCAAGCTGCACGTGAGATTCACCGCCCGCTCCGCACACGCGACATAGAATACGAATACGCCCTGGTTCAGTCATACTTCGGTTTTGTTTCCTTTTTATTCCTGACCTGCACTTCCGAGCGTTCTGATAGCTGCAATTGAGGTCATGGCGCCGAAAAACGTCCCCGCGGACGAGCAGCTCGTGTTCGCCCCAAGCCCCACTCTAAGCACCCCGCCAGATCTACGATTCCTACATTACAACGATGTCTACCACGTTGAAGCTGGCTCAGCGGAGCCTGTAGGAGGCGTAGGAAGGTTTCAGACGCTGGTCAGATATTATAGAGAAGATGAGAAATTTAAGAATCACCCAAAGCTGGTTACTTTCTTCTCTGGAGATGCCTTCAATCCAAGTCTGGAGAGTAGTGTGACGAAGGGTACGGTGAACGTAGGAATGAATTGAGTCCACCGCTAATTTAAGAGATCAGGAAGTCATATGGTGCCCATACTGAACGGAATCGGGACGGACGTAGCCTGCGTAGGGGTACGTAGCTTGCTAGCATCTGGGATCGATCAGAGCTAACAGGTGCAGAACCACGACCTCGACTTCGGCGTGAAGCAATACATGAACCTTACTTCCCAATGTACATTCCCTTGGCTACTCGCCAATGTCATCGACCCTGCCCTCGGTGACGACGTACCTCTCGGCAACGCGCAGAAAACGGTCATGCTCACATCCTCAAATGGCATAAAAATTGGCGTTATTGGATTGGCAGAGCGGGAGTGGCTAGACACTATCAACTCGCTACCGCCGAACATAATATACAAGAGCGCGAGTGCAACGGCAAAGGAATTGATCCCGGGGCTGAAACAGCAGGGCGCGGAGATAGTCGTAGCAGTGTCTCACCAGAGGGAGCCGAACGACAACAAGCTGGCTGAGAAGACTGGAGGTGGGTTGATTGATATCATATTGGGCGGACACGACCATTACTACGCCCATAGCTTCATCAACGGAACACACGTCCTACGTTCCGGCACGGATTTCAAACAGCTTTCCCACATTGAGGCATGGCGGAAGTCGAGTGGCAAAGGCTGGGACTTCAGGATTACAAGGAGAGACATTGTTAGCAGCGTACCGCAGGATCAAGAAGCCGTCAAACTAGTAGAAGGTCTGACGCAGAAGTTGAATGAGAAACTGGACAAGCCGATAGGATACACCGCCGCTCCACTGGATGCTCGCTTCACCACCGTCCGCACGAAGGAGTCAAACCTCGGCAATTTTGTATGCGATCTCATGCGCTTCTACTACGAGGGCGACTGTTGCATCATGGCCGCTGGTACCATTCGCGGTGATCAAATTTACCCGCCTGGCGTGCTGCGAGTGCGCGACATCGTCAATTGTTTCCCTTTCGAGGATCCCGTAGTAGTAATGCAGGTCACTGGGAAGCAGATTTGGGACGCACTAGAGAACTCTGTGTCGAATTATCCCGCGCTCGAAGGTCGCTTCCCACAAGTGTCAAACATCATATTCGAGACGGACTACTCTCAGCAACCAATGAAGCGGGTACTAAGCGTCCAGATTGGCGAGGAACCGTTGGATGAGAACAGGGAGTATAGGCTTGTCACTCGCGGTTATATGGGTCGCGGTAAAGGTAAGCAAGTTCCTACTTTGCATTGTCGTCATTGACCAACATCACTTCTAGATGGCTACACTTCACTCCTCATCGAAGAAGAAGGTGGCACGGCGAAAGAGATAGTCAGCGAGGAGAACGGTGTACTCATCTCTACCATCCTTCGCCAATACTTCATGTCGCTAAAAGTCCTCGGCAAGTGGAAGAACTGGGCCCCTGATATGACGGAAAAGTTCTCCAGGGTTCAACATTCCCTCCAATCCAAGCATACCTTCCATGATGCCACATCAACAACAAGAGATGCCGATCCATCACGACCGCTTCCGAGACGATCCAGCATCGCTATTCCACCTTCTCAAAAACACCGCAACGGCGCGCAAGAGGATCCTGATACCGACGACGAAGATTATGAGTATGACGATAGTGAATTAATCAAATTCAATGAGCATGAGCTAGGTCTACTGAGGAGGGCTATGCGGAAGTGGTGGAGGTGTGTAGGGCTCAAGCATACACCAAACTGTGCGGATGAGGTGGGCAAAGAGGAGTTGAGGGTGGACTGGACTAGGGCTATTGCACCGCGGATAGAGGGGCGGATAAAGGAGGTTAAGAAGTCTTAAAATGTAGCGCAATATCTTTGCGAAATCAAAATCTCCGTGGAGGGCAGCTTTATTGCCGATAGGTCATTCAGGGACAGCAAAAGGTAGATACGGAGCTGGGAAGCAAAGTGCGAGGTGATCAAACTGTGGCCATGTGCGAGAGAGTTTGCTGATGATCCCGGGGTGACTCACAGCCTGATCCATCGACAGGCCCACTTTCTAACACGTGAACCAGTATCACCACGCAATCCCACAGACCCTCCTCAGCCTCCTCACTCCCTCCCTAAGTAACCTTTCGTCCCTCGTAAACACAAGCCGAAACCAACCTGGCTCCTCAGCATTCTGCATCTGACCACCCGCAACGTAAACTCTATCCGCGATTAGCCTCTCCATCAACTTCCTCTCTCTCTTCCACCCATCATCGCCGTCTTCTCCTCTCAGCCACGGAGCCAGATTGATCCACAGGAAGAATCCTGCATTTGCAGGTGCGTAATGTATGCCCGCCTCATCTAGCAGGCTTTGCACTACTTGACTTGCCTCCGCCACGCGTTGCAGCGATTTAGCTAAGAAACAAGCCACGAAAGCTTCGTTTTCTAGGATTTTCGAAGCCAACAGTGCATTGACAGTGCCAGAATGATGGAAATTCGCCAACGCAGTAACAGCCCTCTGCAACTCGTTATTCAGCGTCCACAAACTCCCAATTCGCAACCCGCCACAAGCAAAGTCCTTGCTCATTCCATACACGTGGTGGAAGTACTGCGGGTCAATATACTTCTGCCAGTCCAGACTCAGGACGGATGTGAACGGCGTGTTATCCTGGGAGTAGACGGACATGGCGTAAATCTCGTCGGCAATAAGATGGATCTTATGTGTATTGCAGAAGCATAGGAGCGCGATGAGTGTGGATGGACCATAACAACGACCGAGTGGGTTATGCGGGTTGCAGAGTACGAGGACTTTGACTCTGAGACCTTGGTCTTCGGCACACTTGAGAGCCGCTTCGTAGCGTGGGAGTATATCTGGACTGAATTGATCGATACTGTCATTGGAGACAAACACGGGTGTGGTGCTAGTATTTGGTCAGCGTCTAAGTCTCCAAGTATCAAGGGGATCTAGTGTGAAGGTTTCGTTACCGTCTGGAATACGAGGGCTTGTATCTAATCTAACACATTGCCGTGAAGCATTGGTACATGAATTATGCAGTGTGGTTTAAGTATGTCAGGCTGTTTGCTGCATAGCGCTGGATTTTACTAGAAGAATGCACGCAACGTAATAAAAGCTGCAAAGACTCACCCGCCCAGCTTGCCGAAATCCGACCCGAAAGCGACGTAACAGGGCTTTGTGAGGAGAACGCCATCGCCTGGGTCGGCGAGAACATTCCCCAAGGCACTGAACAAGGCGGAGCATCCGTTCGAGATGGTGAGATTCTCGGGTTTGGTGGATGTGTGAGGATTGAAACGACTGTAGACAACATGAAGTCATCAATTTCTGTCTATAACAGCAGATTACATCCAGACTTTACTCACGTATTGATAAACTGGGATACAGCCTTCCTCAAACGGGCCGACCCCCACGCTTCGCTATAGTCGAACGCTTCACCTTTCAACTCAATCTACCCATTCCTCATACATCAGTATATTGAAAAGTCTCTTCATCCACAAAAGGACTGTCAGACTATACCTTTTGCTCGTTGACGAACTCAGCCATATCATCCAGCATGAGTGACTACCCACAAGATCAGCCGACGTGCGATGATTACCTCAAAGATTCTCATACGTTCTCCGCCGTCCCTAAATTCACCAACCCATCTGGGTTTGTCTCTGGATTCCACGGCCCATTGTAGAAACCAATCTTCTCGGTTGCCTCTCGAGCGTTGGGTCCGAGGCGGTCGGAGGTGAGATCCCTGCCTCGCTTGCTAAGGCTAGAATCCGATTGCATGGTCGTGGGAAATGGAAGTCGTTCGTGGAGGGACTTTCGGGTGTAAAAGCAGTAGGCGGGAAGCAGAAATCGCCTCGAAAGTGATGATGTGTAATCTAGCAAGTACGGCCATGCTGATTCGCGACGAGACTTCCTGGGTTAGAGATCTGCAATCATTGGTGCGGCTAGTTGCAGTCGTACTACGCCCTGTGATCCCTACAAGAGGTCTATAAATGTGCAAATTACTGTTATATTTCTTACGTAGCCCCAATGCCATCGCGTGGCCGTGAGCATGCTCCACTTCGCTATATGCTAGCTATACCAATACCTATAGTCTTACAAAGAAAAGAACCAGCCCTTCGACAGGCATAAACGTCGAGGGCACACAATCGCAACGAGAGGAGGAAATCGCAACGAGGGGGGGCTCTGATAAACGCCGATTCGCCTCACATGCATGCCATAAGCGCATTTTCCAGTTACCCAATTTATGCAGGCACACCTCCGTCCCCGTCGTTACCACGCACCGGCGGTTGGACAGCAGGCGGAAGTATCAGCTCAGGAAGCTTGATTGGAGTATCCGGCATTGCCATCAGCCGGTCTGGCAGCTTCTCTCCCTTGACGACCTTAACGATCTCCTCCTTGTCCAAGGTCTCGTACTGCACGAGAGCTGTTGCCAACCGGTCCAGCTCGACGCGCTTCTCGGTCAACAGCTTCCTCGCTCTCTCTTTGGCTTCTTCGACCAGTCTCCGCACCTCGTTGTCGATAACGCGCTTGGTTTCGGGTGAAACTTGTTCGTAGTTGGACCCGTAATCAATGCTGCCCAACTTTGGCGAGAAACCGTAGCGCGTGACCATCGAATGGGCTATGCTTGTCGCATTCGAGATATCGCTTGATGCACCGTCACCAATCTCCGTAGGACCGTAGACGAGCTCTTCCGCGATGGTGCCACCCATGCACATGGCCAGGTGGCGTTCATACTCGATCTTTGAGCGGTGGTGCTTGTGGTCCTGTGGAAGGAAAAAGGTAATACCGGCAGCTTGTCCTCTGGGAAGAATGGTAGCCTTATGAAGCTCTTGGAAACCTTGTTCGTAGAGACCCACAAGAGTGTGTCCACCCTCATGGTAAGCGGTTTGGAGCTTGTCAACCAGTGGCACCATTCTTGACTTGCGCTCAGAACCCATCATAATCTTGTCCTTGGCCCATTCGAGGTTCAACAGCGACACGAACTTCGCCTGTTGCTTCGAGGCCTCGATCGCCGCAGTGTTCGCCAGATTCTCGAGTTCGGCTCCAGAAAAGCCAGGGGTACCGCGCGCAATCTTGAACAAATCGGCATCGGGAGAAAGGCGAATCTTCTTGGTGTGGTGCTTTAAGATTGCCAGTCGTCCTTGAACGTCCGGCAGCTCCACCTGGACATGTCTGTCAAAACGACCAGGGCGAAGCAAGGCCTTGTCGAGAAGTTCGGGATGGTTAGTAGCAGCAATAAAGATGACACCGGTAGATTGATCAAAACCGTCGAGGTCGTTCAGAAGTTGATTCAGAGTCTGGCGATGGTAGCCAGCGTCGCGGGTGTTGCGCTTTCCACCAACGGCATCCAACTCATCAATGAAGACTATGGCCGGTGCCTTGGACCGAGCCGCAGTGAACAGCTCACGGACGCGCTTAGCACCAACACCAACGTATACCTCGTCAAATTCAGATCCAGACATGTAGAAGAAGGGTACGCCGGCTTCACCGGCGACCGCACGTGCAAGTAGAGTCTTTCCGGTACCAGGGGGACCAATGAGTAGAACACCTTTGGGAAGTCGGCCGCCAAGCTTGTTGTAACGTTCGGGGTTCTTCAAGAAGTCGACAATATCGGTGAGCTCTTCCTTAGCCTCGTCACAGCCCTGAACATCGCTGAAGCGTGTGCTCTGGCTTTCCGGGCGAACCTCAGCGTTGTTGGTACCGCCGACCTTCTTCAATACGCCGCTCGTTTCCACGAACAAGGTAATGAGGACAAGAGCGACATAAGCGCAGAGAGCGAAGCCAGCAATCCATCGGACCCATTTAAAGACAATGCTCGCGAGTGACTCTTCGACGACGACGTAAAGCGGGTCTTTTCTGTCGCCCGATCCAGATTTGGTCTTGCCCACTTGGCCTTTGCCGACGTGAGCAGCAACAGCCTGTCCGACAGCTTGCAACTGTTCCGACGACATGGAGCCTTCTTCGCCCGATTGTCCGACCTTTTCCAAGGCTTTCTGATAAGCCTGTTCAACGGCTACGTTGGTAGCGTATTGGCCGGTCTTGTAGCGTTCGACAATGATCCTGGGCATGTTTGCCCTAAGCAATGCCTGGTAAAAAGTCGCCTGCGCCGATGCGCTCGAGGGGTTGTTGTTAGCGGTTTGTTCGTATCGAGCGAGTTGGCTATGGGTAGGTCCACCAAAGAGCGAGCGCTGCTGTGCCAAAGTCAATCCTACATTTCCGAGCCGCGGTATCAGGCGAAAACTCGGAGGCGTGCCGTTTGTGCCGTTGCGCGAGACGGTAGAATATTGTCTAGCCATGAATGAGTTGAGGGGCATACTGCGCGTGAGCGGAGTGCAGAGGCGGAGACCGTTCTGCGATACTACATAATGTCAGCGGAAAGATACTCCACTTGTGACCGCGCTTTTCTTACCCGCAGATATCAAGCCAGCAGCGGTGGGTGTTGACGGCATAGCATGCGGAGACAGTATTTGACGGAGCGAGGACAGAGAGACGGATTCGAGGCATTCGGGGAGAGGATATGCTGTCTGTGGAACTGGCGCTGTGGCCGAGCTCTGCACATACCGACGCTGACCAGCGCCAACAGACGTTTGCTTCCCAAAGCCTTGCCACGGAGACTTCAAAATAGCAGACATGGTAGGCCAGAGCTCGGTGGTGGCGGATACAACATTCTATGCGCAAGTCAATATGCTACTCACAGGCGCGGAATGGCGTGGCGAGGTCTCACCTGCATGGCGAGCGGTGTATGGAAAGCCATATTGATGGGTAAGATTGCGGCGCAAGCCGCGTGGTAAACTAGGAGAGCCTCAGATGTCGAAAGAATGAAGGCGCATCAGTTGAGGCGGTCGAGGGCGATGGTAGCCCGGTATGATGTCGCTAGAACCAGATGGCGTTGAGTCGAACTTGATGCGGCGGACGAGCGACAAGTCCGCCGATCGCGCGCTTGGCAACAGGGCGGAAATGATCACGTGGATGGCGACATTCACTCAGTCAAATTTGGAAAGAGCTCGCGCCACTATAGTATATCATGACGCATTGATTTAGCAGAAGTGTATGCATGGTAAGACTAGAGTAATGTTGCTGCTGTGGATAGCTTTTTACTGCGTTCTTGCGCAGCTCGATGTGGTGACCAGAAGCTGCAGACATCGTACCTGAGTTGACTGAAATTCACAATGTCGCGCAATTCACAGTGGCAGATACCACGACAAGTAACTGACATTCGTGGCACTAAGCCGAACAAGACAAGGTCCTCGTGTCAAGATATGAATTAGCAGGCTCATTCGAGTGTTATGTAGCTTAAGGTAACACTACAACGAGGGATTAGAGTTGTGACCTGATATTGCATGGTCGTCTTTCTCGTTGACGCGAGAGCGAGTTCCATCGACCACTGTGATTCATTTTGCCAATTTGGCAGATGTTCAGGGTTCCAAACTTCGCATCAGTCCCACGGAAAGGTTCCCAGAACCTCGGTTGGCGGGGCTAAAGGACCCCACCAGAGCTCCATCGGTCCCTCGTAGCTCAGCTCTTGGACAAACCGTCCATGGTAGGCATACCTATAGCAATTCAAGGACATAATGTCTTCTTCACAATGGGATGAACTAGCTCGCTACTCAGCATGCGATGTGTGTCAATTTCACATCCCTGTTTATCGGAAGCTAACCAGCACAGATTGCGGATGCGCTCTTGAAGCTGGGTGTGCCCGGCGCTGGCTTCCTGCCAGAGATAAGTATGTCCGCCTACACGTAGGTTCATCACGTAAGTCCACAGCATTAATCATGTATAGCACGAATGCCGCACACATCGAGCACTCCTGAACTTGAGCCCAGTAAGATCCTCGCAAAGGCATCCACATTCCTCATGGTTCCGAAAGCGACACCTTCTTTCCCCAAACGCGTATCACTTTCCGAAGACTTCCCAAAGTCGAACCTGTCGAAGACTGGGCCGTACGCGGACTTGACACAATCAGGAACAGTGGTCATCATCAGCCAACCACCAGGACAGTCCTGCGCAGTCATGGGTGGTATAATGGCACAGCGCATGAAAGTTCTAGGCGCAGAAGGCATCGTAGTAGATGGTCGTGTACGAGATCTGGTCGCTTTGGCAGAGACGGGTCTCCCTATCTGGTCAAAGGGCACGTCGATAATCGGGGCAGGTGCGGAAACCACGTTTCACGCGCGCGAAGTGCCTGTGCGAGTGGGCGAGACGATCATCGAGCCTGGTGACATAGTCATGATGGATCCATTCGAAAATGGAGTTGTTGCAGTGCCACAGGGCATGGTAGACGAGGTGCTGCAGCTACTTCCGAAGCTCGTGGGAGCCGACGAGATGGTGATCAGCGACGTGAAGAAGGGAAGGAGCGTCGATGAAGCTTTCAAGGAGCATAGAAATGCGTGAAAGGGATCGGGGCCATGCCGTAGGGTCCTTGGCAGTTCAGGATCATGGAAATAATGGTAATCGCAAAGGAATTGACGTCTAGTCCACTCAGCGTCTTGCTCTATCTGATGATTCCAAAATGATGAGCTAATCAGTCTTGGCACGCAATTCCTCGCTCTCATCCCGGTTCAACCCTACCAGCTTCAAACCTCCATCCACGCACGCCCACGCCTCGCCGCCAGCCAATTACCTCCCATCAGCAACAATGGGTATCACCGACTTCTTCTCCGACGTTTGGGAGAGCTTCTCCGTCCCTTCGCCCGACGCTGAAGCGCCGCCTCAGGGTGGCACCTCGACAGACACACCCGCCTCCGGCACCGACGAGCAGTCCAACGAGGAGGCCGAGGTCAACAAGCAGGACGCCAAGGAAGAGGGCGAGGGTGAACAGGGTCACAAGCCCAGCGGCGGCGACGACGACGAGGAGGAGGAGGAAGAGGAAGAGGAGGAGCCTCAGGACCCCAAGGATGTGCTAGAGAAGGGTGAGTCGCACTGAACAGCTTTCATGGGGCCGCCAAAGCCCAGCTTTAGACAAACTTGATCTTGCTGAAGCTGCTGAGATGCGGCAATAAGCTGTCTGGATGCATTTGGATGCTCAATTGCGTACCGAGGCACAAAGGAAGCTCCACAGCAAGCCATGCATAATCGAGGACGATGCTGATCAATGTTCGTACAGAGTGCGCAGAATCCAAGGCATGCCACGGACCCAAGCATCACTACGACGAATGCGTTGAGCGCGTCACAGGTCAGATCGAGAACGATGGCAAGGCAAGTGAAGACTGCGTCGAAGAATGTAAGTTTTCCACAGCTACAGCTACCTGGGCCAGCTAACACATCTGGAGTTTTCCACCTTGCCCACTGCGCAACCCAGTGCGCAGCGCCCAAGCTATTCGCTCAGCTCAAGTAAACCTGCACATACAAGCCAAGCCGCCTCATCCACGAACGATGTGAACCGAGTGGTTACAGCGGGTGGGACGTAAGGATGAATCAACGAACCACATCCGACCGCAATGAGACAACTGTATATACCACCAAGACTTGTTTAGAATATCACTGTACTATTTCCTTCAAGTCACCTCACGATTATTTTATTCAGCCTCGAATCAAATTAAGCTACGTGATGTGCATCGGCCTGGTCAGATTTAGTGCCCGGGTGGTTTCATTACACATACTGAGCTTTACCAATAGTAACAATAACGCCTGGTATCACAGCTAACCCAAGTCCTGCTCCAGCTCGTGCCCAAGCGTCTGACCGTACGCCAATAGTCAAGTCCCTTCTTCTCCTTCTACTAGACTTTCGTTCCTATGCTCATCCACCTTTAGCCTGCCCTCTCCGTGCGCCAGACCCAATCGCTTGATGCCCAGCATCAACGGCAAAGGCAACACAGCTAAAGCAAGCGCTCCCTGAAAGACAAGTGCCCTGAACATATTGCCGGGCGGCCTCGAATCGCCCCCGGCGCCCCTGCCCAGCTCCCTAACCACCGCAAGGTTGACAGGTCGCTGATCCTTCAACGCGTTCATGATAACGATGAAAATGCCCCCGAACAGCTGTCCACCTGCCCAGCAGATGGTAGAACTGACTTCAGGGGAAGCAGGGAAGGTAATCTCAACTAGGTACTCGAGCGATATAGGGAGAAGGGAGAAGGACGCCGCGCCCTCGACCGCAGAAAGGACGTACGGAGCCGCCAGTCCTCTTGTTTGAGGTGCCCAGATCAGAGCCAGATATGCAAGGGCTATAAGGGTGCAGAGGATCTTGATGCCCTTCAGGTACGCATGCGTGCGGTCGAAGATTGGCGATGTGATGGCTGCAGCTACAAGTCCGACCACAATCAATATGGCGCCGCAGATTCCGGCTTCGTCTTCTGAGTAGGCGTAGGGGTACAGGATTTGGTTGAGGAGCGAGGAGAAGGAGTTGAAGAAGCCAACGTAGGTGGAGAAGGTGATAAAGACGATGTAGAAGGGTGGAGAGCGCAAGCATTTTTTTAAAGATGGAACGAGAGCAACTTTCAGCACTTCTGACGAGGCTGAAGGTGGAGTTGGAGGTTTGGCGGGGATGAAGAGCGAAGGGAGAGTAGCTATGGTCGAGATGATGGCCACGTAGAGAACAATATCAGGTACAGATCCAAGGGATGGATTAACCAGTTGGGCGAGCTGTGTGGTGTCAATCTTGTGTAGCTGAATGTCACTCTTGAGCAGAGGTATACTTACAGCACCGCCAAAAGGGTTCGCTAGCGAGGCTATGGCTGTGGCGCTAACACGTCCAGACTCGGTGAACCATAGATCGGAGTAGCGTGTAGGGGCCGCCAATACAAACGGTTGCGCCAGTCCTGTCAAAATCTGACCAAACATGACAAGCCCAAAGATCCCGCTATCAGCCTTGGTACCTGCATAGCGGATCCAGTTGCCTGCAAGTAGAAGGAGGCTCGCGACAATGATACCGAGCTTTGGGCCCCGATTGAGCGTCCATATTGCAGCCCTGGTCGAAGGTCAGCTGGAACAACTTTCACAAAGCACCGAGATACATACGGGCTGATGACTACAAATGAGAAGAGAAACGCAGTGCTCAACCAATTGATAGAACTCTCGTTGACCCTGAAGTATTCTGCAGAGGTGGTCGACACGGGCGCAAAGGTTAACCACTGAGAAACATTAGCTCTCAGCCTCGCATACGAAGTCTCGCATCTCGCATCATTGTGCATGGCCAGCCAGCCAGCCACAGCAACTTACATCCCAGGAAACCACGATATTTAGAAGCACCAGCTGCGCCAACCCGAACCACCTCCTCTTGTACACTTTGAAATGCGTATGGCTGTAGGTTGCTCTCTCTCCACGGTTCCACCACCTCCTGCCGCCCTCACGTGTCGCCGGCTCGCTCTCTTCTCTTCCGTCTCCTCCTCTTTGCGCCGAACTCGATTCCCCGTTGCGCGCTGGGTCCATCTCCGCAACTTGCTCGCGATAAGACGTCCCATCTTTGCCGTTGCTCCCCTCGCTGTTTCTGTGCGTGGCGTCGTGCATTCTGATCCACGCGTCGCGCAGCGTCCGCTCTTGTCGCATGGACGTTGGAGAGGGGAACGGGGACCGATCTGCTTGTTATCGCTATCAACGTGTCCCGCAGTTCATGTGATAGATGCGCGCCTACGTGTGGCCTCGGTGGGTTGGCTTGAAAGGGAAAGCGATCACACGCTTGCAGGGGCCGCTTCCCTGTTGCAGTGCTCGCTTAGGGGATGGACTCTGGGCACCGAGGTCGTGTTGTTGTCGTAGTATGCGCCTTCCATCGAGGCGAGGACGCGACTTCCATATCTGAGCTGCGCAAAGGGGGCTTCTGGGCGCTGGGCGGAATCTCCTGGGGTCACGCGTCATTGGCGAGTGTAAGCTGTGCCCGATTACTAAAACAGCAGCCACGTAGAAAAGCCGACCACCTCGCCTTGGTCGCTTTGATTATAGGTCGCATCCTCTACGATTTGCATAAGCATAGCATACTTTTCGAGCAGGTGTTCGACGAGCTGAGGTCGGTCAATAACGGTGGCTCATTCCATTATAAGCGCATCCGATGGTGCACTGTGAGCACCACGAAAAAAAAAACAGAACAACTTGGCCCGAGACCCTGCCTCGCACACAACGTATGAATTAAGGGAATACAATACGAACTCAACGTTCTAGAGACGTATTCTAGCTCGACCTGCCCTAGGACATACTTAAGTGTAAATCATGACACTTCATCCAGCATGCCACGGGAGCCTACCAAAACCAGTTCAACTTTTAGCATCACCTACTTTGGTACGTCATTTCATGCTGCGTTGACTGATAAAAGCTGGACACAACATTTTGACATCCCGTCAATGTGCGTGGGTTCTTCAGAGTCGTTGATACGTTTGCTTGTCGCTCGGCTCGTCTCTCCAACAATCTCGATTCTTCTTCCCCTGATGCGGCGCACAGAAGCAATGTGCTGGACAGATTTCTTCGTCTTGAAAATACGAGCATATATCCACATTCATTGCGATTACCATCTTGACTATAGTACTGTTGAAGCGGCTGCGCTTGTCAAAGACGCGCCTTGTCCAAGGTGACGGCAGTTTTGCGGAAGAAAGCTACGAAGCCGGTCTATTGTCAGGAGCTTTGGGACGGTCTGTTCGGAAAATTAGCGATTCGTCAAAGTCAGCCATTCGCTTCCACAACGGAACGGTCCGATGGCTAACGTCAAGGATCGGCATTTCTTAATCCGGACTCGGAACTACTACTCCGTTGGATAGTTTGTACCTAATTACGAGTATGCAAGCAGTGGAGAGAACGGATCTCGGAGACTTGGATCGCATTCTAACCCTTTCTTATATTGACGACAAGAAGTCACCAAGGGGTGTCCTCAGAAAATTTTACAAGCACATGAGTCAACCTAGATCTGACGACACAACGGCAAAGTACTGCCCTAAATCAGCAAACTTTTGGCGAACAGCTTGTTTTTTTTGGAATTGCTAAATAAACTGACTGTATGACGTACGGTGATGCGGCCAGCGCATTGTACGGCTCAATATCACTCTTATGAAATCGCGCGATGCATCAAAAGCAAGTCGAGCATTCACTAATTTCTCTTGCTTGTGAGCGAGAACACTTGGCATGAAAGAGGGAAGTGACAGCTAGAATAAAGTCAAAAATGAGTGGGCATTGCTCTGACTTCGGTGGTATGTGAAACAGGACATGCGTGGGGTTGCTCCACCATAGACCCATTAATACTTGGTCTGCCCCTCAATACACTACAGGTACTTGTACAACCTGCATCGGTTGTGGCTTCAACCCGGCGCGTACCAGACCTGCGGTAACGGCTCAGATATCGTCCGGCATCCGGCAACACCACCAGTATTTTCACAGCATGTACCGGCCAATAGCAGAGAAGACTTCCCGAACCACCCACCTGACCGTTGACGTCTATAGCCATCAGACACCGTATAATTCGCGTGTTGCGTGTGGTGGCCACAGCCGTACGACCCAGGTCCAAGTCTGCACAAGAGGGCGGGGTATGAGACGGACCAAAATGACTGTTACAACCTGGACAAGGTTTTGCTCGCATCCCCGTAAAAGCGGTATATATAGAGCCTCATTCCTTGACAAGTAGGAAAGAACATCAGTCACTGACCTGGCAGTCGAGGAACACCTTATTGACACTTCACAGCATAGCTTCGCACTATGGGACTTGTGGGCGTAATTCCCGAGACTGTCGGAGGATACCTCTTTGCCCTCACTGCAGCAGTAAGTGGTCTCAACTGTGTCCAGATTTGATCTGCTGAGAAGTGGTGTCAGGGCTTGGTCTACCTTAGCGTCAAGACCGTATACAGACTCTACTTCCATCCGCTCGCAAAGTTTCCCGGACCTAAACTTGCCGCCGCAAGCATAGTATGACATCTACATTACTTCGCCTCGGATGGTACTAATAATTTGCAGCTGTGGTATACTTTCCACTGGACAAGCGGTGAATGGCCGCTCCATCTGGCCAAAGCGCATCGAAAGTACGGAGACGTTGTTCGCACCGGCCCCAACGAGCTCTCCTTCGCGTCAGCGGAATCTTGGAAAGACATCTACGGTCATACAGGCAAAGGAAGGCGTACATTCCTGAAGTCGCATTTCTACGACTCCAATGGAAGACAGCCAAGTATAGTCACATCCAAGGATCCGATCGAACACAGCACACAACGGAAGGCGCTCTCAGCAGCATTCAGTTCCAAAGCGCTCCGAGATCAAGAGAACGTTGTTCATCAGTATGTCGACTTGTTCATCGAACAGATCGGAAAACTCGGGGGCGCCGCCACTAATGGGATCAATATCCCTGAAGCTTTTAATTGGCTCACCTTTGACATCATTGGGGACCTGACATTCGGTGAGTCGTTCGACGCCGTCAAGAACGGGAAGACGCACCCTTGGGTGTCGGTCATGGTAGAAACCACGTTCTGGGGAAGCATTATTGAGTTGCGCAAGCAAGTTCCCCTGCTGAACCTGATTCTGCCGTTCCTCGTGAACGGAGAGCTTGCCAAAGGATACGAGATGCACAATCAACTCACCAAGGAAAAGACAGAGAAAAGGGTCCAGCAGAAAGACACCGTCACCAGGGAAGATTTCTTCAAAACCATTCTGTCTAAGGGAGAATGGAGTCAAGGCAAGATGGAAAGTAATGCCGACTTGTTGATCGTTGCTGGATCAGAGACGACGGCCACAACTATGGCTGGCATTGCATATTTCCTGCCAAAGCATCCACACTGCATGGCTCAGTTGCAGAAGGAGATTTTCAGTGCCTTCACTTCGTACGACCAGATCAATGGGGATGCAACCGCCAAACTTCCGTACCTCAATGCCGTGATCGAGGAGGGACTGCGGATGTACCCGCCCGTAGCATTCGGGCTCCCACGAGTCTCCCCAGGAGCTATAGTTTCCGGTTACTATGTCCCTGCCGGTACGCTTGTCTCGACGCAGAGCTGGGCCTGCTCGCATGACCCCAAATACTGGCATGATCCTGACTCCTTTCTACCCGAACGATGGATCGGAGAAGGGTTTGGCGACCGGAAGGAAGCAGTCAACCCGTTCTCGCTCGGTCCAAGAGCTTGCCTCGGAATCAACTTGGCATACATGGAGCTACGTGTCATATTGGCTAAGATGGTGTGGACTTATGAATGGGAAATGGTTGATAAGACCGTAGACTGGGTTCAGGATAACAAGATGTATTTGTTGTGGAAGAAGCCAGAGATGAAGATGCGGTTCCATCCTCGCGCGGAAAGCAAAGAATAAGCATTGTTGGATCTGTCGAGATGCAGATCCCGATTATATTTGCAAAGGCTTTTCTTTGGTATGGGCATGGTGTTGACGAGGATATAGGATGACGGAAAGGAAGTTGATTGCGACTGCAGCTAGTCCAAGATAGTGCTAGGCTCCGAGGTTAAGGATCCGTTCCAGTCATGCTTCGCACATAGCGATAGTTCAATCTCCAGTCCTACACGAGATGCGGTCCTTTGATTTGCAGCGAAGTGAATGGTCATCCGATACTAATAAGAGATTGCGTCTCCTGGCAGTGCCTGTCTCTTGATTGCAGCTCTTTTAAGACAACATCCACCATAGCTTGAGTTACCCTAGAATAGACTTATTGAGACCCGACCCTGTCTTTAGCAAAGCCTACAGCCCCATCTTCAACTTGACATGGGAATAGAGAGCATAGGATAGCCCATTCTGATCGTCTATTAGACAAGTGCAGCATAACCAAGAACCCAGAGTCACGTTGAGCGTGAAGGCGGTTTCACATCCACGACGTTCAGTCGCTGTCTACGAAAACCTGGTCGGTGGGTAATTCCCATTACAAAAAATCTTCTAGCGGAGACTGCAGCACCTTGAGAGATATCGTCCACTTATGAGGATGCATCCATTATCATTCTTTAGTCCTGCTCGCCCATGCGAGCATTGTGGTATCAGTCACCTAATACACCTTGATACTCCATCTCTCGTGCAATGTAACACCAAAACTCCAATCATACTGTTACACGAAAACCCACCGTCAAGAATCCTTTCGAGAGCCAACCTAATGCGCTTTCGGAATGCTCTGGCGTGCCAACCACAACGCAACGCTCTCCCTCGCCGTCTCGCTTCCCCATACGCTCTCCGCCCCTCCACGCTTCCACTCCTCGCCCGAAGCATCTTCACCTCCACCACGAGCTGCATCTCCCATGATGACCTCTAGATCGCGCTTCTGCGACGAGAACCAGCGCTTAACAAATGCGACAGGATCCGTGGCCATGCTGGTATAGAAAGCGTGCTTGGCCTTCGATCTACTGAGAGCGCTCATGAGAAGCACGATTTGGTCGTCGATGCTGTGGATCTGCTGGAGCGTCTCTGTACTCTGCTTTGAGCGGAGAATGCTGTGGAGTAGCGGTTGGAGAGGGTCGTCAAGTGCGACCTGTACGTCGTAGATGGTAGGCTCGGAGGGCTGCTTGCCGGATTCGGGAGATGGTTGTAGGTACTCCTTGTCGACGCGAATGGTGTACTGGAGCTGGACGGGAGGAAGGGTCGTGAGATGCGGCTTGATGAGCTGCGGGAGGCTGGGGAAGTAGAAGGAGTCTGCGCCATTGAAGAGGGCTTTGAGCTTGGAGTCGCAGGCAAACTTGCGCTCGTCATCGTCTTGTTGTAGGTTTTGAGAGCGCGCGTATTCCCAAACGCCCATCAGTATGCCAGCGCGGTCCTCCTCGTCTGTGTCCAAAAGCTCCGCCATCGGTTTGCTCAGGCGGAAGATCTCAGGATTTTGGTGGCGCTGGAGATTGATAGTGATATTGATGTTCTCGTCACCCTTGCGCTCGAATTCGATCTGGCTGAACGGATTGTCCTGCGGCTGGGCACCCTCTGGCCGCTTCCACTCAATCTGCGTGAAGTTGTCCGGCTGCAGACTCTTGGCGCGATCGAAGTCAATGGTCACGGATGTGAAGAATTGGGAGAAGGGCTTAGTTTTTTGCGCCGAGTCATCCTTCTTCTCGCCCTCTGCGCCGTCCTCCTCCATGACATCCGGGTCTTTCTCGTCCTCCTCCTCTTCGAGGCCCTCGTCGCTGCCTTCGTCGAGCAGGCGGCCCTGGATTTTTACGCGGTACGTCGCATTCGTGTCGCTCTCGAAATCGAAGGCATCGGCGTCCATGCCGCTGCTCTGCCAGGGCTGGTTTTCGGCGGTATTGGATATCCAAATGCGCACGGTGCCGGTGCGACCGCTGCGCGAGTGGTAGACCGAGTCGGAGGCCTCGAGCTTTTTGCGCATCATAGTAGCGTCGAGCGTGCGCTCGACCTCGCGCAGCTCCTTGTAGCGGGCGACGCCGTCACCAATGCAGATGTCCTCGACGCCCTCGGGCACATTTTTGTTAGTGGGCGTCTTGGCCATGCGGCGCAAGCGGTCGCGCTTCGCCTGTTCGGCGCTCTGCTGCTGGATCATTTGGGCATTGTTGTGGTGCTGCTGCGGCGGCGGCGGGTACTGGTTCGGGTGTGCTATAGGGGCTGGCTTGCGGAACATGTGCTCCAGGTCAGCCTTTCTGATCATCTTGTGTACAGGGCGCGCGGGCAGCTTGGGGTGGACGTGGTGGGTGCTGGCGCAAGAGGGTACGTACCGGGCCCTCGCCGTGCGGGCGGAGCGTGGTGTGCCGCTTGGGCAGCGAGCGGGTAATTCCGCCCGTACTGCGGTTGCATGGCTGCTCGTGTGATGGCAGGTGCGATGGAAAGGCCACGAGTTCGCGATGCGCTTGCAGTGAAAGACGATGGAAGTCAAATGTAGGGACGTGCTTTTTTGGGAGACGCGTCTGTCCCAGCGCTGCAGGGCTGAACTGGGCGAATCATACCCCTTTTCCCAGCCCCGCCATCGGCTGGCCTACCCCGCGACCAGCTGCGACACCTCGTCCCTGTCGTCTCGAGCATCCAACTCGGGCCAGAGACGCGTAGCTACAGACGCGGGCGGGTGCCGTGGCTACAAGTTCGAGGGCACCGCGCGAGCCAATTCATCGCTTCGCGCATTCCGATGATCCTTGGCCCTACGCGACCACATCTCAAGTGAACGGAAGTACTGTTCCAATATCATCTAGCGTCATCGATTCATCAATGTCCCTCTTGTTTGGTCTCGACTTCTGCCTCCACCCGCATCTTTCGAGCCAAATCCACTTGCTGCGTTGCGCGACAGGGTCAAGACAGGTCATCTGGACAAGTGAAGAGAGAGTACCAGGCATACACACTCGAGACGCAGCGTCAGTGAGATCATTCACGGATACCTAGGTACTTGGGACGTTGACCATGTCGGCGGAAGGCGAATCAGTACAGGACATCGAAAGTGCGATCTCAATGCTGCCCCCTCCACGGCCGTATCTTTCGGGCCCTTTGGATAAGATTGCCGCTGTGCGTCTGCCCGGGAAGTCTCCGTCCTCGCTGTGGGATGTCTCGATCAAAGACAGCAGAATTTCTTCCATAGACCCGCACGACGATACGCCCAGCTGGGACCCGCTCGGAGACACCGAGAGCGTCCACAACGGCATATTGGACGGATGCAATCGTCTGCTTGCACCTTCGCTTTGCCACGCTCACATACATCTAGACAAGTGCTTCCTCCTCCAAGACCCTACCTATAGTGACTTGCAGATCGAAAGGGGCGATTTCCAGGAGGCCATGGAGTTGACTACAAAGGCCAAAGCCCGATTCGACCAAAGCGATCTGTTGAGGCGCGGACGCACGCTCATTGACGAGAGCATTTCCCATGGCGTCACGGCCATGAGAGCATTTGTGGAAGTGGATAGAGGTGTGCAATTCAAGTGCATCCTCGCTGGTTTGAAATTGAAAGCTGAGTATAAGCATCTCTGCGAAATTCAGCTATGTGCCTTTGCTCAGTTGCCACTGTTCTCTGGAGAGGACGGAGGCGAGGAGATCCGAAAGTTGATGGGTCTTGCCGCCACTATGGGAGACATTGATGTATTAGGTAGCACGCCGTATGTCGAAGATGACGAGACAAAGCAAGAAGCAAATGTTCATTGGATCACCTCGTTGGCGCTAGCCAATGGAAAGCACCTCGATCTGCACCTGGACTACTTTCTGGAGAAGCACAGGCAGCCCTTGATCTGGACGGTGCTGGACATAACTCGAGGTTATAAGTGGACCGAAAAACAAGGTAAACAGATCACTCTAGGCCACTGCACTCGCCTCACCAGGTTCAATGACGAGGAGTGGACAGCACTGAAACAAGGCATTGGCGACCTCCCAGTGTCTTTCGTTGGGCTACCAACTTCAGATCTATTCATGATGAGAACTCGCGCGAATGTGCGCGGCACGCTGCCGGTGGTTGAGATGATCCAGCAACATGATCTACATGCAGCGATCGCCATCAACAACGTCGGGTCCGTTTCTCATGTTCAAGTGCAGAGAGGCACAGCAGCATGCTAATGCTCCCAGCAATGCGTTTACGCCTTACGGAAACTGTGACCCGCTCAGTATTGCGAGCCTTGGAGTAGGTATCTACCAGGCTGGCACGAAGCAGGATACAGAGATCCTCTATGTAAGTCGCCATCAATTCTTTTCGGCTACAGGCAGATACCCGAACGTATGACTATGCTTTCAAAGAATACTCTGTTCACACAGCGCGTTTACCGTGTACTGGTCATCTGAGGCGTGGCAGCCCGCCGCTTGTCTCGGCTTCAATGCGGAGATAGAACTAACGGCGATGTAGGAAGCCGTCTCAAACAGAGCGAAGAAAGTCATTGGTTGCGAGCCCACAACTCTCGCTCTGGAAGTCGGAGAGCCTGCCGATTTCGTGCTCTTCAACAGGATGAGCGATCGGCGGTGTAGAAAGAGTATATCAGAAGTGGTGTATGATGCCGGCCCCATCAGGGCGACAATTCGACATGGTAGATGGACAGGTAATGGCTAATGAAGTTCGAATGTTAGTATCATGTGGCTGAAGAGGTGATGTGATGAGAAGCCTAGCTACGCCGCACTCTTGCCGCTTTTGTGCAGCTATCCTGGTTCCATGCAGTGCAACGAACAACGGGGCGAGCAGTCTTCGCATGCTCATCCAATGTTCAGTTCTCCTCAGTCGAGCAGTATTGGCCACCTCGGGATCAACCCGATTTCCCAGACCGCATCGGTGGGTCATGATCTACTCACGGGCCTGCCCTTCACTTGACGACTGCCAAGGCTCCCCTTCCCGCAATCACCGCTCTTTCCCATCTTGCAGTCACAAGTAGAGACCTCAGCCCCATTCATCTGCTCGCATCATTGCAACCAGATCCGCCGCGGCTGCACGGGTCGCCATGGAGTCCCCCATAGTCAATGCACCCAGGTAAGCATGCGTATTTGCTTGTGCAATACCAAATGCTAACGCCTGTTTCACTCCAGCCCCCTTCACGTGCCTCTCAGCAATACCAATTCCGTCCCTGTCTCACCAAATTCAAGCGCGCCACCTCGGCACCACCCGCCTGCACGAAACGATGACTCCAAAGATGAGGAACGCGCGCGCGGTTCCTCGTCACAGAGCATTGATGCGCTTTCTCTCAAATTGCTTGTCAAAGTTCAAGTACATTGTCACCCCTTAGAACTTTCGCACCGGTCGCTAACGAGGCACAGCAAGTTTTTGGCCGGCAATCGAGCGAGTGGATGACGATCAATCGTGCGCTGCTTCAATTTAAAGAGGGGCGTATAAGCAAGAAAGAAGCGCATCACATAATGACGCAGGTCTTAGGCGACAACTACGAGCTCAGTCATGATTTGTTCGACATCCTGGACCACGATGAAGCCGATTGGGGACCTGAAGACTGGTCTCAGCCCATCAACCCTCCTGAGCACCCACAGACAGTCAATCCAACTTCGCCCAACTTCTTACAACCATCATATGAGCCCGAATTTATTCGTCTCCCATCCATGTTCCAGGCGCTGGGCGGTAGTTCGTACACGTCCCGGCCGCAACTGACAATCAATCCTACAGTCCTGCAATCATCCTCGATGCCTTATGCCGCCGAGAAGATGACGCCGACTCCGTACCGTAACGCCCAAGGGCTTTCGGATTCTCTCGCGTCAAACTTCGAAGGCTATTTTGGGTACGACAATCGCCAGGAGCATCTCACGCCACAGACTCAAGGCTTGCCCATCAATTGGAATCATGACCTTTACATGCCCAACGGTCTGTCATCCCCAGCTCATCTGATGCCAGGCACAGTCGCTTTGCCGCAGCACTACGTATCAACCCCCTGGCGTCAGGCCCAGACTTTGGCACCCTCGAGGGATATCCACAATGAGATGGGTCTGAACCCAGGTATACAGTCGTACAACAATCTGGGTCGTACGAAAGAGCCACTCCCAACAGCCGTCTTTACAGCCGAGCAGACCCATCAGCAATATCCACAGCCCCATTGGCAGAATGGCCACTCGATGGGCGACGGCCTTGGAGACCGTCTTTGGCAGCATGAGCAAGATCATGGCACTGCGGAACGCCAGATATTGCACATTGCTCCTAGTCCACAATCGCAAGCCACTCCGCAGTTAGTTTCAGGACAGTTAAGCTCGGATACCTCCGTCTGTACGATCGCAACACCAACAACGGGCGTTGCGAACGTTACTCGACTTGTTCAGAACGAACTGAATAAAGGCCAAGCTCAGTACATGGCGAGCATGCAAATCAACAGCAACAATGCGATGGATGGATCACACGAAGCGAATATGAACAATGCAGGGCCACAATCCGGAGAGCCCAAAGCGAAGCTATTCAGGCCTCAACCAATCCCTAAGCCGGAAGGCACTTTCATCCATGCTATCTGTGGCAAAGGCTTTCAAACCAGGAACGCAGTGAAGAAGCATCATTGGGGCCCAAAGGCCGGGGATCTGGAGGCCACTAGAGGCTGTTGGGCTAAGAATAAAAGACCAGACATCGCTTGGTAAGTATGAGTCTGGGCGTCACACACTTGCGACTAACACCGACAGGGACGCACATCCCAGCTGCAATCTAGGATCTTCCAAATTGAGCATCAATAACGCTCAACCGACTGCTACCGAAGAAGACGATTCCATATCGACAAGCCCGAACCTGAACGTAGCGCCAGTGCCGACGATGCTATCTGGGCGCCCGACCGTTCAGCAATTCAATGATCCTCCGGCTCATCATCTTGACACTCTGGTATCTGCTGCCTCATTTGCAGAGAGGATTGATGCACCCAAGCCGCAGGGCAGCCGAAACGATTCCGTTGTAGCTTACCTCGACGCCCAAGCTGCTGCTGCCGAACGAAATCGCAGGACACTACCGCCTTGGTCTACTCCAACCGGGTTTGGGACCGCCCTCACAGGAAGAGCCTCGTACAGTCAATTGCAGTCGCCTGCCGCTGGCTTGAACATCACTCATAGCCCACCGAATCAAGTCCTTCCGAACATGAAGCCACCATCGCAACAACACATCGGCTTTGCCCCTCCAGGGGGTCGGATCAGCAATGCTCATGCTACCCAGGACGAGGACGTCAGACCCACCACAATGAACAACAGCGTGCAGGAGAAGCGGCAGCGTGCCACAAGCAAGAAAGCTAGCGTCTCCAAAGGCGAGCAGAAGCTGCCGGACTCCCTTTCTCCAAGCCCAAAGCAGAAGAAGGCGAAGCTCCACAAGTAGGGCATAGGTTTGAGTGCCCATTCACAAACCAGGGTGATTAGTATAACGGCGGGCAGAAATCATCCAGACCTGTCGCCACGTGAGCTTCTTCGCCAGCGCCTAGATCCAAAATCGTCTCTATTGGCGCCCACAATGTTGGAATGGGAATGGTAATGGAGTGTGTCATGTGCATTGACTTGGTGGAGACGAAGGACTGATTAGAGCGACCATGGTTGTTGCATTTCTCCGTGTTGCTATAGGTTTAAGTTCCTATTTTGGCGTTTGTGGAACACATATACCCAAGGCTGCTTGTACGAATACTCATCTCTGAGGTGGAATGTACGGACATGGGAGTAAAGACAAACCATGGCAACTGGCGACAACCGAAAAGTCCAAGCATACTCCTTCCAGTGCTGGGCAAGCGATGGCCACAGGGTTCAGTGGACGTGGATTGTTGTGTATTGGATTCGATGTCAATGTCTGTACGATTACGAGAGTTCTACTTCCTTTCCAGTAGTGAAGATTTCTGCGGTATGACGGGAGGTACGCACCACCTCAGGCGAACGCAAGCTTCCCCCGCCCGATGCTCCGTGAAAACAAGCTCCACAGAAAAGGCGGGTTGGCGCACGAGCCGCAGTCAGCTCCAGCGGCGCCCATGTCCACATTTCCAATCAACTGACCCTGTCGACGGTTGTCATCACGCTGCAGGAATAGAAAAATCCTCCAATCGGAGGACGGGCTGTTGGCGTGGCCGCTGGGTTTGCGCGACTTGGGCGCAGGCTGTGGCAGGGGAGAGCTCGGAGCTCGAGCTTCTGGAGAATTGAGCTTCAGGAGAACAGAAGGCCCCAGCGACGAGCTTCCACGACGGACACGAACTGAACAGGACGGAGAACAGCAGATGCGACGAGGCAAGCGGAGAAGAGGAATTGGCCCTATACGGCAATGCGCCCGCCCCCACACGCGTCATAGCTCGGGTTCCTGGAGACAAAGGCTCCAACCCCATGCGGGGAAATGAGAGCTAGCACCACCACGGAAGCTTGGTGCGTTTGCGCGGTGAAGCTTGACCCGGGAGAAGGCAGGACAGGGTCACGTCTGCCTCTGCGCTACCAGCCGGTGCTCGACGGCGAATCGCTAGAGACAATGGGAACAAGTACCTGGCCGTGGGGACGGGGATCCGCACGTGTATAAGAAGCTGCGGCGCGCCTCTTCGTCTACGTGCTACCGCTCCTGCCTCTTGCACTCGCCTCAGTTGAGTCCCCCAAGTTTCTCCCAGGCCAATTGAGACGATCCAGCATCATGTGGGCTTCTGCTGTGCTCCCGCTCGTTGCGGCGTCTGCATTCGCGCAGTACAGCACGGGGTCGCCGTCGCCAAACGGAACCACTGGCCCTGACGCCGACGGCAAGTACGAGATCTCGGCCGAGGGCATTCGCGCGACCTTCATCCCGTACGGCGCATCCATCTCCAATCTGTTTATCAACGACACGAACGGCATTGAACGCGACATTGTCCTCGGCTTCGACAACGCGAGCCACTACTCGGTCGACCCCTTCCACCCTCATCTGGGAGGTGTGCCTGGTACGTTTGTTTCTCTATCACCATCAACAATCGGGCAAAGAGCTAATGGGCCCCAGGACGCTACGCGAACCGCATCAAGAACTCGACCTTTACCATCGACGGCGTCGACTACCATGTTGACGCTAACGAGAACGGCGGCGCTGATACCCTGCACGGTGGATCAGACGGTTGGGATTTCGTAAGTCATGCCCGGGTTAGCATGCTATACAGCACTAACATGGCTGCAGCGCAACTTCACCGTCGTCGCGCACACCGCCGACTCCATCACCTTCTCTATCGTTGATCCTGACGGCAAGGAGGGTTTCCCTGGTGAGGTCGTGAGCTACATCACGTACACTGTGACAGCTTTCACATGGAATATCAAGATGGTGGCTCTTGCGACTACCAAGAAGACGCCTATCATGCTGAGCTCCCACGTAAGTATCCGCCTATCCAATCATGAAGAAAAGAAGCTGATTCAATAGACCTACTGGAATTTGGACGCCTTTGCCAACCCTGAAACTGCCACCACCGACAATCACACTCTTCACCTGCCCTACTCTGGCCAACGTATCGGCGTAGACAACATCCTCATTCCCGACGGTACCATCCTCCCCAACGAGAAGTACTCCGTCAACGACTTCTGGTCGTCGCCCAAGCAGCTCGGCGCGAACTACTCTTCACCCGATATCAAGAACAATTGCGGCTTCGGCTGTGTTGGTTACGATAATGCTTGGCTCGTCAACCGCGCTCAAAACGGCCCATACGACTGGCGCAATGAGGGCCCTGTTGCTACGCTTGCTAGCAACTTCACTGGTATCCAGATCGACATCTTCACCGACCAGGATGCGTTCCAGGTGTACAGCTGCCCTGGCCAGAATGGTATGTCTTCCCTGCCTGCACTTCCTGACGGGGAAGAAACATGAACTGACATCTGATAGGCTCCCTCCCCATCAAGTCTACCCAAGGATATGAGGGACGTCCGCGCGTTGTCGAGAAGTACGGCTGCGTCGTCATGGAGGTCGAGGACTGGATTGACGGCATCAACCACCCCGAGTGGCAGCGCGAGAAGAAGCAGATCTTCGGCCCCGGTGACGACCCATACGTTCTCGAGGCGAAGTACGTCTTCTCTGTCAACTAAATAGACAGGCGAGAGGCTGGCCTGATAGAGGGCTGCCCGCGATAATGAGTAATTCTAATGCTTTACTGCCAATGTATCTTAGTGCGTCTATGAAGTGACATGGCTTTCGGTTTTAGATTTCCAAATCTTCATGTAGGTGATCCATATGCCGAAGCTTTCGTTGGATTTTGCAGAGAACGGGTGAGTACCACACACTACCTCGCGACTCCTTCCTATCGTTGTACAATTGGAATTTAGCACACACTCAGCGTGTTTGAAGTCATCGTAAGATGACTTAGATCGGTTACGTCGTCAGACCTTGCATCTCGTCGTATGACAGCGATCCTAGAGCAGCCAGGATCTTTACGTTCGGTTCGGTAGCGTAGGACATTGCGACTTCATCCCTCCAAAAACTTCTCGAGGTGGTCGTAGGGGTTGGCTCTCTCCTGTTGATAGGAGATGCCCGTCAGAAGTTTCTTCAACACTGTAGATTCCGTACATTAATTGTTCGATAGCAAGTGCTAGGGTGACTTGGGCTACCATAAGACCTCAGAACCTTAACCTAACGGCGTATCGCCGATGTTCGCATCTGTGCGAGAGTCAAACCATGAGTCGGCATTTGGTTTTCGCTGTTCTGCATGCACAAAACTCGCCTTTGAGTCGCTCCAGTCCGGATCATCCCAGCCAAGTCGCTCATTCTCTTTCCACTGCGTCCACCTTCATCTCTACCGTGGGTGACAGCACTGGTGTTCCTTACTTCACCTCCTTACCATTTGGAGCCAAGAGCGTGGTCTTCTTCTCGCTGCAATGGAGACTGCGATGTCATCCTCGATTCTTGTTGTGGGTGTCTTTGACTGTGGCGCTTTCCGGGGGATGCAATACTGGCGGAACGTGCTATAATGGCTTCACGTATAACTCGGAATCCTTGAGGTATTATTGTTTCATAGCAGGAGCATATGTATTAGTGAAGCACGCAGGGGAATGGATCGCCTTGTGCGGATCTTGCGTGATCCGATCGATATCGCGTTGGAAGTTGATGCAGGAGTTGTAAAGAGCTCTCAAAGAGGTGTGGGCACTGTTTTTCGATGCAGTAGGTATCGTGTTGACTTGATTCGATGAGTGAGCATTCTGCATTGTTCGGACATAAGACTGTTACTCTTGCGTACCTCCATCCTTTGTATGATCAAACTGTCATGCTGGTACATGAGATATAGCGCGGGTGGAACGACTTTGATCAGGCACTTGAGATCTGTCTTGTCTGGATCGTGATCATGGTCATTTGCGCCTCCGTCCTGAAGAGGATGTCGATTTCCTGTGAATTTACTTTCTGGTACCACAGGTCCTGCTCTCCAACCACGGTTTTAGCACGGTTTTCTGCTGGTTCTCGTCCACTTCATTACCGATTTGAAGAAGGAATCTTTTGGTTTGGCTCTCGGCGGCGAAAGAAAACATCAAACCTATTTCATTGTCCAGGCGTCAAAGACAAATCTTTAATGTCACAAAGAATTTGTTGGGATTGATAAGGCTCGACAGCAACCTAATATTACGGTTGGGGCGGAGATGCGGCGGCCATTGACATGCTTTATAGTCTCGTTACTCCAGCCTAGGTACGTCTGTGTAGCGAGATTGGCCCTCTACGCGAGAGCATGTAATAATGGGTCAGCCTGAGCTGGATTGTCTTCCCACTCCTTGCCAGAGAGTGAAGGGATATGAAGAATCCCATTCGCTCTGACTTACGCCTGTGTTAGCACAAAGTCCCTAAGCTGTGCATCTGCGCCAAAACACAGCCTTGTTACGCGGATCTGCCCATGGCTGAAATTATGCCATTGTAGAAAATATTAATCGTCTCCTCCCAGTCATGGTCAGGATCATTTACACCGCATAGTTCGAGCCTTCGATCGTAAGTCATAGTAGAGCCTAAAAGATGTTTGAGGGTTTGTATTGTTCTGATGCTTGAAAAGGAAGAGTCGGAGATTATCTTGGATCAATTTTGTACATCTGTCTCATTCCCGAAGGATTCTCCGATCTGGTTATGGTCTGAGTTGCGGTGTACTAGCGGTAGGAGTGATCATTATCCTACAATAGGTCAGATTCTACCCGATCGTCCCATACCTATAGTATTCGCCGCCAACTGTTTGTTCTCGGTTCTGCCTTCGCTACGTGCTTCGGCATCCTTTCGCGAGCCCTCTATTCGGCAATGCGTGGGCGCACAGCTCGCTCGTGGAGATTACTCGTTATGGGAATGTCAAGCCCCCAATGTTTCGAAATGCAAACTTAGTTCAAGTGCACACTGAATGAGAAGCTGTGAGCAAGTGAAATTGGATTATACGTTGTGCACTTGGTGCTGCCTCGGGCTGGACTGTTGGGCTCTCGCGTAATGTCGCGAACCAAAGCCGCGCAACAAGTGACCGATTCCACAGCGCGACAACAACGCAACGTGCCATACTTTCATAGTCAGTATTCGAGGTGTGATAGTATGACTCTTTGGACGTAGAATGGACATAACATATTGTGGTACGGGTCGGATTGGTGGTGTTCATAACCCACGGTGCCCAGCGATCTCGACCAGCTCGGCCTTACAATCGGCCCCTTACTCCATCTCGCCTAACGCCACGTCATTTTCCATATTTTAATAGCGTATTACTTATTTCTCGTCGCCTTGTACTGATGCTCACCGCTTCCAAAACCAGACCAAAAGAAATGTATATATATGTATTGTACATTTACAACATCATACAAAACAGCCCGAACTCAAAAGTTCGGCTTCGGCTTCATGGTCTAGTGGTATGATTCCTGCTTTGGGATTAGTGTCCTAACTTGCAGGAGGCCCCGCGTTCGAATCGCGGTGGAGCCCTATTTTTGCGCTGTCTGATAGACGTGTTCACGGTTGTACAAGGTACTACCGCTGTTTCCCACGCCAAAAAGCGACGAGGAGCTTCCATTTTGTCACTTTGACGTCTGTTATGGGACATTCTTTTTACTTAGGTAGGCTGATGGAGGATGTGGGTGTGGGGGGGTGTAGGAGTTGGTACGTGATCACTGGTAAATTGCGCAGGTTTCGACTCGTACCAAGACTTGGAAACACGAGACTCTAAACTATCGGAGGTTCACGAATTATCAGGTTCCTGGGCGTTACCAATTCTCTTCATCAAACCTCACAATCGTTCCAGCCAGAAGTAAATCCTCCTGCTACAGTGCTACCAGCTCACCCCCACGCCTTTTGCATCCTAACTCTGTAGACTGATCCCCATTTATGTTACACATGCTGTACTCGCCTCAAAGTGTCATCTCTTGCAGCTATCCTGAGTATTGTTTATGAAAAAGAGCTCATTATGATAATTTTAGTCTAACAATTTTACCAATTGGGATTGTAGCCTCTTCACTGGTTCAAGCACGATGTCTGTGCCTTCCCCACTATGCCAGTTAAGTATTAAGCACAGGCACACAATCTTGTGGGTTTTAGTTTTTTAGCACCAGCACCGTTACTGCCAGCCGATAGCATGATCCTCTTTTGGGCCGAGTTCGTTTCAGGAACACCGTGATTGTTCTTGTTCCTATGCCATATCCATGCTACCTTCTCTCGTCACAAGAGTTCGCATGCAGTAAAACGATCGTGGGAAGCATGATATTCATAGCGTACGTGCAACTCAGTATGACGTCTACAAATGCGGCACCTTCAAGCTAGCCAAAGCCAGATTCACAATGCTGAACAGCCCCTCGCCTAATATCAACCCACTAGCGAGCACAACGATCTGCGTCTCGCTTCGGCCCTTCCAACGCCTCCACCATAAGCTGATCAAGCCACCAATAGTACGTGCCAGTGTAAAAGAGGGCGTGTTGTACATGCCTGAAGGTTGTCAGTATTGATGATCAAGTCACAACCTGCTAGAATACTCACCAATAGCGAATGCGATACCACCTGGAACAAAGTCAAACCACTTCGCGCTCAGTCCCTGCCTCTTCCTAAACTGCCCGTACACCCTCAGCATCGTGCCTATGGCGAATATTGCTCCAGCACCAGCCGCCCATTCGCGGACCATGGGTGGTAGACCTTTGCCTGTCACCAGTCTCGCAGTGAAGACCCATACATAAGCTGTTGGAACTTCAAACAAACCACCTGGGATCATGCCCGCGTATACGTGCGTGTACAGCTTGTACACCAGCGCAGATATGACCGCACCGACGGCGCTACCAATCATCTGGCCCCAGAATTGTGCATTCGGCGCCGCGCCTAGTAGATGCCCGCATTTGAGATCTTGCAAAAGATCGCCAGCCTGTAGGGCTGCCGATTCGGAGACGGCACCTGCAAGCAAGTTGATGATAACGGAGTTCTTAGCGTTCGGCCCTGTGGTGGGCGTGACAAGAGCGAAGATAAGTTGCGTGAGCTTGGAGATGCCCGATACGGGATTGAGATCCGTTTCGCCCAATGCACGAACGCCCATGATGGAAAGGAAGAGCGCTAGAACAAGTGCGAGGAGAGTAAGGCCAAAAGGGATGAGGTTGGGAAAGGAAATATGTACGCCGGCTATGCACGCAACGAGCGAGAGGATGAGTCCAATAGTCGTTGTACGATTTGATATCTGGTGTTCAGGCGGTGCGTCCGGCTCGCTATCTTCGGAAAGATACTGCTTCATGGCAGCGATAGGATTTGCGGAAGTGCCGTCGCTGAGCTGAGTGTACGCAGGCTGACGAGTGATGTTGAGGGTAAAAATTTGTTTCCAAGTGTGTGTATCGTAGATCTCCTTAGCCGGGGGGTAGTATAGCTTGCCAATGGCGAGCAAAGGTCGAAGAGCGAGCCATCCGAGGTTGACCAACGAGTCTGCCAGCATGATTGCGAGCGAGATCCATACAATCCATCCCTTAGAGCCATCGGTCCAATCTGACACAGGTCCTGGTGCCCAGCCTCGCTGTTTCGCAAGCGGCGACAGTATACCCCAGCCCACTATAGCGCCCAGGAGCATATGAAGAGTTGTAGCGGGACCCATGATGATGCCCTGACCGATGTAGGCTGGAGACGGATTCAAAGTCCAGAGCCAGTTGTTCGCCAACGTAAGCCCAAATATCGGGACGTCGTGCAGGTGTGGGATGAAGTAGGTTACTATCGTATAGATAGCTGAGCTAGCAAAGGATATCAAGAGTAGACGAATCCTGCCTTTCCAGTCACCATCCTCGTCGGAGTCATTTTCTTGACCTTCTACCTGCTCTTCGTTGGACGGTCGGAGTGCGTACTCGCCTTCTGTATCAGGAGATTGTGAAAGGCTCTGTTCGTGTCCTCTTGATTCCTCCTCTCCTCGGGGTTGAGACATTGTGACTCTTGACTTTTCGTCTCCGTGTAGTACCTGGATCATCAGGGCTGTAGCAGTCCCACTTGGGAACTTGAGCTTCTCGCGAATGATGACCTCCTTGCGCAAAGGCACGGCGAATACCACACCAAAGAAACATATCCCTAAAGACCAGACGATTAGTCTCCAAAGACTAATGTCGAGTGGTCCGTTTTCTTCTTTGGTCAACAAGAAGTTCAGGGCCGGAACGACGCCGACGAAACCGCATCCAAGCGGCATGGTTCCCACAGCCCCAGCGACAGATTGGACGAGTACATTTTCTACAGGCGTGAATGGAAGTTTGAGCATACGGGACACTGTCTTGAAGTAGGCGAAACCGATCAAAGCCGACGGCATCGCCATTCCGGTGACCCAGCCTGTTTGGAGACCAAAATACATGTTACTGAAGCATATCGCTACTCCGATTGCCAAGCCACACAGAACGCCTCGGAGGGTGAAATTTTGAGCCTGAGAAGCTCGTTCCGCAAGGAAACTGCGTTCTCTGGATGCACTTAAGCTGTTCTGGGAATGCGGCGCATTGCTGGCTTCGTGAACTTCGTGATTTCGTTCGTTATAATCCACGCCTTCTAATTCGCCCCGGTCTGGAGCCATATTGTATATCGGCGAGGAAGAATTGAAAGATGTAAAGAGTATAGACGTGGTAGCCTTCACACAAGAGCTAAACCGGCCTCATTTTGAAGATGTGAATCGGTTACGCGGGTGCACTGGGTGCCAGGTGGTCGCTGAATGACGCGATACGCATCATCGTTTTGCCGAGGAAGGCGCGGAGTGCTTACTTCCCCTTTTAGTCAGCCGCAACCCTGCATCTCTCCAACGTGTGTCGCAAAGGGCGCGCGGAGGCCTCTTGGAAGCTCACAACACACTCGCTGCCTTGCAAAGACACTTGCGAGTGCGTCGCACGCTACCACTACCATGAAGCTCACCGCTGCCCTTGCGCCTCTTCTACTGGCTCCCCTCGCCGCCGCCGAACACACCTCGAACTGGGCAGTCCTCGTTGGCACGTCGCGCTTTTGGTTCAATTACAGGCACCTCGCGAATGTTCTCTCACTATATCGTACGGTGAAGCGTCTCGGGATCCCCGACTCGCAGATAATTCTCATGCTGCCTGATGACATGGCCTGCAATCCCCGCAATGCATTCCCAGGAACCGTGTACAACAATGCCGACCGCGCGCTCGATCTATATGGAGACAACATCGAGGTGGATTATAGAGGATACGAAGTCACGGTAGAAAACTTCATAAGACTTATGACGGACAGAGTATCAGAGGATATGCCACGATCCAAGCGGTTGATGACAGACGAGCGGAGCAACATATTGGTGTACATGACGGGGCACGGCGGGAACGAGTTCTTGAAATTCCAGGATGCGGAAGAGATCTCGGCCTACGATCTAGCAGACGCTTTCGGCCAGATGTGGGAGAAGAAGCGGTAAGCCTGCGTAAGCCATCGTTGCCTGAACAGCTCTAATGTCGAAAAGCTACCACGAGATGCTCTTCATGATCGATACATGCCAAGCCAACACCATGTACTCCAAGTTTTACTCACCGAACATTTTGGCGACTGGATCCTCTGGGATCGACCAGTCTTCATATTCGCACCATGCAGACAATGACGTGGGCGTTGCTGTCATTGATCGATACACGTACTACAATCTCGACTTCCTCGAAAAAAACGTTCGCGACCCGACCTCAAAGGTCACCATGGGCGAACTATTTGACAGCTACAACCCAGCCGACATGCATTCAGACCCTGGCATCCGGTATGACCTGTTTGCCGGTGGAGAAGGTGGTGCTAGATCAAGATTGATCATGGACTTCTTCGGAAACGTTCAAAATGTGGAAATTGACGCTGGGACCCAGAAAAACGAGACTCAGTGGCGTGAAGAGCTAGAAGCTATTGACAAGATGATTCTGGAGGCTAAGCAGAGACACAACATGTCACTCAATGTGAGACCGCAGGCTCAGCACGTAATTGAAGAGGCAGCTGCGATGGAGCCACAGCCACATCAGAGCATAAAGAAGCCCGGCCCTGTAAAGGCAGACACAGATTTTGCATGGTCGAAACAAATCGTCGGGGCCGCAGCATTGCTAGGATTCGCCGGTGTTTGGGCCGCAGGATCCTGGATGGAGTCGCTTTGAAACGTGGAGAAGCATTCTGGATTACTCTGCAATTAGCGCCAAGATACCCTTTCCTGAGTCATGAATGATAGCATCTCGATTTCTCGGAGCCATCCGACCAAATACGCTCAATACGATCTCGGCTACGGAGAGATGACAGGAGCCCGTGCGATCTGTTTCCCCAATCGTGTATCGTACCCATGCTGTGGCGCCTGCCAAAACGTGTGGAGAGCGCCAATGCCCCGGAACGTTATCTACGGGACAGCCACGCGGCTGGCAACAATGCGCGGGTTTGCTCCACTGCCCAGATATTAATATCGTTTGGGGCTGGTTCAGCACGCGCTTAGGAGTGGAAATGAATTGGCGGAGGATCTGCGCAAGGGTTACTTGTTTTGGCTGACTGTTTCCCGCGCCCTCATTGGCGGACGGAGTACACTCGTTTCACAGGCACTCTCGACGTAGGCTGGAGAGGAACGCCAGAGGCGGTCGGCCGTTGTCATTGGTCTTGTGTGTGCTTGCATTGTTTGCATTCTTTTGCCAACGCCAGGCGTCCTCGGCTGGAGCCAGTGGAAATTGCACTCCACGACGGACCTTTGGCGGAAGCTGTAACACGCTAAAGCATGGCTGACCTGCGTATTCGAGGCCTGTCTTGGGACCTGATATAAGGGAACAGGAGATAGAATCTGGGAAAAGAGCCATCGCGGGTCTGGTAGCAGTTGAACTCACCCATACACTCTTTGCCCCAGTGCACACACTCCTTTTTTCTTTTCTCACCCAATACATTCTTTACAGTTGTCCGAAATGGCACTTCGTCACTTCCTCTCGTCTCTCGCTCTGGCAGCGAGCTTGGCCGTTATCCAGGCTCAGCAGACCACCAAATACACAGATGAGGCCACAGGCATCACCTTCCAACAGAAGAGCGTTGCCAACTACTCGTTTGGTATTGCGCTGGCTGAGAACCCAACCACAGACTTCGTCGGTCAGCTTTCTGCAAACACTTTGACAGGATGGGCGGGCGTTTCTTTCACAGGATCTATGTTAAACGCCTTGCTTCTCGTGGCTTGGCCTAACAACGGAGAGATCGTTTCTTCTTTGCGGTCAGCAACCAATTATGCCCTTCCCAAGATCGTCGATGGCCCAACCCTCCAGACCATCGCTTCCAGCACCAATGAGACCGGTTTTAGCTACACCTTCTTGTGCAAGAATTGTATCACCACAGACACCACCGTGAAGTCACTCAATGCCTCAGCCGAGACCGGTATCTTCGGATGGGCTATCGCCACCACGACCGGCCCTGCTACCCCCTCCAGCCCCAGCTCATCTATTGAGCAGCACGACACTTTCGGGCTCTATGGTGTTGACCTCGCCAACGCAAAGTCTGCTGACTTTGCTTCGTGGGCTGCTCTAGCTGGCAACACTACAACGCCTTCCACCCCCATCAATGGAACACTTCCCACCAACGGAACAACCCCCTACAATGGAACCGTATCAACGTATAACACCACATATGATTTCATTGTGGTGGGTGGAGGTGAGTACAACGTATCCCAGGGCGACTCGCAACGTTATGCATAAACCGAATCTAGTGTTTTAACCTCAACGGGTTAACACAATGTTGACGGCCACTCAAGTTGATCTGCTTGATTCCGCATCGGAGTACATGCAGCTGCTAACCATTCTCAGGTGCTTCCGGTATCGTTACTGCTCAGCGTCTCACCGAGACTGGCAAGTCTGTGCTCCTGCTTGAGCGTGGTGGCCCATCATTCTACTCGACTGGTGGTAGCCTCACCGTCCCGTGGAACGACACTGTAACTGTGTACGAGGTTCCCGGAGTTTTCCTTCAACTATCCGCCTACCCAGGAAATAAGGGCTACTGCTCTGACACTGCCGGTATGGCTGGCTGCATCCTTGGAGGTGGTACCACTGTAAACGGCATGGCCTTCATCAAGCCCCCAAGCTTCGACTTTGAGAATTGGCCTGCTGGTTGGCAGTGGGAAGACGGCATCTCGGAGGCTGCTGACCGTCTCTACGAGCGCAACCCTGGAACCATACAGCCTTCCTCCGATGGGAAGTACCATGACAACGCTGTCTATGATGTCCTCTCCAAGTTCTTCGCTGGTGCCGGCTGGAAGTCAGTGTCCACCAGCGAGGAGCCCGATGAGAAATACCAGATCTACTCCTACCCGGCAATGAACATCGCCGATGGCCGCCGCTCTGGTCCCGTCAACCAGTACCTTCCCCTTGCCGAGGCTGAGGACAACTTCACACTCAAACTCCACACCAAGGTGCTCCGTGCCATCCGTACGAACTCCACTGTCACGGGTGTTGAGACTGAAGACGACACTGGTGCTCGCACCATCTTCAACGTTAACCCCAACGGCAAAGTCATCCTCGCCGCTGGTTCCATGTCGTCGCCACGCATTCTCTTCAATTCTGGTATCGGTCCCGCTGACCAGATCGAGGTTGCTTCCAAGCAGACTACCTCCATCACCCTCCCTCCCAAAGAGGCCTGGATCAACTCCCCCGTCGGGTTGGTCCGTGACCATTCAATTATCGGTCTCAAGTTCAACGTCACCGCTGGCATGAACATCCTGCCTCAAACCGCTTTCGGTGACCCTAGTCAGACTGATATCGACCTCTTCGCCAAGGCAGCTGGGCCCCTTGTTGGTAACCCCCAAATGCGCCTCAACACCTTCACAACCGTCACTACCAGCAGCGGCAAGAAGATGGTCGTTCAGACCCACTGCTACTCCACGGTGAACAACACTATTGACATAATGTTCCTCCTCACGCACGGTACTACTTCCACCGGACGTCTCACTATGACCACCGAGGGCAACACCGAGTTTAGCAAAAGCCCGTACCTCCAGACGTCCGACGATAAGCAAGCTATCGCCATTGCTATCGACGAGGTGCTCGCCATCTCGCGCCTCGCCAACAGTACGCTCTCCTACGCAGGCCCCGTAAATGACACCGGTGCTGCCATTGTCGCACGCACCACGCCCAACCCCGGAACACACATGACGGGCACCACCATCATCGGCACGGACGATGGCTCCAAGAACGGCAGTGCAGTCGTCGACACAAACTGCAAGGTGTACGGCACGGACAACCTCTTTGTTGTCGACGCTGGCATGCACGCAGACTTACCGTCAGGAAACACACACGTCATTGTAATGGTAGCTGCTGAGCACGCTGTCAAGAAGATCATTGCACTCGATGGCGGCGAGGGTGCTTCTAACGGCACTGTTCCCGCTGAGCCTACTGCGAGCAGCTCTACTGTTCTTGCGCCGGCACCAACCATTGGGTCTGGCAGCGGCTACGACACCGGCTCGTCTCCCGTCGAGAGTGTTGTGTCGTCTGTTCTGGCCATCGTGAGCCCCAGCGCTGTCGTCGAGGCCTCGTCGTCGCCTGCCGTTCAGACGCCTTCGCCCAGCGCGGCCCCCCGCAAACCCGGGCAGCAGTTATGACACCGGCTCTGGCCCTGATTCTGGCCCTGATACCACCGAGGAACCTCACCCTACCATTCCTTCTGCGACGGTCGCCCCTGACGCAGGCAATGGGTATGAGGTCCCTTCCGCCTCCGCCACCGTAGTCGAGGCATCTGCGTCCCCGTCTGCCACCGGCGCTGCGGAGGAGAAGAAGTGGACGCTTTCCCAGTTTATCTCATGGCTTGAGGGGGCCGAGCAGGACGCGAGCACTTAAGAAGTGAAGCGACTCTATAACGATTTCGTTTCTTGTGTCTATACCTTCCTCGATTTGGACTTTAGAATTGCATTTGATGGATCGGATACATGAGGTATGGCTTACCTCGCTTTCTTCTTCGAGTATATATTGCCGCTTTGGCAGAGCAGAGTAGCTGTATGAATGAGCAGTTCACATTGATTGGTGTGTTTTGAAGCATATGTTCGATTTGATTGGTGATCGGGCTGAAACTCCTTCGTGGAATCGTCGGTGTATGGAGTTGAACATACTCAGAGATACAGTGCATTTCGGCGTGACTCGCGACGTGATGCGCGATCTAACTCATCGACTATGCTGCATCGTGGGATTACAAATTAACGGTATAATGTCGTTGAATTTTTGTTGGAGACGGTGTCCTTCGGACGCTTCCACGCGAGTCGATGTCCTTCGAGTGCTGAAACATTGCAGGTTGATGAAGATTTGATTTGTGCTCGCAACGCAAGCTGAATAGGCACGTAGAGCCTGTACAGGCGCAGACCAACCTCGGGATGTTGGGGCATGGAAGATATTGTGGGTGAAATGAAATGCGCGGAACGCTTTGATTTGAAGTGTTGTGTTGCAGCCTGATGTCTTGAATGCCGACAATGCACAAAGCCGCCTATTACTCGAGAGCCAAGCCGTACCTCTATACAGGGCACCCTTCCTCTTCCCAGCCAATAAGTACACGAATATAACGTACGCTGCACGCCCAACGAAGCCGACATTTTTCGACGGGCTTTCCATGCTCGAGCTGTACGCAGAAATAGCGTTGAAGCCGATATCAGCCGTCCGCCCCAGAGAGAAGGGGTGCAGCACGACCCTCGTAAGCAGAGGAGGCGGCCCCTTCCATCGTCCACCGGAGAAATGAAATAGTCGTAAAGCCGAAGCCGAAGCCGGTAAATGCAAGGTTTGAACCAGAGATTTTCCTCCAAGGGGTGTAAAAGGGTAGTAAAAACATAGGAAAAGGGAAGTGTATGATGCCCGAAATAACGTCGCGACACAAACAACATACCATAGTAGTAGAAGATAAGTGGTAATAAGGAGACGCCCGAACGCCGATCGCTGGATGGTTGATTGTGATGCCAATCCTATGAGAAGCCGAAGTATAACGAAATCGAACCCGCCTGAAAATCGAAAATTCGACAAAGACGAGAAGCAGATGCCAGTCATGGCGGCTGAGAAAGTGATCGCCCATTGGTGCCGCTGACAAAAATTGTTGATCCCCGTCTTAAAAGTTTGCGAGTCCATTTTTCGAGTGGCGCTTGCTGAATCTCTTCCTGCCCTTTAGCGAGTCAGAATCTGCCTGCTCTTTACGAAGCATACGTGTAGTTGGGATGTTGACTCCCTCTAGGGCGGAGTCACCACCTAACGTACTAGTAGGACTTGAAAGAGCAGAATTCAGATCGTTCAGTGTGGAGTCGCCTGAGTAGGAATTTGTCATGCTCTGCGATATGGCGTAGTCTCGCGCTTGTTCTATGCTGTCGAGCCATTCCTGTGTGTAAAATTTGCTGCCGTTGGGATCGCTCGTGGTGCTCTTTGGGTCTTCGAAAACGTACTGCTTGTCTCGCTGCCAGGGCTTTAGTCAAAAGCGTCAGTTGGGAGGTGGTACATACAGTTTCAACGAGCCATGCAGTCAGGCCCTTCGAATCCTGGAAGCTTCTCCAAGAGCAGCCAGGTGCTAATATTGATACCTCCTCTTTCAGCTTCTTATCATTAGTGCCTGCAGCGCACATGAGCACTCGGGCATTGGAAGTTATCATAACTAGTCTTTGCCGCTTCTTGACGGTGTTACCGCCAAAGAACCGTGAAAACTTCTTCGGTGTCTCGGGAGCAGCAGCAGCATCCGCGCCAACAGGATGGCCTGCGGGGTGATGGGTAACAAACAAGTTGCCAAGCTTCAATATCCGCTCGTCTCTTTTCGTCAGGACCGGGGACCAATCAATGTCAAGCTGGCTCGGCGGAGGCAGCTCGGTAATGAGCCGCGGTGGCACTCGCAAATTATTGGCGGAGGATGCAGGTGGTGCTGTGGGACCTGATGCTGTGTCACCGATAAGAACTTCTTTCGAGGGGTACGGCCCGTCCTTACCGTTGAGTCTGATGGGTTCGTGGGCTGGCGGAACATAGGCTTTCAGTCGCGGAGCTTTCTGTTTCCACAACCCTTTACCCCAAGCTATGCCATCAAAGAACGCATGACTTTTGATGTGTTCTATGGGAAGGCGCGTGAGAGGATCCAGCACGAGTAACCTTTCCACCAAATCTTTCGCCAGTGGTGGGAAGCCGTCTGGAAAGGTGTACTCTAACCCCACGATTTTCTGGAAAGTCTGATATTCATTAGCAGCCTTGAAGGGTGGCCGACCAGCGAGGAGCTGGTATATTATGCACCCAAAGGCCCATAAATCGCTCGCTTTGCATGCGTTTTTGTCTGTAAGCAACTCCGGTGAGACATATTCGGCGGTACCGACGAAAGACTGTGCTCGGTCTGAGTCCATGCCCTCTAATGGATCGCCACCAGTCGAGCCGACGCCGTTGGATCTTTTCTGGTCCAATATCTTGGCAGTGCCGAAATCTGTGATCTTAACATGCATTTGGTCGTCGAGTAATACGTTTTCCGGCTTCAGATCGCGATGGATTACCCCTCGCGAGTGCATGTAGTCGATTGCGTCGAGTATTTGAGCGCCGTAGAATCTGGTGCATTCCACGTCGAATGTGGTCATTTTTTTCAGGAAGCCGAGCAGCTCTCCGCCAGCCGCTAGGTCGAGCACAAAGTATAACGAAGTTTCGTCCTGGAAAGTGTAGTAGAGCCGAACAATGCCTGGGTGTTCTGTCAAGCGATTCAAGGTGTCTTTTTCGATATTTACGTATTTGACCTTCTTCTCCTTGATGATATGGCGCTTGTCGAGCACTTTTATGGCGTATTCTCGCAGCGTCTGGCGATCTGTGGCAGCTAGAACGGTACTATAAGACCCCTCTCCTAGTGTCCTACCAAAGTTGAAGTCTTTGACGCCCTTCTTAACAACTCTTGTAACAGGTCTGCCGTTCTGGTCCATCTCCTGCCTGACGCCCGTAGCTGCCCCTTTCTCTTTCCACTCCTCGCTACTGGGGAGAGGTCCGCCCTCCAAGCCATATGGTGAACTCGACAAATGGCTCGTAACGGGTACACTCGACGATTGGGTGCCGTCCATGGGAATGCGCCGTGAACTCCGCCGTGGGGGAAAGGGCCCGTTTCCTTGTGCCATCTCAGGGGGGTACCCTCTACTGCTCCGGCTGGGCTCCCGCGAGGGAATTCCCATTCCCATTCCTTTCGGAGCTACTCTTGAACTACTTGTCCGCCGTATGTCGGTCGTAACACTGTCATTGTAGCGATATGTTCCGGCGTTCGCAGCCGAGCTCGAGGATAAATTGGCGTGCATGTACATCTGGGTGGACATGGGCCGCGTACCCATATTCGGAGGTAGCGGAGGGCCATTGCGGCCGGCATGTGCGATGGGCCCCGCAGCGTAGGGCGGGTATGAGGCCTGCTGCTGCGCCTGGTGTACAAAGGGCATCGATTGCCTGTGGGTGAGCCGGGCGGGTTGCGAGGAAGTCGAGGAGAATGTCTCTGTCTGGGCCAGTGGGGAAGTTTGGTCGCCGAACGAGGACGAGGGGGAGGCGGTGGTAAAGCTGTCTGCATTAAATCCCAGCGAGCCTGAGGGCGCCTGTGGCTCTGGGAGCAGGTGTTGGGGAGCCTGCGGCTTGGGCTGGTCGGTGATGGTGCTGTTCGACGACGCCTGCGAAGGAGAGGACGGCCGGCCCGCAGACGAGGGCTCTGCATGCGCCTGTGTGGGCGGCGGCGGCGGAGAGGGCGACGACGGGTCTGCGTCCTCGTCCGGGTTGGCTATCTGGAGCCTCCCCAAGGTGCCGACGTCCATGGTGCCGAGCGCTCCGAAAGAGTGTACGCAGTCGGCGAGGGTGGGATGTGCGGGCAAAGCTGTGGTGATGGCGTGGGCCGCCGCAAGGCCAGGGCAAGTTGCGTCGTCTGGAGGTGATGACAGCAGCGGGCGCGATGAGGCTGCTGGCGGATTAGCGTGACATTCTCGGTAGCTTACGACTCCCCCCCATGGATCACATCGAGGCATCCCACACGCACCGCGCGCCTCAACACCACGATTGCACCGTGGCCATGCGCAACGGCCATGGCATTGCCGCACCAAAAGTGCCCCTCGATCATCAAGCTGGTCTGTCCTTCCGGCCCTGCTCCCGGCCCTGTGCGACCTGATGCCGCCCCTGGCCAAGATACGCGTGCCTTGTTGCGCACAACCAATGTCCCACCACGCACAGCGCTCACTCTTGCATGCCACCATGTACAATGCAGACACGAAAGTTGACACGATAGAACCGCGAGAGCTCCAAGGTCACGGCACCTGGCGTTGCTTCTCCGAACGCTCTGCAACGTGAACACAGCGCAACGTCCCTGCAAAGTTATCTTGACGCAGCAACCGCGAGAGCATCTTACCATGCGTCTCTCACTGCATGGCAGCGACCGCCCTGTGGCAGTAGTCGCGAGGAGCTGTGAAGGTAGGAGGCCATCAGCCGCCATCGGTTTCCTCTCTCTCTCTCTTTTGTTTGTGACTGCGTCTGTTCCCTGCGAACATCGGGGCGCTCCTCGTGTAGGCCTATCGACTTTGTTTTGGCACGTTTTGGCTTACCCTTCGTCCCCCTTTGCTTTGTTACCTATACACCATACAACATGATACGGCTGAAGGCTTCGGAGATTACGTTGACGCCCGCCGACGTCGAGGAGACTCGTCGACGCATCGAACGCAGGCAGGCCGCGAATGCTCCCGCAACACTGCCGGCACGCATTCGCGGGCCTCCCCTGCCGCCTAGTTTCCGAGCCCGAATGAATCGCGGACCCATACGGGCTCGCGATGATTCCATTACTGGTCTCGGTCATGTTCCTATTTTGAGACCCCAGCAAGCTGTGCACTGCTTCGTCAATGATCCTGGAGACCCGCCTCGCCCCATTCGAGACAGTCTTACCTCTAGCAGCAAAGCTGTGTCAAGCGAGTCGATGAGTTCTCCTCTTCCGGATGATCAGACAACCCGAAACCCAAGCTCTACAACCACGGGATTCGTAGTACCACTTCCAGGCAGTGAACTACGGATTCCATTCAGATCCGCTCCTCGGGATCGAGCATCAAGTCTTGTCGCGTCACAAGGAGACACTAGCGAGGATACTCCCTCCCCGTCCAAAACCCTTCCCAGTCCACCGAGTTTAGGGCGTGCGAAAACAAACTCCTCAGAACCGGGCAACGACGACGTAATACCCACCCGCTATCATACATCAACGGATGGGCACGTTGACAATGCAGCATCACTTGAAGCTTCCATGCGAACCCGAGCACGCTCATTTCGTCAACAGAGTACTCATATTCCATCTCTGCAGCGCGTACAAAGGATCATTCCAAGTCTCGAGGACGAAATTACGGGGTGAGTCCCCAAGCCCCGGTGCGTACTCGGGTTGAATTGGTGACTAGATTGCGTAGCGATTTTGCTGGACGGACGGTTGGAAATGTGCAAACAGGCAATGAAGCAAGCTCGCCGCCGCGGTTCATACGAGGGTACTGGGACTCTCACAAACGGTACAGATTCATAGATTGTGCACCTCAGACCGAGCCTCGTCCACGAACCGCGCAGCCGATCAGACGTAGTCGAGCCATGTCGTCAAGCAGTGAACCATCGCATCAATCTCGTGTGCAGCGTCCAGATACGTCTAATTCGTCAGCTGCAGGGGACATCTTCTGGAATACCCCAGCGCCTGATCCTCCTTCGGTCCGTGACAGTGACAGCATCCAAGGCAGCACTGAATCTTCGAGCGATCGCTATTGGTCACCCTTGGGAACAGATGGGATGGGATATGGAGATCCAATCAGAACTGCATCCAGTAGACATGGTAGTGGAACATCAACTACCAGCCAGCCGTACTCCTTCTACGAACTCCCGGACTCCTCTAGACAATCCAGCAACACCTACTCTCAACCAGAGGCTCTAGTGCAATCGCAATACGATGGGGCTGCCCCTTCCCGCCAGGTCAGCCGTGAGGGCAGTCGTGGGGCTTATTATTCGATTCACCTATCCCAGAATCGAGCAGCGAGCGGGGCATTCCTACGGCCACCTCCACCTTCACGCTTTCAGAGTACATCCTCGCCCGATCTCACACCACTGGGCCAGCATGGACCGTCGCCCTTGCCCGCTAGACCATACAGTCGGATTCCGAGTGCTCAGCATCGTTTGATACCGTCTATGGGGCTTGTCAATGTTGCAGATTTCGTGGGAGGTGACCAAGATGCTGCCAGGGCAGTCCAACGAGACCTTTCTTCCCCACTGGAGCTGATTCAGGAGCGTGCAAACTCCTACTCCGAACGTATCTCGGCCAGGATGCAGGCTGTTTCATCGCAAAACCGAATGGCTGAGCATAGGACATCAAACATGGGAGATGTGGAAGAGGTCACCAGCGTATCCTGGGTAGCTGATCGTCAAAGGAGGGTTTCTGGCACTGGCAGCTCTGGGCACGAATTTAGGGACAGTACATACAGTCGCAGGCCCCGACCTCAATTGGAATACGCACCAATTCCGGTGCCTGCTCCAGTGGACGACCCAACTGTATATGTGAGAGTATCTCAGGGCCCACGCAGAACCGTGCCCGCAGCTAGATCAGGTCACAGGGCAGGCCAACGCTCGAGCGAGAACGCGCCCGTAAGCCTTTCAGCTCAAGAACCGCGACCGCTCAGGGTGCCTACTCAGAGAGCAAGCGTTTTGCATCCACCGATCCACCCAGGCTCGAATGTTGCCATGAGAGGCGGCGAGCTCTCCACTTCTCTCATCACGGCACGCTTAAGCGTACCGCAAGTGCAGAGACCGCGAGATGTGTCAAATCGTCCGCATATGCACTCTTCCTACCCTCCCCTTCTATCATTTGACGGCAACCCTTCTGGCTCTGACACTTTAACACTTGTCCCAAGCGCTGCCATTCGCCTTGCGCCACCCACTCAACAGGATCCCATCCGCGGGCCACGTATTCCCCCTCGCCATGCTTCACGTCAAGATCTTTCCTCTGATCCTTCGGAACGTCAACCCACGAGACGCGCGGTAACTCCCATTCCTGCTCCGCTCCCGTTCAGTCGCCAATCTGGGCGAGGCCTGCCGTCGACCTCCGCGACATTGGACAGCGCGAGTGGAGTCACGAGTCGGAGAACGCAGGTTGCGAGAGCAGCAACCAGGAGACAAATTTCGCACGAGCAGGAAAATTTGGAGGGGAGGGAGAGGCAGGAGATGGCAGATGAGCTTGCGGGGGCGGACTGGAGGGGCGGCATGGTAGGGGGAACAGATTTTATGGATGAGACGCCACCACACATGGGAAGGCATGAGAGGCTCATGTATTAATGAGGCAGTTTGGTATTGAGCGAGTTTGGATGGTGTTTCAGGATGGGTTGGCCTAGGTTAACAGTATAGCAATTCATCAATACAAGATTAGGCAGTGAATGCACAACTTGTGGTTTAACATCCAGTCTGACTGTAACGCGCACCGTTGTTCGTGGTTCACAGCAGCAATATCATACAGAACAATGTATACTATGGAAGGCGTCAATGAAATGTACTCGCAGTGGCAAAGGTCTTGGCCTTTATGGACGATTGTAATCGACTAGCTCTAGTGACTATTAACCTCACTACTTTTAATTGTATGCTGTATGTTGATAGAAGATAGTTAGCGTGCATCATTCTCCCCATCTTCTAGCCTAAACGGATGACCTAATAGCGTATAGCCAGGGAACCCAGCTACTCGGTCTCCTCCCTAACTCATGTCCACCGTCCGCATCTGCATCAGTGTGGAGATTTGTACTACCAGAAGTTGAAATGTACACACAGAACATCTCATTAGAGACATACAATCGTGCTACCTTTGATTCCGCAGACCGACCGCTAATCACACGCGAGTTCTTTCTAACTCATTATGGCTGTGTATGTTTCTTTCGAGCACGTCGTAGATGATCAGTATACTGAGTAAGCGTCATGACGTTGACGTTGTAAAAGATGGCCACAATACCAACGAAACGCCCGGCCGGGGAATAAAATTAGCGATTCGCACACTGCGCCAGTAACAAGTCCTATACCTGTCTGATAATCAAAAGATGTCAACCTGGAAGTGCTATGGCTTTATAGTTGCTTCCATCAGTCATTTGCAGTCCATTTATCTAAAACTGTTGCCTGCGCCTCCTCTTTCCCCAACCCTCCTCTATTGCTAATGACGCTCCACATCCAAAATGACATCCATATACAGTAACCTAACAGATGGCTAGCTTCGAGCTTATCACAGCTGTCCTCCATCTGTTATTCTTTCAGAGTACCACAGCTGTAACGCAAGCAGAAACTCGACAATAGCCAAATCCATTATGACCAAAGGAAACCAAGCTATTGCCAGATCTCGACTTGTCGCGGATTGGCGGCCTTCGGAGTGCAAGAGTTATCGTGGCTATCATGACCGATGTAATAGCGCTCGATGCCGAACTGCGAAAGTGAGATTGCTGAGATCTCTGGAAAACAAGGAACACGCGTGTGTCCAGCATCTTGATGGCTACGTAAAGCTAGTGAGAGTTCATATATATATGTACGCATGAGCGCTGATTGCATACGTTTTAGCTTCTCCAGAATGCTGCTACGCATTTTGGGAGAGACACACCATATGACTAGTCGAATATCTCCGTCGGATGATCGAGTGTAATATATTCTTGATGAAAGGGACAGGAAGTATAGGGCGGAGATTGCAGGCAGCAGCGACGAAGAGGTAAATAATTATTTTTCTACCTATGTTCCTACAAGTACGTGCGCCAAGACAAGGGCAGTGATTATTTCGGTGTGATTTACACTGGTCGCTGTCGTGGTATTCCACTAATCAATGCGCTCGTGCTCATGTACGCGCTACGGTCAACACCGTACTAGACCCGCACCTCTATCTTTGTTTAGGATTAATACCGCAGCGGGCTACCACACCTGGGCAGTAGTATGAAGTACCATGTGCTTTGCGATGGGGTGAGTCAACTACATACTTACCTATGGTTTGGTAGCATGCTGCGCTACTCTGCAATGGTCGGGATGGCACCCATGCCTGGACGATTTTAGGAATCGTAGCAGATCGGGTAACGATAGGTACATGCAGGACCTGTTTTAGCCGTGCAGTAGAACATGACGCCCGGCCGGGCTTCGGCCGTCTTGCATATAGTCAGTCTTTGCTGGAAGCCGCGTTTCAGGGTGGACCAACGTAGCCGATTCCAGCAAGGCGTGGGCATGTTTTTGACACCTCCTAAAAGACGTTGGCACGGCCCAGCCAATCGTGTTTGCTTGGACGAAGCCAAAGAACAGCCAGCGAAGGTGGCGGCCAGTGGCGAGGGCCTGGCCGGTCTGGATAGTCTCGAAGAGCTTGGTGGTGAGACTGGTTATGGAGAGGGCGCCCTTCAAATTGCTTGCTGAATGCTCCAGGACTGGAAAGCGCGAGAGGATTTTGCAAGCAAAGCCGGTGCGGGGAATTTTTCCTTTATCAGATATCAAGAACATTTCAATATCAGCGGGCAGGCTTCGCGAGAAAGATATCGCTCCTCTCCGTAAGAGTAAGGCATAACTTTTATAGTATAGAACATGGCTCGGATGTGTCTAATAGTATAGAAAAGTAGCAGAAAGAGGGGAACACTATTCTAGTGAAAGTGTCGATAGATCTGTAACAGCTAGACGAGAGATCTATACTATTCTGGTATGGTGAAGAAGCTGTCACATGACAAGCTAGACAGGCTGGTCACGGTGAAGGATCTGTATCACATGTTAGCACTCGAGGTCATGGTGAAGGATATTTTGATTTAGGCGAAGTGCTCGGCATCTTATCGCTCTATAGGCATCAACACCATCTAATTAGTGACATCACAATGGAGCGAATCAAGGAAATTTTATACGCGTTGGTCTCCATAGTGACTTGCCTGTGTAGGTGCCAGGGATGGGTGATAGATTTAACGATGGTATGAGCACGCTATCCCTGAGCTTCAGTTCACTTAGCCGTTCACGGAGACCTCAACATTAGGCAATAGGACCCCTTAGCGAGCTATCTATTATAGTACTGATATACAAAACTATTAGATAACTGTTTCCTATACTATTTGGCCTACACGATTTGCATTGAGAAACATACTATCTTAGTATACCTAATCAACACCATGATAGTATACATACACTACACTATAAGAGCAATGTTTTGGTCTGTAGGGCTGTCAAACAGGAACCAAGGACTCGAAGAAGGCTTGTTATACAAGGAAGAGCTCACAGCTCTCATAACTCGTGAAAATAAACTTCGCGACGAGTTATCTGCTACGAGCGCACACATGGATGAGCTTAACGCTCGCTTGCGAATCTACTTTCAGAGGCAGTCATCCTCGAACTCGTCAACGTATGGTAGGCACTCATGGGGCTGTCGTCGCGCACCTTCTATCTAGACCATAGACTGCTCGTCTATATGAGCATCTGCTTAGCCGAATGAGAGGACAGTGATTGAAGGACCTTGTTCTATTCGAATGTACCTAGGCAATCAAGACGAACGCTAAGAATACACAGATCTCTACTATTCTCCATAAGCAGGGCTATCGAGTGCTGAGACGATGAGACTGTGGAAAGCCGAAACCTCCATTTAAGTTGCCGTATCGCATTCGCTGGACTGCCAACTGGTCATGCATGACCAAGGTGGTTGAGCCAGAGAATGCATTATGTGGGTCGCGGAGGGGTTGCAGGTGGGTTCCGCGCAGGTATGTTGAGCTCGTTGAGAGCCTCAACCCCTATGCGACTTTTAAGGTCGAAAATTATAAGTATACCTTTGCGATGTTATCATCTAAAATGTTTTATCGAAACAAACTGACCTTCTCGAGACGAGGCGGCATGGCATGTCTGTGCGCCCAAACAGACGACATTTACAGCATCTGTTACGAGCCCTTCACTGCGTGCAAATCCGACTTAACGAAGACCGAGATCAGTTCTGGAGGCCTATCGCAGGCTCAAATATCTAGAGATTATGTCTATTCGGCCTCTGTCCATCTTGGCTTCACGTGGATTAGAACGAGTTCGATGGCTCTTCAAACCTAGGGCCCACCGCTTCGCTGACAGCTCAGCTCGCGCAGCAGCCGTTTGCGTAGTCACTCAAGATAGTAGGCCAATTGTCATTTGTTTATGATAACAATCTCTGACATTGCGAAGGTATAATGGCTGTTGGAAGAGTGCCGTGACGCAATGCCAAACCCCATTTCCGAGATCGAAGTCTCCCATCCACCGGTGCAGTTCACGACTTGTGGCCATATGTTTCGGAGAAGTTGTCTAATGGAGTGGTTCAAGCATAAGAATTCGCGCCTGATGTGCAGGAGGGAGCTGTTCGGCTTGGGGAAGATAGGAAAGTGGGAAGAGATGCCGACCGACATTCGCAACGAGATTTATTTACCCTCTACAATACCACCGTACTCGTGGTTAGCTGTTATATTGTTGGAGAGACCTAACTATGTCCATCAATACCTATGGTATGGTATGTAACCATATACGGCAAGAGGTGCCTGGGTCAGGCCTGCAGGATGAAAACCACCGGGGCAAGAGGACATAGCCGATTGAAATTGATAACAGGATCGAGGGGTTGTGGAGGGCTGTGAGAATTTTGAAGTGGCATCCTATTGAGTAAGAGCTTGCGCCAGGGGAAGAGGCACACAATACATGGTTGCAGTTGTTAGAAAATATCGGATATTGAGATTTATGAATGAGTAGAGAAATCATCCTGTCTCCGTGCTCTTTTGCACTCCTAGATTGACCCAGAGCCAGATACAGGAACTAGCTGGTCACGCATCTGCCCATGCGAGAGGGGTTTAGATTTATGCATTTTGGCTTTATAAGCTCTTCTCTAATTAAGTCATAAGTACGAATTTGGGACCCTTGCCGAGTTCTATGCTTCATTCACACACAGTAACCGGTGTTCATAAACTTAGCCAGACACCGGTGACTGACGCGAATTGTGTTTTGGCGCATACATATCTGTCCAAGGTCTCGATATCCTTCGTAGAAGTTGTTGACACCGCCGAAAACCAGTCCCATTATAGAACAGCATTTCGATTACAATGCCTTTCACGGGCGGAAGCTCGACGCTGTTGACAAGCTTCGACCCATACATAGAACTTTCACCTTTTGGTACCTAGGTATGGGTTTCTCACTTTCGCCCAATGAGGCAGCAGGTTCTTTCACTCTGTCGCTAAGACCGCATATCGCTTCATGCATACATAAGTACGTACACTTCTTTACATGAATCCTCTTCCCTTAAGACACCCAACACATCAACCCGCGGTAGACTCCTCACGAAAGGCCATACGAGTGTAGAGACAAGTCGATCACGATTCTTTCGGCAAGATGACAGTCTTCAACACTGAAACCGAGTTTCAATTGCATGGCGTGGATCACCTCGAGCCGAGCGCCTACCATATCAGCCAGGACTGCGATATCTGCCGGGAGCCTCTTGCGCTCGTCAAGGCTACCTGTCCCAACGACAAACGCCTTCACCCCGCGGTTCGCATCAAGTCTTGCCATCACGTCCACGGCACAGAATGCTTGAATGCATGGCTCAAGATCGGCAATACCTGTCCCACCTGCGGCCATATGCTCTACCTTCGTGCCATGGAGCAGCCGCTCACTCAGCATGATGTCGACACGATGATGCGCGAGCTCAGTGGAATGTGTGACGAAGACTCCATCGCGCAATCACTTGCGCGCTACATGCACATATCCGACGCCGCTGCTGTGAAGCTCGAGCAGATCATGCATACTAAGGTTGCCACGGAGGAGACCAAGCGGAAGGAGAAGGAAGAGCAAGATCGCAAGGACTTCATGCTCGGCGATGATGAATTCTTGGATAGCGACATGGAGGGTGAGGATGCAGAAGGAGGTGGAGAGGAGATTGGAGACTACGAAGATGGAATGGAGGACGAAGACGACGACGACGACGAAGAGGACTCGAGTATTGTGAGCAATGAGGAGTAGAAGGAGGCATCTGGTCAGATCGTGTCGTCCTTTCCTTGTGTCAGAGTGCGAGCGCAACAATGGCGCCACTGGCAAACGTTCATGGCTTAGGTTGAAAGCTGCACGGATACTTCTAAGAGTTCACAATAAGGCTTCCCGACAGAACAGTCTGCACAATCGTGCGATGTAATTGTTGCCTGTGAACAAGCCATGGTTATCGGTGCTTTGCGAAAAGAATGCCCCCACCCTACCATGGTACAGCTCCTTATTTTAATTAATTGTATTACTCATAGTATATACCTACTTAACGATTAGTTGAAATGCGTCGGTACACCTATTTTGACAGCTTAGTGCCCTATTTTAACGTCTACCACAACCAGATCTAGCTATTCAACAGATCTAGCTAGCATTCAACAAGATCTAGCCAGTAATAGAGTGAATGTATCATACAATTAATAAAGGTTGGGGATCTGTACCATGGTCGGGTGGGGGCATTCTTTTCGCAAACGATAATATATAGATTCACGGTCTAACGAGAAAGAACATGATTTCCAGACGGTCAGACCAAGTTCAACAAGTGACTTGCGTGGATTTGTGGATGCATTGCAGAGCTTAATAGAGATTGATAGGAACGGTCGTGTGGGTGCACCGCAACGTGTTGTCGTTTCCAGATAAGTATGACCCTCGACCAAAGGGAGAAAACCTGAAAAAGTGACGTTTAGTCACTATCGCTATAAGACTATTCCGTAGATTGCTTGTAGCAGAAGTAGCTATAGTACTAGTACTACTAATCAGCGTTTAGAGATAAGCTAGTCCCTATGGGTAGTAACGGAACCCTGATTTTTCCACGTGATTTTCCTTGGGCGACAGGCCATGCTTTTATGGAGAGCGCCGATAAAGGTTCAAACTGCTTAAATTCATGCGATTCGTCGAATAATACATTCCGAAGCAACGCCTGAGCTTCGCATAAAGTTATTATTATGCTATGTAAAAGTTCTTAGGCCAACTTTACATAGCTCTAATTATTGTTTTCTTTATTTTCGACGAATTCGTATATTTATGTACTCTTATCACTACTTATAATATTTCTTATCAAATAGCTTACCTTAGTTGTAGTAGAAGGTAAAATAAGGTACTATGCTATCAAAATCGGTATTCCAAAGGAACTAGGCTATTTATAGCGTGAATAAATACACTAATTTATTAAAACGTTGAATATGTAAATCAATCTATAGAAAGGTGGCGGAGGAACTTTTGCATAGCATAAAATCCGCTGAAGCAATATAGCTTTTGGGTCGTCGGTATACCAACATAGTGACAGACTCGCTCAGATTGAACGGAGCCTGGATCGCCAAGATGTAATAAAGTTAGGCTACGCATAGAGTATATACCAGTCTACGGCATGTCGTTGGATATTACATTGAGCTGCCTCGATGTGGAGCGCGATATCAAAGGAAGGGACAGGTAGGCGAAAGAAGCCCCGAGATACTTCACCAACACTACCATAGTTGGAGTAATAATGCTTCATGGTATATTCCCAGAGCCAAGTAGAGAACGCGCTTCAGTCGCTCAACTGATGACCTTCGTTCTGGGAGTATAGGAGACCGTGTTTGTTAAGGGATGCTGGAGCTTCAATGTTATGATCCATTGCAAGTTGTGTTCGTTCTCGGATTTCTCAAAGCATGGATGATGATCGCAATTGGAACCTGTTCCCTGGAGCCGGACAGATCTTAACTGATTAGTCGCTAGAAATCGCCTTCATTTAATCTAAACTTGCGCAAGATGAACTCGAGTCTTACATTCTAAGATATCTAATACGGATTGTCCTGTTCGAGAAATAACCACTATTCTATGCTCAGTATTTGGGGTATTGGTGCAAATCTGAAATGGAACGTACCGACGATGGCGCGGGAAAGGTAAGCAGTTGCGGTCCAAATGTTGAGAAGGCGCAACTTTGCGCAATGACGTGTCCTCGGATAATTGAGAGATTGGAAGCTATCGACCGCGTAGTTGGTTCACCAGCTTCTGATAGGTTCACAAGATTACCTTAGTTTTATGCGTGTCCCAAGCAGCCAGCGAAGCCCGGAAGGGAGCGCTTTCTGTAGCTCGCTGTAGATTGGCATTCACCAGAGACATTTATAAGTGCTTCACAGGTTCAAAAAAAAAGACCTTCTTGCATTTGCGGAGCTAGAGAAGATCTCAAAACTCCCGAATTCGATACCGAATCTATTGCAGCTCTTGCTACTCCATTGATTTCATCTCCCTTAACCAAAGAGATCAAACATGCCACCTTCCATGTCGCTGTCGTCACCGTCACCGCCGTCGACAGTTTCAGTGCCTTCGGTGGACTTGTCCTGGTTCTGCTCATCCACGGCGGCTTGTATGCGTCCGACCTCCGGTGCGGAAGTCGAAATGGCGGTAAGGATGTCTTTGACTTCCTTACCTTGCAAGGCTTTGGCAAAGAGCGTAGTCCAGATGGGTTCGACGTTCTCGACTTTGGCGGCTTGAAGCAAGGTTTCAAGCTTCTCGGGAGTGCATTCGATGCCCTCGTCGGCAAGAATAAGAGCAGCGTAGGATACGGCGATTTCAGCCTTGGTGTTGGTAGCCGTGGCAGCGTCAGTAGACATCGAGTGCACGAGAATCGAAGAAGCGGGGCCTAAGTTTTCAAAAGTGAAGATCGGTGGTTGGTTTCCAAACCTCGTGTCTGGAATCGTCACCTTTGAAGGTAGTTGATGCAGATAAATCTGTCGAGATGTGGAGCTAGAAGACGAAAGGTCAAGCAGAGCTTATATGTTTGACGCAGCGCCCTTGAGCTTTGCTCCACATTATACATTGGCAAGATTGTAGAACAAAGGGCGGCGATTGTGACTCACATGTAGGGGATACAATCCGTTACACCCATGGTATGGGCCAAATCGTTCTGAGTCACACCGCGGATGCCTAAAATATATATCCTTCGGAGGACTCTGACATCGCTAACACTTAGGATTTCGACGACCTTTGAGAATGATAACTACGTCGTGATACGGGGGCGAGAGCACGATCCAAAATTATCCTGATCATACTCCCTCACTCTGCGTTGATTTGATCGCATAGCCGTCGGTTATTTTGATCTCGAGCAGCCACGGATAAGCTAGTATCTGAAATATGTATACCGTATGGAACCCGCCAACATCACCATGTTCCAAACATCAGGTACCTGCCGCCTTGGTGTCCACAACGGGCAGAGTATCTCGTCTCGGTGAAGGATCGTGCACGTGCATGGTAGGTCGTCTAACCGTACTGCATCACAACCGCAACTCAAATTGATGCTGTGCCAAATTGATCGACTCTCTGTCTCAGATGTCCAGGGTGGCGCGAGATAGGCGAAGGCAAATCACGTGGTCTACGTCATCGGTCGCATAACGTACGCAGGTCGTCTTGGTGTTCAGGGTCTCGGTCAACGTCGTGCTACAACCATCAGCTTCACGATGTCACAACAACCGAGATTCCTATTCTAGAGGTCGATGGGTTGACTTCGAGTAGAGCGATCTCAATTTCAGTACGGTTCTTCCGCTGATTGATGCCACGTAAAGCCGCTTCGACAGGTTTTCCAGGTTTTGAGGGATGCTCGCACAGGGCAACAGCTGAGACGCGATCTGCTTCGCGCATCCTTGGTCCTTGGACAACACCCCCTGCCAATTCGAGTCGCAATGGCATCATCCTTAGAGGGGTAGCGAGGGGCTTATAAGGCTGTTGGCACCGTGCAAACACACCCTGAAAATAATACCTCTACAACCTAGACCTTTCACACTTGTCACTCCCACCTGCACAGCACACGTTATGGCTACCGAAGAAACTGTCCAGCTGAACGAGCTTCATGCCCCGCAGCAGGCTTCAATCGACGCCTTTAACACAATCCTCCCTACCCTCAAAGAGGAGCTCACCAAGCTCCGCCGTGACCACGACAGTAAGCGCACCATTCCCCCTTCATAGATACAGCTACTGACGACGTTAGAACACGAGCCGGAGTACTTCCGCGTCGTCAAGGACCTCTCCGATGACGAGCTGACATCCTTCTCCTCCTCCGACCTACAGGCCGTTCGCGTTGCCGTCTCGGCGTACGGTCTACATCTCTTTGGCAAAGTCAAGGTACCCGCGCTCGACAACGCATACATCCACGTTCGCATCTTCGGATCCGCCAAGGACGGCACCGATGGAAGCAGCACTGATGAGCGGGAATACAAGCTACATAGCATTCACACCGAAGAAGTTGTGAAGGGTGATGGTGATAGGGTATATAGGGCCATCTTTGGGAAGAATGATGAGTTGGAGTGGTTCGATACGTAATTGAGATACCCATAGTGCGGACGGAAAACCAGAGCAGTTGAATAGGTCATCTGGCTGGCTTGATTCCGGACTGTTGGCCACGATCCATTCGACAGTCCTGATAGGAATCCTTCATATACATGTCCTGTGTGCCTGACTTTATCGACTTGTGTAAGGATCTGATCACACGATAATCCGCATCCTCTGATTGATTTGGTACGACTCTTGGAGATACTATATGAGGCCCAAGTACCCGTAAGGTCAGTGTACACAAAGTATCTGGATGTCGTATTATTTATCCTGAGGTAACCCAAATAAGTCCTCACGCTTGATGCACCTCTTCCATACCTAAGACCGCAAATGCTCACTGTGCAAACTCGTCCCGGGTATACCCAAGCGCTCATACATGACTCGTCTGATGGTGAAAACATCTAGTATGTCTCCTCATCTCCTCACTTGCTCTGCACCTTTGATAAGCTCCTGACCTCTTCTCGCTTCCTCTTGAGGGTCTGGTCGACATCTGCAAAGCGCATAGTCAGTCCAAGGTCACGAATATCTTGGTACAGGAACTTACGTGTTAGGAAACTCTCATCCTCGCTATCGCTACCAACGTCAGACGGAAGCTCGGACGGCTCGACTGAAAGAGAGCTAAGTTGCTCCGCGCCCTTTTTGCCATGTTCCTCATTCGGGTTTGCATTGATAACTCTAGGTACAAGCTCTGCAGTCACTGAGCTCCTGCGTTCCCCCAGTCTGATACACTTATGTTCCGGAGAGCCCGAGCTGCTCTTCGGAGAACTGCTGCTAACGATGAAGGGACCGATAGACCTGCGTTTCGGAATTGTGCCCGTAATAGTCGGTGGCATCTCTGCAGGCAGGGAGCTGCTGCGCTCTGCCTGCTGGGCACGCTTGCGGTCGGGAGACTTCACGCTGCTCCTGGGAGGACTACTGCTGACAAGGAAGGTACCTGTCAATCTCTGTTTCGGCGGCGGCGTGACTGGGCGCTCAATTGTTCGCCAGTGTGGACGCGGCAGATATTGTGGCGGAGACGAACGAGAGGCACATTCTTTATCTAGTCGAGCGGCGCCAGCCGTGCTGGGATGGATGTGGTCTTTGTTGGCGATCGATTTCCCACCTGGTATCGTGACGTTGGGCGCGGCTGCATCGTTCCTCGGTGTATCGGGAGTTCCTTTGATGGCGCTCGCAACATCAGGATGGTGGCCGTTCTGCGCAGCCCACTCTGCCTCCACTTGCAGCTCCATCTTGGTTCTGGTAGCTGGGCGCAAAGGCCTGTACTCCGTCGTCTCCAGCTCACCACTAAACTCGTACCATTTACCCTTCCCACGCAACTTTCCTTTTGCGACCTCTGGCACATCGCTGTCTGTCCAAGCCGAGCGTCCCCGATTCGGTCGCCCAGTTTTGATGTTGCCCTGATGATCGAAGTCGAATGCCCAATATGTTTTCAGCTCAGTGTCGGTGTACTGCCGGGACTTCCAAACAACATGGCATGCATGGTCATCGAGGTACACATATCGGGGAGGTTCCTCGTTGTTACCACGAACAATGGGTTGAACAATATCGTCGACGAAAATCTTCCAGGTTGGATGGCCGCGCACAGTTGTTTTGGAGCGGTCGATAACGTGCGGCGCAGGATCCCCATCGCCATGTTTGGGACGCCAGACAGCTCGCATATACTTGCCATCGGAGATCATTTCAGGTTCAGAGCCTGACGCTGTGGTTGACGGAGCTGGCGAGCGGGTCGCCAACCCGAAAACGCGATTTGGTTGAGGCATGTTTGGTGCCTTGAGAAGGCAGATGCTTAGGGTAGAGACGTAGTACTTACAGTCAGATCCGGAGTGGGAACGGGGCTCGGCTGCTGTAGCTTAAGTTGAATAATAGCTCCCGGGGTAAAAAAAGGGGATCAACCGATATTGAAGCGTTCAAGTGAATGTTGCGCCTAAGTGTACCCAAAAAGACTTTGTAGCAGTCAAGGTGAGAGTGTTTTGTGTGTCAAATGCTGTATGTTAGGCGATATGAAGCAAGTGGAACACGCAGATGAAGACCAAACGCGTTTCAATAAATTGATAGAATAGTTGGTAGAGTAAGCAGCCCCTAAGGCAAACTGGCCATCTCAGGTCTCGAGTACGAGCGACATAATTGTTGGTGTTAACAGCACCAAGCTCTACTAACAAGCATATCATTTATACTGGAGAAGGCGCGGTAACCAGTATTTGAAAAAGGCATACCCAGCCGCAGCTTAAAGCATTTTCAAAATACAAGCATTTGGTACATACTGTGATGTCGGTGACTCGGTGCGTCTCGACCCTCAAGAACCCGGTTGATGTCAACGATATACGCCTGGCCAATCAGAGGAAGGCTATGTAATCAGATGGCGCCAAGAATCGTAGGAACCGAGCATCTCGAGCTTCACGCCGCCACTACCACGACGACAACGACCGCTTGCGCCCTCCCGGAGCCTCAATCGCACGAGCCCAGCTCGATTTCGTGCCCAATATGCTCGCCCGCCACACTCCTGCTGCGCAGACGCTGAGCGCCGTCACCCAACGAGCTCTTCCTGCAGCATCTGCAGCTTCACGTCTTTCGACCGCCGCCACCCCGTCGCAACCCTCGCGGCGGAGTCTCGCTACCGTCACCGATGCACCAAAGAGGACACACGGAGGCCTGAAGGACCAGGACAGGATCTTCCAGAACTTGTACGGTCACCACGGCGCTGATCTGAAGAGCGCGATGAAATATGGAGACTGGCACAAGACGAAGGAGATCATACTCAAGGGCCACGAATGGGTGCGTGAAGCTTCGCACGAGACATTTTGAGCTGGGCTGACTGTGGGTAGATCATCTCTGAGATCAAGGCATCTGGTCTGCGAGGCCGAGGAGGTGCTGGTTTCCCATCGGGTTTGAAATGGGTACGGCTAAGTAAAGACCATTGTGCAGCGCAATGCTGACTCTGACAGTCATTCATGAACACCAAGGGCTGGGAGAACGATACGAAGCCCCGTTACCTCGTCGTCAACGCCGATGAGGGCGAGCCGGGAACCTGCAAGGATCGCGAGATTATGCGCAAAGACCCACACAAGCTCATTGAAGGTTGTCTCGTGGCCGGCCGTGCCATGAACGCGACCGCTGCCTATATTTACATCCGCGGAGAGTTCTACCACGAGGCCACCGTCCTCCAACGTGCGGTCCAGGAGGCGTACCAAGCTGGCTTGATCGGTAAGAACGCCTGTGGCTCCGGCTACGACTTCGATGTCTTCATTCACCGAGGCATGGGCGCATACGTGTGTGGGGAGGAAACCTCGCTCATTGAATCGCTGGAAGGCAAGCCCGGAAAGCCGCGATTGAAGCCCCCGTTCCCCGCTGCCGTCGGTCTTTTCGGATGCCCCTCTACCGTCGCCAACGTAGAGACTATCGCTGTAGCGCCTACCATTTGCCGACGAGGAGGAAGCTGGTTTGCTGGCTTCGGTCGCGAGCGCAACCAGGGTACAAAGCTGTTTTGTATCTCCGGCCACGTCAATAACCCGTGTACCGTGGAAGAGGAAATGTCCATTCCTCTCCGTGAGCTCATTGACAAGCACTGCGGTGGTGTGAAGGGCGGCTGGGACAATCTAAAGGCCATCATACCCGGTGGCTCTTCGACGCCGATTCTACCCAAGCACATCTGCGACGATGTCCTAATGGACTTCGATGCCCTGAAGGACGCACAATCTGGTCTGGGTACTGCTGCCGTCATCGTCATGGACAAATCTACCGATGTCGTCCGCGCTATCCAACGTCTTTCTAAGTTCTACCACCACGAATCCTGCGGCCAATGCACACCGTGCCGTGAAGGCTCAAAGTGGACGCACCAGATTATGGACAGATTCTACAAGGGACAGGCCCGGGAGCGCGAGATTGACATGCTTCAGGAGTTGACCAAGCAGGTCGAAGGTCACACTATCTGTGCTCTTGGTGAGGCTTTCGCGTGGCCGTTGCAAGGCTTGATTAGGCATTTTAGGCCTGAGTTGGAGGCAAGAATCAAGGACTACGGGGCCCAGCACGGCGGAGAGGCTCGCGCTGGTGGTTGGGCACACGATGCGGACAAGAAGGGCCAACTTATTGCCCCTGGTCAGTAGAGCAAGGGAGAGGTTTTTGTACAATGAGTGTTTCATTTGTTTTGTTTGGCTGGCGGTCTGCTTCACTGAATTGTGCATAGTGTTCTCAGTGTAATTGATCGTAACTTCCAAAGCTGAAACTTCTTCTATTTGTGATGTGACATTGGTATCTTAAGTACGAAGATAGGGTCCCCTCGCGCCGCGTAACGCCTGATCTTCCCGTCAAAAGTGCAAGGAAAACAAACTCCAGAAGAAGAAGCTTTACGCATCTCCGTCCCGCAGCCCTCTTAACCCAAGCAGATATTGATGAACTCCTCCCGACTGATTGCGCCGTCTCCATTCATATCGAACTCATCAATCATTGCCTGCAGTTCCTCATGTTGCAATCCTTCTCCCAGCTCTTTCGCAACCCTCTCTAGATCTTGGAGCGTTATGCTACCCTTGCCATCTCCATCAAATAGGTCGAACGCTCTATTAATCTCATCCTGCGGATCTCTCGACACAATGCGCTGTGCCATTATCACCTGGAACGACTCGAACGACAGCAACCATCTCGGCGGACTCTGATACTTGCCTACCGGCTGCTTCTGCTTACTTCCTCCTGCGTGTTGCCCCGCCGCTTGTACCCCATTCGTCTGCAATATGCTCAGGATCTCTTGTTTTGGCTCGTCAAACCCTAGCGCCTTCATTGCAACCTTCAACTCGTGGTAGTCGATGTACCTATCTTTGTCCAAATCGAACAGGTTGAACGCTTCCTGTATCTCTTCACGCTGTTCTTCAGAGAGGGACTCGAGAGCAGTTTGTGCATCGTTTTCAGCTGCCGCCTTTTGTTCACGGGCGCGTCGTTGGGCGTCAAGGCGCTCGGCTTCGCGGGTTTGCGCGTTCTTGGATGAAGTTCCGAAGCCGGGGGTTGTGTAGGGCTGTTGGTGTGTGGGTAGAGGCGCGGCGCGTGAATTTATGCCACCGCCATGGCCGAAGCGCGGTTGATTGTTGGAGGACGTTGCCATGTGTATGTTTGGTGTTGCGAGAGGTTGCTGCCGAGGGGCGGGCTAGCGCTGGCAGCTTCGCAAGTGCTATTCGGAGTGTCGGGAAACTTTATGACTCAAGGGAGTGGCAAAGAGCATAAGAATCTTGGGCTTTGTGCTGCGCTGCGATCGTCGCGACCTCTTTGTTTTGGCGGTGTACGGCGGGACCAGACAAGACGAACGCGTCGCTGGACGGGTGGATGGACACATTAGCGCGCTGAACCCGTGCGCTAGTCACTGCATGGTGTTTACGAAGTAGATGGTGGGACACCCCACGCCCAACGTCACTGTTAGGTGGGCAGAGTATGTTCGTAACTTTAGTACCGCAGAGGAACTTTTGGCGATCAAGTCAGGCTAGACCGGCCTCTGGACTGCAAAAATGTTTCAAAACTGCACCTTTACTGGGCTGAGCAACCGCAGTCTACCTCAATCGCGCAGGCAGCAACAGGTAGCAGTAGGTAGCAGCTACAAGACAGCCGCAGAACAGCCTGCTGCGAGACTCAGCCCACCGCAAATATCGTAAGCCTGAATGCTATTTGCCAATTGCTCTTGCGCTTTGTCACCTGTGTCTCCCACAGCAGGTCTTGCCGAAGCTCTCGCGCCACGTGACCAATGGCAGGTGCCCAGGGTGGGCTTAGCGCGAAGCCCAACCCCCCAGAAGAGCAGCGACGTCCAGTGTCCCTCACCTCAATCTCTCTACTGCGTTTCCCACCGCCGCCTCTTCCATGACGGCTCCTTCTCTATTTAATCTGCTTGCGCTCTGAGCGTCTCCACTCCTTCTTCCAACCCGCGCGCAAATATCGCTGCCATCGCTCGACCTCGGCTTGGCGCGTTTTCTGCCAACTAGAAGGGACCTCACGCATTCTTGCTCTCACCTCTCCCATTTCATTTACACGCCCGCGCGCAACCTCAACCACACCCACAGACGCCGCGTACGCATATCTTTACGGCCTGAATACGTACACGCGCGCCTCGTCCCGGCAGCCCATCATGTCGTTTGGGGGGTCCGGTGGCTTTGGGGGCTTCGGCTCCAACTCTAACACTCAGTCGACATTTGGCGGCTTTGGGTCTAACAATAACAACAGTGGAGGTAAGCACATTCTTCTCTTTCAACAGGCTCTACACGCCCCGCGAGACGGTCGACATCGCGCACCGATCGACGCGCGCCGCGCCATGCAGCTCGAATATGTCTAACTTGCCCTCCGCATCTTCAGGCTTCGGCTCCAATACGAACACTGGCGGCAGCATCTTCGGTGGCGCAAACAACAACACAGCAGGTGGCATGTTCGGCGGCAGCAGCAACAACAACAACAACGCCAACACGGGTTCTCCATTCGGAGGCGGAGGTACGTCGAAGTTTTGCGCGTCGCATTCGCGTCATCGTTTGGACATTGTTCGCTCTTTGTGGATTTGCGCACCCCGGTCGACATTTTTGACTGCGTGTACCGTATTGGCAGGCCTTTTTAAATATGGCCTCAGCACTCAGCATTCATCACTGCTTCGTTTTGGGTGTACTGCTATGCGTGAGATCATGCCCTCGCTAACTTGGCAATCCAGGCGGTTTCGGTAGCAACAACAATAACAACAACACGACAACTAGCTTCGGCTCGAAGCCCTTTGGTAGCTCAACAACCGGTGGAGGTTTGTTCGGTGGCGGCTCCACATCGACCAACACCTTCGGGGGGCTTTGGTTCAACGAACAACACCACATCTGCGTTCGGCGGAGGAAACACCAGTGGTGGTATTTTTGGTCAGAACAAAGCTACTGGGTTCGGTTCGACCAATAATGCGTCCGGCACGGGGGGTTTATTCGGTGGAGGTAGTACCTCTGGTGGATTTGGTACGAACAACGCCTCTGGTGGATTTGGTACGAACAACGCCTCTGGTGGATTCGGCTCATCAACGTCCGGAGGCTTTGGCGCGAACAGCAACAGCAACACGAACAATGGCACCGCAGGACCGCCTTTCCAGCCCTTCACCGAGAAGGACCCAGGAACAGCAAACGCTTCGGCTCAATACCAAACGATCACGTTCCAACAACCGTACTCGAATTACTCGCTAGAAGAGCTTCGTGTAGTGGACTACGCCCAAGGACGCCGTTATGGCAATCAGAATGGCCAAGCAGGCGCATTTGGACAGAGCACTGGGTTTGGAGGGTTCGGATCGAACAGCAATACGACCACAACTTTCGGTGCGAACAACACGAACACGGGTGGTGGTCTGTTCGGCAGCCAGAATAACACCACTAGCACACCTTTCGGCGGTTCCAACACGACCTCCGCGTTTGGTAGCAATAATAATAGCAGCGGTGGAGGCATCTTCGGTCAGAACAAGCCTGCAGGCGGTCTATTTGGTGGAAGCACGACGACACAACCTGGCGCAACTGGTGGACTGTTTGGCAGTACCAACAATACTAGCAATCCTTTCGGGTCCGCGAACACAAACAACGCCTTCGGTGCCTCGACTAGCAACACTGGCGGTGGTCTCTTTGGTCAAAATAATGCTACGCAAAACAAGCCTGCTTTCGGAGGCTTCGGTAGCAACACCTCGACCACTAACAGCAACCCCTTTGGAGGCAATACCACGAACACAAGCGGTGGACTTTTTGGACAACAGAACCAGACTTCCAGCACGCCTGCATTTGGCTCCAACACGCAAACGTCCACAAACACTGGCGGCGGCCTGTTCGGCGGCAATAACAACACCGCGAACACGGGTGGTCTTTTTGGTCAAAACCAGCAGACCCAGAATCAGTCGACTGGTGGTCTCTTCGGCGGAAGTCTCGGACAAACCAACCAAAATCAACAGAAGCCAAGCCTTTTTGGTAGCTCTACGGCCAATACCGGTGGTGGCTTGTTCGGAGGCACTCAGCAGAACCAGGCGCAGAGTGGTGGAGCTTTTGGTCAGAACAAGCCTGGTGGACTATTTGGAGGCGCTAATAGCCAGCCGTCGGGAGGGCTTTTCGGCAACTCCACCACAAACAGTTCCAACACTGGCGGCGGCCTCTTTGGCGGTCTAGGAAGCCAGGCCAATCAGCAAAATTCTGGCAACAGCCTTTTTGGAGCTTCGAACAACCAGCAGAAGCCCGGGGGCTTGTTCGGTGGACCTACAGCTACCAACACGAACACTGGAGGCGGCTTGTTCTCAGGTCTCAACCAGAGCAACAACAATGTGGCTCCTCTTGGAGGCTCTCTGCTTGGTGGCAATCAGGCCCAACAGCAGTCTAATCAGCAGCCCATGAACAACAGCTTGTTTGGTGCATCTGCCAATTCTCTGCTGAACACGTCGATGACCACTAACCCTTATGGAAATGATCCTCTCTTCGCCGGTCTGTCTACGCCTCTGCAAAGCCCCGGCCCGCTTGCTACACCTCTGTCCAGCAGCCAAAAGAACAAACGCAGCGCGATACTTCCGCAGCACAAGTTGAATCCTTCCCAGTCCACACGCCTTCTGACGCCGCAAGGAAAGCGGAACGGAGGCTATGGATTTACATACTCGACTTATGGAACACCTAGCAGCACGCAATCCAGCCCACTCGGTGGCAGCTTGTTCAGTAGCGGTAGCCTCTCTCGTCATCTGGGCAAGAGCTTGTCGTCGAGCAATCTGCGTAATAGCTTTACTGCCGATACGAGCGTCCTTGCTCCAGGCGCTTTTTCGATGACTGGCCGACCTTATGGAACTGGCAGCTTGAAGAAGCTAAACCTCAACCGAAATCTTAATCAGCGACCCGCACTGTTCGAGGACTCCGCTCCGAAGCGTGTGAGCTTCGTTGCGGCGAGCCCTGAGGTTCTCCCGAATGGCTCTGCAACTAACGGCGAACCCAGCTCAACAAGCAACGCTTTGGTTGTACGTGATGACGTGGAAAATGCATCTCCTCCGATGGTCAACGGTACGAGCAGCAGCAGTCGTAAAGGCAAGAGCCCCGAAATGGAGCAAGTCAACGGTGCTGATCTGACGCCCGTCCCCGAAAATCGGACTTTGCAACCTCGCACGTCCGCGTCGCTGAACATTCAAAACGGCCAGACGATTGATCCCACCCCTGGCGGTTATTGGTCTGAACCCAACCTAGACGCCCTCAGGAAGATGAGTCCCGGTGAGCTCAAAAACGTCTCCAACTTTGTTGTAGGTCGGGACAAGGTTGGCAAGATCGAATTCAACCATGGCAAGCCTGTGGATTTGTCAAGCACACCGCTCGACAAATTGTTTGACGATATAATTTCGCTCAACCATCGTAACGCGACTGTCTACGGCGATACTTGCACCGTTGCAAAACCACCTCTTGGGTCCGGACTGAACCAGCCTTCACGCATCACTATGGGTAATTCGTGGCCTCGTGGTGCCAATCGCGCAGGCAAGCAGCCTGCAAAGCATATTGAACGCCTGAAGCGAGTAAATGGGACCAGCTTCGAGAAATACGATAACGAGACTGGGGAGTGGGTCTTCAGCGTTCCGCACTTCTCCTCGTACGGCTTCCAGTACGATCAGCCCGAGGATCTTGAGTCTAGTGGATTAAGCCCGGTACCGGAAACTCCTGCTCGTCTGGGTAGTAGCCAGATGACCAGCACACCACAAGACTCCATCCCTAGCGCGACTCAGTCTAGCCCTGATGATACCTTCGACTTCAAGCGGGGTCTGTCTAAGCGCACTATTGTTCCAGGACAATTTGATGACGACGTAGCCTACGAAGAGGACGATGATGATGAGATGGAAGAGACCCAGGGTGATTCTTTTTTAGGGGATCGCTCCGTGGGTTCGCTGGATGGTCAGCATGACTATCTTGAAGAAAGCGAATCTGAGTCGGTCGAAGATCAGGAAATGGCTGATTCTGCATCTGGGCCGATTCGTACCACGGAGCAAGACGTTACCAGGCAAGCTGATCCTTCCAAAGACTCTGTCAAGCCAAAGTCAATTTTGAAAGCAAGCCATCTACTTCGCCCTACGTCAGATACCCCTTCCAAAGGAGCGACGGTGTTTGACGATAATTGGGCAAACGCTTTGCAGCGCACGATTAGCCCTCGGAAGCAGGATCGACAAGCTCTCCGAGAAAGTCAAGGTGACGCACTCCGCGAGCGTGGCAACAACACAGCCAGTCTAGCACAATCACTTGGTGTACGGAATACGAAGGCTACTATGAGCCGAATGGAACTTATGGATTCTCTTTTTGGGGAGACTAGCGCACAGAAGGATTCCACTTTGAAGCGAGTTGGACACGGCATCCAGGTTTGACTTCCCCCCTTCCTAGCATGTTTCCTAAATGGGCGCATATCATACGGGTTCCATAGCAGGTTTCCTTACTAGATTGATGCCCAGGACTTCGTTCCATTTGTATGTAACTGCAAGCGAATACGAACCAATTTGCTGAAACTTTTCTAGTACCCTTATGCGAAGCGACCCAAAACTGCCAATGATCTCGATCAATTGACCGTTACGGACAAGGAATTCCACAGCTGCGTCAAACCTCAATTCGGCGGAACCGGGATCCTAATATACGTGGGTAAGAGCGCAGGTGCTACAAGTGGAGACGTCTATGAATGCGATCGGGCTCCCATCGCCGGAGCTCAGAAAGACGTTCGCTTCAAGCGACTGCCCACGTTCACCGATGTAAGGCCACAGTCGTTCCGCAATCACTCGTATTAACATGCTACAGGCTGCCCCACCTACAATTGTTGTTCAGAAGGACCACACCAGGGTTTTTGACTCTAACGAGGTTCCACAAGCGAAGCTGAAGACCGAACCTTGCCCATTAGACTTTTCGGAAATGGCTGATGCTGTTCCACTTGGTACCGCGGCTGGGGTTCAGGAACATAAGGCATGGCAACTGCTTTCATTGCTTTTTGATGGCGGCAGTCAAATTCCTTCAGGCATACCCAAGGAGGAGGAGGAGCAATGGCTGGCCCAGGATCGCAAGGAGCGCCTGTCCCGCTTCTGGCAGTCTCTCGTCTTTGAAGATGCACAAACTCACGCGAAAGAAGCCGCAACGCACGAGGAGAAGGCGTTAGCCTACCTCAGCTGTCATTCCATCGCGGATGCTGTCACAACGCTATTCCACGCGTCGGACCTGCGCCTTGCCACTATCGTTTCGCAACTTGGTGGAGACGCCGCGGTGCGTCAAGATATGAGTGTCCAAGTTGACGAATGGAGAAAGATGGATGAGCTCGCCGAGATGGACGAGCCTGTTCGAGCTTTGTACGAGCTTATTCAAGGCAACTGCGCAGAAGCAGAGGGCAAGACGGGAGTCGGACGGGAGAATAAAACATCCACCTTCAAGATCGCCAGCCGCTTCCACCTGGACTGGCGACGTGCCTTTGGCCTTCGTCTCTGGTACCAAGCAATGGTCGATGAGCCTATTGAAATGGCTGTTGCGCAGTTTGCGGACGCTTCGCGCGACGGGAAAGAAGATGTTAAGCCAATTCCATGGTTCATCGAGCAAGGACTTAACATGGGCTGGAGCGATTCACAGCAAGCACAGCGAGAGGACCTTCTCTGGGGCATACTTAAGCTATACGCCTCGTCGAAAATGGATATACCTACTAACCTTGAAGACGTTTTGGCACCAGAGAATGTGTCAGGCCATCCGCTCAATGCGCGCTTATCGTTTCAACTCTTCCAGATGCTCTACTCTCGTAGAACCGATCCATCTGAAGAGGATGATCGCATAGTTGAGATGCCTACCTCCCGTGATTATGTAGGTGGCGGTCCAACTCTTCTGTCTTCTGTCAACTCTACAAATGGGATCGAGCAGGCAGATGATCCGCTCATCGAGCTCGGCGACAAGCTCACGCTTGCTTATGCAGCCTCATTGCATACTTCCGAGCACTGGACGACCGCTGCTTGGGTGTACACTCACCTCTCCAACGCCGCCATGCGCTCACACCATATCCGCTCGCTTCTCAACCAATTCTCCAACACGTATGAGATTGCACAAACCGATCCAACTTACGAAGCACTGTTGAAGTTAAGCATCCCTCATCAGTGGATGCATGCAGCAGCTGCTTTGCAGGCTCAGTCTGATGGCGATGCACTCCGCCAAGCCGCGCACCTCATCAAAGCAGATGAGCTTCAAGAGGCGCACGAAGTCCTCTGCCGCAGCGTGGGTCCAAATGCCATTATCTCACGCCACCTTGATCCACTTCGCGAGCTCCTGGGCGGCTTCGAGGATGGTCGGACAGCAGAAACAATCACGGGCTGGGTTCAAGGCGGTCAGATCTACTTCGACTACATACATTTGCTCGATCTCACGGAGCAGCGCAATCCTTACCGCCCAGATGACAAGCTCATTCATGATATCCATGAGCTACTGAGGAAGTTGCAGCAGAGCCTTGAGAACGTGGCAACCGACCGATGGGATGGCGTGAGTCTGGAGGAGCGTGTTGCACTGAGCGAGATCGCGGGCACGGTCGCCAATTTGATGGCCAGGAACAAGGTACGTGAGATGCAAAGTACAATGCATGGTAATGAGCTAATGATAATGCAGCTTACGGATCGTGCAAGTGTCCTGCGGCTTCCGCTCACCGAGGACCTATGGCTTCGACACTCGGTCGATCTTTCTACGAGCTACTACCGCAACGCGGTCGCTTAGGGCGAGATTAATCACGTAGTCGTGTACAGATGAATCTAGATGCGTCTACATGTATGAACATGAAGTATGCTCTCGCCAGCATACGCGTTGCAAGAGCGAGGGTAATTGAATGTTGCGTTTTGTTTTGCATCTGCATCTGGCATGATTGGCGATATTGCTAGACACGAAAGAAATGTCTCATCTGGGAGTCGGCGAACGCGCTAAAAGTAAGATGATAGTGCTGTGTGTGGTCGCTAGACGTGGAAAAAGGAACCAATCTTGCTTCGAGCGTGTGTATTATAGAACAGTCTCAATACGATAACTACGTTTAATTTTGGGCACAAACTTCCCCGCAAGCGAAGGTTGTTGTGTACGTCGCTTGTGGCTGCCAGACTTGTTCAGTGACATCACGGTTTCTGGACATAGTCGGCCTATTCGACGAAGTGAATGACCTCGCATGGTTCTTGGCGCATTCGTGTGACATTGGCACAGGGTATGCAAAGTCACTCCCTTTTCCTATCACGGATGTAACCTCGAAACAATGTCACCAGATGTTTGCTGGCATCTCCACGATCCCGGGCAAATAGGGCCGACACTCGAAGCAATGGCCAAATATCCCCGGTTCCCTCCCGTACATGCCCCAACGGTTCGTCGATCATCACGGACTTGTAGATTCCACGTGAATATAACACTACACCACCGGGTCAAACCACAGCTCAATCGACAATAAGATCTATCGGCCACACCTCTCACGGAAAAGAGGTGAGCAAAGGGTTACACAATGAGCGCATCAGGCGGCCTGTTGTCTTGACGCGCGAAACTTCTCAGCCTTGCCTACCCAGTGGCGCGACTACCAATGTCGGTCCTCCCCAGGATGAGCCTGCTCTCGCGAAGCGCGGTCACAGCAGCAGCAGGACGTTCAGTCAGAACCACGGTTGTCCTCCCTGGGAAACAAAGCGTTGCTTGTCTTGCAAAAGCGGGCTATCATGCGCTTTCACACAACGTGGAAAAAGTGTAGAAGATCGCTAGATGACTAGAGGGTCAGCGCTGCGGTCAGCGCACTTTCTAACTGTATTGGACCGCCATGCTTCTAATTCTGGAGCGGTCTGCCCGCCTTTTGGGCTGCAGCTTCGTGACAGCCAATGCAAAGGCAGGCCAACGTCGTGCTGCCGAGTGTGCAGTCATTCAAAAAATTTGGAGGGCCGCTGCTGTTGTTTCTGATTGTACTGCACCTCAATGTCATACTAGGGCACCTTACTCAACCTCGCGAAACCTGTTCGGCGAGCGCATGTCGCACTTATAGCAACTGGAGTCAATGACCATCTGCTCTTCGGACTGCTCCAACCCCGCGAGGCCCGCTCACTTGAGAATGTGACACCATGGCCCCTATGTTAGCCTTTGATTATCCACACATGGAGAAAGAACGCCATTTCCTTCAACGCGGACAGAGCCGCCCACACGCGAGAGCCTCACCACTGAAGGAGGGGTTTGGAGGCATAGGCCCAAGGATACAACGTAGGCTCGCTGATCATCCTCATCTTCGTCATCTTTTGCAACTATCGGTCCGGTATCTTGCTACACAAACTCAGTCTGTTCGAGTTACGTCTTCGCTCATGCCTTACATCCGGAACCGTCCGTTAACTTTCCTAGCTCATCCGCGCTTTTTGGTACACAAAGTCGGGGTACAAATTGGGTGTTTGTGCTGAGCGATTAGCTTACACTCCAGTACACCTCGAAGTCTGAAATTCTCAGACATTAAAAGCTGACCAGAACACGTACTTCACCCATTTCGTTGATGTGTGAGCATTACACTGACTTTGTACCCCCACCTTTAGGCATGGCACCTTTATATTTATCAAAGACCACAATTACGGTTGGTATCTCTCCTCGACCGCCACACTTCTCTCTTCATCTGCTGTCAGCTCCTGACGTCGTCTCCTGGCTAGAGATCCGTCCCTTCCCCCCACCATGGGGCTCCCGCGTCTACATCTTCTTACTTCTTGCCGTACAGCCCTTCTGGGTCGCCGAAGCCTGGAGCAACTACGAGTACTTCAACGGCCTGGGAACCGACGTCAACGCGCGCATGCGGCCATACGAAGCTCTCCTACGCGACCCATGGTGGATATTCAGCATTGATTAAGACCAATTCACGATTTGGAGTCATGTTGGCATGCATGTTCTTCTCCGTTGTATTTCCTTTAACGGATGTCGCTGTGAACGCGGCGCATATCACGAGAGCAGCGGGGATCAATCCATGTTGGCGTGTCGCATTGGTATTTAAGTGTGTATCCGATAATATCTTGTTCATAACGGTACACACCAACGTCATGAAACAAGGAAGCGCTCCTACTCGAATTCTATGCGCAGTGACCCGGAGCTTGTCGACAACGCGCCAATGCGGGACTGATACCAGGGCCTACCATGGAGAAGTCTCGCCATGGACCGAAATGGTCGAAGCCAGTCAACTCTTTCAAGTCGCACGATCGGAAAGAATCAATACCGGAGATTCACGTCCAGCATGAGACCACCGTCACATCAGAAGCGCGCAAACCAAGTCACGACAGCTGGCACAGCGAGCAAGGGCTGTTGCGGACATCAGAAGCAGCAGCGTGTGGCCCAAGACATAATGCTAATGTCACCTCGTCTGTTTTAGGGACCAGATCCCGCGGTTCACGCAGAAAGGATACGAGATGAGGTGGAGATGGATCCAATTGTTGGCTGGCAGTTCGAATGCGCCTCCACTTGTATGATTCAACGTTCTCTTCTTGACAGATACCCAATATACAACGCATGCATATTCGAGGTGCTCTCTACACATGTCAGTGGTTTGACAAATGTCCAGTACATTTCCTACATGGTCTCCAGATGATACACCCACGAGTGATTCATCTATTGTGCCTCAAGCACCTTCTTCGCACCATCGACAATTCTCTTGACCTCAGAATGGCCCTTCTTGACCACCTCTTCCATCTTCTTCCCCGCCTTCTGCAAATCATCTGGCAGCACGCTCTTCTCGAGCTGATACTTCCTCAACTTCTGGTTATGGTTCTGCCGCGCCTTCGCAATCCATTTATCTGCTACTTCGGCAGCCTGCGATGCCTTCTCGATAGCCGTGCGGCGTGTTTCGCCGGTTGGGGGAGGTAGTGGAACTTGAATGGTGAGGGGACTTGATGATTCGGGTGTGAGGGGTGTGAGCGAGTGCGGCGAAGCTGCAATGGCTGTCGATATCGGTTTGATGTGCTAGGCAAACGGTCAGTAGCCCCCGCAATTGTTAACACAGAAACGAAAGTACCTCTGCCTCGCCGCAAATCACATTCAGCATTCTTCCCCTAGGCACAACCTGCGCGATATCGCCCAACCGCACCGTCTCTTTGCCGTCGCCGTCCTTGCCTGCCGTTCCGAGCTGGACCTTCAGGCCCTCTACTACCTCAGGGTTTAACCGTCCACCGCTGCGCAATTGAGAGAGCTTATGTGTAAGCTGCTCCATAGCTTTGAGGATCTCAGATTCGAGAATGGAAAGGTCGTAGGCTTCATCTGTGGCCGTGGATTTGCCTGCTTTCGAGACTGGTGGTGACGAGTCGGTGCGGGCATGGGCTTTGTTGGCTTTGCCGGCTTTCTTTTGAACAATTAGGCTGGAGGTGAAGGTTCGCGCGGTGCATTGTGTCGTCGGGGGGCGTGGGAAGCTGGGTGGTGTCAGTAGCTGCCACGGGACGCGATTGGATTGAGGAAGCTTACAATTGGCGACTTGACGTGGCAATGGCGCGTGTCGAGGTGCGGAGAGAGCATTGGGGGTTCAGGCGCGCTGCTGCGCGTGGTAGTAAGGTGTGTGACATGTTTGGGTTGTTGGAGGAACAAAGTCAGGGCCGATGGCGGCTGTGACGTTTGCGAGATGCGATGCACGGACGGGCCGTGTCTCGGTGGTACGACTTCCATTCAGTGGGTGTTTGCACGGCTCCAGAGATGTATGACTAGTCATACCACAGTATCAGGGAGTAGTCTCGATCGTCCTCTGCAATATAATCACATGTTCGTCATGATTTCTTCTCTTATAATGTCCTGAGGCCGTTATTTCTATACCGCTGTTTGTAGAGCAATTATAGGCATACTAACATATGTTTCAGGATATCAATTTGGACCAGTCCACATAGTACAGTCTTCTAATAATATCATGACCTTCCAATTTCAAAAGGCAGAACCTCTTCAATTACGCATCACGTCAATGGAGGCTCCACCCAGAATGGTCCCTCCGATCAGGCTGCGCGATGACTCCATCCCCGCTAATCACATCTTCCTATTCATATCTTCACAAATTCGATGCGACACTGTCTGAGTATAGTTCGTAGGCTTGCCCTCGTTGTACACTGTCCATTTTCGTGCTCGTTGATACAACATTTGAAAGTGAACATGGACCTCCTTAGGTATCATCAAACTTCAACGTGTTCAAATGTTTTAGAACGTGACCTTGGCTTGCCTATTCGACTGACGCAGCAACCCGCGAACCCATGGGATAGGCTAATCGGCGCCTTCAGGAACCCGTAAGACATTGAGAGCAAAAGCGTGCGACCATCAAAGCGAGTGACGCAGGTCAGCCGGGAGATAGCCTACCACAACCCTGGGGTAGTACGCTTGGCAAATCTAAGCAAACCCTCAAACAACACCCCAATGACGCCTCTCCACATCGAAACACCGTCGCATTCCTCAATCATGTAATACATAATACTATCCCGATCGCAGAACATCCATAATGCGTATTCCGACCCTCTTCCGCATCTGGTACTCGACTACGTACACGGTCATCTTCGGCATCCTCCTCGTCCTCCTCGCCGTTACCCCCGCAGAAACCGTATACCAGTCCATCCGATCTGACGAACTCCAGAAGATCTTCGTCATTGGCGGTGTCTACCTGCTCACCGTCTTGATCATTCTACTCATCTACAGCACGCGGCTTTACACGAATAGGAGCGTGCTGCAAGCGATTCCGAAGCCATACATTCCCATCGAGGATGGCGAGGTGGGCAAGTTGGTGCGGAGGATGATCGTCAAAAAGCTGCGGAGGAGTGCAGTGGTCGCGTGGGACAGTATGCCTCGGGATGCGCGGGGAGAGGCGGGCGATGAGGACAGACATGGAACGGCGAGCGTGCATCACAAGAGAAGGCATGCATTTCCAGCTACAGTCATACCTGTAAATCCTGATTTGCCGCCATGGGGTCATGTCTCGCATCCTGGATGGGCGTCCCCTGCGAGTCCGGATCTACCAAACTTGCAATACAACAATGTGGTCAACGAGCTGCCAAACCTGATCGAAGCCAAAGCCGTCTCACTTGCGCCGCCTGATCCGGCTCTGGAGGACCGCGCGCTTCGTATACAGGATACGCCTATGCTACCAGATGCGCAGATCGTTGCTCTGCTACAGCGACCGCGGACAATGGGCTTGCGCGACTATCTAGCTCGTCTATCATCGTTCGGTCTGCTGAATCCGCCCAGTCTCGGACCCAGGTTCCTTTCCCTCTACGAGTACGCACGCTTCTCCACAAAGTGCCTAACAGAGGTTGAATTCAGAGGTATCATGGCTGTCTTCACCGAGATACTCAACGGAATGACAGAGCTAAACCCCGCAGTCATGGACGAAGCACGCGCCGCCTCGTCCGATGCCGAAACACGCAGTCTTGCCCCGACCGTCTCTTCGTACACCTCCCATACTTCCTCGCGCACTGGCCTGCCATATAGAACACCTATGGTCGACAACCGCTCCGAGTTTTCATTCGACGAGAACCCTAGTCCAGGCTCACCGCAGACGGTGCAAACGGCGCCTTCGATGATCAGGACTATGAGCGGTGGAGCCTTTGCTCAGCCAAGGACGCCATCTATCCGATCAGCAGTCTCAGATGAGGGCTCTGTGCGAAGAAGAACGGTACAGAGGAGTCCTTCGACTTTGCTACCAAACTCGTCGACTTCTTCGCTACGATCAGCAGGCTCTGTTGTTGTGCGACTCAACCCCAGCCCCGAGGCAGGCGACCTACCGTATCAATATCAATACGAAGACGGATGAGCGGCTTCTAAACTCCCGTCACGGTTCCCTGCTTGCGTGATCCTTGCATAGTCACAATCGGACTAAACATACTGGAGTGTCCTGTTTCTACCCAAACAGCTCACACTCCACATCACCCCGCATATTGCTCGATGCATTTGTTGGTCATACGTCCTCCAACTTGCGACCTCGATGCATGGAATGCCGGAGACCATGGCAGCATCTGTCCGCACCGTATACCCTGTTGTCTTGCCTACACTCGACGCATGAGCATTCTCCGATGCCGAGAGCAAGACACGGAGGGGTTTCGCTTCCATGCGTGGCGATCTGTCGACACCCAAAACAGGCCTAGAAACTTTTAAAGCTCTGGTTCAGACATTGAGCCAGCAGAACCAGCAAAAGCTACGAGCCGTGGCAGGTTCCTAGCTTGCTGTGCATCACTGTACAGCATAGTACACTAATATCGCCGTGTCACCGCGCGCAGCACTTCTATGATACCCATACCTTACCTTGCTGTCCAGACAGCCATCACTGTACTCGTAGCGCGATGTAAATAGTAATATAGTATCTATACCCGCACCATTCGAACAAGAGTAAGTCGTCCTGTTTGTAGTGCAGCATACGTATGCTCGAAGGTCCGACGCACCCTAGCACCCGTTCATGCCATTTGATTGTACGCGGTACAAAGGCAATAACCTGAGATTGACGCGGGCCCGCGTCTCCGCACCAGACGCGTCACATGACGCGCTTGCTTCCAAGGTTGTGCAATGCAGTCGAACCACTGGTATGTAACCACGAAGGCACACAGCAAATAACGCGCCTCCCCAGTGTGCTCCACCTCACACACACGCACGCACGCACACACGCTTCGCACCACGCCCGCTGCTGTAGACGCCCCGCCGACCTTCAAACTCTAGCACACGCACCACCCTCGCGTTGTCCTCTTCACATCTACCTGCATACTGGCGTGATCCTTCTCGGGTCATAAAGTGTGACGGACGCCCACGCCCTCTAGTACTTCCCATCGAATCGAGGATGATAGATGCCTAGCTAACGCCACGCTCAGGAATCCAACACCGACGACCCTCGGTCACCGAATAGGCCTCCAACAATGGCAGCTTAAAGAAAGCAATGTCACAATCCGCTGTCTAAGAGCGTCACCAATGCCTCGCAAGCGATTCCAGGATTCCCACCCTCGCACAGCACACCACCCGATCAGTCACGTCAGCCTTTTCATATTAAGCGACGGCACGATCATGTTGAATATTGAATATATCGTGGTGGCATTGCTATTAAAGTATTCTCCTCGTCGGCTGAGATCTTCAAGCATGTCAACCTGCCAAAGGATACCACGATAACACGCAAAGCACCACCATCCATTCACCGAGGAGCTCGGGCATCGCACAGGCCGCCCCAAACAAGCCCCTCATGTGCGGACATGTACTGTCCGTCCGCACGCGCAAGCATTCAAAGCAAGCAAACAATCATCTACGCCTCCGATCCTACGATGTCAATCTCGTGTGCAGCACCGCCGCGGCGCCGTATCGTACCCATGTTGAGAGAAGAGAGATAAAATCCACAACCGCCACTACTGACTCTTGACTTGTGGTCGTCGAGATTACCCGGCGTAGTCGCAATGTGTGAAGGGAAACGTTTTAAAAAAACCGTGAAAGTGAGACCACCCGATCAAAAGATGTCCAGAACACCATGCAATGCCGCAGAATAAACAGATGAAGAGAGCAAAGCCCATGGCCTGGCCTAGGACTTGCGGAAATCCGCAAGCACGGGGTAGATGAGCTCGAACGCTTGGTAGATCTCCTCACGAACTTTCGCCTATAGACACGGTATGTTAGCACTGACATTCACGTTTACGCATCTGTGAGGAACAGATACTACTTACTCCTGTGAGCACGATCTTGCCAGAGACGAAGATGAGGAGCACGATCTTGGGCTTCATCATACGGTAGATGAGACCAGGGAAGAGCTCAGGCTCGTAGGAGGAGAAAGTGTGGTGGTGGCTAGCGAGACCCTCAAGACGAATAGGGAACTTGATGTCGCAAGAACCGACAATGTTCTGGATCTTGAAGTCGCTGAACTTGGCGTTGAAGCCGAGCTTCTGGATGATACGCGCGTACTTGCGGGAAGCAAGCTTGCTGTCGTCCTCGCTCTTGGCGCCCGTTACGACCATTTTGCCAGAAGCGAACACCAGAGCCGTAGTCTTAGGTTCACGGATACGCATGATGACGGCAGCGAAACGCTTGGGATTATACTCAGCGTTTCGTGCATGCAGGGCAATGGTCTTAAGGTCCAGGCGGGCAGAGAGGTTCACGGTAGCGACGATGTTCTGGAGCGTGGGCACGATACCTGAGGCGTTCGCGTTGGTATCGGGCGTGTCTGCAGGGGTCGCGACGCCGTTGACCTTTGCGTCACCCATGGCGTTCTTCTCCGAGGACGGAGGGGTCAGCTCAGCAGCGCTGTTGGGGTAGGACAAGCTTCCCGGCGCGGTGAACTGATGGGATGTTAGAAGACATGTAAATAAGAGAAGACATCACGCATGCTTACCGCCTTGGCCTGTTGAGGGTTCGACGGATGGGCGACAAGAGAATCCATGATGAGTTCAATTATTGATTCGTCCGAGTGAGGTACTCGAGATGACTTGGCTTGACTGCACAGGTCAGAACTATGTATAGACGCGACGACAGGCACAGTCGGTCGGGCTGGAACGAATCGCGCGAGCGAGGACGGTCTTTGCCTTGACGCAGGGCTTGGGAGGCGGGGGAGGTCCGTACCGATGGCAGGAGATCTTCAACCCAATGAGTCCCAGTGCCGAGTGTGTGAAGCCGAGTCGTCGGTCGTGTCCGGAAGGACAGCTATCTACTTCGAGAGGAATATGGACACCGAGTGCGATACCAGCTTGCGCTTGGTGTGTCTATAGGGATGCGAGCCGAGGAGCGACTGCTTGCTGCTTGGTGCAAGGCTGACTGACGGATCTGGCCTAGCGCGGGCGCAAAAAGTGCTCCTGTGCCTGTGAGAGAGTGGAAGCGCGCGAAAAACCGATAGATTTATTCGCAGGCAGATTATTAGTGTGCGCGCAATGGAATCGTGGATGATTCGCAGCTTGCAGCAGCGTGGGGGACGGGCGGTGTGGTGGTGAGGCGGCGGAGTGAGCAGGCCGGAAAGGGTTTTTAAACTTGGGGGAAGCGGGTGCTTTTATACCTGCGACGTCTGCCTGCGCACGGGCCACTCCGCGCCGCCTCTGCGCCAGAAACTTCTGCAGCCTGTCGGTGGTGAAGGAATAGGGGCTGCCCATCAATGCGCCCAGTCGCCTGCAGCCCTCCACGGCACCCCGTGTGCACCTGCGACGCGCCGTCTGGCAAGCCGGCGCAGTGCATCGTCTGCGCTGCGCGTCGCTCTGATGCGCGACTGAGTGCGCAGAGACGAGCGCCGTGTCGTGAGGCACCGGCCTTCGCCGTCTGCCATGACGCCCCCAGCGCTCGGGCGACTTGCCCACGTCGCCATTGCCTCACCACCCGCCGAGCCGAGGCCGCTTGCAACCGTCCATGCTATCGTGAACCACCAAACGCTCGCCCACCCTCGCCGTCGCCGCACTCGCCGCCGCCGCACAGTGGACGCGACTCGCAGCCAGGTCGAACGGTCTGACGCTGGAATGCAGCCCGCAGCCCGCACGGCCTCACCGGCCCAACAAGCATCCCCGCGCAGCCCGCAGCGCACGCCGGCCAGACAACAGCAGCGACAGCCGAGGACAAGGGCAGAGAGGCAGAGACACAAGGCCACAACGCTTGCATCCAACGCGCGCCAGCAAAGCCATGTTGGAGTCACGCAGGAAGACGAGCGTGCGACGAGCAATGGTGTGTCGCAGTCAGCATCCCGCGTTGGGCTCTTCTGTGCCGTGGTTTGCTCTTTCCCGTGCGCGCTTGCTCTTCCCCGCCACCGTCTTGCCGCGCTGAGTCACGCAGCGCCCATCGCCGCTTACTCTATCGCGCCTTGACCTCAGCCTCGTTGAAAGACGCACTGCTACGATCCATCGCAAAGCATCACACTCTTGCGTGAGTCGTTTCATCATGAAGGAATGCCCCATGTACATTCAACGGCTCCTTCGCACGACATCTGCTCTATTGCCCTCCAACCATCTCCACGACTCGTGCACTCCTTGCCGGACTTCCAGGTCAACGTCAAATCTCCTAACCCCAGGATGCCCTTGTCAGAATTAGCCAAGGGAGAACGACTTTACAGAGAGCTGTTCGAGCGGCCTAATTCACTATTGAAAACACGTGGCGCTTTGAGAGATACACGTCGTCTGGCTTGTATGTGTGGGAGCTGGTGGTCAAGGTGACACGGATCAGATCGAGGAGCGGACGTACGGGCGCCTAGCTGCGTGGCAAGCGACAAGCGAACTTGAAAACGAGAAAGAGGACAGGTCGAGAGACGAACGAATGGGACAATGTATGTCCCGGGCGCCCTGCATTCATTATGATAGGTTCATCGAACTGAGCACATGGTGCAAGCAAGGCATGGACAAAATCTGGTATTATGTGAAGGTCTAACGCTCAAAAAAATACTCCATCATCTCGGCGTGTCCTTCTACCAGCTGAACGCTTCATCTACCAGCCTCATGTTAACTTTACCCTGCCTTCCGATTTCCGAGACTATAGTCCGTGCCTCGTCCGCCATCCCGCCCGGCCCAGAGACCAGCACGGTAACACCACCTTCGCCAGCAAATGCAGCCTCCTCCTGCAGTACCGTTCGGATGTTCATCCTGCTTCCTACAAACACCTCCTTGTCCACGCTCCTCAGGAGCTCGTCGTCAACAGCATCCACGATCCCAGCAGATCGCACGCCCCAGTATAGTTTGGAAGATCCAGGATGCGAACGCAAGTACGGCAGCACAGCAGTGATGCCAATACCTCCGACTATGCAGACTAGATGCGGGAAATGCGATGTGTCAACGTGTGTGCCGTAGGACGATTCGACCAACACTGGAAGGGAGGCGCGAGAGAGGAGGTGATGTGTGAGTCCACCCTGCCGGCGGAGGAAGAAGGTCAATCCCAGTTTTGCCGGCCCATGAGTCGAGCTATTGCTAGAAGTGGCTGCGGTAGAAATCTTAATCTCATCCTTTTCATACGAGCCCGACTCCTCATCCCTGAGCGACTTCGACTTCGGAACGAACTGAGGAGTCGCAGTAGACGCCACCGAGAAAGGATGATTCTCCCAGACACGCCACGTTAGGGTTGGGAAGTAGAGGTATGCGTGTCCCGTAGCAGCTACACCGGGGACGTCGACGCGGACGTAGTCATCGTCGACTTTGGTGACAATGGCAAAGCGCAAACCGTTTCTCGCCATGCGAAGCATCCGTAAGACGCGATCGAAGCCCCACACAGCCATTGCAGCCCAGATCCAGGTCTCGTACCCCCACTGGTGCGCGAAGCGGAAGAGAATGTGGTAGTAGCAGCCAACAATCGTCAAGACGGAAAGGGCAACGTGCCAGGCGAGGAAAAGTTCGTACGATTTGTGGCGGATGTAAAGGACCGATGAAGGGAGGAGAAGGGACATGGAAAGTGTCCCCACAACACCCCAAATCCAATATGGCAGCTTGCTCTCTTCTGCATGGGTATGTGCCTCGACCCTAAGACGCAGGTAAATAACAGAGTGCAGGATAGCTTGAATTGTCGCTATGCCTGCGACCCAGCGGTGCAGTAGCAGGAACGTGGAGTGGCTCCAATCAGTGACCCAGAACAGAATGTTGTTGCGGCTTGAATATAGAATCAGCAGCGGGATGTTCGCGAAGCTTAGAACGCCCACTCGGTTTGCGACCAGTATGATGATCTCATTGCGTACGCTGCCTGGGTGCCATGCGTTGGGCTGCGCCGAGCGGTAGCCGGTTGAGGACAAGATGATGTTGATGACGAGGAAGTAGGCGATGAAAAGAGCTTGACCTCGCGTTGGCATAAGGCCCAAACCACCAACTAGCGGCTGTTTTTGCTTTGTACCCCACAGCGGAGGATCAATGACCCAGGCGTTGAACTGGGTGACCAGGGTGTTCGGAAAGGGGACGAAGCGTAGGAGTGAGAAGGCAACAGGCAGCGCGAAAGAAGTGACAACAATGATGATACTGTATGGAGGTGAGCTCGGATCTTTACCGCAAAGCTGATCATCCGAAACAAGGTACTTTCTCGAATAGTACCGCTTGTAAAGGGTCCGTCCGACAAAGCGTACGCAAATAACAGAACCAGGATCGAAATGATTCCGTACAAGGATTAGCTTACCTGTACTTCTCGTGCTTTCCTTCAGCTTCTTCGAACGAATCCTGCGCATTCCAGTTCGCCAACCAGTCGTCTTCGCTCACAAGCATTGTCTTGTTCAACGGATCCCCACCGATGACCGTCTGAATCGGAGGACTGGCAATCTTGTCGAGTGTCTCCTGGTAGGTCCGTTTCGGGACGGGTTGCACCGCACTCGTACCAGGTATATTGTCATTCCAGTACTTCTCGAGCTCCCATTTCTGCAGTCCCTCGCACTTTTGGGAGATGCAGTAAGCCATAGTCTGTAAGAACGCATCGTCCGTCGCATAGCAGTCGGCAGACGTCTCCATCATCACGTCATCCATGGACATATCCATGCCGTCCATTTCCATCATAGTCGAGCAGTTCAAGGTGCATGACGAGATTGCGGCGCGGCAAGAGTAGGCGCAGTTCGGCTTGTACATGTCGATGCCATAGCCTATGAGGCCATGACCGGCTCGAGTGTTGGTCAAAGCCATGTCCATGCATGTTGCCGCAGGCAGAAGGAGGAACGCGGTCGAAAGCGCGTTGTAGAGTGTCATGTTGTCGAGCGTACCTCCAGGATAGGCGAAGTTGTCGCGAAGTCTCGACAAAGACATCCGCTAGACACAGCACGCCGCACAATATGTAATTGAGTCTTGAGTGGCTTCTGTATGGTGCACATGGTGGCTGCAGATTAGCCGCTGTATCAGGGTGCAACTGCGCGACAGTTCGAGGTCGTTTGCAGAAACGTGCTCATTCTCGCTCATAGTCAATAAGGAGTGGCGCTTGCTGCACCACTTTTGAGCCCTTTAGCCGCCAAAGATGGGAATGCATATATCCTACTCGTCGATAGAAGCACGAATTTTCAATTCTTCGGGCCTTCTAGACGTCGAGCAGTACAGACGAACCCGCACGCCTCTGCTCCACGTTGAAGCGTCGCCCTCAGCAGCAAGGATCCAGACTGCCTCTTGAAGCGGACTAGGCCTTCCTGCTCTTTTGCATGGCGTAGCTTTGCATCCCGGTGCGATTGATCTTTCCGTGCAAGGCACCGACGAAAAGGTGCGAGATTTACAAATTCGACGGACCGAACAGGAAAGCAAAAGGATCTTATACAAGGTGGAAGTAGGGACGTGGAGCCGGAATCAGTCGCACCGGCACTTCGGATGCGCTTGCGTGCCAACTACGAGTAGTGTAAACCTGTCACTCTGTCCACCTGCGACCGTACATCTTCCTCAGGTTCCCTGTTCCAAATGCAAAAAGCTCACAACAATGCCTTGTGATTCCTCGGTAGAATTCGCGCTGACTTCAAAGCTGGACGGTGTCCAGCTTGCTTGTACGGTGTCTGGTCCGACATGCGAGCACGGCTTCTTACCTAGGTGGCAGACGGCTTGCGAAGCACGTCAACTTCGAATCCAGGGCTACCGATACTCACAGTTCATACGCGGCATGTTACCCCATGGCAGCCATTGGCTCCTTCGCGTATTTCAGCCTCTAAATCCTTGGGAAAAGAGCTAAACCGTGTTGAGCAATCAGACGAGCGGCTCAACACCGTGCGCCACGCAAAGTCCTGAGGCTTAGTCCGCCATGTGCTTAGCTATGGTAGGCATTGCTTATGTCAAATTTAGCAGACGCTCTACCCCGTTCTCATCTGCACGCCCTTTGATTGGTCTGCTCGTCAATTGTTGTAGCACTGCACGTGACGAAGCAAGTTGGGCGCGGTGAGGACGCGCAAGAGGAGCTGCGCGGGAGTACGGGGAAAACACAGTTGGAGCGTTCTTGAAGCATACTTAAGGGATCCAAAGGTGCTGTCAGGACACACATCATCATTCACTTCACTCCACTTCCATTGCACACCATTGCTTGAGTATCATACCTCATCATTCCAACAAATTATTTATCAACTCACCATCGGACCAATGGCAACGCCTACCATGGCCCAGACTGTCTCCACAACCACGGCCACTTCGGCCCCGTCTTGCACAACAGCCATACCAGGCCAATACGGTTATGTTCCACCTGACGCATGTAATGCACAGTGGGCATACTCCCCGTCCTTCACAGCCGCAATCGCTTTCTCGACGCTCTTTGGTATACTTACCGTCGCCCATCTTGCCCTTGCCATCTGTTTCCGCAAAGGGTTCTGCTGGGTATTGCTCATGGGAACGGCATGGGAGACCATATCCTTCGTCATTCGAGCTCTCGGGGCCCACGACCAGCAATCTCAGGCGTACTCGTTCGCTGCCACTCTCCTCTTTCTTCTTGCACCCTTATGGGTGAACGCATACGTATACATGACGGCTGGAAGGTTGATCTGGGCATACCATCCTGACAAGAAAGTATGGGGTTTCAAAGCCATCAGCCTGGGCAAATACTTTGTGTGGCTCGATGTTTTCTCATTCCTCGTGCAAGCCGTTGGCGGTGTTATGCTGTCGCCCGGCGGAAGCGAGACTACCATGAAGACAGGGAAGAACGTTTATATGACGGGCGTTGGCGTTCAGCAGCTTTTTATCCTTCTCTTCTTCGCGCTTATCGTTCGCTTCCAGATCGAGGTCCAACGCTTCGAAGCCAGTGGCGCAGGCTGGCTCGGCAAGAGGTGGCAGTGGGTTACGTATGCGCTGTATGCGGCCCTGGCCCTCATCACCATGCGTATCGTCTTCCGTCTGATTGAGTTCTCCGCTGGAACTGGGGTGGACAATCCGCTGCCGTACCACGAGAAGTACGCTTTGGCTCTAGATGCGTTCCCCATGACGCTAGCTATTCTTATCTTAGCCGTCATCCACCCAGGTCTTGCACTCAAAGGTCCCGAGAGCGAATTTCCCAGCAGGAAGGAGAGGAAGGCCGAGAAGAAGATCATCAAGGCCGCGAAGAAAGCCGAGAAGCACGAACGTAAGATGGCGAAGAAGGGTGGATATTCCAGTGTCTCGGACATAGAGATGAACAGTGTCTAACCAACACGTATTCGGTACCAATTGCTAGGGAAGAGCAGGTTTTAATTTCAGTGTTGGATTTGAGGCGTTTTATAAAATTGGACGTTAGATTGTTCCATTTTGTGGACTTGATAGCTTGATGACAACGTCCTTCTCACGCGGTTGCTTGACTTTATTATCTAACTCATCAGTTCCACCACGATCTTCTTTGCAGACACGCCTGTTCGGACGAGGTCCAGACCTTCCTGTAGCCTTCCTAAGCCACCCTTAAGTACAAAAGCATCTGGCTTGGCTTTCAGTTTTCCATTCTGCAAACCCGCACCAAGGAAATCCTTGTACACCTGCCTCCAGATTGGTTCTCCGCCATCAGGGCCTTGAAGTGGCGGCCGTCCGGCAACTACGGTGACCCCTTCTGGCAGGTCCGGGAGTTTCGTGTTGGTCAACGTGAGCGACAGTTTTCCACCTCCAACAGCATGGAGAAAGTCAACGCAGGCTGCCAGGCTGGCCTCGGAAGAAATAGCATCATACGCTCCGATGATTTCCTTTCCAAGCGCTGCTTCCTCAAGATTCTTAACGACCGCACTGTCGTTGTAATCAAAAGCTTCGGCCGCGCCAAGGTCTTTTGCATAGTTGGTATTCTTAGGTGAAACCGTTGTGAGCACCGTCAGTCCAGCAGCAGCGCAAAGCTGAATGGCGCAAGATCCAACGCTGCTAGCTCCACCCCAAATGAGCACAAGCTTCTTCTTATTTTCAGTAGGGATAGGCTCCGCCGCTCTGGGAGGATCAATGCCCAAGTATTCTGTTGAAAACAGAGCGCCACTCGCCGTAGCCAAGCCCAGAGGTAATACTACAGCATCCGTGAAGGCAACTTTCTCGGGAATAAGCGATACCATGCTTGCAGCAGTGGCAGTATATAGCTGGAAACCCCCATTGGCCTGGCTCTGAGTCACGATGTTGAGCGCGAATGCTACAACGCGATCACCCTTTTGAAAAGAGGTGACGGCAGAGCCAACTTCGACCACCTCGCCAGCAATATCCTCACCCAAAATCTATGTTCCATCAGATGTCAGCGTATGGCACGCAGTGATTTGTTTTAGTTCATACATATGGCCATTCGCAAACTAGAACACCAGTATCCTGTATCTTGTAGTCGACAGGGTTGATGGCGACAGCGTGATTGCGGATGAGGACTTCATGCACCTCGGGCTGGGCAAGATGTGCCTGTTGAATCGACAAGGGCGTACCCTTAGAATTGAGGAAGGCTGCTTTGTTCTCCATGTTCGACAAATTGAACTATATAAGAGATTGCTGGACAATGCGACTACCTTGGGTACTTTATACAAAATCGAGCGGATCATGCGGGGATTGACATGCTTCTCGAAGGCGGTGATCCAAGGCGGTGGACAGCCTGTGTGTGGCTAACGATGCCATCAGCCATCACTACTGTCTTGTTATTGTCATGGAGACGCTGAGTACCATTTCAGATAGAAGCATGCGATGCCGAGGCGGAAGGTGGATGGATATAAGAAGCCTTATATCCGCCATCCAAAGCGGAAAACATGGCTGACGAGAGCCACTGCGGCTGCCCGCACACTGCTGACCCCATCCCATCTGATGTTCGCTTCTTCTCTTCTTGTACACCAAATTTCTCGTACCTCGGAACACTGGCTTACGCGCGCATCGGGAGAAATCACAGGCCGAAATGGATGCTACTCAGCAGCCGACGAAGAAAGCTCCGTACAAGCGGAGGATGACGGAGAAGCGGCGGAATCAGAACCGAGCTGCCCAGAAGACATACCGTATGTAGCTGCTTTTCGTCGGTGGAAATGATGTTGCTAATGCATGGCATAGGCGAGAAGCGCAAAGAGCGATTAGAGCAGTTGGAACGCCAAGTCACAGCTCTGCAAACCAAGGACGGGGATTCTAGGCCAGAGAAAAGTGCCCCTCGCAACGCGCCTGAATTACCATCTGGTTGCGTTATCGAAGACCTGGGCGACATTGATCTCGACTTACCCGAGGAGATTCCGTCAATTCCTGCACCCGACTCGTCTTTCTCAGATCTCAAGCATCTGCTCAAAGGTGACGATGCGCCGGATCTAGATGAACTTGTACAGTTCGCACTTGAGGAGGAGCCTGATCTTACCAAGATACTGATAGCGGGTCTTCGATTGCTCAAGATAGAGAAAGATACGACCATGACACTAGAGAAGAAAAGACGGCCGGTGGCGTGGGCGACAGGCAACTGGTCGACGTTGACAAGCAACAACCCACCATCGGTGATCTATCCGCTTCCAGATCCCTCAATGGACGGTATCTTCCTGAGCCGTCAGTCTCAGATCGAGGTTGTGTTCTACAATTGCATGAAAATTGGCCTGCCAATCGAAGAGCTCATGAAACCCACTTGTCAATCGCCATGGTACTCACCGCTCTCGACGATACCCTCTTCTACCCTTACTTTACAGCGCATACCTCCGGATCTATTCCCGACGCCAGCTCAGATCCGCTACCCTCATCATCCCTTCATAGATACCATACCGTTCCCATGGTTTCGAGAACGTGCGATCACGCTGGCGTCGATGGACCCGCCTGCTTACAGTCGTGTAGAGCTCAAAACAGATATCTTGCGCGGGGGACTGGTAGTGTGGCGAACGAGGAGAAAAGAGGAGGGATTACCTTGGGATCGAAGGAATTGGGAAGTGCAGCCCTGGTTCTGGGACAAATGGTCGTGGTTGATAGAAGAGCAGGGACGGGTGGAGAAGCAGTCGAAATGGTGGAGATCAATGAGAGAACAGTGACCGCAGCGAGTTTCCTGCATTTCCGGAAACGATTATCAAGCCCGGTGTGTAGGTCAGACATCGACGGAAACTCTACGAACCGCGTCGCCGTGGAACGCACGTTCCAAAGCTCGAATTATTTACGCAAGGCTGCGGAGAGCTTTAGTAAAGCTTGGTCTTGCGCGTCTCGAGCACGCTGACACGATCCGTCATCACCTTGGCTGTCTTCTCGAGCGCCTGCTCGCGCTGCTTCTTCTGCGTTCTGTGTGGGTGATTAAGCAGGTGGGTGAGTCTGTCAACCTCGCGGCGCAAACTGATTTTCTTGAGCAAGCAAGCGGCAATTTGGCACGACCCGTAGAAAGCGCTTCAACATCGTCTTGCACTCTCAGCCCAAAGCACTACGGTGCAAGGAAACAGTCCACGCCGAACTAACACACAGTCCAAGTGCGAGGTAGAGTCCGACTTCTTATTCGACTCCAGTGAAGCATACACGAAGGTTGATGCAAGCATACAAATATAACACCTATTATTCAGTTCAGCTTCGATCCTCAAAATTCTATAGGATCATCATTGCGGCCGCGACCCAGATATTGGACTTTGTAAGAATCCGCAAGATCTTGAGATATCAACAACCTTGTTTGACTCTCATTACCCCGGTTTCTCTACACTGAGGTACACCATGTAGACCTGAAACTCTATCAAGAACCATTGATTCTTAGCTGTACAGCCTCGGTGCCGTTACGCATGCGCTGTGCACTTGTCGCGTCGCGAGTAAACTTTGCAGCCAACCCTAGGTGAATCCATGGTGTTGTGTTACCATTCTCGTCGAGACGATGGAATAGGCTCGTTCCTGCCTCTGGGCAAATGACGCTGACCTTGACGCCTTTCCGACTCATCGCTCGCAGACCTTCCTCGCCTGGAAACTCTACTACTACGGTGAATAACCGACGCGTAGCGTCGTTCTTGGACGCCGTATGTCCATCAGGAGCAGAATTAAACTCTTCAATTTGAGAGTTGAGGAATCTGAGACACAGTAACTTCGAAGAGATTGATTCCGCCCTGTTTGTAGGAAGCTTTATACCACAGGTCGATGTCTTTTATGAAGAAAGTACGCCGGGCAAAGATAGTTTGAATCAACATTGTTGCTTGGAGAGGATAGTAGAAGAGGAATCTATTTTGCGAATAGTACAAGCCAAGAGCCTCTTCGTACACTTGTTTGCAGACCAGGATGGGGGCGAGTGAAGATTGTGGCCATTGGCTAGGCTGAGATTGCTGACTCTCCCTATAAAATGACGTGGGTGCATTCTTGGTAGGATGGATGGGTCCGTCATTATTGAATGTACAGTAGTATATTCGATTCTTCCTGTATGGCAGGAACAAGTCAGTATCAATCATGGAACAGGCAGGGGAGCTTCCTGTGATTGTTTGCCCGGGTGTCACTTACAATTTAATTGGAAAAATTACAGAAATGAATCCGTGCTGGTGGTTTGCGGACTCGCTTCACTGGCGATGTCGATAGTGCTACGAGTGTTTCGTCGGGTGTCCCAGTTGTCCTTTCCTGAACTCGCGCCGATCAACGTGGTCGCTTCGCGACTGGCGCTTTGGATAGTGCAGTTCTACCCGGTTGGTAGTCTTCAGCACTTGCAGATGCTTTTCCGCATATGTGTTTGTCGCCTCGCGACAGCTTCAAGATATTCCATTAGCACACCTCGTCGGGACTGTTTGGACTTAATTTACCAGCTTTGCTCCGACACATCATGCTAGGTGCAATCATCGCCTCCAACACCCCTCCGGGAATCGGGCCGGTACAGCGACTGTAGTAAGATTCGGGATTGTCCTTTTATGTCCGGCTTGTTAAACGATGCCTTGGGTACCAAGGTCTGCTGCAGGTGGTTGAGTCCACGCATGCGAAGTATAAGCTTTTTCATCGTAAATGGTATATCTTGAGGCCGCATCAAGACTGCACTAAAATCTTGGTCTACCTGGCACATTGCTTGAACCATCTGCGCCTCGTTGACCCCGATCTCAAGTTATCGAAGCTGTTTGAAAAGCCTTAGGCCCTTTGCAAGGGTTCGTAGAGACGGGACCGCATTGTCAAGATCTTTGAGATCGACAACAATTCGTCGCATGTTTCTAGACTCTTTCCGGTTCGAGAGAAGTGGGTGCACTCTCGACTGGTTATCGAAGTGAAACAGGTTGTCTGGAAAATAGATCTCGTCGATCATCTCCTTGAGATTGTCCGGCAAACATTGGTAGGCCTCGAGGCACTTTCGGCACACCATGAAGTGATTCTGATTGCCAACATAGATGGGCCCGTATTTCACAAATAGAAGCCGCGCGAGATCCCTCAGACTTTGAGGAAGGTCTTCGAACCGAGTTCCCGCATTCAAGCTAATATCGAGCGCTCGTACGCTTTGTTCGGGCCATCCGTGTCCTTCTCGAAAGGCGAGAGTCTTGTGTAAGCGCATGGTGCGAAGGTTAGCGACCGGTACGTCAGGCACGACGGAGGTATCCGGTCGATTTACGGCTGGATCTGACTTGAGGTTGTTCATGATGAGGGGCAGGTCGAAGTTGAGCCACTGCTTCTGCGGGTGTTTGTTGACAGAGTCGTCAGGAGCTTCATACGAGAAGAGCGTGCGTCCACGGTAAGATGAGCGGTGTTGACGCGCGAGGACCGCGTCTTCCCAATACTGCCAGCCTTGACCAGGACTCAGGGACTCAGGCTCAGTCCGGCAAGTGCCATACGCGTGCCATGTTGCCAAGGAAAGTCAGACAAACAACCTCTTGCTCAATCTTCCCAACCCGGGCTCGACTCCGCTTTCACTTTGCTGTCTGCCTCATAACCTTCTCCGACGTCTTTCATCTGAGTTCCGTAAGGGCCAAAAGCAAGCCTCTATTGCCAAATTCATTAAAAGCTGCGTGCTGACTCGTATCTTTGTTCATACACACTGGAACAGGCTGTGAAGTCATTGTAGCAAGGCAACACAGCACAAAAACGGCCGGTATCATACTGGTTTCCCAAAGAAGATGTTGAGGATAGCTGCTAAAGTTATGCTTGCGAATAACCCTGAATGCGACTTGCTGGAGTCCTAGCTGTATTCGCACTGTGCAAGAGTTTTTGCTTGTTATCTTGCTTTCTGAGACGACTCATCTAAGGGCTCTCTCATGCACAGCATACGCAAAGGTAGGCATATCAAGACAAGCTCAAATGAGAGAATAGTAAGAACATGCGGATTGCGCTAGAAATGTCGGGTTGTGCAACATATGCCCTGAATGCCACCCCGTTCGCTGCACGCGGTACATGAAGCAAAATTCACAACGCCGCCCATGCCGCCAGCATATCAAAGATCATGACCCTGTTTCCCTCACGAACCATTGCCCAACCCATGGAACTATAGTTGAACCACTCAACCTACTACAGCTTTCATACTCAGCCGCTCCAGGAACCCACTCAGGTCCTCCTTCTTTATTTCAATCACACACGCCTCAAAACTGTCCATGCGAACTCTCGCGCCAGTCTCCCTGACGACCTCCTGGAAAGCGTTTCCAAATCGATTACGCCCGCTCTTGCCTATCTCTTCTTCGTCCTCGCTCTCCTCATCTTCTTCCGACTCCTCTTCCGACTCGTCCTCGACCTCGTCTTCTTCTAGTCCCGCGGCTTCAAGGCGCGCTTTTCTGGCTTGCCGCTTACGCTCCTGTTCGGTCGCCTTTGCGGCCTTCTTCTGTTCACGTTCCCTGTTCTTCTTCTCACGCTTGGCAATGCGTTCCTTCGCAGACTCGGTGGCGCCACCGCCACCAAGTCCGACCACAACATACCGACCCTGTCTCTCGTCTAGACCGGCCATTACGAGTTCGCTGCCTCTGTTACGCCCCTTGGTCCCGTTGAGCTCGACAATCGCTTCCGCGATCCATAGCGCCAGTTTTGTCAGGGCTCCTGGGTGCGTAAAGAGCTGTACATCTGGACCTTCTTTGACGACGGCCATGCGGAACGCTTTTAAGTGGCGAATCTGCCGCTTCTCGATCAGCGCTGTGCCTGTGCGCAGAATGGCTTTATGCAGATGCTGCGCGGTTGAAATGTGTGCAGTGAGGGTATTTATGTCAGCGAGAGCGTCGTACGCGGTGTAAAATCGGGCTGTTATGCGGTCTTGTGCTTCAGTTGCTGAATCGAGAGCTTGCTCAGAGTGGTCCTGAGTACCGACGAAATTGGAAGAGTCAAGTGAGGAAGTAGAGAGCGACTTTGCATCGCCTACTTCGAGGATGGCACCAAGAATTACGCCTGCATCGATAGCAGAGAGACAGGCCTTCCAGCCCCAGCAACGAACAAAGCCCCAGCCGTCTTTGGAGTCACCACCGCGAGGTGCGGGTGGAACTAAGCCATCGAGACCATACATGGGTGCGAATTTCAGAAGGCGTTCGCGGAGGCCGCGCTTCAAGTCCATGTCCATGTGAGTGTAGTATTGTTTGCACTGTGCGAGACTAACGCCCATCTTCGCAAGCAGTTTGTCCAGCCGGCGCCTTCCAGAATCATTCCAAATGTGTAGTCTGGCGGAGAGGTATGGCGAATGTTGCATGCTCTCGTATAAGCTCCAATGCCGTAGGAGAAGGAAGCGAGGTTCGGGTGATAGTCGTATCGACTTGTCTGTTGCGGAGCGGGCACTTGTGGGAATGACGCCTGTTGAGTCACCCATCGTGGCTTCACGGGCTAGGTCTTTAATATCGACGGGGTTTAGGCGACGTACTTCATCACGCAGCACAGAGCGTATACGTTCACCTCGATCACCGTTCCAGCCCGCTGAGCCACCAGCCGCCGAGAGGGGGTTCAGGCCTACGCCGCTGCCTGTTCGGCCGTACAGCTCGAGACTGCTAACTCCAACGATAGCATTCCAGAGGAGATCGTTGTCTTCTCTGCCGAGCTCTGATGCTAGCGAGTAGACGAGGGATGATACTGGCTCAGAATATGAGGCACCTTGGTCGTAGTACTTTTGAAGTGTTTTGTCATGCTTTTCACGCATGACCACAAGTTGTCTCCGAAGGCCTTTGATCGACTGCTCCTTTGGTGCAGCGACAGCAGGCGATGTTGATCTGCTTCGTGAATCGGAGCGTGAGAAGTCTGATGAGCCGCCTAATATCATGAGGCCGCGTCGTGATGGTCTTCGTTCCGGTGTTGAAGGTATTGATCCACCCTATGCATCCATCAGCCCAGCATCATGTAGAAATTTGTACTATACTTACAGAATTACTTCTCCGTCTTTGACTAGGACGTTCATCGTCCGACATGTTCACATCTGAATCTTCATCCCCACTCCATGACTTCCTCTTCCTAGGAGCCTGCCCTGATGGAGGTTCGTCGAGTCTTGCATCGTCCTCAATCTCGTCTTCTGATTCTGCCCCCTCACCCACCTCGGGCATTTCTTCAAGCGCACAGTAAGCTTCGCGTTCGCTCTCGAGCTCTTCTTCGATGTCACCATCGTCAAAAACTATTATGCCTCCTTTGGAAGAATTGTAATGTTGCTGTAGTCTTCCCTTCTCCACACCCGCTCTTTTCCTTAGCCAATCCTCTGTAACCGAGTCTCGACCCATGGGCGTACCGAACACATTAGACAGATTCCACGGACGTCTTGCATCCATAAGCCATACCTCGACGTCGCCTGTACCCCCACTCCCGTTCTCGTCGACTTCCATGCCGAATATCTCTTCCAGATCGACCATGCCACCAACACCCAGGCACACGACAACACCCCCGCTACCTCCGTGTGTAGTCCGCATGGGCCGTATTAGATCTTCAGCTGCGCGGCTCAAGTCGCCATAACCAGCTATTGGCTGAATTTTGTGAGGTATATAATCGCGTCGCAACAACGCGGTGAGGATGCGGCACGCACATAGCGCGTCGGGTTCGAGGGCGACGAGTAATAATACGGGAGGAGCGGCGGCATGGTTTCGTTTGACGAGGTTTTGGTACAACTGTGCGATCAGTCCTCGGGGGAGGTACATGGCGGCGTTGGGTGGGCGCGAGGATGTTGCGGTGCACGCGCTGCGGGACGCGTTCGGGGGGCTGTAGGAAGGATTACTGACTAGCTGAGGCTCATTGCTCGGTAAATGCCAAATTAATATATAGCTAGAGGCACGGCTAGAATGGAACGCTGTAGGGGAGCAATTGATATCGTGTGTTGCGGGAGCTTGCACGAGGGCGATGCGCGCTACGGGAGCTGTGAGTGAGAACGCGTCGAAAGAGCGCTAATGCCAGGCATCGCTTAGCGTGAAAGTGGCGTTTCGTGGGATCCCGCGGCCCGCGCATGGCTCAGTCAGCGACATCATCAACAATCATTGCGAGCTCATCGTAGAGTGTAAAATTGGATTGCTAGCTATGTGATTGATATTCATAATTCGTCACTTTTGTCATCCGCTGAAAATGCTCGCTCAGTAACAAAGACGCGTCGGAAACGAAGAAGTTCAACTCCCCAGCCATCACCTTACACCATCTGCAAATCTTTTTCTGCTTGCAACTTTGCACGCACCTCTCTCCTCGGATGGAAGAAATGCGACAATCCTAGGAAGGGCGCATTGACCGGGCTCTGCCCTGTGTATATGAACGCATCGTACAGAAAACCGCCAAACATGCATCCGAGCCATGGTGCAACTATGGGGATCTGCCACCGTTAACAATGTGATGATAAGAAAAGGAAAGATTGTGTCCATACCCAGAAATAGTATCCACCGGCCGACCAGACCTCATGACCGTAACCGAGACCATACGACATTAGGCGAGGTGCAAAGTCTCGGACAAGGTTTATCGCGTATCCAGTTTCCCAGCCAAAGCATGCGCCGATGCCGAAAATGAGGAAGAAAAGCATTAGTGGGAACCATTGATCGCTCTGCACATCGCGTTAGTATATACCAGGCCATGCCAGTTGATCCTCCTTACCTTTGCCATTCCCATGTTGGCGCGGTCCTTCAGTGCAAAAATCACGAACATAAGAACCGTGCTCGCAATGAACTCAGAAAAGAATTGGCTAGCTTTCGTGACGAACGGCTGCGGGTACGTAGCAAAGATTCCGGCCGTGGCCTTCGATGCTGGCGGCACTGTCCGTATTCCATGACCGCCCTCATAGTAGTCGATGGCGCTGATGTAGTTGGCATATACGATGCATGAGCCGACCATGGCACCGAGTAGCTGGGCAATAAAGTATGCGGGAAATCGTCGCCACGGCAGCTGTCGATATAGGCAGTTCGAAAAGGTGATGGCGGGATTCAAGTAGGCGCCGCTGTCGCCAGCGACATAGATACCGAGCATGACGCCTATTCCCCAGCTGAAATCAAAAAGTCAGCAAATATAGTTAAAAGGATTCAGTTCGCTTACCCCCAATTCACGCTCTGATATGCACCGAATCCATTTCCACCGGGTGCTCCTGTTGTTTGTCCTGTGGACAAGAGAACCTGGGCAACGGAGCCATTGCCGAACATGATCATGATCACGACGCCCCAAAATTCTGCGAACGGCTCTCTCAGCGTAGTCCGTACTCGAGACCAGAAGAGATCCTGTCGTTCGTGTTGCGCGTGCTCATCATGAAGTGGTGCGGCAGGGTGCAATCCAAGACTGGCGCGATGATGGCGCATCGAAGGCGAGTTCTCTATCGAAATGAAGTATGACGCGTGCTCTGACAATTGGACTGCTCAGTGGATATTTGCAAAAGGGTGGTGGAGCGTGCAATAGAGGTCACCCTATCTGCTTCCGGTTGGGAGGGTTGGTCAAGCGGATGAGAGTCCTGTTGTTCGTCGGCGCCCCAGCAGTCATGGCGTTCGGGGTCCATCTTAAGTACAATTGCTACGATAGCAAAGCGGGTCTACAACTATTGGTCCTCGAAAAAAGTCGACAGTGAAGAAAGATGGGTCACAGAATTGCATGGTTCCACAGCCCCATTCTAACAACATCGTGTGTCCATATACGTCACTTGCACAACTCGTTACTCGCGACTAGACGCACCATGCTAGCGGAGCAAGCAGCGCTCGCGGATTAGAACCAGACATGGTATATCGCGATGCAAGAGCATGAAGTGAGCCTGTGAAGAATCGGTGCAGCTTCCCCTCCTCAGCCGTCATGTTCGCAACACGAGAATGACGTTGGCCGAGTTGGCCCTGAGGTCGCGGCGTCTTCCACGCGTTCGGAATAAGATCGACCACCCCTGCAAAAGTCTGTGCCTCAGCCCGTCCATCACAAAGGGGTATCGCCGATGCGTGAAGAAGATTGTGGCAACTGTGGATACATGGGATTTCGAGAATTCTGCAAAATCGCATGTTTGTGCTTCCGCGGAGGGTGACTTGGGTGGATCCAGTGGGGCGCGAACGGTCCCCCTTGCAGGACTTCGGCGCGATACCGGATGCGGTATCGCCCCATGTGTCTGGGGATCGCCACACTGGTGCATCGCCAGTTGTTCCCGATCCGGCGGAGATCGCAAGAACTTTGATGTGACTTCATCTCTAGAAATTCCGCCATCTGACCGTTATACCAATGTTTCTCTCACAACAATCCTGAATTGCTACTGCGACATTGCGTGGCGAGATTTTGACTTTGCGACAGCCTGCGACAGTCTTGCCGTCGCATCACGTTTGATGTTGTAGAAAAGGGTGCCTGGATGCAAACACGCGAATGATCGCCGAGGCTTGCGTTGTACGCAATCCCATCTTCACAATGTTAGTCATGGGAGAGATGTTCGAAATATCATCATATACGCGAACCGTAATTTGGTGACATCTAGCCTATAATGCGTCGAAGCCTTAACAACACCCAAGTAAAGGTACGAAGACCCAACAATGACCGCCTCAAGAGCTTGGATCTTACCTGACCACCGATGCGCCGTGATGATGCTACATGCAGATCCACCAACGCCAAATGCCCATCATTGTGCCAAATTTGGCAATACCAGCTCGAGTACGCTTAGCGCTCGTTAGATGACAACACCACATAGTTAATCGTTAAGGGAAAGCATCAGGGAAGAGGTATTAGGGACGACGCGCCCGGTCAAATGTACCTAGGCGCAGCGCCACCCAATGCCATCTCCCTGAAGCCATCTGGCACTGTCCAACCGTGTACATTGCAAGCACGAATGTATGCTTCCACAGCTTCACCAACACCGTAGTCTTCACGGCTATGGTTCTCAAGACGTGCTGGCTTGGGATCGAGCGAGCTCATGGCCATGCGGACTTGTAGCAGGACTGACTCGATCGTAGACACCGCGCTCCATCCATTGTTAGTGAGAAGCTGAGTGAAGTTAGCATTCTATTGTAGTACGGAAGTAATTGAGAAGTAACATACCTCCATGCAGAGAGCACCACCTGCAGTGACATGGCCACCTCCACCCTGTTGGAAGCCCAGAAAGCGCGGTTTGACGACCCGGACGAATGGCGGCGACATCGGATAATCCTTGCCAAAACGCATTTCCAACACTACGCTCGTGATTCCCCTCTTCTTCATATCTTGCGCCAGGGGGAGAGTCGAATCAAAAGAGTGCAACTCCACGATCCACTGGTACATGTTCTCCAACTTCTCTTCATCGATATGCCAGCCCAGTTCATGCAGCGGCGTCTGGTGCTGAATAGCGATGACCGCCTTGAAGTCCTGCATCAGACGACGAGTAGCGGACGGCGTGGCCCATGCCGGCTGAGCAAGCATCTGTAGCAGGCTATAATCAAGCTTACCCGGTAGATAATCAGTCGGAGGCTGTGATAGTGGTGGAGTAGAGGATTTGGAGCCAATTAGCTTGGAGAGGAAGCCTGTAGTGGCTTTACCCTTTCCCTTAGAAGGAGTCGGCGTAATGATACCCGTGTGGAGGGTTCCAGGTTGGATCATGGGAGTATCCTCGTCAAAGATAGAACGATCCTCTTCCAGCGTGGCGACACTTGCTCCATCATCTTCTGCATCGAGCTCGATCGGATCGGCAAAGGTAGTACCATTCGCAGTCTTGCGACGTTTGGCAGACGGGTCAGCTGTGCGGGAGCCTTGCCCACGGTGACTCGGGATAGCGGATCGGGGAATGACCAAGGAGCCGGAAACACCTCGAGGGGTGTACGAGCTGTCTTGTGGGACTGGATTTATTGGCATGATCTCTTTGCTGGTGTTATTCGGTGCAGATGGCTGAGTATAATCTGGATTTCGTGTCTGAACGAAGAGATACCGAGTCTGGATCCAGTCCAATTGGGCAACGACAAGATGAGGGCTCTTGCTCACGAACTCTTGGGGAGCATTAACGATCTCATTGAGGGCCAAGGCCTGGGAGACGTGGATGTTGCTCATGGCCCAACCACCGCCTGTTGCCCCTCCATACATACTGGAGTATCCCAAACTCGTGTTGAGATCCAGAGAATGATAGACGCCGTGTCCGTACGCCCGGCCATGAGCGGTGTCTTTGAAGTGTAGACCTAGATGGGAAAGTTAGCCCTTTTGATTCAGCATGTCCTGGATAACAGCAGAAAGATCAGCTACTTCGCATAAACCTTAAGTCCCGCTTTGTGTAGCGTGAGGCCTCAGCAACTAACAGGAACGGCAGCTTCTCTCTAGTGTCTACGCTAATATGGCAAGGCTCTATAGAGGGGCAGCTGTGGCTATGATAGACTCCCGGCTAGCTTGAATTGCCCGAACCCTTCCACTCGCTGTGTGTAGTTTGTACGTACCTTCACGAATGATGCTATGCCAGTTGTGGAGGGGGCTACCATGCCAGGCGAACAGGGTATCATGCTTGAGGCTTAGTCGATTCGAGGTGTCCCGAACAGCTTGTACGAAACGGCGCTCTTTGTCCGGTGCACCCATCGCAAACCTGAATTGCGTCCAGCCGGACATACCGCAGAGGCGCTCTTGGGTCTTAAATCCTGGCGTATCCGGATCCTGCACTTGCATGATACAAGCCCTGTTCGATGCGATAATCCAACGCAGCACGCCAAGAGCAGCAGGAGACAGTCGATCCACCCACGAAGTCAATGTTGACTGTTTCTTGCGCTGAAGATATTTCCTCATGTCATTAATGCTGGGAAGTAGATCAAGCAAGGCAAATATAGCCTCGCGCTTATGAGCAACCGACAGGGAGTCGAAGTTCTGGTCGTACATGTAGAAAGTCGCCTGCTTGAACACATCCTCCACCCGAGATGCTGGTGCAGGCGTCGGGATCTTCTTCGAAGGCAAGGCAGCTGCCTGAAACGTGAGCTGCGAAATTGTGGGCACAATAGGTTCAGCGACTTTGATGGTCGGGTAGAAGTATGTTTCAGTGATGCGGCAGTGCAGCGCCTTCGCCTTGTTGTCATTTGTGCGAATGATAAGCCAGTCACCTGCCTTGAAGGGACACTTTCCTTCCGGAATGTCAAACATGATCTCTCTGGTTGCAGCGTTGAATTTTAGAGTTCCTGATGTGCAAGGTCAGCGAATGCATGCAAATTTTCGGCGCGCAGGCAAAAGATGCATAATGTCCATGTTGGCTAGAACAGAGACTGGACCTATACAAACAACTGCACGTGGTTCTGTAACTCACCTGGCTTGACCTCTGCACCACCTGTAGTAGGCGCCTGCGATGCTGGTTGCTTCTGGAACTGTGGATAACCGTTATAAGTATATTGCTGATCATTTGTATAGTCGCTTTCATATGCTGATGATGGCGGCACCATGAGGCTCAGTCCAGTGGGAAAGTCGTTCAATTTGCCGGACAGTGCGCTCGTGTGACAGAAGCTAATCAGTAAATCAACGACCTTAGGTTGTGAAAGGATCTCGTGTTCAATGCTAGGCCCAAACCCAAGTGACATATACTGGTACAGGCAGAGAGGCTGTTCACATACGTATGGTTTGATAGCCTGTAGATCATCTGGCATCTTGCGAAAGCAGATGAGGCAGAATTCGGTGCAACGAACGAAGTGGCGTAGGACGAACTGCATGCCCACTAGCGGGAGTGAGTGCTCTCCACCAGTCCAGGAATCAGCGATGTGATCGGCTGTGACGACTGAAGGGTAAGCCGTACCGACCGCTTCGGCATTCATGTACTTGTCTGCCAAACCCAGATCTGAAGGCTTGTGAGAGCCGAGGGAGTCGTGATAGAATTCCTCAGCGCCGTTCCATGACATGCCGTTGTATCGAAACTTTAGTAGCTGGGGAAAGCGATTCTCGAGAAGATCGTGGAGCGGACGCGAGATGAACGAGTTCCGGAAACCCTTGTGCACGGGCGCACCTTGTGACTGAGATCCGCCATCTTGGCCTTTCTCCATCTCTTTCTCACGCTTCACCTCCTCCTCTTTACTGAGTTTGGTAAGGGCCTGGACAGCCTCCTGCAAGGTCGGCTTATATGTGGTGCTGATGCCAATCTTAATGCCAAAATGGCGTCGAGCAGTAGCCACATCGTAACCCTCCAGGTCGGACATGTTTTTGTAGCCGTTGGGATAGGAAAGAATGACGACGAGGTACTCTTGCGGCTGCACCTGCCAAGCTTGCATAGCCTCTTCGGAGATGCCCAATTTTGCTATGCGGCAGGAAATCGAAACATAACACCCACGACCCTCCAATAGTGCGCCCAAATGGCCTACTTTGAAACCAGCGGCCTTCGCGCTCCGCAGATCAGAACGTATGCGAGAGCGAAATTTGGATGATGGCTGTGCAAACCCTTGTGTAGATAAGTCATCGGGCTGCATCGAGAAAGGCTTCTGAATCTCATAATCATCGGGAAAGAAGTCGTCCACGTCGTCGTCTTCAGAATCCTCCTCTGCCATGCCGACATCTTGCGAATTCAACATTTGCTGATCACCATCGTTGTCTGTCGATTCCAGCTTCCGCGATGTAAGCTCTAGTAGCTGCTCAATTGATTTACCGAAGGCGGACTCTGCGATGCCGGAGAGAGCGTTTGCAACTGATTTGGGAGCGTCGTCTGGCGCGATCAACATGTACATTTGATTTGAAGGATACTCAGAAACGTCAGGAATGAGCGCCGAGAATTTGTATTGTTTGCCATCGGCGAAGCAAAGGAAGGTGAACTCTCCGTCATCGCCTCCAGTCTTGACTTGGGAGATGCCTAGTTGGTCAGTGAGTTGGGCTTTAAGCGAGTGAGTTTGACGCCGTGTACGCAGCTTGTACGTAGAGGTGTTTGTAAACTGAGCGTCTTGGTCCAGTGTTTGCAGGCATGGTGGCCTCTGTGTCACGGATCTTGGGCTGGCATGAGGGAGAAACATACCGGCAATCGACACACCGACCTCGGCCTTCTTCAAGTCGGCGATATACTGCCGACGCGGCATGTTGAGCGCGCGATCAGGGAGGTCGAGTTGGTGTTGGCGTCAAGCTCGTAGGCGCCCGAGCAGGTGGGTGAGGACGAGCGTTGGAGTGAGTGCAGCAGACAGCGCCAGAAGTCGAACAGGGCGGGCCAGGTCCCGGTGAAGCTATCTATGGTTCAATGCGTCCGTCGAGAATGGAAAGAGCAGGCACGCTCTTCAACAGAACAAGCAGCACCTGCACGGGTGGGTCTTGAACGAGCGACGGTGGAGAAAGGGAAGAGCAAGAGTGAACAGGAACAGGAAAACACGACCGCAAACGCAAACGAGAAGCCTAGCGTGCGACTCTGCGCTCGCTGCCTGCAATGGCTGCGGTGACTTCTCCAAGGATGGGTCGAATGTGAGAGCTCCCAGGCAGACGCGGGCCCAAGCTCCCTTCCTCCCGTGTACGGTGTACTGAGCCACCCCGCATCCATGGCTTTGCCACCCCGCTGTGCCCGAGGCGTGGACGCCAGTACCACCGTCCGTCTTGCGCCTGGCAAACGTCGCAAGTGTCGACGCCTGTATGTCCGTGAAGGCATGTGACTACACAACAGCAGGCGCAGGAGCAAGCGTCCGAGCAGCAGCGGGGGTCCACTCGTAGTCGCGTACCATGCCCCTCGCTACTGCCAGGATTGCAGCGGGAGCGAATTTAGCACCAGCTAAACCCCCGCTACGAGCCCGCGCTCCTCTCCCTTCCGGACAGCAATCATGGCCGTACCAGACACTGTCCCTGCGCCCAAGTCAGCACACGTCGCCGATCCTGCACTCGTCCCTTTCCTCCAGCCCCAGTTCGACCCCGCCAACTACCTCAATGCGACGCTCCCCGCGCTCTCGCTGTCTTCCGTTTCCTCGCGTCCGCTTAAGCAGGGCCACTCGCTCTCGCTGGCTGACCTCTCTTCGCACACCCAGGATCTCCTCTCACAGCTCAATGCACACACCACGCGTTTGTCTGCTATCCTCACGCAGCTTACCGATGACATCCTTCGAAGCGGGGCACGCCTGGCCTACGAAGTCGAAGTCCTACGTGGAGAGACGACTGGCCTCACCGAGACACTCACGGATGGCTTGAAAGAGGACGTTAACAAGTTCGTGCCTGGGGGCATCAATGCCAAAAAAGAGCGAGATGAAGACACCGGAGCCACGGACCCAGCATCAGAAGGCGACCAACAGTTGGGAGCGCCCGCAACCGCCCCAGACACAACGACCCCCGACTACATCACCCAGCTTCGCGTCCTTACCCTCGTCCGCAACCGCCTCGAAACAGTCATAAAAGTCTTTGGCGAAGCCATGCACTGGACGCTTCCACCTTCCGAAGTCTCACTCGCCTCTTCCCTCATCTCCGTCTCCGCACCTGATCCTGGCACCGATGCCTCCACCCGCGAGCAAAAAGGCAAAGAATTTGCTGCGGCTTTGCGCACTGAAATATCCGATCTAGTCATGGGCGATCCCGAAAGCGGACCTGAAACGGCGCAAACGAGGATTCAGGCGCTGAAGGATCTGGCAGCGGTATGGAAGGGAACGGCTGAGGAGAAAGCAAGGGCAAAGTTCGTAGAAGGCTTGGTGAAGATCGTCGAGGATAGAAAAAAGGACCTCGACCGGGAAAAAGAGAAGCGGCAGCGGGGCGTGAAAAGCGGAAGCGTACCAAAGCTTCAAGCGCAGCCACCAGCGCCGCAGCGAAGTGGTGGCGGCTTCTTGGACAATCTGCAAAGGATAAGAGAGAACTACATATAGCTCTGTACGAACCGTGGACTATAAAGCATTTCTCTATGCAATGTCTTGGCCTACAGTGCCATGTCAAATGATTTTATTGCGCTTCAAGTTACCCCAGGATAAGCAATGCAATGTGTAAAGTCTGAACTAAGTGCTGTGAAACGCCCACGATGAGCGCGAAAAACGTGTTCCCTATCAATCTAGGATATATCGACGATTGATATGTAAAACACTGATAATTATCTTCGCTCGGTTCTTGAGCGTTCATGCGCTGAATGTGCTCGCGATACAGGCGCCCGGGGCGGGCGACACAGAGTTCACGTGACATCGCGTCGCGGTCGTGTTCAGGTCTGGTACCATTTCATTGGGGATTTAATCGAGCTATTTGCAGTGTGTAAGCAGCCTCATACTAATGGCATACGGATTCCCTTACAATTACTCTACGAGTATTACCCGTGTTTACTATCATCTGACGGTTTTTGTGTAAGTATGCACGTCCTTGGGTAAGATCACACGTAAGCACACTCTAAAGAGACTTGTTCTTGGAATCTTGGATCATTAATTCCTGTACAAGAAACAGCGGTATCATCAGATGTAATACAGTGAGAACGAGCCGTCGTGAAAGCAGCCCAAACCAATCCCAGTAATCCGCAAGCCCGTTCATGAAGCAATATTGGAGAAGACAATTGCCTCGCCTCAACCCGACCTTCCATCTGGCTGTTCTTGCTCCTCAGGAGGCCATTTCAGGCCTACGACCGAGGGACTCAAGCCGCGATAGGGGAAGGGGTATGGCGTCAGCTGTCCAGCGAAGCCACAAGCAGCAAATGTGAAACGCCAGAAACGCCAGAAATGCCACAGTCGATCTTAGAAGTCGTAAAGCCAAATCATGAGTGGCCCGCAAAACCAAAAACTCCAGAATGCAGATGTACACGCTAGTAAGCATCTAACGTCGCCAATGCTCGACGGCCCTCAGCCTCGAACGCAGTGATCTGACGCTCACACTCTCTCCTTAGCTTCTCCTCGCCACGCTTAGCATTATGCAGAACGAACTCCTCGATTGTCATGCGTTTCTCGGGGCTTGTTAGAGTAGCCAAAATAGCCTTCGTGATATTTTCCGTTGTATCGCCCATGTCGATGTCCATGTTTTCTTTATCGAGACCTGCATCGGCAACGATGTTGGAAATGATAATAGGATTCCACTTCACTGCCGAAGAGGGTACGGCTTCAGGAGTCTGAGGCTCCTCAGGCGTCTGCGGTTCTGCGCGTATAGGGCTTCTTACGGCTAGCGGACTGCGGGCGGATGCTGGGCCGGGACTCTTGAGCATCTGCTGGACCCGAGCCGTTCTAGGGGTTGCATTGTTGAAGCGCGAAGCTGGACTCTTGATCGGCTCCTGTCGATACTCCTTGGGTGTGTGCGCAGGTGTTGATTCGAACTGTGGCAATGAGATATCGCTGATCCTGGTGCGCTTCGGGGATGGCCTACGCTCCTCGACTTCCACATCTATTGCCGCTTCCACTCCCACCTCTATTTCCTCACTCTTGCGCTTCGTGCCACGGGTAGTGCGTGTTGTCGACATAGTTGATACGGTGGAAGCGCGCTTTGCGGCTTTCCTGGTCCGGCGTGCCTTCGTTGGTGCTTTAGACATTGTGGACGCAACTGAGCCTTTAAACGACTCGGCAAAAGACTCTGCTACTGTTGAAACTTGTGCTGCGGCAGCCTTTGGTTTTCGTCCCTTCTTCGCGGCCGCTTTAGCGGGCGCTGATGTCTCTGGAATTGCAGGCGGCTCGATAGACGACTCGCCAAGCGATTGTATCGGCGCCTCGTCCAATATGGACGAATTTTTGGGCTTGCGGCCTCTCTTTGCTGGCGGTGCTTTGGGAGGAATAGAAATCATGGAAAGTCCAGCGCCACCGGCAAACGAGTCGGCAACCAAAGACATCGTGTCGTCTGCCGTAGAAGCATTTTTCGCTTTACGGCCCCTTTTCGCTGGAGGTACCGGCGCCGAAACAGACATCATCGAGGCACTGGCAGGATCTGGGAACGATGCGATGATCGAGCTCATCATCGTCTCGTCTGGTGCGGGTGGTAGTGGTTGGTTAAGATCATCTTTGGCAACCCCGTTCTTGGTGCGTGTATTTTTCTTCGTTCTTGTGCTGGCTGTTGAAGACCTGGTAGATGACCGTTTGCTGCGAGCAGCCTTCGATTTCTGGATTTGCACAGGATGGTAGTACTCTTTAAGTGTGAAGAAAAGGCAGTCGTCGTTGCGCTTGCGATGCTCTTCAGTCGGATCATCGCCAATATCCCATGCGTCAAGGGAGAGGCTGCAGTAAGGGCATGTAGCGCCATCGGGCTGATCGTCGCTGGGATCGAAGTACCATCCGCCTTCAACCATCTATATTGTGTTAACGAACGACGAAATGGAAGGCAACCAAAGGACCCACCTGCTCAACGCTCGGGTAGCCTGCTGCGATGTCTAGAGGCCAGAGATCCTGGAAGGTTTCCCTGCGCGCGTCCATCATGCGGCCGCTAAGCGGATCCTCCTCGTTGCGACCTGGATCTCCATCCCTCAGGCGTATGCACAGATTCAGAGCGAAGCCGCAGTTTGGAGAGTGTGTGAGGTGCTCATAGGCTGGTACATCATTTGGTTCCCATCCATCGAGCTGTGTCTGGCAGTGGAAGCATTGAACGTTGTCCGGACTCGCTGAGGTGGGTTTGAAAAGAAAGCCTGCATATGCAAGGTCATGGGGGCGCGGGAATTCAAGCGGCCATCCGCCTTTGAGAGCCGCTTTGGGAGCCGCTTTCTTGCCGCGTGCAGATGGGCGACGCGATTTCGTCTTGGGCACCGCGAAGGTGTCGAGGCGCGCTTGGAGGGAGGCGAACTCCCCGCGCGTTGGATCCATTGCGACGTTGCTGTGCGCGAAGATGATTTTGAGCTGTATATTCGTCGTGTCAAGAATCACTGAGGCGCGTGTGGTTGTGCGTGGCCGATATGCGATGGCGACAGCGGCGATGGTGGGCTGGAAGTCGCGTATCACCGCGCATCAACAAACATAAGCGTGCCTAGCCTTGGCAACTGGCAACGGCGGGCGGGAGCGCTTAGTCATCTCTTTCGCAACTTCGACCGCTGATGAGAAAAACTGCGCTCTACATCATGTCTCGACTACGTCCTTTAACCCGGATACCATGGTGTAGAAGACCTTTGCTCCAGGCGAATCGCCGCTATGTTACTTCGCAAAGCCCGCAAGCAACCACGGAAGCCTACAATCAGTCTCTCCCTCCAGGTTGGGAAGACGAAGCACCAGCGCTCTCTGATTTTTCAGAACTACCGCACAAGGACTTTGGCAAGAATCAGCTTATAGAAACAAATGAGGAATTCAAGAGAAGCCTGCGCGGCATATTGAAGCAGTTCCCTCCCATCACGTACGCCTTCGCATATGGCTCCGGCGTCTTCCCGCAATCCGACGCGACCGCATCGCGCGTTACGCTCTCGCCGCATCCGAACCCCCCGGAGGCGATACTGAAATGGCAGAAAGGAGGAGGAAAGATAATCGATTTCGTCTTCACAACACGCTTCTCCCAACACTTCCACTCCCTGAACCTGCGCGAACACCGAGACCACTACTCCTTTCTCGGAAGATTGGGATCCGGCGTAGTGAGCCATGTGCAGGATAGGTACGGCGCAGGAGTCTACTTCAACCCCTACGTCACCGTAAACGGAACCATGATAAAGTACGCTGTCGTCAACTTCGAAACGCTCCACAGCGATCTCTCCAACTGGGACACCCTCTACCTCGCCGGTCGCCTTCACAAGCCTGTCAAAATCCTGTTCGAAGAACCAAACATTCGTGTCGCTAATCAGCGCAATCTCCTCTCCGCCGTGCGCTGCTCGCTGCTCCTCCTGCCACAGACATTCACAGAAAAGGAGCTCTATTCCACAATTACCGGCCTCAGCTACCAAGGGGACCCGCGCATGACGTATGGCTCAGAGCATCCCAAGAAGATCGACAATATCGTGACCCACCAGATTCGCAACTTCCGCCTCCTGTATCATGACCTGATTATGTCGCTGCCCAACATCTCATACGCAGATGAGAAGGCCATCAGCAAGCCGGATTGGATGGACGACACCAAGCTGGATCTCAAAATCACTCAAGACATGGATGTAGAGCGCCGGGCCAATATGGTTAGGCGATTGCCCAAGTCCTTCCGAGAGAAGGTCTACTTTCTCTACCAGCGCAAATTCGCTATTCCAGGCCGCGAGTTCCAGGAGATGTTGGAAGCTAGTAAGGATGAGGATGCCAAAGGTGGTCTGAAAAAGCAGGTGGGCGGAGCATTTGATCGCCGCATAGCTGCAGAGAAGGATCTCCCTGCGATGGTCACGAAGGCTATCAACCAGACGGTATACTGGCCAGCAGCCGTGCAAAGTGCCAAGGGTATCCTGACTGCAGGCCCAATCCGCGCCTGGCGGTATTTGCAGGAGAAGAGGGAGAAGGGAAGGATGAAGTCATGAATCCGAACCGCATGCCGCTCCTGGCACATTCTCTTTTGTATACTTCACTGTCACAATAGCGAAAAATGGCATTTCTGCTTAAAAGGGATTGCGGGTTTGCATATAGCCGCCATTCGGAAGGCTTTTCACCAGCCAGGCTTGTATTATTCTGTTAGAGTGGGCTTGGACATGGCTTGCCATAGAGCCTAGCAAGAATGAGATGTTCAAAACTGTCACAAATTCTAGTGGTGCGGTTTGCATGGAAAGTTCGGCCATTGAAATATGCGTTTCGGCCCAACCGCATCAACATATAATGTTCGCACATGGCTTGCAGCAGTTACGACCATGTTCAAACTTCACCCCCCTACAATGTGATTTTCATGAATGATTGGATCATGCTCAATCGAACATTGTCATTAGTTCGTCATGTCATCATACACGCTACAAGCTAGCTCTTTCCGCTATGCATAAAACGTAAGAATGTACAAGAAAACTGAACACCCTATCCACCCTTGGCGGCACCGTGCTAACACAGATCGAGGAATTCGATCTCGCTCTCTCGCCACCGTCTCCTTTCCTTGCCTTTAGGTACGTTCCTATCACGCATTTCCGCCTTCGCGGGGCTCTGTGCCTCAACGAAAGTCCACGCGCCTGCTAGGCTCTTTCTCAGAACTACCTCACGCTTTTTCTTAGCTTTTTCTTTCCATGCTGCCGGGGGAGACTTTTTTGGTGCATATGGCTCCGTTGAGGTGTTCGGGTGCGCACGAGGCGATCGACAAGGGGCTGACTTGAGGTTCTTGGGCGGAGCTGGCGAAGCAGTAGTACTCATAGGCGGTGGTGATGAAACCTCCGTCAGGTCTAGACACTCTATCTCCGGCGATGCTGAATGTGTTTTTCGGAGCCGAGGAGAGGTTCGTCGTGATTCCACCGTGAGTTTCGCTCCAGCTTTCGGGGACGTGTCCGGGGTGTCGGAGGATGAGTCATCGGGCATGTTCGAGGCGTTGGAAGATAGGGATGTGGAAGGCGGGCGATTCGAAGCTTGCCTTGGTTCTTGAGGGACGGTTGCCAATCCTGTAGAGAAACCCAAGGGCGAGGACAGCGTGAGATCAAGAGTCTCTGTGTCTCCGTCCACCGTCTTAAAGTGCGGTGGACGCGGCGTGGTACTCAGCGGAAGGGTTCGCTTCCGGGGTTTGACGGGTGAGTTGGCCGGTGACCTCCATCCATCTAGCGTCGATTGTTTCGTCTTCCCCGCGGATGGTGCTACGGTTGCTGCGCGTGTAGCTCGAGACATTGTGGGTTTCTTTGGTCCTTGCATCCTAAGTTTCTTGGCTGGAGCTTGCAAAGGTGGCTCAGTCATGTGTAAATCCACTAGATCCAACGTCTCTATCACTTCTGGCGTTGGACTTTCTGGTCGGTCAATGTCCGTGGCAGGGTTGGAGGGAAGGGTATGTGCGCGCTGCATTTGCCCTCGTCTCCTTTCTGTGAGCCTGGACGGTAGCTCTGCCAGTGGCGAGAGCAACTTCTCTCTGGTGGGTCGAGGTGAGTTGGTTTCTCTCGAACTCACAGGTGAAGAGGAAAGAAGGGTGACGGTAACGTCTTTTGTATTCGTTGCAGACTGAGACACGACAGTGTCCCGGGACTTTGAAGTTGCTTGTATAGTTTTGGTCCTAGGTTTTGTAATCTTTGCAAAATTCTGAATAGACATTTGCTTAGCACTGTCCGCTACCTTCGTTCGTCTTCCTCCGGTCGGTTCGGGTGCTGTTGTGCTGCCACCATTTGCTGAAGCTGTCCGTTTCGATCGCAGTGGTCTCTGCCGTTCTGCCTCCCAATCCTGAACCTTGAGGGGCACGCCGGCCTTCACGTATGTCTCGAGGATCCATACTCGTGCAGGCTTGTGAGGATCAAACTTGGTCGGGCCTCGCTTCCTAGGCCCGTCTACGTCATCATCGACTTCTATTGGTATTTCCTCATCCAGGTCAGGCTCGGATGCCGGTGGAATCTCCACCTCATCATCTGGTTCTTCGGCGTTCAGGTCGATTTTAACGAGCTCAATTGGTGTGAAGCTCACACGGAGCTCAGAGGTCCTGTCTGTAACAGCATGCTGTCGCTTGCCGTGTATACCCTTGACAAGAAGCGCTTCATCCTGCTGAATAGCTTGAAGATTATTGGAGGGAAACCTCTCGGTCTGCTCTCCCCTCATCCGAAGGTGACGAACGAGCAATGACGGAGCCAGGCTACGGACGAAATGCTTTGCACCTTCGAGCTTAGCCCAGTCAAATGCATCGTATGTAAAGCTACGCAGGCCAGGGAGGTCAATATCCTGGTCCCACTTCAGGGAGCTTCTGAGCCTATCCAGGCCGGCTTGATTCGAGATGGCAGGATGGGTATAATAACCAAGGATATCGGTTCGAGGGAAGCCGTCGGGAATGAGCAGGCTTGGACGTTTCTGGGCGAAAAGCTTGCTCTCGTTTGTCTTGATCTCATGCTGCAGCCGCTCTCGCCAGTGCCGCAAGCCCTTTGCATCATTCCTCGCCAACCGACACAGATCTCTCCCGAATCCGGCTCTTGCTGCCTCGCAAGCTTTTTTAGGGCCGCAACCAGGAATTCCTTCCGGCACATAGTCGCCACCGCTCATTAGGGCGACCAAGATCATGCCCTCGCGATCCAACCCTGAAGGACCATTTTTTGTCTCTACTGCATCGTACACATTCACATGTGTCGGTGTCTTGCTTGACTTCTGCTCTGGTGACCAATTCCTAATTGTCACGCCGCTGCCAAACATAAGAGTGTCGACATCTTCACTGAGCACTGCGTCTACTATGCCTTCTCTTTGTAGCAATGCGCATTCTGCCTCCGCCTCGCCCGGCGCAAGATGTAAAGGAAACCCAAATTGTTTGAGGAGCTGCTTCGCTAGGAATTCCGGGATAGATGCGACGCTCACGCCAGGTCCACCGGTTCTTTTGTTGCGCTTGAAAGGGGGCTTGTTTGGACCATCGAATACGAAGACAGGATGTATGGACAGGGCGATGAGGCGAAGGAGGCGATAATAAAACGTGCGCAGGGCTGGATTCGTGCCACCTATTGGTCGCGAGATCAGCGAGTTTGCGCCAGTTTCAGACGGTGAGCATTACCTTTACTGGCTTGGATCTGAAAGAGCCATATCGACACGTCAATAGCTATTCGCAGCGGGCGTCCGGTCTGCTCGAACGTCTCGACGGCAAGCTTTGAGAGTGCTACGCGGCGGCCGGGTCCGATCTCTTGATAGATGCTATAGCAATCAGCACATACTATCGTAGCAATCATGGTTCTACATACCCTTTGATGCCCATTGCGATGCCATGGCAGATGCACCCGCCTGCGTTGTGGTGTTGGCGCCTGTTCTCGGCTACTGCCGTGCGATTAGATTGTTGCCGTAGCGACGGCGCCGAACACAAGCGCCCGCTCCAGGGCATGCAGCTCAACTCTCAGGCATTCTTCCCACACGGCACGTTCCACGCGCCATGCACCACGCGCACGACAACATGACTCCGAGATATGTCGTGTCGAGCGACAACGAGAACTATGCCGAGTCGTCGCCGGACCCGCTCGGTGCCTCGTTTGGCCAAGATCAGACACGCGCGCCATCGACCACACAACACCCTCTCACCACAACTTCTCCCAGCAAGCAGAATCGCAGACCCAAGACCACCGGCCTCGATATTACCTCGCCCACCAAGCACGTCCTGTTGAGCACTCCGCGCACCGCCGGCCAGAGTCCGTGGCGCATCAAGGTCACGGTCCAGGCAGAGCCGGGGAGCGACAGTGAGAACACGGAGTCGCCCATTGTCAAGCACCTCACCCACACAAAGACCACAAAAGTCCCCCTCAAGGACCCCGACGCATCGTCACCCGCCAAGCGTCGTGGACGACCCAGGAAATCCGAGGCGCCGACAAAACGAAGCGGAACCCCCGTGAGACAGAAAGCTACGTCCAAATCGCGCCGCACGAGCGTGGGCGACAACAGTTCAGCTGGCATGGAAGCGGATGGGACTCCAAAGAAGAGGAGGGGGCGTCCGCGGAAGGTCCAGCCGCCGGCAGAGGACGACATCTGGGGTCAGGCTCGAAGGTCGAGCGTAGGCGCAGATGCAAGTGCAGCCGATGTAGAGACAGATGCAACGCCCAAGAAGCGTAGAGGCCGCCCGCGAAAGAGCATTCAGCTGCCACCACAGGAAGAAACCGTGTTGCACATCGAGCAGTCCGCGCCACAATGCTCTCCTCTTCCGGATAGGGTTGAATCAGAACTGCATATCGACACGGCACCAAGCCCCAGCAAAGGAGATGATAGTCAGCCAGAAATGAATTCAACCCCACAAGAGCGGAGAACACGCTTAAAGTCTACGTCCATCCAGACGGGTCTATCACGGAGACACAAAGCGCGCAAAAACACACCCATGGCCAAAGACCAGAAATTGATCGAGATCTCCTCCGATGAAGAATCAGAGGAACATGGTGGTGGTGATGGTGAAGTTGGATTTTTCGAAAAGCATTCAGCCGAAGAAGTCGTCGACGACCTCGATGACTTCGAGCCTCTGCAGGAGTCTGCGTCCGGAACTCCAGAGGATGAGGAAGAGCAGCATGAGACCTATTTTGCATTCGAGGAAGGGGCTACGAGGATGCCATCTGATACTACCATCATTGATAGCGAGAACTTCAGTATGATCTCCGTGGACTCGTTACCCAGCTGCGCTTCTGTGGCACGGCCTGCGAACAGTGCAATAGGAGGTAGTTGCAGTACGCACAATCAAGAATTGCCCCAGAATCGTGTTTGTCTCGATATACCATCATCCAGTTCTTTTGGACCGGGGAGTGCAAATGCAGGTCTCCCGTTATCGCTAGGGCTTTCGCTTCCAAACCCACGATTACCAGCAGCGGCACCTCGGTACAAGACGCCTTCGGTAGAGCCAATTGAGCTCTCCAAACCACCACCAGTTGAAGTTGCACGATTACCCCCAACCGAAGCTCAAACACCCAGAATTGGAAGGGTCGTCAGGGCGGGCGTTGCTCTTCAAGGATTGCTGGACCCGAACCGTATCACCCCAGAAGCTGGACCTTCCAAGACTGTGGACGAACGCCGAGATCACCTCGACGATCTTTTCCGTGGCTTCAGTGAACGCACCAAGAGGGAACTACATGCCGGACTGCGGCTTGGTGAGCAGCTAGCGAAACAGAGCCGATCGAATCAACCTCCATTACCTGCCTTGTCCAGCCCCATCAAGACGATGAATTCAGATCTGCCCGCTGAACCCTGTGTTCCTTCAAACACTGTACCACAACAGTCTCGTTTGCTAACACCTGAGGGTCAAGACGGTGATACCGCTACTATTTCGCAACCGGTCGAAGTGCAATACCCCGTCCTGCCGCACAGTGACCAAAGATCGGGTCTACTCAGCCCCGTCAGTAACCCTGAGGATAATGAAGACGAAATGAGTTGGAGGATCGACACACCGCCCGTGCAACATGTGAACAGGGCAGGTACACAGCTCTCTGCCCCGCATCAATCCCATTTATCTGCGCGCATAGATGTCCCAAACATATGGGAAGAAGAAGCTAGTCGACCATCAGATCGACTCGAAAGCGATAATACCAGTGCTCCAGGCATTCAAGATCTGTTAGCTCAAGATGCGCCCGTCAAGCCAGCTCGTGGGAAGCTGCCGAGGGCGTGGAGAAGGAAAACCTCGGACGACTTTCAGTACAGTGACGGGGCCGAAGAGTCTCAGATAGTAACGCCTCCATCTGAGTCTGATGATTCACCAGCACGGGTTGTCGACAAGGGCAAAGGCAAGGCGATGCAGCCTCCAGTCCCCACTAGGTCCGAAAACGAAAACGACGACGAGGAGGTGGATAGCGAGGAAAGCGATGATACCGGAATGTTTTTCCAAGCAAACATCCCCAATCTTTTCAATAAACAGCACTCCAGCGAGTTCCGAAGAAGGCGAAAGCAGAAGCAAGAAGACATCTCCTTGAACCTAGATCAGAGCTTACTTCCAGAGTCATCACCACCGCCAGTGGCAAGGACGCCAGCGATGGATAAACCGAACCCTTTCATGGACACCCCGCCACAGCTCGCAGCCCTGCGTTCATCTCCAGTGAAGAGTAGCCCTCTAAGGCAAGAACTACGAGGCTCCGATATATCATCAGATCCCGCTCAGCAGACCTTTGAAGAGTCCACACTCCCACTGGCTCCTAGTTCTCCCTTCCACACCTATGTTGAAGGCGACACTGGATTTTCCATGGCTTCAGATCAGCGACAATTACTACGAGAGATGGCCCCCATCGACTCGAGCTTACGCCGCATCCGCGATGAAGCGGACGAATATCTTGATGCTTACGAGCCGCAAGAACGCAGCTTGCATAATCTCACCGAAATTACTGAGCCGAGCAGAACCTGGAACAAAGACAACACGATGCTGACCTCCAGCCCACCTAAGCAGATGCAGCGTGCGCCCGGACCGTCTTTTGGCAATGGATTGGACAAAGCGAACAGCTCGTGCGCATCAAGCAACCAGGACAAAGAAGATACACAACAACATACCGATGTGTCTGATATCCTTACACGGTCTTGCTCACCCTCAATGAGGAAAAGACTGCCTCCTCCCGCGCACCCTGCTCTAGCTAAGCTCGACTCACTGCCGCATGTCGAACCATGGACAAAAACACACTACAGGGCACTCGACAGGCTGTACCAGCTGTATAAGAAAAGACCTGCCATTTTCTCGACCAAAGAAGCGCCCAACGCTGCCCTCAACGCCACACTCCTGACTAGCTTTATAAACGCAACAACCCACGATTTCATTGGGGCACGCTACCGCGCCTGGGGCTACAACGTCATCTTCACCGACGCGCTTGTAGTGCTATGCGCTACATTCATGCAGCTCCTCACTCTGGATAGTATAGAGGCGTATGAGAAGAAAGCACGGAAGGAGATACAAGTCGGAGATTGCCAACCGGGTATTGTTGGAAGTCCCATACGTGTGGAGGGAGTGGTGGAGAGATTGGCGACGATAGTGTTAGGCGAAGCAGTAAGGAGGGACGAGAAGAAGGGCAAGGTAGTGGACAAGAGTGGACGATTAAGGGTGGAATGGTCGCAATAATCAGCTTCCGTTGATAGTTCGGCGGTGTTTCAAGGTGAAATACCTTGGTGTTGGTGTGATATTTGGGTAGACCTGTCCGGTGCTGGCGTTTAGTCTCGGTCGCATGTAAGGCTCATGATAACCTCTGTTGTTCTGGTTCTCTCCCCAGTGGTACCTTTGCCCAGGATAACTCGTTGCGAGAGCTTCTGCATTCTGCATGATGACGTGAGGTGTTCCGGTACACCTTCGTGGAAAACGTTCTAGCCACCTTTCTCCACTGCCTTACAGGTCTAATTCTGGCCTCAAGCGGAGATCCCCGTTCTCAGGCTCAATCCTCATGCGCCGTCTCAGACCCAAGCTCTGAGCAATGAGGCCCTCGGTATGGAGAAAGTTAGAGCTTGTGTACCATGGCTGGCGCTTACCTAGGGGCTGGGCTCCAGAGATTCACACGCTGGATTTGATGGAATCCAAGTGCTCGCAAATTGCAGGACGATCTTCGACTTTCGGTCATGGAGAGAAAAGAGGAACTGAGAAGTCCAATCTGAAGGGTTCTTCGAGGCGAGAATCAGCGACTAGCTCGAGACAGGTGCGAAATCTTCCATCAGGTCCTTTCTGCTTCACCGTGACCCGTATCGTTGCGAAGGACCTAGTGTCTCTGATCTTGCACGCGATGCAATGTAATCTTTCTACTCACCTACGTACATTGAAGTCAACACTGTCAGCTCATTTACTCGAGGTCCGTCGTCGCTCCTCAGGTGGTGTGGTTCTGCCTCGAAAACCCACCTTCTGATTCTAGTTAGCTTGCAAGCCTTCCCTCTTCCTGTCAACGTGACCCTTTTCAATATTTCAGGGTCTCTGGTCACCCCTGCTTGATAACGCGATCTTCCTCCTCCTTAGGGTTAGGTAGATCACCTCGTCAGGTCGCATTGGTCCAGCAATGCTATGACATAGCCCTTTTACTGGCAATGATCGCCCATACATGAATAAGTATACTCACCTTCCCGATGAGAGTCCAAGTCGCATCCACACGAGGGCGAAAACAAATTGCCCAAGTAATACTTTATCTGCTCTCTCTCGTTATTACTGCGCGCCTTTGTCCCGTCCCCTTCTGATCTGTATTCATTGCTAACACGTTGGTCGAGCTGCTTTGTACCACAAAGCTGCACTTTCATTGGCGACAGCAGCAATGCTACTACCGACACTGCTGTCGCTTTTGGCTACTTCTGTTAGTGCTGCGGTAGTTGGGCCACGACGTTTTATCGACACTAACAGGGAAGCCGAGCGGCGAGCGGCGAGCGCAGAAGTGGCTGCGACCTATCCTGCGTACAACTTGACTATTCCCATTGATCATTTCCAAAATTCCAGCCGGTACGAACCGCATAGCGATGGCACATTCAACAATCGTTATTGGTTCGATGCCAGCCACTATAAGCCCGGCGGTCCTGTCTTTCTATTTGTTGCAGGCGAAGCATCAGGAGATTACCGTTTTCCACTCCTTGAGAAGGGTATCATCTTTCAACTTACCTCGGCCCATAATGGTATTGGGGTGATCTTAGAGCACCGTTATTATGGGACCAGCTTTCCCTTTGACGACATTACGATAGAGGACGCTAGATTCCTGACGACAGAGCAGTCACTTGCCGATGCGGCCTACTTTGCTAGAAATGTCGTTTTCCCTGGACTCGAAAAGGAGAATCTCACATCCTCGGGCGCTCCTTGGATTGTATATGGAGTTTCTTACTCCGGCGGCCAGTCGGCTTTTCTCCGAAAGTTGTATCCGGACGTTTTCTGGGGCGGCATCTCGTCTTCAGGCGTAACTGAAGCTATCATCGATTATTGGCGATACTTTGAGCCTGTCCGAAAATATGGACCAGCTGACTGCATCTGGACGCAACAATTCGTCACCGACGTTGTCGACAAGGTATTTATCGACAACAAGAATGAGACCTTGAAGGGTCAATTCAAACTTTTCTTCAACTACGCCACCACTGCGATGGACCAAGTTTTCGTCAACAATCTCTACGAGGGTTTATATTCTTGGCAAAGTCGGAATTGGGACAGCTCCATTGGTTCTGGTACCTTCAGCAATTGGTGTCAGATAATTACAAGCCATAACCTGCAATATTCTTCTTCGGCCGCAGCAAATGCTTCGGCCGCTGCAATCCTGGAAGCCACAGGCTACGGCGGCAACGACACGTTAGCACTACGCTTACTTAACTATGCTGGATATCTCAAACGCTTCTCCATGGCAGACGCAGCCGTTCGAGACATATCCACGTATGCCTCGGACTCTAGGTCGGCGTCATTAAATGAAGCGGTTCCTGCAGAACAGTTCGACTCATGGGGATATCAGACGTGCACGGAGTGGGGATACTGGGTTACAGGCTCTGGGTTTGACTCATCGCTCGGCATGCCTCTGATATCACGCATTCTGAATCTGGATTTTGAAAGCTCGTATTGTGAAACCGAATTTGGCATAACCACCACACCCGACATCACAGCCATCAACAAGTACGGTGGCTTCGACATATCATATCCTCGCCTCGCCATAATTAATGGCCTGGCCGATACGTGGCGCGAAGCAACACCGGCTGCAGATTCAGCGCGTCCTCGTGAGTCCACAGTCTCAGAACCGTGGATAGTGATTGATGACCCACCACGAGACGTCTGGGATGGTCTTCGAGGTGCTGGACATCATTGGGAAGCCAATGGGGTATTCGCAAACCAAACTCAGAACCAACAGCCCCCGGAAGCCATCAGGGCAGCCCAAGCTGATATTCTAAACTTCGTGGGATCGTGGATTGAGGAGTGGAGGGATGCTTAAGGAGGCGCACTAGGCGAGTACAAACATGTATACTGTCGTTCTCCAATATGTACTGATGTCTACGTATAAGCTTTTGACCGCTGAAACCCCCCCATGATGCTATATTGTAGGACAGTTGAAACAATGCCCAGGCAAGTGAAGATGAATGGCCCTCTCCCGGTTTCCTGGGGCTAGATTGGCGGCACATCCCAGTGTATCTTATAGGAATTGCATCAATCACATGCTACCTACATGCTACCTAGGTAGTATGGTGGTGATGCGCAAGTTACTGCGATATGGGCATTGCGCTACTACTTTCAGTACGTGTGGCTACACATGGATGTGGAGCCCGAGCCGCAATATCCTGTTAATGAAGTAGACTCTAAGATGTCTGTTAGCTAGCATTGTGAAAAGCAGCAAATGAATAACAGCACGTTGAGGGCCCAAGGAGGGTGTTCAACGAATCAGCAACGCAGTGTACCTTCAAAACCCTCCGACCAAGGCTTTTGGGATGGACAGAACATGGGGGCACCGTACATCTTCAAGGGCAACGGCATCTACTTCTTGACATACAGTACCCACTAGGCAGGCATTGTGCTATACAAGAATTCCTCTGCCCTCTTTCTATGGTTCGAATACCTTTCTCATAGAATTCCAGCCAGTCTATGTACTATATGAGGCTAATCATTGGCCTAATCACTCCGGTAAGCTAATTTTAACAGCCCATTGCCCTATTTCGGCGTCTACTAGACCCACAAAGTTAGATTCAATAGGATTTAGCCAATTATTAGCCTCATATAGTACATAGATTAGCTAAAATTCTATAAGAAAGGTATTAAGCCAAGGAAAAGTGGTAGAGGAACTTTTGCATAGCACCGATAATGAGACGTATAACCTCCACTACGCCATATCAAAGAATATTATAGGGCCATATACTAAGGGGGGAAAGGTCTCTAGTTAGCAGCATTAAGAACTTTAGACACGAACTCGCCGGGCCAGGCGGCACAAGTTTCCTATAATCAGGAGACGGTAATACATTAGAGACGGTGTTTCATACGCCAGATCCGGAGAAGCGAATACAACAGCGCCCTTTCTATACAGGAACTATACATGTATTAATAGGGACAAGCTTAAGATAGAGGCTGAAATTCCGTGATAACGAATCAACGAACGATGCTTAATATCGTCACAGAGGGGAGATTTTAAAATATGAATAACTTCAGAGCAACTACTATGTTTACGTGCATAGTCAGTTAAAACGTATCTTTTAGTGCCTAACGGCGCTCACGAACGGCCACTCTATCTAGTAGGGATAGCTAGATCATAGCCAGAGAAGACACCTTTAGGGTCAACTGCAGTCTTAATCTTCTAAAGCTTCACGAAGTTCTTCGTGCCATACAACCTAGAACTACATCACACTAAGTCCCAAGTTTACGTAGTTCACAAAACTCCGCAGCGGGGCCAACTCCTTCAAGGAGCTCTTAAAGGGTTTCGGAAGCACTTACATGTATGCACTGCCATCACTGGGCCAAATTCCACTACTTACGACGCCATCAACACGAATCAACCACAGGTTCTTACCATACGCGAAAGCTCTATCACTATCCATAACATTACGGCTAACGCCGCCTCACAAATCAAGGAATCCAGATCCCATAATATCAGTGCGGTTCAGAGAGTGGTAGCTCTTAACACTGCTCCTCCCCTCGTGTAATAACAGTTCCAGCTCTTCCTGATACTTGTCGGGTCTTATTCTAAATCTAATCGGTGTTTCTAAGTGCGAAGTATAATCGCAATCAAATCGCCTGCTTGGGACTCTTCTCCCAAGCCTTGGCTGTAAGACTAGCCCTCCGAACTCTCCGGCGCAACAATTTCAGCGAACAGAGCTATCACACCATCGATCGGATTATTCCGTATCCACGTGTTGCTATTGTGCGTCGATGGTGTTTTTCTGAGTAAGGACTGAGCAATCGTTCCTTTGGCAGTTGACATACCTATTGTGGTGGCGCATCCCGCGCCTTGAGTGGGTATGGTGGGTCTCTAGAGATTGCCCACGCTTGCGATATCGCACGTGGCTGTCAGTGTGCTGGGCCTCCAGAGTTGTTGTAAAGTTGAAGGAAGGATTCGTGCAATAGAGAGAATCGAGGAAATCACCCGATACTTTTCACTTTCGAAATCGACCGTACGCGAACCTCTCTTGCACTAAGTCATGTGTCGGCTGAAGGCAAGGCTCTGTCGATAAGTTTTTCAAGAGGCTCCCTGCGAGGTTTTGTTGTTCTCATTGGGAGAAGTCGTGTTGCTGGAGGCTGCGCATAACGGAAATAATCTTGACGACTCGTTCCCACCATCACCCTTTGCACTTTCGTCTCCTCCAGATCGCACTCACTAACATTGCAGACTACAATGTAAGGGTCTACCAATATGTGATCACCGGTAGGAAAAGTACAGGGGACGACTTTTCTATATATTTGGCTTTGTTGTTTTGATAGAGCCGACAACTTGATGAAGTGGGACTGTAGCATCGAATATCGCCCTGGAATATGTTAACGATGGGCGTATCATGAGCATAAGCCAACAAGAGGTGCTCGAGGTCAAGTCACCTAACGGCGTGCGACACTCGGATCACCTGGGATATGCTTCTATTCATTGCTGGGCTCGATGGAGATATGTCATGTGTCAGGGCACCTGTTCTTGTTGGGTTCGGCGATCCCAAATTAGTTGCAGCTGGGACTGGCATTGCTGGCGGCGTCATGCTCAAGGCTATGTGCGAGGTTGCTGGATATAATTAAGGCATGAATGCATCTAAACAGTTAGCTGCCTCCCGGAGAACGGTATTGATCATTTGTTTGCCTGGTCAGTCTTTGTATTGTTTAGGTACTGTTTTGGTACGTAATCGCGCTCCACAGTTTCCGCTGGGTTCCTAATGGTTCAGTGACCCTCTCACATGATGTCTTCGAGATCGATAGCGAAACCAATATACTGGTCCAGCGAACATCGATCTGTACCGTCCTTGTCTTTGGGAAGTAGGAGCCAGGGCCAGGGGCAGATTCAACGGACAATACTAGGATTACCTGGACCTCATACCTCTATGTGACGGCGATATATACATCCCCTCGAAAGAGAACGTGTCGGAAACACTACGTATAGTAGGTCTTCGAGCGGTCTACTGGGAGGGTGCAAATTAGTCGATCGACATCGATGGGAAACATTGGGTAGAAACGATGATGGTTGAGACGCCCACACGCTCTCAGCGGCGGAGCGCCACCGTACTAGTGCCGAGTTCAGCTAGCGTTCCCGGCACTCGCTGGAGCTCCCGCACTTCATCATCGGCCCAACCATTGACAAGGCATCCGCGAAGCAACTGTGTCCTTGACTGTTCCTTTTGAACCCCACGTAGACTGTTTCCCAAAACCAACTACACCGCGAATCGTATTGATTACCATCAGCCAACATCAATGGCCGACGCAGGAGTCGACATCGCAGAGCTCACAGAAGAGCAGCAGCAAGCGCTTCAACAATTCACCGCAGTTACAGATCAAGAGATTAAGGATGCCGTACCCTTACTGCAGCGGTGCCAGTGGAATGTTCAGGTATACACGCATAGTATAAATGATCTTGATACCCAGACTGACGGCATATAGATTGCGATAGCCCGCTTCTTCGATGGCGAGCCCGCAGATGACCTTGTCGCTGCCGCTGCCGCCGCCGCCGCACCGCAAGATACGCGCCGACAAGAGACGCTCATGAACGGCTTCGCATCGCCGCGCTCGTCCACGTCCAGCCGCCCTTCACGGATAGAACCTGCGCCCCGCGTGGTCCCCCAGCCAGAGAACCAAGTCGCTATTCGGCCCCCGCTGCTCCTCGCGATCTTCTTTGCACCCTTCAGTCTCGTCTGCTCCTTGTTCTCACGATGGTTTCGATTTGTAGGGTGGATGTTCCCACCGTTAACACGACTCTTTGGAGGAGGAGGAGGGAATGCTGCGGTGGCGGGCAGGCGGGGCGCGACTGGTGGGCGAAGGCCATTGAACCCGAGGGATACGGCGGCGCGATTCATTAGAGAATTTGAGGAAGAGTACGGGGAGCACAGGCTACCTTTCTTCGAGAACGGGTATGCACAGGCGTTTGATCTGGCAAAGAAGAAACTCCAGTTCCTGCTGGTCATCCTGGTTTCACCCGAGCACGATGAGACGGCATCATTTATCCGGGAGACGCTACTTTCGCAAGAGGTGGTGGATTTCATTCGCAACCCGGACAACAACATCATTCTTTGGGCAGGCAATGTCCAAGACCCGGAAGCCTATCAGGTGTCCACGTCGCTGAACTGCACAAAGTTCCCCTTCGCCGGCCTGATTGTACACACGCCGCAAGTCTCCTCCACAGCTATGGGTATCGCCACGCGCATCACCGGCCCTACGCCTCCAACGCAGTTCATCTCTAAGCTCCGACAAGCCATTCAGACGCACAGCGAGCCTTTGACCCGCGTCCGTGCGCAGCGCGCAGAGCAACAAACCACACGCAACATCCGCGAGCAACAGAACTCCGCCTACGAGCGCTCCCTCGCCATTGACCGCGAGCGCGCGCGAAAGAAGAAGGAAGAAGCAGAGCGCAAAGCCCGTGAAGAGAAAGAAGCACTCGAGCGCCAACAAGCGACCGAGTTGCACGCAGAAAAGCTCGCCCAGTGGCGCAAATGGCGCTCCTCTTCCATCGCCGCCGAGCCTCCTGCCACTGAAAAAGAAGTAGTTCGCATCAGCCTCCGCATGCCGAATGCCGACCGCATGGTCCGCCGATTCGCAACGGATGCACATATCGAGGAGCTCTACGCTTTTGTGGAGTGTTACGATGTACTGCAGACTGGCGAAAGTACGGATGGTGTACAAGAGCCGGAGAACTTTGAGCACGAGTACGAGTTCCAGCTCGTATCACCTATGCCGCGCGAAGTGTATGACCTTAAGGCCGGCGGTACCATCAGGGAGCGCATCGGACGGAGCGGAAATCTCATCGTCGAGCGAACGAATGTAGAGTCGGACGATGAGGAAGAGGACGAGTAAGGAATGGGTGTGTTAAGCATTGGGTGGCGTTTGGGACGGATCACTCGTTTGTTGGTTTGTTTGCACATTAGCGCGGCATCATGGTTTGGGGCATTTACCTTGCTATTATGGGACTTTGGTACTGACTGTGTATATGGAATATGGCATAGAAGCGCAATAGCTCATGAGCTACAAGAGAGGTATCAGAAAGTCTATATATATCAACCTTGAAAGTTGTGTGAGCACGTGAGCCAGTGCAGCTATCAGCAGGATACGGGGTGAGCGATTGACAATTGAAAGTTCACCATGTTCTCTGCACATTCTTATACGAAGCTTGAACCCATAGTAAGCTTAGAGGTACTTCTAGCATTACAAAGGCTAGATAAGGTAATGCCATCCCCTGCAGGCTTTAGAAGATCCTTTCACCCTCAGACCAAAGTCAACCCTCAACCTCGACCTCACCCTCAACAAGACAGGGTGCAAGGTCTCAAACAACCAAACTGATCACCTCTCTCCAAAACACTCCCTTCTCTTCGTGACCCATCAATTCCGATACCACTTACTCATCCCGCTCCCCCATACATACGTCACCCATCTGCCCCTCCTCCCCACCCTGATATCACTGAACGCCACCTTCAGCTTCTCATAGTCCCACTTCCGTCCCAACACTACAAAGCCAAACGCCGTGCCTAAACGCAAATCACAACGTTAGCGTAACCCTTATGCATCAGGAAAGGTACCTTAGGTCAAGGTAATTACTTGCCCTCCAAAACCAGCACATCCAGCACCCTGACCCAAACCGTGCTCGCCGTAAAGCCAAGGATGTGTGAGCCATCGCATAGCGCCCACGCCACGATGTATATGACCCAGAGGAGGTTTACCCAGCTAGCGAGGACGATGTAATCCCTCCCAATCCCTAACACCCGCCGGAAAGTCAACATGAAATCTCACAAAAAGGGTTACTCTTTGCATATGCGTACCTCTCCTCTCAGCCTCCTCCCGGCATTCATTCAACGTGCTCATTGCCAAGATCACAAAGGCTAATGTGCCAAAAGCGAAGAACCCCCATTTATGAGTTGACCGAGTCAACGCACCGGCGAGGAAAGTCGCGACCCAAAATACCGCAGTAGCTATGTTCAGGCAGATTGTGACCCAAGATATTCCGCTCAACAGACCAAGTGCAAGTGCATGTGCGCTAAACATAACGATTTGGTTGATGTAAGCCGGCAGGGAGGCGGGATGATCAGTGGTGAGATTGAGACCCAGTCCAGAAGCCTGCGCGAAAGAAGTCGTGCATGCGACGAGGAAGCCGAAAGTATACGTATAGTGGAAGACGCGATTTGGTTCGGGGGCGGTGAAGCAGAGGGCGAGGAGGATGAGCTGAAGAATTTCAAGATGTCAGCTGTGGACTGGGAGGGATGGAGAGGAAAAAGAGGGTATCGCACGAAAGACAGGATATGTACACCCATTACGGCCCATAGGAAGTTTGACCCACTCGCGGAGAGGCCCCAGTCCTGAAGGCTGGCGTGCGAAGTCATATTGAGGACGAGGTTGGCTGGAAGTGGTAGAGATATAATCAAACAACAGTGCAATGGGTCAGCAAAAGAGAGAAGATGAAGTACCTACCTCACCGATATCCGCAATGCTGTTCTGCCGTCTAGATAACCCTCTTATAGTCGCCCTGCAGTACGAGAATTGCCTCTGCATCCCGTACATAGCATAACATTCTCGGGCAAATTTGAACACTTCTCCAGCGACCCTTATTCCGTTCTCGGAGTATGTCGACGTTTCGGGCAGAAGGTCTTCTCTTTATGCCGCGCACGAAAAATCTCATGTGCAAATGTAGTAGAATGCTACGCCGCTACGAAAGAGTACTCGGAGCAACTCTAGGCCGGCTCGTTTCTGACGTATTACCCTTTTCGTATGCTCGCGTCATGTGAGGTCACTTCGAGTTCAAGCGGAGATTGTCAAACGAATAGGTGTTACGCATGCTCAGTATGCTCAAACAAGATCAATAATTGGTAACGCAGAACTCCAAATATTCACTAAAGGTTATAGATTGCCAACCCATCCAACCACCTGCCATCACGCCCTTGTGGTAAGATGCTCTCACTATATCAAGTTGTCCCAAGACTCGTTGAAAAGCAAAGAACGACTGAGCTAAAGCACGTACGCAAGCTTAAAATATCAAATGGTTTTCAATTTTCCTTTCCTAAGCCTCACAGGTAAACATCCCTGTCGCGGAGGACCCAGCATCGTCCGTCGGCGTTCCGAGGTAAGCATAAAAGCGCACCAAGCCACATTCGAGGTCGGCCTAACCCTTCCCTCGGTGCGACTGGGGAATTTGGCACTTCACATTTACTGTCTCAGAATGCGTGAGCGTAGTCATGACATGGTGCCAGAAATGAGGGATAGTGACGAACGCTAACCCGCAAGGCTGATACCGGGTACGGTCCGATGCCAGGGCTGGAACTCATGGAAGACGAAGGCTGACTGGTGAGTGCGAACAGCCGGATACATATGGTAGGTAGATGGGTAGAGACAATTAGCCTGCTACGGCCAGGTCATCTGCATCAACCACCTTGCCCATTGGGCGGAGTCTGTCCATACGAGCTGTGTTGCGGATCAATGTAGGAGCTATTGAACAACAATGGGCTCGCCAGTCCATAGTCGCTGGCGCGGAGCGACTGGTTGTACTGGCCGTTGCGGTGGTCATATTGCTGCCCATACGCGGAACCGTTACCGTAGACGCCATGGCCGTACGCACCATTCGCGGCACCATTCCCATAGACAGGGCCCCAGTTCGAAGCAGCAGGGTTCCCCCAAGCAGCACCACTCCCAAGGCCACCTTGAACGCCAGAAACGGGACGGTTAGCCGGGATCGTGCTGGACATGGAGAAATCGGAACTGCGAAACGAGGTCGCGGAGTCACCACGGACGTGTCCAGAAAGTCCAGGTGGGGCGCGCACACCGTCCATAGGAGAACTACGCAGGTCGTTCTCGTTATTGGGCATCGAGGGAGAAGATGGTCCAGGTGTTCCGTCATAGTTTCGATTCCAGATAGAAGTCGCGTTCCATTGCCCATCCGGAAGAGAAGGAAGGTTAGCAGGTCCGCGCATCGATGAGGATGAGGCGGCACGACCCATGGGTGTCGACAACAACGGAGTGACTGGAGCTGGAGAGCCGTTGGGTTTCTTGTAATTCTGCACAGTGTTGACGAGGTCACTGATGGAGAGCGTTGCCGGACCATACGTGCCATCCGAGACCAACGCTGTATCCTCAAACGTGTTGGCCGGGGGCGTTGGCGGGATGTTCTCATCTTCTTCAGGCAAAGGATCCAAACCCTCGTCTGGCCCAACCAGGTCATCCACCATCTGGTTCATGGCGGAGTCCTTGGCTGCCATAGTAGAGGCAGTTTCCGAGGCCGCAACAACGCTGTGAGACTTTTGGTCCTCCGCAGCCGGCGCCTGCGATGGGAAAAGAGGGAAGTCCACAGGTTCAACAGGTATCATGGGAGAGCCATCAGTGCGATTGTGTGGGCTTGCGAGCAATTCGGAAGGCAGTCCTTCCTCCCGATAGATGAAGCGAGGGCCATCGAGGTCAAGAGGGGCGTCCGGATTCTGCGTGAGCATCAACCCATCGATCAGTAGGTCTCTAACCCGCATGAGCATCTCGACGTTCGGATGGCTGCGTTCTACATCCGTGCACTTTGGCTTCAGAATACCATCCCTGTACCACACCCTCATCGTCTCAGGCGAGACCAACGGCTGGAATCCGATCGTCTCGATGTCTTCCTCGAGCATGTAACTGTCGGAAGGGTCCTGGGGAAGCTGGTCTGTGGGGAAGCTCGAAGTTAACAGGGTCAGCGTCGCGGCGTAGGCCTTCCAAAGCTCTTGCACCTCGACCTTTGTCAACGTATCCGCGATATTTGCGTTGAGCACGTGCCAAAATCGCGTGAACCACGTGCTGTACAATCGAAGACCAGGAAGCACGCGACGCGCAACAGCAGTAATCTTGTCGGAAAGCTGTGGGGCGCGTTCGCCGTTCTGGTTAACATCATCGCCTTCAGAGGAGCGCTCCAGCTCGGGCTGCATAACCTGAAGCAAAGTGAAGAACGTCTTGACATTCAGGCGGAGAAAGTAGAAGTAAGTTTTCATGACATTCTTCGGAGGTGATGGCCCTGCGACGGTGAACATGCGCCAAAAGTTAGGGGCGAGATACATACCCTGCAACTGCATCGTGGAGAAGTACTCGGCAGCCAAGTTGATCGAGATGATCTTTTGGAGGACACCTTCCAAAGAGCGCTCCTTGAGCTCGACGGCTAGCTGGCTGAGCACTTCACCCTCAAGCTCATCGTGCTCTTTGAAGTCCTCCCCTTTGTAGCACTTGCTGTGTAGGCGAACAAACCACGCGTTAAGGGCACGTGCGGAATTCGTGCCGTCGACAGTCCGGTGGTTATTGATCAATTCTCCCTTCTCCCAAGCAGCCACGATCCTCTTAAATTCCAATTCTAGGTTTCCCTGGGCTTGGGGATATGGGTGCTTGCTGGCGAGAGAACGATATATATGGTAGACGGAGCGGAAGTGATTTCCATCCTCGCGCGCAATCACAGCCAATTGGTTATGAGAGTGTCCAGAGTCAGGGTATATATCAGCCGCCAGGTTGTAGTAACCTATGGCGGGACCCCACTTGCGCTCTTTCTCGTCGCCGAGTTCGGTCTCGCGGTATCGGGAGAGGTCGCCAAGTTGGATGAGCGTTTGGTAGCAGGATTGTAGGACCTGGCTCTTGAGAGAGGCGGCGATACGCTGGCGGTTGGAGGTACGGGAAGCATCATCCTTCCACGTGCAGGCAACCTTGCGCAGCTCGGGAATGCCCTCAAATTGGGCGTCCAGATTCAAAATATATTGGCGATAGAAGCGCTGACTCGCCTTGATGAACTGCAGGTAGTTCTTCTGCAGCTTTCGGAATTCGACAACACGCTCTTTCGCATGCTTCTTCAGCTGTTCTTCGTCAGCCAATTGCCTCGACCACATGTTTACGTGCGCCTACCGAGCGGTTCTCCTTTCGGAAGATGGTGTTCACCTTCAAGTGAGCGCTCCAGAGCTGAGGCTCAACTTGGTTGGCCGAAGCCAACTGGAAGTCGGCGAAGAGTACATTCTCGCAGGCGACGCGGTATCTGGCGGGGTTAGCACGTGGCGGTGGTCTAGCAGGGCGGCTGTGGGGACTCACTCTTGCAGAAGAGCCGCAAGCTCGGCGCCGGCAGCGTTGCTCTCGGTGAGCTTGATGAGCTGTTCCTCGATAGCGCGCGCCCGCCTGGAGGGATCCGTCAGCATCTTCCGCGGGGGGCGGGTGGGCTTTTCGTGCCTGAGAAGCTGTTGGGTGTTGGTGGCCATGCTTCAGGTGGAGGAAAGGCCGGCCGCGTTCATGTGGGACGCAGCGGTCGGCCGGCAGGTCAGACGCGGGCACGGGGAGAGAAACGGCGGGTGGTGTGGCTGGTCTGCTCCATGGAGGGACAATGCGATTTATGCCCCAGCAAGGCACAAGCAGCGAGAGACAGGCAAAGGGGTGTGGGCGGCAAACTGCGCGCAAGGCGTGCTTGCGGCGGGCGGCGGTGGGCGGTGGGCGGTGGGCGAGGGGTGGTGGTGCGGGTGCAAGCAAGACACGAAAGTCGTGCGGATGGGTGAGTAACTCGACTGGGGTGGAGGATTGGAAAGCGCGCCTCGGCGAACTAGCGGACCCTTCACCACCGCTAGCCGCTGTGTATTTGCAACTACCGACGACATTCGATAGCACATCGTCACGCCTCAGCCTCGCCCGTCCGGCCAGCCTGAGAGCACTCACCGGAAACGCTTGTGAAGGTACCATCCCTCGTCTCTCAACACCCCACCATCAACTCCCAACATGGGGCTCAAGCGCTCACGCTCGGACTCGTTGTCGTCTTCAGAAGCCCCGCCGACCCCATCTTCGCGCGACCAGTCTGTAGAAGTCAAGCTCGTGCACCTCGACGCTGAGAGTGCCGTGTCTGACCAACCCGCCGTCATGCAATGCTCCTTGTCGCCCCACGGGCCACTTACTTTTGCCTCGTTCGAGGACTATGATGTGCACTACCAGAAAATGCATATGAACCGGTGCTCAGACTGCCAGAAGAACTTCCCGGATCAGCACTTCTTGGGTCTGCACATTGCTGAGAATCATGACCCTATCAGTGCGGCGAAGAGGGACCGCGGAGAGAAAACGGTAGGTGGCTTCCTCCCAAGGTCCACATCGCCTGCGTAGTCTGTTCATGGAACCACATACCAAACCCGTGGTCTCGCTGTACGTTTCCTCCTGGTGTCCAAATAGCTAACCACAGGACCGCTAGTTTGCCTGTCTCGTGCCTGACTGCGATCGCTTCTGCTCAACGCCCTACAAACGGCGGCTGCACTGTATTGACAAACATCAATTTCCCCGGGACTACGACTTCTTTGTTGTGAATGATGGTATCGATCGCCGTAGCTCCATGCTCAGGCCTCCCCATCGTCGACGCTCAAGTACGGTGAACTCGACCACGTCTACCACCGGTAGGAGACGTGTTAGTGAAGCTAACGGAGAAGCCATGGAAGTCGTCAAGGACGAGGAAGCTGAGGAAGAGGGGGAAGAAGTAGACGAGGTGATGGAAGCCAAAGACCTATTACGGGCGCCGGTAAAGCTGCGCGGAAGAGGAGGATTTACCCATCCAAGGGGAAGCCGTGGCCCAAATCGCCGTCGTGGCCGTGGAGGTGGAGAATCGTCGGTGCCAGAAAAGAGCGTCCAGTCACCTACTCAGAAAGCACCCATGAAGACCATAGCAGTAGACCCAATGGAAGGTCTAGCGTCGAGTATGTCGGCACTGCAATTTGTTCCCCACAGCCTATATGCACGGGGTCGAGGGAGAGGTCGCGGAAGTTGATCTGTAGATGAATCAGTTCGCATGCCTAGCGGATCGCAATGCAAAAACTCTCCGTCAAACCACTCACATGCTTCCTGCCATCTCTCTAAGCTGAAAGAGCACGCCTGAATGACGATTAAATCCAGAGATGCCAATGCTCTCAAGGGCGCGGGGTTGAACGCAGGTCTAATAAGTCGAATGCTGGTGTGGGAACTGCTATCCAAGAGAAGCCTGGTCCTTTGATACGGTTTGCAAGCCGAGAAGGTAGGGACTTCAGTTCGCGAGGCCGAAAGAAAGGTCCTAGACGCTGATACATTGCTACGGAGGCCCCCATCGGTATCGAGCAAGATAATCGTTCAAACTGATATTCAAGGTGAGAGCGACGACAAGGTGGGCAGTGAAAAGCCCAGAGGTGCCTTCTCCTACAGCCGAGAGCCAAGAGCCACAAACGCTCTAATCGTTTTGTGTCAGGGGCGCAGTACGAACATGCGAAATACAATGAAACTTCTCGGCGCTTATGGATTAATAGGTAGCGTCGACAAGGTTTGTTCACCCAAGGTGTCGGACGAGCTGCACACCGGGTGTGCCTGTGAGGTGGCTGTGGGCGGCAAGAAAAGAAAAACGAAGATGCTTTCGCGGTTCAATTTGACTAGAATCGACTGCTTCTTCTCCTTTGCTGATTATCGAATGTTCCTTCCAAGCCAATTCCCATCGGCACGCCCTCTTTAATGTCTTTCTGTTTCAGCATCACCGGGCGGCGACATCATCACGTGCACTCAGCTCGCAGTGCAGACGTACACCGCACTCAAGATAGGCCCCAAGGATTTCGAAGGGCTGCGCCTAGATGTCCGGAGCCTAAACGCAACTTTGAAAGCTCTTGCAGATGAAAGCTCTTGCAGATGAGGAGCGATGTCCAACGTCCTTAATTCATTCTGCGAGCCCCTCATGGAGGCGATTGGGACATTTGCGGGACATGCAGATACAATGGCAAAAAGTGCCAGAGCTCCAAGCATATATTGAAGCCGGTTTCACTAGAACATATTTTGAGCAGTTGACTTTCGTTAAATTGATAGTACGCATCCCCGGCTATTTGGTAAATCTTCTGCTGTGAATTCTTCTTCTCCTATCGAAGATGACAGGGTCGACGAGTTCCATGATGCGATGCTTTTGGAAACCTTCCTAGTCTCTTCTTGGGGGTCAGACATTCCCTGCTAGCACAGACTCTGAAACTTTATGAAGCCTTGTAGGTGCCTAGTTGCAGCGGAACTTTTAAGATTGGAACTCATCGAGATGTTGCAGCACAGGAGACTTACAAACTCTGCACTCACACATTACTGACCACTTTTCTCTCCTTTCATACCTCGAACTACACCATTCTCTTCTCCCTGACCTCGTCTAACTTCTCATTTCCATTCCCTGATAATCACTCGCTCTTTTCGACTCTCTTTCCTTTCTAGGATCTTCTCCGCCTCCCTCAGTGCATGATATATTCCCACCGTACACACAACCAGCACGCCCAATACCACCACCTTGGTGGTCCGTCACTAATCTCGCTCAAGTCCATCCCGAATATCCACGTGACGACTGACAGTGGAAAAACACGGTGGCGCGCTTGATCCGGGATCGCCCTGCTCTCGCGCACGCTGATCGATCTCATGAGGAGCTGGAATGTGTCGATGAGGAAGACCTGCAATTTTTCCGGGTCTTCAAGAATGTGGCGGAGGCGCTGGATCGGGTAATTAGAGCCGTCCGATAGAAAGTGCTATTTTACTCTTCCCCATATTTGGGGAGGTTGAGTAGGTATTCAGGTCAATGATAAGGATGCCACTTGAGGGTCTCGGTGACCAAGGTGCAGAGATAGTCGAAGTCCTGGCGCTGATCGTGGAGTTTCTCGTTGGTTGTATCCTTTGGGTTGCGCAAATTGCGGAAAGCGATGGTGTGGTCCGTCCCAGGAATGGTTTTAATCTTTTTGGTTTGCCTGATTCGCGAAGAAGGAAGGGTTGATGTCCCAGGCTAGCTCAAGCACGCTGATGTAGGTGAAATGTTTTCGATGATGCAGATCGCCGGATCTCGGTTTTGGCGGTCTTCCTCAACTTGCTGAAGTAGCTTATCGATTTGGTCACGCATTACACAGAAGCCAAAGAGCATCTCATGATGTCGAGTCGGTCCGGGGTAGCATAGCATTGGCGGCGATGATGGCCGATCGGAGAAATCTTCGTTTAATCTATCATTGGAAGCTTCTCTTGGTACTTCGGCAATATACATCGCTTCAGAGAGCTCTGTGTGATATTGCGTCAGGGCTCATACTTTGCGCAGTATCAGCAATGCTAAAGGCGTCAGACATCGAGAGGCCCGGAACCCAGTCTTACTTAGTTTTTGCTTTTCCTCTAGAAGAGCAATGTGCCAGCACGCGTGCTGATCTATGATATAGGATCGCCAGCACAAGGTCCTGCAAACGATTGTTCTTGAGCGGATTCGGCGCTGGACACCGCAAAGACGACCCTCACTTTCGATGACCGCTATGAGGGCGTAGGAAGGGTAATATTGACCTTGGGGGAAAGGTGTGCGCCTGAGAGGCGATTGCATATGGTTACACTGTTGCCTTTAGATCTCAGCTGGCGTAGCCGCGCGCGTTCTAGGTAGTATTACGCGAAATGGAAGAAAAATAAAGCCCTGGCAAATGTCCGCCATGCCGCAAATGCATAAATCAAATTATAAGAACGGAATATGATCGAGCATCAGGAAGCCTGAATTTTTTTTTCAAAGTGGGTATTTTTGGATAATGCTTTTCAGGCACATTGTGCCTGTTGTTAGTGCCGATAGCTGTTGAACGGCCATGCCTATCCATCTATAGCCACACCACAATCCCACGCGCCTTGGGATGTTGAAGTCGGCCTAATCGACCTAGTTTACAAGCAAGTCGACTCTATGTCGATGCGCTCTCGTAGATTGTTGAAATACACGAGCTTTACGCTCTCCTGCTAAGCGCTCAGCTAGACGTGTAGGTCTGCTTAGGCTCCGGGTACGAAGGGCCTAGCTCTTGGATGCTCAACTTTGCCAACCATTGGCCCTTGTCGACGGCAGTTTTGAGGTTGTCGCCCGAGACGAGACCGGCGAGGAAACCGCCAGCGAAAGCGTCGCTGTACGCAAATTAGCATGTCATTCCCTACTCTTGAGATATAATCACATACCCGGCTCCATTTGTGTCGTTGATCTTGTCCGTGCTGATGGCGTGGACGGGGTGTTCAGCAGCCTCAGATCCCGTGACGGTGATGGTGGGGTCAGTGCCCTGGGTGAAAACAACGGTTCGCTCCTTCTTGGAATTCTTTTTGGGGAGCTTAGCGATCTCCTTAGCGATCTCCTTGACGTCCTTTGACGCGATGTTGTGGGACTCGGCGTATGCGGCCGCCTCAGACTCGTTTCCAATGAGTATGTCAACGTAGGGCATGACAGAGTCGAGCTGATCCTTGAAGAATTGCGAGATGAAGGGAGCGGAAAGATTGAGCACGAACGTCTGTCTGATGTTAGCAAGCTGTCTTCGCCATATGGGTGCGCATGCTCACCTTGTCATTCGCGGCAGCGTGCTCAGCCAGGGCCAAGATGGCGGGCACAGAGACGGTCAAGTGATATCCACCGACGTAGAGGACCTTGGCGCCCTCAACGTACTTCCACACTTCGGGCTGCTTCAAGTGTTCAACATTGTACAGGTTGGCGGCGGCAAGGTCGGTGCATAGCGAGCGGTTGTGGCCGGTGATGACGACACCGCAGCGGCCGGTGGGTGCCTTCTCGTCGTAGCGGTACAGAGTCTTGACGCCAGCCTTCTTGTTGATATCCTCGAGCGTCTGGCCGTACTTGTCCTTGCCAACGCAGCCAATGTATACCGTGGAGTCTTCGGGAAGGATGTACTGCGCACCGCGGGCAGAGTTTTGGGCAGCTCCGCCGGCGATGAGCACGGCATTGTGGTTCTGGATCAGGTCCTCGTAGAGGCCGGAGTGCTTCTCCTCAGCGAGGATGGCATCGTTGGCCTTCAGGTCGTACTTCTCAAGCAGCTTCTCGTCACTGCGGGATGGCGTCAGTTTCAGATGGTTTTTGCCATCGTTTACCAATTGTTGCGGAAGGAACGTACCCGACACCCTGAATGTCAAGGAGAGGGTTCTCCAGCGCAAGAAGTTCGAAGTTTCCCTTGGCCATTGTGAATGTGAATGTGTGGTTGTGATGTAGTGGTGAGCAGAAAGTTCGCAGCGCGGGGCTGCCGCCCATGAAACGTGGAGGGGCACATCGCCGACCCGCGCTCGGACACCGAGGGGCAGTCAAGTGCCGACCCAACACCGACTTCAGCGAGCGACCGCACGACGGACGCAGGCAAAACATGATGCATTATGCATTGCGTGCAGCTGGCTGACATTCGCGCGTCTTTATATACATCGCGCGGACCTTGCTCACGACCGCTGCCTTCAATCGTTATGGAGGTCTTCGTTGCTCATTGCCCGCGTGACCACACACCCCCTACAGGCTGTTCGAGCTGGAAAGCACCATCACACAAGTCCGGAGATCACCCCAACATCACGCGAGATGTATGAAGGCGAACTGCTCAGGAGATCGAAAGCAGAAGTTTCTGACTGCGCAATGAACCCTTGAAGTTCTCTCAACTGTGCCTCCGATGCTCCACATCACCTTCATTCTCCGGTTTCTCCATCCTCAACGCGCTGGAAGAGACCATGCATTGAAACATTCTCGAAGCAGGTTCCTCAGTACTGCAATTACTACAATGATCACGCACCCATATGGTGCCACAGTAGTCCCTTCGCTGAACCGACGACTACCTGCATGGTGCGCGCCCAAAAGCTTGACTTTTTGATCGCCCCACTTGGGTGCGCTAACAGCGTTTCGTGAAGAAGCGCCGGGCTGGATAACTTCACCTGTTGAGCTCCATGTCCGCCCTTAAAGTTGCAAGCAGCCCGCCTCCGCATCGATCGAGTCGATTTGACCCACTTCATCCTGGCCAATGAATGGTAATGAGAGTACTCAATTCGACAGTGGATTCATATGGCGTGTGAGCTCAAACATAGTCTGGAGTGAGTGGTTAGTGGAGTACCATGTGCTTAAGTGTTGACACGGTTAAGCGTCTCGTTACGATCAGCCTAATTTTATGACGAGTAGAATGCGATGAACACTGTGAGCGCAGTCCCGTAGTCTCTTGGTTTTTTTGGTTCGTTGACTAAAGTCCACTATTCAAACCCTGTCCCTAGCCATTCTTCTGTTTTCAGATCCACATCCTTTCCTTACTTATTTTCACATCTGAAGTCATTTCAGAGTTCGATCACTTTCTTAAAAAAAAAATGGCCAAAGTCATCATCTTGGCCATCGCGGTCCTGTTTTCCTCTGTCCTTGCCTCCCCCAACAATGTCACAAGAGCACCCATCTTTCCCTCCATGCGAAGGACTCTGGATGCTCGCTCCTCCTCCATCTGCATTAACTGCGACTATCTATGCAATCAATCTCCGAAGCTCAATGAGGCTACGGCATGTCAACACCTTTGCGCGGGCGATGAGGATGACCGATATGACAAGGTCTGTTCACCCCTAGATGCGATTCCTCTTGCTTGTCAGCACCTTCTCTCATTCTTGAGTATTCCGCTTTGGGTAATGCATGATCACTAGCTAAGGTCATGTGAAGTCTGTGTGCCTTGGCAAGAAGCAGCGCAAGTTGCTAGCGCTCTCTCTCTTTCGCGAGGACGCCGCCTATATCAGCACTCTTGACAAACACGAGATCAAAAACTACCTCTTGGTACACATGGAACCCATCATATTCGCAGACTCGAAACGCAGACGCAGCGACCCTAGGTTCATGAATGTCCGCAAGTGCCTCGATTGCGAGGCCGTGTGCGATGGCGTGTACGGTGGTTGGGCGCGACCAGGCGATGCGGAGGTGTGTTCGACGGTATGTAAAGGTAAGGAGGATGATGAGGTAAGTTCGTTTTGTCTTCGATTCGTTGATTTTCTATATTGGAACGGGACGCTAATGGAGATGAAGTGCAAGTGGATGAGCCAAGAGCAACAGGATCTGTACTGGTCGGTGTACTATGGACCGAAGTGGAAGACTGCCCCTCCAGAGCTGGAGGAGATTTGGCACCAGTTCAAAGTTGGCAAGGAGGATGACAGGCTAAAGCGCTCGATCGAACCACCTTCCGCCAATAGTACCCTCGACAAGGTCAATTCTGCTACCAAAGATATTCTCAAGTCTTTGGCCGACACTGAGTCCGAAGATCAAGCCAGTGGTCTCAAGAAACGCTACAATCCTGACATTAATTTCAACTGCTTCTTCATGTGTCACATTGAAACCTCAGTGTACAATCGCCAAGCCTGCCGTACTGTCTGCAAGAAGAAATCAGAGAAGCAGAAATGCGTAAGCGATGCCCTTCGTTCCCATTTGAGGGTTTCTGCTAAACACCGCTGTAACAGAAAACCAACCTGAACAATAAGCAGCTGCACGCTCTTGTCAGGGCGTATTACCCGGGCAGCGGCGAGAGAATCTGGAACTTCTGCTATGAGGAGACCAAACATGACCGAACTGGCTGCTTCAGGCGCCGGATCTTGAAGGATTTTCCTGATCTGGCTCCTCGTAAGCATCATCCCAAGTGTCCGTAAAATAGTTGTTGATTAGGAAGATGCCGCATGTGGTCTTTTTTCGGGTAGCGGATAACCTTGTGATGGCTGGCGTTTCTGTTCGGACTCGTGTGTAGTCCCACCAGTAGTTCATTGGCGTTTCCTTCCATGACGTCCCGGGCTGTCGTTCTCTTGACTCTTCAACGCTGTGCACGCGCAGTACATCATGGTTTTGTGGTTCTGTTCAGTCGCCGTCATCAAGCACTTGGTGTCCGACTGCTTACATACAGTATGATTAGATGAGGCACGCCAATCAAGCAAAACGCTAGTCGATTTGTAGGTATGACCCATGTAGTTGTTCGCACCACTGTTAGCTAAGCCTGGTTCCACTCTTCGTTGCTTTATGTCCATCAACATGGATCTATTACAACCTTGGAAGGTATCGGGCAACGTACAAGACTGGAGATGAAGCCGCTACGTGACTAGATGAACTGAAGCAATCGTTGAAACGTCAACTCCGTACACTAAGAAGGTGATGCAAAGGTTGACTGCGAGCAGCTCTCAGTGCTAGCAAGCAGCCCATTCGCGATCCAGGGTCCCATCCTAGGCATCACTACTCAACAGCCCAACAAGCCTCATCAACAGCTATCCCACGAACGTCCACTGATTGCCTGACAACACGTGATCAAATGCCCAAAGAGAACACTCCCGCGATCATCAGCACGAACGCGATTTATGTCAACACTGCTTTGAACGCGAAAGATTTCAGAAACAGCCGTTTCAAGTTTAAGAGTCTTCCGAAACTCACGATGTCAAACTACAGTGAAAGCATACTATGTTGAAATGAGAACAAGTGCAACCGGGAGAGTCCGAGGGATATCTGCCTTAGTAAGCCGGATACGGAGTGCTAGGATAGCTAGGAGGTATGTTGGGTTTTCTGACTCGCGGTTACACGAGAGGCAAGAGCGTCTCTTCTGCCTCATCTCTGCGTTGTGCGCCCGGAAGACTTCTTCGATCTGAAGGTAACAGTCGGCGTGGGAAAGAAATCGGGACTTAATGTCTGTGCCCTAAGCGGAATTATAGTTGATGTTTTATTGCAGACAGGGGAAATGGCTTTATCAACAATGCAATGGTTGCGGTGGCAAGGCACATGTCCATCGATCGCTGCAATGCATTTCTGCGGGTATCTCACTTGATCCTTCATTATATGATCTTCCAAAACAGCAAGCCGCCCTTTCCAGCTCAACTAGCCGACCTCCTCTTCATTTCAAACATCAGTCTTCTTCTGCGGCCTAAATGCCAGCCCCTCTTCTCAGCTCGAATGCCAATCCTTCCCGACCGAAGGCACTAACTCCGCGCTTCGTACGTGAATATCATAAACTGTCGTAGTCGAAAAGAACAAAAGAAATCAGATTGTGATGCTTATAGTAAGAAAGCCACAGCAGCAGCGCCCAAACCTGCGAGAGCAGGATGGAGCGGTAAGTTCATTCCTGCGGCACCCGTCTCTTGCACTGGCGCTGCACTTCCTGTTTCCGTCGGAACAACATTCTGGCCCTTGTGCAGCGTGAAGGCGCCCGTCCCGGTGGGCACAGGTCCACTGTTCGATGGCATCGCCCCCGCCGTAGCGCTCAGTTTCTCCGCACCAGCTGTGATGACGACCTGGTACGTGGCAATCTCCTCCTGCTCGATCGCATATGTGTGCGCGACTACGCTCTCTGGCAGCGTCGAACCGGACTTGCAGTATGAAGGAATTCGGGTCCGGTAGTCGATGATAGTGGTCTCAGTGACGGTATAGTCATCGCCGTATGCGATTTCCTGGGTGCTGGTGTAGATGTCGGAGTAGTCGGAGTACCGCTCGCATACACTCGAGTATACTGCTGGACCTTCGGACGCAAAGCGGCACAACGCGCCAACACTGGCGCCACCCCGAGCGCTCGTCCCTTGACAACCGTACCCAATGGTGAGTGCGGGTCCATCGAAGACTTCAGTAGTCGTTGTGACACTTTCGAAGCGGCTGCTTCCGTAGAAAGTCATCGTGTTGGCTTCGTCCTCGACGATGTAACCGGCAGTGGCCAGGTCGGTCTTATTATCAAATTGGAGAGCCAGTGTAGTCTTTCCTTCGCTGGCACCGACGACAGATGCGTAGAAACCGATGTGAGTATCATCCTGGTACGGCGATGGCATCCAGATGGAAGTAGTCACTTGCGCGGTAGCGGCAGCCGCGAAAAGGAGGGTCGGGAGGAATGGAGATATCATGTTTTTGTGGGTTATATATTAGCTATAGTTAGTAAAGAGTGTGGTGGTTGCTTGGATTATTATGATTAGAGGTAGTTGTGAAGTGGAGTCCGCATAAAGAGTGACGAACAACGACTTCGCGAGAGCGACGACCAGGAAAGGTGGAGAATCGCAACAACACGAGGGCAGTGTGACTTTATCATGCATTGCGCCAAAGGGTCCAGGGTCAAAATTGCCCGAGCAGTGACAGCTCTCAAGATGGTTAGACCCTGCGCGAGCCACCACTGAGCGTTCGCGCGCGAATCGCGTTTTGGGCCAAAGCTAACCTTGGCGGAGGATCGCGAAATTACACTTTCTCCAAGACGCTCTTGCAACTGGTGGGCGGCTGTTGTCATTTGAGATCGGTCCCCAAGCAACTGTTCGTCCGAGCTTTTCTTCCAAGGTTCTTGACAGCGCTTTGATATCGATAGTCACCCGAACGGTCATGCCCCCGGCTGATCAATGACACTCTTGGTCATGTCTGGCAGTTCATCCAACCATGAGCATATGAGTCCAATTTCCCTCTCTTATTGTCGCTTCTGTTGGTTTGACCGCGCCTCTTCTACCGACCGCTTGTTCGTCGCGAGCCTTGTTCTCCTCAATCTTATCCGAAGAACCCGTGTGGGCAGGCCTGTAGCCAAGACGAGGGGAATTGGAGACATGTCCCGCTCCGAGTTCGCAGCAAAGATGATGCTCGTCGCTACCATTACCAATGTCGCATCCCCATCTCTCCGGAGCCACGCACTCGTTGTCTTCAGCGTATGTGTAGTTGAGGATGATCAGAGGCCTGACAAAGATGAACGTCGCAACGACAAGAACCAGGTTGCAGTAAAGCGCGCTGACTGTGATTAACTGTGCCTCATCAGGGACACCTCGTTCCGACGAAAAGCCTTCGCCCTGATGGGGCACAGCAAGAGCACCTTGTCAACAGTCCTTCCATAACCAGCCCACATGAGCATACCCATGCAGTTTCAAGTGACATCGCTGGGGAGAAGTCATTCCACCTTGCCCTTCACCACGGTCGCATCTATAGTGAGGCTAAGAATCGCAGTGCAGAGGCTGGCCACAAGGGCGTTGAGGACGAGTAGTAGAATCAGCGACTTTGCCATAGCAAGCTCTGAAAGTTCCTGTGCTACGAGGTATTGAGTCATACCAGTGTTTGCTCTTGAAGGACTATATAGCCTTTTTGTTAGGAGTGGTGCCCCATGCCCCACTAGCGCCAGCATCGTGGGTCGATGTATGCGAGATCTTCCTACATCTTGGACAAAATCGCAGCGAAGGAATCTACGCATGTGATTCGCCTGGCTTCTGCACCCAATATTTTGCGCATTGTTTGGAGGAAAGCGTTGCTTGATACTGTTAGGTTGATGAAGGCGTTGGAGGACCCGAAGTGGTGTTTGGGTGTCATGACGTCAACGTAGAAACATGCCACGGGCGAATACTAAGTCAGTTCCGTTTGAAGCAAGGATCTTTATCAGAGAACGATCTCATATCGTCGTCAATTATATCGCACATTGCAATGTGTCGCGACATCATCGATTTTTTTACGATCAGCAATGCTCAAGGCCGAGCATGCCGTGAAGAAAGCCGCAAAAGGTACCGTTGCTCGAGCAGTGGATGGGACCGGATCTCACAGGAAGCGTATTTCGGTGTACAGATCTTGGGTATCACCAACCGTTTGTCGATGAATCTGCAGATCTAGCAGGCGACATCGTCCAATTTGTAAGCTCAAAGGTCCTACAGCGCGCCCTATCGCTGACACGAGATAGCGCCACAGCTCAAAACACCGTCGCAGCCGCCCCAAGACCGAGAATATTTACACTAGCCTGTGTCCACCCTTTACCATGTCTCTCAGCTCCAAAGAACTTGTCCTTCCTCGTCCGGGACAAGCATCTGGTGCGAAGAAACAACCAGTTACAGGTCCACCTGAACCGGCGTTCACCAATACCTTTGGTACTCTACTACCGCCTGCAAATTATCTACAGACGACCAATGGAAAAGCCGCCTATTACGATCTCCCCCCGTCTGTATTTGATGCTGGCTCAGCGATACCGGAACGCGTGCTACTCATCCATGGCGTACAGACTCCTGCTCTAGGCCTACTTCCCCTGGCGCGCGCTTTGCAAGCTCCTTTCCCGAAAACACACTTCGTCCTCTTTGATCACTGGGGTCATGGTTTGAGCGATACACCTATCGCCCCGCACGAACCAAGTCTGTTCCACGGCCTGATAGATGCGCTGCTGGATCAGCTAGACTGGCCTACCGTCCACCTCATCGGATACTCTTTCGGCGGAGCGCTGTCGCCCGCGTATGTTGTTTCGCGTTCGACAAGAGTACAGAGCTTTACTCTTATTGCACCTGCGGGGCTCATGCAGTTGTCATGGCTAAATGCTGAAGAACAGGGACATGTGCGCGGTGGCGGCGACGAGACTGCAGCACGAAAGTGGGTGCATAGGTGGCTTGAAGGCGGCGAGCTGGTTGTACCGAATGACTGGGAGGAGAGAGTTGAAAAGGGTCAGGTTGTTGCACCGGCGCTGAGGGGATGGCAGTTGCGTGAACATGGCGGGCATTCAGCGTCTGTTCTTGGAATAATCCGGGATGGCGGTATCTTTGACAACCACGATACTTTCGCGAAGGCGGCACTTACTGGGATACCGTCGTTGGCCGTCCTGGGCGAATTGGATGACATAGTGTCTCCAGAGGCCCTGAAAGATGTCGGCATCACGAACGTAGTGGTTGTTCCCGAAGCTGGACATGGCGTAGTCAGGGAAAGCGTGCCGGAAGTTGCTGCTGTTATCACTGGGTTCTGGAAACAGCTGAAGTAGATGTTAGCAACACAACGGCAATACAATGAGCCCTTAAAGAGACCAAGATTAATTCATGAAAGAAAAGGGAAAATTTCATTGAATTGCGAGACGCACCGAAGGCGTTAGTGATATGCAAAACGGCGAAGAGCTATCGAAAGCACTTGCCAGCAGCCCTGCAAACCAAATGCAGATAAAAACGCGCTAACTCATCATGTGGTATATGTGCTCGTAAACTAACGCCCGTAATGACACCCTACAGTTCCTTTCCACTCACACCGCCCTTGTTTGCCCAGTGGAGTTCCACCCGATCTATCTCCGTGATATTTCCGTCAGATTCAATGGTCGCTCACATTTGTTGAAGCGTCTTACTCAACAATTCTGGCGTTCAGTTTTCGGGACTCGAAGTCGTCCCATCTTCTGCACCTCTCCTCCTCACGGACGGGAAATTGTACGCATCGTCGAGATCGGATTTCGCCCACAGAGCTTCCTTCGTCCATCCTTGAAAAGGTTTCTTGAGTGCAGATCGAAGTGAGAAAGCCGCAGCACCGATTGAGCGCTTCGACGAAGTATTGCTGGTGATACTGATATCGGAGGACTTGCGGATCGCAGTAGGTTTGGTCGTGGGAGAAATCATGTCGCAGTCAGAGATTTGATTGGTAGTTGGTTTGGGCATCGAAATCACTGGCTCGATAGTATCGTCCTGTTGTATGTTCATTGAGGGAATATATTCGTGATATATGTCCAGGCGAGGTGTGTTTTACAAAAGGCGAGCCTTGCGCGAGCTGGCAGCACCTTTTAAGAATACTACTCATCATAAGCGCCGAGACACGACCGAACAAGCTACAACATCGTAGACGAAAAATTTCGGGGCCAAGACTATCACCTGAACTTGTTGGGAGTTTCAAATTAGCAGCTCTTTTTCCTGATGCAACAGATTTTGCTGCGTTTGGGCCTATGGTGTTGCCACCGGTCTGTGGCGTCGGAGAATTTTCGGGGCTGATGTCTTCCGATTCGGGTGAATTCGGGCTGCAAGTGGTTAGCCATCTTTTACAAAGCTCGCGCCACTCCACGTCGACATCTACCATTCGCCATCTGCACTCCAATGTTTCGTATGCTTGTATGCTTCCATTTCGAATGTCCCCTATCATGATCTACCACAGGTAACGTAAAGACAGCGTCTTACGGGTATTACCGAACGCTCACCGCTTACGGAAGCCTGTACATCTAGTCGCTGTGAGCAACAATAATATAAGAAAAATCAAAATGATGTTTGTAAAGCGTTTTTCACCGGGTGCAGCTCTCAGCATGTTCGACCAACGTTCATTACTCCAAGTGTGGTCGCTTGCCAACGGGTGGCGAGTCTTGTAATTCCATCTATACTTTAACGCAAGGTAGGACGACAGCATATACAAGCTTCTTAACGATCTCTATGGTTTAAATCACTCACAAGAACACATTCGTCAGATTTACACCATAAAGAGTATACCATATTCCACTTACGAGGATACATCTCGAAACAAAAAGGTACAGCTACAATTCCGTGCGCCATACATTTTCTCCTGTTTGTTCTCCAAAGCTAAATTTTTTTTTTTTTTCGAAGCTACAGGATCAGGCTGTTGTGAGTTCGATCAAATTATGAGGATATTAACGAATCACATTTTTTCAGAAGGCAAAGGTAGGGGTTTCCACAAATGCTCAAGTATTTTCTAGCGACAAATTAAATAATAATACTATCTGAAACACAGCATCAAATGGTGTCTCTAGAGTTCTCAACAATATCATCGACATCTCGTGTAACACATCTCCCCTCTCTACCAATCACAAGCGAAGGCGAAGCGCACGTCGAAGGTTCCAGATGGATAAGTAGGCAACAATGTAACTCACGTGGCAGTTTCCAGCGTCGACTTTATTGACCTCCTCGGTGCGAGACTTTGAACAGAGGCAGGCTATTTTGCGACCCTTCACGCGTACACAGTATGTAAAGTCGGAAGCTTTCGGAGAGAGCTCCTTGTTTGACGAGCCAAGGATATACCTTTAACGGTTGGGTGACGATGGTCGCACAGCAAATTAGTTTCAAGCTTTGGAATGCAGTGCCCTGTACCAACACATAGGGTGGCTCTAATCATGAAGGATGCAATGTTATCGTAGTTCCAACGACACAAGACCACATACTAATTACAAGCGCTTTATTAAGAAGTCTTTCGGCCTGTGAGGGCGGAATCGATTTTACACCTGTCGGTCAGTGCAATTTACGAGCAAAGTTTATGCGGCATGGGCGTAATGACCTGGTGTTTACTAATAGTCCCGCACTATGGCCAAGATCTATGCCTATATGGGTATAGAAGTGCCTAAGGAGATAATAAATGCACCTTTCCAGGTAAAATTATATGTCTTCTATACCCGTTTAAGACCCTAATTTCCCCGAAAAATTGATTCTGGGTTTCTACGCCACACAAAAACGAGATCTAAATAGGTATATTTTAATTACAAAAGCTGAATTTGAAAAACATTGATAATGACATAAAGCCTTGGGTGTGTGTAAAGAAGAAAAAGGGAGGGAAAAGAAAAGGCAATGCTTGCACAAATGTCTACACAGCAAAGGCTTCCTGCGGGCGGGGCGGCCAACGATCAGATCTAAGGTTGAACGTCCTTAGCCCTAACAACAGACACAGTCGTTCCAGAGTTACCCCTCGTCCGTTCAAAGCCACTCTTTAAGTGCAACTTAGTATCCCTTTTCTCGTTGTTTATGCACGTCCTCTTCCACGTCAACGCCACGGCACCCCAGTACCTATCTGGATACTGAGCAGCATGCTTACAATGTGCGCTGTCTTGAAAGCAGACATCCATGACTGGCGCCCCAGACCGCACTGCTTCGCCCAGGTGTTCCCTGATATCCTTCCAAGCGATGAGTTCGTCGCCTTTGGAGTAGAAATAGCATCGGGGCGCAGTCACGTCCCAACGATTGGAGTCTTGCAGTCGCCGGCGCGTGCTTGAAATTACGTTGTTTTCATAGCCTTTGATGAACTTGTAGAGGATCCAGATGCCGCCTAACAATGTACTCCCAACCAATAGGCCAGTGCAGTTCAATATTGGAATAGGTGGGAGCGACTTCTTGAGTGCGTTGCAAAGGCGTAGGTACCGAGGGTGACCCGGCGTGCTATCGAGGCACAGCGCCGAGCATGGTAGTTTCATACCTGTAGTGTCGCAATATGCCTCTGCAAGCTCGACTGCTTTGTTCGATCCGCCTTCTGAGAAGGCATGAAGGAGTATGTTTGCGCGGCCGTCATTGTACTTGACATGGTCTAAGATGCGTTCGACAGCGGGTTGTAGTCGTTGTTGCTTTCTCTTCGATGACCGAAGGCAGATGTCTTTCGTCGATGTGGTGATGCAGAGTATGGGAGCTGAGGGAAACAGTGCTCCGTATGCTTCGGTGTATTTTACGACATGGCGACTGTGTGCTCCAGTCCAAGGGAGAATGATGATCAGTGATGGTGGTTCTTCGCTCAAGACCCTATGAACGGAGAAGCTCAGCACGCGGCCTGCGGGCTGCTGTTCCCAGATGGTGGGGGCGATAAGTGTGAAACCGGGAATCGCGTTGTGCTGTGATTTCGACATAGGGACGATGTGTGTGAACGACTGTTGGAGAGTAGGTCGCTATGTTCTAATAGGATGGAACAAAAGAGTACTGAGCAAGAGCCCGAACGTAGTCGATGTGGAGCGTCTGGCCCAGCGGACGGCCCTTCCCTAGACTTCTATACATACCTTAGCACCTGTGAAGAGATACAGGATGTATCTCAGTGTATTTACTGCTGCCGCGATTCCATGGGTACCTAGCTGGCGTAGGCCCAGAAACGCCAGCTCCACACCATCACCGCTATCCCCGTGGTCCAATGTACATGTACTGCGCCTTCTGTTTTCTAGAGTGATAGGTATCTCCGGTGAGACTAGCTCCGTTGTTTGTAGCCACTTCACGACGAAGCGTTATCGTCGGCAGTCCCACGTTTCCCGCCGTTGTTCTGACAGCTGAAGAGAAGAAGCCATCGTCCCTTTGGGCCCAATTTGCTCAAGACTCGGTAGCCACGATGTCTTTTTCGACATATAGACGAGCTAATTAATGCTCGCGATTGCTTTCAGGTGGCCACCATCTCTCGGCTCGGTCCGCCGAGGACGACGAAGCGCGCGCTCCGAGCGACGTTTTCGGAAAGGCGTGAAGCCACGATGCTTGTCTAGACCAGCGGGTATTCCACCGGCTTGGGACAACGCACGTAGTGCTATTCCGCTCTTAGGTGTGGGAGGTAATCGTAAATGTATGCCTTGCGTAGAGGAAGGTGGGTGGGTGAGACCGGGAAACGATGGATGTGCATGCAGCACCCAAGGGCATCGACGAATAGCAGCCCAAGTACTGTTACACAGACGTACCGTGGGTATGGTAAGGAGGGTACTTTAGATAGCAATTCGGCGTATTCTTCGGTTTTTGTGATTTCGAGACCTGTCGTCGAAGGGATCCGCCAATGAAGGCTCCGAGGAGTCTAGCTCCAGTGATGGTCCGCCATAGCCGCAAGGATGCCGCAAACCACGGGCGGTATTTCCACTGCGCAAAACGTACAACGGCACCTCATCAAAGCTCCTCTCAAGAGGCACATTGTGGCCATAGGGCCAGCATCGGAGTACGTTCCTTATGTGAGGGGGTAAGCTGTCGCTCTTCCTGAATCCTGAGGGCACGCATCAACCCCACGCACAGAATGTATAGCGCTCCGCACTCAGCCTCGCCCCACGTGCGTTGGCGTAAGCCACCTTGACATTGTTTTGCTAAATCAGACCCATCGACCACACCCTCCATGCAACAACCCCTATGCGGCAAGTCTCGTTCTTCTAAACACGAATCGATTGGTGCGTCGGGCTAAGCAAGGCTGGCATGCTGATGCGACTGGGCGAATAAGCACCGTGAGGGTTTCGGTACTGTACACGATGCATCTGTCACCACCACGTCAGCTCAGAATAGCACGGCCGTGCCACAACGTAAATCAGAGCACATCGATGAGCGCAGGTTTCGCACATCTCCATGGTAATGCGGTTAGAGCCGTCAGATGAAAAGATAGGCGAGAGCTCGCGCATGGTTAGTCGGAGGCCTTGTTCAACCCGAGCCAGGATGTTGCGCCAGCCCACGCCACATTTGTAGGAAATGATGGTGGGTCGCCAACGTAAGGCTGTGTTGTTAGGCCATGAAGTGCATGTCGGATGGGGGCTGGCGCATCTACTCGGCGCTGAGCGGCAACGCGGGCGTAATACAGCTGCACTGGTGAATAAGGGAGATGGCTTAAGAGTCACTGGGAATGTCCTCGAAGACGGCCGACTCCCGCTGCGCCAGGAAACGAGCACTCCAACACTGCCTTGTGTGGGTTGCTTCAAACCAGTATCCGTGTGTTGAAAGCATCGTTTGTATCTGCTTTGTTTCCTTCCTGGATCTGTGCGTCGAGGTTTCCAGCGCGGCACCTTTGTTACACCACACGGGAAAGACTCGCAATCACAGTCATACCCGCAACAATGACGGGTTCCAATACCTTTCAGGACCACTCGGGGGGTGCGAGTGTGGAGACCATCATCGCTCCGGAACACTCTCCAGTATCACCAATAGAGGCCTCGACAAGCACCATTCACCTTCCAGGCAATGAGTCCGATTCAGAGAACACACAGCCAGAAGTGAAATGGGAGTCCGGCACCGACACATCACCAACCACCGACTCATCCGCGTCGTCGACCAACATGGATCTCGAGAAGTTGGACATACCCGCCGAGGAGTGGAAGCCAGAGAAGAAAGAATGGATTATCATGATCAGCCTTTCCATCATCTCGCTCATGGTGGCTCTGGACGCCACCGTCTTGGTCACTGTTCTTCCAGTGAGTTGCCCGTACTGATCACATCGGCACCAGTCTCGCTGACATCAATCGATAGCAAATCACACAGTCCCTGAATGGTACGGCCATCGACGCCTTCTGGACGGGAACTTCATACCTGCTCTCTAGCGCGGTGTTCCAACCCATTATTGCTTCCGTCTCCCAGTTCTTCGGCCGCCAACAACTCCTCATCTTTTCTCTCGTCTTCTTTACGGTCGGAACAATACTTTGTGCTGTCGCAGGTGATTTTACTGTTATGCTCATCGGTCGGAGCATCCAAGGTGTCGGCGGTGGAGGTATCATCACGCTCAGCCAGGTCATCTTCAGTGATATCGTGCCACTGAGGTTCCGTCCCAAGTACTTCGCCATCGTCTTGGGCTCTTGGGCCGTAGGAACGATCATCGGGCCGGTCGTTGGAGGCGCCTTCGTCCAGCACTCGACATGGCGATGGTGTTTCTACATCAATTTCCCCTTTATCGGTCTTGGATTCCTCCTCGCTTTCGTCTTTATCAGACTTAATGCAGTATCGAAGCTCACCCTCGCGGAGAAGCTTAAGAAGACGGACTGGGTCGGCGCTGTGATGTTCCTGGGCAGCGCAACTGTCTTCCTCATTGGCCTCTCATGGGGTGGAGTCCAATATGCCTGGACGTCGGTGCAAACCCTCGCTCCTCTCATCATAGGTCTGGCCGGTGTTGCTGCCTTTGTGGCATGGCAACTATGGAACCGACCACGAAGCCTGATACCTATGTCTATCTTCTGGTGCCCTTCGGCCATCTTTGCGTTCTACTGTGCGTTGGTGAACGGCGTAGTCGTGAGTCATTCCACCCAGTTCTGTTTTTCGCCGACTGACCCTTCTCTCAGCTCTTCTCTGCACTATACTACGTGCCCTTCTATTGCATGTCTGTTCGAGGCTCGTCACCAATCCGTGCAGGCATCGAGCTCTTCCCCGCTGTTTTCCTACTACTACCGGGTTCCATTGTTGTCGCGGCGCTAACCACCCGTCTCGGATCCTTCCGCTGGGCGATCTGGATGGGATGGGCGCTAGTCACCTTGGGCGCTGGGTTGTTGATGCTGCTTGACTTACATACGAAGTATGTCGTCCTTGCTGTCGCCCTTGGTATCATGGGCGTTGGCTTTGGCAAAGTGCTCACCAGTGTCAACGTGGGCATCCAAGCGATCAGCAAGGTCGAGGACGCTGCTATGTCGGCTTCCATGTACGGGTTCATGCGCAGCCTGGGAATGCCGCTGGGGGTGGCCATCAGCGGTACGGCTTTCACGAACGCTATGTCAAGCAAGCTGCTTTCCTACGGTCTTCCGGCAGAGATTGCGCACGACTCGGAGCGCTACATATACGTTCTACGCAGCATGGCGGCGGATGACCCGCGGAAGACGGCTATCCTCCAGTCGTACATGCACGGTTTCCGTACCGTCTTCATCTTGATTACCTGCCTATCGGCGAGCGCACTCGCGGTGTCGTTGTTCATTAAGCATTTCAGCATGAACAAGAAGCTGCAATCGAGGTACTCGGTCCGACCTCAATCGTGCAGTGCTCGATAGGGGGAACAATACGCAGCTACGACGTTAGACATGGACAATGACTTAATGAGCTCGGCGTTTTGGTCTCTATTGCGCTAGTGCAGATTTCAAGGCCTTGTTGGAAGGATATACCCGGTCGTACGAATGGATAGTTGTACCTGTGTCCAGAATCAATCTCAATGATGATTTCGCTGAAACGTCGTTCCCGAGCGCACAGACCCAAGGCCGTGTTGCCCTCTATGGCTTTGTCCCACCCTCTAAGCTCTCCATACTGTACAACATCATCCTCCGGGCATCATCACCACAAGCGACTCTTGGTTTGCCAGAATAGGTACCCTTAGATGAAGGCAGCTAAAAGTATATCAAAGCCGTGCTGGCGCACAACCATTTGACTTGCTTCACACATGTGCAATTTAAGTGCCGGCTCATGGACCGCGCACAAGCCCACCACATTCCACCAACCACCAAAAGCTCCGGAAGATTTCCCCACAAAGCTTGTTCGAAGATCTAGTTTCGAGGCTTTTGATCACACTAGCGCCAAGCGCATTGTTTCGAACGGTGAGAGCAATGACAGGCGCGAAATTAGCACCTGGACGGATAATCCTTAACTCAATGTGTGTGCTGGACACGGTGACACAGGAGACTTTCCTCCGTCTACTAAGTATATGAAGGCATCGTTCATTTGTCTATTCACTTTCGTTCAGTCGCTTCGTTTCGTTCTGGTGTGTACTTTCTACGTACCAATTTCAACATGTGGGCTGTTGTTACGTTCGTCACTCTGCTTGCCACTGGCCTGGCCGCACCGCTTGAGAAGCGTGCGAGCCGCACTTCTCCGCCATCAGGCTGTCTGTCTGTAGGCAGCGGCTACACGTACTCGACCATCCAAGCCGCCGTCAATGCTCTCTCACAGTCTTCGACCTCTTCTCAATGCAGTATGTTCCTTCCTATATCAGCCCAGAACAAGCCTAACAATCCCAGTCTGGGTAGACCAGGGGAACCTACAAGGAGCAGGTTTCCATCAACTCCCTGAAGGGGCCCTTGATCCTCTATGGCTACACAGCCGACACTTCTAGCTACGCCGGAAACAAGGTCACTATCACCTACAACTTGAGCCAGGCAAGCGGCCAGACCAACGATGGTTCAGCTACGCTTCGGGCCGAAATTGGAAATCTCAAAGTGTACAACATGAACATTGTCAACAGCTACGGCAAAGGCTCTCAGGCCGTAGCCGTCAGTGCTCAGGGTGACAAGACGGGTTTTTACGGAGTCTCTTTCAAAGGTAGCATACCATGTCCACACTGGTGCAATGGTACGCTGTGCTGACAAGCTGTTCAGGCTTTCAGGACACCCTCCTCGCCCAAAACGGGGCCCAAGTCTACGCCAAATGCTACATCGAAGGTGCAACCGACTTCATCTTCGGTCAGAAGGCTGCTGCTTGGTTCGATGGCGTCGACATCAGAGTCCTAAGCGGCGGCTACTACATCACCGCTAACGGCCGCGACTCGTCCTCCAACCCATCCTACTACGTCATCAACAAGTCGACCGTCGCTGCTGCCTCGGGCCAGTCTGTTGCCGCAGGATCGTTCTATCTCGGCCGCCCATGGCGCGACTATGCTCGTGTGGTGTTCCAGAACACCAGTCTCAGCAATGTCATCAACGCTGCCGGCTGGCACATTTGGGGAACCGACTCGCCGAACACGGATCACGTCGAGTACGGCGAGTATGGCAACACGGGTGCTGGTGCGTCGGGGACGAGGGCGAGCTTCGCGAAGAAGCTGTCGAGTGCTGTTGGCATTTCGACTGTGTTGGGCAGCTCGTACCCGTCTTGGGTTGACACCAGCTACCTCTCTTAAGCTGGCTGCCAGACAGAAGCCGTCGCGGATCCGAGATGCTTTGCTGTAAATATTCTACCATTTTGTTATGCCGCTGTGCGATGCTTAGCTTCTCTTCAATACAACAGTACATATTTCCTGCCCAGACTTGCACATGATTCGTTCGGCCCTTGCTTGCCCGGCTCGACATGTCGACACACGCCACCGTCGTGTGTCGATCCCCAGCAATTACCCCAGCTTTTGCTACCCCAACTTCCTCGCTGCGCCTAGCGCAACGGCTGATGTGACGCTGAAGTACCCCGGGTGCAAGACTCGGGTAACGCCATGGTCGCTCCCAATGGTCGGAAGCTATTTGCCCGGTCGTACCTGCCCTGCATGTAATGTGCGGGGAGCTGGACCTGTTCTGTGCTACAACGCCTTGGATGACTTCGTCTCTTATTTTCTCTTGCGTGTGAAGCAGCGAGATTTCAATTGAGGTCGCCTATCATCATACAGCACATCGGGCATCATGCCTATCTTCAAGAGACACAGCCTGAGGGCTGGCAACAACAGAACACGGGCCGCAGAGCTCACGCTGCGAGACTCCATCTTTCCTCTCTGTCTCGTCACAATCCTCTTCTTCCTCTGGGTATGTACCTCGACGTACTGCCGCTCACCGCCTGCATCGTCCACGGCTAATGAATGCCCAGGGCTTCTCGTACGGTCTCATAGACACACTCAACAAGCACTTCCAAGAGGTTCTGAACATTACTCGGTCGCGAAGCTCCGGACTGCAGGCAGCCTACTTCGGCGCCTACCCGCTCGCCTCCCTCGGCCACGCAAACTGGATCCTGCGCCACTTTGGCTACAAAGCTTGCTTTATTTGGGGCCTCTGTCTGTATGGGGTCGGCTCGCTCATCGCATGGCCGGCCCTTGTGTACCGCTCTTTCGGCGGCTTCTGCGTCGCCATCTTCATTACCGGCAACGGCCTCGGATCGCTCGAGACGGCGGCAAATCCGTACTTGACCGTGTGCGGTCCGCCCAAGTACAGTGAGATCAGGATCAATATTGCGCAGGCGTTCAATGGCATTGGAACGGTGATTGCACCCGTCTTGGGGTCGTACGTCTTCTTCAACAATGTTGACGATAAGAATCCGAGCTTGAAGAACGTACAGTGGACGTATTTGGCTATTGCTATCTTCGTTTTCATACTCGCGTTCGTATTTTATGTCACCCCCATTCCAGAGATCACGGTAAGCAGATAAGACAGTGGAGGAAGCTTACATGAAGCTGACAATGAAAGGACGCGGATATGGCGTTCCAAGCAGAGGAGACGCACGCTGGAACAGATGTCAAGCCCTTCTGGAAGCAATACCGCCTCTTCCATGCAGCCGCTGCGCAATGTGCGCTTTCCCTTCTTCCCTATTTTGTCGCTTCGCACATCACTAACGCCAACCAGTCTGCTACACCGGCGCTCAAGTCGCCATCGCCGGCGCCTTCATAAACTACGTCGTCGACACCCGCGAAGGCACCTCCTCTGCGACGGCTGCGCGCTTCCTCTCCGGGGCCCAAGGTGCCTTCGCCCTCGGCCGCTTCGTCGGCTCCTTCCTGATGAATTACGTGCGCCCGCGTTGGGTCTTCCTCGCATTCATGACATGCTGCATCATCTTCATCTCGCCCTCGATCACGCAGCGCGGAAACACCGGCATGTCAATGCTCTACGTAACCCTCTTCTTCGAAAGCATCATCTTCCCCACCATCGTGGCGCTCGGCATGCGCGGGCTGGGGAAGTTCTCCAAGCGCGGCTCTGGCTTCATCATCGCCGGTGTGGCAGGCGGTGCTGTCGTTCCGCCTATCCTGTTCGCGGCAGCGGATTCCCAGGGACTAGCGGATTATGCGACGGGACATGCGCCCACGGCAATCGCGATGAGCGTGCCGCTGGCGTTCTTTCTGGCGGCGTGGACGTACACACTTGCGGTGAATTTTGTGCCGGCGTACCGCATTGTCGTCGACAAGTTCCATACTACGGAGATTGGGGTCGTGAATACACACCAGGATGAGGAGAGCGGAAGCGGAGAGATTGGTAAGAGCGAGGCTCCTGTGCAGACGAATGACGTGAATGCTACACCCAAGCTTGCGTAAAGCTGACGTTGGGTGGCGATAAGTGGCGGCGAGCGTAGCAGGTGTTCATACGGTGATGTGCTTGGTTGTTTGGAGACTGACCCACTGAGAGTCGTATATTCCCGTGTACGGAGGTAAATATACCGTGACCATATTTGCCTGCATAAGCACGCCATGTGGAAAGTGATCCAAGTCAATTCACGACCAACTGAAACCGTGAGAGGTAGGGTTAAATAAAGTGGCCCTTGATCGAAGACTAGAGAAAGATAAGCGGCTCGCACCCGGCCTCTATCAGTTTCTACATCGCCGCACTCACCACACGGCACACCTCTGCCGACTCATCCACCTTCAGAATCCCCATGAGTGCTTTTGGTCGTTCCGACGCCGTCTAACCAACCAAGATCTTGCCCACCCAAATCAAATCCGAAGCCGCTCACAAACGCCCGCACCGATCTCCGCTTATGAATTCAAGTAGTTTCGGATGGCGCCCTGCAGCTTCGTCGCTCCCTCACCTAGCAAGCTTGTTAGGTTTTCCAGATCGTCGCTTGCTGTAATACCGAACTTGCGCACGAAATCCTTCGCAGCGCCTTCCAGGTCACCGTAATCGTCTTCAGGAATGTCGTCTTCAGGGCGGCCGAAGTAGGCGTTCGACGAGATGGCGGAAGCTCCTTCGAAGCCTATTGAAGCGTTAGATCCCACTCCGATTTCGTGAAGGGGGAGAAGACATACCTGTTAATCTAGACTTGGCTTCCGCTGCTGCGGATGGATCAAAAGAGCCGCGGCCGAAGAACTCATCGCTGCCGATACCCTTCTGCGTACCAAACTTTTCGCGTGCGTACGTCTCACTGTCGTCTTCAACGGGCTTGCTTGTGCTGCCGAAACCACCCATCTTCTTTGGCGCAGCTGCCGACTTCGCTGCGCCCACCTGTCCGAATCCGAGACGTGCGACGCCCATACCCAATCGTTCCACTTCCTTAGTTGACTTCTCGGGTTTCGAGGTGGTGCCAAATCCGCCGCGAGACGGCGAGAGTGGCGTTGGCGCGACAATGTTGGAAGCTTCGGGGGCCTTGGGCTTGGTCGTCGCAGCTGCCTCTGCGGCTTCCGCGTCGGGGTCGTAGCCTAGCTTTTCTATACGTTCAGCTTCTTCGCGGGCCTTGCGTTCTGCTTCCTCAAAATCTAGACCGTCACTAGCGACAACCTTCTTCGCGCCCAGTCCCTTTTTCTTGGCCCCGAGGATGTTCTTCTTCGGCGCTGCTCCGGAGGTGGTCTTTTTCACAGCAGGTCTGGCAACGGGTGGTGTGGTCGCCGAGCCGCCTGCTAGTGGCGACTTGGGTCGGTCGGTGCCATTACCAGCTGCACCCGGCTTCAAGAAGGGAGATTGCGCGCGGGGTGTACCGGTACGTGATGGTGGGTTGGAGGGGCGCTTGACGGTGGGCTTATCCCATGACGAGAAAAAGTCGTCGTCCTCGCCGGCTGGAGTGTTGTTCCCTTCGCTGCCACTCGCTTCTGGCACGTCTGTTATTACGACTTCTTCAGGATATCTAGACGGTGTCAGCCAGATCCGCACGTTGTCCAGGGGATGTTGGAAATGCCATACTGTCTGGCATCTACAGCACAGCGCCTTTGTAGCTCCTCCTTGTACTTGGTAGCCGCATTGCTTGTGTATTTCGTCTTCGGGTCTTTGCTCGCCAGTGCAGCGGAGCCGCCGTGCGTCTGGAAGTACTTGGTCGCGCTTTCATTTCCGCCAACCTTCATAGTGCGCAACTGATCCCATTGCCATACTACATCCATTAGCACCTATCCGGTCTCCTTTGGAATCTCTCGCTCCCTCAGCTTTCACGTACTGTCCAAGTTCGTCGACCGCACGAATGAGATGTGCACTCCCATGTTCCTATGGTTCGCAGAGCAATCAAGGCAGAGGTAAATGCCGAACGGAACGGAGCTCCATGTTGGGTTCTTCGCGCCGCAATCGAAGCATACCTGTGCGTAGGTATTAGTTGCCTTGCCCGCCCATTGACCGCTCCTTCCCCTGGGTGCGGGCTGAATAACACACCTTGTTCGCAGCTTTGACCTTCAGTTTTGCGAAGATGTTCCTCGACTGGTCCTTTGTGGCGAGAGCCATGGTGGGCTATCACAACAGGAACAGTGTTGTGCGGCGAGTGAGCAGGAGTTGTCGAGTAGAGGCTGGTGGGGACATTTGGCCGCACCTGCAGCGGTCGGGGATGCCACCTTCCATGTTCGTCACGTGAAACTAAACAAGCCTTGACCAGTCCGTTTCGGCGGCGCCGCCGTCTCAGCCTCGGCGGCTTCCAGTCTTTCTTGTCGATTCACTGACAAAACGGCACATCAATCGCTTGAAGCATCAATACTCGGAACCATCGTCTATTGAGCCACATTCATGCCCTTACGACCTCCTCGGATCTCGCTCTCGACACGTTCTGTCCCTGTAAAGTATGCATCTATTCAGCACAAGTTTGTACCCGTGATGTGCTCATTTCACATCCTACCTTGGTTAAATACAAAACTTCTAAGCCCCTGTTCATGTTCGTATGTCACCAAAAGCCACTCTTTGCCTGATTCACAAGACAATCTATCCTTGGAAACATGAGTTGCACACTCTCCAAGCCCAACGCTGAAGAACCAGTCGCCCAGGACCCGTTCGCCCAAGAAGGAGTAATTCCAGCCGGTTGCAGCATCGCAATACATTTCACCAAGGCGAATCTGTCAAGATCATCAAAAATTACGGGGTTCAGACTGTCGCGACTTGGGCCTTCGCATGTCGCAAAATCGGTACAGCGGCGAATGCCAAAACACCCCGCCACTTTATTCAGCGGACATAGCACAACAGAAGAGCTCGTACTCAACGATAGCAAGCGAGGCTGCCGAAGCTCCCTCGGGAATGTGGTTGTCTTTTAGTCGAGACAGCTGCGCACTTACTCGGTTAATATGTGACATGTCAATTGAATCTTCACTTACAGATAGGTCCATGTCGCACACGCCATCACAGACTGGCAGACTGGTCCCCAGAATTGGTGGCTTTCTGTACGATCAAGAACGATATGCCATCCTCGAAATTCTGGAAGGCGCAAGCCCCGACATTCACGATACGCTGGGTCCAGCATACGATCAGTGGACTTATACCCAAATGCGTGTCAGGTCGTATCACCAGTCGTGCCTCGATAACTATTGGTTTGCGTTCGCTAAGTTGGCAGTTGGTCCCACCGCCGAAGAGATCAAGCAGGAAAAGGCTTTAAAAGGCCGCGTGAAATACACGGAACTCATGGTGGCACTTAATGCTTTCTTCATGGCTGGCGACTCGATTCCAGATACCCTGCGCTTGTTCAGGAACGTCCAGGTGTATAATGCGCCGGGCCGGGGCTGGAGGGGCTGTATTGCAGCGCGATGAGCCTATCTCAAAGGCGAGGAACTATGCGCGATTAGAAGCGCTGCAAGCTGTGGTAGTTGCAACAGGTGCTTGTCCCGACGACGTCTGCAAGAGTAATGGAGAAACCAACAAGCTCTTCAAGGTGCATTACGAGGTCGCACCGGAGGTCGAACAGGAATACAGCGGCGCTGCCTGAATAGCAAACTCAAAAGGACCCTGCTGAATGGGCTGAGTCAAAGCAAGCTCAACAATGAGTAGGTGTCGTTCTGGTAATGAACAGCACGCATACATCTTCCATAATGAAGACGCCCACAGTAGCATTCATTACTGCGGTAACACATGCAGTTCCCCTGCGTGAATGGCTATAGGTCCACGACGATCCCTTTCGCTACTCCCCAATGTCCTACCGTCGAAGCATTCACCAACGTCGTCCTCGCCTCCCTTCTCCTCCTCCCAAGCGCCCATCCCACCCATTGCCAAACCCAAGCCAGTACACCGATTTCGAATACAAACCACCCACCGACATGGCTGCCTAGCGCAGCATCATACATCCTCTGCACCTGATCCCAGCATACGACCTCTCGCCCCCTTGCTTCATGTATGTGCCCACTCACAAAGAGTCTTGGTTGAGTGTTCCGGAGTTCGGAGAGCAGATACGGACACCCAGCATGATCTGTCCCATTAGCATCCAAATGGCCCTTCGCCGGACCATGCGTCACCGTTATATCTGCGTCGCGCGCAATTCTACCGCGCCACAGGTTTCCCCCCCTTCGCGGGGTCGTACTGAAACGCCCAATTACCGTACTTCGGTGTGTACGGTGATCCGAATACCGTGATATTTCGGTCTCGCACGTTAATCGTAGCCATTGAATCCTCGAGATAGATGACGTCGCCCCATTTTAGATCCTCTTTTCTCCTCCCATCTTCTGTCGTGAAGACTCGATTAGGTGCATCGGCGACAAAGACGTCGTCAAGGATGAGGTCGTGGTTTCCCGCGATAACAAGTTTATGCTCATGAGGCAGGCTACTTATCCAATCCACCGCCCTCTGCACCTCCTCAAACGTGCCATTCTGACTCAGGTCCCCCGCATGGACTAGAATATCACCCCTCGGTACGGTGGGTGTGGTGTTGTGTGTGTCAGATATGCAGACTACTCTTAGTGGATGTGCTATGCTGCTGTCTCTGCGTTTCAGCTTTCCTGAGGGTGGAAATGGAGGAGAGGGAGGAGAGAGTGAGGGCTGGTGCGTGTAGAGCCAGGTTGCAAAGAAGACGATTGGGTTGCGGAAGCGCTGGAGGGTGGTAGGTTGCGCTGGGCGGAATATATTGCTACGAGGGAGGAGATGGGTGTTTGAGGAGTTGGTAGAGGAGGACATGATTCTTGGTGTCGTCCTCTTTCCCATGTTCGGAGAGGTTCTGTTGGCTGTGTTTTGTAGATCCTGCTATGCCACAGTGCACTCGGATATCTTGCCCGAGAGCTGTAAAGAAGCTGAACAATTGAAAGCTTGCGGCGAAGATGATGGTGTAGCGCTGTTCTGGTGGTTTGGCGAGGAAGTTATGGTCGGCCTAAGTGTTGTGGTTCAGGCAGCCCTTTTCGGCGGTCATGCCAGATCACCGACTGTGGGAATACATCTCAAGCCTCATCCCCTCCGCTTTCGGCGGATCACAGTATCCTCCGGAATATTGAAACGCCAACGATAGTCGTCCCTGCCTTTTCACTTCCTATGGTACCGACACCCGTCCTTAACTTCTCACGCGTGTACAATGGTGTTTGCTCACAGAAGTGCCTTCTATATTTAGTGAAGGCGCCGAGGGAACTGACTGCCGCTTAGACGACTCGATGAACTTTTCCTTGTTCCGTAAACGGTTTTCAGAGCTATCACGAGAGCATTTTGCGCGTGTCGGACAGGGCCCGTCATGGCCGCTCTCGCGGAAGGAAGGTGCATATTGCTCCTACAACTCAGACGAGATTGGAAGGAACGTGTAACGATCAGTCGGCTTTTTAGGCCGCATCTCCTCCATCTCCCTCACTTCTTGTCGCAGCCCTTGAGGCTTGCGACATCACGACACGAGTTTGCCATCCTTACCACGCATTAAACAAACACCATGGCTATACCCAACCTGTCATCGCGCGATCCGGAGGCCATCCCGCCCTATCGACCCGAAGAGACCGCCCAATCTGCTCGGTTGGCCCGTCTCCGTCGAAGGCTCCCTACATTTCTGTCTTCTCCCAATAAACCCACTTCTCCTAGCAAATGCGACCGCTTCCGCGAACGCCTCCCCAAATTCCGTGCTCCTAATCCTCCAGACCGTCCGACTTTCAAAGAATGGCTCCGCCGATGCTGGCTCGACGTCCTCACACAGCTCCTTTGCGTCTTGGTCGCTTTCATCATCTACTTGACCGCGTCCCCTCTGATGCCGAGATATTTCCCTTTGTATCCAGGCATTCACACCACAGACTGGGGATTGAAGTACGGGCAGCCGTACGTTAACGAGTACATCAATACGACTTGGAGTGCAGCAGTCAGCTTTGTTTTCCCGTTCCTGATCATGTCCGCCATATCAGGATGGTATTTCAATAGCTTCTGGGACGGCAACGCAGCTGTAAGCCTTCTCATCTTACACTCACCACCACCCAAATCTTCATTCAGTCTAATACCGTCGAACAGTGCATCGGCCTCGGCTACGCCCTAGCCACCGCCACCCTCTTCCAATCCTTCATCAAATGGATCATCGGCGGCCTGCGCCCACACTTCCTTTCGCTCTGCAACCCGGCCATCCCGCCGGCATTCGGCGGCATCGGCCAAGGCCCGAACGCCATGTAGTACACGTCGGACGTGTGCCGTGGCGAATCAGCTAAACTGCGCGAGGCGCAGATGAGCTTCCCCTCTGGTCACGCATGCGCTGCGTTCGCGGGGTTTGGATTCCTTGCGCTGTACTTCAACGCGAAGTTTGGCATTTTGGGGCACAAGCCGCATGCTGAGGGAAAGGGGGTTGTGAAGCCGGGGGATATGTTGGAAATTAGTGTAGATGAGGCGAGGAACTCTCATGCGTCCAGAGTACCGCACTGGAGATTGGTGCTTTTCGTTGCCCCGATTTTGGTGGCGGTGATTATAGCGGCGAGTAAGGTCCGGGATATGTGGCACCATCCTCATGAAGTGGTGTTTGGGGCGTGTGTTGGTACGCTGTTCGCGCTCGTGGCATACCGGATGGCTTTTAGGAGTGTGTGGGATCAGAGGACGAATCATCTTGCAAGGGAAATAGAAGAGGAGCGTATGACCCCGGATGTGCGGGTTGCTGAGCCGGTAGATAAGAGTTACATTGTTTGATGGGGTGCTGGTCTGGGAAGGGTTGTAGATGATATTTCCTTTTAGGGACTCCTTCGGCCCTTTGACCTCATCCGTTTACCTAGCTCCCTGTTCTTGAAAGCTGCCCACGGCTTCGTATCAATCGGCGAGTTGATTTCTGGACAGTGTAGCGCACTAGCAGCTTAATTGTCGAATCTGGTGTGATGCTCAGCAAGTCTCAAAAGCTCAAGTGGGAAGTTCGATGAGTATTTCGCATCCTTCCAATACCCATACACCCAAGCCAATACCGAAAATGCTAAATGCTACGCCATTTCCATGCATGCACTATAATACAACATCTCCCACTCATATACCCATACCTACTTTCATCGTACAAATCTACTCTTCCCTCCTGCTTTCCCACCCCTCCTCCCTCCACGTCCCGCTCCTCCCACCCTCCTTCAACACGACCCTGATATTGTCGATTCTAATACTCTTATCTACCGCCTTGCACATATCCACAACACTCAAAGCAGCGCCCATCACGCTTGTTAGTGCTTCCATTTCTACGCCTGTTTGGCCGACGCACTGGACTTTACTCTCCACCACGATGCCGCCGAAATTTCTTTCATGGTCTGGGGATGATGAGGGAAAGGTGTGTAGAGTGACGCCGACGTGTGTAAGCGAGATGGGGTGGCAGAGTGGAACGAGTGAGGGCGTCTGTTTGGCGGCCATGATGCCTGCGATGCGGGAGACGGACAGGACGTCTCCCTTCTTGTTCGAGGCGGAGTGGATAAGGGAGAGCGGCTGGGGGTTCGAGAACCAGATCGTGCCGGTGGCGATGGCGGTGCGAGGTGTGTGCTGTTTGGAAGAGACGGAGACCATGTGTGCGTCGCCCGAAGATGTCAGATGCGGAAGCGTTGGTGTGGGTTGGGGGTCAGGGCTGTCTGCGGATGAAGAAAAAGGGTCTCTCTCAACCTCCGGTATTCTTGTGCCTTCCCTGGAAGAGTACTGTCGTCGGAAAGCAAGCGTGTGGTATGCGCTTGCGCTCACGGCTTGCCACGCGTGGTTAGCTCCGATGCGATATCCTTGGCCTTTGCCTTTCCATGTAAATGGCAGATCCTCAGGTATGTGTTGCTTAGGTTTCCTCTTATCCTTCTTAGCCGCATTGGCAGTGTCCCAGGCTTTCGCTCGCTCCTCATCAACGGCCGCGCCCTCGTCCTGCAAAAAGCCCAGGCCAGCGTCCATCTGGGCCCAATTAAGATCTTCGGCGGCGTCACTTCGTTCGACACCCAGTTTCCTCACTTCTTTTCGTACGAAGGCTTCTGCCCATCGCTTCGCCATGCGCGCTGCGGCTCGCTGGTCGAGATCGTGATCAAGGATCATTTGGTCCAGCAGCGCTCGGACGTCCTGGCTGACGTCTGGATCAGCCTCAGCGCTCTCAGCTGCCATGTCATCATTTCGCGTCTGCCACTTCCAGACGAGAATTTTCAGCCATGTCTGCAGCGTTTTGCGCTGCTTCGATTTCCATACGTCGTATGGTAACGTATCCATTAGGGGGTAGTCCTTCTTCAGCCTCTGGCTGAGTTCGAAGAGCTGGTTTTGCAATTCTGGCACGTCGGCTTCGACATCGACGGTTAGGTCATCGTCAATCTTGACTTGCTGTGAGGGCGAGAGCTGCGCTTTCAATTGATCAGACAGCGAACGCACTGGCGGTACTTCAGGCGAGGGGCTCAACCAGGCACGAAGGGGCTGGGGCTGGTTCGAATGACCGGAAACAGGAGCAGCCTTCTCTGCCTGCTCTTTCCTAGAAGATTGGCGGGAGATCGCGTTGGGATTCTGGTTTGACCATCGGATGAGTGGCACTGCTTCCTCAGCTGGCTCTTTGGATTTGACAGCGGGTTCGGTCTGCTGCTCAACGGTAATGGCCTCTTTTTCCAGCTCGCGGAGTAGTTCTTCAACCTTCCTCGCAGTTGCCAGACCAAAACCGTCAGCCTTCGCAGCAGAAGCCAGCTTCTTCAAGTGCACAACAGACTGCTGTATATCGCGCAATTGCTGTTGCCGGACTTCTGCGGTGGGGTCTTGCCGCTTAGATATGATATCCTCGAGCTGGGAATGGACAAGTCCACCATCGCGAGCGGTAGGCTCAAATTTTCGTGTATTGTTTTCGCCTGTAAAATCCATTGTTCTCATCCTCTTGTACTCCTCGCTCCTCTTGATACTCCTTAGATGTTCGTACTCGTTGCGCGTCAATTTGCGTCCCAATTCGATCTCCCGCTGATTGACCGCGTCTCTCACTGCACTCAGTGCTTTTTCTAAGTCGCGTTCGCGCTCGGCGATTGTCAGCGACATATCCAACGGCTTGCGATCATCATATGCCTGTCGCTTCTCAGGGGTTAGCATTATTGCATTGTTGTAGCTGTTTGAAGACGCTTCGAGCGATGCTGGGTGACCTTCAGGGAGATTGCCTTCAATGGCCCTAACTTCTTCCTCCGGCAAATGTTTGAATTGCCCTGAATTTCTATGCCGATCAAGAAAGCGAGGATACTGCTGGGTGATAGGTTCCCTTTGGCTTCTCAACGCTTCCCAATGTGCGATGAGCTTCTCCGCCTTTGAATCTTGTGTTTGCAACCGCGGTAATTGAGTAGATGCCTCCCCAAATTGGCGGCTTGTCTCCTGCAGCGTCTTCTTCAGTGCGTCTCGGCGCTCAACAAGGCTTTGCATCTCAGGCACTTCCGTCTCTTGCGCCGACAAAGCTGCGTCCAAAAATATTGACCCCTCTGCTTCGGCGTTCTGAGCAGCTTTAATGTCCCTCCGCCAAGTTGCACAGAGAGAGTCGTCCCACTGCACCTTCGCATGGCCCCTCTCGAGGCGCTCTTCATCTTTCTTCCTGCTCTCCCTCTCCCTCCTCTCCGCTCTCTTAGCAGCGCTCTTCTCGGCTCGGGCTTCGTCCGCCGCATTCACCTGCATGGTCTCCTCCCTCAACTTCGCGGCCTTTTCGTCTAGTCGCAGTTGCTCAGCATCCAGATCTTCTAAACGCTCCGGTCCGTTCGGCGCGTGCCGCCGAAGTTGGTACTTGCACGTGAGTAGCGTGCACTCGAGTTCGTGGACCTTAGCCTTCCAGTTGTGCTCCAGCTTCTTGCGATGCTCCTCGTTCTTCATCGCCGCAGAAGCAATCTTCTTGTTGCAGCGCCACATCGCACGCGCGCTCTCTCGGTTTGCCTTCTCTTCTGATATAGCTGACACTCTTTCCTGCCACACCTTAAATTTACTGGAGTCGGCCACGTGCGGCGGGCTCTCTTTTGTGAACTTCAACCGCCATTCCAGATCTTTGATCTGCTTACGGATAGCCGCGATTTGTGCAGTCTTAGAACCGGCTGTGGCTTTGCTAAGTCCATCGACGGCTCTCCAACGAATTTTGTTTTTTTTTCTTTCATTATAGCGAGCTCTGTCCTTTCTGGCACTTTCTAATTGCATTCTTCTTTTCCAAGTTATTGCAGCTTTGGCGCCTGTGGCGTAGGTGCGGACACCTGAAAACCCCGAATGGAGGGAAAGCGAGGGAGGCGACAATCGTGGCGGTGGGATTATGGACCATGCTCGAACTAGAGCAGCGCTGGGTGTTGGGACATATTGTGTGTTGACTTGTGAACGGGCATCGCGACCTGAGCTGTTGCTGGTTGCGCTGGGCTGCATTGACTGGTCTAGGCAAGTCAGCAAGCGTCCTCACACAGAGGACTCGTAAGGTGGCGCATGGGGTATAGATTGACATATATAGTCAACACGTCTATCTTCGAAAATGACAGTGCCAGTCCAGCCGCCTAGTAAATGCAAAAACGCCACCCATGCAAACGTGTCGGCCAATATTCGTGAGGGCATACAATCGTCTGTAATCAAAAGAAAGCCGAACATTACCCACCAATTAAGATCATCGGCCTGTTTTGCATATTCTCGAGGTCCCCCATATCCGCGTGCTTTTCAGCTTTTCGTTTCACAGCTTGGCCGATTACTTGCAGAAGCTCTTGCTCGCGTTGTCTCCGGCCAACGGTGGTTTCGTCGCTTAGCAGACCTTCTCGCCGGTCCATTTCACTTTTCTTGATGCGCTCAAAAGCTTCTTGATCAATTGGCTCGCCATTGTTGCCTTTCCGGAGGAGATCGCGGAGAGACACTTCAGCGTTGCCATGCAGGCAGACCTTGAGATTTCCGTCGCTTGTAATTCGCAAGCGGTTGCAGGTCCCACAAAAATCGTTCGTCATACTTGAGATGAAGCCGACTTTGCCCACGAAGCCCGGTACCTCGTACGTCTTGCTCGTGTCGTTCTTGTGACCCTCGACTCTTCGCAGTCCTGGAAACTTCGCTCGTATTATGTCCAGCATCTCCTGAAAACTGATCATCTTGCCCTTACTCCACTTGTTGCCTCCAAAAGGCATGTACTCGATGAAGCGCACTTCAATGTCTTTCTCCCGGCCCATCTCGACGAAAGGTATTATATCGCGCTCGTTCAGCCCGCGCATTACGACGCAATTGACCTTGAGCTTTATATTCGCACCAAGCCTCTTCATCTCCAAGATACGGTCGATGGACCTCATAACCGCATCGAAACCATTCCGTCTCGTCATGATCTGAAACTGGAATGGGTCGAGAGTATCCAAGCTGAGGTTGACGCCTGTCAGCCCAGCTTCGACCATGGCATCCAGCTTCCGGTGCAATGATATTCCGTTCGTGGTCAAAGCAAGCTCGCGAAGTCCTTGCGAGCGCAGGGTGCCGATTTGTTGCATCAAGGGAACGATGTCTCGGCGTACGGTGGGTTCGCCGCCTGTCAATCGGATTTTGGTGACGCCTTGCGATACAAATAATGAGGAAAGGTAGAATATCTCGGGAGTGGTGAGCATATGCGCAGGCGGCGACAGCGGTACGCCCTCTGAGGTACTATCAGCACAAGTAGATTGCAATATGACAGGCTGTCTTACCCTCTGGCATACAATATAAACAGCGCAAATTGCACCGTTCTGTAATGCTTATCCGGAGGTAATCATGCTCCCTGTTGAACGAGTCCGTCAAGAAATCGGAGAAGGGTTTTGCATTGCGTATCGCCTCTTTGCGCTGCTGCAAGCCTGAGCTTGCGACGGGCGGAACTGCAGCTCCGTTGCTCTCTGCAGCCGTCTCATGCGCGTGCAAAGCCGTCGCATAGCCGCTATTCACACTTCCCAATGCTGGAATACGCGGTCTAGCGAGGCGTTCGTTGCGAAGGCATCGCGCAGCCGTCGGAATTGGCCGCATGTACGCCATGGGAGACATGCTCACGGGAATGTGGAGCGTCGGTGGTCTGTATGAACAAGCAGAGCCATGGAAATATACACTACATAAACAGGAAGAGAAAGGCAACTATGTGCGGGGTTGCAACGTGGATTTACGTCGTGTGAAGAGAGGCGATAAAGTTAGACAGGGATCGCTCACAGATGCTTGGCAGCCGCGATCTTGAGAAGAGTGGGGTTGCGGCAAAGACGTCCGCTCTCCACCACTGCGGCAACACGGGGAGTTCACATGCGCCCCCACTCCGAAATGTATGTAAACGCGCCCTACGCTCAGAGGGTCTGAGTACATGAGTACGAAAAGCAGCAATGAGCCACATAAATACGGGCATTACTGCATACAATCGAGCGTAGCGATACAGTAACAGCAGAATCCCTGTAGAGTGGACATGCCATCTATATCAACACCTCAATACGTGCCAGGCGATGTAGACTCACATCTTTACAGCTGCCCGCATCAATCCTTGTAATATGCCTGTCCAAGTTCAGTGTCTTTTTTCTAGCCTTCATACTCCCGATACTCTCTCGAACAATACACCTCACACAGTCCAGGGTCCCTCATCATAAGCCTAAGAATACTTAGAACAAGCAACTGCAGATGGACCGTGTTGCACCTCAAAGGTTTCGAACACGATGCATCTCTCACGCACGCACTTCGTCATCTACACAAGCATGCTTGGTCGGCTAGGCTGTTTAATGAGATCAAGAGAATCTATGTTGTCAAGGTTCGTTGTAGCAAAAGAGGTCTGTGTCTGTCGCATTGACATGATTCTATAGTTTCGCGTATACCGTATACAGTCTTTGAATCACGGTGGCCAACAAGCCAGACATGCCCTCTCGTGGCCGGGTGGACTACAGTCCGGGCTCTCGACAAATGAAATGGTTGCCACCCGTTCACCCAAATCTCATCTTTCCAAGACAAGGTCAAAGAGGAAGCACGGAAGACCAAGATTGCAATCGAAAACAAGTTCCTAGCCAATTTGCCCCGCGCTACATGGTCCATTCAGATGTCCCAAGTGATGCTCACAAGATGTGCAGATTGCTTGGTTGTTCGATGCAGGCACGGAAGCACAAACACCGATCTCAAAGATGACCACCAGGATGCTCTCCTCCGCGCTTCCATTTTCAGGCCCTCTCACCCAGCCATCTCTCCAACATCAGCCGTTGGCGACCCACTTCCCGGCACGCAAGCGCTTACCTCTTCCCCAGGCCCGCATATGATTGGTCGTCGCTCAAAGCGGGGATATTAACGCGCTTTTACGTCTGTCGAATCGACCAGATGAGCTATATTAAGTTCAATTTGTGGGCAAGGCTAACGAAGCAGCGAAGGTTGCAAAACAGGATATTAGCGGTCTATAATCGTTTGGTGTTTGGTCGAGGACGGGTTGCACGGGCGGCTCTGCGGGAAGGTGGAGAGGCGGTTGGGAAGGTGCGAAGGGCCCTGGGAGGGGGGAGCTGACACGCCATGCTTGCCACGGCCTGGACGCGTGTATGAGCAAGGTGTTTTGACCTGTTCGAGTGCGCACGTGTGCAAGTGTGCTCCAGCTCCAGGGCTGCTGCGGAGGAGGAAAGAAGGCTTGAGACACTGCAGTCATCTTGAGACCACTTTCCAGAATAGCAACGCTCCGCTCATCATCAACAGCAACGCCCTTGGCCCACATGCTTCCTCTGCTCATCATCAACAGCAACGCCCTTTCCCCAGATGCTTCCCTCTGCTGTACCACGCCGCGGCGCGACTGCCTCCACCCGTGTGCGCACCAATCAGTGCCTTGACCAGCCTTTCTCCCCAATTCATCTATTTTAACAGACATTGAGCGGGTACTATGCCATAATCAGCAGTCGAGCATGCACGACAGATCCGTGCGGCGGTAGAGCCTGGGCCCGCCGCGCTTGGGCCCGACCAATCATAAGCCTGGAGCACTATTTTTGCTCGGCGGGCCTGCATGTTTGATGCTGGCGCCAACGGCTGGCGGGAGTTTGGAAGGTCTCAGATGTATATATGGGGGACAAGTACGCGGGGGAAGTCGAGGGCATCGCAGCTATCAAACAATTGTCGGTTCGAAGAAAAGGCAGGAACGACTGTGATCGATTGAACGCTTTCCCTTTACGTTTGTTTTGTTTCGCTTTGAACTTGGGATCTGGATCTCGAGTTTCTCCTCTTATCGTACCTGGATTATACCCTTCTTTCTATTTTCTGTCGTCTTCATTACGGGAGTGCTATTTCGGTGCCGGATATCGAACAAGCCGACGCAACGACTTTGAACCTTCGCCAAGTACTGCTCTGGAGGACATAATACCTGCCTCCTCTACCGTCCATCCTATCCTCTACAACAACCTCAACAATGCTCTTCTCAACGACCTTCGCCCTGGTCATGGCCTTCGCGCCCGCCATCTTCGCAGCGCCTACTCCCTCTCAGACCATCGGCGACCTCGAGAGGCGGTACCTCAGCCCGGATACCATCCGCAAGCTCGAGGACGGCGTCTGTGATCTCTCCAAGGCAGTCATGCCGATTGGTACGTCCCTTCCCCTCCTCTCTCCTCCTTCTCTTCTCACAGCGTGCCTAACACCCCACAGCACCGACCCCTCTCCCTGCTGTATCTTCCGGCCTCGCCCTCGCCCACGTCGCCATCGGCCGCGGCACCCAGAACTACACTTGCGCATCTTCCACCTCCACCGACGCCCCCAAACTCCAAGGCGCAAACGCAACCCTCTACAACGTAACGTGCTACTCGGTCCGGTCACCTTCCGTCCTGGCCTCCATTCCCTCCATCGCCCTCACCCAATCCATCGACCTCAACCAAGACGTCCAGAAGTATACTGTTTCAGGCCACCACGAGTTCACCGCCGCTGGCGTGCCCTTGTTCCTTCTCAAGGCCGATAAGAGCAACTACGGTTATGTGCAGGCCAAGAGCGCCGCGAACAGCACGGCGCCGGCAGAGAGTGTCAAGGGAGAGAATGGGCTGGGCAGCGTTCCATGGCTGAAGCTTACTGGCGTCGAGGGCGACTACAAGGAAATCTACCGACTGCAGACGGCTGGCGGTGTAGCGCCGAAGACGTGCGAGGGACAGGCAAGCTTCTTTATCGTGCAGTATGCAGCTGAGTACTGGTTCTGGAAATAGGATAAGAAGCTACACTGTATGAGGGCGAAGGAGAAGGACCTGGGAAGGGTGTGACTGTACAGAGCATTGGGCGGCGTTTCGAGGGAATTTCTCTAGCGACTGGCATACTTAGTGTCGCGATCGTCGCTTTCGAGCCTTGGTCTGTGTAGACAAGGATGGACCTAGGGTAATTCAGATAATCAAATACAGATTCTTCAACCTCTACACAAAGGGTATCTTGGTTCACATGCCAGTGACTCTTATATTGCATCAGGTTCTTCCTTCTGTACCCTGCGACGCAAGCCTCGCTTACGAGTGAGTGGATCCGATTCTTCTACAAGGTCCGCAGTCTTCGCTTTGTCTCCCTCAAATAGCTTTTTCGGCCAATCCCTGCACATGTCGATGCGCGAGCGAGGTGCGAATATCTCCAAGACGATGTAGAGTAGGTAATCTACGACGGCGCATAGGCAGAAAAGCTTGCCGGCCCAGATTCCACAGCCGTAGTATCGCTTGAGCCGATCGATGAGCGCAAAGCTTCGGACGCCAGCGCGGCCGCGCGCTGCATCGCCTCCACCGAATTCCTCGGAACCCGCAGCACCCACGACGCCATCGTAAACCCTCTCCGTTCGCTCAGCGACGTCAGTCCAAGAGTACATCTGCTTGACCTGGCCGTGGAACAAGTCGGTTCGTACTTTCCCTTCTCGTAGCTTCGCGATCGCGCGCCCGGTTGCTGCAACAATGTCGTCTTCCTCGGGCGCGGCAAACTCGGTCATGTGGTTGGGTAAGACCTCAGGTACGCCACCCACGCGTGTGCAGACGATGTACAACCCACATGATGCCGCCTCCACGATCACAGTTCCGAACGCCTCCGTGAGCGACGGGTTCAGGAAGATATGGCCCTTGACCATGACATCACGGACTTCTTCGTGGCGCACCGCTCCGAGCAGGAGAATCCTGTCCTGTAGCATATTCCGCTCAATCATCTGCTCGAGATCGATTGCTTTCGGCCCTGTGCCAGCGACTATGAAGCGGACGTTCGGGTGCGACGCAAGTACGCGGGGGATCGCTGCGATGAGAAGATCCACGCCTTTGTTATAGAAGAGTCGCATGATGGCTACGATCGTTATCGTGTCGTGCGATCCGAGAGGCTGCGGAGACCCGGGGCCGCTGTTGCGACGAGGATTGACAGAGTCGTGGGAAAGGGGTCGAAAATTCTCAGCGACAACGGCATTTGGGATGACTGAGACCATGAGCGGGTCAAGCGATGCTCGTAGAACACAGTTCTCTTTGCTAGGAATATTCAGTGCCCATTCCTGCGAGAGGTCTAGTTACATACCAGGTATGACTGACGCAGATGACATGGTCTACATCACTCAGGGTGAATTTGAGAAGCTTGTTCGTAAGAATACTACCAGCATCTGCGAAGCCGAAGAGGCTATGGTCTGTAAATACGGTAAACAAGCCCATAGTTCGCGCATGAAGTATCGCCTCGTTGCAAAGGTTGCTGAGACTGGCATGGCCATGTACTATCTCGATTCGCTCGCGGACAACGATGTTCCGAAAGATGGGGAAGAAGGAGAAGACGGTCGGAAACGTAGTCTCGCGGTAGACGGTCCAGAATGGGACGTAATAAACTTTGAGGCCATTGGTAAGGTAGCGAACTCCTTTGCGTCCCTTGAAAGCGTGGGTGATAACAATGACTTTGTGGCCACGGTTGATCAATTTCTGGTTGCGTGAGTGCGTGGTATCAAGGTGGCTGTGAGGTAACCTACACTGGAAAGCTGGTATATATGACTTTCGACCCCGCCTGGAGCCAATTAGACTATGTATCCGAGTGATCATCGGTCGCGCATACCGGGCTGCGGGTAGAAATTGTCGCTAACCATGCTGTAGACACATGAGCTGTGTACATGGTGAGTGACTTTTTAGAATTGCATACGCGATATTGTAAGGCATGGTAAATCTTCTGAGGACGGGAACCTCTAGGGTGCAAACGCGGATGATGCATAGCAAGTCTCTCAAAGGGTTGTGGTGGTATCATGCACTGAGTTACCCCACGCTGCGCGACGCGGTGAGGCTCCACGTCGGCGTTCCTTGGGACCGCGAAATCTTGGCATTTAACTTTTTGGAAACTGCGACCACAACCACAATCGCGCTTGCCCACACAGACTTTGGTTCAAGATGGCGCCCATGTTCGGGAGCACTCAGCGCTGGGTACCGCCCAAGGTCTCGAAACCTGAACAACCGACCTTCGAGCCCGCACCATCAAGCCCATTCGGAGGCTCTCAGCGCTGGCAACCACCCAAGCCTTCACAGGCTACCACTATCGGAGGCGCTCAGCGCTGGCAACCTCCTAAACCTTCGCCATCAGAGTCTCCGAAGTCGACTCCCACAGCAGCATCGCAACCCGAGGGGCGGAAGGAGGCTCATGGCGCGAGTCTACCCATTATGCCCAATGCTCAAGAGGATGCGCCGCCGAAGCCACCCAAGAAGCCCAAGAAGCGGAAGCGTGATTCGGACGCACAGCTCGATCCGGAGCATGATGAAGCCGCCGCTACACCAAAGAAGCACAAGACCGTTTTATCAAAGTTCGAGAAGGTTTCGCGCAAAGTCAAAAAGCAGCATCAGCAGAAGCCGCAAGATGAGTTGGAAAGTAAGCCAGAGGTAGTGCTTCGAGGCTTACAGCCTCTCCCTCAACCCGAACCTGTGCCCGAGCCCACATTCAAGCCGACTTTCTCGGTCTTGCCAACATGGCTGGCGCAGCCTATCACTGTCGAAGCCTCCAAGCGCGTACCGTTTGATCAACTGGGCGTGGAACCGACCTTTGTGAAGAAACTGGAGAAACATGGATATACAGAGGCTCTGGCTGTGCAGTCTGTGCTTCTACCAATGCTTCAACCCGGGTACGGACAACATGTTGGAGACATTTGTGTATCGGCCAGGACAGGCTCTGGAAAGACAATGGCATATCTTCTGCCTATCACTGAAGCATTAAGAGACCGGACTACCCCAGTGTTATCTGCCATCATCGTTGTTCCGACGCGACAACTCGTAGATCAAGCTCTGCAAGTCGCGGAAGAACTTTGTGCTGGTACCAAGATCAAGGTTGGAACCGCTGTGGGAAGCGTTCCCTTTGCTACCGAGCAAAAGCATTTGGTCAAAATGCGAGCGCAGTACGATCCCAAAAGAGCTGCACTCCTGCACGAGAAAGTCAGACAGCAGAGGGAAACTGGGTTCGTGGAGAATCGCGGTTTAATAGACGATCTGATGACACTGCCAGCCGACCATGTGCCACGCTACGACTCCGGAAACGACATTCTCATATGCACCCCTGGAAGATTGGTCGAGCATTTAGAATCTACGACTGGATTTCTGTTGCGCGGTATCAGGTGGTTGGTCATCGACGAAGCAGACCAGCTACTAAATCAAAACTTTCAAGGCTGGTCGACAGTACTAATGGATGCTCTACATGGCGAGACTCCGGCAGACATGATGGATACGCAGGAACGGCTTCGAAGAGAAAGGCAACGTTTAGGACGTGGACCTCCTCTACCGTCTTCATCTGCGCGCCGTGTCACTAAAGTCGTTCTTAGTGCTACCATGGAGAAGAATTTAACTAAGCTGGGGGCCTTAAGGCTCAAACGACCCAAACTGGTCCATGTGCAAGACGAGCATGAACAATATCTCGCCACGCCCGAGGGTGATAGTTTTGACCTTCCATCAACGCTGAGCGAGTTCGCCGTCCCGGTTGGCGATGGACAGAAGAAGCCTCTCTACTTGTTGTACCTCTTGCTGACCTGTGTCTTCCCATCTGTTAACGAAGACGGACACAAAGAGGCGAGTGACAGCGAGGACGATGAAGACTCATCGGAAGATACATCAGGTGATTTATCAATCGAAGACAGCGATTCTGAGAGCGAGGAGAAGCCTGCCGAGAAGCCTTCAATTGCAAAGCACAAGAATCGCGTCTTAATCTTCACAAAGAGCAACGAAAGTGCATCGCGTTTATCACATCTTCTATCCGTTCTTGAACCGTCATTCAAAGAGTATCTCCAGACCATGACCCCTTCGTCAACAGCCAAAGCATCTAAAAAGCTACTGCGATCATTCAGTTCTGGTTCAGTCAAGATATTGGTTGCGTCTGACGCCGCATCGCGCGGCCTAGACATTCCTGACATTACGCACGTCATCAACTACGACATCCCCCCTGGTGTCACTAATTACGTTCATCGCATCGGTCGGACAGCGCGTGCAGGCAAACCCGGCGAGGCCTGGACTTTGGTCATGAAGTCAGAGGCAGCGTGGTTCTGGAAACAACTTGCAAGAGGCGACAATATTAGAAGAGGAGACAAGAAGGTTACGCGTGTGGAATGGAAAGAGCGCAACGTAGAGTACAACAGGAGAAGAACGTACGAGGCGGCTTTGGCCGAATTGCAAGAAGCTGTTGCGGGCGCCGATGGATGCTGAACTTTGACGGCGCACTGTACGTAAACTTACAATAACCGTCCAATATGCACCGCGACAATGATACCGGTCGATATACCCGCATGAGGAAGGCTGAGAGTGACGCAACTCCGAGCTTCACGTTTTAGCCACAGGAAGGGAGCCTCAACTTCGGTGCTTCTTTTCGACATTACGGCATGGAGCAAACAGTGACGCGTTATCACATGCTACCAAACCACGGGCGCGATGACCGGTCTCTCCGATGCAGTGTCTTCCATCAATTGGCATTCCTATTTGAGCTGCGCACGGTCAGCCTCGCCCCCATGTCACATAGCTGTCAATCGAAGATGGATGAGATGGAAGCCATGCGCAGATCAATGCCCAGCATGACAAGCCCTCGAGATGCATCGTGATAAGCTTCAAGACCAAAGCTTCTGCGTACGAAGAAGTCTTGGTCATGGTGCTTGGTACCCTCCTATCTCTCGTGTTCTAGGTTCATCCCCACGCTGTGATCCAGAAATACGGGTTGGTATTGATCGAGGGGCATGTGGGAGGGTGGGCCTACGTCCAAATGGGGCAGGTCGGACAGAAGCCACACGACATCCGACCTTCCTCAGGCTACACCATGTTCTGGTGGGCGAATCTGTTTGGAATGCAACGTGCGCGACTACGCTGCGCAAGGCAGCTGCCAAAAGCCATTGGGTGCTAGATGTACGACGGCGAGATGTATAGCTGCTCCCTGAACGCTAGTGGCCCCTACTGCTCGCGTGCGCGCTACGTGTTAAACCTTTCTTCAACAACACCCAACTTCCCTTATCATTCCCGTGTCCGTCGAATAAGCGCATCTACCTGGTACAGTATGTGATCGGCAATACCGGGCAATCTATTTGCTCGGAGCCATTGGCGGGGATGCTGCGAGAGCTTGCCGCCACACTTCGCACTTCGCCCCCCCACTGTCGCATCAGACCGTACCGCTCATGCAATATTTTGCGTGCTGAAAAAGCATTCTGTCATATCATGATCAAGACCCAGAGTCATGATGGAAGTGGAAGAAGGGAGAAACAGCCCTTCAGGGGCGACATGATATTCCTCGGCTCTTGCTCGCCGTTCAGTCTGCCGAGTTGCGACCGGTCTAACCGCAACGTTTGAAACCACTTTCATCCGTCGGCCAATCTGCTATCGCGACATCGACGAGCCGCCAAGTATTTTCACCTCCAAGCGGTAGCGACAAGGGATCTTGCCTTCGCCAAGGTACAGGCGATATTGCTTGTTTGCAAGCTTCGCTCTCTTGACTGGCGGGACATGTTTGTTTCTTGCACCATCCTCATTCCATTCGACCTACTCCACTAACGATGATCGCTAGCGCTCGATAGTCGAGGCTTCAACCGCTCATTTACCATGTTCGCCAATGGTACTGCAAGGCTAGTGTGGCTGCCCATGGCGGCCACTTGACTTATGAAACGTGATTCGGGCCGTGCTGAGCAAACGTTTGTGGAAGTTGAGAACCCCTTCAATTACATCAACGGCCCAATTGCCGAGGATAACGCCAACGATGTATACCTACATCACAAGAAGAGTTAAGTCGGTGTCCCCTACCGGGTTCTTAGCTACATCGGTCGTGGCTGCAAAGGTGGTGGCCTGGATAAGCTGCATGATCCTGCCCGGCTGTCGATCTCAAACCGGAAGGTTAGTTTATGCCGACGATCACCTACATCTACCTGACCATCTGTACCTGCCAAGAAAGGCTTCGCCGTTGAACGAGGTGCTCACGTCGTTTGATGAGCGAAGGCGAGCCCCGCACATCTGGGCGTTTACCAGATGACCTACTGGTAGACCGCCACATCATAGGGCAGGCCGATTATGACCCCATGTACAACTTGTGTGCGACGGACAATCAAATGAGTATAAAGAGATGCGTTGTCCCTCGCATTTCACAGACTTCATCCTCACTGTGGGCAATCATCCTTGAGGACCTTCTTCCCTTTTAGCTCAGGCCAGCGCTTATAGCAGTTCATCTACAATGCCGTCTTTTGCTTCCCTCACAGCGGCTCTCGCCCTCGCCTCGACAATTGTCGCCACTCCCGTGGACCTCGTCGACCGCCGTCCCAAGACCTTCTCCGTCGAGCAAGTACAGCGCAAGGTCTTTGCTAAGAACGGTGCCGCAGCCACTGTCAAGACTCTCCGCAAGTTTGGCAAGCCTGTGCCCGCGAGCCTCTTGAAGGCTGCCGAGATCGGTCCCAATGACGAAGTCCTTGCGGCCCTCGCACAGAATGGCTCCGACTCCGCTGTACCTGGAGACGCTTACGATTCGCTGTATCTCTCTCCTGTCACAATTGGAGACAGCAACCCCGTCACTGTCCACCTTGACTTCGATACTGGATCTGGCGATCTGTAAGTGGCTTTTCCCAATCTTCTTTGATATGTTATATTACGACCGTGCGTCATCAGCACAGCTTCTAAGTCTAAGCATGATGAGCAAACATCGACTTGACGCTTCTGTGGGGTGTACAATAGATGTCGTGAATCAAAGTTGGCGAGCACAGTTACGCCCAGCAGGAACTGGACCTTTGACGCATTGCACGATACTCGGCAACTTGCAATATTCACTCACTAACTAACAAATTCCAGATGGGTCTTCTCTTCGCTGCAAGCCTCCTCTCAATTGAGCGGACACGACTACTACAAGGTTGATGCTTCCAAGAAGGTCAGCGGCGCTACCTGGAAGATCTCCTACGGCGATGGCTCTGGTGCTGCCGGCACCGTCTACGCCGACAAGGTTGTTGTTGGTGGTGTAACTGCCACTTCGCAAGCCGTTGAGGCCGCTACATCGGTGTCCTCTGCATTCTCCTCCGACACGGACACCGACGGTCTGCTCGGCCTGTCTTTCTCCTCTCTAAACACCGTCCGCCCTACGGCCCAAAAGACCTTCTTCGACACCGTCAAGAGCTCCCTCGCGAAGCCTCTCTTCGCCGCCAACCTCAAGTACCACGCTGCCGGCACCTACGACTTCGGCTACATCGACAGCTCCAAGTACACCGGCGCCATCACCTACATCAACGTCGACACCTCGCAGGGCTGGTGGCAATTCAGCTTCAGCGGTTACACCGTCGGCAGCGGCTCCACCGTTTCGTCCACAATCAATGGCATCGCTGATACCGGCACCACCCTGCTCTACCTCCCCACCGCCGTCGTCAAGGCCTACTACGCCAAGGTCACAGGCGCCACCAACAGTGCGACCTACGGCGGCTATGTCTTTTCGTGCTCGGCCACGCTTCCTGACTTCAGTCTCACGCTCAACGGCGTCAAGCAGCGTGTCCCTGGAAAGTACATGAATTACTCGCCTGTGCAGACCGGTAGCTCGACCTGCTACGGCGGTATTCAGACCAACGACGGCATTGGCTTCAGCATCTTTGGTGACATCTTCTTGAAGAGCAAGTACGTTATTTTCGATGGGTCTACCACCCCCAGGATCGGTTTCGCCGATCAGCCCAACTTGTAAGCTACAGTCAAATGGTCCGTGGATGGGTTGTTGATGTGAGAGATTTCTATCTGTTACTGTTGAAGCAGGATTGTAGTCTATCGCTTTCGAGCTTAGCATTTTTATAGCTGTACATGATTCATGGGATCAATGACAGGATGTCTCTGTAGGCAGTAACTAATGATAAGAAACCGGTAACGATGCCTCCTTAAGTGATGCATGTACGTGCTAGGACCCGGGGAGACATGTCGAACCCTCATCAACCATTGAGTGCTGAGAATCAGCATGTTAGAAAGTAATACGTGGCAGAGATCTTCCCGAAGCGGCAGTGTTGCAATGTGCGTAATTTAGTGTGCAATTGGCACTGTTGTAGTGTCGTGGTAGTATCCAAGCAAGAAAGCGGCAGTTGGCTTTTAGCCCACAGATCATGACACTATCATCTTAATCACTCAAGCTCCACCATATCGAACCTGATTCCCTCTCGCTCCAAGGCCTCACCGTTCATAAAGCCATGAAGTAATGTCCCACCAACAAGTCGGTATCTCTCACTATCCTCCACTTTGCGAAGAATAAGTGGCACGCGGCAACCAGGAACGACCCATACACTATCCCCTTCTCTTAACGACTGCGTTACCAGACCAAAGAAGCCTTCTTGTGTACGAAACGGTCTCAAAAATAGCGCGTGAGAATAATGAGAGTGAAATATAGATGATTCCTTCTCCAATGTGGCTCGATCCTCCGGTGAAGACCGTTCGGCGTGATGGAATATTGCCGCCCGAGTAGGGAGCATACTTTGGGGAGAATTGAGAATGGGAAAGGAACTTGCTTCCAGTCCCGGTGACAGTTTATTAGCCACGAAATATCGCCATAAGATCCACTTCGCGAAGGAATCTTGTAGTGGCATCGTAGAGGCGGGATACTGTACGGCATCAGAGTGAAGCGCGCGTCCGCGATTCGTCGTCAACGTTCTCCAAAGTACTTCTTCCTTGCTCTGTCCAGTCTGCGCATACATGTTGTCGAGCTCTGCAACCATTTCCCAGAGACTGGTCGGACGCGAGAAGTCCAACAACTCTCCTTTTGTTTCGGCGATCCTAGTTATAGTGTCTATCTTCGCGGCCTGCATCTGGAGCCTCCTTCCACCGCTTGTAATGGTGTAGTTTCGCGGGAGGCTACCAGCGGCTTTGAAGTGACGATAGCCAGTGACACGGAGCCCCAGGTCCTTAGACACGCTCCAGTCAGGCACCCAAGATGGCAGACCCTTCATTTCCTGGAAGTCTGGGCCTTCAACGCAAGTCAACAGCAGTAGATTGTCACTGTTTTGTAAAATATATGTCGCCGCTGTGATGTAAACCTGCGTCTCGTCATTGCTGTACGTAGGAAAGATATCCGCGTTGCCGAGCTTCAGCTGTGAATACACTTTGTCCCTTGCGTCCTCGCATTTCGATGCCCGCGATCGGATCAGAGCGTAAAGTAGACCGTCTCCAGATGTACCACTCTTGCTGGCTTTGGTTGCGGCAAGCTTCGCTGGGAAGTGCGCTCGCCGTGTGCGTATACGGTCGGCGAATTCGGTATCGGGATGGGAGGCTCCTTCGAAGTAGTCTGACCAGATCGACGTTGCGGAGAACTCTGTTGCTACGAATTTTGAGACGGTTGTGATCTCGTCCCACCCAAGTGTATGTGGGCCGCAAAGGACGATGGCCTGGCGGGCAAAGGTAATCTCTTGGATGATCCACGCTCGCTCGAACCTAAAAACCAGGTACACAATCAATCTCAGTAAGGATAGGGGGCAAGTGTACACTTTAGGCAAGATTTGGATATCTGCTTCATAACTGGGCTTTACCTACCAGTTCCTCTCGAAAAAGCGAGCTATTGCATGCCAGTACTCAGAATTAGACAAAAGGTCCTGCGAGGACCAGGATTGAGATTGATGCACCCGCTCTGATCGGGCCTGAGCACGCGGATCAAGTCAGCCAAACTAAAAGCAGACAACGTTGTGATGTCTTGGTACTTTTTGTTACCCCAGGGTAGGGCGATAGAGCGTTCGAGTATAAGACATATCGAGCTTTACGTACAGCTGGATCCGCCGCAGTGAACTCTCTCATCAGCTTCACTGCCGACGCGGTACTGTTGCCCTCGACTCCGAGCCATACGACTACTTGCGCAGCGGATTTGTAGATTTCGCCGATAAATTGCACCTGTTTACTGCGCTCTAGATGGTCTTTTTGATTGATGCAGAGAGCGTCCACCCAAACTAGACCACGGAACGCTGGATCCACATGTCCAGCGCAGTGGAGAAGAAAGTCGTAGAGATTTGGTTTCACAAATATCTTTGTGCCGTTGCAGGTCATCAGGACGTCGCGTTTGCTTTCTAATTGTCCGTAATTTGGAAATGGATCTCCCCAGGTGTATGAGAGAGCGAAATAAGACGGCTGTTCGCGAAGAGACACTACGACGAGGGAACACGCTATTCCTGGTGAGGTGGTTTCGGACCGTGGTGAGACCTGAAGAAGTCGAATTTGGCCTTCTTCCAGAGGTGATAGGTCGTCGTATAAGCCCATTGGGAAGTTTCATTCAATGTGGCGTAAGGGGACTCGGTGATTGTCGCGTTGCCGGCGTCAGTATAATGTAGCTCAAAGCAATCTACTTCCGGTGCTTGTTTCGCTCAAACAGAGGTCTGGTCGACATCCACTCGTCTTTGGGTGCACGTGGAGCAGATGGGATTGATATGCTGTGATGCAGGACCTTGGCTTCGAACCTCAGCTCGTAAGGAACGTTGACCGGTGAGAAGAGGCGGAGTAAGATACGCGAGATGAACTATCGGTCACAAGTTCCATTCGGTACCAATGGTTCTCTACGATGCATGTGTCGTTTGATAGCTGCAGTGCCCATACGCTAAGCGTGCGGGGTGCTGCCAATACATTGAACGAGCGGTTTATTAAGCCCTGGAGCTGATAGGTACACGTGGCATAGGTTCTATCACGACATCAATTGGGGAAGCCTGGAACCGGCATCTTGATGCACAGCGCAGGAGCGATGGTGCCTCAAGAACCATGAGATCATGTTCAGTGCGCACCAAATGATTTACAAGGGTTCTCGTTCCTTGTTCCCAGCCCCCACTCAGCTTCAGGCAGCTACGCTTACATTGCCCAGACCATATGCCAATCCCTGTGGTTCTCTCCTCTCATGTACAGATTTTCGCGCTTCTGGTCTTCACCCTCGCACTCCTCATTTGCGCTCCTCTTGGAGCGCCTTTCAGCAGCAGATACCTCCGCTCTGATCCTCCCCAACACCACCCCAACATGGCCGGCCAACGATGTACGTTCAAAGCCCAACATGGCTTCTTCACCCATGACGACGATCCAGAAAGCTGGGACTTTCGGGCGACCACCAGGCCCCTTCTCGGCATTAAGACACGAGAATATGCCACGGATTCAGATTTTGAGCCGAAAGAAGAGAGTACGCAATGGCAGCGACTAGAACACTACGTCCGTCACATGAACACCCTCAACCCTACACAACAGCGTTGGAAAATATTTTACATCATCCGCCATGGCCAGGGAATCCACAACGTCAAACATGATGAAGTCGGACGGGAAGAGTGGGATCGGTACTGGTCTAAGCTTTCTGGCGATGGCCACGTGGTCTGGGAAGATGCCGAATTGACGCCATTTGGGGAGCAGCAAGCGGAGGCTATTGCGAGTTTCTTTGGGAGGGGGGAAGTACCGTTGCCGGATGTGATTTTCAGCAGTCCTCTGAGGAGATGCTTGGAGACGACGAAGATTGCGTACAAGGACGACTTGGCAATGGTGGGAAGTACAAGTGAATCAATAAGGAGACCACTGGTGAAGGAAAAGCTGCGCGAACGACTGGGCGTGCACTTGTGCGATAAGAGGAGCACAAAATGTACATCACATCTGCCCATCCCTTTTTTGAAATTGAAGTAGGCTTCACCGAAGAAGATGAGCTTTGGAAAGCAGATGTCAGAGAGACCTTAGACGAGCACATGACCAGGGCTGCGCAATTGTTGGAAGACATCTTCGAGCGCGAGGGTGATGAGGCCATTGTGAGCTTAACTGCGCACTCGGGTGCTCTAATGGCACTGTTTGGGGCCACGGGGTGGAAAAAGGTTCCTGTGGCTGCGGGGGCAGTGTACCCTTTGTTGGTGGTCGCGGAAAAAGTCTCGACGGAAGGCCAATAATCGCAGTATCACTCCTTTTGACGCTCGATACACCTTTGCTTTATATTGAGGTATTGAGGTCGGCCTATCGGAAAATTAGACATCCATATCTAACCTCTTAATGCAAAGTACACGCAGATGCAACACTGAAGAAGAATCATACGAATTACGTTCTGCAGGAGTAGCTCCATTGAAATCCGCGATAGCTCAAAGAAACCAATTGACAGTATATGTAGAACGGCTGGCCACGCTGGCGTACCAGTCGTCAGCTTCCAAGGAAGGAAAGACCCTATCGAGCACTGAATCCAGAACGTTCTCTTGAACGATACAAAGTTCACGCTAGAGCCGATACACTTAATCCAGCGCGGGAGGACGCGAGCTGCATACCGCTTGACCGGAAGAGTGCAGTATGGGATTCTCTCGACAGAAGCGGTGAAGTATGGGATATTGTGAGCTCCTTCAGGTATGGCGTTGATGGAGAAGCTGGCGACGTCTCTTCCGTGGCATGAATATGTGCGAAGCATGAGTAGGTGGGATAACCTGTGAATTCCAAACAATTAGGCTTGGGTTTCTTCTGTTGTACATGCAGATCTCTCTCTTGCCATCATATGAACAAGAGTTTTGGATCCTCTTTTCCGCGCCAACTGAGTCTTCTGTTGGTCAGCAGTGAAATATTGTGACTCTCGTCTCTGGTAGCTAGAGATCAAGTCGAAGAACGTATGGCTGGCAATCTTACCCACCGGGGAAACGGGAGCAATAGACTTTGACGAGGACCATGTTGGTGAAAGTTGCAGTACTTGTATATGCACGAGTGTCTGCGCCACCTGCAGGCCTATGCGGGCCCTGATCCAGCTCGAATCATTGGAAGGAATCAACGAAATCGAGGCGAGCCGCATCGACTCACGGCTAGTGAACGTTTGATATGTACATGGAGGCATCTAGACAACAGTGGTTAAAGTCCGTATGTTATGGCTTGGACTCGATCGCGGATCAATAAAGGATCTGTGCTGTCAAATTGCGAGTGCGAGCCGTCCCGGAGAACACCCTGAGGCCGTTAGTTCATCTTGATCGTAGGGCAATTGGCAGGCAGATCCCAGCCGATGTTACGTGCGAAGGAGGACGGAAAGCCAGCCGATGCAAGTCAACCGGGATGACGGCCCCAACGCACGGCAGATCTTAAATTCCGGGTCATTGGTTTTTGCCTCTAAAAGAGTGTGATCGTTCGAATTTCTACCTGTAGAAAATCCGATCGTGGGCTTGACGCATAAGGCACCGAGCAGTCATGCATGTACTGTTGCTGGCCGCCGTAAGACAACATACGTAATATTGAATCTATTCATGTAGGTAATGGCGGCCTATCGTGTGGCGGTCGTATCGTGGATCATCAACCGACCAGCATGCAGCAATGTAATGTACGAAGACGCAGTGATATCCCTGCGTGGAAGTAACTCCACGCACATCCATTCGTGACTGGTGTGTAATTTTGAGAACACTCCATTCGAGCTCTTACATCCATGCCGTCTACCATGTCGAGCTGAGGGACAAGCGAAGCGCTGCTATCCGACATTGGCATCCTCGGCTGGGTAAGATGCTAAAAGCTTCGGCAGTGCGCATCCGTGGTCTTTGTTAATGAAGACTAAGCGGCGGTCTTTTCTGGCGGATTCTCGCCCTTGGCCTCCAGAACGCAAGATTTCATTACATGTTTTTCGTATATAACTCTTTTCGACAGGTATGACGAGAGGGGACGGGTACGAATCTTAGTATCTAAGTCCTGAGCCTACACGTGTATGTGAAAACCATGTACTAAGCTAATTTGTAGGGTTAGTCCACGTTGCATATATTGAGGCTTCGCGTGAGGCTCCCGGTCCAATGAGCACATCCTGTTATGAGATTCCCAATACGTAACTAGCGGTTGCCGTGTCGAAAATAGTAGATCTGCCTGCACCATGCTGTATTGTCTACAGATCAATGTTTGTGCAAACGGTACGAGGTTGTGCAAATTCTTCACAGATAAAGCTGAAGACTATTTGCACTACGGACCAATTCATAATGTCCCTTGTAACTGCTGCGGCTTCTTTTAGTTTTGGGGAGTAGATCATTGCTTAACATTGACCAGATCTGACGGTCGATTTTCGTATCAAAATCGCCATCTTCGTCCGGCAGTGGCCGACGTCGAGCCGACTGACTCAGTCATACAACAGTATCCCCAGCCAGTGCGTCATGTACACGGTGGGCATGCATCATACATGCCCACATGTTCTGCGCAGGTCCCGTCGTAGTTAACATGGCTCAGTAATCAATGCCCGATCGCGGCCCAAACGACGCCTCTCTGCTTGCCGTCGTGCATCTTGCTTGTAACGCTCCGTCTCATTTTTTCTTTTTGTCCTTTTTGCTCTTGTTGCCCCCACCTCCGCCTTGGCCTCCGCCGGCAGTAACTTCGCCGCCGCTTGCAGCGCCTCCCATGTCTCCCTGCATCTCGGCCATCATGTCCTGGAGGAAATTCTCACTAACGCCCCCACCCGTCAGCGCTGGAGAGTGAAGTGGAAGGATCTTGTTTAGTTTCCAACCCTTGGGCACGGCAGGTTCCGGCATTTCCTTGGGCATTGGAAGACCCCTGATGGGCAGTCTGAAAGGGCTGTTCTTCTGTATAGGGTGCGCCTTCAAGTACTGGGAGACCAGGATATAGAGATGATGCTTGTTCTTGACGTTTCTGTTCAGCTGCTTTCCATCCTGCTTGAGCAAGACCCGAATGCGGCCTGGGTTGCTCCAATCTTTGGGGTGAAGCTTGTCGGGCTCGAATACTGTTTGGAGTCCCAGGCTTGCGGTGGCATCAGCCATGTCGCGCGCGAGCGGATTATCCACTGCTAGCTCCGCCCCTACACGGCGTCCTTCGGCTCGCGTGCGAGACTTGTCAAAGTATATTGGGTATAGACACTGGAAATGCTTGGATTTCTCGCGATCGGCAGATGTGGTGACCCCCGGGGCTTGGGGTTGCAACATTTCGGCGGGTAGCGCCGAGTTGGGTATGTGGGACGCATCGATAGCGGAAGGAGCATCCGAAATCTCCATCTCCGGAGGATCAGAGTCCGAGTCGGACACCTCCTCGACTCGCGGGTTCATTCTGGAGGGTTGTTCCTATTTGCGTGCAGAGCGCGCGGCGGATGTGGGTGCAGCAAGCCGTGTCACGGGCCGAGGGTCGGCGTCTACGGCGTGCTGCAGGTGTCAGAAGGACCGGAAACCTTTTCCCAGGGCGCGGCAGCGGGCGTGGCGCGGCGTCAATGCGTTTATGGGGTTGTTGTTGGCGTATACGGCTTGCTCATGGGCGGGTGTGGGGTGAAGGAGTGAGAGGTCGTTTGTGCGCGCGCCGTGGCAGGGCTAGCGGGCAGGGTCCTGGAGGGGCAGCAACGCCCGAGCCGCAACCTTCCACCTCGGGCCGACGTCGCATGCGGGTGTGCCGAAAGGCTGGTCCCAGATACAGCCAACCTTCCCATGAGCTTGGAAGCCCCACCTCGGACACAAAACCCATGCCTGCACCTGCATGCCTGACACGAGGCATCGACTCTATTCCGGGCTTATGCCTACACCGCAACAGTCAGTCCAAACTTTGATCCTTTGCATGTAGGACACGCCGCCCGTGATGATCACCAAAGACGTCTGCATGCGGCACGGCAGCCGTAGCCGCGAATCACAACTTCCATTTGCACGTCTCCCGTAAGCTTGCCCTACGGCTTATCATCAGCTATTATGCACCTTGACCGGTTGTAAAGCCTCACTCCACGGCTGAACAAGGCTGCATTCGCCTGGGCTCTCGTTGCGTGGCGCCTAGTCCACCGTGCCAGCTGTAGCTCCGTCCGCCGGGCATCTCGCTTGAACGCCAGAAAGCCTCTTATATACTCAGCGCCTCCCATGTCTACCAATGGCATGCTGAGACGACGCCGCATCTTCCATCTTGTGGCTACCTGCGCACCGGTTATGATTCCCCTTGGTACGCAGCTTCATTTCGACAAGGTGAGAGACCTTGACGATTTGACTGCCGGTGTCTTCTCAGCAGAACGTCGTCGGTTGGCCGCCTTCCGGGTCTCGATCTTCAGTCTCTGTCGGGCTGAGCAGAATGGTCTACCAGGGGTTTACCTGGAATGGTTTCTGACGCGCCCCATGGTCTCCATGTGGCCGACTCATGCATGACGCATTCGCCTACCTGTTCCTGGCAGGAAGTGCAGAGGCGCCGCGGGCTGCAGTGGCTTCTGGAAAAACTAGACGTGCATATGGTATCTTGTTGGTGCAAGTGCACATGAGCCGAAAGGATTCATCCTATAGACAGGGTTGTACCTGTATCGACCTACCAGCGAACGCCGCTTCGCAAGCTCTTTGGCTATGTTACCACACGCGGGGTTACAGCACAAGCATCGTCATGCCAGGCTATGTCCAGAGTATCATGCCCACGCTCACGCCTCAACGGCAAAGAGGGGAGTCGACCACACATCCGTTCGACCACATAACGTTCCTGCATGAAGGATGCATCCCCTGAACTGGCTGCTCTTGGCAATCTGCCACTCGGGAATCAGGAACCAGATCTGTTTTCCTGCCTTGCTAACGATACGCCCACAGACAGGCAATGCGTAAGTGAGCTGCCTGAAGGATATCTCATCGGTGTGCAAACTGCGTTTGGTAGCCTGGGAAGAAACGAGAAGATCTTCCTCGCCTTATTTTCCGATTGTGGCGGATATGATCAAGTGATAAGGCTCGAATGGCGAAGAATTAGCGTTCAAGCACTCTTCGGTCAGAGCGGTGGATGAAGCCGACTATTCCGGCCCGACGCTAGACAGTCTAAGCTCAAGGTTCCTCGGCATACCGAACAAAGGCGGTCCGCGTGGAGTTGACCAAGATATTCAGGAAAGAGGCTATCTATCTACCGGCGCTAGCCTGCGTGTGACCCATGGATCCGGAGGCGGAGCAAGGTCAGGTCCAAAGATCGGTGAAGAATGGAGCGCTTGGGCAGCGTCCATTATAAAACCCTCTAACACCTCCAGCTTCTCTCACTCCATCTACACTCTCCTTCCTCTCCCAGTGATCTTCAAGTCTGCCCACTCTTCTTTGTTCTACTCAGCTTTCATTACACTATGCTCACCGCAAGAAAGTCTACACGAAGGACTTCCCAAGTTACGTCTCCGACAGCCGTCCCTACCAACCGGCTTCCTCTAAGCAGCACTTTGCCTATTAGCGGTTCAGCACCAAGAGCTTCGACCCAATTCCCACGGAGCTTCCAGAAATTGACGGTCGAGCAAGTAGGCTCCGAGAGCCATTGTTACCTCACCGAAGATGGCCGGAAGATCCTCGATGTTTCCAGCGGAGCTGCAGTGAGTTGCTTCGGACCCGGCCCGAATACGAGAATTGAGGACGCGGTGAATGCTGCATATAAAAAATATGGAGGTTACAGTTGTGGATATTCCTTCACCAACGGCCCTGCAAAAGCCTTTATCGAGGCTCTTGTACGAAGTACCGATGGCCATATGGAAACGGCCATCTTGTATCTCTCAGGTGAGTGTCTGTCCAACTCTACGGCCTACATCTAATCCACTCTTCAGGATCTGATGCTGTGGAGGCCGCAGTAAAATTGCTCCTGCAGCATCATGCGGAACGCGGACAACCAGAAAGGACGGTGTTCGTTGCTCGCTATCAGTCCTACCACGGAACGACTTTTGGAGCGCTCTCACTAGGGTCGTTCTATACTAGAAGGAAACCTTTCGAGGAGGTTTTAATGGATGTTCCTCGTGTTTCGGCATGCAACCCATATCGCAACAAGAAAAGTGAAGAAACGGATCAGCAATATGTCGCACGTCTCCGAGCGGATCTGGAACAGACATTTGTGGACGTGGGTCCAGCAAAGATAGCCGGCTTCATCTGCGAGCCCGTAGTAGGCGCAGTAAGTACAAAACACGTTTCTTTGCATCGCATCACACATGTATGAAGCACACTTTTCGTGTCGTTGGGATTTAGTTTGTTCGGATGGTTACACAAACTGCAAGCCAAGCCTAACCCTGGTTGGCCGACCTTTTCGCTTCGATCCTATGCATCCTGATACCCAATCACTGACTGTAACTATAGGCTCTGGGTTGCATGACGGCTGTTCCTGGTTACCTCCAAGCAGTGCGTGAAGTTTGCGACAAATACCATGTTCCACTTGTTTTCGATGAGATTATGTGTGGTTGGGGACGGTGCGGCACCCTCCACGCGTGGCAAGATGAAGGTGTCGTGCCCGATATCCAGCTCCTGGGAAAGGGGCTGGTCGGGGGCTATGAGCCACTCTCCGCGATGCTCATCAGCAAGAAGCTGGATTCTACCAATGCGATCCGCAATGGCTCGGGATACTTCAATCATGGACATACTATTCAGGGTATGCCCAAAACGTGCGCCGGGGCTCTTGAGGCCATGAATATGGTGGAGGAGCTCTTACCCAATGTGAGAGCGATGGGCGAGCGCCTGATGAGAGGTCTTCGAGCCAGGCTCGGAGTTCACGATAACGTTGGTGACATCCGGGGCAAGGGGCTGTTCATCGGGGTGAGTATGCAGTCAGATTGCTGTAGGTTCCTCAATTGACTTTACCAGATTGAATTCGTCTCAGACAAGCTTTCAAAAGCTGCTTTCAGCCCAGATGACAAAGTCGCTGTCAAAATTCATGAAATGGGTGTGTCGCATTCCTACAGCGTACTCTTCCCTCTGAAGATGCAGACTAACCAGTAGACTAGGTCTCACAAACCCACACAACATCCATGTCTACCCTGGTACCGGTAGTGCTACACCTCATGGTAGAGACGGCGATCATATCATCATCGCGCCCCCCTACGACGTTGACGAAGCCGAGGTCGACTCCATCGTTAATCGCGTCGGCGACCTGATCGAAGACTTCTTCAAGGAGCATAAGCCTATTACGCAGTAGCCTTGTCTTCACGGTAACACATGATACCGAATCTGCACAATTGTATCAACAGACTTGCACATAAGGGCGGGATTCAAAGATTGGGGGTTCTTGTCGCTTTTTTCGGTGTTGCGGCGGGGTGAGCTTGATTCTGCGAGGCAATTTGATGATGCGCACGACATAGTTTTGGTTGGAGAGGTCTTCTGAGCGATTCAGCAAGTGCAGCGTGTAGTTTGGCGGTACGTTGCTTGACTGTCTTTTCCTTGATGCTTTCTGTATTCCTCCATTTGCTCTACCAGACTGGAAATGACCTCGTCGTCCATTTTGGATATAATTAACCACTTCAATGAACTCACTGTAAACGTACCTCCCTTCCCATGCTTCAGAGTTTAGTAATGCTAGGCTGCTCCTTGCCCACCGAGAATACAATCACAGAACCAGGTACCAGCGTCCTGTGAGTCCTTGAGCTAACTCGAACCCCGCAATCCGCGGTCTTGATTCCGTCACCTTCCACACCTCCCCGATTTCGCAGAATCCCGAGAGTCTCGCCCCTCGGCCCTTGGCATCCCCCACCGAGCCGACCACTCGACGTCGCAACAGCATGCCCAACAAATTGCGTCGCTCCCAAGTCAACGGCTCCGCTCACCAATACAGCGACTTGCATTCGGTCCTGGCGTCCAATGTTAGCACGCGGACGCATGCAGTTCAGAGGCCAAAACTGCCCTTTCCGCCACACGGCAACGACGGCAGCGGTTCTCTGAACTCATGATGCACTGTGGGTCGCTTGCTACGCTACATGACGACAGCGCGCTGGCAACAGAGCAGAAGCAAGGACAGCATCAGAAGCGGAAGAATGCGACAGGATGAGTAGACGCTGGACGGTATACGAGTGTGCTTGCCGTGCGACTATTGATTGATGGACCGCGCGGCGGAAAGGACTCCCTTCCAAGCGGAGACCTCGTCACACCGGTCGGGAGCACCATCTCCTCAAGGGCGGCGACAGAAGGCGGGACAGGGCGCCCTATAAGCCTCGGAGTGCGTGTACGAAGGCTGAGGTGGGAGCCGATTGTGCGAGACGATGCACGCGCTGGGGGGGACAGAAATTGCCTGATGACCCTTCGCTCACGTTCGCGCGAGAGGGAAACTTCTGGCCTGGGAAGAGGGGCCTGCAGCGTTGTCATGGAGGACGAAGGACGGCTCACATCAGCCTTGCCTTGATTGCGACGGACATGTCTTCTGCCTCGCACATTCACTTGCACTTCTAAGATGCACAGCGAGCGGATATGTCTACACACCGTTGCACGCATCAGGCCTCGTCGCACGTCTGAGGGTTCAGACGGCACGTGACCTCGGCATTCAGTCCAGCACTGTCTCGGTTTCAGGCATTGCTATTGGTAGTGGAACCTCCGGAACGATCTGTGTGATGTAGAAAAGTTGTCTGCCGGAGCACGAAGGTCCATACAACGATGAGGATCCCGCGGCCTGTACACACAGCTTCTTCGAATGCGTACGAAGGTCGCGCGATATCTCACATAAACTTCGCATATGTAGGAAGAACAGAGCGTTGTCTAGACAAGACGAAAGAGACGCAATGATGGAGAGCACCAGCCAACGGTCACATAAAGATCTCCCGTGTGTGGAGGGTTGCAGCGGTGGCAGTCTGCGACATTGGCGTCTTCCACTCGGCACAGGGCTTTCGCAATCGCTTTGAGCAACAGGCTGAGTCGAAGCCATCCAATCTTCCTGTATACCTACTACTTGCCTGGCATAGCATGGCTGAGCAACGCCGTGGCCCTCCGGCTTCCAGGCTGTCAGCCCGGCGTAACGTAGGTACGAATCCAGGTGCGGAGAGGCAGCCTTTTACGCAGGCTGCGCAGGCTACGCAGGCTCGCGGCGCAAGCGACCGAATAGCTATTAAGTGGGAGGGGGCGCCGTCTTTTGTCGGGTGAATTGAATGGGTTAGCTACCTGGCCTGTCCGCCAGGTGACGCCGCACCCGCGCTGCTGCAGTTTGCGAGCAACAATAGTAGAGCAGCCTGTATTGTATCGACGAGTAGCCAAGGACGCGTGGAGGAGACTTCTTTCTGTGTAGAATGATATTGTACGCGCTATGTCGCGGCGCTATTGCGGTTGCCATGGCCGCGAATGACGACCCAACGACACTGCACTTGCAGCAACTCAAGCGATCGGCGCTTTGACCCAGTCTCCGCTCCCAGTGACCCAATGCCAAAGCCTTCTGGCACCATCACGACCGTCCACCGTCCTCGCATGCCCTCCGCGTCCCATTCTTCTCAGACCGCTGCCCTGCCACCCCGCGAGTCCTCCCGCTGCGCCGTGATGCCCATGGTCGCCCGCGCAGCCGCCTGAAGAGCCCGTCTCCGCATCTCCCTCGACCGGCTGGCTGGCCTGCGATAACGGTTACCGGGCGCCTCCACACGACGAGCAGCACGCCCACGGGTAAAACTCTGCCTCTGCGTCGCTGACACTCAAACGGCGAGCCCAGCAGCCCGCCTTCACCCGCTGAAGACGCTGCCCGACTGCAAGACCCGCGAAGAGATAGTGTTTCAACGCCCATCCTCGCTCGCCGACAGGCCCTAGAGACATGTCGACGCCTTCCACGGCCACGGCCACGCTCCCTCCCCATCATCAGTTCTATTCTCACCACCAGACATACCAGCCTGCCCTTTCCAATGGGCAGCTCCCAAACGGCACTGCTCGGATAGGAAACACGCTGTACAACGGCTACGCTAGCGGGTCCTCGAATTCGGACCTACGCAGAACCGCAGCTGCGCACCGCCAGACGCAGCAACTGCCTCCAATCGCGCCCGAAATGTCAGACAGCGCAGCCCGCGCGGATAAGCGGAGGGGCCCGGACTGGAACGAGTTTTACAGGAATGGCCTGCCCAAAGAGGTCATCGTCATTGACGATGACGACGAGGAGCAGCCTACACGCGCTCCTCCAGCAGCAGTGCCCAGCCGAACCGCAACAAATGGTTCGACGAAACACACGGACAAGAAGAGGAAAACGACTGCTTCGACGGCATATGATCCTGTGTACAGCCAGCACACATCGTACTCGACTACGCAGACCCCATACTACGACTCGCCTAATGGCCACTCAACACCCGCCGATCGTACCGCTTCTGCGCACAAGACCACCGCAGGCACCTCTATCGGCTCGAGCAACGGTCACCACATTTCACCTCTAGATAACAGCGTGGTCGGCCAGAAGAGGAAGCGTACCCGAGCAGCCGTGCAGGACGAGGCTAAGGAAGCCAAGCGAAGAGAGTTGGATGACCAGGACCCGTTTGCCCTGTATCAACCGCCACCAAACCCCGTCATCAAGGCCAAGGAGGTCTATGTGTCTGTTGTCCCGGATGTAAGAGCACCCTATCGGACATTGAGCTGAGGCTCACATACTGACTGTCTCAGAAATCGCACACTAAGGACCACAAGGTGGACGACGAAGACGGACATTACATGATCCACCCTGAGGCTGACCTGACTGAACGATGTATGTGCACGAAGCACACTGACGAAAGGGACCATGCTTACAATTGCCCAGACCAAATCATCAAGTTGCTCGGCCAAGGAACCTTCGGCAAGGTCGTCGAGGCCTGGGATAGGCAGAAGCGGACCAAGTGCGCCATTAAAGTCATTCGATCAGTCCCCAAATACCGAGAAGCCTCTCGCATCGAGCTGAGGGTGCTGTCCACCCTGAAGTCCAACGATCAGTACAACATAAATCGCTGCATACACCTCAGGGACTGCTTCGACTTCAGGAACCACATCTGCATCGTCACCGACCTCTACGGTCAAAGTGTCTTCGATTTCCTGAAGTCAAACGCGTTTGTGCCCTTCCCGAGCTCACATATTCAGAAGTTCGCCAAGCAGCTGTTCACCAGTGTAGCCTTTCTGCACGACTTGAACCTGATCCACACCGATCTGAAGCCCGAGAACATACTTCTGGTCAACAACAACTACCAGACCTTCACATACAATCGGACCGTCCCTTCCTCCTCTACGCTGACAAACCGACAAGCACGGCATCGTAAAGTACTGCTGGATCCGGAGATCCGGTTAATCGACTTCGGCTCCGCCACATTCAATGATGAGTACCACTCGTCTGTTGTGTCAACTCGTCACTACCGTGCACCCGAAATTATACTCAACCTGGGATGGAGCTACCCATGCGACATTTGGAGTATCGGCTGTATATTAGTAGAGTTCTTCACGGGCGACGCTCTCTTCCAGACACACGATAACCTCGAGCATCTTGCCATGATGGAGGCTGTGTGCGGTGGCAAGATTGATCGTGATATCATCAAGCAGGTGTACAAGCAAGATCGGGACAGGCGAAACTCGTCGTCATCGTAAGTCTTGCTGTGTGCATGGTCATTATCAAAGCAATCGCTAATTTCTCAGTGCTGCCCGATATTTCAAGAACTACAAGCTCGACTACCCCAACACAGAGACTCAGAAGGGCTCAAAGAAGTTTGTGAAGGCTATGAAGAAGCTTCACGTAAGGATTACACCACCCTTTTTTTAAGTATTTGACCGTGAGCTAACCTTTCTGCCAGGAAACCATACCGCCCCACACCGAGTTCAATAGAAAATTCCTTGACCTGCTAAAGCGGATATTCGTATACGACCCCAAGAAGCGCATATCGGCGAAGGACGCTCTGCAACATCCATGGTTCCAGGAGACTCTACTGGATGACGGCACGGAAGCGCACAAGATCAGGCTAGAAAGGGAAAAGAAGCTTCGTGCGCGGCAGGAAGAGGAACGTCGCCTCGATCGATACCAACAACGGGAACCGCGAGGCTACTGAGGCAATTGTGCATTTATATCCTATTCGGTCGGCAAACGACCATTTCAAACTCGCCGTAGCTCGCGAACAGGCGTTGCGACGGATCCTTACTTGGGCTTCGTGCTTTTCACATCTTTTGCATTTACGACGGTGATACGATGCATGGAGGAAACGGATGGACAGAGCCTAAGGGCTCTATTGGCGTTACCCAAGTCTATGTTATCTCTGGTTATGTCCATTCTCACTCAGCTCGACGGACAGAGAAACCTTCCTCTCCGTGTTCGTACTATGTGTGCAAATATTGCTCACCGTTCTCGCCAAGTCGAAACGATGGATCAAAAGCCAACTGATATATCATTTAGCGAGCACGATCTTAGCACAAAAGCATAGTATAAGAGAAGGACCATGCGAAGAGGGGTGAGCCATGGTGCGGAGACTTGAGGATCGGGCTGATGAGAAGAGGGCTCGGTTTGCTTATGAAGAAGGCGGGCGTTTGTATAATCTACTCTGTGGGACTCTGTATTCAGGGCACAATGGGTTGCAACAGGGTAGCTCGAGAATCAAGTGATGCAAGCCTCGCTTTCTCTGTTGAGAAGGGAAATGCGAAACAACAACATGTCATAAGCACAATGTCTTCTTTCGCTTTCGCTGTGAGATTCGTGGGGATGACACAAGGGGTTGCTAGTAAGGAATCGGAGATATTGCCCACTTAGGGAGGGAGAGGTGATCTGCAGCAGAATTAATTATGGGGTTCTCTGCCCGTCACTCTCATCCTGCTTCGTACGCGCTGGACTTACTTGTGCATCAGCACATGCGGTCATTCGGGAGGTTGCATCATTCGACGAGCAGTAGTCTACTTGCTGATGCGAAGGGAAAGCTCAGCCGAGGCGGCATGCCAAGACAACGCGGGGCCAATCGGCGTAGGACTGGGGTAAACATCATATGGTAAACAGTTCGCGCGCGTTGCGACGACATTCGAAGCTACGGGCGCGACCCCAGCATGGCGCACGCGAAGCAGCATGAGAATCTGTTACTTACGGAACACTTCACTTGGCCACCTATTGTGAGTAATTTGAGCCTTTGCAAACGAGTGGGAAGTGCTAATGTGCAACAGTCCCTTATCGACGACATCATCAACACAGTCAATGACTCGCTATACAGCTGTAATGACACGCTCGAGACGGGCTTGCTATCCGCCGACCCCTCCTTCTTAGGATTCACACCGCGGCTAGACGAAAGCGAGGAGCAGACGCACGAGCGGGCAAGATTGGAGATCGAGGAGGGCGCGCAGAAACTCGAGACCCTAATGATAGACGCGGTGGATAGAAATTTCGATAGGTTAGAGATTTGGACGCTCAGGAATGTGCTGTGTTTGCCGCGCGAGGAGGGGTTTGAGAATTGGGTGCGGTTGAGCCATTATGAGGTACGCTCCCAACGTGAATTCTAGAGACGAGAGAGAGCTAATTGACGGATGAACAGGGTTTGAAGATCCCACCAAAGAACAACACACTCACGCCAGAAGCACTTTATGCCCTCCGTCGTAAACTCGTTGAAACGAGCAAACTCCACGCCGCCCTCGTCACAGAAAGGACCCGCAACGAAGTGCAAATAGCCCGCCTGCGTGCGCTCTTCACCCCCCCGAAACAGGTCCCTCGCTCTTCGACAGCGTCTGAGAAAGACAAAAGCGAAGCGCAAGGCACCGCACCCTTCGCCTTCCTCACGCACGCCCCCGCCGCGCAAGCCCTCGGCGTACAAGCCCTCCCTCTGCCTACCACATCGACGAAGCCAGAATCAAGAACACCCCTCACAACGCATACAACCTTCACAACGAGCCAACTCCCACATCTGCGACAGCTTCTCGCGCAGCTGAAACCGCACCTCGCTTCAAGTGCACTGCCTTCTGGCAAGTCGGGAGAGAGCGAAGAGCGCGCAAAGGAGAGGAGAGTATATATTGAAAGTCAGAGTCGGAGGGTGCTGGAGAGGAGGGGAGTGGATACTAGAGATGGGGTTGAGGGGAATGTGGAGGGGAGCAGGGTGAGGGTTGAAGAATTAAGTGCGTTGGAGGGCATTGTGGGGACTTTAGATACTGATAGGACAGAAGATGGCGAGGCTATGGATACGTCGTGACGAGCTGGGTAAGATAGGAGGGCAAATGTTGGGCGTTTCCAGATGGAATTGAGAGGGGTTACCTCTTGTTTACAATGGCGTTTGAATACGGATCCTTTGATACCAATGTTACGATTTCTTTCTTTTCGTGGTCGACCAGATTTCAAAACCAGGCGTACTGTGACTAAATTCACACGCCTGAGCATTACATCGGTTTACGCGTCAAACCTCTTCACGACACCACAGCCGATCACAAGGCCTGTCCTGCATGGACAGTGCATTCGCATAGCTTCGTAGTGACCCTCCACGCTGTATAAGTAGCCTGCAGCCAAGCGAAAGATGTCCCGATCAAGCACCCTGTGTGACTTCACAGCTGAATACCAGTCTCGCCAGCAAACTCGATTGTCTATGCTCCAGTCACATATCGCCGTGAAAGTCTTCTCTGTATGGGCTGTTTCAGCCTCGAAGTCAATTAGGCTTGCGCAATAGCTATATTCCTCAAAGAGATCGGGGATCCAATCAGCCTCGCCATTTCTCACATACTGAAACACACCGCGAGAATCTGGCCATGAACCTCAAATCGATCGGCGGGAAATATCAACCATGGCACGAGTGGGGCATTAGGCAGCGCTGGTTTCCAGATCGTCTCGCTCCAGAATGTGTCAAGGTCCCATACAAGAGCATGATTGCCGCCTGCGTTAATTTCATCAAAATGTAAAGGTCAAAGGGACGGACTCACCTGCTGTCCCGTTCATCGACGTAACCACTCAAACAAGGTGAGCTGAATAATTATATAACTCTCTAAGCTAAACTTCTTTATATGCTTCCAGACCTAGATCTCCGTAGTCCCTCTCGGCTTACACCTCGACTCATCATGCAGCTTAGGATGCTTGTAACAATGACCTTGACAAACGCCACGTTACCCATACAATAACTCCCTGTTCCTCCCTTTGACGTCAGAACGAACGGCAAATTAGCACCAAAGAGTCCGACGACAACATCGCCGGGCACGATTCCGGTCAGCGCATCGGGATGATACGACCTCCCAATCCCCGGCTTCGCTCGTGACGAATAAGGTCAGGCCTTAAGCTGTGCTAGCTAATTGGCACAGGGAATTTGTCTGTGCCTAGTGGGCGCGAAGTTAGGGCTTCCGGTAGCGGCATCTCGCAAATGCGAGTCGAAAGTGCGCTGGAAAGTCATGTTCGGGAACATTCCACCATTTCTCGGAGCCGGCGACGAGCATGCGCAAGAATACTTCTGAGGTGATACCGCGGGGCTTGACCAGTTCATCGAAGATCTGGCGTAGGTTGAGAATTGGAAGAGGGACAGTACTGGGAGGTCGAAGTGCAACTTCTGTGTCAAGGAGCAGGTCCTTCGATGTTGCTACAATGGTCCAGACATGAGTTCCAGCTGTCTGCAGCGACGAGTCTGAGAGCTGTCGAGCGATGGATCCGAGGCCTTTATGATCCCCTTTTATCCCTTCCCAAAGCAACCTGTACATATGGTGTCCCCACAAACACTGGGCGCGGTTAGAAATAGCCTGCATCTGGGTATTGGAATGTTATTGTGAGGTCCATTACCCATGATGGCAGGCCGGTGACCGTTGTAACGTGCGGCGCGTGGGCAGCGCAAAGATGGTGCAAAAGAAGTCTTCGGTATAAGGTCCACGGTTCCTTTAGAATTACATGAAGGGCGGTTCTATGAACACATCTCGCATACGTATCGTGTAATCCGGTATTATATTTGGTATGAAATCTGTACCGCTGCACATACCCAGTATACCATACCATACACTTTAGCTCGTGGATCCGTCGCGTCGAATTCGGCGATCTGCATGAGGATGATCTCCGAATGAGGCGAAGGAATTGTCATGCCTCATCTCCTTGGTTGATGCAAATTTGGTCCGCCCAAAGCACACGAGATATATCCTGGTGGCGGAGATGACGAAGAGCGCTATCGAGATTCGATTCGATAGACATTCCGATGCCTTTCATGGACGCTTTCCGAGCTGATGTGCCTTAGCCCCATGCATATAACAGGGCTCCGTACGTGAGCATGTTAGATCCGGATGCAGCTTTGACACGGAGGGAAACCACAAGGTCATCGTCGAAGTTGCCAGGCGCGAGGGTCGCTATGCCAATTTTTTGCTTTCCGGCTTAGAGTGGAGAGTATAGCAAGTGAGAGGATACTCGACTGTGTATTAGTAGAAATCTTTACATAGTCGTGCTGGATCGAATGGTATCGTGCACTCATACAATCAGAGCATGCGTGAAGTGGAAGACCAGGCTACGTCTTTCAATCGAAATAGTAATGTCGTCGATAGACTGAGCCGTCAGATTTCAAGTTAGAGTTCAATTTCGTCCTGTAATGCGATACTAATAGTAGTGGGCCCAGCACCTGCGTGAGCATTATATTGTGTTGAATCTGAACAAAGAACTTTCCAACCTAGATCATTTAGTCGGTGTGGTTGTCGGCTCCTTGATTTGCGTACGTTGCGTCTCAAAACTGACCTTGATGGCGACGGTACGGCTGCATACATGACGTACCACATGCTCGGAGCGATGCATCCTTCAATTGTAAGAGGAGACAGGATGGAAAGAGTACGGTGAATCATGTCATGACTGGCCGACGGAGAAAATCTGCCAAATATAGAGAAAACAAAATCTGTTTTTGAGGCTCTATGTCTTCTTGTGATCCCCACACGCCTTGTATGCAAATGCATATATCACCCCAACACTAAGATATGCAGCCAGCGCCATCTATGCACATAAATACAACCTCTCCCTTTTGCAATCATACCTGCTGTCCTACATTTCCCTCCTGCAGTGCCTTCCTACCAGCCTTCTCATCCCTCTCCCTCTCTACCTGCTCCGCCTCCTCCCTCTTTTTCGCCATTAGATACTGACAAAACTTACTCTTTTCCCTCATCTTACCGCCCCACTTTAAAAAAACAAACGGCACCACGCACAGCGCCACGCTAAAGAAACCAAGTAGAGAGGTAGCCCACGCAACGCCCATGGCTCGGTACATCGGCTTTGCTGCGAAGGGTAGGACAGCGCCGAAGGACGAGCGACTGAGGGAGGCGGCTGCCATAGCCGATGCAGCAAAAATCTCATACGCGTCGACGAGGTAATTGAGCAGCGCCATGAACAAGCACAGATACCCCATTCCAAACAACATGCTCGCAAGGCAAGGCACAATCCAGTGTATATCCGGTCTTGCCGTCCAGCCAAGCCAGAAACTACTGATTACGAAGAACGGGCCTGCGATGCAAGCGAGTGGGAGCCGGCGCATTTCTTCGTTTTGGGACCAGGGCTTCCCAGCGTTTTGGGCGCGGCGAAGTATGAAATCCCAGAGGAGGTAGAGAGCCGCGGAGACGATGGCGCCGACGCCGATAGGCAGGAAGGTCAGTCCTTCTTCGCCGGCATTGAAGTGGTAGATGTCGATGAAGATGAGGGGGAAGGATTGGAAGTAGATGTAGAAGATTGCGTCTACCGCACCAATTTCAGCGTCCCAGTGGCAGAAAGGGGCAAGGAACGGGGACTTACACGCAAAGCTAAGATACAGACAAGTGAACAGAACGAGCGGCTCAAAGCAAATCATGCGTAGTGGCCTCGTAAGCACCGTCGTAACTATATGCCGGAGGTTCGTCTTCTCGAGCTCAAGTGGTGCGATGATGGACTCATCGTCTGTTTCTCTTCTCATCCGCTGCGCACGGTATTTTAGAATAACCGGACCGTATGTCTCTGGGAAAAAGAAGAACAGCGGCCACGACGCGCCCGCGAAGATTGCACCGATCCAAAAAGCCCAAGACCAGCTGATCACCGAGATAAACCCGCTGATGGGCGGCCCGAGAATGGGTCCGAACGTCGTCGCTGCCTGTCCAACGCATGAGCATTGCCGAAAAAGTTGCTTTCAGCTTGGGAGGTGCTGACCATGAAGATTGCCATGCTTCTCCCTCTAGACACGGGGTCGTGGTAGATGTCTGCGCAGACGCCGCCGACGACTGAGATTGCGCAGGACCCTCCCAGTCCTACCATTAATCGGAAGACCACCAAAGCGGCGAAGTTTGGTGCGACAGCAGATGCTATTGTGAATATTGTAAAGTAGGCAAATGAGCCGATCATGACCCATCTGCGGCCGTATGATTCGGATAACGGACCCCAAATCATGGGCCCACCAACGTATCCTACTAGGTACATAGATGTTGGTAAGATCAATTGAGCTTCGTTCGTGATGCCAAAATGTTTTGATATTGGTGCAGTTGCTCCTGCTGCAAGACTGCGTTCGATCAGCCAGTGAGTCAGCGTTGTCTCCAGGGTTGACACGTACGACGAGCCCATCGTACTGTTCATGACTACATGGCTATTAGCTTGCTCTGCTTTCATAGTCTGATAACTTACCACTCATGATAGCTACAAATAGCGAATACAGCTTCTTCCACTGTGCGAGGTGTCAGTCTTGAGCCCGATGCGGAGCAAGGCGCTTTCTATACCATGCCCCAGTTGTTTGGATTCTCTGGGTCGCCATCCTCAAATCTTATTATCCTCCTCTTGGGCTCTCCAGAACCACATTTGTTATCCACGGCATCAGAGCATGATTCCGGAGTTGCACTTTCCTTTGCTTCGTCGCCCTTCTCGACGTCCGAAGTCGGCTCAATGTCAAGGTCGTATATGGTAGGTATTCGCGCGCGAGACGCTCCTATAACTCTTTAGATCTGCTTGCAGCATCTCGCGTTGCCCACGTGGGTCAAGGTGCATATATATGCTGTTGGACGTACGTTGGCTGAGTTGCGTCACACTGCGGACAAGAGCAACTGGAGTAGCTTCTTGCTCTAACCCGTCTCGCTGCAGACGACTCTCACGGGAATAAGTCCTCTCCAGATTATCTTGATCGTCTGCCATGGTGCAGGCAGCGGTCGACTTCTGAAGGGCAAAGAAACCAATAGAATGGAACTGTTGGCATAATTCTTTCAATATTCCGGAAACCCGATGACAAAAGAGCGAATGCGAGATTTTTAGGACATTGGGGATCCATGCAAACGCCCCCGCGTTAGGTTAACGGTATACCCGAGGTGGACATACCATACCGATTTGGCCTGCATGATGCAGATCCAACCCGGGACTAGGGATGCAAGTCGGGGGCCAAAAACGGCACGTGATCAGTAATGACGGCACTCTAACTTGATCGCGATGGCGTCCACTACGGTATTTCGCCCTGGGGTGAAGTCGGCGAGAATCATTTTCGGCTGGGGAACACCAACAGCGCGGCAAAGATCAACGGGCGGCCCGAAACGAAGCAACGCCGAATTTGCCAATCATTACTCGGTATAAGTTCTGTGCAGGCCGATAGGATACAAGAAGTTGAGACAGAAGCTGATGAACTTGATGAATTTCGTTTCAAACTGAATTTGTGTGCCGTGTGCGCCTAACCGGAAACCGTTATCCAACACCGGACTGCTGTTGGTGGCTTTACGTCTCGAGATTGATACTTCTTCCGAATCTGCCATATAGCAACTTTTTCAGCTCTGCCATTTCGTCGTGGACAGTGTCGAGGCGCTTCTTCAAGGCATCGACGTCACCGTCAATTGCTTCTGTAGATGAAGAGAGCAGCTCGAGGACTTCGGGCTGCGGTAATGAGACAAAGCAATCGCCAACCTTGTAGCTGTCGGACTGATTTCAGCCTCCTTCGTCCGGCATGTTTCGCACGACAGTACGTGGAGTGAATGCGAGCAAGTTGTAGTACTTACGGCACCTTCTCCTCCTCATCCACTAGCTCTAGCTCGCCCGATATCTCCTCTAGATCCTCCTTCTCCTTCTGTAAGGCAAGTCAGCCTTGCACTCAAAAACCAACATCTCGATGCTCTTGATTGGAATCCCACACGAGGCTCACTACCTTGGCGAAGGTCGTACTCACCAGCTTCGCTTTCAACTCCTCCTCAATGGCCGTCTCTTTCTGGTGCAGCGAGCTGAAGCGGTTAATCTTCTCTTGGTCCTCACGTCGCACCTCCATGTCTTCGGCACCTGCTGAGGCCTCATCATCCTTCGAGAGCTGTTCGTAGTACCGTTAGCGGGTCATGTCACAATGGCGATGGTAGTCTCTAGTCTCGGGAACAGGGGTCAGAAGAGCAAAAGGTAGAGCGATGTGGCCGCCGTTGTTGATGGGGCTGATATTGAGGAAAGCAAGTGGGGTGGGCAGGTGCAGTGGTGTGCAGCCAGGAAAGAGTAAAATTTGAGCGGGGGCCAGGCACCGACCATGCGACGTTGCATCTTGCCGTAACAACTGATTCGGGATTCGGGAGTAGACGATGGATAAAGTGATGTTTGGCGAGAAGTTCAGTCGTTGTGTCGCGATCGTCTTGGCAGTCGTGGTAATAAGAGTGAAGAGAACAGTGTTGATCAAGGCGCGCCATGACTCGCACGTGCCAAGACCTTACACAGAACGGGATAGCCCCTCCACGGTGTTCTCCTGTTAAAGTACGACAAGCGTTGCTGTGATACTCTATCATTGGCTAGACGACGCACTCAAAAATACAAAACCTTTTAGGAAGGATCAAAACATCTTTGGCAAATAACAATGTATCGTTCAACTGCTAAGGGAAGATCTCTGCCAAACCGTACAATCGAGTACCAAAACGCCCGGACGTGCTCTATATCAGGATAGAGAAGTCGTACCTATTATGTCGCCGCCTCATCGAATCCTTCTTTCTGCCACACCGTCCCTTCCTCCGCCGCCGCCGCCGCCGCAATTGGTCCTCCCGCATACGCGACATCTGCAATTGCGCTTGTATGCGTGCCTGCGTAGGAGAACAGCATCCAAAATACCATGAAATGCAGTCCAAACAAATACGCCGCGAACAGATTCCTACTCGTCCTCGTCTGTAGCACAAGTCTCGTCACCCTGAACACCATACGCTCAAGCACGTGCATCCTCCTAAACGCCCTCGCAGACTCGCGCCCGCGGAATGCAGCGAAGGGCGAGATGTTGGATTCGTAGGTAGAGCGGTACCGGTCCAAGGTGAGGCCTGAGGAGGTGTCGTTTGAGGTGTACAAGGGTGTTTGGGTAGGATTTGCGGTGTGTAAATTAGCAGAGGAGGCAGGGCCGCGGTTGTACGATGAAACGTAGCGCGTTTTCTCATAGAGGTCTAGATTGTCTTTTTGAAGGGCGCCAACTTCAGAGCGGAGAGAGGAGACACTCTGATAGCTCTTTTGGAGCTCGGCTTCGAGCTCGGCGTTGCGCTTTTTGAAGCGGTCACGTTGGGCGGTGACCATGGGGAGGATGCCGGAGCCGCCAACTGGGGCTTCGCCTACACGTAGGGCGGAGAGAGTGTTTTGTTGGGTGTGAGCTGGGTCGAAGCCTGAGATGATGGATGAGGTGGGCGAGGAGGCTCTTCCGCGACGGGTGCCGGCGAAGGAAGATTGGGGGTATCGTGATGTGTATGTGCCGGCTACTGACATAGCGGATGGGTCGAAAGCGTTTGAGGCCTCTTGCTGCACCTTCTCCAGGTCAGCTTCCAAGGTCTCATTCAGGTTCTTCGATTTCTCTAGCTCCATATTGGTGTTGGAGAGTTCGTCTTGTAGAGCTTCTAGCCGGCTTTGCAGATCCTGGTGTGAGACCCGCAGTACAGTGAGCTCGTTGCTGAGCTTCTTGTTGCGTGCGAGGAGAAGCTGCTCTAGTGTCTCGCCCTTGTCCTTGTTGGTGCCGCCATTCTGTGACAATGCGATCTCCGTGGCTTCATCATCGTCATCTCCTGTTGCGAATTCTATAGACTGTAGCTGTTTAGCCTATGATCATCGCGTCTACTTCAAGCCGGTGCGCTTACCTTCAACACTTCGAGCTCCTGCTTGACATTGTCGTAGTCACTCCACTTCTGAACCTTCTCGCGAAGAGCGTCCTTCTCGCTCTTCAATGTCTTGATCTCGCGCTCTAGGCCACGAGTTTCGGTCTCCAAGCGTGTTCTATCCGAGTCCTTCTCAAATCGGGCTGACTCCAATTTACGCAACAGTGATGAGTTTTCAGACTGCAACCGGAGGTAGGCCGGGTCATCTTCTACAGGAACATGCTGGGTGACATGGGCCGAAGCGGACTGCGCCAGCTCTAGACGCAGCTGCTCATTTCGAGCCTCGACTTCAGCAAGACGATGACTTGTCCTCTCCAGCTCAGAGCTGACGATTTCGAGCTCAGCTGCTGTTGCACCCCGCCCAACGTCTGCTTCGACGTCGTCGCCCTTGCCGAGCCTCTGCGAGACCTCGTAACTTGCCTTTAGCTCCTTGAGCAACCTGTCCTGGCTCTCCACTTTTTCTTCCAAGCTCTTCTCCTTGGACTCCCAATTGTCCTGTTTCTCGCCCAGCACAGCTTCCCACGATGCCTCGACTTCCTTGATCTTGCTATCTCTGCTGTCTTCCAAGGCTTTGCGGGCCGTTCGCTCCTCTTCTAATTTCTTCTCCGCTTCTTCTAATTGTGAGGTCAATCTTGACACGGTCTTCTGGAGGCGTTCATTCTCGGACGTGAGCTTCGGTACGATTTCTTCGGCGGTTACTAACGAGTCGATTGATGCTTCGAGAAGCGGGTAGGGATCAGGGGCTTCAGATAGCGGGGAATACAATTGGAAGAAAGCGGCCTGCACAGACTTGGACTGGTTTGATATTAGGTCGATGAAGCCTTGGTACGCTGCAAGTTGTAAGCAAACAACATAGACGGGATACCGCAGGGTGCTACATTTTAGTAGAGCTTTGATATCATTCAATCTGCTTGCATCGTCGAGCTTGCGAAAGTCTTTGGTCTTTTGCGCAAGATCTTTGCGCTGGGTGAGGGTATCTCTCTGGTGTGCTACGAGGTCTGAGGCTACCGTGTCGAGCTGCGGGACGAGGGTTGTCAGATCGATGTCTGCATCTACGGTCAGCGCAGCGAACCGGTAGTGATGATGCTATCACATACTCCGCCAGGCGCCTATGGCTTTCTGAAATTTGTTCTCCTCTGCATTGTCGGTTGTGCCGGGCGCGTCTTTCCTGGTCGCATCCCGGGAGCTCCTGCTCTCAGTATCCGAGAGGCTTTCCATGGCTATGTGGGGTTTCGTGGGCTTGATCTCGAGTGGGCGAGAGCGTAATTGCCAGCTGTTTCATAGGCAGCGCATCTGGGCTTTGCGACGGCGCATGGGTCGAGGCGTGTTGACGAGGCGGTTGCAGACAGCTTTCACGATGCATGGCGATGCGGGCTGGGGGCCACTACCGATTGGCTGGTCCTGCAGCTCCAACTTGGGCTTTCGTGCTTACTCCACCATCCGCGCCCGCCATGAGCTCTGTGTACTGCGCATAGAGAGCCATGGCGCCCATAGCACACGTACATCATGGCAGAAGCATCTCGCGCGCAGTTGAGCGCCCCCCCACTCCCGCAGGATGGCGCCTTCATCCTCCGCAAGCTGGTGTCCAACCTGCCGCTATCCGCTGACGACCAGTCGAACGACGTGCGCATAACATGTGTCGAAGTATGGGGTATGTCGATCCAGGGCGCACATATGAAGTTGTCAAAGATCTAAATTGTATAGATAATAACCTCTATGTGGGCACCTCTGCTGCAGAGGTCCTTCACTTCGTCCTCCTCCCCGCCGAGTCCAACGATCTCGCTGAAGAGCCAACAGCTATAATTGCTTCCCGGCTCGAGCCTACATTCAATCAAGCGAGCGATGCCGGCGTCCAGCAGATCCTCCTCTTACCGCAAGTCAATAAGGCCTGCATACGATGCAATAATTACCTGAGCTTCTACACGCTACCCGAACTAAGCCCCGACTCCAATGCGAAGCCGTTCTCGTCCTCATGGATTGGCGGCCTGGATATGAATGCGGAAGATGAGAATGAAGGCGCTGTGGTCATGGTGGGGCAGAAGAGCAAGACGCGGCTGGTCCGAATCACAGAAGATGGTGCTCCTCGAGCTCTTAAGACGATAGAGTACGGAGGCTGTGTCACATCTGTCCGGCGAGATGCATTTTCCTGTGCGGCTGACTCTCATTCGTATGCTCTGCTTGATGTGGAAAACGCGCAAAAGATCGGCCTGTTTCCTATATCATCGCTGGATCCGGATGCGGGCGACGTAGGGGGTGCCGCCGAAGACATCACTGCGACGCTGCAGCCGCCTTCGAGGAGTGTTTCATCTGCAGGTAATCATCCACGCGGATCGCAAGAAGAACCGAGAGGCCATTCCAGGAGCACAAGCTTAGGTATATTCAGTACCGCTGGTCCCGGTTCGCGCACCGAAAGCCCACGCGCACCTGCACAGAGATATGGCTTCGACGTGCCTGAGTCTCTATCTAGCAATATGTCGCCTGCCCCGGCTCCATCCCCAGGCCGGTCGCCTTCCAGAGGTCTCCCGGATAGAACATCAAGCTTGCCCAGATCTGGTGCCACCTCGCCGGACAAACCTCTACCTCCACCTCCTGCGACAGAAGAGACTGCCCAAGTGGAAGAGACGTCGGAAACGCTTCCTGATTTCGTCCCTTTGAAACCACTCATCGCATCGCCAACACCAAGCGAATTTCTTTTGACTGTAGGCACCACGTCCACCGACCCGGGAGTCGGCATGTTCGTCAACTTAGACGGAGACATGTCTCGCGGTAGCATAACATTTGCCAGCTATCCCGACGCCCTTGTCGTAGATGGTTCAGGATTCGACCTGTCTATGTCCATGGGACCGGACATGGATGCAGAAGAAGGCTATGTTTTAGCAGTTGTGCATACTGATGAAGATGGCCAACTCACATATGGCGTGGAGATTCAGAGGTGGGACCTGGATGCTGCTGAAGCAGAAGCCTCGAAGGAATGGCTAGACTTACGAGTGCTTGGCAATACCGTATCGAAGAATCAGATCGACATGCCTCTAGGAATGCGAACAGTCGTGCAGCCAGTGGATTTGACGCTTTCGGAGATTGGCGCTAAACTCATGGTCAAACGATTGCCATCGCCATCCTCTCTCTCAACAGCGTCCCCGGAGACCAACAAAGCGAAGGTTGCGCAAGAGAAGGCCGATGTTGAGTTCACAGAGCGATTGTCGAAGTTGCAAACCAAGATTGTGCTGTGGGCTGGTGACCAGATATGGTGGGCTGTGCGAAGCCCTCTGGTCATCAGGTTGGACTCTCGATTGGAAGAGGCACAGTTCACCAGCATTGGGGATCCTGGGCACATTCAACCGAATAGACGCCTACTTGAGACGATACTTGGTGATATACGAGGGCAAGATCCGCGCAATGAGTCAGAATACCTCAGTCTCATCTACATTCGGCAGAAAGCTTCGGTGTTACTCTTCATGGAAATAATACTGCGGACTCGAGACAACATCATCGTGTTCGAGAATGAGAAGCGCATCACCGAGCAAGCATTAATAGAGGGGGAGATTGACCCTAGAATCGTTCTTTCGATATTACCGATACTAAACGAAGAGGTTGTTCAGGGAGCAGAAGGCATTCAGATATCCGGTGGCATCACAACTCTGATCGAGCAATTCTTGGAACAGAACAAGCTTTCTGCAATGCCAGCTGACGTCAAAGGACCTTTTGGTGATAATCTACTTCAAGTCGTGAAGAAGTACTTGTCTTTCTGGAAAAAGCAGAAAGGTATGGCAAGCGTCACAAACGACCCATATGTGTTCCAGTCTGTCGATGCCGCTCTGCTGAGGATTCTCCTACTTCAAGATCAAGGAAATCTAAAGGGACCAGCCACAGTTGGATCGATTAGATCTGAACTCAATGAGTTCGTAGACAAAGAAGTCGAGTGCTTGGATCGAGCTGTCATCTTGCTCGAGCAATTCAAGCGTTTGTACTTGTTGAGTCGACTCTACCAGGGAAATAGCAAGCCCTCTGAGAAGGCGGCCAAGGTACTTGGTACTTGGCGGCGCATTCTAGATGGGGAAGAGGATGAAGGTGGGGAATTCCTCGATGGTGAGCATGGGTTACGGAAGTACCTGACCCAAGTTCGCGACCAGTCCACCGTGGAGGAATACGGTTCGTGGCTCGCCAATCGCAACCCAAGGCTCGGCGTGCAGGTATTTGCAGATGACCGGAGTAAAGTCAAGTTCGACCCTACCCGCGCCGTAGCCGTTCTTCGAGAGAAGGCCCCGGGCGCCGTGAAAGAGTACCTAGAGTACTTGGTGTTCGAACGGAAGGTATGCGTCAGCTTGTAACGTAGAGTTTGATCAGCTGCTGACCACCAATAGCATACGCAACATGTCAACGAGCTCATTGCGTTCTATCTTGATACCGTCCTCGCTGAGCTTGAAGAGGTTCCTTCGTCGCGAGAAACACTGCTCCAAACCTACGAAACGTACCGCATCCTGCTCTCCCCTAAGCCTACATACCGTCAGTTCATCACTGATAACGCGATCGACGCCGAGTGGTGGCGCGCGCGTTTACGCCTCCTCCAGTTGCTCGGATCCAGCCAGCAGGCCACATCCTCGTACGATGTATCATCTGTCCTTTCCCGTCTACAACCCTACGAGCAGGAGCTTGTACCAGAAATGATAATCCTGAATGGCCGCCAAGGCCGACATCCCCAAGCGCTACGCCTACTCACGCATGGGCTGGGCGACTACGACACGGCGATCTCATACTGCCTGTACGGCGGTTCTTCCATCTTCCGCCCTTCCGGCTCGGGCTACGTGCCTCAGTCCGAGCTTCCTACGAAAACCGAGCAGTCCCGCCTTTTCAACTACCTACTGCAGGAGTTCCTCCGTCTCGACGACCTCGCGCAGCGTATAGAGCAAACTGGCGTACTGTTAGAGCGGTTTGGAGGGTGGTTTGACATTGCGGATGTGCTCGCTACCTTACCCGATGAATGGAGTGTGGATGTCTTCTCGGGCTTTTTGATACAGGCACTGAGGACGTTGGTAAGAGAAAAGGCAGAAAGTGGGATTGTAAAGGCATTGCATGATGCGCAGAATAGTCAGATGAGCGCAGAGCTGGTGGAGAAGAGAGAGGATCTGGGGCCGAATTTTGAGCGGGTTAGTTGATTTCAATGTAGATAAGAGATGACCTAAATGATGTTTGTTACGATCCAACCCAGCTGTGGTTCTCTATTTGATCGATGCTCCTGGCGCCCACCAGCGGCGCTTTCCCGCTCTCTTCGCACCCTTGCACTCCCCCACAAAGACCTAGCCCCATGCAGTCGCCGCACGCGAACCGCGCAGCAGCGTCCAGGCTACTGATAGCCCGGCTACATCCACGGCTGGGGCAAGGCTCGCTGGTTGGCTTGCTGAAGGCTTCTTATCGTCTATCGTCGAGTCAACGTCGAGCTTCCCGGTGATAAGAGAGCACGTCCAGGGCGACAGCGATGAGGGGTTGCAGATATGCATGCAGGGCCCGCGATACGGCTTCCGACAGGCGGCACCGATCCATGATAAGATGGTGGTGCAGCGCGCCCTGGAAGGCTGCGTCGCGTAACCGTGAGACGATCGACGTCTTCGTCACATCCTCTTTCTTTGCACCGGAACTTGACAAGGCTCCTGAGCACGATTGCGACATCAGCATGGCCGAAGAAGTTCCCAAGTACGATGCTGAGCGGCAGGGCTCTTTGACGGGCGTCGCTGAGGGTCTTGCGAACGAAGACGATGCCGCGGTTTTGGGTATGCAACTTCACACCATGTGAAGGATCGAATTAACACGGTGCAGCAAGACTGGGCTACAAGCAAGAGCTGCGAAGGAACTTTGGCATCATTGAGGTCTTTGGCATTGCCTTCTCAATCATGGGTCTGCTTCCTTCCATAGCTTCGACGCTTGCATACTCGCTGCCAGCCGGACCTGCTGGGCTTGTCTGGGTATGTTAAATCATCGTGCCGGGTGCTAAGTACTGACATGTGCAGGGATGGTTCACTGCTAGTGCCTTCATCTTCGTCGTTGGCCTGGCAATGGCGGATCTTGGGAGTGCTATGCCTACTTCTGGCGGACTTTACTGGTGGAGTATGATGGACTTCAACGTTTTGTTGGATGTAAATGCTAACAAAAAACAGCACACTATTTTGCTAGCCCAAGGACTCGCAACGCGTTATCCTTCTTGGTCGGGTATAGCAACACATTGGGTCTCGTAGGCGGACTGTGCAGCATCGACTACGGCTTCGCACTCATGTTTGTCTCTGTCATCGTCATAGCCCGAGACGGCAATTGGGAGCCTTCGAATGGCATTGTTTACGTAGTGTTCATGTGCTGCGTGCTACTTCACGGTGTTCTTGCCTCTACTATCTCCAAAGCGATGGCGAAGTTACAGACTGTGTTTGTCATGTGAGTGCGTCCTCAGTGACTTTCAGCTCCAGCAATGGAAAGAACTGATGTCTAGGGTAGAGCTAACTTCATTCTCATCACTGCAACTATCATTGCCCTCCCCATCGGAAGAAGACACGAACGCAACGACGCGAAGTACATCTTCGGTCACACCGACAACCTTAACTTCTTGGTCGCCCGGGTTCGCTTGGTTCCTTACATGGCTCTCTCCCATTTGGACAATTGGAGGTTTTGACTCGTGCGTGCACATGTCCGAAGAAGCTTCCAACGCTACGAAAGCCGTCCCGTACGGTATCCTCATGAGGTACGTCAATACCCTCGATAACATCCTACTGATTCTACCTCCGTGGGAAGGCCTCTAACAATGACTTTAGCATCGGCAGCTGCTGGTTCTTCGGCTGGATCATATGCATCGTAATCGCCGCCTGCATGACCCGCGACACCGAGTCACTCCTGGGCTCTCCATTCGGTCAACCTATGGCGCAAATCTACTACGACGCCCTCGGGAAAAATGGCGCGCTGGGCTTCATGAGCCTCCTCTTCATCGTGCAGTTCCTCATGGGTCTGTCCATCCTCGTAGCCGTCAGCCGCCAAAGCTGGGCCTTTTCCCGCGACGGCGCACTCCCCTTCAGCTCCTTCTTCCGTCGAGTATCACCCCGCCTATTCATCCCTATTCGAGCAGTATGGGGATGCGTGCTCGTTGCTTGTGTGCTAGGGTTACTCTGCCTGATTGCTCCGGCTGCGGCATCTGCGCTTTTCTCCCTCGCTGTGGCAGCAAATAACGTCGCCTGGGGCACCCCGATCCTCTGCCGTCTCATCTGGGGCCAGAAAAAAGTTCAAGCCCGGGCCAGTGTACACGGGTGACAAGCTATCGCGCCCGATCGGCTGGCTCGCCATTGCGTTCCTCATGTTTGGGATAGTGCTTGCGATGTTTCCTGCGAGCGGACCGCAACCGACGCCGCAGACGATGAATTATACTGTGGTGGTGAATTGTGCCGTTTGGGGTGGGAGCTTGGCGTATTATTTCATTGGTAAGTGGAATGGGCCTCTGGTGTTCGTGTGCTTGCTAATGGATGGTAGATGCAAGGAAGTGGTTTACCGGACCGAGGATCACGCTTAGTGAGGAGATTCTCACGGAGGAGCAACAAAATGCGATCCGAGAGGAGGGCTTGCAGATTGAGAGTGTTCCTGCTACGCCCGAGAGTGTTCATGCAGGGGCGGAGAAGGGAGACCACATTGAGACGAAGATCTGAAGGAAGACGTATGTCGACGCTGGAAATATTGAAGACGATGTGAGGTGAAATTCAAATGTACTGCACAGCCCTAGAGACAGTTGCAGGGGTGACCTTCTGCTGACGAATCTCCTGGCCGACAGGTCATCAACTGTGACAACATTCAGCGACAAACTTGGCAAAGCATTGAGGCCTGACACAGGTATGATAGGACTTCCTCTTCAGAATTATAACTACATGGGAGATAAGTGTGGCTGCATCCTTCAAGAGCCTTGAAAGTTGGCTGTGCCAGAATCTTACGGTATTCGGGCGGTTGTAGGCAGCCATTGCAAGCATTCTTCTGTCACACGAGGCAGACTGCACTTTTAAATCCAATCACTCGGTGCCTAGCGGTTGCACAGTTATCCTGTCGCAAATCGAACTACAGCCGCCAAGCGTTGAGTTACACAACGTCTCGGAATAAACATGGACCCGCTCTTAGAGGCCTTGTTTCTCGTACGAACGCTATACTATATCCAGTGCCTGTAAGGAAGGATGCAATTCCATTGCTGAGTAAGTCAATGTTCATGGAGGGGTGCTGTCTGTGGACCCTAACGCCCCAAGGTCTTCAGCCACGCCCGCCGACAATGATTGGAACATTGGTATGCGGAATGTGAAACTCTCAGAGATTGCGAGTTACAGTGCGCGAGCTGCGTTAGGCGATCATCTGAATGGCAAGACCTTGAGACCTATTGTGAGTAACTTCGGCTTTGCTAAGCCATCTCAGTGTTTTAGACTCTTATTTGATTCACCTTCTCATAGTGTATGGCCTTTTGCTAAAGCTTCACAGATGGAGGTTCGTGATTCTCGTCTATATCCTTAGCGATTGTGATTTCACTAACACTTTACAGGACGGCCGTGCCGATGTCCTCAGAGTCAATCCAGAAGAAAGCTATGTAGAGGTTCGTTCTAGCTTCGGTTCACTTCCACGAGGCTGTACATTGACCAGAAACCGAGTGTTCCTCAATAGTGTCTGGACACGAAAGGCGGCGCTAACAAGGACGTAGATGTAACCTTCCATTCTATGCCCCGCCAGGGACCTATGATGGTGAACAAGATCTTTGTTCACTGGCGCCAGGCTTCTGCGACGATTGGGACGACAGCGGATTTCCATACTTAGATCAGAGTGCCAGCCGAATGCTGACCAGAACGATTTCGTTATCAGGGACCATCTCGAAATTCGAGCTGGCAACGAGTATCCCATGACAGTACAGCTTGGGAGCAATGTCCAGGCCGTCGTTTGGTACCTTGGTTATCCTCAGTGGAGGCAATATCTGGACCTCGCTCTGGTACATCCTTCGCAAATCCTGAGGCGGTATTGGCATTTTTTGACTACTGAGTGCGAAGATGAAGACGATCTCTTTGACTTCATAGGCCACCCGTCAGGATTGGAGGCTACCTCCTGGACCGTCACCCGATATTGAGCATGTAATCGATAGGGTACCCAAAGAACCACGTTATCTGGCGGAATTCGACAACTCGTAGCGACGTATAATAGGGCGAAGAGCGCACAATGTTGCAAATAGATTATTGTCGTCTGGAGCAGAGCCTCCTGTGGACCTTCCAGCGATCGATCGTACAGTCCTTCAGAAAGGGGGGAATGGGACCAAGAGTACGAGAGTATTCTACAATCGCCACACGTTAGTCCTAATGGACCCCACCGCGCTATTCCGGACCAGCGAATTATGTGAGTGAGAACTTTAGCATCTGAGGAACAACTGAACTTGGATGGCGTGACCAACATACTAACCACGCGCAGTGAAACTTCTGGAACCTGTGACAAGCCATTTCCTCTTATGATGGTTCCTAAAGACGTCCACATAGTCAAAGGCAAGATAATGCAGTTACAACAGCCTGTCAATTTGAACGAGAGAAGAGGCAGTGAGCGAAGACTCTTGCGACAAGCGGCTAGGGATGCCGCATGTACAAGCAACACGCGGGGCGTCAACAGGCTCTTGGGCATGATTTGATCGTTGCGTGGAAGGCTTCCGCGGAAAACACGCTTTTTTTGGTACTGGACTCATTTAGAACACAGGTATCAGTAGTGTTTGGTTACTTGAATGACTCCGATGCCCGCATACGAGTGAATCAAGTGCGTACGAATATGAGACGGCAACTTGGCCTTATTGAGGAGACTACTGGTGATACAAATCTCTTCAGGTGGTGGGACGTTTGGTCAGCCAATTTTCCAATCATGTCGGAAGTCTCTGACCGATCTGTATGCCCGTATCTTAACACTGACCTGGGACAGCTTTTACTCGACAGTGGATCGCGGATGGGATTGCGGCTGCCACTGGAGAGTTCAGGAAAGTACCAGATAGTCCAAATGGTGAAAGAGTCTTCCGATCATTCGAACATTACATCGCTGAGCGAAAAAGACGGGTATAATACCCTCCTCATGATGCATTGGAAGGACCAGAGAGCTTGGCAACGGGAGGAGCGCCAAAGCCTTGAAGTTTGTGGATGCTTCAGCACGTCAAGGCTCACCAATAGCCAATTGCACTTTCTGCGCGGATCTTCGAAAAGTATGCCGAGTACCGCACCACCTTGAATGACAACCAACATGCCGTTCTTTTCTTTCGTTATTATTGCGCCCGCCGGGCAGGTCTTGAGGAAGAAGGAGCTGAAAATCAATCTTCGAGGACACGTCGGGATTTTCCTACTCATGCGTGGTTCGTGATGTTACGCAGATTACAGCAAGGTACGTTGGTAGAGTATCGGTTATGCTGATTTGGAGCTTTTCTGTGATCCTGAATTAGCACGAATGGTCGAACTTGACGCCTTTGCCTCCGAGCCGCTGATACGTTCCCCTGGACATAGTTGATGGAATACCTTGATAATACACCGCCCACGTCCCCGCCATGTTGAGCATAATTTCCACGTCCATCTGCTCACGCTGTAGGTTCGCCGCGCCTCCAAACTCAATCTACGCACTGACAATGCGGTTGAAGCCGCTGCGCATGCGCCTGAGTACCTTCTCGTCTTTCAGTCGATTGTGAATCGCGAGGACATCCTCCATCAGCTCCAAAAACATGCGACAATTTCTGGAATTGTCCATCCTTTTCGCCAGTCAGCGCTCACGACCAAGCAGCACCATATCATGTCACATTCTTGCTCTCAATGCACGCAAGCTGCCGTGAATACCTACCAAAGGTGAAGTGCCATCCTGCAAATTCGGAATAAGTGGATCCGCCGCTTTGTCAACAGCTACGTAGCTGAGCGTATTGTACGGTGTTGGCGCCTATGTATGATGAGGCGTTTGTAACAGCTTGAACTCTTCTGTTGTTATAAGTACGGAGGGCGCGCCTCCATCTGGGTGCGATGTCGCTGAATCTTTCCCGAGTCTCGAGTAGGAGGAAGTTTTGATCTGCAAACTGCCAATTCACTGCACCTTTGTAAAACAGCCCAAAGAAGCAAGATTCACTGTCGGTAAGCTTGCGCAATTTCTCGTGGGCTCATGTCGCGTGATCGCCAGTCCAGTATTCTAATTCTTCCTCGATCGCATCACCGTCTATGTTATTTGCATCCGATTCTGTAAGTCCAGTTTCTTGAATAGCCTTGTCAGATGATTATGACGTTATGACGAGAACGAGTGCCTTCGAGCGTGGAAACTTGGCGTCCCCTTACCGATGGCGCCACGGCCAACCCCTCACCTGCACGGATGTGCGGCCGTCGCTCGCTTTGCGGCGCTGCGAAGACACGACCGCAACGTTGTTGTCTTGTCCTTTTGGTCGGGAGTACCATCGAGGAACTGATCGCGGGATGAACTTGGAAACATGATGAAGTTGCGATGAAGGGTTATCTGAGGCATAGTCGCGCTAAGAAACGTACTATCGCAGGGCTCTAGGAACACCATCCTACACAAAAACACCTTATTTGATATGGAAGCATTGGCAAGCCCTGCTCCGTCTTACGGTGAGTTGCAGCCGCGTAGAGACAAGATGCCAACTCAGAGCTCACGATGTCTTCGATGTTTCCACGATGAAGAGATCTAGAAATTTAGAGTAGATTAAGGCAGATATGGGTATGGTGGATATATCTAGCTATTATGTTGTGGGATCAAAGCACAAAAGATGGATTCCTCTCCATCGCTGATAATTAGGCTGATAATTAGATACTTGTCCGAGGATCCATGCAAGCATGCTATGCCGAAGCAACGCCCATCGAGTTTTCCGGTTAACTCTACATAGAATAATCATGTGGGACACCCGAAGATCCGATTGTTTCCAAAAGCTTAGCCACTCCTTCGCTCAGTACTCCACGGTCTTAACCCTGCACCTGATCTCATCAGGCAGCTCCTCCGCCTTCACAATACCCAGCTTGATCGCATCACCCCAGAAGAACAAAGCTCTCTCCTGTGTGTAACCCAGATAATCAAATTCTTCCTCTTCGGCCTGAAGTTCATCAGAGTCAGCAACATCCGCTTCAACCTTCTCACCTCCCGCGTGCTCCTTCTTCTTACTCACTTCGCTCTGCTTCTCCTCTGCTGCTGCCTCGTCTTTGACCTCTTTCGTCACGCTCTCCAGCACCGCAACCTCCTCGGTGGCGGGGGCCTGCTTCTCTTCATCATCAAGGTCCGGCATCCCGGGTACCACAGCCTGAACGATACCCCAGGCGATCCAGAACGACGAGCTAGCCATTCGCCAAAGGCGTGTCTCGGCCATGAGTCTGCGACACTCCTCTTCAATACTTTGCTCTACCTGCGCTTCTTGCTCCTGGTACGAGTATCGTTCGCCAGGCGGAGCGCGGGAGTCCAGCATGAAGGCAGAGATGGAAGTGGGAGTGGCGGTAGCAGCTTGAGCGGTGCTGTTCCCCGAGGACTGGAGAGGACCAAGGTGCGGAGTGGGCGGGTTGGACGATTGACCGCGTGATGCTTTGAAGGTGGGGTTATGCTGGAGATAGGCGCGGATGAAGCGGTGTTGCTCCTCAGGCGTCGGATAGACGGAAGTGTTGATGCGATGAGGATTGGGATCGTGGTAATTGTAGCACCATTCGTTCTACTTGCACATAAGCCGTGAAACTCGCGGTGAGGTGGACAGTTCGGACATGGAAAACTTACGAAATGGTTGGCGAACTCATAGCCGGGAAGGTCTGCATTTGCATACTCAAAGTCGATGACGATAAGTTGTTTGTGCTCGTTTGCCGGCAGAAGGAGAGGCGACTCTCCTGATGGACTCATACGTAGAATATTACCGTATTGCGTCTACATCCAGCCTATTAGTCTGATTGCCGAACGCTTGATAAGAGACTTACATCATTGTGGGCAAAGATGAGTCGTTCGTTGAGCTTGTCGATACCGCCGTATTGCTCCTCAAGCCAAGCTCGGTATTTATCAACGGTCTTGCGAAAGATCGACCACTCTACACCGCACACCAGACCTCGGTCTTTCCACCTATCGGCCGCGGACTGTACACTGCCTTGAGTGCCGTCTTTGATCTGCTTATCCAACCATGACATCCTCTTTTCTGCTCGATCGACCCACTTGTCCCAGCTCTGCCAGACGAAAGGGCCAGCTTCTCGCTCTGATTGGAGGAGGTCAATCCCTTCATGTAGCTCCCTCATGCGCTTCGCAATTTGTTTTGAGGTGTCCGGCTGGCGGAGCTCTTGGGGATCTAACGCCCTCGCGTTGAAAAATTCTTCGAAGCGTCCATTGGTAAAGGTACCTAGTAGTCGCGGTCCGATGCGCTTGCGGGCAAGTCTCCGCAAAATCTGCAATTCTGCCTCTCGATCGATGAGATGCTCAACCTGAGGACCGTATATACGCAATAAGAGTTTGCTGGACACATTAGCGCGATTTAGTGGAAGGAAGACGTCAACTTACGGAGGAGGGTTCTTTGGCGCACGGACTCCTTCCTCACGAGGTGTCTGTTCAGGAAGATCTCTAGGAGGAGAAACTACGTATACAGCGTTTGTCAAAGCGCCGCTCAACCGATCTACACTAATCTCACCGCTCAGGTCCAATGGCACTCGCCGCCAGCCTTTGAGCTTCAGAGTATGTGTAAGTCGCACAATTTCATACTTGAAGGTTGCCCAGGCTTCCTTCTCCTTCTTGGCTCGACGCGATGTAAGCTTTGTCAAGTCATCGGTGGTTTCTGATTCGGGACAGCCAGCACCATATGTCATAGTCCTAGAATTATCCAAAACAGCTTCGCAACCGGGTACAAGCTGGTCCATGGAGTCAAAGTGGTCTTCTCCTGATGAGACGGTAGAGTTGCGCTTAAAAAGAGTTGACAGCTTCCGACCGTGCAAGCCTCTAGGAAAGCGAGATGTTCCTTCTGTAGACTTGAGGGACATGGTTCTCTCGAGGATCATCGCGAGTTGGTCTAAAGCTACCGACCCCTCTGAAGAATCTGAACCACGTCTCTCCTCGGAGGGGGGATGTTCAGTAGACTCGCTTTTGGCTTTTCCTAAGGATTGCTCAACTACAGAGGCCACTTTAGCGGCGGCGGTCTTGCGCTTTGATCTGCGTGCACTCCGACGGGCCTTTTCGCTTTTGAGCCATGATGTGACATGCTTTACCAAGTTCTCATGGGAGTGTCGCGATGGGAGCCCTTCGGAGCTGTCTGATAGAAGAGAGCTGTATGAAGGATTGCCTTCCGTCGATGGTCTACTCACCGGCGCAAGCCGCTCAACAGATGCTCGGCCAGTGAGTCTCTTGCCGCTCACATGGGCACGGAACTGTTTGGCAGCCTGCCCAAGGTCAAAGTAGTCGCCACCGCTTAGCTCCTTATGTTGGCCTCGCATCAAGGGTGAGATGCTCTCGATCTCAGGGTCGGCGATGGAAACAACTGGGACAAAGTGTAAGCCATTTTGTTCCAAAAATCAGCTGAGATGTGGTGTGTCCATTTGGCGTATGCTCTCACCGGGTGTCGTGATGCTCTCACAGGTTGTGTATATGGCCCTACAAACAATAGGGTTGCACCGTGGCCAGGTCCTTCTGGTCTGCTGTATATGCAGCTGGAGAGACGAGAGAATCTTGGCTAATATAACGAGAGAACGGGATGAGATGACGGCTCAAGCAACCTGCAGATAGCAATACAGGGGCATAAATAGGCCGCATGTGTAACGAGACAGCATCCAAAGCATTAAGGCTCAAGTAGAAAGCACTGACCTTTCGCGCTGCTTGGACGCGGTGACGTGCCATCTTGCACGCTGCGACCGCTCAGCTGCAGCTTAGGGCTTGCCGATGCAAGCCCTTGCGGCTCGTCATTGAAGGACGCCATTGCGCATTCACCAAGACCGTGGGAACGATTCTGGAGTCGTGGGTCCGTTAGACGGCAAAGTAAGCAGACCAGGCCAGGGAATTTCGCGAGTAGCCGTATTCCTAGTGTGCGAGCAGAGCAATTTGTGTTGCAGGTCGAAGCGGAAATCGGGCTTGCAGGGCTGCTGTCGGTAGCGCTACTGCGGCCCTACAGCTGGGGTACACGTGCCAAGATTGATTGGCGTAAGTATGGCGAGAGATCGGGAACGCGTCTGTAGGGGAGCTGTCCACAGGAGCAGGAAAAGCAAGTCTTGTATTCACTCGAACGTCAATACTCGCAAGTGGCGGGAGGTGAGAGACTTGGAACGACGCAGGCAGGCAGGCTCGTGAGGGTGACACAGTGGCGCATTCCCAGTTTCTCGAGCTCCTGCCCCTCGCGCCTATCAACGGCTTGTGCGACGTGGGGCTGAGCGATATACGTAACCGTCCGCCTAGATGGCGGTCGCAGTGAGAGAGCGTAAAGACAGACAGTGCTGATATGAGATAACGTATTAAATAACTTTGTCTATGTGTTCCAGAGCGAAAGTCGGGTATCCAAGCTCCAAGTGCGCCATCCAGCTGTTTTCATGCCCAATGACCGAAGCATCTGCGCTATCCATGCAACCAAACACATGAACCCCCATCGCAAGGGACGCCAAACACCTACCAATGCCAATTTAATGTACAGCACCTTTATGTAGTGAATGCGCTTAAGCGGCAGCCCACTCTACCGTCTCAAGCGCCAGCATTACGAGAACGAGCGTCGAAGGAAGAATCCAGACGACGTAGCTTTGGAACAGAAGATTCGACATTGCGCCCATGTAAACGTTGTTGATCTGGCAAATCTGGGCCAGCTGCAACGCGCTCGGTGCACCCGTGAGCAGGAAGCAGACGATGACGAATATCGGATCGTCCAAGATGCTGACGGGTACAAACTTGGCTGTTATAGCCAGGAGAGGTGCCATGATGATGGTCGGGATGAGCATACGGCTCACAAGCGATGCAATGACGAGTTTCTTCTCAACCTTGGTGTCTTCGATCGTATGATTCTCTTCCTTGGGGAGTGTGTTGCGAGCCAAGTTGGCCCCCAGAACAACTAGAATGAGTGGCACTGCAACGCCGCCACTCTGGCTAACAGCGCGAGTCACAGAGTTGCTGAGGAACGTGCCCGGGTCGAAGAAGGCGTGCTGAACCGGAGGAATCGAGGCGACCACAATAGCTGCCAGCATAGCCCACAGTGGGGGGTTCATGAAGTCCCAGCAGCCTGCGAGGAATTTGGCCGTGTAATGAGAAAGCTTCGCCAGCGTCCTCTGCAGCCATGATGGCAAAGCTGAAAAGACACACCTTGAAGCACGCGTAATGCTGTCCCGAATAGACTGTGAAAAGCGCTGGAAGACCCGTTGAGCACCGAAAGCGAATTTCTTCGGGCCTTTAGGCGGATCGTCTGCTTTATACGGGAACACAGGGCCATTTTGGAGACTAGTGTCAATGTGACCGATCCCGTTCATATTGCTCGGCCCTTTCACCACTGTGTTGCCGTTTGTCGGTGTGGCGAAAGTGGCAGCCGACTGGACATTCTCTCGTTGGAGGATTGAGTCTGAGTCCGACGACCCAGTAGAAATCGAAGTCGCGTAACTGGTGACGTTACCGGACTCGTAGTCGGAGTGCGAATCGTCCAGGAGGCGCTCTGCCTCGCCATCACTGTACTCACCGTTCTCCATGCTGCTGTTTCTTCCATCATCTTCGTCCTTGTACGCATCGGCGGGTGCCAGAAGTACGTTGAAACCCCATGTCCAACGCACCAGCTGGCCGAGCTGCTGGAAGATGAGCAGATAGAGGATACCGCGAGCGGCTACCTCGTTGTCATTGTCGCCCGGTATCCTGCTCCAGTGGAGCCCAGAAAGCGTCTTCGAAAGCGAGATGACGAGCGAAATCGGAAGGGAGTTGGAATTCCCGAACACTGCCATTGCGACCACAAAGTTGCGCCCTCTCTTGCTAAACCCGTATAACTTGGATATGATCAAGGCTGCGAGATAGGATACGATCAATTGGACGATGAAGATGAACGGAATAACGCCCAGCTCAACCAGCTTCTCGGCGCTGAGCTGCGAGGCGAGCTTCGTGAAGACTGGCGCAAGCGTTAGCAGAAATGGACAGAATAGTGCGTCACCACTCAATTGGCAACTGATGGAAGGTTTGTTGGTACTCACTCAAGCATGGCGTAAACAATTGTGTGTTTAGGTTCGCGACGAACTTCTGCGCATCTGCGTCGAATTGGCCCATCCTGGCCACAATGTATCCTGGAAGACTGACACATACAACCTCCATAACGGCCTCGAAGACGAGGAGAGTGAGGTTCGCGAAATCTGGATGCGAACTATGCGGTGGGCGCTTCTTGAACGCTTCCAGGAAGCCATTGCCGCCGCTGTACGGATCTGGGGCCATGACCATGAAGTCGGCGGAGGGAGAGGGACTGAGGTTGCGAAGGCGAAGCGACTCGATGGCGCCGTTGAAGATAGGCATCCTGACACGCCTGCCTCAGCGGAAGCGGTGATAGCGGAGCGGTGCGGGAGTCGTTGAAGCAGATGGTGCGTGACGCTTGGCTGTTCTGGACGGGGTCGTGTATCGGATTGGCAAACGTCACAGGGGCACGGGAGACACTGCAGGTCTAAGAGAGCGGTGCAGGCGCACAACGATGGGGGCGGGCGTAGGCCATGTTTGACGTGTGCGCATTCGATGGAGAAGCAAGTAAGATACCGCCGCCATGCCAACAATGCGACCATGGTTGCGTAGTCGGACACTAAAGCTTCACAATGGAAGCTTGGGTGCGCTAGCCGCCCACGTTCCCTCGCGCTCGGCGGGAGAACGATCGCACAGTCAGAGCGGGATCGGTATGGGCGGCGCGATGGCCAGCTCGAGACGAAGATTTCTTCGATTCCCATCTTTCCCCCATCGGTTTCTGTTTTGTTTCTGCCGGTGCCTCCAGACTGTCTTGCCTTGGTTCGTCCATTGGCCGGATCGAGCCGCTCTCCATTCCCTTGGCGCCCCTCCATCAAGTTCAGTCCGGCGACATCATAAGCAGGCTCGCACTGCAGTGGCCAGCCTGCTGCTGAGCACCACGCACCCTGTTCCCTGATTGCCTATCCGCCCCTTTCGCGGCCAGTGTTTGTGCATAGCTCCGTCCTGCCGCCATGCCCCAAACGCGTCCAGCTTAGCCGGCCTGCCAGCATCCACGGTGATTTTATTGCGTCACTGGCTGTCACTTCCTCCCCGCCAAGGAGGCACTTCGACGTCCAGCTCAACTCCACGCCTCTACCAGAAAACAGCTAGACGCAGGGCCGCGGAGCCACCTTCATCTCCTCCGCCATTATCTTTACCTGCTCCCCCTCGCCACTCACTCGCCCACCATGGATTCCGCCGCCTCTACCCCCAGCGACGACTTCGACTCCGATGGTCCCTTTGACTCTCCCTCACCCTCCTCGCCCGTCAGTGGCCACGATACGAGGCCTGGCCTTGCCCCTACTTCCCCTACAGACGGCCGTCCTCCTCCTCGTTCTGTGTCCACTGGCGCTACCGCAACCGCCAACATGACGTTCTCTTCCACGCCGCTTGGCAATATCAATGCCGCACGAAATCCACGCGCAAACGCACCCACCATCTCTAGCCGGGGAAGTGGTCTTAATGTCTCGCAGGATATACTAGCCAGGATACAAGCAGTCCATCTCGGTCGACAAGGTGCGCCACCGGGCAGAGCACCGAGCCAACCTAACGTCATGTCGCCGGGCGCTGGTGGCCCCGCATCCCCAGGCGGTCCCATGATGGGCAATCCTGGTGGTGTCCCCGCCAATTTTCGCCTGCCTCAGCAGGCCAAACCAAGCATGCCCAGCTTTCGTTCGGCGCCTATCATACCTGGTAGAACGGGTGGTGCGGCGAAACCTTCACTTGCAGAGAAGCGAGGGCTAAAGCTACCAGGTGGATTGCCGGGAGGCCTCTCTGGATCACCTGCACCTAGCAACGGCACCGGCGCTCCTGCTGGCAGGAAGAAGCCTGGTCTCACTCTCTCGCAGATGAACGGCGACAAACCCCAAAATGAACCCCCTAAGCAGGAGTCCATGATGGATAAGTACGCCGAGTTCATCGACACCAAGACTGGAAGTCTGAAATTCAAGGGCAAAGCTGTTCTGAATTCCGAAGGCGTACAATTTGCAAACGGCATCTCCTTCAATATATCGTTAGACGAAGTTGACACGCTCGACGAACTGGGCAAGGGCAACTATGGCACCGTGTATAAAGTCAGACATGCTCGACCCCGAATGAGGAAACCAGGACAAGGTTTGGCAGGCAACAAGGCTGCACCTGGCTCGCCGTCGCGTAAGACCTTCGAGGGCGAGGAGTCCAGTCCGACCACCAACAAGACATCAGGTGGGACCGGCATCGTAATGGCCATGAAGGAGATTCGGCTGGAGTTGGACGACGCTAAGTTTGCGACTATCATCATGGAATTAGACGTCCTTCACCGCTGTGTATCCCCGTATATCATCGACTTCTACGGTGCTTTCTTCCAGGAGGGTGCCGTGTACATATGCATGGAATTCATGGATGGCGGCTCACTAGACAAGCTATATGGTGACGGGGTTCCGGAGAACGTTTTACGGAAAGTCACTTTGGCCACTGTCCAAGGCCTCAAGTCGCTCAAGGACGATCACAACATCATTCACCGAGACGTAAAACCTACAAACGTCCTTGTCAATACAAGAGGTCAAATCAAAATCTGCGATTTCGGCGTCAGCGGTAATCTGGTCGCAAGTATTGCGAAGACAAACATTGGGTGTCAAAGTTACATGGCACCGGAAAGAATATCCTCTGGTGGAATGGCACAGGCAGGAGCAAATCCTGGCGGTGGCACGTACAGCGTGCAGAGTGATATTTGGAGTCTCGGTCTCACCATCATCGAATGCGCATTAGGCCGATATCCGTACCCCCCAGAGACGTACAACAACATCTTCAGTCAACTCAGCGTAAGTCATTACCATGACGTTGTTTTCACTGTTATTAATGTATATTGCAGGCTATTGTGGACGGTGATCCTCCAGATCTTCCCGATGAGGGATATTCGGAAGCAGCTCGTGACTTTGTGCACGATTGTTTGAACAAGATTCCAAAGATGCGCCCGACATACGCAATGCTTCTGCAACATCCTTGGCTTGCACCTCTTATTAAACCAGAGACTATTACGGAAGAAGAGGAGGAGGAAGTAGAAGCTGCCGTCGCTGCTGCGCCTGACGGGGCTGCTGGCGACAAAGGCGCCCCCGAATCGATCGAGCCCGTACATGACCAAGAAGTAGCAGATTGGGTGAAAGCTGCCATTGAAAGACGGCGGCAAGGAAAGTCAGGCAAAGGAGTTGAGAAGCCTGCCTTGCATGCAGCACCATTAGACGCAATCAGCCCTCCGCTGAACGGCGGCCCCAATGGCCTAGATGAAGCAGTGCCGGTAGCATCAACAGAAGCAGCATAGGCGCTTATGAAAGTCCTTGCTGCTAGATTTGGACACTTCCGTCGCTTCGCATAGGAGACCTGAAAATGGCGCTCCCACGTACATAGCGCTCCCTCATTTCTCCGACCGGAGCCATCGTCGCCCTCCCACAGCCTCTATAAGTTCGGCAGGAGTTGTGGCGCAGCCTGGTGGCTTGTTCCGAAGTGCTGGTGTGCAAGGTCGTTGATTGACGGCGCATACCCTTGGATTCTGTGATGAAGGAATGATGAAGCATTGGCGGTAGACAACAAAGCACATGTACCTACGTAGTCGAATATCAGATACCTGTCGCTCGCGTGAGAAATGACGATTGCTCCGAGATGAAAAACTGGGCATGTCCTGTGTACGAATGGTCTACGCGGTAGGAGACAATTCTCGGTAGAAAGATAGTTACTATTTCGAGGCATACTCCGGCCGGGGTTGCAGGGATTATTGTCGGCGTTGATGCGTGCACGTGACGATTCTCGGGCGCAGGTGCCCGCCAAGAATGTCAGTAGAGGACACATCGAAGCGCACTTGTAGATCGTTGTTGCTGTCTTTTAGGCCACGCCGCCTCAACTCCACCACTTTTGAGACACTGCTCGGCACGCTGTTTTATGCACTGCGACCAGCGGTAGCATCTTCATCTCTTTCGCTTTCTGGGTTTTTTCTTTCAATACCCCACGTCCTTTCGGGCAGATATACGAAATGTCCGGGACAGACTACACCTACGATGGAGAGGTACGGAGCATCTGCGCGCATACCTTGAAATATATTGATCTATTTTCAGGGTCAATTCTTCCCTTACTTCATCGTCACCCTGACCAGTTTTGTCACGATACCCGTCACCTACTCGCTTCTGAAGCCCAGCAAAGGTGCGCGCGCCCGCGGCTGCATGCATTAGTATATACTAAACTGTTTACAGAGCTTGAAAGCACCGCGACTCGGATATCCTCAGACTTCGCCCCCGAACATGCCGACCTCGTTGAGAAGCAGCGCAAGAAGCAGAAGCGGAGGGAGCGGAGGATAAAGCGGGCGATTGTCAGTCTTATTGGGTGGTCGGTTATTGTGGGCATGATCTACTTGATCATTGTCACTGCGCAGAGCGTGCCGAATATTTGGGATCCATATGACGTTTTGGGCGTGTCTAGGGTATGCACACTGTCCGCTACTTGTTATGAGGAGCGCGCATTAACCAATAAACAGTCAGCGAGCGAGAAGGAGATAAAGAGGCATTACCGAAAACTCTCCCTCACCCAGCATCCCGACAAGCGACGCGAAGACTTGGAGAAGAATATTACCACAGAAGTGATCAACGATCACTGGGTAGAAGTCACGAAAGCTTTCAAGGCACTCACCGATGAGGAAGTTCGCAACAACTACCTCCAATATGGTCATCCGGACGGAAAGCAAAGCTTCAGCATTGGTATCGCTCTGCCCAAGTGGATCGTTACCGAAGGACATGGCAAATACGTTCTCCTCATGTACGCGCTCGCTCTCGGTGTGATTCTTCCATATACAGTCGGGAAGTGGTGGTACGGTACTCAGCGGATGACCAAGGAGAAGATTCTGGTTGCGAGCGCTGGCAAGCTGTTCCGCGAGTACGACAACGATCAGGGCGAAAGTGGCGTAGTCGGAGCTTTGAGTAGCGGCGAGGAATTTAACGAAGTTTTGGCGGGGCACAAGGCGGACAACGGGCTTTCCAAGCTCGAGCAGAAAGTCTTGTCGAAAGAAACCGGTGCTCTAGTCTTGAGCGCCTTGACCAAGAAGGACCGCCAGAAGCTCGATGAGCTCGACGACAGCAGGAGACGGAAAGTTCTTACGCTGCTATGGGCATACCTTGGACGTGTTGAGCTGGATGACGAGACTCTCAACGAAGAGAAGTACGAGGTTGCACCTATTGCGCTCAAGCTCAACGAGGCCTACACGTCTATCGCTCTGGCGTACGGCTCCACCAAAGCCGTTCTCGCTGCATACCATACTTCTCAACTTCTGATACAAGCGCTACGACCTGGCGCATCGCCTCTGGAGCAACTCCCTCACTTCACTCCCGCCGTCGCCAACGCTGCTGAAGCAGAGCGATCACGAACTCACTTGTCGATTCAGGAATTCCTGGCCTTACCAATAGCTGAACGCAAGGCGCGTGTAGTGGCACCTGGTCTTGTGTCAGATTCCCAGTACAGCCAGGCTCTGACCGTGGCGTCGCAGCTCCCCGTCCTGCACGTGGAAAAGCCCTTCTTCAAGGTCGTCGGTGAACGCTTTGTTACACCGAGCAGTTTGGTCCAGTTTGTCGTCAAAGCCCGTTTCATTCCTCCTGGTGCTATTAAAGTCCCTGAGGTAAACCCGAAAGATCTACTCGACATCGATCCAGATGAGGGAGACGTGGCTGCTATCACAGGGCGCAAGGACGATCGTTCTGGCCAGAAGCCTATCCAACCACCTCTGGCTCACGCACCCTACTACGCTCGCGACCATGCGCCTAGGTGGCACATCTTCCTCGCAGACAGCAAGCAGGGTCGAATCGCTGTGCCTCCCTTCACCTTCTCCACTTTCGACAAGCCAATTCTCGACGAGAGCGGCAAGCCCACCTACAATGTGCAAACACTCAAGATGCAGTTCGGCGCCCCGCCCCAGCCGGGTGCTTACACCTTTGTGATGCACATGATCTGCGACAGCTACATCGGCTTTGACACCAAGATGGAAGTGACACTCAACGTTGAAGACGCAAGCAAAGCTGAAGAGGTTGAGGAGGAGGGCGAGATCAGCGAGCCAGATGAGGGTAAGCATTCTACAATGTTTCAAGAAGACTATGTGACTAACATCGGTGCTACAGACACCATTGCTGGTCAGATGCGCACGCTAAAATCAGGCGGTGTGCCAGCGCCCAAGAAGCGCCGGGGCGCCGACGATGAGTCGAGTGACGGCAGCGACACCGAAGGCGACGTAGAGTCCGAGAGCGAGACGGATACCGACACTTCAGATGAGGAATAAACTTTTCTCTCTTCTCTCTTTCTCATTTTCAATGCATTGGTATCTTGCAGCTCTCATGGCCTCGATCGAAAAGAGTCTGGTTTGGCGAATGGCATTTGCAGGCGTTCTAGACCAATATCCCTTGTGGTTTGGAGTAAGGCTGGCTGGTAGATACTGGGTAGGATTCAGGATAGTAGTCCGTGTACAGAACAGATCAAGTGCTAAGCATTTTGTTCACCCAGTTTGCTGACTTGGCAATTGCATGTTCCCGCCTTTTCAAACACTACGCAAGGTAAAATTACAAAGGTTCTAACCTCTGTCGGGCAGCTAGAAGTGATCTGGCAAGCACCACTCGTGATCACGACAACAGATCCGAGTCATATACACGCGAGGACAGCGCCACAGTGGAACAGAGCACTTCCGAGCAGCCTTAGCATTGAAGATATAAGGCCACCGGATCGTCGCGGGCATTTTGCGGGGTGTCGTTGTGGGTCTCATGGTGATGCGGTGCAGGGATGCTCACACGTGCACGGTTTCACTCGCGCCTCAACACCACGCGCGCCACAGCTTCAATGTCAATCACTGTTGTGATTTTCACAGGGGAATTTGTCATTCAGAACTTGAAGCACGGCGTGCTGGCGGCTGGAACAGCACGAGCAGGGGTTGGCGAGCACTTGATCCGCGCACATTTCTGCTTGGCTGCTGAACGGCTGCCTGAGTTCCGTGGCTAGTAGGCCTGGCGTCGTATGTCCCAAGCCTTATTCCGCGTGCCTCAGGGCCTAACGACGATCTCAAATTGGCCTGAGGAGTCGAGAGGACGGTTTGAAGCTCTCTTGGCGCCCGTTTTAACTGCGTCTTTCTGCTCTTGGCGGTGGTCGGGTGTGCCCTGCGCCGGAGGGGGTACGAGGGCATGACAGGTGTAGTACAGCTGTCAAACCCAGCCAAACGCATGTTCGTATCCTGAGGAGAGCAATATAAGCCTGAGGTGTGCGGCTGCAGTAACGAAGTTTTACACTCACTCACCCACTTCACTCTCTCTCTCAACACTCCTTTGGGGCAAGCCCAGTTAATACTTATTACATTGCTTCTTTACTACGCGGCTTTGACAGTCTGCTATTTGACGACCGGTCGTCCATTCGTTCCTTTTTACGTCTGTGACGTGCATAATTTGTGGTCTTGACCTTTCTAATTCCTTCTTTTCCCTATTAACTGGGCTTTGCCTTTATTCTTGCTCCTTCAACATGTCTCTGAAGACTTTCTTCACCCTGGCCCTTGCGACTGGTTTCGCTGGTAAGTAAATCCTCTTTCTCACAACCCACTGGAGTAGATACTGATGTGATTAATGTATAGCCGCAAAACCAATCAACGCCCCCCAGTCGCTCCCCGCCTACCCCATCTCAAAGCGTCAGATCGGTGCCATTGAGAATGGCTTTGGCGGCGAAGGCTTTAATTTCATCGACGGCTTTAACCGCTTCAACGACCAGCAGCAAGTCCTACAGATCAAAGAGCAAAGCATCCAGATCCAGGACAACGGGCGCCAGCAGGCCGTCGTGCAGCAGGTCAAGGAGGTCCTTGTCGTGAACCAGCAGCAGAATGGAATGAAACGTGACATGAACAACCTATTCCGCAAGGCGAGTTACAGAAACCAGGGACAGAAGAATAACGAGGCGACGGTCATGCTGGTCGTGCAGCAGATTCAGGTGTCCGTCGCGGATGATCGAGGGAATGCGTTCCAGCAGGATATCTTTGTGCAGAGTGCGTTGGTTGCCAATCGTGGAGCCAGAGTGACGAACACTGTCATGGGTGAGTTTTCCATACTGCCTTTCTCCAATATGGTTGCTCTCGCTAACGCGGAGAAGTGTTCGAATCTCAAGCCCTCATCGCAACTCAAGTCCTCGGCAACCGCGGTTCAGGCTTCGGCGGCATCGCAGGCGTCGGCAGCGTGCCCGCGACCAATGCCGCTCAGCTTCCCACCAAGACTGCAGATCTCCAGCTCTTCGACTCCCGCCCGACCTGGTCTGTTGTCGCGGAGGATCCAGCGGCTACGCTGGGCGCGGTATGGCAGGCCGAGCTGGAAGACTTGCAGAAGGTCGAGCAGGATCAGGCAGACAACCAGGTGAACAATGACGCTGCACAGAAGGAGAAGGAGGCTCTTGATAAGGCGAAGGCGGAGCAGGAGCAACAGCAACAGGGTCAGGAGCAGCAGCAGGAGGGTGAGCAACAGCAGGGAGAGGAACAGCAGGATGCTGAGGCGTCTCAGTCCGCCCAGGCCTCGCAGTCGGCTGAAGCTACGTCAACCGCTGCCGCTGCTGAAGCTACTCCAGCTGCTGAGTAGACGTGCGCTCCCTGCCGATGGAGCTGCATCCTACCGCCATCTGGACCAGTCGATGAGTCCTGAAGGGAAAATGATCAGTCGGGTCTACCCTTTTCAATACCGATTCGATCAATTGTTGGGCATGTTCTGTTTGGCGTCTGGACTTCCAGATTTGATGCATTCGCGGAGTGTATGAGGCTGGTATGCCTGCTCTCGACTGGTTCGTAGATTGTTGGGATGACTTGATGAGTACCTTGGATTTGGAAAGAGAAAGACTATGACAAATATACTACAAATGAGAATTAACTTGTAAACTTTCCCTTCTCTTCCACTACATCAAGTGTCACAGTGTGTTGTTCAGCGAGCTGGTGTCAATGCTTCATGGCGCCGGTCTACCCTCGTTACTTGAGAACAACTCGGGGCTGCGCAGATGGCAAGGGTCTACAGTCAAATAAAATTATTGCATTTTGACAGCGTGGTTTCGATCTACGGATTGTTCGTGTTTTTGACGTTGATGACGCGTAGAGTGTTCGAGTATACACCCAGTTGCGGATGGACTTCGCTTGGTGTAACAGGAGGGAATCTCCTCTGGGAGCGAATTCTAGAATCCAATTCCAACGTCAAAGCGGGTTTGTCATAGGCAAACATTGTAGGTTGTTATTGGTGAGGTTTGAGAGATGAGGGTTCGGTGGTACGTGCGCTCCGCCACCGACTCCAGCCTCTCATCCCCGCGGCAAAGCTCTCCACTTCCGCTGTCACATCATTTTCCTACGGTGTACTGCTCTTTTTCCAATATGGCTTGGCCTTATCCGTGAAGTCCCTTGTGTTTCTACCAAGTCAACTCTTTCAATCTGCCATTGCAAGAAGCAAAGCCGGCAGATACAGTCGGCGGCGGAGATACCGATTCCTAAAGTGTAATCCACCGACTGGGTAAAAGCTCGCGAGACCTCCAGAAGGCCAGCTTTTGTCTCCCTTGAACAGTATCTTGACTGGATATTAGATGCCTTGGGATATCACACAGTCTAAATCTCCGTCATGGCAGAAAAAGACGCCATCCTCGTCGTTGCCCCGGCAGGCGACCTTGTACTGGACGTGAGCCAGGCAGAAGGAGCCCCTCGATTCTCCTATCGCGTCGATTCGAAAGCGCTGCGAGGAAGCTCGCGATACTTTGAGAACCTACTCAGCGAACGCTTCAGTGAAGGGGAACAATTGTCAGCTGCGCTCGCAGCCTTGAAACTAGCCGGGCACTCAAACCTCGCAGATGCACCCGTCGATGCCTTACCTCGAATATCCATCGTTGACGTCGGCAGAACGAGCGCTTCAACCATACAAAATCTGCTCGCCGACTTCCTGCGTGCTGTTCATGGGGAGGATCTTTCCGTTGCCGCGCCTCCCGTTCCAAATCTGGCCAACCTCGCTGTTGTCGCCGATCGATTTGATGCAACCGAGACGCTCTCGCGATATGTGCGAAGGAAAAGATATGGGGCATTGCTGGATGCAAAGTCAGCCAAGGGACGGATAAGCATAGGCATGACAGAGGAGCGCGTACGACAGAAACTGCTGGTTGGGTTGTTGTTCGACCACGCGCCTTGGGTTACGCGGTACTCGAAACATTTGATTCTGCGGGATTCGTCACAGTGGCAGCCAGGCGTTGAGGAGGACCATACCAGACCTTTGTGGTGGAATCTGCCTAATGGAGTCGAAGACGAGCTAATACAGCGACGAGAGTATATCCTGGAAACGATAAACTCGCTACAATCGCATTTCCTTAGGCTGTACACTTCTGGCGAGCGGCAATGCAAGCTGGGCTACGACACATCCATACAATGCGACTCCTTCCAGCTCGGCGAAATGGTACGCTTCTTCACCAGGCTAGGCACCCTACGATTACAAGGTACCATTTACGACAACACCGAACCGACGTATCATAGTGGAGACATTGAACGATTGTTGGAGTCGCTGCGCCAATGCTCGTCATACCAAGTCGACCGAAATCATGCCCATTGCGGGCTACGAACGAGGATTCTTCCTCTTGTTGATTTGATACAGAATCAACTGTGTTTAGACACGACCAGTCTCGACATTGGTCTATGCCTTGAATGTTGGAACAATCACCGAGATACGTACGCCTGGTCAGAGGCGAAGAGACCGGTATTGTGGGCTCAACCCAGGTCTTTGACCGGTAACCGAATGCTCTCGAAGGGACACCAACGAACGCCTAGCAGTTGCCTTCACAGGCATATAGTGGTCCGGGACCTGTTCATGGCTACCGAAAGGGACTGGACAGCTAGGGACGCCTACTGAAGCTGAAGGCATGGATGCGATTGCGGCCGCATCCTGAAGGTTACCTCAGGGCGTGGTCAGCCGCCAAAGCTTCCCCAGTCCCGGACCAGGCTATACACACGAGACTGGCTCGTGCCTGGCATACCCTGGTTATGCCAGCCCTATCAAGCCACAGCCGTTGCGATTGAGCCTAAGGCAGAGAAGGGCGGATCGATGTTGTTTCGAGCTGGTAGATGATACGTTCGCGCATTGCACATTTCCAGAGCATCGATGGACTTCTCTTGGTGCCGGTGGCCGATAACGTACGAGAGATGCAGAATCAGCCCTTGGGTGGGCCTTGATAGCGTAATGGACGTATCGATAGTTGTGTGCCGTGGTGGGAATGCTAGTTTACTGCGGGGTCGTTCACTCTGCTGGTGGAATGGTTCGCAACTATGGTGCAACCGTCACCCAAGCTCGTGGTTATCAGCAGATCAGGTATTGTTGACTGGTCGTAGAGTTCGCAAACTGATGCGGCGCGGCCATGCGGGTCACGAACACGGTTCACTATCTAGGCGGAGCGCTTGTTGATCGAGGCTGTGCCCGACCTCACGGTAACTCAGCCCCCAACGACAACTGCGCGCAGTACTAGGTGTCCTTTCAGAAGAAAGCCACAGGGCAGGTGAGATTTGTTTGATCCACATATCCGCATGTCTCGTGTTAGTCGGAGGCTGCTGTGGCTAGTTGCGCCACGCAAGGCAGGCATGAGGCAGAGACAGGCATATTGATGAGTTGGGTGCGGTACAGCAGACTGGTTATAAGAGCATGCCCGAGCCATGGTACCATGTGTCTCATTCCGCTGCATTAGGCCACAACCTGCGCAAATCGAACCTACCCAATTGAGTCACCTGCGCGTTATTCAAAGAAACTACTGAAGCAACTACCCATGTCCGTGTCACCTGTGGCCGCTTTCTTGTTCGACCACCACATCGCCCCTCCACCCAGCATATCTCACCATCGCGATATACTACTTTCGGGCACTCACCCACAGCGGAACCCACACAACATGTTCGACAGCTTGAAGAAGAAGCTCTCCAGACGAGGCTCGAATCCACTCGTACAGAAGTCGGCTACTCAAGGCGGTTATCTTGCACCTGGCAATAACAGCCCGCTCACTAATCCATCGCCGGCGACTCGCCGTCCTAGTACGAAGACGACTCTCCCCTTTGCAAGAACATATTAACAATCACCAGGTGGCTCATCTACAAATCCTCTCGCACAACAAGGCGCAAACAATGACCCACCCCCAGCTTACACTCCCGGCCCAGCAACGCCAGCACCTGTTGCTCACCAAGCCCCCATCACGCCAGCCACAGATGATGACCCCTATGCCTTTCTCCGGAACTTCGACACCGTCTTCCTAATCGACGACTCAGGCTCCATGGCCGGCGGCCGCTGGCGCCAAGTCGAGCAAGCCCTCAGCGTTATCGCGCCCATCTGCGCCGAGCGCGATGAGGACGGCATAGACGTCTACTTCCTCAACAACAAGAAAGTCTGGAAGCACCAGCGCACCGCGGGGCACACATTATCGAGATCTTCCAGGACGCCAAGCCCGGCGGGCAGACCTTCACCGGCAAGCGCCTATATGAGATCCTGACGCCAATTCTTGCGCGCTACAAGAGGAACCCGACCGGCACGAAGCCTGTGAATGTCATTGTGATTACGGATGGTCAGGCGCATGATGATGTCGCGGGCACGATCCAGGATGTCGCGAAGAAGTTGGATAAGTGGGAGGCACCGCCGTGGCAGGTGGGGATTCAATTCTTCCAAATTGGGAATGATCCCGAAGCCCGAAGCATGCTGAAGCAACTTGATGATGAGCTGGCCGGTAACGATGACTTGCGGGATATCGTCGACACGGTGCCCTTCACTAGCGAGACCGGCGGCCAGTTATCAGGGGCGGGCATCATGAAGGTGAGCACAAACAAAACTATCTCAAATATCTACGAGCTAATGAGAATGCAGGTGGTCCTCGGTAGCGTCAACCGCCGTCTGGACAGGAACTCTAAGGAACTTCACCGGTCGTGATGGGCTTCTCATCCTTTCTTGTTCGTACGATGGCATAGCTTAATCTACGTGCATGTGCCTTCTTCGTACAGAGGGTGGGGCATTCTATCGACAGCCGGATTTTTTTTTTTCCTACTGGTCGGCGTTAATGGTTGGGCACTTGCGCACATCGTGTCCCGGTATGGGTGGGTCAGTTGCTGCGATCAATGATACCCAACCACCATGGTTATGTTCTCGAGCCGAAATAGGTATTCCGAAGTGCATTAGATTCTTCTGGCTTGTTCAACCGGGCCAAGGATAGATTTTGTGGCTCCATCTCCAGGAGCACGCATGTAGCTACAGTACTAAAATCATTATCTCACCAATCAGAAGGCACGTTTCGGCGGCTACTGCATATCTATGCATGGTATGCAATTATGTGAAGACCCTCGTACTGACACGTGGTGCGGACAGAGTCGGTCAGGGAGGGGTAAGTGTGCCTGACGAGGCTGACTTTCGTTTTTTACTCCTTTTCACAGGCTTAAACGGAAGGCAAGGCCCGGAGATACCGGTAGCATGGTAATATCACAGTAAACAATAGTCGATATATAACATGTTGTCTAGAGAATGTACGTCAGCAGCGTAAGCATTGATATCATGTAGTGAATTGACCTCTCACACCAACAACAAGCTGGCACTTGCACAAAGTTTGTGCTCGATGACGACAATCCATACTTATTCAACGAAAATACGGCATCGTGATACAGCTAATATGCAATTGAATTCATGACAGCTGTGCAACTAACGAATACAAACACCCAAGTCTAATTCGGCCCATTCCAGTGCGTCAAGGAAGCGCATTGCAACGTCCACATTCTATAGCATCAAGCGAGAGTAACGCTACATGCACGTACTGACAAGCTATGTGTAAGACAGCTGCAGATACTCCTGCGTGTTCGTCCTGCGAGAGCGGCTGCTATAGTTAGTGTTGTGCATGAGGTAAACTCAGTGGAGTTGTGGAAAAGAAAAAAACACGTTATAGCAATTCTTCTGGGAAAGCACCTTCTGGTGTACCACAATCACATCATGAACTCAGTTCCAGACTCTAGAAAGTGCATGTCATCAACCTCCCACATTTCTAGGCAACGGAATGGGTGCGCAGTGCTACTTTCACACAGCCGAAAGCTGGATCGCCTATGGCACCTGTGAAACCAACACAATACTGTAGCCATTGGCTCAGTTCAATACCAAAACATCACGCTTTTGTCGAGATACAACGGATGCAGTGCGGGTATGCATGGTGTTCCCGTTTCTGTGTTTCCACGGAGTGCTACACTCCTTCCTTCGATGTACGTACGCGCCACCCATCCACAGAATGACTTGCAGGGCATGCACGCTTACACAGTGCTATAGTGCATGCGTAGCTTCTCGCGCAAGGCAGATTTGAGGGAAGCCGGGCCGGAGTGGTGGTAAAATGGGAGTAGATGTAGGACGGTATGCGGGGCACCCGGTGGACTAGGTATGCAAAGATAGAATGCGCAAGAAGTCTGCCTTGAGTTCCGTGGAGCTGCATACACTGAGGAGAGTGTAGCGGTGCGCCTTGTACAGTGAGCGGTGTATCCCTCGGCAAATTGGGATTCTTCCGGAATAGATGGGTTTGGATAGGTTTAGTATAAGGATTGAAAACGGTCGGGCCATGACAGAGGTGTTTCGAATGCTGCATGATACGCTGTGATCTGAGAACGTGGCCATAGAAAGGTTCAGCCCGTCATCGATGCAACCCTCTCTGTTTAATTGACCAATTTGAGAGGTTACGTCAAAGATACGCCGAAAATGGTGGCAATGGCAAATATCGATGCATCTCGATGTCTTTATCTCAAATGTACTTGGATGTATGATTGACTCTTGTACCAAGAAACACTCAGGATCTTACTCAATTGGGTTCGGGGAGTTGCATGTTAGTGCTATCCGAGAATGGGCATCTGACGTCCATCGCGCAACTTTCAAGCTCTAGGAAATTACACGGCTAAGCGTTTCTGTGAAAATAGCCTTGCGATGAGCAAAAGCGTCAAGTCGACCAATTACATGAAGAATGAAGTGAATGATGGTATGTCGACCTGGGATGATTATTATCGTGAAAAACCTCGATGCCGTTGAATTCCTTGCCAAGGTTCGCAGCTCGGAGAAGTTCAAATCTGTTGGCTCTGTTTTTTCAGAAGCTACTCCTGTGTTATAGCCACGCCTGCATTATAGCCACGCCTGCTAATGAATACGGCGCCGACCTGGTTGTTTTCGGGGAATGACTCGCAGTACATATATTTGCGAAAAGGACACTGTGCCTTTGTCCAGCTCCCCGTTATCCTTCAGCACCGGAGGTTTCATCGCTAAAATCCCATACATGATGTTCTATGAACGGAAAGGGATGGACTTTATGTGAGTGAGTAGGGAAGCTGATGTGAAGCGCGTTCCGACTGCCCACTTCTCGCCCAATGAGAGCTCGGACGTTGCCCAATTGTCAGCCCACCACAACCATCACACCACACTCGCACTTCCCTAAACTGCACGGATACATCATTAGACTCCACGATGGCTCCCTAAATATCTCTCCGACAATGCCTGGCTATACAACCCGGTTATCCTTCTTCGCACTTCAAGCCCTCCTCACTGCCTTCCTCCTATCGCGTGCACCCTCCACGATGACAACTTTCCCACCCTCCAAACAATGGGCCGACGGCCCCTGTTCCCTGGTTCAGACACCCCAATACAAAACAAAAAGGACCGACGTGTTTACCACCGGCGCAACACATATGGCCCACATCCACAACGCCATCCTCCGCGGCTACAACTCCATCTACCTCCAAGCGCCCCTCATCTCGCACGAAGACAAAAATGATTTCATTGGGTACTGCACCGCTTGGTTCAAGTTTGTGAAAAGCCACCATGATGACGAAGAAGCGGAGTTATTTCCCAAAATAGAAGAGGTAATGGGGCGGAACGATTTGTTCGCAGAGACGCACAAGGAGCACGAGTCATTTCTTGCGGGACTGGCCAGGTTTAACGAGTATCTGACTACGCTGGGCGAACCGTACGACTTCGATGGGAAAGAACTGTTGAAGATTATGGATTCCTTCCAAGGACCATTCAACCACCATTTCCACCACGAAATAGAGACGATCGCTTCCTTCTCATTCCTTCCTGAAGCAAAGAAAGCGGAAGAGGCAGCTGCGATATTCAAAGCGTGGGGGAAGAAGACGGTGACGAAGGCGGGGACCACGGATGTAGTTCCTTTTTTCTTGCTGAATCTGGATGTCACGTATGAAGAGGGGATGTGGACAAGTTGGCCGCCGATGCCTGTACCGATAAGGTGGGGACTGGTAAATATCGCTGGTGCGTATCATTGGGCTTGGTGGAAATTTGCGAGCTGTGATGCTAGTGGGAAACCGAGGGAGTTGTGGGCGCTGGCCCAACCACAGAGGCCTGAGAATGGTGCGACGTCTTGAGCGGAGAGGCCTGGTGGGGAGTTCCCGGGAGCGATGTACGAATAGTGTTTTGCCATGGTGGTGGTCTTACGATCTCGTCTTCAAAGAGTCCTTTTTATTGTGCCACCTTTTCCGCCTGTATACTCGAGTAACAACTTCGTTGGTTCTGGTATGTAGATAGATGTCATCATACAAAGAAAGTAGCGGTATCTCGTCCAGACGAAGATATACGCTTCAGGCTGGACCTGCAGCTGAATCATACATGGATGTGGGAGCTTTGGTATTACTGAGTTGTACTTGTCCAATTGTAGTAGCTTCAAGCTTCTTGATGCGTGACGTAAACGCCTTGCTGACTGACTGACTGACTGAGGAAAATAGGTACCTTTCAATGCCAATTACTTAGTCAAGAAAATTTTTCGAGTCTCTGCGTGATAAAGGGCAATGCCAGACATGCAGTAATTGTTAACTGCCCTCTACTTCACTTCATTCCCAGGCTTCTGCTGAAGTTCGATATTCTCCTGCAAACGCACTTTCTCCTTACCCACATGATACAGACTCGGTCCGGGGTGTCCAATGGCCAGACACAATACTGCGACGCACATAACCCTACTCACGTCAGCAAACTCCCCAAGATAACTTCTCAAGCCGGAAACTTACACGCCCTCCAAGGCAACAAAATCCCACTGATGCCTAAAACCCGGCCCAAAATACCCATCCTTCAGCTCCACAATACGGTAAATGCACCTTACCAGAATCAACACTACGGCCGCAAAATTCGCGCCCAAGAAAACCCTTAATGTCCCCAGTAATTCACGCCCGTGCAACCGCCCATACCGGGCGAGGTAGTCTACGAAGAACGACAGGAAGAGTACGAGCACGACGACCTGCAGTATGAGACCCGCTTTTGAGACGTCGACGCCGGTGTTCACGGCGCTGACAGTAGCACCTGTGGCGGAGAGCGCGCCGCCCGTGGCTTGTAGGACGAGGCAGATTATGTCGGCGGGGATGAAGACGTAGTAGAAGAGCTTTGGTGGGAGGCGGGAGAGAACCGGATCAGCTGTAATGATGCTTCACGTTGCTCTTAGTCACACCTTTCGTTTGATCTAGTCCATGGGAAGGAAGACGGACAAAGAAAGGAAGAAGGAGCAAGGAAGAAACTTACAGTTGCGAAAGGAGCACATACACTGCAGCGCAGTAGAACACTGGGGCTACCGTTATGCAGACTGTCCATCAACATTAGCCCCCTACCCCTTCATGGCCTTACACACACCGATTCCTACTTACTGATCTGCATCAGAAAGGCATTGAAACTAAACGGATTACCATGTAGCATGATCCGTCCGCCATACCCCACTATCTGCAGCACGCACCCTGCCACCATACACCCCATGTACCCCCAGGCCCGGTACTTGACCCCTTGTGCCGTGTGGAGGAGAAGAAGGACGCCAAAGATGGCCAGTAGCGCTGCGTTGGCGCTGATGGAAGGCCGATACCCAAAGACACCCCATTCGACAGGGCAGAGGGTGAGTGTGCAGTTTGCGGAGGGGCCGAAGGGGATAAGATTGACCCAAATTTCGCCCGGAGGCCATTGTGCGTCTACAGTGGTGGACATGGTTGGAGATGTGGTGGGTATGAGGTGGAGGTGATGGCAAGAGGAGGATGCTGCTCAGCGCGGCCTCCAGAGATAGTGTGTATGGCTGATCTGGCTGTGGATTGTACCTGGCAGGTTGGGCGGTTGTCCATTCGTATACCTTAGGTGGTGAGTCCAGTCTCTATGGTTCGAGCAACAGTACGGCCGAGCGCGGCACGCATGAAGCCGTGTAAGAGCACACGGATTTTTTGCAGTCAAGATACCGTCACCCGGGTACAATGCTCGTAAGGCTTGGACCTTTGAGAAGGAGGATTACTATTCGCTACCAGATCAGTGAACGCCCAGCTCGAGTAGTAGGATCAAATCAAACCTTCTTGGTGCAAAGAGATATGTAGTCGGCCAACCTCTGGAATGAAGGCACGAAATAAGATGCACCTACAAAGAAAACAGCACAAAACTCTTTTCATCATATAGCGGTGCCCTCGCCCCGGCGCGTCGCATTCGCTTGTGGCAGGGCGGCTTCGCTCCCATCGGCATCCGGAACGTACGTGATTGGAGAGGCGCCTCAGGTTATTTTTTGGGGCGACGTTTCGGCGTAGCGGCCCCCAGAACCGCACCGCGCTTCTTGAAAAACCGTGCCGAAACGGGCTACCCTTGCGACAAGGCTGGGAACTTGAGCAGCGCGGATAGTTGTAAGGCCGTGTTTCGACGGACTAAGCATTTCTTTGAGATGGGTATCGAGGACATGGATATCGAGAGGCAGTCTAATACGCCAGATGTGGGTGGTGGCTCGATTGGTTTCCAACATGCCGTCATCAACACGGGCTGAAGCTGCGCCTAGTCCCACCCGCTTGCAGCTTTATTCAAGGCAGTCGAACACGCTGTCTCGGTTGATACCATCCTTTGGTCGAGCCAGTGAACAGAGAGTCGCATCTCGATATGCTGGCCTCGATTGCTGTCGTCCATACCGCCATCAACACCGACCATCGACGAAGGAAGACGAAGGAAGGCAGCACAGTACAAGGCCAAATCATTCGAGCGTCCAATTGGTATGCCTTGCTGACGCCATCTCTGGCTCGGCCGTGGACGTCCCGCAAGTATTGCACTGGATGAGGGGACAGCGAGAATAGAAGTAAACAGAGTCGAGTGTTAGAATGAAATGCAGCGGAGATTGCATACGCAGATAGTACGTTCTTTCCATATGCGAGCGAACTCTTTCCCAAACAAACATGAAAGCAAATCACTCGAGTGCTCTGTTAGCATACGTATTGACGAAGTTTCCCTCACTACCAGCCCTGGGCCAAGGGTTCTAGAATCACCTTCGTACAATGATGCGAGGTCTACTGCGACCATCTTAAAAGGAGCCAAAGCTGGGACAATCAGGACTCAATCGACCAATGTGGATTCCAAACTAATGCGCAGGTGTAACAGGGGGTCCAATTTCCCGCAACACAACACCTAAAGAAAAGCCTCCCAAACAGCCAGAAAGGCGCATCTCCCGATCCACACAGTTGTGGAATATCTTCACCAGCCCGGCCCTGGAGCCCGACTCTCGATTCTTACACATTGTTGCATCTTGCGGCAGTCTAGGCTCCCTCACGAGCCTTACGGTAGCTGGCCTGCGCGCTCGAAAATCAGTGGGGATTACGATACTTTTGCTGAAGTAGAGTATCAGAGCGAGTCGTCAGGGAAAAAGGAGTTGGTCACGATGACAGAACGATTAGAAACCAGAGGAGTCATGGCGACGCACCTCTTGCTCGACCTGGAGCTGATCCACGACGGGCGCCAGCTCCGACAGGATCTCGTATGCCTTCTTGTGGTACTCGAGCTGCGCGGCGATGAGATCCGCGAGATTGCGCAGCGGCTCGGGGGTGTCAAGGACCTAGGTTCATCGTGTTAGATGATGTGTGCTGGAAGTGGTACGAGAAATTAGACTCACGTTCTTCATGACGCCGACAGCCTCCTCAGTCTGTCCCACAAACTCATCCTCAGCCTGTTCGATCTTAGCCCGCTGCTCCTCGGTCAGATCCTCTTCATTAATGGTGTGCTGCTGAGCCTTCTGGCCGGGCAGCGAGAAAGCACCGCCCTTGACGTTGGCCTTGGTAGCATCCAAGCTGAGCCGCGAGTTCTCCACCGCCTTGCGGGCACGTGTTGCAAACATGATGTTCGTGTTGAGCGTTGTACTCCAGCCTGCTAGAAACTTGCTTTGGATTTGGGCATCCTGAGCCAACCGGGCTTCTCCAACCTTCTCGCTGGCAACGGCAAACTTCTCGAGGGCCGTGGCTAGCGGGTCCTCGCCGGCACCGGAGTGCTCTCCCTGCAGAGTGTGCGAGCTGTTGACCGCGGCGCGGGCCACAGCGTGGCTGAAGGTCTTGGGCTGCGGCTTTGCGGACGGGGGTGCGGTAAGAGCAGCCTGTGCTTCGGCGGGGGAGGTTGCGGCGGAGAGGAGCTGGACCTTCTCGCCGACGGTTCGGCCAAGATCGTTGAAGGACTCGCGAATGTTGGTCGGGTAGTCGTATGCTTCATTAGAATATTGGGAGCTGTAAAGGGAGCATCATCAGACATGCGCTGGTAGGGTAGGAAAGGAGTAGCGGGGTGTCGTACGTGACCTGGAGCATGGTGTTGTGCACCTTCTTCAGCGCATCCACGCGCTTCTCGAGCTCAATGTAGTCGGGGGGCAGTTGAGTCTATCACGGGCCGTGTCAACATGTTTACTGGTGAAGCTGGGCGGAGGCCTCAGGATTGCTCAAGTTATATCACGTTGGGCTGCGAGGCTTTCATACCTTGTCGACATCTTGACCAAGCGTCTCCTTGACCAGCTGCTGCGTCCTCGCCGCAAAAGGCGTGAACGAAGCACTACAAACGCCATGTCAGCACATCCAGAGCTGCGCAACCCGCGCCAGAGCCCGAGGTGCAAGGGGAGAGCGGCGAGCGAACGTACGAGATGTTCTTTCCGAAAGCTCCGAGTTTCTGAAAGTTGTCCATGTTGGTCGAGTAGTTGCAAGAGCGGGGGTGAGCTAATCGAGTTCCAGATGGGTGGTTTGCAATCGAGGCGTGGACCAGCTGCTGAGCTCACATTCATGTGTACGATGGGGTTCATGCACGGACCCTGACGCTATGCCGCATCAGGTACGTTAGGCGCATCCGAGAGCATACCACCTCCATGTCCTTTGCCTTTGCCTCTATTCTGTCACGCATTTGCGCTCTTCTTCGAATAACGGAAGAAATGCATTATACTCATTTGAAGTCACACGAAGTAGAGTCTGGTCCTTGGAATTCCGGAGGATGGAGGAAGACATATTGATGCCCGACTCCATGCCTCCGCATTCATGATCCCAAAGAACCTCACCTTAAGGTTCCGTTTGTTCGATGGCTATAGCTTTCGATTGTAATGTTACTTGCCGATACTTAACCCTAAATCGATCTTAAAACCTTTGCTATGGCCAAATACATCTTACATATTTTTCGCAAGCCAAGGGAACCCAAAGCTTTGTGTATCATGACAGGCAAGCTATAGGTTGTGACAACAGGAAGACACCTGATTGCCCGGTGTAGAAGCGTTCCGCGTCTGAAGCATGTCCGCGGAGATACCGGTGGGAACATCCTCCGAGAGGTGCTTCTGTTTCAACGAGTTCTCACCGACGAGACGAGTGACACTGTGGGGTGGAAGGCAGCACCAAGCTATTATTGTCCCACGTCAGTCCTTGAGTTTATCTGAGACACTGTGCTTTATCTTTGTTGCACCCGAAAACGAAGTACGCTCTACCATAACGTAGCCACGATGGAGTTGAGATGTAAAGCCAAGAATGCATAGGTCTACATTATTTACTGAGGTAATCGGTACAGCAAGCAAATAAATCATCACCAGTAGACACCAAACTGCCTACATCTGTGTTCCAGAAGAGGGCTGCCACGCAAGTGTGTTGCTGTGCAAGCCGTACCGTATGCAAAGGGTATCCCAACCAGTCTTACCCTAACAGTCCAGACCAAACACTGAACCCAAGATACCACAATGATCCTCCAATCTAACAAGAGAGTTGAACTTTTGTATGGCCGTCTCATCTCTCCCTACACCACCTCCCTTGCAGCCGTAACATTACACACGTGCTGCCAAACGAGAATTCACTGTGCTCTTCCCACCTTTAGCTCGACGTCGAAACAAGCAGCTGCGGGGAACCCATCCGGGCACTGGTACCTTCCATGCAGTGCTGCCAGCGTTCGCTAACCCCTGCGAAACACAGCCCTAGCTCCCTGCACACCACGTCGTACAATCTGCCAACTGTACGAACGGCATTTCGTGACACCCTGATCGACAGGATACAGCGTGGCTTGCGTCCTTTGGAGGACGTGAAACGCACTGAAAGTGGTGCAATAGACAGTTTCGTCGTGCGGTACTGGAGATGCACGCAGCCGCGATCCGGCGTCCTGTCCGACTGCGATTGACGAGCCGCAACTACGGCGTTCTTGCACTCACGAAAACTTTCCCAATCCGTACGGCTCCGCACCAAACGATTTCGGATCGAACCCATACTCATAATCCGGACTTGACCCTGTATAGTAAAGCATGTCATCCGTATTTGTACCAACACTGCCCAGGCCCACAGTGTCCTCGGTGGCATTACTACTCGTGTCGTCCGGTGGAGAGTCCGAGATGGTCAGGGTGCCGAAAATGCCGCGCATTTCGCGAAGGTTCTCGGAGACTTCGTCTTTGGGGGCGGTGGTGCGCTCCTGGATGAAGTCTTTGATTGATCGGATGATGGGTGGGCAGCCTTCGTCGTTGGGGAGCCACCAATCCGACTGAGGGATGCCCCAGCCGCCGAGGAAGCGGCTGCGGAGGACATTGGAGTAGATGTATCTAGATGGTGTGTCAGCAAGGTATAATCTCTTATGATGTTTGAGTAAGAAAGTGGGCCGTGTGTGCTGGAAGATCGTGAAAAGGACAAATCAATGGACTTACCCTGCACTTTCCACCTTCGCTAGTGTCTTACGACACCACGTCACCGTCTTTGGATCTTTCGGCAGGAACAACGTCGCAATCGCGAAAGAAGCTTGCGCTTCGATCATTGCGCCAGGAGGTGCATCTGGATAATTCCGAATAGCTTCGAACAATTGAGCAGAACGTAATGCTCGCTTAGTAACCTCGGGATCGAACGGCTTCTGCAAGGCCAGAGAGCTCGACAAATCGTACATGAACATGATGCCCCACATGTCCAGCTTTAGGTAATTCGAAGTCCAATAGCTTCCACCCCAGAGCAGATCAGGTTCGAAGGCGTTGACAACGCTGTCAGGGTCCGGGGTTCCAGGTATCCTATGGACCTTGTGCTTGGGATCGAGGAGCATGGGGTCGATGTTGGATTCTAGCGCGTGTACTCGCTCGCCGAGCTTTGGCAACTCCTCCATGAACTCCGCGTCACTGATCATCCCCTTCCCTTTCTTGAAGAAAAAGTCGCTCGAATCTTTCGCAACAAGTCGTGAGTATGCGAACCGCTCGTCGTACCGTAATCCTAGCTCGTCCGGCTGCTCGGTAGATTCCATCCGGAAATGCTCGTGCACCGCAACGTACCAATCCCGGCTGAGAATGGCTTCTCCCCCAGACTGGAGGCCGACGAATAAATCAAATCGACTGTACCAAAGTATCACCTTCAATAGAAAAGGTGATTCTGTAATCGTCTCAGGTGTGTAAAGCTGTGTCAGCATCTGATTGGCGGCCTTTTGATGGCCCATCAGGTTGACCCAGTCGCCCAATACTTCCTGAAGGATTGTTAGCTAGTGCTGGGTATCCCGCGAATATAATTCTACCTCAATGGCTGCAAGTTGCAGAATCGTTAGCAGAGTGGATAACCCCTGCTTCTTGGTCTTCATCATGTTCGCACGCAGCCGTGATATTGACTCATCGTAGTACTGTAGAAAGGTGTGCATACGGGCATTCGGTTGATTGAGAGTATGAAAATAAGCGGCATATCCTACGATCGCAAACAACAGAGGAGGGTACCTCATAGCATGTTCGAGATAATCGGTCTTGAAGAATTTTGATGTGTCGTGTTTCAGGGAATAGTGGTGTGCGGACATGTGGTTCTTGAAGTAATCCAAATAGAACTGGATGTCTTTCCGCTGTGCAGGCTTCATGGCTGCGGCTGACTTAGCGGTTGGATGGCTGCTTTTTCGATGTATTGGCGGTCTCGAAGAAGTCATGCTCGGTGTTTTCAAGAAGGTCTCTGTCGATGGTGAGGGACTTCGATCGAGGGTCAATGCTGGCGTGTCGGATGCTTCCCGTCTCCCTTGGCCCTTCTCCTCCACTTCCATGTCATCTTCGTACTCCTCTTCGTCATCGTCAACAATGGGCGGTAATCGTTCTTTTGCGTCATCATTGTGATCTTCCGGGGACGAGCCTTCACCAGAATCTGCGGAAGATGATTTCCCTGACTTGGATCCACTACGGCCAGTCTTCTGGTTCGACTGGGCTTCTGGGTAGATGCATTCGCGATTGCCTTTCCGACATCCTGAGTGTAAAGTAAGTACTTTTTGAAGTAGATTGAATGGTACGGTAACACCTACTTTCGCAAACAGGGTGCGCTTCGTCACACTGAAGGTCATCAGTCTTCAACAACCGTCGTGTATCCGAGAATAGTGACTCACCTTTACTCTGCGCTGCCGGCATGTGAAGCATCCGCTCCGAGTCCTTCGATGTTTTACATGCTCTCCAGGTCCTGGGCGCCGCCTTGTGCGAGCATTCGCATCTTGGGAAGCATCCATGCCACCGGGGACTTCTTGATACTGGCCCAAATAGGGCTGCTGCATGTGCGATTCGACATATGGCGCAAAAGCTCCGGGCATAGTGTGATACACCGGGCTCTCAGGCACGCCGTGTGCATAAGAGCCATCGGCCGCCATCACGGGCGGGACATTCTGCAGATTGGAATTGGGAAGCACATTGGGATTGACGTTGTAGTACTGCGGTGGGATGTTGGCGTTTGGCGGATAGTATCCAGACATTGTGGTGGTACTGGTGCAGAGGCGACCGCGCAGCAGCAATGCAGAACGTATGTAGATGGATGTGGTAGATGGTGACGAGATACTTGCAGAAGTGCGATCAACGTCATCCGTGCCCCGGAAGGTCCAAGGATCGAGCAGGGATCTGAGGACGATCGCAAGCGCTTCTGAGAGGGTCCTGCCACACGGGCGTCAGGCACGGGTGGTAGTCTGATAAGGCGGGATTCGGAAAAGTGGCCCAACTACCAGGCGCCGTGGAGGCCGTATTTGAAGACGACAAACTTAAGGATGGATGATGAGGCTTGCGCTGGGGCCCTTGCTAGCCCAACGAGCGAGACCCCAGTCGGCTTTTAAACAAGACTCCAGAGTCTCGATGCTCATCCGGCAGCAAGGTGGACTTGCGGCGCAACACAGGCACGGCCGTGGGAGGCAGGTGGAGAGGCAGTCTGAAACCAAATGGTGGTGCTCCCAACGGCGGCGGGACACAGCAGCTGGGAGAGGTAGTGCGTGGAGTGTGCGTGTGCCATGTATCTCACAATAGGCACTCCAAGAACGACCAGGGCTCAGCACCGATGTACTGATTCGATGCGGCCTCACTCCACAGGCAGCGTGCTCCTCAGACAGGCGCGGGGAGGAGGACAACCCTGGCTCCACCATGCAAAGAGGGAACAAAGCGTGCTTTCGCCGTCGGTCAGTGCGCAGAGTCGAGCAGTGCTTGATTCGAGCCGGACGATTCCGCTTTCCGCTCCCATGCCATGTTAGCGCAGACTCAAGGACGCTGAGCGGCCCACGGGCGGCACTATAGCAGTGGCTGCTAAGGGTCCACTTTCACAGATGGGAGCAGGGCAAGGCAAGCCTCGAGTGCCCTTCTGGGAGCAGCCCTCTCGCTCCAGCCTGCCGTGGGAGCATGCATCCCGGCCGATGATCGCAGAGTTGACTTGTGCGTCGGAGGTCAGCCATTCGCGCTGCCCGTGGCGCCTAAAGCCAGGATCTCCTTTGCAGCAGGCCAGGTGGGGCCAAGCAAGTGAGATGACAGCAGCACGGGAGGAGAGTTGTTGAGCGCAAGGGACATGAGCGAATGGCAGTGACGTGGAGTGGAGAGAGACGACGGCACTTGGGCTTGGTCTTGGTACCGCGCGCGCCACAAACCATCTCCCCTTACTCGACACGGCGTGAGGGCGGCTGCAGAATTTCTTTGATATAGCCAGCCTTCAGCGTGCGCCCAAAGCGGTGCGAGCTCCGACGCAGGATGCGCTGCCAGAGAGGCCCTGCGCCGGGGAGCCTCTTGAACAAACAGCAGCACACAGCTTTACGAGGTTTGTACATGTCGATGCCTGGGGTTTCTCCCAAGGCGGCTAGCCCTGCACCCACATCAAACCGCCCACAGCGCCGTTCCCCTCTTGCTGCAGTGACAGGCGTTGATGGCGGCAGCAGCAGAGAAGAAGCAAAGAGAGTTGTAAAGCCTGGGTTGGACTCATGCAGCCCAATCAGCGCACGGTTCCGCCCAGAGGCCACATGCAGTTCCCAGCGGTGTGGGATACTGCATCTCCAAGTCCTCAAGAAGGCCACTGCACCGTGAACGCGTCAATCCAGCACGGCGTCTGCGTCCTGCCCTATCAAGCAGTGTGCAAACTGTTGAGGCGCGCATAGCACGCGCTGTGAGCGTTGAAACGGCACTCAAATGGCAAGACACGACTGCTTTTTCTTTGGAAATCGCGCATTGTCAGGCGCCTCCTGGAGAGGGTTCCAGTATGTCATGTTCGGCGACCTAGGATCCTGCAATTCCTCTGCGTGCCGCCAGCATTTGTGATCTGCCGTAGAGTTACAGTGGGGTCCACTTTGTAAATGCATGGTCAGACCGTCGACCGTAGATTCTGCACCTTGTTGCTAGTGTCTCGCGGCGGACGCAGGACCATGTCCCGCTGCAGTGTGAATGGTGCATAATAGACGGTCCGCAGCATAGGTGTGCGATATGAGAGCGCGGTCTTTGCACGATCCAGCACCGCAAACCCCAATCTCCAGGATCGTGCCGCCAGCCGTAGGAACGATGCCGAGAACGGCTCGAGTGGTTATTGTTTCCCTGGATAAGGTCCCGTAGGTTGCGGGCCGCCGTGCGAGAGGGGCATGCACCTGCATGGAGACTTTCCCCGTCTGCAATGTCGACCGGTTGAAGGACGTGTCGACTCCTCTAGGAGTCTACAGATGCCGATGCAGTGCAGCAGGTATTCGCATCTCAGTGCCGGACGGCCAAGCAACCATACCGGCGTCGCGGTTACGTCCACGTGCCGTCACAGGCTTGAACCCTGCTCGAGCCTGCTTTGTGAGACCCATCGATCGACCTTGAAACACACAACTGGATACAAAACTGAAACAAACGTTCCTTGTCTGTGTGCCACTGTCTACCGCGCGCCATCGCCAATGGACAGATGCCACAACCTACTCATGACCGCACTCTGCAAGAACTCTTTACCTGTTACTGTACAGCGTCGCAGTGCGTACAAAAGGCGGTGGCGCTCGAGGATCGGTGTAGATTCCAGGGATCCGCTGCTGGTGACCATCTCTCACGCGCGGATTCCCCCAGGCAAGTTTATCAGGATCCGGAGAAGGCATGCCAGAAGAAAGATAACTTCCGGGTCCCAAGGTCCGCCCTGCACGCTATGTGAGGACTGGCCAATAGCAAAGCTACCGTACCTTCCCTGTGCCAACCTGGTAACCCTCACTCACCTCCAGCATGGCCCATGAAGCTACATATGGACCTCACCTGTGGGCCATTGCAAGGTGCTAGCTGTCAGGCCTTGGTATTTGCCGGATCGTGAGAGCACAGCATTGGCGTTGGTTGTCGTCTTGTGCTGCCTTGTTAGACAAGGCACGACATGCGGTCAAGTGATGATGCGCCATCCTTCGACGCCAGGAGCCCAAGTCGCATCAAGACTCATATTGAGATTCCAGGGCACGATCGAACAATGTCCCCTCATACCGATAGAGTTTGCGATTGACACTATGTGCAACGTCATCTTGCCAGGCGTATCCGCGTATCACCGTACAGCCTATACGAGCTTGCTGACTGCCTTGATGGACTGAAGTTCGTAGGCATTCCTCGAACGGGCAAGATCGAGACTGAGCGGCTGGCGGAGCGCATCTCCGACGTCGACCCACGGAGCCTCAGGACTATCGATTTCTCTCGCGACAGCGTCACGTAGCTGTCTCCTTCGAGTAGCAATGCCGTTGCGGCCAGCGCGGCACCAGCCGCTGCGTCAATTCCCTTTCAAAGCCGCGTGGAGCCGTCGATACAACTGCTCGAAGATCAATCTCCAGCACCGCACTGTTGCCCCGTTCGAGCATAGCCATCACACGCCCATCACTAAATGGGCACATCTCACCTCACCTTTGCGCTCGCACCCCCATCCGGGCCCATGTCCATCATTTCGGCCCCGGCCCGCCCAAGAAAACATCCCATTACTTCTGGAGTTTTTACGAGTCACGTTCCCTCGCGCGCACCCCCGACGCATAGTCGTCATTCCCAGCCGTCCGCTAGAACGCACTGAACGCATTCTGGAAAACTCTCCCCATCCCACAGAAGCATTCCCGTCACCCGAGCTCCCTGCATCCTTCGCGACTCCCGCGCGCGCTAAAATCCATGTCGCTGGGAAAATGCCAACTCCACCTTCCTGGTGTTTTCTAGGCGCGCGTCGCATTCGGTATCGCCCATAATGCTCCAACGAGAAAGACCGCCATCATGATTCATTTGCGGCGTAGAGCGCTTGTCTTCGCACCCTCCCCGTCAACGACTGACTCTGCAAATCCCGGTGTTGCGAAGACCCTTGAGCATGGCCCGGACAAAGTTGGAGGGGACGTGCGAGCGAGATACCTACCCTCCACGGATTATTGGCACGCCCATTGCGAACAATGGTAGGAAGATGGTAAGAAATCGGCGTGAGAATTGTCCCGTGATACCGAGGTAGAGCAGGCATGTGCGCGAATACGTACGTAGTAATCTGCGAATTCTTCCAAAGTTTCGTACAACAAGTGGATGAAAGCGGTTGCTCGCGGGGATATCCTTCTCCCGGCGGCAGGTGATGATACCCGAATCATCTGTCGTCAGAACACGAAAACTTCGTCATGTTGCTTGCTTGCATGTTCCTGTCAGTTTGTTGCGTATTGAAAAGATTTCGTCATTGATTAAGCAGCAGATTTGCCGCTGCTATGCCTTGTCGGACTGGATATCCGACACAAGGGACCATGTACACGGAGAGACGCAGTATGTTAAGAAATGGTCGTAGCAGTCGTGATGATTCACATGCATCCCCCAACATTTCGCCGTGGATATACCCTAAACACAAAGCCAGGCCTCAATGACTGGTCGATCGCTCCCAAAATGCCGAAAAAATCCAATTGCCATATTCATCTCCCCGCTGACAAGGCGGCTCTTTCGTCAATCCACAAGAACGCCGAACGCTATAATCGAAACCTTGAGCTGAAAAGTCGTGAGTTTTCGCACTCGGACAAAAGATGTCCGGTAACAAATGGAGGCCGTTGTCGAACCTGTCCAATGAATGGATCAGTACCGCGAATCAGGTCAAACGATCGGTACGTAAAGGAGTTGAGTCCACAACGAAAATTGGAACGGGCACTTTCCCTTCCAAGGTGGAATGGCAACTGGGTATCGAATGCAAGGCACTTTTATGCACCAGCCTGCGCTGAGTTGTTGGTGATACTCGGTTCAGGGTCTGGATTCGTCACCTGCAGAGAGCTTGCAGGCCTCTCGTCGACCCCCTGGGCTCTACATAGAGGACACGAGTTGCGACCAGTGGTCAGCCACTGCTTCAAGTTAGCGATAACTCGTTACGTACGTCAGTAGAAAACTCACCTGATCGATGCAAGGTCGGTGGAACAGGTGCCCGCATTTGATGAGCCTTCGGGCTTCCTCGTCGATCTCAAAATCGCACAAGCAGACTAAGCAGCGCGCATCTGCCGGAAGGTCGACGGTATCGGTTCCTCCCTCGGTCTCCGCGATTAATGTGCCATCTCGCATACGAATAACGAAGAGCCCTGGCGCCGAAGCAACATCTTCTTCGCTTGCTACCGGCGGTTTGGCAGGTCCCAAGAGAGTGGAAAGCAGAAGCATATCCTCATATGTGGGCGAATCTGTAAAGAGGCTGGGTGTAGTGAGAATAGGATGGTTCTCGGGGTAGCTGCCGCCTAGTACATATATGATCCAACTTCTGGAGCCTTCTCCAGGGTTGTTGTCCGGCTCGACCACACCATTTCGACGTGAAGAACCTGACCCAAACCTGGAGAAGTCAGACTCGCTCAGTCGACGTGGGCGAGGGGTGCGACGGTGCATGGTTGGTTCTTCTGTGGTTGGTTCTAACCCTGCTCCAGTAGGACGACGAATGAAACTTCCTCGACGGGACGAGGCAGAGGATTGAATAGCCGGCGAAGGTGGTGAAGCTGTGAACGTTGGAGTGGTCGCTCCAGAAGAGACGGCAGAAAGACCGGAACTCGCTGGTGTGGAAGGAGGTGGAAGAGGACCTGCTGGGGAGTCGCTCATAGTAGACCACGGGCGTGGGCGCGTCGAGCGGTATCTCTGATTGTCGTAGCTGGACGAAAAGTTGTTCATGCCTCCCATAGATGCCCGGCGCCGGTGGCTAAACCTCGTGGTATTGGGCGGCTGGCGCGTCCAGCCTTCCATGGATTCTTCTCCAGGCGACGTGGCCGGTGTGGGAAAGCTGGACAAGGCATCGAGGAAGGGAGGAATGTTGTCGTCTCGCTCGGTGCCACTGCCTGGGTTGATAGACCTAATACCAACGATGATAATGGGCACCATCCTACCATCTGCTTCGTCTTCTTCACCATTACTCTCAGCCCGACGGTCTCGATTTGCCGTGTCCGCGTCTGGCTGCTCGTTTTCGTTTGACGACCCAAATCTGAACATCCTGAAAAAGTTAAGTGGTTGAGTATTTCCACCCAGGTTATCTGTCCCTTCCTCGCTCCCGTTGCTGTTACCACTCTGTCTCAAGGCTGAGGCGATCCTTCCATTCTGTAGAGCCTGCAGAAAGCTATCGAAAGTGCCGTCCTCGCCGTCACCCGCAACGTTGCGGGCTTCTGACACGGCGCGGTGGTCATCACCCATCAGCGAAGCTGCCGTAGCTGCTGCTGCGACAGACAACAGCCGCGAAAGCATGGCTGCTTGGTCCTCTTCTCTTCGTATGGGCGACCGTCGCCGGCGTAGCGAATTTGTCATATTTCTCAAGCCCCTATCAGGTCTGAAAGACGGAAGCATGGATGAGGCTCTGCCGTCTCGTCTGGCCGAGCTCAGCCGCGGCAACGGCGAATTTGATGATGCGTTGCTCGTGGTGCCTGACAGCTCTTCGAAGCTGAGATTCAGCTCCGAAGGGACTTGAACCCTAGGAAGGTATGGACTGCGCTCATACCCTGTGCTGGTGGTATGCCGGTGCCGGAGTCGCTCGGTCCGTGGCGTCGGCGCGGGTCGTTCGGAGGGGGTGGATGATAACGCGGATTCGCCGTCTCTGGATCTACTGGATATGCGTCTGTGAAGTAGGCTTGGTATCGAACTGAGTGAAGAACGAGCCCTCGTCATCCGCGAGGGGCGGCGCTGCAGGCGGCTTACTGGGCTCTCTACGGCGGTCGAGCGGGCATCGTCGTGCTCGTTGCGAGCGGATAGCATGTGTAGAGGGTTAAGTCGTTGGGACAGAGGCCGTGACGAGTGGGGGAGGGCCCGCTGCACCATCTCTGGGACAGCGTCGTTGGCAGGCTGCGACCCTCTGCGACCCATGGACGAAGGCGCCCATGATGTCGGCCGGGCCCTCGAGCGCGGCGGCGGCGGCTGATCCTGCGCACCACGCGAACTGCTCTGGCCCATGTTCAGATGCCAACCAGACACGAGCTGGCGGCGTTGTGGGAGAAGGTGGGACAGGAGGAGGAAGGAGTGGCGTGGCGCCTGTGAGGCTCCCCAGATCAGTGATGTATGCAGGTGCGGCAGGCGCGTCCGCCAAGCCTGGCTGGTTCCAGTCACGAGAGTGGAGAAAAGTAGCACGTGCGACGGCGTCCACCTGGGCACCTCAAGACCGCGAGAAGCTTCCAGGATTACCAGGTTGCAGCCGGCATGCCAGGCAAGACAAGGAGACCGAGCTTGCCTTGCAATCCAATACAGCTGCGCCTTTGCTGCCCAGCCCAGCTTGGCCAAACATGCACCACTTTGCCACGCCGCTGCGGCCGGCCCAGCAAACAAAGTCCAAGCGGAAACGCGACGATGACGGAGCAGACCCTCAAGAAGATTTGGTACATGACGCGAACGACAACCCGCAACCAGAAGTCCAGCCGGCTCCCCTATACGACCGCTGGGATAGAGAACAGCGCCGTGTTGCGGGCCTCTCATCTGATGATGCGTTTCAAATCCCTGCGCCGCCGTTTCCGCATGCTCCGCCTAGAGAGCCACGTTCAAAATTCACTCCAGCCCGCATCCAACAGGAGCTTGCCGGCCTCACTCTTTCCATACATGGCGAGGTTGCCTCGTCCCAAGACCAACCCCTTGGCTCAAAGCGTGTCACTCCTGCGTTGAGAACGACTCATCTCAACATCTTGTCGACTGTCATGCACCGCTGTTTACTTGAGGGAGATTACCAGCGCGCAGCAAGAGCATGGGGCATGATGTTAAGAACGCAAGCCCATGGCATTCCTATTGAGCCGAGATACAATGGCCTGTGGGGACTAGGTGCTGAATTGCTACTGCGTCGAAGATACCAGAGTACCTTGTCTGGGATAGACGAGCAAGACAGCCCGGCCAGCGACGAGCATCTATGTTCGGAAGAAGGCTTTCAACTTGCGAAAGACTACTACGAGCGCTTGATCCTTCAGTATCCTGTCCGCAGCTTCCAACCCCATGCAATCGACGCCACCACCTTCTACCCGCCTTTATTCTCGGTTTGGCTCATGCAAGTGCTCGAGAGGAGTAGACGTTCACGCCGACAGCTCAAACGTGAGGCTCAAATGACAAACGTCCCCGTGTCCATTCATTTAGATGGTGGCATGACCTTGGGAGAGAAGCGTACCCGGGAAGCTGAGATCCAACACGAAGAGCTAGCTGGTGCGCGGGAGATATGCCGCAGATTGACAGAACTCGTGGAATCGCCACCTTATGATAAGAACGCACAATTACTTATCCTTCGAGGGCACGCTGGTCTTTGGATGAGTGACCTTTTACTGGGCAAGACAGTAACGCTAGAACCAGACGATGAACTGGATTACGATTCAGATTCGGACAGTAATAAAGTGGAGGACGAGGCCGAGACCGATATTGCCGAGAAGACTAGGAAGCGCTCCGAAGGTCTTGAAGCAATGGAGCAGGCCAAGAGCTACTTTGAGCAGGCTATTAAACTTTGCAAGGAAGTTTCAGCTGGAACGACATCTAGTTTCGAAATGGAGGTTCGAGACATCACCAAGCGGATAGAGGAGCTGAAGACTCCGCAGCGTTAGAAGGTCAGTCAGAACTACCTTGATGGTACGCTGCGCAGAACAAGCAGTCGCGACGGTCTCCAAACTACTTCCCAGGTACGCTTCGTGGGGCAATGGTGACTGATGATTCTCCATACGTACACTTTCCTGATTTGAAAACTTCTCTCCGTGGCCGGTAGGTGGATAGACTGATGCGGCTTCGCAGCAACAGGTCTCGAGCGTCACCTGAAGAGTTGCGCACGCGACTACTTTAATGATTTACAATCGCTCAGGCCTGCTGTTCGCCCTCGGTCGCACGAAGCAGCCGAGCTATGCAGATACAGGCTGTTTCGAAGTCCGTATCGGACATGCAAGCACCCCCGTAGCGGCACTTTACCTTTGAGGATAGCTTAACCATGATAGCCACAATATTTGATTTTTCAGTTCGCAAATGATGTTCAACATCATGTTCTAACATCTCTGCGTGGCTAAGGTCGCGAGTTCTTGCGCTGAGCGCTTATTACACTCTCGCGCGCAACGAAGGGTTGTTAAGCAATCATCTTGCTCCTTGCGTTCTCTCATAGTCCACAACATCCCCCTCCAATTGAGACTCGAGTAGACTCCTCAACTTCTTTGGCTATTCACAATAATCCAACATCCCACCATGCTACAGAAGCGGGCTATATCTGGGTCTGCATCAGCTGGCTTCCAAGCAAAGCGGGATGGGGAGAGTGTTCAGGCTCTTACGCCTCGATTATCATTCATCCCTACCCGCCGTAGTTGCCTTTAAAGTCACTGAAGGTTTGTGACTCGACGATTCTTCGCCATGGTGTTGGTCAGACCCGTCCAAGGAGTACTAGAATAGAAGTGAGCAGGGTTGTTAAACGAGGGTTGTTTTGTGCCTCAAATTCACAAATAGTCTTGTTCGAAGTCTTGTTAATCTTCACCGGAAAGTAGTGTGGGACGGGTCAAGCTGTGCAACATGCTAGTTTAGTGAGGCTCATCGTCGAAAGGATTGCTGGCCGATAATGGTATATGACCAGGAGGTAGATGTAAACAGTGGGAATCTAGGGCAGTCGTATGTTTACGACTAGGAAACCACACAGTGCCCAAGAGGCTAATACTGCCCATCATCCAGGTAGACCAGTGACAGAACGAGTCACACTTTACCCTCCCTACACAAGATTCTCATCCACAAAATCCACCAGCTGCCTCTTCGCTTTCTCTTCAAGACTTTTCCTTTTCTCTTCTTTTCCCTCAACAGGAATGAACTTGCGCAAGACCTCCTCAACATAAGCCTCTGGCGCGCCCATCTTCACCACATCCTCAATCCCCCGGTTCATCCGGTAAACATACTCCTCTTTCGGCGTGCTCTCGGTTCGCCTCTTACGATCGATGTAGACGAGCATTTTCTTGCCGCTTTCCGTCGGGGAAGCAGTGACATCTACTTTCTTCCCGTCTTTGCTTGCCCAGAAGTCGCACGGAAAAAGCTCCTTCACGTAGGCGTGTGGCACGCCTTCGTTCTTATCGAGACGGGACTCGTCTGAAGGGAGGAGAGAGTAGACGAGGCCGTAGACCACACGTGAATAATCTGGAGTTAGGGTTGATTTTGGTCCTACTTCTACCAAGTTGGCGTAGCCTCGGTCGTTGATGATCCATTTGTGGTTGTTCAGCCGCGCGACGCCGAGGTAAGTCGATGTTGGGCAGCGGGTTGCCATTTGGTGGAGCCAGAGGTTGGAGCCGAAGCCGAAGTAGATGGTCGGAGAGGAGGGGTCGGGGGCCATGGTAGAGGGTCGATATCGTGAGTTTGCTATAAGAGGGCGTATTCACTGGAAGGGTTTGCGTGTGTGAGCGCTTTGTTGTGGTTATTCTGGGTGAGACTTTGCTTGTGTAGTCTCAAGTCTGCAAGGCAATCACAGGAAAATCGAAGTCAGACAGTTTGTCCGTGTCTAGAGGAGACTAAGGTGCACAGAACGCGCAATGCTCGAGTCATTCGCGAAGTCGAGGGGGCATCGAATGCTTGAGCTACTCTTTTGAACTTGCGTCTTCCCAGTATGCTCAAAATGCTTACTTTGCTCGTGGATTTATATTTGCTCGGAAGGATATTTGGTTTTGCTAGGGTCTTTGACAAGCAGAGTTTGCGTCAGCTGTCGTTTGCAGGAGGCATGAAAAATGTAAATTGATGAGAGATTCCTCAGACAAGCGTTTAGGTGAGACGTATGTAAGCGAGATGTGAAGCGGTGGGGTGTGCAGACGGAAAGCTGCCCATACGATACGACCAAGAAGAAAGTAATGGGCTCACAAGTCGCAAAACCGCTTGCTATCTTCGACACTGTGAAGAGTGGACGGTACATAAGCATTCTTGGTCTCGCCCTTCGTTTCGTACCTGAATTGGTGCCCCGCCCTTGCCGTCATTTCTCGGAAGCGAAGCTAGTTTGGAACGCGCGGGGTTCGGAATGAAAATCGTTGGATCTAACCATGCACCGGAGATATATTACACTCGAGTCCATACATCCTGTCCTCGAGACTTTGACATATCCTTACCGTTACTCATCAACAGACTAGGCGCGCCGACTCCCACGGATTTTGAACGCTGCTACGACAAGCTCTCCTAATACTAAACGGACAAGCACCAACCTTCCTGATCATCGAACAGTGCACGGGAGAGCCTCCAGATATCGAACATACGTCGCGCCCAGTCCGTCGATTTCACCGCATCGGGCTGATACGAAATTGTTCATGAGAGCTCTAAAATGCCCTACTCACATCACAGTCACTCTGGGCAGTTCTGTGGACATGCGAAGGACACTCTGGAGAATGTTGTGCAAGACGCAATAGCGAAGGGTTTCCACACTTTTGCCTTGACGGAGCATATACCACGACCAATTGAGGACTTTTATCCTGAAGAGGTAGGTAGTCTGCACAGGACCCGAAGAAGCAGGTAAGATATTGTGCTAATCATGCTCAGACCGATAGCCATACGGTCGAGTCCCTTGCAAAGCTTTTCGACGATTATTTGGTTGAGGCAGAGCGCGTGAGAGAAGCCTATTCGTCCCGAATCAAACTTCTGATAGGCTTCGAGTCTGAATGGATTCGTCCGTCAACGCATCAGCTGATACAAGCCATCTTCAAGAAACATGCCTTCGACTTTTTCATGGGATCGATACACCATTGCCATACGATACCCATCGACTTTGATCGGGCTACCTATGAGCAAGCTCGTGCAGCTGCAGGTGGAACGGATGAGAGACTTTTTGAGGACTACTTCGATGAGCAGTACGAGATGCTCCAGGCCTTGAAGCCGCCTGTGGTCGGACATTTCGACTTGATCAGGCTGCTCAGCGATCATCGGGACGCTGACTTCGAGGGCATGGAGGGTGTTTGGAAGCGGATGCAGCGCAACCTGGAATACATCGCTTCCTACAGCGGAGTTCTAGAGCTCAACTCGGCAGGCCTTCGCAAAGGTCTTGCTGAGCCTTACCCTTGCTCGCCTGTGTGCCTGGTACGTCACACCGCTCCTCGACCTAGCTCTTCTGACGCTTATCTTGTAGGCGTTCCTTCGCATGGGTGGTCGTTTCGTCATGAGTGATGACAGCCATGGCACAGATCAAGTCGGGACCAATTACCCTCGCTTGTTGAAGTTTATACAAAAGGTCGGCATCGGGGAGGTGTTCTACGTTGATAAGGACGCTACGCCCACGGACAGCCGGTGTTCGGCGGGATTCTCAAGCATCACCGTGGACAACTTGGTCCGGTTGCCTTTTTGGACAACAGCTCAGTAGAGGTCTAGACGCAGTGGCCCGTAGGATGTTCGGCCTGGTTGGAAGCTCTGCCGTCATTGGAAAGCAGTGCGGCGGCGACTCGGTTAGGCGAACGAATCCTCGACGTTGCACCGACTTTGGGCATTATCGTGCCCGCATGCGCCTCGTTGCTTTTTTGACCTACGCTGCCATGACACAGCATCACCATGTCCTGTTGAGCCTCGTGAAACGGCTCGCTCTTGCGACGTGGGATGAGCAGCCCATGCCAGCCGCTGCAAGCGCATGAATCTTGGCCAATCTCAGCGCGAGAAGCGGCCCAAACCAAGCGTCCGGGTTCCCAGACAACGCACGCATGGGCTCACGATCGCCTCGAGAGGGCCGCCAGCTGCGCAGAGCGAGGCCATCCCACGTGCGACGGCTGGCATGGCGAGTCAGAGGCGGAGAGGCGTCGATCTTGACAGTGCCACCCCGATTCCGTCGTCTGGCTGCCCCGTCTCGACCGCGCACCCTCGCGATTACGTGAGGTGCAGCGTCCGCCAGCTCGAATATTCCTTTGCAGCGTTTACCGCGACGTCTTGGCAGGCGACGACCAGTTTGGGAACATGTTCAGGACCGTTTTCGGGGTGCAGCGGAAGCAGGGCACCGGTTCCGCCCACGGCCTATTGGCGAGCCCTTTGCCATTGGGGTCCGCTTGCCACTACCGGGCACCTAGTCCTGGGACAGCGTCGCGCTTTTCGCGGTCACTCTGCGCCGACACCAGGTGTTGGACAAGTAGCCTGCACCGGGGAGGCGGCAGCCTGGCGTGGACGAGCGTCAGCTGAAGTACCGCGGACGAGTTTGCGAGAGCATCTTGGGTACGAGTACAAGCCAAGACGGCGGCGACTGCTTGCTTCTGGCGACACAGCAGATCTGATCTTGGACCACCATCCTTGTTGGGCACGCACACAGTCCGGGCGGCGTGGTGAATGTGCTTCTCTTGCACACGCTTTGGAACACCACGGAACAGCCCGATGCTGGACAGGAGCCCTACACAGCATGCAACGACGTCTGCCAGCTTCCTGCACGACGGGGAGACATACAGCGGCTCCCGATAGTGTGCAGCCACAACCGACGCGCAGATTCAGTGCGTTCGGGCTCTCAGTCCTCCCAACGTGTGACCGCTGACCCGGACAACGACGACGTTCAAGGAGAGGAAGCGTGCTGGTTGGCCCCGGGGTATCCTTGGCGGCACCGCACCCGCAACGCACCCCACCTTGCTTAGCTACACACGACGTAGCGCAGCGAGCAAAACAACTTTGTCAAGTCCTCCAGCGGTGTGCTCGGCGCGGTTGGGGCGCAAGATGCGTGTGTGGCATGCCGTCCGGATGCAGGTGGCCGAGAAGCGCGTGGCAACGTCTTATTCTTCGTTAAACTACCACTGCAACACACAATTTGCAACGCAGCCTTCGCATACCGCGCGACCGGGATATACGAATCTGAACCAGGATCCCAGGGCCAGACTCGGGTCTGCCCTGGCGCTCAAACGGCGTAGGCTCCGGGCTGCGTGCCCCGAAGAAACGGACGGGCCCTAGGAGGAAATGGCGGCTGCTGGCCGACATGGTTGTAGCGACCTTGTACGTCTACCGTCGCCTATGCGAGGGGGCTAACGTGCTTGATGCATCCGTCAAGCCAATCTGTTCCACGGGCTTTGGTTTCTTGGTCGCGTGGGATCCTGTAGCAGCGCCCGAGCCTGAATACATACGTCTGCAGAGCCCTCCTAACCAAGGCACAACCCACCCTCGTTTTAAAAGCTGTGGGCCAACCTTCTGACCTACCTTACCACTCCTTGCTACTTTTCCCGCCTTTCTCCACTGTCCATCTCCACTATCGACTCTTGCACCTGTCCTTGTCAAAGCTGGTCATAAGAAGCAAGATACACGCTTGAGCCTATCAGTGCTTCCTCGACTGTTACCCTCGCCTGTTTGCCTCTCTCAACGGCCAGCATGGGTGTCGAGAAACAAGTCCTCAAGGAGGGAGATGGAGTCACCTTTCCTAAGAAGCATGACGAGGTTTCGATGGAGTACACAGGTAGCACATCATTCCAGTTCGTCGGCAGGGATCTCACGAATCGTCTAGGTTGGCTTTACGACGAGAGCAAAGCGGACAATAAGGGGAACCAGTGAGCATCACCCACGCTTCGGAACAATTCCACGTCCAAGTTCTGGACTCTAAGAACGTACTTCAGGTTCGACTCGTCGGTGGGCCGTGGGAGCCTTGTGACTGAGATTGGCGTTGGCCGTGTTATTCGCGGTACGTGTCTCAACGCCCGCGCCTTGACGCAGAGCATCTGCTAGACTCGCCAACGGATTGAACTCATGCATTGCATAGGCTGGGATGAAGGCATCTTAGGCTCCTCAGAGTCAGCGCCCATGTCGCTAGGCGAGAAGGCCACCCTGACTATCACACCGTACGTAATGCGCCTGTTGAATACTGAACCAATCACTGACGCATCGCTTGGGATAGTGACTACGGCTACGGCGATCGGTGAGTTCTCAACACAGCTTCACTGCGCATGCGACACTTTTCAAGAAGTCTGCGGTGGGCGAGAGGCTCTACGTTGATGCACACCCCATATCGACGTTTGCATTGGGTACAGGTTCAGGATCCTCTCCGCGTTCGGCACCAGACCAAACGCCGCGCAACGGGCGCTAGGTACCCTGAGCCTCTACGCTGTGACCTCACAAACGTCGATCACCCGCCGGTTCTTGCGATGCTGCCTGCAATGCAGCCCGAACCTCGCGCTCAATGACCTCAACAGTTGCTGACCCATGTTCTTTAGTGGTTTTCACGGATACATTCCTCCCAACGCTAGACTGGTCTTGTAAGTTCACAAAAGCTTCTCCATTATGTTCTCAACCCGGTCCTGCCTCTTCCGTCCCATGTCTTTGACTTACTGTTTTTGGGCTCAAAGCTCATCAACCAGTATCACGCCATGGGCACGCCAACTTGTGAAAACGCCACACAACGCACATAGTCCCCTGAACCTTTTCCCATAAAAAGCAAGGGTTACTACCCCTAGTAAACATGCTGATCCTATCTAGTGATGTCGAACTCAAAGCGATCAACGGTAACAAGGCCTCATAGCCATATTTCACCGGAGTCAGAGAAAAAAAAGGGGATACTCCGGACCATCCGACCGAATGTCATATTAGGGTCGATTCGGAACGAGATAGCCACCGATCAACAGTATCCGGACATATCAACACTTTCGCTCAGATTTTGTCCATCTGCCCATGCCAGACACAGAAGCGTCATGGGATACGCATCGGGCCTTCTTGTAACAAAAGTCTTGGTTTGATAGTTCCCTTCTTCCGCCCAGACATCATTCGGCTTGCAGACCGGTAGTATCTATGGAGTTTGTTCCTTCTAATTGTGTCTCCCTAGCGGGCTGTTTAGGAATGGACCAAAAAGAGTCCAGGCGTCTCCGAATTAAGTTGTAGGTTATGGATGACAGGGTCATCAGTTGGCTCTGTCAAGTCTTGATTACCCCAATACAATCCCCTAGCACAAGGGCGTCATTTTCAGATCGATTCGCACAGTCCGGGAAGTGTCGTATCCACGCCGCCTTCAAGCCGATTCTTTCCGTTCAGCCCTCCAGCACCGTCACATAGTCTAGAAGCTCTCGAAATCTTGCTACCTATCTGCAAGTTAGCCGGCACTGTGTAACATGCCTTAATCTGACTTTCGCGTCGCCCGCGACTGCCGCGCGACTCAACTCCTATACAAATGGACAATGTGCAGATATGTTTGCAGATCTTTCGGGCCTACTTGAGAGCAAGGATGACATGGTTGTTCCTACTTCACACCGACATTACGCCACCATTCATGGGGCAACCGCCCGGTCCGTTCGGCTTGCCGAAGGTCTGCGCTGAGACCATCCGATCGACGACGATTGGGCAGACGGCCAACGGCTTCCCGTTCGGCACGGTTCGTCTCACGACACGGTGTTGCCATAATCATCTACGTATCAGCCTGCCTTCCCTTTTCGTACCTTGCTTGCGTGTGCCTTACCACATCACGTCACATACTTCCTTGCACGTGCTTGACATTCTCCATCCTTATTCGCAATGTTTTCTTCTCCTAGTGCACGTGCTTGCAGCGACCATTGCCCCCCACTCCATGCTTCTTACAGTTGTCTTTGATGTTTTGACATACGGCCTTTAGAAGCTTCATGGTGTCAGACTCCAAGCATAACGCTTCGGAGAGAATCTTAGATGCGCCTCTACATCCGGCTCGGCCCGAGGTCAAGCTCATCTTATCAGATGTACTGGGCGCCCATTATGGAATACGAAGCGAAGGCAAAATGTCAAGCGGACAAGGAACACGCCGCTGCCCTTCATCCTGGTCACCGGCACTTGCATGTCACTTACGTAGGTGAACTTTTCACACCGATCACGGGCCGCGGCCTGACAGTCGTTGCGTCCCGCCCGAACCGCTCTTGAAGGATCAAATTTGGCAGTGGATCAGGCCTGGATCTACATCTGGAGATGTACCGTGATCGGCGATCGGCGTTCTGCTTGGAGCAAGGTCCAGATCCTGCACGTCGAAGCTATCGATGTCGTGTTTTCCTGGTTCGGGACTTGGATCTGAAGAGCCGGAACCACAGCCGCATTGAGTCGTCTGCTCGTCGCTGCGCTGCAATGTACGTCTGCAGATTATGAGAATAGCAACCGTCGTAGGGCGAAGAGCTCGGGCACGCAAGTATTGCCGCTCCCATATGTCGTTGGGCTGAAGGCTACATAGCCTGATAGCATGTGGTCTAAGCGGGGTAGACACGAACGGTGTGCCATGCAGACGGGAGAAATCGGTCAGTCTTGCTACATGCTCCAGATGAAGACGAAAAAGCATGTGTCGCAGTTATTACGAATGCATGGGTGCTTGTGATTCGAAGGCAAGGCTGATAATGACCATCTAATCCAACCATTCAGGGACCTTGGTCAAAGACTTTGGGCGGTATGCGTATAAGCCGGGGAAGTGGGTGAAAAGTATCGCTGCCGCCGAATGCAAGCTCGGATATTGCAAGATATGTGCTCCAGCATCCTCTGATCGACATCTGGACCGCGACCAGGACCCAGCCACGGACTAAGAAACTCTTAACTCCACTTTACATGGCAACGGTCGACCTGCCTACGCCACTGAAGCGCGTTTCGCGCCATTATTTCTACGAGTTTTCCTTGCTCTGTGTGCCGCTGACCAAGGTTATGAAATTTTCCGGCTCCTTCCTTGCTGTGCATTTGCGTCACCGGCAGTGATTGTGTCCAGTCGAAGCATGGCGATGGTAGTAGCCCTCCTTTATACTCACCGATTACTGCAAGCCAAGACATATGGCCTAGGGCGGTTGCTCCCGAGAAACTGGTCTGAACAGGGGTACTAGTCGTGGTGGAGGGGTAATTTAGGCGGGGGTGGGTTTGCTTGTCAGTTGTCGTTGACCTGGCCTTAACGGTGAACAGCCGTGGGGCTGGCTCAGGGGCGAATGGAGATGTCACTCTGGGCTGGTGTTCCGAGATATTGTGTCGCGTGCTGAAGCCGAACGAAACGAAAATTTCTTCTCAAGCCCGCGCGTTACGTGCCCTCCTGGCTTGAGCACGGTATATGCGGGCGGACATACTAGTGCGCGCTACGGAGGCTATCCTCCTACGCTTATCCTCTCTGTCTTGCCCACATGAATACTACTTTGCACTAGAGGAATAAGTCTTTGGCTGACTTTCTGGACAGTGAATTTCACCCTCCCAGTTGCGCGAAAATGTTCACATCAATAGACCAGTAACCCAATATGGAAATAGGAAAATAGCTTTATGCGGACAGATTCGGTAGCCTGCAGAGCCGCGTGCGCATCGATGAACACCGGCAGGGTACAAGGTTGTGTGCAACCAGGCTGCATGCAGTATGCATGTTTGGGCCGCAGACACCGTTCGGCCAGATCTCAACATGTATGGAAACATCGTTTACCACACAGGATTGCTGCCAATACTCCTAACCTGATTGGTGTGGAGATGCGCGCACAAACCCAAAGACACTTACATTCTGCATCCTTTGATGCCCGAACATAACGCGAAGAAGGCATTGCCAAGAGCGAAGGATGTTGAGGTGTAGCGGATGTGCTAGAATCTGGGGAACGGGCGGTAATGCAAGACAAAGCGCAGTCGAAGAGTATTCGCTCGCTACGAAAGGTGACTTCGCGAGCGGCACAGTCTGGACGTTGGGGGGTACACATGTGCAAGTATTGACTGCCTAGGCATGGCACACCTTCTTTCGAAAGGGCACACAAGCGGACGGACGAGTGATCCTTAGGCCTGGTGACGTTTTGCCATCCCTACAGAATAGGTCAAAGCAACGCCCAATGTTTGGGATGGATTGACCCTTCAAATGTTGGCCAACGTGTTCATCCACGGTGACTAGCTGCTCAATGAATCCGCCATGAGTGGATATCGAGTCATGGAAGGTATTTTCGATGTACGTACTGCTCAGATCGAGAGCATTGCTTCTGCCGAATTCGATAGGACGAAATGGAGGTCGTCATAGACTCAGTCGATCAATGATGCGTCTCATACTTTGGCCAATCCCATCTCTGCGGTGGTAGTGGGAATGTTGTTAACGAATGCCATTTGATACTTCCTGCCTCTCCTGACTCGATCTTCAACTTGTTGGCTGCAGAAGCTTCCACCAGAGTGATTTCTCACTGCCGCTAGTAGGCGTGTCTATAGCATTTTTAGCTGGCTCTCAGTGCTGCTCAAGCTTTACCTACGCAAGCCTATCCCAACTTCCATCCGAGATCTGTATGCCCACGTATAATACCAGATGTTGTGCGCTAGGAGCTCTGAGCCACTACCCCCATCTGCCACAGTTAGCAAGGTCTTTAAGGAAAGGTCCACTGAGGATAATAGAGATATGTATGCGATGTGGGCTTCTTGGTGACCAATCAGGCACATGCCAATACATTCAAGAACGCCACCAGGAGCAGGTTCCGAAGATAGGTAATCTTTAGCTGATCATGTTATTGACAATCTATGGCAGCTCCTATGACTAACCCCTCATCTACAGCGGTAAGATCGAGTTCGTTGCAGTCTGAAAGTCCATCATCGGCGAGGGAAGAGTGAGTGACTGCTCCACGAGTCGCTCATGGATAGCCAGTGGGACCACCCAGAAATGCTCTTTCAGGGCCTTCCAGATATTCGCAATTCATATGTGCTCATCCTATCCGACACAACTGACTCGGAAAGCTTGTTTTGACCTCTCAAAGATTCCCTTGCGCAGAAATGCAACATTCAGCCCCACATGCCTACCAGCAGAGTTGAATGAGTACCAGTACGGACCGCATCAGCCGAGCGGATGATTTCTCCAAAAAGATCCTCGGATCCCGTCCGCTATGAAGACTTCTACAAAATCTTTCTTGCTGTCCTTTTCATTACAGTTGCATTTCGCACTCAGGTCCAGCCCATGTTGAAGGATAAGTCCGATTTTCATCAAGTCAACCAAGATCATCCTCAAGTGTACTTATCTGGGTCGGTAGCTCCTTCTGCCACAACATGAAAATCGTCTAGCTCAGCAATTCATACCAGTCAACCTCCACTAGCGCCTGTCCAGACGAGGGAATCGTCGGCACCACCTAGTTAGAAAAGACATTCATACATACCAACTATCAATAAAGCAAGCTTCTCAAGTCTATCCTGGAATTCAGAAGCAACGTCAAACGTTATCAATTGGCAACCAGCACTTCCGAAGGAAAACTCCGCGCCAAGCGCAAGCGCTGAGAAATCTGGACTATCGCATCCGTTATCTCCTTCTAGCCACCGTGAAGCCGAAGCTGGTCTCGGAGACGACGACAGCACCAGACCTACCATTGCTGGTGCCACTCGTCTCTCCCCAGCCGTCCATGAGCGGCGCGAGAACTGGTAGACAGCCGAAACCTGGCACTCCAGTAGTTGTGTCAAGACCTTGTTTTCCTTCAATATCTTCTCCACCAGATAGATCTTTTGCAATCTTGCATTCCTTGCCACTGAAAGTTCCTCCTGGGCCGATCTCATTTGCTGCTCAGCAACACCGACGCCTCGGCCAGCCGTAAAGCCCGATGTCGCGCTTGCTGGGTGACTTTGTGCTGTTTCTCCGAGGTGATAGTAAAATCGCAATGGCTGTGTTGGTTCAATAGGTCTCTCCTATCAAGGATTTCTTCACTTTGCCGGTAGCCTCAACAGATGCTCAGGTGGAACCTGCACATGAGGAAAGAGTGCGCCGGTGAGGTGATCCAGTGTCACGCGGCCATCAGCTATATTGAACGAGCAGGTCATGGTCTGGATTTTGCGATATTGGTAGGTACATGTAGTTGATCAACCCCATCCAGCAGGAGCCCACTGTGTTGCCACGTGAACCCCACGTGCCCGGGCACACTCGACGATAAACCCAGGCAGGCGCGTCTTCTAAACTTACGCACAGCACCTTCCGCCTCAACCACGTCATGTGCATGGCGGCATGAAAGCGGCCACCCCACTTTGCGCACTCGTCAACGACCTGCTTCGCCGCCGCCATCATCCTCACCCTCGCCCTTCTCCACGTCACCCTCGACCTCGCTCTCTTTCAAATACTCGGAGCACGTTTGAAGTGGTATACGTCAAATTGGGCAGAATGCCGGGCTCCCTGGCGCGGAAAGAACGAAGAAGGAAGGAGCGGGAAGATAACCACACTCCGCGTGCGATCAAACCTGCATATGTGGAGAGCATCGACGACGAGGGAGAAACCGACGGCGGTGCGGTGCAAGCGGCGGAAGAAATACGGCCCGAAGGTGATGAAGGTGAGCTGTCTTTCGCTCCGGCACATTGAGCCTGCAAGACGGACTACTGACTTCAATATAGACATTCCCAGTTTGGTGCCTCTCTGCGAGCCCCAAAAGTACTCTCAGTCTTCTCCTCGACGGGCAGCCAACCCACTGCAGACATTCGCACGACAAGAGCCTCTTGATAAAAGCAAAACCTTCCCGAAACAGCCAAAGAGTCGGTCGAAGCGCGGCCCTCCACCGCAAATTCCTCGGGAAAGCGAGCCACCTTTTGGGTCACTTGGGTCACTGCACAATTATCCAACTTCCATCTATGAAGAGGCGTTAAATACACTTCGCAATATGACCCCCGAGGACTCCGTGCGCTTGAGGAACGTCGTAATCAGCCAGATGGCGGCAGAGGGCTTTCCACTGCCTGTAGACGCCCAACCAGAGGAAATACCTGCTGTGACCTACCCTATTCGCTCGATCACCAACCCACCTTGGGCGCCATCGACGCGTGGTAGAGATATAATGACGGATACCGAGGCGGAGAATCTGAGATTTGCATTATTCGACAAGATTAAGAAGAGTCAGGAGCAAGTTAACTGGGCCGCTCCTACGGCAAAAGCTCTAAAGGATCCGAAATCTGCGGAATCTCCCGTTCTTCAGGCACTCGGTGGAAACGTAGATGGTGCCTCACATTCAGTGGATATCGTCACACCTGAGGGCGAGGCCACCTTCGGAGAACACGCGAGCATAGTGCACTCCAGGGATAGTGAGGAACAGGCGAACGTCAATCATAAGCTACAAGCACCATTATCAGCTGGTAAGTTTCAGCCTCAACCCCGCATCATGCTAAAAGCGTATCCACCTTACTAGCATTGAACAGATCTCATCACAGTTCCGTCAATCCCGAATGGACAAGAGGTGCTCGGTGATGGGGTCTCTATAAGCAATGCCGAACACGTCGAAAGGATTCGTCATATGCCCGCTCAAGAGCAAATTTCAGAAGCTTCTGCAGCTCTCGAGAAGACTACCCCTATGGCAGAATCGAATGATCACACCGATCGTGTTGCCCGCATCGACGGCATGACAGAGAAGCTTAGACAGTCAGTGGAAGAGGCTAGAGCTGAGATCTGTCCCCCACGCAAATGCGTTACGTTGGACCGTGGCTTCGCACAACGTAGTTCTTCTTCGGATTACGCGAGCTCCTCAGGTGACAGTGGAAGCAAACCTTACGTGAGCCGAACACGCCGTATTACAAGCGACGGCATCTTGGAACTCAAAGCAAGCCCACTCAAGGTTGATGGAGTGAGGATCCCAACCAAGGAACATCGTCGCAAGGTATCGCTGAAGCTTCCTATCAATGTGTCTAACCTCCAGCGAGCATATGCCCATCCATTTGCACGACACACGCATAGTGCTTCAGTCAGCACCGATGAAGGTGTCCTACCATTATACGAAGCGGAAGAACGTGATTTGGAATACAAACATCGGCACATCTTCATCGGAACCGCTTCTTTGGATGACTTCCTTGAGATCCTCGAAATTACGCCCGCATATACTACAACCAAACGAAAAGTTGTCAAAGCTTTTGGTAAGCACTCCTATCTGAGGGTTTTTCGACGCATAAAACATTACTGACTTGTGATTCTAGCAGCTCTAGTTTGTGCTGAGCAGGTACAAGCACGTCAGTCTTCGATCACATCCGATGGTTGGAACTTTGTAACCCGTACGACTCCCGAAAACACACTCACCCACATAGACTACCTCACCGAGTCGCACGTCAAACTTGGATCAATCACCCTGGGCAAGTTCCTTGACAAAATACCTTTCGATGATGAGAACGGGATCGCCGCAATCAAAGTGGTGGAGGCGTTCTGTCTCGCTAGCCATCTTGACGGAGAAGCTACTTATGGATCACAGTCCAAAGCCAAAGCGTTTCGCAGCTGGTATGTGAGGGAGAACGCGGCGAAAGAAGATACTTGAGGAGCTTGATTTCCGCTCTGCTAAATGAAGGGTAAGCTATCTGGTGAGGAGAGTGGTATTGATCGAATGGGTCTCCAAGGACACATTGAAGCGCGATAATTATTCTAAGGCTTGTCCTGGACTGCGACTGCGTAGTAATCTGGGTGTGGTATGCGATTCCTTGTAGAGACCTATAAACCGACCGTTGCATTCCTTCACCACTGTACCTAATACATTCTTTGTCCTTCCAAGACCCTGATTTTCGTATGTGGATCTTCTGCATTCTTTCATAGCATAGCATATGGTCTTTACTCTGCATCTACTACTGAATAACCGGCGTCCAAGGCGAGAACGCAATGGGTAGGCGCCAGTGCTGCTTGCCAGCAACATTGGCCCCCACTTTTCGTCCTGTGACTGCGCAGTGGGGCCACTGTCGATCTGGAACTCAGGGTCTGAGTTATCAGTCACTTGTCAAGCTATGAATTTATTCCGAACCTGCGCAAGAGCGATTTTTTTGGACAGGATGAGTGGACCCACGCAGAGCCCGCGCGCCTACGCCGCATAGCGGGCGAAACATTTCGGTATCGCGTGCCTGAGTTTCAGGCGCATGAGCTAATCATTTTAGCCGCCGTCAGGGTATATACGAGTCAAGTATTGAAGTTCTCCAAGATTGGATCTCATCAACAAGGATAGGAATCCTATCTTGTTGCCTGGGGCTCGACCGGTGAACAACGCGGGCCAGATAAGAACGACCGGTGCGCGCCAACATAGCAACAACTGTAACTATCGCTCCATTTCAAGCAATTTTCCAAACTACACGCCATCATTAACATGACATTCCTCGGCCTTCCTCGCGATGCCTCCCCTCGTCTCAAGGCTATCCAGGGCTGCCAACTGGCCATCGTATCGCTAACCATCGTCGCCACCTTCCTCGCCGCTGTCGTTTCCCAGAAGCACAAAGCCTTCACCTTCGGCTTACTCTACCCTCTCATCCTTATCTCCTGCAGTACCACCTTCTTCGTGTTCAGGGAGCAGCGTCGCGCCAGGGAGGGAACATTGACCAAGGATAAATACGTCAAGTACCAGCTCTTCAAACTCTTCGCTGCATTTGGCTTGGCCTTTGTGGCTTTTGTTCTGAGTATTGTCCTTGGCGAAAAAAAGGTGGAATGCGATATGAAGCTTCCCGGCGAGCAGGGTCTGTGGTTGGGCTGCATTAAGGTGAATACGTGGCAGGCCTTGATTCTGTGGATGAACGCCTTCAACTGGTAGGCACCGACGCTCTACTCTAGTGTGGACAACACAGTCACTGATAGATTATAGGATCTTCCTATGGGCCGGCGTGTTCTACTCCTGCTGCATGACAGGCAATAGGCAAGGTGCTATCACGCTTAACGGAGAGGAGGCACACATTGGCTTGGAAAACGACACTTCCCGTGACGAGGCTACCGCTCGTAACCTACAAGCTCAGGACTCCAACTGGCGCTAGACGATACGTGGGCTGGCATATGGGCGCATGACTAGAGTTGACGCACGGGAAGAATCATGCTACTCGCGGAAGATGAAAGCAACGTGATGCACCGTATGAGCAAGTACTGGCTGGCTAAGAATATGCGACAAACGCAGCCAGACATATAGTCAGTCCTCATCAAGCTTTGTGAAATGTTTCCAAGTAAGGTCGGACCATCAGTCTCTGATTCATCATCGGTGCTTTTCAAGAAGAACGTGCCACCTCCCACGGTGCTGGAATCAACGTAGTGACTATAAGGAGTAAACGGCTGCCTTATCTACTCTGGTACGCTCATTTTAACAGTTTGATACCGGCCAAAATGATGAGTTCAACAAGATCTAGCCAATACTTTACTTCTTATAGTCACTATTAGTGTAACCTCTGAATCCAGCGCCGTGGAAGGGGCCGCATTCTTTTTGAGAATGATAATATGTGCCTCATGTTGCTCGATCGCGTTTGCGAAACAAACATCGCCAGCCCAAGCACTCCAGCCATTGCAGCCGGTGCCTTCAGTGCCTCCGCAGTGCCCGTAAACAACGGTAGTATTAGTAAAGGTGAAAATCTTATGCTAACAATCCTAGGAAACGAAGTGGGAGTAGCGGTTGGAGTACCAGCAGGCGTGAACGCTCGGGGTCTGGAAGGAAAAGCAGTGTGAATAATGCCATAGGTAATGATTTCTCGTAGATGTGTAAGCTCGGAGTCAGAAGAGTCAGGAATGTAGTCAATACCATCCTGGCGGACATTTCCTGAAACGTGAGGCCATCTTATGTGTGACTATGGTCCAACATGTCGAGGTCATGGTGATAACGACCACGTCTTTATTTCGCGAAGGAGAAGCGACACCTGTCATAGTCGGTCTTGGGAAATCGTAGCACACCCCGCAAGAGTAAAAAATTCATCCATAACGTCGAGGCGATCCTCGACCCGGAGGAACATAAGGCATGATCGCCTACGCCACCTCGCACACAGCAACTTGAAGACTCACTACCGCTACCACTTGTTTCTGACATGGCTCCTGCTCTTGTGAGAGATACCGTAGTCCCTGTGGGATTATTTTTTTGAGTCTGCCCTGCGCGTCGGCTGTGGCGAAACCTGCCACAACGGCGAGTAGATGTGACTACAGCATCATCAGGGCTGGTCGTGGCAAGTGATAGTCGTTGTGCATCCCTTTATCTGTGTGAATGCATAACACTTACGATATATATGCGGTTGGACTCCAAATTGTTTGCGAGGCCCTTTTTCTTGCAGCAAAACAGTAGCACATGGGTGGCGGCATAACCACGATGTTGAGGTTAGGAGTTCTAGTGCTACGGCAATTACGTGTAGACACATATGCAGGTGCGAGGAAGGGTATTATCTGTTCGGGACCAACCATTGGATGGTTGTTCAGGAGTAAAACTTCGGTGAATCGTTCGGGGGGTGTACGCTAGCAAGTACCGTACAATGGTGCCCAGCTGTTGTCGCCGATGCCAGTCCTCTCACGCCGATGCACACAACATCCTTCCAATTCAGGCTTATCTTTTCAATGCATCGAGAAAACCAACATGTGTAAAATAAGGTTGTCTTTCCTGTCTTACTAGTCGTGCGACCCCTTCGGATTAAGACCCTCATATAGCACGTCCTGTCTGTGTCTGAGAGATCGGCTCAACGTCGATCCTCATCTCGGTCGTCTTCATAATCGCATTGCTTCCACCCGCCCTCAGTATCGACTCCTCACTCGTGTTACTCCCAACACTGGTTCCGCCCCTCGTATGTTTGGTTCCCGTCCCAGAAGACGAGGTGCCAGTTTCCTTGTTCGCATCATATGAGTACAATTCAATCTGACCATTCGACTTCGCACGCGAACGGAGGTTGCTGCCCATCCCACTCCCATAGCCTGCGCCATACTTGGAGCGGTTGTATGAGGTGGACATGAAAGTCTTGTTGAAAAGTGGCCTGAGCGCAGGAGCAGAGGCTGATATGATGGCGACATTGACTTCGATTTGGGAGAGGAGTAGGATGAAAATGGCGTCGTAGGCAACGTCTTGGGTGGTAGTGTAAACGTAGAGGGCGTAGAGACGGACGATAGAGGCGATGGCAGCGATGCCGCCGACTAAGAAGACTCCGAGTAGGGCCCCTGGTGACAAGATCAGTATGAGCGTGTTATGGAGAGGCTCGTTCATCTGAGACGACTTACATCGTTTCCTAGGGTGTAACTGGAGTTGCCAAAATGCTCGGATGGGCATCAGCAAGATCATGACGTCCGTCAAGATGTTGATCGAGGCGGTCGAGAAGTAAGTCGCGGGAAGATTGTTACATCCTGCAGGAAACGTCGGCGACCATGCCTGTGAAGGGTTCTTCGGGCATTCGAAGGCCTGGCGTTGTCAGTAATACGGAACCTCTGGCGCAGGTGATTAAATCGCACGTTGACAAAGAACACAACGATGGTGTATGTTGATACGAAGGCAGTTACGGCATATACAAGCCGACGGAACTTGGTCTGCGTAAAGATGCGGTGGTACAATGCGAGGATGCTGGCCTTCACGAAGAACAGTGACCATGGGTATACCATCTGATATGCGTACCAATGCTTCAGTGTGGGCTCCAGGATCACAAGAAGATCGAGATCTGATCCACGTCGTCTGTAATTGTCAGCTATAACGGTGGAGGACATGTCTTCCCTTTGTAGCTTACCCAGTTCCCCAAGACACATGGAATCCATTCTGTATCCCCATGCCAATCGCAACCACAAGGGCACCCAGCATGAACCAGTCATCCAGGCCGACATAGCGGGTGTGCACATAGCGACACCAGAACCTAAATTACGATCAGCAAACTAATCGTTCCCAAGACCCGTTTACCATACCTGAGAAGCACGGCGATCGTTGACAAGAGCAGGAGGATCCCAGTGGTAATCAAGAACATAGGTTGTCGGGAGTTGTTACCCGCACTGATAAAGTTGGCCATGCCTGATCAGCCTTCCTCGAGGCAGCTTCTTCTAGAGATGGTACGCAAGCTTCTAATAGTGGAGTCGCCACGGGCTGCCTCATCTTCCTTAAGGACGTTTCGGCCTCCTCTTTCGCGAGACCTGTTCATTGTCAGGGTATAGGCCGCGCGGAACAGGACCCTATCATTTTCCATGTCAACACAACGAAGGCGGCGAGACACTCAACCGTCCTGATGCGTCTGGACAGGCTTGTGGTTGGCGGTTGTGGAGACAGGTACCTCGACGTAGCTGTTTCAGGATAAGGGGCCGTTTCGGCTTCCTCGGCAGCGCTGCACCTCGCTTTCGCGAGCGGCAACCATGGCTGTATCCGGCCGTTCCATCAATCAAACAGCAAAGCCTATGTAGAGACCATGTTGAGAACGGCTAGTCGACAGGGGACGGCTATTTGTGAGCCTTCCCGCGGAACGTGTCTCGCTTGGGGCATTGTCTTCGGGCGTAAGCAAGATGCAAAGGAGCGTAACGTTAACAGGCAGGCAAGAGCCAGCATCGGCAAAAGGAACGTCCATGTTGACGACTACGACCTTGGCCGTGGAGTGACGATGCGCGAGCACACGGCTGGCCTTGATTCTCTTGTCGAACACAGAGGAGCCGGCAGCTGCCAAGGTGCACTCTCGTCGGCCGTTGGTGTTGCGCAAGGCACTGTCAGAGACGCGGCGGGGAGCGGGGGAACTGGTGCCTTTGCGATCGCGACCTCAAATGCAGGGAGAGTCGAGGCCGATGGGCGGCCAGATGCCTAAGTCGGTGGCATTGTTGATAGGCTCGGTAAGACAGTTCCAGGGTGCTGGCCGCTCCCATCGACCTCGCATACCAAAGGATTCTGAAGCTTCTGTTCCGCCTCCCGGCATCGAGCCTCCTTTGCTGACCATGTTCAAGAGTCGGCACGAAATGAGAGGACAACACCAGAGTTTCGACTGCTGCGCGAAAAGCCTTCCGTCAATAGCAAGCCCTAGCCCACGACCTCATCACAATGGACAGCTGGCTTCCGAGACCAGAGGAAAGAGGGTGAGCCGCCATGAGATGCGGCCAGAACGAAGAGCTCGAGGGATCAGTGTGGCCGTTCTCCATACAGCTCGTTCTCCGAGGTCGCACAACGTCGTTTGTTCGGGCATTGTCACCATCATTGCTAATTCGACTCGAGCATGGCGTTGACTGTCAAAAGGTCGCATGTCACCATTAGCGCAGCCACGTGCATATGCCATCTCTACAGGGGACTCTTAAAAGGCCCCCGTCGCAACCTCAGTGCGGGCTAGCATACACCGACCAATGCTACTGCCCTGCGCCTCGCCACGCGGCACTTCTGGAACCAGTCTCGTGCCCCTGTTGATAGCACTGCGTCTGTAGTTTCCAATACGACGGCACCTCCCACGCGCGGAGATTTATACCGCTACAGTAAAGTCCCAATGGTGTGGACCGCGAGTATCATGCCATTGGATTGTCGTATTTCCTTTAGCGTTTCTTTTCTGGAGATCCCCGGTACATAAGCTCACCTGCCGTTTCCTTTCCATCAATAACCCGGCGCTGGCTTCTATCACACTGCAGATTCAACTCCAGTTCATTCGTCGCTCCCTTTCTGTCAAGATGCGTTCTGCGAGCCTCGTTCTTGGCTCCTTGGCCGTGTTGGCAAATGCCCAGTCTGCATGCGCTGCGCCCGTCACTGAGACGATGACTTCTACTGCTGCTGCTCCCTCTGAGACTTCGGCTTCTACCACATGCACCAACCCTCCCAAGAGGCAAGAGTGGTGAGTATCAATTCTCCAATCATCATTGTGACCAAGTAAATAATCCTCCTGTGCAGGCGACAACTTTCCACAACGCAGAAGAAGGAGTACATCGACGCCGTCCTGTGTTTGACGACAAAGACAGCCGTCTCTGGAATCGATGGGACCGTCAACCGCTTCGATGATCACCAGGCCGTGCACTCTGAGCAGACACCAGACATCCACTGGGTAGGCCATTTCATCATCTGGCACCGCTACTTCGTCGCCACCTACGAAAAGGCTCTTCGAGAAGACTGCGGCTACACCGGTGCCCAGACCTACTGGGACTGGTCTCTAGACGCGGAGCCTTCAAATCCCAACTCCACCGCGCCCTATGAAACCGACATCTTCGACCCCACCACCGGCTTCGGCGGCAACGGACCCAAGGAGGAGCCTACGGCTGACCAAAACCCTCTTAATATTACCGGTGGTACGGGAGGTGGCTGCGTCCAAGACGGTCCCTTCGCAGCCCCAGCCTTTTACGTGAATGTACCAGAGAAGGACTGCCTCCGACGCGACTTCATCCCCTGGATCATGAATGGCTTCGCGGATCCCGCGCTCGTAGCAAAGGTACTCGAGCAGCCTGACTACACCTCCTTTGCGCGCGAGCTCGAAGGAACCCCCAGCTTCGACGCGAAGAACATTCACGGCTCGGGTCACTTTGGTGTTGGTGGTGTGCTGGGGCAGATTGGCAATGCGGCGAACAGTCCTGCTGATCCATTATTCTACCTACATCACGGCAACCTAGACCATATCTTTTGGACGTGGCAGCAGAAGGACTTGGCAGCCAGATTGGACCAAGTTGGCGGACCCATCATTCCCTTCGATTACAGCGGGCAGAATGTCACCCTCGACTTCCAGATTAACATGGGGGCATTGTCGGGTAACGCGACGCTGAAGGACCTGCTGAACACTGAGGGTGGTATACTTTGCTACACCTACGAATCCTGAGCAAAATAATGGCATGCGTTGCGGTCATAGATAGGACTTGCCTTATAAAGTGTATCAGATTACTTTTCGGTTTCTGGCATGCATTGGTGTTCGCGGGTTAACCACTGCCAAAACAAAAGCATCCACTTTATCGTAATTGCTGAAGGAACTCTGGTACTACTTTGACCTTCAATTCGGTGTGACTTCGAAGGCGATGAGTTGAGAGGACTAGGGAGAGCTACATCGTCTTCTACACCTATGTCCGTGGAATCAAGTTCCAAGTCCCAAGGTCGTTGTTGCGCTTGGGACATAAAAAGGGATAACGCACTAGGATAAAACCAGCGAACGGGAGATCTGGAACACCACGATTTGTTTGCTGCGTTATGCGTACAACGATTAGAGCTTTTCGAAACAATTACCAACCGTTTTCGCAGAGTAATCCAATTAGTGACCCATCTCCCCGATGGCCAGCAATACTTTCACTTTACTATCCCTAGAACGGTCCAATTCACTGTAGCGGAGGCCAGCACCACACCCTAATATCTGAACAGCTTCGTGCACACTGCTTTGCATCCCAAGACTGTTAGTGTGACGAAGTCCCGATGCTACGCTGGTAGACATATCTCCATAACACAGACCACAATCTCACACAGCTCCAAAAGCATCAAGTCCCAAAAGAACGACACCTACAGGTGTTCCGAGGAAGATCTTTCACGGCCAATCAAGGATTCCGTACAAGGCAGGTCAATGGAGCAGGTCGGGGAACAAGCAAACATAAGACAAACACGATCGAAACGGCCGCAATATGTGTCTCTACTGCCCCATATACGTTCGCCCCTAAAGTGGCACAGCGATGCGCCACGGTGCACGTTGCATCCAGCTGCACCGGACGAGATTGAAGTCGAGCCCCCCATATGGGAAGAAAACTGGCCAGCGCCTCATTTGGTAACGTATTTCCCCAATGCATGGAAAGTGAAAAGTACAGTTACATCCAAGAAATGCACACGAAGTATCAGGAGTATCATGCTGTAGCAACTACTCAATCGTTATGAGCTAAGATTTCAAGCAAGGTACGTCACGTCCATGAGCTGATGAAATGGATAGAGCGCTACTGATCCACGCAGCTCTGGGATATGAAAAAACAGTCTTAAGAACGTCCCTCTGAACCCTCCGGAGTTGTTGCGGCCTCCTTCTCCCACTCTGCTCCTTGAAACAGAAACACGGAAGTCTAGTTTGACGCATATTCAATACACTCTTAAGAAACCATTTATCATTTATCAAAGACGCAAAAGAGGGAGTCGCTCTTATGGCTGGCAACGGGATGTCGTAGTTGGGATATGCGCTGGCATCTTCGTGCTCCTTATGAATTTCACGTTCATAATAGTTGGTCTAACCGCACAATCGGGCTATCAAGGAGGCATTGCGACACTCCTTTCGGGAAGTGAGGACCAGATCTCAGGGACGAGTACAGTACTTCACATCGTGATCAAAATTCTTAGCACTTTACTGCTGAGCGTTATCCATTATGCGATGCAGGTCCTCTCCTCTCCCACTAGAGCAGAGTGCATGATCAAAGCTCATCAGAAGAGTGATTGGCTTGATATAGGCATACTCAGCCTCAGCAACGTGAGGAAGATTCCGCCGCGTAGAAGGACTCTCTGGCTCGTTTTGTTAATCTCATCAGTACCGCTGCATCTGTTGTGAGTCCTACCTGGATGTTGCATATCGATGTTGACTGAAGCAGCTATAACGCGAGTATCTTCCAAGTGTTGAGTACGAGTGATAGTCAACGCAACCTAGACATTACTTATTGGTTGAGAATGTTTTAGTCTATGGATCATGAGTGGTGAGTGAGCTTGTCGCCTTCGTCACATAATACGAACCTGAACGACAACGGACTTAGACTCGGCTGCGAAAACACATTGCCCAACCGGTCGCGATGCAGCAGCGAGCACCTCGTCCCTTTTTGGTCACACTTGCACTCTGATTCTATAAAACATGTCGTCACATCAAACTCAGTATCCTTGCACCCTCGATGCTTGTTCGTCCTCACAGGCTGAAGGTGTGGGGTAAACTCATCTGGGTAAGTAGATTGAGTCCAACTTAATCTATGTTACATTCGGCATTCGCACAACCACTGCCGACCAACGGAACAAATTAGCTTCCCTCAGGTTTGTTGAGTTCTTTCCTTTTACTGGTGTGATTGGCTACGGACGAGGCAAAGTACCAAATGTAGGGAAAGAACACATGGGAGAATAATCTAGAATACAATCACAAGCTTCGATAAATTGTCTCGGCATTGTATAGATTGACCCTTGGGAGATCTGATAGAGTAGTATAACAGGATAGGGAGAAACCAAGGCTTACACTTCAATACTTTCGCCCTCTCAGACTTCCTACGAAGCAGTTCTCTCCCACCATGTTCTGGAACGCACTTGCCATCAGCGCGCTGCTTGCGCAGTCTGCATCCGCGCAGAACATGCTGCGCTTTGGGTGCTCGCAGCTCACGATCGAGCGAGCTGATCCTCTCGTTGCCCCTGGCGCCAACCCTTCCCCTCACACCCACCAAATTATTGGAGGAAACAGCTTTAACCTAACGGTAGCTCAGCTTCATCCTCTCGAAAGCAATCACGCCTAACGATGCATAGATGGAGCCAGCCAAATACGATCCGCCGGCCAAGTCCACCTGCACCACGTGCACATACTCCGAGGTACGTTCCTCTCTCAATCATGAGGCATCGGCTCGCTGACAACGGATCTTAGGACTTCAGCAACTACTGGACCGCCTCCCTATACTTTAAGTCCCCTGAGAACGGCACTTTCCAGCGCGTCCCGCAATTTGCGAATGTCGGACTCCAACAAGACGGCGGCATGACGGTCTACTACAGTACGTTTACCACCTTCATCACCCACCCCGTCTCTCCCACCACCTTTATAACCCTTAACCTCCTTAACCCTCTCCTATCCTCGCTCCTCCCATTTAACCTCAGTAGTGCCCTACTCCGCCCAAAACGGCAAAATGACAGCCTTCAAGCCAGGCTTCCGCATGATCGCCGGCGACCCTATGCTCAAGAAGAACTCCAACAAAGCCTCCATCTGCCACCGCTGTCTCGGCAACGGCGAGGGCTTCGCACCCTGCGACTCAAAAGACACCGGCGAACTACCTCTGAAGTACTGCCCAAAGGGTATCCGTGCGACGGTCATCTTCCCATCCTGCTGGGACGGCACGAATCTTGATAGCCCAGTAAGTAAGGTCAGGTACCTGCTTGCGTAGCTGTTTGAAACTTTCAAGCTCTGTGGGGAGGGGATAGATAAGCGCCCGACAAATGCCCTTGTCGTTTACGAGCATCATACTAACTTTTCTCCCCGCATTCAGGATCACAAGAGCCACGTCGCGTATAGTAACAGTGGCGGTCTGGGCACCCCGAATTGCCCAAGTACGCATCCAGTAAGGATTCCGCAGGTCATGTACGAGATAGTAAGACCCCCTTTGCCCCTAGACCTGTGTCGTCCAGCTGATAGTGAAAGATGTGGGACACCGGCCGCTATAAGAACGACGCTTGGTACAAGAACGGGAAGCAGCCCTTTGTGTACAGTTTTGGCGACGGGTAATTCTCCCTTTCCCTCCACTCTCCTCCTTTCTCTTCATCCACGTTGACACGTTAGTAGCACTGGCTACGGCCAACACGGTGACTACCTCTTCGGTTGGAAAGACGACTCTTTGCAGAAAGCCATGGACGCTCTTCCCTCGGGCAAGTGCGCGAATGCCAATTGCGGCGTGTTGAAGATCCAGAGCGCGGCAGATGCGATGAAGTGCAAGAAGGCGCAGCAAGTGCCGGAGGATATTGGGAAGGATGGTGCGTGGTTGAAGGAGTTGCCTGGTGGTGCGAGTGTGACGTATGCGAAATGAGGACAGGTGGTGATGGGTTCAGGGGAGGGTTTGGTAAATGTGAATGTGTCTATTCTGATCTAGATTGGAGTAGGTATCTATCTTCTAGGACAAGATGGTCTATCGGGTATAATGCCTTAAGCCAGTCAGCCAACGTATGCGAACTTGTGACCTTTGCCAACACGTCTATTTCCTTGTGATCCGCTCCCAGCGCCTCCCGCTGCGATGCGCGATGTTGCAAGCGCAGACACCAACACAACGTAGAGATGAGTTCCAACAGCATCTGCCGGGCCCCACAGGTCCAATATATCGAATGCGGTTCCCACGCAAGCACCTAGCAGCCCTCCACATGACGAGGTCTAGCCCTTGCTCAGTCAGCAGACGAGGCCTGCTCCTCCGCTCACTTCGTCTTGGCAGGTGCCGCCCAAACAAGTTGGCCCTTCTTAGTGCCCTGCTCGACGTACTTGCACGTCGTGAACGCCGTCCACAGATCAGCCATGAAATTCGTCCGCTGCTCGATGTATTTGTCACCGAGCAGGCTCCTGATAGCCTCCGTAGCTTCCTCGGCGTGGTAGAAGGGGATACGCCTGCAGAGAGTGTTAGGCCGGTCACAGCAAAGAAGTAAGCAGGAAGAACGTACGGGAAGAGGTGATGCACAACATGGTACTCCACAATGCCATGGAAAATGTGTTTCCCGATGAAGCCGAACTCGCGGTCCACGGTTGACATTGCGCCCTGCACGAAAGTCCAGCTGTCTGCGTCGTAGTGCGGCGCTTTTTCGTGCGTGTGGTGCAGGTAGGTGATTGCGACTGCGGCTCCGTTAGCGCCGAAGACCCTGGATTTAGCGCCAGATACGCGCACGCCATGGACAAAACTTACCGATCCAGTGGTTCATCCAGAGATACGGAAGTCCGTAGAGCAACAGCGTGTTTCCTACGCCCAGGCTCCTGCTGACCATGTACAGCGCACCGAGGACGATGAGAAGACCAAGATCAGAAATTGCGATGAACGGGGCCTCCGCGTCGGTAAAAATGTTCGCGCGCGGGTCGTAGTGCGATTGTTTGTATTTCTTGGTCGTCTTCCTCGAGCCCTTGACAAGACTCTCGTACCCAGCGCCCGCGTTGAGGAACATGTACATGGGCCATCCGAAGACCTGGTGCACGACAAGCGCGGCGAGAGTCATGATCGGCGTGTCTGCAGCAGTATGGTCCACCAATTTCGCGAGCAGCCCTAGCCCCTTGGCTTGGTTCGCCTCAAATTCTTCTTTCGTGCTAGGCACAAACACCGTGTCCTTTGCCATATGGTTGTGGTACCGGTGGTGGCGAGCGTGGGAGAATTTCCAGCTAAAGAACGGGACGAGCAGGATGGAGTGGAGGATCCATCCCATCGTCGCATTGACCTTGAGGTATGGGGAGAAGGAGTCGTGACCGCATTCGTGCGCGAGGATCCAGAGGCCCGTGAAAAAGAGGCCTTGGACGAAGCTGTAGAGGCCCCAGAGGGGGATGGAGATGTAGACTGGGGCGTCGAGCTTCGTGAGGTAGACTGCGGAGGAGACGAGCAGCGAAACGAAGACGAGATCGCGAGCCACGTATGACAATGAGCGAACTAGCGAGCGTTCAAAGCATTTCGACGGGATGGCATTTTTGAGAGTCTTGACGTCGGGAACGGCAGAGACAACAATTGGAACCGACGGAGCTCGGACGTGGGTGGCAGTAGCTGTCACACCCATGATTCCAGTGCAGAGAGAAAGAAAGGACTGAAGGGCATCCTGACTTGGCCGTCCCGCCCTCGACCTTTGTACCGAATAATTTTCGCAAGGCGGTGAACGTGCATCAGGGACGGTCCCTCGGAGCACAGACGTAAAGTCAAGGGACGGGGGATCTGCTCTAACAATTCAAAACGCGTTACCCGCTTTCGAAATCTGGGCGTTGGGATCTGGGCGCCAATTCATTCTCCTTTCGAAGCGAGCAGCGGACTGGGCCTAGATCGAGGCATTAGAGTGGACAATCGCAGTCAGGGATTGGACCCTTAAGGCTCCCACGATTTTCACCATATCCACTGTGCTGATTGTGAAGTGCACGTCTGGATTCTTAGTCCAAAATTAAGCGAGAAGGGCCGCCGCGCGTTGGAAATGCGCACATGGAATGGGGTCTATGATTCGTATATACGCGTCTATGAGGAAGTGAAGCACTGGTCCCAGTGCCCACCGGTTCGGGCGAAGCTCTGGCTCTCCACGAATTTGCTGAGCTTGCACCTTCCATATCTATCACCGCCGCAGAAGTCGAGCGGCTGAACACGATCATTGACAATGATGCGTACATATTCCTCCTTCACCTTCTTGCACGAGAGCTTCTCTACGTATATACGGGCTGCGAACGGAACCGTCCAAGCCGCCGAGTACCCTTTGGTCTGCTTGGCGCTCTCGATGGTCGTGTTGGAGAGAGGCTTGGTGTTGTTATATAGTCCCAGCGCAGCAAGAACAGCGGTCATGTCGTTATCGTGGCTGAAGTCGGCGTAGATTTTGCGATCGAGAGGGAAGGATGTGGGATCCTTGTCAAGGGTGCTGTTGATGCTTCCAACGACCTGTACTGGCTTCTCAGTGAGCCTCGCTAGAAGCTCGCTCACATAGCCGATGCCCTGTGTTGGCCCAAGAGGGTTGCCATTGCCGTAACCGTACCACTTTCCAAGACTCTCGTAGTAGTCGTACTGGCGCCATTCATCCTCGGTGAACAAGTAGCAGAAGTCGGAGATCTGAGCGTTCGGTGAAGCAAGGGTAGTGAAGGGGCACAGATCCATCAAGTAGATGATCTCGGTCGTGCTGAGGTTCGTGCCGAGCTTGCCATTGACACGAGACTGAATGCGAGGGACGAACTTGGCGACCCAGATATCTTGCGCATTGTCGCCAATCTCTGACAATGGACCGTCCTCGAAGTTGGCGCAGTTCTCATGCGACAGCGTGTTGTTCACGCCCGCAGCTTCGGGGATGCTGACATCGATCACGCCGGTCTCCTTGTGCGCGGCCTGGGCATAGCCTTCCAGCCATTTGTTTGCTGATTCGACCACACGAGCCTGCCCAGACGAGCGCACAAAAGGCGTCTTGCCCTTCAAGAAATCCTTGTATCGCCTGTAGAAGTGGGCACCAGAGTTGACCATCTCCTGCCGTCCCGCATCCGTCAGTAGATCAGCGCCCAGGTTGTATTCGTAGTCCTTCAAGAAGGCAAATTCATCTGGGTACGAAGTGCTCGTGTTTTGTATCAGGCCAACGGTCGCGCCGTACAAGAGCGTCTTGCTCATGGTGGGATCGCGGCCGCCATGGCGCGACAGGACCGAGGCGAAGCTCACATCGCAGTGCTCGGGAGGATCGACGTCCACATCGGACGGGACGGAGAACCAGAGCGAGTACTGGCCCCAGAAGTGGCTCGTCTTGGGACTGCAGCGGTAGCCGTCTTCGATGGTGTCGCACGACTTGTTCGCGGTGGGCGCAGCCGTAGAGCTGGGGAAGGTCAACGAAGTGAACAAGAGGGCCGCAAGTAGGCGGGACATTGTACCGGAAGAGGCCATAGAGACCGAGCAAAGCTAGGAGCAGCGCGAGATAGACACCGACGCGCCGTAAGCTTGACGAGCTCTGCTTGGAGAATTTGGGCTCGTCTTGCTCGGTCAGGGGCAGCAGTTCATATCGCTGCGACCGCCCTGCCTTTATCCTTTGCCACAGGTGGGCCATGGCGCTCGAGATGCTATTCGACATGGGAGGCGGCACTTGAAGGGGAGGTGAGCGGGACCTGCATGCTGCGAGCTAGCGACCAGCGCCGGCAATAGCAGGGCAAGGGTGATGCACGTGGTGCGGAGATGAATGTCGACGAAGGGGATAGACTTCTTTTAGATGGCGACGGGCGCAGGAAACAAATATTGGATGGCGGAGTGGTGGACGAGGGACGCGTGGAAGCGAGGTGCCGGCCGTTGCGCAGCGTGCCAAGTCGTCTGGAGTTGCTCGCGCTGCTGAGAGCGATGGGACACACCGGCGATAGCTGCAGAGCCCGTGGACACTGTACTGTTACCTGGCTTCTACTGTGCAGTGTCGCTCCCGGTCTCCGACAAGCAGCGAGCGTTGGCTAAGCTTTGGGACCGAAAGCTTGCCGCACTGCAGGACCTTCCTCATGCGGGCACAAAGTACGGCGATCTTGTGCGATGCATGCACCAGCGTGCTTCCTGCCTACGCTTTGTGACGTTGGACCTGGCATCCGCGCATTCCATCATTGTGCTCACGCGCTCTGCTAGACGCCGCTGTCGTCCTCTTAAGATCCGTGCCTCATGCTCCGTTCTTGCATGCTCAACTTCCCATCTTTGAAACGAGACCGACAATGCGTGACCGTGAGAGGAGCACCGCGGACGAGCTCCAGCTCGAGGCCTTGGGCCATAAAGGAGAGCTTCAGCGGAACTTCTCATTCCTGTCGATGCTAGGTTTAGGGTTCGCTATTCTAAACTCATGGACAGCACTCTCCGCCTCACTATCTCTTGCCCTCCCCAGCGGCGGGTCGACCAGCGTCATATGGGGCCTCATTACAGCAGGCATATGCAACTTATGCTTAGCAGCATCGCTTGCCGAGTTCCTCTCCGCATACCCAACCGCTGGTGGCCAGTGAGTCTTTTTCTGAGCTATCGTATCGTCTAAATTAACATACCAGATATCACTGGGTCGCCGTCATCTCCTGGAAGAGATATGTGCCTCTTCTCTCTTGGATCACAGGTTGGATCAACGTCTCTGGCTGGATCGCTCTTGTCGCCAGTGGGGGGTTGCTTGGATCACAAATAATCATCGGTATCATCTCAATGTACTCTCCCAGCTACAGCCCGGAACGCTGGCATCAGTTCCTTATCTACATCGGCTACACTCTAGCAGCCTTCTTTGTTAATGCTTTCTTGAACGTACGTATCGGTTCGTAAACTACTTTCACTAAGCTGCACCCATAGTGGAGGCGCGCGTCCTTGATGCATCGTACTGATATCTAATTAGGATCTACTACCATACGTGAACAAGGGTGCCATTACTTGGTCAATTGCCGGCTTTGTAGTGATTTCTATTACCATTTTGGCCTGCGCGTCTCCAGATTACGCTTCTGGCGGTTTCGTGTTTCGTCAGTTTGTCAACGAAACTGGCTGGCCTGATGGGATTGCTTGGTTACTTGGTCTGCTACAAGGTGAGTTTGGGGGAAGATGCGACTTAGGATCACTGTTATCCGCACTATTGTACTTCACTTTTGTCTACGTCGATAGTCGGAACCGATGAACTATGCTAAAAGCTGTAGGTGGCCTCGGTCTGACCGGATACGATGCCGTTGCACACATGATAGAAGAGATTCCTAATGCATCCGTTGAAGGGCCGAAGATCATGATCTACTGCGTCGCGATTGGAACATTCACCGGCTTCATTTTTCTAGCCTGCCTGTTATTCGTTTCTGGCGGCAATACGGAAGAAATCATTGCATCTCCGCTCGGACCCCTACTCTACATCATCCACAACGCTACCCAGAGCCGCGCAGGTTCCGTGTGCCTCCTCATGTTTCCATTAGTCTGTCTCCTCTTCGCCACGACAGCCATCATGACGACGTCGTCGCGTATGGCGTACGCCTTTGCGCGGGATGGTGGACTACCCTTTTCCCCATTTTTCGCAGAGGTGCACAAACGATTAGGGCAACCACTGAACTCGCTGATCTTGACAACGGTATTGACAGTCATTTTCGGGTGCATTTTCCTGGGCTCAAGCAGCGCGTTCAACGCCATCATCTCCGCGTCCGTCGTTGCTCTCGGTGTCAGCTACGCCATACCCGTCGCCATCAATTGTTTGCGAGGAAGGAAGATGCTTCCTCCCAGGGCGTTCTCGCTTCCTGGTTGGTTCGCATGGCCGGCAAACCTGCTCGGCATCGCTTATGTCATCGTCACGACGGTACTCTTCGTCTTTCCGCCAGAACTACCCGTCACAGGCAGCAACATGAGTAAGTTCCGCCGGACCTGCCAAAAGAAGGAACGGGCAGCTGACTCTGCACAGACTACTGCATCGTCGCATTTGCCATCATCATTATTATCAGCACGGTCCAGTGGTTTGTTGATGGGCGGAAGAACTTCACCGGTCCGCGGACAGATCTGGGATTAGAGGCGCTCGAAGTTGTGCAATCAGAACACCAGGACGATCTGCACGGTGTCCCTGATGGCAAGAAGTATGACGAAGAACCGCGAGTATAGTCAGGCTGCGGCACCTGATGTCCGTATTCGAAGTCTTGATACGACTTATCGATCTTTCGTGCTTGAGCAAGCCCAACCACAATTAACAAGAATCGTTATAAGTCAACCACGCGAACGTTCGCACAGCTGGACGATGATTTTGGCAGCTTGTGACGTCAAAAGCTGGATGACTTGTTTTCAACACTCCGTAACGCGACTTTCTGATGAAGCTGGACTTCGCTCCCGTTTGGGCAATCCAGGAAGCCGTAAACAAGCACCCACCTCGCAAACACCCCACACGACAAGGCTGATGTTCAAACGAAATTACGAACGGACTCCTGCGCAAGCCGTCTGCGCGCATCTACGCCCCAAAAAATTCCGACATTGGTCACGAGCTTCGGTCGCATTGAGCCCTGGTGCTTCATGCACCTTTTTCACATTGCGCAGCTACGGAAGGCGGCCCCCACGCCACCCGTGTCTAGACTCTTCTTGCGAAGAACGCTGAGATATTTCACGAGAGGACGTAGACCACGATAGCAAAGTGGACAGCTTCCGCTCCTCGCATCGGACCTCCGACTTCTAATGCATCGCCATTCGCTGTGTTTCCCACATAGTGTTGCGGAAACAGGCTTGATGTAAGGCTGATGAGGTGAGCGTGGCCAACCATACGGACTTCCGTCGCCTAGCGAATCCTTGCTCGTCCACTAGCGCGTCCTCCCATTGGACACTCGCTCTCTCTGCTCTAGATGGTGAGGGAGAAGCCTGGACGCGAGGGGCGTGCGTGACGGAGTTTTCGAAATCACGGATACGGAGAAAGCTGGTGTGCTGTGGTGAGGAGAATTTAGCATCGCAACCGTGCGAAAGGCTGTGCCGTAACCAGATGATATAGATACTTATCGACGGTTGCTTGCTGCAGGTAGGAAATTTGTTTCAAACGACAGGGACTTTCACAAAATTTCGGAGGTTTTCTTGCGCTCTGCTGCTGGTGCATAGGGTGGGTTCTCTACACGGTCAACGCTCAAGGGGATATTGCTAACTGGTGCAGCTTTTCATACATTCACTCATTCACATCGATCTTTACCTCCTGGAGAGACTTTATTTTTCCTGCCTTAGCGACTTTAACCTCTCCTTCATCGGTCTCAACCAAGAACATTCATTCACAATGCCCCGTCTCGACACCTGGATCAAGACCCGGGTCCTCACCCTCATCAAGCCCCGGCACCACAAGAAACTCACAACCAAAGACATCAACATCAGCAAACCCATCCCATCCTCCCTCCAACACACCGGCTGGTCCCCCGTCATGCGCTCCCCACCTCAACCCTGCTCCCGCTGGTCCCTGTCCGCTGAAGACCTTCTACTCGGCTCCACTTACTCCCCCTCTCTCTCCTCTGGTTCCAGCACCCCCTCCCTTACGCACTCCCGCGAATCCTCAAACTCCTCTGGCATAACCATCGTTGTTCATTCGCCGCCCCCATCCGCTGCTTTGCCACCGCCAAACTACTTCCCACAAGAGCTGCCGCTGCCGACACGCAGCCACTGGGCCGAAGCTTCCCCGGTGCAGACGAGTATTTTGCCTGCAAGTCCGCCGATGGAGACTGTTCTCTTCTCCGAGACTCCTTCACCGACGAGCTACTTCAAGAGTGCCTTCGAGTTCGATATCAAGGATTTGATGCCGGCAGATAGTGTTCTGAGCGAGACGGATGTCACCGATTTGGAGAGGATGAGTGTCTTTGAGAAGAAGAGGTTGACCCGGCGAATGAGTCTCGGTATCGATGGGCTGAGGCCGTCGTGCTGGGAGTACAACAGGATCTAAGTGCCGGGCGCGTACCTTGGAGCCGATGGTCTGTTCCATTTTGGCTTGTTTCGATTCGACTCGCTGCATTGAGCGCGGCGCACACTCTTTTACTGAAGCGTTATGGTTGCATTGATTTGCGTTGGGCTGGGTTCTGGGTTTGGGCTAGACGTTGCATCGGGATACCCTCACTTCCTTTTTCCCCTGTTCTTTTTATTCTGTCACTCCTTCCACTTCTTGTCATTCCTTCTTACGACCTTTGTCTATACCCTTTTCTTTCTTCGCCACTGCCTCTCCTTTCTCGTCATTTCTTATGACTTTTCGACCTGTCGATTCTTCGACTTCTGTTCAAACTTTTCTTCTTCTCACGCTCTTTTGCCTTACGGATTTACTGACTCACGCGGTGGCTCGGGCAGCTTCGAGACGGTTTCTTCATTGTACATATCACTACACCTTCTTCTGCTCCTGTGGATACCGTTATAGACTAGAATTCTTCACCTATGCTACTCTTCCTTCAACAATGTCGGTTCTTCAAATTAGCCCTCGGCCGAGGTGGTCGACTCGTTTTACGTATGGAATGTGGGCATCGTCACGAAGTGCGTGAGTCAGTGACCATGGAGAAGATAGCTACCGAATGCCACATTCGCGGTCGTACCTGAAAAGTACCAATGTCTGTCGCTGCATTCACACCATAGAAACATCCGCCGTCAATATAACCCTTCCTCCCTACCTCAACACAGCCTCTTCCATCCATCCACCCCCACCAGTCCCCTAACCTCCCTTTTCTCCCGTCCACCCTTAGACCCCTCCCTTACAGAGTGCACCACCGTTTCTCGCACCCTACCACCTTTCTCACTATCCCTCGCGAAAATCTGCAACCCCTCAAATGCGTGTCCTTCCCATTCTGATGGTTTTCCAGAATCTTAATCTGGACAAGATGACAGCGAAGCGTGGGCATCTTCGGTTTCTTAACCGTTGCGGAAGGCCTTGTGAGGGGCGGGGCACTGGGAGAGAGCGTGGCAAAAGGGGCGCGGGGTGCGGGCGGGTGAGGAGGGTGTGTTTTGAGTTGTGAGACCGACCGGAGTGACCGTTTGGTGATGGACTTGCGTATCGAGGGGTAAGGATCCGTTATTGGCCGGGATGGGTGTAGCAGTAGGTGCTACACGCGGCGCTGTGTTCTCGAAATCGGATACGTCGTCTGTAGGCGGTGCGTCTCTAAAAGTTTGCCGTTGCGCCTCAGCAGTGGGGTTCGCGTCCGGCATATCTACTTCATTCGTGCCGTCTTCGTCCTCCGAATCGTCCTCGTCGTCATCGGGGTCACCAACACCAGAGAAATCAGCCCACACCCATCCGCGCGGACTCTCGAGTCTCATCTCGCCCCACTCGACAAGATCATTCATCCCGCTGCCCGCCAGCAGCACAATCCGCGTCGGCGTGTAGCTCTCGTCCTGCTCGAAATCCAAGTACAGCCGCAGTCCGACAATGCGGACTAGCTTGAAGAAGTGGATGTTGAGGTAGTGCGGTTGCGGGCCGTCGGACTGCCAGAAAAGGCTCGGTGAAGGATGTCGGAGCTGCGGTATGGAGCAGCCGGGCTTGGAACTTGAGACTGTCCAGGAGGCGAGGGTGGAGATTTCGCGCAGATCAGGTGGAAGAGCGGCGGAGAGATGTGACGGAGACAGCGGTGGCTCTGAGGGTTCGGATCCAGGGGAAAGAGGCCCGGCTTGTTCTTCGTCGGAGACGAGTGCTTGCTCCACCTGTTGGTGTAGCTCTTGCTCTTGTCCGTCATCTGAGGCGTCTGCTGAGACATACTCTTCGTCTGATTCCGAGAGCACTTCTTGTGGTGAAGGCGAAGGCTGTGGCTGACCTCTGCGGCGAAGGGACGGCATAATGGCGTTGCTGTGCACCTGTTCAGTAGCGACTTGCTTCTTCTAACATGCCCAGTTCAAGAATCGTGGTAGTTGTATTCAAATGTGGGCTAAATGTTTTCGCCTCGACGCCCGTCGGAACTAGCTCTTGTACCTGTATTGCTCGCCTCCAGAAAGCAAGTGCGCGTGGAAATGTTGTTTGTTGTTCTTCTCCGCTCGCGTCGACGCACCGAGCTGACTAACCCGCAGAATGTTCAAGTTGCTGTAGCTGTGTTTCGCAGGCGCGGTAATGAGCTTTTCTGACAGGGGACTGGGTTCCTGGAAGTGTTGTGGCGCGGAGCATTCGCGATGCTCGACAAAGAAGTCGCGCTCAAGTCCTCGACGCGCTAGCTCATCTAGGAAAGAATTGAACGAACATCCACGAGTGGCAGCGACGACACCTTCTGCGATACAGTCTACTTGAAACACATTGGGACGCGGGACCCCTTGAGTCGAGTTGGTACGTGATCAATTCGTCCACCTAGACTACATGCCAAGTTGCTACGCTGTGGATGCCATTGCAAGCGTGCATATCAACTATGTGCAGACTCGATTCCAGAAGAATTCTGGATGGCTATCGAAAGCGTATATGCATTACAAGGTTCTAATTCGTTGCTAGTATTACAAAGTGTCTTTGCGTGTCCATTGTCAGTGTGTTGTCGTCTGCAAGCACTGCTGCAGAAAAACTTTACGTTGGAGCATGGTCAATGTCTGTTCCCCTGCGCCAATGCGTCTGTATTTCTCTCCAGCATGGTCCCTCACTCACATCAGTCTTCGAATGGAGAGCCTGATACCCTACCTTCATCAGCCCACTTTTCCTTAATCTGCATTCGGCCTCCCCAGAATCGTCGTCTGATCCCCCTCGGGACTCAACCCTCTCTCCTTCTTCGGTGTCCCACTAACTGCCTCCTTCGCCAACTTCCTAGCCCGATCCCTGCTCCCTGCGTCGTCCTCCCCGATGCGCTCCAGCTCCTGGCTAACCTTCATATTAAGTGAGTCGACGAACTTGCGATTCTCAGGGCTCAGTGTACCATTACCGTTCCTTTTCTCTCCGTTGGGCTTCGCGCTCTTCTTCTCGCCGCTGGCAGAAGAACGGCCGCGGCCGTTCACGAAGGCGTCAACGCCGTCTTCGGCGGACTTGCCAAGCGACTCGATCTCACGGTCTACACCGTGGATGGCGTCGCGAGTCGACTTCGCAATGTGTTGCTGCGTAGTGCGGTGCTTGGTGTTAGAGGTACCGCGACGCATGTACGACTTGACGAAAAAGCGCATGAACAGGCCGGTGAGGGGCGCAAGGTAGATGAGGTTGAGGTAGACGGCGAAAGCTTGGCCTGAAGTGTCAATGCAAGGAACGTGCTCGTATTGTGTGCGGTAAACAGTGCGGGTATGAGTTGCGTGCTGAATGGGGTGCTGAGCGTGCTGTCCAGCTCCAACGTAAGCTGCGGGAGTTACAGCAGGGGAAGCGTAGACATTCTCGGCAAGACCCTCGTCACCAGCAGCGCGGTAGATCCACTTCTTGAGGAAAGCAAGACCGGCGCCAGTGGCGGCAGGGACGGCAGTGGAAGCGACGGACGACGCTGCTGAGGCGATCGACGAGGCATTGGCCTTGGGAAGGACATTCTCGGCTACTTCGTAGGCGACTGAGACAGGGACAGTGTATGAGACGAAGAGGTGGAGGGCGGCGAAGGTCACACCAACGAGGAACTGGGTAATTTGCATGGTGGTGAGCGTGCGCTTGATGGCCTGAGGGACACGGAATCCGAGAGCAGAAACAGTGTAGTACGTGTACTGTGATTGTGTTAGCAGGCGAAAGAAGCTATCTAGTAAGGACGTACCATCATGGCGTGGATGCCAGAATTGACAAGCGCGAACATCCAGATAGGAGGAGACATGTAACGAATGCCAGACCACATGCTCAGCATGGCGCCAGCGTGGTGGTACGTCTGCAGGGTAGTGCTCCGCTTGCCCTTGAAGATGATGATGAGGGTATCGATGACCTCGTAAAACTTGGACAGGTAGAAAATCCAGCCCCAGAAAGCGAGCCCCTCGTTCCACACACGTCCCAGGTCATCCGACTGTGGGAGACCATTCGGACCCAGCTTAATGTTGGGGTTCGTGCTCTGCCACTGTTGCGATTCCGAGTTGTAAGTGACAGCGTCACCCAGCCCGCGCGGTCCGTGAATCTTGCACAGAGCATCGACGGTTCCTACGAGCGCGTTTGGCTCCGTATAGTGTGGAATGGCATGCTTGAGCGAGCGGATCATGGCCCAGCAGGTGACGGCCGAGTACACGGCGAGGAAGACGTTGTGGAAGATGACAAAGGCGCGGAAAGCGCGCGTTTTGCTGATCCGCCACGGCTTGTTTCCATGCTTCCTATTGTAGGCGTTGAGGAGGGAGATGGTCGTCGCGTATACGGTAGCGACGGTCAGGGGGACGATGGGCTGTAGTACGGCGTTGTAGATGTGCGTTGGGATGGGAAACGGATTCCTGAAGCTGGTGAAGGGCGCATCGGCGACAGGAGGAGGAATCGCAGGGGGTGCGGCATCCGGAGGGAATCTGAAGACAGCCCACTTGGGGAATTCGCCTGGGTAGAGGCTCGGTCCTGCGCCCGACATGATGAACTGTGACTGTGGCGCCGAGTCGTTGAGGGATGGAAGAGGCGTCGAGATGGAGGGAGTGCGCGGTCTCAGACGTCAATTGCGTCGAGTCTACTCGGGCGGAGCTATCAGTAAGAGAAAGGGTCGACCTAAGGCGCGATGCGCGATTGTTTGCCCTATCGCAACAGGCGCACAAGTGTGACGACATACCTCGAAGAGAAGTTTCCAAATACCTTCCCAACGCTGCGATTGCGCCCTACGAGCACCACACGGACAGACAACAGTGTGGAGAAGAAATGCAGTCAAGAGACAGACAGGTTGATGTCCCACACGAATGCACACGCTGCAAGGACACTCGCATACCAGGAGCACTGGGCGTCTTTAAAAATTCACGACAGGCACCGCGCGGGCACAGGCCCTAGTCGAGCCGGCACGACTAGCGCCTCCATCCGCTTCGAGCCTCGGCCACGACAACTCGCCTGAGTGGTCGACGTCTCGGAAAGATCGCTGCATCTAGCCTCGACGTCGACCTGCGCCGCAGGTAAGGCTTGGGAAGTACGGCTCGCAAGCCTAGCCGGCGAAGCGGTCAGTGGCGGTGACGGTCTGGGACAGGACGAGAGCAGGACGGGCAGCGCGGTGGAGGTGAACAGGAACGGCAACAGAAACAGTAACAGCAACAGCAACAGCAACAGCAACAAGTCGTGCGACCCTGCAGGGATTCGAGACCCTGACGCTGCCCCTCGTGTCCGAGCTTTCGAGGAGCGCGAGGCTGGTTTCTGTGTATATATACCCAAGGTCTACTCCGCAGAGGTTGACTGGATGAAGCATCAGGCATCTTAGAGACTATTCTTCCTTTCGTATGGTCGCCGACTGTGCGTGTACGATTGATATGCTCAATATCCAAACATTGTACATTGAAGAGAACAGGGTATACGGTTCCAACCCTCTAACAATAGCGAACTGCCCTACCTAAGCCAAAATCCATCAAAACTTGGGTTTGCTCCCCAACGGAATCGGCGGCGGCTCCCCCGACCCACCCAGCTCTTTCTTCTTCGGCGGCGGCGGAGGTGGAGGTTTCTTTCCCAGCCCACCTTTGGTAGGCGATGGTGGTGGACTCGCCTTCGAACCCGAAGCCAGACTGTTCACCCTCCCCGAGATGTTGTACTTTTGATTCAGAGCGTTTGCCTTATTCCACCCTGTCGCTACCTGCTCCCCGTGTCTTTTGCGGAAGTTGTTTGCTGTGGAGGCGGCGCTACGCGCGTCGGATATGGAGACTTGGGAAGGGTCTTTGTGAAGGTTGTTTGCGGTTTTGAGGGCGGCTTGCTTGTCTGCCCATGATGTTCCAGCTGAGGGAGGTGCGGCCGGCGAGAAAGATGAAGCGGTGTTCGTATTCGCGAAAGGAGACCGCAGCTCGTTCATTTGCGAACTATTGCGACCTGGTACAGCTGGGACCGAAATGGGCGATGGTGATGCTGTCTGGCGAGGAGGTACAGGTGGCGAGGGGTTCTGTCCACTCTCGAGCCCAGGCACAGCTACACCTGCTTGCCTTAGCCTGTTCATCGCGCCCTGATTCAAGTATCCTCCGGAGGCAGTGTTGTTTTGTGTAGACTCGCTGTATGTAGGCGGCGGCGCGGGCGCATACTCATCAGGGTGAGAGTTCTGTCTTGGTGGAAGTCGTGGTGGTAGACTGGGTTTCGGTTTCGGTTTCGAGGATTGCGAAACGGTTGGAGCGGTCGTCTGCCCAGGTCTGAAGGCTGGCGGCTTGGGTAGATGCGCGGTGCTCAGTCCGGTTGTGTCTGCGGTATATGGTCCTGGCGGTGGTCTATTCGCTTCCTCCTCTTCTATTTGCCGTGGTGCTTGCTCCTCCGCTCTAGTTGCCCGCGGCCTTGCCGGACCAGCTGCGTCTCCATAGTAGGCACGGTGTTTTGGAGGTGGTCCAAACGACGAAGGATCTTTCAGGGTAGATAGTGGTGCTGAGACGTGTGCATGAGGATCTTCCTTGGGGTCGGTACTCTTTCCCGTAGCTTTATTCTTCCATGCTGCCTTTATTACTTGTCAGTGAAACGTGCCATGGTGTGAGTGCATGCCGTAGAACGTACCACCGTGTTGACGCCTTTGAAATCGGCTCTCCAGCTCTCTCTGCCGCCTTCTCCCTTGCCCCCTGGATGCCATCCGCCTTTGGCTATTCCTTTGAAGCCGCTCATGTTGGTGGCCGTAATCCGTGGTGATGCATTGTGAATGTTGGGTGATGGGACGGAGATAACGGGCGATGACGCTAGCCAAGCCCTACTTATTCAGCATGTTTCACAGAACCATCGCTCCAGATGTCTTTCAAAGGCGCCAATTGTCAGTACCGAACGCTTGCCAGTATGACAAAATGTGGCTATTGGCCCGTTTCTTCATTCTCATAGAGTCTATGTACATTTCATTTGTTAGCCTCCCCTTGTCTTCGCATTCGATTGTTCACTCCCATTCCTGAAGAGAGCCCTACTCATTATCATCCATCTAACGTTCTCGTTTAACACATTAGAAAGAGCGTAGCGAAGAAAATTAATAGAAAACGTGTGCTCGTCAGCATTACTTCCGCATTGCAAATCTCCCCTCATAAGGAATGAAATGACAACGGATTATACCAGATCCCGCAGTGTTGTGGGACATGCAAGATTATCGAATAATGTCGAAAGAGTCGGGTGAGGGGATCATTAGCGGAAGTGCAGCCCCATATCTATGTCTTCGAGACTGTTGTGTGGATTTCAGCTCGAAAGCGCCGACAAGCAGTACCCAGGGTAGTGAATAGGGCTGTGTGTAAGGACTGTAGAGAAGGTATACCGGTGAGGGTGTATGCTAGTGTAGCCATGCTGTTTCGCTCATCAACGCTCCGAAAATGGAAATGCCGCATACAAAAGGTATAAATGGAAATTGCAATCAGGAATAGCGTATGCTAAAATGAATCGAACTGATCAATCGGGCCTCGGGTATCCTGGTGTTGCGAAATGGAAGTAACATTGCGGCCAAAGTGCGCAGGGACAGTTTTCAAGTCAAAACCTGAGTCGATATCCAAGATGTTCACATCCTGGGGTGATAAGGGTAATTAAGACTTTTACCAGATGCTGTATTTGTCGGTGTGCGTGTCGAAGGGTTATCGTCGGTATACCGACTTGTGTGTGAGCGGCGAATCGAAGAGACCAGGCATAGGTCCCCTCACCCTCCCGCCACGAGCCAAGGGTGTTTGTCCGGTACAGAATACACATACATATACTGGAGGTACATTGTTCTCATTCAGACCAACGCAAGGCATGTGCAGCCAACTCTTGCAACTCTCGCATAAGATCATCGGACGACCATCGTCGGGTCCATTGCAAACACAACGGGTGGTCTCGCTCGATAGACTGCTACGATCAGTCGATGGAGTTGTCAAAGCTGTATCAGAGGTGTTCGCAGGAGAAGCGATGAATGCGTTGTTGAACGGATCGAACGAGGCAGATTGTACATAAGCCATGTCGGCCGAAGCTTGAGCCCAGCGTTGGTTGTGAGCTTGCAGGGTGTTGTGAGCAGAGCGCTGTTTCTGCCGACCCTGAACAGCCTTCTTCAGAGCACCAAGTGCATCTCCTGGAGAGTCGGACGACTGTTGGTCTGCCCCTTCTTGGATGTCATCGAACGAAGTTGGGAAATCCATCATGCTAAACCTCCTGTGGCCATTGTCGGCAACGCGCCGCATAGGTCGAAAAGTATCAAAGGATGCTTTATCGAAAACACCAGACGAAGGTCTCGATGCAGGCCGTGGTACCTTGAGAGAGTTAGACCGGTTCAGTTCACCGCTATCGTTACGAGCATGTTTGGAAGGTCGGCGTTGCGGCATGTTAAAGGACGTGTTGCGGCTAAGTGTGACTGCTTGAGGGGTAACCTCGTCCTCCGAGTCACTGTCATCATCAGCCCACAAGTCTGGGTATTGTGCCCGCATATCTTGAGGATTTCTACGTATTTCCCTTCTGCCCTCCTCTTCCTCGTCGGCTGGCACAGTTTCTGTCCTAGCCCTACCACTTTCATCGATTACCAGGCGCGTCCTAGGTCTACGAACCTCAGGGATTGCCATGAGTGGGCCACCGCTTGATCGTTTCAGAGGGGACGAACGTCGAGGGATATTGTAAGCCGTAGTTGAGCTGGATGAGCGTGACTCCATAGAGGAAGGTCTGCTTTTCCTGAAGCCACTGTCCGTATTACTTCGCTGCAAGCCAGGACGTGCCTCGAATGATGCGCTTGAAGAATTGGTGCTGGTACGGGAGTGTTGGCTTTTGGCCTGCCTCGCTGCTTCCTTCTCCCGCATTGAGTCCCTGAGTTGTGTCTCATATGGTTGTCTAGTCTCAATTGGTTTACGGGGCACCGGTCCAGAGGTACTGAATGATGAGGCTGGACCTGGGCTTGAAAAGCTAAAAAGCATGTTGGGATCCACACCACCCGACGTTGAAACGAAGGAGCCTGGCCGTGAGCTAGGTACGTTTCCGGCGTTGCTTGTGGTAAACGAAGTTACCGCACCGGGAGATGATTGTAATCCTTGAAGAACTTGAAAAGCTTGCGGTTTCATCTGATCGTTAGCCGGAGTGTGGAACGCCTGCCAGTTCATGTTGCCTTCAATTTTGTGCGGGGTAGGCCCAAATGGATCGGATGCAAGGGGCATATCTATGTCCATATGAGAAGTATCATGAGACTGATCCCAGAACAAGCGAGAGTGAGGAAGTGGTGGTGCAGACATTGGACCAGTGCTGGGGAATTGAATCATATCAGGCGAGAACTGGAGGCTAGGGTAGCCCAACGGCGTCTGGTTGAAGAAGCCCTCACTTAGCGGCACCTGCCCTGGCGTGCGTGCAACCACGGTGGCTGGCGTGGAAACATTCCCTGCACCTTGTTGAAACCGACGAGACGTGGCATCCCTCGTGGGAGGTGGTGTCTGCATGTGCGAGGTATCCATACTGAGCGGACGAGGCCGAGAAGCCATGTGCTCTCGAGGAGTTGCGCCGATATTGTTCACTGACTGAGGGTCGGGCGACGATGAGAGCCTCCGTGACGGGTCAACAGGCGGCAGCGGAAGATTGGTCACAGCGAAGTGATTGACATGGAAGTCTGGATCTTCAGGCGTGCGAGCCTTCAGACTTTGTGACGTCGACGGCCGCTCTATTGGTGTCGAGATGGTGAAGGTCGGGGTCTGGGCGGGCGTCTGCTGCCCATTGACTCGTGGTGTCGACCAGGCGTCGAGGAAGTGCGACTGGGGAAACGACTCGGTTTTAGGCGTCTTCAACGTCGAATCTGGGGCGACGGACTTTGGTGTGGAGGTGGGACTGGGAAGGTGCCAGTCGGAGGATCTGACGAAACAACAGACCGTTAGCTATGAAACGTTTGGGGTCCACTAGGGGAAAAGGGCAGAACGAGGAAAAAACATGACGCTGTAACAAGACGAAGAGTATACAAGAATTCGGTGGCGACATGAGAAGTCCATGATGGGTTGTGCTGACTGGGACATGGAAGACGCTTGGGTCGGGATGGAGCTTTGGAGCGGCAACCGTGCGGTGTTGCCTTCGCTCTGCCTGGACTACACCCCAATTCGGCGATCCATGAAGCAGATGGAGCATTGCATATACGCAGACAAGCCATTCATTGTTGCTCGTGTGTCCGCTCCAAAGCGTGCTTGACCGGTTCCCAGCGTCATCCTGTCCCGCAAAGCTTGGTGGTCCGGTGAGGGACACGCCGAGCTTGAAACGGGTAGAAGGAAGCTCATACCCATATATGTGATGATCCAGACTCATAGCAAAACCGGTGATACAATGTCGGCACCGCAGAGACCATATAGCGAAGTTCTATTGGGGCGGCGGTCGGAGGGGTGGTGGGCGTCGAGGGCGGCGGGGACGATGGGATGGAGGCGCTCTGGCAGAAGAGTATTGCCGTCTTTCGATCTGGAGCAGCGGCAACGCAGACAGACAGGGTAGAGCGGCTGTGGTACACTCGACGCTGAGGGACGCTGGAAGAGGCAGGGCCCTGGGGTGTTGTGAGACGTGCTGCAGGTACAGAAGCCACACGAAGGGGTAGACGGCGGCAGCAGACGGCGTCGACGTCTGCAAGCCAGGGCTCTGGAGGGGTCAAAAGCTCAGACGGATGTCTGTGACGCGGGCGGTATGTTTTTCTTCACGGAGCGAGACCTGTGGGGCCGGCGAAGTGTGCAAAGAATTACTGCTGGCGAAGACCAGGAATTATTCAACTTGCCGATGAGAGGGTGGCCCGGCGACCGCCCGCGCTGTCAGGAATGCAGCTCTCCTGAGGCTAGGGATCGTGCAGGAGCAGATCAGGTACCGCGCCGTAGCGGGCTGGCATGTTCGTGGGGACGCATTGGGGGGAGCTTCATTATTGGCAGGGGATGCTCTGAGGGCATTCACAGAGCCAGCGGAGAGCAGCCTCCGCCGCAGCTCGGCCCAGGGCGAGCTGTACGATAGGCTGGGCGGTTAGCGGCGCCCGAGGAGGTGATGCGCCAGATTGGATGGCTGCCGGCACGATACATGGAGGCCGCCGAAAGGATGCGCGGTGGGTGGTGGACGCATCGTGAAGACACGCGGCGGTGAACCTAATCATACTGTTGTCCGCTAGGAGTTCGCGGCCCTGCACTCTGGACTGTACGCTCCACCACTCAGTCCAGCAAACCCTTGGGATCGCTGCGAAGCTGTCTGCGCGCTTCGTCCTGCTCTCCTGAAGCCAGCGTCACCAGTCCGTCCACGGCTCGAACCAGCAAATGGGCGACCTATCATGCTTGCACAGCTGGCAGCTCTAATATCTGCCCTATGCCCGCTCCCACCCTGCACCCTGCACCCTGCACCCTGCAAATCTGGAAACACCATGTCTAGAAGCGACCAATCGCCATGGATCCATCTCCTGACGTCTAGAATGGCGCGCGAATGACCGTTCGTGTTGGCTCGGGGCGACCACCTCTTCCCCATCCTCATCGTGTGCGCCGTGGAAGCGGGAGCCAGTCTGGGGACAGCGGCGTGTCTGCCTCTCGCCGCCGATCAGGGCCGTCCAAGGCATTGAGATCTACCTTGTGCTGTCCTCGTGTGATATTGCCGTATCCGAGGAGCAGCAGCATCATTCATGTTCTGCGGTACCCTAGCATCGCCAGATTGCACGTCACATGCTCGCTAATCCACCTGGGCACATCTTCATGCAA